ATGTTGACAAATTAATGTTCATTCATCGCCACTACAGCTGGATCATTTGAATGAAATCTACAGCATTGAACAGCGAGCTAGTCACGGTGGTACGGCAATACAGCGACTGAATTAGCTGGGATGGCTTAGATAAATATTTGATTTTCAGCTTGCTATTGTGGTAGCGAGTTGTATAAGCTGCTGGGTTAACAAGCTTGCTTTTTTGAATGCTGAAAGAAAATGTTGTCTTCATGCAGCTGGGCAATGCGGTAAGTGAGCAGAAATCGATGTGACAATCGATTTATTTTAAGGAAATATAAGCATAACACTACGCCGACCATCGCATATTAGCTGCCCTAAACGCTGCAGCATACTTGCCGCCGATGGCGGAAAACCTTTTCAGCGCACGCTACAACTGTTGTTCTCCATTGCCCTCATCGTCGGCAACCTCCTGCGCTAGGTTGTTGTGTTCACAAACAATATTTTCTTACCATATGAGTGCTCACCGTGCATTATTTATAGTGCAGCATAATATTTTGCTTGTAGCGTGCCTGTCGTATGTTATGCTCAATTTTAGCAATAACCTTTGCTAAACACAATTAATAAGTAACACGCAAAATTAATGTGTAACCGCTATCACTTCGCTTGAGATTCCTTACATTTTGATAAGCCCGTGGCACTTACACTGTGTTCTGCCGTCTGTAGCCAATTTTAGTTTAATTTTGGGCTTATTTATGACACATTTATTCCTCAATTTATTTTCCAGACATAGGCCATTGATTAACTCTGAAGCAGGTAATTATGACGGATCAGGCCAGTACTGTAAAAGGGCAGCACTCTAATGGTATACTAGGGTAATTAGTGTTTTCGATTTTTGTATTTCGGGTATTGCACAAAGAAGTCATCGTTCGTACAAAAACTAGCGGGACGCTCACTCGTGGTGAGCAATATGGAAGATTACGACCTGTCAATGTGTTTCGCCATCCGAGTTCCGCTCGGGCACTAGCCGCAACAGCTGGCCATGATGATCAAGCTGCCAATAGCCGGGGATGCGGTGCATCATGCCGGCTCCCATGCAGCGCTGTTTGATGTAAATATCCATTCATGACAAACCCCAATAGTTAACCGGGTGTGCGCGCGCGCGCTGTGTTATGTGAAAAGCAGTGAAATCTGTTAGCGGCGATACATATATGCTTGTTTCCTCACAACTTATCTCCCATTTATTGATATCCGCTTAGTGATACAACGCCAGCCCGAACCACTGAGCCGACTAATAAAGTTGTATGTTTCCACTAATGAGGGATCTCTTGAAAGGATCCCGTGGGTTAGGCCACTTGTCCAGACAAAAGCACAAACTTTGCCTGCTCGTTGAAAAAGGAGATTACTGGACTCAGCATGAATAAATACGGAGGAAATTAGTTTCAAAGGGAACCCCTTTGTCGCTATACCGAGGCTAATATGATCCCATCGGTGTCATGAAATGCTTTTACCACGTTAACTATAAATATCAATAAAAAAGATAAAGATGCGCTACACTGCCCTGCAGCTGTTTTTAACTCGATTGCCATACCAACCGGAAACAGCACTGTAATCAAATCACAATGGATAGTGGATAGTTTTTCTAGCTAAACAAATTGTGGTTTTTACAGACGCCGCGTCGTATATACTGTGGAGCAGTCCTTAAAAGCGGCAAGAAAAAATTCATAACAGAGGCTCACGCTGACGATACTACAGCTCAGCAAAATATTCTATAGTATTTACGATTTATAATATACAGTACTACAAAGTACAAACTACAGATTTTAAGTTAACGTCGGTAACCTGAATAACCAAATAATTCTTTGTTGTCTTCAAAAAATACAAATATTTATAGGTTCAATTAAAGAAAGCAGAATTCAGATTTTCTAATATCGTCCTTTTACTGCTGGAATAATGCTTTCACTAACACATCTTTCAAAAGAGTACGAGTATTACTGTCGAGCAGATGTACGGGTATATCTGTAATTGTTGTGGGCAACTGATTAGCGGACCTTCTGCGCAAAAATCTCAGAAATGATACTCGCCGCATTTGCAAAAGGAACTTTATTTTAGCGGACGTGATTCATGTAAAGGTCACAGATCGACTGTAAAAGTTATCTAACATAAAAACAGCACACTGGTATATCGGAGTTCGTCAATAACTATATGTTTGATACTGAGCAGACTACAGGAGCAAACAATATCCTACACCAAGTAATTGTGCCATTTGATTGTGTATATACATACGCGCATATATTGATTGGCCGCAAGCGCAGCAGACACCTTCGATGAAATGAATTAGTAAAGTACAGAGTGAATGAATCCTTACAAGTTTCTGTAAATATTTGGAGTACATACCTGTGGTACAAAACATGAAAGGGCTAGGAAATATTGAATAGCTATGATAAGCCGAAACATGCCGTTGGGGGAAATTATCTCTTTACAAACAGCTCTAACCGCTTTGCCACAAGAAAACCATGACCATTCGACGATGTCAAGACTCACCTGCCAGTTCGTCATCCATTTCATAATTGGCAAATATTTGTACCACAATTGACACAAGTTTGTCCAATTTATTGAAAAATCTTCGAGTGGATCGTACTTACATTTTTTTCTATCATTTGAGCTGCAAAATACGCTGCAGAGCGGAGTAAACACAGACGGCACTGGCAGGCGAGATGTAATATTAATCAAATTGTTAGAGTAATACCAGTGCTACCGCATATGTCCCCTCAGTAGTCTGCTTATGGTTAGTAAGGACACTTTTGACTTACTAATTTCATATCGCCAATTATATCGCATTAAACTTGAATTTACATTGTTTTGAGCGTCATTGCCGCGATAGATTATGTGTAATTATGTAGTGTGTAAATATTATGAGACGGGTCATGATTAACTTTTTTTAAAACACTGAGAGCGGCCCCAAGAAATGACATCGTTAGGGCAATAATAAATCTGGAAAGATTCGGGAATTGTATGAATATTCGTATAGTGAAATACATAGTTCTGTTACTAAAGATGTCACCAGTAACTTTCAAAAAGGTACTTGTATTTAGTTTATTATTATTTCAGCAGTGCTTCACAACACTAGATGGAGAACACTGTCAGAGCAGCATGCGCACGGCACGATTGCAGTTAATATTTTCACAATCGTTTGCAAAAGATTATTAACGGTCTTTGGTGACCTGACCAAGCAAAATGCTTATTTTATTCAATCACAAATAGTTGACTTATTGTCTGTTCAATAAAAGCCAATAATACTTCTCAATAATGCCAGGATTGTCAGCATAAGCATTCAAATGCAACTACCGGAAAAGCGCATGACCATTTATCGCATCTGTATGGTGAAATTGTATTGTCGAATAATGTACCGGGCAGGCACATTTTCTGTGAGTGTATTAGATTGGAGGTTCATATTTGTAAATCTTACGGGTGTTTATTCGAATGCAGGCAGAATCGGCAAACACGATTTAATTCTGCTGAGTGATTCTGAAATGATGCCAACAGCACTACTCAAAACACCATAGAAATCCATGGTGGCTAACAACAGATATATCTGTATGGAAGTCGAGAGAATAATTATTTCTGACAATTTACCGCAGTCATGCATAAGGCGCTGAAAAACTACAAATTTAAGTTGATGAGCACCTTCACGTTATTCGAAGATAAACCGATAAAATTAAGAAGCTCAGTTCTAATTAATACTGAAATGGATACATATTCACATAGATTATTGGCAATAATTTGCAAGCGGTATGGATTAGCGTTTCATGATATGTCAGAAGATTCTTATAAGCTGATCTGATCGCGGATCTGAGAGCACTAATTAAGCGTATACCGAGCACATTCTATTTCTGCGATCCGTAGATTCCATACAAATACTTTGTATGTAAATAGTTTATGATTAGCAATTTACGGTGAACTGATATGAACTTTGCCGGCGATAACTAGGAGGGCGGATCGGGAAACAGCAATACCGTAATTACCCCGTCCGACAAGAATTGCTAATCGCCATTAATTAGAGGCACAAGAAAGCGTGCAGGTTATCTATTGACGGTAATTTGTCTTACAAGAGTAATTATTGTGATAATTTACTTCTTTTGTGCATGAACCATGCTACTTAATATTGACAGACGTAGAATATGGTATAGCAATTCTTCCAGGTGAGAAAGCACATTATCAGCACACATGGCTGGCAGGTTTGATTGTGATGCCAAAAGCAACTGTTAGGTTAAATGCGGGGGCGGCGATGCTAACCGACCAAATCATCCTGTTTCAGTACAGCACAGTGGTTTGCACAACAGGAAGCACAGTAAAACAAAACAGCGCGGTAAGCTTACAAGTCTGCACACTGATGGATCAATGCATGCTCAAAATGACTGCGATCAAAGGAAAAATTTTAGTTTATATGACGAACTTATTACCTGGTGAGAGATTCAAGCAGACTGCTTGAACGGCGCGTATGGGCACTTGACCTTAACGAAATACGAATAATTCAGCTATAAAATCAGATTTATAGATAACTAGTTTGCACTGACAACTTTACTCAAACCCGCCTAGGTTTTAGTTTTACTTTTCACCAGTTTAAGCATTTGTTTTTATTGTCCTACCACCACTTCGAGAAAAAATGGAAAACTTTTGCGCTTTTTCGACACATCCCAAGAGTGAGGGAATCATCGCGCTAAACTGTAAGCTAGCAGTATGCACTTTGAATTAAACAAGTAAGCTACCTAAATTCGGCAATGCAACACTATCTCGAAAGTTTCAGGTTCTTTCATAAAAAAGGAGTCTTGTAACGACAATAGGAAACGCTCGGACACCGGAAAAACAAACGCGTGACCCCGATGCTATCACCTTTAACAGTATTACTGGGCGTTAAAATCTTCCGGTTTCTTCTTCTTTTCCGGTTGATACAGAACAGGGTCCAGTGTTAAAGAAAGAGACGCGGATACAAAGCGAAATGCGATATGCGACCCGTTAAATGGATTTTCTAATTCACGGGGTTTTCAGGCAACTTTAATAAAAAGGCACCATATTCGGATAAATGCAATTCTGTAAATAATATTTACCTGATCTTCAACACCTTAGGAAAATATTGTACATAAAGGTACCACAAAGATACTTTTGTTGCAAGATTCCACAACTAAAATCGCACGCACAACAGACCGTAGTAAAAATACTGATACAAGTAAGAGATGAAAAAATCAGAGATAATACCTAGTACACTCGAGATCTCATACAAACTTAGAAAAAAAGAAGAGATTATCCTTGTCATTGATTTCCTAAGAGTGCTTCATTCTGTCCAGCGATGCAGGCAGTTGGCAGCACAGCACACATAGTACAGCCGCATTTCCTCCTGAAACGAAGAACACATTAAAAAATGGTGTCTAGAAAAAGCCTAGTACTTTTGAAGATAAACAAGTTTCACATCTGCTGCAGCACAGTTACAGAAGTTTCTCAAGTGGGTAAAACCATCCTGCATAAACTGCACAAGTTTTAGCAGACAAATAGTACTTTCTGAAAAAATATGCAAATACACAGATATCCTGACCAAAGAAAACATAAAAAAATACCGTTGGATAAAATGAATGCAGCTGGTACCAACTACTGACCAACGAATACTGCCCTCGAAATTAGTCACTCTGTACATCAAAGCGCAAAAACAGAAGATACGAAAAAAAGGAAAATAGATGCTGGAAGCCAGGCTGAAAATTAGTATATATCATGCTTTGACATACAATATTCAATAACCATTGGTTCAAGGATCATTACTAGTAATATCAAACTGTAAAAACTGCAAACGAACTAAAGAGCTACAAAACGTCTAAACTTAAAAAATTTGTAAACGCACAAGGTTCAGTCAGAATGGATGCGGCAACTGTATGCTGCATTATGCAATTACGAAATCAGTGTAATAAAAGCCTTAAACTAGTAACCCAACAAAGAACAGTAACAGTATAACAGTTTTATCCTTCTAAATTATAATAAGCAAACCTCACATATTGTGTACCAACATAAAATGTTACAACAAAACATTTATATATTCGCCCAAAAACAGTGAAAACACCACCCGAAAAATATTGTTTAGAAAGTCTATGGAAAAGCAACCTGAAACGTTTTTAGAAGTTCATCATTTTGCTTACTTCACCACGTCGAGATTGAGCTTGGAAAAACACAGCATTCTGATGTCCACATTTCGGGCAGGGATGATCGTTCGTCCGCGGCAAAGTAGGATCAGCGACGACATCGGAGACGATATGAGTCAGTTCACTGCGAAATAGCAAAAAAATGTTCAACGTCAAAATTTATTCGGCGATTTATTATCATCCAAATCCGCATTTCCTATGTAACTTGGTATCATTCACCATACATATCTCAAAAGTAAGGCAACAATTTCTCTGAAGACATTAACCTGTGTGGAACAAAAGAGCGCATTTTACATTTTACACTAAAAACGAGTAACCAACAAAATTTCAAAATCTATGCGTTTTCTATTTCCAGCCGAGCCCTTTTGCAAGCAAAAAAATGGCAACACTCCGCAAACGCTGTACACTTACTCAACTTTATGGAGGATCTTGTTAACATACCTAAAACACACACAAAATGATAAGCGCAAACCCAGCTACTTAATTTTTGTCGTTTAGTCTTACACGCAAGAGTTCATTGCAGGTTCGCTGAAGACACAGTTGCGGCACTGCAACAAAAACACGAGAACTATACTATAAGTAGCGAGTTCGTTAAGAAAAATCGAAATTAAATTACCGTATACATCAGGCGTCTGGTGGATTTGTCTTCTTTCGGGTATAACATGTTGTTGCTAAAGATTAAAGCAAATGAGAATTCAAGAGAAGCCACTAAACTGTCTAAATACAGCGTGGTATTCTGCTTTAGCTAAACTGCTAACTACTAATCCACGTCGTTCACTTGAAGCATTACAAAGTTATGAGACGCAGGGTAAAGTTCCTGCTAGCATGCACATCAGAGCCAGAGTACGAACCATTCCCCGCAAAAGCGGATGCCAACGAAGCCAGGACCCTGAAGAGCCAGCTCATGTTGGGAGCGCTGAGTAGCAAATTCATTCTGAGAACGCGGCATAGTGCTCGGTAGGGAGCGCGAGAGACTCATTTTCGCTTGCCAAGCACTGCGAAGGTGATTAAATCTGCGGAATTACTAACGAACTGCGATCACCTGAAAACAGGAAATTTTTACTTGAAAGGAAGGAGAGCTGGAAGCGACAAGCAACTCGACAGTCAACACTGCAGAATTTCCAAGTGAAACCCAAAGACTGGAAAAATTGTTTAAACAATAACGCCAAAAAAAATAGAAACCGTTCTACTTGTACAGTACCAACCTCCCATGCGGCGCTGTTCGTCTGAATTTGTGCCTCTCTGGCCACATTTACGACTACACGAGTAAGTGAAGACGCAATCACTTGGACGACTTGACATAACATAACACTCCACATTGTTATCGCCTAAATTATTTGAATACTGTAAGTAAGTTTAGTTTTCAGATTTTTACCATCAGATGTAAAAGTTAATAAAAATTTTGAGATTTTCTTTCATCGTTACTTGCTTTTTTATGCGCATTTTGTGCCTACACGGTATGGAAGATGTTCGGATTCGTCGTTGAGGAGCCTGATTCGTGTAGGTTGAGGCACCGTCGATGAACGAGGATCTCACTCTGGAGATGGATACTGAAAAATCTAAAGTGCAGAGAAGCACATCGATTCGTTCTTCCCAGAATCCGTTTGACGAGGATGAATCTAACGACAATCACTCTCATCCGAGGACGCTGTCACGAGGCAGCAGCATCGTCTCACACACTCCATTCGATGAGCCCGATTCACGGCCTATTTCCCGTTTATCTCGTTCGTCCACCATAACATCCCTCGGACGTCATCCCAGTTTGCAAGAGGACTTGCCACAGCGTGTGTTCAACTTCTACGATACCAGCGTCAATCTGCCCGCCGTTTTAAACGATCCGCGCAAGCCGCGGCCGATTGATTTTCTCACGCGAACATGGGGTGAAGGTTTCATGGAGAATTCCGTCCGCCCGTCGCCGCGCCTGGACGAATACAGCATCGACGATTTCCGACCGTATATGCGCTGCATTAATGTACGAGAGGCACTCCTGAAAGGCACACGATCCACTCCGGACAGTTTTGATCGACGACCATCGCACAGTGTGCGGAGTCCGCGTCCGACGTCGGAGAATCCGCTGGAAAATATTCCCGCGGTGTATCTGGCGCAGACACTGGATTTGGAGAATCCCCAGATTTTTCGACAGATTTGTCCAGTTTCATTGGCGGATCGGGAGGCACGGCGCTCCATACAGGGACTGCGGGATCGGTGCGCGCAGTGGTTGGATATCGTGGAGAGTGAAATCGCCAAAACTGTTTCGCTCAGAGCGGAAGCGTTTTTCACGGTGGTCACCAGCCACGATCTACTCCAGGATCGAATAGAGATTTGTCAAAATAAAGCGTCCTTAGCGAGACAAAGGCTGCAGACGACGGAGAAGATTATACAACCTTATGTGCAGACAGTGGCACTTGCCCAGGTTAGGATTACTGCTCAACAAGTGGAAATGGGCGTGTTTGCACTAGAACATATACTCCAGATTTTTTTTTTAAAAATTAAGGACATTTCTGTTTAATGATGGCCCATACAACAGTATGGGCCATCATTAAACAGAAATGTCCTTAATTTTAAAAAAAAAATCTGGAGTATACGGACGAGTCTGGACGAGTTAATAATTTTTATTGTAATTTCTTGACTTGTAACTTTTTTGCGAAAAGATGGAAAAATTTTCATTTGGTCTTGATTGAACATTCCGAAAAAAATTATTTAGTATTCTGTAGTTTTGTTTGACTGTATAAACCTGTATCGCTGGCCGTACTGTAAGTATCTCGTACATAACAATGTATGCACTGATCTTAAAAGTTACGAGCTTTCTAATCCATGTATTATTTATGCAGACGCATTTATGGAAATCTGTATATGTGCTTTATTATAGAAGGCTGTATTTTCAAACGATATTTTCACTTTTTTAGAAACGGTTTAATTTAAACCGAACGATGCACAAACTGCAAACCGTTCTGACGATAAGCCAGACCCAGGCTACCATCCAGATGCTGCTAGCTAGCGGAGATTTCGTCGGTGCGCTAGATTTGATAACTACGACGCGTGATATTGTTGGCAGCGAATTATCGGGCCTGCACTGTTTTCGCCATCTCGGCACACAGCTGAGTGAGATGGAAAAGTTCATTGATAAAATGATGAGCTTGGAATTCCGTCGCGCTTTATCCGCCCACTTAAACCGCTCATTTGACGGTGAAGAATCATCTCAAAAAATGCAGGAAGCCGAACGCTTTGCGGCGATCGTAACAGGCTTACTCCGGCAAAGGCGTTTCAATGTTGTTGATTGGTTCCGTGAAGAGGCACTATCCGCACTGCAGATTACAATGAAGTTTGCCATGATCAGCTCAACAGAAGATCGGGAAGTGGATGTTGACGATAAAGAAGAAATGAGCGCCGAAGAGGAGGGCAAGACGCTGCCGTATCACCTGCTGAAATCCCTAGATTTTTCTGGACTGGTAGATTTGTTTGTCAGAATGCAGCAGCCACTCCGCGAGATGTTGTTGCGGATCCGTGCGGCACATGACGTTATTTACAGTTTGGAATGTGATAACCAAGAATCACGAACCGGCGGAGTGGACGATGGAGGCTTAACGGCTCTGGATTTTAGCCGGTTACGAACACAGTTACAGGAGCTGCTGTTTGCCGTCGGAGAAGAAACCCAGGAAGAAATTGCCAGAATTCTCAGTAAAAGCCCTGGCTGGAAAGATCTCAAATTGCACAACGATAGTTTGGCGTCGCTGTGGGAGATTTTGCAACATATCATGAAGGATGGAGAAGATATCCTTGGCGTTAAAATGACACTGCTCAATGCGCAGCTGCAGAAGTTGGCTTTCGCCTTTGTGGGACGTTTTCATGAGGATCGCAGACAGAAGCTGACGTTGATTTTGGACAGTGAAAGGTGGACACCAACTGAGGTATGGTCTCGTCCCTCTAGTCCTTCATACATTTCCAACTCATTTTATGCATGTTTTTCTGATTATCAATGAGAGATTGGAGACTTGTACAAAACGTCTGAGGACGTGATTTTTCTTATAATGTCAGTTTCTGTTTAATACAAAGTAGCAAGCAAGCAGAGATCAGCACTCGTATGCGTGCATTTCATCTGTCCCTGTCCCGTTAAGAAAAACTTGATTTTAACCTATACTAACGAACTATCAAATTGTTTTCAGATTCCAGTCGAATTTCAGTCATATGTGGAGAATATAATTACTTCGCAGACATTTCGAGTCAGCATCCCGCGCCATTCATCCAACGATTCCTTTGCTTTGAATGGCAGCACAGAAGATGCCCCGAAATCGCCGGTGGCGGTTGTTCCATATCTGGAAATCCAAGGCGAATTTTTCGTTGTTGTTGGCACAGTTGTGATATTATTGCGTATGCTGGGCGAGTATGCCGCACTCATGGACCGATTACCCGCTTCCATGAATATTTCCGGTGACATTCTTTTGAAGATTGTTGAAATCCTCAAGATGTTTAATTCCAGAACGTGTCAGTTGGTTCTCGGCGCAGGAGCCATGCATTCCGCTGGTTTGAAGTCCATAACCAGTAAAAATCTGACTTTGTCATCCAGGTGTCTCCAGTTGATTGGATTTTTTATTCCGATTGTGCGTGATGATCTCAGCAAACGGCTTTCTTCAAAGCAAAAGCATTTAACAAAAAATTTTGAAACTCTAGCGCGGGATATCGATACACATTGCGAGGTAAAGGACAAACATCGTGTCATGCTTTTGTGAATAAGCAGTTTGCTATAATTTTGCACGCACGAATGTAAGTAAGTTATCTTTCTTCGTGCTTGCTTTTTCCTGCATAGTGACCGTGGCTAGTTGTTTGCAATTTAATTTCTGGAGAACGTTTTTATACTTTTTTTCATATTTGGATGTATTGTTTTGCTTATACATCTACGCACGTGCAGTAATTTTTTGAGAATTGTTTACGGCTACTTTCATTTATTTACTTACTGTATTTATTGTTTACCACTCACCTGGTTCTGAAATTTCCGACTCAACGTGTGTTTTACAGCTTTCTTTGTCGTTACAGGAGATCGACAAAAAGCTTTTGCAGATATTTGATGCACAGTTGATTGGGAATTTCGCCCGCTGGGAAGCAACAGTACCGGTGCCCTCGCAGGCTTTCAAGAATATATTTATTTATGTGAAAAAACTGTATGATGCCGTTAACGAAATGTTGCCACAAGCCCATTTGGAACGGCTGTTTAAGAGTATTTTTGTCTTGTTTAAAAGACGGCTTCGGCAGCAGATTGCAAAACTGGGCATTTCCAACGACGGTGGACCACAGCACGGCATTGTTACCTCGGAATTATCGTATTTCCGGAACGAAGTACGCAATTTAACAAGGCTCGTGGATTTAGATGAGGATTTTTATGATATTTGGGAAAAGTGATAGTCATTTTTCTGTAAATCTGTGCATTTTCTGGTTTGTACTCGGTTGTTGGTGAAATGTTTTATTCTGATGTTTTTAGCTGAAAATTTATCCAGACAGTAAATCAAGCAAAGAAATTAGTTGTGCTGTACATGAGAAAGTGCACGTTTAATAATTGCGTCAATAAATATAAAAACGCAGTGGCAGGTTGACATTGAAGTTGTGATTGAACTGCTTAATCAAACTGCAGATGACAGAAATTATTTCCGTTGACGATATTTAATTTCCCCAACCATTCCAAACACTACACTGTCAAACATTCAATTTTATCGTTGTCTGAGTTGCGTTACGGAGCAATACCAAATGGATGCAACAGGGGAAAAATTTGGAATTTCCAGTAACACTGGCACGGATTTTTGTAAGCTTTTCTAAATACAGTTCCTAGTGAAAATTACAGTAAAATAATTACGATCATTTAAAATAGTTAACAAAGAAATTACAACATAAAAGGAATCAACGTACCCGCTATCAAGGGATCTAAACAACGAACAAATGATTAAAAAACCTTCCCGAAGCGGTGTGCTGCTTAGTATTGAGAAGGCCCAGGCCGCGCGACCGATGATACAACCAGCATGGAGAACGTGCGCGTAGAGAAAATACTTGCAGCGCCAATAAAATAATCGACCTCCCACGCTCACCGCCTGCCGCCACGTCCGCGGCCTCGTCCACGAAACCCGGGACCACCTCTCCCGCGGCCTATAAATTAATAATGTAGGATAATAATAAGCAAGCAATATAATATATCGCGAAAAAAGTCGATTTTCCAAGTTCCAAGGTTCTTCGTGGAAAACACAGAAATCCAGCGTGCTGTTATGGGCATTTTTTAGCCCGAAATGGCCAGTATAACCCTTACCTCGTCCTCGTCCCAATTTGGCTTCTCGTCGCTTGATCTTAGCCTTGGGTGTGTCATCGATGAGGAGACTGTCCAAAGCCAGAGTCTCAGGCAAAATATAATAGCGAATATTGTTACCGCGAATGCTCAGAGATTCCAGCTGCATAGTATCACGCCCCTTTGGTGTCATTTTGACGGCCTTCAAATGGGTGTTCATGGCAGGATCCACGCCTGCAGAAGAAAAACGTGTTAAGTAGTAAAAACATATAAGTACAATCACCCACAGAAGTGAACACAGAGTAAAGAGCAATCGAATCGCCACAGTACCTGTAATGGTGCCATTGATAACGGTCCCATTCTTAAGCTCCACTGTCACGGTTTCGTGACTAAGTTTCATAAGAAATCGCACAAGCTTCATTTTGAAAGCGTTATATGTGTCGATAAAAGCAGGAAAATGTTGCGTTCCGATGAAGAACAACAAAAACCTCACCAAGAACTTGCGAAATCCTAACGAAAAAATGTAGCGAGAACGCTCTGGCCTACCAATACCATCAGTCAGAAATTAATGGTACTGGTAATGGTGGCGATGTCGATGGAAGTGGAGGTAGGTGTCGAGCGCGCAGGCGCACTTCCTTTGTATTTTGTAATAGCAAGAACTTGCTATACGTAGTATCTCACACTATAGTAAGTACTTTGTAATAGCTACATGTAATCGTAAATACATATGCATTTTATATTTAGCACTACAAATCCTCTAGCTTTACGCTTTATTACTTGTCTGAAAAGCAGTATTTAAAAGCAGAGTTACATTACAAAGGTTAAATACAAAAAAAATTAAGGAACTCTTCACTTCACGGGTAATTTGAAATTCTGGTTTCGGTCTTCGGATATATACCCGTGTCATCGTGTGAAAACTCGAAACTGCTTTCAACAGCGTACGTTTTCGTACGCTGGGAACGCTTAGAAATGGATAAGGTTATATTTGAACTCTTGAAATAATTGTGTGCAGTAAGATTGTTAGTTTAGTACTAGCCCTAACACTGGCAATAACAACATCAACGTCAGTTTCACAGCTGTATGTACAGCATATATGTTCGAGAAGAACCTCTAACGTGTTGTACCGGCGCGGATTTACTGTCCGAAAGCGCGCAAAATAATGCCGTTCTTAGTATTTAAGGACGCGGACTTCGGGTATCCGAATAATTATGTATTCCAAGTCGGCAAATGTAGCCAACCACGGAAGATAATTAGCTATTGAGAGGAAGCGGTGCACAACAGTGACACACGCATTAAGGCACATCATATTCGCATTATTTATGGTTTCCGGTTGGGAGTAACCGATATGTTCCTTCAAGCGGGGCTACAGGATGCAGTCAATTTGCAGTGTAAGTGACTTTCTTCTAAGCTCTGGTTTCTAAGTCAACACAACGCTCTTCAAATCATTACGGCTGCTTCAGTGTTGCATCCGTGCGTGGAACACTCTGGAGGAACGGAAAAAAATCGGAAATATCAGCAACTGAATAGGCAGTCCTACTTTTCCATTTTGATATGGACAATATTATATTATGGCTTGGAATCATGGTCACCGTATAATTGGATGAGATTCGCTGTTCTGATATGAAGCGGCCATGTTTGCCATTTGCAAAACGTTCTGGACTTCTCCGTTATGCTAACAAGCTTTGCTCACTGTAATAAAGGTCACCGTGCGGTTGTGTATTAGCCATATTCCAGATGCAGTATGCGATTTCCCAAATTTTATCAGATTCTTTGTACATGGATATTTGTTTTTGGTGTGATGATAATTGGTGGCGAAGATAAGCCAAATACCAAACCAACTGTGATTTTCCTAGTGATTGTTCCTTATGATGCCAAAATTGTGATGGCCGCCGTCAATCTTGCTCTTCAAGAATCACAGGAAAAATATTCTAACATGAACATAATACTGCATTCGATAGTTAACTGGAGTGTCACACCGTGCAACTACTTTGAAGATTTAGCGCCTTCTATTTTTGCGGAGTATTACGCAAAAAATTTGGAAAAAGCCAGCTTCACTGTGTTTATCCCCACAGGTACGGTAGTACAATACAAGCATATTCCGGTATGCCCCTGAAATACTCACATTTTTCTCTTCACTTAACTATTCACTTAATTAACACTCAGTTTTCTATTTGGCAAAATCGATGTATAACTGAGTGCATATGCTCGTATAATAAGTCACACTAATACATATTGAAAAATCATTAACGTATAACACACAGTTCTTATCCTCTCACATCCTGTCAAACATAACCGAGTATTTCGCGTTCCGCAATGGATGCCACTGATCCCATAAGAATATTTGTATACAGGTTTTCGACTGGATGAGTCCTTGCAGTTTCTACTACACATTGTGAATTCTACAGCATATAGTTTGTAAAATTAAGGGTGGGCCGGTTTGCAGGTTGCACAGGAGCGATGGTGCTGGAATCCGATTTCGCCAGAGGTAAACAAATAAAAAAGAAATTCGATACGGAAACCATCCTGATGGAGAATCGATAGGGATTAGGGAGTAATTCCACAAATTGACACCGGTTTCATGTTGATACTTGCAAAAATTCGCTGTGTTAGCAATCGACAGAATCGTGGACATTTCGCGCGGGTGGGGACGGCTCAGTTTTGATTACGTCATGATGTCATCCTGATATAGAAACTCCTGTATAAAAACATCATTTTAATAATTGAAATTTTTACGATAATTGTCGTGGACTGTTAACGAAATGAAATTATTATTATATCAAGAAACTGTTGTCAGGCTATAGTTTATCAGAAACTGCATTTTTCTTATGTCGATTTATGTATGCAGAGTTAAACATTCCTGTCATTACAAGGTAAGAAAAGGCTTGAAAATGTCTATAAATATTTGATCCAAAGGACCAAAATGATTTTTTCTGTCACTAGTGCCGGAAGGGGGAGTCTGTTGCAAAATAAGGTTCGCTTTCCGACTCTGGTTCGCGTGCTGCCGGTGCAGATCGAAGCGTTCAGTCGGTGCACTCGTGAACTTTTTGCGGTGTATAAGTGGCGCACTATAACCATCATCTGTGATATCCACTATGTGCCTGCATCATTAAAAGAAATGTGTGCTGAAACAGCAAAAGATCTTATATATGGTGATCCGGAAATGTATACCCCACGCGCTACGTATTTGTTGTCTTTGGATCTCTCCTTACCTGAACAACGAGTACAGGCTCTGGAATATGCTCGAGCCCGGAGTAGAGGTAAAGCAGCTACATATTCTGAAGCAATAAGTAACAGTATAATTAGCATCAGCTACTGTGTCTGTAGTTAATAAATTAATAACGGGTTTTACAATACATTTATGAGTACTTAAATAACTCTATATATTTACAAGTATGTATTGCCAGTCGACAACTTTTTGCCGTTTGCAGTGATTGTCCTTATGGTGGAAATCAAATTTCTGCTGGATATGTTGGTATGCTAAAGAGAATTAATTGTAATTAATTTTTACATTACTAACATTTAGCGAAAATTTGCTACTATTTTCGAGTTTTGGTTTCGACGAACACAAGAAAAATTTAAATATGATTTGTTTGATTTTCAGAAAACTGCCGTTAATTTAGGAATGATGGGAAAAGACTATGTAAGCAAATAGGACTTCTTACAGAAAAACTGCCGCACTTTATGTACAGTACAATTGTCGAGAACTTCCGAAATTCCTAAGTGTCTATGCGGGTATTACTGATGTCAATGTGTTTCTCAGCAGCCGGATTAATATAACGAAGATTTTGTCCTCTCTTTAGGTGTATGTCACCAATATTGTATACAGCTCATTGTGGAATACAGAACACTTTCTGTCCGAAGCTGCTCAAAATTCTTTGGATGTGGTACGCCGTAATAGTTCGGACTACATGATGATCGCTTCCGATATTGCACAGCAATTGTTTTGGCCGATTTTAGATATTGCAATCGCTTTTCATAATATCCCTATCCCCTCTTCCCACGGACAACCAACGGTTAAATAATTTTACGTCATACATTCGCTCTCAGTCAAATTCCAGCGATATCACCGAAGAAGTAAGCTCGAATTCTCATTTATTTAGCGCAGCGTTTTAGTCTAATGTAAAAAAACTGGTACTGGGCGCTCATGCCCTATATAAGTTACATATGCTCTGTTTATTTACTAGTAATAGAGTTTAGTTATTTTTTTTAATAGGACGTTACGGTACAATAATACCGTACTGCTAGTTTTTCGCTGGAAAATCTTTCTTTTTCAGTCAGTTCTTACTGCGGTTTGCACGCATACCGCATTTGCAGCAGCTGCCGAGGTAAAGCTGAAAAATTTCAGACAAGGAAAATTCTTAAAATTCTATCATTATTTTAACGCCAAGTTTTGCGTAATGTATGCTTCAGATGGTGAACGAAACCATTTCATTGGGATATAATCTTAGCGACGGGATTGAGTTGACAAGAAGCATGTACAGGCGGAATTTCAGCTCCGTCATGGGAACGCCGTTCATTATTGATGAAAACGGGGATCGTGACGCTGCATATTCTGTTTTTGGAGTCAGCGCCCAGACAAAGTCATTCCAAGTACGTATTTTGGAACTGTAAGGATGCACGTAAATCAGTTTTTTTTTAAACCAATCCTGTACTGCAGGATTAACGTAATTTTTTGATATACAAAGATTATATAAGATGCAAATCAAAGGTGTAATAGAGTAAGTAGTTCACGCTATAACGTAATTGGATCTTAAATTAGGAGCTCTGGACTTTTGATTCATATGATTCGGAACTGATCGCATCTAGCCGGTTTAAGTGGATTCGTCATGCCAATCCTCCAAGCGATCGTCCGCCATGCGGATTCGTGGGCGACGATGCTGAATGTTTACGAAAAAGTGAGGAAATTGGTTATTTGGTTGGTTACAATATCTTGGGTACAACAATTATTTATTAGCCTTATACCTTATCTGTACATCGGGGCTGGCGCAGTTTGTTGATGTTATCTGTTATCAAAATTAATTCTTATTCGTGTATGAAAGAACGAGCAATTAATTATCATGATTGTAGCAAAGTGGATAGGTATTTGTACTTACTCGTTAGTAGAAATGTGAAAAGACTGTCTGCAGTACTGTAAACGCACCAATTAAGTTATTGTATCTGCTTAGACGCTCTGTTGACGGAACTGCTTCCCTCCATACTCATTCCTTGTGCCATCATTTACGTAGCTGCATTTGTCATTTATCGCGTGCACCAAAGGTAAATTTATTTAGCATATTTCCACAGTTCTCCACAAAAACTATAAAATGTCCGCAAATCGTTGCATTTCCAGGAGGAAATTGCGCAAAGAATACAGCAGCTGGATTATTTTACCAGAGGAAATCACACCGGCCTCCACAATCTCCGATAAACACCGCCATCTGCGGCAAACTATTACGCGTCTAATGCACATGGTCAGCGTTGATCTATTAAAATGCGAAGCTCATCGATGGAATTTAATAATATTACTGTGCTAGACGGAACAATCTGGACGCGGGAATAACGGACTTGTCAGATTCCATGACCAGTTGGTGTGGTGCAAAAAACTTAAAATCCAACGAAAGTTACTTGTTGATGATGAACTGCTGGAAATAACTTATCACGTAAGCGTACAGTCGAAATGGGATATGAAAATATTAAGCAGTTTGGGCTGGATAGGACCTCCACAACCAAATGAACTGGTGAAATACTCGAACTCATGCTGTAAAGGATAATCTCATACTATTGCAGAGAAAGAAAATGAGGCATGATAATATTGCCATATTCTTTGGAGTCTGCATTGGGACGAGTGATGTTCGCATTATCTCGGAATTTGCTCCCGAACATTCTTTCCAAGACCTGCTACGAAAGGACACTTTTCAGTCGTTGCTAAAAGATATCAAGCTGTTTCTTATCAACGGGATAACAGCGGTACAAGTGCATGCACATACAGAGCACATACAAAACCATTAAAATATTATGAAAATGGAAAATATTCGAGCAAGCAGTATCAACTTGGCTGTGCCACACTGTACACAATATAGAGCTTACTTAATTGTTTACAGTATTGTTGAATCTTGAGGTTAACACCAATACCGCATTCGAGATGTTTTACCTAATTACTAGCGAGCATCTTCTTACATCTGAACTTGGAGGCATAATTAAACTATGTATGATAATTCTTCAATTTTATAGTAGGTCATGCGTAAACCACACACAAACACTACGCATTCTCTACATTATTCAAAAGTTGACCTTAGTGGCCTTCTCTTGCAGGGAATGCTATACATTCATCATTCATCGATTCGTGTGCACGGACGGCTCACGGCGTCCAACTGTTTAATTGATAGGCGGCTGACGGTACGACTGAGTGATTTCGGATTGCGGAAGATTCGTGAACAAGTTTCCGAGATGGCTTCGGTGCTTCCGCATCAGACTGAAGCGCGGAAACTGTACATTTCCCCGGAATTACTTCGGGGGGAGTCAGCCGAACCTGAAACCGTGAAAGGCGATGTATATTCCTTTGCCATTGTTATGCATCAAGTGTTGTTCACCTGCGAGCCATTTTGGATAAATTTTGAGGGAAGGAATGGAGCAAAACTATTAGCCAAAATAAAAGGTCACGCTAACATGCACTGCTAAATAGTTTAAGAAAGTCTTTTTCCCTCAATTCAAATTGTGGAAAAAATATTTTTATGCGGTCAAAATTATAAATAATTATTACAATAAAAGCTATTGTACGTACCAAATATGGTCACATATATTAGGACAACTTAAAACAGGGGAAATAATGCGACTATAATTATTGCGCTTTTATTATGCCTTAACACAGTTGTATATTTCAGGTGTCTTAGTTTTGCAATTTTGTTTGTGTAGAAATAATAAGCCTAATTAAAAAAACGCCGGTTACTTCCGATGCCCATCATCGACCGGACATTCAGCCGGTTGAGCCAGAAGAAATGCCGTTTATCAAATTACTGCCGGAATGCTGGGCCGAGGATCCTCGGGAGCGGCCGGATTTCAAGGCCATTCGGCGGTACCTCAGCGAGCGCATGCCGAATTTCAAGCAAGATGGATCTTTGTTGGAAGATGTTATGGATAAACTGGAATACTTTACAAGGGAACTGGAGAATTCCGTCAAATTAAAAACAGCAACCTTGGACGAGGAAAAAAAGGCTACTGATAAACTCCTTGCCGAAATTTTGCCCAAGTAAAATGCGTTAGAATCTAGCATACAATAAACGTACTTTACTTAATGCATTGATAATTAAATTAGAGCTAAAACCAAAATAGTGAAGGAAGAAATGCCTTATAGACCAGTTGTGGAGAGACTGAGGTTGGGACTTTCCGTGCCACCAGAAGACTTCGATCAAGTGACTGTGGGTTTCACGGCGGTTGCTGACTTTGTTACAATTGTTGCACGGATCGAACCACTCATGGTTGTGAATTTTCTCCATCACATGTTTCGCATTCTGGATGAAGTTCTTAGCAGCTATGACGTGTACAAAGTGGAAACTATAGGAGACTCGTACATGGTACTAACCAACGTGTTCTTGTTTCGAATGATGGCACACTGTTGCAGACTGGTGATAATTATGTGGCTTTTGATACCCACAGATTGCTAGTGGAATACCTGTCCGAAATGGTAAAAGGCATATTCGTGAAGTCAGTGAAACGTCCGTTCACCTCATGCAGCGTACCGAGCAGCCTATGCGACTGCGTGATATGAGCTGCAGGTTGCAGTTAAAAGTTGGCCTTAATACAGGTTAGCTTTACTAAAAAATTCTAAATTTACTTTTAACCAAAAAATATTATGCGACTGTTGCTTTCACAGGGCCTTGTGCGGCCAGCGTTGTGGGAACCAGAATGCTCCGTTACTGTTTGTAAGTTTTCAGCAAACACGCAGTAACTGTGACAGGAATATGATGAGTGACCTTTTAGTTTTATCAGCATCATCTTCTTATATATGCAGTAGACTAAACAAGCAATTATGGCACAGGTTTGGCGATACAATCAATACTGCTTCCCGGATGACTTCCTTTGGATGTGGTAAGAATCTCTTCTAATACGATGATCGTACACTGTCATTAACAACATAAGAGCAATGATGTACGATGTGAACCCGTTGTGCAGCATCCGCGTAATTCGGTATTTCTTTGTTATGCTAGCTCGAAAGATCCATGTTAGTAAAGATTTTATGGATGCCGCTCAGCAATTTTTCCCCAAGGCCTTCCAATTTGTACCTCGAGGAACCATTTTAATTAAGGTATCTCATAATTACAGTCATTTCGCCGACCACATACTTGTGCCGTGCTAGTGGCAAAATTCGTTTCTCGCGGGAAACTTTATCCGGTTTCCCTTGCACTTATCAACGTAAATTATCTCGTATGTCATAATAATTGCGAATTGCAGGGGAAAGGTAACCTTTCCACGTACTGGCTGGTGTCCACAGCAAAAGATGAGAGCAACGTTGAATGATATAAATTTTGCACTATCACCAAGTCAATTTTTTCACAAGACTGGACGGTAAGGAAGAATGGGGTAAAATTAAGATACTTAATTCCAGTTAGCAACAATGCATCGTTTATTGATCTCATACTTATTATTGATTTCAAATACGAGTCAGTGCGGTATTTTCCGGTACGGCCGTTACGTCGCAGCATTATATGCCGCGAATATGTGAGCGAACTTTATTTCCGAGCAATTCAAAATAAATCCTCTTGGCATTAAACGCAAAAACTACTTTGCTCCAGCACTGTATTAATTAAATTAGAATGAACTTGCCATATGTTTCAGAGCATGTGCCAGTGCGCGAATCTTTGGTAACATCCTTATTGGGATGAAAATACAGTAAGTGCCACATTTATTGCCAGTGTGCATATGTTGCTGCTGATGCTGCGAGAGGGGACCAATTACACATGACGCCACATATCCGCTTTACATTAATTAATCATCGGATACAATCCACCAATATAACGATGCCGCGACGATATTGGCGCTGTGAATTGCACCAACTCCATAAACTGGTGTGAAAGACGGGAGAGCAGTTGTGGTGTCTGTATTATTCAAAAGGTGCCCTGCACTTGACTGACTTTCATCCGGAAGAAGTATACAACGCGCACTGCAGCCAGGACGGTTATGGCTACGAGTCCAACATAGAGCGCCACGATACCACCGGATTCGGCGACAAGAAAGTACGTGCCCACTATCACAAGGACGGTTACCAGCAGGAACAGGAAGGCCACCACGGAGTATACACGTAACTGCCGGCGACGGTAGACATTCCCTACCGCCGATATCTTATTACAATGGGGACATTTGGCCAGTGATTTGTGTAGGATATTGAAGAGGAAATCTTGACCACAGTGAACACACACTACATGACAAGTGCCCGGTGTAGTGTTGTTGGATGCGGCGAAAGACTGGGACAGGGGACCGGTACCATCGACGGCGGCCGTGATGGTGATGATGCGCTTACTGTGAAACATACGTGAACCATACAGGCACCGATTGAGCCAAGACATGAAAATGTTTGAGCCGGAAGTTAAATATTTGCCTTATGGGGGACGCATTACATTTAAGAGGGAGATTTACCAGTTTTGACGTGGGCAAGCGATGCGCTCGGAACTATCCTTACAGATCAATAGACAGTGGCAAGGACAGCGGACATACTTTTCACCAACCGGCGCGTTCCTAATTGGCTGCAATAAAATCATTTGACTTTGACAACAATGCAACATGACCAAGAAATGTTTAACACTTTAGTAATGGTACCGAGTACACGTAATCCTCACAGAATTTTTGAAATTAACATATCGTTTAACTATTTATTAAAGTAGTTTCTGCGTACAGGTTAACTTAACCCGAGAAACAAATTGTACTTTATCACTAAAAATACTGTGTACTTCACGACATAATAATAAAATCTGTTTGCATATTGATATACAGTTCACACTTCGCATCATATGCATTATACAGTAGCGTTTTGTATTGTTAACTGCGCAGACTGCGGCAAGATAATATGCACGACAGTGTCACGTAACCGATGAAACGAGCAGACATCTTTCAAAGGCAAAAAGCCTTTATAGTCGCAACATTATATGCAAATAGGGATTGCTTTTTATGTCGAAGGAAGCGCTGTATGTATTATTGATGTACAACCAACCAACCTGATTGATTTAGCGTGATGTTCTGTTTTATTATGGGCACAGTCGCACAAAAAAATACCATTTCGGTCCTTACTGCGCTGCTTCCAGCCCCCGCAAAAATCGATTCATTATCGGTTCATGCAACTTGTGTAATACTTTAATTCCGTGGAAAAGTGTATAAGTGCTTTTGAGCACAGCATGAAGCAATAAACGGGTGTACGCCATTGAAAACACGCAGTCATATCATGTAAAAATACATCAATATAATTATTTTTCTTGCTGGAAATTATATATGGTAGAAGTTTTGAGCTATCTTATAGTCACGCGGTACGCCTAATATTGTAGTTATGGTACGGCTGCATGTTTTACACGTTTACAATCTTGTACGCTACGGGTAACCTTCTAGTTAATATTCTCCATATGTACTACAGAATAGTTCCATATTTTTTAAACGCATATCTTCTCAGGGCAAACAATTTATGCCCCTCTTGATCTACTTCAAACCCGATTTCAAAATATTACTAGTAACGGCCACTCAAGCTGTCTACGGCAGGTAGCAGTAAAAGCTAGCCGCTAGGGAATTTCTCCCAGACATCCCATTGACTTTTAACGAGAAAGCTGATGAATGAAGTACCAAGGAATAATCGATTTCTCCAGTATAACCTCAAGGTAGAATTCCGATTTTCTAAAAAACGATTATACTCGTATTAAGCGCATACAGCTACCGTCTACTTTACTTTCCTATATATCACGATAACGTTAACCGGTTTATGATTCCATTATACCAATGTAGCATTATTGTTGTACGCAAGCGCACCTGCAAAAGGCGGTATAAACGATAGAACTATTAATTCACAACTGGCAATATTATCTCTATTACTTGTATTATTATTAAAAGCTTGGGTAAACCGGGAGATACAGGTGTACGTTAAAACTGCAATAACGATTTAACGAATATTTTACTGCCATGTTCAGTAAAATTCAAACAAAACGATACGACAAACTCCTACATATTATAGCTATAAACAACATCACAGAGATAAAACAGAGAGAAAATGGGCGTTGACTATAAAATTTAGTTAGGCAGTAAACCCAAGATTTCTAACACAATATTGACAAGATACACAAAAGATTGTAAAAGTAGGCTTTTCACACATTAGGCCGCTTACGTGAAATCGTGAATGAAGTTTGTGCATACGACACCAAACAGAGTTTTGCCACTGCTACTGCAGGTAATCCAGAAATTATTTTATTATCAAAATTCTTTTTGTACGCTGCAGGGTGATGAAAAAGCCGCAAAACTGCAGCCAGCTAGCTGTTAAATTGATTGCGATTTGTCGGTGTGCGTTTAAATTGGATCACTAAAGTAAACCTACTGAATGTAGTGAAAGTAAAATTTTATAAAGTGGCAACAGTTTCTTTGAATGGAGTTAGTAAAAAAACAGATGTGACAAGTGTCTTTTGATTCAGTTGAGTATGTTAATTTTTCAACACCTGCTCGCTTTGAATAAGACGTCCCCACTTAATCTGAATCTCTTAGAATAAATCAGGCCTCTTTTACTCAAAGTTACGATACGGAAGGAGAAGTGTCGAAATATTGATCGCCAGCGGGAATAGTGCCCCAAGTCTAGACGCTCTTGCGAATATCCATATATAAAAGCCTTATTACGGCAGCAATACAATCGCCGCTAGTTTACTCGTATGTCACTTCCAAGAGAATTCACGTATTTGAGTGTAACAATCAATTTGTACTAACCGACCTTTTTGACCTATGTCGAACACTTCCATTTGGATGGGCCTTTTTGAGATACGCCCGAACATGCGCACCTTTTGTATTTGTAACTTCATCAGATTTTACTGTACGGCTTTGGTTCAGCGAAGCGATAAAAAGCTATAATATTGTAAAATCTTGCTTTTCTAGCTGTAAGAACTTACAAGAAAAAAGGAAGTTGTACCAAGATATTTGTGTACAAACTAAATGCTTTTGCGGGCATCTCGAAACAAAATATATATATGGGCTGGTACAAACCGTTCCATATTTTGCAGGCGGTGAGTAGAAATATACTTTTGCTGAATTTTTAAAAACAAACTTCGCAGCATTATTGTTATCAGACGCCTGCCTTTGTTTAGCATTATTAAGAATATTTCTTGTAATCTAAATATGAGAGCTTGATTACGGTATTTCTTACGGTCGGCAGTACTACAGAGTGCTGCAGTATGTATGAGAAACCATACAAAGTTGTGATGCTATCGGTCACTAGCTTGCAGTTAATTGCATGGCAATGGAAACCATACAATATAAATCGTTTACAATGCAATATACAACGTTTACCAGGTGAACTACTTCCGCTTCAAATTTACATTTACAGCGTGTAATTTTTATTGCAACTTCTAACAGTACAGGTCAGTTAAACCACTTACCGTTGCTTCATTACAAACTCCACATTTAACGACGAATCCCTCCTCCTTCTCGATAATGATCTCATTGTTGCATACCCTACCATCATCAATAATGCATCCTTTTCTTCCCGCTTAAGTCCCAAGTTATAAGCCATAAAATACGCGAATATAATAGCGGAATAACTCAAGCAAAAAAATCTGGTTCCGTCAAAAGATGTCACTTCAAAAGGCTACAGCGTTATATGAATCCATGAAGAGGCACATTACGCAACAAAATATACAACATTGATAAGATTGTATTCACCGACGAAGTAAAGCAGTGTAATGCAATAAATCGATCGCGCCCGAGCTACTGCGCCTTTACAGAATCCATTTTTATAAGTAACATGCGGCTACGTAATGCGGATATGATATGTCCATTTCTAATATTACACGACTAAAACCATTGACGCAAATGATGTAATAAAATACGATTACTTTTGCGATAACCGTCGTGTCACACTAACGTGTTCACAAGATTGTTTATGTGTTTATTATGGAAATACTGAAATTTTGGGATATATTCCCGAAGGTGGTTGTAACCATCATCCCACAAATCAATAAAATTTCCGGCGCTTAATGAAAATTCATAATTAACCTCCCAAGTGCTAGGCAGGAGAGAAAATACCAATGTACGTACATACGTGTAGTTTATCATCATTTTGTATAGTAACTTAGGTCAAAAATTCTCAGCGCTCACAAGTTTAAAAAAAACGTATCTTAAGCATAATGTATTTACAGTTGTTTATATCCAGGATCAAAATACTGCGAAATCAAATGCGTATCACATTATAGCGCACATAATCGCTAGTTACAACGCAGTGAACGCGCATTAGGTCGTGGCGACGGATTCAATTGTTTGATCAACTTAGCAGCTTGTCAATCATGTGCATTATGCAAATTGCACCGTACGCCGAAGTGTACTTACCTGCAGGTAACCGCCCATTGGGTCGTTTCTTCCTCTTCCTCCTCCATTGTAGGACTGACCACTGCATCCCGATAAGGTGATAACCCATCACTAACGGCATTCGCGAGAGCACCATTGGATAGTAGACTGCCATTAATCTCCTGGGCGCTTAACGACGGTGGCTTAATACTCTCTTTGCGCCGAATCTCCACCGGTCCTTCCATAAAGGCAGGAAATTAGAACATTAATATAAATCATATTACGCTGTAGCATGCGAAGAGATAGGAGAGGTACATAGCAGAGAGACAGGGGATTAGATAGTAGCGATGATAATCATCGTAATAAAAGTCAGATACATGCCGTGCCAACAACGGGTATATAGTATATACACTGAAGCAACAACACAGCGGCATCAACAGCAGCAGCACGACGGTATTCGTACTTAACGGTGTCTCGGGACTGGAAACCGCCGTCGACGGCTGATGCACTACAGCAGCTGTAGTACGCGCAGCTGCCACACAAATCGACGCACTCCGTGGAGGTAGCAGCGGCGCCCTTTCACTATCCGCCGCACACGTGGAGCCTGAGCGACGATTATTGGGACTCCAGTGGTCTGAACGATCCATTTTCTCCCCGGCTAACCTGTTCCCACAAACAAAAAGGCCCCGGCATATATGCACTTGGCTTATACTATACGTGCTGTCAGTTATTGCCAATTGGATTATGGAATTACATCCCACCAACTTTTACGCAGATACCGGCAACGCACCGGCTAACCTATACAGTTATAGATGTGCCCTACAGCCACCGTTCAGCAATTATAATCTCGGGAAAAGCTAACGGCAAGTCGCGGAATGTCGCCATCACTTCCTGCCGATGCGGGACAACATTTCCATGAGTAATTAGCGAAATGCACGTTACAAACATTCGCAATAAAATTTCAACTCCAGGATGCTAAAGTCGATCATATAATGCATATGTACGACTACACATGTATATATACGCTCGGTAGCTCTGTTTTCTTATCGGTGGAGGTGACATTTTCAAATAATTCCCGGTAGAAATAAGTTAGCCGCAAGGGGTATGTAATAAAGGTATGTTCGACGCAAAATGTCCCCACGATCGCGAAAACGCATCTGCGTGATGATCGAAAATTTAGAGCTTCCTGTCGAAAATCTGCACGGCTGTGCGCAATGCAATTGTATGGGGGCTTGTTTGCAAATACTAGTGAATTAGCCGACGAAAGGCCATCCCTGATCGTCCCTGTATTCTATCTGCCAGGCCAAGTAAAGCAGGTTACGGGATTGATAGTTGACAAATGTTGACGTCTGCAATTGATACCGGCTCCTTAAAATCCCCCTGTGCTACCATGAAAACTACACTGTGATACGCGTTGTCCCATAATCCTTCAAAAGCCAGGCGGCTGCACTTACACAATGTTTATGCTGTAGGTCGAACGTAGGAGTTAGTCTATGACGTTGTTGCGGCTAGATAATCATGAACGTTATATTATTAGAATTTTTCTAATTCTAATTTGCACAAAATTACACGGTGCCGGTGGCATACACTGCGCAGCAACACATTGTACCATAACATCGGCACCTGCTTGAAGTTGATTGAAATCTGAAACTCAAACAAATTTCGATATATATGTACTACATCCGTACACGCGCCGTTAATTAAACACCATTTACTCGGGTAATAAATCGAATTTTTAAGTGCAAGAATGCATTACAGGCATGCAGCTGTAAACGCTAACCATTATAATATAATTTTGACCCAAATTCTTAGCTGTCAGTACGAGATAACTGGTAAAACATTTTTAGTACACCATAAATGCAGCAATATTATGCAGTGATAGTTGAATTAAGCATCTTGTCCGTTGGTTTAACAAAAACGTAATTACAATATCATTTGTCGAAGAAGCTTCGATTGTGATTGAGCGGTACTCAATTTTCTCGCTTAATCATCAACACCACATGTGTTTTATTTCAGTCAGATTCGCAGCAACACCCAACTCCCTCAGCCCATTCCCACGGCTGACTGCGGATAACTGTTAATCAATAATAAAATAACGCATAATCGATATCTCGTTAAGGAATTGTATGCATTCGCGCTAGAGTACTGTGTACGAGAGGTGTGTACATGTGGAATGTACAAAATGTTTGGAGTAATACAATATGTATTACGAACTATATATTACGGCCCGGTATTCGCCGGTGTGCATATTGTATAAGACTGTTCGCATCTACTCGTCAGTGACATTATTCCCATGCCGGCCTTACCGGTATCCCGGTTTCAGCTAGGTGGAACAGGACGTGTTCTATTCCACAGCTAGCATGTAAAAATGCCGCATTGAAGTCCACGGTCGATGTAATCCATGCAGGTACAATTACTACAATATCTGTGCATCTGCGCCTCGACTTGATCAGTAAGGTTAACCGTCTTGCCGTAACTACAGATAAATTTACGCTCACTGAATATACAGCCGGGTCGGCACTTGATGGTTTCAAATTGGATTATCACTGCTCGATGGAGATGATGCACTGGAGAAATTGTCTTCACGAGAAGTCGGGAATACAACGGAAGTTATACAACGGGAAAAACTGCAAATATGTTTGGCGCGCCAGATTATGTGGAAATTACGCTGTGTTCAGTCGTGCGAAGGAAACAGGAGCGATGTTTAGTGTTGTGCACATTGTGCTGCAGTATAGGGAACTGACAGCTATAAGGCATAAAGATTTTGTGCGGTGCTAGTTTATGCTGCCAGTCTGCCACTATAACTAACAAAGCTCAATATTGAACTTCAAACTTAAAGTCCAGCTGCTCATCCCAATTTCCGATTTCTTTGGCTTGTTTAGCAGTGCAATATTAACTTAACCGCTTATGACCAAGCAACAATTCATAGCGGGCATATCGATTTTCACATCTTCAAGAACAAACTACTTGCAAGCCCTAACTGGTAAGTATGTACATGTATACTCAAAACTGTTACACCGGCAATTGTCTAATGTCTGGCATAGTGTCTGCTTCAGTGGAATCATTGTCACAGCAAGTACAACAGAAAAACGGTTATTCATTGCTGATTACTATTAGAAAACATTCTGAAAAAATTAAGCACGGGGAATGCTAAAAAGTAGTTAAAGCTGCAAAAGGACGCGGCATTCGCTTTAATCGTCTGCAAATGATTCACTATAAATTTCTCCAACACTGCAAAAAACTAAAACAGGAGGAAGAGAAACCTTTGTTTAATTGCGCGGGTTTATATCACCGTTGCAGGATCTCGATTTTTACAATCACCAGAATCAATATTTATTTCTCTAGTAACAAAACGGTTTATATTGACTCTGACAATAAACAAAAGCACCTAGGAGCTCAATTATCAACGAATAAATGCTGATAGTAACGGTATAGAAGAAACTGCATCATGGAATCATGAGTATGTAACAAAGGACAGTATCACCGACGTTTATCAACGAATCACAGTTAGCATCATCAAAATAAATAACATTATAACGATCTAAGAGCACTTTACGGAGAAGATATTTTCCTCAACCTCCCTATCGCGGAAAAATCATCACAACTGGCCACATGCCGCATCTTAGCATCACTCCGGCCCGCAGATGTCGACATCCTCCGCAACGGCAATGAAATCGGTTCGGGATTCCCGAAAGCAATCGGTGAATTACTGCACGGATGCGGCAAGCGTAATCCATCTTGACCGTAAGTCTCCACCCGCGATACCCTCCGCGACTGCACTTGCGTACTGCCACGCCGCGTTCCTGCCCGGCTTCGATTCTGAATGACCTCATACGGGAGATCCAGAGCCTTCGCAAGAGACGGTGATAACATCGCTTCCTTCGGCATTGCGCCGACCACACTGTCGGTATAGTCACCCGATTGCTCTTCTTCCGCCACCGACATTAAGATAACCGGAGTCGGTGCCGGAGTGGAATTCAGCGGACTGGTCAAGATGGCCCGTTCGTTCAGTTCGTAAGCAGAAAGATCTTTCATGTCCGCTTGTGGTTCTGTACTGTCGAAGTGGGTAAAGTCAAAAATCTGGGTTTGTTTGCGATCCGCATGGGTGTAGACGCTACGGAAGCGATGACCCCAAAGGATTTCGTCCGGAATGTACGATGTGCGTGCTTGAACGGACGATCCTACGAAAACTTTATTCCATTAATTTTGTGTAGCACACACAGTTTTTTACCACAGATTTAATGAATTAAGTCAGATAAATACGTATTTAATGGAAAGAACTCTTCAGTATCGTATTCACTAATGTCAGCGCCGAGTGCAGACATACAAGGTCACCTAAGCCATTCTTATACGAAAAAGCTACGGGAATATTAATAACAATAAATTTAACAACTCAAATACTTATTTAAACAAAATACTATTAAAATAGATAATCATCTAAGTTGTTAGGTCAAAAACTTTGCAGAACTGTCGGCGCAGTATATAAACGCATATAAATATAAATATAACCGAAAGCACTCTTGTGTACGAGTACATAAAGATACGGGAATAACACTACAATCGTACCTGTTGATTCAACAATGCCTTCCAGGATGACCAGGATTTCGAACGCGGCTCGACTCAGATTCTTTTTGCTCACATGATAAAAAGGACTGCTGGCGTCGATCACATGGCAGGCGGTAATTGGCCATCCCAGATAGACATTGTCGCCATTGCAGTCGATTTGCAGATCAATTTCATGCTGATGGAAGGCATTTCTTCCCCTGTAAACACACGCTTTTAGTTCCAGGGAAATCAATCACGACAGCGCATAACAGAAACTTTGGACTCTATTGCGTATAGTACCCTCGTCGGTGCGTTTGGCATAAACCTGCAAACAAATTTGCACATTACATGTGGGTCAAACTTACACAAATATAGATAGTTTGACAACTGTGTTTACTCTCCAGTATCTCTCACCAAATACGCCTTGAGTGCCACACGCAGCAGCAGACTGGTGCGGACGTTTCCCACGCGGAAGAGAAGACACATTTGGTCATTGCGGGTGCAGATTGTCGCACACTGGCTGAATAGGAGGGTTTGTGTGCGCTTTTGCGGGACATGCGTTTTGGCCAGGAGGAGCCCCACCAGGACGCTCTCCAAGAGGCAACTGACAATTAATCCAAAACACAGGAAAAACAATGTCGCTGCGCATTCATCCGTTGGATAGCGCGGTGTACCTGGAAATGGCTGGAATATTACTTTTGTAACAAAATGTGTACAAGTAAAATCCTGTATTTTTATGTATTAAAATCATATATATTTAATTTTATTTTATTAATCTCACATCTGTGCATTAAGGCGCACTGCTGACCAGTCAGCAAAACTCGGACGAGTACGACTTATAACTATTTGCACTATGCCTATCTAGTGTAACTGTTACAGCGTGTCTGCAGTAAATATAGATATGTGAAAACTGACCAGTGCAACTCACCATATCCTATCGTACGCAGGGTCTCCACTGCGAACAGGAAGCTGTGCGTGAACGTATTGGTCAGCGTCGTCGTATTACTCATATTCTCAAAATAAATGCACGGTATCCAAGTGTCATTAGTGAAATTTCGCGTGTCAAAATCTCCATGTGCGTAAGAAATGATCCAGAACACGGCGGCAAACGTCAACCACAACGCCAGACTGCTGCAGAGAAAAAAGCACAGAATCGTCATCCAGCTCATGTCCAGCATCGTATTCCAGAAATCCGACATGAAACGCCGCGTGATATTGGGGATGTTTTTGCCAATCAGGGTATATGCTCCATCTTTGTAGAGCAACCGTGTCTGCCGCGGTCGCTGAGATCGTTTGTTGAGGTCCACATTAATAATGGTGTTGTGGTCGGTGTAGCTGGCTACGCGTGCGGGATCGTTAATCCCTGATTGCTGGGCTCTAAATCCAGATCAATGCCGTTCCAGCCCTGTAAGCGGTATGTGTTGCCGAAAGTGTCCATCGTTTCGCCTTTTTAGTAATCCACAAGTTTTCAAATTCTACCAACTCCGGCGCCAACAGCTTAGAACATAATCAGCGTGCACGTAAATTAGAAGCACAGAAACGAGGAGTTACAACACAAGAGAAATTCCATGGATGAAATTGTACACATCAGATGCAGCCTCCACGTGCGAAACAACCACGTTTTATGATAGTTCTGAAAACGGAAGAATACGGACGCGGAGATGCAAATACCATATGCATACTGGTAATGTTACACAGGATTTTCAGTCGAAATTCTGGGACAAATCAAACCAGGAAGTGTTTGTTTACAAGAATTCATGTAGCACTCGTTGCTCCAGTTCACGGTTTGCAATTGCAGCACATATTAGATATTTTTTCGGATGAATTGCATTCAATGTCAGTAAAAACTGCAGGGCAGAAAACTTTTTCCGATCCACTTTTGGTATCTCAATGGGACTGCATGACGACCAAATTCCAGCGACATAACGCAAGACACACAACCAATACGTTTATGGTCAAATTCGCTTATGGTTAGATTCAGTGGGTCGCTCTCTTTTTCGTCACGAATTAATAATATGCAACGCATTTAATGTTTGATTTCGAAATATCAAACACCTATCATCGTCTGATAAAAAAAATTATCTGCTGTCTAAAGTACGAGAAGTGCTCGTGCAAGTGAGTACTGCTCAACTTCAAGACGCGAATGCAGCACACACAAAACAAACGGCGCAATGCAGTAGAAGCAAAATGGTGGACTTTATATCTATATTCTATTATATACTTACCGGTTAATATGCGCGTTCCTTACCGTTAAGCAAAAAACGTTGTTAAGGTTAGGTTTAACTGCTTTACTTTTTGCTGCTACCCGATTTGGTGCAAATTACTTCACTTTAAATTGGCCCGAATTTATTACTTTAAATTGTGTATTATGGGATACGAATGTCGCACTTTATACTTGAAGGAAAGTAGTTCAACTTTCGCTTATGTATTCCTTTGAAAACAGGCAATTAACTGAAAACGGTTTTCCGCTTTGAATTTTCTAGAATAAGCGAATGAAGCTTTATTCCGTTATCTTCTGCTTGACAGGGCATAGAATAACAGAGTTATCTATAGTATTTTGTACCGATCAAAATGACACAAACACAGTGCTCGAAATTAATCCTAATACAGTAATCCACTAATAGTCTAATACATTTGTACAAAATATATTTAACTGGCGTGATACATAACCGTAATACCTACGACAAGAAGCAGAAAAAACTGTTATCAACTTATCAGTTATGCCGACGGCCCAGACGTCTACGAGAAGGAGGAAAAAGCACGGCGCTGATGGTATGCACTACTCCGTTAGTCGCTGATAAATCCACAGCAATCATTTTGGCTTGGTCGATTTTGATAAAGCTACCTAAAAAAGGTAATAACATTCTGTGTATTGTATATAGAAGTTCTTGTACGCCAAATTACACTGCTTAAATCAAATTAAGTCAATGCTCTTCTATATTTACCCGGCGACCCAGACTTTTTTTCATTCCCATGTTTCTGATAGTTGTCCATATGGATTGTCCAGTCAGCCTTCTTGTTTAAAGTTGCAATTTTGAGGTTATCTATGAGACCACGAGTCATCCATGTTCCCGCACTTGCCACATGGTAATTCAAGACGTCTGCACAATTCACAAAGGTCACCAGACATCAGTAATTAAAGCGTTATAAACAGGGTAAATTAAATGTGCACAGATACAGTGTTCGAATTTCTGTTCAGGGTCACATACGAAGACACGATTATGCTACGATTACAATACATTATATGTTTACCGCTAATGCTACTACAAACAGCATTAACCTCTGAGCTGATCAGGATTATGCAGCAATTTATCCCACGTCCCAGACGGAAGCTTGTCGATTGCTTTATCCGTTGGCGCAGCGAATGTGTAGGGCTGCGAACCTGAAAAAAAGATCGCTGCTATTTCCCGCTTTTATAGTACTCGTAATGTAACTTATTTCAGCAGAGCGGTGCATGTGAACGCAAACCTAGCTCGTACACAAAAATTCACAGAGCAAGCCCATCAACCACTTTCATGTAATACGAGTGCAGTACTCAACTACTCATACTTTAATTTGTAGGCTCAAATGAGAAAATTAATATTAGTTGGTGCACTTATCATTTTATGTGCTTTATTAAAAAAGTAACCGCGGGTCGGCCACTACTGTTATAAACTATAAACTAAATTTTATTTCAAGCTACTGGTATGCATACAAGTACCGTTTAGAATCGAAGTCAGATTTGCTATTTGTATCGCGTTGAGTATTTTGGTTAAATCTTTGCGTTTTTTGACGATGCCGAATATGGTATCCTTTGCCATGCGTCCAACCACGCTATCCAAAAGATGAATGACACCATTCGATGCTTCGTAATCGAAGGAGTTGATCGGTGCATCGTTATACAGCTGTATCTGCAAATAGAATCAGCTAGGTGTCACCCTACCTGCACCAGTATTGTGAACTCAAACACTGTTGTTTTGCAAAAAACGAGGAACCCGGCATGCAAAAGAGCAAAGGGGTTGAAAGTTGAAACAGCATACATACCGAAAAGCGTCAGCTGATGTCGTATAGATGTACAGCAAAACCATTGCTTACTACAATTTACTACAGAGCTTAAAAACCTTGAGCATGCAAGGATCTAGGCGACGCCAGCCTTTTTAATACCATAAACAAGCGTTGCAGATTTTGATATTGTCAGGCTTGTTTTTACTCGTGTTTACAAATTTAAAGCTTCGTACACACATTTTTACTGAATCCATTGTAGTCAACATAACGACCCGAAAAACTCTTGTTGGTCATAGTTACGTATGTAGCTTCATCGACGAGGTCAGCTTTATGTCGCAATTCTTTGACAATGTGGTACCTGAAGTGTAGAGCTGATTTAGTTACATACTGCTACAATTGGGTATGTGGTTTTACAATGCTCATGGTTTGTGAGAAATTATCTGCCGCCAAATCCGTACTGATTTTAACGGCTGCCACATTCCTACTACTGAGCACAAATCCCACAAACCTCATTAGCTGCTTGTAGGCTCCGGGATGTTTTTTCCAAAAATCTCGGGTTTCTTGGCTAACATTTCGAAATGCCTCGTTGGTCGGCAAAAAAACCGTGATATTACCTATCCAAAAATACATCACGCATTAATTAATATCATAATATCATTAATGCATTATCAACTTACTGTACATGTAAAAAATTGGTACTTTGCGGTATTTTCGCATGCCGGGAGGTTTAAGACCGCGGCGCATTAAAAGTAAAGTATGCTAACACGAAAGACGAAAGTATTCTAATTTGCACCACCATATTATAAAGATACCGATCGCAAAGCTATTACAACATATTATTATTAACAGAATTGTACAATAGCTTTATCGTTTCGGATTAACCATCCCTTATTCGTGAAACTATGAAGGCCGGGAGCGAGCGAACTAATAAAACTAGCTATAGGACGACCGTACCTGTCTTCTCCAGTAAATGTAGGCTTTTGGTTTCTTCCATGGCGCCTAAAAAAAGGTACTGCCCCATCTGTAGAGCTACTTGTACAACATTTCCGACAGGATCTGACAAGCATATATCCCGCTTGACAACATCGGCTGCTTTAATACCGCCGAAACCCAATAAGAGTGCAACGAAAAAGACTGCAGATTTTCCCATGGTCTAAAGAGCTTATGCTTAGTAAAAGCCAAAAGGGTATTAGTGGAAAGGGAAAATTGTGAAACTGAATCGAAAGTGACAGATACTATGATAGAAACGAATCTTTTGTATAAAAAAGGACAGTACGAGTAGTACTGGAAGAAAATCGATTAACAAAACTAATTATCCTGATAACTGACAAATTCGGGAGTTCGAACAAATGAGTACGCTGTTAGTGCAGTGTGCCAAAACTGAGATCACAAAGGCACAAAGGCTGTTGTTTGTTCCAACACAGGAATTGCACTTAACACAGGCTGCACCGATAGAAATGATGCGCAACCAGCCTACCACGGAAATTAACGGTAGGTAGTACCTACCTACTCTTAAAAACCGAAATTTTTTTTGCCCGGCAATTCTGTCGTATGCGGAAAACTTGCAAAAGTAGCGGCGTTGAGCCTGTAAAAATGGGGATGAAGATGAGATCGAAAAGGTGAGATGGGCTGAAAATTTGAGTAGCCGGAGGTGGGCTGGGCTGGGAATTAAATTGTGAAGGTGGGGGTGGGATGAAAGTGGGAAAAGCGAAAATGGGCCAAGTCTGGTAGGTACTACATTGCGCGTGAAATTTTAGTAATTATAGTATCATATTCCGTTATAAATTTAACAAGCACGTAAGTTTGTACGGTCGTGGTATTTTAAAGAAAATCGGAGATAAATTTTGCACAATGAAACAACGTCTCAGTCAAGTGTACAGCCTCAGTTCCGCAACTTTCTTTTGGTTTTGTTCGCATCTACCAAGTTGAAGGTCACTGCGTCTGTGGATGCCGCTCTAGATGACCACTGGACACTGACTGCATAGAGTTGATTAACGTTTCGCGATCTTCAGACCAGAATAGTTGCCGGAAATGGGGTTAATCAACGGAGGTGGTGAAGTGCAGACTGATGTCCGAACTTGGCAACTGAAAGGCTGTTGGTCAGTCTACCGCTTATGTAACCGTCCGCGACCAGACCCTTTAATCAATAAACGAGACACCGCTGTCAAGCAAGATGATAACTGACAGAAACGGGAGAGGCGGGCGGTTTATTTGAGACACCATAAAGGCAACTATTCACTCAAACTCTAATGGCACATGAAAGTTAAAATGCCATAGAAGTTCGATTGCCCTCTGCTGCATAGCAACAAGAAAGCCTCAGATCGCACGTTAACGACTGTTATTGCTGGACAATAACCGTCATTATAGCTAAGAGCTCTTAGTCCAGTACTCATTATCTCGTTTTGTAAGCCAGTGAAAATGAAATTGCAGACAATATGTCGGTAGCATCGTCATCGTGAAATGTTGGACTTGAAGTGAAATGATGACTACTCCGTATCTTTAGGATTTTCCGTAATTATAAATCTGAGATCGTCAGAATGCCATTTATTAAATTCTTACTAGTGCCACAGTCAGATTTTTTTGTGACCACCGCAGAACGCGTGGCCAACACTGATGATTTGTGTCTTCATGCAGTCGACCAAAGAACGAAACGTTTTAGCAAACCATACCGGAGCCGCCAAAGTAGCATCACGAGAACGTTAAAACATCAAAATAAAATCATAAACCAACAAACATCGTATAATAAATAAAACTCAGTTCAATTCTGAAAAGCACATTTTTACAACTCTTCTTGGCCAGGGAGGAAAAGCACGGTATCGATCGTATGCACAACTCCATTCAGTGCTGACAGATCCGAGGTAACCAGTTGAGCACGGCTCGTTGGTGTGGCCTTATCATTCCATATCGTGATCGGCTGGTCTGTTAAAAAGATAAGATTTTAATTAAACTGTGATTTTTAAAAGCCCATTAAAAATCTCGTGATTTTTAAAACCCCATTAAAAATCTCCGGCAATTTAACAAAATTAATCATTCATCACGTACTGTCCATGATGCTGATTGTCCAATTGGCATTCTTGTTCAGAGTAGCAATGCTCAATTTGTCAGTCAAACCACGAGTCATCCATGTTCCAGCACTGGCAATGTGGAAGTTCAGAATTTCTGCAAAGCGAAAAAAACAATTTTACTCCATATCGCTCCATACCTCCGGTAAGATTACAAACCTTTCAGCTGGGTTGTATCGTTCAATAATTTGTCCCATGCTCCAGCTGGCAGTTTCCCAATTGCTTGATCGGTGGGAGCCGCAAAAGTGTACGGGCCCGAGCCTAAAAATTTGCAATAAGTCAGCGATAAGAAAAACATAATTATTACATCTGTTTCTGTATTTGCTACCAGTAGTATGCAAAGTGTAGATAAAATTTAAATTTACTAAGCGTAGTGCGTACCATTCAAAACGGTTGTCAAGTTAGTGATTTTCACTGCATTGAGAATTTTGGATAATTCCGGACGCCCTTGAACGTGCTGAGCATGTTGTCGTTCTGGATGTGTCCGACCACGTTATCCAGCAAATGAATGACACCGTTTGACGCCTCGTAGTTGAAGGACTGGATCTGCGCATCATTGTACAGTTGAATCTGAAAAACAATTAACCGGCTATTCCTGTCCGTAAGAATAGGCTGTTTTCTGGCGAAAACGTTCTTTTGAACTCCTTATCAAAAAATGTTTCGTTACATTTTTACTGAATCCATTGTAATCGATGTAACGAGCACGCTTCTTATCAGCCAAGGTATCGTAGTTAGCTTCGTCAATCAGGTCTTTTTTATCCCTTCGCTCGCCAACAATGTGGTATCTGAAGTAGAAATATGGACAGGGATACACTGTGATGAGACCAAGCATATAAATATAAGAAATAAAATTAGCGATAGTCTGCGATACTAATAAGAAAACAAATAACAAACAATATTTGATTGTGTTAATTGAGTGGTACTCGTAAACCATTAGAAGTAAACTTATGTACAGTGTGCTCAGAATGGATATGATTTTGCGCAGCTCCCTTACCGCATAAGCTGTTTGTAGTAATCGGATGAGCACGCCAGAAATTCCTGGTATCTTCGCTTACGTTGCGGAATGCGTCGTTAGTGGGCATGAAAACCGTGATATCCTCTATAGACAAAATTTTAGTTGCACTTCAGCACACAGCAGTAGAAAGCTTTTCTCGGTTTTCTCATTCTGGCTCACAAATTCATAACGTACTCGTGTTCAACAGCAAATCTAGGCTATTAGTCTCCTCCAAAGCCATGAGATAACTGTACTGTCCCATGCGAAGGGCCACTTCCACAACATTCAGGACCGGATCTTTTACATCATCTGCGGCCGTGACGGCCAAGCCGATGGCGAAAACGATCAGAAAAGTCCTCATGGTGAAACGTCAAGAATACCAACCAATCTACTCCTAAAGGATCACAATTTCTCAAATTGGTTTATCAGGAAGAGTCACGCTTCAAGAAGGGGAGTTTCCCGTTTTGTTCTTACCAATTTACCAACCGAACGAATAAAGCCGAAGGGGATTCAGACCGGCAAACGTCTACACTTGCGATAAGAAGTCCAGATAACGATAACAAGCGGTTTCCAAAAGAGAAGAATTCTACCTACGAGTATGTGATGTGAAATGTATACAATCCGAGTAGGGCAATTAGGCGAAGTTAGTCGCATTAGCGGCAGCATGATTGGCAAATTCCGCACATGGCAAACAGGCTTTTATAAAACAGCTGATTTAGGCAACCGGCAACCTGGGGTGGTGAGCATTTAGCAACGCATTGATTGAAATAATAATATGTTTGTTACGGAATAAGTATATTAAGGAATAAGTATATAGTATTAGTGCAGTTAATTGTAGCTGACCCTGCAAAATATTAGATCGCTGTTGTAAGGAGTTGATAATTATTCGACTGCATTCAAATCTGAAATTTAAAAATTCAGAATTATAGCACATAGCCCTTACGTATTGCGTCCGACCACTGTGCCTCCTTCAAGTTTCTGAGATCCTCTTTTTATAACTGCATTGTCATCTCCCACTCTCACAGCCCCAGTTATCGACCACAGTTGTTGTACAGACTAATCTCTGTATATATTTTTATTTCTCAATTTTTTACACCAGACAGGTGTCTGCTCCGCACAATAGGATAGTTAAAAAACCTTTCTCACAGAAAAACAGCCTGCGGCAGATGTATCGATAAACCATAACTATACAACAGACGTATCCGCCCACAGTGGAAATCCCAGCCGCGCAGGATCAACGTTCACCATTTCGCTATTATCCATCTCAGATTCAGCTCGCATCCGGCTAATTTGCTTCAGCAAGGCATGAGCTTCCTCCCTGACCTCGCGGAATACCTCGGCTGCTTTTGCCTCTTCGAAAGCCTTATCGAACATTCGGTGAAGGAGATAATACTTCGACAAATACAGATAAGCACAACCAACATCCTCTGAATCCTCACGGTCAACCGGCCGAATCGCCCCATCGACTTCATCACAGTTCATGGCCTGCACATCTGCAGTGAACTTCACGTAAATTTCGGCGGCTCTTCCATAGCGTCCAAGTTTTTCAAACATTCTGAAAACCGACAAGATGCCGTAAAATCTGACTATAGGATTTGACATAAAATTTGCATAAAGCGATGACAAACTCACCATTACGCGTTATAAACTCTTACTGTATTGTACACGTTACAACCCACTGACGCGTATAACGCAGAAAATTCACTTTATCTGCTGAACTGACTGACTTTATAACTTTAATGATAAACACTACTGACTCTATAACACTACTGACTCTATAACACACATCATGACTTTATAACACTTCAGGACCACTGACCAAAGTACTTACAAACGACGGAAAAGTTTCGTGCGACATAATCTTACAATGCAAATGCAAAGCTAGAAACCTAAGAATAGGGCACGATCTGCGGCATATCTTTCTTACTTCGCAAGCCGGACCAACACAACTGTGTCTCCTTCGATTTGGTAAGCTCTCCAATAACACATTTCGGCGTCCGTATAGTTTTCCAAAATCTGAAAAGTGTCAGCCAGTGCCAGGAGCATCCGAGTATCGTTTGGACTGCAAGAGTACATAATATAATACCAATCGCCATGAGGTGTTGGTAAGAAATGCTTAAAATATTCCATTTCGGCAGGCAAATTAAGGGAAACCGTAAGGCGAGATACAATATTGCTCACCAATATTCGAAAGCATGTTTGAAATAATATAAGGCGGACGAATGTGCTCGCAGAATTTCCTGTGCTTGGCCCAGTCCGTACCAAGCGCGGTATTCATTCGGATTGGCCTCTGTTCAGAAGAATAAAGCTGTCATGCATGTTTATGGTTCTAGAAATAAGAACAATTATACTATGTATTACCAATCGCATTTGAATACGACCGCATAGCCAAATCTGTTTGTTTCAGCTCAACATGTTCGTGACCGATCAACGTCCAAACATGGTGCAAATCGGGATTATAACGCAATGCTCGGTTGAAATTCTGAATGGCTTTCTCGTGATCACCCAGAAGACTAAAAAAATTCCCTGCAAAAAAGTAAGCACTGTAAAGCAAGAAGAGGCAAGAGACTGAATGTCAAACGAGCGCAAGTTGTAAGTGTTTACCCAAAGCGATGCAGCATTCCGGGCTGAATCGCCCACCCTCGAAAACATCATCTGCCAGTTTCCGCATTCGTACGCGATCATCCATAATGAAAAGCAGATGACTGTAACTGTCCACATCATGCATGCGATAGGGATTGAAATTTCGCACGGATTCCATTAAATTTATTGAATCATCAGGGTCTGTAAAATTTACGATTCCCGGAATAATTTCACTTTTAAAAAAAACATCCCTAAAACGTATAGCCATTTCCAATGTCCGTATGGTGGATTTTCAAGCCTGTTTTTGTAGAACGCGTTGGCACGCTCACTTTCGATTTATTAAAACCTTCGCAGTTCAGCGGCACATGTCATATATTTTATAATTCCGACGTGACTTACCATTATTCATATTCAATTTTCCAATGCTGTTCTTGATATCGGGGTGATTTTTCAAACCAATTTTTTGTAGCATTTCGTAAGCGTTGAAAGCATAATCAATATGCCCAACATTTCCGTAAGATCGTCCAAAAAACAAATAGCGCATCCAGTGATTCGGACACGAACCTCCTACTCGAACAATCTCCAAAAAAACTGTTTATAAGGTTCCGAACGAATTTTAATGCAATGTTGCTTAAGTAACGACTTTTGCTCACTTCGGCTCTGTTTTCCATGCAATCAGCCATTTCCATCCAGACTTCCACCAGCAAAGGCTCGAATGAAATGGCATCGACAAATTTTTTTACTGCGTCTGCTTTCTGATCTTGAAGAAGCAGAATTTTTCCATACCTAAATCATCATAATTTTTCCATTATAAACTATAATAACCACTCTAAACCCCAGAGAAAAAATTCCGAAAAACTGTTAAGTGATAAATCTTCGATGTGAAAACTGCGAAAAAATCCATCGCTCGAACGTACAGGTAGTGCAACGCAGCATCTGCGCTTCCATTTCGAAATGTATCGAAATATCTTTCGATTTCCACAAGAAGCGCTTCTAACATTCGTTCAATATGGACCCGGTCAACTTCTAGAAATTAAGCAGAATTAAACGTTGTTCATAATTATTTTTAATATTCCAATATTCCACAAATACGAATATTACCTCCTAATTCAGTCTTCGCATATTCCGGGAGTCGAGACCGTTCAATGTGCTGCATGCAAACAACAAGAACAGCATTACTTACATAAAAGCAGATTGCATAACCAGATCATTTACCAAAAACTTGGCGTAGAAATATATAAAGCGCAGCACGGCATTAGTCTCCACTCCTTCTTGCGCGAGAACCGAGGCCTCTTTGAAGCGCTCCATGGCCAGCGCTGCCATCACAGCATTGTAAATAATTTCGTCGGATGATTCTTCATTCTACGAACAACAGCAAGAATAACTATGAATCGGGCAGACAGAGAGAATTCAAAATGTTCAACACTACCGATTCAGAAGCATCATCGGCCAGATCATTGTCATCCGCAGTAAATGGCGTATCCGCTGCATGGATGTCAAAGGATATCAACGGTGTGGAAAATGTCTCACTCAGACCACGAGCTCCGTAAGTTTGTTCCGGTTCTTCGAAGGTTAAAAGTGCTGCGGACAACCTACCACCAAGCAGAAATGAGTCTTACTCTGCCTTAGTAATTCTAACATCAAAGCGGAATACGGATCACAGTGTCATGGCATCAGTGATTAACAGAACACTGTTACTGTAACAGTACATATAACACCTACCACGATCCACTGGTTCGCAAATACAGCTCTCCACACAGTTCGGTGCCCTTTAGTAGCTCCTCCTTAACGTTCTTAGGACGAGACACACGCTCTTCCCAGTCGTTCATATCGATGGTCATGGCCATCCTAGTTGACTGAAAACAATCAAATCATCCAATACACGCCAGGAAGCGAAGTGACAGTACCGTGCAAAATAAACAGTGCAAAATGTTTCTGAAACAACTGAAATCCGTAGGAATGGTGCCAATCACCCAAGGTGGCGGTGACTGGAAAGAACAGGATTGATCATGAGTGTTTTTGCTTTGCAGAAAATTCCATTTGTTATTAGGTATGTACGTAAATATTGTAGAACAAGATTTTTAATACATAATTGAATCGAACTTCAACTTTCAAAATGTCTCGAGCTTTGAAATACACAAAACCTCTCGTTTTTCTGCATGGTTTTCCTCTTGATAAGCGGATGTGGCGCCAGCAGATCGAAAAATTATCGCCCCACGTTCGTGCACTTGCAATAAACCTGGGACGATTCGGTACAAAGACACCTCCCGGGGAAACGAAAACTTCGATCAAGGCCATGGCTGATGAGGTAGCTTGTTTTCTGGATGAAGGAAACATTACTGATCCAGTAGCCTTATGCGGCTTGTCGATGGGAGGATATGTGGCCCTCCGATTCGCGCATGATTACCCTTCTCGTTTGGATAAATTGATTTTAGCCAATACGCGCTCCTTGCCCGATAACGAAGCCGCTCGCGCCAAAAGAAATGATTTGCGAAAGCGATTGGCAGAAGGGGAGCGGCAGCAGGTACTAAAAGAATTGATGAAGCCGATGCTTGTTTCCGGCAGTCCTGCCGCGAAAGAAATGCAACATATTGCTGATGAGCAGTCAACGGAAATCATCCGATCCGCCCTCGAAGCTTTGCGTGATCGCGAAGACGCTACCCCCTGGCTTTCTGAGATAAAAGTGCCTACATTGGTTATTTCGGGAGCGAAAGATACGGTTATTCCATCGTCGGAGGGTGCGGAGATGGCGAAAAAGATCCCTTCTGGTCAGTTTGCGGAATTGCCTGACGCTGCGCACCTGTCGAATGTCGACCGCCCTGAGGCGTTCAACAAGCTGATACTGGATTTTCTAACTACTCGGGGCGGATAACTCTTCTGTGTAAGAATTTTATTTTCCAGTATATTCTTTGTCACTTCTTTCTACGGTTTCATTGTTGATGCACAGTTCTAAGAGTTCTTCGAAAAATTATTAAGTACTTGTACAGTTTGAATCATAGAGAATGTTAATTTGTGCTAGAAAACTTTTTTATTATGAAAATAATAAAGCAGTTCGTGCTATCAGGAGGAGATTCATTTGGAGTTCGTTGTATTCCACGGGCGCATATTCCGCACGATCTACACAAAAACACAGAGTGCTGTTTCTCGGAACGGATCTTTACTCATTATACGCTCTAAGGCCCCTTCTCGCGCACCTCACGAATTCCGATGTGGCACGCATCAGTCACCTTGGAGTGTGCTCGAAATTTGCCGAACCTGGCTGTGAAGTGGCGAAGCAGCTGAAACTGAGGGGAACTCTGGATAACATCTCTCTTGTGAATTACAGTCCGCAGCGCGCTCCTGTCGATTGGGATGTTGGAGTGATTGCGTCCTTCGGAAGCTTGATACCACCTTCATTTATAAAATCATTTCCTTACGGAATCATATGTATACACCCATCGCTCCTTCCCCGATGGCGAGGAGCAGCACCTTTGATGCGAACCATTTTGGCAGGGGATACCGTTAGTGGAACGACGCTGTTTCACATTTCCCCTGAAAAATTTGATACGGGTCCCATTATTTCTCAGGAAAAGCGTAATGTCCCACCACAAGTTACGAGCCATCAGCTTGGACGAATGCTCATGGAGCTTGGGGTGGAAATGTTTCTAGACACCTTAAAAAATCTACCCGAAGCTGTGGAAAATGCTGTTGCGCAGCCAACTGAAGGGGTTACATACGCCAAAAAAATTCGCCAGGCTGAAACGTTTGTCGACTGGAACTGGCCAGCGGATTATATTGATCGCTTTTTTAGAGCTTTAGGAGAAGATTTTGGCGTAAGAACTATGTGGGACGATCAGATCGTGAAAATTAATGGAATCGTTGAGCCAGCCATTGTCCACAAAGCACGAATCGATGAGTTAGTGTCAGATGGATCTTTTCCTGGTAGTTTATTCTTTCATAAAAAAAGGGACATTTTATTTGTTAAGTGTAGGGATGGATGGGTTGGAATTACCGCGCTGTACATGCCTAATCGTAAGCCGATGAATGCTAAAGATTTTTATAATGGCTTTTTATCGCCCAACAAAAATAAACGATTGTACTTCGAAGCAAATGCTAATTGTTTGGCGAAGTCATTAAAAATCCGAGCCGGTTATAAGAGCAGTAATTAACTTTTGTTGATTTGCGAAGGACATAAGGCACCAACTAGCTATTCACTGTAAAAAAAATAGGCATAAAATTTCGCTAATATCACGATATGTTAAATAGTGAACACTTAGCTGAAACTCCAACAATACAAGAAAACTCATAAAAAATTAAAACTGCTCGCCGAAAAGCGCGCAGAGCTGCTCCGAAGAGAGAACGAGTACATGTCCAAAGATATCACAACTAAAAAACCATAAAGTAGAATCTGAAGCTGGAATTCAACATATGGCAGGTTTAAAAACCTACCAACATTTTTAAAAATTACAAAACTTTAAACGTTCTAAAGTCACCACAGCAAACTATTTCGGCATCGCACAGCTTTCAGCATCTGGATGACAGCCCGGGTAAGCTTCTAAGCGCGGATCACTTAGCTTTTCTGGATGGACACAAGCACACCGTGTTGATTTCGCTCCGCCAGGCTTTTGTGTCAATAACAATCGGGGCACGCCGGACCAAGTACGTTCAATTCCACCACTACAGAGAAAACGCATTTGGCAACTGGTAATAGTAATCTTGCGAATTATTATGAAATTATTACAGACCAGTTTCACAAACAGATAGTAATGTTCTCGAAAATATGGGAAATGCATTACACACACTTTCTCGACAGAAAACCACTCGACTAGATAGGTATTTAACTTGCGGACACACTGGTGGACCGGAGCGCAGCTATTAACCATCGCCAGCATATTATACTGAATCACATAACTCCGAAATTAATACCGATGCCACTACAGCTTCCAATTAACGTCCATAATAAAACGATGCCCAGTCCACTACCATCATAATCATATCTACACATATGTCAAAAGCCCAATTGAATATTTATGGTCAGCTGTACCACGGAACGGTTGCTGCTGATAAGAAAATTACGCCGTAATTTTCAACTTTTGGCACAGAAAAACAGACACGATTTGATTTTGTCTAAATTGGAGGACAAGCGCTGCGCTCCGTCGATATTTTTGCACAACAAACCAACTCATAAGCTGATAAGCCATAAATTGTATTAACAGTAAAGGAAATTTACCTTTTCGGGCTGCACCAGAGGCGTCCACCCTTGTCCTGACTCCATTCTGAATTGCATTGTGGAAACTCTTTATACACTTCGTTTTCCTTGGCCTCGTCGGATTTCGCTTTTTCTATCATTTGGTAAACATGTAACAACTTCTCCGTAGGCTTTCCTGCGTCCGGCGTTCCAGCACAATGATAAAACTCTCCACACAATACACCAACTTCCTTATAGTCCGCAGATTTCGAGTACGTATCCGCCCAGGTTTCAATCTGGCCGAAGAGCGAATCCGGCAAATCATCAAGATTATCCGTCAGGTCATTTTTAAAATCTCCAGTCAGAAACGAACGGGTTGCATCTTTTCCTGTATTCAAAATTTCAAAAGAAACCTTACACAATGCCAGCGATAAAAGATCTATAACAAAATTTATTTAAAGTGTTATTATACGCTATGGTTGGGAATAATTATTAATAAAAAATTTTTGGTATCTGACAAGGTGAACCAATCCGAATAAAAGTAAATTACCATAATACCCGCAAAAAAACTGTAGCTTCCTCCTGGGCCATAATGCCGCTTTCCTTTCGTTACATCATAAACTTTCTGGAAAATAAAACAAATTAAATTATTAAATTTCGAAAGCAAACTCCAACTGGACAGTTGAACTCACCCCCATATAAGCTAGTAAAATCGGTTTGGAGGGATCGTCGCCCGAATGTCGGGCCAATTCCTCCTTTGTGTATATATTTATGCCGTCATGGTTTACGATTCCCTCCGCAGGGGTGCTCTTGGGGACACGCTTCAATTCCGATGGTAGGTATGTCGTAATAATGGATGAGAAAAAATCGGGCTGAGCCACCATAATAAACACCAATACAACCGATGACAGCAAGAAAATTATCTTCAATAACGCAGCCGAAGAACGGGAGACCGCGGATCTAGAGAACAGATCTGTTAAACTATCGTGCAGAAAGTACAGACTACACTGTGCGGAATTCTTAACCTCCCAGATGTACAAAATTTACCCGGAACGGTACTGATTGGGACTTTGCGAGGGAGGAATAGTTTCGCCATCATTATCCGCATTCGCTGGGGGGCGTCTGCTGCGTACTTCGCGCTCGCTCATGGTTGCATGCACGGGATACCGAAATTTTAACTAAATCGAAGAGCAAGTATTCGCGTGTACGGTATGGATAGCGAACCCTCAAAGGAAGCCGAAATCTTAAAGTTAACAGTTAACCAGTTACCCCTCATAAAGTGTCACAGTAAATGAGTAAATATAAACGAAACTTCCGAAGTTGCATGTAAAGCCAACTGCCAAGGACATAAAAATTGTAGTTGTTTTCTCATTTCCGGTGCATTTTGCTCTTGTGTGCAACTCAATCATTTCCGGTGCAAGCGTGCCAGTGCAGTGCAACATGTCAGCGACGTGTCGTATAAAAACAGATTTTTAAAAAATTTTCTGATTTTGTGGATGTTTTTGCGATCCACAAATTCCAGATTGGGAAGTTGTCCTATTTTATACTGTCCTGATCCTATACCATCGGTGTCATTTCGGACTTGCATTCCTTGAATCCCTGGTTCCTTTGCAGTTCGCTGCTTTCTTTCGGATGCGAATCGTATTACAAGTTCGCTCTTTGTACGCTTTACTGACATTTTGCGGTCTTTTCGCTCTTTTGCCAACATTAGCAATCTCTCTGAAATTCTTGATCTCTTTATACTTTAATTTGGGATCTGGTTTTCCACTGTGGTCGACTTCATTGTTTCTGCATTCTAGCATTGGACTGATGCTATGTATCGAATGGCATTCTAATTGTCTGAGCCTACTTCAGCGTTTAAAGCATATAATATTATTTTGATCTCCAGCTTCCGGTGCCCAGAATACTTACCAGTTTTGCAAACATGCGTGTGGCATTTTTGTTTGCGTTTTGCGCAGTTCTGTCTTTGATGGTGTTTTTTTCCGTAACAAATGTAAGACACCTTTTTTATGTTTGCATTGTGCAATTGTTTAAGTCGTTTCTCCGCATTTTTTTCAGGGAGCAATGAGTCTGGGGGACCGTATCACTAAGCTGAACGAGCTTAGCAATCAAAGGCCGATAATTCGCATGAATACGGACAAGTATCGCGAATTCGTCAAGACGACACCCCGGAATTACTCGATTATTCTTATGCTGACGGCACTGAATCCATCGAGAGGATGTGGAGTTTGCCAGTAAGAATGACAAGCAGGTTTTCGTTATTTTTTGTCTCGGACGCTTTTCTTGCATGTGCATTTGACATTTGCTGATTTGCATGGTAAACTTTTGCATCAGTAGTAAGGTAAATTGGTCAAATAATTTTGAAGCAATAACAAAATTAACTTCACGACTTAAATTAGTTTTTACATATTTATTTTTATTACTCCGTTTTACTGAATTTGGATTGATGATGTGTCATACTGGATTTAGGCACTTGTTGTTTAACTAGTTTAATTGCAAATTGCCAACATGGACGCTTTCGCTGCGTGGAGGATATACTTTTTTATTTAGCAGTTTTGTTTTGTTTGACATGCATGTTGTAGCGTTTTCGTATACCATAGGATGCTGATATGTATTGTCTTGCTTTTTTTGTGTAAATTCGGTTTTCGTTGTTATTAGAGTGGCACATGAGGAGTACGATGTTGTGGCCAGTTCCTATCGGTTGGCCGGCGGTGGTTCAGATAAACTCTTCTTTACCATGGTGGATTTCGATGAAGGCCATGACGTTTTTACAAGCGTATGTTATGTGCACCTTTTTTCATAAGAGATTTCTAGAAGCAGTTGTTTCTCGATTTTCTAGTTGAAAGCCAATAGTGCACCCATTTTTATGCATATTCCTCCTCAAGGAAAGCCCAAAGATGCCGATACGATGAATATTCAAGTGTACGGTTTGCAATTAACTTTTGATTTTTTTCTTCTATTTATCGTACGCTTTCATGTTGCAGAGTTGGATATAATGCAGAAACTATTGCGAAATGGGTTGCCGAAAGGACAGGCATCACTGTAAGTATCGTTATTCTTGTTAGTCTTGAATAAACATGTTTTCACATACGTATAATGATTTTTTTGTATATACAAAACCATATTTGTTGCTCCCGCGCGTCTTTTAGATTCGCATTGTGAGGAAGCCGAATTATGGCGGGGTTGTCGCCTTCAGCCTGTTGATGCTTTTGGTGGGCGGCTTTTTGTACATTCGGAGAAACAGCTTGGAGTTTTTGAATAATCGGAGCATGTATGCATGGATTGTTGTGGTAAGTTGGCATCCTAGGCACCCATCTTCTGGTTCGTTAAGATTTATTCATCTGAACTTTTTGCAGGCACTCATTCTGTTCATGACGTCTGGCCAAATGTGGAATCACATTAGAGGTGTGGTTTTTTGCAGTATCCTGTCTTATGATTAACTAAGTGGTTTTATTGTAAAATTAATTTTTATTGTACAGTTAATTTATTTTTTCTCTAGTGTTTTTTTCTCTGCTAATGCTTTGTCACCTGTTACGTTTTATCAGTTTACGGTAGTTAACTTAAAGCACCTCCTCTGAGTTTTAAAGCAGGCCATATAAATATGAAGCTCTTTTTTATGTTTGATTCAAGTCTTGCATGCTGTTTAGGTCCTCCATTCATGCAACGGCACCCACAGTCGAAGCAGTGGGTACGCAGAAAAATACAGTGTTAAGTAACATACGGAAAAGCGATATTTATTTCAGTTATTTTCCCTCTTGCAGATGTTTATTCACGGAAGCAGCCAAGGGCAGTACGTTGCAGAAACCTATATCGTGATGAGCTTGAGTAAGAGTGAACAAATTTGTTTTCTTTGATGTATTTTTTACGCTCCCCTCATAACTTAATTCTGATTATTTTCGGCTCAGTATATCGTTTATTGTTTATTTTTTTCTAGATCTGGCTGTAGCCATTGGATTTATTTTGCTCAACGAAGCCGCTAAATCTACTAACGAACAACATCGCGGCCGCAATAAGGGTCAGCGAGACACAATTTTATCCATGTGGGATATGTTAATTGTCTGCTAACAAGTTATTTTTGTAGTGATGGCCATTGCCGGAATCGTTCTAGTCGGCATATTCTTTAGCGCCCTTAAATCAATTTTTCGGGCTAAATACCAAGGTTATCCTTACAGGCAAGTATACATATGATTCTCCCCTGTTGTCGCTGACACCTAAACTTCCATGTTGTAGATGTAACTGTTCATTTTCGTTCTTTTTTGTTATTCACAGTTTCCTTTTCAAATAGTGGATGGGTGGAAAGGATTATTCCGTTTTCAACATTTTTCTTTTATCACCTGGAAAATCAGACAAATGTTTAACAGAATTGATTGATTCCTTGCGTTGCAGATCTGTAACGCTGGGCGATATTGTGTGGCTTTCTTTTCTCATGGCACTAAAACCATTACGGCGATCTGGCAATGACGATAAATGTTTTGCAGTGGAATATACTTGGTGTTTCCTTCTTTGGTCGTAATTCAACAAATGCTCATCATAAATCCATTGATGACATTCACGACAAAATTTTATAGAAGTAGGTAATTCGATAACAATATTATGAATGAAAATTCGTCTTTTTATTAAATTGCCAATAGTCGAGAAAAGCACTTAGAAAATTGGCCCGTCGTATGAGAGCTATTCGGGATATATAGATATATGGTGATTCTTGATTGACGGAACTTTTATTTCTATAAACGTAATCTGTTGTGATCAAAAAGCAATAGAAAGGCTCACCAAATTCTTATAATTTTCATAAAAATTATGTACTCCTAACTTGCTGTTTTTCTAAAGCTGTTGTATTTGAGTCAATTAGCTACTAGGCTTAATTTTGTTAACGGTAGCCGGCAGGTGATTTCGAAAAGTCACTGTTTGTGGTGGTAAGGGAAGATAGTGACCTGAAACTGGATAATCTTAACCCGAATGTCTGGAAATATGTAATTCGAAACAAATTACTGGGGGTTACACAAGACGTCATCGACTGATTATTATGACACGGCACAGTATTACAAGGACGAGCCGCTCCTCATGTCCTGCAAGCGGCGTGTTTCGAGAAGAAATGGTACTAAATACAATATCATTACCGGATGCTCGCTTAAATCAGAGCAGTAGTTATGAAAAGCAATTTCGAACTCCAACAGATTTAGAAATCAGTATGAAAGAATATTCATAAAATGACTACGAAACATTTTTTAAAAACTATAATCATATACATCATACGTCCAAGTATGTAGACAATGGATGGCGAATGACATGCAAAGACAATGATGGCGAATGACATGCAAAGACAATGATGGCGAATGACATGCAAAGACAATTATATGATTGTAGTACATACATATTCAGTCTTTTTTCGTCCATTTCGCGCTCGATGTTTCTCTAACAACTGAAAAACGCGGAAACAAAACATGATACGGCAAAGCAAAAAAATTTATTAGTTGTTTGCCGATTTTAAGTAGCTTGGGCGCGCCGCCCTTTACATCTTCTCCCGCTCTTGATCGATCGTATTTTTTGCCGAATCTCTCTTGCTTGTAAGATACATACTTTCGGTGGATTTACAGGATATGTGGAAGTAGGGAGAAAGACTTATTGAATTACAACGTGATGGTGCGTAAAGTAATCATTTGCAAGAATTAACCGATAAATCCTCAGCAATACATCATCACACACTGCAGTCGCTGTAGGGTGCGCGCAAATGGGATTGTTGCATTAACCGGTACAAATCACAGACCGGTATGGTGCGGAGCAATGAATAGTGCGCGGGAAAGATTGTTATTGATTTGCTTGGCGTGCTGGGGCATATTGACATGGGTATATCCGGTAATCGAGCTTCTTCACTACGGGAATGCCGAACTCACTGCCACAGCAGCGCCTGGACAGCTTTGCAGCGACGCCCGCGAAACACTGCTCACTTTGTATATAAATTCCTGTGTTTATGTTGCGCAATGCGGAAATGGGAATCTATAAACGTAATCCTGCCAAGCTTGAGCGCCGATAATCGAACTTCAATGCTTTTATCCAATTTACGCATAATATTCACAGCTAGCCTAGCTGCGATTCCAGATTGACAGGTACAGCCGATAGATATCGACGTTTAATGCCGGCATCCTCGGGGAAGGACGGTAATGCGGGAAAACGCATGACCCGTCAACCGGCTTCTCCACTTTGCGCAACACAGTAAAAGCCAGTGAATTACTTAACGTATGCAAAACGGGATAGGATACACCGCTGTGTATTCTGATGAGCATTATATGAAATGCTTCCGGTTACTTTTTCAACGTAGTATTTACTGTTCTGTACCTGTATATGGAATAATTCTGCAGCCAAATCAATTCGTACATGTAGTATAGCTTTTTGTTTTCACTTCAGCACACATATCCATGCATTTGTTTTCATGGCGACGCACTGTAATTAAAGTATATGGTTTGGCTCGCATTTCCGAGCCGGTTGTTTTGCATAACTCACCGGCAGCAAACACCGGTGACCACCTTGTTTAGTCGGCGAACATTGCATCAGACAGATCAGAGTGATCGGGTGTACCGATCCAATAGAAAATTCATATTATTATCACAGGGTAAATAAGATCCATGTGGTGTAATCTACTTTTCATAAAGGTGAAAAGTCATGTGTTCTTAATTAGAAAACCACAGAATGCTAAGGCAAACTCCATGATGCCAACGCCTATCTGGATCATGTTCAGAGTCAATGTCACTAGAACCGGGCCCTTTATGTATTCCAGATGTTCCTACAATGATAGTACTTAAGGTGTACTTATTTAAGAATAACAGCAGCGCAGTGCCACGAATGCCGTCGCTTATTGCGGCACATTTTAAACGCCATGCTTCTGACCACTGCGATAAAAATTTAATGAAGTGGGAGTTTTCTACCTGCGGCTTAATAAATGCACCGAGCATTTGCTGCTACATGAAGCTCACCTCATAAAATGCCCACCAAAGAGACAGGACATACACCTATAAACAAAAACAAATCCAATATATTATACCATACGCAATTACGCATTTTGCTCTTGATATAATGCACTTTTGATTTTAATTTTTAATTGACAGATAAGTGTTGCAGTCGTGGGCGCAGAGCAGCACAATCTTTACAATTTAATATTATGCGTTTAGATAAAAGAATTTTATATACAACGGTTTAATATCATGAACTTGAGCGGTGTCCCATTGTACTTTTATTAGTCACTGGAAGGTACACTGTGTAAACAGTATACCAGAACCGAATAAACTATAGCGGTGTCTGACTAGTTGCGTTTAGATAACTGACAGTGCTATGAAATATGGTATTATAATATAATAATATCTATAAATAGAGGATAGGCGAACTCATTGTCAGTATAATAATATACATACAATACTTACCAGGTAGCCGCTAACACCAAGCAAGCTGCTGGACATCAATATCGCTAAACAATTCAAGACTTTCAACATGTAAAGGTGTTCACCCCAGTCCCGATGCGTGGCGCTCGTGATGAATTTCCCCGCTCCAATGGACAGAACACCTTGAACGATGTACGTAATAGCCGCGACGATCCCGATAGCGGATTTTGCCAAGCTCGGAGCATCCCAGTGCCAGTCGTATACTGAAATCGTAAACATTAATTATGGAGACTAACAGAGTACTTTGATGGTTATCCTCTAACAAAAATTCCATTCAGCAGATCAAGCTAAATAACTTTTTTTGCATTTGCGATAGATTTATAAGTAACTGTGCTGAATAAGGTCTTATCCGTATGGTTTGTAACAAGAACCATAATTAGCCTCTACTACGGTACAGCACGCTAAAAAACTTTCCAACATTCGTGATTGTGGGCTTAATAAATCAACATCCGCTTAACCAGTTAAGAGTATAATGCAATAGTAGCGTATCAACAAAATACCTTTCACAGATACATCTATGTAGTGACAAACGTACCGGTCAATTTCCAAAACAAAACTGGTCACAATTTACTTTGTATTTTTTGCATGGTTCACTGGAAAAAATTAACAAAACGCCGCAGCCCAGTCGCCGGAAAATTCTTACCATGAGGTTAACACTAAAGAAAATTAAAAATTGTTTACTTCTTAACGGTAGTCACTTTCTCAAGACACATCGGCAGCGACAGTTTTCCCAAGAGTTTCGCATAAACACAAAATTTGTCCGTCGATACAGCGAAAACCCGTAAAATGGAGGCTAATCTACGTACAATAACTTAATTTACTGACTGCACGCAAGCTGCGCGAACAACAAGAAAATTCGTGCTGATAGGCATAATTTTTAATCACTCACAACCGGTTACGTCGACAGTTTTTACGCATTGCCTTCGCTTGATATTACTTCGTGTATATTAATTTAAATGATAAGAATGGCTATTTTGCAACTTACTTGTGTACTTCTGGCACATGAAATTAACTGAAAGAGATTACAACGTCAGCAGGGCGCATTTCACGCAATGTACGACAGCGTTATTCTTACCGCCAATCTGCACAAGGAAAGCCAGAATTCCCAGAAACACGTGTCCCATGCCCAACAGTTTGAGGTAATCTGCCGTTCTCATTACCGCCAGTTTCGGTCGACTGGGGTATTTGGGAAACAGCGACTTAGTCGCCCTGCCGGCTGGATTAAGTTCTTCGAGATCCATTTTGTCCATGTTCCCACTAATTCGCTTGTTCCTGATATGTAAACGTATATCCGACAGAGGATATCGTCGTCACACACACTAACACTAATTGTCCTGTCGACGCCGAGGGTTTCGACTAACGGTTATAGTGACATTTGAAGTAACCGGAAGCGCACAATCTATGTACACACATATGAATTATGCATCTGTATACACTGTCGACAGGTCATCTGATGTAAATGTCGTCATCCGGCATTGTGTAGCAGATAATCGCTTACCTGCCCGGTTCTTTCTGCGTCCAAACACTTTTCCAACACAGCGCCCGGGCTCACGCTTCAGCACCAGGGCATCGCTTTTTTTCCGGCTTACCGGTTAATAATAAGACGAGCGTATAATGTTACACACGAACGGGGAGAAAATCAACACTTCCCCGATGCGATCGACATTGTCACCACTTTATTCCTCCCAACTGTGGACGTCGAACGGGGGCCCTTTTGTAAATACGGCAAGTGCGCGGCTGATTAAGTGAAGAGGATTCGTGCTGGCCGGCACTGTATACACAGTGCATTTTGGCAACTTTTTATCAGCAGCATTATCCGGCGTGGACAATTGATTATTTGTGTCGAATCGGAGCACGGCCGCGACCGGGAGGGGGAACAACCATATACACACAAGACGTGCTACAACTTTTTCCGGAGAAGACTTTCCGTGCTAGGACATTATCCCCCAATACAGGACCGCTTAAGCTTCCGGGCAATTACGTGCTTCTGTACATATGCTGCAACGGCTGCTGCTGGCTGCCGCTGGTGATGTGTGTGTGCATTACGATGGGCTATATATAAATCCCAGCTGTTGGGGTATTGTTCGATCCTGGCATACAAGTTACCCCGAGTGTATACGTATGCAGAGATCGAACGATTTACCAATAGACGCGCTCGCCAGTTGATAACACATAAAGCACAGTTGGACACTATGAGCGCCTGCGAGACAGATTACGGGATGACATATTAACTTTGCGTGAAGTCGTGCTGTAACCTCTCAAAATGGGCTAGTCGCACTGCAGCGTCGCGGCACTGCCGTATGTACATATTATACCGGCTGGAGAGAAAAAAATCTGGGAATAATTACCAACTACGATTACGCCACTCTATTCAGGAGCGGCGGGCACGCGCGCCCGCGGGAAGCTAGAAACGCGGCACGAGAAGATCCGATAAGGCGCACACAATACAAGGATGGCTAAAGTGCAGACTGAACATGGGATAAATGCTCATGCGATACGACGCTAAAGTTGGCTAAACGCTTGGATAATACTGTAAATAGAAGACGGCTTTAGATATATGCCGCGTTATCATTCAAACTACGCCATTGGAATTTGATATCTTACGCTGTGGAACTGCGGCAAGAAAAATCGACAAACCGACCATTGTGTAGCAATGCAACATCAACTGTATTCTGTTTGTTCAGGATCCCACAATGGTCGGGCGCCGACTACGGTCGCTGGATGCAGCTGTGCTGTAGTAGAAAAAGTGTATTAAGGAAGATAACATACATACACATACATACACGAGACGGGAAATCGATCGGAAATCTCTGGTGTGACAAAGTGCTTGCACCTATAAAGGATGCCGGATGGCAAAGAGTGTATAACCGATATTGCAATCGGGCGGGAATCTTGGGACCGCTTCTTCCACTGAACAATCCGAGGCGCATCCAAAGGAATTATTTAATAATAAGGATCATCAGTACTCAATTTTCCTGGCAGGCAGATAAATAATAAAAAGCCATGGTGCGAGGCCGGCATTTGTGCTTTGATGTTTCGACACGTAGAAGAGACAGTGCATCGGCAGCAGTGCCGATCAGGTGTACATAGGCTTTGCACAAGCAAAGCGAAAATCATCAATTATGCCGTAACATGCACAGCTGCAGCGCGATCCTTACAATTTCGTATCTAGATTCTGGAGTTAGACAGAATTTTTATTGAAATCGCCCATACATTATTTCGCCTAATGGTAGAATCATTACCAAGAAAAACCATATATGCGGGGGGTGTAAACTGGAGGTGATATGTCATTATTTCGATAAATTACGAGTAATTTAGGTACAAAGTATAAACTAGATATATTTCGTATATAGTTTAGGTACTTATATTTCGTAATTTAGGTATAAACTGCTTTGACGTGATTGCGCTAACGCATGCTACAAGTTGTTACCTTTTGAGTTTTCTATTAAAGCAACTAGAAACTATTACTGATTTTGAATAATGAATACACAACAAATATAATTACTGTTATTATACTCGGCTGTTAACGTTCTTGTATGCGGCGGCTGTATGAAGCTGTGTTTCGCTTAATTGTGCATTACGTTAAAAACATTCATCAACTGGATCTCCTCCGCAACATCGACATTGTCGACACTTGTACTACCTGTGCGGTAGATGGTCGGGACGTTGCTGTCATAAAAATTTTAAAATGAAAACACAGCTTTAACAAGGGATGTGTTTACATGTTGTCAAAGGTCATCTTCGACGAAAAGCAGCAATTTTGTATTCAGCAAATACAATATGGCTTTGTAACTTTTTAATGTGCTTGCCTGGATGCGCATGAGCTTTGGTACGCAAACACCGAATAATTGATTTTAAATTGTTACCAACGAAAGTTGAATAGTTTATGACGTTGCACAATCGTCTTGAGCGTGATCATGATATGCGCAGGCACCGGAAGTTGTGCACGGCAAAGGATAAAATAATAACTGGGCAGATTTCATCTAAAATCTGCGCATAATAAATGCCTAGTTATGTGAAAAAATAAAAAACTTCAGTAATTAACGAAGTGGAATTTAAAAAAACGCATGACGATCACGTTCTCAAGGGCGCGACATTAACATGTTGCATTATATGGCCGGCATGCAAATGCAAATAATGATAGTGCAGTATGTTAAAATGGAGAGAAACATAGCTTCTTGTTAGCTGGTGCGTTGTCCACGTGTTTCCGCATGGCCTATGTTGAGTATCTTTATCTAGGTCAGACTCGGCAAACGTTTAATGTCTCGATATGCAATCCATGAGTGTATTTCTAAATTGTACGATAATGAATACTAAAGTTAGATGCTAAAGTGCGCGACGGCAGACAGCTGTTTGATACTGTAACAAAATGGAGCTTTACGATACTGTACGTTTAATTAGTTGTCAGCGAAAAAACTTGGAGAAGATTATAAGCATCGTACTGTAACTACTGTTGCATTTTTGTGATATCCTGCTTGGAGGTGTTTAAGACCGGAAACACCTGAATCATGGCGCGTGCTAATGAGAACATTATGGAAGCGGATAACATTCCCGAGGTACGGCAAAAAGCAGCTTCTTCACGGGGATTTGACGGAATTCTGGAAGCAGTGGGGCCGTTTGGACGCTATCAAAAGCTTCTTACATTCGCAGTGTTTTTGCCAGCTGTGATACCGTCGGGATTCTTGAGCATGTCATCAGTAAGAAACACATCACAAAAAGTCAATCAATACCAGTTTTTGCTAGAATTCCGATATGATCAAACGTTTCAAAGAAGTCAGGGTAACACGGCTTGTCTAATTTAATAAGTTTTTACAGTAACCTTTGCATGGTCAGGTGTTTTTTGCGGCCACGCCCGGGGACTATTGGTGTGCCCTCCCTCGTGACAGCAGTGCCAACGATTCTTGGGAAATCTTCACCGATTTCACCAGTGTCTCGCCGGACTTCTCCAAACGCAGCTGTGTGATGCCCATTCGTACGGACAACTCCACTCAAATCAATACTACCATCCCAATGACAGCTTGCGAATTCGGCTACGAGTACGACCGGTCGGTGTACGAAAGCACCGTCATCACCGAATGGGATTTGGTGTGTGACCACCATTTAGAGGGCACATTCACCTTTACCATTTTCACCCTAGGCGGTTTAGTGGGCCCCTTGATCTGGGGCTATTTAGCGGATCGGTTCGGGCGACGGAAAGGTTTCTTCTTATGTGTCGGCTTTCAGTCCGTCTTTGCCGTGCTCACAGCGTTTGCTCCGAAATATTTTCTCTACTGCATCTGTCGCTTCCTGGTGGGAATGACAACATCAGCCAGCTATACAATTCCATTAACGCTTAACCTGGAAATTTCCGGCCCCAAGCAAAGAGCGCTGATCTGCGTGCTGCACTCGTTTGCTTACAGCCTGGGGTGTCTAATCTTTGTGGGTGCAGCGTACTTCCTCCGCTCATGGCGCACATTAGCCCTGGCCACCGCGATTCCCGCTACAATTATCTACATACTGATCTGGAAATTTTTTCCTGAATCACCCCGCTGGCTACTGAGTAAAAACTCCATCCGCCGCGTCGATGTGTTTGTTCGGAAATTATCGCGTGTCAATGGCAAAGTGTATCCCGAAGAAGCGGAAGTCATGCTAACGACGATGGGCGCCAGTGCGGTAGCCACACCCACACGAAAACCCAACAAATCCTCGCCGCTCGATTTGGTGCGCACGCCGAATATGCGCCGGAAAACGTTGATTTTGGTCTTTCTGAATATTTGTAATAAAGGTGTATCGTTGGGACTGAATTTTTATGCCCCGTTATTCAGCACGCATCCTCACCTAGGAGCGTTGTTAAACACTTTAGTCGAACTGCCGCCGTACTTATTCGCCAAAACGGCGTTGGATTTCATGGGACGGCGGAGTTCGTTGTTCCTGGGTTTTCTAACCGGCGGAATAACGTGCCTAACAGCCTTCACCATTCCTTACTCTGTTCCGAGTTTAGTACTGATGCTATCGCTCGTTGCCAAATTTTCCATCACATTTACTTATCTCGGTAGCAAGTTAATGGAGGATGAATTGTTCCCGACGGTGGTGCGCAGTGAAGGTCACTCTTTAGTTAGTGTGTTATCGTCCATAACGACTTGTGGTGTGCCGTTCATTGTCGATCTGGGATATACATTCCAAGTCCTGCCCCTGTTGATATTTGGCAGTTTGTGCATTGTGGCAGCGCTGGCTGTGTTTTTCTTGCCGGAAACCGCCTACCAACCATTGCCACAAACTTTATCAGACGGGGAAAATTACGGAAAAAACATGCCATGGAAAGCGCATTTTCGCTTTTTTCCTGTGCGCCCACAAGAAAACAATAAAGCGGCGGCACTGGAGAACAAGATCGGCAGTGCTGACTGCTGAGCATATGGGACTGCCGGCCTGAAACAGTGGCATCGACTTTTTAGCCCTACCGCTGATGTGGTAAAGGGAAAATAACTTCGCTGTATACTAAGTACATTAATATTATGGATATCATTATTTTTTGTAAATTCTGGATCACGGCTTGTGCGGTTTTGTGCGTTTTTCATGTTACTCGTATCGTTTGATGCGCTTCTCAAGCTCGAGAAATTTTCACGAGTCTTGGATATTTCCAGATAATTGCAACAGGTCCAAAATGACATTGGTTGTGATATACTATTTTGTTTTTCCTGATCGCGATCTTAAAAACACTTTTACAAACACACTGCTCAGGTTCGATAAAGGACGTACATTATGGTTATTGTTATTATGGCATAATGAAGAGCTTATTAATAAAAAAAATCATGACTAAAATAAATAAAATCATAACTTCATAAGCAAAAAATACATACGTAACTTGCGAAATGCTTACCAGCGTTACCGCAGTCAAAAATATTAATGGTGTTTTTGGGTACGCCCACGCCGGCTAAATTGTCCAATAAGGATAACCCACGCAAAATTGCAGACAGAATCCAGTTCAGATTCTTTTAGTTTTTAAATGTTTTCATTTCGCCAACAAATTATACCGTGACTTTTGCATTCCACAGTAGTTTTGTATTGTGGATTAAAAAGCAACAATCTCCAAGCAGGTTGAAACTATCTGGCGTCGTTGATTTCGTTTTTGTTTGCAATCCACTTTAATAATAATTATGTGAGTCAGTGAGTGTTCGAAGCGTTCGTTTCCCAATCCACGATTTCACCACTCAAAAGCAGGTGCTTCATCTTGTTGTGCTGTATTATTCATAAAAATCTTTTATCACAATGCTACCACGGATCAGCAGACTCTTCTCCTTTGTTTGGATATTTTGGGCTGCTCTGGATATGCATCTGGTCTGTAAGTGGTGTACAGATACGAGATACCGTGCTGTTGCTGCAGAGTGCGAGCTGTACTTCGTCGCTCTTTGAACGATTCGTGATGGTTATGATCTTATGGGATATCTGCCTTGCAGTTTCTTTATCCAAAGAAGAGGTCGAAAACCACATGAATATGGCCAAAGCCTTCCTGGGAAAAGGGCAACTGGCAGACGCATTATCACATTACCACGCAGCAATAGGTTCGTCGTTGTGATCTTGCTGGAGTGATGCGAGTCCCGGCATTCTTCTCAGCTAAAAAAATTCGCTAGTATAACACCGTTTAAGCATCTTACGCTGCCTTTTTAGACGGTGATCCCGGTAATTACATGGCGTACTTCAAGCGTGCGACGGTATATTTAGCACTCGGGAGAGCTAAGAGCGCACTGCATGATATGGAGCGTGTTATTGAACTGAAGCCAGATTTTATTTTGGTAAGTTACGAAGTTGTCATTTGAAGGTGTTCTTTGGAGGCTTGTTAATGTCTGTTTCTTTCCGAATGTGCAGGCAAGAATACAGCGGGCAAATCTTTGGGTCAAACAAGGCAATTACGAGGATGCAGTTCCAGAATACAATTTTATAGTAAGTATTGTGCAATTTGCATTTTAACAAGGCTTCGATTAAATTCTCGACTGTATTGCAGCTGAATAAAGAACCTTCCAATGCCGAAGCCCGGTCTCAGCTGGAATTGATCGAAGAAGCAAAGACGCGTTATATGACTGCTCAGCACGCGAGCAACGCCCAAGATTATCATACCGCTTTGCAAGAATTTGGAAGAGTGCTGGAGGTACGTCTGCACTCGGGTGTGACGTGAACGTTGAAATAAAGCCGTTTTGGGGCTATTTTCACTATCTAGGCCCAGTGTTTCGTTAGTGTTGAATTGGACAATGCTCCTTTCTTTGAGTCAAATTGGTCTTTTGCGTATTAATATGATATTATTATTGCTTTCTTATTGTTGCTGTATTGTACACGTTTAGGTAAGTTCCCTCTGACGATTCAGTTTTTAAACGAACGAAAAACATAAATAATTTTGCCTCATTTTATTTTTCGACGGAGAACCGTTTTATTATGCTAATGTACAACCATGACAAATAAATTTTAATTTCCTTTACGGCGTAGTAGTTAACTAACTGGTCTGGACTTCGGATTCTTAACGCGCCGGACTGAATTTCATGTGATTAAGTTTTGTACGTACTGCACTTCTGTGACATCTGCTAATCACATCGCACTGTTTGGTAGATCAGTCCATCGGATGCAGATCTGCACGCCAAAAGAGCCGAAATTTTTGAGACAGTCGGTGACATGCCTGCGTCCATCGCTGATATGCGGGCGGTAGTAAAACTGCGCGCTGAACAAACGCAGCCACATCTTCAACTGAGTCTGGCACTTCATCGCAACGGGGATGCGGAAGAATCTCTTAATGCCATCCGCGAATGCCTCAAGTTGGATCCGGACGACAAACCCTGCAAAACCCATTACACTTTCTTAAGAAAGCTAGTGAAGCAACTCCAGGGTATCCAGGAGGACATCAACAACAACCAGTATGCAGAGTGTGTCCAAAAATGTGATGCGGCGCTGAAAACGGATTCCAGTACGCCGAAAATTGTCCGAGACATCAACAGCCGACAATGCCTGTGCCTGAGCAAAGTAGACGCACCGCGAGGCATTAAGGTCTGTTCAGCTCTCCTAGAACAAGAGCCGGATAATTCAGAGTTTCTTATGAACCGTGGAGAAGCTTATATTTCTAATGAGCAATACGAGGATGGTAAGTAATGCGTGCTGTTATAGTGATGCGACGTGCCGGGGGCCGGAAGACGTATTGTAACGTATGTGTGTGCTTTCCTATAGCTGTGCGCGATTTCGAAGAAGCTGTGAAATCCGATAATGAAAATCGTCGAGCACACGAAGGATTAGAAAGAGCCAAAAAGTTGTTAAAGCAAGCTAACCGAAGAGATTACTACAAAATCCTAGGCGTTAAAAGGTAAGGCTGAATTTGTGGTTACGCACGTGGCTGTGGATGACAAAAAAAAGTTGAAATTGGCCGGTCGGTCTGCGGTGGCATCTCTCCGACTTATTTTTGTCATGTATTGTAGTCTGAATCTGTACGTTCGGGTCGTACTCCTAGTCTCCTATAATCGTATTCCAACGTAGTTTAAACATCCTTGATGAGCAACTGGAGCTGATCAGGCGTGAATTACACGATTAATATTTTCGGCCGTGTTTTCGTTCGCTCGGTATCAGCATAACGGCTATTTTACCGGTTTACATTTCGCTACTGTAAGCCAGTAACGATAAGTCCATAATTAGTGGACGAATCCAGTTTCATTAATTATGAAAGCAACAAAGCGAATTTGCTTTTCCAGGACAGCAAACGAAAAGACGATTACAAAAGCTTATAGAAAATTAGCAAAAGAGTGGCATCCAGATCGGTTTACGGATGTCCAGGAAAAGGAAAATGCTCAAAAGAAATTTATGGAGATTGCCGCTGCTATGGAAGTATTGACCGATGAAGAGAAGCGTAAACGCTTCGATGCCGGTGAGGATCCACTGGATCCCGAAGCCCAAGCACAACAAGGCTTTCATGGATTTCATCCCTTTGGCAGAGGTTTTAATCCTTTTGGTCAAGGGGGTCAGACCTTTACCTTCCACTTTGGAGGATAGTAGTTGTCGTTGTGATGCTTTGTTCAATAATAAAATGACTATGTTGTTTGTTTTCTTATGGTTAATATTGTGATTCCTAGCAATGCGAGTGCGATTATTGTTACGTTTCTAACTTGAAAAATTTTATGTCTGTTTTTAGTTCGGATGCGAAGTGCGAACAAATAATATGAATCGCGAACTTTTGGAGTCCTGATTTACTGATACCGATATAAAAACGACAAACGAAGCCACTGAAAAAGAAAAATGCAGTATTAAAAGCTCTGGTGACTAATAAGTACTCCTACTGTAAGTTTCATTGAATAATATTTCTGAGAAGACTGAAATAATCACTAGAAACCCATAATTTGCTGTAGAACTATTCTCCATTATAACTGCAAATATTTCTGTCTGCACTCTGCAACAGCTTTGTTCGAAATAATATAATAATTATTCATAATAGTAGTATGTTCTCGTACAAAGTAAAACGCAATCGTTTGAAGTTGGATCCATGTACAATAAATTATGGTAAAATCTGCAGAGCCGGTACCGCGGAGTACTCGTGAATGTACGACTTGAACTATGATGATTAGTAGTTAAATAATAAATACAGTATGGAATGTCTGGAAGTTTCCGATAACCGTGACAGACCCGCTGATAAAATCAAGATCAAAGACCGGGCAGGAATCTTTATCTGACACTATGCAGCATTTGCAGACAGGCGCTCCCGAACATGGAAAGCACTGTACACTTGGATATGTAAACTAATACGTGGAAGTACAACACGAACCTTACCATTAAACCGAACTATGTTCAGTGGGCTTACGGTTAGTGAAGTGCGGGGCATCAAGAAACAGTACGTATGAGTATTAGCACTCCATTGTTCATCGTACCCGTTGTACTCTGTTTCAGCCAATCAGATTAGGCGGTGACCACCGTCCAATGCGTACTGCTCACAAGTACACAAGATCCAAGGAAATGGCAGAAGCAGCGGCTACAGTCGATTTCGAGAAACCAGTCGACGGCGTTCTTATTAGCGAGTAGATTGACATATCATCATCAAAATTATTACGCGGTAACAGTTTTCCTTTCTGTCTGTTTTTCTGTGACCTTTAAGCGTAGAAAATGGGAGTTTACACCACCACGACAAAGACCCTGAATTATTCGCAAGGTGATCCAGGATTCATGAATGCCGTGGATGCTACTATCACCAGCACGCCCGGACAGAATTTTTCTTACCTGGGGAAGCCCAACGGCCTGATCAAGCTGATCCAAGTTATTCTCACGATCATCGCCTTGGCTTTGGTGGCATCTCAGCGTGAAGAATATCGTCCACTGGAAGATATTGCTGCTCCGCGTTACCAAATTTTCGGAAAGAACAACGATACCACCGTTCCGCCGTTGATTCCGAATACCATCGCTCCTGATTTCCCGAACACCACCGTTACGCGCACCTACCAGGAAGAACTTTTTATGGTGGGTGAAGTATACTTCCTGTGCGCCCATACTGCGGTGTTAGTTGTCCTCGTGACCTTCCTCATTTCCTACTTGTTCCACGTCATCTCTTCCGTGGTGGTGCCAAAGACCAGTGTCCTGGAGGTCACCAGCAGCTTCGTCTTGGCTCTTCTGTTGATTGTTGCCGGGATCGTTGAGATCGTTATGACAGTGAAGTGGAGATCCGAGTACATTCCCGAGCCCTTCGACGCCACACGATATCTGATGTTCCACTCGGCTGAAGCCATGCGCCTCGTCGCCGGATCCCTCGCTTTGTTCAACGGAATATTGGCTTTCTTCGCGTTCGTCCGGGCCCGCAAGGAGTTGAACGAAGGATACGTTCAGAAGCCCATGTAAAGGTCAGGGCTCGCAAGCTGAAGCATTAATCAGACCGAATCTAATTTATTGTGTCGTATTGTAATGGCTGTCCGTGTTTTCGCCGTATTCGGCTTTGATATGCAAATGTTTTTTTACATAATTTACTGTTTGAGAATTCATTATCATAGATCGTATCATAATTGTCTTTGTAATCGTCAATTTTATTTGTGTTGTCTGTTTTTTGGCAAGATATTGTTGGCCTGTGTGAATTAAATCAATCGTATTAAAAGACGCTGTGGAATCGTGACTTCCGTCTGGCTCCAGTAGTTCTGAAGACACGTCGGCGAGTTGCTCCAGTCGATTTAAAAATGATTACGTATTTTGAGTGTCTGCTCATGGTATTTCGGTCTAGTACGCAATCACTTTTTGATTCTAATCGTAGATTTCGTGTGCACTAAACCTGATCACAGAAACGAAGGGTTTAGAAGTAAAGAATGATTTTTCGGAGCAGAATAGTTCAGAAACTTACGTAATAGGTGCTCGTATACGTTGATAAAAAGACAGTTGATGCGGACGAATTAATAAAGACCTCATGAAAAAACAAATATTTTTATTATAGAACAATACTTAAGTAATACATTACTTACAAGTTTAGCAGTAGTAATGTACTAATCTTACTACTCCAATGGAGATCTAGCGCATTTACATGAACGCAGTATTAAATCTGGACGATACCATGGTATGCCGTACGCGTTGTTTTTTGTGTGCCATGGATTCATTCCCCATCCACGATACGTACATATCGTGGATTCCACGATACCCACAATAAATTACTAGTACTTTGCGCTGCCAGCCAGAATGAAGAAACAACGAAATCCCTCTCTGGAACACCTAAAAACTGCAGCTGACATAAGAGAAGTGTCGTGTAAAAAAACCTGCAGTTTAAAAGTAACAAAGTTTCTCTGACTGGGGAAAATATTAGCCATGTCTGCAGCTGGATCAGGCGAGCGTGGATCCCGAGAAGCACGGGGAAGTGTGCAGACCGAACGACCACGACGCAGATCGAGACGCAGCAGTGTATCGGGAGATTACCCCCGACGAGCTTCGTATTCCGATCGCTCATCCAGGACACCCCTTGGAGACGAACTAAGACTCTTGGGATGGACAGTAGCGCCTGCGGTTGTTGCTCATCCACTCAATTATGCGCAAGTTCTGATGCAGGTACATAAAATTAATGATAATAACATATACTATATTTGCCCTTTGAGCGTGACTTGCAGAATGCACGCTAACGCGCTTCGGCCGACCTTTGCCTGTTTTCTAATATTCTATACTTCTGCGACTGAACTTAACTGATATGTACTTATACAAGAATCATACTTCGTAAAACGGCAATCTCCTGTTTAAATATATGTGTAATAATTACGAGACTATGAACAAAATGAGCGCTGGTGCAGGTAGCACTGACGGAAACAGTGTAAACAGTAAATTTTATGCTAACAAACACTATAAAATACGATTAAATGCTGCAAGCATGGAAAAACTAACCACAGTAATCATATTATAAACCGGTATTATCAATGACAAATTTTAACAGTTCTCGGATATATAATAATTATGTAGTTGTGAAATTTCCTGTCAGTGGTAAATACCTCGTACTGCAGCTGGCTTTAAAATGAATTACGTAAAAATCGCTTTAAAATCCATCGACACGGTAAATTCTAGTTACTGTATCTTATGTCTAGGTAGGATACGAGCCCTTTCCGCCTCGAATTGGGGAAGATTTCCTGGGAAGACCGGTAGCAAACTTGGCTTCGGTATTTGACTATTGTAAGTGAGTTCGACGTCGGTGATTCCCTTTTCCCAAACGTAAAACAGACCAGAGAGTACTGTTAATTGTTAATCACTACGAGTAAGTAATGAGTGTGATGAATTAATTACGGTTAGTGTAATTAATTCATCACTATTCGGCATAATGTCAGAAAGGGACATCGCTCATGACACAGCTGATTCCTCTACGCAGCGGCAGATTTTTTTTATGTTGAATTGTTTTGGTTCGCCCTAGTGGTGCATATTCGCGAGCATGACGGATATAAAGGATTGTTCCGTGGAATCGGACCCAGCGTGACGCATATTGTGGTTGGCATGTATGTAGCGCGTTTGGCAGAAAAGGTGACAGCATCTTTCGAAGTCATCATTCCATTTTGATTCTGCGTTGGATGCGATCTGTTATTTTTTTCAAACCATATTCTTATTTAGTCTAGCTGAATTTTATTTTTATTAATTCAGATCGTGAATTTCCTTTGGTACGAAGTCTTATTTGTGCGACGGAGTTCGAGAAATCGCGGGCGATTCCCATTTTCCATATCCAAGCTGGAAACAATGGGATCTTTGGTGGAAAACGTCATCCGTTTCGAACCAACGGAGAAGATCACCACTTCATCCTCCTATGGTCTGAAGGCGTTTGTTGAAGATGTAAAATGCATAAGCACCATGAATATCGGTTCTTTCCGTTGAATATTTTCATTGTGTATAGTACCGGACCACCGGTGTATGCTTTGCAGGTCATAAAGGAAAGTGCAATTGTATCGATTTCGACCGCCGTTGCCTGGCCGTTTCATGGTAAAAATTTAATACTTTTTTGTTATCAGAGTTGATTATCGCTTGGTATTGGCCGGAGACTTAAAACTACTTAAATACATATTTAAAATTATTTGTACTGAACTTTTTGTGCTACTGCTGTTTGCAGTTATCGCACTTCGGACAATGGCGCAATTCGTCGGCGGAGAGAAAATTTACAAGTATATCGTCATTAAAAAATCATTTTCTTTTTCACGGGGTGTGCTCTAATGGATACTTCAGTATATACAATTACTGACTTCAAAATTTTTGCAGTGATATTGCGTCTTCTATCCGGGAAATACTTATAAACGAAGGCTTTACTGGATTTTTTGCGTACGCAACGTGCCACTTTTGGCTTCCGCTATTCAGAATAAAAATACGATACATATTTGTTTTTAAGTGGCTTCATTTCATCGCATTCACTGAATACCGATTGTTTTTAGGGGTTTATTGCCGGGCTGGTTAAACGCTGTGTCCATAACCGTGCTGTCGAATTTGTTAGTTTACTCGTACACGGCAACGAACTTGAAAAGCCTAACTGGAATTAATTTGGTTCGATTAACGGCAGCTGTAAGTATGAAGAGGTGATTGCGATAAAACAACTGATTTGCAACATCTGAAAACTTGCGCAGGCTGGCATTTCCGAACTGTTTTATCCGCTGAGACTGGTCAGCCGTTTATCAGCAATCAGCGGTGCTCGTTTAGCTGCTGCCAAACCGCCATTCATCCCTAAAGTTTCGTATTCATACCAGTTGTATGAGCATATGAATCGCCATGTAAGTTATTTCCAAAGAACTGTGAAATTAAGTTTAACTTAAACTTGGATAGATTTAATGATACTACCTGATACTTGCTATGCTGACATGAAAGATGAAAGCACAATTCTTTTTCTGGTATTTTTTGATGTGTCTAGAATTGAAATATATTTGTAAAAATGGATGCGTATAGTAATAACTGCAGCAGGGATCTCGACAGCATTGAAGTGACCTTTTGAACTGTTTGCTTTGCTTTTGACAGGGCCAAGCGCGCCGAGGAAGCAATTTGTTTTATCGGCAAATGGCCATGCCGGAGTCGTTTGCTATGTCTTTTGACGTTAGAAAACCCAAAGATAGCGATGCAGCGCTGGCAAGCGATAAGATTTCTAAAAGATTCTTTTTTCCGTTTAGATTTTTACAGTGAGATACCTGTAGTGCTATCGTTATTCTATAATCCGTGCTCTTGATCTTTGTAAGCGGCAGTGGCATATCACGTTTGTTTTAACATTATACGAGTAACAAGCAAGCTGCAAGATCTGCTATGCTGTTTCTCTAGTGGACTGTGACGCTTGAAGATGTAGGTAATTATGATCTTGGGTCGTAATAATTAATTTGTGGATTGCTTGCCCAATTTACATCCGAATATTGTCCGAACTTGACTAGTACAATTTTTTTATTTATTATTCTACATACATTACGATAGCGATTGATTATCAAACAAGCAATTATACAATCTTCTCATAACAGCCCAAACTTTGCCTTAACATTATCAAGCAAGCGGTATATTTACCTGTTACCACTACCGCATGCAAAACGCAACAGTCTACCGTTAGCAAATAGCTATCAAACCGGTGAAGGCTACATACAATACCCAATTCCACAGTACGGTAAAAACAAGCCAGCGTCAAACAAAATATCTTCTGTTACATTACTTACATACCATCAAAGCAACGTAGCGAACGTCAAATAGGCATATACCGTAAAATTCCGAGTTCAAGCTATAAAAATAACAAAGAAACTACTAGGTCAAATAGGAGCTTTTTAGCGGAAACGCCTTGGAACTCGATGCAGAAGATGTCCTACTGGACGACAATCCTCCATGGAATGACAGATTCGATGAGCGGGACGAAGAAGATGATATCGACGACATATCCGGCAAACTCTCCACGTGTATATGCAACTTATCCCGAAAAACTCGTCTCCGAGAGATTTCTATTCCAAGTTCCTACGACAAAAAAATCTCAGCGTGTTGTTATATTTTCTTGCTGTTTGCTAGAGCACTAAACGATTTAGTATCCAGATTCAGAGTCAAATCGCTACGTAGAACAAAGAATTCGAATAATGAATCTCCGATTTTATCTATGACCTTTTAATTTGTTATTCAAAAGCATTTTGCTAACAAACAACCGTTGAAACTACGCAAAAGCACTGTTCACTTTGCAGATTTTTTTGTTGCCCTTGAGATACGAATAAATAATAAGTTACGTTTTGACATACAACCTACTGGTCTCCTACGATGTTTATATTAGCCTACTAGTTAAATATACAAGAAACTTCCGCTGGCGCAAAAAAAGTTTCTTCAGTCTTTCGCGTTTCAGGTAAAAAAATTAAAAAAAATGTGGATTTCATGATTAGTACTACAAAAACATGTACGGTGCCAGCTATGCATTAATGCGCTTTTTGCGCCAGCGGAAATAATATTACCCTATGTCAGAACAGGATAAGGTGCACGGAGGCATATCTGTATTTGTGATTGTGAGATGAACTGGATGACGGCAATGAGAACAGCATCGAAATCAAGTTAACGAAATGATAAAACACCAAAAACATGAACAAGCAAACTGCGCTAGGCTTAAATATTACTCCCGAAGGTGTGCGATGACTTATAAATGGTACAAGAGAGGCCAGATCCACAGTACATACTTCACGAATTTTTTCCTTTTCTTCAATAATTTTCCGATGGAATGCCAGCTGACGCGCTAATTCAAGAGCAACAGCTTGCCTGTCCTGGAGTTCGGCATTAAGATCTTTGTTATAATTAATGACCATCTCCAAGCCGTCTTTTGCGACGCTGACTAAACGATCCACCTCTTCTCGATCTAAAAGCACGCAAGAAAATGTGAAACAGCAGAAGGGTAGCATGCCAAAAATAACATTACGCTTCCGAGTAGTAGTGTTACAGAATTAATAAAGCTACAGGCAGATTATATACTCTTAATATTTTTCACCCCCATCAGAACGGGACAATATAATGACAGAATAACAAACGACCGCTAAAAATTGCATTTTACCCGACAATTTGTCGATAGCGTTCGGATCGGTAATAATCGCAGGGAGTTCCGCAATTTTAGACCGTATATCAGCATTGGCGGATGGGGCGTTCTGAAGTTTCTGAATTAATCTCAATAAGGTCTCCAGCTAGAAAAGAAATTTATCAAACAGAATGAATATTATGGCGAATAGTGGTTCAACCTTTGGAGTTTCCTCATCGCCCGTTAATTTCACTTCTTCATATTCCTCATCATCACTATCCAGAGGTTCGGGTGCGCGTGGTGGTTCGTTCTTCTTCACCGCGAAGGCCTGGAAATCGGCTTCAATTTTGATACGCTTCGGTAAGGATGCGGGCTCGGTGGACGGCGTTTTCGTCATCGGCGTGGGCGATGCGAGATCGTTATTAATATTCACGGTTTTCGAAGCGGAAACGATTGGCTTAGGAGGCGATGCGCTGGCAGTTCCCGCTGCATTCCATCAAAAAATTCTGCCCGTGCCCCTTAATAATGTGCAAAAAAATCAATTACCAATTATCTCATCCAGCCGCTTGACAAACGGTTCATCGAAGATGGCTCGCTCACGCCAAACGCTGACCAGTCGAGAAAGACTCTTTGCCACCTTTTCGTCCCCTTCGCTACCGAATACAAGGAGAAAACAAGGACAGATCAAACACAAAATAAATTTCTAGTACTTCAATTAATCGTTACCCTTTAGCGGTTTTAACCGCGGAATCCACCGCTTCGGGCAGCGCATTACGAAATTCGCCGTGAAATTCGGGTCCCTTCTTTCGCATGTTCTGAATGACATCGTTAGCAAAGTACAACAGCGTCAACTTTCGGCTGGCTTCTTTCGCTGTAAGCATGGTTTACCCTGAGTATTTCAGATCATAAAAAATATGAAGAAGATCAACCTGATGCGGATTACCTTCTCGCACTTCATCCATCCAGATGTTCACCATTTTCGCGTGGTGCTTTCGATGGTGTATCGCCCATAAGGATATCGTCTGGATGCTTTGCTGGGTATTGTTCAGATCCTTCAGCTTGCTCTTAAATGCACCCTCCGTAAAGGCTGTCATCTTAAAAATACAGTTTTACGCAGCAGTGAAAGCGCGATCAAAACAACACCGGAAGAGAATGGCTCTAGCTGACGTAAGGGAATTACATCCACAAACGATGCCGCGACTGTTTGTCAAGTGGGACCCTGAAAGTGATGGCCTGCGCGGATCCAGTCAATCAGTTAACACAACCTCGGCATCTTCGAGCGCTAACTGCCTCGGTTATGTTATCCGCGTTGTCGCATTAAACTTTATGATAAAAACTTATTGCTAAACCAGACAGTCACAGATCCGTCCCATGGAGATTTCTGATTAACCATTTCACTTGTTTTGAACCAAAACTTCCGAAAACTTTCTTGCATTAGTCATGATTAGTGCGTTGCACGTTTAGCGCATGCATGGCTTGAGTGCGTGAGACTGAGGTTGAACGAGGTTTATGATAACTGGGCCTCAAGCCTGAGGCACGTCATTAGTTTTTAAGGTTTTTTTTCTGTGCTTTTTCTTCCCCTGATACTTATTTTTAATACGTACTTCTACTAATAATAAATAAGTTAAATAAGTGATTGTGAGTACTGTTATGTTTATATTTTGTTATTAAATCGCAAATGCTGATAAACTTTGGGTAGTACGGACGGTACAAGAGCGTCTCTTTCTATCAGTTTTGCAGATTCGTTCCTCACCCTTTCACAGAATGTACCACAGTAACATGATGCTATGATAAGATAATTATGTCTGCTGCTGCGAAAACTCATCAGCCTCTGTCGCCTCGGAAGATCGAACTACTGGCAGATTCTTGGCACGAATATGCCACGAAGCTCCAGACCAACGAGCTATCCCGCCATGAAGCAGCGCGCAAATCCATCGAAAATCCTGTGCCTACGTTTCCGGAGATGTACCATGAAATGATGCATTCAAACAACTGGCGACCCTTAATAGCTCAGGAAAATAAGTATGCTGTCATCCTCAATGAAAGAAAGGGAATGGGTGCATCCTTACTGGCCAAGGTGCAGTCTACGCAGAGAGCTGAATTTCAGAATTTTGTGCGGGCTGAATACGCCAATATGCTTGCTGCACGCAAACCGAACAAGAAGCAGGAAATGAAAAAGCAAGAGAGCCAAGACTTCCGAGAAGACGACATCGATTTTCTTCCAGATGAAGGTAAGGTAAATTTAATTAAAAGCAAAAATAATATAATACTGGTGCTATTAAATATTTTATTTTTTGCGATTGCATTAGAATAAGTGTCAGGTTTTAAGCGGCATCAGTGTAATATAAATAATAAATTAAATTAATCTATAATTTTGTAGAATTCCGAATTCGAGCGAACAGCAGTGAACAGTATTTGTGCATTGGCATATTTTGTTGTCCAAGTCATATAATTACATTACGGCTTCTTCCTTTACATTTAGTAAATGATTTGCAGTTTTTATTATGACATTTTCTTCAAATATAATTTTGCAGGCGACCTAACGATGGCACCTTCACGGCGCGAAGGAAGTTACACCGTGCACTTGGGTGGTCAATTGAAAAAAGTTATGAATGTACGCTTAATCGCCGCGGAAACACTAAGTTTCATGAAACGCGATTTGAAAACGGCTTTTTTCGATCCGCTTCGCTTGCAAACTTGCATGAATCTGTATGCTAATAATCTGCAAGGCATGGTGCTAATTTTGGATGAATGGGATGTGTGGCGGGGAGTATGGAAAGACATCAGCCAAATCTGCGCCCTATGGCCGGAGCTGCATTTCGATAGTTTGGAAGATCAGCTGTCACATGCTCGGGCTTTGAAGGAAAAATGGGAAAGCGGGGACGTTCTGACGACAAAACATAGTAATTTTCTTGAAGTACATGTCCTCTTTCATGTCTTACTGACGGGGAACAAGATGGACTCACTGGAGTCGGAGGACATCAATGGTCGGCATCCGGCCATATTAGCGTTGCGAAATGTCATGCGACAGGTATGGGATTTTGACCTGTCAGTGATAACTTTGCCGCTGTTCCTCCTGCGACAGTACCATGGATTTATGACGTCGGCATGGTGTCAGAAGAGGGCCGAGTTGGTGTTCAAATGTGTCAAGGGATTTATGATTGAAATGTCCAGCTTGGCAGATGATGAGGAGAAGGTTGTGCAGTTTTTATTACCGGATAATACACCGGAAAGTATTTTTCAGGAGATGAATGAAATGGTCACTACAATCTTCCGCAGTCCCAATGCCACGATTCGCTCGCCGGTGAATATGAGCGAAAGAAACGGTTCCAAGAACTGATTTTGTTTCGGATGTTGTATTATGTGGAACAAATTTAGTTGCTACTGTGACCGGCTTAGTTTCGGCAGTTCGGATAGAAGTATGCGTGTGGAGCATATTTCCATTTGTGATCTAATTTTTTTAGCAGGTTTGAGTAAATTAATCTGTGCTTTGTCCGAAGTGTTTTACCCAGACTGTGTTTACGTGTTGTACTTCTTGTTGAATATGTGTACTTCTTACCAATGTACGAAAGTACGAGTACGTACCTACCTGTGATTGATTTTTCAGAATAATTCTGATAGATTTCGATAAATTCTACAAGTGTAGCCGGCTGAAAGTTTTTTTCGCTGGCATTATTAAATGGTACAAAACTATCAAATTATGTAATGCAATTGCTTGTCGGCAAGAGCTGTAGCTGCAACAATTTGTGCTGGTCGACTATGCGTTCAGAAAAACATAGAGTATTTCGGGAGCGGGATTTACCAGCATCTTCGCGGGGATGCAAACAACGATAAATACAGTAATCCCAAAATTATACCGTTTTAATTTTGCTTAAGGAGAACATGTGAAACTGTTTTCTGGTCGGATCCGAACGGCCGACCCGACCGAATGACTGAAACTGTCTGTAGTTATATTAGACTATAGTTATACAAAGTATTACTTTACACAGATTATCTTGCTCAGCACTGAATTTCAGCAAAAAGCTTTTATCCGTAACACAATCGCATCGCACAACTGTATTACGGCTATCAAGATTAATTGCTGCAAACTGCTTATTCATTATTACAGTAGTGATTTTAATCCGGATGGCACATTTGCCGATCAGTGTTTCCGGGCATTGTCATTGTGATTGTGGCCCTGATGGTGATGGTGTCGATCTTGGGTTTTATGCTTTTTGTGTACGTCATGCGAATGTTTCTCTGCAGTCATTCGATGTTCCTTTGCTTCCTTATGGTACATCTTGAGGGAATTATGGTTGTCAGACGAAACCGATATAACCGACGCTGTTCTTTGGTGCACCACCGTCTCTGGATAATTTCCCCCGCATTTACAGTAGTTACAGCATCCGAAGCACGACGCAATGACCGCCGATACAAACAGCACGAAATATATGGCAAACAGTGCACTCCGCAAACCCACCAGAATACGCCGGTCTTCCGCTAATTCCGCAGCAACCAGCGGCGGTAAAGTCGAAGTGGTGATGACCTCTGGAGATAAAGTAGTCGTGCCGACTTCCAGGTTTAATTGCGCCGAGTGACTGACACGGTTGACAAAGGCCAGTATAGTGTCCCAGGAGGCCACGAATAATACTAACATGGCGGCGGACGCACAAGCCATGCCGAAGGTTTGGATAGCTAGGAAAACGGTTAAAACGATGTGGATGACGTGGAAACATGTTCGGAATCCGTGGGTAAATTTTTTCCTTATGGAAAGCAATCCATTGATGCCAGTAATCTGGGAAAAAATACTAACGTAGATCCCGGCGTATTCTGTACCGTGCAGCGTTTCGTTGGAATTTGCACTGGTCTGGTACAGTACAGAACCTGGTTTGGCCAAACAAAATTAGCACATTTTATGTCGAGTGGTCTTTTGGAACCTTGATAATTCTAGGCTTTCCATAAAATGTTAAAAGAGTTTGGGAAATCCATATGAAAACATGAGTAGCGAACACTGATAGTTAGGTTATTTGTTTAAAGGTCACCAATTCCGCAAGTGATCAATACTTCATTTCAAACTTGTACGAGCGAAAGCCATTTACACTTAAATTCAAATGTAATATATTTTGCAAGTTTTGTGACATTACCGATAGCTTCAAAATTCAGGATAAGCATTCCGGCAATGATTTGCATCCATGACAAAATTGCAATTCCTAGCCCGAATCGTATCTTGTGATGATGGACAGTACCGTTATGTTCATAATGCTGGGATTCTCCGTGCTTTACATGCGTTGTATACTGAAGGTCGGTGTGTTTTGGATGAGGACTTTGTGCTGCATGGCCCGTGATATGCGTATGATTATTAGTGGAGTGTCCAGACATTCTTACAGGAATACGGTACAGCACAATAAAACTGCAGTATGGTCGATTAGAAACTGCAGACGCGATACATGAATGTTAAAAAGACAACATTAATTAATTAAAAGTGTGAACAACAGTCCGTCTTAACAAAATAATTGTAGCAAAGAATACAGCCAAACCAGTTTTGGGTTGAATTGTATATATAGGCAAAGGACACCAAAAAATAGTCACAGAAGAAATCATAAATCGATATATTTAAAAACTGCAAGATGTGGTTGGCACCGTAAGCTTGCGCGTAGCTATATACCTGTGCAGGTAGAATATCTGTTCTGTACAATAAACGGGATGAAACTCTATCCTTGATTTGTGTTTAGACTGCAAGTTGTATTCGACACTGCTCCGGTAAAGTTTGTCTTTGGTCAAGCCATAACAAACATCTTCCAGTCGGCTGCCTTATAGCTGCTTCATAAAGTATTGTCTAAATCTTCTGTGCGTCAGCGCATTGTGACTTAATTTACATTTGGCTGCGACAAAAACATGAAATGGTTAAGATTACAAGGTATTACCAAAGGTATGCCAAGGATCGATTTTCGACGGTTGATTTAAACAAGCATACGCGACGCTGTGTTGACTTGTTAGGTAAACGTTCATAGATGTGTACTTAATTAGCGGCAACGTCACGCCGCTACGTAGAAGCCCAGCGAATACCAAAAGGTCGATAAAAAGTCATTGCTTTCTGCAAGTCTTCAACTGCAACCTGCATACGTGCGCAACGTTAGTTTGCAGCATCAGTCGTAATGGTAAGTTAGACAAATAAATCTGACGATATCGGCCAAGTAATGCTTAATAAACTGCTAAACCGATTATAATTTTACAAAGCACAACACCGAAAACGTCAGTTACTTATCGTCATGTTTTCTCGTTTCTTTATCCGTTCTTTTGTCCCGATGCTTTTTCTCATTTCTGTCTGTCTCATGCTCCAAGGTCACGCTAAGATGTGGCGGGTATACCGTCGCTATTCTGTCGCTTTGCAACTGCAGTGTCTGTTGACGCATCCAGCATTTACAAAAATTGCAACACCCGAAACACGAGGCAACAACAGCCGAGGCAAATACCAAGAAATATAATACAAATAATGATCCACGCACGCCGGTTAGCAATACCCGATTGGTGTCTATTTCGGCTTGAATGTTAGGCGGCAGTGACGAGGTCATGGTGGTGGTAGTCGTAGCGAGCGACAGCGGAATATCCACGGTTTTGCTCACTCTGTTAACAAACTCCATTATACTGTCCCAGGATGTTGTTGTCAGGACAAGAGTGGCCGCTAAGGCGCAACTCATGGCAAAAGCCTGCAGGGCAAGGAAGGTCGTCAGTGCACTGCTGATCATGAACAGGTAACGCCGGAGACTGACGGGAAGGCGGTGCCGTGTTCCCACGATATCAAATGTTCCGGTCAGAATTGAAAAGAGCCCAACGTACACGCCGGCGTAGTCGATTTCTTTCAGTGATCCGCGATTGACCATTGATAAAACAGAACCTAATTATACACTTCTTTTACTAATAAGTACAGAGCGCAGTATATGTTTAGATATATCCACATGGGCAGTTGATCAAACAACTGTTTTCAAATATTTGTATTTTCTTCGAAAGAATTAATTTAGGTTCCTGAACGTAAATTATTTTAATCATCATTTACTTAACGCTGAGACAAAGTATATATATATATATATATATATATATATATATATATATATATATATATGAGTAATCCGCGGGTTGCTTTGTTACAATATGTGATATGCGCTTACCTATTGCTTCCAAGGTAAGAATCAATAACCCACCAACAATCTGCACCGCTGCCAAGATTAAAATACCCGGTCGATATTTGACGACCGGTTTAATTTGCGAAGTGGCCTGGTGTGCGAGATTACGCACGTGGTGCACGTGGGGGCGCTGAAACCTGGATGGGGATGGCGTAACGGCGTTGTGAATTTGACCGGGCTGATGCTGATGTATAGATCCCGACATCTCTAATGACTACATGATGTAAATCAGAATAGGGATACCAGATTTTATCGCCACTGTTTTACCATTTTTATGTAGAGAACATTGTATATGCTCGATACATCAGTCACTGCATAATTGAATTTCATGTTTCTCGCATGCTCCTTATTTATATAGCTTTCGCATATACGGAGGTTGGCGTGCCACGAACAGTTTTCGATCTTTGGTTACGCTGCGCCATCGTTCTCCTTGTTTTTTTTTAAAGGAACGTGCTTCGTATGATAAGCTGAATGTTGACACTTTTTGGTTTCATTAATATATTATTTGGGCAAGAAAAATGTGGCGGATTTTATAAGCGTCAGAGCAAAGCGTTTCTTCCACAGAATGTAAATAAAATTATTTTTACACTTGTATCGATGTTTGTATTAAAAATGTGCGTAGAAACGGTAATACCGACTGTATGCATTAGCAGCAATTGATATGGTGCTAACCCGAGTAAAACAGCTTGTAGGAAAAACGTCAGTTTAACGTGTAACTACTGCTAGGTGAACGGATGTGTGTCAATTTTAGCCGTTTTCCAACGTTTAGCTAACGTTTTTTTTGCAGGTTGTTTTACTCGGGTAAACGAGTACAGCTTCCACACTGACGTAACCTGATTTCAAATTAAAAACTTGAATTAGATTACAAATGACGTGAATTAGATTACCATGCGACTAAATGCCCATTTAATTGAACAGAAAGAAGGTAATGAGAAGGCCACAGCAAAAAACCAGATAGCAAAAAATTAACGTTTTGTGTGACCTTTGCCAATATAGATCATACATGCGTATAATTAAAGGAACACTTTTGGTGGTTGGGGCAAGTACTTGCCCCAACCACTAGGGACACTAGTGTCCTTGCAAGGACACTAGTGTCCTTGCATTGGCAACGATTTGGCTCAGGTGGAACAGAATCCTAAAAACATCTTATATCTTGGTTTCCTGATTTCTGTCATGGCTCCTTGATTCCGGTCAACCAAAAGGTGGCAATGCGGCCTTTGCCCTGTCATTACAAGAATGGCATCATGTTCCGCGAGCAAAAGCGACGAAGAAGAAGATGTACCCAAAACGGAAATATCGTGTAACGCAACATAATACGCAAAATACCTTTACTTCCAAGTCTCCTCGAAAATCGAGAATGAAATTGTTCTTTTCGGCTAATGTGGCAGCGGAATCACTTAAATGGATTTTTGAAGGCTGACCATGGCTTTCCATCCGGCTGGCAGTATTTACAGCATCACCGAATCTACAAGCAGTCAATTCTATCCCGGCAGTATTTAATGCATCACCAAAGCATAATAAAAATTCGATAGAAGGGTAAGTTATTGCCGTTGTCTAGGTGTGCAAGAAGAATGAATGGTTCATTCGTTCCTCTTGCACACCTAGGTAGAGCAACGGCAATGGGTGAGCATAATCAAAAGCTGTATTGTATAAGCATGATTTTATACATACACATTTAGATAAATTGTTTTAGTGGTGACCATGAGCCATCACTTACAAACAATATCGCGGTGATTTGGTTCCGATTACTCCAGCGGCAAGAGATCCTAATGAATAAAAACCATTGAAAAAACGTTAAAAATCACCTGGAAAAGGTAACTCGTGTTATTCAATAAGACTGCTGGATCACTTTTATTTTTGACTATCAGTATTTACTAGTATTTTACCGGTATGAATTCCTATCCGCAATTGCATGGGCAAGCGAGTCTTTAAAGCACCAAACGCCTTTTTTAACTGGAGAGCCATTAAGCAGATTTCGGTAATATGGCGAGTACCATTTCGCTTTGGCAAACCACTGACTACCTGTTAAACGGTGTGTATCGGTATATCAAAGTTATAGGTTTCTGTACGTATTCGGAATGTTAATTTACATGCGGTAAAGCGTCTACTCGTATGGTGTATTAGGTAGTGTAAAATGTTTTACATGCAGTGTTTGCCACATTAATCAATCAGATGCGTGATTGTAAGAATTATTGCGTCAATGTGAGCACAACCAAAAATATCCGTGTGCCTTTTATGTTTGTAGTAAATATAGCACTCTGACCACGTATATATCTCCAATGGTTTCCACTTTGTATACTCCAAACAGCTCAATTTCTCGGTCAAAGTAAGAATATACCCCGTCCAAAAAGGCCGAAGTTTCAGTGGGCGTGGATGCTCGAACGAAATCAAGAAACCCAAAAATACTGCTGAAGTACACAGATGCTGACTCGAAATACTCTGGAAGAACCGGCTTCCCATCCTGCAGCCGCCGCAAAATTTCTCTGCAAGCAGGGAGTCGCATTAATGCTACTATTTTTAAGTTGCAACGTTTGCTGAAATTTGACAATTAACAGTGCAAAGTTAGTTCGGGAATCTGAATAACATTTTTCCTGGTGACCTTTACCTTGGAAACATTTCACCCAGAAGCTTTTCACACTTATGCCGTTCGACGGCTAAGAGCTTTGTGCTGTTTTGCACTTGTGTTTCCAGTGTATCTGAATAAGCATTCAATCGCGCCATCACCCGACCAAAAAACGACAATTCCGAGATTCCGTGAAACATCAATACTTTGGTCAAGCGCTGCACCAGAATTCCTGCTGATGGTCTGTGATGTGGGTTCTCTTCCCAACACGACTCAAAAAGCATAATCGCATCTTGCGACAAATTAGCACAATATTCTCGATCAGTAAATTTTGGCCGGAAAGAAGGGGTGGATCTTTCGCGTATAAGCGCGAGCGCATCTGCAGAACATCAGTCGACATTTTTAATAATTTAATTGCACATTTAAACTTGCTTATCAATTAGGCTAGTGTCATACCTGATGCATCGCTTTGTGCGTATTCATACCGAATGCCAAAAGGTTGTGTCTTGCAGAGCAGACAATGTGAAATTATTCCAAAGGCATAGATGTCACTGTGCTCGTTAGGCCTATCACTTCCGCGTAACACTTCAGGCGGCACAAATAAAAACTTCAAAATTTCCATGTTGGTATTTGCGTTGCTCACTCTACTATCCCTGTATTTGTTCATTATTCTGGATTTGGCAATGAGTTTCATAATTGTTTCGTTGCCCAGATCAGATATCTTTAGTGCCAAACGGCTGTCCAGCAAGCACTTTGTAGTGCGCAAATTTCCGTGAAATTTTATCTTGGTTTTATGAATGTATTGCAGCCCCTAAAAATTGGCATTGAAAGGTAAACAAATCAACTGCATGATAAATGAATGAATAGGCAATTTGGCTAAGCCGGTATGCATACACCAAAAACAATGGCCGACCTTGAATGACAAAATTTACCTTTGATAAAATATTTCTCGTACGTAACCGTCTAACCGTTGAAAAAATACGCGCAATTTATAACTCAAAATCAGTACCGATGCCAGATCTGCCAATAATGAAAGTTTCAAATCCATGTCAGGATTGTCCATGTGGTCAATAAGGTCATTTAATGAATGCCTTCTGCAGTACGGCTCGAATATGGCAGCCTGTGGCAATTCAGTGCAAATCCCAACAAATTCATTTATGTTGTCGCTGTTTATTTGCTTGAGCTAAAAAAAATTGGGCAAAAATAAGTTTGTGTGCGCTCTATGTATTTACAATTGTTACAATAAGCAAGAATATGCTTTAGTCATGGCACTCCAACCACCAGTAAATTAGTAAACACGGAGTTCACCGGCATATGCTCATGCAATCCACAGAGAACATATATTCATATATTTAAACAAAAGTTATAGCTATTTTTACCGTAAATATTTATATTAATTATAGATCGACTAATTCAAGGCCTTACATACTTCATACAGGTACTGCAGCAAATGCCACGACATGGATGCCTTTTGGCCGAATCTCCAGTTAGGGACCACGGTTGCCCACATTAATTGTCCATTATGCAATTTGGAAACTCTGGGGTTGTTATGCCCACTATTAAACGCACTTAGGTTTACTACACTGTTGGATGCATATGTCTTCTGATGGTCGTGAGCTGTCTTTGGCGCCCCGGTATCCGAAAGGTCAACAATATCTGTCAACGAAATTTGCCACCACGGTGATTCAACGAACCGCCAACGCTGCCAAGCCCTAATACACACACATAATTATAACTTTATAAGGTTTTTGAATAGTTTTAGAACAGGATTGTTCATAAACTAATATTGCTAAGCGTACCATAAAGCCCAGAAAGCCAGAAGGATGACAGCAACACAGGACGAGGCAGCGGATACTGGAATAGTCATGTACGAACTGTCTTCTAGAAATGTATTAAATAGAGATGTTAGTTCTCGCGCATATATCCCCTTACAGCATAGAGATTGGGTAAAATCACAGTTTACAATTTTGAAATTTTGCATACGTTTATTACAGGAATCGTTCCTATATCCACAGCGTGGTGTATTAAGAACTGGCCAAATTCCAGACGGCCAAACTTCACTCACGTTCCTCAAAGTGAGCATCGTCCTGTTTTGATGTGAATATTGGTGCGAGCGCTAAACAGTTGCAGAAAAGGCCAACAATATTTATTGTCCCGTATATCCTAAATATTACATCACATATTTCTGTTTATAATGATAATTTTAATTCATTAATGTATGCGTAACCCTACACAATTATGCTGTACAGTGGACACTAGTCACACTACGTACAGTAAAGTTTCCAGAGTCTGGGTCCATTACAGCGGCTGCGATGTCTACCATTCGTTCACCCAGTTCATCGATAAAAAGTGGGCCGGTTGACAGAACGAAGGTTCTATTCAGAAATCTTTTGGCAAACTCATAACCGTCTTTCAAACTGCCATTAGATTGTAGTGTTTCGTTTAAAACCTGAAAAAAATATTGCAGAACATTATTAACATAATTATACTTGTTACTTGATACGTAGTAATAAGTATGGGCTACATACGACTACACACCTCCGCAAAAAGTTGGTACATCTCATAGCTTGGATAAAGATTGGAAGGAATCTGAAACATAACAGAATTAATTAATTATATTATTATTTTATAATTAACAAGCACCAGGTTACTATAATTAATTATATATCTATATGCATGGTTTAGGTATTAATTGTGTAATAAGTACTGCTATCGTGTCAGCATTTGTACAAGTATGGAGTAGAATAAGCTTCCAGCAGAAATTTCCTTGTTTACTGTTAGCCGCTGTAAGCATCAGTTTCGCAATGAAATGACGCTCACCATTGATAAATTTAAACATGAAACATGAATGAAATTATAGAGAAATGCAACACATTCACAATCAGTACCGGAACACGTACAGAGCGAGGCATAGTTAAACCTTATAATAATTACCATGTTATTCGGATAAGTAAAATTGTACTTTTCGCGAGCCGCCTCCATTACAGCTAAACGGAAACCAGGCACTGGGTCTTCAGGAAATTCAATCACATGAGAGATCAGAACGACCGAGCGAAAAGCCTCGAATACGACCTGAAAATCATTTAGCTGTGTCAGATGCTGTAAAACCAGAAACTAAAGTTATTAACATAATCAACTTATTCTTATATTAGAAATTAAGTAAAATACGCACTTAACTAACAATTTCGGAATCGGATCCAAGAATTTTTATGTTCATAGATGTACGTATATTATATGTCGAAGTACCATACCGGATCATCGGCATCATTATACTTCCAAGAATAACTATCTTGCAACGCTGGCGGCAAACCCTGCATTTGCAAAATTGGAAATAAAAAGACGTAGTCTCCATTTGTCAAATTTTGCCGGTAAGCTTCGATCTGCCAATATTTCAGAGATTAATGAAAAAGATTACTAATTTATGAGGTCCAAAAAGATGCGGTAGGGAGTACTGACAGTGCAATCTTATAAAGAACAGGCGGGCGCCTCTCATAACAATATTCTAAATTGTACCATAATTTTTCGAAATCTTTGTCCTGATCCAAATATAAATACGACTGCAAAAGACAAACACAGATAAAGCTGCACTGCATCAGCTGTTCTGACGAGCCGGATAGAAAATTACCTCGACTAACTTCGCTGATAAGTTTGAAAATGTGACGTAGCTCATCAACTCCTTTTCTTTGGTCATAACTAAACCGGGTGTAGTAAATGTCTGGGCCACTTTTGAATCTCATGGAGAACTGTTCATCCATTGCTCGATTCATAGGCACGGTAAAAAACGAAGACTCATCAATGATGGATGCAATAGAGGTCCATTTGTTGTCGGTGAAAAATCGCTGACAGAATGCAATTAATGCAGTTAGTGGATACACGGAAATTGAAATGAACTGACGATCTTTTTCTTGATTCGGCCCATTTCCTAGGCTATAATTATTAGAAGACGAACTGATTAATATAGTAACAAAACTGGCAAAACTTCACATCTAATGATACCATGCAGATATGGTATATAAAGCATAAATTCATAAAAGCACATGCATGCATGAAGTCTCACTCCGACATAAAGGTAACAAATAAAATTACTACACCTAGTTAACTACTTACATAAAAGCTGCGTTGAATTTGTTTTTTCAATGTGTGAACTTGAACTTTTTAAGTACAGTAGTGTCTACCATCGCAAGCTTGTTGGTATGTTAATTGGCTATTGCCTGAATAAAAACATTCTGCAAGTGATGTACAAACTATTTAAACTTTCACATTTTTATAAATTTCTGAACGATGATTTAACAGTAATGCTACGTTTTTCGATCGATTCAACATAAATTTTGATATAAACCGCAAAACTAATTAAAAGAACAAAATTTAACAAGTTTGGTCTAGCAACAACGCAACAGCTTGCAGTGATACAGTGCATGAGATTGTTTACTGTGCTCACCTGCTTATTTGGAATGTCTTTAAAGCTAACAACAAAAACAAATGTGAAATGCATTTGTCACTTATAATCAGATAAATCAATCCATTACTTATGCTCGTATTTTGGTCCCGTTCTAGCTGCAGTTAAGTTAGGTAACTGGTCTAATTAATTACAATATTTAAACACCTTTTTTATTTAAATATCTAATGATAAAATATCTAATGACAAAATATCACACTTGTATTAGTACCAAAGAGATCAACATATTGGTCAGTTGCAAGTGTGGACATGCTTGCTTAAACTTTGGAAAACCAAACCTTACGCTTTTACATAATTTAATATCCGTATATTTTTAAAGTTCATGAACAATATACATTGTGTTGTTGGAAACTACCAGTTTAATAACTGACGCCGGCTCTTTGCAGTGATTCACTCGATTAATCTCAGAACTACGTAGGTAAAACATTCAAGAGTGTATGACGGGACTTGCAAACTTGCCTCTTGTCATCTGAACTTCCTGTTCCACGGATCTAGAAGCTGAACCAAATAAACGTTAACATACCCCTATAATACGGAATTAATAATACGTCTGTACAAGAAAATTTAAAGATGCTTGGAGTAGATGCATATGAACATCGTAGCAGGAGGCCGCACTGACCAGTGGTGAGTAATACTACTCATGATTGCTGACGATAATTACCGCTCATTAAAATTAGGAACAAAATATAAGAACTATTTCTGGAGAGACTTACACCCTCCCAAGAATGCTATCATGTCAGACGAGTTTTCGTGCTCGAAAGTGTAATTGGCAACAAAGTTTTCCACATCATCAGCCAAAAGTACTTCACTTCTCCGGTCGTTCTCCAATAAATATGATTGGGAAATATTAACAATTCCATCAAAGCGTTTCTTCAGTTCTGCCAATCCTTTATCCATCAACGGCCCACAGAAACTCAGTCCCCATACTTCCGGGAGAGCACTACTGTTGATAGTTGGCGAGCCGATCCTGATATTGTACTTCCGAGAATCCACCAGCGTATGCATTGATAATGTCATTAAAAATAACCACATGATTATGTATAGCTTATATAACACATTTACATATGAAGAGGATTGCCGGAAACCGGTCGATCTCCTTCTCGCAAAATCTCGTAGAAATAAAAAACGTCGTAAAGTGAGATTCTTACACAGAATAAGTGTGATATTATACATTCTATATGACATTATCACTTAATTTTATTGCGAGATCGGAGATCAGTGGGGGATGAAGCAATACGACTAATACAAGGAAATGCGTAGGTTGTCCGCGCCGATTCCATTTCACAACAAAGACAATCTCAGAAAAAGTGAAGCTCGCGGACCGTTGATATAATAGAAGTATCGGTCCGGTGATGCTGTACATGCTGCACTTTTCAAAATCCATCACCCACTATTTCTTATCTTTGATGTCCGTCAAAATGTTAATGTACAACGCCCCTCGATTGTATGGTAATTTCAGGCTTTTTACGTAACTCTCTAACTGCGTATCCCTTATTCCCAAACCAGAATCAGACAGTGCTGACCATGTACGTACGCCATAAGACATTGACTAAGGCATTAAAATACTATTGTACAACTATTAGTGTCTAGTATAATATGCACAGCACATCGACTCCAGCGACATGTGAGTTGCAACAGCACCGACGGGAACTCAATCAATAGTACTCAGTTTTGTAGAATTTCCTGTGGATGTTTGTACAAAGGTCAGGAAGCAATTAATTCGCCCATACGAAAATTAAGCGTTATTCCCAGTTCTCGGAATGCGGTACGCACTATATAGGCCATTTCATTCTATTGCAACGCTCGGCGTTATGAACCGTGAGCTAAATGAGCCTAAATCCATCCAGAAACATGTTCTAAATACGAAATTGTAAAACCCTCCAGGTTATTCATCAACAGTTTCTATAGCCTGTGATTAGTAAACCGAAAGAAAGCTCCGTAACGTTGTCGTCTGGTCGATACTCCCAGTGATATAAATAATACTGGCTAAGGTAAGTAAGACGCACAATGCCGATAATTATTATGCACAGTGGCCTTTTGTATTTAAAACAAATAAATAACCTATCTGTACTTCTGTACTCAGTTTAATACGCTTGTTCGCAAAATCACGATATCTAATGACAAAATGCCAGATTTTGAATCAAGAAATAGCGTAGTAGTTTGTATGTGTAACTGCCGCATACAGCGCTAGCAGTATTCGTAACGAATAGTGAACAGCAAAGAATTAAAGTTAACGATGACGTTGTATTGTCCAAAACAAATATTAAGAGAATCGCTCAAGGCATGTAAGATTTCGCAACATCGAATGGGAAGATCGCCAAAAAGCTATACAGTGTAAACTGACTTTTTGGGTGAAGTACGGTTGATGTCTTTCAGGGCAGGAATACGAACAGGCCCACTGTGATGGGAACGCATTTCCAGCTCACAGTATCGTGTTTCGTGGAAGACCAATAATTTATTAGTAATTTACTAGCGTCGATCCATTAAAAACACATCTCCAGTACTCTGGGAATTAAGGGCGATGATGGATTCAGTAACACAATAGTATGAGTGACGTAGTACTCTAGCTAGAAAGCTGCAACACATACATAATCTGGTTCCCAATGTATTTTGTACAGGAACCTCAACTTGAGCGTACAGTCCACCGCTGAAAACTAAGTAGACATTATTAGACTGGAAACCACTATAAACATGTGTACGGGTTGGGCAGGTTATTATTGATCGAGCTTTTTGTCAGAAACATTACCATCTGACGTCAGCCAAGAAGCGCAGTGACCTGTATCATTAATTAAGGTCATAGACAAATAGCGAAACCGGCTTTTCTGCCACCTGGTAAAAAGTGACGATTCCCATTAGGATGCAGCTCCAGGGTTTAAAAAATACGGACGTAAGGGAATGAACGTTCAGCAAAAACGGCGCATCCTTTTCCATGCCTTGCAGACAAGTAGTAAAATTAACAGGCACGGGAGCTTTCCTGTCTCATTGTAAGCACGAATGGGAATTAGTAAATGCCTCTCTTTGACAATTGAGAGCTTCTGCTGAGTACGGAATTATTAGGTTTGTTACAGTTTCCGTTGACAGTTTCCCGCTTTCTCGTTGACTGGTGCGGAGTACCATTATAACCTAATTGCAATTATTGCGTACTAAAGAAATCGCGCACTCTGTAGGGAAGATAAAAAAATACATACATACCGTCAAGAGTTAAAACATTCGCTCAACAGCAGTTTCACTCTAATTTTTTTAAATGCGTGATCTCCGAAATAGTTGTTGTTGTTGCCAGTTGCCAGATTATACAGCAATAAATAGTTGCCAGATTATACAGCAATAAAACAATACGGCAAGTTAGTTAAAGCGCTGCCATTGTTAGTGAAAGTATCAGCTTTTCCACACAACAAAATCCTCATCACTGAGCTTTTTCACAACGTATCGTTTTGCACTAAGCGGTGAACCGAAGAGTATCCCTTTTAATTTTGCATACATCTTTCTGCACACCGGTTCGTAGCTTGCAATTCCCAGTTCCGCTGCCAACTGGTCGATGTACGGCCACAATCGGTCATCCATGGTGTGCGCTTCGTGCTCTCGTAAGCCGGCTTTCATTCTCTCTTCATACTCCATGTCCGCTTCCTTGAGCATTTCATCCAGACTGGGAAGAATAATGTCGCCCTTAAGGTTGGCTTTGAAGTATTTTACCTGGTAATCCAGAACCGGAGTAAAGACAGACGTTCGGCAGATGTAAAGGAAGGCCATCGTTGGGTAATAGCAGTTAATTAAATGGTGGTACAGCGGAGTAATACGACCACGACCGATTGATAAACGGCATTTTTCGTGGATAAAAGGACAATTAAAATCATAGCCCGTGCAGAAAATGACGCTATCAATTTTTTCCACGCTACCATCGCTTAAGATGCACGCATCGGTAGTTAAGCTATGGATAGGCGCTGTTTCTTGGATGTTGTGAAGTTTAATCGGGAACAAATCTTTCGGCTGACGTCGGCAGATTATAATCTGCAAGTTCGACATTAAAAATTAAAAATACTGTAAAAGCCAGTTCTTGCATAAATCAGAAGGAATTGGTGTGTAAGAGATAAGTAATATCTTTAGGTCTACAGTTAAAAATTGGTCATACTTATTTTCTTTGCATTGCACCATAGGGAATGCTGCACTTGTATTCCATTTCTGAAATACGAGCGCCGCATTTTTTTGGACTAACTACGTAGTAACATGCACATATTTACAAACAAGTCAAACACTAACCAGGGCCCGGTCACCGGCTCCCGGCTCCGAAAAATTTTATTTTTTGCAGGGAGACAGGGTAACCATTGGGTATACTTAAAAAAATAGTTTGATCGGCCATGGTTTAGTGGGCGTGGCTAAACTTAATTCCAGTGCATTTATGCATGCAGCACTATGTATTGAGAATACCGTATTAGTGTAGCGTACAATGTCAGAAATTTGCAACAGATACGTGTTATCAGTAGTCCAGTCATTTCCAATTCTTCTAAAAATTACTGCTGTTAATAACCGGGAAGAATTTAACAAAAATATGAAACTAGTGAGTAGGGATAACGAGTATTGTACTTGTGCCAACAAACATGTGTGATACTCTGTCGCGGGGCGTATTCCCATCACACATTAGTGCACTGTACTATATAATTCTTTTTGGTTATTAACAGCAGTAATTTTTATAAGAATTAAAAAGGATCTGACTACTGATTAGTGATCACACGTACTTATTGGTCAAAGAGATCTGACATTGTACAATGTACGCTACACTAATACGGTATTCCCAATACATAGTGCAGGATGTATTAATGCACAGGATTTAAGTTTAGCCATGCCCACTTTACCATGGCCGATGAAAATATTTTTTTTAAGTACACCCAAGGGTTACTCTGTCTTCCTGCAAAAAATGAAATTTTTCGGAGCCAGGAGCCGGTGACCGGGCCCTGGTAAGATTCGAGCTAACTGGTAAGCATAGTTCTCCAACAGCCCGTCAATAGGTATATGGTAAAATATATAATCGTAATTACTACTTTCTTAAATAGATAGAGTAGCACCTTTTTGGCTGCAGGAAGCAGTTCGATTGCAATATCACGTGCGGAGATGCTGCCGCCAATAATCAACACGGTTTTACCGCGGTACACTTCGGGAATTCGATAGTCGCTGCTGTGTATGACTTCTCCGTTGAAATCTGTCAGACCGGGAAGCTCTGGTAGATTTGGTTTATGGTAATGTCTAGCATAAAAATTGCAAAATTAAATTACGAGAGCAAGATAACATAAAATAAAAATGCTGGGAGTTTCACGTGGTAAAATTTCAATATAATTATAATGTACAAGCTTACCCATTGCAGACCACAACCGCATCAAAAATGTCATCGGCAATATCAGCGTTTTCCAAATTCTCGTAAGTAACATTCCACTGTGTGGAAGCATGACCTTCTCCGCATGCTTTCCCGGAAGTCCCGGGAATGGGCATTACCCGGATGACCCGGTGCCGAAACTGAGACCAATATTATCGTCAGAATGCGGAACATGATAACGTATGTTTCGGGGCACAAAAATAGGAATTTGAATTAATCAAAACGGCCACGGAAGAGCACACGTAATGTGAAAACCGGCTCAAATTAACCGTCTCACATTTCGTAATACGAACAACGGCAGCGAGCAATCTCGGAAATTAATTTATCAGAGTAACAGATGGTGATTTTGAACCGATACCGATACAACCGTTTCTTGGTACAGCTAGATTAGCGCGGATATTTTACACTTTGTACGTAGATATAATTACAATTTATCGCAAAATTTAGGTAAAATATCACCTACTCTAGTCGCTGAACTCTCCAGCACTTACTTTGATGTGAGGAATGAGCTTGAAATGGTCTGCGTAGCTTCGCATATAACCCATCACAGTTTCACTATTGCAGTACGAATTTCCATCTTCGCCGTAAGTAAATGGAAAATCTTCCAGGCTCATTAGGTCACGCGGAACGTTTGTCCTAAAACATTTTAGCATTTGAAGCTTGTAAGTACACTGTCTGTACATGTAAAGCTTTATAGCCTGTGAGGACTGAAAGCCATTTAAACTGCGCACTGTGAAAAGTTTTCAAAACGCGCTAAACAAAAGTTTTCATTGTTTTTGGTTGTAAGTACGGGCATAATACAAGTACTCGTACTGCATTAAAGCTATAATCATGCATATCTATATAAGTGATATAACGCATAACCGTCCCGTGAAGTTTATACGTACAAGAGATCACGATATATTCGACAATAAAAAGGCGATGTTTCCGGCTGTTGAATGTTGGTTTCGCATCCGGCTGGATATTTCCATACTCCACCGATGCTGTCTGCTTGCTCAAATCCGACAACTTGAAAACTTGGATCCAAAGAGAAATGCTTCAACGCGCACAGTCCAGTAAAACCGCATCCTATTACTGCTATCCTACGCTGCGCCATGTATACAAAATCATCTACTAGCTAATTCTCCACTTTTTCCAAATCCTCCTTTTCCAGATCTTCAGGAATTGACGGGAATTTTAACTATCAAATATTCTGCTCCAAAAGGAGTTCGAAAAGACACTCGAAAATGAATGTGGGCTTTGATTTTGTTACCACTGTACCATAAACACGCCAACGGTAGTTTTGATTCTTGATGAATGCGCTCTGCTTCTTTTATCTCGCCAAAATGAAGAAACGTATCAGTAGAATACTTGTATTACGGTAGAAGTTCAAGCAGATAAAGACTACTCCGCTTTATCTGCCCATGCTGAAGTTTTCTTATCTGCAAGATCAAGAGTTGTTACTCATGGTCAGTAGATGAAACCGTAGAAAAGCGCTTCACATTGTTGAAAAAACTAACTATAGAGAAGTACTTCTAACTTGCAAAACGTATGTAGGAAGTTGTAGATGACTGGAAGTCTGGGTCTCTATCTGAGGTTGGTTTTTTCTTTGGGACTGAGGAGTACAACATTAACGGCATATATGCTAATCACTAAAACGGCAGTTTTGAAACTTTTTAACGAGATCATTAATTTTCATGTAGGCCTTGTTACCCATTATAATTTTTTGTAAGTATTTAGTAGTAACCGGTAAGTAATTTTACCGCTACTTCTATCGTTTTTTACGAGTACCGGCGATTCGTTTACTAAAATTTACTCACTTCTGAGTTCTGAGTACTCACGCTTTACCGCGTTGTGAAGTCTGAGGCAAGGCTGAGGGCCCTAGCAATGATCGCTAGCATCTGTGACTCATCATTGCACAGCAGTTCTTATGAAGACTAAACAGATTTTGGTTTTCAAAAAGATAGCTGTTAAGTTAAACTTACGGTTACTTACCGTTCATCTTGCGGATGTTGGGCACCCTTTTAGTTTTCGGTACATCTCGGAATCGGTTTTGATTTTGACGAGCCATAGTTTGCGCCAAATATAAACATGTCCAGAGGATCCTCAGCTGGATTCGATCGGTATATCACCGTCTTCTCTCCAGAGGGTCGTCTGTACCAAGTTGGTAAGCTGGCAGTTAATATTCGCACACTCTGACCAGTTTCATCTAGCACCAAAATTCTCGATACTATGCGGTCGTGTGCTTTCCCACAGAATATGCCTTCAAAGCCATTAGCGCCACCGGTCATACATCCGTGGGCCTCAAAGGCACCTCGGCCGCCGTGGTGATTACACAGAAGAAAGTCCCCGACAAGTTGCTCGATCCTGTATCCGTCTCCAACCTGTACCGTCTGACCGAGTCTCACGGCTGCGTTATGACGGGTCTGATTGGGGACTCGCGTGCCCAGGTGCAGCGCGCGCAATACGAAGCGGCCAACTGGAAGTATAAGTTCGGATATGAGATTCCGTTGGATATGCTGTGCAAGCGGATGGCCGACATCAACCAGGTGTACACGCAGAATGCCTTCATGCGGCCACTGGGCTGCTCCATGATGATGATCGGCTACGATACGGAGAAGGGACCGCAGCTGTACAAGACGGATCCGGCTGGATTTTATTGTGGTTTCCGGGGGATTGGTGTGGGCGCCAAGCAGGCGGAGGTGAACGCGTTTTTGGAGAAGTCGCTGAAACAACAAGCGACGCTGAGCGATAATGAAGTTGTCGAAGTGAGTGAACCTCTTATTTAAAAGTATTCATTCTGCCATTAGGTGGATTTCCAAGCGGTAAACTAAAGATCTTTAGCACATTTTTAAAAATTGTTTTATCCTCTAGAATTTTGTTGCGCAGCTATCAGTTGTATTTCTTCCCTCGTTTTATTAAAGCAAAGTGAAACCACTAAAATGAGTACACTGACTAAGGCCAAAGATTTAATGATTTAATTTGGTCCTTAAACCTTTTGATGCCTAACGATTCTGTTAATTTGTGGCTGTTGTTGGCGATTCTGTAAATTGTATCATGTTTGCAGTTGGCGCTTAACTGTTTTTCCACGGTCCTGGCGGTGGACTTCAAACCAAGCGAGGTTGAAGTTGCATGTGTAACGCAGGAAAAGCCGTATTTCCATATTTTGACTGAACAAGAAATCGAGCAACATTTGGCTTCGTTGTCTGAAAAAGATTAGAATATTGCATATTCGATATCTCAGTTTTTTACTACGTTGGCGCTGGTATGAAAGATGCTATCAGGTATGCGGTTTCACAAGTTTTCTGTTCTTGTGATTTTTTCGATTTTCGATCCTGACTGAATTTAACTCCAAAAAAGCAAAACCGAAAAAGGCGGATTCAGCACTTACTTTACGGTCATATATCGTCACTGGACTGAGCCTTTCAAATAATTACTGTACAGTACTGTAAATAGGTAATAATGGGGGGATATCTAATGATATCTACCTAATACCTAATATCTTTCAAATCTGATATATATCTAATATCTTTCTATCTAATATGAGAACAGTGTATTTGTGTAGGTAATTCTTCCTGCATATCGTAATAAATCATCTACCGCGTACTGTCAGTGTTGTGGTTTGGCTGAGGGTCTCCTCCGCAGTACTGTATCTATACATTTCACTTTCAGTACAGTACTAGTTAAAGACTGAAGTAATAGCATTTTACTTACAGGTTAGTAGTGTTTTAAGTCCAACAAGGGCTGAAATGTTTGCTCTCTTAACAGTGTTTACTGCCATTTTTTCGTGATGCTGCAATTATCGGCAAACGCTGTTTTAAGCATACAAAGTGTAGACTTCCATGCAAAATTTGCTGGTGAACACCGTGAGCTGGAGTAAAAAAGTTCATGTTTTTAATTTCTTAAAATGCAGATTCTCACAATCACAATACTCAGGCACGACGTTCAATTGAAAAATTACAATTTTTCAGCAAATGAAATAAGTGTACTTAATTTAAACAACGTATTGTTAATATTGTACAGATTATAATTACAGGAACATTCTGGTTATGGGGAAAAAAGTCCACTAGCCGAATTCGATTCTTCGGTCTCCTCTTTGTGGCGTTCTTTGCTTTTTGGTCCGGATTTTTTCGAAGGTGTTTTCTGTTTGCGCTCCTTATCGCCGACTTTTTTCTGCTGATTATGTCGGCGATATTTACGAGGTGGCCCGTCTTCCTTCATGCTCTGCAGTTCGTCATCTTCCCTGGATTTATCCAGTTCCGTCTCTTTGGAGAATCTGCTGACTTCCTCTGTACGACGATTCTCAAATTTTGACGGGCTTAATGCAGCAATATACGCAGGCTTGTCCAAGCGATAGGTAGCTGGGAGCAGCGCGAAACTTGGATCCTTGAGCTGGAAGGGCGAATCGAGAGGACCGGCAATCCGCAAGTGGTATGCGGTGAGAGATTTCTCCACTTGGCGTCGCTCACTGGCTAGCTTTTCCCGAGCTTGCTTATAATCAATCTTATTCTGTTTCTGAACAGGCGTTGATTCGAATGTGTACACGCTCGGCATGGGAGGAAAATAATCAGGAATGTAGCGTGGCAGTCGTCGCTGGTCGCCACTCTGAAAGGAAGAATAAACTTATTTGTGATACCAATAATTAAACAAAACTAACTTGCACCAAAGTCCAATGTGTCACAATTTCCAGATGAACAATGCACCAAAGCCAGCAAAGTCATAGCGGTAATAATTTCTTTTTTTTCAACCAAACCGCACATAGATAAAGAAACGAATAATAATTATCGCAATTGGTAAAATTAGTCCAGAAAAGTAACAAAACACTGCCGTTCTTTCAATCCTCGCGGAAGAAGAAAGAAAGGATATAATAACTATGTAACTAAAAGAACCATGAGAATGGATTCATGGGCTAGTTGATACTGGAAAAATACTATAGCGTCAAAAATTAAGTACCCAGTGTTTATAAGCGACTGATCAGCTGCTCACTATTAATCTAATATAATAATAACAGCAAGTATTATTCGAACACTTCTCTGATTTTCTTACATAAGTGATAAATCTTACTTGAAATAGTGTCGAAGGCACAGCCGATCCAGCCTGATCCGGCGTCAGTTTGACGCCATCCAGCAGTTTTGGAATCCGGAACTCCCTTGAGTACGATTTAAGCTTCGGTATGTCCATGCCAGTAAAGGCAACAGCCATGATGGAGTCAGCGAAGTGTGCCTGCGCTCGCATTGCATGTTCAGCAAAGGACTGCGTCAAAGATCCCAGCTTCATCACAACTTTCACCAGAATCTGTTCCAGGATCGCCACGCAAACAGGATCTTCCAGTTCTTCAATACCATGCTCATTTAGAAGAGCAGCAATTATGCACCGCAAAGAGGTGGAAACGGGAGATTCCACGATAGATGTCGTTGAGATATCTTCCGCCATTCTTCAAACCTTTCAGCCAGCGACAAAAGTGAAATTGTGAATTCAAAACTCACAAAACAGATCGCTTTGACTTGTTATACTGACTCACCAGCAATTCATTGACAAGAACCACTTATTGTCGCACTTCTGCTTCATAATACATCGTCAACGTCTTTTGCGCGCACAAAAGGTATAAACAATGACATCATAATTTGAAAATGACCGAACATTCGATCAAAAATCGCTAAGAGCATGAAAAAAATATAAATTAAAATGTAAAAACGAAAAAGAAACAAAAATGCAAATAGTAAATTATAAATAAACACAAATCGCTTGAAAGCTCTCTCTCATGCTCAGCTCCAACCGCCCAGTTACGGCGCCGCCGCTCGAAATTTGCGATTGTGGTTTTCTGTTTCGGATTTTTCACTCTACTTTTTAAACTTGCAAAGGCAGCAAAGCAACAAATAAAATTTTATGAAACAGTTGATTAAAAATATATTGTGGATTGTTCTTCGCTGTTCTCATGAAGGCAAAACCAGCAATATTGCTGCGTTTTTAGCGTTTTTTTTGCGAGTGTACTTATAGTAAAGGGTTCCACTGCTGGCCATTGTCATATGGTGCTACTGCTGGCTGTAGTCTCTAGCCATTTACCTGCTAGCAGCTAGAGTCTAGACTCGTCATCAGAAATGAATGCATGGAAAACCCTTCGCACAGTGTTTGCGTTCAAGGGGCAAGCATTATGCAGCTTCTCTCCCTCCGTAAGTTCGCTTTCGTGTGCACCTCCGATATTATCCCTCAATCGTCATGAAGGCCGATGGAGAGCGTTCCATACAACCGTTCCGGCGTGGGAAGTGAAATGGATTATGGACATCGAACCAATCGGCAGCATGGTCAGATACAAAGAATCGACGCAGTATAAATCGGGTAAGTTGCAACTTGAGAAATTTAAAACAGGCTTTGTTTGACTATTTGGTGGGAAAAAACATGTGTAAATGATAAACCCATTCTAGGCGACAAGGCGAAGGTGCCTAAATGGGACCTGAAGCGCCCACGGAAGGAATTTATTGGCTGCAAAGAACTCATAGAGTACGTTTCAGCTTGGCTCATTTTGGTTTATGGCTGGAAGACTTCGGTCATGCATATTTTCAGTTTCTCATAAATGGTATATAACAGTGTTCAAATCCTTTTTTATTGCAGTGCGGATGAAAATGTTCACAAATTGTGCTCCTTGGATTTCGGACACATTGTAAGTTGTATCACTTTGATTGGCCTGTTAATGCTACTGAATATAGATATAAACGCTTCTTTGCCTGAAAGTTAAATTTGCTAAACATTTCCTGAAATGCCGTAGCGAGAGTACAACACTATTTTATGGTGCAATTCATTTGGTTTTTTGAATTTTTATTTGAACATGTCAGCCAAACCGTATGTACTGGTAACTGCACCATAAAAGAGTTTTATACTCATAGACTCATAGTGATTGTTTTTACAGTCGTGTACGAAAGAAATGTTGGAATATGAACTGGTATCGCGAGTCCGGCGTTATGAATCCGATGACAGTTCAATCGAAGTGAAGAGTGAGTGCAAACAAGACAAACTTTTTCCCGATAAATCCTATGCATAGATATTGATGCTTTGAGGGTTTTATTTACGTTAATTGTTGGTCCTGCATGATTGCAAAATTATCCTGTATGCGAAACTCAGATCGCATCTGGCCTAAATGATGACGTTTGCTTACAGTTGCACAGATTACGGCTCAGATACGGGCCACTCAGGACTATCTGCTCAGTCCAGCCGCTCAGCCAAAATTAAAAAATCCTGATCCTCTCCGCGTAATTAAACCCGGTGTGAGTATCTGGTAACTGTGGTTGTCGTAAAAACTTCTAAATCGTAACGTTATACGTAATAATTTTGTTCAGCTGTCATGGAAAACGATGGAAAACGCTTCATGAATTAGTTAAAGTTTTGACTTGGTTTAAAGTTAGTTACAGTTTTTCATTTAAAATTTTGTAATTCCAGTTCTTATGCATTGCTCAGTCATTATGTTTTGTTCCTCTGCTTAATTTGATACGATAGCGAAAATACTACTTATTGCTTAAATTTATTATGAAATTACATAGAGCTTGATTCACATAGAACATATAAAGAAAGATTTTGATCTTATTAAAGTAGTCTGCGAAATTAATGTTGTGCTGTATTTGCAAAGTCTATACTTATACTGTACGTCGGTAGATGGAAAATCGCACTTTCTGTTACTTAGTTTCCGCTTGCAGTTTTTTTTCATAGTACTGCATAAAATTTCATACAGCAGTGCGAATTTAGAACAGAATTTTACGGATGTATCTAGCTTAGTGAATGGTAACTCTCAAATTTTCTAATGGAAATTTTGGTTATGTTTGTCCTTAGACACCACGGATGCGCTACTTTCTCCAGGGCGCAGTGTACGCACGCACCAAATTGCTTCGTCGCTTACGTGAGTGGGATTATAATAAATTCTGCTGGGTTCTACAACGGCTGGAGCTTGAGTATTCACCCCCGAATCTTCGTAATCGGAACACTCCAAGAGAAATCTACCGTGCCATCACCCAGAAAACGGCCATGGAAGTCCGGAAAGCCAAGCTGGAAAAGTACCATGGCGAACTTAAAAACAAGCAGCCAGAATTCCTGCAGCGGAAAGCCAAAGAGTTGGCGGCGATAGATGCGGAAGAGAAACAATTACGTGAAGAACTGGCGGCACTGCAGCTGCAGGTCGATACAGAATCGCAGTCTAAACCGTCTATGTTGGCTGTGGCACAGTAATTCTCACCACTGTGCGGTGAGAACTGTGGCACATTATACCATTATCATGCACTGTGCAGTCTTTGTCGTTCGTGTTTTGTCTGCGCTTATTCTTTGCTGTAATTAAATAGCAGGCATCACGCATTTGCAATTTGCACTATTATTGATCCTATCAAAAACAGTAAAACGCAAAACAGTCGTTTCCATTTCAAGTTTTAAGTTTTGGTGGTATTCAGTATCGTGTTTAATTTTTTCTCCCGTTCCTCTTAAAAAGAGGTAGGCATTCAGCCGATATTATTTATATTCGTAACTGACAGAACATTTCGTACCAGTTAACAGTTAGACAACGCTAGAAGTTAGACAACGCTAGAAGAACAGAATGGCTTAGAAAATTCTTGCTCGTCGGCACACCGGCTTGCAGGGGTCGTTCTTCCAAAGTGCACAGCACTTTTCATTGGGACCACACTCATTATCAGTGGCACATGCGGGCGCCCATTGGGCGTTGTACATGCGGTGGGTTTCTGTGCACATCACCGGACCGGGTCCACCATGGGGAGGGAAAACCGGTCGGTCGGACAACGGCGGGCACAATCCAGCACGGGCGGCAACAGTCGGGAATTCCGCTGATAGGATAACTGCGGCCAGGATCATGGCGGATGCAATGACCAGTCGGGACTCCATGGTGATTGTATGAAGTGAACAGTTAGGCTATCGAGGCAGAAAACGGACCGGAAGCACTGAATCAGAGTACGTACTGTATCATATTGACCAAACGATCGGCTTTTATATGAAAAGTGAGTAAAGATACAATTATTATCTGCCGTTTAACCGCAGCGTCGTTCTCATACAAACGATATAACGCTTCCTCATGATAACTGTTAAATCTTCTGCATTGTTATTCAGTCATAAATCTAACTGCTATGACCTTTGAACAATGAGCGGGCCTAGATAGTATTCGCTGCCTCGGATGTAAAAATTTGTCTTTTGCACAGCAGCGGTTAATCTAGGGAGTTATAACAAAGAACTGCTATCAGGGAATTTTATTTATGCGTGGAAACTTTCGAAGGTCACTCTTTATTGATGAGAACTTTAAACCTATTTCTGCCGATTACACAAGTTTGTGGAAAGAACAATGCCGTCGTCGGTTATCCGGACCGATAATTTCTGCTTATCTTGTGGTAGCTCCGTATTTCAAAGTATTTGTAAAATATTAAACCTATGTGGTTTCGTCTTGTTTGAGTGTCAGAGCAGCCCTTGCAGTTCAGGAAGCGTTTTAGCGGTGTCATAGTTAAGTTATAATTTCAAATTTATAGCTCAGCCCCCAGTCGCAAAATGCACTTCCGGATCTGCATCCTTGCCTTCCTCGTGGCTGCTGTCGTCGTGGACATTCCATCGGTTAGCGGCACGGCCGGCCTGTGCCCACCGCTGGTAGACCGACCGGTCTGGCCGCCGCACGCCGGACACGGACCCGTCGTCTGCGCCGGTAACCATCGTCTGGTCAACGGAGAATGGGTTCGCATTTGTAACGGCAATGATACTGATTGTGGAGAGAATGAGAAATGCTGTGCGGTGTATAAGAACGACAACTGTGGACCTGTCTGCAGAAAAGCCCGCATTTTTTAAATTGCGATTTAGATGATATATCGCATGCCAGTCATAGGAAGACCGTTGTACTATGGGCACACTGTGCCACAACAAGTAGTACAAAAACTACTGTACTTCTAGTCTTCTATAGATCTTCTATAGATATGTGGTTTATAGATATGTGGTCTAGTCTTCTATAGATCTTCTACAGATATGTGGTTATAGTCTTCTATAGATATGTGGTTTTCCTAATCAGTTTAACTGTCTGTAAAGGTATTGTCACTGATGGGAAATGGCTCATTAAAATAAGAAAGATCAACGTCATCTGGCATTTTACAGCTCCAAAATGAGCATGTTCTTCGTGAGTTTATTAGACGTAAAAGAAAAAAGTCCCCCAAAAGCACCACTGCCCATGCGACCCCGACTGCGACATGTACAAATTGTAACCAGGTGCCTTACATTCGTATTTTATAAAATAATTTTTTCAATAATTAAAGCATGCTGTTAAATTAATTACTTAATAATAACTGCTCTTAGCAGTAATATGTGAGTACGCTCTCCTGAGTACCCCGTATCAATAAGGTCAACGGCATGTTTCTGGTCAGAGTATCCAGCACAACCATATAGTGTAACGAGTTGCGCCCTTCCTTGGGCAACGGCATTGTGATGACATTGAGCGCTGATTGGGATGAATGTTCCAGCAGCAGTTCCCGTAACCTGCACATAGTCATACTGCGTGAGAAAATTTCGTTTTCAGATGTAGCATGCTCTATATGTATGTCGGTGCTTACTTACCTTATTTGGTTCATTGTGCGCCGACTGAATTGCACCATTTCCGATTCATCATAGTGATCCAGCCGGGAAACCCTCCTGGTCACCTCATTAAGACGGTAGTCCGATATCAAAGTATTAAACCAATCTTGGCTGTAAAGTAAAAATCCGTTTCTCAAATTATGATTTGTTTAACCGGAGATATTTTTTGTGGTATATATGGACACCATTAAAAACCCATTTAGCACCGAAAATTTTGGTTTACGGTGGCACCTACTCTGCAAGTTAAAAATAGTTTTGATACAGTAATACCTGCAAGTTTAGCCGTCAAAGACAGTATTATTACGTACTTGCAAAAGAATGTTGTCACTTTAACTCGTATGGTCGTTCAAGTGAAACACTATGATAAGTGAATGAGCGATGGTCGTTCACCCGAAATACCCGAAATATTAAGTTCCCCAAACCGATTTTCTTCCGGTTTTTTTCTTTATCCAATTAAGGAGGTTTTACTCTTTACAGAGTACTTAAAATTTTTAAAAAAGCTTGAAACGTTTTCTTGCAATTTCGTCGTACAGAAATCAGTGACGAAAGCGCTTTAGCCACGCCACATGAGCCACTGCACTAAGCTCATATAATTGGAGTCACCGCCGTACAGGGGCGGCTGTGCCATCGCCGTGTTAGAAGTTGATTTAGAGGAGCTCGAATTCAGTTTAAAGACATCAACTTTGAAGACATGGGGAAAAAATCAAATTAAACGGAAACCAAGCTGAACTAAATTAACTTCTAACACGGCGATGGCACAGCCGCCCATGTACGGCGGCGACTACAATTGTATGAGCTTAGTGCAGTGGCTCATGTGGCGTGGCTAAAGCGCTTTCGTCACTGATTTCTTTACGACGCAATTGCAAGAAAACGGTTCGAGCTTTTTTTTAAAATTTCTAGTACTCTGTAAAGAGTAAATCCTCCTTAATTGGATAAAGAAAAAACCGGAAGAAAATTGGTTTGGGGAATTCAATATTTCGGGTGTTTAACTTGAACGACCATCGCTCATTCACTTATCAATTATCATAGTGTTTCACTTGAACAACCATACGAGTAGCGTTGTGCAACAGAATGGAAAATGCTCATCAAATATACTGGTACCCGAAAGCATAAATTAATTTAAAGAATGCAAATAAAAAACAAATACTGTAAGTGCAGCAGCATATCTGTACCTCTGCAGCGATGGAGTTTGGTCCAGATTGACCGGAACGACATCCACAGCCTTTATACGAAATTGAGCAAGCAAAGTCATCATGCTCTTCTTTGTGGATTCCGGATCGGCTCCCGCCAGACAAAACACCTTGAGCGGACACCCACTCCAGGGACTGCGCCGGGTCATCAAATAAGGAAGCAGAAGTGTTAACCCTGCCATGATAAAACTAAAAGTCATTTCTGAGGTCAGAGGGCTGTTTAACAGAACATAATTTTAAATCGAGCAAATTGTATTCTCAAATTCAAACATAGAAATACTTCATACCGCCGTCGTCATACAACCACCAAACATGGATTTCGCCATTCATGGCCTTTTTTTCTTGCCGGGTTCGAATTTCCGGGCCAGATTGATACGTGCTACCATATCCGGATCATCCGTCGGAAGTATATCAAGAGGGACCGCTTTTTCATTTTTCACAAATACATCTTTGAAGCTCCCTGCGATTTGGCAACAACAACAAAAAATTGTGAACGCGAAAACAACAATTAATAAAACCATTTTGTGTACACCAAACTAAGGTCAAATGCATTCAGTACTGTATAAGTATAGAACGAACGTCTGCATGTCGAAATATTTATAAAGACATAAATATACATAAAACAAAACATAAAATATACATAAAGTATACATAAAGACAAATACATAAAACACTTACTATTAACACATGAAAGGTTATTAACTACTTCACTGGCATACGGCTGAAAGCCTTTGTACACAACTTGCACGTACAATGCATATTTTAAAATGGTGCCGCCTTAACCATTATGGTTCTACTCCATGATTAGTAATTACTTACATTAGTGGCGGTCAATCGTATTCTATCATTATATACTATAATAGTAATAAGAAATTGCACCGTACTTTGATTCCAAAATATATGTACTCACGTTCTCCTCCATTTTCAGGTTTTCAACGTTCTCTCGTACAAGTTTCTCGAAATTTACGACTTCTCCAATATCGAAGCCTTCCTTGGCATAGCTATATTGAGGAGAAAATATTTGTTAAACTGTATCAATTTATGTTTACAGTGTCTTTGATGATCATGCTTACAGGATGGCCACCGCAATATTGTAGTCAAACGCATGGTTGATAACGCCGATGTAGGAATTTATGGACTCTTCAGTCCAGCCTGACCAGCTCTGTTGATAACCCATCATAATTATGTTCGGTTTCAGTTTGCCCAAACCGGAAGTCTGTATCAATGCTTTCATTCCTTCCACGGTGCGCTCCGCCGCCACATAGTCATAAAACGCTCGGATCTTTTGCCGCCTCAACCAGATGTAAATTTCGCGTGCCAGGACTTCTCTGCGTTCCAAAGTTTTTCCCTAAAAACACTTTCTGTCCTGATACTGCATATAAAACAAACCATTCAAAATTTTAAATCAAAAAAAGAGAAACGGTGATATCAACGCTACGGTATAGCGTTTTATTTACAAATTCACGCTAAGGGTCAACAAAGGCAACAAAAATATTCCTGCGAAATCGTGTAAGACTTTACAAGAGAAAAACTTTATTATCGATAAATAGTATCATATATCCAAAAAGGCCATATTAAACCAAATAATCCAACGCGAAACCCACTTGTTTCGTAATAGCGTACCAGTACCAAAAGTTGTAAATTTATTTTGGCAGTATATTTGTGCACTACCGAAAAGTAAGAGCGCAATTCATCGAAAAATATCGCCATAAATTGTAATTACCACTAATACATGTCCACAGATGAGCATGCCAACGCCTTTGGTAATGCTGTTGGCAAAATGGACCAATGCAGGACGCGAGCACGGCAATCCGCATAAAAGCAAAATTTGTGGTCTGTAATTTTTAACATGATCCTCGACGGTAATCAACTTCAGTGCATCCGTCAAGGCTCGACGATAAATATTAGCTTCGCCTGACGTTCCCCAATTAACCTTAGGATCTCTGTAGTATACGAATACCCAAAGTATGACTGCAAATAATTAAAAACAATGGCGTAACCATAACATGCATGCTTGCGCTAGGAGAACGTTTGAAATCTTGGTTAGATATTTTTCTTTGTACGATGAATTTCGCGCTCAATTTTAGTTTTTACAAACAGCACCGAGTATACATCATTCGGCTATGCTGCTTCAATTTAATCTTTTCTTAATCTCACTGACTTTTCAGGAGACTATTTTAATATACATTTGCAAATACGAATCTTTTTCTAAAACGTCGGCGAAGCTAAAGCATATTTTCATTCCCTTACTTACATATCGACGCCAATTGCTATAATTGCCGACATCCAGTCCAGTGCGAACATAATCACTATGCATGCAATGCTGGTGACCAGGCTAAGCCATTTATTGTAATAGCGAAACGTCGGTCTCCATCCTAAAGCGAAAAACTAAAAGTTAAGAATAATGTCAAACCATATAGGGCGGAAAATTTTTAGTCTTCTTACCCGGGGATTTCGAAAATGCAGCGTCAAAAGTGGCGTAATTGACTAACGCATAGGTCAGGAGGAAACAGTTGGAAACGATATTGGAAATGAAGTTTAGGTTTGCTAAAGTACAAAATACGCTCGTATATTTCATCCAAGCTTCATACAAGTTAGTAAAGTCCTTTCAAACTTACCTGGCATTAAAAAGATAACGGCAACGATCATAACTAAACCGTAGGCTCTGCAAAGAAAATAATATATCTAAACTGAATAAAAGAATAACGCTTTGTAATATTCGTTTAACCTGTAAGGTTCATCATTTTTCCCATAACCTTTGCCAAATATATGGATCCCCGGAAATATTTTATCTCTGCATAATGCCTGGAAAAAAACAAGTAAAAAGTAAAACGTAAAGTAAAACATCGGAAACAGAAAAACAAGAGACCTCTTTTAACCAACCTGGAATATTTTGGGTGCAAAATTAATACATCCTAACGAAGTGCTGAGCGTCGCCGAAAATATTCCAGCCAAAACAATAGGTCGGAAATGGGCAACTTCTTCCATAATCTGTATACAAAGATGGATTCAGTTAAGCACTGGATGCAGTAATTAACTCTTCAACGATTATTGGCGTGTTCCGATTAGTGGGGACACGGTACATATTTAACACAACCTACCTCGAAATTATTGATACTTCCTTGAGTGCAACTGGAGTTCGCCATACAATTTTGTAATGTGCCAGCGTACAGATCGGAAACATTTCCGCTGGCGTGTCGTAATGTTACAGCTGCCGTGACCCACCCGAGAAGAATGTATGATACCGACGTAAAACAGATAGCAACGATGGTGCCTGAAACGGTGTACGGTTAAACAGTGCGAAAAAACTCGACATCGATACAGTTTGTTAATCAAAAATTGTCAAATACGATACGCCATTCTTGATTCTTGGTTACAATAATATAGGGTAATTTTGCTAAGAATTAGAAAATACTAACACAAGTTTATTGTGCTGCAAAAAAAGTTAAAAATCAACATACGTCACCTTTCGGTATGGCGTTCGCAGGATCGCGAAGGTCTCCCGTAATGGATGTCCCAGCTAAAATGCCGGTAACCGAAGGAAAAAACACACCAAATACTGTCATGAAACTATTATCGCCAGTCGAATCATGCTGGAAAGCCGGAGCAAAATTTTCCGCAAATAAAGCGGAAGAATATCCTACAAAGCCGTTGGCCTGATTTTCTGCAGTCGGTGGTACAATCGATCCAATAACTCTACGCAAAATATGCAAAAGAGGCAATCAGTTAGCATCAATCTTATTTTTATCTAATTCCCTCACATGTTAAATATAGCTGCCATAAGGATCACGAAGAAAACTGACTGCAGCTGCAAAATAAAACAAAAATAAATAAGTTGTAAAATTTTGAGCATCCCGCCTTGTCCGTCTCACTGCGATGACCATATCTGTACCTTAGAAGCAATCTCCATTCCGAAAAACGTAAATCCTGTCAGCAAAATGAGCGTGATTACCGCAATAACGCGGACATCATTTAAGTGCTGCAAATCGGGGTCTCCAGAACGGGTTATATGCGCTCCGGCGCTCTGTTTATAACAAGACGAACAAAAAAGTTTTGCTCTAGTATTTGAGACACATATATTCGTACTCGTACATCTATAAGTGAATTCCTGGTATTAACAAATTACATACACTGAAGTTCCTTTTTGCTATTTTTTAAGCTTTTTCTCGTCTCTTTAAGCGGTACCACGTGATTGATTTTTCATTTTAATCCAAAAGAAACACCGCTATCAAAAAGCAGACTCGATGCTTAATCTAACCTCTATCAGTTTGACGAAAACATCTGCAAATCCTTGTATATTTAGCGAAACGTTGATGGTGTTGGCCAGCGTGAAAATGACGCCTTTAAATGGACATAAACGGCAAATTTACAACCAAACATGATTATTACGACAGAATTACTGGGCACCCACCAATAGCTGCACCGAACTGCGGTCCAAGGCTCCTGGAAATCATAAAATACGTTCCGCCCGCTAAAAAGTACAACAGAATTTCAACTGTTAAACAGCTTTTTCTAACGTCGATTCAAACATACTCCCAACTTCGCCGTTTGTACTTATGGCGGATGTGGATAAACTTGTTAAAACGGCGATGATAGTAGCAATAACAACGATCACAAGGAACAGACCTGTAAAATTCGCACCGGTCAGAGATACAAAAGTCATAAAGTTCTTCAACATGTTAGTGCTTTCATTATGTCGTATACCACCGCTAATGGTAAGAACAACATGCATTCAATTGCGTTTTTCGGCTGAAAACACGCAATTCGCTTCCACCTGTATGTCCTCACAACCAGCTTACCCATGCCCGCTTGAGCACACATCCATCCAATACGCAGGAACAACATCACTCCCCACAAATTCAAAATTGTCCATAGCTAAAGCAAGGCACAAGCCACGATTCATATTATTTGCAGCAGCAGCCGCCATAACGCAAAGCGCAATCTTACCACAACGCCTCTTATCCATCCTAATTTATTTTTTGTTAACTTAGTCTCCGCTCCAGTTTGTCGAACATCATCTTCTTCCCTTGCCGCCTATAACAAACGCTGTTTCCTAGTACTGCATGCCGATCGTAATCTGCATACATAACAGTTACGTATGCATTTATCGGTCAACATTAGTTTACCTTTTCTGTGCGCAGATCATCCAGGGTCGGCCGTAGTCTGTCTAAGTTTTCCGTTTGATAGTGCTCAGCCGAGGGAACCGCTTCGTTAACACCGTATCCCAGACTGATTTTCCTAAAGCGATCCGCGTGCCGGTTAATGCGCCGCTTGCGACCGGTGTCTGTGCTCATGCGGGACACAGTGTTGGCCGCCTCTTCGGGATATTCCTGGTCAAACATTTAATGAACGAGCTTAAACATAATTATTATACAATATTTACAAAATTATATGTCAAACTCGAGCATGTACATGAAAATTAATTTCCTCCGTAATTCTTTTAATTACGGCAATACCAGTGAATCCTAACCTATGCGAGATGCTCCAGATTTTAAGAAATTAATTTCTCGAAAACGTACCTGAAAATAATTTTTTTTTAAAATTTACATTTTTTGCCGGTAAAAAAACATACTTCATCGTCTTGGCTCTTTTCGAACGCAGGATTACTGATTCCCTCTTTCTGCAGCTCTTCCACGCGCATGGAAATATCCAACTCAATGTCTTCGGCTGTTGGTGAACGCGACAACGGGCGGCCGACCAGCGGGCCCGGTTGGCCGTCGGAGCCGCTGGGCAGGTTTTCAGGCGCTCCAGCATCCTGAGACGATCCTATTAATGCCGGATCTTCTCCTTCCAGCCGCGTCCGCCCGGTACCGAAGCCGTTCTCAAATCCAACATGGACACGGTCGCGTAGTATGTTGACGGTGGAGGAGATTTTCCGCTGAACAGCCGTGGAAACTTTCCGCACCGGCGTCGCATGCTCTTCCGCGGCGCGATCTGCCATCGAAATGTAACTTGTTTACAGTTATCAATAACGATTTCCTTTTAAAAAAGTCAATACCAAAAGGGCGACAAAACAAGCAATGTTTTCTTGTCACAAGTGTTATAGTGGATCCGGAAGGCTAGCGCTATGACGATAAAGCCAGTGCAGCATGAGTTTGGCCGGAAGGGAAAGTGTAATACTCATATAACACGCGAAAAAGTGGAAAAACAGCAAAGTATGACATCGATGATTAAGCAAAATGTAGTAGATCAAGCTTCCGCGACCAGACATTTTAATAGTAGTCCTTCTTGGGAAATTTTGAGTTTTCACTATAATTTGCGAGAAGAGCACTGCCGGAAGGCGAATATCGAAAAATCGAACAATGGTGTTCACAGTTACACAGTAAAGTGATACTTATTTAACAGTATCATCATAAAGTACAGAGCCTACATAATTATATAATATGCGTACGTATGGAGCTGGCCATCGTGAAACACTTAATCGAATCTTTTAATGGTTGAAACTAGCACAACAGGTATTTCTTCGCTACCACTACCAATTATTACAAAAGTATCACTTAGTATTTATTACTGAAAACAAAGAACGCAAACTTTTTTGACCTGTTTCTGTTAACCAAAATTCTGAAACCCTAATACATACAACAGTAACAGCTAGAGTGCAACACGTGCAGTTTATTATCGATTCAAATGCGAAAGCTGAAATCCAGTGTGAGAAAAGATTCGAGGAAAATTCAGTTTGTTAATTCTGCACTTAGTCATTAAATAACTGCCTGCTAACTGGGAGAAAGACCCTGCACTGAAGTTAGAACTTTACAGATTTTTGCATAATTACTGTACTTAAATTTAGAAAAACGCAGAAACGCAGTGCCGAAATATTCCAGTGCTAGAGACCGCGTATGAACGCAGAATGACCGGAAGTAGTCCGGGTGCCGCTATGGCGACCGCTCATGAGAACTGACGTGACGCTGCTGCACAGAAACCACAACATACAGTACACTAGACCGCGTGCGATGACAAAGTGCTGCTTGTGGCAAAATTCAAAATGCATCATTAATTGGATATACGCCCATTTTGTTACTGGAATTTTCAATATTTTTAAGTTAAGCAGTTTGAAATGGTAAAGGTGCTGTGCGACTGAAAAAAGGCAGTAGCAATATGCACGGAGAAACATAAATTCAAAGATTGTTATTCGTAACTGCTAGACAACAGGAGTACGGCACGACGACACAGTAGATTTGGAATTTCAGACACTCTCGGCATCTCCTCAAAGACGGGAAAATGAAAATTCCAAAAAGTCGGTTTTTTGGAATTTTCAGAAGATGCCAGGTTCAGCCAAAATGCTTAGCCTGGCAAATGGAGTGACTGGTTTAAGCCCTCGCCCTCTATCCCACCGGACGCAAACTACGCACTACGGACTTAACTAGTGCTAACAAGTACCACTTTGGTACACTGCGCATTGTCAAGATATTGAGTTTTTTCACTTCGCGAATGCATAAAAATGTACGGCAAATATATTTCCTTTAAAATTCCACTGATGGCGTACTAGGTGTTTAATATAAAAGTTTTGTAAAATGTTCGCCATAACTTTTCTCCTACTTGACTACAACGCCTCAGATTGTCTGCTACTGGGTTGGTTTGGCTGAAGCCATGTTTACCCAATAAACGCTATGGCCGAGTTCGCTGTTAATTGCCGCACTTTAGCCACGCCCGAGCCTTTAGCCCCGCCCCAACGCGTTAGACCAATTACTCCATTCCCGAGCCGAGCTAAAACTCTGACCAATCACAGCTTCCTTGGCGTGACGTCAATTTCAATTTTCGGTAGCACGATCATTTTCGACTTTCGGTTCCATTTTGCTTTGGAGCAAATCGCACTAGGTACACTACTAACAAAACGTAAATCAAATCACCATACGGTAATGTTAACGACGTTTACAGTAAGCAACTGCAAGAAGTTTAAAAGACTCTGTTACGGTATCTCTGTCACTAGAAAAAACTTGTCACAAAACAATCATTACAATTTTTCGAACTCATTTCGTTTAATATATAATACCGCGGTACGTTGTCAATTATCAAAGACAAAACAACTGTCTCTGGTATTATGTGAGGCTTCAGTGATTTAAACTGGAGTCTGAAGTGCGGTACCGCGTTTTCGTTGCACTGTGCCACTGTCCGTTCGGTACCTTGGAGTTTGGGAGGTTGAGAGTGGTTTTTCTGTAAATCAGTAAATGGGAAGAAAGGCTGGATCGTCCAAAGCCTCCAAGCCCATTCCTGCGGGAAATGAATGCTACCGACGTGAAGTGGCACTGGAAGGACTGGAAGGCACGTAATACTCCGCTGAATCAAAGCCTTTAGACTTGAGTGTTACACCCAGTCTTTCGTTTTTTAGGGATAACGTTGGCATCCTTCTGGATCCGCTTGCAGGAGGCGTTCCGTTATTATCACAACGAGACGGTCGATGTCCAGAATGCTGCTTTTCAACAAGCAGCTTGGGAAGAGCTGTTGGCAGACCAAGAATTGTCAGTGTATCTTCTACCAGAGGCACGGTCCATTATTCCCGAATTGGAATATAAAAAGGTCGAGGATTTTACGAACGCCGACCTACCGGAGGAAGTTAGTGTGGAATCAGCGTTTAAGCGGCCTTTCTCAGCAGTGGACGCAGATGATGACGAAGTGGACATCACTTTGAAATCATCCTCTAATGATGGTCATGAAGGTATATGTTGTAGGTTCTGTGCGCGCGATAACATAGCGCAAAACATAATATAGCTGTCTCGCTTGCAGTGCAATCGATGCTTTGATACCGGTGAACAGCCGATGCGTACATGTTTTTGAAATAAAAATGGTTTTTGTCGTGGATGATCTGAGTTCAATCCTCTGAAGAGACACTTTTTTGTTATGGTTTTCACTCGGTGTATTTCATAGTGCGTTCTGGATCGTTATGCAGTCTTGATTTGGCTTCGTATTACCAAATTTAACTTCTTTTCTTATTTTTAGTGACAATATTCACCTATGGCTGGGAGGTATGCAACGCCAATGGAGACTTCGCAAGTTCGTCGATCCGTTATTGGTGATTTCACGCAGGGTTTTATTTTTTAGGCAAAAGAAGTACCATCGTCATTCCTGAATTGTTACGGAATTTTTTTCGAAAAATCACCAGAAATTTTGGGATCTTGCCGCTGTTTACACACACGAACAGACATTTCACATACACTTCGAAAGTCGAAACCATCGTTGTCTGTTGTTCGGGAACAGTATGGCGACCGTTTGGTCATCGTGGCCAGTGATAAGCTGCGCAAAAAGGCCCTGGGAATAGATAAACTGGATGCAGCTGACTTGAGAAAGGTGACGCCTGGCGCTTATGCCGTATTGGAACTTGTCGGACGGTGAGCCAGTTATAATTCTGCCATCACGATAATTAAAAAGAAATTTCGAACATTTTCTTGCTTGCTACACCCCTGATTCATATGTAATTCTTACAGCCATACTTTGACACATCCATTGTTAGTGTGTTTTCGATTTAGGAAAGTTGCATTCGCTTCACTTATCCGAAATATTATTTTGTAGACACCGTCATTACGGCGTATTTTTGGTCCTTCGTGGTTGGACTATTTTGGGGAGAGGAATCCAGACACTGAAACAAGTGCACAATTATACGGGAATATTGCGAGATCTTAATCTTATCAGCAAAAAGGTGTAACCTCTTTTGTAACACTATTTATCACCTCTTTTACCAATATTTACTTTGTATTAAAATTATCATTTCGACGTCTTTAGAAACTCCGATTTGATATTCAAATGGCGTATATGGCTTATACGTACATTACGTGCGCTTTTCTGAAACATTTTGATCGGCCAGTGAACACCAAAAGCGAGGAGTGGTTTGCCCAAGTGCAGCATTTGATTAATAGCGCTCCTGCTCCAGGTTATCCAATTGTTTTACTTCCAAGACTGGAGGTACTGAATGTACTTTGTATGACAGTGAACGTTATTACTTGTCAGATGGATTGGATTAAAAAGTTAACCTTTTTTTAGCGAATGTTTTTTCTGTAGGCTTATGAGCACGTCCCGGATCAGTACCAAATGAGGAGGCGCATCCGACGGATTTTGCCTGACATGAAGCACAAAACTTTTACAAAATCGGAATTGATGGACAAGTATCCGCAGTTAGAAGGCGATTTAGACGCTAAATTCGTGGTGACGTATGTCGATCCAGAAGTGGAAAAGAGCAAAGCAACACCGCTTGTGATTGAACCTTACGTCGTTCCTGAAGATTTGAGTGCGTGTAATCTGTCCATTTGCCTGTTATTAATTGCTTTGGCGTTGTTGTACGCACAATCCACGTAATATTCTGCTTTATATTGATTTATTTTCTTTGCAATGCAGGGAGGTGCTTTTTTTGAAATTGTATGCGTGAATCGGTCTCATTTTGTCGTGTTTTTAGAACTTGTCCATAAACCAACCAGGAAGCAAGCTATGCTTGCTGTGTTGTCTTTGTTGAAAGCCAACCGAGAACGCGGCTTATCTGAACCAGAGATACGAGCTATTTTCGTTCAACACGGTGTCGGAAAGCGTCGGGCGAATCCTACGCTTGGCTACTGTCTCGATACTGGATATGTTATCCGTTCCGGCCGGTTTGGTACTCGAAATAAGCCTAAACGGTTCGTTATCATTTTTAAGATAATTATGAAAAAATTTAGTAATAATTTTTGAGGAATTTTAATTAATTCCCCTAACGTGAGAATCTGCTATAAGCAGTAAACACTAGCGAAAGATAATTATACAGTGTAGAAAATTCTTGGTTACTAATCTCTAGAAGACACTACAAGTCTGTATAGCTTTCAGAAATTACTTGGATGAACTTATGAAAGTAAATTTGTATGAACGTTTAGCGTTTGCAGTAATCTTTGTTAAAATTTGCAGATATGTTCTTGTATCATCGGAGGAAGAGCGGCAGCAAATTTCGAAGAAACTGACGAAAGACGAGCCGGAAACAATGGAAGATGCCACTGTGGCTCTAGCTACATCCACTTCAGACAAAACTCTGACCAATCCTGTGATAATTGGAGAAGCAGCAGTTGCCGCGTTGAAATTAAAGCTGTTACAGGCTGCCGAAAAAATGCTCTACTTTCCGGATGCGAACTATTTCTTGCGGTTGGTGCGGTTTTTTCACCCCGATCCTCCGAAAATATCACCTGCGGAGTTTCATGCATGGCTGCAGACGGAAATCAATAAGGGATCGTTTACGGTAGATATTATCGCAACCAGCAATCAACTTTTGCAGTTAGTCAGTACTGGACCAGAAAACATCGAAGAGCAGACTGTTTTGGTAGTCCATTCTTCTGTTGATCGGGGAAAGATTATACATTATGGAAAACGTTTGGCTTTCACGAATGTTTTACAAACTGGTAAGGAAGCGCGGTTTGGGAAGTGGAAAAATGCTGGAGCGTAGCGAAATGAAATTTAAAAAATATTTGATGCTATCGGATGGCTACGTAATTTTCTCTGATTTAGCGAAACTGGGATTTTAAAATGCGATTTTTGAAAGATGTGTTGGATATTTTCTTACATGGGTGAACGAAATAATAACTCGTAATCTGCCTCTGTGTGTAGCCCTGGGACCGTTCAAGGATATTAAACGAGCACTGGAACTCTGTAAAATTGCACCAGGAAAGTACTCATGCCATGAAATATATTCTCGGGAACGGATTACTAGAGTGCGCCTCCTGCATCGCTACTTAATCCAGTTGACCTATCAGCGCTCAGATTCTGAGTCTGCCAGAGAACGACCATTTTGGGCGCGAAAATGCGAAAACTTCGAATTTTGTGGTAAGAAGCTCATGTTTGTCTGGTATTTATAATGACTTTTGTTTGCTAAGCAGTCCGCACACTGCACGTAATCCTGTCCCCTTGTTACCTACAGTCATAATCATACCTTTTGATACGTGTATTGCTGTATTTATAGGCAGTTATCCCGGATGGGTAACAATGGAGGAAATCGTCTATCAGATGCCGTTGGCTGTGTTTGTTCGATTGGTGCCACTTCAGATGCCCTCGGAGGCAGATAAGCAGTTTGTTTTCACCAGTGTGGCGGATTCGACCATATCGTCCCTTCCGATGCATTTACAAGATTTGAGGATTATAACGCACACTTTGGAAAGCCGGCATTTTGTCTACGTTTTACGAGATCTTCTAGATCTCCTGCAGTGCTTTGGTTTTGTGAGAGAAGGACCGAAAGACTTGATGTATCCCGATGGAACGGAATTGTATTATGTCAGCAATCATATTACGGTTCCTGATACCAAAAACGTTTTGGATTCTCAAATCAATAACGGTGAGCATAACACTGGGCTTAGATAGCCTGGTTTGCCCAACGGTTTTCACCTGAGGGTAATAAGTCTCCGTAATGGAGTTTGGCTACTGTAGTACGATAATAATAATAATAATAATAATAGATGGGAATATGGTTTTAAGATCAAGGTGCGCGCTTTTCAGTTTTTTTCATAAAGAATGATATTTAAAAGATGGTTGCAGTTTCCAGTACTGCCGCATTGTTAGTAAATTATGAAAACGCTTCAATATAAAAATCGCCGCTGACAGAAGCAAGTACACAACTATGTGCGACTCTTGTTTTATAATTAGTGCAAATTTCTAGGTGTGCTGAATGAAGAACTGATTAATACTTTGCCTGAAAGGACATTTGAATTTCACTGTGACGAAGATGTTATCACTTTCTGGCAAATTATCCAGCAGGAGTCTTTGACAAAAAATTGGCGACGATTGAAAACCGAAGACGTTCCCACAGCGAATGAGGGGCTTCATCGACTGCGTGTGGATGAGTTGAAGAAACGATTTGGAAGCGCCGTGGCACTAGCCTATCCCGACACACTTACGACTGTTTTCCGGCCTCCTGGTGACCGTCTATCCATCTTCGGCTTCGATTCCATGTTGAAATTAAATGAACGCCTTTTCTGGAAACGACGCATGGTTCTGGCACACCACAATCAGTGTCATCCGACATACATAGCCGATCTGGATGATTTTCCCTATGTTCAGACCAACGTAACTATCTACCGTGGGGAGAACTTACCGCAGCAAACACCAAAGCGATTAAAAGTGGTTACCGGCGGAATAAAGGTCAAGCCCGGGCCGAAGTTTGTCAGGAAATCAGTGAAAAAATCGCCCGTTAAAGCTGGTGCAGCGGAAATCCACCGTTTATTTCAGCCCTCGAATTGGGGTTCCTTATTCCATAACGAAAGGCCATGGTGTCGCGGTGAGGAGCTGGTTGCCGTAGCATACTTAGCGATTCGTGATTTGATCACCCGGTTCAAGCGGAAACCAGTGTACGTGGAGATGCTGGTGGACTTGCTGACAACATACTTTCCCGATGCGGCATTTCGGCGCAGTATGCTGGAATGTGATGTTATTCTGCATCGGATCGGGAGATTGCCCAAAGCCATTAATGAAATGCTGGTGGTGCAGGATATGGCACGACGAATGGTGAATTTCGAAGCATTTTTGGAGTTTGTTAACCAGACAAGGAAGGATATTTTGAGCATGCGGGAATTATTTGATGCTTGGCGGGAAATGGTGGTGCAGGTGTTGAATAAGATTTTCCAGTCGCCACCGTATCCAAGACGAAAACTACTTCACACCAGTTCTAGTACGAGTATTCGAAGTGTTATAAACGAATCGGAGACGGCAAGGCAGTTTACCATGGAAAATTTGGTTATGGTAAGAATCTTCGTTCCGATTCATTCGTTAAACACTGCATTTCAAAACTGTTTTACTTACTGTAATGGTTTTCGACACTCACATCTCCGTTTAGTCATACTGTATTTTCTCAACTAAACGTTCTGCTTCGACTGCTTATCTCCGACACTTCGCTTCTGCTTCGACACTCACATCTCCGTTTAGTCATACTGTATTTTGTTAGCTAAGCGTAAACAGTGTTAATTTATCCTTTCCCTTTAGTATTCTTATTTCTCTTTACAGCAAGCTCTCCATACCGAATCGACGATTGATAACCGTTTATTGGAAATCCTTGAAAAACAACCCCAGCGTATTATGGTCGGGGTGGCTACCTATTTAAGCTACCGTGGAATTTTGGCATATCGCAAGGGTATCTCTAACAAACTGACCCCGCATTTGATGGTAACGGTTGGAACGAAATCCATGGGATTGAGCATGCGATTCACTGAAAAATATCGCAATGTGCAAGGAACGTTGGTTGCCGATAACATTCGTCCATCCGTGTGTGTGGAAATGTGTGATCCAAATGCTGAAAATTCAGCTTTTGGATTTCTTTGTATTTCGATCCCGTTGTACAACAGTTGGCGGTGAATTTGAATTACAACCGAGCCCAGCTTAACGTAAGTGAGATTGTGCATGGTTTATCGTTTCGCCGTTACATAAACGTTACTGAATTGTAGATCTTGTGCGCACAAGATTTCTTTTTTTAGGATGTGTTCCAGTTGACTGGCTTGGGCTCGAGTTTTTGGGCCAGATTACAAGCGGAAACTGAGGACGAATTTACCATGGGTGCCTTAATAGATCCGGCACAATATCGGATTAAGCGTGCAGCATGGGCTCTTGAAGGAATTACTTGTCAGCTGCGTGAAGCCCTGGAAATTCGATTTAAACCGTGGATAGCTGAACAGGAACGCTCGATCACGCTGCCGCGATCGGAGGAAGAACTTTTCGTGTATGTTAAGAAATACTTTGCTGATGACGATCTTGAATTCGCAAGGTTGGTTTTGGCTGAAGTGAAATCGCATCGCTGTTCGGGAACAACGAAGAAAGAACTTTATGTAAGTGTTGCCGTTGGAGTTTTTGTTTGACAATCTTTAAACCTTGGACAAAGTGTAACCCAGTATGTGTTTCACAGCAAATAATGGATATAGAACACCAGTGGTCGTGTTCCCTCGTTCATGATGTATTGCAACGTCTGATAATGGCCGGTTGCATAGTGGAGGCAGGTTGTGACAGTGTGCGTTACGTTTCAGCACTGTGTGCTGCGCCATGGGTGCAAGAAAAGACGTCATCATCAAAGTATGCCTTTCAAGACAAGGTTTTTCTGCGTAATTGAATACCTAAATATTAATCAAGATCGAACTCCCATCAGATAAACAAGTGTGTATTAATATAATAAATATTAAATGTACATTGTGCTTTCCGTATTAAGTAGTGTTTTCTCTGTTCCTGCTTTCGATCATTTTGCGTATCTTTTGATTTCGAACAGCGACCATTTTTCGTCTAGGCGGGAAGTTTATGTGCCTTATCCTTGGACCAAATTGGATGGAAATATTAATGGAGAAGTTCTCATAAATCACCTGCGCTGGATTTTACAGTTGATATGTGAACAGCATGTTACCAGTTTGGAAGCCGTCATTACCCAGTTCCAGCCATATTTCCTCCCTCGCACGATTCTGGAAATCGTCAAAGTACCGTATTTTGCAGTTAAAATTTGGGTGCAAACCGTAATTCTGACTATTTTACAGATATTGTGTGTTCTGGGATTAATAAAGAAAACTCGCCGGGTGTTGACTGAACCACCGCGATATCTGGATATCAGTGCAGGTGAGTCGATTTTGATTAATTGCTTGGTGACTTGAGTTGACTGTTTTGTGGATACAGAAAACGAGTGGATGGACGATGGATCTTTGAACTTCATTTTCCTCAGTTGTCGTGTGTCTGCGTTTGAATCATTGATGAGCCTTTCCATCCTGGAGGAGCTATTTGGTTTGCAGCCAACTGCTGTTTTCCCCGCTCTGACAGAGATGGATTTCGCCGACGTGGGCGTGAGCCAAACTGTTGAACCGGACAGAATACTGCCCGATGATGAGGACGTCGATATGGAAGAGCCGGTATCACAGGATAGTATTGAATCAGTAGATACTCAAGGAGAACATGAATCTGATGACGATGCGTCAGAGGAGGAAGACGACGCCGTGGCATTTATGGATGCAATGGGTCTGCAAGGATCGCGATGGCTTCTGGATAATAGCACCGATGAGTCGGATGTGGAGGATGATGATGATGATTCGCTGGACAATGAAGTGGGAACAGGGACGGGTCACGGAGAAGCTGAACTGGAGAACATGGATGAAGATTAAAGGCAGCAGCTTGGTTTCGGGTGGCCAGCGGCTCTGTCTGTGAATAACGACTGTGATGGTTTCTACTTTTACTTTTTAGGTTGGTTGCTTGAATAGTACAAGCACCATAGTTAAGTGTGGACATTTCGTTTGCGGCATTGGAAGTCAAAATAAGTAACTGGTTCCATGTACAGCAAGTGTTGCCGCATTTTAAAATTGAAATTTTGTTCGTGGTATGCTGTTTTTGCAAGTTTGTTGTTGTCGTATCTTTGCTTGTTATTCACAGCTTCTGTCATACTGTACAACTCAAGCAGAAATTAAGACAATATTACGCAATCACAGCGCAATTTTGACTTGGTTAGTATGTCTAATTTTTCCATTATCTGATCACGATACCGTGCTGATGTACTTACAGTTATTTATGCCTCAGGGCTCACAATCAGGGTAATTTGTAGCCACCCATAAACCGTAACGGACATACGAATCATGATCTACCAGCAGGGAACATACCTAGGTAATTGTATAGCTGCTCTAATCTATTTTTGTTGCACAAATCAGTAAGTACAAGTTAAAATACCGTACATAATTATTAGGCTAAAAACATTTAGGCCATTTAAGTACGCAATTATGCAATCCGTTCGCAATAGTTCTTAATTTCCAGTCCGCTGACCATTAAAATAATTTGTCCCTTACACGTGTAGACCAACTAAGTTTAAGCGTTCGGAAATTTCTATGCTGAAAAACTTGGATTGTTTTGTCGGTCAACCACTTCCAACTAAGCAGTCAAAATACGGTACTTTTGCATCCGTCAGTGCTTTACGGCCTGTACCTAATAATTATTATAAGAGGTATTTTTTGAGGAGGTTTGGAATCGTTAATCACTACACAATACACACAAAGGTACAGACTGTATTATGCAGTGACATTTTTAAATCCAAAGGCCATCCATGATTTCTTTGCCGCAAGCAGTCGTCTTCAACCCAGCTTCAGATTACACCCCTTTTTCTTAATGGTAGCCATATACGCAGACGAAAGCAGTGCATTGCACAGAGAGGAAAGCCGAATATTTCATTATGCCATTTAATTATGAGAGCCATATATGGCAAGTTGGAGTCTGACTAAACTCTGATATGAAAATTCAGCTAAAAGCAATCTAATTCGAGACATCATCAAACGAGTAATATAGATATATCTACTCTAGGTAACCTCTCAAAAACAATGCTATTAGTGCTATCAGTAATCACCACTATTAGATCTTCAAACTATAGCTATAATGCTTTCGTTTAATTAATAATAAGCGGTATTGTCGCGCATTGTAATTACGGTTGACCGGCGAATACGGAATAATGCCGCATTTTTAACTGAGACTGTACTGTGATGGAATAATATGCATAAGTACTCTTTTAGCACCTGTAAGCATTTGGAAGTGCATAATATTATTAGTATTTTGTGATGTTGCAGTCACTGGCACATGTACAATCATTAAATGATCATAATCTGTATTCTGTGTGACAGCGTCCTCGAATACACACTTTTGTCTTCCGCACGTCAACATCCCACATTTAGTTAGCCACCTGGACAAGTGCGAAGTGTCGACGCAGTTTTGCGAGTGCAATAGGATGGATCCTTCCGGCCCCGAGTATGTACTGCGACAGTCTGTGTACTGGGATTTACCCAGTGCTAACGCTATCACAACGGAGCCGATTCGGCATGTGGAGTGTTGCGAAGCGCTCGCTAGACGACGACGTAGACAGTCGATTTTCGATAGCATTTACTTACTTTCTCACCAGTTTATCATTGCGACGAAGATATTCGCGTTGACAATCTTTGACTAGCACGATAGTGTAGAACAGTGGAATTTTTGAGATCATTCCCTTTGGGCAACTGCATGATCGAACGTTTACGCTTGCAGAGTTATTAATTTTGATATTTTCCAATTTTGTTTGCAATTTGCTATTCTCATCGATTAATTGAGGTACGTGCAGGAAGCGTTTACACCAGACTCGCACTATAATCAAGGTCGTATTGAAATGCATGCTAAATTCTGATACGAGCTATATTTAAGTTGCAACGGACTGCAACGGACGGAGTCCAAAATTACTGTAAATAGTAAGCAATGCTAAATGTGGCTTTTGTGGCCATTACGCACCGCGGTATATGCGCCGTAGCAGTTGTAATTTGTATATAGTGCGGCTTGCTTATGAAGTATGCGTATGTTTACCGTTTACTTTTATTATTACTCCATTTGATAACGTTATTTTCGATCGGTTTATGGGAATACATATTGAGATTTTGCATAAGCCCTATAAAGCGTATCCACATTGCAGTACGGGATTATTCATGAAGCCTTGTGCATACCGCACATCTTTTTCAAATTCGCAAACAATTGTAGATGTCGCAACCAACGAACCCATCTAATCCTATGAAACCGGAAGATGCGGCCCGCATCCAGTCCACGCAGACGTTGGAGGGCAAGGATGCCGCAGCCGGCAGTTTTCCGGCCCGTGCACAAGCCGCGGCGGCCAAAAATGTTAACACGGGCACGGTGCCGGATACCTTTGGGCAGGCGACCAATAATGCCGCTGGTGACGGGTCGTCGACGAACGGAACCCAGCCGAATGCGCAGTGGACAGCGGGCAATCCCTGTCCTAGCGGACAGCGCAGTGCCAATACAGGGAATTCCGGTTATTGGTTTCAAGCAGACGGAGTCGTTTATGATGTAAGTGCATATAGTGCCTACATTTTATGTTACGTTTTAACTAAAGTAAGTACTGTACAAAAACACTGCGCCTTTGATTTAAATTGCACAATATTTTGTTACGCTTGGCTGCTTGTGACTGTTAAAAACGTGAACGTAGTTTGTGGGGAAATTTCAAAAGTTTTTTGATCTGGTTAAAGTTTTTTTATCTGCATAATACAAAAGGCTAAAGCGAAGACAGGGAAGTGATTAAACGATAGCTAGACGATTGGGAATGCTTTTTCTGTTTGTAGTTCCTTTAAAACACTTACAGTAATTTTTTACTTGTACAGGACATGCTGCCTCACCCGATGACTCCGCAGGTAACATTAACATTTGTCTGTGTCTAACATTAACATATCTAATTGGTTTTTATGATCCCATGTAATTATTGTATTGCCTATTTTTTATTGAATTAGGCAGCGGCTCATATCCAGAGCGAAGCAGCGCGGCGTGGTGAGTGCAATGTGATAATTTTTTCACGTGCTGTAATACTCGTACGACCGGCACACGGCACAGGGATCCAAGGAAATACCACAATCTTATAATCTTCAGTGATTTACGATTTACCAATATTCCGTTTATGGGCAGTTGTTTTAGGAGAGGATACCTCGCACGGGTCGTTTGCCAGCCGGGCGATGGCGGCCGCTGCTCATAACGTGGCAATGGGAATTGTTCCAGCCTGCAATCCCACCTCGAAGCCGCAACAGGTATGTTGTTTCGGCATTGATTTTTTGTACGCGACATGTTTAGTCAAATTAATGATTTAATGACCCGCACAAGCACATTTTGACTCCTTAGGGCAATCCCCACGGACCAAATCCCGGACCCAATCCAACACAGAGCGGGCAGAATCCGCAACAGGTACGGTCGGCGTAATATGTGTTTGCTGATCTTATGGCACGTGCTAGTCGGGTGCGTTGCCCTATCGTGGGGATATTAATTACCCGGTGCTGTTTTGAGATTCCCGTGGCAGCTCAGCGCTGTCTGGTCACAATTCAAATTTGTATGTCTGGTTTGAATGTTCTAGGCTGATCCTGCGCAGTCTCAACAAGGTCAACAACCAACGCAGGTTCGTTAGAATAGGTGTATGTTTTAGATTATTCAAAACCGCTACGTGAATATGAATGTTGCTGTTGGCAGCTGCCTTCTGGTTTATTAACTGCTGTTTTGTATTAAACTTTACTCCTATTGCCTCAGTTTTGCAGGGGAATCATCCGCAAGGTCAAGGTCAACCCACCATCCAGGTTAATATTAATTCTGTTTGTCGAATAAGGTCATACAAGGCTATTAGGCTATAAGGTTTGGCTATTAATACAACCGAATACAACTTAAACGCATACTGATACGTGCTCTTCTGGTGATTTATTGTTAGCATGTGTGTATTTATTCTTTGTAATGAAGGGATCGAGCTCGCAAGGAGGGTCTAGCCGGCGAAACCAGAGCGGATTTTGGCATCAACAAGGCGAAACTGGTACGCAGTCTTTTTGTGCGATTTGTCGTAGTTTTATTAATGATAAACTATGAAAATAATGAACTTGTCGTCCAGTGTACCGCGACATGCTCCCCAATCCGATGACGCCTCATGCAGCAGCTATCATCCAGTCTGAGTCGGCCCGTCGGGGAGAAGATATTGGTGAGTTTCGGTACCACCTGTGAATGAGACTTCCTTGCAGATATAGCCATTACTTGAAGACTTGTCTGCTCGAATGTACTACTGGCAAAAACTTCTGTCATAATATGTCATATGACCATTATTTTTCAATGATTTTGCACTTCCACATAGCAGCTGAGTCCTACCACAACGGTTACCAACTACTGGAAAAAACACTGCTATGGCTGTATCACTACTTACGGTATGTGGTTATAAAGGCAGTGATCGCTGTACAATGGTCTGTGAAATTTAGGTCATGGATCTTTCGCCGCTCGTGCCCAGGAAGGTGCTGCACATAACGTCCAGATGGGCGTTTTCACTTCCGCTCAATCCGGACAAGGCACATACTGGGATGTGCAAAATGGCATTATTTACGATGATATGTCGCCGAATCCAATGACGCCGGTATGAATAACGGATATCCGTTTACTGTTTTGGGCTTAGTTGGCCAACGTTTCTATCAAACCCACCATTTCTGTAGGAAGCTGCTGCGCATATCATGAGTGAAGCGTCAAAACGAGGGGAAGATACAAGTACGTTTTCATTAGCCTGTTGTTTTTCAGTTCCTTCCTAATTAGCCGTTCTATAACTGGATGTAAAATTGTAAACGTATTTCATTGGATATTCTAGGCCACGGGAGCTTTTCGGCACGCGCTCACGCCGCGGCGGTGCATAACGTGCAGTCCGGCCTGGTGCAGCACCGAGCGGCTGTGAACAACCGCAGTGCTGGGGGCGCGTGGCGTTATGGTGCAACATGGGATCGTGACCAGGGCGGCACCACATACCGTGACATGCTACCTAATCCGGTAATTAATCTGTAGATATCCGTAAAAGCAGTAGTTTTCAAGAATTAGTACTTCGCATCTTTTATTGTAATTTATTTTCAGATGACACCAGAGGCGGCGGCTCACATACAGTCCGAATCTACCCGACGTGGAGAAGAAATCGGTAATTGCAGTTATAGAAAAAGATAGATCTTCTCAAGTTGGTTAGCATTAATTTAATGTAATGTATGTTTTACGTGTTTGCAATTTTTAGTAACCTTTCGGTATGTGCTGTAATATCTTAACTGGCTAATTCAAAAGTTAGCTTACAGCTATTGGCTAATTGATGTACCGTTTTTAGTAAAACTGCAGTGATTTTCGTGAGTTTTACGCATTTCTGGTAATAGGATTACTGATACATACCACTATATTAAAAATTAACTGTTGCAGGTCCTGGTAGCTTTGCCGCACGCGCTCAGGTAATAAACAAAATTTTGCTTAAATGCGGAAGTTCATGTTACTGATGCATAGAACATTCCTGATGTAGGCGGCCGCTGCCCATAATGTGGCGATGGGCATCGTAAAGCCGATGAGCCGTGGAACGGGTGGTCAACAACAGCACCCGCAAGGCGGTCAGGGTCAGTCCGTTGGTGGCATCCAGCGACAGGCCGCGGGCGGCATGAGTAGTAATCCCTCCTCGGGAGGCAGTCAGTCGGCCCCGGCGCCAACCGGCCAACAAGGACCAACTCCCAGCGGAGCCGGAGCCAGCGGAGATCAGAGTCAGGATCCAAAGCTGGGAGCAGGAGCCACGGTGCAGTTGCCGGGTTCAGGGATGGAAATGTAATACGGTGAATGCATACGGATGATCAAAATTTTTCCTTCAGCGTCTATCTTTCCTACATTTCTGTGTTCTTTTTTTATTAACTCGTTTAATTTCTAAAAAAATCTTGGCGTCGCCATACCATAACGTTTTTCCAATGATAAATCTCTTGACGAAAACGTCAGCACTGTTCCTGTGTGGGTTATTTATAAAATCGATTTTTACAAACTTATGGTTTGGACACATCCAAAGTGATCGTCTGTAAGTCGTAGAGTGACGGTTAGAACGGTAGAAGCTAACGATCGATGGTCAGCTGTATCCGATTGCCCATGTGCACTGCTCCATGCTAGAATAGTGAGGATAGTACACACTAGTGATACTCGTACTATGGAAGTATTTTGCTGCGCGACTGCTGCTGTGTTAAAATTAAAAAACTTGGCGGAAGGTCCGAGTGCCTTACCATTGGAGAATGTTTTTGCGATGTTCCCGAATTCTGTCATTTGGTCTGGACTGGTATTTTTATGGGTGCAGGAAAAACGCTAGCTAGTTACAATTTGTCGCAAGCTTAAATTAAGGGATACACCGAGTTAACAGCAGCCTGATTACTCGTCATTATAATTTTGGCTGGAATGATAAATTTGGCGAAAAGGAAAAGTGAAAACTTGCGCATTTTAGTTCGAACTGGAAAAACTGTAAAATTCCTGAGGGAAGTTATAATATGCTACTGGTGGCCGATTATGTGGTGGGAAGCCAGCCGGTTGTCAATATTAAAGTACGAGTAGAAGCTAAGTATACTGCAGTACTGTAAAAAAACTGAATACTTATAATAATTAAATGATCATGATCAAGAACACAACAGAAAGTTTCTCAGCGTTCACTTATGCATATCGGTGCGTATTTGCGCAAACACGCGGATAACGCGATTATCCATGCTCGGTTAACCATAAATATGAATTAAATACGCGACTTTTACCTGCGTAGATTTTGACAATCCGTTTACAGTAAGCCCTTGTTTTGCAAAAATATTTGGAAGTTATTCCAAATTTATGCGTTCTGCAGCACAACATGGAACAGCGAGCTTTTTCTCCGACAGCATCCAGTTGCATGCAAAAGTCCTTCGTAGCATGGCTAGCGTACTGCAAAGCATCCAAATCCCGATGCGCTTACGAGAAATCAAAACAGCAAGCTGAAGCGAGGATTTCCGCCATAACGATGCGTGAGAAGGATACGACGGAAAAAGACCAAGCACTTACGTCTGCAACAAAACAACATAACCATGCCGTGGTGTCTGTGATGCCAATTCGCAAAAACGACCATCCCTCATCGGATAATTTGGCGGCCAAAAGCGAAACTTCCACGGGTCGTTCCCAGCCGTCATCCTCTTCAGGCTCCGACCGTCGGAAAATGCCAGTGGATAAACGATTCGCTGGTACGAATTTTCGTAATTAAGAAATAACCTGCAGACCTTCTGTGAGTAATTCTTGGTTTGAATTATTTAAGGATTACTGCAGATAAAACGTGCAGCTGAAAATTTTATGATAAAAAACATGCTATACAAACAGATTTCCAGAAGCGCGCAGAGGAACGCGAAAAACGGCACGCAGAGCTAAAAAAGCTTAAAGAGCAACAACAAGCACAAGAAGTCGCTCTCCGGCGTCAAGCTGAAGAAGAAGCTAGAAATGCTGAGATTGAAAGGAAAATCTTAGCAGCCAGGGAGCGAAAAGAGCGGCTAGAGAAGGAAAGGTCACTGAAGCAGCGCAAACAGCAGGAAGCAGAAATGCTGCGTATTAAGATGGCGCTTGCTGATTCATTCCGAAGGAAAATGCTCTTGCTATCTTATGGAATGGAACCGTGGAAATGTTTATTGCGAATGCAGAATCAAAAAAGGGAAACTGCTGTAGCACATCACGAGCATCGGCTATGTGCGAATGTTGTAAAAGTTTGGTGTCAACTGACACAGACCACATTAAACGCGAAGCAGTTGATTGCAGACAAAATGGTCGAGCGTCTGTGGAAATCACTGATAATTCGGCATTTGTCTCAGGTAACTGCGTTAACGCGTAATAGAATAATCCTATAAAATTCGAACAATGCACTAATAATTCCGCAAGTTATTGTTAAGGCGTTGAATGCTTTCGTAAACATTTGCTTCTTGAAGGTCCAACTATGGAAGAAACGTCTGATTTCCAGACTGTCACCTTTTGTTCGCCGATTTAAGCAACGACGCATTTTGCTGATTTGGAGATTTTACCTTGAAGATGAAGAAATTTATTACCAGCGGATAACGAGGCAATGTGAAAACTTATTTTCGAGGTGCAAAGAAGTTATTAATTCATTTGAAATTATGCTCTTTTACTTACTTTAACGGAAGCTGTTCACATTACTATAGTGAACTAGAATTAATTTTATCCTTTTAAAACGAAGGATATCTAAATTACTTCTCATGTATTTACCAGGTGTACAAAAGTGATGGTGTTAGAAAAATGGCAAACATTACCTGCTGTTATGAAAGAACAAAGACTGCGAAACTCAATTATCCTGCAGCTGTGCACGACAATACAAGCTCTTCTTCCAGACTTCAGTCTCTCGGAAACATTTGTAGAGCAATGGGAACTTCAACTCACTGAACCACATAAAGCAATATCCACACCAGAAATTCCATTATCGAGTAAACACAGCAACAGCGTGCTCGAGCAGTCTGATTTAAAACAGGTTGAATCTGGTAATTTCCTCTAATATGCTACAAAGTTTCGCAGCGAAAACTGAAAACCAGCAAATCAACGGACATCCAATTCAGTCTGTGGAGAACAATAGGAAAGTGGTAGACGAATGTTAGGTTTCCATGCTTTCTTCCTGTACTGCTTCCGGGGAATCGGAATCCTCACTGGAAACTGACGGCGACCGGCTGCTCTGGGAGGACACATCGCCGGATTCGTTTCTGTTCTCTCCCTCAGTCTTCTCCACCGACGTGGATGTCCTGTCGGGTACTGCAGCAGTAACGGGACGCTCCTGGGACTCAAAGTCATCATTTCCGGTGGGGTTAGTTTGGCTGTCGGGCTGGTCGCCCACCGAATCCTTGGGTTTCCTGCGATAATTTGCTTTCCTTCCTACAAATGAGAATTTCAATGAACATTATTACCAAACCTTAAAATAATCAAATTTATGTTCTTAATGCATGGAGCGCCAAATAAATATTTCGAGATCGCTGATTGAGAGCATAACTGTCTCCGATTCTCCGGCATATTGTTGATTACGAATACGTTCAACAGCAAATACAAAGCGGGCTTCGAAACTATTTGTACCTAACAATAAAATAGACGCAAAACATACAAAACAGATTTAAAAATTCAAGAAGTCCGACGGAACACAAACCAAAAATCACCACATTTTAATTGAAATTGTTTAATTAAAACCCCGCACCAGCAGTTACTTATAATGCGAGGTTAAATTTACTCTTAAAATTAAGCAACTATGGAAAAAATTTCCGAAGCTTAAGTATTCAACAGCCATATCTCAAAAGATGCGTAATAACAAAACAACTTACGCTCGACAAGCGGCAGAACTTTCTCCGCGAAGCTGTAAAAATCGTTTTCCTCCAGTGCTTCAACGATATCCTCTGGCAAAATAGTTCTGCGCTTGTTTTTGCGGGCTACTTGCAAGGCGCTACAAAAACAAAGAGAAAATAGGTCGTTAACAAAATCGTAAAACGGTAAGTCCATCCAATAAAGAAAAGCAGTGGACATACTAATCAGTAATGAACAACACAAAAATTGTAGGCAATCTTCGCATACAGTCTTTGGCTTCTTGGGAGATTATCGCGTTTCTTGGAATCTGCGAAACAGAAACGTAAATTTAATATACTGCGGATTTGATCGCTACTCTAGGATGGGTACTCACTTGTTTCTAAATCATAAGTACGTAGTTAAATACTACAGAATCGTACAGATAATAATATCGATATTACCTTGCAAAATTGAACAAAAAACAACAAAGTTTCAAAATTGACCGGAAATTTCTGAATAGCTTGGTCGGCTTTAAAGTCGGCCAGTCGCTTACTCTTAGTCGTAGGATAATATTACGAATAAACATTTACAGCGTTCCAGTCTATGGAAATTCCTACGTAGGCTATCGTAGGCATTAGTAGCATACTAACATTCAAGGAATACCAAGTGCCTGAGCGCTGCAGCTAGTGTAGGTACACGGAATTACCACACTTACTACTTCTTTCATCATTTTGATCACAGTGGTTTCAGGCAATCTAAGATCCCGCACGGTTCTTGGTCCTTCTTCGTCATTTCCTTCAACTTCGTTTGCAATGTTATCGTTCTCGGTTTCGGACTCTTCTGATTCTTGCGCCACAGCCGTATCCAAAACTTTCTTCGAACGAGGCATTTCGTGGTTTTTCAAGGTAACGAGCGCAGTGGTAACACGTCAGTATTCCGTATCCAAAAGTGAAAAGACAACTTGAAAGTGACAAAATTGGGGATTAAAAAACCGTCCGATTCGCTCGATTGTTTAGCAGTTCCAGATATGACCACGGTGTACAACCAACGAAAATGGCATTCACCTAACTGTAAACAACCTGATTATCGAACGGCAAAAAAGGCTTCTACACGTTCTCTACGTTCTAACAATAAATCCAAATTTAACGTTATAATAAACTATTTTTTAAAAAAATAACAAACGTTTTGAACAATAATAATATTATACCCAACGATTCACGAGATGCCTTTTGTACTGAAGTACATACGTACGATTCACGTACTGAAGGCATCATCAGCAGCAGGTAACAACGCCACCTCGAGCGGGAGGCACCATACATGAAGCGTTAAGAATCTGCGTAACCTGATCCCGTGGAGATTTGTACGTGGTGGCCAGTGGACTCTTGCACATCCATAACATATTTTACCCACAACAAAATTGTTTTATTCAGATTAAAACAACATAATTTTGCACTCAATTGAAACGTCAATACTATTCAATGATTTCAATCGTACTAAAAAAATTGACGTTTGAAGCCGCTACAAACACATCTACGGCAAAATTCAAATGCAATTTACCGCTCTGTACAAGTACATAATGAGAAATGTATAATAAAATAGAATGATAAATAGCACAATGAGGAAAATTATTCACAATTTCACCATCAAATAAATTACCAAAATAAATTAAAATGAAGTTAAGTGTGCGCGAAAAAACAAATATACAAAAAAACAAAGTCGATGGGATGATCCCTGAGATTCCACGGAAAGCAACGGCTTAAACAGCGAACTGCTGACGAGGAATACTGCCCATGAAGCGCGGCTCAGTGGCAAGAGTCGGGCCTTGATGCATATAGTGGTGGCCATTGGCGGTCGGGTTGGAAGAGGGAATGCGCATCGAGTTGACCATATTGATGCGGCCATTCTGACGCTGGCGTTGGTCGTTCCCATTTGACAAAGTCGGCTGCATCTAATGTGGAAACAACGGTAAGTATCACTAGCAAAACAATAATACCATGCTGCAAGCTGCAAAGTAAGCCGAAAGCGTACCTTATACGCCGCATACACATCGGAAGTGGAGTCATCAAGGCTGTTGCATCCAGATGAGCCGTTAGACATGTTTACGTAATCATTGTTGAGACCATTCGAGGGAATTACCTGCCAAAAATTATTCCAGCTAACAAGAGCCCACCAAAGCAACGCGAAAAACTCACGAGAATTCACAGACTGATTTTTGAATGCGGTGCGGTACGCTTACATTTTTCATTTGAGAATACATGTGGCTCGAATGCATCTGAGAAACGCCGGGACTCACAGGTGCCGAAATGGTCCCACTCGCGTACGGGCTCATCATTGGTCCCGGGGAATATATCAGTGCGGGATCGAAGCCATAGGCGGCAGGCGTCATATAGGGCAGCGTGTACGGGGCCGACGGCGGGTTCATGGATACCGACTGCAAAAAATGGGAATTTTTCAATACATTATAGTATGAACACAATCGAAAGTGCATTTCGTAAAATTATTGACTCCGTACAATTTTGAAGCTAAATAATTAAGTACCTGTAATGAAAACTAATTTTTAATGGGTGAATATGGATGCATTTAGGTCTACATTTATCGCATGCACGATACAACTATAATCGTTTATTTTTAGTAGGCAATACAGCACCACAATTACTTCCTGCTGTCCAGTAAAAGGTGGTTTTACCTGCATCATGCCCGCTTTGCCGGGAGCAATGGCAGCCCAGGCCCGGTATGACGCATATGGGTCAACGTGCACGAACGGAGGCAAAAGAGTCGGAGCTGAACATGGAACGGAAAGTTCACACAAAAAAGGATACGCGAAATGAATATGCAACTTTTGCTATTTACCAAGATAACGATTGTAGATCTGTGGCTTGCGGAACGCCTGTCCAACAGTCAGACGACGGCCATGCAAGTCCAGCGATTTGTCGGATAGCTGTAAGAAGAACAGACATGTGCAATTTCAACTTCGAAGCCATAAGCGGCAGGTTTCATCTTTTAGTGTACGTAGTAAAATTTCATCGCAAGGTACAAAAAAAGTCGGAATGCACAACAGGACGAACTTCTTAGACTAGTATGTTATTGTTATGTTATAATCTATTCAAATTTAGGATCGCGACAGAGAACTGTTCCAAATACCAGAACCAGTTACAGAACTATTCCAAATTATTACTACAGAATTATTCAAAATACTTATGAACTTGTTGGTGTACATATAAAGAGAGCCGATGTGCAGAGAACAGCGAAGACTCGTAGCTTGCTAAAGGTCACTGACCTTTTCCACTTAAAACGTTCTAATTGCAAAACCAGGATTCTTACCGCCGCAAGCACTTTCTTTACTTCCTCCGGACTTTCAAACGCAATAAACGCGTAACGACGAGGATCCCCCGATTTCGAAATAATGGATCGGTCAACGATGATCTTCACATCCTGCACTGGAGCATACTCGTTGAACATCTCCCGTAGATCTCTGGTTTCAGTCTGCAGCACACCCAGTGTCGACCAACAGAGACATAAAAACAAAAACATTTTCGTCTGCAGTTTCTCACCTTTTCTGCCAATCCTCCCACGAAGACTTTGTTGGGCAGCAGCGACGGATTCAGATTTAAAGCGTTCATGTCTCCCAGAGTCTGTTCAACTAAACCAGAGTTGGCCATTTCGTCAGCACCGCACAGCAAATACAACGCACGATGGAAACTTAAAAAGGCTTCAAAAATGCGAATAAAGGTCGACGCAACACAGCGCAAAACAGAATCAATATTGGCAATACAACAACCGGACTGAATCAAACAAACGTCAACAAAAAATCCGGCAGAAAATATTTTACGAACTGCCCAAATAAAATACAAGACTGGACTCACGTTTGCACTTCTCCATGGGCGCTTTGCTCCTAAAGTACTGTGGGAGTTCAATTTTTTCGCGCTACAGACATGAAGCTCGGGTATTGGTCAGCAGCCTGGATTAACCGCCCCCTTTTCAGTTCACGGGGCAGCAACCGGCTGATTAATGGTCATCGCTCTGAACCGAAACGCTGGCCAAAAGGCTGAGTGCGGGCTGCAGTATGCCGAAACCGGCAAGATGTGTACGAGACTACGAGTACATAAGGTAGTATCTGTGAGTCGATGACCAGTGACCATCGTCCATCAACACTTTAAAAAACGTAGTAACTTATGCTCATGCTTCGTTTCAAAATATTTTTCAATCAATAAATTAAAACATGACTTCAATTTCAAACCCATCAGTAAATTCACACTTCCAATTATAAAGAGAAACCTATTACTTTTTTCCATTTTTTTTAACGTCGGCATTCGGCAAACGCAAATCTGGTGTCTGGTACTGGTAGCAAGGCTGGTAGTGTCAAAGTGGTCAGTGTCACTGATCTTTCGGTCAGTTCGAGTTATGCGGTTACGAAACCAATATCGAACCCGAACTGACCAGAGCGGAATTTTTTCCATCAGGCGGTACGTACGCATTATGCACATTAGAACAGTGCTTTAATACAATGCCGCCTTAATTTTCAGCTGCTTTGTACGACCGCAGACACGTACTCGTATTTACGTTGGATCATTTTTATCTTTTTCAAGTTTTATCTTTCAAGATTCTGCTTCTCGATCGAAATTTATATCATTATGTACAAAAATTATTATTCTTTTTTGGTTGCTGTCGGAGTGTGCACAATAATGAATAATCAATGTTTCATGGCGCAAACCCTATGCAGCTATGTAATTCGAGACTAAAAATCACAAGCAAAAAAATGCAAATACATGAATAATCGAGGTAAACAGGACATCGAATAAGTTTATTTCTTTTTCTTCATTTTTCCTTTGTCGATTTGCGAAAGGTATTTGACTATAAACTTTTTAGCCAATACGCGTAACTGACTAGCCTCGATAATGTTATTGATTAGCTCGGGCAATGGCATTTCACGAAATTTGACCTGTTTGATGTGCTCAAGTTTTTCTTCACATCCTGCGCGGTATCTAGCCAAATCCTCTTCTGTGCAAACTGGATCAGTCTGTGGTCCAGCCTTATCCAGATGTGCAGCTAAATTATTCAATATTTTTTGATAGACGACACGTAGTGGATACCAATTAAAGTACTCCGCAATGCGTAATTGCCCATAACGCTGAGCCAGTACCAAGACACTTCCGTCCGCTGGCACCATGGAAGGGTCACCGCCCTGTTTGACGAAATACTCTTGAAAGACTGAAATACGAGATACGCCCTCCGTTAATTACCGTCAATTGATAAAAAAATCCTTTCGTAAATCTTCTTTATTAAGCTCACAAACATTATTCGCTTCACTTAGCATTTTCTTAAAATAGACAAGCAGATTAGCGTTAGCGAAATTATCCTGTCAAGAAAAAAATTGAATTTAGAGCTGACAGTTGAATTCAACAACTGAAATTTTCTCCACATTTAACTAATGCGAATTAGCAAATCACCATTCACTTTCTATTAAGTCTGCATGTCCCCAAATTGCTGCGATATGTGAACAATTATATTTCCCCCATTGTGCAAATTCATAAAATTTCTGTTCTCCTAAAATTTTGATGATCAGTTCCACAATTTGCCGACAACCGCGAATAACAGCCAATTTGATGATGTCACATACGGCGAAATTATCACGGTTGTGCTGGAACAAACTGACTAAAGCGATTGGCGGATGCACGGCTTTCAATGCATTTTTAAAATTCTCCACATCATCGTCTCTGGCGATAGCATCAATTGCGCCATTGTACCATTCATCAAGCTGTGTCAAAGAACACTGCGGGACTGAATGAGTCCAGTCAATGCGCAAAGCTTCTTCAACCAGCGACAGCTCACGGATCTTATTTGTTTTCTCATCTTTTCCTTTCTTTACATTAGTTTTTTTCCCGTCCATAAAATTACTACATCAATTTCGCCGTAATTACGGCAAATTCCTAAGAAAACGAATTCACGGAGCAACTGTATTTAATTCTAAGTAAGACTAACTCCAGAAGTCTCAAATTTTGTTTCTATGGCGTCCATTTGACTTTTTTTCAATCGCAAGAAGGTACAGTAAGCTTAACCAGATAGTAGATGCTATGTAGTGCATTTACTGTATTTAATAAGTCAACAATTTTCTGTGATCAACATTTTCTGTGTTGAACAGGCCCAATCAACTGCAATTAGGTACGATTAGTAAGAACATGCACTGCAAAATTTACAATAATGTACTACATTCTTAAAAGTTTAGCGCGTCGCCGTTTATTGTTTACCTTTTTAGTGCGCATCAGTTTTACTTTGTTTCTCGAAATAAACCAATAAATGCTAGCAAAATGTTACGACAAACATTTCAACATTTCAAGAATCTACTGTCTAATTTTATTAAAGCCCTCTAACTTCTATTAAAATCCTCTAAATCTGCAAGGGATGAAAATAATTATGCAAAGTACTGTACTTTAACATAACATTTTGTATCGTATGTACACAACGAACAAATAAAATCAAATCAAATTGAAATCCCGATAAACTCTATTACAAGGGATTTTTGAAGCAACACTCCAAATCAGACATTGTATCGAGGAGTACCTAGTCATGAATGAAAGATCAAACAACAGTGATGTTCGATGAATCATCATCTTTAGATTCCAAACTGAATGGCGGAATTTTCACATCTACAGAACTGCCGTCTTCCCGCTCGAACCGAAAGGTCCTGCAAAAATAAACACATGCGCATATAAATGCGTTATGATGCATGGATTTTCGCCACTGAAGATAAAAAACTGCATTCGGTACCAGTTAAGTACTGTATCACTGAAACTACTAGAGCAATTATTAATGTACTGTACTCGTACTTGATTCCTACTCAAGCTAATGCATTGATTAACATGGCTTGCATATAGATATTAAGAAACTGAAAAGCCAAATGCTTGTTTAATCCCGTCACTATTCAAGAAAACGCAATTTTCTTAATAAGTGCCTACTTATATGAAGTTGGACATTCACTTTGCAGTCCTTGCTTAGATTATGTTATCAATGAATAAAAAACATACCTATAAAGCAGAATGAAAAAATAAAAAAATAGACAGATATTAAACAGATATTAAATTAAGTTCAGGTATAAGCAAATTTGAAGTACCGAAAGCGGCAATACTGAGCTGCAAAGAAAGCAAATGAAGCACCGCTGCTTCGTACAACGATAAATTGGTCGTATTTGTTCTTGTCACCAGAAGCATGCTCATTTATAAAGCAACAAAATGAAGAAACAATAACAAAAAATTGTACACCGAAACTGTATGGCAAATATTTCGATTCGACTCCGTGCTTTCTTACCCCCACATGTGGCCAGAAGGTGCTTGTAACGATACATGCGAACTGTACTGGAAAGCCGGCAAAACTTTAGAAAGCACTGGTTCCTGTCCTACGACACCTCGTCCTCTAACCGTTTCCAAAGTTCCAGATAAGGAGAAGATTCGCCAATGTCGCTCACGTAACTGTACTGTTTCTTCGCCTAAATTTTCCAAGCGAATGCAGTATCTGCAAAGAAAGATTATGAAACGCATAAAAATTAAAATTGTAAATGTATTCCTGAAAACCTGCTCAGGCAAGAAAACAGTGTACATAATAGCGCTTAATATTGACTTCCGAAAATAATTATTCAATATAAACCAATAAACAGCGTCGATGCCATCCACATCTTCCAATGGCAGCTTAATAGTGCGACTCGCAACTCACAGAATTCAAAGGTTCCCTTAATAAACTAATTTATCAAAGCATAAAATGTGCTTTTCTATTCTATTAATTTTTACTAACGATAAAAACTAACCTCCACCAGTAAACACTTTGTCCATTTCCCTGCCCCGTATCCCGACGACAGCCCATGTAGAAGGGAATCACGGTCACTCTGATATTTTCCGTCGTTTCGCGATGCACATCCGATAATTCAAGCCATGGATGGTTCCGATCTTGCCAAGCTCGCAGTGTATCTTTCGGCTCATAGGAACCTTTCTCGGTATCCAGATAAAGAAATTTCTCAAAAAGATCATGCATTATGGCATTCTTTTCGGTACTGGAATAGGGTATGACATCGTCGTGAGATATATAATCCAGTCTGCAAAGACGTAAAAACTCCATGTATGTACAATACTGCAAGTACTTCGTACTCGTATAGTATAAGCAGTGCTATCACTTCTATGCAATTTACAAGGCTCAGAAGCCGATTGGATGTAAGTACATAAATTACATTCGTTATCTTCGGACTAAACATCCATTGCCGGAAAAATCTTAGACACTTAATTAACAATACAAGCGTTAGGGTAAAGATGAAGGTGCCCGAAGTACAGTGTTACTGTTACAAAAAATCAAACAATACATCGACACTGCAAATAATGGAAATGCAAGCCCATAAAACGAATCCAAAAACTCGTTACAAATCAAGAACAACGTAGCACAACGTGGATTTCATTCATTCCACAATTTTATCAAACGCTTATGTTTTTAAATCACTTCCAAATCATGGTGAAATAACAAAAGCGCATTCAAAACACAATTTTTTCCGGAAAGCTAAACTCTAAAGTGACAATAAACAGAAAAACCGAATAAATAAAAGACACTGATCGAGCATCTGTAGAATCAACGCCACAGCAAAAAAAACAAGAGCAGTGTCGACTTACCCAGGAATAGCGTACAGAGATCTACTGCTTTCCTGATGTCCAAGAAACGTCACCGTCTCCGACTGAGCTCGAATGTGCGGGCAATCCCGCGCGTCAATCAAAACTTGATAATATGGCACAGCTCGGCCCTTCACATCACGACCCGTCCCGATATTGTTGAAGGCAGCGCCTTCGTTCTGAGCAGGATCGATCTTGATGCCTTCTTTCCTTCCTGCGAGATCCCTGTCGAAAACTCTGGCCAGCCACGGGAATAATACCACACCTAAACAAAAAATACTGATTCAGGGGTCTTCGTATATAAATATCTGCTCCAAACATACCGAGTCCAGGTTAAGTAGCACTATCGAAATTCAATGCATACGTAGTATTGTGCGCACCTCTGTATCCAAATATCCGATGTAAGAACAACTGTCCCGTGGGGTATTTCAGGTTCTGCTCCTTAGGTTCTTCGAACTTCCCAACTTCGGCTAGGCGCACCGCTGATGCATATGTTCTGCGAGGCAGCGAAGTACACAAAGAAAGACGAACGCATTGCGTATCCCGGGAAGAAGCGGACTCACAAACAATCCGCAATAATGGAAGAAATGTTCTGCAGCACATAGTCGGTTCGGTGCTTAGTGCTTACACCTCGGATACAACTCATACAAGCAAAATTTCTAACGTTTCACTACGGGCAGTGTGCGGACCATTTCAACGGATACAGCCACTGAAAATCACTCCAAGTCACGTCGTAAAAGCCCCACAAAAAAGGAAGTTACTCAGAATGTCTGTAAGTGCCTAAGAAAGAAAACTACGAAAATTGTAATGTTTTGTTTTCCAGGTTCACAATAAATGTTTTTGCTGCTTTTTGAAACGATTGCGTGACTCAAGCTTTCACATGATCTGCCACCGTATAAATAACGCATTTCTCTTACGTAACTAGCATGCCAGGGGTATGTACACTGTATGATAGTGATGTGAGGTTACCGTTATACTGTTAAACTCTGCTAATAAGTACAGGTAATTTTCGCTATTTTAAAACATTAAAGATTTTCCAGAAAAGTTACAATTTAAACCGTTTATAATAATGACAGGTACGCACAATACGTATGTACGCACATTAAACATTTTATTAAACGCTATTGTAGGTCACCACGTCAGTCATTTATTATCAGTTATTATCAACATTTTGAAGACTTACATGTACTCAATTACTTTGGAATGGTGCTGTTCGAACAGGAGTAAGCGCTTTCTTTGTTTTTAACGGCATGGGATGCACTAGCGCACATCTCACCTTTTCGAACATTTCCTTGAGACTAAGTGTTGCATCAATTGCTAATGAAATATCCTGATAATATGTCCGCAAATCATTTTCGTAATTCTCATACAGCTTATCTTGAGATCTAATGATGCCGGCTTGTGCTTCGACATCTTTAACTCCCCATTTCCGGTCAGATGATGGTAAGAGAACGCTTGTGCGCTGTGTGTCGTATAGGTCCGTTAGTTGTGTTGCTTTGTCGAAAAGGTCGTTCGCACGACGCAGCAAACGCTGTTGAGCAATTTCCGACGGACAGTCAAAGAAAAGCACTCGCGAAGGGCGGAATCCGCAGCGATCCAGAAGTTCGGCTTGGACACGGTTCTGTGGAAACCCACGCAAGATAAATCCTACCAGGTCTGTCTCGGCCAGAGCGCGGCAGACCATTTCTCCAACCATATCATCGGGAACTGGAATCGCAGTAACATTAATGGTAAGCAAACAGTAACATCAAAATACACATTACTAATTATAGAAAGACCTGACACACAAATTAGGCAAGCAATGGAAGCAGTAATTCCAAACAATTTATTCGTAGTTATTGATTACAGTACTGTACTTATATACAAGCCCATCCAACAATTCTTTGACCGCTGTAAGCGCAGCGCATATAAATCACGCACAGTAATGCAAATACGCATCGTAGTGTAGTGGCAGATATATTTATAAATATTCAACCAATAATAATATAATAGATCACAATTAATAGACCATTATTATACCAACGTGGATTCAATTATCTTTAGCCCGGGCATGTTGCAATCAGTAATTTGAAAGTAATATGGATATTAAGTACCACCGCGATATTGTATTGCAAAGCAAAGATGATACTGTTACAAAAGCATAAAATTAATATAAATTATGATGGCAATAAATAATGCTTAACATATTACATTGTATATCACAGAGACAGTAACTGCAACACATGCAGATTTGTTGCTTATTTACGCTGAATACGCGGACCCATGTGGCGTGACGTGTCGAAGCACATTAAATGGCTCAAGCCCACGTTTCTTTAAATTCCCGCTTACAGCGGTCAAAGAATTGTTGGATGGGCTTGTAGGATATTGCAATACAATAAATTATGTACTTAATATATATACAGAGTATTGTACATCATAATTATGTTATAAGATGTACTATTTTGCTAAATTGCGCAAGCTTACTTTGCCGCTCCCGGTTGAGCAGTGCATTAATTTCTTTGTAATTGTCATGTTCCGAATCGACAGCCGCTCGCATCACCAAAGAACCAGACGAAACTGAAACGTTTTCATTTGTTGCATGCGCACAAGGACTGAGCGGACTTGTAGGTCGATATTTTCCACAAGTTATAATGTAAAATTATGTTGCATTTACGTATTCCGTACATTTACAGATGAATACACAGCCCGAAGCGTACCGTGGTAAAGCCGAAATGTTCGCGCCAGCCAGTTAGCTACGGATTTTTTCCCAGATCCAGGACGCCCAATAAAAAGCAGTCGATGCATGTACGGACGACGCTGAATAGACTGAAGAGAGGAAAATTGCAGGGCTGAAATTATCATATTATGTAAGTTTATATATTATCATACTATGTAAGTTTGTATCCATATTTTGTAGTTCAGACTAGCGGGAAATCAACATGGCTTGCCTTCATTAAATACTGCACCGATAGACTGATCGGCGTTGATCACGATACAACTCGGATCGCCGTAGGCCAATGTCGAACAGCTTTTGGAAATCAGAATGGACTCATATGCAAACTCTTGCATACGTGCTGCAAGTTGACCTTTCGTATATTTCTGCGGTACAATCAAACGCTTTGCAATGCTTTTCAGCACCGGCATGTACAGCTGACTGTGATATGGGCGTTTATCAACCGGATCAAACAGATAATGCCTCCTTCGCTCCAAAAGTACAGCGGGATCAGTTTGCAATATAACTGCAAGGCGACATTCCTCATTACAGTATACCAGTTACAAAAAATCCGGTCAGAACAGATGACGATCGCATTATCTTACCTCAGCTAGTCAGCGTTATCGTCTAACGGCTATATTAACATCTATTCGGCTATATTACTAAGTACTATTAACGTGGAATATTAATGTTATGAAATGTTTTGCATACCAATCTAACAATTCGTACTGGTTTTCAGAGGAGAGATTCCTTGCCGGCGAAATAAATCGTCCTGCGCCCTTGTTTCCGGAAAGCCGCACAAAATCCATCCTTTCGCAATACAATCATCGCTGAATATTTTCTGTCGAATTAAAGAATAAGCCATTTCCGGTGGTAAGGGTTCGCACTTCTCGTGAAACGGTGTGACAGCCATCTGCAGTTGTGGATCCACTGTTTCGTAGAGGCGATCGTAGTCCAACAACGGAACGTCGAAGACTTCGGCTAATTGCGTAGCCAGCGTATGTCGACCACTCAACGGTGGGCCGATGATGGCGATTTTATCACTTGTCGAATATTTCGCATAAAGTATCTTATCAATCCCTGCACTGGATTTTCCGGTCGAGTAATTACAAGCTCCTGCAAAGCTTTCTGCAAGTAATACAAAAAACGAATGCTGTAATAATTATCATTATGCATGTTCAGATGTCTTCGCTGACAATCAGGTGTCTAGCTAGCGCGGATAATTGTTGCCTAACCATTAAAACCCCGAAAATATCTTTGTCTTCAGCATAGAAAGCTCCTGACTGCGGAAACGAGTTCTTTTCACTGAACCGTGTTGTTTCCATTTTGATTGATCTCTCGCAAATAAAAATATTGGAATGACCAGATTTTTAAAACCGAATTGAAAAGTGAAAATTTTACTTGTAGCGAAAAAGACTTACAAAACAGTGTGCTGCGCACACTATCTGCATGTGCATATTTAAAGTAGGAAGTCTTAATGTGCTTAGCAATAACGTTGTACAATAAATGTAAATCTGAGGGTTTCGAAAAAAAGAGTGAGCGGTGTTGAGGAATATTGCAGGATTGTATACACTTCTCACGCCATTAACTCATACTTTTTGCTACAGATCATAAACCGTGCAAAACATCTCCAAAGCGCCGAGAGGCGTCATGTTTTTTGGCGAATATGTGTTGATCATTGCTGGGAGTCGTCTTCCTCGACTCTCGCAGTGATTCTGTGATTGTGACTATCCTTTACTTGTTTCTTTATCAGTGCAGCCAGTTAGATCGTAGGGACGTTAACTCTTCTGGCAATGCTGATCTGCTCACGATGCTCAAGGCTTATTTATACGAAAACCGACTACAAATCCACAATAAAAATAAGTCTAGAAAAACGCACATTACAACAGAGACCGAACAAGAACATTAGTACTCCATCAGCCTTTCCCCATCGGTTAGCGTATCACTGGAGTGCTTGGCTATAAAGAAAACAGCACAGGTAAGTGAATCCATTCAATACAGTTGAATAAACAAGCATATTCCACCACTTACAAGAGACCGGAACTTCGAACTGTTGTCCGACCAAGCAATCTTTCAAGTCGGATTTGTCTCCGATTTGCGCCTGACTGGCGATTATGCAGTTCTGAAGATTACAACTGGAAATAACCAAACAAAAACCGTATAATTACAATTTGCGAAAGCGCAACGAAATTTTACAAATGAATATAAACATGCGACTACCCACTTTGCAAATACGTCGAAACAGAAAACAAATTAAATATGCCATTAACACTAATTATACCTTTCTCCGATGAAAACGTCGTTCATAATCGTACAGCCACTGATTTTGGCCTTTTCCGATATTTTACAGTTCGGTCCGATAACGGATTTTTTAATCGACACCTTGTCCTGGATGACCGTGCGCTCGCCAACAATACTGTCCGCGCCAACTTGTGCTTTTCCAATTAAAGTGGCGTTAGGGTGGACGTATCTGAACGAGGCTGGTACCGGAAGAAGCGCTTGTATAATACGTGGTAGCTATCAAAACGAACCGTAAATCACAGAGCACAAATGTACCTAAGCCAAACAATATCATTATCCGCATTGAACAACTATATTGTACTAACCCAAGTATACCAAATCGTAAACGCGCGCATAGTCAGATATCAAATATAACAGCCAACAAGAAACCATTAATGATTTTTAAAAATGGAAGTGAACAGCAAGTAATGGTTAAAAAATGGTGCTCAGAATACTTTTTTAAAGAGTTTGTTAAACACTTTTTCAAAAAGGAGTCTGGAAAAACCCTTTCTGAACAACGAAAAGGCTAGCCGCTACAACTATCACGCTTACCAGTCTGCTGGCTTCACAAAATGCCGTCACCGTGTTAACACGGAAGCATAAATCGGTATCGGCAAGAAACGCATAACATCGCACACTGTTGCCAAAATACGAATCCTTCATATCTCCGCCATGATCAGACCATACTGACATATCCCGGGCTAACAGTTCCAACTCTTTTTCCGCAGCGATACGATTTAGTTGGCTCTGCAGAGAAGATTGCTCTGGCTCGCCAGTCAACCCGTTTAATTTAAAGAAAAGGAATTAACTCCGACTGCAGGGAAATATTTAATCTTTTCATTTGTTGTCAAAAGATAAAACACCCAACGTCTGAGCAGATAAATGTGAGAATCTTGGCGTGCAGTACGGGTACGAAGTCGGGATTACCTATCCAAAATTCAGCTGGGCATCATAAAAATTATGGACAACAGTTTAGCGTAGCCATAAACCACCGATAACAAGTGAAAATACTGCACTACTCCCGAAATATATTTCGGCTTCATTAAACTTAATTAATAAGAAAGGAAACTTAGAAAATTGAACTGTTTTAATTTTCAAGTTTATAATATGTTTCCTGTTTGTAAAACGCGTGCTTGACTCAAAGCTTTCACATGATCTGCAAAATCGTATTAATAAGTAACACAGATCGCCTACGTTAGTAACGTGCCAGGAGTAAGTACCAAACAGTAAAATACTGAAACCAGAATAGAAACCGTAGGTAATTATCAAAACTTGTTTCAGTAATCAGCAGATATCATCAACCAAATGCCAAAATCCCCATATTCGGTGCCCAACCAATCTTCTCAATCATACCACAGGATTCAAAATTTATCCTGTGGGTCCGGAATGAGAACATTTTCTAGCCTCACAGCATACACACGGACATCAGCAAATTTATGATCGTAAGAATCTCGTAAAGGAAATGGGTAATCGTTCAGTTCGTGTGCTTTCGGCTTATCCAGCAGACTTCCAACATTGAACTTTTTGGGGTCAGAGTCCAGTACAAAAATAATTTCGGCATGTCGGATGACGAATCCATACTTCTTGACCAGTTGTCTTGCAAAGCTTACAAATGGCTTAGTTTTACATGGATGATCTTCTTGTCGCACAGTAACCTGAAACATTCGCACGGAATGCGTCTTCTTGTCGATGTAAACCGCGTCGAAACCGGCCTGGTTTTCACGGGTCGGCTTAATCCATAAACCACTGTCGACGGTTTTCCAGAGATCTTTTAGCCGCGCCTGGTCTTCCAACCTGTAAATCCCCTCAAACATCGCGCAGTCTGCCTCGAACAGCTGTCCTTCTAAATCATCCTTCAGCACAGGCTTTCCGTTCCCGTCTCTGAGTAAGAGTTTTTTACTCTGAATCGTTGAAAAAATTTCAGTTCGAAACACTTCCCCTCGGTTCCTGCAAGAAAAACGCCGGCTATTCAACGGTGTCAACGAGAAAAATTAACTAATACGAATGCAACAAATACAACGTACCTCTCCCAAACAGATGAGCCAGAAATGGCTGCAAACGCTGAAGTACGGCCGGCGATCGCTCACTGCAGAGTACCAGCATTTCAGCGGCATATGGACTCACCAGTGTTTGTCCGGCGCTGCATTTGAAAACCAACCGGTTCTTGGTATCGTCATTTTTCGGCCCACGTCCATGTATTAAGTATTGGTACAGCTCTTCCATCGGGCCGATGGCATCTATAGCATCCATTATGTCCGCTTTGATATTATCCACTGTGGTATAAAACATGTAGCGCCAGGAATGGCCAGCAAATCGCCATTTCTTGGCTACCAAACGCCGCGCATTAGATTCACTCATTATTAGTCGTCCATCTTTGCTCATTTCACTCAGCGGAAATTTCTCCTCGTCAAATATCTCTTTGTAATATTCATGTATGCGCTGCATACCACCGTCTCCAGCGGGGCAGTGATAGTCATCGGCTAATGTATTCCAAACGGAAGCCAAAAAATCCGACTTCGTAATAGCAGTGTTGTAATCATCCAAATCCGGCGCACAAACTGGGACATGGTAAAATTTAGCACGAGTGAAAACCTTTGAAGCCGCTAGTGAGGAAGCGACAATGCATCGGCTACGGACGCTCCGGCGAACAAAATTTCCCAAATAATTCATTATCGAGCTGAGATCCTGCTCTTTGTCCGTTAATCCATCAACGATGAGAAGCTGCGCGTCCGCCCAGTTCTGACATCGGAGAAACGAATTAAAATCTTTCTTTGGGACAGAGACGATTTCAGTCTGCTTCGGTTGACCCTTTTTAAATTTGAATCCACATACGTCATCACTGATAGGAAAGTGGAACCAGCTGACATCACAATCCGGAATCATTTTAGCGCAGTGATGAGAGCGGCGGACGATTTGCCGACTCCCGGGGAATCAGCCAAGAGAATTTTCCTTTTTGGCCAGCTAAGGATCCGGTCAACGACGGCTTGAAATGTGTCTGTATCGTTAACAAACATTCCCTCTGTCTCTGGAAGATCATCCAGGTTGTCGATATGCAGGCCCGAAATGTTATATATTTCGTCAGGAATCCAATAAAGTCGGTTGGCTGCGTTATAACTGAAGAGGGCTTCGAGAAAGTGCGTGGCTTCCAAACGCCTGCAAGCAACGACAGCATCAGATGCATTGGACAGTTGCATAACTTAACAAACAAACCAAACACGAACCAATCTGACTCAAACCTTACCTGCAACAGCCACGCGCTCACGGTGCTGCCCGGCGGAGCGGGTCTGCGGAGTAGCGTGCAGGCGACGCACAGGGATCGACAGCGGGGAAGGGTATCTGAAAATAATACGCTACATGTCAGACACTGTGGAGACTGATCATGCAATGAAGGCAACAACACTGGAACAGGTAAATAAGTAGGCTCACTTTCCACCACAATATCGCAAGCTACCTCAACATACAGTGTTACTGTCACACAGAATCAAACAATACAACTCATTCATTCCACAATTTTATCACGTTTATGTTTTGTTTTAAAATCACTTCAAAATTAAGGCGCAACACGGCAACAGCAAACGAACATTCCAAATAAAACTGTTTCATAATCACCAAAGTGTTAATAAGAATAAATAAAAGACACTGATCGAGCATCTGTGGAATGAAAGCCACAGGAAAAAATCAACAACAGCAATGTCGACTTACCCAGGAATAGAGTACAGAGATCTACTGCTTTCCTGATGTCCAAGAAACGTCACCGTCTCCGACTGAGCTCGAATGTGCGGGCAATCCCGCGCGTCAATCAAAACTTGATAATATGGCACAGCTCGGCCCTTCACATCACGACCCGTCCCGATATTGTTGAAGGCAGCGCCTTCGTTCTGAGCAGGATCGATCTTGATGCCTTCTTTCCTTCCTGCGAGATCCCTGTCGAAAACTCTGGCCAGCCACGGGAATAATACCACACCTAAACAAAAAATACTGATTCAGGGTTCTTCGTATATGAATATCTGCTCCAAATATACCGAGCCCAGGTTAAGTAGCACTATCGAAATTCAATGCATACGTAGTATTGTGCGCACCTCTGTATCCAAATATCCGATGTAAGAACAACTGTCCCGTGGGGTATTTCAGGTTCTGCTCCTTAGGTTCTTCGAACTTCCCAACTTCGGCTAGGCGCACGGCTGATGCATATGTTCTGCGAGGCAGCGAAGTACACAAAGAAAGACGAACGCATTGCGTATCCCGGGAAGAAGCGGACTCATAAACAATCCGCAATAACGGAAGAAATGTTCTGCAGCACATAGTCGGTTCGGTGCTTAGTGCTTACACCTCGGATAGAAGCAAAATTTCTAACGTTTCACTACGGGCAGTGTGCGGACCATTTCAACGGATACAACCACTGAAAATCACTCCTAGTCACGTCGTAAAAGCCCCACAAATAAGTAAGTTACTTCAGAATGTTTGTAAGTGCTTAAGAAAGAAAACTACGAAAACTGTAATGTTTTGTCTTTCTTTTCAGGTTCAGAATGTTTTTGTTAAATTTTGCTGCTTTTGAAACGATTGCGTGACTCAAGCTTTCACATGATCTGCACCGTATAAATAACGCAGTTCTCTTACGTAACTAGCATGCCAGGGGTATGTACGCTGTATGATAGTGATGTGAGGTTATAAACTCTGTTACAGTAATGCAGATAACTTTCGCTATTTTAAAACATTAACGATTTTCCAGAAAAGTTATAATTTAAACCGTTTATAATTATGACAGGTACGCACAATACGTATGTACGCACATTAAACATTTTATTAAACGCTATTGTAGGTCACCACGTCAGTCATTTATTATCAGTTATTATCAACATTTTGAAGACTTACATGTACTCAATTACTTTGGAATGGTGCTGTTCGAACAGGAGTAAGCGCTTTCTTTGTTTTTAACGGCATGGGATGCACTAGCGCACATCTCACCTTTTCGAACATTTCCTTGAGACTAAGTGTTGCATCAATTGCTAATGAAATATCCTGATAATATGTCCGCAAATCATTTTCGTAATTCTCATACAGCTTATCTTGAGATCTAATGATGCCGGCTTGTGCTTCGACATCTTTAACTCCCCATTTCCGGTCAGATGATGGTAAGAGAACGCTTGTGCGCTGTGTGTCGTATAGGTCCGTTAGTTGTGTTGCTTTGTCGAAAAGGTCGTTCGCACGACGCAGCAAACGCTGTTGAGCAATTTCCGACGGACAGTCAAAGAAAAGCACTCGCGAAGGGCGGAATCCGCAGCGATCCAGAAGTTCGGCTTGGACACGGTTCTGTGGAAACCCACGCAAGATAAATCCTACCAGGTCTGTCTCGGCCAGAGCGCGGCAGACCATTTCTCCAACCATATCATCGGGAACTGGAATCGCAGTAACATTAATGGTAAGCAAACAGTAACATCAAAATACACATTACTAATTATAGAAAGACCTGACACACAAATTAGGCAAGCAATGGAAGCAGTAATTCCAAACAATTTATTCGTAGTTATTGATTACAGTACTGTACTTATATAGGATATTGCAATACAATAAATTATGTACTTAATATATATACAGAGTATTGTACATCATAATTATGTTATAAGATGTACTATTTTGCTAAATTGCGCAAGCTTACTTTGCCGCTCCCGGTTGAGCAGTGCATTAATTTCTTTGTAATTGTCATGTTCCGAATCGACAGCCGCTCGCATCACCAAAGAACCAGACGAAACTGAAACGTTTTCATTTGTTGCATGCGCACAAGGACTGAGCGGACTTGTAGGTCGATATTTTCCACAAGTTATAATGTAAAATTATGCTGCATTTACGTATTCCGTACATTTACAGATGAATACACAGCCCGAAGCGTACCGTGGTAAAGCCGAAATGTTCGCGCCAGCCAGTTAGCTACGGATTTTTTCCCAGATCCAGGACGCCCAATAAAAAGCAGTCGATGCATGTACGGACGACGCTGAATAGACTGAAGAGAGGAAAATTGCAGGGCTGAAATTATCATATTATGTAAGTTTATATATTATCATACTATGTAAGTTTGTATCCATATTTTGTAGTTCAGACTAGCGGGAAATCAACATGGCTTGCCTTCATTAAATACTGCACCGATAGACTGATCGGCGTTGATCACGATACAACTCGGATCGCCGTAGGCCAATGTCGAACAGCTTTTGGAAATCAGAATGGACTCATATGCAAACTCTTGCATACGTGCTGCAAGTTGACCTTTCGTATATTTCTGCGGTACAATCAAACGCTTTGCAATGCTTTTCAGCACCGGCATGTACAGCTGACTGTGATATGGGCGTTTATCAACCGGATCGAAAAGATAATGCCTCCTTCGCTCCAAAAGCACAGCGGGATCTGTTTGCAATATTACTGCAAGGCGACATTCCTCATTACAGTATACCAGTTACAAAAAAATCCGGTCAGAACAGGTGACGATCGCATTATCTTACCTCAGCTAGTCAGCGTTATCGTCTAACGGCTATATTAATATCTATTCGGCTATATTACTACTATTAACGTGGAATGTTATGGAATGTTTTGCATACCAATCTAACAATTCGTACTGGTTTTCAGAGGAGAAATTCCTTGCCGGCGAAATAAATCGTCCTGCGCTCTTGTTTCCGGAAAGCCGCACAAAATCCATCCTTTCGCAATACAATCATCGCTGAATATTCTTTGTCGAATTAAAGAATAAGCCATTTCCGGTGGTAAGGGTTCGCACTTGTCGTGAAACGGTGTGACAGCCATCTGCAGTTGTGGATCCACTGTTTCGTAGAGGCGATCGTAGTCCAACAACGGAACGTCGAACACTTCGGCTAATTGCGTAGCCAGCGTACGTCGACCACTCAACGGTGGGCCGATGATGGCGATTTTATCACTTGTCGAATATTTCGCATAAAGTATCTTATCAATCCCTGCACTGGATTTTCCGGTCGAGTAATTACAAGCTCCTGCAAAGCTTTCTGCAAGTAATACAAAAAACGAATGCTGTAATAATTATCATTATGCATGTTCAGATGTCTTCGCTGACAATCAGGTGTCTAGCTAGCGCGGATAATTGTTGCCTAACCATTAAAACCCCGAAAATATCTTTGTCTTCAGCATAGAAAGCTCCTGACTGCGGAAACGAGTTCTTTTCACTGAACCGTGTTGTTTCCATTTTGATTGATCTCTCGCAAATAAAAATATTGGAATGACCAGATTTTTAAAACCGAATTGAAAAGTGAAAATTTTACTTGTAGCGAAAAAGACTTACAAAACAGTGTGCTGCGCACACTATCTGCATGTGCATATTTAAAGTAGGAAGTCTTAATGTGCTTAGCAATAACGTTGTACAATAAATGTAAATCTGAGGGTTTCGAAAAAAAGAGTGAGCGGTGTTGAGGAATATTGCAGGATTGTATACACTTCTCACGCCATTAACTCATACTTTTTGCTACAGATCATAAACCGTGCAAAACATCTCCAAAGCGCCGAGAGGCGTCATGTTTTTTGGCGAATATGTGTTGATCATTGCTGGGAGTCGTCTTCCTCGACTCTCGCAGTGATTCTGTGATTGTGACTATCCTTTTACTTGTTTCTTTATCAGTGCAGCCAGTTAGATCGTAGGGACGTTAACTCTTCTGGCAATGCTGATCTGCTCACGATGCTCAAGGCTTATTTATACGAAAACCGACTACAAATCCACAATAAAAATAAGTCTAGAAAAACGCACATTACAACAGAGACCGAACAAGAACATTAGTACTCCATCAGCCTTTCCCCATCGGTTAGCGTATCACTGGAGTGCTTGGCTATAAAGAAAACAGCACAGTAAGTGAATCCATTCAATACAGTTGAATAAACAAGCATATTCCACCACTTACAAGAGACCGGAACTTCGAACTGTTGTCCGACCAAGCAATCTTTCAAGTCGGATTTGTCTCCGATTTGCGCCTGACTGGCGATTATGCAGTTCTGAAGATTACAACTGGAAATAACCAAACAAAAACCGTTTAATTACAATTTGCGAAAGCGCAACGAAATTTTACAAATGGGTATAAACATGCGACTAACCACTTTGCAAATACGTCGAAACAGAAAAAAAAATTAAATATGCCATTAACACTAATTATACCTTTCTCCGATGAAAACGTCGTTCATAATCGTACAGCCACTGATTTTGGCCTTTTCCGATATTTTACAGTTCGGCCCGATAACGGATTTTTTAATCGACACCTTGTCCTGGATGACCGTGCGCTCGCCAACAATACTGTCCGCGCCAACTTGTGCTTTTCCAATTAAAGTGGCGTTAGCGTGGACGTATCTGAACGAGGCTGGTACCGGAAGAAGCGCTTGTATAATACGTGGTAGCTATCAAAACGAACCGTAAATCACAGAGCACAAATGTACCTAAGCCAAACAATATCATTATCCGCATTGAACAACTATATTGTACTAACCCAAGTATACCAAATCGTAAACGCGCGCATAGTCAGATATCAAATATAACAGCCAACAAGAAACCATTAATGATTTTTAAAAATGGAAGTGAACAGCAAGTAATGGTTAAAAAATGGTGCTCAGAATACTTTTTTAAAGAGTTTGTTAAACACTTTTTCAAAAAGGAGTCTGGAAAAACCCTTCTGAACAACGAAAAGGCTAGCCGCTACAACTATCACGCTTACCAGTCTGCTGGCTTCACAAAATGCCGTCACCGTGTTAACACGGAAGCATAAATCGGTATCGGCAAGAAACGCATAACATCGCACACTGTTGCCAAAATACGAATCCTTCATATCTCCGCCATGATCAGACCATACTGACATATCCCGGGCTAACAGTTCCAACTCTTTTTCCGCAGCGATACGATTTAGTTGGCTCTGCAGAGAAGATTGCTCTGGCTCGCCAGTCAACCCGTTTAATTTAAAGAAAAGGGAATTAACTCCGACTGCAGGGAAATATTTAATCTTTTCATTTGTTGTCAAAAGATAAAACACCCAACGTCTGAGCAGATAAATGTGAGAATCTTGGCGTGCAGTACGGGTACGAAGTCGGGATTACCTATCCAAAATTCAGCTGGGCATCATAAAAATTATGGACAACAGTTTAGCGTAGCCATAAACCACCGATAACAAGTGAAAATACTGCACTACTCCCGAAATATATTTCGGCTTCATTAAACTTAATTAATAAGAAAGGAAACTTAGAAAATTGAACTGTTTTAATTTTCAAGTTTATAATATGTTTCCTGTTTGTAAAACGCGTGCTTGACTCAAAGCTTTCACATGATCTGCAAAATCGTATTAATAAGTAACACAGATCGCCTACGTTAGTAACGTGCCAGGAGTAAGTACCAAACAGTAAAATACTGAAACCAGAATAGAAACCGTAGGTAATTATCAAAACTTGTTTCAGTAATCAGCAGATATCATCAACCAAATGCCAAAATCCCCATATTCGGTGCCCAACCAATCTTCTCAATCATACCACAGGATTCAAAATTTATCCTGTGGGTCCGGAATGAGAACATTTTCTAGCCTCACAGCATACACACGGACATCAGCAAATTTATGATCGTAAGAATCTCGTAAAGGAAATGGGTAATCGTTCAGTTCGTGTGCTTTCGGCTTATCCAGCAGACTTCCAACATTGAACTTTTTGGGGTCAGAGTCCAGTACAAAAATAATTTCGGCATGTCGGATGACGAATCCATACTTCTTGACCAGTTGTCTTGCAAAGCTTACAAATGGCTTAGTTTTACATGGATGATCTTCTTGTCGCACAGTAACCTGAAACATTCGCACGGAATGCGTCTTCTTGTCGATGTAAACCGCGTCGAAACCGGCCTGGTTTTCACGGGTCGGCTTAATCCATAAACCACTGTCGACGGTTTTCCAGAGATCTTTTAGCCGCGCCTGGTCTTCCAACCTGTAAATCCCCTCAAACATCGCGCAGTCTGCCTCGAACAGCTGTCCTTCTAAATCATCCTTCAGCACAGGCTTTCCGTTCCCGTCTCTGAGTAAGAGTTTTTTACTCTGAATCGTTGAAAAAATTTCAGTTCGAAACACTTCCCCTCGGTTCCTGCAAGAAAAACGCCGGCTATTCAACGGTGTCAACGAGAAAAATTAACTAATACGAATGCAACAAATACAACGTACCTCTCCCAAACAGATGAGCCAGAAATGGCTGCAAACGCTGAAGTACGGCCGGCGATCGCTCACTGCAGAGTACCAGCATTTCAGCGGCATATGGACTCACCAGTGTTTGTCCGGCGCTGCATTTGAAAACCAACCGGTTCTTGGTATCGTCATTTTTCGGCCCACGTCCATGTATTAAGTATTGGTACAGCTCTTCCATCGGGCCGATGGCATCTATAGCATCCATTATGTCCGCTTTGATATTATCCACTGTGGTATAAAACATGTAGCGCCAGGAATGGCCAGCAAATCGCCATTTCTTGGCTACCAAACGCCGCGCATTAGATTCACTCATTATTAGTCGTCCATCTTTGCTCATTTCACTCAGCGGAAATTTCTCCTCGTCAAATATCTCTTTGTAATATTCATGTATGCGCTGCATACCACCGTCTCCAGCGGGGCAGTGATAGTCATCGGCTAATGTATTCCAAACGGAAGCCAAAAAATCCGACTTCGTAATAGCAGTGTTGTAATCATCCAAATCCGGCGCACAAACTGGGACATGGTAAAATTTAGCACGAGTGAAAACCTTTGAAGCCGCTAGTGAGGAAGCGACAATGCATCGGCTACGGACGCTCCGGCGAACAAAATTTCCCAAATAATTCATTATCGAGCTGAGATCCTGCTCTTTGTCCGTTAATCCATCAACGATGAGAAGCTGCGCGTCCGCCCAGTTCTGACATCGGAGAAACGAATTAAAATCTTTCTTTGGGACAGAGACGATTTCAGTCTGCTTCGGTTGACCCTTTTTAAATTTGAATCCACATACGTCATCACTGATAGGAAAGTGGAACCAGCTGACATCACAATCCGGAATCATTTTTAGCGCAGTGATGAGAGCGGCGGACGATTTGCCGACTCCCGGGGAATCAGCCAAGAGAATTTTCCTTTTTGGCCAGCTAAGGATCCGGTCAACGACGGCTTGAAATGTGTCTGTATCGTTAACAAACATTCCCTCTGTCTCTGGAAGATCATCCAGGTTGTCGATATGCAGGCCCGAAATGTTATATATTTCGTCAGGAATCCAATAAAGTCGGTTGGCTGCGTTATAACTGAAGAGGGGCTTCGAGAAAGTGCGTGGCTTCCAAACGCCTGCAAGCAACGACAGCATCAGATGCATTGGACAGTTGCATAACTTAACAAACAAACCAAACACGAACCAATCTGACTCAAACCTTACCTGCAACAGCCACGCGCTCACGGTGCTGCCCGGCGGAGCGGGTCTGCGGAGTAGCGTGCAGGCGACGCACAGGGATCGACAGCGGGGAAGGGTATCTGAAAATAATACGCTACATGTCAGACACTGTGGAGACTGATCATGCAATGAAGGCAACAACACTGGAACAGGTAAATAAGTAGGCTCACTTTCCACCACAATATCGCAAGCTACCTCAACATACAGTGTTACTGTCACACAGAATCAAACAATACAACTCATTCATTCCACAATTTTATCACGTTTATGTTTTGTTTTAAAATCACTTCAAAATTAAGGCGCAACACGGCAACAGCAAACGAACATTCCAAATAAAACTGTTTCATAATCACCAAAGTGTTAATAAGAATAAATAAAAGACACTGATCGAGCATCTGTGGAATGAAAGCCACAGGAAAAAATCAACAACAGCAATGTCGACTTACCCAGGAATAGAGTACAGAGATCTACTGCTTTCCTGATGTCCAAGAAACGTCACCGTCTCCGACTGAGCTCGAATGTGCGGGCAATCCCGCGCGTCAATCAAAACTTGATAATATGGCACAGCTCGGCCCTTCACATCACGACCCGTCCCGATATTGTTGAAGGCAGCGCCTTCGTTCTGAGCAGGATCGATCTTGATGCCTTCTTTCCTTCCTGCGAGATCCCTGTCGAAAACTCTGGCCAGCCACGGGAATAATACCACACCTAAACAAAAAATACTGATTCAGGGTTCTTCGTATATGAATATCTGCTCCAAATATACCGAGCCCAGGTTAAGTAGCACTATCGAAATTCAATGCATACGTAGTATTGTGCGCACCTCTGTATCCAAATATCCGATGTAAGAACAACTGTCCCGTGGGGTATTTCAGGTTCTGCTCCTTAGGTTCTTCGAACTTCCCAACTTCGGCTAGGCGCACGGCTGATGCATATGTTCTGCGAGGCAGCGAAGTACACAAAGAAAGACGAACGCATTGCGTATCCCGGGAAGAAGCGGACTCATAAACAATCCGCAATAACGGAAGAAATGTTCTGCAGCACATAGTCGGTTCGGTGCTTAGTGCTTACACCTCGGATACAACTCATACAAGCAAAATTTCTAACGTTTCACTACGGGCAGTGTGCGGAGTCCGGACCATTTCAACGGATACAGCCACTGAAAATCACTCCAAGTCACGTCGTAAAAGCCCCACAAAAAAGGAAGTTACTCAGAATGTCTGTAAGTGCCTAAGAAAGAAAACTACGAAAATTGTAATGTTTTGTTTTCCAGGTTCACAATAAATGTTTTTGCTGCTTTTTGAAACGATTGCGTGACTCAAGCTTTCACATGATCTGCCACCGTATAAATAACGCATTTCTCTTACGTAACTAGCATGCCAGGGGTATGTACACTGTATGATAGTGATTTGAGGTTACCGTTATACTGTTAAACTCTGCTAATAAGTACAGATAATTTTCGCTATTTTAAAACATTAAAGATTTTCCAGAAAAGTTACAATTTAAACCGTTTATAATAATGACAGGTACGCACAATACGTATGTACGCACATTAAACATTTTATTAAACGCTATTGTAGGTCACCACGTCAGTCATTTATTATCAGTTATTATCAACATTTTGAAGACTTACATGTACTCAATTACTTTGGAATGGTGCTGTTCGAACAGGAGTAAGCGCTTTCTTTGTTTTTAACGGCATGGGATGCACTAGCGCACATCTCACCTTTTCGAACATTTCCTTGAGACTAAGTGTTGCATCAATTGCTAATGAAATATCCTGATAATATGTCCGCAAATCATTTTCGTAATTCTCATACAGCTTATCTTGAGATCTAATGATGCCGGCTTGTGCTTCGACATCTTTAACTCCCCATTTCCGGTCAGATGATGGTAAGAGAACGCTTGTGCGCTGTGTGTCGTATAGGTCCGTTAGTTGTGTTGCTTTGTCGAAAAGGTCGTTCGCACGACGCAGCAAACGCTGTTGAGCAATTTCCGACGGACAGTCAAAGAAAAGCACTCGCGAAGGGCGGAATCCGCAGCGATCCAGAAGTTCGGCTTGGACACGGTTCTGTGGAAACCCACGCAAGATAAATCCTACCAGGTCTGTCTCGGCCAGAGCGCGGCAGACCATTTCTCCAACCATATCATCGGGAACTGGAATCGCAGTAACATTAATGGTAAGCAAACAGTAACATCAAAATACACATTACTAATTATAGAAAGACCTGACACACAAATTAGGCAAGCAATGGAAGCAGTAATTCCAAACAATTTATTCGTAGTTATTGATTACAGTACTGTACTTATATAGGATATTGCAATACAATAAATTATGTACTTAATATATATACAGAGTATTGTACATCATAATTATGTTATAAGATGTACTATTTTGCTAAATTGCGCAAGCTTACTTTGCCGCTCCCGGTTGAGCAGTGCATTAATTTCTTTGTAATTGTCATGTTCCGAATCGACAGCCGCTCGCATCACCAAAGAACCAGACGAAACTGAAACGTTTTCATTTGTTGCATGCGCACAAGGACTGAGCGGACTTGTAGGTCGATATTTTCCACAAGTTATAATGTAAAATTATGCTGCATTTACGTATTCCGTACATTTACAGATGAATACACAGCCCGAAGCGTACCGTGGTAAAGCCGAAATGTTCGCGCCAGCCAGTTAGCTACGGATTTTTCCCAGATCCAGGACGCCCAATAAAAGCAGTCGATGCATGTACGGACGACGCTGAATAGACTGAAGAGAGGAAAATTGCAGGGCTGAAATTATCATATTATGTAAGTTTATATATTATCATACTATGTAAGTTTGTATCCATATTTTGTAGTTCAGACTAGCGGGAAATCAACATGGCTTGCCTTCATTAAATACTGCACCGATAGACTGATCGGCGTTGATCACGATACAACTCGGATCGCCGTAGGCCAATGTCGAACAGCTTTTGAAATCAGAATGGACTCATATGCAAACTCTTGCATACGTGCTGCAAGTTGACCTTTCGTATATTTCTGCGGTACAATCAAACGCTTTGCAATGCTTTTCAGCACCGGCATGTACAGCTGACTGTGATATGGGCGTTTATCAACCGGATCGAAAAGATAATGCCTCCTTCGCTCCAAAAGCACAGCGGGATCTGTTTGCAATATTACTGCAAGGCGACATTCCTCATTACAGTATACCAGTTACAAAAAAATCCGGTCAGAACAGGTGACGATCGCATTATCTTACCTCAGCTAGTCAGCGTTATCGTCTAACGGCTATATTAATATCTATTCGGCTATATTACTACTATTAACGTGGAATGTTATGGAATGTTTTGCATACCAATCTAACAATTCGTACTGGTTTTCAGAGGAGAAATTCCTTGCCGGCGAAATAAATCGTCCTGCGCTCTTGTTTCCGGAAAGCCGCACAAAATCCATCCTTTCGCAATACAATCATCGCTGAATATTCTTTGTCGAATTAAAGAATAAGCCATTTCCGGTGGTAAGGGTTCGCACTTGTCGTGAAACGGTGTGACAGCCATCTGCAGTTGTGGATCCACTGTTTCGTAGAGGCGATCGTAGTCCAACAACGGAACGTCGAACACTTCGGCTAATTGCGTAGCCAGCGTACGTCGACCACTCAACGGTGGGCCGATGATGGCGATTTTTATCACTTGTCGAATATTTCGCATAAAGTATCTTATCAATCCCTGCACTGGATTTTCCGGTCGAGTAATTACAAGCTCCTGCAAAGCTTTCTGCAAGTAATACAAAAAACGAATGCTGTAATAATTATCATTATGCATGTTCAGATGTCTTCGCTGACAATCAGGTGTCTAGCTAGCGCGGATAATTGTTGCCTAACCATTAAAACCCCGAAAATATCTTTGTCTTCAGCATAGAAAGCTCCTGACTGCGGAAACGAGTTCTTTTCACTGAACCGTGTTGTTTCCATTTTGATTGATCTCTCGCAAATAAAAATATTGGAATGACCAGATTTTTAAAACCGAATTGAAAAGTGAAAATTTTACTTGTAGCGAAAAAGACTTACAAAACAGTGTGCTGCGCACACTATCTGCATGTGCATATTTAAAGTAGGAAGTCTTAATGTGCTTAGCAATAACGTTGTACAATAAATGTAAATCTGAGGGTTTCGAAAAAAAGAGTGAGCGGTGTTGAGGAATATTGCAGGATTGTATACACTTCTCACGCCATTAACTCATACTTTTTGCTACAGATCATAAACCGTGCAAAACATCTCCAAAGCGCCGAGAGGCGTCATGTTTTTTGGCGAATATGTGTTGATCATTGCTGGGAGTCGTCTTCCTCGACTCTCGCAGTGATTCTGTGATTGTGACTATCCTTTTACTTGTTTCTTTATCAGTGCAGCCAGTTAGATCGTAGGGACGTTAACTCTTCTGGCAATGCTGATCTGCTCACGATGCTCAAGGCTTATTTATACGAAAACCGACTACAAATCCACAATAAAAATAAGTCTAGAAAAACGCACATTACAACAGAGACCGAACAAGAACATTAGTACTCCATCAGCCTTTCCCCATCGGTTAGCGTATCACTGAAGTGCTTGGCTATAAAGAAAACAGCACAGTAAGTGAATCCATTCAATACAGTTGAATAAACAAGCATATTCCACCACTTACAAGAGACCGGAACTTCGAACTGTTGTCCGACCAAGCAATCTTTCAAGTCGGATTTGTCTCCGATTTGCGCCTGACTGGCGATTATGCAGTTCTGAAGATTACAACTGGAAATAACCAAACAAAAACCGTATAATTACAATTTGCGAAAGCGCTACGAAATTTTACAAATGGGTATAAACATGCGACTATAAACCACTTTGCAAATACGTCGAAACAGAAAAAAAAATTAAATATGCCATTAACACTAATTATACCTTTCTCCGATGAAAACGTCGTTCATAATGGTACACCCACTAATTTTGGCCTTTTCCGATATTTTACAGTTCGGTCCGATAACGGATTTTTTAATCGACACCTTGTCCTGGATGACCGTGCGCTCGCCAACAATACTGTCCGCGCCAACTTGTGCTTTTCCAATTAATGTGGCGTTAGGGTGGACGTATCTGAACGAGGCTGGTACCGGAAGAAGCGCTTGTATAATACGTGGTAGCTATCAAAACGAACCGTAAATCACAGAGCACAAATGTACCTAAGCCAAACAATATCATTATCCGCATTGAACAACTATATTGTACTAACCCAAGTATACCAAATCGTAAACGCGCGCATAGTCAGATATCAAATATAACAGCCAACAAGAAACCATTAATGATTTTTTAAAAATGGAAGTGAACAGCAAGTAATGGTTAAAAAAAGGTGCTCAGAATACTTTTTCAAAGAGTTTGTTAAACACTTTTTCAAAAAGGAGTCTGGAAAAAACCTTTCTGAACAACGAAAAGGCTACAACTATCACACTTACCAGTCTGCTGGCTTCACAAAATGCCGTCACCGTGTTAACACGGAAGCATAAATCGGTATCGGCAAGAAACGCATAACATCGCACACTGTTGCCAAAATACGAATCCTTCATATCTCCGCCATGATCAGACCATACTGACATATCCCGGGCTAACAATTCCAAATCTTTTTCCGCAGCGATACGATTTAGTTGGCTCTGCACCGAAGATTGCTCTGGCTCGCCAGTCAATCCGTTTAAAGGTTTTGTACGATGCTGATTCTTTATTAAAAAGGGAATTAACTCCGACTGCAGGGATTTAATCTTCTCGTTTGTTGTCAAAAGATCCAACACCCAACGTTTGAGCAGATAAATGTGAGAATCTTGGAGTGCAGTACGGATACGGAGTCGGGAATATCTATCGAAAATTCAGGTGGGCATCATAAAAATTATGGACAATAGATTAGCGTAGCCATAAATCAACGAAACAAGTGAAAATAGAAATAGCAAGCGAAAAGTGAAAATAGGAAGTGAAAATACTGCACTGTTCCCGAAACATATTTCGGCACGGCAGCCAAAGACCCAAAGCAAACTCGTATGCAATCGTTTCTTACGGAAGTACAATATTACTTTATCTTTATGTGCACAGCGAAGATTTACATTTAGTACATTTACCTGTTTAATAAACGGCGATAAATGGCAAAGCTCTCTTCGAAATCAGCTTCGGATGCGGTACACACCAACCGGTTAGTCGAAGGTTCCAGTCCAATAATTTCGCGATCTAAAAATGTGCAGAAAATAAACCATATTAAATTTGTAAACAAAAACTGCTGTAGCCTGTAATTAATATCTTAAAATCTTGATACTATCAGTGATCACCATTACTGACTGCTCTTTCGGACTCCACACGCAATCTCGAACCGTGGAACTAACTAACTGCTTTCAGTAACGCTCAAAAATTGGCTATTTGTGATATTAAGATCAATACGAGCATTATATTGTATCATTTTCCAAAAACTAAATAGAAATTTAATTAATGCAAACTATCCGTGAATTCATCCGCGTGCGGCCGAAATTTTGACATTTCTGTACCATGCTGTTTCTTGGATTTCGCGCCGGGCACCACTGTTTCCACCGCAGCGGCACGCGGATAAACTGCTGTCAACGATGCATTATGCATACGGAAGACATTGGCCACGTCTTGAAGTACGAGGTCGGATATCAAATCACAAGTAACAACGAGTAAATCGGTCTGAAAAGGAACAGGAATCTTATATCGATGCATTCTGTAACCAGAAACCAAAAAACTGTAATCCATCAAACCTCACCGAAAGCTTTTTGCTTTTGTGGAGAAGTCGCAAGCTCTCCGCCGTTCCGTAATCGTACTCATCGTCGATGGGGAAGAAATCAATTTCCAGGTCATTTTCAAAATGAGGCGCAAGTGCGAGAAAGATGTCTTCTTTGGTGGATCGCGAAACCACAACAGTGACTTCTGCATGACCAAAGACAAGGTAACAGCACAACTCAGAGCCCACAGGCCGTAAAATGTAAAAAGTAAAATCATGATATCAAGCGAGTACATAGAAAGCTACTACTCACGCTCGAATCCGTTCTTCTTCAGCCACTGTAAAGGAAAATAAATTAAGGGGAAGTTTCCAAGCTGGAGAAGAGGCTTCGGTGTTTGGATTAGTTGCTCCAGAGGAGAACTGCGGCCAGCAGCCAAAACAATTGCTTGGAATTCGGCCACCATTTCGAAGGGATTTCAACTCTGGATCTCCTAGGTTATTAAATGTATCACTACGTTCGAGTGCTGATGTATTAGATCTAATGCACATAGGTATGCCAAAAACAATTTCCTTAAACTCCAATAATTAGTAATGCGAGTTTTAAGATACAAAAGAATAGCTGTTGACTCTTGAATGTTATTAATAAACAGTACGTAGCAGTGAAACTGATGAAAGGAAATAAAAATTTCGTCAGTCACTCAAATGATAAATCCACACGTTGTCGCGACCTACCGCGGGCGGATATCTTCTGCCCTTAATCTTCTTGTTTTGTTCATTTTCCTTTATGTCCTCGTACGAGTATTAACTCGCAATCCAGATTTTCATAGAGAAATTATTTTCAAAATTTACTAACTATTTGCGCAATCGATTGTTTAATAATTATGACTAATAATACGAGTATGAGTACCTTGAAAATACGTAGCCGGTAGCTGAATAGTAAGAACAACGAGAACACGATGTCTAGAGCAGTGTTTGTACCGAATAGCGAAATGCTCTACATAGTACCTCCCGTGCAATATTTGCTAAACTTAAACAGCGCATGGGGACCGGTAGACAAATGAACGGTAACCATTTTTCGCTTGCATCGGGATTCGGGAAGTAAGTTGAACTATCCATACTTTAAGTATATAAAATTTGCGTGTAAAGTTCAGATAACGGTATTTAGAAATGAAGCGTCGCCGTCGATATGGAACTTGTGTCTGTCCACGCAACAATACATATCGTAAATTATATTTTTATGTTCTATTGGAGACGGCTTGAACAATCAACTGTTCTTGCGAATCTTGTGACATACTTTGACATACGTGGTGTTATATTTCACAGCTGTTGCTAGTTCAACAGCTGCTGTTTAACTGCAAATTTTTGCTGTTTAACTGCCCAGAACGCAATTTTTGAATGGTATGATCATGTTAAACGGAACCAAATTACTGTAAAATAACGAAGAGTAATGCAGCTTACTTGTACATCACAAAAGCTCGAGGTACAGCACTTTATGCAAATATTGTCTGCTTTCACAATGGCCCAAAAATGAAAATTTGATCAGAATACCAGCATAAAGGTAACTAACAGTTATTAATAAAACGGCGTTAATGCCTATTGTTGCTCTTCTTGGCGTTGCTTGTCACTCTCTGAACGTCATAATAATCTTCGTTATGAGTCGTCGATCCTGAACTAACCGGGAGGCAGCGCATATGCTCTGTGTCGGACGAGAACTGGAACCATTCATTTTTCGGCGATATTTTGCTGCAAACATAAAACACAATTAACATTAATATGCAAATAATTGTTGTTTTTAACAGCATCATGCAGTTAAATATTAACTATAATACGCGTACCACTTTTGCAGCATAATGCAGCTTTGTTGGGAATAGCATGGCGCTGCACAGCTGCGGTATTATAACGTACCCTATATATGGAGTCATGGGGACAAGAATTTACTGTAAGAATTCTGACTTCTGCAACTCTTACTTACTTCACTGGGGAAGCTGTAGAGGGTTTTAGTGGTTCATAACGACAAATCAATCCATTTTCACAGGGGCATTGTTCATTTAACGAGTAATCAAGTCCACCGGCAGGCACAAAACATTTCATAGATTGTCGGAGTTTTGGTTTGCAAATGTATTCCCCGTGTTGCCGAGCACAGCAGTGGTTTGATGGACAATCACCATCCGAAGCACACCGGCTACCTATATGTAAATCGTATGGATCTGTTGTCGATGCACGTACACTGATGCTATACAAAGCTTACATACTGCTATACGAATACCGTAATTAAAAATAATGATCATAAGGTCACCATCTTATAGGCTGCTTTTATATCGCAGAAGTGACTTCCAGTTACTGGTATACGTATGCGGTATTTGTCTAACCAAGCACACAGTACACAACTCTGCGTCCCGGTCTAGTACTCTGTAGGTTTTTCATAAGAGTTTCTCACCTTCTTGTCCCTTGGGAATTTCTTTCCGACATCGGCCAAACACACATTCATGTTTTCTGTGACAATGATGATCTTTTCGACAGAAATCTGATCGTCGTCGCAGTCTCTCACATCTCCCATAATATTCATCGCAGAACCTTCCTCTGCCACAAGACTTTTTATCCGAACATGGCGACTACAAGGTCAGAGTTGCAAATTAAATTATGCATGCTATACACAATCGCGAGCTCAGTATAGGTTCCGCTCAATCTAGTGCTAATAAAAGCCAGTACAACCAAACCCTTTGACTAAAGCTTGGCAGAGTAATAAAACACAATATCTGGCACGAAATAATTTTCACGTGTAATATACAATTAATATTAGTATAAAAGAAGTGTCTGCTTTTAGCAAAAAACTTTATTGTAAATTACCGTGATATGAGCAGTAAACCGTTCTGATGCAGTGCCGATCGGACTCGGTGCAGGCGCGCGGACATGCGGTTTATCAGCCATGTCAGTGTGGTTATTAGACAACGACATAACGCTTTCCGAATGTTGTATCGGCTCATTTAAAATCCAGCTCCAAACATTAGCGACAATGTATTTCGGTAGGAGCGAGATGATCAAAGAAAACTTAAACAAATTACGGCAGTTTATGGGGATATGCATGATATTAATGCGAAATAGCAATCATCGAAAAAATTAACCGGTGACCTTTGTAACATTTGCACATATCAATGTAGTGCATGTAAAGCAACTTGCGCATCAACAGCGACAGCAGTAAGAAACTTAGGAGGAAGCAGTCTGAAGAAAATTATATGAGGTCAAAACAGTACATAAATAACGCCGCATTGTCAACGAATACGCAAAACCAGCTTCACAAACGAATCGAACTTCTAAGGTCAGAAAAATTCGGAATGAAACCAATAGCGCACCGAGTAAATGGAACCGCGAACGCTTTACGCTAGAACTTGTCATCACCGCAAGTAATGCGAAAAGTGGTCTTGCGAAATCTGCGGCGGATCGTGCATGCTGGAATTAGGTAGCGTGCACCGTAAGATGGATTTTCGGGTATGTTTTTCAATGAAAACTTAATGGAGGTGGGAGGAGTTAAGATACGAGCGTCCAGTAGTGACTACCACGGAACGATTCAACAGGTGTTGAAGAAGATAGAAGCTTGTTGACGGCGACAAGACGGGCTGCATGGGCCCTTTTCAGCTTGACATCCGGACAGCCACGGCCAAGTGTGGCCAGACACACTGAAAGTGTCGCGTCGTTGCCTAATTACAAGATGCCAGGCTCTTGACAGGAGCAGTTTTTAAGTTGCGTGCGATCTCACTTGTCTTATTATATAGAATAAAAGATATTTTAAGCAGTCTGAATAATCCAGAACTTTTTTACTAATCCGCATACACCTTGTAGTCGAATTCCTAATTTATATTCACATTACCACCACAGTTTAGTTTTTGTGCCGGTTTCTAAATTGTTGAAGTTTATAATGCACATTGCAACGTACGGAGTCCGATATCGTACGTAGAATATTTACATACGCAGATATACTGCATGCATTAAGTTTGATCTTTTGCGGTCTCACAAATTAATATTACTCATATTGCGTATTCAATTTTTTACTTCATTAACCTAAAAAATATACTTGAAGTACAGGAATAGTTTAATCCTATTTGATCCAAAATGGGAAAAAAATCTGTCGGCGTGCATTCGATGCATGTGATTGTGCGGCCGCAGTACCCAAGTGTTCCTTTAAAGCCCATTCTATCTACTGGTAACTAATATCTTAAATTCAGCCGTATACGTAGCGAGAAACAAACTCGTCGCATTCAGACCTGTACAGTTGACAAATATGTGAGTATAATAATTATAAAGAATGACAATTCTTTAACTGCAGACTTATTACAGATCATATGACTAGATCTTGACACATCATTCCATTTTGCCAGTTCGATGCTAATTATTGATTTCGTTGCTCTACCGTCTGAGTCTGGACTTTCTACTGATCGTATTGTTAGTGACCTCTTTCAGATCTAATAGGTAGCTTGTTAGATACAATCTGTATTGAAAACTGGTTGTCGAGAAACTTAGTTAAATTTGCTTAATTTGTCAAAATTAATATCTCTAGCAATAGGAGTTATCTAAAAATTCCCAGCAGGCGATAGTCACTTCAGACTGGTCACCTTTCATAAAGCTCCTGTCGTTCCAAATCATTAGCTGATGTGACGCCCCACCAATTATCCGGCACACGGCGTACGCTGACCATTACATGTCCTACCAGCTGAACGACCAGTAGTCAACAGATGATATCAGCATAAGCACTTGCGTAGTATTTGAGATGGCTTCTGAAGTGGCGCGCGTGTGTCCAGTGTCCACTTTGGAAACAATACAAATTTGCCTCCTTATACTGTTGGAACTATAACAGACATCACGGTCAACAATAAAATCGCATTATCATATAGGGCAATACACTTCATTGGTGACGCTGGGGATGTGCATAAGTATCAAGATTACTTAATTATGGCACATCCGATATAAATTTCGGAATACAATTCGAACTGAACGTTTTGCGCATTATTGTTGACTTACCTAATGTACTGCAAAAAACAATCCAGCAGGCACACGGTATACTTACTAAAGAAAGACACTCTGACTATTGAAAAACAGACTCTGCAAACATTTATTCTATTCAGTCTACTTTTTGCAATACTTCGGTTGCAATATTTCGGTATGTAGGTATTCCGGCAGAGATCGGCTGCCACATTTGAGCACCTTCCCATGCTTTGTATATAATCTCTATTGCAAAAATATTCTTTCGCTACTTTTTTCGTCTTCTCAATCAAGTCGGCAGCATGGTTTTTTTCTACATAGGTAGAAAGGTAGTACGTACCAGGCACCGAAATACAGTTACCTATTCGGTCTCCACTTTTGCACTTTATGTTACAAACGAGGAAAGTGCATTTCTGAATGCAATGGAGAAATTACGGTACTTCGTTTTGTCTCATATTAATTTGGTCTATTTGTCCAAGTAGTAGAATGAAGCGCCGCTAGGTACGCTATTGGTCAACGTTGACCCTTCGTACTTGCCAAACTCCACAAGTAGTGTAGATACTTCGTAGTTGCCGGATTTTATGCGTGCTCATAGGGATGCATCTTGAAAGTTACAATGGTGAACAATCTATCTAATGGTAAGCAGATATACTCAATAAGACTGTTAAATAAAAAAAACGAGATAATATATTTTTAATCAAAATTTGCTGACCAGAAAGCATACAATGACGGAAGCGGATTAAACATGTCAGATACTACATACAGCATTTCAAAAATTCATGGTGAAAATTCATGGTGTGCACAGGTTTGTGGCGGTACTGTAATAAAATTGTATAAATAAAATATTACGACAACAGATTAACACGGAATGAAAACACAAAATTCAAACTATTCGGGTTCAAAAAAGCCAACAAAAGGGGTTTTCATACATGTAAAATACAAGATGAGCTTAGCAAGCATAACCCGTAGATACTCCTCCTTCGTTGACGTTGCTGGCCTTAGATCGAATCAACACATCGCGAGCCGAGGCGTTAAAAATAATTTCCTTGTTTCTAGCAATAAACGCCCCGAAGGTTCCCACTTCACTGATGGTCTGCACGAGAGCGGGTGGCAATTTTGAACGCACTAGAATATTTTCCTGCAGTGGTGGCTCAATGCGCTCCATCAAAATAAATTCTTGCGCGGTCTCAGTGCCACGGATTTCCTGCATTTTACTGACTAGTTCTTCGTTGAAAAAATTGTTCCCCCCACCTTCGCGGTTCGGCTTTAGAACATACTTTTCCGGATGTTTCAACGCTCTCTCAATGGCTTCGGCGGAGTTCGGCAAACTAACATCCCACTGCCCAACGCATGTATCCAACATTCGCGCTCTCACAGACTCTTCCGGGACAAACCTGAAACACATGGCACTTCGGTGATGATGGACACTTTTAACAATACGTTTTTTTGTAACTTGGAGCGCCCTTTGAGTGTGTCTGCTCTAAAGAAAACTATGCAAAAGTAAATTAAGATAACCAAAACTGAGGACAAATTTTAAAGCGCATGTGCCTCGATTTTTTTACAGTAGTAATAAAATTATTAATATTAGTTTTCACAGGCTAATTCCAGAGATTGTCACTGATTACTACAATTTTCTATGCCAAACCAGAAAATTTAACAGTCTACCCAGTACCCAGTATATACAGTTTATCTGTTAGATTAACCATACCTTGCTAGTACTTCCGGTTTGCTCAATTCTTGCTGGATTTTTTTAAATCCGGATAACTGATGAGCCACGCTAGGACACTTGATCGCCACTGTTTTCTCAACAAGCAGACGCGTTTCTTCTTTTAAATCACCTGGTATTAGCCAAGCTAAACTGAAACTGTCACAAAAGTGGCAAAACATCTCCATCTTGGGGATTCTCAACAATGTCGCAGTCCAAAAAGTTCAGGATTCGGTTGTGCACGGTATGCATTTTCGATGAAAGACCTGAAAATCGACAAGCAATTAAGTAAGCTAAATCGACAAGCAATTCAAACATTAATTCATAAACTGGAATCACTAAATATTATACAGTAATTTAACGAAAAAAATAGCGCTCATTTCGTAAATATCAAAATTTTAAAGCTTTACACAAGCAGCATTCGGTTCATGAGATGTTGGGTTGTAATTCATAATGACGGAACACTCACCAGCAAAAGCGATACAAATCATGTTGACTTCAACTTGCTTGTACGTTCCCACATTCAAAGCATCACGGAAACTGAGGTTAGGATCGTCACAATGCAGTAAATAATCACTGCGAACAAACTCTAGCTCAATCTGTGAATCGATATCCACCTGCTGATAGATGTTCATCAGATTGCGGATGAAGGGATCCACTGCGGCAGTAGCGGCCAGTGCACTGGTAAGGAATTCCCGATCATGGGCAACACGATGCTGCACCAGACTGATATCCGACTGCAGCTGCAGAATCTCGTGCAGAGCATGACTGGATACAATCGAGGGCAAGAGCGTAATCGGTACGGGATTAAATGCATCGGGCACCTGCGGATCTTTGAACAGCAGCCCCAGAGAGGATGCTGCATCTTTCCCCACCTCGCAGGCTTCCAAGCACACTTTGCACGTGAGATCTTTCTTCAGCTCGTCGGTTAGTCTGAACACATTGTCCGCTGCGCTTGCTGCCATTATTATCAAAGGGATTAGTTATCGTCAAAATTCAACGCTTCCGCAGATGGGTTACTGGATGTTTGCACGCCGGGAATGGAGGAATTATTGATTCTGCTGAGAAAGGCGTTCAGCAGCCGATTATTCAACGTATCCGTTTGTGTCAACTCCCGAACGGACTGCGTTTCCGGAGCGGTGTTGTCGGGGGCTTCTGCAGGATTCTGCGAAGACAGCCTGAGTCGTTCTGTTCGCTGGATTTGATATGCAAGATCGGTATAAATCTGCTCTTCCTGAAGCGGGGTGTCTGCAGCCAAAGTGGGGTTCGCTGCAGGTGGATCAGTTGTGCCAGGGACCATTTCACACTAAAGAGGCCATAAGCGATCCGTCCGCTTTAATACAATCGCGGTGTCGCGCTAATGTTGCCGATATACACAAGCAGTGGATGATTCTAAAATCTAGATTGCAGTGCACATACGCCCTAAAAGCAAATGTTTAGGAAATGACGACAAAACTAGTTCCGTAAGTTACTGGCAGTTATTAAATCGATTATCGTACTAACCATAAGGGATGAATGAATTTTGTCATTCAAATTTCACCTTATGGTTTAGTGTAGTGTAGTGTCTGGGAAAAGGCTGACTCATCGAGTCGCCCTTGATCTGATAACGGCGATGCATGAAGCCATGGATGTGCAGGTTGAGGCTTTCCTGCCAAGCCTTGTGCCGTATCGCCTGCCTGACTTGCGCAATACTTATATTTTGTTCTCTTTCAACTTTTAAGTCGTGGTTTTCAGGTTTTCTTTCCAAAAGATTTTAAAATATTTAAAGAACTTTTGAGGATCAATTGTCGCTTTTTTGTTCACCGGCGGAGGAGATCCGAAGTACTTTATGTCTCATGAGTTGTTGTAGAATCTGATTTTTAGGAATGCCCTAATCTGATTTTTTGTGGAGTGATTCTGCATCTCGGCAAATGGTTTTGATTTTTACGAAAAGTAATCCGCAAATTTTAAATGGATTCAGCTGCCTCAGCTAGCGGAACTTCAGATAATTCTGGAAGATCGAAAGCCGAAGTGGAGGTGATAGTTATCGGGTCGAGCTCGGAGGACGAAGATACTAGCCCTGAGCTCGAGGTGGTTTACTGCGGCCCAGGCGAGAACCTTTTACGGAGCCGAAAAAAGCATCGTTCTTTAGTCGGCTACCAAAGCGATGATCCTTCAGGTGAAACAGCAACGCTGCCGCTGTTACTTGCTTGTACTTTTAATGGTGTACTGCAGTTTTAGCACTGCGCTTACTGTGAATTGAATAATTATATTTTAAAAGTTGCAAGTGGATAAGCAGTGTAAATTAAGCAAATTTTACAAAAATCAGTATTTAATTTTTTTACACCTCAGCTGATCGTTTGCCGCGACCGCGTTCAGCTCCAACGACCACCCAAGAGTCGCCATCAGCTCCTAATACAGCGCGCTTGCAAAGAAACGTTCAAAAAACTCCAAATAAGCAAAAGCGGTCAGGTTCGGTTGCAAGTGATCCTGGACCTGGACCATCTTCATCGCGAAAGAAAAAAATCAGTAAGTTTTGCCCATACTGGAAAAATCGTGCAGATAATATAATTAGGTAACTCTAATTAGGTAATTAGGTATTTTCTAAAAATTATTCTTGATTATTCTTGTTTTGTTTTTTTTCCTCGCAATAAGGGTAATTTATCAGATATTCTTTTTTTTACAAAGAATTCCTGGATTTGTTTCATGCAAATTCTGTTTAATCGGCATTTGATATAGTATCTCAAAAGGAAAAGTGGGGGCTTGTAGGGAGAGGTAAGAGATCTCGCAATCGAAAGACTAGCGAAGATTTTGATACCTCCGAATCACTTGAGGATGGCGAAACTGTTCCTGGATCCATCTCGGACGAAGTGGAAGAAACTCATCAGCCGGATGAACTGGCCTTTCCGGAACCAAGATTTAGTGATATGGTCATCGCTATAACCGATTCGGCATTTTGGCTCGTTCTAACGGAGCAGAGTATTATTATCGCTGGAATCTGTCGCGTAAACTGTATTGTGGGTTCCGCGGAGATTTGTGGATATGCTCTCACGCCGGAAAGCGGCCAGTTGACCATCCCATCCTTGGGCAGCGAGAATTGGCTGTCGGTGTTCGGTAACGGCAATCCCATCGACGGCGATCAGTTCGAAAAACAGGCGTCGCTACAGTTCGAAAAGGAGTTTGTGGATCCTTGTCGGCGGGTTGTTGACCGCTGGCCTGGTCGCTGTGTTGCTGTTCTGCTTCTTTCATCGACAAATCATATATCGGATCCGTTGATGTGGCGCTGTAGTGAGTTGTTTCCGCAGTTGCAGCCTAAAATTATCCGGCATTCTGTTGGCAGTGCTGAAGAGTTCTCCGCACCCAGTAAAGGCACAGACCGCACAGTTGTTCTACCCGCTGGTAAGAATTGGAGAGAGCTTTTCCCGGGATGCACAGTGATCTCGCCACAAGCCATGAACGGAATAAGAACGCAGTCTTTCATTGATTTTAAGGTACGTAATTTGATGGCTCCTGCTTTGTGTTGCGTTACAGTTTTGCTCCGGTTTGATAAGAGTTTTTAGAAATTTGAATGGAATAACATTGTTTAATGGAAAATTTGTTATCGTTGCACGATCAGTTTTGGCAGATTTGTTTAAATGCTATAAGTAGAAGTAAGAGTTTATTCTTTGGTTAGCGTTTCAATTTTATTTGCCGCAGAACGATTTCTGGGATCGAATCAAAACGGAAGTGAGCCAATGCGTCACTAGCACCCATCCAGTTATTCTTCTCTGCGGATCGAAAAACGTCGGCAAATCCACAACAGTCCGGTTTATCGTCAACTTTTTATTGCGCCTTTATCCAAAAGTCCACTGCTTTGATTGTGATCTGGGCCAGAGTGAGTGTAATCCTCCTGGCTGTTGCGCACTCCACTCTTGCACGAAGCCGCTCCTGGGTGCGCCGTTCTGCCGGCTTCATGATCCAGACGCCGCTTGCTACTTGGCGGAAGTCTCACCTTCCGGTGTCAGGCATCAGTACAAAAGGGGTTTGGAATTCGTTTTTGGAAAGAGAACGGAACGCGTCCCGATTGTTGTGAACACTATGGGATGGATAGAAAAACTCGGACTTGATTTGCTACACTTTACTTCCGAATTGACCAAGCCTGATTTGATTATCGAGCTGGTGAAGGAAAAAGAGACCGGTGTTAGTGCGTCACTTTATCGGAAACCAAGCTGTCGTGTTATCACATTATACTCAGCGGCGGAAAAGGCGGAACCAGCATCGCATGTTGCACCAGCTATCAAAAGAAAGATGTCGATACTGTCATACTTATCTGCCAGTTCTCCGACATTCGGACCTATCAATGAATCCACTCCGTATCGGATCAAATTCTCGAACATTTCTTTATACTTTACCGAAGTTGGTGTTTCAGTTTCCCATTTACTGACAGTTTTGGATGGATCTTACGTGGGTCTTATTCAGCTGGACAACAAAAACGGGAGGCCTGTAAGACGGGATGTATATGGTGACGTTAATGTGCTTCGAGAGTTTCCGTTGGGGAACTGCTTGGGATTCGGAATCGTGAGAGGTATTGACACTAAAGCGCGTTGTTTATTTGTTTTGACACCATTGGCTGATGGAAAAATGCAGGATGTCAATGTATTGATGCACGGAACGATCACCGTACCGGATGAAGTGTATTTAACACAGAATTTAGGAAAATGGGAAGGACCAACTCCAAAGATGCAGTATCAGTACATGTACGAACGAGAGTGAAAATTTTAGCAATGTTCTTAGTAATGGGAGCACAGAATTTGTTGTTTTTTGTGCAATGTTGCCTGCAGTTTGAATGCGTCAGTATGATAACCGGCATTTTGAAGTTTTTATTAACAAGTTGTACGTACAATCTTTTTTTTCGAAGATGTACTTACTCAGTAGGTGTAACTGTTGGAACAATGCAAACTGTATTGCAAACTTTCCACAGCATTGTTGTGGTATTAAACCTCACTTTCGTATGAATTTTTCTCGCAGAATATGGCAAACAGAGTTTTTACAAACGTGTCGTGTCGTTGGCAGTGATCGGGCTCTTTCCGGTTTCCCTGTCCGCTTGCTTTACATCCGGTAGACTGCTTTGTCGGCGCAGCACTGGCAAGCGCTCATTGACTTTATCCACAATTTTTGCATGCTCGAAACGTTCTTGTTTGGAGGCAGGGATGTTCTCGGTGTCTTCCGGATTGGGTGCTGTCAGCCCTTTTGGGAACTGCGATTCTGTTTCGCTGTTCTGCAGTTGCTCCTTTATCATTTCGTACATTGACCGGAATTCCGTGATACTTCTTATTTTGGTCTTGATTACCGCTTTTCGTTTGGCCATATCGGTTTTGTCCTTTTCCAGTTCCTCATCTGTGCATATGCTGAGAAGCGCCACCGTCATTTCCTGTAAGTAAGAATTAGGATGCACGAAGGAGTTTAATACTAATTTTTGCATTTGTACTGCACTCAATTTTACGGTGAAAAGGTTGCATATTTTATACAGCACTATGTTATGCAATGGATAACGCATTCGACAAAGCCCGATTTATAGAAATATACTAAATGCCGCATAATACCGGTGAACACAATGTGAACTAAACTTATTACATTCCTCAAAAAATAATAAAAACGGTTAAGCTAGGCTGCTGTTAATCAAACTAACTTAAAAACGAAAAACATACAAAAACAAGCTTTTACTTTTAGTATGTTTGTAAGATTTTCATAGTCCACATTTGCATGTTAAATCAGCAAAACGTTGTTGTTTTCAATAAAGACACTGCAGTCTACCTTGATTTTTGCCGTTACAAAGGGATATGACCATGTGAAGACATTCATGAAATCTGGCAGCCAGTACGGATGTGGCACGGCATTGAATTGCTTAAAATTCATCTTATTATTCTCATATTTCAGCACTGCCCCCTTGTTTCTATAATCGTCCAGATAGTTAGGCGCAGAAAATACAGTAAAAAGCGCCGGAAATCCCAGTGTCGTGGCTTTGTACTGCTTAAATCCGGCATATTCGACTTGATGCGCTCGAATTAGAGACAAGAGTTTGTTATCCGTCAGGAATTTACAACAAGCTTTATATGTGTACATGTAAGAGCATCCTCGTTCGGGATTATCGAGGTACAGGTTTTCCGCATCCGTTTCGTTACCAAAATTCTCCGCTGGATCCGACCACAGGATGTCACACAACGGCCCGCTACTGTCCGGTTCTTTGAAGCGGTCGATCCGAAAAATGTCCTTGAGTGTGGTGATTTCCGGCGACAATCCACCGTGTACACACAAGAACTGCCCATTGACCACGGCCGCCAATGGGAGCGCATCGAACGCCTCCATGCATGCATTGTACACCGCTTCCGAATATTTGACTTCACACTCCAGTTTGAAACTGAACGCTTCCGTCAAATGCCGGCATTCGTGATTGCCGCGCAGCATAAAAAACGTCTGCGGATAAGAGAGTTTCAGGGCGAACAGATACAGTACGCATTCGATACCGAAATTGCCACGATCAACGTAATCACCCAAGAAGAGATAGCGCGTCGTAGCCACATCACCGCCATAATTGAACAGATTTATGAGATCGTAATATTGTCCGTGTATATCGCCGCAGATCGTTACCGGCTGCGGGATGATTAACAAGTTCAGTTCCTTACGCAAGACGTGCTTTACTTCGTTGAGAATCCGCAGTGCCACGGATTCCGCCAGTCGGCCTTCTTTGTAAAAATGCGTTTTAAGGATGCCGGGATTTGGGATTTTGGAAGTGCCCAGGTATACTTCGCTATCCGTCAACCGCTGTGAATTTGGCGGTGGAACATCTGTACAAGTATATTATATAAACGACGTTAACTTTTAAATATCCTCATGATAATTGTGGTCTATTCGTGTTTCAGTGTGGGTAAATGTGACGATGTTCCGTACAAATGCCGAAGTTAATTTGATTTAAGCCATTCTTCATTCAGTGCATGTGTGCCGTCGATTATAAAATGCGGCACACAAGTAAAAATTAGGTACTGAATTTGTTTAAGCGCTCACTAATTAATAGTTGATTGTGATTTAAACAAGTACCATTGTACCATTCCACACTGATAAGTAAATTGTTTCCAGTTTCCTTGATAAGCATGGTCTATGAAAAGTGACGGAAAGATATCACTGGGATTATTTCATTGTGGTTGCGTTTATCAGCAAGGAACAATTAACAATCGATGCAGTCTGATTTCCCTTTCTATGTATTCTGTGATGCTTCAAAATTTGAAAAAGAGCTATTGTTTTACAATTAACAAAGTAGTTTACATTAGGCTTTTAGACAAGTGGATATGTATGTAAAATTGTTAAATAAATTGTTGCACATGTTTATTGGTTAACGCAAAGAAACCGTCACATATAGTCGAATACAATATGTGCCGTAATAATAATACGTAAACAGCACAATTAGAGGATGGAATTGTTAATGTATTCGCGCGCCATATAATTATTCGATTGAGCTTATTTTTTGTGTCCAGTTCCTTATAATATCTATAATTGCAGATGGTACTGCGCGTGTTCGTACAAACTCCAAACATTGCCACGAGATGAAAACGGCCTTGACCAAATAATATCACGTATTAAATTAGCAAAACTACAGTTGTCAAGTGTTGCTAAATGGATGATGAACTGTTACCTTTAACGGCCCGCTCGATAGTATCAACAGGCTGTCGTCCACTGTTTCCCGTTTTCCCGGTTGTAATAGAATCAGCGTTGATCCCGGTATCCTGAGCCGGACTTAAAGGTGGTGCTTCGCTGCTTGAGTTTTCTCTCGACGCTGCATTAGATTCCATGGCAGAAGTTTAACAACAAGTCAAACATAAGCGATCTTTTGTTCTGCAGAACGTTTTAATATTAATTTTCCAAGCTTACTTAATTTTGCTAGGGCTTACATATTAAATAAGCACAAAACAAGTGTAGAAGAAGGAAATTCGTAACCACGATCCCGTGTATCATAAACACAGAATTGATGTGCGCGAGTGCATTAATTTTGAAAATTCAGCTTTCAGTCTGCAATACTAATCAGTCGTTATGGGTGATAAAGTCAGCAGATAAGAATTAAAGATCAACGCATTACTAAGCGTGCTGTGATTAGGTAACTGGTGTATGATATCTTGCGCCAAAATGCCGGTATGTTATTACGTTACACATAATGCACATACGGTAGGTACGAGACTTTTCATGCAAACTTCAAGAAGATGAATGGTCGGGCGTTCTACTATTGTTGCAACTTCAGTCGTTAAAAGATTGCTGTACTAAAACAGAGAACGCTTTAAAAAAGGTTTGTCAGATTTTGGCAGTGCTTTCTAATTAGTTTGCTGTTGTACGAACACTTAATTCAGTTTCATTGCCTGTCGGTGTTCGCGCAACATCCGCTCACGCCAGTACGCAATAACAATAATATTATGAACACCTGCTTACTGGGCGAAGAAAAATAAATTAATATGCAATAATACTTCTGAACATGGATTTACGCATTAGCATTCTCTAATTTTCCAATAAAAAGTATACAGTTAGTGGGATTATGGCGTATTAAAAACATAAAAGGATGATCCACCACGAATTCTATAGGCTCTGGATGCCCTGGAGTGCCGGCACCCTGCAAGCCCACTTCGTCGTTATTGATGCCGGTTCCGGATTCGTGAACATCTGCAACAGAAAATTTTTGTACGCGCATATAAACAATGTAATTTTAAAAGCGGAGTTGTTTCCCAAAAACTTCATATTTTAATAATCAAATATTGCAAACTTGTACAATTAATAAAATTCGAACAGTTCGATAGCAATAAAAAGCTAACAGAGCTACGGCAAGAAGTCAAGGGGCATCGATAACAAGTACCTCATGGGTTAGGCGTATTACTACGAGTACGTATAATAATAATTGCAATTACTGCAGTAAGTACAATTATAAACAAGTGTGCTCGAATAAAATAAATTGGCAAACAGTAATTATATACGCATTTTTAACGCTTGCAAAAGAAATAAAAAATAATCTTATGCAATTTTATTCCACCGTATACGTAGGTATGCGAAGTATAACTTGCCGATTACAGCCGCATGAAGCAATCGACAAGAAGCTCCAGTTTTTGGCTGTACACCCAGTCTTCCAGACAGAACCGTAAGATCAGTGGAGTTGTCTATAACAAATTTAGGAAAGAACAGGTGCACCTCGTGCATCCTGTTGGCTAGTTCGGCCACCTCGGTGATGTTCTTAAATTCCAACTTTCCTTCCAGTTCCTCTAGTCCACCCTTCTGACGTGGTAACAGGATTAGCATCGACGCTTCGCCGCTAGCGTAGCATATTTCCAGATAGTCAACATCCAATGGCTCGTAATACGCATAATTAAAATGACTGGCTAACGACATCATATCCACTTCCATCTCAATGTCCCCCATGTAAAACTTATTTTTTGCCGTTTTTGCTTTGCGAAATTTTTCGGACCATCCGCCTTTAAAAGTTAGAATATTAAGCAGTATGGGCGGTTGACAGTCAGTAAGCGACGATGCGATCGATCGTCCCGTCGTTTTCTCCATAGTTTCATTGATAAATCTCAGTGCGCAATTAGAATCATCTGCTGGGGCGTCCATCACCATTACATCTCCCATCGATCGTGAAATATCCGGACCGATACTGCTATCACTACCTACCCACGAAAAAACTGTATTCAGCAGCGATAATTCAATTTCATCAACAACAGACCCATAGAAAATCATATGCGATTCCATGGGCGCCGGTTCGCTAGATGTACTGGGACTGGAACAATCAGTTGGAACCGAATCTGCAGGCCGAGAAACACCGGACACTCGCAAACGCAGCTCAGTAAACAGCTCTGTAAAGCACTGTTCCGGTTGCTTCCCACTATCTTCAAAAATGCGACTCATTGTGTTGAAAATCTCGCCGCTGTTTCCGAAATCTGAATCTTTGACAGAGATAAAAGCGCTAAGAACTCCGAGCGGAGAAACGGCAATATTGTCACCGGGTTTCCGTTGCAATAATATTCTACGGTACAACGTAAAGGACAGGGAATTTATAAATTCGCTGGCTCTTTCCATGTTTATAGGTCGAGGCGGACTAAACAGTTAGAATTGGAAAGCTGCCAGTTGGCACCCGTTCCAACAGTGGTGCGATTTAATAAAGGTCATCGATTACGTCCTGTGGATAGCTACAGGTGGCGGTCTATTATTCGCGAAATTAGAAAAGTTCGTCGATACTGATTCACTGCGCAAGCGTTAACATAGCTTGATAATTGTAAGTTATCCACATCCCGATCACGAGTAAGAACTTCGTGCGATCAAACGCTGACAAAATGTTGCGTGTATGTTATAAGGCGCGATAGAGACAAATGATGCGCAGAGATCGATAGCGCTTATAAAGTTTGTCATTCCAGAAATGCGTACAACTGTTGTGATGTTGGTGCCTTTCAGTGACTACGAGGAGACGCTCCTTATTTGCGCTGGGATAACACTGGTAGTTAGTACGTACTTCCTTGCTTTTTACATCGGCAGTTAGACCAGAGGAAAAGAAGTGAATAAGGAAATCAACGGTGCTAACAGCTCCAAACAACGCTACTGCACAAACAACATCGATAGTGCTTTACTAAACGAGTCAAACGACCTACAGTCTACAGATACTGTATGTCACACATGATGTAGGCTTACTTCATCGGGAAAAATTGATGTTCTTGTTATCCACAAATCCTGAAGTTTATTCACGTCCCTTAATTTGTTTACACTCGCTGCACATAGTTATATTGTCTCAAGAAACCTAAATAACGTGCAGTCCGACTAATGAATTTGAAGATCAGGACGCTGCTGTAAAAAGCGCTGCTTAGTGGTGTGCGTCGCATTTGTAAAACAGTCTGTAAGTAAGAAACGCTGCCATAAGCTGCACGCGTGTTTCTGTTGAATAGATTTATTACAAAAGCTAGAAAGTAAATATTATGTACAAAAAATACGAGTACAAGTACAACTACAAAAACACAATTTCGCCTAAATTTATACGAGTAGAAGTATACGTTCAGTTTCTGTTTTATCATTATACGTAACACTGATACTGCAATATTCGAATATTGCAATACGTATAATGATAATACAAAATTCATCTACTTTCTACGGTTCTTTTCAGTTTTCGCGTGCGGTGCGGTACGTATAGATCGCCAAATACGTAATTAGATTGCTAGACGTAATTGGCTTTGTGCCGCACAATTAAATACGCGAAAACTGAAAAGAACCGCGGAAAGTAGATGAATTCAGTATTACCATTATATATATACGTATGGCAATGTTCGCCAATGGTGGATCGCCAGATATGCCAGGACATCCAGATACTGTACACAATATGTATAGTGTCGCATGACCATTTCCAAACATAATTAAAATTTAAAATTATACAATACATTTGCATGCCTGTATGTAGCTTAATACAATGCGCATGGTAAAAAACATACAAACGTCAAAACACGTATGCATGTTTTATGCCTATACCGATTTCACAGGTGATTCAAGCTCTTAATCGAAATAAATACTTAAAACATAACATTACAAATTTAAGGGAAACATCGTGCATGGTAAATAGAAGCCGCGCATCATTAAACAGATAAAGTGATCATCACATAGTGCAACGAGCCAACAGAAAGCGAAAGTGGAATATTAGAAACGTGAAATAAATGGTTTTAACTAAAATATACAGATAAATTTTTGTATTTAATGTAATTGTAAGCGTCAGGCACAATGAAAAGGTCTAGTGCTCACTGACTCATTCTTTTGCTGGACAACTTTGGACTTAATTGCTTTGACCCTGCACTAGTCGACGAGGCGTCTGACAATGAACTGGAAGAGTCGGAGAATTTTGCTGGCATTCTCTCGTTGACCTTATCCATTTCTTTGACTTGTTCAAATGGCAAATCACTATCCTTTTGGTCGGCCAGGTTACTGATATCGACACTGCTGTCCGTCGGTGTCAAACCTTTAAGCACAAACAAAGCATCACGCTCTTTTCGCAATCTGGCATACTGCCGGTTGAGCCGGGCCACAGCGCGAATCTTATGCAGGATAATTTGTCGTCTGGCCGCTTTATCAGGAACGTGAACATCGGCTGCATCCTCCAGCTCCTCCTCGGAACAAATATTCAAAACCGATACTAGAATCTCGGTGGTCTTCTCCGCCACGAAGGGATATGACCATGTAAAAACGTCCATGAAATTAGGCAACCAATACGGATGAGTTACATAGTTAAATTGCCTAATATTCATTTCATTTTTTCCGGCTTTATTTATGGTGTAAATCAGAATCGCGGCTTTATTCTTGTATACGTCCAGATAATTCGGCGCGGAGAATATCGTAATGAGCGCGGGAAAATCGGCGGATCTTTGTTTGCGATACATCTTGAAACCGGTGTCCTGGATTTCGTGAGCGCGAATTACTCCCAACAGGTGATTGCGCCGTAGAAAATCGCAACACGCAGCGTACGTGTAGAAATACGAGCAGCCGCGTGTTGTATTGGGAAGAAAGAATTCGTTCCCCTCTTCTTTCCCAAAATCCTCCGCTGGATCCGCCCACAATAAATCGCACATTAAACCGGCACTGTCCGGCTCCTGAAAGCGGTGAATCTTGTCAAAATCAGCCAAAGTGAATGCAGCTGCGGGGACAATCCGCCATGCACACACAAAAACTGTTGATTCATCACCGCCGCGAGCGGCAGTGCGTCGAACGCCTGCATGCAGGCATCGTAAACTGGTTCGCTGTACTTGATCAGGCACTCCTCACGGAATGTGAAATGCTCCGTTAGATGGCGACATTCATGGTTGCCGCGAATCATGAAAAATGTTTCCGGATAATTGAGCTTTAAAGCGAACAAATACAGCACACATTCCATGCCGAAATAGCCGCGGTCCACGTAGTCGCCCAGGAAGAGATAGCGTGTATTCTGTGGGTGACCGCCGTTCCGGAAGAGGGTCATCAGGTCGTAGTACTGACCGTGAATGTCCCCGCAGATTGTCACGGGGGCGGGAACGGAGAGCAGAGTCGGTTCTCTGTGCAGCACGCGCTCCACATCTTGCAGCAGACGAATAGCGACAGTTTCTTCCAGTCTGCCTTCCGCCAACAAATGGTTTCGAATTTTTTCCGCGTCAGGATGGCCATGGGAAGAAGATCCATACACCTCTTCCATTGTTAAACGATGTGTGGCAGGTTCCGGTACATCTGAAACATTCACAAACGGTGTCGATGCCATTAATTTTTATACATAATAATGTAAGGGCACAACGCCTCACGTGTTATCGTCCTTGTCACCAATCAGTGCCCCACTGCTCATTAAAGATCCAAGTGACCAACTCAGTGAACTCACCTTTTATTATTCGTTCTTTAGTATGCAGGACGATATTTTGGGTATCCGAATCAGCCTTTGCCTCGTCCATGTTTTTTCTTTAGCTGAGAATATTAGCGCTAATATTGGTATTCCGAAAATAACGCTTGATTAGGTAAGTATGTTAATTAATCGGAGGAAGTATGGCGTCGACACTGCCCTGATAGGCAGAACTTCTGCGCTTGCATGGCTTTAACACGAAGGAAAATTTGTGTGAAGAAGAATAAAGCGGTGCGCGGTTGTAGCCTTTTCTGTTACTAATTTTGGTAGAAAACCACATAATCAAGTACAAACGCTATCGTCTACAGCACTAGCGTTGACGCCGTTGAGGTACATCTTGATCTGGTTATACTAGCTAGCTGCGGGGGTATTGAGCAAAATCGCTGTCAACAAATAGTTATCGCTTCCGGCTACTTAAAAAAATAAAGTCGGTTAGTTGCTGATTGTCAAGTAATATTTCTGGGGCATTTTTTTAATGAGATATGTTGAATGGCAGCAATCCGGCACATGCATCTTGCACGTAGAAAAGTCATATGGCATTATAACATTGCATCCCAATTCAGGAGCGACGGAAGGGTAGTAAGACTCCGAGTTTAGCGCGTCTGAAAAGTCGTGAAGCAGGAAAACCCTAAATGTTTTTGCGCTGATTTCAAGCCTGAACTTTCGGCGTTCAGGCTGTTCTTTAAAAACATGCTCATTTTGTTCTTATGTGCGTTAGTCAGAACTTTGTGAGTAAAACCAAAATATCACCTTCAAAGGTTGGCCACAACTTAGCAAACACTGCAACATCAGTTTTGCATAAGCATGCTGCCATTTTCAACTTTAGAACTGGCATAACATCGCGTCTTGGCTTCTGTACCCAAAAAATTCCAGCCAGCGCGCTTACTCCTAGTAGTACAACGTAAATCGTACCATACAAAACCAGAAGATCGTTAAGTGGAGACCGTCCGGTTAATTCCATCTACCGAAAAAATATTAAAATATTGGATTACCGGTACCCTGTGCACTCACTGCTGAAAAAGTTACAACGCTACTACTAGAGTTATTACAGATACTTGTAAAATACTCAAGAAAGACATTCGAACCCAAAAAATTGAAACTCTATGAATGTCCACCGGAAAGAGTGGTAAAGGACTTCCAGTATAAACCGCGCATGGCCATCAGTTGCTGGTGTGTGCCCTGCTCCGCCACTTTCCCATGCGATATTACGCAAATTTTATCCGCATTCTGAATGGTATTTAGGCGATGGGCAATAACAATGCATGTTCTTCCTAAAAACAAAGCTTGAATCAGTTATGATTGTCCAAAGCGGTACTTTGCATCACTGCTGCTTTGTTAATAGCTTTTCTGGCATTTTTGTAACCATACAAAGCGCAAATGAATTAACATTCCTGTTTATCACCGCAAAAAGAGAAACGTTTTTCTGCGAATATGTTCTAATAATAACAATCACCAAGCTATCTGGCGGTAATTCTTGCAGTGATTACCTTGTTGTGCACGGTCCAGTGCTTCTTGGACAATTTTCTCCGATTCGGTATCCAAAGCGCTAGTCGCTTCATCCAACAGCAGGATTTTCGGCTTGCGTATTATCGCTCGCGCAATAGCGATCCGCTGCTTCTGGCCTCCGGATAACTGCGATCCGCGATCACCCAGATCAGTATCGTACTGCGCCGGTAGGTTCATCACGAAGTCTGTTAAGTTAACGGTCAGGCAAACCACCGCTCGTGTAAGATGCCAAAAAAAAGCAAAATATCCCACCATGAATATTGGCGTCCCGGGCCGCTTGAATGATGGCCTCCATATCCACGGGCTCGCTGCAACCGTATGTAATATTTTCTTTGACTGTTCCACTGAAGAGTACCTGTTGTCTCCATTTAATGTTGTTCTAGTCGCGTACACATCAATCAGCTAAAATGAGATGTTCACACTTACCACAATGCCGGATGTTGCATCATAAAAGCGCTCCACTAAAGAAATTGTAGTGCTTTTCCCACATCCGGAATGCCCCACGAGAGCCAAAGTCTGTCCGGCACCAATGTCCAGGTTCAAGCCGCGCAAAATCTTAATAAATTATGAAAGGCGTAAAAATTTCAAATAAAAAGTACCTGAACGTACAGATAAACAAGCCTGAACCACCATCTATTTCTAACGCAACGCTTCATGAACTTAATTTTAACACAAAGTAAGGCAGATTGATAAGCGATGATTGTGAAACAAAGACATCTGAAATACCTTAACGGAAGTTCTTGTAGGAAATGAAAATCGAACATCGTTAAACGCTATACGACCGCTTAAATTTTCAGGCTGCTTTCCATCAGAAGAACTGCTATCGATGTCCGGTTTTCTGTCCAGTAGTGGAAAGATACGTCCAGCAGCTGCTTGTGCCTTAGCGCCATCCGGAGCGAACGAGGTCACATTTCCCAGTCCCATAGCACAAAAGATCAACGCGCCGAACACTCGAAAAACATCCGGAAAATCTATCTCATCTGTAATCAATAAACAATGAGAATCTAGATTGTTTTCGGTTCTGTCTTGGCTTACGCTGCTTGATCAAGTAAGCTCCAAAGGTAAATGCCGCGGCATAGGCAAAGTATATCACGCCCTGGGAAATGCTGTATGCTAATCCATACGTATGCGCTTTAACGATTTCATTCTTCAGGGGGACTTTTAAGCGTTCGGAATACACACGATAAAAACGCTCTTGAAGGCCAAGCGTGGTGACCGTCCGAAAGTTGTCAATAGATTCGTATGCGACTTTTCCCGCTTCTTCCAGTTCCTTCTGATTCTTTCCAGCTGAGCCGGAAAGAATTTTCAACTGGAAAGCTCCTGTTGGTAATGACAACAAGGTTAATCGTATTGCCCGCAAATGTACGCTATAGTTGTCAAAAGGAGCGCAGTGTTAGCTTGTCTTATTTAAAGTTATCTTGAATACAAGTTATAAGTACAACCATACACGTGGGTACTGTAATAAAATTTTAACCAGAACCTTGGAATTTTTTTACCTCCAACCACGACTAGCGGCACAAAAGCCAAGATTACTAGAGTGAGTTTCCAACTGTAAGCAAAAGCAATTGCTACGGAAGCGATCAACAAGGTGGCAGCCTGGATTACTGTAGCAATGCGAATACCAGCAGCCTGAAAATTATAGAATGAATGCAATTTCAAGAAGAGTCAAACTGCATTTAATTTTAATTTATAATATTACATACTCCTTGCACTGCAGCAGCATCGGTTGCCAATCTCGTTGTAAGAGCGCCGGTGCTGTTTTCTTCCCGGTCAAACCAACCGATCTCTTGACGCAACATCCTTGAAAAACACAGGATTCTAATGCGCACCGTAAGTGTTTCGCCGGACACCGCAAATGCAGTAGCTGCAAAGATTCTATCAGAAATCGCTTTACATAATTTTGGGAATGTTGGACATACACTGTATAAACCAGCTGAGAAACGTGCCAAACCCTATTGCCAAAAAGCAGAGGGAAAATACTAACGCATCTCTTTCCTGTTTGACCATATCAATTTGAACGAATACCTGCGAAAAGCACAAATTCACACTTAATGTGGCATTATATACAGGACAAACAATCTGTCGAAACAAAATATGCCGCTCGATTTAGATAGCGCAGTGTATGGAAGTGTTTGCAATGAAGGAAGCAAATTACGATCTCAGGACGGCTGATCACTATGACGCGTATTACTGTTTACCCGAATCATTTCCGAAAAAAGAATAGCGAACGCCGGCTGTGCAGCTCCTGTAACGGCCGCCGCAAAACATCCCATAGCGATGTAGGGCCACTCCGGCAAATTTAGTTTAAATATCCGACTCATTGGCACTTTAACAGCCTCCTCTTCCTTCACGCTGCGACCACCAACACTAACGGTCCCCAAACTGATGATACTCTTTCTTTCGCTTTTCCTTCCGGAACTCGGCCATTCCGTTTCCGGCACGACATCCGGCCCGTCTTCCAGATCGCCATCCTTCTTTTCCGAGTCCTCTTTTACCTGGTTTGTAACCAGAGTGTAGTACATCCCCCTTTCACTCATCAGCGACGAATGGGATCCTTCCTCGATGACCTCGCCTTTGTCCATGACGATGATGCGATCTGCCTGCCGAATTGTGCTCAAACGATGGGCAATGATGATCGTTGTCCGACCTTGACGGGCTTCGTCTAGTGCATCCTGAACGATTTTCTCACTGTTGGCATCCAGCGCACTGGTGGCTTCATCCAGTAGAAGAATCTTCGGATCTCGCACAATGGCGCGAGCAATGGCGATTCTTTGCTTCTGACCACCGGACATCTGCGATCCCCGTTCGCCGACGATTGTATCATATTTCTGAGGAAGGTCCATTATGAAGGCGTGCGCATTAGCTTTGCGAGCTGCTGCCTCGATCTCAGCCTATGCCACAGCATAAAAAACGTTGACCTTTGACAACCAATGCAAATGACCGACGAAATATTTTCTGATATTTTTTACTCTTCTGCGATACTTATTAAATGTAAATTTTAATACTTTCTGCCGTTATGAAAAAACAAAATTACTACCTTTACCTGTGTAACGCCATCGCGTCCATAGCGAATATTCTCACTAATAGTTGTATCGAACAAAACCGGCTCCTGTGAAACGACTCCAATAAAATCTCGCAAATAATTAATATTCCAATCTTGGACTTTTATTCCGTCCACATAGACATCTCCAGCGTTGGGATCATAAAACCTTTGGAGCAGTTGAATTGTGGTTGATTTACCGCACCTGCAAAGATGGCAATAACCATACTAAGCGATACGAATCATCAAGTCCACCGTCAAAAAAGTTGTTAATTTGGGATGGAGTAATGTGAAACAACGGAACACACATTTGAAGCGAACTTCCACTAGCTAGCTAGCGTTTTCCAACTACGGTTTGTAAAGTGTTTACCCGGACGGGCCAACCAGTGCCACAGTTTGTCCCTCTTCAATCCCGATGTTTAGTCTCCGAAGTATCTGGACGTCCTTGCGAGAAGGATAAGAGAACGCAACATCCTTAAATCTGATTCTGCCGAGCACTGGAACTGGCATCTGCCCAGCAGTAGAAATAGTATCGACTGGAGGTTGCCGGTCAATTACTTGGAAGACAAAAAACGCCGCTCCGCGTGCTGTTGAAAGCTCGTTTAGACTGGGTGCAGCGTTGCCCAACGACATTGCACCAATCAGAACAGCAAAAAATACCTGTTAAAAAAAAGCATACAGTAATGATAACTGTATTAATAACTTGGAAATAACAAACACACGAACAGGATAAAAATAAAAGCAACGGTACCATTAAAACAGTGCCGCCATCATATCGCGGTGGTATTTGCCCACTCTGTAGTGACTCCCGAACCAACTTGGCACCGTACCAAAACGCCACACAATACGCGACGTAAATGACAAGCCACGTTACGCCCATGCCCAGTCCAAAAGTGATGCCTTTTCTAATTCCCACACGCTTGGCTTCATCCAGGTTTCTGGTATATTTGACCACTGTCCGGTTCTCAGCTCCCAGTGCAGCAATGGTCCTAATGGATGACAGGGCTTCTTCCGCTATTGCACCAGCTTTTGCGTAGGCCTTTGATTCTTGGGAGCTCAGCGCTGTGGTGAGCTAATGAATACAAGTTTAAAGGTTAGATTCGATAACTGGGGTGACCTTTACAGAGGCAGAATTAATTTCACTTTACCTTAACTAACGTAGATCCACAAGCAGCCAGCAGAGGTGTAAAGGCAAGAATGACAAGCGTCAATTCCCATCCTTTGATAAATCCAATAACAAAACCAGCAACGAAGGAGGCCATTCCCATGACGAAAAGACCCATCTTGTCCCCTATTCCAGCCTGAATTTTGCTAAGATCGCTGCAGTTAGCAGAAAATCAATTGTAAATGGACAAAACAACATAAAATTTGCAATTACAATATGCAGAAATAAAAACGCACAAAACAACGGTACCAATCAGTCCCAAGCCAGCAGTAACTCTTACTCTGCAAGTCGTGTAGCCAGTTCGCCGGGATTGTTTACGTCGTACCAGCCAACATCCTGACGGAGAATGGCACGATAAAAAGCCAATCGGATTTTATGGGTCTGCCGCGCAGACGCCCAGACCCAGAAAGCCACCATCATGTACCCAGATATCAAAACAGCAACGCCAATGCCGATATAATAATAGGAAAATGTTTTCATAGATTCTTCAAGATCGCCAGTCTGATTGAAATAATTTGTGTTGATACCGGCGGATGCGGCCGTACTTGCTTGTGCGGATGCAGCTTGGGCCATCAAATTGATGCGATCATTGTTAAGAAAGGAGTTGGTCATATCACCCAAAACGATGATCTACAAATGCAGATTGTTTTTCCATTAATTACTAATAATATCCACCGCAGTATGGTACTGTATTATCAGTGTTGTATGATCAGTTTTTGTTTACAAATTCTTACCATTATGGGAAGGCATAATCCGCATACCAAAGCTGCAATCGATCCAATTGTCATAAAAAGTACATCGATTTTGTCGGCAAACCGAAACTGCAAATACGAAAGCTGTTGCAAACTGTATAAATAAGCGCATGATATTTTACCTACTTTTATCACTTTAAATCACGAGCAAATAGCAGACAATTACCGAAATCGTGAGAATGCTTTAAATATTTGTCCTAACAGTATAACACTACTTATGGTTAGCGTAGCGTTATATATATATATATATACTGTCGAGGCATCACGTAGCACTAGTGTTACCTGATGCCTCGATATTGTATATTTGCAAGTAGGGCTTCTGGACGCTTAAAAATTACTACAAAGTAGTTTGTATGATACGATGAGCATATTCCGCATTTTCGATTCTCCCTAACACAAATAACACGGAAAAAGAAAACGTACAATTTGAAAGATTCCGACTTGCTGAGGTTTGTCTTTTCCCTTTCCGTCATCCTTAAGTTTTTCTTCCGCCGTTTTATCAGGCGGATCGGTTACACCGGCGATTGCTTTTCCGTTTTCGTGTGGTGTGAAGTGATGCCGCGTGACAGTTACAGCTGTGCCTTTCCCATAATGAACCACATCCTCCGAGGGATCGAAAGCGCCGTTGTCTAAAAATTGCGGAGCAAGTAAACACCGCAGAAGTATGGTATTGCATAATAATGGGCGAAGACGCTATGAAATGGACTACAGGAGCTAACGTAGTAGCTACTAACTAGTAACATAATAACCAACTTATGAAATCATTCTACCACTCTAACTCTTTAAGACTTGCATCCTATTATTCCCTAAACGTCGCGATCATGAAAATCGCCATTATTCTAGCTTTGTGATGCAGTCAGCCGCGACTGTCAACGATCGCACAAAAAATCGAAATTATAGTACAATAATAATATTGTACATAAAAAAATATATTGTACATAAAAAATTGTACATAAAAAATACTGTACATAAAATATTGTACATAATAATAATACATAAAAATACATAATATTGTATATAAAAAAATTATGGGTATGTAAATTAATGCCCAATCTCTAAATGCACATAAACTTATTCAAATTGGAATATACTTCTGCTGTCTGCAACATTTAGAAATATTAAATGAATACGAAAGGGCGTTTTTACCTATGGAAGTCATGGATTCGACCTTGATGTTAACGAAAGATTCTTGTCTTTGATTGCGAAATCTAGACACGCTGCGGCTCTCTCCACTGGACGCTTTCGAACTGGAAGTGTTTTCTCAGCAGTTTCCAACTTTCCGGCCAGAAGAATGCTCAACTGGGAACTCATTCAGATGATATTGCGCTAGTGCAGGAAGGCGTGCCCAGCCCTTGTTCTAGTCGACCGATTCCGGCTGTTAGGTTGCCGATTCGCAGTGATCTAAATCCTGGAACAGCTAAAATGGAATGCAGGATCGACCACGGACAATGGAAGCCAGGCTTTGCAGATCACTATTTTGACCAGCAGCCTATACAACAAAGGACTCACACGGCTCAAACAACCGATAAGTACACGGAAAGCCGCCAGAAAAAAATATCTAACGTAGATAAAATTTCGCTATGTGATTTGTGAGTGACTGACCAAAAACTGCAACCACAAACCACAAAAGCGTGCCTTTATGAGGAACTGTCGCGCCAGGTTTGCGCTGTAGTCATAAAAAACACAAAAGAGCTATCTGTACACATTATGGGCAATACTGGGCATTCGTAGTAAACTGGCGGTTTAGTACTGGCGTTGTCATGCCGTTCATGTGAATATGCGATAATGGGCGGCAAACGTACAGAGCCTACATCAATTCTCAAATGCAAACAAAGATCACACAATGCTATGAGATCATTAAAAAGAGGCATAAAATTAAGAACAGGTGCAGAGTGGTAGAAACGTATCGCATCATTCGCATGATGCCGATCTTGAACTTGAAGTGAATGTAAGAGGCTAGTGCGTACCACGCCATTTCCGGTAAATGTATAATGGTTTCTGGCTTTTGCTTACCCAGCGGAAATCGATTACCAATTTACCAGGCGGAGAATTTATTGTCATGTTCATACCTGCCCTGCATAAGTCAACAATACCCTATTTGTATTCTCTGCTTCCAGTTTTTGCTTGCGGATTATTGTTTGCCAACTGCCAGCGAAAAATCTATGAAAGTATGAAAACTGGGAGCAGTCGTAGATAAGCTGCTTTGCAAAACTGCAAGTTTTGCAACCGGCTGTTTTTATTGTCTTGATTCTTGAACCTTTGCAGTTGGACCTGGTTTCCGCTACTGAAATAATTCTCGGCAAATTCGATAGGAACAGCGGATTTCCAAAACCCATGTTGTCATAAGTCAATAAAACTGCGCACGTTTGCAGAAATCCCGCTTATTGTTAGGTAAACTTTGACAGAGCCGCGTTACATGCAACACTGCCGGTATAAGTTCGGTGACTGCATTTCTCTCGGCTCTCGTTTTAATTTTTATCGACTATTCGGCGTATTCGCGTTGCACTTTGCTCAGAAATCGTGAGTGCCAAAAACGCCAATAAAAATACATTTCTTAGCAAAGTGGCGGGTACGGATATAAAACTGTTGACAGTGCATTTCTAAAATAAGCGCACGTGCATATCTGGGCAAGGGAGTCAAACATTAGAAATTATTAATATTATTAATATTAATATTATAATAATAATATTCACGAGTTGTAGTATTCGTACGATTGGCGCTGCTGCTGCTTTTTGTATTGCCAGCTCGTGGCAAATGATAATAATATGAATATGATAAAAAACAACGGGAGAAATGTCTCGAACACTTTCTTACCGAAATTCAATAAAACTCAACGCACACCATATACTGCGTGTCACCAACCACCATCCGACCGGAAGTCCAAAATCGTTTTTGACGACAAAGCTGTGCGCCTAACGGCATCATACGGTTCAAACTTCGCACTTCACACAGTCGATCATGATACTGTACACTATGGTACACAGGGTGTCGAACATAACACGCACAATTTACGAAAAGACATATCAGGTTGAGTCAAACTTTAGCGTAAACTGAATAGTAACCTGTAAGATTATACAGAATCTCCATACACTTCGCGTCTCACGGCATTTCCCCACATAAAAAACCAAAACATTGTGAGTAATAAGAAGTTGACTTAGGATTTCTTCATCTTCAACTACCGATTAACTCCCTTTCACTGTTAAGTTCATGCTAGACACAGTTACTACAATTTACAGAAATTTTTTCAGACTTTGTTTACCGACAATTGCAACAGGGAATATGATTAGTATTTGTTTCTAACTGAATGGTCGCTCACTCGGATCCGTGATTCTGACGCAGCTTAGGAACTAATGCTCCCGTATTTCTAAAATCTGGAATCTGAATCCGTGCTTCGTATTGTTTTGGACATAGATCGCGCTCGAGCAAATATTCTCGCCCCGTTCACTGCTTTGTGGCTTCGGTCATTTTGGAATCATGAAGCTGACTGCTCAATGTTTACTTGCTCTTGCCCTGGTCGCCAGCGGATTCTGCTGGCAGAAAGCCGTAGACGACATCAAAGATGCTGCAGCTGACATTTATGAGGACGTACAGGATATTGCTGGTCAGGCCTACACAATAGCCAAAGATAAACTCGGGACGGTTAAAGAAGTAGCTGAGGAAACTGCGAAAGAGCGTTGGACACAGGCCCAACATGTCGCTCACGATGTGAAAGAGGCAGCTGCTGAGAAAGCCAAAGAATTCGCTGATGCTGCCAGTCAGACGATGGATGCAGCTAGTAAAATTGCTGCCGAGAAGTTCTCCGAGGCCCGTGTGGCAGCGGGAGGTGCAGCAGGGTATGCTAAGGATAAGATTGTTGAAGAGGCAGGACATTTTAAGGATGTGGCTGGAGAGAAGCTGGCTGATGCTGCTGAATTTACACGGGATAAGGCATCGGTTCTGAAGGATGCTGCGGGAGAAAAGTTGGCTGAAGCGGCGACATACGCCAAAGTTAAAGCGGGAGAAATGAAAGACGCGGCTACTCAGACGTGGGAGCATGCTCCGGAGAATCTGGAACATTTGAAGGATGCCACGGTGGAGATGATGGGCGACGTTAAGGACAAGGTGGTTGAGGCAGCGAAGAAAGTAGTGACGGCGGCGTAAACATGGCCAATATGTGTTGACAGGTTTTGTTTTCGTTTCTTTTATCTCAGTGGCGTTAACTGCCACAGAAAGGGTAATGGGTGTTTGTTGAATCTCGTCCGTTGTCAAGTTTAAAATGCATACTTGTGATTGTGCTATGTGCAGTTCGCACTAACACGATCAGTGGTTTATGAAGAATCTCCAATTTTTGTTTTTAACGTTTTAACTGATTTTACGTAAGTGCCTCGTCGTTGTTCCGTTTTTGTTTTTAATGCATGAAAGTTCCTTTGTTAAATATTGCTTCCTCCAAAATAACTTCCTGCTGAGTGTCGTTTGGTGTGAATATGGCGCATTCCGTTTTCGCTTGATGCAATAAGAACGCAAACCCAGAATATATATGCCGTACTTTATGCTATATTCTTGTACTTCTGATTTGAAAAATGACGTTGTTCTACTTCTAATGGGAACGACACGTATAATGCGAAACGGAACTACAGACGATTGCGTTAGCTGAATTTCATAGATATCGTACTGTACGACTGAAATCAATATAAATCATCATTAGCATCACAGCATGCATAACTGGATGGCCGATGATTACAGTAACCGGCAAAAATTTTAAACCCACGTTACGCTAGCCCTTAGGATTAATTAAAGAATGATTCAGTATTATAAGGAAGTGCTCAATATCATTGCTTCTTTTCATAGACATTTACCGGAGCTCAGAAACAATGGCGAGAAGCCGAAAAGAAGTATGAAGAGATGAAGGATGCTGTCACTGATGGCTGGGATGAAGTAACAGAAAAAGCTTCTGATACTCTCGACGAGGCTAGACGGATTGCAAATAAAAAATTTAAAGAAGCGAAGGATGCCGATAGGTGCGTAACTGGACGAATAGTACTGATCAGAGTTAAATTTAGAATTTCGAAGCAGTACGTGTTCGTTATATAAGAGGATTACCATCACGCCGGGTAATCACGGGCAGGTTGTCCAGGACAAATAGAGTGTATCACACATATTTTGTCCTTTGCATCGATTCGGCATGCTCATTGGTTGTTTTTAGACTGTGTGTGTTAGTTGCTTCTCAAAATGTTATGCGTGCCTTTTTATTTTGTCAGCTTTCTCGTATCGTAAGAACTATGGCACAGGTGGAAGTGCAGTAAATGTTGTCGAAAAAATTTTACGAGTTGAATAGTACATTTTCATTTTCAAAATGAAAATGTACTATTCAGCTCGTAAAATTTTTTGTATACTGGTATACCGTCTCGTAACACTGAATCGGACGCCTTCTCTGTTTTAGTCTGAATTTTAATTTTTGCATTTGTTTAATTAATTATACAGGAATAAAACTCGTTGTGAAGAGTGATTGTCACAAGTCTGTACCGGGATGTAAATGCATCGAAGATTACATAATTATAGTGGCACAAATACTTGAATCATAAACCCATTTCCACCAAACCCCACGCATAACAAAATATTAAAAAATCTAACCGGTTGAAGTCTTGTAATAGTCGTTTTGCAGTTTCATAGCAAGGAGAAACTTCTGAATAACAGCAATAAATATCATTTTTGCTTTTGTGCTTCATGCTGAGTTGAGTTCCCATCAAATCAAAATATTTATTTCCCAGTTTCTTGCGACATTAATATCCAAGTTAGTCAACCGCAGTGTCTATAAAATAAAAGTGTGTTGGATTTGCAGTATCGTTTTGCAATTTGATTACCGGTAGTTTTACCTTGACTGACGCATCATATGCCACTTCCGTATTAGCGATACCATTGCCGTTAGTACTAGGAGAATTATTCGTTACATCGATCTTTTCGTGAGGCGGGAAACCAGTTACAGTGATGGCTGTGAGTTTCGACATAGATGTCACATAACTGGGCAATGAGGCATTCGCATCCAGGTTTGAGTCAGCGTGAATTGTGAAAACCTAAAAAAGACATCTGGCTTATCCCGGCCACAGGCTTGTACCACACTTATACAGTGCAAGGAAACTCCCTTCAGCATACCTGGCTTCCGTTTGCAGACTCAGTAAAGGACATATAATAATTCACCACCAAAGTTTCTGTCGCATCTAGGAAATTAGGTTAGTTTGCCTGTTATTCAGAATGATTCACACATAAAATTTGTAGTGAATAAATGCAGTACCAGACCGATCCAGATGTACTAATAAATCTTGCTTAGCATATCGTTTTCGTGCATACTTGTACAATACGTCACGAAATTTTCTTACTCGTGATTATGTCGTCTCCGCCGTCCCATGCTTGCTTTCCGGACGCCATATTGACGCGGTCAGGAGCAATAAATAAGCTAAACGGTTCTTTCAAACTGAAACAGATTTGGTGACGGTCATATTTCTTGAATAACTAAAACAGTGAATAACAATCCCTCGTCCTCGGTTTACCTATCTCGTGTTGTCGTTTTGGGCTCTTGCAGCGGCAAAATGGAGCCACCCTGCACGTGGAAAGGAATGGTGGTCAGATTAGCCTGAAGCTCCATGTAACGGTCATCAGAGGTGACATTAAGTTCTTCCCCCTAAAAGCAAAGTTAATGATTCTGTTCCCGGTACGTGTACGAAGCATGCCCATAGAAAAAAACAAACGTACTGTAACGAAGTCGAACCATCGTGAATCCGGGAAATAAGCCCGGACGGTGGTGTGTCCCTAAAGAGCATTAGATTGGTCAAATCTTTATATTTTCAAGCAGATAGTAACCAGTTCACGGTACCGGGTCTAGAACTGGTGATATGAGAAGGCTGTTTGACCACATAAATTGACGGTCGATGTTACGGGCCACAAGATCTTTGGGGAAGACTTCCATCAAACTGCGTACAACGGTTTCGCCTTTATTGGATGCCGACCAGAAAGCAGTATAGAGCAACGGTAGCAATCTGTAGCGGTGACCCAGTGCAATACGCGATGCTTCGGCAACATCCGGGCCAAGGAAGGCAGGGTCTTGATCCTGATCCGGGAAGAAAACAAAACATCAACGTGTACGTCTATCATCTACGTGTGAAGAAACTCAAGAAAAAATAACACAAGGACTAAAAAATGTACCAAGTAGCCCTTTCCGTTGTGGTTACGCGAGAATGGATAGAACGATCCAAGCTGCATCCAGCGACTGCACAGCTCGTTGGTTGTATTTGTAAAGTAACCGCAAATATCGGCTCCTACCTAAATTAAATAACAAAAAATAATAAAAGCAGTCCATAATTATGCTGTTATTCCATCGCATTTATTGCATACGGCTGCGCTACGTATTGTTTTCCTGTGTTTGTTACTTGTGGTATACACGCTGCTGTCTAATTACATTCATACGTACATAAGGTATTCCAAACAAATTGAATTCAAGCATTCCGATAATGGATTGGCGCAGCTGATTCCAGTCCGCATTATTGTCTCCGAGCCAGTGACCTTTAAGTTACAGTCCTTCTTGATCAGGAAATACAACATGAATCATTGTCTTACCATTAGTTTAACAAGCTACGTAAACTACTGATGGATCGCACACATATGTATCTGTGGCAAGTTTTCAATTCTAATTCTCACCTGATTTACTGCCACTACCAACGAAAGTTGATCGGCTGAATACGAAGCTTCTTTTACCAGTAATACTTTGCATTGCCCTATAAAAATGGAAAATGCATAATCTTCATCTGCTGAAAATGAACCAAGCTCCCAAAGCCGATACCTTAAACTAGGCTCTACTTGGCTATGTCCATAAAGAGAGTGAGTGTTGTACTGTTGGTACGCGTCGTTGACGCCTTGTACGGCATCCATGCAGATGGTCTTGTATGAAAGTCGGTACGGTTTGCTATGCTCTGTTCTTCCTGCAAGTGTCCGTGGACGATAAGGTGGACTTTCCAGGTGACTTGCAGAGTCACATTTCAGAAACCAGTCTTTTGCGTTTGTATAGCTGTTGTACCAGACGTCGTCCCCATTGGTACCGAAACTTGCCGGTTCTGTGGGTAAAATTAACAGTATTTGTCACAAGAAACAACACTTAGTTGACTTAACTTTCGGAGCGTGCAGTGGATAGTTTATGTATAGTGCAGTGCACTGCGCATCTCGTTTGATGGAACTGTGCCCCCGGAAAGTCACACTTTATCCAATAACTTTTCTTACCGTTCATGTCAATCCTGTTTAAACAAATTAATGATATATAGACATCTGTATCGACACGGGAACGAAAAATTGTACAAAAACCGTACCATAAAGCGCTGAAATCGATCTTGCTATGGAACTCTCGCACTTCCTGGTCCCAGTACTGCTGACCGGCGGGATGGAAAAAGTCCACAAATACAGCGGGGTCAGAGGGCCAAACCTACAACAGCACATCTGAATTGACATTTTTATCAATATCGCTGACAACGTCCAGACCTAAACTTACGTGACCCATTAAATACGATGGCTGGCTGCTGTTTATTGTAGTATAACTTTGATTATTTGGGTCGACATAGCCCGCTGGCCAGCGAATAAATGCATTCGGTTGGGAAAGTCCACGAACAAACGGTTCATTATTCGTCAGACTCGTTGAAATGCACGGATCGAGAATGGTAACAAAATGGAGCCCATCTGCAGACTTGTTCGCCACATACTCCGGCAGATCTTTAAAGGCTTCACCAATGATAAAATTCTTCTCCCCGTCAAAATAATCGATGTCGCCGTAGAACACATCCTGCACAAAACACAACCTTCCAGAAGCTGTATTATTTATGTAAGTAGGTACGTAGTCAATCTTATATTGGCAATTCTTCTAGATATTTCGAAATTATGGCTATCCCTGTTCTTTTGCTTTGTCCTGCATTGTAGCAATGCCACTACGATTATACTTATTCCTTCCATTATACTCACCAGGGGAATCTGGGCCGCACGCGTTCGTTCGACAGCACCACGCATGTTGTCCAGTGTATTATAACCGTACTGCAAAGGTCAACACGACATCCGTTGTAACTTGTAACTGATTCAATTTCTCCAAATCATCGTATTCATACTCGACTGATCTGAAATCCTAACGCCCAATACGGAGGCAGAAACGGTTTGCCAATTGTCTCCAGGTAGTGCTTCGTAACTTCCGTTGGCGAGTCGCCCAAGAACAAATAAAAGTCCAAAATACCTCCGGTAGTCCGGTATGTTAATGACGGTAAAGATGTTAAATGCACCTCTGTAGTTTGAATACAGAACATTGAAGGACTTGATCGAATACAGTATTCCTTGATTATCAACCAACATGATGAACATCGTCGATTAAAACTTACCCATTGCATTACTGTTCAGTAATAATAACCCGAAAGCGTGCCCATCGTCGTCTTCGACCACCATAGCGTACGGATGTACTCCGTATAGGTTTTGTTCTCCACCTGGCGGCTGATCCAGTGAAAACATCCCCCATGATTTGTAGTTCAAGTCGTGCCGGAAACTATTGTGAGAATGTTCACCAAATCCATACACATCTTTCGATGGAAGACGAGTGGAAATTTCCAGATACTGGTTAGCAAAAATCATTGCTCCAATATTGGTATCAAAACTGGAACAAACATTTTCCAGTTAAAGCCATAACAATGTGGCCAGAAGATTAAAAATTTTCTCAGAAGGTTCCACCTGTACATTTACGTGCTTTTTTAAACTTGGTTTTAATCAGCATTACAGTATACAGTTAAACCTATAGGCGGCATTACATACATGACTTTGCCGGTAGCTTTTCGGACAACGCGAACGGAAGACGCCCGACCCGGTAATCCAGTGACCTCGAAACTGTAATGTGGATTCGCTGCGTTCTTCGGCTGATTGCAGCTGAAGGGAGCATAATCGCACGGGACTTGATAGCGTTCCTTTTTGTCTTCCGTAAACTGCAATGTGCTTTTAATTATTGCAAAATACTGTGCTGATTAACTAGACTCTCGTAACCTTTATCTGCAGAACATTGTCACTTATGGAGTGAATTTCCAAGAGGACGTTCTGGATAACTTCCGGCCGAATAGCCGACAGTGAAGGATCAGCTTTTAATAAAGCGGAGAACGTTCCATTTTCTTCAGTAGCGAAGGTCTCTTTCAGTGAGTATCCTGAATGCAAGTTACACCGTTGTACTATTTAGCAGTTTTCTAGCCAAGGATAATAATTTCCTTCGAACCTTTTCGGAAATAATTTGACGTCGGATATGCACAAGCCGGTTGTCTGGCTGATAGATTTTGATCGTTCCAAGCGCAACCCCGGCTCAGGCATGCCTCTGCGGTGGCGCCCTCGTCCGGATGACAGTCTGTGAACCAATCGTACAAATACAAATAGAATAATGTGCGTAGACTATATTTCGTATTCAAGGTTTTTTGAGTGGATGACATATAAGAACTGGACTTACCAATGTAATAATCAATGTCTTTGTCATATATGATTAGGAACGAATTACGCTCAAGAGGAAGGTGGATGCCGGAAACAGTCAAGACCTGCCGGTTAAAAATTTGGGTAGCGGACAATGAATTGCCCAAGTCAATGCAATTACATTGGTACGAGTGCAATTGATAGCAGTTTTTGTTTAGTCGCACCTGATTTTGACTATCATAATCGAACCGGGCCGAGGTCGCTCGGATTCCATCAACATATGCGACAAAATCAGATCCATTCACCACTCCTCTGCTGGATACGTAGCCAAGAATTCTGACATCTTGCACCGTAATATTCGCCAGGTGTTTGTTATTGAAATTGCGGTGAACGATGACGTTAATAGTTGCTCTTGACATCTGTTAGAATAAAAATTTTTCCAGCAAATATTTTAGGAATAGACTCATAGTCCAGACAAAATGGATGCCCATTTGATTTGCGCCCGGATAGTCGCGACATTTAGCGGGCTAAATAAAAAATTTAAAGCTAGTAGGTCTTGCCATATCGGTGTTGAAATCCTGTTTCACGTATACAAGCTCCGCATAGTAATCGTCATTTTGAATAGTATCTAAAAATAATTGTACCATGAAATTTGTACCATGAATGCGGTTATTATAAATGATTTTTTACATAACTATTCCAATATTTTAACGAGAATTATCGAAGGTTCAGCTTACTTTGACCGTCCCAGTCGTCCCAAAACAAACTGCCATGGGCATTCGCCGAAGTTGTGAAGTTGTCTGAGACGACATTAGCAGGTGATGCCACGATAAGTCCAAAAGCATTGTTGCGCCTGTACGTTATAGGCGCATTTTATTATAGCTTCGGCAATTTGCAGAAGTTAAATAACTGTATTAACAAAATTTTGACGTAGAACTTACATATCTCTTGTGGAAAGTGCGTTATTCGTTTTTTGGATCGGAATAATAAAACCACTACGAACGAAAATTCCGATTCCCGCTGTCAGATCTTCTTCCATGAAATATTCCATGTGTGCCGGTCCGCTAATTTTCTAAAGTTAAAAACGGTAGTGGTACGAAGAACGTAACGGCAGCTGATCGAAATCTACTACTTTTTGCAATTATAAGCAGCAAGACCGATTTACCTGACCAGTTCGATAATGATAGTAGACATCATCAGGGAAGTACACCTCAACGACTTTCTGATTTTCGTACAGAAACGGGGCAAACATAATACCGGCTCCCCACAAGAACTGTGTGTCAATGTCCAAGACCTTTCTTATCATGAATGCCGGTATCGTATTCGTAAAACAGGGGTCGGACCACGGTTGCGCCATCAACGTGCATGTGGTAGAAGAGAGTGTACAAGTACGGCAGTAACTCGTAGCGAATGTTCAACGCGTCTTTGGTTGCAGCCGCAACAGCTGCCCACTGCGCCGGATCTTGATCACGAGTGCCGCGGGTGTTATGATTTCGGGACATGGGATAAAAGGCACCCAGTACTTGCCACCGACGGCACAAGTCTTCGGTGGTATCTTCGAAAAATCCGCAAATATCGGCCCCAACCTTTGGATGAAATCAAACATTAATAAGTCATTTTATGTTCGTGATGCTTTTTTTCAGCGAATGACAACTTTACATATGGCACTCCAAACATGTTGAATTCGAACATGCCGATGATGGAGTAGTGCATGTCCGACCACTGTGCTTTGTTGTCACCTAGCCAGTGGCCGGCATATCGGCCACTTCCAGGATAAGTGGAGCGCGAAATGACCCAGCTGCGTTTGTTCGTCAACTCCTCGGCAATCCTATTACAACGCCATAATGAATAATGGTTGCATTAAATGAATAAAAGAGCAGAGCCAAATAGGAATTTGTATTGAGTCAGTACTAAAATAAGCTACTTTATTGCAGTTCGCTTACTTTTTGGTGACCCTGGTCTGCTGAATACCATAAAGATTGTGAACGTCATAGTGCCGAACAGGTTTTCGGCTTCCGTCAAACTCATCGATGAACTGCTCGCCGGACATGCATAGGGTTTTGTCCGATAAGAGATTTCTGTAGTTTGATCCTTTCCAAATGGTTGCAGCAGCTGTACATATCAATAAAACGACATCAGTCGAATTAAATAAAGGATGCGCTAAACTAAGGTTAATTTCTCCACCAACCCGGTAAATAAGGAGGTTTATCCCATTTATCTTCCGGGCACTGAAGGCCCCAACAAGTGTGGTTTCCGTTTAGATTAGATCCGGATGAGCAGAACCAAGCTTTCTGAGCGTCGATTATATTCGTTTCGAATGCCACAGGCTCGTTCATGCTGAAAATATTCCAATTGTAGTTCAGTTAAATTAGTGAAAAACAAAAGAACTGCCTACTCTATCCATAATCCATCAAATTCGAAAAATCCTGTTGAACTGTTAATCCAGCGTTTCCACCACTCTGCAGTCGATTTTTTGAAGTAATCTGGATATGCAGATTTACCGTCAGGCCATGCCTAAAAACCGGAATTCAGCGGTTAAATACGGTATCTAGTAACATGCATACCATGAATAGTAACACTATTCCCCATACTGAACTTCATAATTATTTTGTAACGGGGTCGACATACCTTTCCTAGCATTACCCGCTTCGGACCAATACTGACTGGATCGATATGATTCGGTTTTTGGGCACCAGTATATTCTTGGGGCCATGTAATGAAAACATCGTTAGCCAAGCCATCAGTATAAGATGGATTAGTCCCGTTTTCAGCAGGATACAGTAATTCTGTGTCGGCATGGATAAATGGATCCTGGATTCATAATCATTCAGCTTTTAGTGAACGCACCGGGGCAAAATAAGTATTAATAGTTGCATAGATAAAAACGTAGTGCAAAAAGTACCAGTAAATAAAGAAACTTCAGGCCGTTATTTGTTCGGTAGTTATTGGCAAACTGGGTGACATCAGGGAAATTTTCGGTATCGATGGTGAACATCTGACGTTTGTTCATATAATCCAGTTCGATGTACTGAATATCCTGGGGAATGCCAGCAGAGCGTGTACGTTCGATCACTTGTTGCACGTCCGTCAGGTTGTTGTAACCCCATCGGCAGATCTGAAATCCTAAAAACAGAAAAAAATAAGTAAAACGCAAAAGGCAAACTGAATTCTCGGACTCTTCGGTAACTGGCGCAGGGCGTATGAAAGGAAAAGATGAAAATGTTCAGTTGGTGTGAGTGTGATTTATTAATATTGCTAATTTGCTACATAGTTGTGCGGCTTATGCCAACTAAAATACTGTCCTTATAAGTTATAACTATTAGTGATATACCATAAACATGCCTTCATGCGTTTATAACAGAGTAATATGCTTCATTTCCGTAAGAATTTAGTAAAATCTAACCTAATGCCCAGTATGGCGGCAATGTAGGACGTCCGATCAGGCTTGTGTATTGCTCAAGAACATCTTGCACGTTCGGGCCCATCAGGATGAAAAAGTCGAATATGCCTCCAGTCGACCTTAATGTCAAAGCCGGAGCAGGTTGAAATTGATATTCTAAAATGGAAAACCGTTTGGTGAGGAAGCGTCCCAAGTAACGAACGCTGTGTAAAAGATTAGACATACCCATCGCATTGCTGTTCAGGAAGAATACTCCATGGGCATGACCGTCATCTTCCACAACCATGTAAAATGGATGTACTCCATAATGATTTGTTGGACGCGTCTACATGTGACGAAAAAAAATAAAAACGATAACTACTGCTGCTTTTAAGGCGATTTAATCTGTTGCACAATTACCGTTATAAATTGTTTCAAACAAGTAAAACATAAGTACGTTCAAAGCCGGCTGTGGTTCCGTATGGAACAAGTCGAATGCAGCCTTACCGGGTCAATGGGACCTTCGTCGCGAGCAAACATTGGCCAAACCCTCCAGTCCATTTTGTGGCGGAAACTATTGTGGCGGTTCTCTCCAAACCCATACACATAAGTGCTGGCTAACCTGGTTGTGACCTGAAGAAATTGATCCTCGAATACAAATCCGCCCAACGAGGTGTCAAATCTGAAAAATCACGTAGCTTCTTAAAACCACTCTATAAAGGATGTAGGAAAATATATCGTACATTGTTGTATTTGCTGCTCGGCGATTTATTCGGAAACTAAAAGGAAGTGCTGGATTTTCTTGGTATGAAATTTCATACAGCGCTTCGTCCTGTGGAAATGGTGGAATGGTAGCAGAATCCGGTACAGGAAGCTCCATAAGCGATTGCGGAACTTCATAGCGTGGGTTTGCCGCATCAGTGAACTACAAGCCACTTCATTTGCACATTTTTTACAAATACCAATTTGATCAGAGGAATTCGGGTATAGTCAAATATTATAAAGGTATAAGCCATAATTTTTGACACAGAGGTTTTGCAAATAGTAGAGTAAATAGAGGTAAATGTCAACTGACTCTGAACCGCATTGTCGAAGTTGAATATCGGAAGACATTCATTTGCACTCTTCCTATCACAGCGCTACCGGAAACAGATTGACTGATGTTTGGAGAGACCAGAATTTTGGATTCGGCTGTCGCTCTCGGGTTACTTTCGATTCTATAACCTTGTTCAGCAGCGTTGAAGTAACACCTTGGCATAAGCGATACGCCAGAAATAGTGTCATCGAAACTGCATCCTTTGGCTGCACAACGCGAGGAGTCAATGTTTCCTTCAGGCGCACAATTGACTCTCTCAACAACCTGTCGCCTGACGAATGCAAAAGATATAACCTTTCACCTTCTAACTGAATTATATGTTCGACTCACGGCATAAAGGATAATTCGAAGGACTGATGCAGGGGAAACGCGCCGGTTAAGCTGAAAATCTACGATCCCAAATTTGACTTACTTATCAAATCTGGTAGGTAAGAAAAAACGAATAAATGGGTTTAACTTACCGATCCGTTCATAGATGCGATAAATGTGGATTCATTTACTGAAAAGCCCTCCCCGAAAAATGTGAGATCAGCGGTTGGCAGAATTTCGTTTGTGTAGATTCTTAATTCTGCTAAAGAAAGCAAGCTAATATCCGGCTGGGAAGTGCCATTGTTTCTTCCCTGATGAGCCACTTTGTACGACAATTTCAGCTATAAAGAACAGTGCGCTGACAATGATTGATCACCCTTACAGAATTGGCTGGACTAGTAAATGTAGGAATCGCACCTCTGGCAGAGAAAACGAGATCTCTGCACGGAAATAATTTCCATCTTCGTAAGTCTCTAAAATATCTCAAATAAGAATTCTGATTGCTAAACAACACAGAGCTGAAGCTTTCACATACCGGCACCGATGCCGTCGTCCCAAAAGAGTTCACCTCTGGCATGTGGAGTCCGGCCATCGACCGCAATTAATAATCGGAAGGGGTTTTGGCGACTGTGAAAATGGTAAGCAAAAATATTACTGCTGTGCCTCTCCATTAAGATTATAATCGTGTAATAAGAAAATTTTGGTTGGAACAGAATTCTTACCAGCTTCCAGCGGCGATTTACTTTATAAGATGATATGCGTAGGACCTGGTAATCATAAGTAACGGATTCTGAGCGCTCTCCGAGCAGCATCCTGAACGTGTTCTGGCCGGCTGGCGGGATCCTGCGCTCTTGGGCCAAAATGATTATGGTTGCGTGCAAAGGGATAGAAGGCCCCGGCCACTAACCAGCGCTTGCACAGTTCATCTGTTGAGTTATCGAAAAACCCACAAATGTCGGCTCCGACCTAATACACACGGTGTGTGGTTAGTAGTAATCAAAAGGCGGCTTCCCGTGGTTTACAGGCTTTTGTGGCTTACGTAGGGAAAACCGAACATGCTGTACTCCAGCAATCCAATAAACGAATACCGCAAATCGGCAAAATTGGCCGCATTGTCACCTAACCAGTGGCCGGCATATTTCTGACTGCCTGGATATGTGGAACGAGAAAACACAAATCCACGCTCATGCAAAACATTGGCGGTTGCTCTGTAACGGTAATTTTATGAAATTAATTTCCTCCGATCCCTGCTGTTTTACTATATAGATAAATTTTAGTAGAGACCACTCACTTGTACGTTGCTTCAGACTGGAAATGTCCATAAATGCTGGAAGTGTTAACAAAAATAGTTACGTTTTCGTTGAGAATTGTAAAATTATTATAAGGCATATTCCTGACAAAGATTGGAATAATGGAAAAAATTACCTGTGCACGTCGTATTGACGGTATTTTTTCCGTTCAGATTCCCTTCGGCTTCCATGCACACCGTTTTGTCCGACAAGAGAGTTTCCCAGTTTGGCAAGTTTTTTGAGGTAGCAAAATGTCTGATTGCCACTGTACGTAAAATATAAAATCTCCATATTCACATTCAGTACTCGTACTGCTTTTGCGCTGGATTTCTGCGTGTAGAGTTTCAAAAGTATTTATTAGGCTATTATTAACATTTTCTAAATTTTCTTTGTTAAGTTTTATGTATTTTCACTTAACGTAAGCCTTTATGGATAAACTGCGTACGTATAATGGCATTACCTGGACGATACGGAGGAAGCTCATACTTGCTGTCGGGAGGGCATTGTAACGCAAAACAAGTATGGTTGCCCGCAAGTTCGTGTGGTTTGTCGCAGTACCAGCTGGTGTTCGCGTTGATTGGTCCAGGATTATTTGTATCGAATGATGAGACTTCGTTCATGCTGAAAACATTAGCGATCTCACATCTTATCTCCATTTGTAGAATAATTCTGTTTCGTACTCTATCCAAATGGCATCAAATTTAATCCCCAGAGTGTTGTAAGTGTAATCAATCATTTCAGTCCACCATTGATCTGTGCTATTTCGCATGAAATCAGGAAAAGCTGATCTTCCATCCGGCCACACCTGCAAAAAAAGCTTTAAACACGACGCACAGAGACTATTATTGTATTTTGACCCGTCATACCTTGCCAAAAATTGTTCGGTTTACATTAGTCGTCTCTGGATTTGCACTTAGGAAGGTTTCGTTGAAGTTTAGTGGCCATTTAAGGAATACATCCAGTTCTTTTGCTCTTTCGTACGCCAGATACGGTGGGTCGTTAGGATGCTTAACGGCGGCATCAGCATGAATTGCCGGATCCTGAAATAATCCGCAGTTTCGTTGAATGTTATTAGTCGATTGCATAGTGCGTCAAGATATCGAACTATCCTTTCAGGGCGAGGAAGCAAACCGTTGTCCGGATCGAGTCATAGGTACAAATACTTATATCGGCTCCAAGAGCCTGACCTTTAAAAGGTAGTGCGTCCGTTCAATAATACACCACGTGGAACTCACCAGAATGATAACATATCGCATTCCTTTGCTGTGCAGTTCCTCTGAATAGGCCGGAAGTCCGGAGTATGCGTCGTTATCGTATGTAAAATCCTGTCGATGTCTCATGTAGTCGATGTCGCCGTATACAGCGTCCAATGGAATGGAAGCTTCGACATTTCTGTCAACTACTTCACGCACTTCCGCTAAATTTTTGAAGCCCCATCTACTAATTTGGAAACCCAAGGCCCAATAAGGCGGCATAAACGACCTTCCAACCAGCTGGAAGGAATTATGGATTAAGCGTTAGCCACGACTTTAAATCAAGTTATACAGCTGCAGCGAATTCCATGGTATACCTCTGTATACTGTTGCACCACATTTTCGGGTGTTGGTCCCATAAATATATAGAAATCAAAAATACCACCAATCGAGCGAAGAGTTAAAGCTGGGGCGGGCTGGAAGCGGTACTCTGCAAATTGTCAAACAGTGACCTTTCAAAACACACGCATTCGGTTTTTAATTCCTCCGATTCCAGTACTCATACATTATACTGCAAAATTTACCAAACCTGTTATTTAGTTCTCTGTAAAATAAAGCTGGTGCACATCTCTCTTGTTTCTGAACTCACTAACAAACATGGATTTTATGCGTACAGCGTACCCATTGCATTACTGTTCATCAGCAGAACACCGTGAGCATTTCCGTCCGGCTCGAAGCATATCTGCAAACCGAGAAAAACATAAATTTGCAAATATAATATAGAATCTGGTTTATTAATTGCAAGAATTGGTACAGATTGAAAGGCAAGGTCTTACATAGAATGGATGCACACCGTACAAGTTGGCGACGCTGTCGGCGTTGGTCGGAGGTTCGTCACGAGAAAACATCGGCCATGTTTTCCAATCCATTTGATGTTTCAAAGTCGGATGCCGGTTGTCACCTAGTGTAATCTCCATTAGGTATATGTTACAAAAGGGAAAGCATGAAATATGGCATGAAAAATGTACTTTGGAAATGTGGCATGAAATATGTACTTTCTACGACGGGTTGAGAATGCACAAAAGTTTGTGTAAAATTGTTTACCGAATCCGTATACATCTTCAGTTGGAAGTTTGGTAACAATCTGCAGAAACTGATCCTCCAAAACCAAACCTCCCAAACCAAGATCCATACTGTTAAAGACGTTTTAGGTAATTTTAACCGCGATAGCATGAGTTTTATTCAGTAACATATTTCACGCACATGACTGCTCCAGAGCTTCGCCGAACAATTTGAAATCCGGACATTTGGTTTCCATTGATGCGAATATCGTAATCCGTATTAGAGGCACTGACGCTGGAATCCTCTTTCGGTAAGTTAACCGGAATGGGTACTTCGTATCGTTCCTCAGCAGCATCAAAAAGCTGCAATTGAAAAGTTTTGCGTGCAACCAAGCTATTTTTTCTTTTGTTTTGAATGTGTTTTATACTTTAAAGCGGAGAAGTTTGCGCGACGGCCGTTGAATGGTCATCCGCGGGTCGGTAAACTTTCGCGAATAGTGCTGACTGCTGTGTTTTGCGTTCAAGCGGTAGTGTTCCGCTGCAACCGCCCGCTGAGCGGGTAACCGTTGCACCGTGTAATCCACCGATGCGGGGTTTAGAAAACACTGTAAGCTAGTGGAATTTCCTTCGTATTGACAGTTAGGATTCTCCTTGCATTCTGCTTCCGAAGTGATGTTGCGATCGGGCCAGCATTCCACGCGGCGTTCAAGGGCGACAGGGGGTGGCGGTGTTGTGGGCCCTGCTGTGGGCGGAGTTACCTGGGGCGTTGTGGGGCCGGGAATGGGCGGAGTTGCCTCTTTCCCAAGAGGGGGATCAAATACTCCGGTTAGACCTAGAGTCAGCAGCACGACCAAGAGTACAAAGGCTATTATGGTGGCGCCGATGAGCATATGCTTATGCTTAGCGCAGAATCCTTTAGCGCTCCTTCGCTGGGTGACCTCATGAACAGTGGTGGTTGTGGATGTCGGCGTGGCTACCGTTCGTGTGCGGCTGGACATTTCGATTTCCTCCTCGTCAGAATCATGGGATGACCTCCGTCGCGCCATGTTTAACGCTGTCTGCCTTTTATAATTTGCAAGCAGTTTTACTTTATGCTTCACAGAATTTGAAAAAAGAACAGATATGCACGAAACTGCCTAAAATATTATGATAGCTGAGTGTAGTATGCTACCATACAAATCTTGACCAACAACGGCAATTTTGCCGAGTTCATTGCGTTAAGGAACACATACTACAAAATGCTTAATAATTACGGAATTGACGAAAATATGATGAGACGCTTCTTCACTTTCTATATTTTCTTATCAGGTTTTACAAACCTTCCATAGTGTTATCACTGTATTATGCTTTTCGGCATTGTCGTTTTCATTGATGCAATGTTGAGAAATTTGATTATGATTACCGAAGATTAATTTACTCTCAGCGATAAACATATTTCTTATCAGTATACTTAATATAGGATCATTTTATATCTGCTGAGACAGTGAGAACAATTGCACTTACATATGCAAGATGTCCTTTGCTAGCGCTGTGGGAAACTGCAAAATTAGAGCGCGATTTAGCAACAGGTTCGCTTTTGAAGGTGTTGGTTTGCGTGAATCTGAATTGTAATTCATATAAAAAGTTCACATCTCTGTGATTCAAAATTTCAAATAACTTATACCGTTGCATTGCAATCACAACGAAAACACAACAGCAAAATAATTGTAATGAAATACATCGCGGGTGATGGAGTTTTATTTCGTTTTGGACAAAATGAGTCGGTGTTCCTAATTATCAAAATCAAGAGATCAGAAAACATATTAACGGGTTTTGAGTTTGGTCAGCAAAATATGCAATCGTAACACAGATTCAATTATTCATCTAGATGACCTTTCGAACAGAGCTTTGATTTATAGTTTTAAATACACTTGTGTGATCGTTATCTCTTGTAAGTGTCCTTCCTTCGATCACACGTAAGACATCACAGGGGCATGACCAGAGGATTTTCTGCGTAATTGGACGCGAAAAGATGACATTATTTGAAGTGCCGGTTGCAGTGAGACAGACAAATACTATAAAATGCAACCGATAAAGAAGTCCAATGTTGTAACACGAACAGAACTGGTGAGATTTACCTTGTAACTGTCATTTGATTTCACGTTATTACTATAGTCCTGTCCGTTGACAGTAACATCAAAGACATCGTCCGGGTTTGGAGTATCGCTGCTGTAGATAAGCAGCTCATGCAGCAGTGGAACATCGCTCACAGGCATATTGGCAATTTTGGTATTCCACTCAAGAATTTTCTGGAAACATTATTTTCTGCGTTTTTTCATTGTACATTACATATCATCATTAACCGGCAAAAAATAATTGTCATACCGCCACATTGTCATAGCTAAATTCGGCATGGTAATATTTCTGGTTTTCGTAGGTATCTGCAACAATTGCAAATGACAACAATAAAACCACATTTCACGAAGTTTGTGGAAATATGGGTGCTGTACATGAAATTCTTTTTTCCTTTTTACCTTACCAATACTAACTCCGTCATCCCAAAATAACTCCCCAGACGACTTCTCCTCTGTACTCGTTGCGGTTATCAACAACCGCAAGGGATTTTTCCGACTGAAAACAAATTATTAATAAAAAAATGACACTAGTATGCTCAGCTAACATTAACACCTAGCTTCCGTTGTGGTTCCTGGGTCCATTATAGGAATTATGCGTCCACCGCGCAGGTGCAGCGGTACAACTGGTCCCCAGCAATGTGCTGTTTCAGAAAAACACGATGACTCAATGCTGAAAGCTACTTCTGTCGAGTTAATCAAACTGCCGTCGTAGTAATCATAGAATTCGGACGACGGTATGTACACAGATCGTGCAGTCACATTTTCCACGATGGGGCTAATCATTAGCGCATCTCCCCAAAAAAACTGCGTGTCAGTTTCCAAAGACTTGGAATCACTGGGGTACCTAGTAGAAAACTTGAGTTCACATTTTATTCATTATTATGAATCTTGTATCATTTCTGTACCTTTTCAAACGCTGAAAGGTCATGTACTGCCATTTTTGCGTGACTCAGTACTTACAAGTGATGAAGCGGTCGGGATACAGTATCTCCATAAACATGTGCCCGGTAGAAAAGCGTGTACAGATATGGCAGCAGGCGGTATCGTTCGGTCAGCGCCAAGCGGGCGAATCTCGCAACAACCGGATCCTTTCCGGGATCTTGCTCATTACCGCCCAGTACATTGTGATTTCGCGAAAAAGGATAAAAGGCACCGGCTGCCGACCACAGCGAGCACAGTCTACGGGTCGTGTTACCGTTAAATCCACAAATATCAGCTCCAACCTGAATAAGGAAAAGGCCAATCAGCAGTGGAGTGGACCAACCATCAGCATACGGTGCGTGCATCTCCACCCACATATGCATAGCCAAATAAGCTGAATTCCAGTAAGCCGGTGATGGAGTGTCGCAGGTCAGTAAAATTGGATGCGTTATCACCCAACCAATGGCCGACATATCGTTGACCAGTTGGGAATGTTGAGCGCGACAAGACAAACGTACGCGATCCTCGTATTTTTTGGGCTGCTCTGCATTACAAACAGGTTCATGACGCGGTAAGTTCACACGGAAAGAATAGAGTTCACACGGTAATTCCGTTGAGCCATAGCCGGAAATTCGGCCCGAGGAATCTTACTCATAGGTGACCTTTCCTTCACTCCATCCATACAGACTGTGGACATCGTACTGTTTATATGTAACGCCATCCATATCCTGTTCGGCCACCATGCAAAGCGTTGTGTCGGAGAGCCTTACTGATGAACCATAAATCCTAGCGGCAGCTGGAAAAGAGCGGTACTAACTCTAGGATGGAAAGTTTTGTTCCAAAACGCAAACATTCACACTATGTTCGCACCTGGCTTGTAGGGAGGATCATCCCACATATTTTCGGGACACTGGAGTGTCGTACAAGAATGGTTTTCGTTTTTCGGTATTTGGTAGCAAGGCGGATGCATCCGTTTGTTAGTATCCCACGATGAAACCTCATTCATGCTAAATCATACACAAACGTGTCACCAGTCAGTTATTAACTTTTAAATATTAAACAAACATTCATAGATATTTATTTGCTTACTCGATCCATAGGGAATCAAATCGTATTCCCAAATCATTGTATGTGTAATTTATCCACCGTGTCCACCAAGACTTTGTAGACGATTTAAAAAAGTCCGGAAATCCCACTCTCCCGTCGGGCCACACCTTTTTGTCAAAGTCAAAATACTACATCTTTGAGAGGAAGGTATTCATATTTCACTTTCATCACGTTTAATTTTCTCACTTTTCCCAGCATGGCTCTATTTGGTCCACTATTTTCTGGGTCAATAACCGAAAAGTTCACTGGCCATTTTATGTACACGTCATCTACAACAGCTTCCTCGTGTGGCATATATTTTGGTTCCGTTGGATGAAATCGATCAGCGTCGACGTGAATCCCCGGATCCTAATTGAAATAAAAAAACCTTGCGGGCAGTTTTACATCACAGTATACCATTTTGTGGAATGTAATAATAATCTTTTAATGGTTTCGCGTAAAGCCGCCCAAACTACATGTATCATGTTATTTCTTACCAGTATTATTACGGATTTCATATTTTTTTGGTGAAGCTCGGTAATATACTCAGTCAGTCCCGAAAACTTGTTTTGGTCAACGGTAAAATCTTGGCGATGGCGCATGTAGTCGATATCACCGTATATGACATCCTAGAAACATCTTTCTGAATATCTGAATAAACGCAAAAAAACGTTGATTGCAAATAAATGTCCGAATCCTGTATCTCACCAACGGCACACCCTGCTCAACATTTCTTTTTACGGTGTTTTCGACAACAGTCAGATCTTCGAAACCCCATCTGGACAAATAATAAGTAGTGTAGAAAACCATTCGTAAATGATGTGTTCGTTTGTTAATAAAAATGGAATAAGCTTTCGTTGCGCGGAGGGTCAGAACACCTTACCGGCTTAATTGAAAACCTAACGCCCAGTACGGTGGGATAAATGTGCGCCCGGTAAGCTGGATAACACAACCGTAATCATTAAAGTATAAATGCAAAACACCAGTTACATGTCTTACCTGAGTGTATTGTTGTACGACATTTTCCGGAGTCGGCCCCAAGAAAATATAAAAATCCAAAACACCACCGATTGATCGTAAAGTTAATGCGGGTGCCGGTAGAAGTTTGTACTCTGGGTAATTAAGTAAAAATAGTTAGCCTTTATACTATTTGACACTAAAAAAGGCAGTACACCACCAGCCTTACCCATTGCGTTGCTGTTCAGGAGAAAGACACCATGGGCGTTTCCATCAGCTTCTACGCACATGTAGAAAGGATGCACGCCGTAAAGGTTACGCTGAGCTTTGGGATATATGGGTTGCTCATCACGAGAAAACATTGCCCATGTTTTCCAATCAAATTTGTGCTTGAACGAATCATGCAGGTTTTCTCCTGTAATGAAATTTGCAAAAGATACTTTAATAAAATTTAATTGCCACTATAGCGTTTTTCCACTAAATATTCTGGTTTACCTCGCGTAAAGGCACGGAAAATTTGCGAGGTAACGACGTTAACAAATACAGTACTTTTTATATTTTGTACAATACACTCACCGAAACCGTAGCAGTTGTTTGAAGGAAGTTTTGTTGTGAACTGCAGGAACTGCTGTTCGAGAAAAAGCCCGCCCAGGCCAAAATCCCAACTAACAAGTGCAGTACTCTTACATACATGGCGCCATGGGCAAATACGAAAAAAATATGTCAAGGATAATTCGCAAAAATATAAGTACATTTTGGTTTCTGAATGGCGGCGGGCTATGAATAACTGGTCGATAGCAGTTTCCCCTTTCGGAATATTCACATCATACAGGAACGAATCATCGTATGGGATTTGTTGTAATTCAACAGGTACCTCGTAACGCGACATTGCGGCGTCATCAAACTGCGTAAGGATTAAAGTAATGCCATAATATTGCTTAATACTACCACAACTTTGATGGTGAAATACTTCTGTAATAGCCTAATTTTGTACCTTCATATGCAACGTGGTCCCGCTCATCCTTTCTACCACCAGTCGCGGCTGTACGAACTTGGTCGAGTATAATTTTTTATCATGGATGGCCGCTAGATGATACACATCCTTGTTCGACTGATCACTTGGAATTTTTGTTATTACTCGGTATCCAAATTTCCCGGGGTCAAGGTAGCATTGTGGTGCGTCTTCGTAAACCACATTCTCGTCATAAATGCAACTGGAATGGTGCGTTTTGCAAACACCTTCAGTGGAATTGGGATTATGTGGAATGCAGTCAATTCGGAAGGGCGGAGCAATGCTATTGTCCGGTTCAGTGTGTGACCGTTCTCCAGTACTTGTCACCTCAGTTTTCCCACGAATAACAACCAAGTTAAAACACACCCATATCGGCAAAACACTGCATATAATTTTGAGCGCCATCTTGACTAATTGATGTGCGATGTATGCGCGATTTCCCCAGTTTATGCGGTCATTAATATTATCCGCCAAAACAGAATAATATGGTATGCCAACACGGCGTATCTGTATGTATCCAATTACATCGTATGTGTTTACAAATAAACGAAGCCAAGTTAACCAAGTTAGCTTAAAGTTAGCTAAGGTAGCAAATCCAAGTTAACTGTTGCTTCAAAAATTAATCAAAAGAGAGTCCGTTTGTACTGTCGATACTTCCGACTGATATGCTACTTAAGAGATATAATCAGCACTTCCATAATATACGTAGTACGTAATTATTCCGAAATTTTCAAAATGTCAGTGCAACAAAACAGTGCAGTTGTGTTAATATGGTGCGCTAGAAAATAACAACTGCCGTGAGCGCGTTCTGTACTCCTAAACTTGCAAAAATACAACACGGATAAATACCATATAAGTATAATGATTATGATATCATAATCATAAAACTGTTGCATTCAAGTCGTGGATTTCAGTTTAAATAAAGTACAAGAAAAATGGTTCTAATTAAGACTGGCGCAACTATTGTTAGTCTTTGAACACTTCGCAAGAACATAGCAAAATGGAAATCAGTTTTAACGCTGGGATACTAAGTTTACAAACCAACCAGCATAGTCATCATACTGTCTCCAACAAAAACACTTTTGTCATGAGACATAAACCACGTGCAGTTACTTGCTTACTGGGTTTGCTCATTTTGGCGCAAATACCCTACAGCAGTTACCGCTGTGATACCGTAAGTTCGTAACCAAGGTGGACCGTAACTTATGAAAATATTGCAGAACGAGTATGTTAAAATTCACAACAATCTCGGATCGTGGATGCCGGTAAAAACTGCTATTGAATGTTTGTCGGAGATGCTAGGAAATTCGAACAGATGTTTGTGCTGCACAAATTTAGCATTACAACAACAACAAGTGGGTTGCAATAGTGGTATCTTTTCTAAGCGTCAACAACACCTCATATTATGCAGTGTATCATAAAAAATTATTATTTTACCGTATACGAAGTATAGCATAGAAAACCTTACAGCCAATGACGAGTATCGGTAGTCTGTCATTTATGCGGTTTTTTGCTGTGTGCCAGAATTTTAAATTATGAAACTTATCATATATTATTTCATCATAAAAATTATTAATTCTTGAAACCTGCCAAAATTAAATGGCATGTTGAAGTCGAGGCATCGATAATCCCAGTATAGTAACCAAGTGTACATTTCTTTTCCTTTTTATCGCTTTCGTAAACCAGAACGCAACAAAAAGTATAAAGGGAAAAGAACGGTTACGAACAATTAACTAAAGCCGAATACAAAAATGATAGAACTCTGTATATACAGGTACACAACAATTTTTACTGTGACTGGCAACATTTCACCATTATCCGTAGTTGCAGTTGCACCACAAATTCAAATAAAATGCATTTTACAAATCACAAATTAATCACATCACGTCACTTTGCTTCCTTCTTGCGACGGTATTTTCCGATGATGACACGATGAGTCTTAACTGTCTGCGCTGTGGTGATAATTATGCCGTAGACCTGAATTTCAAGGTTAAAGTTGTTTACCAATAGATACAAGTGCGTAGAGCTTGTTTAGTTTAAGCCAAGACTTGTATTTATACGAGCACATCACTCTCAGTCGAATTTTCAGCTCAAAGGACTAACTAAATGTGCTGTTAGTACGTATAAGGGGTGAATTTAAATAATCATTATGTTTATCTATTTATTTGGTTAACTTTATCTGCCAAGTAAGTTGGCTACAAACGCCTGCAGTATTGCGTGATTAGAGGAGCCATTTATTTAAAAGAAGCGCAGTCGCAAACGCACCTTTCCCGCAGCTCCAGTTGAAACGATGACGTTATGGATTGTCCGGAAGCCGAAGGCAGAGAAACAGATAAACGCTACAAAATCACGTTAAAGTTGTATATCCAAAATCTAACGTGAACAATTGGTGATTCTACGGTACACTTGGTATTATTATCGCCGATTTACCTGGAAGCTCATAGCCACGGCTGCGTTATTTTGGAGCTGTCCATTAATAAAAATGTCAAAATTCACACCGGGTTGCGGTTGTGAATAAATAAGTAACTCTTGCAAAATCGGAACGGTATCGATGGTATTCTTGACCACTGTCCAATCCAGCGTTTTCTGTAACAGTATCACATAGTAACGAGAGATATTGCGGTACGAAGAACAATAAAAGAGTGCGGAAGCCAACTTACGGTCACACTGTCATAAGTAAACTGTGCGTGATAATAGTTGCCGTTTTCGAAGGTGTCTAAAACGTAAACCATCGCATTACGCTAAGAAAAAAACTCCTGATGGTTATAGGCCAAAATACACCAACCGATGCTTTTGCCATCGTCCCAAAAGAGTTCTCCGGACGACTTGACTGATGTACTGGACGTGGCAATTAGCAGTCGCAAAGGATTCTTTCGACTACATGCGCATTGTCATATTCAGTACAAAATTTACATAAACTTCTAATGTGAACAAATGTTTTTTACCTTTCTTCCGTTGTTGTCGAAGGGTCCATTACCGGCACTATGTGACCAGCGCGCAAGTGGAGAGCAATAACAGCGCCAGGGCATTCAGGCGACGTGCTGAAACAAGCGGGATCAATGGCAAAATTTACTTGCCGTGAACCGATCCTGGTGCCGTCGTAATAATTGTAAAACTCCGAAGGCGGCATATACACGGAGCGTGAAGAAGCATCGTCGAGAATAGGACTTATCATCAGCGCATCACCCCAGAAAACTGCGTATCGGTTTCCAGTGAAGTGGCATCCGTAGGTAACTATAAGTTTGAGAAACAAACATAAAATTTGAAAAAGTAGCACACGGTGAGAATAATTGCTTACATATGATGAAGTGGTCTCGACACGGTATCTCCGTAAACATGCGCTTTATAGAAAAGCGTATACAGATACGGGAGCAATCGGTATCGCTCGGTGAGAGCCACTCGTGCAAATTTCGCTACCACCGGGTCATTTCCAGGATCCTGTTCCTTGGCACCCAGAGCATTATGATTTCTCGAAAAGGGATAGAAAGCACCCGCAGCTGACCAGAGTGAACACAGTGACGTTGTGGTATTGTCAAAAATCCACAAATATCAGATCCAACCTACAAATACCCAAAGGGAATATTAATAAAAAGGATTGTTGCAATAAGTTGTTGTAGTATTCCCGTACATAAGCATATCCGAACAAACTGTATTCCAGTAGACCAATAATCGAATGTTTCAAATCGTTGAAATTAGCAGCGTTGTCACCAAGCCAGTGTCCAACGTATTGTTGGCCGGTCGGATATGTTGAGCGTGAAAAGACAAACGAACGTTCACCACGAATGCTCTGAGCCGCTCTACAAAGTAAAGGCCATGAATTACGAGAACGTTTAAGATTTATTTTAAAACGTTCAAACAGATATGTGACAGCCACGTATAGCAAAAAAGCATGAACATGTATACAAAATATTGGAGAACCTACTCGTAGGTGACCTTTGCTTGACTCCATCCATAAAGACTGTGAACATTATACTGTTGATAAAGGACTCCGTTTAGTTCCTGCTCGGCTGTCATGCACAGTGTTTTGTCCGACAATTTTGTGGTTGATCCATAAATGGTTATGGCAGCTGTAAATAAAAAACAAGTAGTGAGCATTCCGCTGCTGTTGTTATTCATATACTAGTTAGGCACCTGGTTTAAAAATGGGAGACTCCAAAGAACCACCGGGACACTGCAGCGATTGGCACTCATGATTTCCTTGCAAACCCGTATGACATGGTGGTGATACAATCTTGTTGGTGTCCCAAGAAGAAACTTCGTTCATGCTGCGTTGTAAAAAACAATTTCAAAGAGCGCTTTTACGCTTATATGACAAGGTGGCTTACTCAATCCAGAGAGCATCAAATTTTATGCCCAAATCGTGGTACGTGTAATTAATCCAGCGTGTCCACCACGCCTTGGTTGACTCTTTGAAAAAATCCGGAAAAGCCACACGTCCATCCGGCCAAACCTGCGCATACAGTCCTTAAAACTCTTTTTGTACGCCGTGTAAAAATTCAAAGTTTACGTACTTTACCCAGCATGATCTTATTAGATCCGTTAAAATTGGCATTAACGTTGTTAGAGGTATTGGGCCACTTGATGTACACATCATCCCTAACAGCTTCGATATGTGGTTCATATACCGGATCATTGGGATGTAGTCTTCCTGCGTCAACGTGAATTGCGGGATCCTGCACAGTAAGCGATATTTCATTTTCTGCACTCGGCCAGATCGAAACTATTGCATTCTTTTCTTAATCAAAAAGAGGCCGTGGAATTTGGTTGCGTTGATAAGTACCAGAATAATGACATATTTCATGCCCTGATTATGAAGCTGATTGATGTATTCAGGAAGGCCTCCATATAAATCTTGGTCCAACGTAAAATCCTGACGGTGACGCATGTAATCGATATCCCCATACACAGCATCCTAAAAGGCATTGTAGTAGTAAAATATAAAAGAGTGGGAACGTGCGGGCGAATGCAGGAATATTAGTATTCTTACCAGTGGTATATTTTTATCTACATTTCGTTGTACCACATTCTTTACAACATCCAGACTTTCGAATCCCCATCTAAAGAAAACGAAACAATTTTACTTCTCCAAGCGGCAACGGAAGCGGCTTTTTCCATACCGGCTAATCTGAAATCCCAGCGCCCAGTACGGAGGGATGAATGTGCGGCCAGTTAGCTAAAGACAAACATCAGCTGCAGTTATGAAACACAATATCATAAGCAGGACACTATTAAATGTACCAGACTTGGCTGCAAAGTGCACCGTTTCAAAATATGCATTATAACGGGATGAACAAACAAGAGCAATACTATTCTACTGATGGTGAGGCTCGCATGCGGCATCATAGTCTACCTGCGTGTACTGCTGTATGACATTTTCTGGAGTGGGACCCATGAAAATATAGAAATCCAGTATACCTCCGAATGAGCGTAGAGTTAAAGCTGGTGCAGGCTGGAATTTGTATTCTATGGATGATAAATGAACATACATACTGTCATATAGTTATACGAACACCCTGACTAACTTTAATAAACTGTCTCTTTTTAAGTTCTCTACTCGTAAGTACTGAAAAATGTTACTATGAGTACCATAGTAACCATACAGCTTACATTGTTGAAAACCTCTACAGATTACCTACAGACGGAAATCGTGCTAATCTGATGGTAGTAATTTTTACCCATTGCGTTGCTGTTGAGAAGTAGGACTCCATGAGCGTTGCCGTCGGCCTCAATGCACATATAAAATGGGTGAACGCCATACAGGTTATGCTGGGCATTCGGGTCGGTCGGTGCCTGATCGCGTGAAAACATAGGCCATAATTTCCAGTCGAATTTATGCTTGAACGAATGATGCCGGTTGTCACCTAATACGAAAACCATGTTGCAAGGCAAATTTGAAACCAGAAGGCGAAAAGCACTGACTGTACTACAACACTGACCAAATCCATAGCAGTTTTCCGAAGGAAGCTTAGTGGTAAATTGTAGGAACTGGTGCTCAAGCATCAGTCCCCCGAGACTAAGATCCCAACTGTGGAAGAAATTTCAATATTATTTTTCCTGCAATATCTGGTAACGTTCGCAAACAGAAATGCCGAAGACAAACATTTTGACTCCGGTGCTGCGTCGCTGCACAGTTATTCCTGTGGTAGTAGCCGGAACCGTTACGTCATGAAGCCAGTATCGGTCATATGGAATCGGTTTGAGTGGCACAGGCACTTCATAGCGTTGCTCCGCAGCGTTATCAAACTGCGGCACAAATCATGTACGTGATCGTCACATTCATAACCTAAACCTAATTCAACGTAACTAACTTTGACTCGTAAAATTTTCCCGCTCTTTCTTTCCACAGTCAGTCTTGGCTGGGCAAACTGGAGACCGAATTTTCTTGGGTGAATGGCGGTAAGACTGTAGATATCAATATTCGGCAAGCCGCTTGAAAGCTTTTCTGTACGGAATCCTCCTCTGGCCGGATCAAAATAACATTTGGGTATGCGGACATCTGTGTGGTTTTCATATTGACAAAAGGCATTCCATCCCGATGCAGCGCAATTATTTGGCCTTACAACGGCGTTGTTCATATTCGGAGCGCAGTCAATTCGGTGATCCGGCTCAACAATACTCGGCGGTGGCAGTGGCGTGGTCGGTGGTATGGGTGTGGTCCGTTCGGGTCGGTATACTATGGTCGTCGGCGGCGGTGGTGTGGTCACTTCACTGCTGCCCAGATTTCCCGTTAATCCCAAGCACAGTAAAATCACCGCGACGACAAACACCCCCAACACCAATCCCCAAATCCATTTCTGATGGCGGATCAGAAAATTATTATTGCGCTGATAGTATTCCACCGAGGATTCCGACATCCGCTGCACTTTAACGGGCTGATTTGCCGGCGCCATTTTCGGTTGTGGTTTATTAATGCTGGAGTTGTCAAGTAACGCTACCGTTTCCGGAGCAGTTAAGGTTTCGCCAACTGATGACGAGCGCTGCAGCGTGCGCTTTCGTAACATTTTCAGGACCATGGTAGTCCTTATCGGTTTTGTTTATCACAGCGTTTCACAATATGGAACCGCCCAATTGGCGATAAGTGTTTGTTCTTTCCCGGTCATATTTGTGACACTCGCTTATCGTGTAACACAAATATTCTCTATGGAAAGAATTGGAAAAATCAGTTTCCGATAGGCCAGCGAAATAATAATCAGAAGTATTGGCCAATTTTTGTGTATAAACGGTTATAAAACGATAGCCCGAGCGTATTTAAATTTAATACGATAACGTATGCGAAGTGCTACAACTCCTTGGGGCGGTGGTTAAGTAGATATCGACCTACCGGATGAACAACATTCGAACGCTACGATACCGACGCAGCATCTAAATGTTGAGTATGGAAGAAGCAAATGCGGAAGGAACAAAATAATGCGGCATTTTCTACCGAAGATTTTGCGAAATTGTAGTAAGTACACAATACTGTAAGTACTGGAAACACTTAACCGCTGCAGCCGCCAGAAAGAAGCAGAAAGTGGCAAAAACTACTAGCTTACAAATAACGATATGTCGGAATTAAATCGCAAATGTTACAAGCGTCGCTTCGCTTTAGATATGAAATGCAAATTTAACGGCATAAGATTTGTTTTTGGATGTCCGCGCGCTATGCATTCGATAAGTGCTGCACATGCATCCATGCAAGCGTAGTTCAGGAGACTCTGATCCAAGCGATCGGGTAAGTAGAAGCTGCGCTAAGCCTTATGTAAGCAGCAGCACATTGACACAATTGTTGGAGGTTACGGCGGTTATGCAACTTTCTGCTTTATTATAAAATCGTTAGCCGCAGCTAGAATGTGGTGCCATGTCGTAACACCCTCATACAGTTTTTGGAATAGCTGACAAACGACAGTCTAAATATCTTTAAAATTCCTGCAATGTGGCGGAGTGAAATTATTATATAGTTTTGGTCCAGGAGCAGATTGTCCTAATTCAGTTTATGTCTAAAAACAGCAAACGCAACTTGTTAGCTGACAGTCGCATTTCAGTAACTGAAGCATACACTAAGTTTACTAGTTAAGTATACGAGGTAATATACCAAAAAGGCGGTCAATGTCCATTTGGTGTAGTCTGTTATATTTGTACATATTTCAATCATTCAACGATATGTAACTGCACTTACATAATCTCCAACTTGAAATTCCGATTTAAAGGAAGATTCATCTTAATCATCATAATCTATAACGGAAAGCATTATACAAAGTTTATATATTCTAGTCCAACTTCCTCCGCTTCTACTCTGTGAACAAACAACAAATATTACAAGCAATGTCCTAAGGAAATACATACATTTGTTTTTGCATCGCAGTCCACAGTATTGGCGGTTTTCTCCGTTATTATTGTTCCGTCCAGTCTTAGAATAACACCATCCAGCGAACCACATCCTTCGTATCCGTAAACAGTAATAAAACCAAAGTGTAGATCTTCCGTATGGCCCAGTTCATTACGTTCAATATCGTAATCCAACAACGCCCGGCTGTGCTATAAACAAAAATTTGCAAGGAAATTATCCACGTTCACGATCGATGGATACCTGCTGGCTGTCCAAACAACTCGAAAAACAAAAAGGGCAATAACACGTTCGGGTCAGTTAAAAATGTGCATGTTGCCCATCAAAACAGTCTGTAATTTGTATTTCGTAAAGAGAGGTCCGTAGCGAAATTTTTGGGCTTAATTACGGAGTTACTGTAATTTAATGACAACTTACATTGCCTTCTTTCCAACGATTATAGATGAACCATGACATGTAATCGTGCTTTTCGATGGTGTCTGTAAAACACTAATAACTCTTAAAAACTCGGAAGCAAAATTTCCCATGCATATGTAGTTCGATGGTGCCGAATCTTGGCATAGGTCACCTGTGGTTTCCCCATCGTCCATCCAAAAGTTACCGTTGGCCGAAACTGACCCATCAGTATGGATATGAGAAGCGACCATGAGACCATATGGCTGCCGTCTCCTAAAACATTTTTTGCACTTAAAAATTTACCAAAAACATTAAACTGTATGAGCAAGTATTTGCTAAAATTAATGTGCAAGAATGCGAAGTCGTAATAGTAGCAAACTTTTATAAAATTAGAGCCTTAAGAGCAACTTTGACCTTTAAAATTTTAATTTAGTTGAATTCACCCAACAAGAAAAAGGTGTTACAACACGAACTCACCGTTCCTTTGTGTTTTTTGCATCATTCGGCGGTTGGGTCGGAATAATGTAGCCAGCTCGCAGATAAACACCGATCTCATCAATTGGAATGTCCAAATCTTGCCGGCTTCCATTCCCAACAATTTTCTATCAAAAACAATCCTTTCGTTTCGAAGATCACGGATTTCGGCTCATTTACTTGCGGGGTACCGGCGACCGCAAGGTTCAATGCGCAGATCGGGTAATTCAAATAAGTATCATATAAGGGAACAAAATCCAAAACAAGGTATTCGATGCCCCAAAAATTTAGGGATTTTGTTACTAATATTATTATATAGTCTACTTACTTTGCCAGACTTCATGCAGTAGAACGTATCGTAAGGAATATAAGCGTTGCGCTTCGGACTATCATCCAATCGCGGCACAAACATAACCGCGGATCCCCAGAAGAACTGATCATCCACATCCATCATGCCCAGATCGTGATTCTTCCAGTTATACTCATAGATCAAATGCCGCATAATGGCTTCACCTTCCATCCAACCGTGGAAGAACAGCGTATATAAATAAGGCAACAGCGTATAGCGCACTTGAAGGGCTTTCTTGGTGGCGCTGATCACCGACGAATACGGCTCTTTTCCATCTTTTAAGCACTTGAAGGCCACACTTTTGGGCAGAACGTGGAAGAGAGAGAACACTTGCCAGCGCCGACAAAGGGACTCATCGCTGGGAGCACTTTCCACATTTGCTCCGGCCTGAGCATCACCAATTTAAAAAAGTGGTCAATTCACAAAAAGAAGTAACTAAGGTCATTGTTATGAGTAGGACTCACGACTGTGATGCCAAACATGTTGAAATTAAATGCAGCTGTTATGGAGTTGCGGACGACTTTAGCAAATGAACCCTCCAACGTGGATGTCATAAAAATGGCCGAAACCGTCCCACTTGTTGGGAAGTTGGAAGTAGTGAAGACAATGCTTCTTCTTTTGGTCAGTCTTTCAGCGACACTTAAGTACATAACAAAAATATTATTTGGTTTTTATTATTTCGTTGTTGCTTTCAAAGAGTGCGTTCAAATTTCCAGTAGAGATATAACAGTTTTGTAACCGAAAATTTTTAAATGAAGATGCAATAGGTCACCAAACAATTCGATAAACCGATTCGAATGGTAATGTTCTGTCAAGGGTCTCGGGTGTACTATGTGCATTTCCGTTCCAGATTCACTACTTGTATCGTAAAATGTGCAGCTTACGCTTTGGTGATGATGGCTTGCGTTAGGCCGTAAAGGTTGTGGACATCGTAGTGCGACACAGATGAATTGTTCAGGTTGTGCACGGTTCCCATACAGAGTGTTCCATCCGATAACAAGCCGCTAGAATTTCCAGCTCCACCAGTTAACTGCACTGCGAATAGGAAAACCAATTTTTCAACGGAAGAGTAAATAAAAGATAATAAAAATTGCATCATGACTTCGATAAAAAATCAAAGCCCAGTAGCCCACATAAATAAACACCTTCAAAATTAACTGCGGCTTTGAAGCACAGTTTCTTTAGCTGAGCGAACATTCACCTGCGGCTGGCTTTACATCCGGAAGCTCCAACCGGCAGGTTCGGGAGCACATATTCGGGCCATGGGAGTACGGCTGGTTGTCTCCTAATCTGAATCCATCCCAGGGAACACTCCTATGCAATAACGTCAGCCATTTATCCCACCATTCGGCAGCGCGTGGGTTGAAGAAATCCAGAAAGACCACTGTCTGGTCAGCTTTATCCTACAACCCCACCAACAATTTGAATATAGAAACGTGTTACAATATCGCATTCAAATGCATCGAAAAATCCTTCTTTGCCGACCTTGCCTAAGAAGACACCACCTGGACCGATAGATCCTGGAGAAATATCAGAATTGTTTGAGCTGTTCTGCACTGATGATGGCCATTTGACAAAAATATCCCTCCAAAGGCCATCTTGATAAGCTGCTCGGACTTCTTCATCTTCAGAGTCCACCCGAATATGTGGTGGCTGAAAACATTTTGATACATATATTAAAACTAACCAATATAATCACAGTCTCGGTTAACTCAAAATGAACATAAAAACGTGTGAAAGTTGGCATTATAGGCATACGTATACAGTCAACATAGCCATAGGTGTGCGGTGGAGGTGGAGACAAAGGTGTGCGGTAATTACTTGTCTTGAATACCTAATTTCTTACCACAACCACAAGGGCGTGACCACCAGCAGCCTTCAGTCGACGATACTGCGCTTTTATATCTTCTTTGTACACTGTCACACTCCATTCTCGGTCAGATGCTATTAAATTAAACAAAAAAAATTATGGCATACCTCTCGCCTGAAAAACCATTGTCTACTATAAATGTACGCACACATGTTAAACTTCACCTACGTTTCGCATAAACGTGCAGAGCATCAAGGGGCAGGCCAGCCTGAGACACAGCGGTAACAACCTTCTCCATATCTTCCACTTTAGCGGATTCATGGAGACCTAATGCCCAGTATGGTGGGATAGCTGGTCGTCCAATAGTCTGTAGAAGTATTGCACAATAGTAATCTACTTAATTACAGTAACTCCTCTTTTCTCGTTGCTTAAGCGGTCATTGCTAAATAAATCTTAACAAATTCAGTTAGAAAAATTAAAGCTAATTTCGATGATAATATAATACAAGAAATTGTGTACCTGCGTATACTCGATAATGACATCATTTGGTGTAGCTCCAAAGCAGATCAAAAACTCCAGGACTCCACCGAATGTTCGCAAGGTCAGCGCCGGTGTCGGTTGTAGCTTATATTCTGCAACATGTACACATGTGTAGGTTAAGGATTTAATGGGCATAATCCATAAACATTTTTTTACCCATGGCGTTACTATTCAGGAGGAAAATTCCGTGCGCGTTGCCTTCTTTTTCAGCCACCATCACAAACGGATGGACACCGGCATAATTGTGGCCTGCAATATGCAATGCTTTAAACTACGATTGCAACAAAATTAGCCGGTGTGATACTGTGATATTAACCTTCTTCTTGAAAATTAGCCGGCGTTCTTCGTGAGAACAACGGAACTGTTTTCCAGTTGAATTCTCGGCGGAAGGATGTCTGCTGGTTTTCTCCCAGACCGTAGACGTACTTCGATGCCAGTTTGGTCACAAACTGAATGAACTTTTCTTCGAAGACCATACCACCAAGGGATGTATCCAATCTGAGTACCATAAAGAACAGTAATTCATCATTATTTATGTCAGCAGTTGTTTAGAAAAATTATGAACATACAGAGTAACATTTGTGGACCGGCGCACGATTCGAAAGCTAAATGGTTTTGCAGTGTCGGTCACATATTCCACACGGTAGAAAGGATTGTTTAGGCGACGCGGAATGGCCAGTTTGACAATCGATCTGGGAACCTGGAATCCTTTAGAATCGGCATCCCTTATCTATTAAAAATACCGGGTGCTGGTGTCAACAGAAAGTAAATTCACGAATTTCCGCATTAAAAAAAACTAAAAACGCAATATATAAAAAAGTGATCGCGCGATCGCAAACAACATCCACATTCAAATAGTTATTTAGTATGCAAAATTTGTTAAAATTTGTTATTAATATTTATTTAACGGAATTTCGAACATCATACTTACGCGGAAGCCCATCACCCGCGTAGAGTATCGCTCAAATTCAATTTCCAGAGCACGAATAGCTCCGGCGGTAGTGAAAGAGAGATTGCTTTGCAGCTCCAGTCGGACTGTTTCCCGGTTTGTGTCAACCACCGTCCAGCCGGCAGTATCTGCTTGGGATTTCCCAGCATAGCGGTAGCTGTGAGTGTCTGGGTGCATATAACACGATGGCGCTCCCGTATTATCCCCAGCTTCTTTATCGAAAACACAGTGCTGTGAGCATTGATTCTCCGTCGGCGCGGCTATACCTGGTGCGCAATCAATTCTGTCGTCCGGGGGAATTGGTGAAAGTGACTGTACATTCCGCTGCACGGTGCACAGAACAGCGATGATTACTGCAATAACATACAATTTAAATTAAAATTAAGTTATGAATTTCTGGAAAACCTCAATTAAGATAAAAGATAATGTAAATGCTCACCAAAATCTGAAATCCGCATTTTTTTTCGCTTACAGCAGAGTGATATATAAAGGTAAAAACCACAACGAGCTGTTTCAGCCCAAATTGAAATGCAGAAAAAAGCTCTACATTTTACGTTTCTTGTAAGTAAAGTTTGATAAAATCACTCAGTACCAAAGTGCGAAACGGATTTATGTGCAGCGCACTTTGATCCCCAAGCTTGGCGCTTATGTTTAGAATTTAGATATGTGTTTCAAATCACCGCAGCAAATTCCTAACTTACACCGTCAAGCGGAAACCAGCACCGTTTAATACCGAGAGAAACAAGTGCCTCTACGTTGTGCTACTAAAGAAAACTGATAACAAATTATTCCCAAAAGGACAGATTACCCAGCCTACAGTAAGTACAGTAATTAATAGTCAACGTATGCCGGATTGGTACTGTCGGCATGATGAACAATCACGGTGAGGTGAAAAACCGTGAAACAACGAAGACAGGTAATCATAAGGTACACAAACCGGTGGAAAATACATGAAAAATATTTATTTTTAGCATTCAGGAATTAATTTAATTTCGAGGACTTAATTTACTAAAAAATAAAAATCCATAATTTATTTACTGCAATTTCTGGTAAGTCGAGGAATTATACTAAAGTTCATCAATCTAACACAGGGATAGTCTATACAGAGTACAATTTCATTTGTTCAAATGTTGATGCAAAAACATAAGAGCGCATAAGTTCATAAAATGCAACAATCGGACCGATACTCGTATTATGTCAACATCCAAAGCTCGGCCTTAAAGACCCATCCCTTCCTTCGGCAGTGTTCGAATTAAAGAGAGCATTTATACAAACTTTTGCTACATTTGCTTTGGCTATTTTCTTGGAGGAGCCTGGTACATTTGCCGAATGTTCGACGCCATTCAAAATGATTTTAAAGAGAAAAGATTTCTGGTGAGGCGGTCCATCTTCACTGACCAGGACGTACTGAGGTAATTTCCAACCAAGCTCACGACATTTATCATTTAGAAAAGCGCAGGTTTTCTCCGGAATTCCGTCGTATCCATCAGGCACACCCAAGCCTTTTTTGTTTAACTTCAGTCCCAGCTTCGCGGCAAGCGGTTCGGGGTCACTGGAGGAGGCATTTGAAGGATGTCCCAGAGGTTTTCCTTCCGACCATCCCATTTTCTGGAGCAAATATTTCCCGATGCCTTGGGAATGAGCTGCGGAATTGTGCGATCTGCTTAGGGAATCGGGGCCGGACAACTCTAAATAACAGGCCGAAAAGTTATAACAATAAACCTGTTTACTTTAGTTTCACGGCAATTTCAAACATTGACTTAATTACCAGCAACATACCCGACAATGGAAAAAAATAGGAAAATGGTAATACATAAGTCAAAGCCCGTATTAAACTGTATTTCAATAAGCTTATGATTATTCACATTTACATGCACTTCAAACCGTTAATAATAAAACCTTTCAGTTTAGGATTCCCACAGCAGTGTGCCTAATTCTAATACGTTCGTTTATTTAAAGAAATCAATTTTATTTTTATAAGTCGTGCCGGTATCATATAATGTATGCTATCGTAGTTACTATCCGATGTAATATCGACAACGGATTTCTCAAAAAAATTTAGAAATAAACCGCAACCCATACTTAAACGGTTAGACACTGTTGACTCGTATTTCTGAGGTGCCTGTGTTTGACTGGGAGGCGAGACTGCTGTGTAATCCATGGAGACACTCGCACATGGCTTCCGCAGGTTGATCACATTGACAGGCGCAGCCGACGAGGTTTTCGGGTCCACAACCAGGATATCACGATTAGGCGCCAATTTCCACTCCTCATTTTTTCCGTAGGGAAGAAAACGATAAGCAGGGGGCTGCGTTTTGGTGCTCTTTCCTTTCGTCGGTGCTCCCTCGGCCTCCAGACTTTGGCTGCGCGTGCTGCCTTTCCCGATCGCATAGGGTTTCTTTGCCGTTGCGTCACTGCTCGCACGCGTCGAAGGCTGCACCGTGCTGCTAGTACTGCTTCCCGGAAAGGGATCACTGGGAAGGGGAACGGCCTCCGTAATGGGGATTTGATGCAGGACGCGTTCGGGCTTGCGGGATTCCTGGGGCGGGTGAAATACATTGTGCTTATTCACATACTGCTCCGTGAAATACTGAGTAGGCTGGTACACGGTGGGAGTCGGCTGCGCGGCGTATGGCCAAGGATTCGCTGCTGGGTAGTATCCACTAGCATCGTAATATGGGTATGTGTGTGGATAGAAATTCGGATAATTCATGATAACGATGACATGCACCAGCTACTTTTCAGTGAGCTTCTCCACTGCGACGGACAAGTTCAGAATTATTTATGGGCATGAAAAATCACAATCCTTCCAAAATTCAAGCACAACTGGAAAATGATTATCGATGGCGGAAGGATTTCTCGTATGACTCGATCATCATCCAACATCACCAAATGACCATCAACTTGTCTGCACTTGCAGTGAACGGACTGTGCACAGTGCCTCGATTTTCTCTCGATTGTTCGCAGCAATCAGTCCGGTCTTTTCCAAAATAAGGAATTATTCGTTGTGAATGACAATAGCAATAGCCAATAGCGCATCAAAAAACTAATAAGATGGGTTTTTTGTTCGCGTGTTGCATTTAAGAGTAGAATCACTTGTCATTGAAGAAATGATGTTTTGGTAAAATCGCATGAGTTGAAAAGCTGTACGAAACCGATTTTTGTAGGATTTCCGGTCGCTTGCCCATTGCGGGTGGCGGTTATCCCTACTAAAAGCTAAGCCTAACTCATTTCACAGGTGCTTTAACAAATCCGCATCTCTTTAACACTTTCGGTATTTTTCAGCAAAAAATCACAAAGTTATTACCAGTGTATATTTAGAAAATTTAATTACACTGTAATTACTTACAGTACTTTTACCACTTTTACGGTTTTAACTACTTGGTAAGTACTAAAACTTTGTTCGTGATATGCTGTGAATTGTTTTTGTGATAAGTTCTGCACCTACCTTCAGTACCTGCGAATTTCTAATTTCTACGCTTGTCTGAACTCCATTCTTCCCATCCTAATCCTATTTGTTCTCCTTCGCGGAGATGCACGGGGTACGCCAAGTAGTCCGTTCGCTTTTTGTCGCAATTCAAGCCTCGAAATGCCAGGCTCATTCCAGCGCATTCAAAGATCACTGCCTTGCGGTTAGCTCTCAGCCGGCTTCGGTAGTGCGTACACTGAGCACTTCATCCCAGCACCTTGCTCGGGGTTCGCGCACACGATCGGTCGCGGATGACGACACTAGCGACCCTTACAGCCCCAGTTACCCGAGCAATCCGGAGATGCAGCCGTTTGCCCTGCCGTACGATGCGGACTTGGAGGATTTAGTCCCACCGAACGCACATCAGGGCCAAACGGTAAGGATCCAAAGTCAGCCTGACTACCGCGAACATCTACACGAACCTCTGGATATGGAAATTCCTCAACGACCTAGCAAAATGCGACCCACGGAGCGCGCCAAACGAATGCGGCCCGATGTTGACCCGAAATTGACCAGCATCGTGCTCTTTCCCGGACAGGGTAGCCAGTTTGTGGGGATGGGGAGGAAGTTGCTGGAATATCCGAATGTGGCGGAGATATATGCTGCCGCCAATCATATTTTGGGCTATGATCTGCTAAAGTTGTGCCTACAAGGACCGGAAAAGGAGCTGGCGCGAACCGTCAACTGTCAAGCGGCTGTTTTTGTTACGGAAATTGCGGCACTAGAAAAACTAAAAGAAGATTATCCTATGGTAAGTTGCCGTCTTTACATGATTCGTAGCTTAAAATCGTGGCGCAGTGGCTCCATCAAAATGCCTTTATAAACAGTTTTCTTTCGTTCGCAATTTGTCCGCGAGAAGAACAGCATAATTTTTTATCAGTTTTCAAACCGCGTTCTAATCATTACCATGTAGCTTGTAGCTTTCCCGTGTGCCTGAGTTTCGCATCAGATGCATTAGAATTTGGATTGTCGGAGTTAGTGCAGTTTCGGTAGCCACAAAAATTGAATGTTATTGCTAATCTTCTGTGTCTGTTTTCGGTTTTCATGGACTAAAGAAAAGCACAGGATCTGCAAATAAATGTTTAAATTTACTTGCTTTTCAGGCAGTTGAAACTTGTGTGGCTACTTCCGGTTTTAGCGTTGGTGAATTGGCTGCCTTGGTTTTTGCCGGTTCCGTTACCTTCGAGAATGGTTAGTATTTTAGTTAGTTTACAAGTAATTTGCCACCTGGAAGTGACAGTGTGCAGATTTTTTAAGAGAAAATCCGTGATGTTCTTTCTTAATTTGTTTGTTCCTGCTCCGATGGACCGCTTATTGAGAAGTTTTTAGCTTTGAAGGTTGTCAAAGCCCGAGCTGAGGCTATGCAGGCAGCTTCGGAATTGGTCCATGGCGGTATGATGACGGTGCAGATCACACACAAGTCCATTCTTGGCCAGGCTATGGAGGTCGCGAAGAAATGGTGCAAAGAAAAGAAGAAGATTAACAAGCCGATTTGCGGTGTAGCCAATTATTTACATCCTGACCTGAAAGTATTAGCCGGCAACGCTGAGGTAATTTCAAAATGCATGAGCGTTGAGATTGCTCCAAGACAATCGTAGTGATTCTTTGATCTTTTCGTATAACCACAATCGATTATGTACTTAAAGGCCGTTAAAAATTTCGAAAAAGCCGAGTCGTTGTTAAAAATTTTCTGTTGGTAAGCCTATGTTGACTTGTTTTTCACTAGTAAAACTACCCTTACCCCTACCTACCAGCGTAATTTGGCAAACCACTTGCTCATGGTGCTCGTGCTGGGAAAACATACGAATGGCTTTCGCTTTATCATTAATTTTGAAAGTCGCTGTTTGTTCGTTATGAATTGTGAGAAATCATTTCAGCATTAATCCTGCCTTACTGGTTTATTTCGCTGTTCGAATACCTGTATAATAATTACATCTGCGATTTGTGTTGTCAGTGTTGGAATATTTCTGAAGGAAAGCGACGTGTAACGGTGTAACTTCGGTAAATCACAAATTTGTCATTGTTTACGCGTGCACACGGGTTTAGATAAATCTAGGTGCGCTCGTTATTTGCATTCTGTTTATTCGTGCGGGTAATTTGTGTACATCGTCGCTTGGAATCCCTCTCGGCGCAAAAAAGATTCATTAGAGCATGACAAGGGATCACAGATGCATATATCGCTTACAACGGGATAGTCATGAGCTGTATGTTGCATTGTTAAATGTCGCTGAACCTTTTGTACTTGAATGTTATTGTTCTGCTTTTGCATACGCGAGACATAATATATCACAGATTAATTTTTTTATTTATTTCCCGGGGGCGTTCACTGATGGATTGGCGTTTAATTACTGTATTTGGTATCATCCCTATTGTTTATTTACAGGCTCTGGATTTCATCGAGGCCAATCAGAAACTGTTCGATATAACTGTTGTCAAGCGTCTGAATGTCAGCGGCGCATTTCATACCCGATTAATGGAACCGGCGAGGGATGAAGTTTATAATACATTGCGCGACGCAGAATTAGTCCCGCCAAAAATTAAAGTCTTCTCCAATGTTACAACGCTACCGTATACTGACGTTAAAAGCATTGTCAAGCTGTTACTGAACCAGATGGTTAGTCCCGTTCGATGGGAGCAGATCATGCATAATCTCTATGACTTCGGACAAGGGCAAGAATTTCCCCAGACTTACGAGGTGGGACCAGGAAGGCAACTGGGCGCGCTCTTGCGGAAGGTTAATGCCAAGGCTTTTAATTCCTACACTGCCATTGAAGTGTAGTAATGTTCAGTGTGCTATTAATTATGTGAAAAATGCATCCGGAATATAGTGGTGAAAACGCAGGGGTTTTAATAAAATATCCTGGGGGAAAAGCATGAAGACGGGACACAAAACTGTCGGGATGTCAGGACAAAACTGATATTTACAAGTTCAAGGCAGACTGTCAATAACCGGTTACATGGGCTGACCACTGCAATTAGGGACAAAGGTATAAGCAAATTTGTTTTAAGCTTTTGCAGATGAGTCTTCTCTAAAATTAAGTTAGACGCACGCACTTAATTAAATTAATTAAATTAAACGCACTTACAGACCAAGACCTTTTGAAGATGCAGTAGATTGCGAATCATTCCGCAACCTATTGCTGTATATCAGCTTTGCAGAAATTCAGCTTTATATTGTTGAAAACGAATTTCAAGACCGTTTCAGCTATTCACATGGAATATTGGCTGTGAAATGCATTCCATGCATCGCAATTTACCAGATTATCAAGCGGCCATGAACAACTAGATTTTCTGGGGTGCCTTTGACTGAGACTAAGAAACAGATCTTGTTACTTTTTGGGTATTCTTGAACGCTGCCTTCGAACAACAAGGGGACAGTATAATAGAAAGGTTGGCCTAAAGGCTAAAGGGAACCGCAACTATATATCTGTCCTTCCGGCTGGTGTTACTTCGCGATCGTGCAGTATCTTCGATGTTGCGCTTTTTTTATCATGTTATGGAACAAATAGTCTACTGTTGCATATTGTTTCTCTTCGCATTCCGCATTACAAAGAATCCAGCGTAGTGCAATTATTTTTATATCATCGTTAACGAACGTGTGAATTGAGTAGAAGAGTGTCGAAAGAACACGATAAAGTGACGAGGTACAGGAACATTGCCCAAGGCTCGATGTTGTGTACATTAGGCGTCGAAACACTGTGACCTTTCGGGTCTGAAGCCTTTTGCTTGATCACCGAATTCGGGAAGATAGGAGATACGGTGGGGAGCAGGCGAGGGCCAAGCGACGGAGTATCTACGCTGGCTGATTAACATCAGATTCAACACGGGAATGTGGCTTCCGTCATGGAAACAGCACCGCTTTCGGGATTTAGACGAAATGTTTATGTAATTAGGTTCTCCATTTCCGCCGACTGAAGTTGTGAAAAAATAAGGAATTTCTTCTGACTTTATTATAGAAAACTTGTGACTGTTTTAAACGCTTACAAATGCAGCGATTACGTCAAAACGGGATAATCTCATTATTAGTCGTCTAATTTATTAGAGTTGGGCAACTGAATTTGAGTAATATTTTTGAGATTACAATTGGAGAGCTGCATATTCAAAAATGTTAATTCGGCTCTCATATTATATGTGGATGAATACGTGTATACGTGTATCATGCGAATGTAAAGATGATCGACCTTTATTTGCACAATTACAACAGTTTTACCTGCCTGTAGATTTAATTTACTGCGTTAGCGGATACTGTGTGCGTGAACAATATGTATCTGCACTTTGATTTCCGCCAGTACAAGAATGCGCAGATCAAGTCACGATCATAATATGGCCATTCAAGGAACAGGAAGCGACTATCAACCGATTTCCGGTGCAGCGAAACCTTCCAGACCTTCCCATGACAGGTATTAATTTGGATCATTTGCAACACCCGCATCATGTCCATCCTGCAGAGGCAGGAAAGTCGATGGTGTATAACTACTATGTACTCGTGTAGGTGTATTCTACCGTGCTTAATTTTCGTTTAAGAATTGGCTTCAACGGCCTATTACTTCAGCATACGTGCAAGCTGATGATTATTGCATTGCAACGATTGTTTCAAGACACAGCTATCTGACTATTCATTGTGATGTTACCTGTTATTTATAGTTTTGCATAAATGCACACTGATAAGAAGTACCTAAAGAACATGTTACTTCAATTTCTTGTCTGATTGTCGATCTGTTCAGGGTGTGGATACAATTTTTTTCGAAAATCAGTTTAATTCAAATAAGGCAATAACTAATCGGCATGCGCAGCGTGATTACCACGGCAGATGCACTGATAATGCAACATCTTTTTTGCTTGCCGATAAGTAGTTTATGTGGATTATTTACAATGTTTTATATGGTGCACGGATTCAACGTCAACTTGGTAACCGTCATTATCGGAAACAATCCGATCTACGGATTTTATGCTCAACAGCCGGCCTATGATATTGCTTATACTGAATTAAAAAAGCAATATCCTTTAGTTTTTGAGAGGTACAATTTGATTCGGCATTTGATCTATGAGAATGGATCTTATATTTGCGACAACGCTGAAGCAAAAATGTTTACCGTGGCTGGAGAGTTGGATAGACTTATACGAGAACTGGATGGTTTTACAATTTTGCTTTCTCCCGGTACTAGTTATTTATAAAATTAATGTATAATTTGTGCATCGTATGTGTACAGTTTACAGTGGATACTGATGTCCATTGGATCGATAAATTCTGTTTTGCTTAAATTTTTAAACGAGCAAACTTGCAAAATGTCAATGTTCACTTCTACTAAACTCGCTGAATGAGTCTTCGTTTTATTTTGTTTTATTTTGTATTTTGTTTTTTTTTAGGATGCAGTAAGGAAGTTGTCGCATTGGGAGATTTTGCCAGAGGTATAATCTGTATGCATGTAATTGGAAGACACTCGTTTCATGATTATTAATTAATAATTACTACCACGTTACAAATTTACAATGGTTCTGAGTTTTGGTTTTCTAGAATAAAACAACCGTCCTGCTAGCCGCACTGGCTTATTAAAAGCAATATAGTTGACCTTTTCTGGTATTGGTTTGTGCAAACTGTGGAGTTGACGCCTTGATGTTTTTGCGGTCTATTTTTGCCTTTATCTCGTCGCTTTACCTATTTGTACAACCTATTTTATGTTCATTTAATTTAACTACTGTGGGTATTAATCATTTACCAAGTTCTCTTACAATCAGGTTGTTATAAGATTAGAGATTAATACGATTACATAGGCTAAAAATACCTTAAGCAAATCTCATGGTTACGATAATGCTGGAAATTATTTTTTTGTCTGCTCAGCGCATATTTTGCATTTGACATACTGTATGTATAGTGTTAACATTCGTTAGTTGAGTTTTGACATGATACAACATAATAAATTATGGCAGTATGCATGTTTATGCAAATTGTAACCGAAGTCTTTTTACAGAGTGGAATGTACCTCTGATGGCAACGTAAGTTATAATGTAAAGTATGTTTTCATTTTTCGATATTTTTATTTTGTTGCTCTCTCAGTGCCGGCCTTTTACGTTTTATCAAACATAAATGTTTTTTGATAATTGACAGCATTGCGGGTGATAAATCATTGACCAACAAGCAGCGCTTTCCCACAGTCCTGGCGTATGGCCCACCGGATCATCCCAGCTTAGCACTGGCTAACAAGAAGTTATTAGATACGTTCTCCTGGAAAACGTTGACGTTCTTTTGCGATACGTTGTCGCAGTACCCCGGTCTGAATGGGTTCTATGCTGTGGCGTGTGTGAACTTCAAAGACGCCCTCGAAGTGGATTCCTATAATATTCTGAAGACCACGTTCGACTCCGTAAGCAACAGGACACACTACGGCAGTATGCTCCGCGAAGCAAAATCTCGCAGTCGAGGTACAGATACGTTTGCCTGATTCTTTAAACGTATAAAGGATTTAAGGAAGCAAGTAAAAATTTGTTTTTAATTGCAAACGGCTCAATTGAAAGTTCCTTTCAAACAGTAGAAAATTAAACGGCTCAGTTGAAAGTCACTTTCCAACATAGAAAATTAAAAAGTATAATTCTAAGCATCTTTTATTGTGAACTTTTGAATCGATAAATTAAATACTGTGCAGCAAACAAATATAGAGCACAAAAGCTTTAGCCGCTAACAGAAAAACCATAAACTGGGAGAAATTTGTTGATTTGATAAACTTCACAAGGAATACAACACATACGCAGCATATGGCTTTATGTTGGCTAAAATACTGATTAGTACTCAGCTTTTTTATTTTGCAAATGTGCATACAGCTGTAGTGGTATGATGTATCATAGCACCCCAAAACTGATAACGTGGAGTGTCCCTAGAAGTTATACTAAGAATTATTAACGTGTTTTTTTGTGCAGTCATACTGGTGTTCTCGAGGCCAAGTGTCTTAAGAGATATAATGGTAAGTAATAAAGAATTCAAGGAAATATTGCGCTAATATATAAGCACATTTTTCCAATTCTTCCTTGCAGATCGAAGCGGTTCGCGAAAACATGACCAATGGAGATTTTGTAAGTAAAACGCATCAGTAGATATTTTGTAGAAGGACTTAGAATATGTAGCGCCTTATACTGGATACTGATTTCCATGATCTCATAGTCAACAAAATATTATGATACTGCAGATCTTTATTGCTCCAGTCGTAACGAAAGTACCGACCCTGGGCAGCATCTCATGGGAATATCACGACATGTTTGACAAGGTTAATTAATTTTCATCTTCACCGGCTAGTATTTGTGTAATTTTCTGCATTCACTAAAAGTCAGTTTTTACGCAGGAAGCGTTCGACGCATATCAGTCAGTAATTTTGTTGAGTAATCCGAATGCGGACTGGGGCCGTATCAGTGATCTCGTGGAAAACATTATTAACCATACGGCAACAACATATCAACATCCGCTTAAAGAAGATGAAAAGGTAAAAATTAAAACCGTGGAAGAATTAAAGGCGAGAGCAAGCACCTGTACGATACTGCAATGCTACCCGCACAAGAATGCACCACGTAGTGGATGTTACGTTATGCTATTAAGGAGTTGCACAATCGTGTCTGCTTACAAAATTGTTGCAAAATATTATACTTTATAGTTTATTCGTACACACTTGCCTGTTGCAAACGCCTGTTTGCTTTATATTCTGTAGTCGGATAGCGTAAGAAACCGGCGTTTTAAGAAATCTCTCAAATTTGCAGCAAAACGATCTGACCATTGCCGCATACGAAGTGATGTCCACGCTAATCATGGTAATTTTTCTATTTTCTATTTCTTTTTCTATTTTATTTCTCGTACCAATTTAGCTGTTTGTAGTTGTCGATAAGTGTGGTAACCTTTTCATGATCCAATATTACATTAATCTTTACTCTGTAGGTAATGAACGATTCAATAGATCAAATGGAGAGAATGGATGGCGTATTATTCTGTCAAAAATTTCAAAACCGGACATTTGATTTAGAATCTAGGAGTTTTTTTATCAACCAGCAAGGTAACGAGGCGCGCGTTATTTTTGCGCTGCTGTTCGGTGGATATTTTTGGTCTGCCGCCGAATTATTTTTATTGACAGTGATCCTGCAATATTTTTCGATCAGGCATGCGGACTAGTGATGTGATATTGTATCGACTTAATACTTCGAGTAAAGAGTTAGAGGTAAGAACACGTAAATGTAATATTTATATTCGTATATGTCACAGCCACAGGTATGTAAAATTTACTTGTACATATGGTACATAAACATACGCGTCTATTAGGCGCCAGACTCAGTTGCACAGCGTAGTGCTTTTTAGATAAGCAAAAAAGGGAATGTTGATGCATAATCAGTTAGTATAATAATGTATTTCTACGTATAGATAGATATGTATCAGAGATATTTACGGCCAGAATGACAACAGTTTATTTTGGATCTTGATTGGTACTGCAGTATTAATTGAACGTATAAAGCCTATAAATCGCGATCTCTTTGTGTCTTAAGAACTCCGTTTACTTTAGCCGGCATGGCATTATTACTCGTCAAAAAATCAGTTTGCTGCGGTCTCCAGTTTGGCAAAGACTTGGCGCGGTAACAACGGTCCCCCTAGGAATCGTCCTCTTTGCGGCTTCCTGAATAATCAGTGTGAAGATAACAACCGTAAGGAGTTTCACAAACAATGATTTACAGTTATCAGCGATGATTTATATAAATAATTTAGCGGTAGCTTGATCCTGAAAGATTCAACTGTGAGAAATGAATGTGTCACTGAAATATCGAAAATTATTAACTAATAACGCGTAATATAGATTCTAAAGGTCCTCATTGTAATAATTATTACACTGTACATGTACGTTATAGTTTACTATGTGATTGGTGCTATCAACCGATTGGATTAATTCAGTGACACACTATTTATTGCCGATCGCTCCAGTCAATTTGCCCTTATCCACAGTTCTCGCAAGTTCGAGTTTATTTTAGTGAGGAACGTGGCCATAATTGCCGGCTCTTGTTGTGGGGGATTTATTGTGCTGCTGGCTGCTATAATTGTGTCCTACTGGTATGAAACATTTCAGACATATAAGGTTTAGATTTTAAATTTTTGCTAGTTTTGGACGCAATTTCGAACAGCTAACTAATTATCTGTATGAAGTTATTTAAAGCTATTTATCTCTCATTGTCCTGTAGCTGGTATTATGATTGGAGAGACAGTCGGTCTTTGTGGTGGCTCTTGCCAGACAAAGCACTCAATCCGGACGTCAGTGGGTTTCGCATTCCGAATTCGGTGACCCGGCAGACCGATAATATTCACGATTCCAATAGCGTAGTCCCGGAATATCTACAACAAAAACTGCGATTTTACGGTGATGAAATCGTTTGGATAGAACACTGCGCTTGCAGTATACCGTTTAACAGTGTCATTTCTTCCAAAAGATTACGAAACATCGTGACTTCCGTAAGGGCGAACAATGCCAAAACGCACATATGTATTACTTGAATCCTTGCAATATTATTATAAAGCTTGGTAGAGAAGCATGCCCTACAGTGACACCACGTACTAAATTAAACTACTAATATTTCTACGTGCGTCGCGTTTCATGAACGATACTGCACACATGAAATGTGGATTGAATGTGGCACATTAATTATTCCGTTGCAGATCAGGAATTCTACTGCACAGGAAAATGTTGCGAAATTTTACGGAGCAATCGCTAGCCAGAATGATTTGTGCTTTGTGTGGCAATTTGGCACACGGGGAACATTAAGGATGCTTTTGGATAAACATATATTCTCCTTAGAGATCGACCTGCAAATATCCATCATGTGGGATGTATTACGGGTACTATGACAGTTTTATGTTCCAAATTGCGACAAGCATACAACGAAAAGTCGAAGTCTGCGTATACGAGCATGTCGTTTAATACCTTGGACTACTGTTTTAAAATTTCTATGAATAGATTTTGTTTACCACTTCAGCAAACTTCAAAAGTGTTCAAATTACGCAACGCAGTTACCTTTAAAATTATTGTTATAGCATACAGTAACTAGAACATACTTGAGTGCTCGTACTATATTACTAAAGGACATTGAATTAAGTGTTTACTATAGCTAATTAAAATACTGCTACCTGTGTCTATTATTTTTAGTACCAAATAGCAGAAACAAGTTGATTTTACAACGAAGTCAGTCATACAATAATTAGCAATCTGTAATAGTATTTCTGCTGTCTCATGCAATATTCTCCAAAATATACCGCTGAATGGACTTAATTAGGGCCTGCAACATATTCACCTTTCACCTTTGCATTATCATGGATGTCCTTCTACGATCATGGCCATCATCGATAAGCGGTTTACTATAAAACTTTGTGGAGCCGGAACAACATCCGCCACAAAGCTGCTCACGAGACGAAATGTTGCTAACGATGACAATACACTTCAGTTGTGGTATAGTCCGGAAATGGTGGTGCAATCCCGACTTTCGGGATCAAAAGAGAGCGATATGTACAGTTTAGGAATCGTGTTGTACGAAATTTTGTCACTCCACTGTCCAATGGATGTCCTGCTGGATGATGGTCCGAGCGTTCGAGGTAAAAAGGAAAAGTATTCAGACTACGCGCATAAAATTTTGTTTATAATTTCCTTATACAAAACCTATAGAGCAGTAGTACAATTAAACTAATGAATTTGCTGTTAGAATAGTTATTAACACTTTAATGACCTTTTATAAATGGTAGCAGTTTTTTTATAGCTGCGATATCACAACTGCGCCAGACTCCAAACATTGCCCGGGTTCATCTGGATGCTCTAAATCAGATACCAAGAAACTTTCGAAATTTGTTGGGCTCATGTCTGGACGCGAACCCAAATGAAAGGCCAAGTCTACGGAAATTTATCAATTTAACAGCAGAATACTTCCCGCCGAGCAATATACTTATCAGCATGATGAATCGGTTGCAACATTATTCCGAGGATTTGGAGATTATGGTTTATAACCGATCACAGGAATTACTGGATGAACGCGAAAAAGTTGATGCATTGCTGAGAGAATTAATGCCTGTGTAATAGTCGCAGATCGTTTGTATTTTATTTCTGATGTACTACCATAATTTTAATTAATGTATGTATTTCAGGAGCCTCGTTACGAAACTTCGCAATAAGGAAGAATTGTTTCCGGAAGTGTTCGATTCCGTTACCATTGCGTTTAGTGACCTTCCTCAGTTCGAAAACATTTCAAGCATCTGCAAGCCCATTGAGATAGTTCATTTTTTAAATGAAATTTATTCAAAATTTGATGTCGTGATTTCCAAATTTGCGGTATATAAAGTGGAAACGATTGCTGACTCATACATGGTAAGTGACCTCTCCGAGCTGGTTGAAGTACTGCATGTAACACCTCTGTACAGCTTTAAAAGTTATAAAAATGTCACAGTTTACAGCACAAAATCTGAAATTTGGAAAATATTCTTCTTTTCCTTAACTGCATTGAATAAAATAGATTACTTTTCATAATTAAGGTTGCCAGCGGGGTTCCCATAAGAAATATGGTAGAGCATGCAAAGGAGATTGCCAGACTCGCTATTAAACTGATCGCAACAGCGGCCAACTCATTTTCACCTGCTGAACGCAATCCTGTCTGCTTACGTATGGGAATACACTCAGGTAATATGGTTAGGTATAAATTATTACAAAAGCCCAAAGCACGAATGAAAAGTTCAAAGTAATAAAAATAATAATACATATCTGTATTTACGATTAGTAGCTATTTAGCACTCTTGTGCATATATAGGGCCTTGCGTGGCTGGTGTAGTTGGCTCCCTCAAACCGCGGTACTGCCTGTAAGTGCTTAACTGACTGAGTCTTACCTAATGTTACAATGTATACGTTTTTTTTTATTTAATAAATTATTCATGTATTACATTTTCAGTTTTGGTGATACAGTTAACACAGCCAGCAGAATGGAATCCCACGGCGAAGGTAAACAATATAAAAAAAACTAATATTAAGTCTTGGAGCTCTTACCGGCTGGCGAAGGTTAATGACTACCGGTCTTGTACAGGCTCGAAAATTCACATCAGCTCTGCAACCAAAGATCTCTTAGACAGTTCTTTCCTTACAGAAAGCAGGGGCTTGCTGAACGTAAAGGTACTCTTGAAGAAATTATTACTTTTAGCTGTAATATGTACTTAACCTTGAAAAATCGTAAATAAAGGCAAACCCGTTGAAATGTTCCCCTTACAGGGAAAAGGAGAAATATCGACCTTTTGGCTCACTGGAAGGGTGTAATATAATATTTGCGGCCGCCGAAAGCTATATAATGCTTTTCTTGGAATAAATATGTTGTATGTGTTTTTATAGCCGCAATATTTAATAACTGGTGGACCACAAGCCACACAATGCTTGCCTTACAAATTACAGTCTAAAAACTTTTCTCTAACTGAATGTGTATCTATTGTATAAACAAGCACTGGATGTAAATGCTCCAGACTTATATATTACTTACCTAAGGCTTCCGTTAAAACATACGAGTAAATTATGCGTATAACGTCAGGTTAAATTAATTTAATCACGTAATATCTAAATTGGCTACATGTTGTCAAAAGTTCAGAACATGCCCTTCAAAATAAGCGTCATATCCACAAAAGACCCGGCGTCTTTTAATATTGCAGATCACACACACATAATTTGTAGGTCACATATTAATCATGACATTAGGCAGACGTTGCGCGTTGGCGATTCTTCTCATACAAAAGCAACAGCCAGTGGCGTTTTAAAAAAAAGCAAATTGCTGCCGCATGATGTGGTGACACATGGTGTATCATTTACAATTTACAGGTCTTAATAAACGGTGCGTCTTTGTGCGGTTACGAACATTATGTGCGGCACTTCACGACCACCTGCTATCAATACATTTTTCGAGACTGCGGCAAGCGTAAGTAGCAGTTAAAAAATCCTCCGCACGAAGTAAAGTTGAATTATATGCAGTGATATAATATATTGTAGTAAGCTGTTTCTGAGGTCATGTACGTAAAAGTTTCCCCCAGTTTATCGTAGTTGCAAAGAGTAAGGTTTGTCCATGCTGCCATGATAAGAACTAAGAGTGGCAAAAAAAACTGACAGCAGCAGGAATTTTGCCAGTTTTATGTTGGAAAATCGTATTCGCTGCTAATATTTTTATTATATGGATTTTGGCCGGCAATCCCAGCGGTATTTTTTATTGATTTTATCGATTTCTGTGAAAACAGACTTTTGGTAGGTGCACTACTAGCAATTAAGGTATCAATATGAGATCTGCAGTGTACCAAGCACAAAAAATTGCCGGTGTATGTTCACTACTCCTACGCTGAACGTTAATGATTATGACATACTAGTGGCAATGCCTCAACGTAATTAAAACGAAATATTTAAATGCACTAATTGTTTATACTCTGCAATTAGAAATCATACAGTACAGTACACATCGTTCTGCTAGAATTACTTACGTATACCCGGCGCCGGGATTGTAAAGTTTTGAAAGATTGTATGCTTTATTGGTCCATTGGAGCGATATGTTGCATGGTTAAGTCAAAATAATTATATTATTATTGCAGTTACAGCACGATTAGCCGGCAAGCTAATTTTTAGCGAATGTCAGGTTAGAGCTGACAAGTTTTTCGTTTTCAGATTGCCCCAGCAAAACAGAACCGGCTCATCATCACGACCCACCTCTTAATGAACCTAATTGTTTGCCATGTTTTTAAGAAAACGAGATATCGTCTTGGTAAATGATTCTCGCTCATTTGGGGAAGTTTTCAGTGATAGCCGTCACATTAACCAAGAGAGGTGTAGACATCCTTTCAACAAACATACGAAAACTATTTACCAACAGTCTTTAACATGCAAGGAAGAAAAAGCCGCATCGCTGGATAGTCAAGGTAACTGGGTGCACGTGATGAATAACTGCTAACCTAAGCACTGACATTATCCGTTTAAATGTTTTAAGCTACAAATTTTTAGGATTAATTTTCGCACACGGAATACACTGGGAATGCATCAGTCAGTTCTCCCGAGCAACTCTGCACAAGATGGCTTTTTCACAGCCAGTATTGGAATGTGTTATCAATGTAGTCACCGACTTTGCCGCCAAATTATCAAAATATCCCAGAAAACCCTTTAGATTATCCTACATGGAAAAGGATATGCGTAATTATATTTTGCGCCTTTCATGCTGCATTTTGCTTGGACCGAAATACAGTGAGGACACCGATAAGCTTGATCATCTGAAGAAGCTGCTGTTGCATCCACAGTCGTCTAGTTATGCGACCGGTTCTAAAATGACATATTGCCCAGTGAATCTGCCTTGCCAAAACCGCACAACGAAAAAGATTATCCACACTGTGTGCGCTGATCTGGCAACGTTTATTAGCGAAGCCGGCCACAGTTCATTGCCAGACTGGACTTTTTTAGGACACATCTTAGAGCACACAGCGGTCATTCGACAATATAACGGGCCCCTGTTTGAAAAGCAAGTTTTTACTGGTACGGCAGGATTAAATTCAAAATCGTAAAATAAAATTATAGTCTTTGTTTTCTAATGGAAGTCGTACAGCAGTTAATGAATAAACAACTAACCTTTCATGAAAAGGCTATGTATTACATTTTATATATTGTGATCGGCAAGCAGTTTTTGTTATTCTGCTGGTTTGGAACTTTTCTCGTATGAAAGTTTCTATCGTGAACGTTTTACCGCGGTAAATATCAAAATTTTTATCGTTAGAAAACAATTTGCCTGTTCTTCTAATGGACTTGATTATCGGGAGTTGTATCCCTTTGTATGCCGTTATCGAACAATCTGTTCGACTTCTGGCGCGACATCCGCGTGTCCAAGAGCTCCTTCGCTTTGAATGGATGGAGAAAAGCTTTTGGGAAAGTTTTCTCTCCATATCAACTACTGGGTTTACCCAAATTGGTAAGCTCGGTAATAATGTTACCGTCCTGCAGATTTCTGTAGTGCAACAGCAGCTAAAATACTAGGTGAAAAAGGCGTGTTTAGATTGTTAAAATTTAATCATTACCGTTTTGAATTCGAATTGTACATGCATTGCAGTACGTATAACATCTCATATTTTGTACAAGTAGTTTATTTTTTGCGGGTGATCTTGCAGCAAATGAATTTCCCTATACTACGGCGGTGCTATGCGAAGTTTTACGCTTAACGGATACGACGCCAAGCGGTGTGTGTCGGATGCCTACGCGAGACCTTCCTATCAATCAGTACAAAATCTCCAAAAGTGTTTGCTAATTGGCAATCTCCATTATATCCATCACGATCCAAAGTTTTGGGAATTTCCGGAAGCATTTATTCCTGAACGATTTATTAACAAAGACCAAATGGAAATTCCTCCAAATCTGTTACCATTTTCAATAGGTGGGATTTCAGCCTCAACAGCAACAAATTGTATGCTGATACTTACGGCTTGTTTCTTGCATTAAGGTTCCCGTTCCTGTCCGGGTGGACATCTATCTTGTACGATTTTGTTGGCGACAATTGTTTCGTTAACAGAAAATTTTTCGTTGTCATTAACCGACACACTTTTAAAGGAGTGCGTTTCTGAAACCGATACCATTGATGATGGATTTCTCTCGATAATACCACTTCCAGCTTGTAAGAATTTCCACAATTATATGGATACTCTCAGCATAGACTCAACCTATCTGTAAACTTTGAAAATAGTTTCTGCCTATTAACTAGAAGAATGCATTGTCTTACTACGCGTAAGTAAAGCATTTAATTATACTGTTGAACCTGATCAATGGTGGACGATTTAAAGCACTGTGCACAAGGAGTTTGATTTGGATAGCATTACATGCTCAACAAATGTTTGCGTAGGGCACATGTCGTTCTGGCCGGAAGTACTGGCACTGTAATAGGCACGGTATATGGTCAAAAATCTTTCCGGCGCGGCACTACTCTCGCGTAGGCGTATTCCATGTCGGTGATGGGTGCGTCCGTGCAGGAAATTATGAATATGGCTAAAATGAAATCAGCATATTAAAACAACCGCTTAATTACAGCAACTTGTGATATGTACGTGATATAGAGTTAAGGTCAGTTTACGCGTTACTTCAAAGTTTACTGCTTCGAATCTGTACCGTATAATTATAACCATTTATACTGTTCTAGCGTCACCAATAATTATTAATTATTATGTTCGCTTCGATTCTACTAGTGGCAAACCTCGCCTTTTGAAAACCTAGACTTAGTTTAGTATTATATACTTGTGAGCGGCATTGGTATGGTGAATAACCCGGTTCCATGTGTGCATGGTGTCAAATCCTTCAAAATTTTCGGCTCCACAAAAAATACGAATATGATGTGTTTCGACCGACACGACAGCAATATGACAGCGTTTTATCCATCTTTGTAATCGCTGTCTTGTCGATTCCTGATCTTCAAATTCCACTTCACCAGTACAACCTGGCAGGGATAAAAGTTCGGGGACAAACAACTGATACTGTAATTGGACGCCAGTGCGCAACTTTGGCACTGCATCTACCACCGCATCATTGCGGGTGATGGCCAGTGCTAGACGGATGAACTTGACTTGGTATGTATGCATATTATCTTCGCAAAAAGCCGTTTGCGCTGTGTCAACATGCTGCATTCCCTGTTGTCGAAAGGTCAACGTCTGCAAATTCAAAACGCGGTGATCGGCGGGAAGTTTGGCAATGTACGCAGCACACTTGGCAAATACTGCCGGGAAGGTTTCCATGCGGGGGCGCTGGACATTGCTTTCCGCTCCAATGAGTGATAAAACCGATGGAACAAAGTCAGCAATCTTGATTGTTTCTATAACTGGTTGCACTGACTTTGAAGTCTGAAATCATGACCAAGAGCGTTTCTGTAAACGTTTCTATGCAGGAATCAGCATCATAATGTGAAAAATTTAAACCAAAATTGTGTAATTTTGTAGCTGGTGCTTTATAACCGGGAAAAAATATTTGGAAAGTAGCGGTACCTTGTGCTGTAACCCGTGTAGCACATGTACTCAAAACCTATTTGACATCGACATTTTGGTCAATAACTGCCATTATTTAAAATTTGGAAGGAGTAAAATTATTAAAAAACTGCATTTAAATGTAAGACATGTGTAAAATATACGAGTAGTTATTGTTTCTAATATCAACATTAAATTGAACCTTAACAATGGGTACCGTTTTTGCTCGGGCATGAACAAGCACTGGTTACGGGACAGAGTTACTCGATTTAATTTTTTAAAATTGATTTGTTAAAAAAATATTGCGCGTTTTAACTTCAAGTGGGATTTTAGCGTGTGTAAGGTATTTGTGACTTCCTGCAGTGCACTATTGTTATATGTACAATACGTTCAAATCCGTGCACACCATATCATCCTTACCGTGATATAAAAATTCTCAAAACGGTCACGAAATTCTGAGTTATATAATCTCGGTCAATCCATGAACACGCTTCCGAGTCCAGCAAGCCAGAATCGGTAACTGTGACTTGCAATGTTTCAACTGTGGCCAACCGGCGCGCCGACAGGACATGTTTTGTGGATAAATTAATCCTGTCAATCAGCTGACCAAGGCATTCAGTTTCACCTTCGATGTTATAAGCACAACCTCTAATCTTTCTGGGGATGTCCGGCACGAGATCCACAAATTCTATCTGTTCTGCAGTTTTTTCATAATTGTTCTGCACAGCAATGTCGCGTTGAACACTGATCCATAATCGTAATCCGCGGATAAACTTATTAGGGCGTTCACCGCAAGTACGGTAATGGGATTTATTAACCAGGGGTTGGCCATCCTTTTTCTGCTGTTTAAAATCAACGGTTTCAATGTTGCGCACGCAAGAGTTTGGATGGTCACACAGCCAAATATTCGCGCGATTAATCAAGCCGGTGAACTCCTTAATTTTTCGTGCTGGATGTAATTTCGTTTTTACTCGAGTGGATATGTCCGGTAGAAAATCGACACTTTCCAGCTCAGCAAACGTATGAACGATCGGCTCAGACGGATGAAAGAATGCCGAAGGGCTGATAAACTGTCGCGGATCGATATCACACATTTTTATAGGTGTAACACTCATAGCGAAGCATTATCACAATGAAAAAAATAAAAGGCGTAGCATTACAATAATAAGCCATAACGAGAATGTACTATAACGAACAATACGCTCCTAATAGCTCGACTCCAATTACGACTACAGACATTCACAAGTAGGCAAAATGTTTCATAGCGCCACCGCTTTGCGAGGCGGCACTGCATGGAATGCAGACATTATGTAACCCCATATTCATCCCGGAAATGTAAGATGCTTAGAAAACAACTTGGTAGTTTGTACATCAAATGTGTTTTCAAGTTCAATCGATATTTTCGCCCTGGCTGATACGGCCTTGTAGGCATATAGTCACATACGGAATGCTGATACGACGCCGTGCTGTACAGGATTTCAAGGAAGATTCGTATACTGTACATAGGCACAATAACACAAGCGCCCCCCAACCCAGTGATGGAATTGTGAAGTTGCCGCCGATAGTTTCCGGCGCGGTGTAAAAGATCACAGCTGATACGCGAGATGGTAATTGGGAGAACTAACTAATGGCTTAACGCGGCCGCTCGGGAAGATCAATGTTCAAACATGCAACAACTCCATCAAGCAGGATCCAAAGAAGCTGAATAATTGACGGGGATGGTCACGTTAATCCGATCAGCTGCTGCTTCAATACGGCGCATCAAAACTAGTATTCAATTTGCAGAATGTGTTTCCTGGACAATTTGTGGCATGCTAACAGTGATTTTGTTAAGTAAATGGAAACAGGCAATTCAATTCGTTCAACCCATAACAAAAACAATTCTCTTTATCGACAACCCACTTTATAATTATAAGTAGGATCTCTTCCTGACAATGTAAATGGTACGTCAGCTGCTGCTTTCAGTGGTTCTGAAACGTACAAATATAAGTATTGACAGTATCTTACAATTACATTACATTCCGTTAAAAATGAATAAATCATTCACCGATTTTACAACCTTGCATGTAAACAAAAGAAAAACCCAACATATTTTTATTATAAAGAAACGACTATTCAAAAACGTAATGCTACAATGCGACTACTATATAAATGTACAATACATTACTTCTGTGCAGTCCATGTGGTTAGCATTGTTTTCTCATTTTATTAGCGGCGTTTAGTAAGTATTACATATTACATAGTGAGTACACCGTAAGATACTTTCGAAGTAGCGAAACATATACTGTACCCAAAATCTCGTTAAAAAACTCTGCGTTAAAACCAGAAGAAAGCCAACACCGTTACGATCTATAAAATCTGGACGCGTTAGTTATTTGTACAAATGGAATAAAGCTGACCATCAACACCACGTTGATGCTGGATGCCGATACGCACGTACTTTGTGCATCGAGGTCGCGCTTCAACAATCACGCATTCCCCTCAATCGGCGCCGGTAACTCCTGCTCGGCGGGTGCCGGCTCAACTGGTAGGGATGGGAGTGCTGCAGCGGATGCCGAAGGACTACGGTGTTCATAGTTGACTAAACGTCTTCCCACCAGGAATCTAAAATACCGGAAAACGGTTTCCTTATGCAAGCGGAAGTAAAAAGAAACAGGGAACAATGTCTCAGTATCTAGACAGCCACAATGTTTTTTAAGCTTGTCGCTCCTCATAATATCTGCTGTTTTTTACTGACAACAAATACGGATTAAGGAGTGATAGGGAAAACGAACTGCAAGCAGGCGAGCAACATTTAAATAGACTTTTAGTCACTTACAGCTCATCTTTGATCTGATCATGGAGGATTTTAAAATAGCCTAAACTGGCAAGTATCCCAAATGCCGCAAACAAAATTCCCAAAAACACCACATGCGCCAGTGCCTCTATTGCATAAGCCTTGAAATGATCATCCATCGACGCCGATTCTTCAGTAACCAGCAAATTCCAAGTACGGACCAGGAAAAATGGAAATGCCAGGTAAAGCAAGAGCGGTGCACTGATCGGCCATATAAAAGCTCTCCACAGAAACGTTAAATTCATATTTCGGAATCCGTTTGCGTACACCTGAAAAATTCATGAAATAGGATTAACTGCCACATGCAAACCGAGCTAAACAGATAGAGCGAAACCTTCTATTTCTTAGAATCCTTTGAATAAAAATTTAAAAGTAAAACTCAAATAAGTACTCAATTACGAAGACTCGACCCGAATCACATAAAATTATACTTTTTGAACAAAAGCCGCAACTAATAAGCGCAAGAACAAGCAAATTTCGAAGAGTGAAAAGAATTTTGAGAGGTTTTCGATAGTTTGCCGAAAATAACAAAATCATTAACAACAAACTTTTGACGCCTGCTTTTACTTAAAATTCGGGTTTTCCAAAATGTTTTCATTACCTGTTCCAAAGCCTGTTTCCATGGGTTATTCTCCGACATCGCCACAATGCAGAAAGTCAGCACAATTTTGACAATTAGGGCCCCAAACACAAAGCACTGCAACAAAGCATCACTACAAGAGCTCTAGAAGCTAGAGTAGTAAATTTACAGACTCCTTACACGATAAATTTGAAATATCGATGACTGGTCGAAAAATAGGGCAACTGGTTTTAAAAGCGTGACTTCAAACGTCAATCCAATCAGGAGCGGCAACCACAGCAGTACCATAACACATGCCACCAAACCCTTCAATATCACAACGCCCCAAAACTTCCATCGAAAACCACTCAATCGCACATTATTCCGTAGAGATGTATTCAGCGTCCTTATTCCTGATGGAAAGCCAAAAGTAATGCGATACAGCCATACAAAAGTGAAATAATTGGAACTAAATGATGTTTTGTCAAGTCAAAGAGATATACTGTAAGCAGAATAAATAAGTATGACTTACCTTTAAATGCAATCGCCAAGGTGAACAAACCAGTAAACAGCGTATAAATATCATGGACCGGACGCGCGCCAAACCAAAAGCCAAGAACCAGCCGTCCTAACGAGACCGGAATCGTTAGAAGCAGCGCACTGATAATCATTCCAGTCACTGCTAAAATCGCCAGCAGGAGAAGCAACCGTCCCGTAAAGTGCTTAGGTTTCTGATACGGTTGAGCCGGGCGGTTGGGAGCATTAACCAGCATCATGTCCAGTTGGTCATGAGCGACACCCAAATCTCCGTCATTATTATTGGCGTTGTTTGCGTTCGGATTGTTCTGTATTACCGGTTGCTGGTCACCCAATAAATAGCTTCGCATATTCAAAATCCGGCCCACGCATTCCGCCCAGGTCAGTATCACCCATTTAGCAAAGCTGCGAAGTGTCGTTTGCTGGAAAAGGGAAGGCCCTAAATAATAAACACCAAAATTTACATGCGATACATGAGCAATCAATGTTTCTTGATAAGAAAAGTGAGAAGACAAATATCTCTTTAAAACTGTTAAACCAAAACCAGTTAGCTTCAATAAATTATTTTCTGGAACATATCGTTTTTACCGATATAATGCAGAATTGCAAACTGAATCGTCAGTTCCCCGATAGGCGATTCTTCCAATAAAGCCAGATTGTATGGGAAGAAGCCTTTCAGGTGGCGACATAAAAACCGCACAGGAAGGTAAATGGTTACAACAATGACGACAATGAACAGCAGCAGTACAAAGGTGAGATTCCGTAGAGATTTTCCGATTGGCCACATGACAAGTTCCTTGAAGGGGTTCGATTCCTGATAGCTCCGCACAAACCAGAGCAGCCCAGGACGTAGCGTTTCCCGGGTTAGCAATACGAACCACACAAAATACGATATGAAGAGAACTCCCAAAATCCAGTGTAAGAATACAAATGTCCCAGGTGCCGTTTCAAAACTGCGCCATCTATCCGCCATCGTCGCATTCAGCATTTCCATACATGAGAAATCCGCTAGACCTCCAAAGAACGCCGGAAACACGACCGCTTCAGTGAAGAACAAAACGCCAGTCTTGGTAGCCAGATAAAAAAGCCCAACAGCGAACTTCACATTGGGATTGCTGAATCGCCGGAAATAGGGTAGCGCTCGCAAATAATCTCTTCCCAAAATATCATAGGTCTGTGAGAAGCAGAATGCGAATGCAATATACCCGAAGTACAGGTATATGACGGTTTTGTACTGGCACAATTCGATAAAAGCTGCCGTCTTCTCGTGAAAAATGGGATAACTGGCCGTGATGTTCGCGCTAATCGGAGCCGCATTCAAAACCTATAAACAACTTTCATTAACGATTGTAAACAACATCAAAGACATGACCGATGAGATTATCAAACCATAGCTGGGTGCTCTTTTAAGCACCGAAATCTTCATCTAACTCACTTTACATCCGAGGGCGAAGACTCCCGGCAGTAGCTCGTGAACCACAGCTCTACCGCAGATGAAAGGTAGCAGATAGAAAACGGTCACAAACGCCGTGCAAAGAACAGAGAACCAGAAAGCGTATTCCAAAAACGCATATGTTCCATCGAGCCCAACAATGTGCCCCAAGGCAATATCTTCACCGAACGCGCCCCCAAATCAATATTCGGTTCAGCGTTATTCGCGGCGGGGGGCACGGGAGCGGCAGCAACCACCGGCGGAGGTGGAGGGGGTGGAGCGTCGGGAATCCCCGCGTTGGCCTGTCCCCTCCTGCTCCAACCGCATCAGGATTTTGCCCATTTCCCTGATCAGCGTTCACCGCATCCTCAGCTGCTTGACCATTCTGAGGTGGAGCTGCCGCCGGATCCGCTGGCGGCACTGGAACAACGGCAGGCTGAGGTGCGGCCGCAGCGGCCTGTGGGAGGACAATCCAGGGGGGATTCCATCCGTTATGAAGCACTTCGTCTCTCAAAAACACGAAGCTGAACAAGATCACCATTGTCATGCCCATAATTATGACACCTTCGCCAATATCGGTCAACGGATTTGGAGAATACCTGCAGGCAAAATAATAATAAAAAACCAATTTTGTAGAAAAGGTTAATAATCTACATATGTTGATGCACAAAATCACCAACCCAATCCAAATCAATCGCTGAACGGCGGTCATGTACCCTTCTTCGCGAAAAAGGAGATTCTCCACGCGAGCTACAACACGGATAAATTAGTAAATTCGTATTACCGTCCAATCACTTTACATCTACCGGGGTACAACGATTTATTTACCGCAATAATTCGGCAGCAGTATCAGCCATACCGCACCCACAAGTAGTCCGTGAATAATTTTCTTGAAGCACTGTATGATGCGTTTCTTTACGCCACGCAGGAGTACAAAAGGTGGCAATCTGGTTGGCGTGTTGGGTGCATAGATCGGACGAAATGTGAAACGGTGCTAAAACAAATGTGAACAGCATCTTCAGGCTGTCACCTCGCCGATGGATTATGAAATACATAGGTGCTGCATATACCTGACACAATTCGCAATAATGGCGATTGCTATGGTTAAGCCATTGGAGAAGGCAATCCTGTGAGAAAAATCAATAAATTATTTATAGTGAGTGCTATGATCTGTGCGGAGGTACGCCAAGGCCACTGAAGGGCATTCAAACACTCGCAAAATTAACGCAGACGCTAATAAATTTCGTAGTAGTCATTTGCTAATTGTTATATCACGGAAACGGGATAGTGTGAAAGTATGGCAAATTCGTAAGACATTAACAGATTCAAACTCCATTGTGGCTTAAGATTATTACTACAGAAATGAGAATTCGTAAGAGATCTACATAAAATAGATGTGTAGCACCGCTCTAAAGTAAAAGTGTTTTGCTTTTGGTTACTTACTTCGTGTACGTATCGAATGGATCCGGAGCACCTGCACGGGTGAAATAACCTAGAACGAAAATTCAAAAATAACATAAAACTCTGCGCAATATGATCAAGCCATCAAGGGTTCTAATCTACTCCTTATTGTCAGCGCTAATGCTTACGGGTGCTCTGCTGATCCTTCTCCACGACACACACGACAAATATCATCTATCGAAGGGTCCACATCCTGCCATGCGGGAGGAAGAGAACTTGGCAGTCCTGCAAGACTACTTTCTCGGCCGTGTTCAGCCATGTTCTGAGATCAAGGATCAATATCACAATGTAAGCCTACAGCTGACTGATCACATCTGCAGCTCTGGCAGCCAGCTCACTTAGAACTGTGAAATCCGCAGGCCAATATTTTAAACTCTGAAGAGTGAAGAGTAACAGACTGTCTTAAAATGATATCAAATGACGGCTAGAGAGAAATTTCATAATTCTTCATCCCATAGAGTTTGACTTTAAACTACATATTTTATGGATAAGCAATCCTAAACGTCTACCAAACTGCTCAAAGATTTTCCAGTCAGAAAAGCTGTAAAACGACTCAAAACTGCATCCTTTTTACTTGCTCAGATTTTAGTTCCGCGATGTTAAGCGAGCCGCGAGCGGCAGGTTAATAGCTTACAGGGATTGTATGATCTGAGTCGAAGCTACACTACATGTCTGCTTACATTAAGCAGCCCTGCGCGGTAAATAGCGTCCCTGTTGGTTCATCTTTTTCTAGTAGGCGGGACATTGAAAAAATTCCATTCAGCTCGGGTATCAGCATTGGCTGTACTCGTACATACGCCTTGATGCTGTTTGACATCCCAGTGCAAGTGGCCAAAGCGGAAAGCGTCCCGAAATCCTTAAACCTGTTGCTTGCAGGGCGTTCTTCTTTTCGGTTTGTTTGGCATTTATTTTTCGCAGATTTGACAGTCAGAATAGTTTATCTCGGGAGTGTGAATTAATCCTAATTGAATCACCCACTGCCCATTCGGGTGAAGTCATAAGGATTTGAAGGACGTGAAGCTGTTTCTTGTAAGCGTGTGGGAAAGTTCTCGAACCCGTCTGGAGCAGCTATGAAGCCCTTCTGTGGACCGACCTTATCGGGATGCGGTGTCATTCTCAGCGTTTGGGGAATAATCCAACTGGCTGTAATGGGAGCGCTTTTTTATGTGCGTTCTGTCAACCTTGCTGAAGACGTCCCAATCCACGACTTGAAAATTTACAGCGATCCGGACCAGTATGGTCATGTGATCGATGCTTACCATCAACAGGCGTACAACTGTTGGGTGTGTGCTGGACTTTACATTTTGCTACTTGGACTTTCTGCGCAGCAGATGTGGCTGAATATAAAACCTGCCCCTTATACGGGAATGTGAGACCCCGTTGACCACGTCATGTGATTTCCATTCCTGATGTTCCGGATGTAGTACGCGTGCCGTGTGCCTTCCATAACTATAGTCCCTGAATTCTCTTCTGGAATCTAGATGCCTTGGCTGCTGTGAATCTTGTAAAAGAGTGTGTGAAGCCTAAGAGCCTTTCGTCTTAGTCTTGGCCTTAGTATATATCAAAAGGAACCGAAACAATAAATTTATCTCATTTTATCTTATTTACAGTTCGTTTGGTATGCCGTAATATTATTCGGTTTGCTGCTTCCATTCATGTTTTCAGCTTTCGTTATGATATTTATCCGGATTCCAGATATGCAGAGCGTGCCAGCCTTCCAGGCTGCCGGACTTGAAAGTCTGTTCTTTTCATAAAGTTTATTACCATGTTGCTTGTGTGTGTTTTCGGTTTTGGTTTAAATACAGTAAACTGTCATTTTATGAAAAGTTTTTGGCTGTGGGATGTGGCGAGTTTTGCTCTATTGCTTGCTATGTGATATTATTGTGATGCACCATGTAGTCATGTACGTAGCTTGTACTGATTTACTGACGATTAATCGATCGAAAGCTAATCATTAGCTTTCGCACTAATTGCAGGCACTAAAAGGCACTAATTGCATTAGCTGCTAATGCAATTAATTTTGATTTTAATGCGGAAATTCTCTGTCGTTTCAGACTTTTAGTGTACTCTACTGCCTTTACAGTTTACGTCCTTATACGAATATTACGATTTACTGAAAACACCGTCTATCCCTGCCCGCTTTAATTGATGCGAGGGATTCGGCTGCCTCTTTCGCATGTTTTTCTGACAAATACATTTTTCTTCAAAAATTATTAGGTGCAGTGGCTTGCTCATTATCCAGAACACAATAAAAAATTTTCAAAAACAGGAATGTTAACTTTTAGACAGCCAGATTCGATTCGAAACAGTTTGGAGTTTGGACTCTTGTCTTGTACTCGTATTTTGAGGACTGACTCTTTATACTACGCAGGGGTAAGTACAGTACATGTGTACGATAACAGTTATTCTGTCAATGCGGTATTAAATCAGGAATTTTATTAGAATATGCTACCAAGTACTTACGAATTAGGATAATTATTTCGCAGCAATATTTACACAGACATCTCAATTAAAAATTCGTGTTTTCGCATTATCAGAAAGCCCAACATAAGCTGTGACCAAAACAAAAATAAATAAGCACAGATTTTTATTTCCACATAGTGGTAAAGAATAGCACTGAACCTTCAAATCATTATCAAAAACAAATAATTCAGTTTTAAATGCACAACAAAAAACGTTATAATTCTGACTTCCTCTGCTGCTCCTTTGCCTTGTCCTTCGCTTTAGGATCCCGATCCGTTGCCGCTCCCTGATTTTCCTTGTTGGCATCCTTGTCAGGGACGTCTTTTTTCGCCTGCCCTTGATCCGCCTCTTGTCCTCCTCGGATCTCTTCCAGTTTCTCATGAGCCGCGCCCGTGAGATGGCTGGCTTGTTCCAGAACGACTTCTTTCACCACTTCCATTTTCTCCTGGAATCCTTCCATGCCTCCCACCTGTTCCACTACGATGTCCTTGGCTTTGTTGATGACATTTTTCGCAGCGTCAACTGCCGCTCCACCCACCTTGCCGACGGTGTCAATAGTGGCATCCGCCCCGGGTACCTTGTGAATCTGATCGGCTACTGCCTGCTTGGCTTTCTTGAAGGTGTCCGTGTTGCCGATAGCGTCGGCCGCTTGTCCCAATTTCTCCTTGGCCGCTCCAGCAGCTGCGCCCAGTTTCTCTGAGATTCCGTCCACTCCGCCAGCCGCATCGAAAGCCGCTTTCGCACCGGCTGCCGCCAGGGTGGCAGCTTCACCCAGTGTCTCACCGGCTTTGACGATCACTCGTCCGGCGGCGTCCAGCAACTGCTCGGAAGTGTGACCAGTGGCGTCCTCCACGGCTTCCTTGGCATCCTCCAGCTTTTCACCGGCTTTGTCCTTCAGCTCTTTCGCTTTACCCGAGGCAGCATCTTTCGCCTTGCCAGCAGCATCTTTTACGTCATCGACTTTATCCCCAGCGGCGTCTTTTGCTTTATCAGCGGTTTTCTTCGCCGCATCTTTCACGTCGTCAGCGGTTTTCTTGGCTTTATCTTTCGCCGAATCTTTCACATCCTCAACCGTATCTTTGGCTTTTCCAGCTGCCTCTTTGGCTTTGGATTTGACATCTTCCGCTGTGTCTTTCGCTTTACCTTTGGCGTCCTGAGCAGCATCCTTCGCTTTGGACTTGACATCCTCAACGGTTTCTTTGGCTTTGCCGGCGGCATTTTTTCCGGCCGCTTTGGCATCCTCGGCGGTCTCTTTCACTTTATCGCCCACCTTTTTAGCAGCGTTCTTCGCCGAGTCTTTGGCGTTGTCCACAGTGTTTTCGGCGTCATCGGCCATTTCCTGGGCTTTCGACTTCACTTTCTCCTTAGCATCCTTGGCTTTATCTGCGAGATCATCTTTTGCATCGCGGGCTTTCTTCACTCCCTCCTTAGCAGTGTCCCGGGCCTTATCTGTTGCATCTTTGGCTTTACCTCCCAAATTGTCTGCCTGCTGTTTGACTTTGTCGGCGGTTTCGTCTATAACGTCTTCCGCTTCGTCACCCGCCCACGGCCATTGCCAACTAAAAGTAGTGGCGACTAGGAGGAAACTGAGGAACAGGATAGGAATGTAACGCATTTTGAAGATCAACATGGAACCTACAAACAAGACCCTGGTAAAATAGCGAAATATTCGGCGACAGCCAGACACGTTGGCACTGCCAGTCAGTACGCTTTGTAAAATCGATACAGCGTCGGAAATAAGGAATAACCAATTCCGACTGCACAGCAAGTACGGGCATAATTATATGCCTGGTTAACGATTTTGAAGTACGCAGAAAAGCGGTAGAACAATCGAGTAGTAAGTGCAATATCATTATATATTCAACTAATGTCTATATTTTTGCATTCGTCGCAAAAATTCGCTTTACCAAAAGCCACATAAATAGTACCGATTCACCCTTTGGACAACAGTACAAGTTACAGCTCAAATTAAAGTTACTGGCATAATTACTGACCGGTATGTTTTGAACTTTACTGCGCAATAACGACGATCCAAACAGGTTGATGGCGATATCCGGCTAATACTGGCTCAAGCACGAAACAATTTTAGTAAACTTTATTATCAGTTTTCAAGCTTAAAACCTGCAAATTATAGGCTTTATAGCGAAGTGGGAGACAACACGACCTTAATATAGGTATCTTGCCGCACAAAAATCGATTTTCACTGTTATCGAATGGTTGTGCTCATTGCACAGCAACCTCAACTTCTAACCATGGGAAATTTGGAAAATACATTTACGAACCGTAGCGCACGAATCCGGTACGACTACGATATCGGGTACAACCACGGCTGCAGTGCCGCTGCACGTCTGTGTTGTGATACTACTCACGTTAACGGAATGCATTGATTACGCGGCATAATCATGGGAATTCCCCGGTTGAATAATTTGTACGTGCAAGATTTACCCACATCTCTTGAGTTAACTCCCCTTTAACATGTTTCGCAAACGCTCGTATTTAGTACTATATATGTTCGAATGCGGAAAATTACTTGCCCGTATTGTTTGAAAATAATTATTTGAAAGGCCTGTTTCTACATACAGACTTTACTTGATAGCCGCTGACCTATTACCTATATTTTCTTAACGCAGTGAAGACAATAGGTAAATGAACAGCAGTTTATGCAGCACTAGCTATTATTATAATTAAGTATGTAATGCAATCCTGAAGATCGAAATTCTTAATTTCAGAACTTTTAGATTAGACATGGTGGTTAACGATATACCGTACTTATAACACAATATAGGGACGTTAATACCAATAATAATAATTACTGCTTTTATATAGAACTTACTTATAGAACTTACTAATAGTAAGTTCTAAGCTTGCTAATAGTTTTAAAGGAACTTCTTGACTTGAAACATCAGGAATTTCGACCAGCTCGATTGTTCGTTAGCTTTTGTGCAAATTTGTAGTCATCCGTACTGCAAGTACTGACCGTACAACCATCGGCTATAGAATTACATATTAGTTATTAAATCATTACTGTAGAAGTATACAAATAAAAAAAGTAGCAGTAAAAGGGTGTTTACACTTTTCAGTTAGTTTAAGTACTGTACTGTACAGTATTGTAGATTTGTTTTCGTTTAAATGGTTTCTGCATTATCTCTTTTGAATTAAGTAATTTTATAAGTAAAGTAATTAAGTAATTAATTCTGCATCTGTTCGATATAGAAAGTATTCTTCCTCTCTTTCCAGGCTAACATGGCTGATGGAGGAATGGGTGGACTCGGCAGCGGTGGACCAGGAATTTCTCCTGCACTTGGATCTGGCCCAAGCAACCCAGAAGGATTAAGCGGGATGAAAGGTCAGGGTGGCGCCGGTCCAGAAAATCCGGATCCCAAGCCGGCAGTTCCCGACCAACCGGGAGACACCATGCACACAACCAGAGCGCCACGCAGTGGACAACCCGGAGCGGGAAATATCCCAGAGCCTGAAGGAAAGCATGACCCTACACAACCCAACAAGGTTGACAAGGACAAACCTAAGAAAGTGTGATCTGGGTTCTAAATGTTGTTAGTTTGTACTTCGGAAATCTGATATGGTTATAATTTTATATAGATATCATATATCTATATTGACCTCATGAAGCACGATACCGTTGATGCACTTATAAGAGTTACCGGCTTATATATCGTAAAACAGATTCCGTTTTTAAAGCTTTTGGACATCGTGTAACTGATTACTTTTTACTTCGCTATTAAAGTCCGTGTGGCAAGTTTTTATTGTAAATTCGTCTTCAGTTGTAAATTCGGACTTCGATTACTGTACTTGAACTACTACTACGAAGTATTATTTTTAATGATTGTGTATTGTTCTTCTTACTTGCAAGTTGCAAGTAAAGGTGCTTAAACTCAATTTTGTCGGCTTGTGACCGCTTGTTCTATTGTTTGATGGACCACTGGTGACCTTCGAAGTACTTATTACACAGAATATTAATTAATTTTATAAGTAATATGAAGATTAAATTATTGAAACAATTTTGTAACTTGTACTGACTTGTGAGTAAGTATCGCACCAGCCTTGAACGTGTATTTGTACAATGCGCTCATCGTCATGCGGTCATTATTGCGGTGATACGCCGCTTATTTCAGCATTTCCGCATATAAATCCAACTGCCTCCCGTATGCGCGAGTTCTTTACGGAATTTTCCGTTAGCGGGTGCGGTGGCAGCTGCCTAACAGTGCGATATTTTATAATCGGTTTTGAGTGATGACTACTGAGTACAGATACACTTTATTATACAGTTGACTACAGTTCTTGGACATTTGGTATGTCAGAGACTCAGAGTTATGTCAGAGAAGTATATTCTGGAAGTATCGTTTTTTGACTGTGAATGGGTAGTAACATATAAATATCATCCCCGTACGTATCTTGCCAGACAAATTTTCTACAGCTAGCATTAGTTTTGCCACTGTTATTTGAGTTCAAGTCATCAAGTGGTCTGCGAAAGTCATCATCGGTCATAGTACAACAGCGTTGACGTTGGGAAGTTTTGATCATTTGTCCGCTCACTGCCGGTCCCAGATTCTTTCTCTTGTTGTGCGATATGGATCCCGGAGGTTTCAAGCCGACAGGGCCAGGTTTTCCTGGTCGGAAGCCGGAAGATTCAGGAAAAACCGACAGAAATCCCTCATTGCCTGGCGCTCCAGGGACGTCCGCATCTGGGATGAACCCAGACCCTTTTCCGTCGTTGCCAACTATCCCACAAGGAAGTTGAAGGAACGCCCACGATTGGACCCACTGGCATTCCCCAGCCACCTGTTCCTGATCATCGACCTATTGGTGATCCGCCTGTGCCCGGATTAGGGCTGCCTGAACCGATGGACAAGCCAGCGTCATGATCGGATTCGCGCATTGGTCTCCTGCCTTCGAGAATATACGTTATACAAATTACAAAGTACATGTATATTTTTGGGGAAGCAAATTCCTTGTATCGGTCGCCATCGTTTTGTCCCAGCTGATTTTTTTTAACTAATAAATGAATAATACTAGTTTTGTCCGGTACTGTGATGGATATTAATTTGTTGTACAAGTACAGGCTTTGAATTGCAGAATCACGGGTGTATGTTAAACTATGTTTAGAACTTTAGCGTTGCTGCTGGTACCTAGCAGTTGTATGGACAAATCTGTTGCTTGTTATTAAACAACACAAGTTCAGAAGTGACAAAGTCTTGCCCTGGGGGCTGGGAGCTGTGTTTTTGCTTGATTTGAGTCTGTGCTGTTTCTGTAGAGTGGACATTGGACTCCAATAATTAACTCCGCATGTTTATCTATGTTACATTTCTACCCTGTCTGTACTTGAAAGTTGAAGTATACTACTACTAGTACAGTAGTGATCGACAAAACTAGCTGTTTCTGTTTTCAGAATTCCAGATACTACTTACATAAGTCACTTATGCAAGCATCGATGATCGCGACTTTATTCGCGAGAGTACAATTGTCAGATTCGGGTTTGTTTCTTATGGAAGTAACGATCAGTACACAAAAGAAGAACGAAAAAAGCGTGCAATTTGTGGCGATGTGCAGTGTGCACGTATAAGCACAATACTGTGTAATAATTATAACAAGCAGGACGCGCGGCGCTTACGCGCCGCGCTGACGCGGCCCACGGTTTCAAGCGGCTTAAAAGTGTGGGTACCGCACGCGTGGCCTTCGGTGACCAAAGGCATTCGGTGACGAAAAGCTTAAAAGGCCTTCGTTGTCAAAAGGCTTAATAAGGCGGGTGCCGCACGCGTGGCATTCGGTGACCAAAGGCTTTTTTAGGCCTTTGGTGACCAAAAGCTTAAAAGACCTTTGGTGACTAAAGGCCTAAAAGGTCTTCGGTGACCCAAAGGCCTAAAAGGCATTCGGTAACGGAAAGCTTAAAAGACCTTCGGTGTCCAAACGCGTTAATAAGGCGGGTACCGCACGCGTGGCCTTCGTGACCAAAGGCCTAAAAAGCTTTCGGTGACCAAAGGCTTGAAAGGTCTTCGGAGGCTAGAGGCCTAAAACCATTCGGTCACCCGAAGGCTCCAAACCCCTTCGGTGACCAAAGCTTGAAAGGCCTTCGGCGACCGAAGTCTTGGAAAGCCTTCGGTCACCAAAGGCCGCAGCTTCTGCGTGAAACCTACCGTTTCTTTAAGGCTTGCACTCTTAAAAGTCGTAATGCTGGCTTTAGCCAATCTGGTACCAATGTTTCGAAAGCTTGGTGAGCGCCAAGGCTGAAGGTCGGATTTGGCTATTCAGGTAAAAGCTTGCATAGGTACTAAGTAAAAGCTTGCATAGGTTTCGAAAGCTTCGTAAGAACCAAGCAGGCCCGCGCTGGGGTTTTTTGATAGGGGGGGCGGAATGCCGCCGTGGGGCGGCGTTTTGGCTAGAATTCGCCGGGGTGGCGGCCAGAAACTGGTGGGGGCGGAGGGATGCGGAAGGGGGGGCGCCATACTTTAAATTCGCCCCCCGGCGGCCAAAAACCGAAAAATCGCCGCCCCCCCGGCGGCCAAAAATCGAAAAAGGGGGGGGCGGCCGCCCCCACCGCCCCCCCTCCAACGCGGGCCTGGAACCAAGCCAAAGGGAGTATCTGGTTCAATGGACGAAGTTGAAAAGTCTAAAAGGCTGTTCAGGGTTAAAGAAGCCCTAATGCTGGTTCTGGCCAATGAGGAAGCTTTGGAGGCGGGAGTGTGACGCACAGACAGCTCTGCTTTAATTAAATGATTCTCAAGGCCACCTTGAACTATAATTAAGAACTCTAGCGGTACTGGCATATTTTACCGGTAGAGTTCTTAATTATTTGTTAATTTGTCATACTTGTTAATTGTTATAGACTTATGGTTATAGCAGTCTATTAGCAGATCACTTTTTAAGTGAGTGGAACACTGGGACCGAGTCCTTTTTTTTTGCTATGCTGAATTTGTGCATGTGCTGGTATGCATTTATGTTTATTCCAGATAGTGACTTGAATGTGTCACTGTCTGGATTGCACGTACGAGATACCAATCCTGTTTGTGGTACACTACACAGTACACACACACTATGATTGTACTGATTTCTTGATTATTTACGATAGTACTTAACAGAATTTACTCCTTTTGAATTAGCTGTACGCTTTTTTAATTGTTGTGCGAAATTAATATAGTATATGTAGATCACATACTCAGATGCTTCAGATGATCACATACTCAGATGTAGATCACATCACTACTGTAGATGCTTCTTCCAATAAAGTACCGACATTAATATTATCCCGTACGTAGCTCGGTTATGGGGGTGAAACTTGCTTAACACAACGTTTATTTTTGCTGATAAAGCTCACTTGTTTAGTGCTGTGCAAGTTTTTATTCCGCCACATTTTCGCCATTGTGCTTACTAACTACCGCACCGGTACATAGCATTTAAGTTTTAACCTACCGTACCATCAGGTAAAACTGTAAGGAATCTTCAAGAACATGTTTGCCCACGCAGCACGGTTTGTACTGTGCGTTACAGCGTAATATACATACGCACTGGGATTTGTGTTGTGCCTTACGTCGCCGAACTTGCCAGACGGCTTATAAATTTTAAGCTTGCCGAAAGTGATTTATATAATGTTGTTTCTTTGTGTAAGTACGTTGTTTTGTGATCATCGTTGTCGCACCACCGCTTCTGTAAAAAGTTACCTTCACCGATACGTTCAAGGCTGATTCATCTTACCTTTAATGCTGGAGAGATATACTGCGCCTTCAGGTAGCGTAATAAACATGCACCCATCAGCGTAGCGACAAGGCGCAATGTTGCAGTGAATTAGCGGCGCTCTATATATTTTATTTTCGCATCGCACATTATCCAAAGGTGGTCTTTAACGTGCTCTTCTAAGTCTACCAGTCACCTACGACAAATATTAACTGCCGCCAATGTTTATAAATGAGTGACTAAATTTACAGCACGATCGGCCAGGTTGCGAGAACGGTAAGGCAATGTGTTAGCGTTGCCGCTACGGTTGCAGAGTACATAACAACGTTGTGTGAATTCAGAGCATTTCTAGAAACCAGCGTGCTGGAGTGTACCTGCTGAGTTAATAGACTTATCGATCAAACGCACAGTTCTGAAACAAATCTTCTGCTCATGCTTAAAGCCCTAAACGCATCATCATCCGCAAATACCAATATGGATACAGTAAGATCTGCAATATAGCAGCTGCCGGATTCCATTTTTGTTTCCAAGTGAGATTTTTTATTCGCTTCCCATATCATGGGCGCAGCACAAGCGAAACCGGATCTACGCATGCACCGTCAACTGCGGGAAGAATTACAGCAGAATGAGCCGCTACGGAAAACTATTCCCGGCACAGACCGATCCATGTCAGAACAGATGCAGTGGGGACCGTGGCAAGGTCAAGATGGCGATAAACCGCTGCCGACGAGTGCAGCGGATGCTGAGGAGGAATTTCGAAGACGGACCTCATCGGTTAATTCCGCCGATATCGATCCCAATTGGTGGCACAGCAGTGGTCAACAGAAAGAATACCAACGGGAAGTAATAAGAAAGCATTCGGCCCACGCCGATGTGGATATCCCACGACACTGGTGGTTCCCCAATACTACCAATGAAAGCGCTGTTCAAAATTCAGCCGTAGCGGAAACGAGAGGGTGAATGAGCGGCTATATGCGACGGCACTATAATGCGCTATACTCTTCCGCCTGCTTTTTACCTGTAAGTGGAGCAGCACAAATGCAAACGGAAGTGCACAAGTACCCATCTCGCTTTGGTTTGCTTAAAATGTTGATTTTTTGAGCGTTTATTTTTGATTAGCGGATCTGTTTAACCAATTCAGAATGGTTTATGCATTTTTCCTCGTATAATTATCAATCTATGGCTTGTTAATTATCTTGTGCTGCCCAGTGCACGTAATTGTACATCCATCATTGTCAGCGCGACATAATATCATCCCAATTTGTGTACAGAAAATAATCAATGACCGCAACGCGCGCTTTGCGTTTTCTCGATATTTGGATAAGTAATTAAAACGGGGACATAAGACTGACCGTTTCGATAAAAAAAGTTCAGATTGTTCTTCTTCCTTTGTATGCAAGAATGATAAAGTTGTTTGAAAATATAGATACAACACTTCTTTATCAGCTACAGTTAATTTAGAGACGCTCTGCTGCTCGTTACATAATTACGGTACACAAATAGCATATCATAGATATATTATATTTTTATGAGTGCGTACACATGCAACTCGACACGAACAAAGCAGTTGTGGCATAATATCATAAAGACCGACGGTTTGATTATGTTGGTACAAACGCGTAACGCCATAATTATTCAACTCTGAAACCGAAGTACATTATCATATTTGTATGTGAATATGGTACATATAATATAAATGTATTTGAAGATATTCACCACGCAAAAAATGGTAATTTTTTAACTACCGGGGTAGTTAAATTAAATTAGTTAAATTAGTATAAATACTATAGACTATAGAGTAGCTCTCTCTGTATTTGCTGCCATACAGGCAATATTATCAAAATTCACTACTTATATTGCTGACTGACTGTAAATTCCCGGCTTAGTGCTGTTCTGGTCTATTTTAAGAATTTTATTGTGCGGGCTTCCGCAATATTCCATTCTCGACTAATCTGATTGCAAAAAAAAGATTAAATGCTTTAAAAAATATTCACCGGTGAATTGTTACCCATTATCGAGATCAACTAACAATGTAAGGAGAGTACTGTTTTAATTTATACAAAACATAATACTCAAACAAATATCTGGATCAGCTGGCTTTAACGGTCTTATTGTTTGTTTCAAGCCCAGCCGAGATCATCTTCAGTTTCAAAATCAGTTTCAGTCTCCGTATAATCCATGGGGTGAGGAAACAGACGGTTGCCATACAAGGGCTTTGGTTCCGGTGCGGTGGGCAAAAATCTCCTTGACTCGCGGCTTTCCTGCCTAACCGGCTGTGCCTTGACAAATCTTCTATCTTGTGTAGCGGCATACGGCGGTGGAATTCTGCTACTACTGCCACTGACATAGCCGGGTGAAACGGGCGGATACTGGGTGCCCGGCGGCGGCATGGGCAATTTGCGCCCCGACCACTGGGGATTGGCATTATTCGGCAGACGGCGGCGTGCATCGACCAGACGGTCCTCACCCGGTGGCGGCGACATCCAGCGATGTATGTGCTGATTCGGCGACACTTCCGATTCCCAACTGCGTCCGTTGACGGGACGCGGGGGTGGATGGGTGACATGCGACCGAGCCGCTTGCGCGTTCAGCCGCGACAGGTGATGTATCGATAAGCCGACTGGTCGCAGGTGGGTGTTGTCGCCGGTGTAGACGTTGGTGTACTTCCGGTTCACTTGGTCATCAATATGCTGCTGCTCCCGCACTCGGCGGTTTTTCATTCTTGCAGCCTCTATTGCGTTGAGCAGATTAGTATCTACATCCAACAAACAGTTTTAAGTGTTTTAAGTGTAATATTAAGTGTGTGGAAAATTGTTTACTATACATTCTCTGTTGCAGTTACTTTTTAATCAAATGTTTCGCATTTACTAGTAATTTGTTGTTTCCTTAATACTACAAATTTTTAGTAACACTCATGTATTTGTAGTAATAAGTACTTTCTTTTTAAATTAGCGTGTAGACCTAATTTAACTTTTGTCTTATATGAGATAATTACCGGCTGAAGATTGCGAGAATGCCGATGCCGGTGATAGGGATCTGGACGGAGGATTCATGGTTTCGTCATATGGATGCCGGAAGTGGACTGCTCGGCCTCCGTTGTCTTGCATTTCCGGTTCCGTTAGCAATTCTTCCTCCGTTGGGGACATTCGTTCTTCTTCGATGGTTAATGTCGGCAACGACATATCTGTGGTGTAACCACCTTCTCTGGCCGGTTCAGAAAATTTAGAAATGGAATCGTGCGATTCGCGGCGTCCAGGGTCCGACTGTTCTGGCGGCGCTGACGCATGTACCGTGTCTTCGGTTTTTCGCCGATAACTACCTCTTCGCAGAATACTGAACGATCTCGTAAAAGATCTGGAATCTGGGCTTCCGGCGTTGTCAGTATCTTTACCACTGCAAATAGAGATTTTTGTGTAAAATGAAGATAAAACTTGCCATACCGGCCACCTCAGAGCGCATACAGGTCGAATGATATACGAGTAATTTAAAATCTGGACTGGAAGAATATCTCAAGTACCTTATGATTGACCCATGAGAAAGCGAATGGATTCTCGATCGAGACGGATCCTCTCCTATGCGTTCCAGACTAAGGTCGCTTTTATGATGATGTTTGCTATCCCGGACAGCTCCCAGCACTTTGGAGAATATTGTGGTTTGACGCTGTACAAAAAAACAAATCATGCGCTGGCGTACGTCTGATTTCAGAAAGTACTAATCCGTTTTTGGAACATCAGAAATTTCAAATTCCATCAGCTTCTCTGCATAATTAGTTCAGCATGCCTTAGGCTCGACTTTAATTAAACTTACCATCAGAACTTCATATACATACATTTGCTTGCGTATACAATTACTCTCACATGCAGCTTTTCAATTCTACTTTCATTTTTGACGTTCAAAGCATAATTACGCATGCTTAACGCAATTATTAAAGCCATACATATGCACACACATGCAGGGTTATCTAACAATATCTAACGTTGACACACACACACACAAATTAAAGCACACATACTAACCCCATCTGCTGATTGCGAATCCTTGCGAACCTAAGACATTATGAGGGATAAAGGGCAACCATCACGACAATTAGCATGAACAATAACGGGGACACATCTGGGTACATAATGCGACGACGCTAGATTGTATACAGCATAATTAATACCATATACAATCCTAGAACGAAACTTCACATATAATTTTGTCACATAAAAGGTTGTTTTGATAGGGGATGTTTGAGCAAAGAAACAAGACGGGTTCGGGTTTGGGACGGTCAGCACCATGCATAAAGGTCATTTCACTTTATCCATGCAACTAGAATCAGAATTTCATTATTAACAATGTAAGCGGCAGTGTACTTACCGGCTGGGCAAATCCAGTGTTGATGCCCTTTGCTTTTTGCTCTTTATAGTTCCTCCAGTTTTCAAGGATCAAATGGCCCGCATAAATCTTTCCAACCGTTAGTTTTTTATAGGTTAATTCTACAATGAATTTCTTTAGTATGTACACTCAGAAAAACCGCATGCGCTGTTCAGCTGTGAGGTAATATTAATCCACCATTTTACGCTAACCACAGACATAATTTACAGGGTATCAGATATCTATTAGATGCTGTTTTTGGTAAAAAGGTTATTACTTTAGCTATTTTCCATGAATTCAAAACGTATTCATGGCGCTCATTTTGAATAAATCTGAATAATAACCGTAAACGACAAGAACTGCGGCAGAGACTGACAGACTCAACCGGCACTGTGATGAATATAACAGCTAGTACGTTCCAAATTAGCCAATCAGAATTACTATTTTTGAGTTTCGTAATAAAACATCTACAGTTTTTGCAATAAATGAAGCACGCCTTCAGCTAAAAACTGAACGTCAATACGAACATACGAATGAAAAGCTTACCATCATCAGGAGGCACTAGAAGGTTAAGTATTTTCTTTGCCTGAATCGGCCACATTCGGCGTATTGTTTGCCGTAGCTCCTCGTCAGCCTGATCCATTTCATCCGCTAAACATGAACCCAACATCATTAAACATCTAATTCCCTGCAAATCCGTATGAAAAAAGTAGTTCTTACGGTCCCGCAGTTTTATTTCCAGCGATACACGAATCAGTGCAAAAAGAGTCGTTGTAAAATGCACCGTCCCATCGTCATCGACCGGCATGTTCATTTTGATCAGTTTCTTATATGCCAGTCGGTATGGGCACTGCCGGCCAAATCCTACCGGAGGGGTCATATTCCGGAGAAGCTCGTACATCTCCGAGTATCTTATTCGACCTCTGTAAATATGTGCATCATCAGTAAGTACTCGCGCAGTAATAATTAGTGCACTACTGATCATATGTATACGCACACTGTACATTCCGTGAACAATAATAGTTATACTTACACAGCACCAGGATCCTTTTCCGCCCACCACCGCACGTACTCGTCCAGGTGATGTGCACCAAGAATGGAAGAATCACGCGTCAAATAGTCAAAATTGTCCATGATGACCGCAACAAATAAGTTCAGCATCTGGTTTTAAAAAAAAATTTTTACATTGTTTCAATCTGTGTAAATAAGAATCCAACAGAAAGAGTGGACAGCCGCAGCTTACCAGGAAACAGCACAGAAAAACGAAAGACACGAAATAGCCATACGCCATATCCATGCCACACTGCGGCCCTTGCTGGTCTGACTCCGCTGCACACTGCTGTCCGCTGAGACATGACAGCATTATACGCTGCCAGGCTTCTCCGGTGGCACACCGGAAGAGCACCAGCAGCGACGAAGCGAAGGAACGGAAGTTACTATGTGCATTAATTTCTCGGAATGGGTCAAGTTCAATGTTTCCGAAAATCTGTTAAAAACGTTAACAACGGCATTAGTAAACAGGATGAAGTTAAACTTATTCCCGTGGCGTAATCGAGTGATTCCAATCCAGCTTCTCACCTGCATTCCAATAATGGCATATATGAAAAAGAGCATTCCAATGAGAAGGCACACCCAAGGTAGCGCTTTGAATGACTGTATAAACGTCCAGAGTAATATTCGAATGGTGTATCCTTGCCGCAGCAATTTTACTAAACGGGCAGCACGAAATAATCGCAAAAAACTGAGACTGGGGAACTCCTCTTCTCCGATTTCGGAAACGAACGTATCAATGATACTTCCGATCACGGTGATAAAATCGAAAATATTCCATTGCTCACGGAAATAATTCTGGAAATTAAGAGGGATTAAGTCATCGTTTGTACAGATGCGCTCACACAGCAATATAACAACACTGCAGCACATTACAGAGCGGGACGCAACCGGACTTGACACAGACGTCGTACAGGAAATCGGACATGTATTTTGACATTTGGACCAGAGGATGACACATGGGACAGGAGAGAACAGGTAATAAGGCTGTTTCAGGGTTAAGAGAATGACACATATGGTTTTATGAACGCTTGCAAACACCAATAAATCATCATATTTAATACTGGAAAAATCACTGCTATCTATTTGTAGTTAATTTCAAACAAATCTCGTAAGGGCACATTCAGTACAGATAGATATTTACAGTGGAAATCGCTTTAAATTTTCACCTTCTAATTTAATCTTAAAAATCACTGAGCAGTCAATAATAGCATTAAAAGTTAGGAACAAAACAAATGTAAAAATTTTGGATGAAGACTGATTTGTACTTAAAAAACGTTACGTTAAACTGCTAGTTAAATAAATGGTGTGCAGCGGCATGCTCGGTTTGGACAGAATTATGCTCAGGTGGTTTCTATCCCAAATGCCAACCTTAGGTCCGAACGCCAAAATCTTCAAGCCGCACTCAATGGTAAAAATCGTAGTGAAGGCCATATTTAAACAACCCAAAACGATTTCGTACGTGTCGTCCGGATCGTCCACCTGATCATCACAAAAACAAGCATAAGTGACATGCATTGGAAACTGACCTTTAACCCAAAGGCGACAATTTTCAACATGGATTCCACCGAGAACAGCGAAGTAAACACCATGTTGCTATACTTTGCAACTTCTTTAAATTTCTCACTGGAATCGTCGTGCTATAAATGTAACTTTTAGCATACGATTATGGGATATTTGAGGGAACAACAAACACACTACAGAGTAGCTATAGGTCTTAGCCACATAAAAGGATTTGGTAAATTGCTCTAAAATCTCGCTAATCAAAAAATTATTTTACTGACACCACAATGCTGACACCAGAATGAGATCGGCCGTAGCCTAGAACATTTTTAAAAGGCTTTCTTGTTGACGAAACTATGTAATAAGCAAAAAAGCAGCTAATATAACAAAGATTTGTGTTAAAAGCGAATAAATTACAAAAAAATTTTGAACGAGCATTTTTAAGCCATGCTTAAACCATATATTCAGGTGAGATATATGTGACAAATATTTGCAAATTTTGGTTTTGTATGACATTTAATGAATGCCGAAAGGTAACTAACAACTACAAGTAAATACTAGATATACTTTATAGGAATTCTAACGCATACTTTCATTAGCAGAACGAGAGTGTTCAATGTGATCATGGCCATGACGAAATATTCAAATCCTTGCGAAACGACAAACGACCACACTTTATACTTCCAGGGTTCCTTGGCTTTATCAGGCATAAATCGTGAAGTAGGTCGCGCGCTAATCACATAGTCGATACAGGATTTCTGTTAGGAAGCGTAAGACACAGTGAACAACAAAAATACACACAAATTGCAGTATATATGCAACTACGTACTAATTATTTAGTTTAAGCGATGCCCGACTAGTCTGAATTTATAGGGTCTTTATGTAAATATATATAATTAGTTGTACTGTACCTATTAAAACCGTACTTATTTACGTGCATTGTATTAGTGTACTCTTTCGCTACAATTTCGATGCATTTACTGAAGATACGCTTTTACAGTCACAATTTTGATACATTTACTACAGCGACAGTGCCAACTTCATACTTGATTCTTATTAAGGTCTCCGTCCACTAGTTCTTTTGATCCTTGCTCTTGAAATGTGATGATGATCAAGGCCACAAAGATATTGACAAAAAAGAAGGGGAATACAATGAAGTAAACCACGTAGAAAATCGCCATTTCCATTTTGTATGACGGAAGTGGTCCGCGCCCTTCCTGAGTGGCATCCATAGAATGGTGCAAAACCCTGAGGGATTCAAGCGAAAAAAGTATTAAACACGGTTATTATTGAGGGATATCATAGTAAAACACAAAAAAATTGAACGTAAGAGTTCTAAAATGTGTAGCAATATTAAAACTCACTGAGGCCATCCTTCACCAGTGGACACTGTAAAGAGTGTTAAATATGCATAGAACACGTTATCAAAGTGGAAATCCCGCAGCCTCCATTCGCGCTTCTCAACTCTCGGTATGAGCTTCTTTCCTTCGTATACAAAGAATTCCCCTCTAAAATTAGCGCAAATGTCACAGTTAAGGAAGGCGACGTAATTCTACATACATATATAGTAACCGCTATTGTAATACGTGGGTTATTGGCTTTAATTCCTTGTAATAATTAGTCGGCCAGAGAATGCGTTCGTGTTCAGTCTCACAATCAGAGCTGCCAATTGCATAATTCTATTATATTTTTGCTATAAATAAAAAAATAAAATAATATCTCTGTCGTATTTTATTGATGGTATTCGTAAACAAAAAATAATAGTACGAATAGAATAGCAAGATACCAGAACTTATAACTTACTCGCATTCGAACTGTGTCAACTTGGTTTCGTCCGTGCAGTAATTGAATTTCCCGTTAAACAATTGCACGGCAATGACAGCAAAGATAAACTGGAAGAGGTTGTAGACCACAAGAATGTTGAGAACGTTCTTGAGCGAATTGACCACACAGTCAAAAACGGCCTTCAGTTTCGGCACTCGGTTAATGGTTTTCAACGGTCGCAACACACGAAGAACACGAAGCGATTTGATCACGCTAAAATTCTTAGCTTTCGCTCCAGCACCAGAGGCGTCTCTGAGAAAATCACATAGCAAATGCTAATTAGGCCAACTTTGATTTTGCCATTTATAAAAAAAGTTTAAGTGTTTGAACTGTATTCACGAACCCAAATTGTCCAAAGGAAAAGGCGATCAAGGCGCACACTACGACAATGGAGTCCAAAATATTCCACAGATCGCGGCAATAAGCGCCCGGATGTAGTAATAAACCCAAGTCAATTACCTAGAAGCAAAGCAGGTAGAGTCAAATGCCGAACGCTTTCATTTTCGCTTTATGTTCACATAACGCTGACTTACTTTCAGCACCATTTCCACAGTAAAAATGCCGGTAAACACGTAGTCGGTGTACATAAGGACAATGTTTCGAAAACTGTTGGCATTAACAGGATCCTCTGCGGCTAACGATATACTACTTGCAGAAATAATTATCATGATGAAGATGTCGAAATATCGAAGGTTAACGACATTGTGGCATAATCTTCGCAATCTGAAAAGTTGGAAAGAAAACTTAAAATTCCGTAATTTTTACTATGCTTAGTAAGATGCAGGTGCTTTCTTACATATTTGTCGGCGACAGGATAAATAATGATCGATAGGGCAAGATGGGTTTGACCTTTGGTGCCGTATCCCTGACGGCTCTGTTTCGCAAATCCGAGTCACTGCTGGCCACACTTCCGGTTGTCTCGCTTTCATCGTCAGTGAGATTGGCAGTACCGTTTTGTTTGCTGTGATCCATGTTTCGATCTGACGACGACTTCACCAAGCCTTCCATAATTAGCGAATTTTTCCTATGCCTGAAAATGTAGTAAATATTTCTGTCGTATAATTAGCACATGAGTGCAAATACGAGCTGAAAAACTATTTAAAATATTAATAGCTAATATTAATAATTACTAATAATTAGTAAAACAGTATCTACTGTATATTTAAGTACGTAATGGAAGATTCAGCATACATGTATACACGAGCATATACAAATTGCATGTATTGTATATTCTGCTATATACTGCATAAACATTGCTGTATTCAAGTATAAAACGTCTGATTTTGAGCATAAGTAGACATATTTGACTGAATAATCATAATCGTATTTGTACTATACTAAATGTATATTCCACTGCCTATAATTCTATGTAAGTATCAAATTTATCGTGAAACAGTTGCATTGATAACATATATAGATACAAGCACAAAGCTTACGCCGTCGACGGAACGGATAGACCCCCGGCAGTGACATGATGACTGGGTGACGGAGGGCAAATGTTAACTTGGGGTGGCTGCACCCCCGTTAGATCATACAAATCTAGCATGTCACCATCCGCATCAAGGACTTCCGGTATCGCTTGGGCTTGTTCCTGAGCAGCTGCTTCGGCTGCCGCTTTCTCCTCGGCAGCGGTAAGTTCCTGGGCGTTGGCTAAGTTATCCACGGCAATGGCCAAGAATACATTGAGCAAAGTGTCTGCAGAAAGTAACAACCAGGGTTATGACAACCATTTAAAAAAGAAATACTCTGCAGTGTCTGCACTACTCTAGTTTTAATGTATTTCTATCGCAAGGTATACAAGACGGCGACTACTGAGTGAATAAGATAAACAATCTTATGCATTAAGTAAATAATTATTTATCCAGACGAGTACTACGTACTACAGTAGTTGATCTGATAAGTAATCAAATTTTTATATCATTACGATGCAAATTTATTTAGTGTTGAACGAGTATATGTGTATTTTGACAGCGCTCTGGCTTACAGTTTCCGAAAACCACGAGAACAATGAAATAAACACTGTAGGCCATGCCCGCTCCGTAAGCGCCCCCCGTTGACCGGATGCCATTATACATAACTTCGTTCCAGTCTTCTCCGGTAAGGATTTGAAAGACAGTCAATAAGGCAATGGGAAAAGAGTTAAAATTTCCAGGAGGGGTTCCATCTTCGAAGTTGAACCTGGTTTCAATTTAATAAACCAAATTTAGTAAATCAGAATTTTGCTGTAACGCTTCGATGAGAATACAAACTATATACGGTAGTATGCTAAATATGAAGGTTTATTATTTTTTTATTTCATAAAACTTGCATACTTCTTTTTAAAAAATCAGTACACCATGCGAAGTATTCATTTTTTCCGCCTTATCTACGCGTTTGTATATACTATGTTTAATTAAGATATATTTTTAAAAGAAACAAAAATCAATGTAGCGAAATCTTAACATTGGAAAAACAGCAACAAACAGTAAACTTATGATCAGTTAGCATGTACAACAGCTTCCAATAAAAAAAGTACACGCTTGTCAAGATTCCGAAGCATGCGGTAGAAGGGATCTCATATCAGTCAGTACAATTTCACGTACAATATAATAAACTACTTATACTGTCCCTCTTACTTTCCTCCAAACAGCTGCATTCCAAGGAGAGCAAATATAAGGATGAATAAGAAGAGCAGAAACAGCAAGCTGACAATGGATCGCATTGAGCTCAACAAGGACAACACCAGATTCCGCAAAGATGCCCAATAACGAGTCACTTTGAAGATTCTGAGCAAACGTAACGCCCGAAGAACTGAGATGCCGAAAGATGCATTCTCGTTGAACGATGCGTAGACGACTTCAAAAATGCTTCCGCTGATTACCTAGGATATCGAATTTGGATCGAACTTCCAAATAATAAACGACGAGAAAAATCCAAATGACTTATACTACGACATCTTACAATGCAGTCGAATCGATTAAAGCTGGAATGGAAGTAGGCACTGTATCCCATGCTGTATAACTTTATCAGCATTTCTATCAAAAATATCCCCAGAAATCCAAATTCCGCATAATCTGTAACATTAATCGGCTGCTTTGAATTCAAATTCGCATTAAAAATTCTTAAGTTTAACTCGCAGGTTTTTTTGTTTAATTTAGAAAGTACATACACAGAAAGGTGGTCAGGAATGCCGGTTGCCCTTTGTGTTCCACAGCGACACACATGGTATTGAGAAAAACCAGTATAATAACGCACCAGTAAAATTTTTGTGTCCGCACAGCTTTCCTGATGTTTAACCTAGAAAAGCAGCACACAGTACAATTTCCAGCTAATTTTATCACAACCAAATGCGGCCAAGAAATAAAATCGTCCATGGTTCATATAGAATTGCAGGTAACAATTTCACATATGGATTAAAAAACAAGTATTTGTTCACACAGATTCATGTACCTCAATCTCTTATTCACGCGATGGAACGACTTTGAGAAACTCTCTTTTGTTCTGCCTCCCGGAGCTGGAATTATTCACTTGTTTATTGTGCAGTAATATTTTCGCTCGGATGCATAACAACTGCATTTTGCTTCCCATACCATCATCGTCGTCGTCCCCATCATCATCTGCATCATCATCGTCGTTATCTGCCTCTTTTTCATCAGTAACATTGTTTTCTTTCTTTTTGTTTTTTAATCGATTTTTCTTGGCAGCTGCTCTCCTGCGTGCTGAAAGAAAAAAACAACCATATATAGGAATTAAAGTATAATTAATTTGTTATGACTTCTTAGAAGCTTTCGGCCTCCCCTCTCCAGTCCACATACCTTCGATAATACGCATTTTTTCTTCATCGGTAGTTTTTTCTTCTTGCAGTATAACCTCTTCTGCAAAATCATATAGTATCGGTACTCGTCTGTATATTGTACACTGTACTGTATACAGATTTAAAAATAAAATAGCCTATATATAGGAATACCAAATACTGGTAGATGCGTAACAGATGCCGGCATTTTATTGGTTACACGACAATATCAATCCAGTTTCTGTGCGTAGAGCGTGTAACTGCATGTTATTACCTGCTTTACAGATCCAGTCTAAATACCCGTTTAGTTCTCGCTCCACTTGCAATTTCCGGCGATCTTTCAAAAATTTTTGACGATTCTCGACGCGCTCTCTCTCCTTGGCAAATTCTCTAAAATTTACCATGACGTGGGTCGCAGTAATTACAATGGCCACAAAGAGACTGTAAGCCACTAACTATAAGGTACAAGCATTATATGAATAACTTAATTTCTTACCCGCTGAGGACACCAAGAACTAAATTCAGCATAAAAAACGACCCGACAATAATTAACGGTACAAAGTAGGCCCAGTTAAACATGCTTCCAAGTGCATCATCCGTCTGTAAATTCAAAACCCTGCATTATTCCAGGAATCGCAACGTCTGGAAGTCATAACATAGCTATACGTACGTAACATGTTGCATTATGTTTTCTGAAATTTAATAATTAGTGCTGTAACTTTTTTTGCGACGCAGATAACTAGAAGTGCAAAGTTTTAAATAATCATAGAGGATCCTTAACGAATATTTATAGTTTCGTTACGTCTTTGTGTTACAGCTGTAACACAAGATTTAATATGGGCGCGCGTATTTGTGTCTGTGTGCGCGACTGTACTGTACTAGAACTGACTTACGTAGTACAAAACACTGGTCCAGCCTTCCATTGTAATGCACTGGAAGACGGTTAACATGGCAAAGCCGATATTGTCAAAACTTGTAATCCCGTAATTTGGCCCAATCCACCAGCGATGGCATACGGCTCCTTCCCCACATGACTGGGGACCAGTTGCCGAATTGCTTGTATTGTTGCCGCACGGTGTAGGCACACCGCCTATCCTGACTGGCTCATCTGAAAGTTGTTAACACTTGGACGTAATACACCATTGATTCTGAATACTACCGTTACTATTAACTGTTAGGCCTATTACGTAGATTGGCATTGTTTTGATGGATATGCAGAAAGCATAAACAATTTCCATACGTACGAGTAGTTTTGTTGAAACACGTGTGATGAAAGGCCCCACAATAGAATTCTAATCCGATAATGGCGAATATGAGAATGGCGAAAAGTACAAGCAAGCCAATTTGTAGCAAGGGTGCCATGGCTCGAATAATTGATTTAAGGACAACTTGAAGGCCTGAAATTCATAATAAACCCTGCATTAAATCTTAAAATAATACAATTTTTATTTTTCGTAGTGCTCATGCTTTTACAGAATTCGAAATAACAGCAATCCAACCATTGGTAAACCAAATTATAACAGTTTTGCTGCTTCTGTTTTGCACGCACTTGGTACACCGGATACCAGCTTTAAAGGCCGCAGTACACGCACTGCCCGCAGTGTGCGTAGATCAAAACCGGAAGAAGATGCGTCTGACGCAACGATTGTAAGAAATCTGCAATAATCAGGTGCATATAAGTATAGGAAATATTATAAATACCTCTGACCATTATGCACTGCACTTATTGATTGCGTTTTTGCTATTCGATTTTATAACCCTAATAGACTGTCAGAGTCTATTGTATATATTCGTATAAAGCTGTACGCAGTGAATATTATTTAACGCTTTTGCATTGTTTCTTATGGATTTTTGCATCATTAATACAATTATTCGAACAAAGTTCCGGAAATCTCTTACCCGGTTACGACTACCGTAAAATCCATTATATTCCAGAAATTTCGCAAATATGATCCTTTATGAAGAACAAAACCTTGAGCCAGAATTTTTAATGTCGCTTCAAAACAAAACATGGCCATGAAGTAATTCTCCGTTTTTTCCTGCGAAACCACAAATGGATTAGCTCCAGCTTTTGTCTGCGTCCTTTCTGGTAGTGCTTGCACATCCTTACATGTCAGGGCGTAGAATACTTGTACACGTAATAACTGAATGTGCAATTTAAAAAATTCATTCTATTAACGTAACTGCAGCCAGGTCTTCATTTCAAAGGTCATACCGTATGGGTGTCTAATTACAAAATTTTGATGTGTGACATATCGATAGCGTCGGCTACACAGTTACCATTGAGCTGTAAGTATTATACTACAATTACTGGTATTAAATATTTTGATAATCACGAGTACATTCTTTTCTTCGTGCCCGCTTCTTGGTTGCACCTTCAACAGTGCATTTTTATGCATAATGTTAAACTGTCAAACCGAGGGTTTTTAGAAAATGTTGTAAGGCAAAATAACGCAACATTGTCATGCGGACATCCATCATGACTTTTTCAGTTTAATAATGCTGTTGACTTACTAGCTGGATTGAAAGCATGGTTTTATCGTCATTGGGAAGATGTTCCTCCATAGCCAGGACGATACAGTTGCAGACGATAGTAATGAGCACCACGTATTCAAATTTCTCGTGTTTACTGATTTTAATGGCTAATCGGCGTAAACAGTTTTCTTCTGAGAAGATGAACAGGGACGTCGGTTTTTTGTCTGGATTTGTGCGGAGGCCTAAGAAGCCCGTTGTTTTAAACCAAAATCGCCTAATAGGCCCCTGATATCGTCCTGGCTTTTTCCTTTCCGGTTGCTCTTGCTCTCCCACACTTCCAGGGTTATCCACATTTTGGTTGGCAATGTTGCTGAAAAAATCATAACTTCAAAATATCTTTAAGATGTTCCGAAACTGCTTTGTTATAGCTCAACCAGCAACATCAGGATTTGAGCTTTAGTGGAATCGTTCGATATATACTCGTATATATAAGATATATGCTAGAGGTTTGGTGAAGACGAATGAGGCTTGTATTCGTATATCAGCCGACGTACTTTTAAAACGACGTCGAAAAATTTTAGTTTTGTAATGGACGGATTAAGGTGCTATAATTTTGAAACCGCTTTTGTATAAAATTTGATTTATCTTAATTCTAATGGAATGGATACAAATTTTATAGTTATGCATAATTAGGAGAATTGCATCCATTCCCATTTTTTAGGAAGGGAGGATTCGATTCATGATTGTACATTCTATTCATGATTGTGCAATGTACCGATAAATAATTTAAAGTGTAAGCTAAATAACTTAAAGTATAAGCTAACTATTTCAAAATACCCGAGTAAAGTGGATGCGGGCAAGGCACAATAGTCTATCTAATTGTTTCGATAATATTATCGAAACAATTAGATAGACGGTAGTATACGGTAGTAACAATTAATTGTTACTACCGTATACTACCGAGATTCTAAAACGCAGGAACTAGCAATTTGAATGGGAAAACCGTGCGGATAAACGGCATTTCCGTCGGTACATCCGGTCATTATCTCATGGAAGTATGGTTCTGGTCATATATATCTTACCGTGTAAAATTGTTAAAGATTCTTACCGGATGGCGGACATGCTGAAGGCCATATTCTTGGTGGATGCCATGCTTTCGGCTTTAAGGTGTCGTCTTGTTTAGCTTACAACCGCTGACGAACAATAATCCACAGATACTATTACATAAGATCACCACGGTGGCCATATTATCCATTTTCATCCACGATGTTACAAATCATGACATCATTATTGCGAGGATACATCCTCTCATCCATATCGAGAAAAACTGATCTATTTCATCATTTCAAAATCAGTAATGTAGATTCTTTTATTGGCCGATGACTCGGTTATGATGCCAGTTCGCCAGAAAAGGGTTTTGTACTGATTTGGGTGAGTCGTCTGTTACAACTGGCAGTGGATCAATCGCTCATAAGCTATCAGCACATATCACGACATAGTCCTGCCTGTTGGCCTGCATATAATACAAGGGGAACAAGAGTAGTACCACGAACTCTACATCACGTACTGCGAATTGTGAACGCATCGTTATTACGTACTTATCCCGAGAGCGCCCAGTCCCGAGATCCCCATTGCCGTATGAGGAAGTGCGGTTGCCACCGCCCCTTAAATGCTGTTAAATGCCGGCATGTACGGTGTAAACCGCTTCTGCTTCGCCCTTTAAACTTCTGTAGTATTAAAATAAAGCGTTTTAAAAAATTTTATACTGCTGTTTGTTATAGAAATAAATATAATTTTTTACGGGCACAAAAATCATGACACGTTCAGACTTCAGAGTTGCTGCACATACAGGGCGGAAGTGAATTATGGCGAGCAGGCGCAGGTTTTCGGCACTGAGCTTGTCAGCAGATTGGCGATGATCACAGTTCGCGTTATAGCTCCTAAAACACGGATCGATTCCACAAAAGGTATCTAGTGCCCTCCATATCCATGCATGGCAGTGCCAGTGCCATGCTTGTCCGTATGCGTCGACGCGGGGGCAAACGGCATTAAAAGCGGGGATGACTATGCATCCAATCGATAAAGCCATATTTGCAAAACACGCAGCGGAATTGGTAGGAAAATGATTTATACGGTTTCCCTTTTTTCTCCATGACGAGAGAGAGCTTATCACAGGGCTTGTGCAGGCGCATGTGATCCTCTTTGATGTAGTATGAGTATACACCAATCGATACGGGTACCGTGGTGGAAAACACTGGCTACATATCCCGTTTGCTGATGTCGTGCAGCTGTCGAACGTTGACCAGTGGCTGGATTCTGCTCACATGGTTAATTTTTTGTGCGAATTTGCACACACCCGGATTTAAGCGAAATGAACAATGTAAATACTTACTCCTACCTATTTTTTTAAACGGTAAATTTGATATCTGTACTTCTTCGAATAATTCTCAATTTAGCATGGGTATAATATCAAAAGTTTATCATTTCTTTTATGATGAGACCAAATGAATATGCACCAAACCATGGTCGATAGATCCATTTGTATTTTTTCCTCAATGGTAAAAATGACCGGCATTTCGTGAACATCGTGTAGCGTGCTAATTTGCGCAGCGTCTTGCAGTACAGTTGAACTGCAACGTTGTTTACTTCTGTTGTACAATAATGCTATGGAGGTACTGCATAATAAGCCACCGTTTGACATTCTGTTATAATTAATCACATTTTCACATGCTGCAGATTAAATTTCCGTATAATAACCTTTATGTAAGATTCGTACCGGCTTGAAGCTGCATCTATTGTACATGGCGTCGGTTACGTACTATGGTATTACGTATTACCTATATTTTGGATACAGTATATAGATATTCGTACAGTAGAGTTTCCCACTTCCAACCCAAAAACGTTTTTAATTGAATAATAATTTATCAGCTGTAGCCGGCTTATGACGATACTCACCGTTCTGCACGACTAATCCCATGGCCAGATTTAATTAGTTTTATAGGTTTTTGTATTTGCTTTACTGTTAAGTTACCCCGATTCTACGGTACGCACTTTTTTAACGTTGCTTAGGCAGCTTTTAAACGTTGAATGGCGCTGCCGGGTACATAAACAATGCACTGATGAGATGTCGCAGCTACACATAGTTTCAGTATACTTATGGAGCCGTTTTTGACATACAAAAAGACGTCTCCAACTATGGCGTTTGAACGTGCTAAACGTGTCCAGAAGCGTACCAAAAACTCGGAGAAACAACGTTCGCCATTCATTTCTTTAATTACGATATCGTACCCGGATTCCATCAGTAAAAAAAACAAACAAAATTAACAAACTTAATACCACTTTAAAAAATACATCAAACACGAAGAAAAATGAAACAAAAGCCATACTCTGGGGTACAATCTAAAATCACAAATTTATTGATCACAAATTTTTTATCCAATTTTTTGGGCGCGCTGGTAATAAAATTCGAAAAAAACACGTTTTATCAACCAAACAAGAAACGTCTGACAATATTGTCGAAAATCTAATCCTTATATTGGTAATCTGGCACCTTCGAAGGCTTTCTTCCACGCATTCATCGTACGATACAGTCGATCACCGCTTGCCACCTTGTATCTGAGCCCATCCAAATGCACTGCAAAAAGAAAATCAGGCAGATATTAAAAAAGCTAACAGTTTTTGCTATATAGCAGATATACAGAAACTCACTCTTTATCGTCTGATGCAATCCAGTTGCACAATTTGCATCATTCCTGTTGGTTGATGTTGCTGATTACTGCCGACCCCGCAGTTTCTTCTGCTCTTCAGTCAACGATATCGTTATTTGCTAAAAAAAACAATCCAACTTTTAATGTTCCTTCATTTCCTTCTTACCTATCGTTTCAAAACTGCTGTAGAATTTTCAGTAATTTCTGAAATACTTAATCAACTGGCTATATAGCCGAAGTGCATTTTAACAATTTACTGTTGTTTCTGATCTAGCGATCAAGTTATCCAGCTCTAGATAAGGAATAAGCGCAAATAATATGTGAGTTTTAATCAGCAATACTGCTTTTATTTTTCAAAGGGTAATATGACTTTTATAGTAAACAAGCTCTAAAACTAATTTCTAATTCTTATTCGTAAACTTACTTTTGAGTAACTCTGCATCATCTGTGGTAGCGACGATATCGTCAAGAATCGGATTCACGTGTTGCGGACTTCGCAGGGCACTAGAGAGTGCGGCTATTTGTCGCAAAATACGACTTTCTTATCGTTTTCTTGGCATCTGCTTTACGTTTTCATCCGGATACGGCCTAATAAATAAGAATGCAAAATTAATATAATGCAATTAGCAAAACAGCTAGCTCAATTAAAACATGCGATATCGCAGATTTCCTGTAATACAAAGCCTACAACCAATAACAACTACAGGAAGCGCAACAGAAGAAATTTGTTTTACTCGTTTACCTTCTGCATGGCAGGCTTTGCTAGGAAAACTTCTTCGTCTTTTTCATCTTCGAGGCTGGCCAAATACAGACGATTATCGTCAAACTGCGCGTTGAAACGGGGTGCCCTGGCAAGAAGAGATGGTCGTAGCGCAGATAGCGGACTAACTAAAGTTCTCCGAACAGTTTAACGAGCTAATGCCTTCGTCGATTCGCACAGGAGGACATGAGCGACAGACTGGCTTATTCAGATTGTCGTGATGTTCCGAAGCAGTCGATCGCCATGTTTGCGATATCGCAGTTGAATTTTTCCAGAAAAGCGAAAACAAAAAATATAATTTCTCAAAACGGGATGACAATAACAAAAAGGAGCTGAAGAACCACGAGTTGAAAGACAAAAATATGGATTCACTCTGCAGCGAAGCAAACAGCCAAACACGACTGAATTTTCAGCTGCAAAAACCATGGCGGGTGCACTGACTTTGAACCAAGCACTACCACGCTACCAACATAATACACTTGCTCTGGTTTGGCTCTGCGGCTTTGGACAGATGTTCGATTTTGCCGAAACATAGATTTCGATAGAATACAGTATTAATTAACACAAAGAATGTGTAACAAGACCATATCGTCAGTGATACTAATAATTTGAATATTTTATAATGAGGGAATGAAGGATAAAGAAAATGTGGATCAATAAAAAGTACAGACTACGCATTAAGATTATTTCCTGATTTTACCCAGTGAGTGGCAGTTAGTCAGCAGATTCAGCACGGGCCTGCACGGCACATGTGCAGCACCTGCTTACTACGGTCTGCGAGCGGCTCAAAAAACAAACAGTGCTAACGCCTGCATTTCGACACACATTGCACACCACTGGACATCTACTGTACGTATAGTTTTTTACCGTGTAGAATCGGGTATACAATGTACTATAATTATACAAAATTATTGGGCATGTATCTGTAATTTTCTGTTTGAGATTTTTAAATATTGCGTTAACTGGCTGTAATAAGTTGGAGTTTATAAATCGTGTATATTTAACATGCTGGACGAAGACACCTGCACTATTGTAACACTGTTATTCGAAGTTATCACGGAAAACTAACCTTACTGTGAAATTCTGAGAGTCGATTCGAAAGGTGTGCATACATACCATACAAACAGACTCAAATGGCAAATGGAATTTTATTTCGCCGGTTCCTGTGTACGGTACTTCACACCCACGGTACAGTGCAATACTATAATTCAACATGCATCTGGTAAGTGTCCAAAACATTGAAAACACGCGCCATGCGGATATTGGCATGGCAAAAATGCACACTGTTCGCGAGCTTGCCACTTCGTAAGGTGTTGCTGTCCGTTGGAATGACAGTACAGTAATTGTTCGTTTTTTGGTATAGTCTTGGTTTTTTATTTTCATACTAAATGCCGTAATAGGTTTTAGGTGCGAATATGATGTGTATGAAGTGCAATATTCGCTAAATTGTATTGGATGCCATACATGAACTTGACACCCATTCCTTGCCTGGAACCATATTATTTTTATTTTGCATATACATATTTACGCGGTTCTACTGGACATAATAATCGTTGTAGTCTTGTAGATGTTGGTAAGCCTTAGGATAAAACATGGACCACGAAAAAGGCAACCAATATTCCAGTGGGGTCTCCAGTCCATCCTGCTTAGGTAGTTTTGAATAATCGTTATTACATAGTAAACAGACCTTTACTGCTTTTTCTCTGTAAAGGAATTTGTGGTTTTATTATAATAGTATGACGTGTTAAAATTTTTTAATTTGTGGCACTGATCGATTATGAAACAAATGTTTAAAAACCATTCATAGTTACGACTGTATAGCGTATCATACCGTACTGTACCGGTTATTAATTTCATAGGCTTTGTTATAATTATTTTTATGCCATAAATTAAGATTTATTGTCGTAGATGATGTTGAACAACCAATACCGGCACCATTTCCGACGCCCACCGAAGAATCCCATGACTCTGCCGAGCCTGCACCAACTAACCCAAAACGGTTATGGGTATTGTCAATAATCATGCTGTTGCTGTACGTCACGCTCGGCACCGGTGCTGCCCAACTGACCAACTTGGCGTTCGCCGATACCAGTCTTCATTTCAAAGCTCCCTATTTATTTACCATGATCAAAATGATGTTCCGTGCACAAGCATTGACGTTCTATTTCATTGGGAACACGTGTACAAAACTGTTACGTCGAAGGAAGATTGATTTAGCAAAAACGTGGAGGTATTTTATTTAAAACATGGGGCGAGAGATTTTCTCAGTTTTTGTGTTGCTGGTAATTTATTTGGCAGGAGGTGCAAAAGCATTATCGGCGAGGACGGGATTACATGGAGACTCGTGGTATACCGTTTTGGGCCAGCGGCCATTTTCAATTTGGCAGTCCAAATATTATATACGCTCTCGATGGCCAATCTCACAGCTTCCGTCGCAACTGCCTTGAGTGCACCCTCTGTCGCAGTTTCCTACTTGTTCTCCTGGTTCTTTTTGAAACAGCCGGCGCTGGCGCTTAAGGTAGAAAGCATCCTGTCCTTACTGTTAAGAAATAAGCAGTAAAATAATTATGTTGTTCCAGATTTTATTTGTGGGAGTGGCCTTTGCCGGCGTAGGTCTAATTACATACGACAGTTTTGCGAAAACCATCACTACCAGTTCTGTTGTTGGTATTGTTTGTGTTCTGCTATCCGATTTGTGCTTATCGTCGTACCAGGTACCTTCTGCAATGTGCTTTTATTATATCTTCCTTAATTGTTCATGATTACGTTTCTTAGCTGGCTTTCAAAAAAGCATTTCCAAAGGGAGATTTTGGTCAAGTGTCCTTTGCAGTAACCGGGATGTTTCTCGTTATGTGCCTGATTTACTGGCCAGTGCCGGTAGCTTTGAAATGTACCGGTGTGGAAGTTTACGATATCCGGCTACTTCCGTACGGCATTCTTTTCGGCGCATGGATATGTTCTTCATGTAAGTGCAACCATGTAATCGTTCTGATGACGGAGGGCCAAAGTCTACGTTGGAATGTTCATACTTTACTGGATGCGGAGCACTTCTAATGTTGTGTTCTGCCAGTTTTTGATCACCAGTTTTACAATACTTCCGTTATACATCGAAGAGCTGATTTTAAATCAGAAAATCATTGCTGAACTGGTTCATAATGATGATAAAAATTTTATAATTAACCATATGGTAAGTCAGAAAGCTCATCAACAATGCAACTACAGATCTGAAAATGTGGTAGTGTACATTGTGGTTCACAATTGCGCTTGCTTGTAGTGGCTGCACTGGTCTATGGATACGGTCTGGTACTGTCCACTCCGTTTTTTATGTCCCTTAGCGAGCTGCTTATAATGGTGACCAATATCGGTATGCAACATTGTCCCAATTGTTTTCCGATTTTGCATATTCAGTAATATTCTGTTACGTGGTTTGCAGTTTTTGATTCTGCTGTAAGGAAAGTATCCATATCCGCTGCCCAGATTGGCGGTTCGCTGTTGATTGGTGTCGCTTTTATTGTGGTCATTCTGCCGGACAATCTGTTACGTATTCGGAAGCTGTTCAGATGTTTCTACGAAGACACGCAACCGGCATCTGTGGAGGCGGGAGAGTTGAAACCACACACAGAAATTTCCTGTGCCGTTGATGCGGCTTCTAACACCGGTGCTGACAAGACAAAACCACCAGCAGATCCAGAAAAAACACAAGATAAAGGAGACTGAAGTTTTGTACACACAGAAATTAGCAAACTGTTTGTACAGCAGTGTTCCTGACAGTTAACAGGCCTTCGCGGTGGTAATTAATATACTGGTCTCACATGATATAAAGGACTGCTGGCGTCGATCACATGGCTGGAAGATGGATATTACATGACATTCTATTTCTAGTCATGGTTTCCGGCGCATCTCGCGTTCGGATGTGCAGTAAAAATGGATAATGTTGTGTGCATGATCGTTGAGTGGCTTTTGTGTACTGGAAATTTCATGACCGGCAACGAAAACATTTGCATTTCAGTAGGTATAGTTTTTGTGGCCGCCACAAAAAAAATTCATTGCATTATGAGACATGTGTTTGTCACTACAAATATAGTAACATCTCACATTAGTGCGATTTTTGTGGCGGACACAGAAAAACGCATAGTGGCAATGTGGTGGGAATTTTGTGACAACCACACAAACAGATATGTTTCACGGAAATTAATATAATTTCCACAAAAGGATAGCAGCCTACGCAAAAAAAGATAAAAAACACGGATAAATTTGCGATCATACGCTGTTGGGAAATATTTTTTACCTAACGTATCAGGCGCCGTGGGCGCCATGTGGCCCCAGTGTAAGGTCTGTTCCAGAATGTCCAGTGGATCATTTGTACGACAATTTTTATAAATGTCGCTTACATTCTGACCAGACGTTCCCAGTACGCTAGTTGAAACGATTCACATGTTAACACTGCATAAAATCGTGACAAAGATTAGCCGAAAGTTTAAGGCTAATTTCTGTACCGTATGCACTGGAGATCAAATCGGAAGGGATTAGTGACCAGGTGCAGACCAGCCGATTTGTTGCACAGTGGAAACATACTGACATGCAATGGCTGTTGGGGCAAGAGCAAGTTGGCTGGATCTTTACTTCCGGGCATAATATAAACGTCTACGTGGCGCTACGAAAGTAAGAAACCATGCGGATATGTACTGCTTTATTACATGGGAAAGCATTGACATAATTATGGGCAAGCATTGTACAGAAATATATATCAAACGTTTTGCGGTAAGAGAAATGACTGATCCATAGAAACTTACAACCAATGATGCAAGAGTTGCATCCACATTCTGCATTTTTTCCACACTCCCTTCCAATGATTTATGCCGGGACAGGTGTCGCGTCTACAAGTTGAGACTTAGTTTGTAACGATATGTAAAACTACACAAGCGAATCAGTATATAAAATTACATAAGAGAATCGTAAAAATGCAGTACATGGTAAAAATTTGAAAGAGATGTGCTGGTCGTGCTGCTCATACTTTTACAGAGAGTTTCTGTCGCTCTTCAAGATCCACTTCTATGAGATCACCAGCAATAATCACAGCAGCAACACAGGCCATTTTCTGTCTCTGCTTTTCATCTCCAGTTCGACCAGCGAGTAAATCTATACATGAATCCACAGGAAAGGTGCTCGTATTACTGCGGCCAAGACCCAATCCAGAAAAGAACGCAAGGTAACTGCATAACAATTTCAAACATTCATCAGCGTAACTGTTTGCGAACTACACCTTAAACAATCTTAACCTACGAAACACAGCCTTACGAAACATGAAATTTAACAACCGACAGTTTCGAAATGTGATGATTTTTTAATTTACATCTATTATTCTGTCTAGGGTGTAGTTTATGTGAACACACGGCACCAGAAATGATAGAAATATGATAAATTTGTTAATACAATACTATCTCGCCCGTAATTCACTCTGGGTATTTAAAGTAATAACATTAGTACCGGAAATATAACATAATTCGGATAGAAATGTCGTAAAATAACTGTTAACTTGCGACGGCTTTTGATAATCAAGAAATGCCGTCTCGTACACACACCAGTCAGACTCGGGAAGATCAAAATGCGGCTGCGGCGGCATGCCCAGAAACCTGTAGTCCTCCACGACGAACGCTCCAGTACCGTTTTTCCATCCAATCAGCGCCGCAATGACCCCCGTGACCACCATCGGAAGATCCAGCTTCTTTCCAACAACGATGATTCGCTGCGATTCATCCTCTATATATAGGGTGTCAGTGTCACTAGTGTAGCGTTGTAGCACAATCTGTCCATGAATTTCAAAGTCTTCGTGCATTTCCCGCAAGATGTTGGGCTTTAGCTCCATCTCCTTGTAGAGTGTTCCAATCAGGCATACTGTCTCGTTCTCCACGACGTCGCTCACGGTACATACTCTGTACTTGTGCCCTGTAGTGGATAAATCAGTAGTTGCAGATAAAAGGACTCCACAGAGCACGTGATTTGGATTGCCAACGCTTTGGACTTACCCCATGTCGCTTCAACCACCGATAACATGCGAGGTTTCAGCACAGTCAATCGCTGATAATACAACTGAGCAAACTGAGCATTAACTGTTGTCGCATAGCGAGTACGAAAAACTTCGCTCTTATCAATAATATTACCACCCTTCCGGGACATTATAACTCAGAAAAAAAGTGAACCAACTTATAACAAAAACATGTCGTAATAGTAGGCGGATGGACGTTCTAATAAATATGGAAATATGTGGTTCATAACGGTCACAAAGACTACATGCTGCAAGTAATTTCGGAACACAGCTGCCGTACGAGGGCGATATGCAGTATGTTGTAGTGTAATGTTTTCTTGTGGCCGCCACAAAAAAACTCTAATTATGCCTGTAGTGTAATGTTTTCTTGTGGCCGCCACAAAAAACTCATTATGCCTGTAGTGTAATGTTTTCTTGTGGCCGCCACAAAAAAACTCTAATTATGCTTGTAGTGTAATGTTTTCTTGTGGCCGCCACAAAAAAACTCATTATGCCTGTAGTGTAATGTTTTCTTGTGGCCGCCACAAAAAAACTCTAATTATGCCTGTAGTGTAATGTTTTCTTGTGGCCGCCACAAAAAACTCATTATGCCTGTAGTGTAATGTTTTCTTGTGGCCGCCACAAAAAAACTCTAATTATGCTTGTAGTGTAATGTTTTCTTGTGGCCGCCACAAAAAAACTCATTATGCCTGTAGTGTAATGTTTTCTTGTGGCCGCCACAAAAAAACTCTAATTATGCCTGTAGTGTAATGTTTTCTTGTGGCCGCCACAAAAGAATCTAATTATGATTGTAGTGTAATGTTTTCTTGTGGCCGCCACAAAAAAACTCTAATTATGCTTGTAGTGTAATGTTTTCTTGTGGCCGCCACAGAAAAAATCTAATTATGCTTGTAGTGTAATGTTTTCTTGTGGCAAAAAAAATTGTAGAAAAAATCTAATTATGCCTGGGATGAGATAATTGGATCAAAATGTCATTTTGATCGACAACCCGCTCTAGATGGCGGTTGTCTAGAGCAACTGGCTTGGACCAAGGGTAAATGTACAACTTAACAAGGAACGAACTGTTGACGAGACTGTGGCCCCTATGAAAATCATAATCTGAAAAAAAGTTAGTACTGTTAGCGAACTAATGTTGCACTACAGTGCACTGGTCAGTTTTCAGCTACCTGTTTTACTGCGGCATAGTGCATACTGCATAGTTACAAGTCATACGCGTCCGAGTTTTGCTGATTGGTCAGCAGAGCATCTTGATGCACAGATGCAAAATAAAAACGTAAAGTATGAGATTTTACTACATAAAAATGCAAGATTTTACTTGTACACATTTTGTTACAAAAGTAATATTCCAGCCATTTCCAGGTACACCGCGCTATCCAACGGATGAATGCGCAGCGACATTGTTTTCCTTTGCTTTGGATTAATTGTCAGTTGCCTCTTGGAGAGCGTCCTGGTGGGGCTGCTTCTGGCCAAAACGCATGTCCCGCAAAAGCGCACACAAACCCTCCTATTCAGCCAGTGTGCGACTATCTGCACCCGCAACGATCAAATGTGCCTTCTCTTCCGTATGGGAAACGTCCGCACCAATCTGCTGCTGCATGTGACACTCAAGGCGTATTTGATGAGAGATACTGGAGAGTTCCACAGTTGTCAATATGGGTGGAACTTATGGAAAATGGGTCTTCATTCAAGAAGGGTATTATGGTCTTTATTCAAGAAGGGTATTACATAGTACTGATAGTAGTAGTGGTTACATATAGTAGTGGAGATATATATATACATATATATATATATATATAAAGGAGACTGTAATATCCATCTTCAAGGCTAGTGATGGTTGACTGACAGGTGCCTGAGGCAGGTGTCCGCGACATATTATTCTGTGATACGCGCAAACTGTAATCGGCGAAATAATTAAAAACAATTTTTGCCACTTTGCACTCATGCCGAAATTTGCAATCATTCAGCTATGCATACCAGATGGATATTTAAATCAATCTAATGACATACTTGTATATCTACTGTGGATATGACGCAGTGCCCTTGATACAAGGTATTGCGATCTTTAAGGTTCCGTAATTATTCCGCTGATCCTTACTAGTAACCGCAGACTGTTACAGTTAGTCAAAATGGCTTCTTGCTAATTTACTCCGCTTCTTGGTTACTTAGTTTTCGATGACAAATGCAATTAACTAATTGGGACAAGTTCTTTATTTGATTGTGTTTACTGAGTTGTGCTCGCTGATGTAAATATTGTGAATAAAAATTTATTTATTAATTAGTACGAATACTTAAAATTAACATACTTACAAAAAAGGGGGAAATTAAAAACCGAGATACTTTGTAATTAAGTTGTACAATTTGTATTAACTGAGTAATTGTACTGAAGATTTTTAACTCATTATGAGAGTGCCGCTGTTCTGTTGAATTTCAGAAACTTAAATATTATGATATTCTGATATGGTATTGTTCCTCAGTCAAATAAAATTGATACAGTACAGGAGCCAATTACGGATGTAAATATACTTATATTATATCGTTTTTAACCAAGTCTAGGACCGGTGTCATGCCATGAGTGTAACGGGAGCACGGTAAATGGTAAAAGCAATTCTGGGCAAATAATTCATGGGATTACTTCCAGTAGCAAAGCGTGAAATTTTATCCCGTTTCTTGCAGAGGCATTTAAACAGTAACAGCCTAAACTTATATTTTCATAGGCGATAAGCGTTGTCCAGTAGATTCAGTAGCCGTTTCTTGTGCTTTAGATTACACTTCCTGTTACATCGGGAATAACCGAAAGGGTATAATGCACTAAAACGAAAGAAGTGCACAGAACCCAGGAGCGAAGGCGGTGGATGTCCTTAGACTCCTTACTATCATCTCGGTTGTTCCCTAGTGGAAATGCTGTAGATACCCTCCAAAGGTCGACAGATCATTCTTCTTTACAGTCAGCTGTAAAGAATTCCACGGCATAACGTGGCACACAGCTTCCATGGAAATAACCCCCGCTGCCATCCGGAATACGATTGTTGACGGTAGTACTGCGGTCTCTTGAGATGATGAATGAATTCCCAAACGAAAACCGTGATTAATTAAGGCTGTGTAATGGCATAATTATATCTACCGCTACAGCAACTGCATTGGTGTTTGTAAAGGGCGAATGACTGAGAAGAATGCAAAGCAGGCGTGGCATTCCCGTTTCTACCGGCAAAGATCGGATTCGCGAAACTTGTTACTTATTTTCCGCTTTGTTGTTTCTAGTCTAAAACGTTTCCGGCGCGATACATGAAAGGTTTTTCGAATGCTTTGTTTCATTTACTCATTTTCAATTCGATGCAAGCTGGACGTACACAATTGCGCTAACATCACACTTACGCTCTTCGCAAATAAGTTATGACACTATATTTTGTGACCTTTACGGAGATATCTGTTTACGGGTTCTGCAGTAAGCAGATTATTGCTGTAATGATTCGCTGATACTGGTTTCTTTGTGATTTCTATGCAATACTCAGCTAGCCCCGAGATATTATATTACCGCAACTACCGATGACGTTAAGGTCAGTATCGTTAACTGCATCCGCATTATTTTTGGTGAACGTATGTCAGATAATGCTCGTTGATATGCACAATGCGACACTTAACCTCACCATGGTCAGTTATGGATTAACGCCTCCAACAATTTTATCGTCAATCCCCTTGGTTGGACCTGGTTTCGACATAGGTCTGGAGAAATTAAACAGAACATACGGTTACAATGTTGATCATTTATATTTGAGTCCGAAAAAGGCAGTTACTTGTTCTGATCTTGCGGATTATGTGGATGTGGTGTCAGAATTTTACTACACAAAGCGTAATCCCACGAATCCATTTATTCTTATTCCCCCAGGTATTCGACTGTTTTATTTTGCAAGCACCTATGGGTCTAAATTGCTTAAAAGACCCTTAGTTATTTTCTTTATAAATCTACACTCCTCCAGCTGGCTGTAAAAAAGCACAAGAACATCTTTACGATCAATTTTTTGTTAAAGGATGTGATGATTTGATGCCACTGGGCAAATTGGCAAGAGGTATGTGTAGGGCAAGGATATAATATTGTGTCCAGGTGTGAACTAATTTCTGATTTCAATGGTAAAAAAAGATTTGACACGATCTGCGATGAATGCATTGTCAAGTTAAACCATTTAAATAATTTAAATAAGGTATGTATAAACAACTGGGCGAAATCGATGCAAGTAGTTGACTATGTTTCGCCAAATTTTGTTTTACGGCTAAATTTTTTGATTTACAGAATGGAATGTACTTATGCTTACCAGGTAATTTTATAAGCAAAACTCTCGAAAATATGAAATATTATGAATATATGAATACAGGACACTGTTTATTTTTTGTAAGAAGTTTTATTTTTAGCGGGCTATCGTATGAACAGTTGCGAAACAGGAGAAATTATCCTACGACGATTAATAATGGCCCCATGCAACTGGCTATGTTTGCCGAGGTGTTTGTTAATATCTTCAGTTATTTTTCTTGGACCTCTATTGGTGTTTTATTGGATACCGGGGCAATGGCACCGTTTTTCAAGTTGTGGCCGACTGGACTTCTTAATATTGTGACCCAAAAGAAAAACAGTAACATCACTCTATATCGCTTTGAATTCGATTCAAGCAAATCGGTAGCGTACTCTGATCTTTTGATCGAGGTTAAAAAAGTTAGCCGGGGTATGTATCAAACTGTTAATTGCATAATTTTTATTAATTTCAGAACTTATGCAATAAAATATTGTGCTATTCCAAAACATAATAAAATTCGCCATAAAACCCGTTCGTCTTACGCTTTGGACTAAATATTCGTACATGATAAAAAAGCCTTAATTAGAAATCTTTAATACATATGTTTCATAATTGCAGTGGTTATTCTTTCAAGCACGCCAAAAATCGTTCGAAAATTTATGGTAAGCAAAATCGGTGCATCGTTTAGTTGACGAGTACCAATGGGCAATAATAGTAAATATTACGAATTAAAGCACCAAATTCAGTCATAGTAGTCACTAATTCTATCTGTCTATATTGCGATTATAGAACTATATATAGATATATACGTACTAATTTTGTAACAGATACAAGCTGCAAAAATGGGAATGACAAATGGTGAATACGTAAGTACTTGTCAATCTGTGCGCTACGCCCCGTTTTGCTTATTGTTATTTGTACATCGTTGCATTTAGGTGTATTTTGCTGTTGAACCACTGAGGAATAACAGATATTTTGGGAATTTAACTTGGCAGTACTATGATTCGGATGACCTGGTATAATATATACGGTGTGCATGCCACGAATTGCTGTTTGGTTCAACTTCAGTAAGATGTTTTTAGATTGGAATGGAAGCTTTTCGAAGCCTGAAACAACTGGCTCCGTGCTACAACGAACGACTGAACAATGATCCAACGTTATTCGACCAGCTCATCCAGCGGTCTCGGCAAGATTTCAATTTTACGTACCCCAAATCTGAGCCGGTCTGTGTCTGCACATTATACTGCGAAAACAGTATTTTTGCAGTGTACTCTAGTGACCTTACTGACGTATAAATGATTTTAATTTGCATTGCACAAACGCCAATTTTATCGTCAATCCTTGGTTGGAACAGGCATCGAGGTCTGGAGAAATTAAACAGAACATACGGTTACAATGTTGATCATTTATATTTGAGTCCGAAAAAGGCAGTTACTTGTTCTGATCTTGCGGATTATGTGGACGTGGTGTCAGAATTTTACTACACAAAGCGTAATCCCACGAATCCATTTATTCTTATTCCCCCAGGTACAGTATTCGACTGTTTTATTTTGCAGGCACCTAAGGGTCTAAGTTACTTAAAAGACCCTTAGTTATTTTTATATAAATCTACACCCCTCCAGCTGGCTGTAAAAAAAGCACAAGAGCATCTTTATGATCGATTTTTTGTTAAAGGATGTGATGATTTGATTCCACTGGGCAAATTGGCAAGAGGTATGTGTAGGGTAAGGATATAATAATGTGTCCAGGTGTGAACTAATTTCTGATTTCAATGGTAAGAAAAAGATTTCACACGATCTGCGATGAATGCATTGTCAAGTTAAACCATTTAAATAATTTAAGTAAGGTATGTATAAACAACTGGGCGAAATCGATGCAAGTAGTTGACTATGTTTCGCCAAATTTTGTTTTACGGCTAAATTTTTTTATTTACAGAATGGAATGTACTTATGCTTACCAGGTATGCTTATAAGCAAAACTCTCGAGAATATGAAATATTATGAATATATGAATAGAGGACACTGTTTATTTTTTGTAAGAAGTTGTATTTTTAGCGGGCTGTCGTATGAACAGTTGCGAAACAGAAGAAATTATCCTACGACGATTAATAATGGCCCCATGCAACTGGCTATGTTTGCCGAGGTGTTTGTTAATATCTTCAGTTATTTTTCTTGGACCTCTATTGGTGTTTTATTGGATACCGGGGCAATGGCACCGTTTTTCAAGTTGTGGCCGACTGGACTTCTTAATATTGTGACCCAAAAGGAAAACAGTAACATCACTCTATATCGCTTTGAATTCGATTCAAGCAAATCGGTAGCGTACTCTGATCTTTTGATCGAGGTTAAAAAAGTTAGCCGGGGTATGTATCAAACTGTTAATTGCATAATTTTTATTAATTTCAGAACTTATGCAATAAAATATTGTGCTATTCCAAAACATAATAAAATTCGCCATAAAACCCGTTCGTCTTACGCTTTGGACTAAATATTCGTACATGATAAAAAAGCCTTAATTAGAAATCTTTAATACATATGTTTCATAATTGCAGTGGTTATTCTTTCAAGCACGCCAAAAATCGTTCGAAAATTTATGGTAAGCAAAATCGGTGCATCGTTTAGTTGACGAGTCCCAATGGGCAATAACAGTAAATATTACGAATTAAAGCACCAAATTCAGTCATAGTAGTCACTAATTCTATCTACCTATATTGCGATTATAGAACTATATATAGATATATACGTACTAATTTTGCAACAGATACAAGCTGCAAAAATGGGAATGACAAATGGTGAATACGTAAGTACTTGTCAATCTCTGCGCTACGCCCCGTTTTGCTTATTGTTATTTGTACGTCGTTGCATTTAGGTGTATTTTGCTGTTGAACCACTGAGGAATAACAGATATTTTGGGAATTTAACTTGGCAGTACTATGATTCGGATGACCTGGTATAAAATATACGGTGTGCATGCCACGAATTGCTGTTTGGTTCGACTTGCACGTAAGATGTTTTTAGATTGGAATGGAAGCTTTTCGAAGCCTGAAACAACTGGCTCCGTGCTACAACGAACGACTGAACAATGATCCAACGTTATTCGACCAGCTCATCCAGCGGTCTCGGCAAGATTTCAATTTTACGTACCCCAAATCTGAGCCGGTCTGTCTGCACATTATACTGCGAAAACAGTATTTTTGCAGTGTACTCTAGTGACCTTACTGACGTATAAATGATTTCCTTTTAATTTGCAGCCAAACGCATTCGTAATTGCTGCACATGAATCAACAGAAATGCTGGGAATGGTACGTAGCACTTATTTTTCGTTCGTCGTTTTCTACGCAAAATACTGTATTTATGAATAATTGCACAAACGTGCTGAAACGAAACAGATAGAAAAAGCTTTCGTTTGGTAACATTTGCAATGTCACAGATTTTAAATCACACTCTGAACGAGAATCCGGACTTAATATGGGACGGACAATACCTAGCGTCACAGTTTCTTAACAGAACCTTCACTCTGGAGTATGAGGATGCATTTATTGACGATGTAGGAGAAAGGAGAAGTAATTACTGCATAAGCGCCATGAACATCTCCACAAAACTTCTTGAGGCAAGTGCCTTTTAATTTATTGTTACCTCAACTTATGCCAGATATTGGCACTGCAATGTTAGCCGGTTATTATTAATAAACGGTTGCAATCCAATAGCCAGCGTTTTACTATGATGCTCGCCGACGACTCATTAAGCAGATGGTTGCCCAGGTAGACTGGGGCAACGCCGACAGCGTGCCGCCAAAAAATAGACCCAGATGTGGCTATTTGGATAACGACGTAATTTGTCTGCTAAGTGAGTCGCTGCTTGGAAGAATGGTCGAACACGCCAACAGAACTATTTCCCCCATAGGACTTATTAATTTATTGAAACGTTCTGTATTTTTAGGTGGCAATACCTTAATTTATCTGGTGGCGGGACTGACAATCGTGATGCTCTTTATAATTTTAATTGGATCGTTTATATGCTGCAACCGGTAAGTATCAGTTCGCGACTAAACTGACCTTTTTCTTGAGCACTGCTATCACGAGTGCTATGCTACTATTATTCAAAGGTGTTGGCCATTACATATATGCTTAAAAATAAGTAGCAGTTTTCTCAGCAAATTAAACTAATTCGAGGTGGTTTTACAGACGAATTAAAAGAGAGACAGCCGCCTTTTGGGACGATTGGTGGAGGGTTGACGTCAAGCTGTTGGAATTTATGCATCGAACAGGATTATCATTTTCCAAGAATTTCACTGATCTTGTGACGATAGGAACAAAATCTCAGGTACATGTACTTCTTAATTTATAACCAACAGATCTATAGATTTGGCGTATAAATAAAGATACATATGTATATATATGTTACTCGTACTTGCTCTAAATTCAGCACGTAAACCACTTAAATGTTAAACTTCCAGCAATATCAGTATGTCCGTTTGTCAAATTAATGAATGAATCGAAGAGCAGATCTTTCATGGAAGCTTGCGAACTCGATTTCTTCGCGGATCTTATGCCCTTTACAAAGGCATTCCCGTATGGACAACTCAAAGCACTGTAACGAACCTAAACGAGGCAGGCAAATTTCCACATTCCGATGCCCGGAAGCTGCTATGGGATGTAAGAGCCCATTTGTAACACATTTCCGATATTAAAATTGTCTGATTTTGTCATCCCGTTCCGTGAAGTTAAAAGGATTAATCCATTTAAACATCGTCCGCCTAATTGGGATTACCGTCGATTCGCAAAAGTTTTGGCTGCTAAGTGAATACTGTGCCAAAGGATCATTAAACGACATTCTGCACGCTTGTGGGTTTGAACTGGATGTGGACTTCAAATGCTCGTTTCTGCATGATCTGATCATGGTACAGTAATGGTCATCTCAATGCGGCAATTGAATACCGACATTTATAGCGTGTCTCAAAGTGTAGTGCACCTGTAAACTGTACATAAAATTAAAAATTTTTGTATTGACAAGAAGCTTTATTTCGCAGGGATTAAAAGAAATACATGCCTCTCCCCTAAAGTATCACGGATTCCTTGTACCGGAAGCCTGCTTGATCGACGCAAGGTTTACACTAAAGATCGGCTATTTGGGGTTCGAGCGGCTAATGCGAAACATAACAAAATGGTCACCTGCCGACAATGTATCAGAACTATTCTCTGTGACAAGTGTGACAGAACTGGTCAACATTGCTAATAAGTCGTCGGAAAAAAAGCTGCCCAATTGGCACACTTCCCAAAGAAGAGATCTTGCAAGCTTTGGTAGAATCGGAACGTTTCTATTTGATTCTTACGGTAATGACAATAAAAATGGATTAGACGAAAACGGATTAGGTGATGCCCTCCTACTTTCAAAGCCTGAAGGATTTTTTTCTTAAAATTAATTACGACATTTGTTTACAGAAGCCTCCGTCCAAGCAGCAGATGCGGCAGCAATGCCGGCGCCGCAAATTGATCAGTACCTGCTGATCTTCAAGACATGCAAAGATGTAATCCATCACCGTGACCTTTGCGCTAACGACATCATTAAAGAATTACGAAACAAACTGGGCGAGCGCAATACAAACCTAATGACACGAATGCAAAATATGTTAGACAAATATGCAAATCGGTTGGAAAATCTTGTACTGGACCGGACTAAAGTTTTGCTGGCCGAGCAGGAAAACTGTGACAAGCTTCTCAGAGAACTTCTTCCCACGTAAGACACTGATGTAATCATAAATAAAAACAGTAACGTGAGATTCATTAATCATTAATAAATATAGATATAATGGGTTAGCATCGTTTGCTCATATCACGAACATCAAAAGTAAAACCTCTGGACTTTATTTAGATCTCTGGTGGAGAAATTGCGGAAAGGCGCACCTGTCAAAGCCGAGTTGTACGAATCGGCAACACTTTACTTCGGGTCTCTATTTGGCTTCCAAGTGTTCATTCAGCAGCATTCGCCGATCGAAATTGCTCAGCTCCTGAACAGCGTCTACACCGCACTTGATCTTATTCTTCCAGGGTTTTCTGTGTTCAAAATGGAAACTATTGCGGATAGCTATTTGGTTAGTACTAGCCTGAATAACAACTCTGCACGCAAATCATTGCAGCTATCATCTAATAATAGCGCTAGCATAGGACACGGAACCGACAGCTTTACATGTACAAATCAAAATTATAAAATCAGAGCGTTTACGGCCGAAAACCAGAATAAATGTTTGGCGTGCCTAAAATAAATTTGACGTTTGAAGGTTGTAAGTGGGATTCCTGAGCGTAATGAAAACAGGCATGCAAAGGAGATATGCAATTTAGCTCTGCGCTTCCGGGAAACATTTCAAGTCTTTACTGACAAATACGGCCTGCAATTAAGGAGTGGCATTAATTCAGGTATTTCTGTCAATAACAGGGCCAGCTAATTAAAATTGGGTCGATAGAATTGCATATCGCACGGCTCAACTTGCACTGACTTCTTTCGAAATGCTACCATATTATGGAAATACGCTGTAGAAACCGGCCCAAATGTAATTTAATCAAGGCCAATGAATGATGCAAATTAATCTTCTACATTTACAAAAATTTATTTATTATAATTTTTTAAAACTCATTGTGAAAACGAACGTTATATTAACGTTATTTATAGTATGTGCAAATGCAGTACATTTATCTAGGAGGATATTCATTTTCATTCACATGCAGTACATTTTTCAAATGCAGTACATTTCATTACGTAGATGGTTAAACCATGGCAAACTATGCCATGGTTAAACTGTAGTGGTTGTTCACAGGGCCATGTGCAGCTGGTATCGTTGGATTCAAATGTCCAAGATTCTGCATGTACGTTATACCGATAAACTATTAATGTACAATTAACCAGTACTAATTTTAATTTGCAGATTTGGTGATACCGTAAATACGGCATCACGCATGGAGAGTCACGGATTACCATCAAAAATCCATGTCAGCGCTGGTACCGCTGGATTGATGCTCACAGAGAGCACGGTGGTTCTAGTACAACGGGGGATTATTTTTGTGAAGGTACGCATGTCAATACTCGCGTCGTCGCATAGCTTTATCAGCGCGACATTCTAATTTTAACCGTGACGGTTACAAGATCAAATTAATTTTATTTTGTGTTAACTAGATACAGTCCTAACTGTACCTTGATGCGATTATAAGTGACAGCACATGTGATTCATTGTGTATATTCAATCCGATTTTTAATTTTAGGGAAAGGGCGAGTGTATTACCTACTGGCTCGAAAAACCAGAAGGATGAGACAAGAAATTAATTAAGGAAGTTTTTCACTGGTTTTAGAACCAGTACATACTAAATACTTTGCCGTATAAGGAGAGCGAGAGATTTGTTAGTATGGGTGGACGATTTGTAAATACGTCAATTGCGGTTTGTGTTGATAATTATTTTGTTGTTACCTTTTTCGATCAGAGAAGTCCCATTGGGATTGACCTTAACATGTAAGACTTAGCAGTTAGTATCAATTCTGCAACAATATTACCACACGAGCAACTTGCAATGAATAATTCAATTTTTTTCTGAAAAGCCTCTGTAGTGCACAATAACTGCGTTTTGAAATTCAAGTCTAACATATACGTGGTCGATCAGATACTGGATCATACCTTAGATACCTATGCAAGAACATCTTAAAAGCATTCGAACTTGAAAACATTCTCTTCGGAGCACAGCCATTTCAACGAGAAGCGCACAGAATGCTTGTATTATACGAATAAAATTAATTTGTATACGTATACGTACCTACAGTAGGTCAGTTTTTGCTGTGTTGCTGACCTCGAACCGGCATCGCCGCACTTCTTTTTTAAGATTCGTTCTCCAGTCATTTTCGATTTATCGACTCTCAGTCGACATGAACTTGCTTTGTAAATAATTGTACATAAGTTGAATAACATAACCGAAAAAACTACCTTCCGTGCCTTGCTTTCGAGTGTAAGGGGATTGGATAAGATGCTCACAACCAGAAACCCGGAAAAATGGAAGATGGAAAACGTCGCGTCTGTGTATGTACCATGCTGATTATGCATAAATAAAGTGTTTTATTGGGCAAAGGCCATCATTGTTACAAAAAGTGCATTCGCGTAATACTACTTAAAATGATACAAATTTAAACGTTAAAAAAACAGCATAAATTGAAAGCAGCTCTCGCGGTAGTCAGCGATCCTGCAACGTGAACTGCAAGCTGCAAAACAAATGAAATATGATATAATTACTAGTAGATACCTTTGATTCGTAATCATTAAACACAGTTTAGCTGAAAATGCCGTCCTTAATAATTATTAATCAGCAAGAAATTTGAAAACAAATTAATCTAGTACGTATGCAAAAGTCGGCATCGAATTGCTCAATGCTTCCCGACGTTCCCGTTTCGGATAAAGCCTCGAGGCTCGACGTGTGCTGACCGCTTTTACCATAGACCGTAGTATTTACGTCGACGTAGCCGATCACGCATCGCATCGCGGGAGCGGACGTGATGTCGTTCAATAAAACGTAGGAAGGGAATTCAAGCCTGCTTTGCAGCTTTGGAATTCAAAAAAGGTGTTTGAATTTCGTAACTTTTACTTCTAATACCGCTTTATATGTACTGGATGCTAAAATTTGTTAAGTCGTTTAGCTTTTGGCAGTTTAATGCAGATTTGGAGCTCTGATGCAAAGACAGAGTTCTCGCAGAATAATCTGTGATCCCGCTGAAGGAGCTCATTCGCCACGCATGAGAGTTGGGCCGCCTGTTGCAGCCATTTCTGCCGCTGTAGTACGATACTGGTAGAGCGTGGTAAGCGGATAATCTTCTTCGTTAGTTAATATCAAATTGTTGCAATAAAAAAGTACAGTTGGTTCCATGTTTCGCTGTTTTTTTTTGAGTATACTGAAATATCTGATTTATCATAGAAGCTGGAAATTTTCAAAATAGATGGCGTACGACTTGCTGCCACTTGGGAAATCAGAACGTGCAGTTTTTATTGTAGCGGTACCGCGAAAATTTCCGTAGACCGGTTGCCGTTTAGCGTAAAGATACAGGTTCTCGCTCTGAGACACATTGTTTTGAGCCTTTTAGGTAGCGAGAAAGTGGAAGTGGTCCGATTTCATGGATGCAGTTTTATTTATGATTTCCTGTCTTATTTCTGTCATAGTTTCTGGGCAACAATTAATTTTTATAGCATTCAGAAAGAGTGCAATTCGATAACTATTTTAAACCGATTCTGGCCAGTGGCTTTTGGAGTAGAAACAAAGAATTGGATGTGGCTCTTTTGCAATACTCGCACTCGACTGGATAGCTGAGATTTTGTCATAAAGCAACTGGAAATTATTGCGTTACAGATACATGCCAGAGTTGCTTTTTCCCGGACAACTGTTTGGTCATTTTATATTGTCCCCTATCAGCAGCGAGCGGAGACGTGGCTGCGTTCGGGGCTGAGAAGAAATGAGTGCGGGATTAGCGGCCAAGGGACGCATGCAAATGCCTTCGCGAGCTCGTGCTTATGCGGATATTAATACACAACGTCCTCGGGAGTATTGGGATTACGAGGCGCATGTTATTCAGTGGGGGTAAGTGGTTATTTGAACTTAATAAATTTTCTTTGCAGTAATGCGCTTCTTCTTTATTTATGTTTAGAGTTGCTTACGAAATTTGATAGATCTGAATGATTTTTTCTTAATTTATGGTTTTTCAGCTTTTTCCAAAATTGTTTTTGTGACAGAAAGTATTTTCAGTCAGCCTAATAAGTTATTTCTGTTGGTCCATATTACAGGATAGTACACTAATAATGCGCTAAACACTTACGCTATCGGCTGTTTGTTTTGCCTGCTGATGTATATTCGAATTCCGTTTCGCCAGACGACAGAATTCTTTCATGTTTGAATATTTCGCCGATTTGGGGCTGGTTTTGTCACCATTTATTATGCTGAAACTTCACTACCTCGCGGGCTTGTCATCTTAATCGCGCTTCGTGATGATCTTAGATTATTAAATTTCGCTGTTTTTGGTACGCTTGCATCATGGCATCCACGTGGTATAGGCTTATCCGTTATCGCCTTATCCTCAGTCTCTAGTTGCCAAATGTTTTTGCATTTACTTAATTAAGTAGAAGAAAGGAAGCTTATTGGCAGCCCTTACTAGAAAGAGGATAGTTAGGTGTCTGATGTTTCCCGCTTCGTATGGTTATGAACTTCTGACTGTCGATTCTGTGCCGCAAGCCCGCATGCTAATATGTAATATGAGCTGCATATTTGGTGCATTATAAGATGGTAAAACAGATGTTCCTGGCAGCCGTCATCATCTGACGTTTGCTAACTCTGTTTTTCTTGTTTTTATAGCGACCAGGATGATTTTCAATTAGTGCGAAAGTTGGGGCGGGGAAAGTATAGTGAAGTTTTTGAAGCCGTCAACATTACCAACAACGAAAAATGCGTCGTGAAAATTCTCAAGGTTATTGCTGTCAAATTCTGGCTGATACGGGCGCAATCATAACTGATCTTCTTGGTTTCAGCCTGTTAAGAAGAAGAAAATAAAGCGGGAGATCAAGATTTTAGAGAATTTACGAGGCGGGACGAATATTATTAACTTATTAGCAGTTGTAAAAGATCCTGTGGTAAGGCATCTTTTGGGCTGCTTTTGTGCATCTCTTCATGTGGTTATTTTCGGTAGTCCCGAACGCCGGCTCTGGTTTTCGAGCACGTCAACAATACGGATTTCAAGGTGAGCCTCTAGAGACTTTCCCGTAAAGATATGATTATATTATCATGCTATTCGAGGATATGTTTTACATTTGATGTGTTTCATATATTTGCGCCTGTCTTTTTTGCAGCAATTGTATCAGACACTGACAGATTACGATATTCGCTTTTACCTATTTGAACTGCTAAAGGTGGGTTCGTATTATTTGCGTTGTTTAAGCGTCGTTTTTGTGCATACAGTTTTTTATTGAAGACATGCCAAATTGACATTCAAATTCTGTTTTTTTTCTAGGCCTTGGATTATTGCCACAGTATGGGTATTATGCATCGAGATGTTAAGCCTCATAATGTGATGATCGATCATGAAAATCGTAAGGTGAGGTGAAGATATCCCGTACCGATAGTGTTGCCTGTACTTTGTTTTATTTGATTATGAATTTGTCGCATCAGCAGGCCATGTCGGCCAATATAGTAAGTAATGCCAGAAAATCCGCTTTTGCTACATCGTTATTTGCATTTGGATGTTTTAAATAAATATGATTTAAAAAACCGAAATTATGACTTTCATTTTGTGTCTGTAAAGATCGACTAATTATTAAGGCTCAGTTGCAGTTTAAATTGGCTATATCCGCAAAATTGAACGTGACATCGAGAGGTTTTCGTTTTCATTGGTTTTTTTCTGAACATGTTGTGATTTCTCGTATAGCTTCGACTGATTGATTGGGGATTGGCGGAATTCTATCACACCGGTCAAGAGTACAACGTACGTGTGGCATCGCGGTATTTTAAAGGGCCGGAGTTGTTGGTGGATTATCAGATGTATGACTATTCACTGGATATGTGGTCACTCGGCTGTATGATGGCCAGTATGATTTTCCGGAAGGAACCCTTTTTCCATGGTCATGACAATTATGATCAGCTGGTGCGAATAGCCAAAGTCCTTGGTACCGATGAATTGTTTGAATATTTGGAAAAATATCAGATCGATCTGGACCCTCGTTTTAACGATATCTTAGGAAGGTAAGAATCTTTTGATGTAGTTATGCAATACCCCGGCAAGCCATCACTTCTTTAATAGCGATTTCGTGAGTCTTTCCATTTCCATTAGTTAATGCTGTGAATCATAAATAACGCAAAGAAAACTTAGAGTGAAGATGCTTGAGAAAATGTGACGTCTGATCGATATAGTGGTATGCATGGAAATTAAACTCCCACGCAGTGTATCCAGTTCGTGCGGTGCCTTCCGACACTTGACGTGAATGCATGCGGTGGGCATGTTGTTTTTCTGTTTATCGACGTATATTGCATGTTCTCTCTGGAATTGCAGGCATTCCAAGAAAAGGTGGGAACGATTTGTTCACAGTGAAAATCAGCATTTGGTTAGCCCGGAAGCACTGGATTTTTTGGATAAATTACTGCGATATGACCACCTGGAACGGTTAACAGCGCGAGAAGCTATGGATCACCAATATTTTTGTAAGTGAAATTACTGTCGTGGGCAATAGCTGGAATAAAGCTTTGGTGTCATTTCGTAAGCGTTACGAGTATTTTCTGTAAATATCTTCAGAGTACACTTCGTTAAACCTCCATTAAAGTTTTAAACTGTTCGTTAAATGCTCTGCTGTATGCTCCGTTAAACTGCTACTTGTACTTTTGAGCGCTAACTAAAGATTATAGTGAATCATTTATTGTAGATCCTGTAGTCAAGGACCAGGTTGCGGGGCAGCCAAGTGGTGCATCGGGGAATGCACGCGGTGCAAATGCCGGGGGCATTCCTAGCCCCCTAGCACTGGGTGACGCCGGATCACCCATTAGTATTTCTCCAGGCGGCAGTCCTACGCGCGGCTGATCTTGCAAGAAAGGCGAACCGTCGCGGATTTTGTTTTTTATCCTCGGTAATTTTGTGGAAGAAACACATGGTGCAGGAAGATCAAACGAGAATGAAGTCAGTTTTTTCTTTCTCAGTGCAATTGCGGGCTAATAGTTCATCGAAAAATCCTAATATTGCTTATCCGGCGTTCACTGTGGACACATTGTGTTTCTTTCTCTTTCGGATTTTTATGATAATTTATACGTCTGGATTTGTTGCCTCTCTTGATGCGCTACCCTGCTTAAGTCCGTCGTGTTTGGTCGGAATTCAGTTTGACATGAGTGTTTTTTCAGCTTCTAATCTGTGGAGTACTTCGTAAATTTGGTTGAAGTGGTTTTTCTGGAAAGTCGTATACTGCCGACTGTCGATAACAGAACATAAACTGCTGAGGGTCCGAGTGCGACATCATTATAAGTTGTATGATGGACTTAAAGTTTTTACCATTCGGATCAGGACGTACAAATTATTTTGTAGTACTCTGTATATTCCCAATTTTTTTTGATAATTTATTGCAAGTTAATAACCCAGGCTGCACACAGACGTATCTGTTTACTTTTAGAAAAATATTCATGGATCGTGGTCGATTAATATAACCCCATAGTTAAAAAACAACCAGAGAGCTAAACGAATGAGTTTTTTTAAAGTTAAAAGACAATTAAGGCTGATCATCGAGATCAAAAGCATTACGAAAATTGCTCCGGCGACCGCCGGAAGACAGGCGTCTGGGTTTCATCTTGGACTGGTACTCTGTCTGTTGGACCACGTTAACGAGGGTTCTATCAATGATACCCTCATTTATTATTCTGACATTATTCAACTGGTCACCGTCGAAATTAACTGCTACATGCAGCACATCCGGGACAGATTGTGAATCCCAGTCACGGTCACATCCGGAGTGGCATGGTGTTGTCACTTTTGTTTTGTTTGGCAAGATGATCTGGCCTTCTAAAGGATGAAATCCGCCCAGTGTAACGTCCGTGGGCGAGCGGAACTTATCTTCGTCTTTTTCCGGCATGGGGCGCTGAGCAGTATCACTGTGAGTGTGGATCGCAGCCGGTAGGATTACTGGCGCTAATTGTGTCGGCGATCGGGATATTATGGCCAGTCCAAGTATGGTCACCATCTCAATAAACGCCAAGTTCAACAGACCCTCTTCGGACAATCCGCCGTTGGACTGGGCGATAACCGGACGTGGATAGCTCGGGAGATCATCATCGTCCGCTAGCAGCAACGCTAACAATACCGGATCCACGAATCGCGAAGTGCGGTTAGTTTTGTCAGTGGCAAACAAATTCCAGTCCACCGCATGCGGATGTTTGCTGATATAATCCATGATTTTTGGCAGTTTATGCTTGATGCGGTACAGCATAATTTGCTGCTGTAAGACGGAAAGGTCATTGCCGGCGCTGGTCTGTCTAGTTAACGTGACAGGAGCAGCGATGACTGATGCTATTCCATCGAAGAGAATTAATAAGGAACAGATGCGTAATCCAGTTAGGTATCCTGTATTCATTCCGAAGCGGCAGGGCCTTTCTGTTCATATTTACTGTCAGATTGCGCCTCAACATGACTCGACTGTTGCCGGACGTGGTAGGTTGCGGTGCGGTTTATCACATGCAAGGCTTTCAAAATGCTGATGCACAAAGCAAAAAACAGTCAATTAACAATAGCAAAACATGTTATGCTTGATAGCTCCAGCGGTGTTCTAATTATTAAACAATTGGTATACTTGATTAGATAATTAGCATCTTTGGAAATTTCTGACAGTAAGTAGAGCATGAAAGCATTTTGAAGCCATCGGAATCCGGATTGAGATTACAGCACTTATTCCCAAACATGTGACACAATACTCGCGAAGACGTTAATTGACGCATTACGTGCACCTTCTAATAAAGCACATAAAGTACTATAAAGTAGTACACTTTTTTATGACTACGTACGTAAGAAAATAAAAATATAAATTGAATTGGTTTGTGCCGACGAAATACAAACTTACAGTCGTTTCAAGCCTAAATTTCAAATACAATGTGCTGATCCAGAATTAATATTATCGATTGTAAGATCTTAATTAACAAAAACCGGGAAACAGGAGCAAGATCAGTGCGTTTTTGTACTTATATATATTTATAAACTCTTATAATAAAGGCATTAGTAAAAGTAGGAATGTTAATCACAGCCAAAATAGTTTGCGAACAGTAATACACCTTCGATGTTAACTAGTGATGGAATACCTAAATACAGTTCTACGGGTTGAGCGCCATCTAAAACACTTTAGAAATAGCGCATTTTTTAACCTCTATTAATATTGCCAGTATGATATTTTAAGCTTAAAACACTCAGAAGCCATGGTGCGGCCTTGTTATTGTATTGCAGGAATTAGTTATTGCTGCGCTGTATCTCCAATAAAATATTGAGTATTCCACATAATCACACCAAGCGAAATGCAAACCATATGCTACAATACCTATAATTATACTGGTATAGAAGTACTCGTAGTCGTAGCTACGCCGTTATGAGTACCGGTACCGAAGCCTCCACTTCCGCGCCGGCTTCCAGAAATCAAATATTTACAACCTATTGTCCGAACTGGAAATACGGATACAGTCAGCGGACTGTACAAAACAAAAAAATTGTCATCCATCATCCATGAAATTCAAAACCGAAGAGCGTGTCTCTCAATCAGTAATAAATTATTGCCAGCCTTTTACAATAAAAGGTACCGCGTTACGCGTACATCATCACGGTGGCGGTGCTAACCTGCTAATGCCTACCAGGTAGAGAAGGGTATATCGCGCATTAATTCTGAAATCGCCTGATTATGGAATTCTTTTATAGCCCGTCCATGACGGATTTATGGATCAACATTCAACACCGCCGGAAGTTTTCTCTGGCTTGTGGACTCCCTGGTGCAGTGTTCACATGCAGATGCTGAAGTCATAACTATGTTCTTTTTGATTTGCATCCCAGTGATTACAGTCTTAAATTAAAGCGCTTTAAAGGTTAAGGTGCTAACAGCAAATGGGAAAAATTTTTTTAAATTTTTTTATTTTTTCTTATGGGAATATTTTTTTTTAAAAGTTAAGTTAGGTAGCTGCCATCTTCGAGCTATCTGTCGTAAATAAAAAAAAAACTATGGACAACCGCCCCGAGGAACAGCCGCCCCAGCAGGTAAACATGCGCCGCAAAACTTAATTTGCAGTTTTGCTCTACATTCGAACATTTGAATTTTTAGATGTTTTAGAATTTATTTATTTTTTGACCAGCCTTCGGTTCATAGGAACAAAACGGACAGCTAAATGAATTTGATTTCTTGCTTCCACTGAAGACCTTGGGAATGGAACGATCACAAAGAACGGACATTCGTGAGCGCCTATACAATCGGGATTTCGATCCGAACTCTGGTAAACGCATTTTTTTGAAGACATGATCATGGTTCCTTTAAAGTTTAAGCATATCCCTGTTCCACAGAAATTACGAACCTAATTTCGCGGGGAAACGGTGTAGCGCAGATTGAAGCCACGCGTAGACGATTTGCTGAACACAAGGAAAATGCCGTTTTGGAGTTGCGAAAGAATGCCTTCAAATACCACAATGTCATCATCAACGCGTCCAAGGAAATGCAGCGTACGGTCTTTATTATTCCCAGGCATCTGCAAACACTTTATAAGCAGAATGTTTATAGAGTTGGAAAAAAATCTTGCGGACTTGAAGGCAACGCTGGTTGATGAAAAAACCGCTCTAGACAATGCGGTGGAAACTTCGGAAGAAGCACTAGTTGCGCGTCGAGGTTGGTGTGATGTGATTGTGATGATGATCGCAGATTTTTACCATCATATCGATGGATATTTTTCCGTTCGTCGTAGGCGCAGTTGTCTGATTTTTATAGAGGTATTTTTCCTTTTATTTGGTTAATTAAAAAATTTCGCTCGTGCATGGTTGTAGCCTCTTCCAGATTTTACGGTGATTTTTTTCAGGCGCTGGCAATCGACGAGCCGCTATTATTCAGACTAGCTCGCTGGATGGGATCGTTAAACGTTTCCGGACAGACGAAGAAACGGAAACGCACGAAGACTCTCAGTTGCCATTGTGGTTCAAAGATGCGGCTACGGACATGGAGGATCATTATGAGATGCGTAATTTTGTTGCGGCTGTTCGTCTGTTAGGCCAAGCCAGAGAGTTTTACCAGGCGCTGAACGACCAGACAGTTATTGCACAGGCTGAACCTTTCTATAGTATGTTCGAACTTCAAATAAACGTTTTACAATGATTATTTCAAGCGGTTTTTTACAACACTTCCTACAGAAACTCCCTAAATTTTAGTTGTTAAACGCCTCTAAATTGTGTACGCTAATAACATAATTGTTCGTAATTTTTTTGTGATTGAGTTCGTAAATTGGATACAAAATTTGTGTACATCGGATAAATTCACGCCTTTCACAAAATTGGATTGCTTTGTTGAACAGTTTGCTGAAACGTTGAGTAATGCACTTTCGTGAGGTTATTATGGTTTTGCGATTCTTAAAAAAACTATGCTTTTTTCTCGTAGGGATGGTTTTGGAAGTGGAGGAAGGCTTAATTGAGCGGCTGTTGCAAGGACTCAAAAGTGCTATGGAGTGTCCATTCGGAGTGGATACCAAACTGTGCCAGCAGTTTGCTGAGCACCTGAAATTGCTCAACCGTAGCTACGAAGTAAAAATCCAAAGATTTCGAAAATTGCGAGTAATTTTTTTTAACTTTGATTTGCGGTTACAGGCTGGCATTACTTTTCTGGATAACCATACCAGAATGTTGAAGCTGACCGTTTCGGGAATAAAAATGGAAGGAAGTATACCTGTATATATGAAGAAACGCAGTGAGGCCTTTTTTAAGCACCTTTCCAAAACCGTATTGGACTACGAAGAATTTGGCTTCCAGAGCCCGAAGTGCAAATCAGGTAAAAGGTGAAAATTAATTCAGCTTATTTGACACTTTAAATCTTGGTTGCGCATCGTTATAACATCCCTGACAAATAATAAGTTTTGGTTTAACACATCGTGGTCATCTTGGCTAAAGTAAGCACACAGTGCAAGAAATTTGAAATGCAGACATAAATTAATAGTGTCTCGCAGTTTGATTGTATTTACAAATTAGTGTGCAGCATTTAATTGAATCCAAATTGATTTTGTACAGCTCTAACTGGATGGGTGCGGTTCCATCTTACTACATTCCTTTCTCAGCACGAAGATCTGTTATTCACTGACAGCCCAAATCTTTCTGTCGCTGCTGAATGCATAAAAATTATCCGGGAGTCTTCCAACCAGGTATGTATCATGTGTTTCAGCCAGTGAAAATTATAGTTAAAGAATTCGCTGTAGCAGTTATTTGAAAGTATGCGACACACCCGATCCCGCTTTTGTCTGATGTGAGCCTTATCGTTTGTATAGGCTACTTTGGTTGGAATGGATATCACGGCGTTACTGGACTCGTGCATGGAGGACAACTGTGTGCGGCTTATTGCCTTTCAAGTGGACCGCTTTGCTGAATTACAGACAACTGCCCTGCAGGTGAAAACATTGCTTTAGTGGCATTATTTCAAATTTAAGAAATTCGGCAATGGGTTGTAGAATGCATAAGCACATAAGCAGTTTTGAAATATCTGCTATTTACGTATGTTAAGTTACTGGAGGCCTAAAAATTACTCTTATTAACGGTGGTTTCCTACATGTGATACTGAAATTTCAGGGTGCTAAAATGCAGCCGACAGTTTTCGACAGCAAAGAAGCACTGAAAGACTACCTCGACCGATTCGCATCATCGGGCCTGGGATTAGCTGTGGCTTATGTCGGTGCGCTGTTCCGTAATACTGCCTTTTTGACGGGGCACCGCGGCAGAAGAGGGAGCAGTAGTCAAAGGGATTTTCTAACCAGTTCTGTACTGCTGGTGGATGGTAAATCTGAACGTGGGGTGAAATCTGATTGTGGTGTTACGTTTTAACTGCGCACTTGCTCGGCATGAGAACTTGAGAACCCGCTACAGATATTTACTAACTGTCTCCTTCTTCTCCTCGGTGCAACCTGCATGGCCTGATCGCTCGTGTCTTACGAGTACCAACAAGTTTGTTATTTTACTAAGCAATCTAAGCAATATTTAGTTCTTTGTTCGGCTTGCGGAGATAATAAATTATTTTTTAAATAAAGTGGGATTTATTTATTAGTGTCTAGTTCTATATTTCATAATCGGCTCACACTTTTTCATGATTTCAGCAGTATTTTCTTCCTTTAGATGGATTGAGATTGAATATATCGTCGGATTTTATCGACTTCGCAAAACAGTTCTTGCAGTTCGCCTGTGATATTATGGATGTTTGTCCCTCTTTCCTAATGCGGAATATCCAGTTGTGGTTACAAAAGACATTTTCGCCGTGTTTAAAATCATTGCAAGTATTTGCCGCGAAAACATCGGACAATAAAGTTAATGTAAGGTTGTTGGAATTTACAGATGCATGCCTCGGTTCAGCCTTTAATGACCAAAGGTGAATATGATGGCACAACAGGAGTAAAATGATTATAACTAGTAATTCCAATTTGCGATGCGAGCCAGAACAGGTGATTGCCGAGGCCGTTGTTTTTAAAGGAGCGCTGCCATTCCATGAACAAAAAGCGGTGCGGGTCAGCCGCACTGACCTTTTCGATCTCTTGAAGCTCCGTCAGAGGGGACGCACTATATGAACTACTGTCCGATAACAGCCACATTATGAAGATAAAACCAGTCACGATAAATAAATGTCTGGCAAGATTCTTTGTCGCCGTTCTGAAACGCTGATATAATACGAAATTCATCCAGTATAGCGGAGTGTACTTGATTACAAAACCAGTACTTATGTTTAACACGTGCGAAAGCAGAGGTTTCTGGGACATCGAATAGGTTTGCGTTAATAATAGAATATCACAGCAGTTGTTGAATACGTTTGCACATTTTAACAAGAGAAGTTTCTAATGTTAAAAGTTTCCTTTATAATTTAATAAGCCATGGCCAGTACTGAAGAATCAGTTATTACATTTTTTTGTAGAGTAAAACGCCCATAGCAAAAGAAAAAAATTCAACGCAAAATCTGAAGTTCTCTATGGGCAAGCATATTTGTGCAAGAGATTGTCTTTGATGGAAGTTGATTCGTTAAAGTAAATCAGCCGTAACAGTTGACCCAACGAACTTTTGCTTTTCCGGATCCAGTCAAGAGTAATGTGTTTCTCGTTTAGCGAAAAAATGTTTTTATCAATTATGACTTTCTTTGTGTCAAGCATTATTTTTCCCATATAATTTGCCATCTGTGAAACATTTGCCGCTGTTTTCTTGCCGTTGTCGGTGGGATGCGGTATCCATTCTGGAATACAAAGTATCTATTTCAAAAATTTAAACTTATTGCGATTCCCGCATTATAACGTTGATAGATAAACAGCGACACCATGTTAATAATTGTTAAATTAAAAATTTCTCTTAACAATGCATATATTTTGACAGACCAAATTAATAGATTAAAAACTCTGTTAGCGCACGTTATGCACTGAATGAGCATGCGTAGCTAGTAAACTTGAACTGTATAAGCATTATTATGCATTCGTAAATCCAGCCTGCTTACCTAATTCAGAATCCAGTCCGCTGGAAAAATTGTTTTTGCTGCTTATTTGCTCGAAATTTTTACCGAGAAAAAAATGGTTAGATGTTATGCAATGGTCAGATAGGCTCTTGTCCTTCTCAGCGAATATCGTCCGTGTACAAACTGCAACACCACTTTGAGATGCAAGATGATTCAAACTCGTCCAATACGGACCGGACAACTCGGTTCCGCCATCGAATTGGATCTCGATGGCGTCTACATTTGCATTATGTACCGCCGAAAAGACCGACAAATACTGAGCAACAGACAAATCACGCAAATTATCCTTTTGTACATTCTCGAAAGAGTAGCACAAGTGACGATATGAATTCTTGGCATCACTGGAGCAACTACGGGATGCAGTAGTTCGAAAGAAATTTGTGTAGGTACAACGCAAAACTTCTCCAAACGACGAATTCAATCGCCAGATATCGCGCATCTGCATGTCTTTTCCCTCGTAGCCACTGTGCACATTCAACTGACCGGACCAGTTAACCTTTCCAGTTTCATGCAAAAAATGACGGGTTTTATTAAATAGCCGCAACAACGATCTTTCCAGCCGAATTGCCTTGTGATAGGCTTTGTTCTGCAAATAGATAACGTATGGAAATAAGCATCCATTGTATAAATATGGCACGGGATCGGTGTTTGAATAACATTTCGTATGTCCACGAAAATTCACCTCATACTCGAGTAATACTTGTTGAATAAATCGGCTGCCTGGTTTACAAGCGAAATTTCCAATGGCTAGCAGCGTCCGGCCTTCTCTTTTAAATGGGGTAAATATGCATTCATACTGCTGCAGTAACTGCATAAATTTACCACGATTTCCGGTGAAATATATATCGAAATCAGCAAAAAACCCGCCCGTTTCATAGGCCACTTGTAATTTAATAAAATCGGCTTGATGTTGAACATGCAGAATTGGCTTGCCGTTCAAGAAGTACGGAACGCGAATATCTACTGTTTGCACTTGGGTTTTAACGTTGTCCCACAATGGTCCAGAAAAATTTGTATTAGAATGCAGATAGATGCTGACTGGAGATAGCTGCGTCAAAGCGGATATTATGGATAAAAACTGCAAAGCGGTGAGATCGCGGGGAAATTTGCTCACGCGGTTTTCTATCCAAACGTAGTGCAATTTTAGCGCTAGATTAGCGTTTGTGGTAACGCTATTATAAACCAGTTGGATAAATACGAAAGTGCCATATACGCAACAAAAACATAAAACAGTCAGAATCAGACGCTTGTTAGAAGTTTTACAATCACGCTTTCTGGCAAATGAAAAATTAATTTTGCTCATTTAATTATTTTTCTGTAGTCGCGAAATTGTTATTGATTGCTTTTGTTCTGCTAAAAATTTGGATATCAATACATGCACAAATGAATTAACTCCAAATATTTTTCACGTGAAGAAGGTTTTCGGCTGCAAACATGTGGTCGCCAATGCATGACCATTAAAATTTAAAATTAGCCTTAGCAGCGTACTCAAGTGTATTACTACTGTCACCGGTCAAAATCACCAGTGCAGTATAGATCATATATGTCCATGTATTTTACCTTTCAACATGGATAATGGCTTCTTAATTAGTGTCAATTGTGAAGTACGAGTATTTACATGTACATAGTTCAAACCGTAATTACTATGTACTAGCTACAATAAAGAATAACACCGTTTTATTTCATTATTTACTGACATCAAAAATGCTTTACAGTTTTTGGATTTTACAATATTACAGAGAACGTTTGTGAAAGCCGCAGTATATACGATCACAACAGCTATCTTCTCGGCCATTTATTTATTTATAAAATTTATTAAAAGTCGTTTTTCGTGTCAGGCATACAGTATTTATTTTTAGTATAAATAGTGATTCACGAAGCAAAATTGTTGGAGGCAAGGATGCTATGGCAGAATGGCAGTTATGCACACCGACCTTCTCAAAGTACGGCTTAATTCTGCTAACCTGCAGTACAATATACTGTACCCGACTTTATGATGGCTCTGCTTCGTTTTCGTTCTTGCAGACCAGCTAGTTTTTTTATTCTTGTTTCCAGTTTGCTCGTTTCCGAGCTCGCCAATTAACCCCAATTCCGCTCCTTTCGTTACTACAGACTTCTCCGCAATTACTGCAATAGATCACTGCAACAATGCGTAATACCATCACAAAGCGTGCCTCTCCATCTCTTTGGAGATTTGCAAAATGTCATCAAACCAGTCTGGCATTCGTGTCCTTTGGCAGAAACCGGTAGTTTCTCACCACATGGATATAAAATCCAAAGTCACAAACCAATCCCATCGATCATTACGTAAGTGTATGCTGCTGGAGATACAGTATCTGTCCGCTAAAATGCTCAAGTATATCCTTAGCTTTCTCGTATTATGTGGCATAGGAATTTATGCCGATAACCTTATACCGGCGTTACCGGAGGCCAAAGCCCTTCTCGATGAGAAATCCATCCAGAAGCGATTGGAAGTGTTTCTCAATTCCAGCCAAGGCGCCGGTTTGAAGGAGATGATGAAACGTGTGGAGGCCATGAAACCAGAGGAGATTAAAGCGCTGATCAACGAGACGTTTTCCAATAACTCCACCGCACTGCGCCAGGCCAAACAATTCGGTTTTGGATTTGGAGGTTTTGGTGGAGGTTTCGGTGGAGGGAATTCGTTGCTGCTGGCGTTGTTACTGCGTGATCGCCATCGTGATCACGACTGGCCGCGTCCCATGCCGCAACAGAACAATCAGCCGGATTTCGCCTCATTAGCAACATTGACGCTTTTGGGTATAGCGCTCATCTCCCGATTTCCCACTCAAGGCTAAAGTTTGTCAACGGCAACACCATCTGACTGTATGGCCTTATGTGTACATGACTTTGTCATGATTGTGAGTTGTGACCTTTTTGCACGATACCTTGCAGATCTTATGCAGAGAAAGACGTTTGGTATTCTGGGCATTGTAGCTGTGACCTTTCTAATTGTCATTATGTCTTATGCCATATCCACTCGCCGTTTAACTTCGTCGCAGGGTTCTGGTTTACTGTGGCATCTCATTCGCGAAGTGTGATGGTCTCTTTCCAGACTTACTATATGCAAATTGTTGAACAGAAAACTGTACACACTGACTGCTCTTCGAAGTATAAGAATTTACTGAGGTACCTTTAATAAGTATCACGATACAAGTAAAAACTTAGTACCAACGTAAAACTGGATTTTATAACAGAAACACTTCCTTTGTACTATCCTGTTCGGGAATTGTACCCATTACTCAAATCGCATTCCTCTTTAATTTGTATGTGCACAGAGAGCCGCTGCTAAAACTCCCTTGCACACCATTTTAATTGTACATATTACTTTTGATTAGGATTTCTAATTTAAACAGCTTTAAATCTAAAAAACAATGCCGTTAACCAAACCTCACTTGATAGTGAGTCACGCCCACATTTCACGCAGATATTTAAAAAAAAACAACAGAAACGCATAATTCCAAATCGCGGCAACCCGTTTTTAATTCACATTAAATGCTTTGGGCATCAAGTTCCAGTTGTCAATAAATTTGTCAAAAATAAGTTAGGTAAATAAAACATAATAATTAGGCAAACATGAGTGGTAGAACTAATGTCAATTTTAACGATTTACGAAATCCCCCCATGCTGCTTCGGGATTAGCATGGGGGTGGTAGTAAGTTTTCTTTTGCTTTACCGTTGCGTGTATGCGAGTATTTTCAGAATACTATTTCCAGTGATATTGGGGCTTACGGAAAGATTAACTTACCAGTCAATAAAATCAGAAAAATTAATACAAAGAGTAGGGGTTCCAAGCTAGTGTTAATAATAATAAATGTACTTAAGTAGAACAAATTTTTTTTGCGGTAATATTAAAAGCAGGGACATTGTTTGTACTTCGCAGTATATGTATATAGGACAACCGCACCATAATAATATCTATATACTCGTATATATATACAAGCACATACGATGCATACAAACATCATCAAGAGACAAGAAATGCTAATGCAGGATCGTGATTCTGCAGAAAGAAATTGATTCAAGACCTAATGCATTTCAAATTTTACTATGAAAAAAAGGAATTTTATGTCAACTTTTGCACTCGTATCATGATTATATACAGCATTACATAATATTCATTTCAAAGTTTTGTTCTTAAAAAGTGCTGATAAATTTCATCTTTGGTAAGAAACCAGTCTCTTTATACTGGGCGGGATCACTGCGCTACATACATACTTTTGACAAATTCAAATTATGTCGCTAAATGCTGCAAATCATAATTAACACTGGCAGCACCAAGTAATCAAGTAGCCGGGATAACTTATAATTATTGCGTCATCAAGTACATCTTATTTAAAAAATGTAGATCAACAAGTTTAGTGCACCGTGTGTGTCGAGATTTTAGGAAATGTGTTGAAAAAGCCATAATCAACGCGCACCAAATTAGGTTAGTTTAGTCATACAAAGTTGCAAAGCGCTTAAAATGCGCTTACCGGAAATCATTTCCTTTTGTTATCTGCACTGTCGATAGCACGAAGAACCAAGCGCATATTCGGTTTCTGCTAGCCAAAAGTCAAAAATGGGCTACGCAGTTTTCGGAAGTATCGCATGCTGTCTGCTGATACTATTGTGTTGGTGTTGTACGTCGCCGGTGGCTGGAAGGTCACTCGCCCCTGACAGCAACGATCCCCTTCAAAATACTATCAATCATCACCAAGCCCGGAATAATTCGGACCACAAACACCGTTTCAAGCTTCCACCAGCATACCGACAGACGCTGAAGCGTCTCTTGAAGCTCTTAATGAAGAACGGTACACTGCAGTTACCGGAAGGATTTAATCTGGCCAATGTCACCGCCCAACTGGCTAATGTTACCGGGGATGTGCGTAGCGGGCGGCAGTTTGGTGGTGGGAATGGAGATAATTCAGCGCTGATTGCGGCGCTGTTATTGTTGGATGACGATGATGATGGCTTTGGTGGGGATGATGACTGGGGATACGGTGGATATGGAGGCGGTGGTGGTGGAGGCGGTGGAAGTGGAGGATCGTCCGGCGGCGGAGATGACATGAGTCAAATGCTACCGTTCCTGCTACTGGGTTTGGCACTGCTAGCGCAGTCACCAACACAAGGCTAAAGTTTCTTACAACACTATGTCGTGATCGTGACTGACTCTTCATGGAAACATTCTTATATCTCTGACATCTATAACAAATGCCAGATAACCATATAATAAATTTTCTGTCCTCTCGTCTGTGTTTACTTATCTATCTTCCTTACTTCCGGTACCTGTTTTATAAATGTTAAATTGAAATATGTATATGGGCTTATCGTATTTCTGTCTTCTCTGTTTAATGAATCTCGCCATGTATTAGAGGGGATACTTTGTGTGTTTAGGTATGCACGGTATTTCTTCTCCACCAGACTGCCCAGATCTAAAGGTTTTGAAATTTAAAATAAAGAACAGAAAAATATCCGGTTGCTGTTAGCCTGTATCTATGCATGGAAGTATGCTGAACTAACACAAGCTTAAATGATGATTTATATTTTCAATCATAGGGAGCGCAACTTGGCAAATAAGCAGCATTAAAATGGTTACAAAAAAAGGTCATGTTTTTGCAATACTACATAACAGTGGGTTGGTTCTCTATGCGGAACTGGCTATCGGTTTCTGAGACACCATCTGCAGCAGTCAACGAGCAAAACATCCTTGTGGAACAAACAATGCCGGTAGCGAATTCTTTATCCGGCACAGCGCATATATGACAATTCCACCAGAATCTGTTTAGAATTCTGGAAAAACTTTTTATGACTGTACGCCCGCAAATCTCCACCCAGGGGATTAATCCTGGAGTTAAACAGCACAAACCCATTTTTCTCAATATTGTGCAGCAGCAGCGAGCGCCATTTGACGCCCTTGCGCCAGTCGGCATAGCGTGGCGTATGGATCTCTAGCACCAGTTGGTCCACCTCCGCCAAACGATGGCTGATGTTGGTAGCATTCAGGAACATCCACTCCGCGCCCTCCACATCCATCTTCAGCACCGTCACCCGCTGGTCGTCGTGGTTAAGGCGCCGTCGGATGTCGTCGTAGGACAGCAGCATCCACCGGGGATGACGGGCTCCGCCGGTGACTAAACCCCAGTCGTAAAAGTAGTGGTGACGGTTGCGCTGGTACGAGGCCGTCTTAATGGAAGGGTCGAAGGAGTACACCCGGCAGCCCAGCGCGTGCATGGCGTCATCGAATGACCAGTCCTTACCCACGCCAAAACTGTAGACTAGGCAAGACCCGGATGCCATGGATTTTTCTAGAGGGTCCAAACAGACGGTCCACTGGCCATCGATAAAGCCGAACTCTTCCCACGTACCACCAATTCGCTGTCTACGTCGGCATGTATCTGCAAAGGTCATCCCTTTATGCGATGCCGTTTCCCGACAGCTGCATGTAATCGTTTTTTTTCGTTCAGCTTAAAAAAGATTTTTTTAATGATTGTTGCAGTCGCTTTTCCACTTCGCTCTTGCAACTGTATAATTTGCAATGTAAACATTGCTGTACTAAACAATTATCGTACTCAATTTAACACAAGAAAATGGGAAATCAGTAATCATGTGCCACTTTAAAGGAGTCCAGTGCTGTTTGTTACCTGACTGAGGATGCGTAACTAAAGCAGAAAGACGTTGAATTTCGAATTCGGCACTACCAGTTCCGGCCGGAGGAATATATGAGGGTTTCGCACCAGAATTCCAAGCTTTCCAAATGATCCAAAAATGGCATGGACCGGATTTAGCGCTCACACACCGACTAATGTCGGACAAAATCGGCACCCAGTCCAGCTCAAAGAACATTTTGTTCAACAGGTCATATAACGCTAAACCGGTGTCCTCTTCGTGGGGAGAAATTGGAAAGTCTGAAATTAGGACGGCATCAGTGTGTAAAAAAGCTCATTCCAAGCTAAGGATAACGGTTTTCGACGCCGTTTTTACTACAAAACAGTATGACACACGAATTAATATTTTTGAACAGTTACACTGACAATGAGTTGAACCAATTTAACATTGTTGTTAAAATAGGATAAATAAATTTGTACAACTGTCATGAAAGTGATCAATCAGTTACCAGCTGTACAGGAAGTGATGATGTACGGGGACCGAAGGATCCCTTTTAATGTTCTCTCTATATCATAAATATCGACATCGCGAAAATTCAAAAACACGATATGCCCGGTAAAAGCAGGTGGATGGTTTCTTAAAGATGTTTTCGCTTCCGTTTTCGCATCGCATAATTTAGTAAAACACTCCACCCGATCCATTGCCCATTTCCGCATGTTCTGCGTTCTTTCGAGATCTTTTTCGGGATCAGACAGTAATGCACCGCTAAACCTGTAATCGTTCCAATAATTAGTGCACAGCAGGGATACAACTTCAGATCTCAGCAAAACTTTGTAATACAAAATTGAACGCTCGGCTACTAGTTATCAAAATAAATTATCGAAAACAAAACAAAGCTGATTGATTATCCTAAATGCATTGAAGCGCACTGTATTGTACAACGCAAATATACTGCACATACTTCAGTAGACAGTATCGTCGACGCAGAACTTGACTAATACGAAGTGGCTTTTTTTCCCTATGCCTCAGCTTCTTTAAATTGGGTCTGTTTTATTTTCGTGAAAATTTACTACTTTTTGGCTGGACACTAATTTAATAATATTTATAGCCGTTAGTTCGGAATCAGTGAATGCTTCATTTTTAATACGTAGAACTCAATTTCCCGCGAGCGGTCGCCTACAGATACAGCAATAATTACAGTTACCTGACCGAATCCAAGGTCATCGCGCTATCATCCGTTACCCGTTCGAGAAATATCTCCCAATCCAAAACATCGTCCGTTGTAGCATTCGCCACCGACTCTACAAAGGTCATCAACCAACTCCATGACTGGTTCCGACCTTCGACGGTGGGATAAGCTGATGTGCCATACCAGTGCGCTCGCGATGGACAAACCGGACCACGCGATAACACTGCGTCACCGCTGCAGCGACACTGGCTGTGACATATGGTACACGGGCAGATCATCACTCGAAAAGTGACTATCAAGAGGCAGACAATAATTCCCGCCACCAGCGATTTATTCCCGGGAAGACAATCGCGATAGGATAGAACGCCCACATTCCGGCAGCAGCGCCTGGGAAAGATCTTTGAGCCCATACAAAAATTCGATTTCGGAAACGTACATGGGGACAAAAAATGGCGGTGCGTACTTTCAATGCGTGGCGCAGCCAACTAGTATACCAGCCTAAATGCATGTATTTCGGCAAATGCCGATGTCCGTAAGACTTGACGGTTGACGGACCATATCCAAAACCATCCGTCGCCGCAATGGACTGTCAAGCGTAAAATTAGTACGTACTGCACAGTACTTCTGCACATATGCAAGCCCTGCGCAAGGAATGCTTTGCAAACTGCGGAAAACGAACAACAAAAATAATAATAATGAAGATTCTCGTTTTCGAAATAACTAACTGAGTACTTAATGTTTTCAGGGGGCTGGCAAGTGGCAACGGTTTCCCGGTTCTCTGTCGATGTACATAGCAACGTCTCGACCCGTTCGTTTCATATGTACCGTGAGCACACAAATGTGTCATACTGTAAATTACCAAAATTGCGTAAAGCGATTTCTGCTAGCTCCTCTACACAAAGCACTGCCTGTTGATTTGGCTGAATTTAATTGGCCATTCTGTTAAATATTCACCGGTAATTGTATTTTATTTCTTCCAGGCAACTTAACCTTAACAAAACGGAAAAGAAAATTATTAGGGCCCATACAGATCATCCAAATAAATTAAAGCAATTTATAACGAAAAACTATAGCACATACAAAAATGAAAAATCTATACGACTTGAGAATATTCACGGGTAGGATGGCGCCTCCTTGGCGCCAGAAAACAGAACAAATACCGGATTCTGCTAATAATATTCGCAGAATAAGATTTCATCTCCTGCTGATTTCTGCTGTACACGTTTAGATAAATACCAAACAAAATTATAAATCCCGCCCATAAATACTGTAGTGTAAAGGGTTTCGTGAACGCAATGAAAGACACCACAATCGACAAGGCTTTCCGGAATGTCGTAACTACAGAAGAAAACAAATTTCATTAAGCGTCAGCCTGCAACCGTGTTGGTCTCAAGTGAAATTTCTTATTTTATCGATCAGCTGGCCCATCTGGATTCACCCAGACAAAAATAAAAGATGAGGACTGTGCTGAGAAAAATTAGCGAATCTTGAATCTTAAAACTCTATTTTCCGTGTAACAGTTAACAAAGTAATTTAAGTTCTGAGATTTCATATGCAAACAATAAAATTAGATCTGCATCTACAGTAGTTAGTCAGCAGAGTTGTGATTTAATTATGTCTTATCTCTTTCGGTCTTACCACTCATGGCAATAAATGCCCCAAACGATATCACCATGGTTAAAACCATTTGCACTCCAACATAACCGGTGATCCCGAAAAGTGTTGCGTAGGCGTAAAATTTTGGATGCTGAAAAAAGCAAGAATACTTAAACAAATCAGCATATGTACATTGTTAACATATGCCCCTGGGCCCTGTCTAATTACAAAACAGGAATTCCACACTGGTCGATCTACGATATTTGCTATACTACTCGACTATTAGTAAATAAACTATACTCGTACACAACGCCGCTAGCAGTGATAAATAAAAGCCTAAAATCTATGCAAATAACTCATTGCGACAAAGATAACCGGCAAAGTCTGATGCGTTCGTACTACGACGAAAACGCACTCAAGAGGAAAAAACTCGTTGGTCACAAAATACTCACCTCCCAACAATACGAAAAAGCTTGGAATAATTCTCCCGATAACAGCAAGCCCACTAGTATGTAGAGGCCGCCAATCAAATGAGTGAAGTAAACAACTTCCAGAGTAGAACCGTGATATATGCGGACGGCTTTTTCTTGAATATTTCCGATGGCAGCATCGGCAATAAGTGCAAGAGATACCAATATCACACCTAAGAAGAAATCGCACAAAATTGCAGGTAATAGTGCTTTCATAAATAACATAAAACAGTGCATTAAAAATTTAAAATACCCCATAAAGGGGCTTTCTGAAAACTAAATACGAATCAAAATACGTGTACTTGATAAACTACGTGTTTCCTACCTGTTACATCGAAATTCGGTTGGACTTTATTGTCGGCCAGAACAAAAAATATTAAACCAATGCTCATGCAGCATGCGGCCATTCCGTCCAAAATGCCGTATCTTTTTCCTAAAAGCGAGTTAGCGTAAATGGTGACAAATTTACCGACGCCATAATTCTTTTCACCTTGTATCAAGATCCCTCCAATTAGAACCGGAATCAATTTGCAGCACTTAAACACTACTTGCGTTGGATAATTCAAATATGCCAGAGACACATTGCTGAGCCCAATTGTAGCCATGGCAAGAAAGCCTATTATGGCGTAATATCGCAGCGGTATCCTAAAACAGAATTTTAATGCAAATTAGTTAGCTCCTTTCCATGTCTTAGGTGTACGGGTAGAGGCCTGCAGAAATGGTCTTATTACTCGGATTGCTGCCGGCGATAGAGCAAAAAACCTGTGCATTTTACCCGGTCAAGCAAACGGCAAACAAAAACTGTAACAGTAACGTCTAGCACAACGTTTACCGTCTTCGGATATCTTTCATCGTTAAGCGGCGCTCGCAGTAGCTGAATACGGTGTAGAAAGTAAACTGCATCAGAGTCAGATACCATCCGAAGTCTTTGAATCCTTCTATCCGAAACATTAACTCCTGCAGAAATAAGCCCAATTAATTTTCATGAGCAAATTGAACAAGTAATCTAATCAGCCGCACTTACCTGAACGTAACCATAAATCATAAAACAAAAAAAGATTCCAAAGGAACAAATAAAAAATTTGGCCGCCGGTGGGAAACGGTCAATGCGCACAAAGCAGCATATACGGTTTTCTTCGCGCTGCTTGTGCGCATCCTGAGAATCCGCTCCAGATAGCGACTGTGAAGGAACGCGATGCGGAAGAGTTCCATCGTGCGATGTGGTATGCCTGTGGTAGGTTTCGGAGAATCCAGAACCGTTCTGACTGCTCGCAACATCGGGTATCAGATCGATGCTAGTTTCGTAATCGCTGACTGATTTCAGTTCTTTGATATCTAACATTTTTCACTGCAGAAGCACCGCGAATGCATTTAACTTTCCAACTGTAAAAGGTGTCAGAATTCGCAGATCGAATTTAACCGCTTAGCAGCATAGTTTATCCATTCGGACGTGGAAACTGAAAAGTTAAAAAGATCGCAAAAATGTTGGTTTGCGTTTGTTTATGTTAATTTGCTTGCCACGTTAACTTAAGGAACAGGGATGAGTGCTCGCAGTGACGTCAGAGGGCGCAGTGATGCGCTTTTAGACTGTCTTGGGCGCAGAACTAATTCCTGCCAAATAAGATGCGCCATACGGCCACCAATGTCGTGTATATGGAATTCCAAATCCGACAGCCTCATCGATTTGGAAATCTGGAATTGGAAAACATCGTTTCTCGATTTCAAAAACATCGATTACGATTTTGCCAACCCGGATGCTGGACTTCCAATTTTTTTTCAACTTTTGATTTTCCAATTCCACATTCCATTACACGCACTGTAATGGACTTTTTCATATAATTTACTGGTATTGGCCTTAACCTGGCGTGCTCGCCATACTGTATGTGGAAATCTGGCAGTTTGCGTTGTTGTTGACGTTGGTAGAAAGAAGAAACTAGAATTTGAAGAACGAAACCTGTTTATTTCTTCGAGTTGCAGCATCTTTTGTACTTGTGCCCGCTGAGGGCTTAAGTCCTCCAAGTGCTTATGATCGGGCCGTTGAATGGTGGAGTCCTCGATGTCTACGTCTTCTGGCCCGTTCTGGGGTTCTTGCCGTTGAGTAACAGCTGTATCTTTCCGCAACCCAAAGCTACCGTTCCATGTGTTTAACAATAGTCTAAAATCTACTTCTGCCACTGTAACGTACAGTGGGATCCATAACGGTCGAATGCGTCCCAAAATCCGAAATTTCCCGAATACGGTACGTTTCTTATGTTACACTTTGTACAGCAGCTTTGCAATGATTAATGAATTGTTCGGCTGTGTCACAGCCCAAACTAATTTTTGTAAATTTCGTGGCATTGATGTAGTATTTGTTACTATTGGTTTCGGTTTGGTGCAGATACAATGGAAGCTTTTATTGTGTTTGCGGATTCTGTCGTCAGGCGGGCCACTAGGCTCTTGGATACTGCAGATGGGGATCAGGACGGCATTGAAGGAGCACTGGCGCAGATTGAATATTAAACTGGGTAAGCTGTGAAAATCCGATAAAATAGCGGTTAACCTAATTTGATTCTGCCACGTTTATTTTGCTGTTTTTTAGTTACACACGGGACATATGCGGAAACTTACCTAACGAAGTCACGAGAGATGCTCAGCACTGAGCAGTTGTTCGACGTTTTGCGAAACTGTTCAGAGGGCTTGCATCAGCTACTGCGGGAAGAAGAAAAGGGGTCGGATTATTTCTATGAAATGAATGGCGGCACTAATAAATACGGAAAAATTTATATTCCGGATAACGAACTCTGTGAAATGCGATGCAAAGGCTTCACAGTTAGGGAAATTGCTCGGTTTTTTGTAATCACGACACGTACGATCGAGCGCAGGCTTTTTAAATACAATTTAAATCATAAGGTAAATTTTAATGCTAGCAGCTATTTTAACGGTAGCGTCCTGTGGGATCCCATTGGACGTCAAAGAGCAAAAAGTGTGAAGCATCCCCCAATACTGACAAATCGGCGGTATCCACAAAAATTTAATACCCAACGCTTCCGCTGCATAACATACAGACAGTGTCAATCAACACACTGTCAGAAATACGAATGTCCTTTCCTAGAAGCCGTGTGAGGAACGACGAACTGCCCCATAGGCGACCTGGAGATTTTCTCCACCTTGTGCCGCAGCGCTAATTTTTCTATAACATATTCAAACATAATTAGCACCATAAAAGTGTGAAAAATTCGGCGAAATAAACACATACTAATCTACTAAATAAATAATACTAAATTACATCGCAGAATAACTTCATAAAGCAATGGCAAGAAATAAAATGCACTTCGAGTCTTTATGTAACTCTCTTGAATTGTCTCAAACATCTGCTTATTACATAAATGCTACAAGCACATACTTGTAATCAAAGATCTGTAAGTTGCAAAAGACCTGCAACTTTTCCATGGACGACGCTTACTGACTAAATCGAAAACGATGCCTTGTCGTCAACTATAGAAATTAGCCAATTTTCTGAACCAGCAACAGTCAGCACTACTAATTTGTTGCCATTTGGTTCCCAGGATAGATCCACGATGGAATCTGCAAACGCCAATAAAATTCATTCTAAGTATTTCTGATAAATCACCGCATATTACTTCAAAATAAATTAACTTTTAAAATTTTACTAATCAAAGGAAGATACTCTGGTGAGGCAAAAAGATCGTCAACGGGGCTACAAAAGAAATTGATCTTGTAAAATAGGCCCAATCAATCTATTTCTCTAACACCTGCAACCTGCTACGAAAACTGGTAGTCTAAAATATCAAATCACGTGTCAATTCTTATTTCAGTACCGAAAAAACTTGCGTCGTATAAGGTTATAACTTCTCAAACCGGTCCCATTCTACTGTACTCACCTCGTATTTTAATGGATTCTACGGGACTTCCGTTCGTTTAATTAGGGCGAACACCTCCAGGTTGATAAAATATTCCACCGCAGTCAAACTCTTTCGCCCATTTCTTCATATGGTTATAACGCTCAACTTTGACGGCCATGTAATCGCCGTTTTTCGACCAGTAGAACTCGCAGTCCTTGACGCCGAACAGCTGTATAATGCGGATCTCCTCCAGGGGCTTGTCTTTATCGGGTAGGATGCACAGAAGAACGACTGATGGCGACGGGGTTTTCATAGACCCTGAATCTCCAGAAAGTCCTGGAGATCAATGAAAACAACATAGTGGAGATTAGGAACACGATGGATTCGACAAAACGGGACGACATAGCCAGGAGACACGAGATAGCACAAGATGACACTTCAAAGGGTTCGAAATCTGCCATACTTAGAACTGCAGATTTCTCTGAAATGTACATATCCGCAAATCTGAATAAATCCACTCAAACCGACTAAAAAAATAAGGAAAAACACCTTTTGATCGTAATTGTACTGTAAATTGCAACGCCAACGGCAACATCCAGACTTCAGTATGGCGTGCACACCAGATTAAGGCCAAGTCCAGTCATTTATATGGAAAAATCCATTACAGTAAGTGTAATGGAATGTGGAATTGGAATTTAGAAAGTTAAAAAAAATTCTAAGTCCAGCATCCGGGTTGGCAAAATCGAAATCGATGTTTTTAAAATCGGCAATCGATGTTTTCCAGTTCCAGATTTCCAAATCGATGAGGCTGTCGGATTTGGAATTCCATACGTGTATTGTGAATTTATGATTAATCTTGAGTTTGTGGAAGTTTGTGTTTTGTTTACCATTTTACAGTGACTGGATAACCGTTTACTGTCACCGGTTTACGCACTTAAATTTCAAAAAGATTCTGTTTTTATTTAGAGCTTTTTATGTTATAGTAGCACCGTATACAGTATACTTACAACTTTCTAAGTCTCACTTCTGCGGGAGCCGAAATTCACGGTTGCAGCAAGCTTCAGTGGTTTTGAATTTTCGCTTCCATTGCAGATTGCTCACGTGTAAGTCAGAAATCCACGTATCTTTTATCAGCTGTGATAACGATTTAATGTGCGCGTGCAGTATTTGGATTTATGTTATTGATTTCCTGCTGCAATCGGCGCATCCTTATCGGAAACTTAAAACGGACGATCAATCGCGTTATAGCACCCGCTTATAGCTCTACTCCCTTCGCCACCATTCCACATCCTTCTGCTCAGGTCTTTCGTCGTTCTGCTCTATATAAGACTTCCAAAATGGCGGTTACTACTATCTGTACGAAAGATTTCTGCAAAGAGCTGTATCCGGACATTGAGCCTTACGATAAAGGATTTCTGAAAGTGTCGGACATCCATGAGTTATATTACGAACAATCAGGAAATCCCAATGGCAATCCTGTTGTTTTCTTGTACGGATTTCCGTATTCTGCTTTGTAAAGACTTGAAGTATATGCTCTCTTTCATAATTTGGTTTAACAGACATGGCGGTCCCGGAGGAGGAACCAGTCCCCGTGATCGGCGCTACTTTGACCCGCAAGCTTATCGAATTGTTGTTTTTGATCAGCGCGGATCTGGTCAGTCACGCCCGTCGGCGGAACTGAAGGTAAGACGAATGCTTACCGGCTGACGTCACGAGATCAATATTTATGATGATTTGTGAATATTTTACAATAGTTTTTACTTTTGTTGGCAGCGATTTGCAATAATTTTGGGGAACCTTTTTTCACGTTTTAATTATTTTTACTCAATCTTACAGTTAGTTGCTTACAGGGTTATATGTAATTACCATGCTGAAAAGTATTGTATGTTATTTGTATTTTGTTGTCAAGAATTGTATTTACTCCCTATATTTGTGGCTTGTGGATTATTTCTGTGTCGGTAACTGCTCCTTTTTGTCCTGTGTTATGCTTGTGCGTGTTGTCTTTTGACGTGTTCCTACACTGTTCTTTTCAAGCTTGTCAAATTTTTTACAAATGTTGTTGCATGTTTTCGTTGGTAGAATTTCGATTTGATGTTTTCACCGTAGCCATACACACTTGTGTGGAATTTTTTGGTGAAAATGATATGTCTTTGTTTAGGACAATACGACATGGGATTTGGTTGAAGACATCGAAAGGCTGCGTAAGAAGCTTGGAATTGACAAGTGGGTAGTGTTCGGTGGTTCCTGGGGTTCTACTCTCGCGTTGGCCTACGCGGAAACGCATCCAGCACAAGTGAAAGGACTAATCCTGCGCGGAATATTCATGCTGCGAAGGTACTTACGCCTAGTCTCGTTTCCGATGGGGTTTATTTAACTGTACTCGTAATTTCGTTTTCTTAGAGCGGAACTATTGTGGTTTTATCAAGAAGGTGCTTCGTGGCTGTTCCCAGACTACTGGGAGGAATTCCTGGCACCGATCCCTGAGGTACGTCATCCTTACATGTGGTGCGATGAGTGGTGCATTGATACGCTGAGAATTTAAAATTAATTGAGCTCATCTGTTCTCTTTCTTAATTGCTAAAACATTACTCACAATCAGTAATTTTCACACCTTTTTGGCTTTACTCCGAAATTGGAAAGAGTAACTTTTTTTTTACTTTATTGCATAATGTTTTACATCGAGAACGTTTTTTACTGGGAATTTTGAAATTACTTACAATTACAGCAAAGGAATTCGAAAGCAAAATGATTAACATGAGAAAACGTAAAAAACACAGATTGCAGTACCCTTTACAGACTACGGAGTAGACTGCAATTGATTTTTATTATATCGGTCTTTATTGGTCTAATCAAAATCGAAATGATATTGGGAGAAATTAATTTTATTATTGGAACAGGTCGAAAGGGCGGACTTGATTAGCGCTTATTACCGGAGGTAAAAACCTACCATTTGTTATCGGCTTTTTTGTGTGAGAAACTTTGTCTATTGTATACGTGTTTTTAAAGATTGACTGGAAACAACGAGGAGGATAAACTGCGGTGTGCTAAAGCATGGTCAAAATGGGAAATGGCTACTGCCCGGTTGTTCTGTGACGATGACATGGTGAAAAAAGTGGAAGAAGATATCTTTGCCCTTCAGTTTGCGCGCATCGAATGGTAAGTGATTTAATGTTGTGCAGAGTCAAAATATAAAAAGCCGAATTTTTCGCCTTTTGATATCAGCCGTCCGGCAGGACGGTTGATTTTGAACTGTAATTCCTTTGATTGTTCTTACGAGATAGACAGTTGTCAAACGTAGCATATCATTAGATTTTTCTATCTGTTCAGCCATTATTTCGTCCATGGTGGGTTCTTCAAGTCGGATGACCAAATACTGAAAGATGTTGACAAAATTGCCAAGCACAACATTCCCTGCATGGTCGTCCAAGGACGCTACGATGTTGTTTGCCCGATAAAGAGTGCCTGGGATTTGTATCGACGCTGGCCGCAAGTGCAGCTGCATATTGTTGCTGATGCCGGTCATTCCGCCAAAGAGGATGCTATCTGCAGCAAACTGGTTGCGTTTGCTGATGCTTTCAAAACTTTGTGACACTTTCCGAGAAAAACTTGCGGTCATGGGCGATGTAATGTTTCGCTCTGAATTACTACTGTGTGATTTTTTTAAATTTGTGTGTCCTTGCTGTAATTGCTGTTGTAAATTTGTGACGTTGGGATTCTTCGGTTTCTGTTCTTTATAATGAATTTTTTTATTGTTTGTTTTTGTGGCAGTTTTTATACTCACCATTTTCGGAGCTTGAAAACAACAATAAGAAATTTTAAGAAAAATTGAATATTATACGTAGAGGCGGTATAGCAACCAGCGTAAAATACTTACACCACCTTCAGAGCTAGGGAACCGGGTGTACCGGACTTTGCACCTGGTGGCAGGTACAGCAAATGGTAGGTACTTGGAAAAAAATGAGGGACAGTCTCGCGATAGTCTCGTTGGGCATTTTTCCAAATATTTTGCGCATTGGTTAGTATTTACAGGATTGCCGACATCCTGTGTTCAGTGATTAATAGCCTCTTTTCAGTACGTCAGTGTTACCCTCGAGCCAGTTGATGCATGTTCGCATACCCAGGTTGTTCGATAATTGACTGAACTGCGATACGTTGTTCATTACAGTATGATTCGTAATTATTTATATAAATATCTGCTGTACTTCTGGGCATAGCGGCTGTAGAACTATTTTCACATAAATCGTGTAAAGCTTTGGCTTTTTGTCCGATATTGTAACTACCAAAGCAACAGGTGGCACATGTGATTCATTGTTTCAAGGTCGAACGAGCTGAACGAAGTAGCTTTCTTGAAGTTTCTCTGAACCTCGATTATACGAGTATTGTAACGATGTAGTACTGCAATCGGTTCTATTGTTCAGTTATTCGTTTATTGCTTGCTAAACGTCTGATTTTTGTATTGTATTATGTATATAAACAAAAATGCGTACTCGTACCGTCTGTATTCACAAAAAATGGTGTAACACAATGCTGCCGCTTGGAAATAAATCTCTTCATTGATTATATAACTAATAAAGTGTTTTAATAATTCAAGCAGTACCTGCATGTGCGTGTGCTTTACATACCTGCTTGCGACCATGCATGACTCGCAATTAAGCAGGTGAAGCACATACATGCAGGCGAAGGATGATGATAAAGGTTTGCACTTCCATTATGATTATCTATAACGACAGCAAAAATATATCATGGCTGGCCACGCTTTGGCATGCGTTTTCACTGGAAATCAAAAGAATTACCTGCAGGTCAAATAGTAAATCATGAGTAGTAGTTAATTACTTCTACTTGGCACAAGTGCTTCCGGGCATTGTTAGCATGACACAAAGCATTTGTACAGAAAATACTTTCCAATTCACTACCTCATCCTAAATAACTTGGTCTCTCAACAAGTTTATTAATTGAATATACGGTGCCATTATCGATTAGCGGACATTTTTCTGACTTTATACAAAGAAAACTGCCAATTCACAGCGTCGGATCTTCAGAGACAATAATGCGGTATTTGTTCAAGGAGACAGTTAAGGTGATCAAGTGACACCGCAAAGTACATAATACGTAGATTAGCAACTCAATGGTCGCTTACTAATTTGATATGAAATGCACAGTGAATGTTGCAAGTGCAAACAATATTAGCGCAATCAAAACTTTATCAAATTAGATCGCTTCGCTATTATTATATAGCATTTGCCTAGATTCCCGTTGCGGTCGGTGTGACTGGAGCTGCATTTCATAAGACGGTGGTGGCGTTGTTTGTTCGTTTTCGACGGCGTAGTGTATCCGCCGCTCCGTGCGGTCATCTTTGTTTTTACCCAAGGAGAATTTCCGCTTGGTTTCCCCGTGATTGTGACTCGACCCCTGTGAATACAGGGATTTTCTTCGTTTTTCGGCTTTCTCATGTGAGCCGGCGGAAAATGTCGAGACGCGCCGGTCGGGATCACTCAGCACGTGTCCGCATGACACCCGACGACCATCTTTTAGAACACCCAGTGTTGTGTCGTCAATTCCATCGGCACCATCTTCCGAAATTACAAGCATATAAGCTACCTGTAGATGAGTAGATAAACTTTAATATATATAATAAAGTGAACTGTTGGTTTAATGAAAGCGACTTCGCTAATCGCTGGCCAGTGCTTCTTCGCTAATCGTCACACATGCAAAAATTACTTAATTGCTTCATATTAAGAAGGGGCACCGTGACGCCCATATTACCTCGCCCATTTCTGTGAAATCTCCGCCATTTAGTTCCTCTTGTTCGCTTTGGCGTAAATGCAGACCGGGAATCTTGTTGATAATGAAGAGGAGAATAAAACTGACGCAGAATGACCAGGCGGCCTGTACAATAGTAAAGGTCAACTAAGTGAAGCCATAAAATTGATAGGAAGTGGTAATGCCGGCGCCTTAATAGCTATAGTATGAGATTTGGGTGTAGTCTTATAAGTAATTAAGCATACAATAGCGGCTGATGAACCAAGCTGATAGCCGACTTGAATCCAGTTGTGCTCCATCCAGCCACCGTCAATCGGCGTGCCATCAAGTAATGCAACCCATTTTTGCGCGAAAATACCCGCCAAGATGTTGCCAAGAAAACCGCCCACGCCATGCACCGACCACGCGTCAAACGAGTCATCCAGACCCACCATTCGCTTGGCACGACACCATCCATTGCAGCAGACACTGGTTATAAATCCGATAACAATGGCCGCCCATGGAGCTACGAAACCGCTTGCTGGTGTTATGGCCACCTGTCATTTTCAGACAAAATAGTCAGATATCTGGTACATTCAAATACGAGTTCGTATTTGAAATTTGCTTTGATTTGATTGACACGTGCATACCAGCCCAGCTACGACCCCACTGCAAAAGCTTAGTGCTGACATTTTTCTTGTCCAGATGTAATCCATCCAAGTCCAAGTCATTCCACCCATGGCGGCAGCAATGGTAGTCACCTTTGAAGAATTTCCAACAGGCTTTGTCAAGATTGGACAATATCTTACGTTTAAGTACTAGTAGTTAAACATAAGAAACGTTAGTAACTTAATTTAATTCAAACGTTTGTAATTTTAACATTATAATTACCTTCGAGAATTTTTTGAATAAGTAAGCAGGTTAAAATTACAAAACATCTTCCTCTAAAATACGGTCGATGGCTTACAGTTGCAGCCATAGCGGCTCTTGTGTTTGCGGCTCCCGCTGAGCCCCCGTTGAAGGCAAACCAACCAAACCAGAGAATTCCCGTGCCAAACATTACATTCACCTGTAAATTTGTTGAAAGACTAGTTTAGTGTTTACAAATCTGATTATGCTGCATTGCTGTCGTATCAGGGTTACGTAGCATCAGTAAACCATTATCAAAGCTTGATTAGTGCTGTTGCCGACCCGGTCATACAGTTTATAGAATAGTATTGTTTAACACATCCATTTAATTTATGACTACTACAGTACAAGTATGTAATATGCGGATGAGTATATAAAATTTAGTAATTTACTATGCTTTATTGGGACTAGTCCACATCCTTACCAAGCTGTGATGTTCCACATGAATGCGCTTCCGCTTTCCCAAGATCAGACAATAAGCCAACCCAGCAAAACCCGACGCAATGTGCACGGGACCACCACCAGCAAAGTCGTAGGCTCCCACAAAGCAAGGCGTGGCAGTGGTATTATACAGCTGCGAAATGCAGGCAAAATTTCGGATCCATCCGTGATCCGCCCAGCTCCAATACGCAACAAAATCATAAACAAATGTCGTCCAGAAGAAGACGAATATCATTGCGGGACCAAAGCGCGTCCGTTCTGGCACAGGAGCCAAAAATCAATGCCGCTGTGATGGTGGCAAACTGCATTTGGAATAACATAAAGGACACCGACGGAATATTGGGTGCTGTGTTGGGAAACGCATGTGCGCCCAATGTGTTCAGTGCTCCCGCATTGAAATCGCCAATAAAAGGGCCACCGGTTTCGGAGAAGGCCAAACTGAAGCCGAAGAGGAAATACTGCACGGTGACAACCGCTGCCGCTAGCATGCACAACATCATCAGGGATAAGGCATTGTTGTATCGGGATAAACCTAATCGTGAATAATAATAATAACCATATAGTATTGGTAAATCAAATGCAGCGATAATCCTCAATATCGAGAACGCATTCTACGCTCGTAGGTATGTGTAATTTATACGCACTTATCACTAATATTACTTCGATTCCTGTAATGTGAGAGTCAGTCTAACTTAAGGGTCACCGTTCTTTTCATTAATAACAACTTAATACTCGTTTAAAGCTTAATACTTCCCGTTTAATTACTGCTTAAATAGTAATAACTAGGATAGAATGTAATAAATTTTACTATATGCAGTTTTATTTCAGGATCATTTAGACTATTTTTAAGCGTGCCTGAGTAAAACAGTGCTAATCCCGGAGTCATGATAAACACCAAGGCCGATCCCCAGACAATGAAGCCCACGGAAGGAGTTCCGCTGTCCACAGGTTGTGGCAAAGTGGGCACTGACGGCTTGGTGACATTGCTGACAAAGCTGGACGTCACGTTGGTCACGACGGTGGCAATATTGTTGGCAGCCATATTCGGTGTGTTCTAGCACAGCACAGATGGTTAACTTGGGCTACCAAACTAAATACTGCAGTGCAACCTTCTTCGTCGGTGACGAATGCTGCTTTTATAGCTTTTTGTAGATGACAATATGAGAAACAGGAAAACTGCTACAACTAATTGCCTTATTGTACTACCCTGAAGAAATCTGTAAAACCTGTACTTTGCTTTATAAATGAGCGTCTTGTGCTCCCTAAATTACTGTGACAGTAGCAGTATTACACTTGTACAACTTAATTGAGCCATCGTTAAAGTTGATCAGTTTTCTGTACCTTTAAACAGTCGTAGTATCCAGAAGCACAGCAGTTTAATAAATGATGCTGGAGACCATAATTTCAAGTTCAGTTTCAATGTGAAATAAAAGTCAAATCGCTTATGCGAGCGAACAATTAGTTTATTGCATAAATGAAGCGCCAGAAAAGTGCTTGTTAATAACAGACCCATTTGTACTGCTTTTTCTGGCTTCACAGTTAATTAATAGTTTAATAGTGTGTTTCAAATTGTCCGACAGCACGATGCGGTACTTCTGTATAATGACGGATCGTATGCATTGCATTATCATGGCTGTACACAGCTATGTCCGGATAATGCATTTTTTACACTTTTATTTCATAACATCAGCATTCTAAACAACGTGGCTTTTGTCTAGATTTTAAAACATTTGTACTGTGATAGTTAGTATTTCGTGTCCTTTTGGCACCCAGCGATGCATCGGGTTTCTGGCGTATGTTGTTCGTGTGTAAACTTCTGGATGTATACGGAGATATGCCTTTTCCAGTGTCGGCAACGTTACTACTTTCGGCGTAGCTATTGGCGTTTGCGTTGGAATTGAGATTTAGTCCAGTACCAGTACCGACAATTTGTGACTGACCAATGACTGCCAAACCATTGGCACTCGAGGTGTTACTGTGGTCAAGATTGGAGACACTTCCGGTCTGTCCGTTGCCGTTGGAATTCGATCCACTGTTAGCGTAAATGTTTGCGTTGTTCATATCGAAGTTGGATGGCGCAAAATCACCATTAGTGGACGCTGATCCGATGACCACGGCAGAAATCCCCGAGGCAGAATTGAAGGATGTCGCCTGGGACTGAAACTGATTGTTGATTACTCCTGAAGTGGCGCCGTTGTTCAGGAAAACTGTTCCGTTAATTATCGAACCGGAGCTACTTGAGGATCCACCTGAACTTGGTTGACATTGTACTACTGCACAACACAAAATCACATTATGCACAATTAATTTGCTTTTTTCTGTAGTATTCAAAATTTTATACTGTAAGATTTAAATATAATTTTGTTGGTACAAAACGCTATCGATCGATACTGAAGGTTCGTACCTGAAACAACTACACTCAGGATAAAAAATGTCACGTAGTTCAGCTGTGGGCAGCTTTCGCTCTCCATAATACTGGCAGATTGGCACTGAACGAATGTCGGATCTAGCTTATGTATATCCCTTTTCATGAAGCGTGCACCTCAATATTACTTGCATTTAGCGATGAACGAAATTGCACATCAGCTGATCGAAATTATGAAATGATATGTACAGGACTGGTTTACAAGCAATTGTATGTATAATCATACTCAACTTAGCTAGTCACTCGGTTTGCATTATAGACAAGTCACAAGTGGACTTCGAAAGGTCAAAAAAATATCAGACCGATCTGCAGGCCATTGAGATTGTCAGCCATTGTACATGTATATAGCGCGTCTTAAATAAAAATACTTACCAGATTTAAGACAAAAGAAAACAACTTTTCTGGTATCAAGATAATGCCGATAAATGCTTAATTATAATTTGCGCTCTCCTATTTATAGTGCCGTTTAAATTATCCTTTGTAGTGTGCAGCACTGACAATGAAATAAAGGCTGTATTGTGGTGGTTAGTCGTTAGCTGTGCATGTAACGCCAGACTTCCTGCTTGTCTTCATTTTAATCCGCATGAACGTTTTATTAATCAGTTCGATCCCAGCATCAAACAAGGAAATAAATTGCTTGCACATTCTGAACAATGTTTTTTTCTGTCAGCGTTGACAAGCGTCATACCGATGCACTGCTTACTGTATTTACGGATACGCAAGTCGGCGGTGCAGTTGAATTAATTTTAAAAGCTATAGGTAAGAAAAACAATGCAAGATGTAGTTCTTATTCTTAATTAGCTGCAAAACATTTACGAACTATTTAGAGCCATTCAGAATTTACGAAACTGTTGCCAACTTGCTAAGGCCAACTTGCCAAGTCGCCGCTTAATATAACCTCGACCTATAGAATAGCATCGCAAATGTTATTTGCTGTCAAAAATTAATAATTCCGAAATCCTGTATTTACTGTTTTAAAAACAGTGCAGAAAGGGCGGTTAATCCGCCAAGAATACCGTGTCAATTTCATTCAGTTTTTATATAGAGTTGTTCATAGTCAAGCGATTGATCAAATGGACGATACAGCAGTTGAAGGCTTAACTAGAAATGATTGTATCGCATTTCAAATAATTAACAGTAAAACCAATAAACAAAAGTCAGTTTTGTGCAATACCGCTAACTTCCGCAATTCAGTCGTCGCTAATAAATACCGGTATGTCTACAGCTAAAGATAGTTAATAAGCACTTTCGTTCATGAGCAATCGTCCTGCTGTGATGTCCCGGGCTCCTTCCCTGGACAATCTAAATCATCCCCGTCACAGAACACCTTCAGTCCATAATCATACATCAGCACCTTCTCGTCGAACACCTGCGTGTGATTACTGGTCCATCCGCGTAACCACTGCATATCGCAGTCACACAATCCAATCGCATGATCGTCGTGATCATCTAGTTTCAAACATGCCAGACTGGTCAGCGGGGCAAAGGCACCTTCGTCGATGTGCTCCACACTGCTGTCATCCAGTGACAGTCCCTTCAGCGCCGTTAATCCTTCGAACGTACCACGCGGAATCACCGCCAGTTCATCATCGCTCAGTTCCAGAAACACCAGGCGGCGCAGATTGGCGAAGCTATTCGGACGGAGCAAAACAGCGGAATGGTCCAAGTGTAGATGGATTAGCTGATCCTTTACCGGTTCCCACAGACTGGTGTTCAGCGCCAAATTAGCCGATCTGGCGATGTCCAGACGGAGAGGACGATCGGTTAGTTGAGAGTAACGGGACAGAATTCCCTTTAGTTCCGCATAGCCGACGTTGGTGCACTGGATCTGCATCGGCGTCCAGTTGTCGCAGTAGGTCTTGCAGTGGCTAGTTTGCAGTTCCATGCATTCCATATCACTTATGGCCGTGTCGCAGATGTCGGAAGGGATTTCGGTGACGTTCCTGTCACGCATTATGGGAGGGTATTCACAATCTGGGATATCTCCTGCAATGCCGCTGAGTTAATTAAATGAGTATTATTACATTTTCTTCAATAGTCAACTTTATTTGGTCCAAGCCGAATGGAGATAAAATATATAATATATAAATACATATACTGGAAAATTGTCATACACCCATACATCTGTAAATCTTCTACAACATGTTAACATGTTAATAGCAGCACAGTACTGTACCTCCTAAAATTAACTGGGTGTGGCTTAAGGTAAACCAGTATTTACTATGCAATCGCTTCTTTTTAAGTTCTGATAAAAGTTCGTACACAACTTTTCATGTAAAAATTAATATTTAAATAAATATGGTATGCCATGCTATGCGTAATGGTAAGAGTAATTACTTTGCGCGTTCTAACCATCGCAGTCTTGGTCTGGACCGGCGTTTTCATACAATTCCTGATCGTCCTCCCAGAAATTTGGATGTGATATGGACCATTTTTTCAGCCATAATGTCCTGCAGTCACAGGTTAGTGCGTTATCATCCAAGTCGATACACCTTAAATTGTTGAGGTCATCAAAAACACCAGCAGCAATCTGGATCAACGGATTTCTCTCCAGTTTTATACCGCGTATCTGATTAAGACCGGCAAAGTCTTCGGCATGTAGATGCGCGATTTTATTACCGGACAAATCTAAGAATCGCACATTTTTTAGGCCATTAAAGGATCCGCTAGGGATTTCATTGATGATCGTGTCGGATTCGATGCGTAAATCCCATAGTTGATTGACAACCGGAGCAAATAAATTCTGACTTAGATGTAAATCTGCGGACTTTCTTATTGTAAGACGCAAAGGTGTACTTGTGATGTTGCTGTATTGAGTCAACAACTGATGCAATTCATCGTCAACAACAGATTCGCAATCTAATTTTGTTGGAATATTGGAACAGTCGGCTTTGCAGTGCAGTGTATTAAACGCCACACAATCCAGTGCATCGAATAGCGACATGACCGGTGAAAAGGTCAGCCAGGTTAAATACAGTAAACCGATACTCAGTGTCATTTCCGTAGGTTAAAAGCTCCGAAATGCAGATAAAAAGCTGAGAAAAACCCAACGAGTTTGTGTTTGATGGGCTTATATAGACTAAGTGCGTAGAACTAACAGCTTTTCGCGTAATTGTTTAGTTTTAAATTCAAGTGGTTGCCGGCTCCTCATGGACAAATAATCCATCGTGGGTGCATTTCGGCATTGTTTTGATAATTTCGCGCGAGTACCATCAACACCAACACGTTTTTGACCCAAAAACAAGTCCTTCTCGACAAAGGTGGCGATCAGATTGCATTTCATGCAATGGCAAGTTGTTTAGGTGATTCTTTGAAGAGCAGTTATGAGTTGTGGTCATTAGCGCTACAATTCTGTAATATAGCTAGTGCAAGTTGACTTCGTACAAATCGTTTAGCAAAGAAAAGGCTACAATAATTTCTTATAAAGCTTTGATGAATTATTAAAAATCGTAATAAATCTTTGCTTATAAAATTCTCGGTTAATGTTGTTACAGTGACGTGAATTTATTGATAGCTCTAACGATCGATGCGTCGAACATGTTGTTGCATATGCATATGTTCTGCAAGTTGTAGTGGTACTCGTATACTAAGTACTCTTTCCAATAACATAATAAGGAATTTTTTAAAACCGATAAACTTAGGAATATTTTAACGTGCAGCTGGCGAATTATCTTAAAAACATAAATTATAAACCGATGTCTTTAATTTAATTTGATTATTCGTGCTCTGCCACACACTTTGCATGATAGGCAAACGGTACACTGTACAGTAGAAGCACCGTACAACAGGAAGGGACAACAGGAACTGAGCAATTTAATTAACGCCATTAGTTATCGTTCCCAATAGAGCGAGGACAACGAGATTTTTCGGACACAGGCTTGGAATGGTGCGTACGTAATCAAAGCTTATAAATAACGCGGAAATAATTCTAGTAGGTAAGATCAATTTACAAGCATTATGAGCCAGACATGGAAATTGACCCCGTGGTACATGGTTCATGGCGCATCTACGGATCAAGTTAAAATTTGTACTTCTACCGTACTTGTTGTTTGAGTAAATACAAACATTAGGGCGAGCCTGTGTAGTCAGGTGTCTGCAGTATTAGTGGGTGCAATCTTAAGTTTTCCAGCGCCCGAAATTCAAACGTAACGGAAACGGTTTCGGAATCTTCATGCGTTCTTTGCCGTTTCTGTCCCAAACACGTAGTAGAATCCTCAGTTATTAACTCTCGGTAGACACTCAAAGTTATATAAAATGCCCCGGTTCACATTTTTGGTGATTGGTGTAACCGCGCTGGTGTGTATGTCTCAGCTGACGAAAAGCGCCCCGTCAAACGGTAAGTGATAAAAAACCCCATACAAGTACTGGCCGTGTTTTTCTCAGTTCTGGTTTTTCAAGATTTCAAGTGCTACTCGTGTTTTCCGGAGTTACGACTTAATCAGTGCAACGAACCACAAGATAGCCAGCTGGTTTCCTGTCCAGCCGGTGTTTGTTGGATGACGATGAAAGAAAATTCGATAAAAGTGCGTACAGCTTAATTTATCTCAGAACCTATAATGCACTCGTTTCTTGCGCACAATTGTGTGAATTTGTCGGGAAAAGTTTTCATGGGCGGGATCATGAATTAACACGTACGATAGGCTGTAATTTATTATCTTTATAAGTAATATGATTTCATAAAATTAAGTTAATTGTGACTAAATCTAACGCATTTTCGCATTAACAGGCATCGTGGTTTCGCGGGGTTGCGGCAAAGCCATGGAAGCGCCAGGACTTTCGGTGGATGATTGCAAAAAGACCAGGGACAGAAGCAGCGGTCAAACTGAGCAAATATGCAACTGCAATGCACCACGCTGCAACAGGAATAATTGTCGCACAAAGTCTAAATGCTTTCTTTAATTCGATCAGATTTTATTTGTGAGATTTCGCAAATCCGTTACAGTACAAGACATCCACTTTGCAACAGTTTAGCGAGGTTTAGCGTAAGGTTTCTGAAGCTTCCAAGTGTCAGCTGCTTGTGTTTATCTAGAAATAACGGTAATACGTAGTCGTATATTAAGTCATTTTCTTTCAGCCGGTAGACGGTATCGGTCGCAAATGATAAATCAGATATTCCATTTCGTACATCTGATCTGGCTTGATATAGTGGAAAGAAATCGCCATATCGGAGCAGCACTCAATGCCTTCCTTTTCCGGGTGAAACAGACTCTTCCAATACCACTGTAGCTTTTTCTAAAACGAAATGCGCATGTTTTGAAAACAAGAGCGATAACAGAAATTCACTTAATTGACAATAATAATATTACTAATTATTATATTATTATTTTTAATTATTATATTAATAACAATATTTTTGACAGATAATCTCAGTATTGGCATTAAGGTACTGATTTCCTTTGCATAATGCACAACCAAGGCAGCATTGAGAGGACAGAACGGTTTGCTGCCTTGTTAAAACCACAATTCCCGGTCAAATTGGGTTTGTATTTTGTAGTTTAAAACGTAGACGTTAACGCTTAGGTGTCGGCTAACCTCTTTTCTATGGGCGGTATTCACATGCTTAGATGGCGTAAAGGGGAAAAATCTTCCTCTTTTGAGCACATCTCGACTATCCCCAGGGAGAACGCTAAGCTTTTGAAGGCACTTGCCCATTTCGACATCTTCCGCTATGTCAGGATGCCTCGAAATGCACTTTTTTTGCATTAATCCAATCTCCACGAAACGGCGCACAGCTTCTTTGCTTAAGGCGTAGCCGGCTCCGCCGGACATGTAGCCTATAAATAATACAACTCATTGTACTCTGTAGTCTGTACCTCGTACATTTAGAAAGCACTTGTACCGTATATCTATATTTGTAATATCTATATTTCACAGTCAGATCAGCACTACGAACAATTACACAATAAACATACTGCATACGATCAAAAGAATTTATTTTAGCGCTGCTTCGAGAAATACAGGTATGTGTTTAGTAAATTAAATGTTAACTTTTGACATTCTTCCCACTCCACAATTTCGTTCCCAAATGAAATTCAGTGCGAGTCAACCGTGCAAATCATTATAACAGTGCCGCTAAGGTACAGAATTGGTGGGAACGTACCATTGCTAACAACACGCCTAAAATGGCTGCCGAAAAACACCGGCTGTTCAGGAGAATAATCTTTCAGCAAATACCGCAAATTTTCCACCACGACGTACGTGTCATCGTCGGCCTTGAAAAACCAATCGTGCGTGCTGAGATGATTTTTATAAGCGAACCTGATTCACAAAAAATTGTCAGTGGTTCAATTAGCACTAGAGAGTGACGCATACTGCTTTCACATTTTACTTCGCGACATCTTTCTCGAGAAGTTTAGCTATTAAAGGATTGATCGGGCGTACTGTGACTGCACCACACTGCACAGTCTCTTTTTCTAAATAACGATGTTCTCCATATTTCTTATTTTTCCAGTTTTTCCAGAAAACATGTGATTTCGGACATATATCTCACCGAAATCCAAATTTCGTTTTGTCCCAAAGGTACCGGCGATCTTCAAACACCTGGCTGTCCACTGCAGGCAGGTCAGTATCGTTTACCGAGCTGACAAATATCAGTGTATCACACCGCTTTCCCCATGTGCGTTTCACAGCGTACGCTTTCTCCTTGTTGTCCGGTTGTGTTAACACCCAGCACAAAATTTTACCCGTATAATCTATGAGAAAAATGATTAATACTGGGTGTACATTATGCAAGGACTATTAAATGCGAACTATAATTGATTTAAAAAAAACGCTTTTACTTGACCGATTTCGTGGATACACTCCGTGTTCACTCGTATGCAGCCATGTCCAACGCACGAAGAAAACGAGCACTGTGGCACACGAAATAAAAACGACAATTTTGTCCACTTTCAATGTCGTTTTTCCAGATTTGACTAAAAAGATCTCCTTCCGCAATAATGCTCGATACTTTGAGAGGGGACGATACATTGTCTTAACATGTCCATTTCTTCTCGCTGATTGTTATATCGTACACAAAGTAGATGGCTCTACGGTACATGCAGATTGGCACTGAAATCGTGTTCGGGTTACTTGAGGGTCACGGTTAACGCACGCCAACCTGTCTACCGTGACGAAAAGCTAGATGAAGCTAACAATGGTAGATGCGGTCTTAGAGAAATGGTTAGCACCAAAAGTTCGTTAAGTCTTAATGACCGCGTGGAAAAGTGCGACGTAGAGCTTGTAATGCGTGGAGCTGAGTGCAACAAGATGCTCAGATTTTCACAAGAACTGACGTAGATGCGTATGTTAAGTTGCGCAAATCCAAGCTACCAAAGCAAGCCTGATTTATGACTTTTCGCTTTTAGTTATTCCATTGCTCTGTTTCATATTAGGTTCACTGCAATCAGCAACAACCACATTTTTGGATCTCTCCTACTAGTCGCACAAAAACGTGTAATATCTATACATATAACAACCTTTATTGAGTTCCGTTTGCTGTTATGCGGCAAAAACCCCTGTTACAAATTAGGGGAAAAGGCACGCATAACCTATTCTTTTTTAAAAAGTTAACAAAACTTGTGCAACGAAAACTGCAATAAGGTAAAAGATCGCCTGCTCTCCTCTACTTTTCTGGTGGTCATAGTCGGAGAGCAAGGGTGATCGGGTGGGTGCTGGTAAATTTCCGTCGGAAACGCCGCATATTTGATAATCACATAAGCAAATGATGAGTTTAATAAGTCTAAACGAAAGCGTGCAGCACGTACGGTGCGAGCGATGGTCAAGACGATGGTATACTCGTACATGTGGACAGACTTCAAAATTAATGACGGTACACGCGCACTATACAATCTGAAGTGTGAGCAGAAAATTTAGTACTATGAGTTAGAAATTGTTCTGCACTCTTTAACTAACTTGTTAGAATTTCCTGTGCCGTTTTCATTTTATGTTGTGTGCTGGTACAAAATTGTCGAGCTAGAGAGGAATAATTGAATGAAGAAAAACGAAATAAATTTAATAACAAAACGAATTAACACTACTAACATACTAATGCATACAATGCATACTAACTAACTAACGAGTCGCCTCACAAGTTCACAACCTCACAAAGAACTGCTCTAAAACTCACAATTAGATACAAGTTCAAGAACGAAAAGCAACTAACAAAAGGCTGTAAATTATTCTTTGCAATAAACTGATTATATTCAAGCTGCCCAGTGTCCACCTGCTTTTGGACCAGAAATAACCGTAATATGTAAACGGCAGATGCATTCTCAACAGGGCCACAATAGCAGCAATAAAAAGAATTTCTGTGATATCAGAACACAAGAATACGGTAACAAATTAAAAACAATTGTGCGACAGCAAGTGGAGTTCCGTCATTCAACCACCAAACGCCCAACAGAAATGACAGGTCCTTTCCCGGAAACAAAAGAGAAAGTCGAACTTCCAGGCATTTCTTCATTTTTTTAAGGCATTTCTTCATTTACCAGCTTCATTTTTTCTTATTTGGATCTTGGATGTGTCCTTTCAAGAACTTCATCATCCCAAAAACTTTGAAACGTTTTCGACCTACAAAAACACCTCGAACGTGCTAAACTGACTTTAAAAAAAAATAAATAAAAGCTGCAAGTGTTGTCCGGTTGAGTAATCGTTCTCAAATATTGTAACAATTTTCGGTAAATTATCCGTAATCCTAGCGATATATAAAAATAGGTAGATCCCCGTACGTGACAATCCGTACGTACCTATAACCTTGAACAACTGTTCATCGCATACGGCGTACTGCTTTTGATTTGGATCCTAGAAAATTTGAAACAAAAACCTTATTCACGTGTACTTGATAAGCAGATGCAGTAAAGGGTAAACACTGTACTTTAAGGAATCACAGTAAAAAATCTTACAATAAGCCCACGCTCGCGAATAGTTTTCCACATCGCCGAAACCACTTCAGAGCGACTCATCTGCAAATATGATTAAGCAATACAAATTCGAGCGAATGTTATTCAGCAGACTGAACAAGATATGATCTAAAAAGAAATATACCCGTTCTTTTCCCAAGAAGGCCGCCAACTCAGGCGAAAGTATGCATTCCTTCCCAAAAGCTGAAAAAACTTGAATCTTATTTTCTCACATTTCAGAACAGTATTTTACTGTGTGGGCAAATCAGAAAGTAATCCGTACCATGTGCTACAAAAATAAGTTTAATGAAGAAATAACGTGAGCAAAATTAGGTCTAGTAATTTACCAGATCTTTTGCTCACATCATTTCTTTAAAAATCCTCATTCACTAGTAGTAAATGAGTATCATTATCACTTACAAATCACAGCAAACACTGGACTACACAGAGGTAAATCGCGTTTTAAAAGTGACAGTGTTAAACTATTAACAGCACTAAACGCCAACAAAATTATTGTAAACAGCCAAAATTAACTATAAACAAGCACTAGAAATGCTCAGAGATTGCTGGACATTCTATCTCACCGGGAACTTTTGCCTGTTTCTCTTCACCTCCAACTTTTTCCGAATTGCTAGCAGAAGTACTGCAAGGCTCGGACCGTCCGCTGCTGATATCTACATTATGAGTGCTAGACTCTTTTGGCATGATGGGACTGTATTCGTCCAGTGCCTGAGTGCCGGAAATGCAATGCAACTGAATTAAGCAATCGTGCACCTAAACGGTCTGTAAATGAGCAAACTTATTATAAGTTACGATTAAACAGGAAAGTTTAATACTGTACTTACGATCAACGCTGCAACAGGAAAGAAAAACATAAAACTTCAGAAGAACAGAAGAGTCCGAAGAAAACCCTTTCGAGGATATTCAACAGTTAATCAAATAAGTATCGAAGAGCAAATAAACACCGAAAAAGAAAAATAAGTAACCCTTAACATTTGTAAGTAAAGTCTGCTCTTCCTGTTCCACGTCTCATCTTATTCTTATCGTTTGCTGGACGGGAAGTGGACCATCGTCACCATCCTTTCTGACAGCGCCAACCCCACTCGGCGTGCGGTTTAACCGTTAACGGGTTTGGAAACTAAGTAAGCACTCGAAGTGTGTTTTTTGTGTTCGCGATTCAAAACAGAAAATTTGAGAAAAAGCCGCAGAGGGAAAACCTTTTCCTTTTAGCAGAGCTGTTTTTAACTTTCTGATGTTGAGATACGCTCTATCTCTATTTTGAAAACGAATTAAAATTTGATGCAAACAGCCAGGACCGGAAAGGGAAACGGGAAACCGCCACAATCCACTGCTGGTGCCTGGCAGCAGATCCGTAATTATTATGGACGCCAGTCATGCTAGTGATGGTCGTCCTTCTGATTTAAGCCATTCCCAACAAGACACTAGCACCCAAAGCGAAGACGCTGACGAATCTTCTCCGAAACGGAAGAAACTTCGTACGGACTCACCGAATGGAAGCGAAAACTTACCTGACACGTCCAGTTCCACAGAAAAGTTGGAAGTACTGAACGGATCACATTCCAAGGAGCAAGACATCTTCAAGAATTTCAAGGTGGTTAAGTTGCTGAAAGCTGATGCTTCTCGCAAAGTAATTTTCGTCCATGGAACTTTCGAGGATGACAAACATGCTGTGGCAATCTTGGAGAAGGATGCGTTCGGTCTCGATAACCTGGATGAAATTTTTGCGAGTTCACCGCAAGGAATTCTCGATTTTCAAAATGATATTTATCACAATTATCGCACGTTCTTCTCGAGAGAGTTTAACTGTAAGTCAGTAAGCGCAGCATGCCCGAATATTTTGTAAATGTTTTTTTCAAATTTTTAGGTGTATCCATGTACTGAGAAGTCTGAGATAGGCGTTTTGTTAATGTGCAGTGTACGCTATTCTAGGATTGTAAACCGTAAACGAGTACGGTAACAGTTTTTTTGCCATTTTGGAGTGAATCAGCAGTGTACAGTATACACTAACAAAAAGCCGTCATTTGCTTGCTTGCGTTAAGAATTATCGTTATGTTTTGCTCTTTTTTTTAGCGGTAAAAACTACGCTGATTTATCCAGCAACTGAAGAGCATCTTGAAAAGTACTCCAGACATGACATGCACATCATTGAGGAAACTGCAGAGGATTACCGAAACATTACACTGCCGCTGTTAGTTCAGGAGAAGAGGTTTTCTTTAAAGGTGAGTTATAACTTATTACTTACAAGTAACAGGGATAATAAGCCTAACTATTTTATTTGAATTGTTTTTTCTACTCTGGTTATGGAGTACTAGTTTTGATAAAGACTGTTTTGCGTTTTTGCAGTGGGTGGACAATATTTTGGATCACAAAAAGGAAAGTGAAAGAATTGTTTTCGAAGATCCTGATAAAGAGAATGGATTTATTTTGCTGCCAGATCTAAAATGGGACGCACAAAACGTTGAAACTTTGTATTTGATTGCTCTGCCGCACAAGCGAGATCTCCACTCTATTCGGGAACTCACAGGAGAGCATTTACCGATGCTCCGGAATATAAATGCAGGAGCTACGGTAATTTTCGTTCTGCTTTTGTGGTATAGAAATGTTTCAAATTTGTGAGGATATTTTATTGTTGTCTTTTTTTTCGAAATAGAAAGCGATAGGTGAGAAGTATGGACTGCCAGCAAGCCGTATACGGGCATTTTTCCACTACCAACCGACCTTTTACCACCTACATGTCCATTTTACCAATATTCAATATGACGCGCCGGGAAAAAATGCGGAGAAAGCGCATATGCTGACAACCGTGATATCGAATTTGGAGATTTGTTCTGAATATTACAAGCGAGCTACCATTCCTTTTCTCGTGGGCGGAAATGACATGCTTTTCAAGATTTATGCCGATAAGAATGCCTCAGAAAAAAAGGAGGAAAAAGAGGAGTAAAAACGAAAGGAGAAAGTGCAGAAAAAGAGGAGTAAAAACGAAAGGAGAAAGTGCAGAAAAAGAGGAGTAAAAACTTTCTGGTTAATTAATCCACTGAAATTACGCGAAAACGCGGTAACAGTACAGTAATCTACCCCTGTACTTTCCATTTATAATTTTATAATTATGACACTGGCCACTTCACGGCACGATCAGTAGAATTACCCATAAAGTATCCGTGATCGAATTTTATGATCTATTCATTTTATTGGCGGGTTTACACTTTACATTTCTCTGCTAGTCTGCTTCTGAATCACAAATGCAGAAGTCTCTGTACAAAAATAATTAAGCATAATCTCTATCTCTGTGGAAAAATAATTCGGCGATTAAAAATTCTTACCATTCAAGAAAATCAGATGCCTTTTAAATTCTGCAGGCAGCGAGTCAGCGACACACTATTCTTTCCATTTATACTAATTCAAACTAAAGCATACACGTACTGCAGTTTGTCTGTCAATAAAAGAATTTTTGCACGTTCACGCGCTGACGCGGAAGAGCATGTAATCTGGTAAATTGAATCCGATCTTCAGAAAATTGCCAGACATAAATTCAGATCGAAATTTTTAAATCACTGAAAATACTACCGGAACTTTCACTAGGCTCGCCTTGACTGGATTCCTGGATCATCCGCAGTACTTCCGGTGTATGCTGCAAGGTGATAACAAAATCAGCATCCTTATCGGGAACAATTATCCCCTTCTGATTTTGCTGTTTTGTAAACAACTCCTCACGCCACAACCGGTCTTTGATAAGTTTCTCCGACAAGGCACATTTTTCCGGGGAGTTTTGCAAGCTTCGGGGCACGCACGGCTTCTCCTTACTCTCGCAACCAAGAACATTCGGCAGCGGTTCTCGACAAACTATACAATTTTTCAGACATTCCATATTGTTTTCTGTCCGCAAAAATTTCAGGTATCCGTTTAAACAATAAGTGTGATAATAGTGAAAACAAGGAGTTTTATAAAATTTATCGTCTTCCGTAATATCACACAAGCAGAACGGACATTCTACAGTCGGGAAATTGGTCTGCGTTAAGTAATCCTTCACGATGTCCACCAGGTCATAGATCATAGGCGCACCAATTCTTTTGCTGGCTTCTGCCTCAAGATGCTGCGATAATGCGACGAGCTGAAGCTCGGACAATCCTCTTGGGCGATGGAAGCTAATTTCAGGACACTCGACTGGATAATGAGCAGGAAGAAGTAGCCGAAGCGTCACAGATATGTTTTGCAACGAAGTATCACCAGCAGTGCTTGGATGTATGTCCATGGTAAATGCATGGAATCTGACGGGATCGTCCACATTGGAAGACCACAAAAATTCAAATTCAGCGGGATACACAGATTCCATGAGAACCAATTCATCCTCCAAGATTCGATGCTCAGCCGAAGAGTCCATCTCAAATCCACAGTATCTGTTTGTCTCTACAAAGCTGACAGCAGTTTGCTACTGCCCCGAAGATCCTCAAGACTGAAGTTCAAGCCCAGCACAATCAAAGACTCCGGGGATAATTTGATACAAATTATACTTCTAAGTCTGATCTTTACCTCTAACACATCAACGTTTTAGCAATCAGTTTTTAATTAACCTTTAGGCTTTTAGGTTAATAAAAATACTGTATCGAGAAAATCTAGTAACTGTTAATAATAAAATGTGTTTGAAATTTTTACTGTAGTTATTTGATATTTCTAACTTTTAATAAATAAATTTTGTGGGATGATCCGTACAAAGCACGTAACCGCCACCTTTGGCGAAAATTTAAAAGTGCAGAAGCGCGGACTCTAAAATTTTGGCGAAACTACAATTTACCAAAGTTACCAAATATAAAAAACAAAAGTTACAAAACTCAAAGATTTTGTATTCCCTGGCCATGGTGAGTTGGTTTCTACGTTTGAACTGTCTTTTACAGCTGATGGGCGCTGAAGTGTAAGGTTTAAGCCTACAGGCACGAAAGCCTGATAGGTTTGATTTCTCATTTCAGATCAATAATTCGGAGAACTTGTGGACACAGAAAAGTGCAGTGATAATTGCTATTGTCGAAAGCTGGACAGCTGCAGCTTGCTGCCGTTATAAGTACAGAATTGGATGGACTCCTCAGCATTTGGGCCTACCATTACCATCGCAGCGAAAACACCGTTCAAGACGCTGGTTTGCTTATTGCACTCCTTAAGAGCCATTACTGGAACATCGCAACGTAATCGTCGGAAAGCTGTTTTTGACTCGTATCTGGAAACTTGGAGAAAGAATTATGAGTGTATCTACGGAGTTGCTCCGAGTTCTAACGGATCCGATACATTTTTCCCTTTCTTGCGCTTGTTACTGCCGAAACACGATGAGCGCCCCACATTTTCCTTGCAAGAATTCACACTGAGCAAATGGTTCCGGATTGTTTTTAATTTGAGTAGTGATTGTACTACTTCGCAGACACTGACTGCTTGGCGACGGCATATTTCCAAAGTAAGTTATAAAAATTCGGGGCATTTTACGTACAGTACTTCAGTACTTTTTCAAGCTGGCAAACCATTGCATTTAGTATTTACCGCATCTTGAGTAAGATTTTGGTATCGCAGAAAAATATTGTAGGCCAGTGTTCATGTTTACCTTTCTTGGAATTTTTGGCACGAGAGTGTTTCATGAATGCGATACACAATATGATGAGTGTGTAGATACTTCTAATTTGATTCATGCTCCTCAATCCTCATCTCTACTTATTTGAACATATATCTAGCGGGAAAATGTAGGCGACTATGCCGCCGTTGCGGCAAACGCGCTGGATCGGCATTTAGTGAAACCGAAAAAGAAGGATTTGTCTGTGGAGGAGATCAATAATTGTCTGGATGCGCTTGCAGAGGCTAATAGCCTTATAGGAATTCCTCGCAAAGGTAAGTCAATATTTTATTTATGCTTTTGCTTCAATTGAGCTTATTGCACCATCAGGAAATTACTGAAGCTGCTGCTGCATTAACGGTTTTAATCGTGTAAACTGATGTGCATGAATTAGTTGTACATGGTCGGCAAAAACATATCAGGTGGTCTAAATTTGGGATCTGCATAGAAATATTATTATAACGCGAGCGTCGAGTTGCTCACTTGACTTACTACTCTTACCAGGGCACATAGGGGTCCTCCCCCTTCAAAAAAATCTGATTTTTTGCAGAAAGGTAGTAAAAATATGTAGGACATTTAAAAAAATATTTTCAGCTGCTGTGATCAAAGTAGGCGTGGTCAAACGTAATTTAAAATCGTTTAATTAGTCGGTACTGCACATATGAAGTACATTAGGTTTTATCACCAGGGCCATGTCACCGGCTGCCGCCTCCAAAAAATTTCATTTTTGCAAGAAGACAGAGTGATCCTTTGATAGAAAAATATTTTTTTCGGCCATAGTTGAGTGAGCGTGGTCAAACTAAAATTTCAGCGGCACACATACGGCACTACGTATCGGGATTTGGGAATACCATAATTATAATTGGTGTACATATCTGTACCGTGCAATGTCAGAGGTTGACACAAATGCTCGTTATCAGTAGTCTGACCCTTTCTCAAGTCAGACCCGTAAGAAAATATTTTTATACCAAAGGATCACTCTGTCTTCTTGCAAAAATAAAACTTTTTGAGGCGGGAGCCGGTGACATGGCCCTGGTGATAAAACCTAATGTACTATCATATGTGCAGTACTGACTAATTAAACGATTTTAAATTACGTTTGACCACGCCTACTTTGATCACAGCAGCTGAAAATATTTTTTTAGATGTTCTAAATATGTTTACTACCTTTCTGCAAAAAATCAGATTTTTTTGAAGGGGGAGGACCCCTATGTGCCCTGGTTAGTTGCATGATGTCAAATGATTTTGGATTTGACAAATATTTATGCACTTTTTGTTCCGAGTGTAACTCCTTCTGTGTTAGCAGAAAATTAGTTTTAGTTAGCCTTTTGTACTTTGTTGTTTAGAGAAATACCAGAGCACCTTCACATTTTTGCTGCAGCGAATCGACAAGCAAGAACTGGAATGGCTAATTCGCATTCTGCTCAGAGATCTAAAACTGGGAATAAGTTTCGAAGTGATTATGGACCTTTTTCACAAGGATGCCAAAGACATGTTTGCAGCCCACGCCAAACTTTCGGTTGTACGTATATTAAAATTAATTCTTTTACTTACTTTCATGTTTAAGTAGAAAACAGTGATTGTTGCTTCAGGTTTGTCAGAAACTATGTGACAACAAAGTGCGAAAGCCGCAGTACGGTGTTCAGCTGATGGAGCCATTGCTGCCTATGCGTGCAGAATTATGGGACTTCAGTAAAATCGACGCTGCGCTCAGGATCACTCCGTTGATAGCGGAAATTAAATACGACGGTGAACGTTTTCAGATCCATAAAGATGGCAAGCGATTCCGGTTTTTTTCTAGACCCGGAAATGATTACACTGCTGTGAGTTTTTATGCGCTAATTTTTGTAGATCTGCCTGACGTTTTTTTATACACTTCTGTAGAATATTGTTAAACACTGTAAATTTTGGCATTAGGTTTTGGGAGAAACTGCTACCGAAGGGACGCTGCTGCAGTATATTGCGCACTGTTTTCGACCACATGCGGAAAGTTTCATAATAGATGGTGAGCTGTGCCCGTACTATACAAAGGTAATCATGGGCGTTCACTTTGGCGAAAACATTACAGTCGACTACGTAACATTTTAAAGCATGTAAACTGCTCTGCAGTCTACATGTTCGGATAAGTACTTCTTTTGTTACAGAAACGTTGTTTTGGGTCTAAAGCAGATATTAACTGGATGAAAAAACTGACGGGTTCATCCGGATGCCAGTTATGCTTCGTCGCTTTTGATATCCTACACTTAAACGGCCAGGTAACCTTTTTAGGTTAGGATAACCTCAATACTGTTCAACTTGGTCGGGCTGGTGGGCTTTTGCGTAATAATGTAATTTGTTTCTGCAGTCGATACTTGTACGTCTGGTTCACGGTATAAGTGTTAAGAGTACTGTCAGTTTCGAGTACTTTCAGGCAGCTATGAGTCCACGATTTAGTATTTTTTGCAATATTATTTTACTGGTTAACTAGGTTTTGATGGATCGCCCATGGCGAGACCGAGTTGAAATACTTAAAGGACTGTTTGCAGAGGAGGAAGGGCGTTTAGTCTACTCAATTCGCCGGGAGTTTTCCATCATGTAATTGCTTAAATTTGTGTCCTTCATATCGAATTATTGTTTTATCTGGCTAAGTGTTTTCCTACATATTATCATAGCGACGAATGCATGGATTTTCTTAACGAGATCGCGAATACAGAGGAAGGTTTGATAATCAAAGACCCGCGATCTGTTTATCAACCCAAAATTCAGTCGCCCTATTGGTGGAAATTGAAGCCAGAATTTGTTGGAAGTTTGTGTGAACAATTGGACTTACTCATTATTGGAGCGTACCGAGGACACGGAAATTCGGTTGCCGGGAATTTTCTATTGGGTGTGATTGATGCCAACAACGGCGGAGCGGATGAGCAACCAAAACGCTTCTTCTCCATTTGCAATATTGCCGTTGGATTCAAAAGAACAGAACTGGAATCGTTGGTATTGAAATTAATTCCACATTTGCGGCCATGGGATAATCATTCCCAACCAGATTTTATTGTGCTGGGTAGCCGAGAAGCTTGTAGGCCAGATTACTGGGTACATCCAAATGTATCGGCTGTCGTGCAGGTAAACAGGGATAGAGGAAATGAATATTTGTTCGAAATGTGAAACATGCACTGGTAATTTACTTCTGTCTGGTTGATGTAGGTGCGAGCGTCACAACTTATTCGGAATGATGGTTTTGGTGCTGGTTTTGCCCTACGATTTCCTCGTGTGGTACAAATTCGATCCGATAAGAACTGGTACTGCATTATTGACTAATTTAGAAATTGATGTTTCGAAAATATATCCCCTTGATATTCCAGTAATGGCTCAGCCTGATTGATTGTCAGATTTTCAATCAGTTCGCATATGCTATTTTTATATGTCACTGTGAGGCGGTTTTTATTTGATTTTTGGAATTTTATGGTACAGTTGTGCTGATGACGTAGTTTCGAATGTTTACTAGATGCGAAAATTAGCGATAATAATAAACCATGCATGTTGCAGGTCTGATACCACAACATTATCAGATATAAACCGCATTGATCGGGAAAGAAACAGGCGATTGGGCGCTGTAAACGTTAATGTAGATGACCTGCGACATCCAGCACGTTCATTCTCTTTTCGAAGATCGTCAGAAGGATCGCGGCTGCCCGTCCACGAATGGTTTGTTACTCCGAAGGATTTAACCATAAAATCCGGTTTATTCATGGGTAAGGAGTTTTGCGTGACTACCGGAGATGATACCGGTGAGAAGGAACGGATCCAGCGTCTGATCTTGGAGAATGGAGGAACATGTACGCTGCATCGATCAAATACTACTTTCTGTGTAATCAGCACAAAGGTCTGCACAAAAGTGCGAAACATGGTGATACGTGATCCATTAGATATCGTTCGACCGACTTGGATTGAACGGTGTATTGCATCCGGAAGTATACTACCATGGTAATTTACGGCCTTGAAAAATTTGTCTTCGAAAAAGCTTTTTGAACTATCTTGTACCATTTTAGGCATCCCGATGACCTACTGTACAGTAAGCCAAGAACGTCTATGGTTGTGAAGAGGTCGTATGATGAAAATGACGACAGTTTTACGGAAGATGTTGATGTTGACGAAGTCGAGAGGTTGTTTAGCAAAATGGATGCTAAAGTATGCGATGAAGTTTTTGCTAACCTTTATTATTAACGGGTAGCGTTTATCTCTCTACAAACCATACTTTTATGATGAGTTTTACCGCTGCAGTTGCTGGCCGAAACCATTTCGAAGGATAAGCTCGATGATTTCGTAATGGAGAAGTTCTGCAGCATTTTCTGGGCTAATGAACTGATCTTGTTTCGTGGGTTGAGGTAATTGGTTTAGCTTTGTGTGGATTTGGCGCGCTGAACAGTTCCATATTGTTGTGTTGTAAGTTTTGGACTAATTTAATTTTTCTGTAGTTTTTTCGTACTCAACCGGCAGTCTTCAATCATGCTAGAAGTTGTGGCGGACGCAATCAAGCACTTCGGTGGCTTGGTCAAGTTAAATATGGAAGAACAACCAAGTCATGTTGTGGTCCAACGGGATGTGTATGTTTAACATGTTTTGTAACTATGCGCTCGATTTGGTGAACAATACAGCATCTGGTTTGATTGTGTTTACAGTTAATGTCAGACTTATGATTAGGTATTTGTTTTGTACAGGACAAGTTTATTATTATTGCAGGAATTCGGATGATGTTGACGCACTGAAGACAACTTGCCATAAAAGCAAGATTCGTGTTGTGGCATGGACTTGGGTGATCGACTGCATTAGTGAGCTCCGCTTACTGGATGAGCGCGAATACTATCCTCATGAGGCATTTACCAAAAAGATAATACCTTCTGTGATTTCTGTATTTGATTGTTTAAGTGATCCTGTTGCACCAGTTATTCCCGTGGTTTAAGCTTTTCCCGGCTTTTTGAATTTATAGTGTACTCTGTATTTATTGGTTTCTGTTCGAACGTTTTCACTGTAAATACATATTAGTTAGAATTTTGAGCTAATCTGAATATTTTATTTCTACATTTATGAATCTGCAAAAACGAGTTTGTTCCGCACAGTTCGTTGTCTTCTAACATAGCTCTATGGACAGCATGCGAACACAACGCAGTTAAACTAGAAAGCAATGAGATCATAAATCTGAGCTCGGCGAAGCCAAAACACTGATAAAAATAATGGCCGGAAATAATGACTTATTTTTCTACGAGATCTGCGCTCCTTCCTGTGCGTCCTCTTTGCTGTCGTCGTCCTTAATCGGCAGAAACAGCTTGAACTCATGCGGTACTTCATCTTCCGAGTACAATCGATCGGCGAAATAAATCCTACGCAGACGGCAGTTGGCGTGCACCTGAAAAATAGCTTCATTGCTTTTAATGAACACGTTAGCCCTAATCCGTCTACCCTGGACGATCAATGAAAGATCAACGGGCTAGCCAAAGGCGGAGTGATAAAAGAATAAATATGGAATGAATAAGGACAAGGACTGTCGAGGCACAGACAGCTTCAGCGAATATGGTTTACCGTAATCCGAATGGTTTCCACATAATTTGTTCCATATGCTCGACGGACAAAATCAGCCAAATTAAATTGGACTTGATTCCAGCCATCATCCAGGCGCATGGGCATTGTGCAGATGAAGGGTTTGACGCGTGCTTCAACTTGAAAATTACTGGCGCGGAAACGTCGACGGATCCCCTTGTCGTCAATTATCTGAGCAAATGGTTCAATTAAAAACAGATGTTCACATTCCGCTAGTACTTCCCGAAAAAATATAAACTCCCAGTTAATCAGTAAAATAGACTATAAAACTACAGAGTACACAGGCAAAAAGAATACAGTACGAAATAGTCGAAATTAATAACGAAAACATCAATCATATAACAAAGCCAAACACGTCATCTCAATCTCTAACTTAGAAGCCCACCTGAATTTCGAAAGTGAAATATTTTTCCAGATTTTTCACGATCATCACCAGAAAGGGCAACTTTATTCCCAAACTTTTTTTATCGTCAGCCGGGCACGCAATCCAGCAAGTACTACGAAAAGATAAGATTCAGTCCGAACGCGCCAACTCAAGAAAAAACAACTATCATTTCGGAAATAAAACAGCTTGCACTTTAAAAAATTTGGCGACGTTTTTGCAATACTATCACAAGTCAACAGTACGATAACATTATTCGCGATATGTAGGACGAAACCCTGTTTGTACAAATGACACAATGAAAACTACGGAATCGAATCAATCAATTACCACGCCACCTGATTCCAGCAACTACCACGCCCAGCTGATTCTAGCAACACATTTTCTTTGAATACAGTACATTTTTAAAAGCTTTTTGCCACAGAGAGCTGCTAAAACACTTACAGTATCTGCCAAAATTGTACTCACAAAACAGACACTTCCAGTTTTCTAAAATAGTATTACATTCCTTTGTTATATTATTATTGCTAATTTATGTCATTTATGCAGCATTCTATCACTATGAAGTTGACGTATGAACATTTTAACTGGTAGCGGAAGTCGCTTATTACAATTCGTGTATACCTGACATTTGGGCTGGCTAGTTCCAAGACCAAACTTTGCACATCTTCATCAGTTATTCGTTTAATATGCCCTCCATTTAGAGCCTGCGAAAATAACTTAAACTGTTACCGGTATTTTGTCGCTAATCGTATGTTAATCTTTACTTGTATTCTGCACTACGGTATGTTAATGGAATTCCATGGTCACAACGTTTTTTCGTTCACAAGTTCACCTGTTTTGACCATAACTGTAGAGGTTTACTCCCGAGACTGTAAAACACGGATAAAAATCCACTTTGAAACGTGTTCCGGAACATTTCAGAAAGCAACTATGTGAGCTCGCTCAGGATTTCTGCAAAGTGTAATTTGTGAACCAAGATATGAGGAGTTAACTGCGTAACGCCGCAAGGGTATAACCCAATGCGGCAGGTGAACAATAAACTCGCATAAGGGCCCAAGGCCAAGGAAAATAAATTTCGTCACTTGTGAACCTAGTCGGATAACATGTTCCAAGCGAAAAAATAATTAAACGCTCTGTTACGCAATAGGCACACCAGCGAGTTTATATTATAGATTATATAGATTATATTATAGCTTATATTATAACACATATACGCTGGGCACACCTTAGGGGTAAACAATTCACTTCTACAGATATGTTTTCTTACGTACGGCTAGGCCGCTAACAGCTGACTTGTAGATTACTTACATCGACGCAGTGGCCGCCAGTGAGACTGTGAGAGCCCAAAATCTGAACAGGAAAACTAAGGGGGATCAGTGCTATCGACGGCGACCCTGTCGGCTTTAAGTAGAGCAGAAGATTATCAATCAAATTACACAATAGGTACTATAGTATTTCACCAATTGAGGGGCATCCAGAGTCCGAAAAGTTAATCAAACTGGGAGAGAGGAATTGAATTACGCTAAGTCTGCACTTAAATATTTTTTTACTCAGACCGTTCCTGGCGTTGTTGCTAAACAAGGCTGACAGCATACGGAGGGGTTGAGCTTACCCGCCCGCTAGTTGGCTACCACCAATCACTATGCCGTACTTGCCTGTTACGTCATCGCGGAGTTTTGCGTATTGGTTGATTGAAAGATGTGCTCTTCCTACTCTAGCAGGAAGTCCCAATGCGATTGCGAAATCTGAAATTTATTGTTAATTTTATTGTATTAAATCGCTTCCGAATATACTAAGTCTTATGGTTAGGTTAGCGCAAGCCCCAATTATTCTACCAATCTCGACAGATCATAAATTGTAAGTACCTCGTAAAGGGGTAACTTACGGTAATGTGAACTCTGTTGTTGCTCGTAGCTTTTTGAAGTAACTTTTGAACTACAGTATTTCCATCACTTTCATTATGGAATTATTTCCATCAGTGATCGTTATAGACGTGAGCTCTACCAATCTCGCTTGTTTATCTCCTCAGATCCTGAACGATGTTGCAACAGCGGACTTTGTCGCTGTTGATCAGGTATGCTGCACTCGGTTATCTTGTTTATACACAGTTATTCCTAACTTGCAGCTGGATTTAGATCGACGTGTTCATCGACGGTTACGTAAATGTCCATAAAGAAAGAAGTTGTTGTGCTTGGTTAGGAATTATCCGGGTTAGGGAATACTGCGGGCCGTGGCAGGCTGCAGATGCCGGAATACTACAGCAAAATGCGTGACGCTGTGCTGACACGGCGCACCATCAGTCTGGGCATTTCGTGTTTCAAATCTGTCGCGGAGTACGTTAAACCCTATCCGGAATGCTGTGATCCGCTGCAGTTTGCATGCACAACTTATAACATCCTGCTTTTTCCTGGCGGGGAGTTCGACATGGATGGATCAGCGCGCAGCTTCCTGGTTGCTCATGGTTTTGATCTGAATCGTTGGGCACAGTATGGCATTGAATACGGTATGAAGGAGAACAATGTAAGCACGACAAAATCTTCTAGCATCGTGTGTTGCTTTGGCAAAGGCTTTGGCTGTCTGTAGGAGCGGTTTGTGGACGAACTGACCACGGTGTTGCTACTTAGTAAAGCGGAAGTTGTTTTTCATAATGGACTAGCGGATCTGGCGTACTTCTACCACAGGTGAGGTATTTTTCTAAATTGTACGTTTTACATCACATGTGACAGTCATATTAGGCAAACTGAGAACGCAGGACGCTTGACCGGCGCTTATAATAGTTGATGAATTAATTACAGAGTTAAGTTTCTTAACTTAACTTAGCTAAACTTAATTTTCCTGAATAAAGAAAACGAATGTTTCTTAACATTCGTTCGCTGCCTTTCGATGGTTGTTATTTTCTAGCTTCTGGAATCCTTTGCCGAAAACTTGTGAAATCTTCGCCGCGGATGTTGCCGATGTTTTCCAGGGCAGACTGTTCGATACGAAGTGGATCTGTCGAAGTGTCCTGAAATGGCGAATGCATAGTTTGGAATATTGCTTCAAGAAAGCTCAACGACTTAATGCTGCATCGGCCGATATTGGCAAGCCTGCTCTTCGCATTCGACATGTACATCCATCAACAATCAATGCCGTGATGGAAATCCCTATTTTCTACCAGAATACTCAATCTGGAAATCTTGGTGGTGTGAAACCGATTGTGGGGAAAGATGTATGCGAATTAATGTACAACTTCGGCTTTTGCAACGCATTTAAGCAGGGAACGTGCCTGCATCCGGCAGATCTCCATCAGATGGATTTAGTGCTGGATGTTGAAGAAGGTAAGACATAGCAGTTGTATCTCTTCCTCCAGTTCCGTTTTTCTGTACTATAATTTTAAATTCCGGTTAAATGGTGTGAGAATTTTAGGGACAGCGAACGCTATTACTTGTATTTAATTAATCAAGAAGATTATGAGATCTGGATAGAAGATGTTGAGCAGATCAATTGCACTGCTCCTATCAAAACGCAGTTTTTTTAACGGTTTTGAACTCATAAACTCTTTATATTTCAATATTTTTTGGTCGTTTACGATTGGCTGTTTACACAAGTGAAAGTAGTACCGTGTTTAGAAGACTGGAACCGTGTGTAATCGTACCGTATCATATAATCGGCTTACGGATATTGCAGTTCAAGCAAAAGTTAGTTCTACATTTTGTATTTCATTGTCGGCAGTTGTTTGTAGATGTTTGCAGAAATGGTCCTGCGGAAAATGCGGTCTCTCGTCCTCCGAACGATGTACAGCGAATGTTTCCAGTGTTTCCAATGTCTGATCCACGGGAAATGACAACAACTGTTAATGATGTCGCCACAGCTGGGAAGCGGAAGACTGATGCTGTCACTCTTGAATCCGTTCCGTTGAAAAAAGCCAGTGAAGGATCACTCTTCCCGCATGCCCTGCGTCCCAGACTAGCACCTCCTCGTCCTGCGGATAACTTCCCAGTGGCTCAGCGTCTCGGAACGGACCATTTCAGTATTGATAACAGGAAGAGCTATAACCTGGATTTCGGCTTGCATAGTGCCGGATTCGATGCCTTCATGACGGGATATGTTTTTGCTACTTGCATGGCCCAGTTAGGACGGAGTGAAAAAGCTCGCCGCGTAGTATTCACACACCCCGAGGGATTTGTCGATCGGGTACATGTCACAGGGAAAAGTGAACCCTTTGTCTTCCGAAAAAGTGAACACGTACAATGCAGTGCTGCGCATTTCCGCAAGATACTTGAATGCCGCAATCGGCAGTAGTATTGTTATATCCCTTTTTCGTAATTCACCGATTCTGTTGTGATTTTTGTTACAAGTCTGATTTGCTGTAATAACATTATGAATAAAGGTCATAATAAGTCCAAAGAGCAAAGGTGTCAGAAAAAACAAACGGCATTAAATTGGATATGAGCAAAATCGATATTTACATACACCGCAGTGCCACCAAGATCGAGTGCCTGTCCGACTGGATTTGTCCGAAGCATTTTAAACATAGTAAAGAATCATGAGAATGATGTTGGTAAAGAACCTAACAGTGTTCTATGAGCTATCACAATTCGCAGCGTTTTGCCACTGCCGTTTATGGTTATTGACATTGCTTTCCGGAACAACCGGGGTTTGTATCCGGTATTTGTAAGGCAGAATACAATTCATCATCGCTCTCTTCCGATGATAACTTTCCCGAAGCACCTGCCGTCGTCATCGATACTCTGGCATCTCCCTCGGACTCCTGATCGGCTAATATGGCACTCATAGTGCGCATGACTGTGCCCAGATGACATAAATTCTTTCCCAGAACAGCATAAAATTTGGCAGGGTTATTTCTGATACTGATGTTGTTCATCTTGTGGATCATACTATCCATAAACTGGGCAAAGATACTGCTGTTGGTTTCATGGGAAATTATCTGGACTTCAAATAGGGCGCGCACCATAAAAGCCGGCAGTTGAATTCCCGTCAACGACGTAAAATTGTTAAGATACTTGTAGAGCAGTTCATCCGTGTGCTCGCTGTCGCTGGTCATTCTTAATAGCATGTACGTGTACGCCATCTGCTCATCCATATCGTTCTGCGCAGACGAAAGGTCACCCTCGCTCAAGCTCAAATTGCGCATATGGTCTGCAAGTACAAAGTTTACAGTTATTGTAATACTGTATATAAAAAATACTGTAATACATATATAAAACGGTAAGTACTCGTATGCAGTATATGCCACTGTCAGAAATAAAAGAAAAGCTATCGTGACATTTCGTGAATTAAAAGTATGAAATTCCAAATTAATTATGTGAAAACTAAGCGAGAGATAGTCCATATTTAATGCAGTTATGTTTCGAATTTCGAAACAATATACCTATCATATACTTTAATGATCGACAATCATCGATGGCAACTAAATGCAACAGAGCAATATGTACGCGGAATATCATACACTTGGAAGACCATTTACTCTGAAAGAATCAAATTCAAGAGCAAATGCACTCGCAGTTCTTTCCCATACGCAACTAGTACAGAGAAATGTTCTGCGTTATTAACCAATTTGTGACGCATACACAATTTACACAAAGGTATCCAAGCGTAATTGTGGCGGTTTACCTTTCGAACTACTGCTAAAGGGCGGAAAAGATGTTTCTGTTGATCCTTTGATTGTATCGGATTCAACCTTCGTGCCAGCTGTTTCGCTTTGCCTAGGCGGAGCAAATGCCATTACTCCTTTCTAATCAAAATAGCTCCAGGAAGGGTTTAGTCGAGGAAACTAGTGGCAGACAATACGCAATAGTTGTTTTTCTATGTGAATTATTGGTTTGATGGCTAATCGCGTACCAGTGGTGTCAAGCTACAAGAGTCCCGCCGTGTTTGTGGCGCACTTTTACTACAGTACGTCATCAACGTAGACCCATTTTATACGATTACGACACCAACGTAATTGGATCCTCTGCTAAAATTAATTTATGATGCATAAAAGTGGGGGTGCGTGAAGAGTTCCGGTGATATGACTGACTTAATTTTACAAGAAACTTAAATTTACAGTTTACAGGAAATCCAAAAAATAGCAAAGATGCTGATACCATGGCTATGTAAATACCCAGTTACGCTGCTGATGCTGTATTAAATATGCTAAAGTTCGCGCAAAATATCTATACATGTATCACAAATCAGAATGGATGCAGGTGTCTAGGAAACAGCCACACCAAAAATAAGTTCAGCAGAACCTGCCAATAATACTGATTCCTTGTCAAACAACATTAACAACTACAAATTTGTTCAAGTGATTACGTTAATAGCCCTAATTGTTATAGTAAAACATCTCGACTCTTATATAATATTAGATGCCGGTATTAATTATGTGGTATCTTACACTTATTGTATCACAAAATCCGTATGTGTGCACCGTTATTGGCGTTATATGTACGTATACTGGTCACTAGCATAATGTACATAATATTGTTCAAATATTGCTTGTTTTTCAGTTTTTTTAAGTTTCACCGTTAGTCGACAACTTTACAGTCTTAGGAAATAATTTGCGAGTAAAAGAGGACGTACGAAATACTGGTTTACAGTAAAACAACAACCCTTCTTTCGAAGTTTCTGCGTGAGCTTGAATGCATACGACATATTATGGTCACTTCCCATGATTGACTTGGGATTGCGTGCGGACAAATTTTATTGCCAAAATGCAAAAAATAGTGAGCTTGTGATTGTGACATTAATATTTAACGTTATGATATTATTAACTTCCCCTGACCAGCAGGATATTTTAACAAGCACTCATTTTATAACAAAAAATGTCGAAGTCAAAGTCAGACGATCACGCAGTCAATATCACAAAGAACCTTTCTACCGGCCAGATCTGGTCTGCTTCTTGAATGTTGAGGATCTCCAGTATGTCTCACCTGCAAAATAGCTGAATTGTAATTGATTTTCTTTCAACATTTATCCCGCCACAAAGCTTGCTTAATTAGAGTATACTCATATGTAACTTTTGGAAATGTTATAAACTAATATGAAATTGTAGAGGAACTGCAAGTCCCTGTGACCCTGTCTTAACTGAGCCAAAAAGGCCGTTTATAAATTCAACTGTCATGCTAGATGCAAATGATGCCTTACCCAGTCATCTACGAACATTATGATTACTTCTAGAAAACGAAAAAAATTGATCTAGGTATACCTCAAATACCAAGGTTTCCTGTTTTTCTTTTGTGTTCTGGTTGCTGGAGTCAGTTACATGTACAGCTGACACATCGCTCCACCACAATAATTTGTTAATTGCGTTTACATACCTGCATACCTACGGCTACCTGCATACCCATACTGCTACTTACAGTGTTTACAGTACAAGTATGGAAGAAAGGTAACGAAAAGCCTGCTTTATCCTTTTCCGGGCCGTTCTACATGTTTAACAAATTTTATAAAAATTTAGGTTTATAAAAAAACAAATAAGATTTTGTTTTTTATAAACCTGTAGAAAAGATTTTATATTTTTACTTACAGCAGTACCAATTCCTCGTGGAGCACTGACAATGTTTTTTTTTCCTGGTAGTTAAAGCGGTCATTAATGGGTCTGGTGTTAACGGTATACTTGACATGGTAGCTGTTGCCCAAGGGTGGCTTCCGTGTAAACGAGCTTTAATTATCTGGATCGGAGTAACGTTCACGCTCCAAACACACCGCCATCTATTAAAGACAACGTGTTTCCGGCAAGAAATAATTTTCGTGCCCATTTGCAACGATGGTCCAAGAGATGCTAGGTGGAAAACGGGATGGTTCAGTTGGTCAACCGCGCTGGCAACATTCCGCAAATTCCAAGCATGTGTGCGCACCAAAAAACATAGGAAGCAAATGCTAGATAACATAATTAAATTCAGAATCTCCATTTGCCGTTGCAGGGTGAACAACAAAGATACAATAGCTACATCAGTTACAAGATGGAAATGCATAAGTATAGATAAGCCTTCGACCAGAAATATAATTCAGGCATTAAATAAACATCTGGTGCTGTCACAGGTAAATGTCGCTGATAATCGAACACCGGTCGGTGCATTCATCTCACTGCAATATACGTAGTATCATTCCTTCGCCGACTGCAACAGAATCCTGCGGCCAGGATCTGATTTTAAGACATTCAGATATCCTGTTACGCTCTTTGAACTTCCATAAAATAACTGTAACAAATGTCAATTACCGAGGTGTGTTCCGATGACATGGTCAGGGATGGAAATGAGGTCCAGATTGCTGTGTGACAATTCAGCCAGCTGCCGGTTCAGTGTAAGAATTATGACAGTCAACTGCGCTACACAGAACTTGCGCAATGAATGATTTTGTCAACAAATAGTAAATTTCACTACCTTGCCATACAATGTAGCGGCGTAGAGGATGATTGTATAAATTCTCAGGAATATCCTTTTTTATCAAGTCTGTACGTATAAATCAGTATGAGCAACCGTGTACCTATTTACCAAGCAAGCCTGCATAAAGGGCAGTTGCGCGTAAACTCTCCAGCGATATTTTAAATGGCGCACATTGTTTCCCATAAGTAGTACGTACGTTACACGCGGAGCCTATTTCTTCCTTACGTGCACACTGGATACAAGAGCGTAATTCCTGTCTGTGGGTCAAGTGGACGCGGCTATATACCGGCGGAAACAACACGGATAAGTGTATTACTACTGTAGTAATTGTGACTCATCAGTCTTCAAGGATGCGAATGTCTTCCGGTACACCCCTGACCTTTTTATACACCATTAATGCGAAGAGATCCAGGATCTCAAGCTATAAACCACAGTATCTATGGAAAAGTTTTTAACTGTTCTCCGACCTTTGCATTGTATTTTACTGCCGCTGTTTACAGGGAATAGTAAGAATGCCGGATTTTGCTTATGTACATAGTATCGGAAAGAAAGCTTTGTTTGTTTCTCACTGTCAAGCGAATGAACATTGTGTGAAAACAAAACAGCAAAATTATAATACTGTCGATAAAGTTAATTTTTTTAAATGCTACCGTGTTTGCATTTTTAATTTGAACATTATGGTAATAATATTATCACAGTGTAATGAATTTAATGATGTTTATACATATAAAGAGCACCCTACTGCCAGAATATCCTGTGTACTTCAATAAAACAGTCCCTACAGTAATAAAACAAAACCTGAATAAAAGTTCAGTGAATAAAAATCTTCAGACTAGAGATAACCCGATATCTTCATTGTGGGCTGCTTTACGTAGTGACCGGGGTATAAGATACATATAGCAGTGCAGTTGTAAATCGTACGAAGCATTAAACAAAAAAAAATCCAAAAAAGGAATAATATGCTTTATTTAGTATAATTATTGGCTTTTTACTGTACATAATAATACTGCAATTGTTGACTGTCATTATATTTGTAATTAGTAACAGCGTTCCTCTAATTTGATCTGTATGCACCACAACACATGGCTTCCTTTCGAGGTTACATAACTTTAGCCAATATGCCATGTTACGGACGTTTTATATATAATTTGTTACGGCTCTCTGTACATCACAAGCGTCAGCAAACAGCAATTCGGAATCTTAGATGAGAGGATTAAGGACTGTTTGTTTTGAGCACTACGCAAGTCTTGGCATATAGTCCACACCTACACAGAAGAAACACGGTGCAAACGATTTGTTTTCGCAACCGTATGATTAAGTACAAAACGCAAAGTCTGACTCAGAATACTGTCGGCAAACACCTCAAGCTCTGATCACCAGATTCATAGTGTGATCGTTTAGGTATAGCTACTAGCTTCGGCAAAATTAACATTTAGCCGGTTTGGATGCGGGCAGTTTTTTTGGAATTTCACTGATCATTCTTCCATCTGGTATCTATAACTTTATACAGCTCTTAATTAACTTGCAATTGGATGTGGCTTCGCTGCAATAGTTTCTGATAATAATAATTATTAAAAGTGATCACATTACGAGTATGTACTTGAGTGGCGGTTGTCCTGCGCATATTTAACAAGCACACCAGAAATGCCAAGTTCCAACAGCAGTAAATACACGAGAGTGGACGTTGTAGAAACCCCTCCAGTAATCCTGCCAAAACGGCTTGCCAGCGCCAGTCCAGACAGAAACAGCAAGGTACGCGTGGATGTTACGTTTTGCGTGAGACGTAAAAATTCATAAACAGCGGCATCTAGTCAGTGCAGTTCAAAAGATTACAATTTTTCTGTTTTTCCCGTTTATAGTTAAATTAAAGGTCACTGTTATCTCGCCTCCAAATAGTAAAACTTTGTATGTACAGTAACATTACACCTTAAAAGTGCACACAACAATCACAGGATCGGAAGATTGCTTGTGGACCTTTAACCATGTTTTAGGCACGAATTCAGCATCCATTTGTACGACATATTTTTTGTACCAGGTAAAAAATGGATCACTGATTACTCCGCTGCCAGTGTCAGCAATGGACAGCACGCCGAACGTGCCGGTATCGAGTACTGCGCGGCTATATGTCAATCCTAGCGGATCATACACACTCCGTATGCAACTATCCCAGGGATTCCTATCAGCCGCTTTACTAGTGTCCAGTGTCAGCCAGCTGCGGAACCACATCTTCCTAAAAACTCATGCCTTTTACCAGCATGTTTTTTGGTTAATCGTTGGCTCCATCTGTGGACAAGTAGCCGCGGCGTTATGTTTACTCTTCTCGTACTGGGCGCGCTCCAAATTGGAACCGATTCAAACGCTCCGCAAACGCCGACCACGCTGCTGCGTATCGTGTGCCGATGGACTGGAGAACATCTATATGATAATGACATTTTTTATTATGGCGGTTAATGTCTTCATAGCGTTGTTTGTTGGTGGCGGGGGCGCTGATGAAGCTGCCGTATTTCCAGTTACAGCTGCGGCGCAAAGGCAGTCGGAAGTTTTTGATAATTTTACGAGCATAACGCCGTCTTTGTTCGGCAACGACACCGGTTTAACAGAACTGACTGCCACCACGGAATGGAATACTAATGCATCATAATGTGGGGCATTTTGGACATGCTAATGCTGCTCCAGTTACACTTCCGTACATGCAGCAAATCATTTACATGACATAAAATTGTAATACGTTTAGAATAACCGTGTATTTAATTCCGACTTATTACCAAAGTATCACTAATCGGTCTTTGTTGGGGTTTCCGCTGTTTTGCACGTACAATATGATGCGTTGTAAATAAACGATTCCCAATAAAATCAAAGAAAAAAAATCAAAAAAAGGATTTTCGAACATTTGCTAATAAGCAGGTTATTCCATGATATTTTGAAAATGGTTAGTGTAATTTGCATTGATGCGAGTAATCAACCATCTTTCAAGAAAATTGTAATTTTTTGTTTTCCTACCATGCAAAGTCGCAACTTTGGCTTATATTAGTTAATAATCAAATGCTCATTATCAGTTTAACTACAAGTACCTGCATAGGTTGTCTTGTTGACTGTTACTACCTAAATTTAGGTCAAACCAGGAAATTAGATAGACTAATACCTTGTCTTGAGAAGTGACTGGAGGTAACGAATTGGTTCCAACTTCCTAAAATAAATGTATGCGCGGAATTTGCAATTTGTAATGTTCCAAAAGAAACATCCTAAGGAGATTTCTTTTGCAAACGCTCAGCTTTCCTTTCTTTTGTTTCCTACTTGTGAGCCTAGCTATAGCTAGGCGCGGTATGACACTTCCTTCTGTTTTGCTTGCGCACGTACGAGAAGGTCTGGACTGTCAAATCCCTTTCGTGCTAATGCAATTACCAATTAGAAAAGTATCAGCAATATTATTAGTGCTGGCGGTTTTGCAGTATAAGTCAGTCGATCACTTTTAGCATGATTGTTTTATCCCTTTTTGCATTAATTTTAGTGAACGGACTCCGTACTGCTTCTTCAGGTAAAAACTACAAAAATTAATTATTTTTAAATTTTTCTTCTGTAACCTTAGTTAAAAAACAAACTTCTGGCAAGACTTTAATTTGTATGCCTGTTGCTGCTTTTAATAAATTATAATAAGTAGTAACGGCATAAAATGGAATCTTAATTTATAATATGCATCCCATTGTTAACATTTGCATACATTAAATTTTACCGTAAAGTTTCAATCCAAATTCATAACTCAAGTGGACTTATATACAATAGCGATAGTTGAGTAAGCACCAGCAATCTAAAATTAGCCTTATTATTACTTTTAAAGATATTAATTAATATTATTTTTTCGATCGTACTACAAAGCAAAGATTTTGTACTGTATGTAATACTATTGACGTCATTAGCATGTATTCGTACTTCTGTAAAATAAATTAATATAGATACTTCTATAGATAATCTGCTACGTAGGTATGTTTTATTGTACGCTGGGACGTATTAGTGCGGGTTCATATTATAAGCATTGCTTTTTCTTAATTATCCGTTGCATTTTTTAAAAAATAATAGTTATGCACATTCTTCATGCTGCGTTAATATTTTTATTTATGTGTGAGTGGAGAAATTTTTGTTCAAATATTGTATAGTGAAGGCAGCTGCGGCAGTTCCAAGACAAAGTGAAGCAGATTGGCCGTCGTCCAACGCATCCGCCATAGGATGGGGCTCCGCCAGCGATGGCACGGTTATACTCGACAACGACGCTCAGGCATCGCACAACTCTCACGACGGGAACTTTGAGGGATTTAGCACCAGCAACAGCTATCACTTTGGCAAAAATGGCAGCGTTGCTGCACTAGCATCATCTAGTTCGGGCGGCGGCAGTCCTTTTGCCTGGACCCACCCGGAAGACTGGTTAATATATCCCGGCGCAGCAGCCGCAAGTGGCGGCGATGCTTGGCAAGGGATATTGCACAATCTGGACAATGCCACCGTCGCCATACTACAGCACTATTTGGGACACGGAAATTCCAAAATTAATGCTACCGGCACGAATATCAATTTGCACTCATCGGCCAATGCCAGTACAATAGTTGTGCAAAATCCAAAGGCTATCATCACATCGGAAAAGCACCCTCTGGTCTCCACCAGGGCTCCGGCAAATCTTGGATGCCGAGCGAAATCTTGCTGGCATACATCGAAGCCGGCCAGTAGAGCTATCTCCGCAATCATCCCGACTAAGAGATTCGAGGTCAAGGTCAAGAAATGTGCCTAATTTGGCGCCTCGTTCAGTGCAATTTTGACAGCCAACGTGCGATCTCGAAACACCCAACATTAGAGAGGAGTTCCTTTAAGCAAATTTACAATTGTTGTTATAAATCTGTTCCTGCGTTTAGTTTGTGATTGGAGCTATGAATTTTAAGCGAATTATAACTCTTTCTATTGTAATAGAACAAAATAATTCGTAAAAGTCTTTCTGATGTCCTTGTAGATCAGCGGTTTCGTTTAGAACGATTGTAAAAATTATGCGATGGACTTCGAAAATTTTATTAATACTTGTACGAGCACAAGCAGATTTTATTGCATGTACTTGGACATATGGCTTACCATTATTACTACTGTACAATGAGTGCACATACAATGCATGGCCAGGGCCACAGACTGGCATGGCTGTACTTCAAGTATTCATTGTACAAATAGATCAAAAACCTACATTATATGGTTGTCTTTTTCTCTATAGCACAAATAACTAAAAGATCAAAAAAGTATGGCATTTTACGAATACGTACATTATGTAAAAAAGAAATGCACGGAAAACTGGAAAGATTTCGAACAAGTGTACTACTAAATTACTATTCAGTAATAATTATCACCGACTTGCAAAAGGCTTGATTTGAATCGGCAGATACATAATGTTATTCGAGCTGCCGAAACTGGCTGATACTGGTATATCAATGGACGACTATGCATGCACGATACTGTGCTTGCGTATTGCCGACAGCATACGCACATGGTGCTAATAATTGATTTATTTTTTTAGAATTTATAATGACGCCGTATAATTGGTACAGGTTCTATACCACACTTAGACAAAATAGTCGTAATGGGTAATATTAATTTATGATTATGCAGATGTATTGTACATGCATCTGTAGTATGTACTCGCATAATTCACAATCAAAATATATGCGAGAAAAACAAACTGCAGCACAGTTCCCGCACAGCATCACATGACTTTGAACGACATACTTAATGCTTTCGAATTTTACAGATTAACAATTAATTTTACATATTTTTAGCGTTAAACTTTTCCGCGTCGACGTTTAATTAATATCTATAATATATGGCCAAACCTTGGCACAACGTACATAGCAGAGAGTGTGGAGCCCAGTATGGTAAGTCCTGCAACTGCTTGTACAATGGTTTTTAGTAATATCTGTATGAACAAACAATTATAGAGTTGTGCCTTGTACATACATAAATTTCCAAATTGCTGCTACTGAATACAGATAGACTAGAGTAGTGTACAGACCGTTTCGATTGTAATGTCAAACGGTTGTAGGAAGTAAATTAAATCGACAAACAGTTTTTTGTATATGATAACGCCACTAATGTATTCGTTACGCAAGCCGAAGTAGGAACTTGAACATTAATTAAGAGCTTAGAACAAAACAAATTTGCCAAAATTAAGTCATAAATTGCTGCTTGATTGTAGTGTTAAACGTTCTCTAAATATTAATGTCTGATTTGGCATACGTGAACTGTATATATACCACTGCATGAAAACCAAAGTGCAGTAGGCAGGAGCACTTGGGCTATTTTGATTCTATGAAAACGTTTTCTTCAAAGTCATAAAAATCACAGAAACGATGTCTTCCACAAAATACTGTGCATTGAGTATTTTTGCCTTTTTGCTAGTGGATTTACTGCAGGCCCAGGTGCCTGCGCCCCCATCGAGCCCGCAAAAACCTATACCGGCGCCACCGGCTGCATCATCATCCGGAGCTTCTGTTCCTGCACAGCAAGCCAGTATATATTATCCCTACGGTTGTTACTACTATGGAAACAATTACGGAAACTTACCCAACGCTCAAGCCTGTTCCAACAGTAATGGTAATCAACCCAATGGAAATTTACAGCTGCAAAACACTGCTAGCATGAGTTATGATAATGGAACCGGAACCTTTTTGGCCTCCTCTCAAACTGGAAACTCGGCTTCAGGTAAACCGCATGGCGCATGATCACACCATGACCTTTTCAGACAGCCATGCATTTGCGCTTTATCAGCTAGTCAGTGCCACCTTAGTACGTGTTTATTATAGTGCTTTACTATCAGAAAAGCCTTTTGACTGGTACTCAAGCAACGTTTTGCATTACAGCTGTTTTTTTATTTTTTTACTTTTTTTTGCTTGCACATCTTGCTTAAGGTAAATAATTAAAAATTAGTGGAAATATACTTTTATTTAAATACGAAATTGTAAGCGCGTATAATGCAATCGAAGAGCTCGATCAGAAATTTTTTTCCTTTTTTTAGTAATATTTGATCGGTATTAATTTTTGTCGTAAACTCATTTTGCAGGAGATGCCGCGTCCATTTCTTCTTATACGAGCGCTAACGCTTATTCGCCCGTGAATCCAGCACCAATCAGCGAAGTGCAGATTTCCGGCAGCGCCAATAGCAACGGCAATGGAGCAACCGGTAATCTGAATAACCTGGACAACAGTTCCTCTTCCGGCTTACCAAATGCCGGCGCCACTCACTACAGTCAGTCACAAATTAACGGATCGGGCACCGGTCTCTCCCTGAACTCAAACGCCCAAGTTAACGGAAACGGTTATAATTTTGATAACAATAAGGCAGCGAAACGGGAAAGAGAGACAAACAAGATATTCTTCCAGCCAAATGCTGCTGTACGCAGTGCAATACGCCAAAAGGCGATCAACCAAAATGGACAAAATTTAGTGGTTCGCCAACGCACAGCCAGTAATCAAATGCAAAAGCCACTTGTTTCCGTAAATTTGGCACAAAATCGCCGTTCGCGGCAGTAGACATCTCTGTTATGATGTGTCGTGTATCAAAAAATATTCTTTCTGTATCAGCAAGATAAATCAAAAATTATGACACATTAAGCCTGTGATATGTACAGTACTACCATGCAAACTGTGAAACACATACTGCATTAAGTGAGAGAACAAGAGATGTTCTGAAGAACAATCTAAAAATAAATCTGCAGTGGTCTAGTTTTTGGTTAAAGGTCTTTTTATTTATTCCCATTTCTCCGCATTACATTAATTAATTTTTAAGCACTTCTCTCTAGCACCATAATGTATTAAAGCGCAACTTTTTAGCGCGACGTAGCGGTAACACGTAACAGTTGACCAGCGCAATGTTGCGCTATAGATAAATCAAATTACTCGATAAAAAAAGAATTTGCTGTTTAAAATATTGACTTAACTCATATTCAGTCGAATTGTTTGACTAAAATTGTCGAGTTCTCGTTCTACGTTAATATTAACACCTGTACATCTTATACGTAACTGCATTTTCCAGAGCAAAGTAATGATAAAAAGATGTAGTTTCGTCTTTAGGCCAATGCACTAGAGACGTTAATCTTTTATGACCAGAAAATTGTTGTTAATCCTGTTTGGGATCCTGACAGTACATTTTCGGCTGTTGACCTATTTTCGTGTGCTGTCAGTGGGCACGGATAAATACGTCGCAAAGCTATTAAGTATTTCCGGTTCAAATATGAAACAAAGGTGAGGTACCGCTCCTGTAATTCACAAAACTCTATATGTTATCGATTTTCTTTATAGCATGCTCTACTGACTGCGCTGTTGACAGCATTATAATACCTGTTTTCAGACTGCAAAAACTAAGTCGGGTGAAACGCACTCAGCCTCTAGGCAATTTTGTTGTGTATAGTCAGTCTAGGGCATGTTTCCTGATGGGATAGTCGATGCGTAACTCCTGAACATGGCACCAGTGTTGTAACTATGAACCATGACGAACAATGCAGATCTTTCCCTTAATTTTCAGAGAGTAATGCAGGCTTATTGCAGTTGTTTAACTTCCACAGATTTATGTTAAGTTTTGACCGGTTTAGTTCAAAACATGTGAATAAAAGTTTTGTTGTTTTGTTGTAAAGTTTAAGATATCCGGGTCTAGCTACATCATTATGCAGCAAACACTGCAATTTTTTGAAGTTTTATTAGTTCAGCTTTTACTGTGGGTTTCCCTTCTTCCTTCGCGGCTTCTTACTTCGTCCATATATTCATATGACTATCACAACGGTAAGTAGAATCTATCGTTTTTTCGACAACATTACGAAGCAGTTGAATGTTGATATAAATTATTGTATCTTACTGGGCTCCAGGGTATGTATTTATTATTTGCCGCATGAATGCGTTCTGACAGAAAGTTTGTATTCTGCCGGATGAGACTTCGAGTTCCGAACAGGCTGTACACAAGTCCATGTATGCCTATCCTGTGCACGTGGTTATTCGTAGAACTATGTCTTACACCTCAACTAATCAATTGATTTCGCTGAGTTTGTTCAAATTTAAAGTAAGTAAATCTGATTTTTTAGTGTTGCTGGATCATTTTGCTTCCAAAAATTTCCAAATAAAGTTACCATGCAAGGCTCTGCTGAGTGATGGGAAAAGGAGTGGACGGGTGGTGTTTAATGCGTTTTGCGAAAGACAGCCTTTCCAGGTGAATCTTATTTTACCTAATGTATCATCGGAATGCCAACATATTCAGTCTGACGAAGAGCTGCGGTTGTATTTAAACATCCGGTAAGAACACCTCTAAAAATAAGCCAAGTGCTTCTTATCAAATGCACAATTTTATTTTGCTCCAGTATTTAACTTGACAAAATACGTCTTATGAATCTACATCCAACCATGAAACAACGACGCAAGCTACGTATGTCATTCTTTTGTTATGGTTAGCAATAGCCCAAGAATGGAGGGCAAACAGTCGAAACAAGTATTCTGTTATACGAACTACAGTGCTGGTTCTAGGTCACTATCTCTGCAACAATCCGAAACCGTCAACATCATCGATCCGCTATCCCGTTCAAAAAAGCAGCTTACCTCGCAGCATAAACCCAATACCATCGATTTCGGCCTCCAGTCCTACGGACAAGCCCTGTCTTCTGGGTCAAGTATCCTTGTGGAATATTTGCCCGGAAATTCCGTTCCCGTTTGTACGGGAAAAGACGGCGACACACTGTTAATGGACATCGACTTCGTCATCGTTTCCAAAGCCGTACCGCAGAATATCGACGGCTATAAATTCACCAACTGCGAGGCACTGAACGGCTATATCCCGACCGGTATGCTATGTGATCAGTACAGCGATAGTCGACCGTTAGGTTGCCCGGTGAATATTTCACAAAGCGCTGTAAAGGGCACCGGCAGCAAAGATCCCGATCCGGCGACCGGACAGGATCGCCGCAATCTGGATTGCTACAAGTTGGCCTTGGGTGATGCGGCGGAGAGTGTCAGAAGTATTATGGATGGATCGTTGGTGGTGATTGAAGCGGTATCAGACGCACACAGATTACGCACACAAGGACTGACACCCATGTTATCATTTCTAACGACTTCCTTAGTATGTTTTTCGCTCTTTGTATAGGATTTTGATTTTTGATAATTTATTCCATACATTTCTGTCTTTCAAATGAAAATGGTGGTGTTTATCACGTACTGAGAAACGCACGAACAGCATATAGATATACCAAAATGTCTGAATTGTGCTACTAGCGGTGCTGATCCACTATATATACTCGTAATATGTAAACTTATATCATATATGTAAGTAGAACGAAAACTGAAACCATATTGCTGTTTTGCATTTCGGATCTCTTATAGAATGAATTATCTCAATTAGGAAAGTTTTTCACTGGCAAGTCTTTCGGTGATTGCATTGCGGATACTTACAAGCTAGTGTTTGTTTGAAAGAGTTTTTAGCACTATTCCTATAGTTAATTGGTATCAAGCAGCGTATGAAATGCCAGCGAAGTAGATCGTAGATAGAAGTACAAAGTAGATAGAAAACCCGTGCGATGTGCATAGGGAATTGGTTGATGCATTTTTTGAAACAGCTATTATTCTCTTACATTACACTTATTTTTCGCGCAAAGTTTGGCGTTATATACGCATTCCAAGATTGTCACAGAATTGCCAACTAAAAATACTGGGGATGCCAGGCGCCAATTTACACCGCAGATGCTTGTGCCTGAATGACGATGCTACATAACGCACTACTCTTCACTCTCTTCGCTACCGCACAACAAAAAATAATTATCTATAAGTCATAAAATTTCTAAAACCATAAGGTAAAAGTATGTACGGTAAAATGCGCAATTGGACCTTAATTGAATTTGATGGTGAGCTTATTCAAAATTAATAATTACCGTACGTACATAATTATACAAATATAATAGCTTTACTACTTCGTACTTCACCCGGTTGTTCTAATGATGGCGGTCACTAAAAAAATCATTATTCGTTATTTTTGTATATACTACGTGCCGTACATACTGTACGTGCGTCTACGCTTCGATCTCTTCAACTACAGTAATTCAGTATAATTCGGTGTATTTCGCTGCATTCGTTATAACCGGAATACCGTACATGTAGCTTTCGTCGATTCGTCGGATGTTGGTGATTTCCTCTTAAATTTTACGGAAAATCCATCGCTTTTATTCATGGGATCGCCTCTGGCTTTCGCTCATGTGTGCGAGTACCACAGAAGTATAGGTACTTGTAATATGCGGCTGTGCTAGCTAAAAACTGCAATATATAAATCGACAGTACATTTGGCTTACCAGATTTACGCTTACTCCTCTACTTTACTACAAAAATTGCTTTATTTTTTCGCGAAGGTTTCTTATTTAACTTGAATTTTAGTTTCAAGGAACGCCGTTACAAGAATGGACAAAATGCAGTCAGTCAGAATGGGCGATAACCGCAAACTGAACCATCCCTCGGATTCGGTGCCTAAATCAGAGAACGAAATCCACTCGAGAGAAAAGGAGACCATGCAGCAAATGTCGACCCATATGTCCAACTGCGATCAATCGGACCGAAAGGGTGAACCAGCTGGAGACTCCAGTACCCAAGGTGTTGGGATAGGGAGTGGCAATATCTAACCTGGGCGATACTACACTGCCGGACCTAAAGTACCTGTATCAAGGCATAACTGTTTTTCATGCTTCTACATGTTTTTCATGCTTCTACATGCTTCTAACTGATGCTGACTGGATTTGTGAGCAGCAAGTCTTCTATACTTGTATCGAAAGATAACCAAAAAAACACTACAGCTGCAGTGGGAAAAGTGTGGTTTGCTGATATTAGCTATATGACTATCAAATGTTTTTAACACTTAATTCGCTGTACTATACAGATTACGATACTACTGTCAACGTTTTAAAGCATATTACTGCGAATGTTGAACCAGCAGTTTTTATTCGCCTGGGAGCTATATATTTTAATGTTTTCTGATGTACATTTTAGCGAACTCAATTTTTCCAATTTATTTCTCAGTGAATTTTAGTAAGGAAACTGAAAAATACTTGCAAGTTGCATACATACAACTAGAACTATACAGTAAAGCACTGTCAATGTCGTACGTACCAAAAGCACGCACAATACTTCTGATTATATGGATACGCATTCCTAATACAAATAATCAAATAATTACTCATAATATCCGCTAAAAGATCATTATCCTATTCCTAATACAAATGATTACTCCTAATATCCGCTAAAGAATCGCAAAAGCTGTGGTATGAATACTTAAGTAGTCATCTGCAATACGTAAATTTCAGATTATGGTTGGGTTCTGTTGCAATATCTGTTGTAATCTACTAGCGTAGCCGCTTGTTACTCGCAATTCAAATTTATTGCAAAAACAAAGAAATTGTTTCTTGCCAAAATGGCTGCCAGTTATGTAGAATTTCACCACGCCCAGCGATCGCAGTACACCTAACTACGTAATTTCTAAGGCAGTAAGGTAAAAATCTGCTGATTACTATTTCGGAAGTTGCATTCTCTAATAGGTTATAAATAATCAATTTCTGATACGACAATACGACCGATTAGTTAATACCAGCTGCAGATGGTATCCTTCACTTGCCTATATCATATTATTTATTGGGAAAAAAGGTTCTGGTCATTTTGTTTAGTTTTAAATTGAAGCGTTCAGAAATTTCTGGACTGCTGGTGGGCGTCAGTTCTGAACATCTTTCTGGAGTGACCACGCTAAATGCTTCGCCCTATGTCTACTGCCGAAGGGATTTCCATTAGTAGATAATATACAGCAGTACTTCTATAGTTCAGAACTATCACCACTATTATGTGCTAAGAATTTCAAAACAATCGTAAACAGCTCTGGCAACAGTAATTAAAATAGTCTTTTAACCTGAAAATAAAAGCACATCTTTACTTACGTGCTACTTGTGGATTCTTTAAAGCAAAAAAAAAGTTTGAAATCATTTAAACAAAACAAATGCTGATTAACCATAAAACTTATTATATAGTTCCGAGAAAAAAACTCTAATCTGTCTGCCAAATAACGACTAAACCATCTCTTAAATTGTAAATACCCCGCGGCTTTAAGTTCGGCGTAGGTACTAAGGTATGAGCCAAAGTTCTTTTTTGCCGGTAGCAATTTTCAAGGCAGCAAAAGCAAAATAAACTGATAAAACTGTTGCATATGGTCGCGTTAAAGCATTTCGCAACTGCTATTATTATTTTGATTTTGTTGTTCCGCAATAACAGTAACTAAATAAAACATTATTTACAGTTGTTATTATTCTGTCAATATGGACCGGGAAACTGTACATCATCAACAACACCGACGCGCATCTATTGACACCAGTGAGCATACTCGGGCGGAAATCATTGGTGGACATGGCGAGCAGAACGCTATGGAATACGCCGCCCGCAGAATCGAAGAAGCACGTTCCGGTGCCTTGGAAAGAGATCCCGCTAAGCAGAATCCACCGGAAGGAGAATTCGGCACTGGTTCTTGCGATGCCTGCTAAATCGCTTTTGTAATACTGTATAATTATTGCTCGATCCCTTCATGTTGCGCCTATGTAGTCATGCCGGAATTAATATTTGTGCTGCTATTCCAACAGTAACGTTCAGACGGTTTTATTTCGTACTATCATTAATTTTGTAGTGTTGCAACATTCTGCATCCATATTAAATAGCCAAATTAGGGTGTGTTTTTAGCAGTTCAGACGTTCATGCCAGTTTTCTGTCACAATCCTTAAATTTTCGTAAAAGCAAAAAAAATTATTTGCTGAAATTCGGAAACGGTTTTTCGGAAAATACGCTAATCTATTTTATGTTGTATCCTAAAAGGGGTAGAGCGGATTACTGCAGCGTTTGCCATGATTAAACTGAATAAATTCATTATTCATTAATGCATTTGCAATATTAAAACTGGTAGTCGTAGATATTTAACACTTTACGTTCCGCATATTATTCTGCGCTTTGCGCAACGCACCTTAAACTTAAAATATCGTTCGCGTAAGTATAATAGTACACGATCGTACTTCAGATTGTTTCTGCAAATTAATTTCCATAAATTTGAATTAAATCACGCCGAAAATGCAGTAACCTATATTTACAGACAATATATTTGTATCGTTACTCAACGATGCACGAAGAAATATCTTATAGCATTAACTAACACATTTGCTGGCATTAATTTTAAAATCTGCGATGCAACAGGAATTTGCGACTTATTTGTTACTCACCAGTGCAAGCTATCAAGACTAACTGGTGCTGCGGAAATTGTAAAAGGATTAGTAAATTATTTGCAGTTTGATTAATCGATATGCTAGATGTTGCTCCCGAATGCGTTTACCGGTATAAATAGTTAATAACTTGCGCCTTTTTGCGCTACTTGAAATTTAATCGAGCGTTTACGATGGAGGAAGCTGCTCAGTGCAATGTGGGTTCAGATGGTGATTGTATCAAGAGTCAGATTCCGTTCGGGCAGTTTAACCGTTTGACATTTTACGCACATGATAAAGCGATAATCAATCTAATTGCTCGAAGTAAAAAAACTTTTCCATTGCACTTCTTACAAGTCTGGTTATGAAGACTGAAATGGATTGCTCATGTTAAAATGGACAACAAAAGTTAATTAGACAGACCAAATATGTATAGTGATAATTTGTTTAATTTAATGTATTCGAGTGTACCAGTTCCGACAAGTTACAAATAATACACATAGACCACTTTAAAGCAGATAAATGCAGAATTTTAGTTGATAATATCTAATGCGTCAACAAACATAACTGATTGCGCTCATCGTAATAATTCCGATAAGTCAGATCTGTATGTAAGCATCAGCAATGCAAAAAAGTCGCACCGTACAATATACACCTTAAACAAATCACAATAGATGTGACGTCTCAAACATCATGCACTATCAGTTGCGGAAGCGCGCGTGCAGCAAAAGTAACTTAATGTGCTTCCGGTATGCAGTTTTAATAAATTTTGTAAGAGAGGAAATCCAGTAAGTGAATGAGTGATTAATTTTGTTCGAATCCGCAGTTTGAAAAACGCCGTTTTCCATCTCTGCTTGGAAAACGCTAGAATATCTTTATTGGTAATTGTCTTGCTTTACCCAAAACATTGCCTCATGATTAAATGCAGTACTTGTCGAAATGGTTTTCATGTTTAGGACACAATGTTAGGTTGCCATGAATTTGTGGATGCTTACTTAAATACTGCATGTAAAGAGCATTTGTAAAGAATGAGCCCTAGCATAATGTACATGTATATAAATATTGCACAATTTGACATCGTTTTGACTGTAGTTTAACACTGATCAAAGGAGTCAGAGCGACCACGTAAATGCTTTGCACACTCCTTGATCTTTTACACCCTGAAAATAGGTCTCTGCATGAGTGCTTTATTCCCATTACTCCATGGGAAAAATAGATTTTTGTTGTAATGAGATTGCGCAGTATATGGATCAATTACCCGTATACGTTCGATCAAGTTAGTGACCGCTCTGCAGCACTGTTTGGCCGTTATTCGAGCCCAATTCAATAAAAATTAAAAACATTTTATTGGAAATATTCCGACCGCCACCATATTTACCTTTTTACTCGGATAACCACCAACGTTGCCGTAATCGACTGTACACGGGTGCGTGATGAATATCGATAATGGTGTTTTCGATTCCCTGAATCGGTAATAATCTGCTCCATATGCCAACACACCGTGTGCCTTATATGCGTAGCACACAGTAAACCGTACAGCACTCTTGCGGACAATGATATTGCATAAATGTATATTGGCTTTTATTACGGGATGCGACAGTCAGTTGATCCAGTTTTATTGGGCAAACAGAATTAACCGAACAGCATCAATGTGGGCATCATCCCGTTATAGAGGAGATCCATTCGCCGGCACTACTGTACTATTTGTACAAAGGTCATGGAGCTCCCAGTGGAGAACAACAGCTGACGGTTGTAATGTAGCCAATCGGTGATGGGCTCACTGGCACTTGTGTGTGTATAAAGAGGCGCATATCTATGTAGCCAAAGTGATGCTGCACGTAATCGATTTATTCTCTTTTTTACTGGCCAATGTGTGTAAAAGATGAAGGACCAAACAGATCTAAGTAAATATGCATCCCGGCGAAAAAGAGAGAGTAACAGACTTTAAGCATCTTCATTTTTAGCGGCTTTATTCGCCCCAGTCAAGTAAGGCCATTTTATCGTGGCTATTGTAGTGGTTTTTGAGTGTGCAAACAGGCAAGGTTTTTTTCCGGGGAAAAAAGCCGTATTATAATTCACCGCTTGTCACTTTCCACTTCCCGGGAGAAACTATAAGCTGGCAACCGTGTTGTATCATAATATAATCTACTGGAGATTTATTTGACAAAGAGTGGTCGGGCGTTGATTGTTGATAGCCGGTTGAAAGTTTACACACGAATAATACAGCATATATCGAGCGGTGATATACGCAACTCTTTCGGAATTCAATTGTCTGCTTACGCATTGGCATTTACTTTGCCCAACACAATCCAAGTGCCCTTTAAATCAACACCCCGTCCAATTCGGCATCAAATTGACTTAATGCGACAAGCTGCAGCCATAATTGTATGTACGCAACACCGAATACCGTGCACTATATTGTTTTTGCTCTAATAATTATATCCCAAAGAATTGATTGCTGTTGTTAAGTGAGGCTGAAAATTGATGAGCGTACCGTGTGGTTAAAAAACGTCACGCGCACTGGCTGCATCCCGTGTGTATCCCACCCTTCATGCTGCTCAGTTTGATCTGTTGGAAGCTGGAGCCGGTAAAATAGTGGCGCGCATGCACCGTCTACAGCTGAAGAGATATATATACGGAAAGGATGATGCAATTATTCACGCCAGTGGAATTAATAAGGATGTCGACGGTTCGCACTGGGATTTGTAGATTTAATTTACTGATTGACCTGCACAAGCGGGTCTTTATCCCGGCTAACTCATGCTGACATTGATTGCTGTTGGGGAAAATTCGGGACAAAAATTCTGAGCACCGGTACAGGCACAGAGCAGCATTTCTCGGCCACGGCGCGCATTATCGCCGACTACGTGCTGTTGATCATGTTAGTGTTGTTGTCTTGATAGTGTGTGTGTATATCCTGCACACGTCTGTGGAATCACTTTTAGTCCTTCTGTCTGATTGTGTGTCGGAAATCGATGGGCTGCGGTGGATGATTTCCTGTAGCTGTATACTGTTATACACATGCTGGAGGGATAAGACAGTTCGCTGCGGCTGCTAGTGGCCTCCTCCAAGAAAAATTACTTGATGCAGAACCATGCTACAGATTGGTCAGATTGTGCTGCTGACCGTGGTATTATTAGGTAAGCGGACATGGTAATATTGTTATACACTTTGATGGTTTTGTCATCGGAATAACCAAATCTTACGGGCCACTGCACTGGCGCTGATGATTGATGGACATTTTATGCACACACTGCGTCCAAGATTTTTCTAATAGAAACAGTGCAACCAAGCGTCTCCTAGCGTAGTTTAAGTTTTTCCACAGAACTTGTGATTATTTCCGGTGGAATATTTTAATGAGTATTATCTCTTTGGCACTGTTGACATTTACGTAACGGCTGCTATTTCAAGTGGGAAACTTTTCTCTTAATGGTACAATATTTCACCATGTGTACAATATTATCCTATTCGTTTTAACTTTTAAGGTAATGAAAATGCTAACTATATAAACTGTAAATTATTATTTAGGTGTTACCAAAATAAGAACGTGATATTCATATAAAGGCAGTAATGACGCTGAAAATTTGAAATATCCCTGTAATTTGCAACGTTTTCGGATTAAATATGATTGTGGCCTTGGTATGCCTTCCTGATCCAGTTAGTGTGTCCTTTTCTAAAACAGATAATACCGTTAGTGTACTGTTGTGTAGAATAATCGGTTTACTCTCATCAGCCATTAACTGGTTAATGCACTCAGTTTACTTATGCAGACGCCGTTCTATCACATGTTACAATTACTTAATGGTTTCGTTGCTTATTGAGTAACTGTTAAACGTTCGCACCCTGTAGCAACCTCACATGGATTAACACTTCCGGGCGCATTAGGAACATGATATTATCTGGCGTGACATGCAATTAGATCGTAAATTAAACCTTGGTACTCACTGCCAGATATCGCTGGAGCCGACGTCATCCTGTAGGCTGAATGTGGGATGAGGACCTTCTGAATGCAATTTAAAGTTATTACTCACCATCAGATCGAATGTTATTTATGTTGATTCATATGCTAATTCGGAATAGAAGATGTACAGCTGCAGTAGTTGTACAATCGCGTTATACAGAACTTTCAGAGTAGAGCAAACGAGTTCTACGAGTAAATTAAATTATTGGATAAATTGTTAAGAGCAGTACTATACCTACGAGTACTAAATTACCGGTAAATGAACTATACTACCCTTTCCGCCTTTCATGTAGTTGTATTGTACATCTACTCATCGTCAGTACTATAATTGTGGATATTCCGATACGTTCTTAAAATTGTACTGTGAACATAAAATAATACATGGATCTGTAAAACACCGTAATTCTTAATGCAGATCTTTTTTAATTTTCCGCTGCAGCTTTTGTTATTAAAATCTAAAGATTTAAGGCACTATCTAATGTGCGCATACGAATACGTACACGGAAAACCTTTATGCAATTTGCCTAGAGAATCTGACACTGCGATTTAATTTTCTTCAGTTATGGCTTTTTGTCGTTTTAATTTACCTGCAGAGAACAAGTAAAGCAAACGGTAGTTACACCAGCAAAATGAATTATTAATTTATGACCTGTATAAGCATAGACCAGGAGCTTGTGTGGCGTGCGTTTAATCAACTTGCATGCACTCAAACATGTATACAAATTTTATGAATATGTTAATATTTATAAAGCCATCACACACAATATAATGGCTGCATTAGTACAGTCTCGTTGCAGAATCCAGTGCTAAATGGTTCAAATGTCACGGTATCAGGTTTACTTCTAAAACTAAAAAAAAATTTCTAATGTCCGGCTTTCAAGCGCACACTTGAAACCGACATATTTCCTTTCTTGTGCTCTGACTAACTGGCTGTTTCTGCTCATACTCTAGCTTGGCACAGCAGCAACCCGGTGATTACGTATTCCGCAGCGGACACTCTCCTCGCGGATCCTCGTCCATGGAACAGCACAGCTGGGGACCATGCCGTTAAATCAAAGCTAATTGCGCACAAACGACGCCAGCATCCTCAGAGGAACCGCACCCGATCCGTCATAACTGTCAGCCGACGGCAGCAATTCCCGTCCGGTAGCCAGCAGCAGCAGCGCTTATTCTCCCTTAATTTCTTCCATGATCTCCACGTCCATTTGGGCCTCATATCTGAGACCAATCGCACAACAACAACAGCATCCACATCCACAAGGGCCGTTAGCCGGCAGCCGCCCAGGAGACCGGCCAAGCAGCGCCATCCGCGGGTGCAGCCGACGCCGGTCAGCGGACTGGCCGATGAACTGCTGCCCATGGGCTATCCGTGGTATGCCAATTCCCATGTGCCCTTCCGCTATCGCTACAAATACTCCAGTTCCTATCTGCCGGCCACAAAGCTCCAGGGGGAAGACCCGACGGTAGCCATCATTAGGACGGTGGATCCCTGTGTGCTGTCGCGGTGGAATTTCGAGCTGCCGTTCTCCGAGCTGCCGAATATGCTGGCCAAGCTGCTGGCATCCGATATGATCTCAGGGGAAACGACTGCCGCTAAGTCGAGGTAATAATCACTGTTTCCGGTATGAAAGCGCTTGCTTGTTTTACCGGTAAATTGCTTCATCAATAACACGCTTACCACGATGTTATCCAACATTCCCACACACCGAAAACGGATATGCGCTTTAATTGATTTATCTCCAAAGGTTTCTCTAAGAAAACCGATGGGAATACGAGCTCGAAATACTACTTAATTAGATTAAATTTAAGAACCATAGACATTGAGAGCGGGCACGGCCATAAAATGAGAACATACTGACGACAAGCGTCGCACTGCCAACGGAAATTTGGGGATTACCATAAAGGCTTAAAGCAGAATAGGATATTACAAAAATGCTCGCAACCGGGGAAACTGCCGAAAGGTCGGTTTACGGAATTACCATACTTTTATTTGAACAGTTCAATAAAAATACTTAAAATTTGCTAGAATTGTTTTATTTGGTTTCTAACCCAGTCACTATATTTTTGAAAATTTGGGGAAAACGTCACAAGCCAAACAGAAAAGGCGAATTAAACTTGATGTGCTAATTGGCGGATTGTTAGACACGAGTGCGAGTACAGTCGTTATTAACTCGTTAACAACCATTTCACTTGTGCAGTATGTACAGTACATCACGTTCGTCATCGTTTTGTAAAGCCACGGTTTTCAATGCCCTGTCCCACATGCCGGTCAGGCGTAATGCAAAACAATTAAAAACTGAAACAATTAGGCTATTTAAACTGGACTGCGATTAAAGGCTGCATGTTGTCAGCCGGCGAAAAGGGACGCGTTCCGCCTGAAACAGTGATTTCAAGTGTGGATACAGCATAATGGCCCAATTGTTGAAGAGTTGTCGGGTATGGGGCGGACGGAAACAGTGCTGTTTTTAACGGGCACGATATTGTCATGCTGTGATTTGGCAATAATCTTTTCCCATTATCACTCCGTCAGTCAACAAGGGTCGTCGCGCTTTGGGAAAGCTCTTAACGGAATGACACTAAATTTGTATATTTGACCTAATCTACAATCCGGAGGAAGCAATTGCACTGGGCATTGATTTTGGGCGCTGCTTAGAGCACCCAACGCGCACACTGTGCACTGCCTCATCCCGATGCGCGTTCCTTTTTGATGGGCAATAAAGTCTGGAAGGCGCTGGCAGCGGCAGCCGCCTCGAACCGTATTACGACGCCGGCGTAATGATTTCCGCCCCATGATGTAATGATACACTATAAGACAGGGTGTCAACTTGTTTATCGCTGATAGCAACGTTCCAGCCCACACTTCGGTGTGTTGCTAATCAAAACACATTTTTTACAGTGTGATTGTATCCTGTACTGAAAATCTTCCGGAAATGACTTGGCCATTGAAAATGTACTTATCACTTACAAATTGCCGGGTGAAATGCAGATGGAGAACGGTTTAGGCGCTGTTCAAACCGTAATCGTCAGACTCTTTAAAGTCCGAGCAAATAACACCAAAATGTTGGGGAACTGTTGTGAACTTCGTTACACAAGCAGAGTGAAGTGCTTACATAAAAATCCCAACTCTAGGGTCCTAAATCGGGTTACTGCGTGTAATTACAAGGGATGTCGCATTCGTTTCCGACAACTTTGCTGGCACTTTTTACAGGGTAACTGGCATGCTAGCAAGGCGCTTCTGTAAATTATTTCTATCAGTATTATCCAGATCTAAAACTATTATGTATTTGAAAAAATAAGAAAAAATTAAGAGTAATGGTTGAAAGTTCTCTTTCTTCAAAACACTGCTAATTTCGTATCCCGTCTCGCCTTATGTTTATTAGTCGACCTACTCTAGACATAGATATACCTATGCGTGTGTATGTTGCTCATACAAACTGTAATTGAATGTCGATCAACAATTTGCTATATTTTCTTGCTTTTAGATATGTGTTCGAGCTGCTGCATTTAACCCTGGACAGCTACCAAAAAATGGATCCTAGCGGTGATGTGTTTGATATTCCACCCGGAACCGATCTGGGAAGATGCAATTTCAAAAAAACGGACGACCCACTTTATCACTCAGTCAATAATCTGCTCAAGCTCTACTCCGACAAAAGCACAACGACAGAACGTCTATTTGGTACGTATACAGGCACGGTGTGCGGCCTTTATTCTTTAATCACTTAACATGCCCGGTGACATCGCTCTACATATGTTATTCCCGGCTTTGTACACCGGCACGAAAATCAAAAGTCCTATTAAGTTAATGTGCTATCGTGCCATTTTATGCTTTATTTATTACACATGCTTTCCGCCTATTCACAATTTTATCCTGGCTGCATAACCCGTAGCACTTGTCAAAGCGGCCAAGGCCTGCCTCGGTAAAGAGGACCAACCGTTTCCATTAGAGCTGCTTCCATGTTTGGACTTTTCATTTGGCTCTGATCAGGTTCTCAAGCTCAGCGTACATAAATCGATTTTCGGGAATGAGGAACTCTGCCGGTATGTTGCCCAGTAAATTACCGATATATGATTTCGTTTGTCTATCCAATAAAGTACAATGGGTACAATCGTAATGTGTTGGCCGGTAAATACTGTTACGCATGTGCGTAAAGTCCCACAACGGGATAAACCATCGACGATTTGAACAATTAATATTTTCCACAAAGAGTATTTGACGTTGTTTTGTTATGTAAACAAGCAAATGGATTGCTAGCGGCAATAATAACCGGATAATATTGACATTTGGATAAAAGAGATCTCCGCAACATCCACCTATATTCTCGGTGGTAACCCTATCGCTGCTAGAACCAGGTGTTCACATGTAACACCTCTAATCGACCTTTCTAAACGACATTTGCGGGTCTTTTGTAAACAGCTTAACAAAAATGCGCCGTTACGATAAAAAACATGATGTGCGTAATAAAATCACTAACACGTAAAGTGCTGCAATTACATAATATAAATAACCACTGCAATAAGATTTTAATGGATAGAATGCTTTTGATACAATGAAAGAATTACCAACTACAAAGTGAAGAAGTAAAAACTTTGTACCACTGATGACTATACTGTGTATTATTTGATATTTTGTTACTGGCCAAATGGGGCTTATCAGATCACAATTATTGAAAGTTTCTCCATTTCTACGACACTCCAAACCACACAGGCTTATATATAGGGATGCATTAAAGAAGACTCTTGGATGTTTACATTTAATAGCTAATATCTAGCATAACAATGATAACATCCGTACTCGTGTACTTAATAAGCCGCCTTTTTTCTCGTTTGACTTGTAATTTCTTCAGGCTCTACTTAAGCCCAGTTGTGAGTGGGTGTGTGCCGGTGGATCAGCATCCCTGTACAGCTGTTTATATTGAATTCCTCAACAGTTTTGCTCGGACGTTTTATCAATGCCCAGAAACAACGGGAGAGAAGCAACATTCGGTTAGTATGGCTAACAAAGCTGCCGGTGATGTCAGTACTGGTACTGGCGAGAGCCGATCCACAATTCGCATCCGCCTTCAGCAATGGCAATTATTGATGCTAACACTTGCTCTTACATCGATCAGTTCGCGCGTTTCTTAAAATGTATATACACCAATCACTTCTGTGTGCCTGTTTGTGTATGTGTCTGTGTTTGTTGTCATTCCGCATTCGGTTATCATTTGTTGAAAAGTGCATTAGATTACTCCCCTTTGTCCTAGACCAAAAAGCCTCTGTTAGGACCTTCCGTAACGGGAGGCCATACTGTCCCCGTGCAAGGGGGCACTTTTATTCCGGATCAAGATATTCCTGAAGAAGACATGGCCTACCTTATGGGGGAAGGGACAGTCAGTCGCTCAACAAGTTAGTCGACGATGTACATCGGTGTGCCCGCAAAGCACAGGAAATACTTAGATGCCCTTTTCTGCACTGTTATCTAACGATTAATATTTCACTGGCATGGGCATTAATTTGTAGAGTGTACAGTCTCTACACTCTTCTTATGGTACTTAATTTGCTACTGGTTTGTGATATTAGTTACGAGACTAAAAGAATGCTAACAGGTTTCTTTTTGCAGGTCTTTCGTCCGCGTATCATATTCTCATTATCGCGTCAGTGATTCAGATACTTTTCTTTCGGTTTAACTCCTTAGTTGATTGATGTGTACAATTTGTTTGTAAATTTTCTTGCCAAAGTACTAAAGGATTGACTGATGATCTCGGATTCGGACAATGAATGTCGACATAAACTATAGAAAGCAATAAAATTTGTCTAAATCAATCGAAGAGACCTGCCTGTACAGTTCACTTGTTTACAAAATATGTGATTCTAGTACAACATGTATAGAGTAGACAGTATAACTGAAACCTTCTAAAACAATTACTGATGTAAAGGCACACAATATTTAACTCATGAGCAAAATTGTAAGTATTTAAACTGCCTTCTAATAGTTACCTATGTATATTTTAGCGCAAACTGCCAGTTTTCGGTATTTTAATGCGATTTCTTCGCCTATACATAGACAACAAAAACGTTCAAGTACTTTTTCAGTGTTTTCAAAACGCATCTATACTGTATACAAGAGAAAAGCATGAAATACCGTTAAAAGAACAGCTACTAAAATTTTAAAATGATGTAAATCGTAAATTATATTTTACAAACTAGAAATACAGAAAAACATGATGACTGCATACCATGAATGGTCTCTTTGAACCAAATTCTATCGAGAACTGAAACTGCCTTATTCTTTGTACTTATTTACTCCTGAATCAAATTTCTGGCAAAGACCGCACCGCACCGATATAATATATAAAATTTATTATGTTACAATATGTTTTACAATAGGCAGCGCTAATCTGGTACAACATGCACAAAGTATATTAAATCAACAACTTTATCACAGCAATGCGGTCTGTAAACCGCTTACGCGAAAGCCACAACGAAAATAAGTAGTGCAAGCGATATGTGCAGGTAAATGCAGCACCACTTGAAGCCATTAAATTAGCCTTTTAATTTTATTCAACTGTGATCGCATAATTGGTATAGCTACCATTCATAGCGCTATCCTGGGCTGCATTTTCAGACAAATGGAAATTAACTCCATTGCGGTCAACCGGTGGAACAAGGTCTTCTGTCGGAGACTTTGATATTTTTGATCTGTTCCTGTGAATGTGCATATGGGGAACGTGGACATGAACCGATGACTGTACCCGGTGGACATTTAGTACATCTCCCAATAAATCTTCTATTTCTGGTCTTAGCTTTTCACCTATTAAAGATAAGAAACACTTTTTAAGCAAACACTTCTTCCATAGTCCGATTTTTTAACAGCAATATAAAAACCCATATATGCAGACATCTTTTTTTGCAAATGTTTAAATCAGATTCTCTAGTTTAAACATTTAGTTCTAATTTTAAAGCGCAGCAATGTTATCGTTGTGCCAGTATTTCGGGTGAGAGGGTGAATTTTTTGACGATATACATCCATAAAACTACCAGAGCCACGGTTGTACATAGTCGTAACTTTACAAAAATTAATAAGTTCCACCGATCACTGACCATTGGCCAGTTACCTAATGCCAGTGATATACTATCCTATAATAATATGAATGGTTTTGTGCAGAAGATGCTACTTACGAATGTAAATTGCATTAAAGTTAGCAACGATCACAGGGATAGGCAATGCTATGGCCATTAATCCAGATATTGCACAGCAAGCGCCGACGATTTTTCCAAATAGTCCTTTTGGTGTCACGTCTCCGTAGCCAACCGTAGTCACTGTTAACAGAAGTGTTTCGAACATTCAGAAAAGAACAAAACAAAAACGTGAGCGCACTAAAATAAAAGCGCGCTGCTAAAATAAAAGCGTAAAAGGTAAATTTCATATAAAAACGAGAGCGCTTTGTGAACAGGTAATAATTATTTATAACAGAGACACCCAGTTATGTCTTTTAATTAAACTAATATGACATACCTTTATGTACCTTTAAAAGCTATAACCCTGCTTGATAAACAGCTGAACAATTTACGACAGCTCTGCCTGGAAGAAAGCAGATTTCACAGACAGTTTGTATTTTTACGTGAAAATTAAAGATAACCCACGCAGATCGCTTTTAATTACTAGTAACCCTATGGTAAATAATCTGCTTAAAATGCGCGTTTAAGCGGCCAAACCCGCGGCTGTTTAGCTGTTTTCCTGTCTTCTACGATCCTATGCGTTAATAGGCGGTTATCCGTTTCTGACGCGCGTGAGAGGACAGAGGACAGGACGATCAGCTTCGTGGCTGAACTCCGATAACGAACGAATATTAAAAAATTTACACCGGTTGCTTTCTAAAAGGCGCAGAATTATTTAAGTTGACTCACTTGTTACAATGGCCCACCAGAACGATTCGGGTATACTGTTGAACTGCGTGTCTTTCATCCCGATTTCAGCATAAAACATGGAGCTACTGAACAAAACCACGCCAATACCCAAAAATAACATCAGAAGCCCAAGCTCCCGTAGCGAAACAATGAACGTCTCTCCCAGAATTCTCAGTCCGTTGGAGTATCTTGACAACCTGACAATGCGAAAAATCCTGATGACCCTCAGCACCCGGAGAATACCCATGATACTGGCTTTACTGTGGCTGGAGATGCCTCGCGATAAGCACACTACCGTGACCGTAATGTCGATGTAGTATGGCACAATGGCAATCAAATCGATGATGTTAATAGGAGATTTTAAAAAGTTTTTCTTAGACGGACACGATATAACACGTAATATGAATTCGATGGTGAACCAGGCAATACAGACAGTGGCAATAATGAAAAATGGATCGGAAAACTGGGCATAATCGTAGATGACCGCTAGCTCCGCCGCATCGTCAATTCCATCGCCATCTGTATCATTAAAGCTGCCGTTAACAATAACTTCCAGTTCTCTGGTCGCATTCGTAATACCCCGAAACTGCGGCATAGATTGTGTACACAAAACTACCACAGATAGAATAATCATCAACATGCTGAATAATGAAAAAACTTTCGCAGCCAGAGAACTGTGCGGATCATCCACGAACAGCCACAGTTCGCGTAAAAATCGGTTTTTCGGCAGTTTCAGTTTTTTATACGGTCTAAAACCTTCATGTTCACAAATCTGCAATAGTGCCGGTTCGTCCAACTCAAAAAACCGACATTCTGCCACGAAAACTCGCAAGGGAATTTGCAGCGGCCGGTACAGTGTACCGGTTTGATAATACTGGATGATGGATTCAAAAGAGCTCCGATCCCGATCAAAGTAGAATTCTTGTGTTGATAGATCGAAAAATTTGGAAAGTTTGACCGGATCGCCTAATAATGTGCTAGGATGCTTTTGGAAGATATCGTACGGAATGTCGTACTTCTTCCCGGCCACGTTGAGACGGATCCGTTCGGCTAGGCGGGCCGGAAACTGATCGGTCACATCCACATTTGGTTCGTGCTTGATGCGCAAAATATTCTGACGTACAATAAACGGCATATGGTGAAATATACCGTTGCCGCGCGCCCATAATTGTCGACCATGGGGATCAAAGATCTGCGCTGAACTGTCCGTCCGATCAAAACTGGACTGAACAATAGCATTCTCCATAACCCAAGAGTGACAAAGGCGATCAATAGGGAAAACGATGATATTATGAGGGACTTTATCCACAACAATGAGAAAGCAGTAGGTCCACTCGCTGCTTATTGTCAAATTTGCTTCTTTATGCAGCTATTGTATACAACAATTTATTACATTAGATAGTCTAATTACCTGCTTGCTGAAAGCAGGGTGCGCCATAAAACTTACACGTGGTAGATGTTTTCTGAAAAATTTCCTTGTCGCATTGGCCGTTCTCAGGTGTCTCGTGCACATCGACCACTCCACCATGGTGGGCGAAAGTTTTTTGCTGTAACTTTGCCGGCGGCACCATCGCTTTGAAAATCATTTTAACCCACTGCATGCATAATGTTTCTATTAAAACATGATCACGCACATTAACAAAGGGCAATTCCGGTTCTCAACGCACAAAAAGAACGGCGCTCTTACTTGTGACTTGATAATTATCGTCAGCGCATTTGTCATATATCATCGTCATTAGACAGTAATATAAGCGTATGAGTTCCAGGCAAGAACTTTTAAAACATATTGTCCCTGTGAACATTATATTGTAAACTATACGACATGTCGCCGTGAACTGTACTCCCACTGAAATTTTCTAGAAGCCTTCTCTTGAAACCTCAAATGGAACCGAGCGGCAACGCGCACGATCAATTACACGGCATATGCAGTTATATACAGTACGGCGCACCCGAAACTACAATATCTATATATCGCAATGCCTCACTTTTGCCGCCGGATAGCTTCTACCTTCATACTGCAGATGTAATAAAATGAAATTGCTACGTAATTGTATATGTAGGACTTGGATGCAGTTTTCCGAGCATAACACGGAAATTGAAGGGATCCTGTAATGCCTTAATGAAATGTCAAAGGTCAAAAAAGCCATTACTTATATTATTGCAGCTGATGTATTGTGCTTTTAGTATATACTTACCGTGCACCATGCAAAACATTCTATCAGCGCACATGAAATCTGTACCCGTATTGCAATTTATCAGTGATTATTCCGAAATCGTTTTTCTGATAGCCTTTTCCTAGTATCCCGAGATCCAGGAGGGAACTACATGTGTTTTGTCAACGGCAGACCCTTCGTCTTAGGGGCAGGGCACTCAGTTCGTGCAAGGAGAAACACTGCACCGATTGATTAAATACGATTTTATACGGTAACTACAGTAGTATATAATTACGATTAGATAGCACCTGATGTGCTGAGTTTTACGTTAATCTAACGCTGGTACCATATTATGTTCTGTGCGAGTAAATTTTTGAAACCATCAATAGGCTGTCCTAAACGACCTGCAGTGACTACATGCGCTCGAAAACTAACAACAACAAACTAACAACGTGCAGGACCTGCACGTTGCTAGTTTTCGAGTGCAGGTAGTCTCAATAAAAGATGAGTAGTTCGATGTATAATATTGTAACGTGCATCACACGTATAGTAGAGTGCAACTTGTGCAAGTTTCGCATTTATATCGCTGGTCCGTAGTTTTGAAGAACTTATGCTGTGGACCTGTTCTTACTGCATAATTATTATGTAATTCCTCTACAAATACGGTACATGCAAAGATGGACCGCTTATTGCACAAATACGTATAGTATTGTAGCCGCACAAATGAGATCTGTAGTGAAGATGTACATCTCATTGGTGCTAGTCAACCGGAAACATCTGAATGTGTACTTGTACGAGATGACCAGCTCTAACGTAGATTTTCTAGACTTCTGAGATTGTCTGAATGTTCTGAAATCATTCTTGCTCTTGCCCTTGCCCTTGCTTTTCCCCAATGACTTTTCAGCTGATTAAAAATGTTTGTGCACTTTGACAATCGCGCCGGTATCGGTTAACATATGTACGCAATTGCATAACTGACTTTTGGGTAATTCGCTAACTCGTAACATCGCCGACGGTCACCGACGAACCATCAAACCTCGTTTTATCGCGGTACGGGTGGATTAACCCACTCCACTAGTGGCAGCTTAGAAGTTGCCGTTGCAGTATGGAATTAATGGCGCTATAATATCGCTGTCAAAGCCATAATAATAAGGCGCCATTTAATGTATTACTAGAGTAGAAAAATTAAAATCTTCTTTAAAGTTTTGCTTAGTTTACAATGGCAAACAAATAAAACATGGCTAACAGCTTAAACCAAACTGTTACCAAAGGACTCTCTGTTTGGTATTTATTGCATTATTTAACATACACGACATACAAGCATCGTTTACCTTTACCGAAATCATGCCATGGAAAAATAGCATTTTTTTTTCACTTTGAAATATCCAATCATTTCTACTGATAATGAGGCCCCGGCAATGCTTGATCCCGCGGCCGTACGCAGTTCTCAGAAGCAGCTCAGGTGAGAAAAAATATGGAACCAGGCAAATATATACTGGTAGTTTGTCTAATCACAGACGAGAAGCCCAAACAAAATTTAAAAGTGATCGTATACGAGCTAGCGAAGTTAGGAATAAATTCTGTAATTACTAATTTTGTTCTGCGACATGCCTTCCTTGCATTCTGGAAAGAAAGTAACCCGGTTTTGTTTACCCAACCGCCCACTGGGCAAGGTGTTTCATGTCTTCATCATCATGATCTGCCTGTCGCCGTCTGGCAGGTCGACCTACAAAGGCAAAGGGCTAGTTTAAAATCTCCGCTTTTAAACGTTGCAAAAAAAACATTACCAATATTTATCTAAATAAAAATATCCAATGAAAGTTTAATACTAAAACATTAAAACATTTGTTGCCACTAAACTGCTTGTGTGTTTTCTGTTTTCACTTACTGACGGAAGCCGTAACCGGTTCTTCGGTAGGTATTGACGGTAAACGATCCCTGGCAGCCGGTGTCGCATTGATAAGTTTATTGGCTAACTCTTCCTGTTCTAGCTCTTCCAGTTCTCTTTCCAGTTCAGTCTGCAATGTAATTTTTAGGAAATTATTTTCCGTAGATGCAGCTCCTAACTGACCGTAATTCAACTGGGATTTACGACAGCATACCTCATCTACGTCGTTTCCGAATCCAATAGGATTAGAGATAGCAGTTGAAATTTCTTCAGAAATCTCTTGCTGTTCCGCTAGATCATCCATAATATTGTGCACTTCATCCACGTCACTACAAAAGATAAACTCGGCTTCCTGAATGTTAGGCCAGACGTTACTTTTATTATATAGTGCGTTGTGCAAAATTTACCACACCTATTTACCGCATATACAGTATATCAAAATAATAACATACGATCACATTTATTGTAAACTGGCCTAAGACTTTGCAAGTAGTTATCACGTACATATTTAGTCACATGTTTGCTGCAGACTACACAGCCATGTGGAACACTGACAAGCTCTTTTACATATAGAAATACTCGTAGATATGTTAATGATTATGCTTTTTTCCGCTTCACTTACCACCGACAGTGAAAATGGTGTAATCATCACCGCACCTATTTACAGTAAACTTACAGATTTTGATGGGCTGCTTTCAGTGATTTGGAAGCGACGCTCATAATTTTCAGAACCTCAGTATTCGTATTGGCATTTTCTAGTGCTTCCCGCTGGAATTCCAGAGTGGACAGGGTGCCGTCGATCTGTAGCAGTTGTTTTTCAAATCGCTTCTTCCGCTTCAAAGCGGCAATAGCCACTATAAATGCACGAACTAAACGTCAAGCAAAATAAACCGTGTTGGCAAAGTGACCAAACCAGGGTGAGATAATGTTACGACACGGGTTAGTGGATGCAGGTTGAATTTAACTAACGTCGTTTATTCTTGGTTCCGTGACGTTTAGCATTGGTCAGCTCCTGTTCGACTTTCTTTTCGAGAAAATCGGATTTCTTATTCAGCATCTCTTCTGTAGCGCGGAGTTGCTGAATTGCATCCTGAGGAGTCATTGGTTCATCCTTCTTCTTCCCACCGAATGCTTTGCTAATCCAGGACATGACTTACTACAAAGTACAAAAAATTAACATATTCCGTGCCAGCACCACACCGCTTAAATTTTTGTTGTAAGCAAAATGGCACGCGATATCTTCTATCAAGGCCATACCAACCTAATACTGGGTATAAAAGTCTGCTCTATCATCCTGGTATATCGTAGAAACTCCAGTAATTATATTTGGGTAGTATTGTACCTCCTTGGTGCTACATACTTGAATGGAAGTGTACACCGGTTGTTGTTGTAAAAATATTACAATAAAGCAAAATCTTTACTCGGGACTAAAGGTTCCAGCAGACCTGCGTGACCCGAACGGGAACACGGAACTCTAGTGCACAATAAGCTTGTCCTTCAAAAATAGTTACAAATATAAAATTAGCCTTCTACCAGTAAAAATAGCTACGGCGTAATTATGTACAGCTTAATATTATTTCAGTCGAATATACCTAACAGAATGGGTATTAGACTTTCTCAAACGCTTGAAAATTATGGCGATGAGTAAACAATATAACAAACCGTCGGATGCCGCAGTAGTACTCGTATAACTACTACTACTACTGTACAGATATATATTGCTTTACGTACAATATCTGATGTTAGCGCTCATTACAGTTTTACATGCTGCAGTGTGCAGACTGTATAGAGTACTGCATACGCTTGCTTGCGTATTTTTAATTACGCTAACATCAAATGGTATCTAATTTCTTTCTAACTAAATTATAAAACAACGGCTAACTGTGCAACCGGCGTACCTGTGTGATGATTTGACGAATCAGTTGTAATAAAGTAGCCGTATAATGCAGATCTTCGAGTTTGGATGCCGGTTGGTATATAATAAGTAATTACGTACGCTCGTATGCTAAAATAAAACAATATGGTGTCCTTTTTCCGTCAGTCTCTACAAATGATGGACAAAAATCACAAAATAAGCAGAAAATTTCTGTCACAATCAGATTAGCAATTATTTCCACACGATCGCCGTTCCTCACTGTATACAGTACGCGCTGTATAGGTTGATAACACAGGGCACTTTATTGGAGAAAAAGAAAACGAGACATGGTAGCCGAATGATAAGCAAAGAACGTTGCTTGGGTTGTAAGCGCACACTTCATCGATCGGTGTTTAACGATAACACGCGGTCCTTAATCCTTGGAGTAAAGAGATTTTTTGCCGACTTAGTGAACGACACTCAATTATTCGGCTTGCTTCAACAACATTTCTCAAAGAGAAAAGACAGTTCTGGTTTTTTCGGCATCAGACCTTGCGCATTTGTTAACAGTAGGCGTGCTTCATGGCGCGATGTATTAAGAGTCAAGACAAGCACGTACATACAAAGTATATATATCAGCACAAGCTTTTACTGGTTTAAGCGTTTTACATGGTTGTTGCTGTACGAAAGAAAACACCTAGTCGTATCGTGCCGTACATAAAAATTCACATTGAAGTGCGTATTTTATACTTCACCATCAGCTCGCTGGATTAACTTTTTAGGTACAGTATACATGACTCATGAAAAATAATCCCGTTTAATTGAAAAAATGAAATCATGTGCGCCAATAAGCAACATAGTAAATGGGCTGACTCACCGAAATGACTAACCTGTTCGCACCGGAAATGCGGTGTGTGCCGGACGGGTGAACCAACATCATCAGATTCTACTGCGTTGTTACCTGTGCCTTGTATTATTAGCATTAGGTAATATTGGGAGCGCTATTAGCTGAAATTTAATTTAAGTTTTTTTTCATTATTGGCCATTATAACTGCGGCTTAAACCTCGATTAAAACGATGTATGCACTAGTAACTAGCGTAATATACAGACTAGAATTGTATGTACTAGAACTGTAACTGCTTGAACTCACGATACAAAAATTAATGGTAACTATTGACTGGTGAAATGACTCATGACTGGCCTTGCCGCAGTAAAACGGCATGTAATTATATAACATACTAACCATAAGGACGCTGAACGCTACAAATAAGTTACGTTATATTATTTTTAATTCTTCGCCATAATATTAATTACGAATTTGCGGTGACCATAAAAACCGTCACGGCTCGTATTATCAAAGTCGAAAGTATCTATTCAAAATGTAAAGCTGCTAACGATAATGCAGTATCTGAAGATGAGGTCAATCTTAATTAAGCTTTTACTGCAGCACACAATCCAGATGATATTGTCGACCGCCTTATGCAGAACAATGGAAAACGACGTCCTTTAGTTCACATATTACAATATTTTCATGACCCTAATATTTACTTTCTGAAAATACGTTTGAATTGAGAAACCAGCGTAAGATTTTGTGTCACTGCAATTCTTCCGTGTTGGTTAAGATGTCTAATCCCGAAACGTGAGAGACTGCCCAACCCTTGCCTGTCCTCGATAAGTGCCGAAGATTGGTATCCTCATCAGATCAGTCATATATAAACGTTCATCCCCAGGTTTTCATAGTTCTTTTTCTTATTACTAAGCGCATTTGTGGCTGTGGTACACTTCACCTCTTAAATTATACAACATAAATTACCGAAGTTCGTATTATCGTTCATGATTATGTTGGCGCACTGTGAACATTTTGGAGATACAAAGTTTCTGGACAGGTGTCGATGTTACATAATGAATATTTCCCGTGTTTAATTTCTTAATATTGCATAAGCTCTAGATTGTGCAGCATTAGAAAAACGTAAACATATTAGTAACAATTAAGCTCCAGAACTCATAAACAGTCCTGTCTTTGAATCGTACTGGAAAACAGCCGATCGTGCACATGGTTGCTAATCAGGATATTAGGTGTTAAGTGACGTTTAAATGCTAGCAATTGTGCACAACCCCAATGCCAACGGAAATGTGAGATTGTTAATATTCGCATGATAAATTCCAGCCGGAAGTTGACCTCCTGCTTTGCACCTCTCTATTCCTGGCAAAATTTAATCGTCTATTTATAATACACACCACTATTCCCAATTCTGCTATTACACCAAATGGAGTATGATTTGTGCATATCAATGAATTAGGCAGCCGATTGCATATTAGAGGGTGGATCATGCCACTGAGACGGTTTTATAACCGGACGTACATTCCTTGGTGATTTTCCATTTTTCTTCCGTCGACAATGCTGCTTTGCACGCTCACTTTGACCTTTATAGCCATGTGTTATGCCGGTTTGTCGTCTGTGAATATTACACTGGTTACTTACGGATCACCAAGAACAACTTTCATATTTGGTCTTCCTTATACTGCACCGGCTTATAAATTAGCTGTGGCTGAAATTCGAAAAGATTTTGGATTAAATATTAAACATTCCTTTATTGAACAGGACGCTATTCAGAGCTGCGAAGATCTTGCGGATTATTCGTATCTTGTTGCACAATATTACTTTCACAGACGTGATCCTAATAACCTTTTTGTCCTTACCACTCCAGGTGAGCCCACCAGTTTTCAAATATTGTATCACTGTTCTTTATGCTTTCGTGGCAGTTAGATTTTTACTCAGCTTCCTCAAAATAACTTGCCACTAAAAAATATTGCTGTGCAATATTATGGTGTCCTGTGTTTTTGATTACATATATTTAACCGCTGACCGTGACGCTTGTCAAGAAATAAAATGTTATTTTTGTACAAACAGAAAGCCTTTTTACAAGCGCGCAGGGTAAGATATGTTCAATCTTTGTTATTTTTTTCTTTAATCGGTAGTATTCTAGGCTCCGGACAAGCGCTGTGTGTGCATAAACCACTAAAAATGCACGCACTAAATATGCTCATTTTTGTTCCTATGAATTTGTGCGAGGTCATCGGGAAATAGGCTAAAATCCACCTATAGCACCATAGGATCACAACAATAAATGCAAACAGCGCATCTTACTTAAAACCGTTTGGATTGTACATAATCTTTTTAATTACGCACGGCCTCTTTCCTTATTGCGTCTCCTGTTTCGTGCATGAAAGGAAGGCTTAAAACCCTCCCTCCCCCGCACAAGCCCTTCAAACTTGAATTCTGTATTAATTTTTCCCTAGAAACATGTGGATGGGACAAATATATACAATGCCCCTTTACTGCGTCGTTTCCTTGAAGGGCCTCCTACAGCTGGCATTTGCTTAATAACATATATTATATAAGTTAGTGATGTACAATGACTTGTGAAATATAATGTACAACAATACGTACCAGTAGTTTAATAAGATTTACCATTACTTGTATAGCCTGAGCTGATTCGAAACGCATAAGAGCGTTGCATTTCCAGGTATGCTTTTAAAGAAAAAAATGCAGCGTAGCAAGCGACATTTCTTATTATTTGATTAGTTGTTTCATAAAATTAACTTCCATTAATGGTAAGTTCAAACGCAAAATTTGAGCAAAGCCCATGCGCACACACATTTGTAACATACGTGTATCGGCACACGAGATCATCACGTTTGGGTGGCAGTGCACATGATCTTGATCATGACCATCCATATTTGGTCATATGTAACCATACCGTTGCTCATAATCCTCCGGTTTCTGTTGGCATCGTTTTTAATTATTCGATTTTCACAGAATCTTTCATACGAACTGCTCGCGAAACCATTGAAATTATGGCAAGAATGCACGCAACTTTGATAATGGAAGGTGTGATTATAAGCCGCACAGGGAGCAGACGGCTAGACCATTCAAGCATGAAAAGTACAGACCAATAGTTGGAATTTGAAAATACCTTCTGCACACAATCTTACGCGATGAATATTTAACAAAAAATCTATTTTTTCACGAAAAATTATTACCGATCGGATAAAAATTTTGAAATCCCAGTGCGACATCTATGTATGCACGAATGCCCCTGCTGGTGAATGTTGAACACTACCCCGAGTAAAACAGTTTGTAAAATACGTTAGCTAAACGTTAGTTAAAGGCCAAAATTCGAACACTGTTCGAATTTTGGCCTTTAACTAACGTTTAACTAACGTATTTTTTACAAACTGTTTTACTCGGGTACGCTACGCTACACTGCTGTATTTGATACCACCACTGCGTCATTGTCCTATGATGCAGACTGAGGAGGAGGTTTAATGCTATGACTTTAAACTATTCTGCATTAACACCTCTTCATTAAAGATTAATATTGTTTAACTTTCTGAATAGCATACTGTAAAATACGGCGCTTATTTTTGAAGGTTGTGATGATCTGGTTCCACTTGCCCAATTAAGCAGAGGTGAGTGGATTATTGTTGTAATAATACGAGTTATCATATCAATATTTCGTACATGTACAGTAATATGGGGTATCAAGCTATAAGATCGTTTCTAGTTTCGGGAGTCTTCTTAATGGAAAAATTACTATTTAAAATTTCTTTTATTTAAAAGACCTAACCGCCAAAAGTTCCAAACCTATTAGCTCGCGGACAATATCGGCATTGTAACCAGGATAAGTTTGCCGCATAAGTTAACATTATAGAACAGAACAACAGTCACTACAGTGTTCTCTAGTACAGTACACCCATAAAAGTTGCAAAGTTTGTTACAACAGTGAAATTTTGTTGAATATTTCAGAGTGGAACACTCTTATTCTTTCCAGGTAAGACAGGAAAGATGCTCTATGTACAAGACTGTTAACAAAAATAATCGTATTTCGTCGTCATGCACTGTGCACGTTGATAAAATATATTACTGTGAATTTTTAAGTGTTACAAAATAGTGATGCTTTTACATCTTAACATCTTTGTAGTGGTGTTGCCTTCCCAACCACGTTGCACCAAGCGTTCTATCCAACAGCCGTATCTTTTAGTGCTGTCAATTTTGCGGCGTGGGCTCAAACATTTGCCGAAATTTTTAAAAAGTTTTCATGGACATCCATATCTTTCATATATGACCGCTGGGGTCACAATTCTGTTTATCACCTTTTAATAGACAGTCTCAAAAGGAATCTGGATGGCCAGAGAAATTTATCTGTTCCTATTGTTTATAAAAATCTCTTCTATCCAGTTGATACCCGTGCCGCGGTATCGGAAGCGGAAATGTCAGAAGCCCTGAAAAGGGCGCGTAATGTTAGCCGAGGTACCTTCAATGGAATTGAGAATTACCGGTCCCATTTGACGGGTTTGGTTTTGTTTGCAGTAATACTACTCGCTTTTCAAGCCAGTGAAACCAGACGGTTTATGGTACGGTAAAACAGCGCACTCTTGTGATGTTACAGTTGTGGTAAAACGCTTTTTTATATAGATAATGGCCTCAAAACTCAATATGACAAATTCGGACTACGTAAGTTTTTGAGCGGATTGAAACTGTGTGTAAAGTGTGCGGTCAAAACATCAAAACTTCAGTTACTTTTAGGTTTACTTTGCCATTGAGCCTTTCCGCAATGCCGAATTTTTTGGCACCCTCAAAGCGTCATATGATGACGGAAACTATGAGGTTAGAAAAATAAAGAACCCAAACTTACGAATTGAATGCGCGATAAGGGAACTGAACATTCAGAGTGCTATGATCGTTACTTTGCAGACCGCCAAAGATGCCTTTAAAGTATTATTTCAAGTGACTGGATCTTGCTCAAAATATGTCAACGCCAGCGGCCTTAGAAGAGTGGTGGATGACATTAAACACCGAAGCGCGATTGGCTACGGTGTACGATACAGCGCGGATGAAGAGGCATGACTAGATTCAAAAGACCACAATCTAGATTTAAAAAATTCAGAGTTAATAATAGACAAAATATTTTGCAGCCAAGCGAGATAGTGCTGTCATCTTACTTTGCCATCAAGTTTTTTGGAGTGGTAAGTTTATAAAAAGAATTCATGTGCAAAGGAGAGGAGAGCAAGTGGTCTTTTACCTTACTGTGGCTTCCGTTGCACGAGTTTTATTTACAAAACTTTGAAAAAAGAATAGATAATGCATGCCTTTTCCCCTAATTTGTAAAAGGGGTTTTTGTCGCATAACAGCAAACCGAACTCAAAAAAGGTTGAGAAATATATTTATTATCCACTGGACAACCGGTATATTACATAATTAGGCAGGTCTGGAATCCATAATTGCCTTACATTATTTTACCGTTCTGATCTGTTAAACTGCGCATCTGTAATATGTTTTGGATTTGGTGTTGTCGGCAGATGTTGTCGAAGGCTTTCGCCGATTCTGTTGATATTTACAATGGGACCCTACTAGCCAAAACATTCCTAAACAAAACCGAATACATCACAAATCAGTCGATTACGATCGATTATTCTGGAGACCGGGTCAAGGATATTTGCATACAAAGTTATAACGCAACTACAGACAAATTCGAAGTAACTTACTCTACTTCTGTAGCTAGCCGCTAGATGCACGCCTAATAATTATAAACAGTTACAATGTTTCATGTAGAAAGTAATGTATTACGACCCCTCGCTGACTACGCTGGCTGAACAAAACGGCGGCATAGTATGGAAAAATGGGAAACCGCCACCGAACGAACCTTCGTGCGGTTACAAAGGGGAAGGATGTCCAGGTAAGCAAATTTGCAAACTAATATCACCGCTAAATTTAGAGTGAATCAGCAGACATTTTAGTAGCTCAGTATTATTCTTAAAACGTATATTTACACTAATTTTTCCAGAACAACAATCCAATATTGCGACAACTCTCGGCATAGCTGTGCCTATAATAATCTTCATGATAGCCATTGCCATGCTCATAGCTTGGTGAGTCCATTTTGTTCGAGCTTGAACATAGCCTTTGCGATGTTATTATTAGGTTTTATTAATTTGTGTATATTGCTTCACGTAAATGAGAAATTTGATAAAAGTGCAATGCTAAAAAATGGGTAAACGTGGTTCCGACGTCATTTGTTCCACCCAGGAGATCCGGGTGCGTGCTAATCCAAATCCAGACTACATCGACGCATCAACATTCGCATTGCATTAGCATTTTGTTTGTTTTATTGATATTTTTATGGTGTACCAGCTAACAGAGTTGATTAATCTTATTTTTTTATACTGTGATTTTTGCTTTTGGTTGTCTTTTGCAGGAAAGTGCGGAAAGAATATAATTTGAAAGACGATTGGTGGAAGGTCGACAAAGGTGACCTTATCGTTCCAGAAGTATTGGTAAGAAAGATATTTCCCTCTGTGGCGCATTGAAAGGGGCGATTATGCCCCACCACTATTTAGTGCTTCGTTTTCTGTAGAAAGGTGGCATGTCCAAGCAGTCAGCATTCTCGCTATCTACAATGGGAAACGATCCCAAGCACATCAGACGTATTAGAGGAAACGTTGTATGGGTGAAAAAAATTGCTGTTACAAGGAACTTAATTTTGGATCGTCCCACTCGCTTGCTGTTACGAGAGGCATGTATTTTCATGGTCTTTATGGTTTTGCTCCAGTGCCTAAGTCCGGTACCCAGTTTTCCAATACCTTTCAAAATCAATCAAATGCCAATAACATTCCCACAACATATCTGTCAAGGTTTAAGGTACTTCAAACGGAAAACTGACTTTTACCATTGAAGAACAGAATTCAGATACCTGTTTTTTTTTGAACCGATTATTGCTAAGCTGGAAAGTATAAACCTTATGGACAATTTACATTCAGCGTGATGTTTTTGATCTAATACCAAACACCTTGCTTAACTCATTACTGGTACATTCATATAAGTACAGTTATGACTATTTTTGCAATTGCATAATTTCTGTTTAGATAAAATTAATTGCTCACGGCAATATTGCCGAACTGATCGGAATCTGCATGGAAGCAAATTTCCTGCACTTTGTCTATGAATTTTGTGGGAAAGGAAGTTTATATCACCTGCTAGAAAAAATCAACTTGGACTGGGAGTTTCGTGCAGCATTAATAAATGATCTGATTGAAGTAAGGCCAAATGAACTACCTATTGCGACCCCAAAAAAAAGGTGATACCTTCAAGACAGTGACGCGTAAATTTTTAGGGTATAATTGTTATCCATGGTTCCGTCTTCAAACGGCACGGATATCTTAATCCCCACACTTGCCTTATTGATAAGCACTTCACTCTCAAGCTGTCCGAATTCGGTCTGTATGACTTAACTAAAAATATCGCCGCACCCAAACAAGAGGCCTCACGTCACGGTACACTCAGCTTCACCAACGTCGAACGGTGGATTCCTCCGGAGCTGATGTACTTACAGTCGGAGTACTTCGACATTCGCATGCTGGCGTCCGTTGCTGGACCGGATGCGGATATTTATGCACTAGGCGGCATAATGGACGCAGTTCTGGAAGAGAGCATTAGTAGTAGTTTAAACGAAAATGGCCAGGTGCGGACGATGGGACCGGAAACGCAGCGGTTGATTGCCGCGTGTCAAAGGTCAAACGCCGCAACAAGACCGACCATTGAAGAGGTCAAGCGACGGTTTCACGAAAGAGCCGGCACGAAAACCGGTGGATTTGTGGATAGTTTAATCAGGCGAATGCAGAAGTATGCCCGAAAACTGGAATTTGCAGTGAGGGACCGAACCGACGCATTAAATGCTGAAAGAAAGTTGTGCGAGAAGCTACTCGTGGAAATGCTTCCGAAGTGGGTGGAACAGTGAATGCCGGGATTTTTTGCTAATTATGACGATAAAATAATCTTTGTTAATCGTAATTGTACAAATAAATTAAAACTCAGTATTGCACCGTAACCAATCCATTAACCTAATTATATTCACGATGCAGGGTGATAGTGGAGAAATTGCTTGCCGGATGTGCCATAGAACCTGAACATTTTTATGGCGTGACGATATTCTTCAGTCTCATCGTAAAGTTTGTGGAGTTTGTTGCCACACATTCCCCGCTACAAGTGGTGGCATTTTTGAATAATCTTTTTACAACATTCGATGATGCTTTGAGCATGTACAACGTATACAAAGTTGAGGTAAATATTTCTCAACTGTAACATAAATGCAATTATGAAAGAGTAACGTCTCAACTGTAGCACACTTTTCTGCAGTGCTATTTTGCAAATTAAAACTGTTCTTGTTTTTTTTCGGACGCAGACCATCTCAGATTGTTACATGGTACGTATAACTTATCCGTTACTGATGTTGCTACGCCGATGCTAACTTAATAATATAATTTTTGCTTCTTTGCACAGGTGGTCAGTGGAATGCCCATACCGAACGGCAACCAGCACGCTGGCGAAATTTGCAGGATGTCTTTGCAATTGTTAGCCCTATTCAAGCATTCCGCCGATCAATACAATATGCAGTTAAAAATTGGGATAAATTCAGGTATGCTATATATAAGACCCACGTAGTGAGTGGTCAAAGCGTGGGAGTGGTTCGGGTCGACGCGCACATCCAAGATGCACAAATATCCTTGTTTACGCGTAGTTGCGGTGCTTCTGTTGACTCTGATTTGCCCGTATTCGAGTGCACGTACGACGACTGCATCATGGATCTAAATTTATTCTTCACGAACAGGGTCGTGCGCGGCGGGTGTGATTGGCTCTAAGCGACCGCGCTACTGCTTGTAAGTAACCCAGATCATTACGCCACAAATAAGCAGTGAACTTTCCAAAGGTCACTGACTGATTGGCACAGTGCTCGTGTGAACTGTCAAATCACGTCCGATTATTCCAGATTTGGTGATACAGTTAACACAGCATCGCGATTAGCATCCCATGGAGAACCATCAAAAATCCACATCAGTACAGCAACTTCCGCCCTCATCATGTACTGTCCTGAATTCAAAGTGGTGGAGAGAGGAGTAGTAGAGCTCAAGGTGCGCACGCTGTTGCAGTGAAGTTGGCTGTGAACATATTTACGGCTATAGAAAGTTTAAAGTCATTTTCCACAAATCTACAAATATTTGTCGATTATGATCACCGCAAATGTACCCTTTTTAATTTAATTATTTTCTTTAGGGTAAAGGAAAGGAACGCACATTTTGGCTGGAGGCAGCGAACTGATGAAACCTGGGAATTTCTTTGGAGCGAGACATTTCTGTTGACTGTTATTTACTTGTACTTATCTTTCTGGAGAAACATTTTAGATACTTACTGAAATTAAATTTATGATAAGAGAGACAGTACGGCATCGGATTCAGTAAAGATATCGGATACTTTTAGCTATTTAGTGCATATCAGGCTAACATTTGGAACTTTTCTACTCAGCAGAGTTTGTTTCCTCAGTAAAGTTTGAATTCTCAAATTTTGTTCGTTAGTTTGTTATTTTTTATTTTTAAAAAATAATTTTAGACAGAAAACAACTTAATTTCATATTTATAAACCGTAAGGAGAAATCTCTGCATGAAGTTTCCACTAGGTTATTTCAGAAGTGAAGCATTTTGTATAAAAATGCTGACAAGGACACACATTACAATTCAAAACACAGCCTGCGTCATATTCATACTGTAATTTTGCAAGCCTCCAGATACCGAAATTTGACAAAACTTTCTCCGTTAGGTTTAACTGGATAGCGCCCTTGCAATAAAAAAACATGACATTCCACTTGCAAAGCTGAGCTGGGGCAGTACCGTACTCAAAAGGCGTTATTGCATTACATAATATACAAGTACAATTGAAGATATTACGAATGTTATCAGATACTTACATATGAGCATATAATATAACTTTAATTGCACGTGAATGATGTGATACAATAAAGCCCCTTGAGTACGGTAATGGCAGAAAAACACCTTTTTGCTCACTTTTATCACATTATTACAATTAACATTTTTACCTCTGTTACTCAATTTCGCTACCCTTGCGAATCCAGAAATTCAATCACTATTAACAAATAAATTAAGTGATCAGCAATCAGTGATACAAATTTTTTTTGCCAATGTGAGTCGCTTGATTATACTGTAATAAACACAGATTGGACAATACGTGGGTGTTACCATATATTGTATATTACGAGTACAATTTAATTATGTACTGTAAGTATGCGTTGGTGTGTAGTGTCTACAATCAATCCTTGGATTAACCTTCACGGTAGTTAACAGTTTTTTAAAACAGTTTTTGCTGTTTTTTAAACAGTTTTCAAAAAAGTTTGTATATGCTAATGCAACAACAACAAGAGGGTCGAAACCGGAAACGTGTTAAGTGCTTACCGTTTTCCTGACAGGCGAATTCTTGCCATTTAAGCCGTTTTTTCCAAAATTTATTGTCTTAATTCTGTTAGTTAAGCATGTTATGAAGTGGTAGCGCCCAGGAAATATCCGTAGAACCGAAGTGATTCAGACGTTTTCACCATCCTGTTCCGAGTGTAACCCATCATATTGAAGTATTTGGTACGTATCGGAATTATATTGTTCTCGAGTTAGTATTTAAACCAGCACAACCAAAAATGCCGAAGTCATTTCTTTGATGTTTGGGTTTCCAGAAAATTGCCGTAAATCGTTAACGCAGTATCAAAATTCTTGTGACGGATAGCTCTAAGTACATATAGGAAGTTCCTGCATATAAATTTTCGCATTCACTTGGAAAAATGTCATCGTCAACCTTATTAATATTGATTACTTTTACAGGTGCAGTATGAATTGATAACCCTGGTTTTTGATATAATTATGTGACATTTCTTTAATTCTTAAAACGGTTTACTGATTTGCCCTTAAATTTTTCAGCTGTTTCCGATGCCCAGTTTCCATCGTATTTCTATTCTTCACAAAACAACCTTTCGCCGCCAAACTGTGTCTGTGCGTCTCAGCAGCAAGGACTGTACAACACATATCCATCTCAAATCCCGAACAACAATTATGTTTATCCAGGAGGACAGCTTCCGGTTAACCAGTATCCGAATCAGCCGTCCATAAACCCTTATCCGAACAATCCAAACTATCCGGCAAATCCATTCCCATCCAACAACGTTCCTGGGAATCTGATCCCGCCTTTGTCATCGAATAACCCCAATGTTGATCGTGGACAAGGAAATAATTTTGGCCAGAGACACTTTGGTGGTCCTTTTGGCTATAATGGCGCATCGACCACAATGACAAACTATCGCATTTGTGGAACAGACAACAATATGTATACGGATGTCTGTCAATTTGTCAATGCGCAAGCCGCGAATTCGGGTAAGCACCCAGTTGGAATTGGTCTCGATCGTGCAGCCACGAACTACCTTAATCCCGGAAATAACCAGGGACACTAATGCTGCAGTTTTCTTGTATAAGTAACAAACCTACGAAAAAATCGCGGAAGTATTTGATTACGGTTCTCGATCCTCAAATAGCACAAACAGCTTTTTTTACACTTTACAATTTTATCAATAGAATTCGAAGGTAGATTTAAGCAGTTGAACGGCAACCATGCAATATACGATAGGTCGATAGTTACGTGTACATAATCCTTTTCGTCTTAAATTTTGTGTGCCTTAACACTTCTGCAAAGCAACATTACACTTCTACGTACGTATGGGAAAAAACTTAGCGTACGGACTTCTATAGTCAGCCAAATAAGTCACATAGGAGGTCTAAAATTAACTGGAAATTTTGATCCGTTTTAATTAAGTAATGCTCATCGGAACAATTTTGTTGTGTGAACTGGCTGTTACTGCAAAACGATACGAAGTATTAAAACAATAACGAGCAACCCACCTGCTGTACTAGATCTGCAGTAGAGTATCTGCGAACAATGCATTGCGTACGCTATTACGTTATTAAATTTTACCGTACAAGTATAGCATAAGAACTGCCTTTTTGCTCAGAGCTAGGTGGACGCCCATGTGACTTGGCGGCTGCCATTCAAGAAGTCAATAGCGGAAGTGCTTTATCTAGACAGGATAACACAGGACCCGTGTGTCTGAACACCCGAGTGTCATCTTCCTCAGCAAATTTTGCCTTGGGAGTGATGTCAACATCACCAAGTAAGAAAACATAACAGCTTTTCTATGATATTCAGTCTCTACCTTTCTAGTGCCGGTCACTGTTTTCGTAATTTTACTGAATGAATAAACGAGAAGGAACTTTCTGATAAGAAGCAAAACGTCATATAAACACCCCTTCAATTTTCTGGAAATAGTACTGGATGCAAATAAGTTTGAACATAAAGACTTACATCGTAGTTAATTTATTTTGTACTCTAGTATCTACAATTTATACCGAGAAGTGATGTAAATAAACGCTTGGTGACTGGCAGGTATCGGAATACGTTGTCAGGGCTCATGCCCTTGTCAGCTGAGGTGTCCTTCTACACAGGCTGGGAGTATGCAGAGCCCTTCTACTTTCCATCACTGGAGCTTCCAGCATGGTCATCACGGGCATGGTAGACCGTTTGGAAGATAGCCAAATACTGACAAATTCTTTCACAAAATAAGTATTTTTAAGCATCTCTGAATGTACAGATATATTGGCTTAGCGCTGCACAATGTCAATATACAGGATCATACCCTGTCGAAAGATTGTTATGAGGCGCATCTAAATATGACAATCCGTTTGCTGTTATCATTGCTTTTAGTGGATATAAATTAATACGACTCCGATATTTATGTTGCACAACTGCTTTTAGAAAGCCTAATTTTAAAACCAATATTTATTCAAGTGAGTGGTACGAAAAACTGTGGGATGTGGGATAAATCGGGAGCAGTCTTTTCCGCTTCCAATCGTCATGTTATCGGTTGTATTGGTCATAATAGTTTTGTAATATATCGCTACTCGCATAGAAAAGATGCGTTAAGCGTCATGTAATGTTGAAGAATCTTCTACACACAGAGTTGTAACTACTAACATGAACCATGTATACGTAGGCCCACTCATGATCATCGACAGTACATGTACAGGTGATCGCCCTGACTTACGATTAATATAATATAAACACTTGTTCCTCTACATCATCTATTCTTGCTTACATGTTTCCGTGTCGGACAATCATTCATCCCTTTAAGTTTAAGATTACTCCTCCTTGTGTAATAAAAGTTAGAATCTTGCGAAACTGGATATGCTATCATGTGCAGGTAGCCCTTTGCAGGCTGTTGTGCATTTAATTCTGCCCTCACCAATCACCATCCTGACCGGGTTTGCTAGTGAGGCCAGGCGACGGTAGTGGTAAACTGGTAATTACCATAATTACAATTATTTTGCATTGCGAGACGATCCCATACTGCAGTAAGATGGGGCACTCAGCCATTCACGAACATGCAATTACGACTAAACCACATCCAGCTAAATTACCATAACAATTTCCGTCATCTCCGGAAACGTTTGCTGGCAGCTTTGGACTACTACGATCGGCATCCAGTGTTGATATCCGGGACTTGGCTTTATCATTCCATAACATGATCAATGATACCGTCGGCTAAAGACCATCTCGGATTCTTTAAACTGTATCGTGCAGATAACACTGTATCCTTTTTGTTTAATTAATGAGTTATCTGCATCGGTGATTCGTAAATTTCATTTCGTGTATCTTAAAGGCTTAGTGCCGTGCTTCTATGATACAAGTATTAATAATTAATTCCATTATTGATGTTGCCGGAAAAAGTGATGCTGCAGGCTACATGAGGCTGGATGTGATTACAACACTGATACGATTAAACAGAGCCAATAAGCTGACATCAGTCTGGATATTGGATGTTAAAAGCATATACACTTACGGAAGGAATATCCTTCTGGAAAATCCTTAACTTGTTGTTCTAAACCTGCATATCTGCATTTTGAGTAATGCATGATCAGCGCGCTAGGATCCGTACCTATGAAGTTTATTTTATTCATAATTTAAGACAAACTTATAAAATTTTTTGCCGCAGAATTTTACGCTCTCGCAAAAACTGTGCCCTCAAAGTACTTAGAGACGTATAGGTGCAGCGCAATTTCGACTGGATTGCTTTGTCTTCTACTTGCTCAACAATAATTACAATTTTTGGCAAAATATTGACCTTCTGTGTTATACTTACGCTTTTAATTTGTGCATAGATGACGTGGAGAGCGCAATCTTCTCCGCAGAAAGGTTCTGTTTGTTGTAGTACATGGCTCCTGTTGTATATCTGGCATGACAATAATTATCAATGTAATTAATTAAATTAATTACATGAGTACTGCAAGACGGATTGCTACTCTACTTAGTACCCAAAACTGGAACCCCGCTATGGACGCCTGGATTATCTCTGCAAACGAGACCCCCGTCACTGACCATATTCACAACATTTCAGTTCGTACCGAACATGTGCATCCCTTGGATGAGCGACCAGCATTGCAGTACTTTTTCGTAATCTGTTTGGGAATGCAAAGTGTTTTCGGAACCTTTGGAAATATTCTGGTAAAGTAATTAATTTGCACAATAATGAATTACTGCATTGTATATAGCGAAGATAAAAGGTGCCTTTTGTTTACTTGTGAGTTTCTATAGAGGTATTTATTTCGGGTTGGCGTATTAATATTGTTGTGTGGTGCTATATTAATTTAACATTCTCGACCATGTCTTGCTTTTGAGTGGAATTAAACTGTAAAACCTACATGCGGTTGCATCACATGGACAAAACAGATGCTGTGTAGCTGTACTCGTATTAAACTATAACATTTTGTTTCTCTATACCAAATCCGCGTCAGTTTGTCTAAGTTGTAATTTTTAACATAATGGTATAAGTGTCTGCATTAATTTTATATAGTATGTATTTATAATGCGCACAACAATATGTGACTGTGATTTTCACTATAAATGAATAATTTGTCAGTTTGGGTGTTTTTGCAAATCGCTATTCTGTCTTGCTTATGCAAATGTCTATCTCTTTCTCAGAAAGCCGCCTTTGCGGTTGCACATTTGTAAATTTTATATCACATATCGAGCTTCAAATCTGTAATTCTGATTTTTTAATAAAGGTTATGGGAGCCGTATGTGTTGTTCCGGAGCTACGAATTACCTCCAATGCGTTGTAAGAAACAGTGGTAATGAATTTTGCAACACGATCCCAACAAATTAAGTGATTCATACGGAATTACAAGTGCCGGTAACATTATCACCATTATCTTGTTTTTTGCAGTATTGTAAACCTCTCGTTGGCGGACCTATTTGTTACTGCAGTCACGCAACCTTCTAATATAATTGGTAAATCAACTGAATACAAGCCTGTAGACAGGGTTCTTTTTTCTTAAAATTGTATCAAGCTGTACCTTATCTACTAATCTGGGGACCCTAAATCTTTATAATTGTTCTTGCACCGATAATACATGCCCCTTTTTCATAAAAGACGTGATTGCTCGGACGTTTTTATGCACCAGTAAAAGCCTATTTGTTTTCAGGTGCTTTGTGGGGAGAGCAGTGGTTTGAAAATCATCCAGTTCTCTGTTCGGGTGAGAGCGACATCCTTATGTTATTCTGATAGACACAGAATTCTTGTATAACTGTTTTTTGTTTTACCAGTAAACTATTTTGATAATAATTAATCAGTACTTTACCACCAAGCTATACCTACGTAGTACGTATACAAAATATGAATGTACACACAGTATTTTAAGGTACGTACGGTTAGTACTGCACATTTTTGGAAAGGCCCTTAAAAACGTAATAAGCAGCTTGGTAATCAAAAGCTCTTTAATTTGCAGTTATTTCTACTCTTTGTGCGACCGGCTGTTTATCTTCGACTTGGAATATTTTTATGATCTCGGTTAATCGGTACGTCACTAATAAATACGTGGACCACTCTACTAATTCCCAAGCCTAGCTTACACGATGGGAAAGCTGGCTGGGTACTAGTTACTGCACTACTGTGCAGTCAGTTTGCATATGTTTCACGCCAATTAACTTTTCATAGCAGCTTTATTAGGTTATTTTTTAGCTGCACCATAATAACATTTTCTTTATGCACAACCTGAATGCAAACATTCACCTACGAAAACGTTGGTAGCGATGAATTACTTGGAAGTTGCAGATACGTCCTCATATGTCATCATGATTCCTACAACAAAATCTACACAGGTGGACGCACGATTGTGTTGTGTGTGGCTGTATGGACCCTGATTTACATGATCGAATTGCCCAACCACGTCGGCTGGGGCGATAATCGGTTTAGCGAAGTGTTCTATGTGTGCACATTCGCCAATCATGTACATTCCTATGCATTGTTCTACATTGGTGTGGGTGTTTGCATTCCCATTACCCTCAGCTTCCTGGCCTATCTGGGCATCTATCGTAAAGTTAAGGATTCCAATCTCGTCCGGCATCGTCTGCTGAGCGGCGCCGTGAAGCGCACCCGCGCCGAACGTGTACACCGCAAACAGCGCCAACGACTCTTCCGGCAGAATGTCAAGATGGCCCAGGCCCTATTCCGAGTGTACATCATTTTCGTTGTGATGTGGCTCCCTGTGGCCGTGGTAATCTTACTGGGTCGCGGGAAAGATGTTGATCCGGTGTGGTATATTCTGACCATTCTCCTGGCGCACGGGAACAGTTCAATTAATTGTATTGTGTACGGGGCATCGATCGATCACTTCCGTCGCGGTTACCTGATCATTCTGGGTGTGCCGCGGTCGCAGTTGTTGCGCTGTCACTCGCATTCCTGGAGACATCGACAGGGCTATCGTAAACAACTGCCTGAAACGGGCAGCCTCCAGTCGGCAGATCTAGAGAGTTCGACGAAGAAGAGCATGCCGGAACTGGATGAATTACAAATGACTGATCTGTCCACTAGTGTTTATGGTGCCCGATTAAGCTGTTCGGTGGATACCTAATTTAAGGCACGCGGTTGTAGTTCGCTTTGATATGATCCCGCGTAAATCAGCCGAGCTGATCCGAGACACGTTGCAGATCAACACGTTACACAACCATAACAAGTACAATAATAGTTATTTATTATGTTGGCACACCGGTGCTATATAAAAAAATCAAAGTAAAGTTTTTAACTGAAACGCAGCTCGTCCTTTTTATACGCAAGCTGTTTTTGCATCTCACGACTTTCTATTTTATATCTACAGATATATTTTTATATGCAACAGTCAAATTGGCGCTTTTGTGCTGTTTTGTTTACCTCGGACAGTTATTAGTAGTTACTACTTTGTAATATGCGTACACCGCAGCCGATGATGTCACAGTAAAATGTTGTCACAGCTAATGCACTTCCGATAGTACATTTTTCAACGAATGAAGAAAGTTTCGGACAACACGCTGCAGACAAGAACAACCAATTACGATAAGACTTATAAGCGATGGAATTGTACTGACACAAAATATAGAATACTGCAGTTTCATTAACTTTCCATGTGAATGGTATACGCTTCTACAGTGCAAAACCGCAAGGCGCCGAAACCCCGGCCAGATGCAATATAATGGTAATTGTTGTTATGCAATAATTAGCTTCCGGCGCCGCCAAAGCGCTGTCCAGATAACTTACATTTTTTGAATTATTATTTTGTTATACTCGCACATATTTTTTCCTGCATCGGAAAAGGAGCGTTAATTACCAACCGATTGTCACATATGAGTCACCGCCTCCGAAGCTATTGAAGCTGATGCAACTTCATGGAAGATATGCACAAGACAAGACTGCCATAGATATTAAAGTGAGTGGGATACCGCGCACAATCAACTCACAATCAGTTCTAACGCGTGCAGTGTGCTTTTTGTTTGCCTTATATAACTGAAAATTTGTTAGCGTTTTGTTACAACATAAAAATTCTAAAGTAAATCAATTCGAAATTCAGTATCTGTATCTTGCATTGTTTGATGTAGATTTAGGTGGAAATTATAGCTATCAGCTACTTCTGTATACTTATACCTTTTTTTTGTTTGGTTTAAAGGTCAAATATGTACTACGAGTATGTTATACGTGCAACCTTGATACTGCGGTGAAATCCAAGTAATCGTTCCACATTGATTGCTAATTTGCCACACCCAGGCACGGCGGAAAACACCTTTCCCGTGTATTCCCTCCGTATCCTTATTTTTAAACTGCCCGCTGCCAAGAATAACATAATCATTAACAGCATATGTCACCAACAAAATCCACAGCGTCATGAGCCGGCCTCGTCGAGAGGCCTTCGGCGAGCAGCCGCTTTAACGTACCCGCGGTACCAGAAGAGAATACGCTCTGCGGCATATTTCAGTTGGTAACTAGCACCTTCGGGCGGCAGATATCGCAGTTTTTACATAAACTGAGTTACTGAAACGTCGTGAACATCGTCTTGAAAAAAACATGGTTTCTAGTTTAATACTGTGCGAGTGCCTGGAATACTACTGGAACTTGTAAAATTTAGGTTCTGTGCTTATTTATTGAGTTTTCTTTTGCTAGATGGCGAAAGCGTGATTAACCTGAGTTTTTTGTTCGTTATTTGCGATCATGGATACAAAGAAAAAGAAGGAGCCTGGTGATCTGCCGCCCCTGAAGAAAAGTGGTAGGTAGACTGTTGTCAGGTTGAGTTAGCATGAATTACGATTAGAGCGCAGTGGTTACAGTACTTGTACAAGCAATAACAATAATAATTACTGATAACACTTGTGCGTTGATGTAAGTAAGTTGCGTAATTATATCTTTCCGGTACAGATTCTCTTCTTGCTGAGCATCTCAAAGGATTAAATGGCAATCCCAATGTTATGACAGTGAGTTTGTTGGTGTCGACGCTGGTGGAGGAACTCTGCAGTTTCTACGAGCATGATGAACGGCGTGATATACTTTTTCGTGGTAAGATCACAGGAACGATTAGCATTTTTGGCAAATGCATATGCCTCCGGCTGTACCGCGATATGTCGTCATATCGATGCTGTTTATTCGTGGATGTTACCGAGTTTCCACCGTTGTCGTTTTTGTTGCAGTGGTCTGCGACCAGCTTGTGGAGATGTCGGTAAGATTTTCCTTCTTTCAGTCGTTTGATATTTTAATTTCCTGAAATTGGAAATTATTTTATTTACTGAAACCTGAAATACAGTACGTAAACCAAAGAGTTTGCTAATTTGGAATTTGGATAAAAGCTGATCTGTCAAGTGATCTGTCAAGATAAAAGCTGATCTGTCAAGTTTCTACGAAATTTTAACTGGACATACAAGTTTTATTTTTAATCCTGAACGAATCTTAAAATCAAAATAAAATAGGGTTACGAAACTGAGTTTTCTCCGCAGTATTGGATTGCGTATTTACAGAGTAGTTGGCACGCTACAACAATTTTAAAAATCTCTTTGCTGAAATTTATTTTAAGAAATAAAATACCCCATTTGAACGTGAATACTGAAGTCTGAAGACAACGGAATTTTAATAAATACTCCTGTCTGTATAAACCATACATGAGGCACGAGTTTTACCGCCACTGTTTTGTGTGAGTTTATTGTAATTTGTTTTATGGAATGCAACTGTGCAGTGTGGCTACCTATTAGAAATATATATGCGGTTCAGCAATATTTTCTCACGTTTGTTTTCGGATGATTAGACCGGTTTATTCATTTTGTTTGCGGTAGAATACCGACGTCGTAAATTATCAAATTGTTTTCGAAGAATAAAGTATAATAAATCGAATAATCTGGATGTTTTAATTCACTCACTGTTAATACAGTTTGACTACATATTTAGATATGAATTTAAGGGATTGATATCAACCGGGAAATCCGATATCCGTATGTTTTTATTTATGCTCAGTAGCATTCAGCACTCTGCTCTACTGATAAAGAATATCTGTTACCGCACACCAAATATCCTGTGGCTGTTGCTTTGAAAATCAATATTTCGTTCTTGAGGCGTTTATTTTAAGCCGCAGTGCATATTTTTAGCTCCTCTCCCCTTTGGCGTACATTGACGAGCTCGCAGCCGTGCGGGCTAGGTACCGGGAAACATTTATGCAGATTCTCAAAATGGGACAAGTGATAGCTTCCGAGCAGGTACATCAAACGTTTCCCATGTTGTAAGTTTTTCTAACGCATCGCAGTTATTACAAAATTTTGTGTTCTTAATTTTAATTTTTTAATTTGAAACGTGATTCATAAACTTAAGCAAGCAAAACCAGTTAATTTCAGCGTTCATGTTTCGATTTTTGTTTGTAATTTTTCTTTAACGCATACCGTAGTTATTACAAAATTTTGTGTAATTATTTCTTGATTTGGAACTTTATTCATAAACTTAAGCAAGCAAAACCAGTTAAGTTCTGCGTTTATGTTTCGAGATTTACAGCTCTAGCATTCGTACTAACCGCTACGTGATTGTCGAAGAAATTGGAAATTGCAGTTCTGGTAATAACTGGTCGTTTCTGGTATAAGAAAGCGAATTCAGTAGAGTGTCCAGCCATTCAGTTGGTCGTTTTCATTGTTGTAAGTAATTTTGACTTTCATGCAGGCGAATAAAGGTCATTTTCATTGTTGTAAGTAATTTTGACTTTCATGCAGGCGAATAAAATGAAAGCACTGGGTATGCCGTTGTCCAAAAGCCCCGGTAACGGATTCGCATTGCGCAGTATTTCCTCCGCATTAAATCATCACGGACAAGGACCTGACCATTTTGTTCTTATGCCTTCGCGCTATCAGGAGGAGTTTGAGGAGCTGAATTTGATCGGGCACGGCGGCTTTGGACGAGTATATCGAGTAAACAGTTAATTGTCTGATAATTTGCAGTTGAGTTTGAATTTTCAAAGCTCTTGTTACTGTAGGCAAGAAATCGAGTGGATGGTCAGGAATACGCAGTCAAGAAAATTCGTTTGCCCAAGAAAAGTTCTCGCGAGAATATACTGAAAATCTTTAGAGAGGTGAAAGTGTTGGCCGGATTGCATCACAAACATGTCGTCGGTTATAATGCGGCTTGGTTGGAAATGGAAGCAGAAAATGGTATATGACTGTAATGCGATATTCATAAACATAAACTCTAGCGACATGTAGCCTGATGTTCTTTTAGAATCTTTAATTTATCGTTTTACTTAACGCTTTTGATTATACTTAACGTATAGACTATCTGTTTCTGAGTCTTGGATTCTATTTTGGATAAATTTTGTTGTTAAACAGCTGGTTCTTTATTAGTGAACGAATTTTAGTTGTTGACGTTTTTTGTTTCCTCCTGATTGTAAACTATAATATTTACCTAGCAGTTTAAGTTGTTGCTCCTACTTCTATGGCGGTTTTTCCATAGACATTTTCAAGAAAAGTGAGTAGTGTTTAGATTTTCTAAGCGAAAAACAGTTTATATTTTTTTCAGAAAGCAAATTGACATGTCAATGCCACGTTCCCTGAAATGGTTTTTTTTGGCAGATTCAATGCCGTCGAAAGCGGGCACTCCGAACCAGTCTCACTCAGATCTGGAAATATCTGCGCAACACGCCCAGTTGGACTCACCGGCTTCCAAGTTGAATGGTCACAATCGTCGCCCTGCACCGAATCCCATCGACATTCGCCGAGGCCCGATCATGAATATTACAGAGGACTCTGCTGAGGAAGACGGGATTGTTTTTGCACGCGGTGATTCGGAGCCTGATTTGGCGCCGCTGGTGGTTAGTGGCGATTCCGCCATGGTGCCCCCAAGTGCGCCCGATGAAAAGAAACGTCTCCGGATGGTCGATAATACTGACTTTTCCACCCTGCAGTCCCATTTGCCCACTTTTAAATTCCAAGCCGCAACTTTGTCGCAGACACCCGTCACGCTTTTCATACAAATGGAGCTGTGTGGAAAGACGCTACGGGATTGGTTAAGAGAGAGGAATTCTCCCAATGGTATGGGAGAAATGGACGATGACACCGCGAAAGATAGCGCGGTACTCGTTGATGTTATTGAGTGCAATAAGATTTTGAAGCATATTCTGAAAGGGATTGATTATATTCATTCGAAAGGTTTAATCCATCGTGATCTGAAGGTATGGCGATAGTTGCGAAATTTCACTTTCTTTAGACTGTTTACGTTTGTTGTTGTTCTGCTTTTTAGAAAGAGATCAATTAAAATATGTTTTACTGTTTTTTCTAATTTCTTCCGTCACCGCTCCGGAGAACTATTGATTGCGAACATAGCGAGTTTGTTATTTTGCAGTACGGTTTTTAATATCTGGTTAATGACTTACTAGCCGCTGCTCGTACAACTTGTTGCTGATACGTTACCGTGCGGCTTTTTTTATTTCAGCCGCGTAACATATTTTTCCATACGTGTGATAATCGTGTGATGATCGGAGATTTTGGTTTGGCAAGAAAAGATCTTCTGACTTCTAACGATGGTAAGCAAACCGTTGAAAATGTCTGGAATTGAATGGTCGTTCCGCTTTAAAAAAGTCCATTAATCTGTGAGCTACACTGGAATACTGGCAATACTGATAAATACTGATGCAGGCAGAAAGCACTTGAACTCAGATAAAGCGAGTTACCTTGCATTTCTTTAATCATTTGCATTTTGCGCTAATAAAACTGTCAAATTTTTCAGATGCTTTTTTCTCCCCGGTGCCATCATTAGGATCATTAGGACGCCGACTCAGTGCCGGTGTGGGAACTGTAACGTACGCCTCACCTGAGCAGTTGCATGGATCCGCTTACGATATTAAGGTACCATTGAGTCATTGACTAAGGCATTTAAATCTTCCCTTCGATTCAGTTATATTATAAAGACACGATTTATTTATTTCAAGTATGATTTCGGACCATTCGTGCAGCTTGCGGTGACTTAAGGGCATAATTTGTATCGCTTAAGAGTTTGTGCTCGCAAATGACCATTACCATGGCTTTTGTGGTAATGCACGGTTTTATGACACTCTTCACACTGACGTGAAACTTCATTTTGTCACGACGTCAGAAACAAAGAGCGTTTTGTTTTGCAGTCGGATATGTTTAGCTTGGGCATCGTGATGTTCGAAATCTTGTCCGTGTTTGCCACGGAAATGGAACGTGCCATTGCATTGTCTGCTATTAGGTCTGGCCGCTTGCCTCCCGAATTCGTAATCAATTATCCCGCTCATGCAAAAGTGATACAGTCATTGTTACGGACGGATGCTAGGACGCGACCAGAAGCACGCGAAATCCTTACATCAGATCTGTTTCTTAACCGAGATTTGGTAAGGCTTATCTTCTCATCCAGACAGCAAAAACGTCAGTAGTGCGATAATTGTTAGACCGGTACTCGAAGCTGGCTTAATTTAAAAGTTAACTGGAACCGTTCGTGTGCACAATTCACGTTTTATTTGCGTTTTCCAGATTATTCAGAATCTTCAGCAGCAGGTCAACCAATTGCAAGCAGCGCTGGCGGAGAAAAATCTGCCCGGAAATTCAGAATAATGTGATTAAAATTTGCAAGGATTGTAGTACTGGCTTCTGTAACATTACGACTGCTCCCGATGTAAAATAATAATTTGTTTGTCTTTCCATAGTGTGGTGGCAAATCCGTTGATGATAAAGCCTGTTTGTTTGGCTGCAAAGTGTGTTTGTTTTTGACAGTATTTTCATGTCTTTCGTAGCCTGTAGTGGTGCTCACAGGCTAGCAAAACATGACTGTTGTTCTCGCATTGACGTAAAAAATCGTTGTCGATTTATTTTCGCTTTCCTGGCGTCGAGAGACCCATGTTGATTCTGGCAACAGATGGGATACAGATGGCTCTGGCTCACCTAAATGGCTGCTTATGGGATATTATTCCCATTAAAAAAAAGCGGAAAAGACGCAATCACTCCGTACACTACGGTTCTAGGGTTTCTTTAGTTCCACACAAAATTGTTACGAAGAGTCGTTTAACAAAGCTTGATAATCCTTCGTTATTTATTGTGCACATATAAATATGTATATAAGTCTGCACTGATTCACTAGGCCATGGCCACATTCTACTGTGTGAAATGTTTTTTTAATTACAGCATTGCTGGATCGATTGCCATTATGTACACAGGATGCCGGGTACAATAGTATTGATTGTTTGGCTACGGTATAAGAACAATACCAGCCAAAGTCGTTTATGTGGGTGCTACTCGCGTTCAGCCCTCTATTTTTCTGGCATCGGTTGGGATGGCGTACTCTATAGAGCATAAACAGTCATAAAAGGTTGTTGCATGCTTTACGCTCCATAAGAGGACCTTTTATTTGGGTGAGCCTATTGAAAAGCACAAACTTATACCATTAAATACCGCCCGTAAATCACTGGAATCAGGCATTGACGTCCATATATCGATTACGATTTGACAGTGCATTTCGCGGCAAACTGGCACGTTACACTGACAATATTCAATTCAGCCTGCGGAGTACGTATATATTGAAAGATTCGATTTATACATTTTTATACTCACGAGCGTGTTTTGGGAAGAGTGTGTTTTGCGGAGCACCTGTGAACGCATTGCCATTGCCTGTTTTATCCATGTACCTGGACGTATGACGTAACGTTTAGTAAGATTAAGTCTAACGAAAAATCTATGCGGGCGAAAAACTATAAAGATAGGTAAAAGTAGCATTTAAAGGCCTTGGCAAAAACTGAATAGAAATACCGGAAACAGATTTTTTTACGAGTCGACAAGGAATCTACTTCCGTCGATGTTTAGACACGTACCGTGACGTACGTACACTGCATCAAAATAATTTTCCCCGTCAAGTTTACAGGTACGGTAAAGCAAACGTTTCAAAATTATGGCAACGAAAGTAAATTCGATGAAAAAAGTAAAAAAAACGTTTAAAAACATTGTGTTTTAACGCCAGACTTCACACGTCAGAAACTGTATAATTCTGATGCCACTTGTGTTCAAAGCTTTTCATGCACCATATTTTGTACTCTGTATATGTGCCAATGAGTTAGAAAACCTGAAAAGTAACAAAATTCCTACATAATACAGCACCCTAAATTCTTTTGATTTCATCAGGTTAAAAAAGGGAGTATCGGGTTTATACTTCGCATGATCTGCTGCATTTACAGCAGCTGCAAAGATGAGTCACTATCAATAATCTCGTGCTCTATCATTGGTACATATACTCGTATATGTGCAATACTGTATGTGCAGCCGCTTCCACTCCTCTCGAATATCCCCCAGTACAGTGTTTGACCGGCAGAGAATACTTCCTTGTGGCATTTTCTTTCCCATTTTCATCCCCTGATTGTCGCCAGATGAGTCACTACATCTCGTGCTCTATCATTGCCGCAATAATGTCGATACAGTGTTTGACCGGCAGAGAATACTTCCTTGTGGCATTTTCTTTCCCATTTTCATCCCCTGATTGTCGCCAGATGTAACACTCATGCCGAATGTCGATACTCAATCTGTTACAGATAATTCATACACATGTGTGTGGTGTGGTGGGGATGATGTGCGTTTGCGGTGTTTTAAGTTGATTACATTTGTTTGGCTTATACATAAGCGCCGGGAATCACTGCAGGCTCTCACAGGATACTTATGTACCACGGATGCCGTTCGTCTACCGTTCGTTTCGCACCATATGCACACACTTGGATCTTGTCTGTTTCTGTTGTTGTACAACTAGCACGTTTATTGTATTTTTTAATCCCTTATTACAACTACAAAATTAGTCGTCCAGGTTTTTAATAAAGCCGGCATTCAAAAGTCGAAGGAAAATTTTTTTTATCCATATCGAGTACCAGTATTTTTGTAATAATGGCTAAACGAGCGATTCCACCATCGAATTATTTAGACCAGTATTTATTAAAAGGATCAGATTCACCGAGACTGCAGAAGTTAACCGCTGCTCAGTTCATGGATGTATGGGCACATTACGATTCCGATGGTAAGGAGTAACTGATGACGGTGTGCCGTATACGTATTTAGTCCACATGCAGATACACTATTTTCTGATGTGCCCAAACCGGATATTGATTAAGGTCTTGTTAGCAGTACCTTAGGGAATTCTAAGGTGTCTGTTAAGAATTAACCCGGTCGTAAGGCAAAATGTTACAAGCACTGCAACAACAATTAGTCTGTATAACAATTTTGTCGCAGCTTTGTTTGGTTCAGCAAATTAACCAATGCCGAAGAAGAACTGACTTAAACGTCTGTGATAGCTATCAACCTTCAGCGCACATTAGGCAAACTGGACTGCAGCAACTGTCTGCTTCTGAAGTGGTTTTTTAAGATTCGATAGTAAATCTCATCATTCAGAAATTCGATCATAAGTTTGTAATATTTGTTTGTTACTTACTTACATATTTTTATTAACGCAATAACCGTTCCGTGCAAATTTACTTAGTTATAGAATTATGGTAAGGTCACTGCTCTGCTGTCCATATACTTATGTTAACATATGAATGTTTTCGCATTGTTTACGGCGTTTTCGGTTAAATACTTACTGGAAAGCATACAAAGCAAAGCAAAATATTTCAAGCCAAGCGCTGATGATTTTACTTTAGTAAAATGGGAGATACTTATTTTAATTATTTGCATGGAGCTACAGAGTGCATCATCAGTATAATTAATTTTGATACGCTGCCATATCCGTTGTCCGGTTACATGTATCCCGCACGGCGCACCTTGTTCGGTTAGCCGGTGTGTGTGCAAATGAACACAGTGTTAATTTGATTTCATTTTTAGCCAATGGATTCATTGAAGGAAATGAGTTGGACTCCTTTCTTCATGAATTTTTAGCAGCCGTAATGAATCTCCCAAATCCCGATGTAAGTTGACTATGGAATATCGCCTATTACAGTAGATAATGTAAAACGTATCCGAAGTAGAAAAGGGTAAATTCACCGCTACCTTGTCCGCGCCGCCATTGTGCAGCATGTACTTCGTGTGCTTTGTTACAAATAAAAAAACACTTTTCCATAATTCTTTAAGAACGACGTCTGTCATTGCTATGAAACCAACAAAAAACTTTAATATAAAAATCTATTGTACAAAAAAAGCCAGTTTGATTTTAAAAACGTTGCTCAAATTTAGCATATATCCTGTAGCGTTGTGACTGATCATCAGTTTGTGCAATATTTTTAGGAGTACGCCTTCAGTGTTCCGAAAATTCAGTTGATGTTTTATACATAGCCGGTAATAAAATTGTATTATTTGATTACTTATTAATATTTATTGCTTGCTAAATATATAAGGTCCTGTTTTAAGATTATGGACGTGTATTTCAAAGTAAAGTAAATTCGTTTTAAAGTACGCAACAACTTTTCCGATATACAGTATATCGGAAAATGCCATATTAAGCGAGACGTTATGCGGCGCAGTTTGCCGCAATAGTAGACTCATCATCCTGATATAGAAAGTTGCACGGCTTTCTCGTGCGGAAACGGAGTCATATTGCCGTTTTGCCAACAGAAAAATGAAGATGTATAGTTATTGAAGGATTATTGATTTTTGATACGTCTACTGTCGCACATAATACGCGAATGATGGTGCGCAGTTTGGTAGTAAAGAATATTAGGACTATGGATGCACAATGCTAACAAGGCAAGTTCCTACCTGAACCGGCAGCTTACCGGTTAACGCTACACCGGATCCGGAAGCCAAATTAGGGAAAATTGACAAAATGTTCTTTACAATTTACAACAAATACTGCTCTGCTCTTCAGTCGTACTATACGGAGTGCACAACGTTTGACGAATGTTCGCATTAATGTTGTCAATGGCAGTGAATACATAATGCAATCATGAGCAGCTCATTAATTCCTTTACGGAACAGTGGGATGAAAACGAAGTGTACAGAAAAGAATTTGCCTAATGATCATGCAGAATCTTTCAGCCGTTAGTTGTTTCAACGCTTGAAAGATACAGAAACTTGAGGCAAAAAAAAAATCATTTTTGTTAAATGGAAAGTATGAACTATTAATTTTGGTTTACAGCTGTACTCGTATAGTTCGTATATACAGGATGTGCTTAAAAACTGACAACAATGGAATATCCCTACGGGACCGCGCATAATTTTATGTTTTTCGGTCGTTAGTAATACCCACAAACTGTTTGTTTATAAAGGAATTTCTTGGCTAGGTGCATTTTGTACCCATTGCACTAACTTAGAACTTAGAACACACACTTAGAACCAAACATATGGTAATAAATACTCCACGTCTTGTGCCTAGTTTATAATGTACGAGTATTGTTTATATGATTATGATCGAGGTTTATTTCTCTGGCCGTAGACGATCCCGAAGAAAACTCTGGATGATCTAAAAAGGAGTTTTATGGAAGAATACGATGTCAATGGTGACGGGAAAATTGAAATAAAGGAGGTATGACTGCTACACAATTTCGAAAACAGTTTGCCGATATGCTAACACAATGGATATCCTTCATATCACTATAATAGTTACTGTCATCAAATGCTTGCTTTTGTTTCAAGACATATGCAAACAAATGCATTGAGCCGATTCAATTTGCAGTTGGCGCAGTTGCTTCCACTTGATGAGAATTTTTTTCTTTTATTCCGCTTCAATAATCCTCTGGAAAGCAGTGTGGAATTTATGCGGGTATGGTAATCCTAATAACAGTTTCCGAACATCAGCTAACGTTCGTTGTCAGTGCAAATACAAAATTTAAAACGAGTCGCTACATACAGTCGCTGTTTGAAAGCATTGCTCAAAAGCATTGCCACTTTATTGCTCGATATTACACATAGCTGACCAGCAGGAAAATTAGCCGTATTTGTCATCCATGGCAATGCATGTGTGCTGCAGTATTACGGAAAAACTTTTTCCGGTTGTTGTGAAAAGAAATATGTAATGGGAAAGTCAAACAGTGAGTTCGCTAACGAAGGATAATGATTAGTTGTACAAGCAGAATCCTGCTGACTTTGCTATGACAAATAGTTTTTCGCGGACACTACGATCGATCGTGTACTTTGTTCTTCTTCCTCTGGTTGTCCCATGGAAAATTGCCCTCATACTGCGCTTGTTCCTGTTAAATCAGACGAAAAACTAACTGGCTCCTATTAGTCGTCGCCCAGACACACACTGCGGCTATTATCGATTCTGATTGCAATTTTAAATTTAAATCTCCTAAGATAACAACCCATAACAGGGAGGATGAACGGGCTTAATCTCTGGGTAATCGAAACGGGATTCACGCTCACAATAGCTCCTAAGTTGGCCCTTTGCGTGCCGTAATAATGATATAATGTACGCAATCCAAAAATGAACTGTTATAGACATTTTAAACAAGCCGGTGAAACGATTTGTATAAAACTAAAATGTGGAAAATTACTAAATTTACATGCTACGTATACAAAGTTATTGTTCTATGCAGATATGGAAACAGTTTGACAAAGATTATAGCGGGTACATCGAGGCAGACGAATTGAAGGTAAGTTCCGTGACATTTATTGGTTTCGAAACAAATAAGTAGTACTACTTGGTTGGTGATGCTGTATCGCCCATTTTATAACGTTGTTCAACAAAACAAATGAAAAAGCTCAAGTGTTAAAGGAACATTAGTTTGAGCATGGTTTCGGTAATTAATCACTGTAATAATTATTGTACGAGAAAAAAACGACGCCGCTCGTTGAATGGAATAGGCAAGGGGTTACGCCAAAAACACCGCCAATGTAGTATGTAAAGTAAAATTAAACGAATATATTGAGCTATGAGACATCTCAAGCAACAATAATGGCTACTTTGCTGCATCCACATTTTATTATCGTAACCCTATAGTTGGTTGATTTGTAGGATTTCTTAAGAGCAGTGATTCTTCGCTCAAACAGTAGTGCCGCACTGGATGATGATAAATTACTGGAATACACGGATTCCATTGTAAGTAATTTAAAGGTCACCGTATGATCTTTATGAGTACCTGCCACCTTTTATATGCTGATATATTAAAACAAATGTGCTACTTTATATGCTGCATTTTGATCACTTTTGTTATTGCAGCTGAGGATTTTTGATACAAATAAAGACGGGAAACTGCAATTAAGCGAAATGGCTCAGTAAGATTTTATTTATTACATTGATCGTAGGATCCGAATAACAGGAAGGTAAAATACTGCTTACGTCACAGCTAATTAAAATTGAATAACGTTATCTAATCTTCAGTCAGAATTCTTTATGTGCATGCAGAGGCTAGAGATATATTCAACATGGTGCATTTTGTACTACAGCCCAAACATGGCATGGTTCCCTTGAGGTTTATATTGTGGTTCGTGTACTATGGGTACTCTGTTAAATATTCGGTAATCCACTTTAGCATATAGCCAGCACATTGCTGGTTATGAGTTAAATACGGTACTTCGTAATTATTACTTCATGGCTTTGGAAAAAGTAGGATCAACCATTTTTGTGCAGTTCTACCGGTATCTAAAACAAGAAAAAATAGCTGCATCCGTCCATTCTTAAAATCAGTTATTGAAGTTTAATGTTTATCAACGACTTCGACAGCTATTTAACTGAAATTTCATTAGAGTACTTAACTAACTTATAATTAAGCCCAGAAACTGTCCAGTGCATAGTTTGTGGCAAAAAATCCAGTATGTACCTGTAACTGTACACTTCGCATCGGGCGGTATATATTTCGATTGATTTATTAATGATCACTGAACAATGTACATATAGAATACCTACGCAAAATTTAAGGTTTACGATTTGACTTTATGGTTTGCCGTTTGTTTTCCAATGGGGTTATACGAATCGCTGTTTAATAACAAGAGTACAAAAGGATGCATTGCAGCATAATGGGCAGTTATGAAAATTATGAATAATAATATGTAACATAAGTATTTATATTTATCGGTTATTTATCAAAAATTATTTGGGGAAACTGTTGTACCACAGTCAATCATATTCACTGTACCATTGTCGCAGTCATATCAGGGCATAATACGACGGCGACAAACGATCTACCTTACTGTTAAGCTTGTATCTGTAGTAGTACTCGTATGCCTGATGATCGGTAAGTAAAGATACTCGTACTCATAATATAGATAGTCTACTGTACTTAACGTACGTTTGGGCTGAGTTGACCTTCATGCAACGGCAGCCATGGAACATTTCTATTTTAACAGTTAACACCGTAAAATAACGTCAATTCTTGAAATCTGATAATAAATACTTGAAGTATGGCATTTGTAATTGCAGACTTTTACCGGTCAAGGAGAACTTCTTGAACCGGGCCGTTTTCAAGGCAAGAGGATCGGAGCAGGGCCAAAAAGGCCAGAAAGTAGAAACTTTTTGAATTTCCTCTTATTCCATAACGGAGCAATTCTGATTCTAGGGTTCACTTCGGACCCTTACTGCTCAAGATGTGGAAAACGTTTTCGTGCTCTATGATAGGGTAAGGGCATTACAGTATTCTAATATTAAAATCACACAAGCGATTTGAATTTACAACATGATTGCTAGTGCTACGTTACGTTAAGTAAGAGTATAGACTAATCTCGGCATATGGATTCGTACAAAATGTGCGCTTTCCTTTCTTTTCTTATTAATTTCTTTTTTGGTATCAGTTACATGGATGCGAAATTCAATAATAGCCGTCAATGTTTTCAGGATGGTAATGGTATGATAGAAAACGAAGAGCTGTACGGATTATGCAAGGATCTTTTGGAACTCGCCAAATCGGAGTACGACATGGACGATTTGGAGGCCTTTTATGATGCAATTATCAAGGGCTGTGACATCAATCACGATGGAAAAATCAACCAGAAAGAACTGACAATGATCCTCTTGGCCATTGCTAAAACCGCCGCCGAGGATGAGCAGAAGGAAGCTGGCACACCAACTGAAAGCCCTTGAAACAGCAACCTGCCGGCTTCAATTTCTCACAGAACATAACTTGCATAAAATCACGCTGGCATTTTTTCCTGGCGTTTCGTTACCCCAAACAATTAAGTGGTATTCTCTGTGAACACAGCACAAAGTGCCCAATCTCGTTCGAGCTCAAATGTCTATGCCCTTCTTTCAGCATATCCCCTGAGTGTGAAACGGGAGAGAAACCGTATTGTGAAAGCCGTTGTTTTATTCACAAAAGGCGTACTGGTTGGTCCTGTGACGGTGGCCTATATGGCGTACATGTAACTGTAACAAAATACAAATTCTAAAAGGCCAATTCAGACATCTTCAGCATCGTCTAAAAGGAACTCCTGAATGGATTCGCGCATCTGCTGTCGTCGATTCTCCAAAGATGCCGGCATACTAAATGTTGCCGGCAACAGTTCCGGATCTTTCTGCAAAATAAACCAACATATTTACATAGAAACACTTGAAATCTCAGGATAAAGCACAATTTTAACAGAGTGGGAAAATACGCGGATCGCATACTTTTTTAAAAAATCCCAAAACCCAAACACAAAAATTAACATCTCCAACACTACGAATATATTACAAGGAAATTTACGCTCCTTCAGTCACGTAGCGGCCTCACGGAGTAATTTACAGCCAAAACAGTAACTATGAAAGAATATGTTAATATGCAAGTAATTTAGAACCAAAACAGTAACTATGCAAGAGTATATTAAAAGACTGAAAGCACAAAAAAATAAAATGTGATAAAAAAGTATTGCTAACCATTTCACTGAGCATCCATCGACAGAAATAGCACAGGTTTGCCACCGGTTTCTTGGAAGTCTGGCAACAATTCCCCGATTCTTTATCTTCTGACTGGCAGGCAGCATCTGTTCGTGCGCAAGTGTTATCTTGGCTGAATGCGTTTTCCATATCCACAGACGACGTAAGCTTCAAGGACAGCACTATAGATCCTTCCGCAGTACAAGACGAGTTACTGGATGCACTTGAATCAACCGGGCCCTAGCCAACCAACTTGCAAATCATGCGAAAATAACAACAAAAACTCTGTTCTAAAAAAATGTGTTTTTCCACTGGTACAAACACTGCTCGATTTCTTAAAAACAACATTTGCTCTCGGTGAAGCTAGACTTAGCGACGGTTAACGTACGACTGTAATCAAATGTATATTTTTCTAATATGAAAATAGTTAACGTGACCAATAAGTGTGTAGCAGTACGCACGGCAACAAAAATTGTTTTTACTATTATGGAATTTAGTCTTACCGCACATATATCACAGAGCAGATCCTGTCGACTATTGCCAACAATTTTGGAAACAGCCAACTTATCAGCCGTTTTACATAACGTTGTCACAGTCTGTGGGAACTCTTGCTGTAAGTCGGAAACGAAACTTCTAGTCATTCCGAACACAGTCGATTTCTGCTCGGAAGTTGATGATCCCTGAAGGGTTGCAACATGGTTCAGCTGACTGAACATTAGAATTTCCTTCATAGTGATTTCCTTCAAAGGTCGGATAATCGCGAAGTCAGGATCCCGAGAGTCTACATATCCCAGATCGATGGGGAGATGTTTGCCTTTGCCCAGTGCTGTATTCGTGATCAACTGCACCGCCAAGCGGTCAACACAGTCACCAACAAAAATTTTTGTAATGGCCAACTGTTTTCCAATACGTTTTAGTAACTTCAACCTAAAAAGATTGTAACCCTCAATACAACAAAACCTTAACTTCCGGTGTACAGCTTTAATCGACGACAGAATACACAAAGGCAACAACCTAACGCATATGAAGTTCTATCACCGAAATCAAATTCATGTTAGGCGTACTACAGTAGAAAGCAACTGTTAACACCGATGTCATCTTTCTAAAATTCTTTTAATACACATAAACTAGTCAGGCTTCACATTTTGACCCTTACCTGAGGAGTTTAATCAGTTCTTCTTTAGCAGTACTGGAACGCACAGAATCTAGAAGTGAGTGAAGTCGATTACGATACGAACAGTGTTGCTTTGACATTCCAGTATCTTCCGGCAGAGTAAAAGAGCAAGGTTCCGTTTCGTTGGCGAAAACCTTCACGAAGACAAATTCTTTCTGTCATTAGTCACTATATAAAGTGCACCCTACTAGAAGTATTACAAGAACTACGCAAGACGTAATAACACAAAATAATCGTCATATCCTGCATTAAAGAAAACGGATACAATTTGTCAGCTAATTATTACCATGTCCGAAGTAGAATACAGTCGATCCCAGGACTGATTTATTTTCTCGGCAACAGCTAAAACACTTTGAATTCTTTCGGAAGAGGAAGTATCACTTGCGCTAGAGTCGCCAATCGATTCTGCAAAAGCAGCTGTTCTGATGAAGCACAATGACAATCAAATACCAAAACAACAGATTTCGTACAAACCATCGATATGGATAACAACTGGTACGAAATACAGCCGGCTATGGTGGGACGCCCCAGTGGCCTAGTCAAATAAAAAAAACTGTTAATGGTAATCTCATCGCTAAAAACACGAAAAAACTATCACAAAAACATGGTACGTCATAAAAAGGAAAAGGGAGAGGAGTTAGCTGCATATAACCATAGTAAAACATAAAATAAAACACTGACGGCTGGAAAAATTATTCTGGAATAGAGCAAGACTAAGAAAATCCGCGGACTAAGAAAACCTGGACTAAGAAAATCCGCGGAGCGCCGCCGGAGCTAAAGCAAATATTAAGAGAAATTTTTCAGTATTTCAGTTCAAGTAACTGAACATATTTCTTTCGTCAATTACGCACTTCCTGAATTAATTGAAGAAGAGTGGAAGAAGCGGCTCCACCAGTCACAGCCACCAGAATTCGTTCCCGGCACTTCGAAATCTGGTATTTTGACAGAACTGTCCGGAATTTCTGTATTACAGAGTGAATAAAGCATTTGCCACACTTGGAATCCTCATCCCGCAAATGAATAACCGCTTCTTCACCGCATTTGACACAAATCTGTTTCTTGTCGGCCAGCCTGAAATAATTTGGGAAACGGCGGTATTTCACCTTATTCAACAATCATCATCTTCACGCTTTTTAAAAAATTCATAAAATGTCTGTTACGTTAAGACAGGCGCAGGAGCAGAAACCTTCTCCAAATCATCCTCATCCACCTGACACATGTTGAGCGCGTGTTGCCACTAATTTGACGCACGGCAGCGAAGAACTCTTAAAAAACTCAGTCAGGCTCACTGTTTCCCTCCGAACCGATGAATGGTTTCGATGGTGAGTTTCACATAATCCAAATACTTATTAGAAGCAGTGCGCAAGTTTTTGATATCCTTGGCCACCAGCACTCTATGACACAGAGGATAAAGATTGTGAACCCGGAATGCATATGAATGATACAATCATATCCATATCAATCATATCCATGTAGCTGATCTTACGCTTTTAAATCGCTTCCGCAGAGGAAGAGCGTCTTCTGTACGCTTCCGCGTGCTGGCTCTTTGTCCACCGACAAGGTCCGGTATGCTATCTCGGCAAGCCCCGCGGAGGGAAATGGTATGATAATTGTTCTGAAAACAAAAGATATCTGCGATACTGAGTACGTGCGATTACAATAAGCAAGTTCTTTACAGAGTCGATCCTTCAGCACACACAGCATCTGCCGACATAATTCAAACTGTGTTCACACACGACTGGGAAAGAGTTAATTATGGCCGATGGGAAAACAGAATTTAAGTGGAATACCGTAGTCTTCCAAAAAGGAACAGCAGTATACGGAAGAAGTGAACTAATAATTATTTATTGCAGTACCCTATAGTGACTATACATGTAGAGTTCTCAGTGCTCATGGTTAATTCACACAGTTATTACATTTTGAAATTACTAGTACTGTCAGGGCAGATCTTAATACAGGCAATACCACTGACTCGTTACGTCATCAGTAGAGTAGCTCGCATATTAGCGCGGCTATAGTAAAATGCTGGGAAAAATCGGTTTGCTCCCCTTTTTCTGTTTCTGTTGAATGGGATTCGAACTGCAAAATATGCGTATTAACTTCCTCTACTTTTATAAATAAAAAAACCTTTAAATATGTAACGTGCATGACTTACAATCAATTTCTCACTATTTTTTAATAATTTTCCCCATACTAATGCAATGTGCACTGTGCGGTACTGTGTGCAACTGTTCATATTAAATCACCGATGCGTGATTATACAATCTCGGTACTCTCCGTGTAAATTAGTCCCAATTAGTTCTTTAATTTTGCACATTGTTCAGTTCAGTATCTGCTTCATTTTTTTCTTAGATTTTGAAAAGTTTCGTTGGAATAAATCAACAAAACCAACTCGTGCAGTAATAATTTTGCCGTATACCGGTAGAAACCAAGTTGCCAACAGCCGCTTTGCAACTTGCCGCACCGTACTTAATCATGTTGCCTCTTCCTATTGCTGATTTTATATTAGAAATAAAATCCCAACTGCAATAAAAGAGTGAAAACGACTAAAGAAACACAAAAAAGCTTTGAAAAGCTTAATAAACTCTGGCTTTTACGGTGTTCTTCGGCAATTCTGGCTACTCTACCGCTTTCGTCATTGCAAATCCCGCCCTCAGTGGGGTTGCTTGTATTGAGATCTATCTGCCTTGGTACTGTACTTAAGAAGCAGAATTTTCTGATTCACAAAAACGACGCCTCGGGCGGAGCAGCGACAGCAGACCCGTGAATTTAAGGGGTGCGGTTACATGGATAACGCATATTTGCAGTACTGTACTTACTGGGAAGTATGTACATCTGCTTACTTATGGTTTTTTTTAAAAATATTATTAATTTCGTTAATCTTCGTAAACGTACACATCTTACACAGTCTTAAGATAAATTCACTGATTACTCAACATAAACTGACCCACGCAGTCTATTCCCAGAGAATATCTGATCTAAATTTGCTCCTGTCGGTGCCTTTCCCAGGATAGATGCCGGCGTTGCCGCATTGCCTCGATCATCGATGGATTTCGATGCTGATCCGCTGGCGCAGAAATTCTGTTGGCACAGCTTTTCGCAGGTTTCCTGTTGGATCTTCTGTCCCACTACATACTGTTATATGTGGGTTGCCTCCAGTCCGGGCGGTCCGACTGTCTCGAAGCCCAGAGCGCTGAATAGGTAGTCTTGGGTGATGTCCCGGTATTTTTCCACCTTGCTGTGATCGGCCTGTGCTGCCGCCGTCTCCCGCACGTGTTGTAGACGTCGCTACGATGTGCGATGGTCATTGTGTTTTCCTTATGGTTAGTGACTAGACATTAATTTGGGCAAAATGCGGCAGTAGCAATACCAATGACTGTAGCAATAGCCGTCCCGTGGTCCGTCTACGAGACGGCTATGGAAAAAAAAGGAAAAGTTTTAACTTTTTACACGAGTACAAGGAGTTGATACGACTCCTTCTATTCTGGTTAAAAATATCTACGGAAGTTGCATTCTAATGTCCAGAACCGCACTTCGAAACGACTTCCGGTGATTAATCACCTTCGGGTATACTTGTATAAAGTTGTTGTGTTTTACAGTGATTTTTTCTGGTTCGAAACCTCATAATAATTACTATCAAAGTTTGTTTGAAATGTTTCAGTTCAGTTCCGACGCTACTAGAATCTGAATGACCGGAGTCATACGGCAAAAATGATAGAAACATTCCTGTGTACGTGTATTTGTTTACAATCTGTCATTGCGGTGATTGCGCGTGCCAGTCGAAAAAAATAGAAAATAAAAAGTGATTACAATACAATCGGATGTACTTTGTGTATGGTAACAATGAAAGTGAAATGCGCATATTTAAACAATTTGGGTTTGCCTTCTTTTGTAGCTGATTTTTGTTCTCCGGTCTCCGGAATATAATGATGGTTAATAACTCATTGTTATCACATACTTATAAAAACCCAAGCGGCATCGCTATAATTATCCAGTTATTAACTTATTACCAGATTATGTGGTACTGCACAATGCACATGTTATTTATTGTCTGCACACCGTTTTACTGCCATATTGTCACCAAATTTTTATTACATCATTCAATTAATGCAACACCAAAGTGAGCTTGTGTATTGCTCGATCGTACAATCGTACACGCACCAACTAACACTTTGTCATTTTTCATATTCCCACTGCACCATCACACATTACCGACATGAAACATGCATACCTGATTTAGTTTGTCATTATAGCGGCAATCGTTTTGGTTTGTAGACCGCAGATGTGTGCCATCTTTCTTCTAATGAGTCCAAATTTTTTTCCAGACCAAGCCATTACCACGAAGCCATAAAGTAACGCACTGACCACTTTTTTCTCACATTTCATTAAACTGACCAGACAAGCCATATTCTTTTGACGCCTGTGGGTCGCGAAAAGTGTTTTTATATCTCATAAAATTCGTGCAGTGGCAGTTATACGGCGATCTAGAAAGTAGAAATTAAGTTGTGCGTCGGTTGACATGAAATTATTGATTTTGAAAAATCACTATGATCATTGCGTAGTACGAATTTTGACAAGGCTGCTGATTGGGCATGAACGTACACACATGTACGGTATATGTTGCAACCGGTGGAAATTTACACACTCCGACAAGCCGCAAACAATTGATGTAACGTATACCGCCATGTATCATTATTGGTCATACAACAGCTGGCGAAAATCGAGCAGCCAACGCTTCTCTGCCGCACAGCGCCGACTTAGTTCCGCTTAGTCGGCACTGTACAGGGCCACTGGCTAGCTTTTGATCATATGCGATCTTTTAAAACCCCTTCACACAATCGGATTAGCATTTTTGTGTTTGTGAAATATATGCTGATATGATATCTCAGGAGGATTTATTCCTAATCCTTCGCTTAAATCCGTTCCTATGATGGCAACTGACTCGCGAACGTCCCAGTTTTTACGCTTCTTTACCGGAAAATCTAAGTCGAAAAAGGAAGAGGATCCTTATTTCCGTCGGACGCGATCGCTGTGCGATGGGAGAGCCGGAATTACTACGAATGCTGAATTTTTGAACAAAGTCAGATATATAAAACGCCAAAATGACCATTGGGACAAGTACGCTAACTGCGCCGTCAAAGCGGCGCTTCCGGTAAGTGCCGCATTGAATACCGAAAAGTTCTTAATCACGAAGGTTATGTCGTAATACGTAAACGTACTACAGAGTGCATCTTCGCTTTATCAAATCCCTTAAATGTTTGCCAACTTCGATATCGTTACCGGAACCACAGTATTCCAGTTCAGAACTTGCGAATATTATGAAATTTCCGTGTTTTATGATTTCCGTGTCAGCATGTGTGCACGGTAACATATGTACTGTACTCCTGTATAGTTATTCTGCACTGTGGCGGCAGCGTTTTGGTATTGACTATTGCATTATTCATTTATTCTTATCGCAATGCCGGTCTTATCTTATTTGGGGTTTTTGATGCATGGAATTGCGGCGTAGTCAACATGAACAGTGAGCGATAATTTTGTTTAATACACCTGTTGAGCATCGATTGTGCCGCATATATATTGTACATGTGTAGGTATGGCATGACGCTTATTAGGTAATTCCTTGTTGTGACGCGGGCACTAGGCAATATTCACACGTGTTCCGCGATTAGACGTTTTGTTCTATGAGGTTTTGCTTAATTTTTAACGTTTTATTGTGCGGTTCAGTACGATATTTTCGTAACGCTAATTATACTTGCCGACAAGCCGTAATTATATTGCTTTGCTCTGAAGTGTTTTACTCCATACAGAGTTCTGATGCAAAGTTGCAAATATTCCGTATTTATTTAGATTTTTTTAAATTTTGACTTTTAAAAAAATAATTTACTGCGGTATGTTTAAAATGTTATTTGTATACTACTACCAAGTAACAACCAACAACTAACAAGTTCTAGCTATCGACTTCTACATTTTCGAGTGTTTTTTTCGTATTTTCTACAGTTTAATTCTGTGGCCACTGGTCAGAGATTATTTACGGGAACTAACGTAAGATTCTCACGGACGTAGGTAGCGCCGAGCGTATTAACAATTTATGTTAATGTACTGCATATTTTGCCACCTTGAATATAGTAAGTAGTTTGTTACTGTGTGTCGTTTTTGTCACGCAAGTTGTTTTAATAGTTTCTGTTGCGACGTGGTTAGTACATCAAATTTGCGACATGCTTGTTAAGTTTAAAAAAGTTCAGTATTGCAAAATGTACAAATTTCTAACTGAGAGAATTACCTCTAGAGCAGCCATTTCCTGCTCTACTGTAGTGAAAGTACAAGTACTGATATCTTCACTATATGCGTGATCCCACTTCCTTTGCAAATTTTTCGAGTCCAGTAGTTCAACTCCACACTCCACTGCAGCATTCATTCACTTGATCCACTTTTTATTTTGGTGTACGACCCAAGTGTTAATCATGTTGAAAGAGGAACAATTTATAGATTCCCGGCGGAATATGCAGTACCGAAGAAAAGGATCAGCCATTCAAAAGTTCGACTAGCTACTGGCACGGTTGTGCACAATCTTCTTAACAATCTTGAGCAATATATCGAGCTATTACAGTAACCCAGATTTCCTTCGTAATTTAGGAGTTTTTCTAGATTTCATCACTGTAGAGTCATTTTTCGGTAACTAAAATAAATTGTACACGCCGTATTATGGAATACGGTATGATGATAAACACTTTATAGCTTTCTTCAATTTTTTATTACTTAGTTGTTGTCAACAATTCAAATTGTGCTCTCATAAGTAAACTGTCGAAGTCAGTTTCAGTAACTGTTTTGTTTAAAAAATAATAAATAATTTTAATAACTGCTTTGTCTTTTATTAATCTACGTAGGAATTCGGTAACTAAGCAAGCGATCTGTTTATTAAGTACAATAATGTGTTAAAAGAAAGCATAAAATGAATAGATTTCAGCCAGTAATCTGTGAATGTATGATAACGTTCAAAAATGTTATTTTTCAACGATATTCGTGCACGCAACGTTTTGTGGCATGGCTAGAATCACTAGGTTGTTTTTTACGGTTATTTCTCACGAAACCGTATAAATTTATAACCTGCATGTTCGATTTTGGGCATTGGGCAGCTTAATTATTGTTTAAGCGGTTTTACGAACTAGTGTGTGGCAAACTACTTAGCCCAATTGTAGGAACCACTGATTTCGCACAGCACGCATTGTGCTGCGACATAAAAATTATACAGTAGCGAGAACATTTAACGAACACACATGTCCGTTATTTAAATATGAAACAGAAGGGCAACAAACATAACTGAAATCTCCGGAGCTTCCAGTGCATTTGGTGAAATCTTGATGTGTAAATATTGCCGACGACCGTGAAATAATTGTACAGATATCTGTAGCCTGAACTGCATCAGTTATTTTTCGTTTTTTAATGATCCTGTGGACGGAGCACGCATATGATAGCGAGCGCAGAAAAGTTAGGCCTTCGTCAGGGACTAAAATATTCATATTTGACCATCACATTTTTTAGCAGTATGCACTATGCATGTAGGAAGCTGAGTAAAGCAACGTACGCTAATGCCCACAGACCACAGTACACCATACACTCGTTTATTCGTCGGAGCAGGACGACGGCAATGTTTGTAAAATTTAAGGATTTAATTTAGACATTTGCGTTGTTCTTTCTTTTTTTTGTCGGAAAAATACCAAACATTACAAATTAGCATAAAATTTAAAGAATGCGCTTTTGTTCTTATTTCTAGCAAACATACAATAATTTTTGATATTGCGTTAATTAAATATTAGGGTTACATGAGTGTATGTTTAATATTGTTTCCTCGAGTACTTATAGGTGTTTTGTGTTGTTCGATTTTTTTAGCAAAAAAGTGTTACGCTTTATTTTTTCAATATCAATGTTTTTTGTTGTTTTGGTTAGACACTGGAAACTTTGTAGTGCAAAATTAGCGGCGGTCAATTATTGTGAACAGCCGTTGATAACGCTGAAGCAGTTATGCAGAGCATGACTGCGTATGGTATATTTTTTTGTATATGATTATTGTAAATTGTGTTGTGGATAGTGAAAGACTGAAAGGTAACCAGATTGGTTTCGACTGTTTATTTGGCAGTCAGTTCTCATAAAAGTCAAACGCACTTCAATAGTGCAGTACCTGTTGTAATTGTCCAATACGACAACATGTGTTTGCACAACGCCCACGTTTTATGAAATGTGATTTTTCCAAAACTAGGTCGACCGTCTCATATGCTCCATATTGTGGGTAATATTACAGCTTTGTGACTGCGATCACCAAGGAGTCATAAAGTCGTAAAATCACAGTTTGTTAAAGCGACGGCTTAACCGGCTCTAATCGGAACTTCGCCGCATCTAGAATAACTTTAAGTCATCTACATGAGGATACTAACATAAACAGAAAAGCGGTTTTGGCGCTCGATCCCGGTGCTCGTTATGGATTTTTTCGAAACAGTACAGAGTCCCGTTTTTGTATCCCTAACAATAATAAAAGTCCAATAAACCGATTCTCAAAGTCTACGTCAATTGTGCTCGATCTAGCTCGCAATTTAGACAAAAGCATTCGCTAGTATTCGGTGCCGGTCACGGCCAGTTTGTAGACGCGTACTGGTACAGGAATTGAGAATCGCGCTTATAATGTGCAAAAGCAAAAAAAGAAAATTAACTGGTTACAGAATAATTAATTATTACGAACATTCGCAAAATTGTTATAGTTATTATTTAATTCCATGTATACCGATTAGGCCAATGGGCATTGGTTATATAGTATATTGGGGATTCTACGAGGTATCTCACTGCATGTTGTGTCTTACAGCAGATTGCATTTTATTTTCCGTTTTCTAATGACATTATAATATTGCACAATATCTTTGTACAAAGTTATTTTGTAACAACAATTCCGATGAAGGTACTGTTCTGTGGATTTCTGCCAGTCCTGTTAGGCTAAACCGATGCCCAGTGTCACATGTACATACAATGAGCGCTAACGAGTTCTCCGTTTCGAATAATTAATTTATATATTTATCGATAGATGTGTTGCATCTTGTACCTAGTTGTTTCGATTTGACTAATAATTTATGATAGGTGTGTCAACTGTCACTAAATCACTCAAGGTGTGTATGCCTGCACGTCAACAGTAGGACTTGGTAAAAGTGTTCGTGAGAATATTACAAAGTATAATAATTAAATTTTTTAAATGTGGATAAGCAGTGCCGAATTACTTCGAAAACTGTTTATTGAGCCATTGTCACACTAGATAATAATCAGTTTTTATGATTTTATGATATGTAATAATCGAAATTAACGCTCTCTCCAATTAGCTGCACATTAAGGTAGAGAGTTTTAATTTTTAAAATGTGGAAAAAAGTAAGAGTAGTAAGGGGACGTATACGTGACTCCGGTGAGCGCATCGTACTGTATTCGTGTTGAACTTGAAGTTGTATCGGTATAGTATGTTGTCCAAATCTGAACAGTGTAAATGTACTGCAGATGGTACGTAGTCACTACTACTATGTATTTGTATATTATACTCCGGGGTCATCCCAAAATCAGAGTGAGTGATTATGCTTTTTCTCGTTTATGATTGATATATTTAAGCCGTTTCGTGTTGGCTCCTCTCGGATAGTCTTCTACTCCTGCTTTAAATGGATCAGTAGATGTCAGAACTCAAAAACAACAAAACATACTAAGACCTCCTCTAGACAGTTTGAAGCCATTTAATAAACCGATAGCTTTAATTCGCTGCTGTGAAAGCAGTATGAACATAACGCATAGGTGTAATTTAAGTCGCACACGGGACCTCTCATAATGGAAATTTCAAGCGATTTTATATGCTTAACAATTTGAAAAAGTACGAGTAGAGTAATCAAAAGCGTTTTATGGACTGATACTGAACGCAAATTAGGAAGCTTCCTCTTACTGATTGTTGTATCGTATCTAAAATTGCAAACGCATCCGACTTTCAGTTTTATGAAAACATCATACCTATGCAGATGTATGCAGAGGAGAGCATACGGTTGTAATTGATTGTTTTAATTTTAGAATCATTTCAATTTAGCGCATTTTGTACAATTTGATTACCAAGTACTGTATTCACAGTTTTTCAGACGGGATGTAGTATGTCACACGAACGTTACATTTGATGGTATAATAGTATGACACATTGGGAATCGTCTGTTCTGCCAATTATCATGCATCACCCCAGTCATTCTTGGTTATTTCAGTGTAATTACTGATCAGGTTTTGAATTCTAAAATTTAAAAAGGTTAAGGAAGTACATAATGCTAAACAAATTGCATTCACTGGCAGTTTTTATGTACTGACGCCGGATCTCACCCATGACCAGTCCGACAGCGAACCATTTGCACATTTCCTTGTGGAAGTATATTCTCGGCCCATTTGGTCTGTTTGGTTAGAACAACATACGACGTTGTTCTGACTGTGCTCTAGCTGACCACATTCGCATCAACTGGACTTGCGCGCATGTGTGTGTTCCACTTTAGCCAATACAAAACGCACTCCACTCTTTTAACAGCTGAGCTGCGATTGATACGCTAGCAGTGCCTCTGTCTTCTTCTCTCGCGATGTGTTTCACTTTCGGGGCAGCTGGCAATAAATGAACATGCTTACCGCTTTCATTTCCAGTTGAACAGCAGCCGTTTACATTAAAGTGAAGATTATTAATAAATTTTGCAAGTGTAATCGGTTGCCGTAGACGTCGGTTATGTACATTAGTTTTCGTTTATCTAAACTGGTGGTTTGATGTCGTAACCGTATGCATATCGTCATTTGCCGTTATGCCGGCTTGATGATTCTACGCTGCCTTATCTTTGTCGCCGCATCTGTTTATTATTGCTCTTTTTCTAGAATATCTTGCCGCCGATGGATGCAGCTAAAATATCCCATTCTTCACGTTCATCTGCCATTTTATCACCGACCACCACGGCCATTCCCAACGAGGTGGCACAGTTGTTTGAAAGTGCTTTTGCCAAATTGTATTGTCCATTTGATGCGGTGAGATGGACGTTGCTTGAGCAAATTCGCAGGATATTTTACGCGGATTGCCAAGGGGATATTCAAGCTTTATGTCATAACTTCCTGGCGCCAGCTGCTAATCTGGTTGATTCCATTAAACGCCACAGCAAGGTAAGGATTAAATGCAATGGCCATTCGCTTTGGCGTGGACATTTGGTGGCACCGAGGCTGTAGTAATCAGGCACATAAAGATACAATAGATAAATTATCTGAATAATGCAAACAAACTAATCCGTATAATATAAAAGTAGTAAGTTCAGATTTAATGATGTTCTTAGTGTTAATAATAGTTAGTGGCTGTCAAATGTGCTGATTTGCTTGCAAAAGTGTTAGTTTTATTCATTGAAGTGCAGTATGTAAAATTCTTTGTGTAAATTAATGGAGCCTGAAATTTCGAGTGGTTGGTGTATACGAATAGAACGTTTATGAAATTTACCCTTCAAATATTTAATAATGTTAATTTTAAAAACCATAGCACTTGTCATATTGAATGGCTGATTAATGAGTGGGTCGTGTTATTAGCTACTAAGTTTTCTAGGAATATGTTAGTATTTGTTTAAATGCCAGATAATTAGAACGATTTTTCTTTTAGTGAGATTTTACAACTGCGCGTAATACTCGAAAAAATTGGTTTTGCCCGGCGTTTGAGTGAATCCGCATTTGCCGGATCGTAAGTATGCTTGTTCGGTGTGCGCCGCTTCTGCTAGTATATTACGACACTCATTTGCACGACCGGAAATACTGATTACGAAGATGGCTGGTTGTTCTTGAGCCACTTGATTATCTCACCAAAAACGCGCTAAATGTTTTACGCTTGGCAGGACTCTTTGTTTATTTTGCTACCGACTAGAATTTATGGTATTTCTTATAATCAAAGCAAAGAAGTGCCTGACATAAAAATTAAGAAACAGTAGCATAAGCTCGCTTGCTTCATAAAGTCGATACCGAAAATATTTCTATTCCCAATGTAATTTCGTAATCGGTGATATAAGGTGAGATTTTCGAAATATCTGGTTACTTACTAAAATTTTTACTGGTAAGAAGTATTGATTTTGCTGGCCATTCGGATTGTAGGATTTCCAGTTAAGCCAGTCATTTAGCATTAATACATGATCAACTTAAAATTCATGAGAGACTTAACAACATTTTGAAGAGATAAGTCTCCCTCCTTTGGCCATAATCAGCGTTGTCTGTTGACTTTACAACGAAGTTTTATCGCGTGATTTATAACGAATGAAGTTCTCATTTTTCACCATAAGTAAGAGACGTTTAAGAATATGCGAGGAGGATATAAGGATATTTTGCACACTTGATCGCGTCTTGATAACCGGCGAAAAACTCGGAACCAGGTCGGAAATGCGGTTAAGTACAAACTCAAGTGTTTGATCTTTCTCGCTCTTACAAAATTAAACCAGCTTCAGCAAATGCTGGATGTTTGACTTATCTGCAAGATGCCTCCATTTCTCTCCATTTTAACGCTAATTAGGTGCAAGCAAGTTTAAAGTTTCAGCCATACGGAAATTTCATAGGTGGATGGTTGTCAGCTACCGCGCGTTTCGTTTTTTATGATAAATAACTGAATTTTTAAAAAAATTAAAACAATTAAAAATTTCTATCCCGCATGGGTACAGTAATTCGAATACAGTGTGGCAGCTGTTAAAATTTAAACAAGATCTTTTCCAGCAGAAAATGCCGTAAAAAGAGCAAAAGTATTAAATATGTGGAGTGAAACTCAGTGAGTAAGTTTTCATGTGGCCTCTGAATGCCGAGATTTTACCTTTTCCGGGCTTTTATGTTATGCATTTAACATTGTTGTGGTTTTGTTCTCACGATAAAAGGGGAAGTAGCAGCATTGTACTATTTTATGCTTGTCTTTTCAGCCGGCTTTTCAAAATATTATCCAAACACTGCGGTTTGATCAAAGCACATATGGGCTAACCAAACAAGAACCAGCTGGAGCCCTATTCAAACATTTTTACAAAGTCACAACGAAAGAAATAGACATACATTACTTATCTAAGCATTGACTGTGGATAATACTGTTTTCACTTCAGTAATTGTGAATACCTATCGAAGAACAATATTTTTGAATTATTTTAATTATACTTAAATGGTGAAAATGGCGTTTTGCAATTTAAGCAGTTTAACACTTTTGCAGCGGAAATATTAATTTCAAGGCTAATAAACTTAATCTGCTGGCTACACATCTAAAATTAATACTTCTACAGTTCGACTTCTGAATTATATACTGTATAACTAATAAAAGTTCTGCTGCTGCGCACAATCAGCAATACGAACAAAACTTACAGGAATCAATGCCGGTTTTGAAAACTTTCCCTTTGAATATAAAATAACAAATCAAGGGCAGGCGCCAAAAGTGTTAAGCGCTTATCATATTATAATCGATAATTATTAACTTCTGTACAAGCGTCCATCAACTTCAGTTTTCATAGTTTTCGATCATATCATCCTGTTACATGGTTGATACGGTCGGCTGATGCCACATGTCCAAAAGCATGCAAGTAGATATTAAAATCATGACACAGATGGACATTGGCTAGTAACCATCATTACGAGTGAGATGTTTTGGTTGCGCTTTAAAATGTGGAAACCGTGGCTGTGACGTACGTCAGCATGCTGTTAATTTTGAATAAAATTTTTATCTATACTTTAAGACCCGAATTGACACATATCGGCGCATGGTTTTTGTCACTACAGTTTTCGACAGTCTGTTTTTTTCAGTTTTTAAATATCGGTACAGCTTTGTTTAGCGTTCACCTATTGCAACTTTTGCAAGTGAACGCTGTAGCTGTAATCGTATGAATTTTGATGTTCATATTACAAACCGGAAATATAAATTTCAGAATAGCTTATCCCAAATTATTTTTTCGGGTAGAATTTCCGGAATGTGCATGACATGGGTGCATATTTGTTAAACCAGATAAGGGCCGGTGTGAGGAGCAGCTGTGCATAACTGCAAAAGAGCAGCAGTTTCCTGTTGACCACTGGTCAAACATGTTTAGCGCGATATTGTCTGTGTGCATAATCTTGTTATGAATGCTTCGTATGCTTAGTACCTGACAGCTTCCCATCAGCCAGTTTACCCATTACTCTCCATAAGTCAGAGATATTTTGACTTTGCATGTCTTGCGGGGAGAGAAGTTGTAAATCGGAAAATGCGCCATGTATGCGACCGCCTCAAGTGATGTTAAGATTCATTTACTAGTATTCGTTTCATGATGGGAATCGACCGCCTGGTTAGAATTTTCGGTAACTGCTTGATTGACTATCGCGACGTACTCGGGACTGATAAAGGCGCTGATGGAGCATTGAATTTCGCACCGGATATACTTTTTCTAGGGCGTGAATAATTTGGGACTAGCCCGAGTTTTTGTAAGGATCCCAGTAGTTTGAGTATATTGCTGCTCCTTTAAAAAAGGCCCAATAAAAATTTTCCCATTGAATTATGCATGATGTATGCTTATTGGGAAGTTAAAGGTGTTTGTTCGTATCGTAAGGAACGTAAAAATAAGTCTTCGGTTATTTTCTAGAGAAATATTAACCTTTGTCATTAAATCTTTTCTATAGCTGCCCCTGTTTTGTAGGTTGTTAACTTGCAGTATGTTAATAACTTGATACCGCTTCTAATGAGATGCACCTCGCGGACAGCACACATTACATAAACATTAAAGAACTTCTCATAATGTTTTTTTGTGGAATTCCCACGATAAATATGTCAGATGGTTTGTTTTTATGCTTTGACACACCAGAATCCTGAGCACTAGTATTTGCGTGTGTACGATAATAAATCAGCTTTACGGATGAAATATGATTAGGGTTCAGATGTCAAAAGATTACAGCGCTGCGAATTTAACCAACAGGTTATTATGGCAGCCGGCAACCTGCACCGACAGTTTCGCTTCGCCTCATCGGTTTTGCCATTTTAAGTCGCACAGCAAAAGGTTGCTCCATCTTTCTTCATCAATTTTCTAAATTTTTCTGCTTTGGTTGTCACAATGTGCGCGGCCTTTTGCATTCGATCTGTCGTGTATGAATGTATGCTTCATCACGAATTTCACAAATATTATGGTAACCAATTCATTTTGCTGTCGGTTTTGGACATACCGAGCGCTACCTTTTTTATGTGTTGCGGGTCCTTGAACAAGCTCGTAACTAGAAAACTATTTAATGAATACCTTGCCATAAAAAGCTCCCAGAATATTATGCCGAAAAACTTCCTGTAGTAATTTATTTTATTTCAGCAAAATTAATTGTTCAGGAAAGCGAATGTTTGCATGAAGCGAATTAGCGAATTTTTGCATTCTTGTATAATTACCCTTTTAAACTAAATCTGTCCGACTTTCAATGACCACTCACGTTACTGCTAAAAAATAAAAAAAAATCCCGTACGAATCACAATCAACTACTGTATAAAAGCTATATTTACATAGCGTCTTTTAAAGCTTGATACGAGTACTTCAGTGCCGCTTTTGTTACGCAGTAATTGAGATATGCTTCAGTTTATTACGTTGCGTCAAACGTTAACTGATAATTTTTGTAGTATTGTTGTTTTTGTATATCAATGGAACCCTTACAGTTAATGAAGCATCTGTGTGGAGTCGGTACGTATTCAGATACGCATAATTTAATGCTAACGATCTATACCACCCGTAGCGGCGTGCAGAAGGTCACAATGAATGGCGTCATCCTGCTGTTCGTGTGGTGTCACTGAGACAATCGACTGCTATTCATACACTTCCCCTATTTGCTTCTTAAGGCTAATGAGAGACCTCTGAGGACGCATTATGCGAGCGTTGTAAAATCGCCAGATGGCCAGGTGATAGCTTGTCGGCAAGTAAACTGGAATGACCGTTTTTAAAGTGGCCATTCGAGGTCAGTTCATTCGGGAATATGGACTACAGTAGTCTCTCCACAAGCGGAATGCGTGAAGTATATGTTTGTATTAAATTATGGGGATCCCCAGAAAAATCAACATAATCGCTTTAGTTTGTTCGCTCAGCGATGGTTGCGAAAACTTTCATGCCATGGTGTCCAATAATCCGTACAATTACAGTAGTTGTTAAGGTGTGGTTCATTCTCCTGATGACTTTCGGCTATCCTAGCATTACCGGCTTTACAGCCATTCCGCTCGGGTCATAAAAGTGTATTCTTATTCTATTCAATCTCGTTAGCCCTGACCAATTGATACAGTGGACAAGCCGTATCAATTAATTGGCATGTCACGCTGCGCGGTGAATGTGGTAAACAACATCGGCAGTCGGCTGGTCACTTCCAATATCTTCCGTCCATCAAATATCTGAAGAAGCTCAGATTTGATGATGACCAGACGTATGTGAGGCCGCATTAAATTCTCAGCGCAGCGTGCTGAAATCTTCAACTCAACATTAAAACTAGAAACAGTTTACACAGTTGTCATGAAGTATGATAAGTGAGCAGAAATAATAACCAGCCCCGAAACGGCCACTACACTACACTTGGCATAACAGACCAGTTTTTCCGTATCAGATTAACCTAAACTGGCAGCACATAACGGAGCTAAAAGTCAAAAGCAACTAATGAAAAATTCTGTCTGCTTAGCAGATTACGCTGACTGGTCAGCTGTCGGTGTAATACGTAAAAGCCAGTTTTCGAGCAGAACCGCGGGACAATCTATCACCGGCCCTTTTACTTATGATTAGGGCAGACTTGTTCCGGTGGCTGAGGAGTTTGATCTGACGCTGGCTGTGTGTGTTTTTCGGCATTCCTACTGCCGTATAGTAAATTCGCATGAAAAAGTCTGGCACCGAATCACCCGCTCTAGTAACCTTAACCCGAGCCACCACTTTTGACATGGATTAAATACTTTTACTTAATGGCATTTGTTTGCTGAGCGGAGTTTTCCCAACAAACTCCGGTTCCAGTACGAAGCGCGCGCGTGTTTGTTCATATTTTCTCTGGCGGCCACAGATATTTGGCTTTCGAATTTAGAGAATCTATTCCAGATTATAATCGTATTTTCCATTTATTTTGTGGTATACTGTATTTGATCTGTTTATGTAATCGGTGCGGAACATGACAGACGTCTTCCGGTATGCTTCAGCATAATTATTGATTTTGCACATAATACATCCTTGCAAACATGCGGGGAATTTTCGATTTTGTTGGCTGCTGCGAGTAGATGTTTTGCAAAAGAGATTTTCCAGGTTTCCCAAGCCGATTAAGGCACTGCTTTAAAAATAGCCGATTTTAAGTGGTTGACGGTCCCCTACAAATTTGGTTCCGAATGCCGGTTCGTATGTTTAAATGTTCCGTTGTTCTAATTTAAAAGGTTCTGTGAGCGACCGCATTTTTTTAACCGTCTGAAGGACATGCGAGTAACAAGATGAAAATTCGCCCAGCACGAATGTATTCCGTAATGCAAGCTCTGCCATTTGCATTCTCACGACAGCATTCCTGTGTCCGGCTGATCGATCTTTTCATATACTCTTGTCTGCGAAATTGTTAATAATGATTTTCTTAAAACGAGCAAGCCGCAAACCGACAAGAAGTCAGCATGCTGCTTTTTCTTCTGATTTGTAATCTTGTATAATCAGATATCAGTAGTGCTGTAAAATTGAAGGTTTATTTTTGTTCAGTGCTTTTAGCTAATGTCTTTTTTTTCTGACTGAATACCTCATTCGCCGGTAATAATTTTATGATTTTCAGGAGAGCGGAAGCCGACGCCAGTCGCTCCCTTCGCGACTTTCGGAAGCCGTGGGATGGCCGTTGTGTGCCAATGGACGCGTGATCATTCACCTCTGTGAGCTCGACCCAGAGATACGCCCCATCACCGGCACATCCTCCATTCTGCGTCCCGGTGAATGCTATTTCCACATTGCCCGCTCCTCCAGTCAAACACCCGGTCTGGTGCTCTGCCTGAAATTACGCACATCATCGGGTGAATTAATTGACCTGCGGATACCACCTCAGCGTCTCAGTATGGCCTTCAGCCAAAAGTGGTTCGAAGAGACGATTTCTGCGCATGATAGCCGGCTACTGGGCGCCCTGCAGTTCTGTGTGGTCAGCTTCGAACGCAGTATCGAGCGCATTGACTTGCAGCTTCTAACATCCGGCTGGCAAGTGCCCTTTGCGCCGTTTCCGGCCATTTCCTCGTCCGCCTCCTGTTCCTGCTCTAATTTAACGTCGTCCAGTAATGCGGAGAATACGTTGTTGGATAATGAATTGATTTGTGCGCCGGAGGGGGTGCACGAAGAATGCCAGTGTTTATGCCGGCTGAATAGCGGAGATAAAGGCAATCTTCCCGCAGTCGGCAATCCGGATCCGCCTGGTCAGTAAATTTTGATAGAAAATTCTAAGGCCATCTTAAGCGAAAGTAGTAAAATAAGACTTGGCAGTGATGTTTATCAGACCATGAAAACATTAATCAAACTAAATGACACTATGGGGAAAATAGGGTCCACTAAAAATCGGTTAGAGTAAAGCTGAAAATAAATAAAATCATGTACAGATAGTATGATTACTAGGAAACACGTAGATATTATGTTGACTTACTAACTAAATCTTGTAATTTTTAATGCGTGAAACTTTGACAATCATAGATAACCATTTCCGCACTAAGCCCTCGTGCAACAATGCATTTAATGTTGATTTTGTGTACACTTTGTGAATCTTTTATTGGATATATATTGACTTGCCACAATTCTGTTTGCGATATCTCAAATGATATTGACATGCGCCGGGATTTAAACGGCGCTAGTAAATCATTGCCCCCATTAATACACATTTATCATATGCATATCTCATTAACAGATCCTCCAGATGCAAAACATGCTCATTTGCCACTAAACTCGCGCAGCCAGCCATTCCCACCGGAAAGTGCACATCAATCTGGACGAAATGAAAATCCTGGTAGCAGTAATCGAGCGAATTTAATTAATGAACTGCACAGTGAGCTAATGCTATCCGGTGCCATGACATTCCCTGGTGAGTCAAGATTTTCATACTCGCCGCCGATTGTCGTATCACGCTAATTATTTCACTAATTCTACTGTCGTCTGTGTACATTTAGGCATATTAGACCGGCAACAGCATCCTGTTATTTTTATGTTTGGCCGAAATTTCCCGGTGTCGGCTACAGATACAGATGTGGCTGACGTATTCTGTTACTTCTATTTTATCCCACGGTGCGTCTTCGAGTTTCCCACAACATCCTTTGCTCTTTAGTTGAATTAGGCCTGGTTGTAAGGTTTTTGCAGTTGACATTGTACGATAGACTACGCCTATTTATCAGCTACAGACATACGGTTATGTGCGAAACTTATTTTTAACAGTATTAATTTAATTATGAATTTGTGCGGTACATGTACAGTGTTTCAATAGCTGAGGGCAGCTTTTACATAAATGCGATTTTATAGTGAATCCGTGTCGAGAAGCGGCTTTACTGTTGTTGTGGATATGTGCTTCCCAAATGATTCTGTGATATCACAAGCGAAATTTTTAAACATTTTGGACGAAGCAATACATAAAACGGAGGTACTGTACTTAATTTGGTTTCCCCCATCGCGATTTGTATTTATTGAGAAATGCTTTGTTGTAGCAAAGGATTCAGAATGCTATCCACAAGGTTCTGGTTATCATCCACTCTGAAACACCAATCGAAATGGCTGACCAGATTCGTGACGAACTAATTAAAAGCTCGTCGTTAAAGGTTAGTACCAATAGTGCGTCAAAACTAGATTGATTTACCACGCAGAACGCGCAAAAATATTTGGTGTTGTGACAATAATTGTATTGAATATCTTCTCGTTCCTCGCAGATCACATTCGTGCATGGTCGGGATGAACTTCGCATCCACATGGATGACATGAACATAATAACGGAATTGGGCGGTCGATTGAACTTCAATCACCAGAAATTCGTTGCATACCGCAAGGTTAATAACATTGACTGGCAAAAAACTTTGCTAATAAGATTAGCTAATAATCGTTCTACATCTCTCGTGTCGGGTGTCGTTGGTTAGGAGATTGAACCCTTTATCGAGACTTGTCGGCACGCCTCGCGTCGATTATTAGAGGCACTGCAGGAACTCCGCTTATTGGACAGCTGTTCTTGTCAGTATAAATTAGGCGGAGGCGGTATGCCGGCACAACAAATGCCACCGACGGACTTTGCCGGCCCCAATCATCCGCACATCACCGCCGCACATTTCAATGTCATGATACAAGCGCAGAAAAAAATGATGCAGTCGATTCTCGAAGACAAGCATCTACTGCAGCTTCAGACCACTGGTGATGCCATGCTAATCAGATTTCAACAAGATCAAATGGCCAACATGGAAGCCAAGTGAGTACCGATTTATAATACTGTACTTGCTTATATTGCCGACTGGACTTGCTTTAAAACTGTTGGTTTGGCTAGGGTAGTTATCAACTAAATAAAATTTTACACTTATCTCACTTTTGATAACTGTTTTTTTTTGTCTGCCGTTTTGTTTGCTCTTATCTGGATTTATTTCAATAATTTTACAAACTTGCGTCAAACTGTGTTTGGTTTTTTTCGCACGTTACTTTTGGTTGAATTATATAATGGCTTGGTCAATACAAATACCGTTCCGCACAGCTGTGATGTTTTTTGTTTTTTACAGGGACTCTTACGATCAAGCCTCGCAGATATACAGCGAAGTACATTCGGCTGCCGTTAAGCTGGCCCGATTAGCCGATAAGCGTTTGGCTAAGCTGGAGAAAGCTTACCATGTTAAACGATTTGAAGAAGATGCCCGCAAAGTACTGGCATGGTTATGTAAAAAAGGAGAAGACGGATTAGCCCGCTATTCCATAACAGGAGAAAACCTTAATGAATTGCGTCAGCAGCAGCGGGAATTTGAGAAGTTCTATTTCACGGCTTCGGTATGGGATTTATCTGTTTTACTCTCCTGCCTTTTGCTAAGTTGCCGTCGTTTATGGTGTAATAAAATTAATTTAAATCTATACTGCACTGTCCAAGCTTTATAAATACTTGTACGAGTATGTATACGTATTTGCTAGAATGATTTGCATACAACGTTATTCTGCAGCACCAACTGGAAAAAGGTTCGGATTTGGTTGAAGAATTCTCTAACACAGAGCAGGCGGATTATCCTACTGTTGCCATCGAATTATGCCGCGCCCTGAAAGACAATCTGAAGAAATTCGCCGACCGGCTGGACGATGTCCGCGACCGTATCGACGACACGGCCCGTTGCTACTGTCTCGTCGAACGAGCATTTGAATGGACTTTGAACACCATCAATTTCATGTCCCAATTCAAACTGGAACCAGAGCCCACTTTGCTATTCCTGAATGAGCACCTGCAAAAAATGGAATCCTACGTCCGCGTTCACCCGGCTTTAACGAAGGATAATTTTAAGGAGATGGACCAGATTGCTGCCCGCCTTAAAGTCTCGAAATTATCCGAACAGTGTATTATCGCCAAAAATCGTTGTCAAGAAGCGGAAGCACTGGTCATAGCGAAAGAAACCAGCTTCCTTAAAGCCAAGTTCGCTTTGATTCCCGTGAAATGCCTGGACGATACTGCTAAAAACCGCGCCAGCCCGTTTTCGGCCGAGGTCATACCGTATCGCAATTTCCGCCAGCCGAGTATTCCCGAGATGGACGAGACATCCAGCTCCTCTGAGCCGCCCTTCATCGATGCCGACAGTGTAACCGGGACGGATTCCCTCGTCATTGGATCGGTGTCATCGGTCCTGGAGGATTATCCGACCGCATTGGACGTCCATGTGGAACGCCGCAATAAAACCGGCAACATGAAGCGCAGTCTCACATGGCAGGCCGGTGAGTGTAGCCGGGCATCGAGCGGCAGCAGCAGCGACAAATCCAGTGGGAACAGCGAGGAGAATGAGGGCAAATTCAGTGCGGAAGATTTCGCGCACACGGATAAAGCGCGGGTCAATCGACGCGAATCATGGACGGTCCCCACGAGCAATTCCCACTTGTTGGCCTGCCTGCCCAAAGACACCGGGAACGCGGTATCGGGATCGGCTGGTGCTGGCCTAGATTCCGCCGGTCATTACGGAAGTAATGCCCTGCTCGTTATGCAAGAGCTCATCCAAACGGAACTGGATTATGTTACGGCGCTGCGATTTGTCATCGACGTACGTAATCTGTGTAATATAAATAATTGCATTTGTGCCGGTTATCCACTGAACCTTTCGCAGTGTTTATCCAACGTCTTAAGCGGTCTTTTAGGAGCTGTACTGCTTTAACTCGGTCAATGTACACATGTGACAAAAATGTTTGTGGCTTACTTGTGGAGTGTAAGCTTATAACGTAATCACAACTGTTGTACAAGATTTTGTATTTTCCAGAATTATCTCCCGGAGATTTTCCGTGATTCCCTACCCCAGGTGTTAAGGGGCAAACGAAATGTGGTCTTCGGAAATCTCAGCAAAATTCTGGAATTTCATGAAAATGAATTCAGTCATACGCTGGAATCATGCGCCAGTTCACCATTTCATATCGGACAAGTTTTCTTGCAGTTCGTAAGTTTAAGTTGAGCTCCTACTTATTTGATGCAAACACTTGTACTGCACCTTGCAAGCTACTCAGTATGACATTATTTTTTTGCAGGAAAAGCAGTTCTACTTGTATGCATTATATACCCATAATAAACCGAAGTCAGATGAACTGATGGCAGAATGCGGAAACGAATACTTCAAAGTACGATGAAGCACTGTTTTACGCAGCTTGTTTAAGTAGTGCGTAATAAAATGTTTTTAAAATATGCATTAGTACTGCACACACATTCGATATTTTTTTGATGCATTTAACTACAACGGAAGCCTTTTTGTAGACCAAGCAGATTGCTCTCCAAGACAAAATGGATTTATCGAGTTATTTATTGCGGCCGGTGCAACGCATGGGTAAATATGCGCTTCTTCTGAAACAGCTCCTGAAAGTGTGTCCACGTAGTGACCCCGAATGGGCTGACCTCCAGGTACCTAATTAGTATGCACCCTTCAGTGCATCAAATTATCTGTGTCATTGTTGATTATTAGGCGGCGGAAGAGATGGTGAAATTTCAACTGCGCCATGGAAATGATCTGCTGGCCATGGATTTGTTAAAGGACTGTGATGTGAACCTCAAAGAACAAGGTCGTCTGCTTAGGCAGGACGATATGGTGGTGTGGCAGGCCGGGAAAAAGAAGAGTGTGAAAAGGGTCTTCTTATTTGAAGAACTGATTTTGTTTAGCAAAACCAGGCGGCTGAAAAATGGAAACGAATCCTTCGTATATAAATTTAGTCTGAAGGTAAATTTTTCACACACCCATTCCTAAAAGGAGGTACATAATAACACGCTACCCGTTTTTAGACCAATGACATTGGACTGACCGAGCAGCTCGGAGACAGTTTGACGAAATTAGAAATCTGGTTCCGAAAACGGAAACTGGGAGATAATTTTATACTGCAAGCGGCAAGCTGTGATATTAAACAGGCTTGGACGCGGGACATCTCGTCGATTTTATGGAACCAGGCATTCAGAAGCAAAGGTAATTTAGTAAATTTATTTCACAGCATGTTATTGACGTACGGAATATTTATATTACAAAGCAATATGTGCAGCAACGCTACAGATAAGTACAGATACATCCTGACAAATTCACTGATAATACTAAATCGCTCACTTAGATGCCAGGCTAGCCGAGATGACCTGCATGGGAATAGGCAGCAAAGCCTGCTTAGACATCAAACCCAGTGAAGACCAAATCAATCATCGCTTTGTAAATCTTCGGGCATTAGGTGAGTGGTATAGTTCTGTTCATGATAATACTAGCGCTAAATGTGTAAAATTTATGCATCCTTTGCTTGTACAGCACATAAATACTCTGTAGATTTCTGTACTACTGTACAATACTCATAATAATAATATTATAGTATTTTATGTGAAACTTTACGAGCCATCATTACCGGGTTGCCGCTTTAAAAACCTTCCAGCTTTCATACTTGGGGAAAATATTAGTGCCGTAGATGGCCATTCCGTACTTGTACCGTTACAATGTAAGAAAATTACCTGAAAATATTTTTTGTTGAGCTGCGATCGTCTTCGATACTTCCAAATCCAATGTAATTTGTTTCCCTAGGACGATTCAGAGATGGTAGCAGTAGTCACTCCATCGACTTCCTGTCATCAGGAAGCAAGCATCCACGACCGCACTCAGTAATATCCCTCTCCAGCTCCTCGACTAATGGATCAACGCTGGTATCAGGCCCAATGCCCATCAGCATCCCTGCATGGGCGCCTCAGCCTTCCTCGTCCTTTCCTGATGACCCCAATGAGTCGCCTCGTCGATCACAGTGTTCCTCCGAGAGCGGCATTTGTTCCGACATGGTCAACTCCAGTTCGCCCGTTGACTCGGACTCTTCCAAATGAAATCGATAACTGCCTAATGGACGGTGTTACTGCCAGCAGCTTGGTGCCAAACCCTTCTTGGCTACTGCCCACTGGTCACTTTATATTCTCCAGTCTTCCCAAATCGTGTGATCTCAGTGTTTTCTAATGCAACGTCGTTGTCATGAATTATAATTATAGAATACGAACTGGTCAGTTTTGACTACCTGCATGTGTGTACAGTTTTGTAAAGCCAGTGATATAAGGCTGCTGCAGCTAGTAACCTTTTAAATTGTGTTCTGAACTCTGAATGCTTGTTGAAAACTTCGAAGTTGAGAAAAGCTTGGATAAGCTTATTTAGTGGTTATGCAGTTTGTTTTTGTGGATACAGACTACAGAGTCGAGCAAAAACTGACGTAAATAGCCCGGCCCCATCGGCATAATTTTTTGATAAGACAAAAGTTGAGATACAGAAAAGTATAAACTTTATTGCTAGCTAACAGAGTAAAAACGGCAATATGCTTGCCGAGCACCAACAGGATTACCCAAACCATCACCAGGAAAAAACACTTCAAAAGATTCACACTTTCAAAGGCATCTAACTTTCAGTAACATGCTCAATAAAACTCTTCAATATTATAAAACATTCCAAGAAACAGGAAACCAAATCTAACACCATCTTATAACAAATTCGTTTGCATTAGACATCAAATAACAAAAACACGGAACGCATTAGGATTATTTGGACGATTCACTCAAATTTAATTCGTTCACTATACATCTTCTGCTGCAACTGCTTCCATTCCTTTTTCACTTCCTGCCGCTTTAACTGGCCATCCCAATCCAGTTCTACCAGTCCACCTTTCCTTGCAATCTCATTCTTTACGCGAGCGGCAAAGTGTGCAGCATCTTCGCCTTCCTCACGCGTCATCGGCGGCAGATACCATACATCACAGACAATGGCCCAGCTGGTCATCATCATGAGCAAATATTCCACCATGCTTTGCTGGGAGGAATTCCAGAAAGCGTCGCCGAAGCGCGGATCGTACTTTATGGCCACCGGATAGATGGGGCAATCCACTTCGAAGGAGCCCTTCTTGAACATCATCACCGATGTGTTATTAATGCAGGTGCCTTCCGGGAAAATCAAACTGAAATTATCAATATTTTGTTTGGCAGTACATACACTATCCACGTAGCGGTAGATTTTAACGAATTGCAATCGGTAACAATATTTGTTCTAGTCGGCACCGAAATTAAAATTACACGAATACTTACACTGGCAAGTTATCTTTGGTAGCTACATGCTGCTTCAGTCTCTGCGTTACAGCACTACGATCCTTGGCTTCGCTTCTCTCAAACCAAATATGCGAACTAGCGCGTGATAGAGCCCGCTGCATAATTCCTAAAAATCCCCCATGTCGCTGTCCGATCATGGCGTAGCAGTTATCCACGGCCAGCGTCACCACATCAATCGGCGTGGTATGGTTCGCCACGCAGATACTTCCTTCCACCGCGCGATACTGCCGATCATGGAAACGGATAATGGCCGAGAACCCGCGCGACAGAATACGAAAGCACATGAGATTAACCCACTGATTGACGCGCTTCTTCAGTCTGGCATTGGGCAGGTATCCAACGACGGCCGTGCACAGTATCAACCACGCCACGCCAATCAGCGTGATGGACAGGCGGATGGGTAGCAGGACCAAATAGCGAAAGAGAAAACCCAAGCACCAGAGAATCGTCAATCGCAGTGAGATATAATGGTAGTTCATGTTGGTGCGCGTTAAAGGTTCCACGATTCAATTTCCTCCGCTTCGAACCGCTGGGTAACCGAGTCTTCGGTAATGGCCTCCATGGCCCATTTGACAAACTCATAGGAATCCGCTAAATTAAAGTCTCCCGATTTCCGCTTAATCTGGAACATATCCAGAGCAGAATCATAAGCTGCTGACGAGTGGGTTTGCCTGTCAACCAGTGTAGCGAAGCTGCTGCTGCTCCGCAATTTGCGGCCTTCCCCATCGGTCTCATCCGTGCTACCCGCATGCTCATCGGCATTCCTTTGGATTCTTCGTTTGCCCCAATCAAATATTTTCAATAAAACTTCCACATATCTTTCGCGGATCCCGAGGGACGTATTAAAGGATGCTAAAACCATTATAAGAGACAGAACAACCAGGAGAGGTGTCAAGAGGACAGATAGGGCTGTCAATAGTATATGCTCGGCTGAGAGCATTCTCGACGGTAAAGTTTCGCAAAATCCGTAAACAACAATGGTGATAAGTATCTTAATCCAATGACATCACTCGCCAGTAGTCGCTATCTTCGCCCAATGGGAAGGCCAATCAGTATCTCAAAGCTTCGTGAGATGATAGAAAGTTGCCGTAGACCGAAATCACCGAAAGCAAGCAGTAGGCAAACTGCAACGGCGGCAGCGTACAAGACATATTCTTTCCTGGATGGAGAAGGAGCACCTATGCCGACAGAAATCAAGGCCGCGTGTTAATCAGCAAAATTGTGATCTAATGGAAAGATATCTAAACTTTGGGTAGATTTTCAAGTAACCTTTAAACCGCAGACTTAGAACTTTTTTAAATGCGAGGCATATTGCGAGCACAGTTGAGTTTGTGCCAAAATTTTATCGCTCTCGGCTTCTGTATGGTGACCCACGTGAGTGCTGACGACTGTAAAGAGCATTAATTTTTGCAAAGAGTCTTTAAATTTGCGCAACTGTCTACGGCTGAATTCCATCAAATTATGACTATACATTATCGAATTTGACATATTCATAGTAAAAATAATTTTTTTCTCGTTGATAATCAGGAGTGGCGATTAATTTCGTATGAGGAAAGTGACCGAAAGTTACCCCGAAAGTGGCAACTATTGACATTGACAAGCTCGCAGGAAAATATAGCTTATGTTAAGTGTTTGTTCGTTATTCAGTAAATCATTTATTTCGGTAGCGCTCGGGCAAATCTTTTTTGTCGGTTCTTGCTTTATGAAACGCAAGTAGTTCATAATGTTTAACATAAAGCTAAAAAAGTAGACTGGTCGAGCAGCCAGCAAACCATCTCCTTATCGGCTTATTCGGTACTAATGGTAAAATGCAAAATAAATAAATACTCGATATAATCGTAAATACAAAGTGAAAAATGTGCTGGTGCAAATCAGCCAATATATCGGCGGCGTCATTGCGCCCAGTATCGGCAGTTGCTTGTACTTACAGTACTTGTATTAAATCGCAGAATTTTCAAGTTCACTGTTTACTGTGTTTAAAAATAATACAATGACGGGAATGCGAAAACAAGCTGCCGTTTGAGTGCAAATTTCAAGTTGCAGCGTTAATTCAGTATACGCCCAGCTTTTTCAAAGCAGCTTCAATTTTGTAGAAGCAGGCAATTCTACTTAAAAAAACCCTGTGCGTATGACTGGTATGAGAAAATCCAAAGGAACCTGCACGGTAAAGTTGTAAATTCAAACGGCGATATTCGTAATTGCAAGACGGTAGTAGGTGAGCAATGACACAAACACAATCTGAATTTCGGACATGTTCGGCAACAACCCCCAGCGTCCCCCACACCCCCAGAACGATGTTGCCAAAATTTTAAGTTTTGGCAACATCACAAACTGCCAGAGCCATGCTGCCGAGCAAGACATGATTCCAAACGGGACGAAAAAGGCTAGCCAATCACAATCGTTCAGTGACGTCATGAATTTTTAATTTCCGCCGGCAGCATCAAAAACATTTATCGCCAGCAGCACGCCCTGAGTTTTCGCATTCGCATCAATACACAGTACACATTCAGCATTTCAAATTTGCAAAACAACCAGAGTTTTGCATTTCTGACAGCATTAACTTTAATTCTGTTTCTTTTGCAGTTTATTTGTGAATCTTTCACGGCTGTTTGATACACTGAAATATGCATTGCATAAATCGTAGAGTTGCTTCCCAGTCCTTAAAAGCAGTCTGTACAGCAAGGTTGGTCCGATTATCGTCTGCAGTAATTTGGTTACAGTGAGCAGTGCACATGTCCAGGATTGGTTCGTTCATTTGGCTTTCGTAATCGCAAGTATGAATTCATTTTATCCGCAGGTTCGCCTCATCTAATCCCTCGGGACGACAACCGAATGAGGCTGCATCCGATCAGTCGAAGCAGGAGCGCGGTAGTCAGGACGCATCCCGTGAGCCTGAGCGTCCTCCCTTGCCTACCCAAAGCTCTCCTTCCGGTAGTCAAAGTTGGCTAGGTAAATTGCTTCAAGGGCAACACAGAACGATTGAAACTGGCCATGAATCACATTCGCGAAAGCTAGCCAAGAAAGGTGTCATCTACGAGATGCAAAGTAAGTTGCTTACTCTGTAAAAACTAGCTGATAGTGACTAACAGTCAGAAAACGGAGCATCATCATTTTAAATTAACAAAATTACAGTTACAGTATGGTATACATTATACTGCAGTTGTGTTGCAGTTCATTATTATTAATCAAAGTGTAAAGATTGTTATTTGCATCGTATTTATAATTTGCTTGGGTTTTTAGCGCATAATGTGAGACCGGACCAGCGGGCGGAATACATAAACACTTAGTAAGATCGGAAGACAGAAAAATGTGCTCGAATTTAATCATTAAACAGTCTGTCGCGCTGCAGTTCTATTTTTTCTGCTTACGTACTGCGTACTAGGAAGTTATTCTCGTATGCTACTTTTGTTATACGACGAAGTAAAACTCTTAACAATTCCGTATTTTTTATTTTGGAAATAGTGAATATACTTACTGATATTCTTCAAAAGCTTTGTATTTGGTGTAAACTGTAAAGATAAAAAGGCTTGACTTAACGATTTTAAATTACAGGTCTTGTTGAAGGTTTTGCGCTGTCATTGTAGTGGGGAGTTTGTGGAGGCCGCTCTGAAAAACCAGAAAGTTGAGAGCAATCTGGTCGGAAGCTGGATGGTCGAAACTGGCGGTGATCAAGATCAAGCCAGTAAGTTCTGCATGATTGCGAGAATAGCGTGCGAATCGCTACGATTGTATAAATGTGAAAAAGGGTTGTTGTGCCATTGTTTGACTTTCAAAATATAAATAGCATTTGCATTAATTATAAGATTTGCATTAATTAAAAAACGATGAAATCATTGTCGCTGGGAACTGCTGGGAAAGCGCAGAGATGTTTGGTTAATTTTTCACCCCGCAATTAATTGTTTGTTGGCTTTGATCAGTATTCCGATCCTTTTCCGGCTTTTACTTAGAAGCATTTATTTGGTAGTCAGCTAAGAATCTGTATTTTGTGGAGCTTGGGCTGCAATAAAAACATCGTGTTACTTTTGCAGTTCACATCTGGAAATATAACAATGGCTACGTTGCATTTGATCACACCTCCAAAGCGTTACGAGAGGACAAGGTCGGTACGGTGAATAGGATACACAGGGCAATCAATAACCGGTAACAATGCAGGGTATTTTCCTGATTGCACATCCTCGGTTTTTTGTGCTTTTATCTTTTTTGTGGTGCATTTATTTTCGTTCGTGTGTTTTTTTACCGGTTGATAACTGCATCCATATTCCACGGGCTGACTATTGTTGTTGTCTATCGTGTAACAGAAGCTACAGGATTTCCAAAATAAACTGGGGAAAAGCCTTCGATCCCGGCAGAATCAAGCTATGCTTAGTTTTAGCTTTTGGGGAGATCCGGAGCCCAGTGAGGCAAAGCGGATTTATGAACTGCGAACGTATACGTTGAAGGTAGGGCATGGAAATCAGCGCTATGCTCTTTTTTGGAAGATGTATTTATTGTATGTTTTCAGCCCGGTACACTTATCGAATGGGGAAACCATTGGTAAATCGCGTCAGCGCCTTTGAATCGAAGATAGTGGCTACATCATGCGGTGTGTAATTTGATTAGGGCCCGCGCTATTCATCTTCGTAAATCTCGTGAGGATGGAGTTGGTGGATTTTTCACGCAAATTGGGCCTCTCTATGTCGTACATCATATTTGGGCTTATGCTGACCTCGAGGCACGAAAAGACGCGCGTGATGCAGCGTGGTCCAGCCCAGGATGGGATGATTGTGTCGCCAATACAGGTATCGGGTTAGGGATAGGGTAACTTAATGCCCCTCTGACTTTTTCGTTGATAATTTTGGATATGGTTCGGCAGCATAATTTGATTGGTTGAATGATTAAGCATCGCAAGTGCTTGGTGGTCTGGTTCTGTTACTTAACAAAAGCAATTAAACTTACCGTTCTAAAGTCAGACCGAAAGGCTGTGATCGATTGATTGCTATTTACTTTCCACTGTTTTTCGATTTTTCCGTTGTACGCCTGTATGATCGTGTCAACTTTTGGTTTTCTCAGTTCTGTGATGAGGTGTTGTGAACCTTGAATTCACATTAAAGAGTGTTTTATCTTTTGCAGTGCCCTTAATTCGTGAAATGAACTCAAGGTAAGGAAGGCGACACGTAATTTTTTGGTTTATCATAAAGAACCGGACAAGTTTTCAAAAGCTTCGGATTTTGCATGTGGCCATTAATTTTGTTTTATTTATAGGATCATGATTGGAAATTCCTTTTCACCGCTCAAATGATGACGCTGCAGTAACTGTCTACGTGAACCGGTTTTATCTTTTTATTGCTACTTTGTTCACAATCTTTTGCTGTTTATTTATGGAATCTAAAGTTGTTGAATGTTGCTCATGGTTATTGTTAGTGGTTCTTTCATTCGTTGCCGTTTTTGTTTGCAGACTTCACTTACAAGTTGCAGCATATTTTATTAGTTACAGTCACAGATATATCGTGAGAAATGTTAATCTATATACTTTGTGCGTCAAAATTTGATAATAAAACACTTTGTGCATGCTTCTTTCCTGAATGTAACTCACATAAGATTTATTATTGTAACTTGTTAATACAGATAATTATTTACTGTGTATCTGCCGGGGTTTTACGAGATACTAATACTGTAATTTAATTGCTATCTATTTATTGCCTGTATAATCGGCTAATGAATCTGTGCACGTGACAGATGGTTCCGTTACAGTGCAAACCTATCAAACACCGGAAATGTGTCATCAGAGACTTCCTTTGGACAAACCCAGGAAAAGTTTTTTGGCAGTCTGCTGACTGAAAAGTGACACAGTAGAGTAGACAAAGCACGTTGCGCGACTTTTCTTATTTTAAAGTTCCGAAACAAATAAAATTTATCAAAAGAAAAAAATCAACAATTAATAGGAAATTTAAAACTCTGTTGAGAATCCGTCTCTAATATCAGAAGCGGTAGGAATGCTCAAAACCACAAAAACTAAAAACATAAAAAAAGCGTTAACCTAAACGCGAGATACAAATGGAGTAACAACATAATCACAAAACATTATTCCGACGCTTTGTCTGAGTTGCTTTTGGATAGCTGCAGCGCATATTCATACGATTTCCCATTAACCACCAATTCGTCTTTGGGCCATCCGGCAATTACTAATTCCTTCCCCACAAAATCCCAGCACGAGGTTGCATGAAAGCCCATATTCAATATGGCCAGCCAATACTCACAAAATGCAAAATAACTGAACGCGCCCGGCGCACAGTATCTCCGATGGCGGAAAAAGAATATGGCCATGCCAGCAGCCAACATGAACACCAAACTGAGTATTCTCCGTTTCCATAAAAGAGATTTCGTGCGTTCACATTCCGATAAGAACGGCTGGAAGAACAGATTCGGGTATAAATAACAGCACATTATCATGTGTCCGATGGATGTGATTAAAAACGTGATAAAACACTTTTCATGGACCGGATAATTATCCGGACTGGATACCACTGACACCATCAGCAGGGAGATGTTTTCCACCACACTGAAGGCAAAATCCACAGTGATAATTTTACTATACCACGACCAGAAGGGGCCGCTGGGATGCAGTCGGTCCAGGTTCTGTTTAAATGTTGCCCGGTAGAGTAGCGCGATAAGAAAGCGCGGCGTACAGTGCAGGGCTATACACAATCGCCAGAGATGCGTTTGTGGACGCACTCCCGTGACGGCCGAGATGGATGGCAGATAGTTCGTCACGGGACAGAAAGTGATTGTCACCTGTTCGAACTGGAAGAGCATGCAAGAAAATAAGCACACCAATAATCCGCAGAACGGAAGCAGCGTGATCACGATGACAATCCTGGCAAAGTTGATCCGTACAAGGACATTCTGTACTGTTACGTGAGGTACGGTAATATGCCCGTTGGTGGTTGCATATGGTCCGTTATTGACGAAGACTTGCGAACGGCCATTCATTACGGCCATTCCCAACAATGAAACTCGGATAACAAATTCAGCCAACGAGAACAAACAGGTAAAAGGGAAACGCTTCCCAACGTCAAATACTACTCGTAGCGGGGGCAGGTAAATCCCCGTCGAAAATTTCGTCCCTGTTCAGTGTCATCTTTTGGAAGACAAGCTTGGATGCATAATCATAAATGATTAAATATTAATTAATAATATGATTAATATCTATTCCGAAGACAAATAACAGGCAATCCGCAATCGTCACAATCCTACGGCGTCCAACCAGAGATAGAATTATCGGATGCGATTTTTCCCTCACCCGTTAATCCAGAGTAAATAACATCAGATTAAATTTACCAAGCAAACACAAAGAGAGCTAAAGCAGATAGAAACAATAAAATGTTGAAACTCACAAACTATGTCGAAAAAAGTATCGCGCGACGACCGTACTTCTTTGCACATAACCTAATCAAATTCAACGGCTTCTCCCCACCCACCAAAAAGGTCTGGCGTGAAAAACCAGCCCAAAAGTAGGATGCCAAGTCAAACTGCTTACAGCAGTATTCCAGGAAAAATGACTTTGGCAGCCTTTGAAAGGTGCTCATCCAGAATTCTAACGAACCTCACGTACGTGACGCTATGGCAAACAGTCCCAAGCTGGTTGAAACACTTTGCGAATTTATGAATCACGCAAACACAAACGACAAGTTCTTGACAACTCACCCAAGTAGCCACGCCTTCCGCCGTTGTGATTGGCAGCAATGTGCGATATTCTGTGATTAATACGCGAGGTCTCACCCCAGGTGCTGAAGCGAACAACTGGCAATGCCCTTTTTCTGCCGAACAGGCACCGGAAATGCTCAACCAATACGCTCACCGTGAGAAAAGTGAACCTAATAGTTTACCAGTTAATGAGCCATTTCTTCGTGCAGGAGATATGTATTGTGAATTTGCGACACATAATTAATTAAACCGCTTTTATGTAAAAAAACAAAAATTCTTAATTTACAGAAATCTCGAGAATTATACAGGCACGCAAAAAAACGGAGGTTAAAGAGAAACAACTTCAAACTCTTCTAGCTTTCCGAGGCCTGTGGCCATTATCTGCGGTTGGTGTAGAGTCCGTAATGGAAACAATCTTAATACCGGCCATCTCCAGACCTTTAACGGATGAGGCTCGACCTGGTCCCATTCCGTTTAGCTTTATCCGAAACGTGTCCATGCCCCGCGCTATCATCCTTCTCCCCAAACTCAATCCAACAGCCTGACCGGCCACATTCGTCCCTTTTTTGCAGTTCTTAAATCCTTCCACGCCCTGCAAACCAAACAACAGCAGCGTTAATACAATTTTTATTGCAACAATGACAAGTACAGCACGTAATCATGGCATAATTTATAGTAAAAATTTAATATTCAGTTAATTAAAATGTAACGTAATGAGAAAATAATTTGTCGAAAATACGATTAATAAACCGAAGTTCTCAGATACTCAAAGCTCATGTGCTTAAAACATGGTGGACCAGCGGAGGTAAATATATACGTAATACAATGATACACTGCAACAAAGTTTATGGAAATAAATGAACTTATACTCACCACTGACAGGTTTGTGATTGTTTTTCGCGTATGCGGATCCTCAACGTTCATTATCGTATTATTTTGGCTGCACTTAATGTGCAAAATAGGAATATCTGTATAAAGCATTCCATGGAAAGTACTGGTAAACGTTTCCAAATTTGGAAACTGGGGAATCACACTGCAAAGATGGACACGATCTGAATCCAAAATTCGACACAGTGTATTTCGAAAACTTGCATCTCAAAACGTCAGATACGGATGCGTTTAATGGTACAATCAGGAATCCTTCTAAACTGCTGCCGTAAATTGGTACCATAATTGGCAAATAATAAAGTTTCTTAAAATATCGACGAATCAAAAGCTCTCCAGTGGAAGCGTGCCGTCGGGTTGTTTCACACGAATTTCTCACTTACTCTTGCCCAATCGTTACAGATTTTTCGCCTGCAACTCCTTCGTCTTCCGGGGAAGACCTTCAGTGTGAGAACGACGATCCTTGCGTCTCATCACCGTGGAAGAAACATGAAAAGGATGGGTCTACAAATAACGGCTTAATTGTCACTCAAAGTATTTGAAAATCTTTCAAATCTAAAACGTTACGACACGACAGCCACTACAGATACAAACCATTCAGTTGTTTGCGGTACAGCTGCAGAATGTAGTGTTCGGTGCTGCGGCCAATACATGTGCAGATTCCGCACGCTGCGAACTTACCTGAAAGCAAAGGAAGGCTCTCCCTCGGAGAAGCTGCATCGGAAGCGACAAACAGCTTAGCGACATTGCAGAAGCGGCTACGGCAAGGGTGCACTATGACAATACAACTAACTCAAATTTATTATTAAATTTATAGTGAATTACTTGGAAAACAACATGAAATCAAAAGCTATACAGAAGCAATATGTAGTTTGCACTGTTTGCTGTTTGCTCTGAAAATAATTAAATCGAAGCAAAAAAGTGAAAAGTCTGTTACGTCGAAGTTGCAAAAATATTTTTGAAGTCCGAAAAACCGACTTGTGGGCAGCCCCCGAGACGGTGGTTACTGGTTTCTGCAAAATCATGCCGCTGCTTGCAGCAAGCAGCTTCAATGCTGTATATCACTCAACATTCTGAGACTGACTCTATAGCAGGTTCAAATAACTTCCAAACTACAGAATCAAAATGCAATCAGAAAAATGTATTTGAGTTGGATTTATTTTCTGAAAATGACTGCCTGCTGACCTGTTTAGTACTTGACACTGACGCATGATGGAGGAGGAAAGTAATATTTCCGACGCTGATGATAGTCCTCCGACATGCGATGGCGGACTGTGCAGCTTGATCTTGTATGAAACTGCCGCGCGATTTTACCTGGTTGGAGCTAACGCTACCCAGGATCGTTATAAAGTTCTTAAAATTGATCGGTCGGAACCGAGGGAGTTTAATCTTCGAGATGACGGCGTGGAATACACGGAAAACGAGTTGACCAGCCTGTTGAATTCCCTGGATCAAGGCAACCGTGGCAAAGCACGCAATGCCTTGGTTCCATCGGGACTGAATCGGAAGTTGTCAGCTTTTGGATTGTTGGGCTTTGTTAAATTCCTCGAAGGTTTCTCCATGGTCCTTATAACGAAGCGTCGGAAAGTGGCACAGATTGGGTATCATCATGTGTACAAAATCGAAGAGACGGAAATTATTCCGCTGGCTCCGGAACCAATATCGGTCATGGGACCACTGGAGCAACGCTACCTAAAACATTCCAGACCATTGATCTGTCCAGTAATTTTTATTTTAGCTACAGTTATGACATCACGCACACTTTACAGCATAATATGGACGGTGGAAATGGGCATCTAGAGAAGTCATCCAGCGGTGAACCGGCATGGAGATTTGTGTGGAATGAATATTTGTTGAAACGGTTAATTGTGGAAGGAATTGGGCGGGATTGGTTAGTGCCAGTTATCCATGGATTCGTCTGTCAGTCGGAAATTAAAGTATTTAGTCGCTGTCTCTTGTTAACGGTTATCGCGAGAAGGTCCAATAAATTTGCAGGTACATCAAATTTTCTTTTTTATTGAAATTTATAAATGTACTCTAAATTAATAATAAAAGCAATAATGTCTTTACTCGTGTTTAATATTCTGCAAGTTGTAAAGTACCGGTAATGTACCGGTTGTAAAGTACCGGTAATATTAACCACGAACGATGTAATATTGTACACGGGAAGAGCGCATGCTGACCATACTTTTTTCGCATTTAGGAACCCGCTTTTTAAAGCGTGGAGCAAATTCCCAAGGTCACGTGGCCAATGAAATAGAAGTAGAGCAAATTCTTCACGATACAACCTACCGAAATCAGCGATTGACATCCTTCGTACAGTTGCGTGGCTCGGTCCCGGGCTACTGGAGCCAAGAATCGTCCAAAATGATCGCCAAACCGCCCATTGTTTTGGACCGTATGGATCCGTTCGCCGCCAGTGCCGGTGCTCATTTCGGCGATCTGATGAGTCGCTATGGCTCTCCCATCTGCTGCCTTAACTTGGTGAAGAAGCACGAGATTCGGAAACACGAATCCTTACTGACGGATGAGTTAACCGAAGCGATCTCGTATCTCAATCAGTTTCTAACGGAAGAGCACCATATCCGCTACACCGGCTTCGATATGGCCAGGGCTAATAAGAAGGGCGTGGCCCTGGATAATTTGGAGAACATCGCCAAAAAACTCATTAAACATGTTGGTTTTTTCTGCTCGTTTCGGGAACTTTTCTGTCATGTCTTCCGTTGCGACGCTTTCTACCGCGAAGTGCAGCGCGTTCCCGTTGATACGGATACTGAACTGCCGGCAGTGCGCAGACAGCATGGTAAACATACTTCAGAAAATATAATTGATTTTCAAGAATGTAGAGCTTTTCTTACCGCCCGTACATTTTTTGGAGATGTTTTGTTTTAAGGAACCATACGAATTAATTGCGTGGACTGCTTGGATCGGACCAATACAGCAGCTTTTGTTGTGGCGAAATGCGTTCTCGGCTTGCAGGTGTATGCTTTGGGATTGTCGGATTCTCCGCATTTAAATTTCGATACTGATGCCGTGCGAATGCTGGAAGACATGTTTGAAGATTTGGGCAATGTTCTGGCATTGCAGTACGGCGGTTCGCAGTTGGTTCACCGAGTTGAATCATACCGACATCATGGATGGGGAACCAGCTCGAAAGATTGGATGCGGACTGTGTCTCGGTAACAAGAGGATAGAGAAACTGATATTTCTAATAAATAATACCTGTACTAACTGACACGGCTTCCAGTGGACGAGAATTTAGAAACAGGTTTCGTTTTGTTTCAGATATTACAGCAATACTTTCTCCGACTTTGACAAGCAGGCGGCAATCAATCTGTTCCTTGGAATTTTTGAACCTGACAAGCACAAAACGCACTTGTGGGAACTGCAAACTGATTATTTTCTTCACCATCCGTGGATCCATGACCCAGCCAAACATTCCCCTCCGAAAGGTTATTCGCAATGGCTCTCTGAAGAGGTGGCAGTGGTTTTGCCGGATATCTGGGAAGACGTGGCACAGACTACCAAACATTACCTTCCTTTTGATGCTTTCGGTGTATACTACAAGGTTTTTCAGTTTGGAACCTTAAAGGAAGTGTTCACGGCCATGATTCCAAATACTGTGACGGACTACATGCCGGATTTCAATACTGACCCATCTCCATTTGTTTCCCGTAGTAAAGGAATTATGAAAAATGTGACGACGTTGCTGGATCCAGCTCTGTCATCAAGTCCATCTACTAACACACCCACTGATGCTGGAATCTATTATGGAAGTGATTTGGATAACGATACTTCCGATACGGATTATGAACCACGGGAAACTCCGATCAAGACAACCGTGGGTACGGTTAATGACAGGTTTATCTTGTAGTCCTTTCTTAAATCTTAAATTGTTAAAGCACATCATATGAGTAGTGAATTCAAGCGCAGTACTTTTGTGCCGATTTGGATTGAACGGTCTGTGCACGAAGGCTTATTATGGCGACATTTCTCTAGGTCAGTTCCATTTTCGACACGCGGCTCCCTTCGCTTTGAAATCCCGGTTTAAAAGCTTCGAGCAACATTACGGTGTGGCCTTGCGCCGACCTAATCCCAGCGATCGCGTGCTGTATCAACGATTCGCCCAGGTATGGCATAATGCCACGCGTCTGCCAGGTAGTGAAGCTGTAAACCTGACCGAACGAGTCCGCTCGTCTTCCACCCAGTTGATACAAAGAAGCGCGTTTTCTTTGGATTCCTCTTATGAAGTCACACCGCCGACAGTTAATCGCCGGTCGAGGGAACTGTACAAGGCGTACGTAGAAGGACTGAACCAGAACAGAGCTCGAATGGCGGATGCGGAGCTTTATAAAAAGTACGTTGAGTCGGGCTAGCCGTTATTTTGGATTATTTATTAGCCTGGAGGGAACTTTGTGATAACTGATAGTGATAAATTTTATTGTGATTGAATTTGGAGATTTTTTTGCATGGAGTCATAGACCGTGTGTGATGTGATGGTTTTGTATTTATCTTGAAAAATTTTTTTTCTGTATAAGTGTCTTGTATTTTAAACCTGAATAAAAATAATTCAAGTACAACATGGCGCGTGTTATTGTTTTTGCATAAATATAGCTTCTTCTTGATGAGAATGTAGTTGCCAAAATAAGGAAAACCTGCTGGTTGCTTGGTGACAGCTAGTTGTATGATTTGGAAAGTAGACTGTAATAAAGTAGTACTTCATCTCAGTTTTTTAGAAAGCTGCAAATCAAACCTATTCAAATTTGTGATTACAGTAGTTTTACGTGGTAGCCACTTGTTTCAGTGTTTCGTAACATAAACTAATAATTGCCTGTCAAAATTGGTCTAATGTATCTATCTGGATGCTTCGATCGTCATCCCATGATGAGAATCGTTGCATCGCAGACGCTTGGCTAAAAAAGTGGTTTAGTGCAAGTGTTGGATTAGGCATGGTTTAAATATTTAATTCCGCGCGAATATGTGTTTTTGCTGGTATTAATGTTATTCAAATTTGTGTGGCGACACTGATCTGAAAATCATCGAATGGAGCCGTCTTTTGTACATGTTGAATTCGACTATCCCGAATCCTGGGAGACAGCGGAAAAAGACACCATTGCCCCAGTCACAAGCGAAGAAATATCAAATGTCAGTATAATTTTTTCATTGCTTCAGTGAAATCCATAAGTAATTTACCGAAGATTTGGTTTGTTCAAACAGGAACCGCCCCGGTTTCGGTCAAAGTTGAACTTTTCTTTCCCATCAAGCAAAACATCGATGCTCGAAGAGAAGAAAGTTCCTCAGTTGGTTGGGATGGATAATATTTACGAAAACGTCATGAACGCCGCGTCAGTAAATCAGCCACAGCGAGCAGAAGCAAACAAGCCGGAGCGTTGCTTATTAGCTAGTGCCATTAGTGATACAGCTTTGCGATCAAAATTTGGGGAGATACTGAAATTTTTGCGGTGCGAGGGTTTGATAAATGCTGTAACTTCATCACCCATGCCAACTTGTGCAAAGAAAACAATTTCTTTGTCTCCGGAAATGGCTGAATTTTATTTTCTCGGCCAAAAGAAGTTGTATGATGCATTTCATGCACAACTGAAGGGACCGCCTCAATTTGTAAGCTGCTGTTCAGGTGCGATTTGTTTAGAAATATGTGATGTTTCCGGCTGACAATGTGTTATTTTGTTAAAAGAAATAGAACCTACGTAAGAAATTTGCCTACCACACCTGTGAAATTTATTTTTCTGCATCGATTTTTTTTATAGTTATTTTTGTACAGAAAAAAACATCGATTGGCAAATGAAGTGTCCGTTTACTCGTATAATTCGTTAATCGTTTGTGATTCCAAATGATTTTGGACGTTTTAAAAGACAACTGCGATTGGCGTTTAGTATTCGCTATTGACGTCTATTTAGTAATTTGAATAACCTCTTATAACCATTTTTATTCATTTAGGCGGATGTCGAAAGTCTGAAAAGGTCTTTATCTAGATCGTATGCCGACAAACCTTCGTCCACAAATTCTGTGGCAAATGATTCCGTAAGCTGAATTTAGAGTTTAATTATGTAAAATGTTTTACTTATTTTCTTATGAACTGACGTTTAGTTTTACTCACTTTTATTTTGCTGCTTTTAATGGTGTTTGTATTTTCACTTATATGAACTGGGACTAGTTCCATTTTTCAGCATCCAGACCAGCTGTCGGTGCGAAATTTATTTCTACTCAAATTCGCCACAAAATACACCGACTATAATGTTAGCACGCAGTGGTTGAGCGTTCTGCTGAAGTGTCCGTTTGGGAAAAAGATGGATCTTCTGAATAATTACATTGATACGCACGGGCTACGTCTAACGTTTGAACAGTACCTGGAAACACACTTACTCCACGGCACCAAGCCGGTCTCACCGTACTGGCTGATAGAGTGCAATGCCGATTATCTAGATTTCCGTATGCATAAATTCCTGCGTATGGGCTGGAAGCCACGGGACTACCGGCAGCGGAAGGCTATTTGGCACAAAGCCCTTGACAGTCTGGACAAATCCCCCGATGTACTCGGTCCCGAAAACGATTCCTTGTCTGGATGCGAGATCCATGCGTGTCCTGGACTGATTGATATGAATATGGCCGACAGTGCCAGGGGATCCTCGGGTCAGACGGTTTTGTTGCACTTTAAAACAAAGGAGAGCGGAAAAGTTAACGATTTGTATCTTCCTATTACGAATTTTTCAAATTTTTACGTTCAAAATGAGAAAAATATTATTTTTTGTTTAATGAAGATTGTCTCTTCGTTATTGTTTAGTTTCGTGTTTGATTTTACGGCAGCTGTTAGTTATAAGCACAGAGTTATAATGTTATGAGCACAGGGTGACCCGTATTATTGTTTTAGATCCAGCAGCGCTACAACAACGATGGAACATGCAGAGTCCCCTAATCTTAGCTTTAATTTCTGAAGTTTCACAGTATTTAAAAGGCTTAGAAATTACTGCAAATGCCATCAGTGATTGCCAGAAAAAGGAGCTGACTACTGCACTGCAGCAGTTAATAGAGATGCCGTATCCTACCGATGACCTTTCAGTAATGAATTACGCACGAACCTTAATCCACCTGGCCGAAGTTTTTTACCGTTTTTGGATGCAAAATTTGAATTATGCCGATGAATGCGTTAGTCGGGAAACGTTACGGGATGCGGCATCCAATACAGAAGGAGCCGCAGAAAACGTAGAAGGTTTGTACATGCAGGCGCAAAACGGGCACATCGAAACATCCTTGCGCGCGTAAACTGCTCGTAAATCAAATTAATAAATGTTCTTTTCTTTGTATCTGTACACAGGTAGCTTTTGTGCACAGTGTCATGCGTAGATAATCAGAAATACTACATGCTCAAATACTACGTGTCAATTTTCAGATATCGATAACGCCGAGGACGCTACGCAGACATCCTTGACCTTTTTGCCAGTTTCGCCGCTCCCGGTTGACCCATCCATACTGGCCCCTACGCTGAAAAGGGCACACTCTAGTGCTGTGTCAAGTAAGAATGATTAGATCGTTTTTAGCATGTTCCATTGTGTTGGATGGGGTGCCATTAGCAAAGGTGCATATTATACCTGTGTTGCTTGCAGAGGTCAATCGCATGTACTGCCTGTCCTGTCTAGAGAACACGCCGAATTTCGTCCGCATCGCCGGAGATAATCGAATTCTTCTGGCCGACGGGATGGTGGTGAATGCTCCAGAGCCCAGTGGTTGTCCATTATTATGGAAGCCGGACATTATAGAAAAGACTATCATAGCCCAGAAAGAAGCGGCTAAAAGTCCCGATGGTGTGTTTTGTTTTGTGTCAGTTTCTCCTGTACGAAATTACAAATAGGCGGCTACAGTATTTCCCAGTTATTTTAAAAGTATCTGCTTAATGTATATTCTGAATAAATTATCATTTGTTATTAAAAAAACGTTTTTCGTATTTGCAATACGCGGAACTTTCGCACGTAATATTTCGTGCAAAATTATGTTTAGGACAAAAATGAGTGTTTTAGCTGTCGTTATTGTTACAGAACCGAGCAAGAAGTTTTTCAGCGAATTGCCGGGTGTTGCGCCGATCTCTCGCCAGGCACCTCTGGATGACCGCTTCCAGCTTTCTGGCTGGCTTCTGCCTGACGAGCAGTCCATTCCGGCTAATACTGCTAGAGAGAACCGTGCTTGCGACGAGTATGAGAAATCTTGAACAGCCTTGATGTTATTGATAAGAGTCATAAGACCATCTAATATACTTTCCTGACGAAAGTGCTCTTAATCGGGGAGTTTATTCTAGTCAGTTAATAAAATGTAAACGTTGTCCTTGACAGAGACTCACCGGATGCTCCTCCGGAAGGCTGCCCAATTGCTTTCAAAGTGTTGGATATTCAGGACAGTGGGGAACTGCTGGTGCTGGAGGACAAAGGATCCGCGGCGGACATGGCCACGGCACATGCCGGCAAAATGGCCATGGATTACAGCGCTGTTGTATCGCACCCGTTATACGAAACTGTGCGCGCTCCAGAAGGCATGTAATTAACCTGGCAATTCGCGAAGTATCATCATAATTAATAATTAATCATAATGCGAATTGTTGTCTTTTTAGACGCCACCACTAGTATCTTCCATCCAGTTGTGGATTACAGTCTGTTGTTAAATCCACAAAACGAATCTGTAATGTCAGTTGATGCATTTACACGGGATTCTTCCCCTCCAAAGGTCACACAGGGCCTAAGCATACAGTGGATCGACCGTATTACCAAAAATCCTCGTTGCGGCCAGCCGGTGATGTTATACAAGCACCAGCAGTACAGCAGGTAAAATGATTTCGGGATGTAATGGTGCCGTTGTTTGCGCTTTCTGTCATTTTGACCTTTAAAAGGAACGTTTTTAGAGATTATGCTTATCTGTGCACTTATTTTCGACATCTGACCGTCCTGTTTTTTAAGTCACCTTGTAATTTATGTTTTTAACTGTGGATAAGATGTTTATTGAATGTAGGATAAACTGGATAATGTAGTACAAGAATTTCAAGTTAATCCGTTGTTTAGGAGCTGGCGGAAGCTATGAGCGACAGCAGCGTTTACCACGATGCTCAGTCGTCTCACGACGTCAACCGCACCGTTCTGCCGGAATGCTCGGCCTCTTGTCGTTACATCCCTCTGTAAACGTGTCCGCTGATATTAAAATTCAAGTGGTACAATAAGTAAACGTCTTTTGTTGTCCTATTCGCACATCGACATTAAATGTTAACACCATCAATTCTGGCGTATATTATTAAGTGCATTGTGCACAGATCGCGGCGATGCCGACATGTTCTGGCTAGAAATGGCGCAATAATCGACCAGTGTTGTGTGGCGGATTTGAATGCCATGTGTAAACTAATAAAACCTTATCTTGCCCGGTACATTATTGTGCTGGATTCTGTAAGACGCAAATATTGTGGCTGGGTTGGTAACACATGTCGAGACAGGAATTTGGCAAAACACTTGAAAGTGCACCATAAATCACATCAGGGCTTTGTTATTGACAAGATCCTGCCCAGCATCTCTTTTTCGAGCCACTGGCGGAAGAGTGAGATAACGCTGCTGTTTACATTATCAACAGACACATACTGGTTGGCCTACAGATTCGCACACAAACACGACTCTCTCCTATCGGCAATCGATAGCTTAAGTGTTTTATGATCTATGGTCAAGATAAGAATGTATACGGTGTTAATTTCCGATTACGTTAATTACTGGCTATGTCGGCGAACGGTCGCCAGATGGAACAAAGACAATAACATAACACATGTCTGGTTGTTACTGTACGTTTGAACTACAGTATATATGCGCAGCGATAAGGACATTTGCGAAATGTATAAAAATACAGTTTTCACCTTGGCAAGAAGTAGGAAGTCAAAGCATTTTTTTGAAAACCACACTCCATCCGAAAAAATTTAAGATGAAATTCCTGAGATATTTTAATCAGAAGTATACGGCGCAAGGCTGAATTAATAATCGGAAAATCAGTTTAATAATAGTAGCAGCATTCAAAGGTAAGTATACAATTTTTCATATGCTATAATTTTTTTGTTTAAATTTGTAACAAATACTGCTGATTTTCCGCAGATGTGCTTAACTTTGCAGCGTCGAGTACAATACATAAGGCAATACTTAACTGATACATTTTAGTGTTGAAAGCGATAGTTGCACATAATACAATAAAAAATGTGGTCTCACAAATTTATCAATCCACCGTCTAGTAAAAATTTGATTATGCATTTAAATGTATAAACTAGATATAACGTAAAGTGCGCAGTCGTTGCTATATTTACTGCGTTTGTATTTGATTAGGAACCGACATATCCAGTAAGCAAATTCAGCTATAACCGCGTGTGCACTGGACTCTTTCGGAATAGCAACTAAACGCTTATGGACGCAAAACCGCAGCGCCATGTCAGCCTCCGCTCTGACTTTCAGCATGTTGTGTTTGTTTCTTAAAGATGTGCTACCAATTATAAAAAGAGCTGTCAACAGTTTTTTCAGCACTTCTCATGGATCGAGTGATTTCCCACAAAGTGTGCATGTGGCGGGTGGCTAGTCAATCAATAATACACTGGTACACGCATGCACACTAACGATTAAGATACTACTATATTTTCTTAATGGAATACATGTACTTCTGCATATGTGATAAAGGTTGTGTTGTTACGTCGCTGGTGGCTCGATTTACATGGTACTCATATTATGGTGTCCGACTGTGTTTACTGCGAATAACCCGTGTCATTCCGCTTCGTGCAGCTGATGTCGCCATGCAAATTCCACAAAAACCCTAGCGGGGCGTCCCCCGTGGGGACTGTTCCGAAGGACGGGTTTTATTACATAATAACTGCAAAAAACTTCTGTTGTGGAGTTGTTTACTGGGAAGATTGCCTGAGTGCAAGCTGGACGGCTATTTTAGCGAAATAGTCTGCGGCAAGTGCAACCACCTCGCGTACGCGCATACGTGTACAGTATTAGTCTCGACTTTGGGTACCTGATTCCGACTGCCACTATCTCCAAAACTTGCAGCATCAGTTTTTCGTTGTCACTTTAACGAACCTTCCCAGTTAATGTTTCAGAATAGAGAATAAAATTTTAGAATTTTTGATATTTTGAAAGTAGGTTTTATGGAGAACCAAGAAGAGTTAATTTTGTTTTGGTTTCGTAGACTTAGCATAGGTCCGTCCGTTGGAGGCGTTGCTTGCACCCTATGCTATATCTACGAGAAACCAAACAAGCATAACTTTCTTGGTTCCCCACAAAAACACTTATCAGAGATCAAAAAGCGTCAAATTTTTCTTTCTATCTTCTGAGATGTTGGTTAGGAAGTTTTATGGAAAGGTAAACGAAAAACTAGTGCTTGAAACTTTGGATCAACTGACGATGACATTCAGTGCGTTCTTTCACTGTTCACATACATGCTCCACCTCTGCCTCTGCATCTCTGCCCATCCTGAGTTACAGCATTTCTGTCTCTTGAGTTTACAGTAAATTTCTCTCTATTGTCAGTAAACGTTCTGTCTGTCCTCAGTTACAAGCTCAGTTTTTCCCTATCCTGTGTTACAAACTTACAAGTTACAATAGGATTCGACATGGATCCATACCTACAGGTATATATATACATACATATATATATATACCCGTGGACGTATGCAGCGCTACGTCCTTCGGAAATTTCCATTCTTGATCAATACATGACACATTGCGACCGTACGTGTCTGCGCCGCTGTATGGGATTATCTTCAGCCCGAAATGATAACCTGACCCAAAAATGATAGCATGACTTGACACAGATTTCTTGTTACACATTTTCGGTGTGAACAAATTTACATTTATAATCAGTGCGCAGGACTGACTATTTGAACTTTTCTGTACACAATTTGGAAAAATGTGGTTTCTGCGTAAACAGTGATCCTCTGTTTAGTTAGTCCATCCGTTTATAGTGGTTTTATCAAGAAAACATTTGAAAAATATGATTAAACAACCCCGGTTATCCTCGCGAAAAACCGTGGCTGAACGGATTTCACCATCATCGCTGATTGGCTCAGAACGCCCGGAAAAACATACTGTCCAAACTGACCATGGGCGGAGCCGGTCTGAGTGCCAGCGTCCGTCGCGTCGGCCACAGCCGATCATTGATTATCGCCTGAAACTTGAACCAGTTCAGCCGGAAAATCTTCCTCCTGTAACGAGAAATATTACCATCGCTTCCAGTAGAGCATCCCCAGCGTCTAGCCGATCTCCCATGGATTACATTAAAGATGGGCGATACAATGTCCAGCAGGAGAATGACCACAACCGACGAGTGGAAAAGGAAGAGGCGGAAGGACGGATCGAGGCTTTAGAGCAAAAGATACAATGGTAAGACATGGTAGAAGCTTGCCGGTATTTTAGGTATCCGCTAATAATCAGTTAGCTCGGAATAGCGCAACATACCGCTTAATTAATTTGATGGATGCATCTTCGCACAAACTATGAGAAGTGAGTGATTTATTTGGTCCGCTTGGCTTATTATGACTGATGACTCGACCCATCTAGCGCCACATTATTTTTGAAGCTCCCGTATGTAACCTACAAGCAGCTACCCTTGAGTAATCATTACTGTCTGTAGTAGTTACGTGAAACCGTCCGAATATACCTAAAACCAAATGTGCTTGTTATTGCATACGAAATTTGTTATAATGTTTTGTTAAGTATATCTTTGGTCACTAAAGAAGGTGCAAAATTTTTAGAATAAAATAATATACAGATAAGATACAATATAACTAATGAAATAATATATATACCTAAACAAGTAATGCGGTAAAATTGACATGTGCACTTTCATCACATTAATTTTTCATGTTGTTAGTATAATATTAGGCTTACATAAAACCGATGCACCTCGTATTTCTTCTCTTGGTGTGGAAATGTAGGGCTTTTAATTTCAAATTTATTACAGTGACGATATCAGTGATAAGGTGAAATTGGTACGCTAACAAAGCAACTTGTTTTTGTTTTAATTGTAAGTTTTCAAGTTTCTGTAATAGAGTTCGGCTGCAGCCTAAGGTGGGTAATAATATTTTATGCATAAGTATTGTACAGAAGCGTTTGGTTTACAACTTTTAAACTCAAGAATTCATGATCTGTAATCTGCGATAGCAGTCTGTCCAGTTGTATGATATGACTGAATCATGTATCCTATGTAAAACAGTGGTATCGGTTATGCAATTGATTTTCATGGGTTGGGCCAATGGGCACTGAAAAGATAATATGGTAAGTAAGGTCAAATATTATTTAATTAATACGATTTATATTACGTAATGTGCTTTCTTGAAGTTGAGCACAAATATTTGTAATAAAATCGCATTGTTAAATGCAATTTTCGTAACACGCATACCGCACTGGCAGTCGCTGCCAACGATTGCAGTAAAGCACTAAATTAAGACAAATTTTAGGTGGGCAGATTGTACGAGCGCATGGCGAACGAAGTACCAGGCAGCCAAGGCACAAAGAAATGAATTACGGGAACACAATCGGAAGTTGCAAGCGCAATTAGGAATTGCCGCGGAAGACACTAATGCCGGTCCAAAAGACAAGAGTGCTCGCATTAAGTCGCCGCGTCGGCGGCGCCGCGGCCACACCGGATACCATATGACAACGGATGGCACGGAACTAATCGACTCCGCCTGTCAAACGTCCAACGATGATTCCACACCGGAACCTACAGGTGCTGATTTTGATCTACAGTCCATACTGCGTGATCTCGCTAACGTGACAATACGGGAACCATCCCGGGATGTCGCCATTCAGACGGAACAATTGTCCATTCCCGGCGCACTGTTCACTGACCCCATTCTGCTGGAACGGGGCACAGCATGGCGGAGTAGTAGCAGCGGTGGTAGTAATCGAGATGCGGCCGAAGAATTACAAAAACAGTTGACAGCACTCAAGATTAAACACGATCTTCTGGAGAAAAGTGATCAGGAGAATGTGCTGCAACTGTCGTTGTTGCGCGTAGAGTATCAAATGGAAATGGATAACGTGCGCTTGGAGCTGGAGAATGAACTTGCCGCTAAAGGCCAGCTGGAGATTAAGGTTGCTGAACTGCGGTACAAAGTAAGTTTTGTTGTAATTTATAATAATTTTGCTAGGTTAAGGACATACCACTACGGCACTACCATATCAGCTCAGTGTATTGTATATTAAAGTACGTACATTAACCGGTAATGTTAATTATGTTATTACTTGTAACACTTAATTTTTAATGCCATTTGTACATAGGCCGGTAGGCTAATATGTAGAAAATTTTGTGAAGTTCCAGTGTAGCAGTCACTAATTAGGATAGTTGTACTGCATGGTGCTTATAAGTCCGGAATTCTTGAGTGAAATGCCGGTTACAAAGAGTATGCGTGATAAATGATTTCTTTAATGAATGAGCCGTTGACGAACATGCAAGTCGTCAGTAAGTATTTACACAGGATAAACCAAGACAAAAACAAAACATTTTTTGCATAAAAAAATTCCGTGCGATTTAAAGTATCGCACCAACATGTAATTAAAAACCTCAACGTGCAGAGTGCAGAAAGTAACTGCGGTACGGTATGTACACTGTTACGTTCAATGGACAGTACTGTCTACGTAGATATGCATTATGTACTCTGTACTGGCACAAAAGTTTCTAACGCAACATCTTTGGAAGTTAAAATTTTTTTATCTCTTTTCTTGCGCTGTGATAAGCTTTTACATTCATTGTTTGAATTCAATGTGTAATTGTTTCAGAAGAACAATAAAATTTAATACATAAATATTTATATATCTACACTTTTAACGTCAGCTATGCGATTCGCGATCTTCTGATTTCAAAATGCAGTAGCGGCGCTTTTACGGTATAAACGAATGTCGTTGCGTGCAACATTTACTGTGGAATTATCAACGTTACGCTAGTGCTCTGGTCCATTAATCTCAATAAATAGGGACAGATTTTTTTGCCACTCCAGTGCGTTTTATGGTTATTATTACGCCATTTAATTTTATGCAGGTTGAAGACTGGCAGCAGAAAGTCTCGTGCGCTCAGAATCAATGCATGGCCGCCGAAACCGAAAAGCTTTCGCTGGAAAGAGAAACGCGTCGATTACGGAATTACTGCGATGTGCTGCAGAGCCGTATACAGCAGTTAAAATTAGATAGAAGAAAGAGTATTTCCGGCGTCAATGGGAACACTTTCTACAGCGACGCCGAGCCGGTAATTTGTGTCATAAGTGTAGCAAACCTCATAAATTATATTTGCCGTCAAACAGGAAAATGTCGAGTATTTGAGACTGTTGACCGGATGTGGAGCAACCGCATCCGATGAATTATTTTTATATCTTACGCATTTTTACACAGGAACGACAAGATTTGCGCCACGATAATCAGCGTCTGCAGAAAAATCTCCAGGACCAGATGACCGAACTAGGCCATGCCATACGGCGATTAGAGCATTACGAATCCGAGGTGGCTTGTCTCCGTTCGCAAATTAGCCTCCTTAACCAAGAATTAACGGCTGCTCGCCAAATTTCCGACGACCATGCCAGTGAAGTTGAACGGCAGAAAGCGCTTAATCAGGACTTACAGGATCAATTGGAAAGCATGCAAATTCAATTAGCTCGTGTGCAAACACGGCTGGAGATCAACTCATCGCGGACGGCGTGATTTGACCAAATATGAACTACGCTCATCAAGCATCATCAACGTTCAACGTTTACATAAAACACTGACCATGTAAATATAAACAGATATGACCGTCACTTTATTATCTGCAATTTTTACAAAATCTATTTTGATTCACCGTTGTGATACAACCAAAATACTGAATGTGCCAATAAACGTGTCCATGTCACTGATCCGGAAGCATAACAAAATCCTCCACCACCACTTCGGGCACGTATGGATTCTCGCGCTCTTCCGGATTGCGATTGCTGCCCGGTTCGCTCATGCCCAGATCCTCCAGTTTCCACATCCAGTCCAGACGCTGCTTCGAACGTAACATGCGTGCCTCCAAGCGATGCCTGGTCAGCATTTCCTTCTGTAAAATTGTCTCTGACTTCATACTTATCAAGCAGCTAAATAAAAATAAATTTCCTTACCTTAGCATAATCGGATTTGTCATCGGAATCTTCGAGCCATTTTATCAAGTCACGCATGGTAATACGATTCCTCGTGGCACTTCTCGTTTTCTCATCCTGTAAAGCATCAATACAAATCATCAGACTATAAACTCGACCGAGTGCAACATTCTCGCACGTGACTTATAAACGCATTTCCACTGAAAGCTAACAGATTCCAAGATTTCAGCGTACTAACAGATTCAAGATTTCAGCGTAATGTTTGATAACACTACTCGTAGATGAATTCACTTCAAAATTAATCGCACATAACCATAGCAATTAACAACATAATAGTCAACATTCATATTTATACCAAGCAATTCACCACGTAATGACAAAAGTTTAACAAACACTACACCGATTTCGATGATTTTAATTTGAAAATTTTGTGAATATCCTAATCTTACGAGAGGCGTGTGAAATAATTACCAGATCTTGATTCTGGAACGACCGGTTTGCCTCCTGTTCGCTAATAATCATGCAGGCACTATACGGGATGGTTATGCCTGCCTGAATGCGGCAGAAGCGTTGATGCAACCGCATCATTTCTTGTTCGGCTCCCATGATCAGACGATCGCGCTCGATAACATGTTGGCGCATAAGATTTTGTCGCTCATCCTCTTGATGGGAGAAGAACGTTTTCAGTTCCGGCACCAATCCTAAGGGTGGTTCCAACTTCTACGAATTTCAGATACATGTGCATATTTGGTTCGGTTTTCGAGCACAAGCAAGTACGTTTGCATCGCGTCTGTTAAGCGCTCATAATCGTCTTCTTTGACCCACCTTAGGTAGCTGAGCCTCCACAGAATAGTTCTTTCGCATAATTAAATATTCACTACAGTTTTTGGGGAATGCCTTCATCGGAAAATTGTTCGTGTAGTTTCTCCAGTTCTCTTCGACCTGTAAAATTTAACCTACGCCTAAAATAGTGAACCTCATAAGCAGTAAATATAAGCAATAAATATCGGTTATCTCCAGGCTGTGCACAATCAGCAACTGGGAAGAAACACGGGCTACTAGGAACCCACGAATACATCCACGCAAAATTTACCTGTCTCCGCTGTGTAACAAATTCTTCGATTTCATTTCGAATGGTGAAGCGTTTCTTCAGTGGTAATCTTGCTGACGATTCCATGTATTCTTGTGGAGATTCAATCATAAGCTTCGGCGGAAGTGATTCGTCGCGCAAATTCTTCATCTTTTTAGCTATTATTCCACGAGGTTTCTTCTGCCGCGGCTCCTCACTGGCTGGCTGCGCATCTTTCGAAGCTTGTTCCATTGACGGTGGCATGGTGGACAGCGAGCGTTTAGTTGCTCGACCACGTAACTGTTTTTCGTCTTTCGGAGATTTTTTCCGATGACCACCGGGTTGTGATGGCCCACTGGTAACTTGAGCTTGAGCGCGCTGACGGGTCATTGGTTTGCGAGTGGCATCTTCCTTCTAAAAAACAAAAGAATTACAGCCACATTCTTCGGTGTAATGTATTCCACGCAACGTTGTAGAACCACCCAATAAGTTTCTCAGGTGCAAAAGCACTTACTGTAACCATCAAAACACTTTTCGCTAGTATTGCCGCTAAGAGTAGCCATAGCTTAAAACTGAACGAAGATTTATATATCTTCACGTGCAAAAGCGTATTCTAAATGTCTGTCACCTTCTTCGATGATGATGCCACTGGACCTTCTTCCATTTTTATTTTACCGCCCTCGCCTTCGGAAATTCCCAAAGGAGCAGTAGATCCGGGTTCCATCTTAACGGGCACGTCCTCCTTCTTATTGTTAGGTGGCTTCTTAAGCGACAGCATTATCCGATCCGGCGACACCGCAAATGGGGATTTCTGTTGACCTATTTTCTCCTTATCCGGAGATTTCTTTTCGGCCATCTTGCCCTTTTCGGGAGCTTTTATCGGGAATACTTCCGGTTTGGTTAATCCCAGCGCTCCCGACGGGAGTTGTTAAGGAGATGGCGGGAATGGGCAGAGCAGGTGGGATGCCCAAAGTTAGCGGAGAAACCCGCACCGCCAGCGATAAGGACTGCGGTTTTGCGGGACCGACCGGCCGGATTATCAGCGATGGCTGGTTTTGCGGGACGACTGCAGCTGTTGTGGGCGTATCAGTCGGCGTCGTCAAATTTGTACTGGTGGCCGGTTCGGGTAACGTAGTGGTTGGTTTGATACCAGCGGAAGCGGCAGTCGTGCTGGGTGATAGCGCAGTGATAACGGAAGTTGGGGTCGATGAAGGGGCGCTACCCAAAGACACAATGGGCAGGAGGATCGAAGTCATGGGTTTCGTTTCAACGGTAGGTACAGATACTGAAGGGGTTGGAACGAAGGCTTCCTTTGTAACCTGGACTTCCGGTTCCGGTAGCGGAGTCACTACAGACGGAGGCAGCGGTAAGGGAGCCTAAAATGATTTTTTTGGAAACTAGATGCAGAAATTGCTCAACTAAAAATCAGTCAAATACCGCAATCGGCATAGAAGCTTCGACGGCTGGCTTATTTTCACTGGACAACGTAGAGCTGACTGGCACTGCATCCGCTGGCGATGGTGGCACTGTATCAGTTGGCGGCATAATCGAAGCTTCCTTAGTCGGCGGCATACTTTCCACAACCGTTTTCGCAGCCGTAGCTATTGTATCGGGTATTTCTGCCGGAGCTTCAGCAGTAATCGCAGAAGTCGTCTGATTAGCCGGCAACGCTACGGTTTCCGGTGCTTTAGGGGATTCAGTGGTTTCTGGCATTTTTGTGCTCGATAAAGAAATAACTGGTGTGGCGTTGGTTTCGTGTGGAATAACAACGATAGAAGGCGCTGCGGATGTCGTTATGGGTACGGAGGGTGCAAATATCACGGATGGAAAAGAGATCACGGACGGAAGAATGCTGACAGATGATGGAGGTGTTGATGTGGTTGATGGCGCTGGAGCTGCCTGTGATACAAATACCGCCGAGGGCGGATTCCATGGTTGGCCAGCCACGGTAAGAGTTATGGGAGCTGACACATTCGGAAGGCTAGTCGGCTTTGGACCTAAAATAATGGAATAGTGGCTGCATGATTTACGGAATGCACAGACTTGGCTGAAAGCATGGAATAAAATACTGTAAACCGAAAAAAGAGCGGCTTTCCAGCTGCTTTGAATACTGGCATTGATCGACACAGGGATCGTAATCCGTGTAGTAATACAAAAATAAGTTAGTAAAACGTTTTAATTAATAAAACAAACAATTACAGAAAACAGTCAAATTCAAGAATTCCTATTAAATATAAGGAAATTATTAAACATAATATTAACAAATAAAAATATTAATATGATTATATGATTAATATGATATCTAAGAAAATAAAACATAAAAAGCGTTATGCAGGCACTGATTGAACACTGTTAGCTTCCAGGCTACCAAACCCAAAATATCCCGCTTACTGGTTGCCGGTGGCGTTAGGCTAGGTACGATGGGGGCTGGAGCCGGCGATTTGGGCTCCTCGTCATCACTAATATCTTCGTACTGTGATTCTTGACTTGGCGTTGCCGCAAGTGGAGGTTTGCCGTGAATACTATCAGATCCACCACTACCAGCACTACTACCACTAACTGGACGAGCCGTGGGTTCGGCAGCATCGTCTTTGTTGTCGTGTTCCGCTTTCGGTTCTGCAGCAGATGATCCAACTTCTTTTCCCGTCGAGCTTCCTTGCAAATCTTCAAGCAGATTTTTACCAGATTTCGTGCTGCTTTTCGATTCATCTGAGCCAGACTTCCGAGCTTCTTCGTCACGGGACCGCTTCGCATACACTGTCCCGGTGAACGTTCCGCCCGGCTTATCACCGGATTCAACAAAATTTTTCAAAATCGTCCGTATCTCGTCACTCTTATCGGCCAACTGCAGGCAAGTCTTCCCATCCGCATCTACCGCTTTCGGATCGCATCCAACACGCAAAAGGAATTTCACAATCTGTACGGGACAAAAACGAAGCTGAACTACGGTTCTCAAACCATGCGAATACCGGGATACCCATATACCAGCCCACTATGTACATAGAAAGTCTGCACGAGCTAGCACCAAACGGAAGATGTGAGCTGGCTTTTTTAAGTTACAATTAGGCAAAAAATAAATTTCTTTCGGTGTATAAGTAAGATCTGAAAACACCACTAGCATAAAAAGTCAAAGTGAGAAACGGCAATAAGGGAATCCATTACTTCCGAGTTCCGGCTATAAGACTGTAACACATTCATTACATTTTGATGCCCATTGATCACCGCATCCATTAACGGAGTTATTGCTTTTGCGCCCCCTTTCGCATGGATATTTGCACCGTTTTTGCACAGTATCTTGATCACATCCTCGCGTCCATGATTGGCAGCTTCGTGTAATGGTGTCCATCCTGAATCAACACAAATACATAATCCCTGACCAGAATCACAAACGCACGTTGCAGCAATTCTTTACCCGCATAATCAGCAGCGTTAACATCCACTCCTTCTTCCATAAGCTTCCGAATTGTAGGCATGTCCCCTTTGCGGCAGGCCACATGTAGAGGGGTTTCGCCTTTAGGATCACGCCGAACACGACTTTCTTTGCCGTCCTTGGACGATGTACTGGAGCCGGAAGGCGTTCCGGGACGTTCTCGAGACGACGGATCAGGGGACTGCTGTTTTTCTACAACCAAGATCTGAATGAAAGCAGTGTTCGCTTTTGCAACGAAAATGTATCTAACCGGCAGATTTGGCCTGTTGTTTTAAAAGAGCCAACTGCTGACGTTCAGACACAATAGTCTGTGGACTTCCGGGATAGTCTACAGGACGTCGCCGGGAACGGTCCGGCTTGCTTCCGGTCCGTGGACGACCAGATTTTCCATCTGGGTCAGGTGTGCCTAGAAAAATGGCACTGATTTTCTGTCACAACTTAGCCTGATCAAGACTCATATATTTCCCGCAAAACATTTCAAAATCGAGTAAGTCGAAATAATTTCAGATTTTCAACCGTGTATGCTCACAATTCAAATGTACTTTAACGAAATCGAACACCAACCTTGTCTTTCAAAACTAGGCGCGCTCGGATCGGCAGTTTCCGGTGTCACAGGCGATCCAGGTGGGGTGCCGACAGAAAGTCCTTTATTTTCAGATATGGTTTTGGCTGGCTGGCTTCCCGAAACACCAGATTTCGCACTATTGGATCGTGAGCGCTGCCCAGCGTCTTCCTGCAAACATTACAATATATAAACTGTGCTATCGTCTTCTCGATGGGACACTGAGATCGGATACGAATGTGACATCGTATAAAAATAAACTTACCGGTAGAGTGACGGATACAGCAGGATTTCCCTGTGTTTCTTCGACTTTACCAGGAGTTTGCACGGCGAGTGCAGTGTCATCATTGCTAATTAAAGAGGTGTCCTTACTATCCGCTGCATTCTCAGCAGCTTCTGTGGCAGAAGTTAATGGCGCAGTTTGTGAAGTATCCACAGTGCTCGCTGTGACAACAAAAAAGAACAAATAAGCACTGATTTACTGATTACTCTCAAAAAGCACATACGAATGCGGATTACAGCTGTTTTAAACTAGTTATTAGTTCCACATCAGAAATGGTTACACTTTGGTTTTATACTTCATAGAATAAACGTTTTTTGGTATTACTAAAAAGCCCCTGTCTGATGCAGTCAGCAACAGTAAGTAACAAAAGCAGCGGAAAATTATCAAAATTTAAAAAAAAACAGCTGCACATTTTTTGCACTGCAGCGCATGAAGCCCTTACGCTCACCTTGACTGCCCGAAAGTTTTTCCATGCTATCCTTTGATTCGGTCTCGGCCTTGGCTTCTTGGTTGTCAGACGAAGGTTTGTCTAAATTGTCTTCCATCTTTTCACTCAGATCTCCACAAAAGGCAGATATCGTACAACGCAGAGAAGCAATCAGCAACAGAAAAAACTGAAACAAACACAAAAGCCCTGTTAGGTTTACGGCTTCACTGTAGAACGATCTCTTTACATACCACTGCACTTTACACTGCTTATAACTTTACAGTACACATCGTATGTAAATGGCCATAGCTGAAAACAGAAAGCCTCAAACAAAACTGACAAGAAATCAAAAGAAAAACTTTAAAACTCTCAATTTTTCACATTTCCACATTTTTCCACATTTCCACAGTGTTTTTCCACATTTTTGGTGTTTACTGTCTGATTGGGACTTCCAAAAACGTAACGGTTACTCCCAATACCAACAAACTCTCGTAAATACTTACATGATAGCGCTAGACGGCTAGAGTGACCGGGCAGACAGCCAGAGTCACTGAAAGGCGAAAGCAGCCTCTGCCTGTCTCCGTGACTCTGTCGTCTGCTCTATTTTCCAGCAGTAATTTTACATTGGAAAGTTAGATTTGGTGTTCACAACGCAAATGCGTCTTCCATTGCGCCGATTTGGGCAACGATTGCATAAGGTGCATAGGTTCGCATTGTGTTATACACCTCTCCCGTTTTTCTTCTTGAAAACTCGGGTTTCGTTCCCAGATGTGAGTCTTCCTAGTTGTGTTATTGCCCCTGGTATTGCAGATCTGCTCGAAGACGTCCTGAATCCAAGAACCTTCGAGCATCTGTCGTTTCGGTTGCAAAATTGAATAACTTGCGGTAGTGAGGGGCGACTAAATCTTCTGACTTCATTCCCGCTTTGTTAGTTACGGGTTACCTATTAATCTTTTGGTTATTTGATTACTGTGAATCTCTCGAACAGCAAATCAGTTTAGCAGGCTAGTACTTGCATCCTTCCTCGTATTTGAGGTATGTTTTCTACGTGTTTAAACTTCAGCAAACGGGGCAGGTTGGGTGAAACGTTTATTCGGCTGTGAATTCAAATGAGCGACTGGAGATTTTTCCGATTTTCCGACTGTATGCAGTGTGCAGTATAATGATTCAGAAGGCGTAAAAAAATATTTATAGTTACGGTGTTATTACTTGTGACTTGCCAGTAAAAGAATAATTAAGAATTTGCTTCGGATCTTGACTGAATATTTTTGTGTTCTGCTTGCGGAGGATTGCGTGAAATGAAGTCTCAGCGATAAGGAACTGGGATCCATGAAAACTAGTCAAATGTATGGTGGCGCTCAGTATGCTGCATTTTACTGCATAAACCTTCTTTATTTTATAGATATTCTTCCGGCGCCCTTTCCAGGTTGAAAGCCTTTTGGAACAAAATGTTTGCGTCTAAAGTCATTGCTAGGTCAGCACCCTTGGCGGCTCCGGCGATTTCGAATCCCATCCGGACTCCTGCCGCCGTTTCCAACGTGCGCTATGTATCGTCCGAAACAACCTTCCAGGTCTGCGACTCTGCGCAGCTTGCAGAACCGTTGTGTTTTCCATTGCCTATCTCTTAACACAGAACTGATTATTTTTAGGTGCGAGATTTTAAACTGCACAAGCTGGACCAGGGTCCGCGCACCACCGTGAGCGTGACCAAAGACGACGCCCTGAGATATTACCTCGATATGGTCCGTATTCGGCGTCTGGAAACAGCCGCCAGTAATCTCTACAAGGAGAAGGCCATCCGTGGCTTCTGTCATTTGTACTCGGGACAGGAAGCGTGTGCGGTGGGCATGGAGGCAGCTCTCCGGCGTGATGATCCGGTCATCACCGCCTACCGCGCACACGGCTGGACCTTGACACGCGGCGCCACCATGGTGCAAGTGTTGGCTGAGTTAACCGGTCGGCGAGCCGGTGTGCAGAAGGGCAAAGGAGGCTCAATGCACATGTACCTGAAGAATTTCTATGGGGGTAACGGGATTGTCGGCGCGCAGGTGCCGCTCGGCACGGGTATTGGTCTGGCGTTGAAGTATCAGAAGACAGATAATGTCTGTGTGACACTGTACGGAGACGGTGCAGCTAATCAGGGCCAGTGTTTTGAAGCGTATAATATTGCTAAATTATGGAGTCTACCGGTAATTTATGTCTGTGAAAACAATGGTTACGGGATGGGAACCAGCGCGGAAAGATCATCGGCGTCGACTGCTTATTACACTCGAGGCGATTATGTACCTGGTGCGTTAATTTCGCTAGTTTAGTCACGGATTTCTGCCGTCTTTTAATAAGTTACATCTGTACGTTAAAGTTGGTTTTTTTATTTGTCAAAACGGCTTTTGTTTATTTGGCATTGATTTTTTTTAACAGTCTATGTTCTTCAGATTCCGCTAAAGTTAATTCGCATTTGATTTCGGCTTTTGTAGTTTGCAATTTCATTTTAAGTTTGCTTGATATTTGTTAGGTATCTGGGTCGATGCCATGGACGTCTTAGCTATGCGGGAAGCCACGCTTTTCGCAACCGAATACTGCAGATCGGGGAAAGGACCGATAGTATTGGAAGCCGCCACATATCGTTATCACGGTCATTCCATGTCGGATCCCGGCACAAGTTACCGGAAACGTGATGAAGTGGATGAGGTGCGCAAGAGTCGTGATCCCATTGCGCACTTCAAGGATCGATTGCTGAAGTCAGGCCTGGCGACGGAAGAAGAACTGAAGAACATCGAGGCTAATGTTGTTAAGGAAGTTAGTGAAGCAGTGCAAATTGCCAAAACTGACAAAGAGCTTGCACCAGAAGAGCTCTGGACCGATGTTTATGTCGACAATGACCAGTGGAAAATGCGCGGTACCACACCGTTTCAATGGAAGCTTCCAGGAAAATCGACACCTGTGCGATTATAATTTATTGACTGATTTATTCTTAATTCTAATTTCTTCTTGAAAGTGAGGAATAGCTTGACAGATTCCTTTGGGATTCTCTGAAATAGATTCTGCTGATGTCGGTGTCATTAGAGGCCGTTTATGTGTGCTAGTTTTCGTATGAGCGGGGTATAGTGGTCTTATTGTGAAGTAGTCAGTTAGGTACAGTATATTTTAAAATGTTACGAACTGGATAATACTGTTAAATTAATGGTAGTTCAGCAATAAAACAATTACAAATGAATTGCAGCCGAAGAAGAGCAAAACCAATTAATTGTTATGCAAGTATAAGTACAGTGTTACTGCTTCAAACAGGTATTTTTGATTCGTGAGCTTGTAACCGGCCAGCAAGCGGCGGTCACCTTGTAAACCTGCAGATTTAATACCACGTGTAGCGAGTCGCGACAAAAACGCTGAACTGGAACAGGTTGTTGGCAGGTATTGCAATGAGTTGTAGGAAGTACGTACGGCGTACCTGACCGTAATTCACCAGGACTCCCATGGACAGCGAAAGCACTGACATGGAATAGTTTGTGATTGTAGCCGTTTCGTAATCGCTTCCAGGTTTTCGTTTCTGAATCCACACTCGTACTAGTATTTTCAGATGATCTGTTGACTGTGTTATTTGTTGTTTCACTGTGCATGGAACTCAGATTGCAGATTGTGCCAGTTATCAATCCGTTATGAATTAGATGAACTTGTTTTTCTTTTTTCCATTTTCAAGACTGCGTGCGCTTTTCGGAGAAAGTGAGATCTCTTCGCAATTTTTACCATCTAAACTGCTACTTTCGCCTGAAATACCTCCTTATTTCGTGCTGGAATAGGACGGTCGCTTGATCACCGAGAATCTGCAAAACTGACGTAGGTACTTGTACTTTCTTAATGATTACAGTTTTCTTTTATTGATTCTTCAAGATCGCCTGTCTGAATCCACATAAATGATATAAGTGATTAATCAATTATTGAACTGCTACGATCTGTCTACAATTTTCTCTGTATTGGTACGTTCACAGTTAAATGTAGGTACGTCTTGCGTTCTGACGATGAATACTGTATCGCTTTTGTATTTTTGTTTTTTTCCAGTGCTTTTTTACTGCGTCACCACTCACCAGTGTGATGCATCGGCAGTGGATATTCTAGAAACATTTGATGATTTGTTTGAAACAGTTGAAATGAACTTCTCTATAGATCTGTAATTTGTTTACTGGTTTTATACCAGACGGTTTGAAGACTAAGCATGAAAGAGACGTTTATGGTTTCCTGACAGTGGTGTTTTTCGTATTTTCAGGGCCGTTTTGCTCTCCACTTGGAACGAAAGATAGTACAGAAATGGAAGTTATACAGAACTTGAGGGTAAGCAGTAAATTTCTCGTGAGATACTTAATTTTGAAACAGTCGTACGAATTAAATGTTTCTGGTATTTCCTTTAAACAAATCTTACGTTTAAAAAAAATTTCGATGATTAATCAAGCGAAATTGACGATGTACAGATCAGATTTCGATAAGCTTATTAGTGTTCCAGTCAACTTCCAGTCAGACTGTCTAAAGCGTAGAATATTATATACCTTGTTGGATGCAGTTTGACAGTGGTTGCAGGATGTGGGAAATCAGAATTTTTGCTTGTTTTGTCTGTTTAATGAATTTAGCCGTAGCTTTCTAATTTGCGTTTGATTATTCGCTGTGCTTTGATTTTATTCACATCATTGGAAATAATAACCTTATATTGCGTTGGCAGAATCAAATCCAAGATGTGGTCCAAAATGCCATAAAACTCCCGACCACTCCTATCCGTTTACGCGATCTGATTCGTCAAGTGCGAGCTGCGAGAACCGGAGCGGATGAACGCTCTGTGGTCAATCGGGAATGTGCGGATATTCGGAATTATTTTCGTGAAGAGGATTCCACCTGGCGTTGTCGGAATGTGGCTAAGCTTTTATACATTCATATGTTGGGCTATCCTGCTCATTTCGGTCAGGTATGTAGGAATATCAATGCAGAAATCTTGTTCGGAATTCCTGTTTTCGGCACTGTATTTTCGGCACTGTACCTGTATTTCGTATGTTTTGAATATGATTTAATTCGTTAATTAACCATATTTTATTTTTTCGGGAATTGGTTAATTATATTGTTCAACATTCGCGGTCAAGTTAGTTCTAGGCTTTTTCTAGTTGCTCGTGGTATTTCGAGTTTTCTGATCTGCATTAGAGAGTTTCGTGATGGACGCTTTGATTGCGATAATCTTTTCCGCGCTTTTTAATCAATTTTGCAAATGTGCATTTGTGATAGCTTTTTGGTGTTATAGCTTGAATGCCTGAAGCTGATTGCCAGCCACCGATTTACGGATAAACGGATTGGATATCTTGGCGCTATGCTCCTACTGGATGAACAGCATGAAGTGCATTTGTTGATTACTAATTGTCTGAAAAAGTGGGTGGCTGCTTGCTTTTCTGAATTAATGCTAATGATATTCGGAGCCGTGCTGCAGCAGTAAACGATTTCTGTTTGGTTAAGTGCATTATGCTTATTACGTTTCAGTGATCTTAACAACACAAATCAGTATGTTGCTGGACTGGCGCTGTGCGCTCTTGGTGAAATTTGTTCTGCGGAGATGTGCCGGGATTTGTCAGGAGAAATAGAGAAACTGTTGAAATCAAATAACAGTTACTTAAGGAAAAAGGTATGTAGGCCTATTTGTGGTTACAAACTGTGTAAATTCACCCGAATGCTGTTATTTTATTAAACTTCATTGCTGCTTTCCTTTGCAGGCGGTGCTTTGCGCCTTTCGAATGATTCAAAAAATTCCCAGTACGATGGAAACTTTCATTCCTTCGATGCGAGCACTTTTGACAGAGAAAAACCATGGTACAGACAGTTTACGCAGTGCTGATGAATAAATTGATAAAATTGGTGTATACGTGCGTGATGATTGTGGATGCACTCTACCTGGCTTTCCTCCACAGGTGTTCTGCTTACCGGTGTCGTTCTGATGAAAGAGATGTGTGAATTGAACCATGATGCCCTTGTGGGTTTCAAGAAACTTGTTCCCAATTTGGTGCGAGTTTTCAAAAATTTAATCATGTCTGGATACAGTCCAGATCACGATGTGACAGGAATCAGCGATCCATTCCTTCAGGTATTCATTGTGTGCGGTTGTAATACTGCTTACAGGGGGATTTAACCTGTGTTTGTCTTGAATAAGAGTAGCGGCCTTAATTTTTCCAGGTGAAAATCCTGTGTCTGTTGAAAGTTCTGGGTAGGAGTGATGCAGAGACAAGTGATATGATGAATGATATATTAGCTCAGGTTGGTTTTCAGCCCTTACAGTTTTGCTCGAAAATTTGTCAGTTATTGTTGTTCCTAATAAATTAGGTCGCGACCAACACCGATGGAAGCCGAAACGTCGGCAATGCCATTTTATACGAAACTGTATTAACCATCATGGATGTGAAATCCGAAAGCGGCTTACGCGTTCTGGCAGTGAATATTTTAGGCCGATTTTTAATGAACCCTGATAAAAATATCAGGTTAGTTATTCCCATTTGGTCTAGCCTAGAACTGCAAAAGTAGATCTCCATTTCTGGCTCTGAAGGATTTTTTCCTGATATTTTTTTTCGCAGCTTTATTTTGCGGTTTCTTTATGCAACTGCAGCAGCGGAATGTCACTGCTTTTTGCAGATATGTTGCTCTGAATACTCTGCTGAAGACCGTCCACATTGATAACACCGCGGTACAGCGGCATCGCTCCACTGTGCTGGATTGTTTGAAAGATCCCGACGTGTCTATCCGGCGCCGCGCCATGGAACTGTCTTTTGCCTTAACGAATGCAACGAACGTGCGATCAATGGCTAAGGAGCTTCTGTTGTTCCTTGAGACAGCTGATAACGAATTTAAAGCACCCTGCGCCTCTAGCCTTTTTATTACATGCGAAAAGTATGCCCCCAATCGGACATGGCAGATCGATACCATGATACGGGCTTCGAGTTTGGTGAGAACGCACGCGTTGCTTTGAGTTGAACAATTTACGATGTTGGCCTCTTTTAGAGTGGAAATTATGTTCCTGATCATGTTGTGGCCAGTCTGATTCAGTTAATTGGTGAATGCACGGAGCAGCAAGTGTACGCCGTTCAGGAACTGTATCGCCAGATACTGAGTCCGGACTTCGACACAAAGCAACCGCTCATGCAGGTAGCCTGTTGGACGATTGGGGAATTCGGTGATGTTCTCGTCGCGGCATCCGGACAGGTAGAAGAAGGCCGCGAACCTTTGCACGTCACAGAGAACGATGTGATCTCCGCCCTGGAACAAATTTTGCGCAGTAAACACACTTGGCTGGTGACGCGGGAATACGCTGTGAATGCACTAATGAAATTATCTACGCGACTTGCTGGCTACGCTGGGTACGTAACTTTGTTAACAATGGGGTAATCCACTATTAAAGGAGTGTAATATTATTTTCATTATCAATAGTTTAGTAATTGTCAATTTCTGGATATTAGATCAGCAGCGTCTCGATTTTTCAGAATGATCATATTTTCTGTTTGCTTAAATGGCAGAATATTTTGCTTCTGTTATCTGAATACAATAATGCTTATATATTTTCTGTTCGTCGGTGCCTTTATGGCCGTTACACAGTTATTTTACAGCTTCTTACTACTTGCTTACTTTTGCAGGCAAATACAGCAGATAGTCGAACCAATGGCTACCAATGTTTCCATTGAAATCCAGCAACGAGCCAGTGAATATTCACAGCTCTTCGACCGGCCTCAGCAATTTCGTTTCGGTATTTTGGAACGGATGCCTATCGTTAAACGAGGCAGTGCAGCCGACATGTCGCTCATGAACGGGGAAGAAAATGGCTTGACTGTTCCTCATGCTGATGATACAGATGATTTGCTAGGATTTTCCGGTCGCAAGACGGAAGTCCGGGGTTCGGGAAGGAAACAACGGCCCAAACATTCTGACGTAAGGAATTTAATGTTCTTTAGTATTTTTTTAACAAAATGTGAATCTCGTAAAAACAGTACGTTTAGATTTCGTTTTTTTAAGATTTCGTTTCTTTGTTTCGTCAGAGCTTGCTGGGAATTTTGGATGACATTAGCATTCTGGCATCTGATCCTCTACCAGACTCAGCTGTTCAGCACACTGAACGTCCAGTGGCATCTTCGCAGGATATTTTAGATTTGTTGGACCTCGGCAATACATCGGCGCCATCGCCGAAGGTCGCTGCTCCAGCGGCCACGATCGGTGTGTCCGCGTTAGGAGGTCTGGATGATTTGTTTTTAGGCAGCAATGGTGATAGTTCCGCAGCGGGGTCGACGTTTACGGTGTACCACAAAAACGGACTGCGCATTGATTTCAATACGCAACATTCCATGGAGCCACACGCCATCGATGTGACGGTCAAGGCTTATAATGCTTTGTCAGAGCAAATGCAGGATTTCGTTTTCCAAGCAGCTGTGCCCAAGGTGACTTTATTGTTACAAATTTTAAAATCCCAAGTATCTAAAAAAGCCTCGAAAAAACCTTTTCTGATGGATCCATTAAAAGGGGTGATTTCCGTTTTGTCCATTTGGATGTCATCAGCAAGTGTTTCAACACGCCTTGCTTTATTGCCACCTGATAAATATACGTATGCGGGGACGTTTCAGATATGTGTATTACGCATTCCGGAGTCTGGATATGGTGTTTTCTGTTGTGCTCCTAGTTTTCCTGGTCGTTGGCTGAATTTACTGTATTCGCGTAAATCAGCAATCGTTTGAATACCGCGTGGTTTTGAATTGTATTCACCTTAATTGGTTTACATGCGCTTATTTTGCAGGCGTTGCAGCTAATAATCTCGCCGCCCTCTGGAAATATCATTTTACCGGATCCATCGTCTCCCTTAACACAGAAGATTAAACTGAAAAACCCTTCGAATAAGAGCGTTCCCCTGAAGATGCGAATCCGCGTAAGCTATAAGTTATCCTCCGGAGTGGTCCAGGATCAGTCTGAGGTCTCCAGTTTCCCGAACCTTGAAAACTTGTAAAAGTTATTTTTGTTGTTTTGAATCGTTTTTATGGAGTTATTTAATATTGTGCATTCTGTGTTGAAAGCCTCTTTTTCACTCCCGTACTGAGACCGGTTTGTCGTGTGTTTCGAGCAGTTTGTGCTGTAATATTTATTAATCAAGTGCGTGGTATATAATACATTAAAAATATATATCAAGTATTCGAAGATCTTGCCGTACGAAGTTAATGCATTGCTTTTAACGCCCAATATAATTTGGACACAGAGTTCACAAAATTGTCGTGCCAACGGGCCCATAATTTTGCTGTACCCGGATATTGCAATTTTAAAATAATGTCAATGGCATGTGATATGTAAACAAACTGGGTTTTTTTAGTCTGCATAAATACAACCACAGGTTGCTAAAAGATTTAAATCGAACATAACTTGAACACTTCTGTGTTGTATTAAATTTATTGAAAACTGTTGTGACGACCTTTAAATAAATGCGTTTAGACCGTGCGTTTTCTCGTTTCCCAAAGGCGGGGTCCCACTCCAATGTCAACAATGATCCCCGGCGTCTCATGCTGGAAAACCAACTGGAAGGACAGCTTTTATCTGTCCTAAAAAGAACGCTTGTACGTACGTCAAATTGCTGTAAAGGTCACCTTGGTTTTAAACTGATTTTGAGTACCAGACGCCTTGATAATTCATCTGGACTTACAAAATTTAAATATCGTGAAATAAATATGTAAAGTAAAATATCGTAAAATAGGTATGTAATAAGTTTCCACTTGTAAGAGAAAGTTCTTGTGTTTTACGATTGTTGCTTTACATTTCCGTCTGACCTCCTGGTCTTTACTTACCTCCTGGTCTTCCACTAAATGCCAGTGCCCGGAACATTGCACCATCAACACAACCAGTTGTTTTCATTTTGTCGTCATCGCACGGCGGCGGTGCACCAGCACAGTTTGCGCCGTCATTAGTGTCGAACATGCACGATCCAAGAAAATGTCTGTCTCCCGTGGCGCTGTCGTTACCCATTTGGAAAAACCCTAAAACAACAACAACACCAGCAATACGAATTCTGTAAAAAAACATAGGTGGCAGACCTGGGCAGTTATAACATAACTCTATAACTTAACGCGAGTTATTTGCGAGTTATCGAGTTTTAACGTAACTCTGTAGCGTAACTCGCTACCCAAAAAACTTAACTCTAACGTAACTCGCCTAAATTTTGTATTGATTGTCTATGGTAGCGTAACTCGCGGTATAACTCAAAACTCGGTTTTACGTCCATGAATAGCGTAACTCGTAGCGTAACTCGCACGCACGCTACTAAGAAGTCAAATTCAATATCGGCATACTGATACCGTCATCATTTGTAACTCGTAACTCTAACGGTGGGTGCATTTTCCATAACTGCCCAGGTCTGATAGGTGGTAATACTGGTGTTGCATTCTCTTCTAGTGGGTGGTTGGAGTCAAATTCAATATCGGCATACTGATACCGTCATCATTCGTCCACGTTCCTTTAGTAGAATCTCCAAGCCCGATAATAGCAAAGGCCTTGTCCGAAGCTTCGGTTTCTAGGGTGTCATTTACATTGCGAATTCGGTAACGATCATAGCAGCTCATGGAATGATCGGAATAATATTGACAAAAGAAACTGATGGTGTCGTTTTTGCTTTCTGAAGTGGAATTATTTTCCCCACGAATTTGGCATACTAAGAAGTAATAACGATAATTATTGAAAACCAGACAAAGTATTCTCGTGCCACCTGTTGACTATTATCACACCCACATCTCCTCTGTTCTTAATCAGAAATTTGAGAACTCGATTACGCTAAAAATTATGAATCGAATTAAATCTTCAATATAGATAAACAACTTGATGCAATGTGTATCTATACATACCACAAACAATGCAGAAGAACGCTGCGAAAGGCACTTTTCGGCTAGTTAACATTTTGGGGAATGAATGTAAACGCTATTCAAAGTATTTCAAACACTGCAAAAGCAGTATATCTGTACAATGTTACAGTTGCCGTGTATCATGCAGTAAATACGAAATCTTGATTGCGAATCCGCAATTTCCAGCTGTCCTGATGATGTTTAAAGAAGAGGTTAAACTTGCCGATTAGACAGCACAATATATTGCTGTAACGGTGTAACCCGAGGCTCTGGTACGCGGTTTCTAATGAACAACAACAGCATTTACAACGAAATTTTTTAACATCGTAAACCTGAAACAGGAAGTAAAAAGTTTGATTTAGATAACTGCTTGTTTCAAAAACCAGTTCTGATGACGACTGGGATTTACGTACGTGCTTAAGTAATCATCCGGTCTGCACCAATATTTCTGATCTCTTTAAATTTTTAACCATATTTTATTAAGCTGATAGTACATTCGCTTTATTCTAAGTTAGTTTGAAAACGTTTTTATTACTTTTTGTAACAATTCGATGTGGTATAATAAGCGCTTCGGTTATCTTGTTGTGTCTTCCATAACAAATCGGTTTTTATAGTGGTGCGACACTTGGAATTATTGTACAGTAACTTATTATGCCTTTTGTACGGCTAGCTAAATGACCTTTAATTTTCGGCTAATTTCTTGTACACTGTCGTTGACAATATACTTTAGCAATTACGAAAGAACACGGTATTTATTGGAAATCTTTAACAGGCAGTGGAACTGTTTGGGATACAGTGGCACAGTAATTCTCGATATCACGCACTACTGACTGGAAGAACAGGTCGGATCGGCCCTAAAATAAAAAATTTGCAGTAAATCACTGTAGTGAACTTTTAGTCGAAAATAACTGAGTACGTTGGCTGACAGGAAACGTCTGCACGAGTACTGTATAGGTATAAATCAGCGTAATACACATGTTCAGTAATTAATGTAATTAATAAAATTAATATCGTGTGCTCATGATGTTGTCTGTGCAAGGCGAAAATAAAACATTTACGGTTTCCTTGAATTGAACTGCAAAAGGTTTGGTTCAGTTAAATCAAAATTTCCGGTGCGTATGTGTAAAAAGATTGGCTTACCCCCAGGAGTTCCAGAAAAATTTGCTACGCGAAACAATCCACCATCGACGCATTCGATCTTCAATATCGGTGTCTGCTTGCACGGGGGATTTGCATGGGCACAATTTGCGCCAGTATTCGGATCAAACATGCATGTTCCAACAAATTTTCGTTCACCAACAGCAGTGCTGTTGTCCGCTTTGAAAAAACCTGTAACGAGATCGCCGTCAGCTTATTTCACCTAGGCAATTTTTAATGGTTAACAAAAGGTCATACAACGTTAACTATGTGCATATGAAGCACATATACTGTGCAGTTTGCACCGTTACCGTCAAGGGAAGTAAGTTATACTTTACAAAAGTGAGTTGTGTGTCTGTATACAGTCTCAGATAGTACTACCGGCTGTCATACAAGTTAAGTATAATCAGAACCTAAAAATTATATGAAAAGTCATATTATGTTAATAATAAAAATCTGTAATTTTATAGTATTTATTAGAGCGGTGTGTGAATGATACCGTCTTCATCCGTCCAGCTGCCTTTGATCGGCTCCCCTAACCCGAAAATCGCAAAAGCTCTGTCGGCTGCTTCCGGTGTCAGGCTTTCGTTTGCCTCGCGGTTACGATAATGGTTGTAACAGCTCATCGTGTGATCCGAATAATACTGGCAAAAAAAGCTTCCATCTTTGTTGGTTGAAGTAGCCGTATCGTCTGCCCATGCTGACAATCAGACACAAAAGAATGAAATTAGTATACGGTATAACTCTGTCGTATAAAAAGCATTCATTTTCTTAAGTAATCCATTCTTACTTGCGTATTCATAAATAATTAATAAAAGATAATTATGGCAGATGCCGGCATAAGAATTTCAAATTACATCTGTACACACTCAAATTATTACTGATTGTTTAGTTTCGTTATTACTGATTGTTAGTAATTTGTTACACATGCTCGCTGTGGACCACGATAAAGTTTAAAGAATGGATTGCGCTTACTGGAAAATAGCATCAAAATACTTATGGCTAATTCATCTATCACACCAATGTCCAACGGAAGGTAATACCTCCAGTTTACTTACCGCAAAGAATAACCGTCAAGAAAACGAAGATTTGCATCATCATTGTACGCAGCACAATTCGTCCGGTTTGTTCGAAATCAACTTACGCGAAACAGGCAGCACTTTCCTTGACTGGCTTTACATGCAATAAACAACACAGCTACGCCAAAAACTAACAAACTCGGTTGTCTCTAAATTTTAGCTTTTTCCCGACATCTTTTATGCCATGCTACATACACTGCTAGAATAAAATCTTTTTTGTGTACCAGGACAACTTCCCCGAGGCACACCACTGTTTTCCAGTAATTGCTACCTAATACTGGCCAATTATGCCATTTGGCAACAAGTATGACGAAAGAAGCTACTTTCTAAATTCATATCGACCTCATGTTGCCACGCCGAAAGGTTTATCGTGTCTCCCCAAACTGAAGCGCCGTCTTAATACATGAAAATATTTCGCCTCTATCGCCTTCCCAGAAATACAGAGCAGTTTAGAGTTAGACAGCAACGTAAAAATAACGCACAAATATCAAGAATTTCTATTCCGAAGCCATAAAAATTCTAGAATCGCTATCAGCGCTTGCCTTTCCGCATCCAAGGTTTTTTCAACTTGGATTCAATCGGTCTAACAGATCGATGAATAGTTCGCCTTTCTGCAAGATGTTCGGCAGCGTTTTGCTTGAACTTCTTTTTGGCATCCACTGTGAAAGTCATCTGCCGGTTTCCACCACCGAGCCGCATTTCCTCCACTCCGCGGTTTAATTCCGCATTTTCCCGCAGCCGTCTTCCCAACGTCACCGTTTGACCCGAGATCTCATCCTTTCCCCTCGGAATAACTTCCCGTACTTGCGTCGGTTTACCCGCCAAGACCTCGAAATTTTTATTTCGCTCTCGGCGTTTCTGATCACGTAGTGTGCGGTGTTGCTTTTTTCTTTCCGCAATCCATGAACGATCATCATCCGAGGATTCGCTAGAGGGAGACCGCGCACGGGACGTTCCTTCTTGAATTTCTTCAACTGTCTCTGCAGCATCCTCCTCCGCCGCATCCTCTTCTGCGGCGGCTCTCTGTCTTCTTTTCTCCATTTTAGAGACAAGCGGATTAAGCAGCTTGTACTCATCGCTTTCAGGATCAATCTGAAAATCTGGATTTTTGAATAGAGCTCCAAATCGCTCATCCTCCAGAACATTTGCATCGCCTTTGGATTTCTTTTTCTTTCCTTCAATCCCAGCGGCTTCCGCTCGCAATCTTTCCACTAACATGGCATTGACTTTCGGCAATTTATCCTTCTTAACCACGCGACTTTCGTTCTGTTCTGAACTGATCTTCTGATGAATCTTCTCCTTTCGGTATTCTTCATAATTGAACGGTTCAACAATGGATTTAGCCTTCTTATACAATCTCACGTCGACAAAAAAACCATGCATGTACGCCCGTAATAAATTCGTCCCAATCAAATCCGACAACCCGAGACTCTCCAGTTCATCAGTGGTCAAAAACTTGTAATCATCATAGATAGCTGATTCCGCCGTTTCCTCCAGTTCCTGGGTTAAACTATCCAGAAAGGTGCACCAGCGGGGCGCCGGTCCAACAGACGGTATAAAATAGGTCAAAATCTTAGGAGCCTCGTTGGCTAAAAAGAACATTCCCGTATTTGGCACAATGCACAAATCGTTCAAATCGGTCCCCGGTTCCACTGATGTAACCGCTTTTCCAGTCGATCTCTCCCATATTTTCAAAATTTTCGAATCCATACTCGCGATACAATCCTGCTCGGCGATGAATTCAATGGATTTTATTGGAAGACTATAATTATGGTCTTTGACAAAATACGGCCGTTGGCAGCGTATGTCATACAGCAGAATGTGACCGGAACTAGTGCCAACCGCCAAGTTGAGGGAATCGCGAAATTTTACTTTGGATACGGCGAAGGGAGTATCTCCGATATCGGTGACAATATCGGGAAGAGCACAATTCAGCATGCCTTCGGACTTTCCTGACCGAGGATCAAAAGTTTCAATGTAACCATTCGTGAGACCGGTTACGAATAGCTGGTGGACGGGGTTAACGTCGCAGGTATTGTATTCCGCATCGAGAGTTGATGCCATGCTTTCCACAAATTTTCCTAAATAACAGAATTGAAAGACACGTCTAGCATCTGCTAACCAAAGCAAAACAAACTACACAAATATATGCTTACGAAACGAAAAAAATTCGAAAGATTAATAAAATGTAAAATAAAAAAACACTTTTTCAAAAATTTGAAAATGACGTAGAGATTGTTAGAGATCACAAATCTGCACGAATATAAGTAATAAAACGGACACGTTCGGCAATGTTTATGACAAAAGCGAAAAAAAGATCAGAAAATTTCACAGACAAGTATCACAACAAGTGCGCAGTGATAATGCAAAGAAGTTCTTCCAAACTGAGATCCTTCTTCCCGGTCTTACCTTCTTCCAGATTGAGTCGGTATACATCTCGACTGGCTCCTACCACGCAGAGATGACAGTTCTCCGGCTGATAAGCCATATCGCGACCAAACTTCGGTATCCGAACTCGATAATATTTTCCGTACTGCGCATGCATCTCTAGATACCGGTCGCTGTGCAGAAAAACCATCTTCGAGTAGTCCTCGGAAAGGATAAGGAACTTGACGATCTCTGCGTCCATGCAGCGCTCAAATTTCATGGACATTTCGGCCGTATCGAAACAGCGAACCCTTGGTTTATAAGCTCCGGCGGCCAGTACATACTGCCCGTCCGGAGATACTTTAATACTGCTGGAAATCTCGGGCATATCGAAATCCTGAAAGATCTGAATTCGACGTCGAAGTTGTACGTCATTCTTTTCGGCTTGTCGACGTTTCTTGGATGATATCCAATCGGGGAGAAATTTCCCGGCCGATAAATTATAGATTTTCACATCGTTAGATGTGTTGACATGCATTTTTCCAGCCAATCGGTCGCAACTGTTTACGACGGGGTGTACAAATGTAAACACACGGAAGTTACCTATATAAAATTACCCGAAACGGGGGAAAATCATGGATGATGAGAAATTTCAGAAGCACGAAGACTGACAAAGGGACAATTCCACATCATTCCCAGCCTTATAGTTTAACCAAATTCTCTAGAAATTGCAGCAGCACCTACACATCACGCGTTCCCTGTTTTATTTTTATAGAAAGTCTGGTATCGTACAACAAAACTGGAATTCGTGTGGGTCGCGGACGGATATCGCGAGCACGCATTCGGTTTTTGAGCTGATGTGTGACGGGTGACCGAGCAAACACGCTGCTTTATGATTTCGCAATCACTTCCGGTGTAGAACATCTACTAACTATGTACTACTTGCACTGCCGCTATAAAAGCGGTATTTGGTCAGTAACTGCCAGCTTTTTTAAATTACATCGCAAATTTACAGGTTAAATTTAGCTAATTTGCAGAAAATGGTTCATATGTCTTAAATTTTTTGAAAATGTCGGAATGCGGATTGTTATTGTTAAAAACTACCCTAGAAAAGCGCAGGCGCATCTTCTATGTTGGGCCACTAGGGCAGAATAATGGGCGTGGAAAACGAAGTTGAGTAATGTACGGTGTTGGTACGTAACTAACGTATTTAGCTGTTGCCGCGGCATTTCCAATCAATTCCTGATTTTAATCTGGTTAACCCATTAATTGCTTGAGTAAAGTTGTTCACGGCATCGTTTCAGGCTACAACTTATTAACCAAAGGAAATCACGACTTTTCGTATTTATCGATCACCCGTTTTCCGAGAGCGCTTTGTGCAGCTGCTTTGAGCTTTCGTCGATAGGTTAAAGTAGACAAATTAAATTTGAACGTATTCTTCGATCACTGGTGTAAGTTCTCGACTTCCGTTTTCTAGCAGGAGATTGTCTTACTTAGACATTGAAAAGTACAACGGAACGGTATCTGGATATTTATATTTACAGAGTTAGAATGTCCGATCCACGACCGGGAGAAAATGGAGACGGAAACGGTTCCGTGGGCGGAAAAGACGGTGGAAAGTCTGTTCGTGTGTGGTGCGATGGATGGTATGTCAGTATGTGCGCACAGCTGTGGTACAGCTCTTCGCTGTTTTATTCCTTTTTATGTGATCGGGATTCATGCATTTAATTTCTGCGAAATTTCGCCGTACTCTAACACCGCTAGACGCTTTGAGTTCATTACGCGGTTGCTGACCTTGATTATTTGGTTTTTTCTAGCTATGACATGGTGCACTTTGGACACGCCAATTCTCTTCGCCAGGCGAAAGAAATGGGTGATTACTTGATTGTCGGTGTGCATACTGACGAAGAAATCCGCAAACATAAGGGCCCTCCCGTTTTCAACGAACAAGAACGCTATCGTATGGTACGAGCCATAAAATGGGTGGATGAAGTTGTCGAAGCGGCGCCGTATGTTACCACAGCGGAGACATTGAAAAAGTACAACTGCGACTTTTGCGTACACGGTGATGACATTACCATGGTGAGTGATTCTTTGATTTAAGACATTATTGACTTTTTTTGAGACATCAGTGCTACAAAAACTTCATTTCAAAATAAATGAGTTTAGGAATGTGAAATATGACGATTTTTACAAGGCTCCGAATGAGTTATACTGTATTGCAGTGGCACAAAAACTACAAAGTACTGTGTTTAGTTTCAGTAACTTCAGTGGCGGTAGAGTTCGTAATGTATCGCTGGCACTGAATTTAGTTTTGTGCTTGTTAATAAGATATTTTAATTTTGCACTGTGAAGTGATACATAGCCACCACAATGATTTTGTTGAGGTGATTTTTAGCCATCAAAGAGTAATACAATCTGGCTAGAATATAGACATAACGACAGGGTTTCGAGTTTCGACATTTGCATTATTGTCACAGCTGTAATTTAAATAGTGGGTGGCATTTTAGTAATTTAGTTTAGTTCACTTGCGTGGAAATAGTGTGATTTGCCAGCTGGTGATCTTATTGGGCTGGTGTGTATCTGCAGACTGCTGACGGGAAAGATACTTATCAAGAAGTGAAAGACGCAAAATTATACAAAGAATGCAAGCGAACCGCTGGAATTTCCACCACTGACCTTGTTGGCCGTATGCTTTTGCTGACACGCGATCATTTGAACAACCTTTCCGATGGACCATTGTCTCCTCACGATCTGGGCAAGGTCCATAGCCCATACACTGGTGTTTCCCAGTTTCTCCAGACGACCCGTAAAATTGTTCAGTTTGCTGAAAATAAAGCACCGAAACCGGGCGATCGGATCGTGTACGTGGCCGGAGCTTTCGATCTGTTCCACATTGGTCACTTGGACTTTCTGGAGAAGGCCCGAGCTGAGGGAGATTATCTGATTGTTGGCCTGCATTCAGATGCAGTGGTCAATCGATACAAAGGCGCTAACCAGCCGATCATGAATTTAAACGAGCGCGTACTAAATGTTTTGGCTTATCGGTGTGTGGATGAAGTGGTTATTGGAGCGCCATATGCTGTCACCGCGGAACTGATGGACCACTTCAATGTTGGTGTAGTCGTGCATGGGATTACTCCCATCTTCGAAGATGTGGATGGAACTGATCCATACGCGGAACCGAGGAGACGAGATAAATTGCTGATGATTGACTCGGGTAATCCGCTGACAACGGAGGATATCATCAAGCGCATTTTGAAAAATCGTGAAGAATTCTCCGAGAGGAATAAGAAAAAGGAGAAGAAAGAGATTGCAGCGTATGAAGAGTACCGAAAGCGAACAGTCTCTTCTCCGCGTTCACCTCCTGTGAAATGATCAGGGATCAACGAAACGGAGACATGAACCGCAGATCGTAGTGAAATTGTATCAGTGATTTCATGGTCCGTTTTTTGTGGTCACAATTTGATACATACAAGAACAGTCTCACTGTTTTGTTTAGCTTCAAGAAGTAGAAGCCACAATTAGGATTCACTTCCAACAAATCGTTCCTAGTCGAAGCTTTCCTGTGCATTTTTCAACGTGTTGGTAGTTTAGTACTAATCGTATCGTAAGTTGTGACTTCCGGTTCTGGTTTGCAAACAAATCATGATTGTCCCTTTGCTTGCAATTGTTGGACTGCTAATTAGTTTCTAAAGCCATGCAAAAATTTTTGTACTTACTTAAAATACATTCGTGTAAGATTCCAAACATTAACATTAATTTACTGTTGACGTTTTTGAGTTACCGTAAGGCGTAAGTAATACTAACCATAAGTATTGTTCCAGAAGAAAATAATCACGCTATTTTGCGAAACCATTCACGGGCTACTTCAAGCGTTTTGGCTTCTTACAGCCAGCCTTCTACTACATAGTACGCTTTTCTATACAAACATACTTCATTAATTAATAATTTTGAGATACTAATGAAGTCAGAGGACTCACAGCAAGCTGCAAAGAAAAACTAGTACGTACTTTTGTCGTCAAACATAAAAATTAATATTAAAGGATGCAGCGGATAAAAGGCAGTTGCTTGAGATAGTTCCGATTTCCGAGGGCGGTTGCCCAAAGGTAAATTCGAGCAACTAAGGTACCGCCATGTGACGGTAGTCGGATGTTCGATGTGTCTCATGTTTATCGATCTGCCATCCATCACCAGGAGCGTAGGACCCACAAAAGACAGTTACAAACTATACTTACGCAAAATTGTTTTTGTTATTTTCTTATCAGTTTTTATTGTTTATAACGTACCGCGTCGAGGAATAATTACGAGATCAGATTTTGAGGTAACCAATTTTACTCGCCATGTCATCCAATAAGTTCATCCAAGATGGGGAGGCACAAGTGAAGGAGGCTGAAAAGAGGTAGAAAGTAATGTGAAGGCGAACCACTTGTTTGTTTAGGATCGAATCTTCCAGCATAAATTTTTGTACAGCAAAAACTACGAATATCACAATAATAAGTTACATGTTAGAAAGTCTGTTTGTGTTGGCAGTCTGAAGACGGGTCTTATGAAGTGGAGCCAGGATTTCGATGTAGCTGCGGGATGCTACACAAAAGCAGGTAGCAAATTAACAGCTGATTTTGGGGGCTTTTTCTTGACAGTTGACAGTCTGCAATACTTCTCTGACACTCATGAGAATTATTCTACAGCAACGTCATTCAAGAACGCCAAAGAGTACGCCAGAAGTCTTGACTGCTCCATGAAGGCTGCGGATTGTCATCTGAAGAATAAAGTGTAAGGCAAACACATACTGCAGAACTGTGAAGTTGTATTTTCTGAATTCCGATTATTTTTCCAGGCCTTTCCAAGCGGCTAAGTATGGGATGAACTTCAACTAAGTATATTGTCCATTACATGGCTGGTAACGTTGTAGCTGTTTTCCTTTCCAGATCGCTGGAGCAGGCTGCATTCTGTGCTCGTGATCTGGGAGATTTTAAGAAAGTTGTCGAATTGATTAACCGAGCCTACTTGTTGTACGTGGAGAATGGAGTGCAGGACACGGCCGGAACTCTGCTGGATCGCGGAGCCAAGTAGGTGTTTTCTTTCCGCATTGTCGCTTTTAGGATTTATTATATAGTTCTTTACTGAACAGTCTGGATTTTTTCTTGGATCTGTTACACATTAATTGCAGAGTAATTTACAAACTTGTTGCAGTGTGTAGTTTTCGGTTGCACAATCTTTGTCCGAGACGTTTAAAAATGTCCACTAATACTTACTTAATATTTATCAATAAGGAAATGTGCTGTTAAGTTAATTTTGACGATTTTTTCTACCCATTGGTCGATTTCCTGAGTTTTAATTTTATACTATCGGGAATTTTGTATGCAAATGTAATTGGGTTCATAATTAATTTTTCAGTATTAAAAAGTTTACTGTAATACACATGCACTGATGATTTCAGAATTTTGGAAGATCCACTGCCGCAAGAGGCATCGAATTTATACCGAAAAGCGGGTGATTTGGCCCAGATACAAGATAAAAATTCTCAAGCGTCGGAGATGTTCGACAAGTCAGCACGACTGCTGGTTAAAATGGACAAGTTAGTATTACTGCAACAATTTACAGTAATTCTGGTGCGAGATTTCAGATTGCTTACTTTTTAAAGCCGTGGAACTGTTTGTGAAGTAATTCTTGTTAAAATATTATAGGTATGACGAAGCTGCGAAAGTTCTGGAAGAGCTTATAAAAAACGAACTGGCCTCGCCTTCTCCACCGGCAAGGCGTTTTGTTCTTTGTTTGGTGTTGGTTCATCTGAAACGTGATGATTACGTTGCTGCGAGAAAAGCGTATGAAACTGGACTTCGGTAAGTAATGGTTTTGGAGTTCATTCTAATCCGGTGCTGTATGTTTTTTCTCCGTTCAAGTTTATTTAACACATTTCTTTAACAGTTTCCCTGATCCGTTAAACAGTGGTCAGCTGGACCTGGCAAGAAGTTTGCTTGATAGTTACGACCACAGTGACCGGGAAGCGCTAAAACAGGTCACATCGAACGCTTTTGTGCGGTCTTTGGATCCAGTAGTAAGTGCTGCAGGCTTTTGTGTGTCGATATTAGTGAAAGGGTTACTAAGGTGAATACCATGTTTAATAAAAATGGTTGCATTACTTGCATATACAAAATGCTGGAGTTTTGAAAAGTAATTTCAAAATAATCAAGCTTATTATAGTGTGAGATGTGCTGCGCTGAGATATTGAACTATCTGGTGTGGTGTAATTAAAAGTGTTAGAAACGAATGGGCATGGATTTGTGAAACTTTTAAACTTAAACTTATCGTAAGAGTGGTAATATGAGTTGAGCTTTAGCCTGTAGGACACGAAACGCATACCCAACCTGATTTCTTAAACGTTATGTATGCTTGCATAAAATTTAACGAATTCCGTCAAATGGTTCGCTAAGAAATTGTAAACCTTGCCGGCCGCACTGCAGCCTTTGTATGGTGACACATCTCTTGGTTGTTTCACTTAAAATTCGGAAAGCTGTTTGGAATATATTAGAAGTTTAGAATGATAAGTGTAGCCCATTTGATCACTATAAATGGCTGACGTAAAGATTTATTTGTATATCTCTATATCAAGTAAACGTAAACGATTCAGTGGTAGAGAAATGGATTTTTAGTCAATCACCCAGAAGCCATAACAATTAACTTGATGCCTTTGGAGAGTGCTATTAAAATACTTTTGTGATCCTTACTCGCATAAGGGACTTTGAGTGTGACGGCATGCTTAGTGAGCACTTGCCTTCATTTTTTTGCGGTGTGAATTCATCATCCTAAGGACAAACAGCTGTTGGAGGACTGCTTGTATACTTTAACGACTGCGGCTAATGGATAGAAGTATCCATTCCAGTCATATTCCAGTGCATTCATGCAATGCGAATGCTGCACAATACAGTAATATTGTAATGGCATACCTATTTGTATCTGTGGTCACCCCCCAACATAATAATAATTTAATGTACAAGAAAAGTTTTTCTGCAGTTTAACCCCAACAATTTTATCTTGTATATGTTGTCCTAACGTATACTCTTGTAACCAGCTTTTTCAAAATAGTTAAATTCACGCTGGTGTTTTTTCGTGGAAAATGTTATGATCTGACTCTGAGCGATTATCGAATTAGGGAGGTTAGTAGGAATTTTAAGGTATAGGATAACGTGCGTTTTAGAACTACAATAGTAATCCTGTATGCTAAGTGCTTTTGCATGTTTACGTACCTTGTACTTGCTGTCTGCATAGACTGATTTGTTGCAGTTTTTTATGTCATGTATTAAGACAGCGTTCTTTAATAGATAGGAAAGGACAAGGTTTTTCATAAATTTTATGTATTCGAAATTAGTCAAACATTTTTTCACCGCTTTATTAAATTTGGTTAAAGCTTGGCATTATTATTTTATCAGCTACGTTTTTTTAAAATTTATGTGTGGTTGCGCACAATTGAGATGCTTAAAGGCACGCTACAGTAGGGTAGAGTGAAGTTATCCTGGAACGCAGCGCATTTATACCCCCTACTTTACGTTATGGGCAGTTTACGCTGTACGGCTGTAATATACTGGCTTATAAAACGAACAAGCGGATGTGGGGTTTTGATGTGGTAAACGTGACCAAGATGCTCCCGTTGTATTGCAGTACGCCCGACTGGCGCGCTCTCTGGATGTGGCTGATGGCGGGCTGGGAGCTGTTTCCGCGGCGCCTGTCGCTGTCGCACGGCCGTCGCCGCCACAGCAGCAGCAGCAGCCGGCATTCATTCCCCAGGAAGCCCTGCCACAGCCCGCTCCCGTTGTGGCCAGCGAAACACCATCTCCGGCTGATGATAATCAGTCGGCATCTAATACCGAATTCCATGTGACATCAGAGGATAACGAAGATGATTTGACCTAATTGTATTTGCGAGGAGGAATTAAAAAGTCTGTGTAGTTTGTGTCCTTGTGCTGTATGTGTATCTCTACGTGCATGCGGAAGCGCTCTGGCCGTGGCGTTTGACTCGGGTCTGCAGTTGGTATTTATTGTAGATTGTGTCGTGGTTGCGGCGGGGAAATCGTGTGATCGATTTTTTTGTTCCATTCTGTTTCCGCGAGGCTGTGGCGCGTATTAAGGGGGTTTTGTTTCAGCGGCACACGCAGTCATTCCCCGAGTGTTCTTTCTGTGTAAATGCAAATCTAGTCAAGTGTTTTTAAATTGTTAGAATATTGACCAATCCACGCAGAATGATATGTTTGCATTGGATCTGGCAATTTAATGCGGGGGGGATCGATCATCGTATAGCTTCCGTTTGGCATTTTATGACTTGACTGTATAAATATATCAATTATTCAATGTTGTGAATGGATGATATGTTCGCTTGCGGTTGGCAGTTTTTGGTGAAAATTGATTATTACTTACTCTAAACTTCACAAGTATGTATGTACGCGTATGGCGCATGCCGGCGATGGTTTGACGTAATAAAGTTCCGTTGACCAATCTCGGTAACTCGCAGTCGGTTGCGTGAATGCGAGGGAAACACTCGCAAGCTTAGATCCCCCGGCAATCGGGAAATGAATTAAGAATCTCGATAATTGCGTCGTATGCTAATGGGATTGTAGAATAATGTGGCTTCCACAGTAGACAACAGTGGCATTTTATTTGCACTGCTGTTGCATCTACTAGCGTCGACCGGCACAACACATGTGTTCCCGTCGCATGACGATGATGGAGAAGAAAGCGGCGAATCGATATATCCCGTATACAAATCGGGGGGTACATTTTCTGTCAGTAATCATTGTATTCTAACCGAACCGGACGCCACTGTTCCAATCGGTGGTGCGCATCTTGGCGTGTAATGCCGGCTGTACGCATCATTCTGCTTTGTTCCCCGGCGGCCATTGCATTATTCCCAGCTGGAGCGAAGGAATGGAGGGAACATTTTTGCCCGCGTAGAATATATTCCTGGCCATGTGCCCGCTGAATTTTTCTCTGTACAATTTTATACACACCGGAATATAGTGCATTGCACAGTGTAATGGATGATGCTGCCGGCATCGCGCCGTAACCAATGTTGTGAGTGATGAGCGATGCGCTACTGACAGACGCAGGCTGGCATTAAACCGTAGCACAGTGGCGCTGCTTATCATGAGCCATTGGATCGTGTAATTATCAGATGGCGGCCAAATGAATGAACCCGGCTTCTATATTTAACCCGGCATATGGGCATGCGCATCTTCTTGGCGTATACGTTCTCATTCCATCGCGGCCAAATAGGAGAATCTCATGGTATATCGCAGTAATGCTGCACGACGTATGGATTCAATTGTGGATGTTTGTCTAAAAACATTAGTAATCCATAAACATGCCGACTGTGTTGATGACTTCTGTGTAGTTAACCGGATCCGGTTACGTGTTCCGTTTCGGTTAACGTTGTGCGGTAAAGTCGAGCCGGCGTTATATAGGGCTTTGCATAATGAATTTTTCTTCGTCCTCCGGTAATATGTTATTTTGATGAGTTATGATTGTCAAGAATTGGGATTAGGATGACAGGATTATGTGGATTGTGTAAAGTTGCGTGTTGGGAGTTCGGACAATAAGGGCGTGCGTGTATGCATTGTGGAAATATCGATCAGCATATATTTGCAAGTTGCAACGGACATCACCAATGCGTGGAAATATCGATCAGCATATATTTGCAAGTTGCAACGGACATCACCAATCGGGGTCCTTGCATTGCCGGAAGTGATGATGAATGGAAGACAATTGCAATGGAATGTTGTATCACATACCTTAATCATGTAACACGTGCCCGAATCAGTACGACAATTGGGTTTTCATACACTGGATTGGGAATTCTCTTCTGCTTTCTGCAAAATCACTGCAGTAAGTTCTTTATGCAACCAATAGCAATACGTATTCTGCCGGTAATAAATGAATCTGTACTTTGTAGCACGAAGCGTGTAATCCATAATCAGACTTGCTGTAAAATTAATTTTGAGGCAGCAATCAAATTATATACAGCCCGGGAAAAATCAACAGGCACAAATACATTATTTTTTTTCATGCATTTTTTTTTTCATACATAGATCTGTAGGTGTTGTGTTATTGTTTGCGACACCGTAAGCGCTTGGGTGTAGCTAGAAAGTACTATCGAAATCGGAATCTCTGTATTGTACGTTCGCGCAAAAGCGTTAGGAATTTAGAGACCAATCAGTCCGTGGATTTGCGTTTAACTACTTATGCTGACTGCGTTTTTAATTTTATTTATAAATACCGATATACAAATTTTATCGCGTGCGACATAGGAATATGTTTATTTCCATTCAAAACACATCTGTATTTATTTCCTAGTCTTGATAAAGTGGAAATTGTGTTTGTGTTTCTTAGTTATTTGCTATTGTAAAATCTACCTACATTAGAGCAATTTTATAAAGCTTATCAATTGGCTTATACTTATCCATTGTTTGACTATCCATGTGCTGTTGGAACAGAATTGGTATGCGGTCAAGGAGACGGTCAAAAGTTTCCCGACTACTGTAACGTGACCTCAACCAACGTGTCCACCCCGGATTACTTTTCACCCTTCTATCCACATCCCTATCCCAATAATAGCGATTGCAGTAAGCTAATTACGGGTAAGTGTAAAATCGTGTTCTTCTGCCAAATAAGTGCCGGCCAGGCACTCCCCCGCATCATTGTCGAGTGTGAATATAATTTGGCCAAAGTGCACTGGACGGAATAGACAGCTGGGCCTCATTAAGTCATCTGCCAGATCAGTTAATTTAATTTCCACTTTATGACAAATTATGCGGATTATTTCGGAAATGATTTCGTAGCATTTTATTGTTGATCGAAAATCTCAACAAAAGCTTTAAAAATTATTAAACTCGTGGTTAGAATTTTATCCCAGTATTAGTTTAACGCTGTTCTGATAAAGGTTGAGGTTTGATTTATTCATTTCCAACTCACCAAATTCCTACGCAGTTATGAGACAAATGGTAGACATAATTTGTATCATTTCAGAGTCAAGCGCGTCCCAGACAATTAAGACCTGCGAGTTTGCAAAATACTATGTTTATTTTATACACAGCAGAAAACTTTATGATCTACGATGATTTTAGATGCTTTATTATTAAATAGCGCACTGCATTCATGCAGAATATTTCTGTATAGTATTAATTCTATCTACTATTATTCAGATATCTAATCATATCTTGTACTATGAGGCACTACAAGATACATAATTGGTCGTTAAGAAAAAGTGGCTGCAGTGCGTATATAAGTAATTTTAATGCAAGAAAACATATGCATGTATTTTAAGGATAAAATTTATACTTGGCATAATATGCAATGGAGATTGGAGACCATAATCAGAATGTTTTGAAATAGCTCAAGATTTGTTTGTTTGTCAGTTGTAAGTGGTTCTTATTTATTCTGCATAGACGGTGCGTGTTGTAAAATGCGTAATGCTGCAGCTGATTGCTATTCATTTTGAAGTATCGTGGTAATTTATAGCACCGCCCGACCATATTGTTGAGCTGGATTTTCGAGGCCGGTTCCACATTGAAGGGCGGGACTGCCACATCTTACGGAATTCCTTTATCCCTAAAAGGCCAATTGAATGCTATTGTCAATATGACTTTCTGGAAGTCAGGGATGGACCATATGGATATTCGCCTCTTATAGGTATGCAGCGTTGTAAGAAAATTTTCACGTGCACGTTTTGAGGAGATTACAGCTTTTATATTATACTTGCTTCTTTTTATTCCTGATCATGATTTTATGATGATAATGAAATTTATCTCCATTATAAAGCGAAGACTATAGTTTATCGCTAAACTGTAGTAACATAATATGCATATGGATATGGTAACTGCCTAACTGGTAATATGCTGCGGTTTTTAAGGTACGGGTAATTTTGCATAAATTTTGTTAATGAATCGAACTAGACGCATGCTTACGCTAGTCTCCGATGGTTTATGGCGTGTTGACAGTGCACTCGTACACCAAATTGACTCTGAATTGTTTGTTAAAAATATTTGTAATAATTATCATACATCCGATATTAAGGATTCGCTACTATTGTGTTACTTACCAACGCTACCGACCAACGCATCTATCATTTGTCTCTATTACTGACAAAATTAATGCCACTCAAACTTCGCTAATCGGTGAAGTTTCTGATTATCAGCTGTAATATTGCAGCATATTTTTTGCAGGAATACCTACTAACTTTGCCGTTAATAACAGTTAACGTGACAAATTTGTGTATTTAATTCTTGTAATACGAGGTCATATTGACTCACATACTCTTGGCTTTATTCAAAATTAATGTTTTTGTCTACATACAGAGTATGTTTTTGTTTTTGTTTGTATGTTATGGTTTTGTCTGTAGTATCCTGTGGTCTGCTGATCTTATGGTTGTGCAGTTGTGGGTGACCCTTTTTATATAATTGCAGCCAGAATGTAAATTTTTTTTAAAATTCGCGTATCTAAATATAGAAAATTTTAGGTAGATTTTGCGGTACAATTTATCCACCAAGTTTGCGGAGTACAACGCGCTACATGAAGCTGCGATTTAAAACTGATGATGCCATCCAATTCGAGGGATTTTACGTTGTATACAGGAGCGTGCCTTATGAGCGGAAGCGTGACGTCTGGAATGCGACTGGTAGGTTTTCTCATAATTGCCAGCCATGCTTACGTATGATTTCAGCGCACAGTTGGACGTTAAATTTGACCCTGTGGCCACTGAGATCGACAGCGACATCGCACAGCATCGCTTCTTCCAGTGCCATGCATAACAACATGCTGTCTTATTTGTACTTGTAGGATGTTTTATTAGCATGTCGGACAGCAAGGAAGGAATGGTGAATTCCTCGTCCATTCCCAAACGATTTATAAACGATGCTCAACAACATGGTGTGCCTTTGGATTGCATTTTCGAAATTAGCATTTCTAATGCATCACAGGTCCGTGTGCATTATACAGTGCATTATAGGTCCGTTGCACTATAAATATACAGTACATATGCATATGTGCTTACGATTAATCAGGTTTCACGGTCGCGAGTGATTAATACGAATTTAAAGTTACAAAAAGTGTGAACAAAATTGTACATGTGTAAAAAAACATGTGTAAACAGTGTACATGTGTGAAAAACCACATGCATGCTTTGTTATGAGCCAAATTTACAACAAAATTTTCTAGATGCAGTTATTTTACTCTGATAAAACGTTTAAGCATAACGTTTTTGCAGGTATTGTACTGTACATGGGCGTGAGCAGTACTTCTGCTGATTGTGAGACGGCTAATATTTCTTTTAATAAAACATTCTTCTATGGGTGCAATAGTTCCATACTTTGTATTTTTTCAGCTTTCTCGATTGCATGTTAACTCAGTTTCGTGAGTAGTTCTTGTTTTTAGGTTCGTGGTAGAATGTTCACAATAAATAAAATTAATGCATATACCGGGACTGAAGTCTTTTATAAATTGAGCATTTCCTCACATTCACAAAAAATTGACACATGCGTATAACTTCATTCACAGCGTACTGCAGTATTTCGTGCTTTATGCGTGAGCATAAAGGTCAAAGCAGTAGCCATCTTGAAGGTTTGGGTACGTGTTTTGGAATTAACCTAATCTTTTTCTTATTCACAGATACTTTTACGGTTCACTGAACTGAAGCTGGCCAATCCCGACGACTGTGATATGGATTTCATCGATATTCATCAGTCTTCATTAGAATTTCACAATCGAATTCGTCAATATTGCGGAGGATCAACCAATCATTCTGTTGTTAATTCTTCAAAAGCCATCTTACACTTCATGAGCGATCCGAAAAAACTAGATGAAAATGTTTTCAATGCCTATTATACCGTGTTAAAACGATGTAAGTCAATCGTAAAATTGGAATTTCCGAATGAATGCTGTAGCGTATTTTTTTGCTTTCTTCGCTTGCGAAAACGTGCCGGTATAGTAGTACAGTTGTATACGTATTCTGAGACGTATACGTTATCACTTAGTCTGTTGCATTCTTTAAGCCATTGTTTTCAACAGTGTTTCAACGCGAAATGTGCAATACTTTGTGTAGTTTTATTCGTTTTTTTGTTTCGTTTGGTTATTGTTTTCAGCAATTTGCTTCTTTGTGCAGCCTCTCAGTGCCAAGGCGATTCGGATTTCGACTGCGGCGATGGAACATGCATCGCAGCTGACCTGGTATGCAATAAACGACCAAATTGTATAAACAAGATCGATGAATTAAACTGTGACGGAATTGGCTGGAAAAAGACAACTTTACAAAGTGTGATCATTAGCGTTGTTGTGGGCATTATTGTTGTCGGCGTGTTGGCGGTAGCCATTTGTCTCACCTGCAACGAAAAACAAATATCTCAACCCCGACGCTATTTCGCCCCGGCACCGCTGCACAAGGCTGTGGCTACTGAAGAATTCGGGTAAGACAAAAAAGAATTGCAATTAACTTTGATGATGAAAACAAAATATAAACGCTTTGCATTGTGAATTACAATTTAAAAAGAGGTCAAATTCGGTGGCCCCGAAACTTATGAAAAGTGAAAAAAAACTTGTAATACTTGTAGTACGGATTTCAGCATGTCTTCTCACTTAAGTTTAAACTTGACAGCGCCTAAAAATCTTGATGCTTTCCAGAGTGGTTCTTAAAGTTTTTTAGCGCCTGTATGTTACGGAATTTTAAGGACGGACTTAATAACATGCGGTTAATAGCCTGAATGTTAGCATCTGTGTTGTATTTAAATTTTGTTGTTTTAGTATGTACATAATCCTTTTTTATGGACGCTGCAACTTATTTATGCGTAGGAATACTTGTTTATATTTGAATTGCCGACAGATTCGGATGTACAGTGGACGAAATGTTTGCTCGGAGTAAAGAAGAGGAATTAGGCTACTTCGTTCGGCGTGTACCGGGTCCGATTGTGGAGAATGTCCCGAAATCCACGCTTGTTCGCGGTCACAGTTCATCGGAATTATTGGACAACAGCACAGTGCCAAATAGCACGGAGCACACCAATTCCCTGAACCGGCCTCGCACTTCCCGACCCAACGGACAGGCCATCAGTGCGGCCACGCCCAGTCCCCGTACGCGCAGTCAGAGTCCTTCCGGTCGGCACCACCATCGGCTGCACTTCCGTGAACCAGTCGTGGTGGAGGCTGACCATTCGGTTAATTTGCATTCTTCCATCCGCGATGGGATAGCGGTGTACATGTATTCGCCCAACACGAAAAGAAAACTCAAAAGGGTAGCCAATTGACTTTTCTATGGTCCGACCGGGAAAAATTCATATATATGTGTACTTTGTTTTTGTACTGTAATTGGAGTTGGTTTTGTATCGCTGGCTGTGATAAAGCATTTTTAAAACGACGTCAGATGCGACTGACACGTACCTCACCGAAATTAAAACGACAAATGGATATTATTGATCCGCTTATTTTTCGTGATACCGGTTTAGGTAAATTCAGCAATCTTTATGTCATCATCCTTAATTTGTGCTGCAATAATTTTCTCTGGTATGTCCTTTCTTGGCGAAAAATACTGTCTTAAATCGTAGGCAAAATATTTTTTATCCAGTTCTTTTATTTATTTATTGGTGATTTTTATTCTCAAATCTAAATAGAAGTGACAAGCTCTTTATCGCGTAAAAGCGTAGTGCGATTTCACGCTTGCCTTGGCGCGCAGACACAGCAAGTGTCATGGATCAGTGCGGTATTATCACGTGCCGCTATGAGGTTTTTAAGCGGTCATAAAAAGATAACACAAGCCATTAATTATTTTCCGATGCACCGTTTCATGGTCATCATGTAGACAAGACGAAATACGATATCCATACCGTAAAGGCTAACATTCAGCTTGCCAAAGATGTGCGTCGCTCAGCAGGTTATCCGAGAAAATTCATATAAACATAAGCTAACATAACGCTATTCAATGTAAATGTACTGGAAAAAAAGCAGAAACTTCGGTTGTGTTTTGGTAAAATTATACACAAAAACTAGAGTAGCCGGATTTGATTAACGAAGGAGTTATTGTTCAAATTTAGGAATTTGAATTAGCAAGAAATCGAGGAGGTTTTGATTTTGTTTCTTGGCCTATTTGAAATTGACAGCGCCGCGGTGTGGTCAACAATGCCGCGCTTAACCTGTCTTTTCAGCGGAACGCGTATCGATTCGCTCAGGTGTACATATCTCTCGGCCGTCTCCGTTCACAGTCGCTTCGCCGTTATACTACATACAGTACACCTGTATTAACGGGTGAAATTTAATGGGTCTACGAAGACACAAACATGAGCACACACACTCACCGTTCCTGCCACATTCGCATCTGCCTTTAATGCGCGCTTTGTCGAAAAAGTCCGTTATCTCTCGGTGCCCCTGACAAATACCTAATTATAACATGCTACCGATTATGCGTTTATCGTAATCCACTTCTGGAGATGGCGCGGTTTATCAGTTAACTCCTATCAATGACAATCGGCGCAAAAATGGTACATGTATATTTGCACAGGAATTAAACAATTAAATCAGCGGCGTTTCCGTGGACTTAATTGGATCATTTAATGCTTGGATATCTCGGCTTTAATAGTGCTGAATATGTGTTTGGAGTTGGGTCTGTAGTCGGGCTGGTGTATTCCACGTGCGCGGATTTTTGCCAACGAACTCGTTTATTTACCCGAGTGTCAGTATTCTAATAATAACAAAAAAATGACTACCGATATTGGCGAAGACGCTCCTGCCCCCAGGTAAATGAACTGTAAAAGAAATCGATGCGTAAAACTTCTGATCGTTTGTTAAAGTTTTTGTGCAGCCGAGCGTGACATGGATCATGTTTGACAATGCATTTGCTGCGTAAGAAAAATCGTGGGTGTGTCTTATACTCATAATTAACTGCTTTGTATTTTGCAAATTTAAGTATGCGATATGCACTGCTTTTTTCATTTAATAATATTGCGCATCACGGCATTAGTTGCTTTTTATTTGTAGTGCTACTAACTTTTTTAATTAGAAAAAAGTAAATGGTCAAATTTGAAGACAAATATCAGTTAATATCATTTTATGCACAGTGCCAAATAATTTATTGGCATTACGTTATGTTAACTTGTTACTATCTGCACTTACGTACGTCTGGTGATAATTGATACAAATTTAATATCGATGCAAACAGCGAAAGTCTTCTACGTATTTCCTAACAAATCACCATCGTGGTATAGTTTTATTATCCTGTTTAGTGTTCAGTAATAAGTATTCACCCTCCAGTCTAAGATGTAGTTACTGGAATACTTTATTGAAATGTGGACGTCCAGTTACTGTATTGAATGCAACTGTATTGTACATGTAACTTTTTGTAACACAATAACGTGCATTTACAGTATTACAAAAGTAATCAACATTTTCTGCCCCATTATATAGCCGTGCAGATGTTGCGCTTTTATTGTGTGTTGTGTTTGTTATTGATATTTGTGTGTGGGTTAACAATAATATATACGGCGGCGCTTTTAGCTTTTTATAAACATCAACCTCTCAAGCATGACGGTATTTAGTGCGATCAGCCATATGCCACTTGAGTTAATTCATGGCCGTTGATTTACAAGTGTCCCATGTACTGAACAACCAGCACAAAAACTAATTCACCTGTAGCGGTTACATAATTTGTGTAACAAATGCAAATATTGGAGTTCGTCTGCTTCATCCATAGGTAATGCTAACAATAAGAACAATGCGATGCGGTACATGTGCTATACTTAATAACTGGTTCGAAGCACGAGCGCAGTCTATAAGTTGAATGAAGTTCTTATAGTATTTTGGGTTTGTTAAGTAAACTTATTATTATTGTCTTTATGAAAATCACCCAGATGGTTTATTGAATTATAGGTAATAAACATCTAAATTATTATCCACAGACTACTGTGTACAACTACTGGTTAAGCTAGCAGCAGGCGTAAGTACCTAATTATTACGCTGCTTAATTCGAAAAATTTTGTATATCGTGCGTATTCGTGATGTGAATCCAGGGCGTGTTAAGCACAAAAAGGAAATAACAAATTACATGAATAAGAAAGAGGAAACAGGGAATAGGAACGATGTTTAGATCACGATTCAAGACTCTGTCAGGTCTATTATCTGAATATCGAAAAATTTAATTATTAATTGGTCGATACCAGGAAATAAGCATGCACCGTACGAGTCACAATTCAATGAATTCAAGATGTCGGAACAATGCTATTTTTAAATTTTTAAGAATGTAGACGGGCTTAGGCATTTTGTAACTTCCAGAAATACAAAAGGCTACGAGTACGTTTAGAAAAGTAATGCATTTAAACCGATTAAGCGAAGATTTGTAACACAGAAGCGTCCAAAGAGACTTTCGAATCAGATTACTTAGTGATTACAGATTCTACTTATGAATCAACAAAAGAGTATTTCGTAATAGATGCTTTAGATTGTTGTACATATATGTCCAGGATTGCTTATCTTTTTCCCATACAATTACAGTTTTGGCCTCACTTTGACAGCTACTCTTCTTTTGAATTTCGCATTTAATGACCACCGGAAGCAGGCGTCACACCGCGTACTCGTTCGAACTTCTGCTCTGTGACTGGCGCGAGTTTCCGTGCGTTGCATGCTTTTGCATTAATTAATCCACCAAAAAACCGCAGAGGAAGTAACATAATCGTTTCAAATCTCATTCCTGTGCCAAATGTAGAAGGTTTTTCTTCCAATTTCGATTTCAGTATCTGATTATTAAAAATTTTAGCTTTTTTCTGTTGACAAACTTTAGAAGGCTGATAACACACCGCTGTTTTCAACACTGGTCATGAAAACTGTCGATCGGCCTACGGCTTATGTGATTTAGTCAAACTGTTGTTTTGTTTTTTAGATTATGTCATATAACGCGCTGGCCAGACTTTGACGGATATGGATTTAATCTACAGTCCGATAAGGTTCGAAATGGTCAGTTTATCGGCAAAGTGGATGCGAATTCACCGGCGGAAGCTGCCGGTTTGAAACAGGTAAGCGAATGCGTACTGCAAGTGGCCATCTGTCGCTGCTGTTTATCTGTTTGCTGAAACGGATAAATTTCAGTCCCGCGTTAGTGTTGACGATCGCGAGACTTCTTTTAAAGCGAAAAATACTTGCGTTTAGGCAAATCATCACGGCATAATCGTGCTTCACGTACTTACTTAGCTTGGCATAATGACAAATAGAAAAAGTCGATTTTCCGGCTTATATAAAATGCTTTGGCTGCGTGAATCAACACCGGTGACAAACGGCATTGCGCACCGGTAATCTGACAATCCGCCTTTTCACTTTTCATTTCGTGTCTTGCGAATTAAAGCATTTTTTCGCGTTCACCCAGGAATTCTATGCATTTTTCTCACGATGATATGTTACGAACCAAAAATTAAAGTGTGCTGCGGCTTGTGCAACATTTGATTCGACGGTGCATGCGCTGTGTAAATGTTGCCCTGGGTGTTAAAAACCGAAGCAATTTTGTTTTATATTGCGTTGTAACCGCCTTGTGCCGTTCGGTGCCGCCTAGTTGATATCATTGCATATATATAACTTGTTGATTATTTCGGCAATTTATTAGGGTGATAGGATTGTTGAAGTGAACGGAGTTAATATTGCCAATGAAAATCACAAGCAGGTGGTAGAACGAATCAAGGCCATTCCCCAGGAAACACGCTTGTTAGTTGTTGATCCATCGGCGGATGCATGGTATAAAACCAATAAAGTTGTTGTGCGCGGAACGCAAAAGAACATCCTTTATCTCCAGAACCCTGTTGCCTTTAGATTTACACATGGTAAGTGGTTCATTTTTAAATTGCTAGATTTGTTTGCTAAGTTTTCCTAGAAACTTGGTTATTTCTAGAAACTAAGTATTTGTAATTAGTGCTGCCATCAGATTGAAGTTGCAGAGACAATGAATGTAGCTTGCGAAAGCGATGAAATATTATGCATTATTGGAAAGAAAATAATAACTACATTTTATTTTGTAAAACAATTCTTGCATACATACAGATAAAAAACAATGTTGCCTTTAGATTTACACACGGTAAGTGGTTCATTTTTAAATTGCTAGATTTGTTTGCTAAGTTTTCCTAGAAACTTGGTTATTTCTAGAAACTAAGTATTTGTAATCAGTGCTGCCATCAGATTGAAGTTGCAGAGACAAGTTGTAATTTATCCTGACACGGAGTTTTCGTTCATTGCTTGATAGTGATACGAATTTCTCGGATATTGGTATTCGTACAAAATACTTTGATATGCCTGGTATTCTAGGCGTGATGGAGTGAAAGCAGTTTAACACATTTAAAATTTCGTGCAGTTCGTTCTCCGATTGTTTTTTTGACAATAACTGTGGTTTGACTAATTAACCGTGGGCTGTGGTTTGCGTACTAATGATACAAATGATCGAGTCACGTTTGTTTGACTAATTAATTTTGAAGTTTTTTTAGAGATAAATATTCACACACATGGTCAGATGTGTCTACGAATTGTTTACAACCAAATCGCTTGAAACTATTGAGGAAAAATTTATTGCACACAAACCGGTTCGATACTGTACTTGTTACGTGTATGTGTTATATCACATAGCGAGAGATTTATTCATCGTCAGTTGAATGGTGAATTCTGTGGCGAAATGCCCATTGCTTGCTACTGTTGATGTTAATTACAGTTTTAATATTCGAAAGTACCTTTCATAATCTTACCATACCATTTACGCATGCGGCTTTACCCACTGCGCTTTGAACGGAAATCTCGTTAGCGTGCTTAAGTTCCCTGCATGACTTCAGTCACAGCTTGACTTATAATATGAATTTGCGTTAATAAATATGCAAGGTCAATTTTTAATCCGTCAAATTTATTCCAGATTCCATTTCGAAAGATTCTCCGCAGCACCATGAATTTGATGAGAAGCCTATAAACCACCCATCTACCGATAGTGTTAACGCTGACCGGCGATCTAGTGTTCAGAAATTACAATCATTTCCGCCATTTCCACCGGGAAGCGAAGTGGCTGATGCGCATCAGCTAGATATACCAACCCAAACTGAACAAGAGCGAAAAGTCAGCGTACAAGAATCACCTATTCTTCGCCAGACTGTTGACCTACACTTTCCACCTCCGCCGCCACTCGAGGACTACAATACACCGGAAAAAACTCATCACGAAGAAAAGCGGCAATCAATAACTTTCACTGAACACGCTCCTGTAACTGTTACCCAACCGCAGCATCTCGACAAAAGCGACGACCACAAAAACCGGCACGAGGACGACCATCACAATCACGAAAAAGGTCACGACCACGAACATCACGAAGGAGAATATTTTCATCACGAAAAACATTACGAACATACGCACCACGAAGACGAACACCATCATCCTCAAGAAGCTCACGATCACGAGCATCATCACGAAAAAGCTCGCGAAGCGGGCGAGCATTCCCACGATCATTCTCATACTGGGAACGAAGCCATGCAACACACATACCAAGAGACAGTGGTCACCCACGATGTGGAGACCGCTCGTGAAGAACATGCGTCACAATTAACTGGGTTTAAAGTTCTGGGTGAGGATATCGAAGTGTGTGCTGGACAACCGGGATCCAGACGTCATTCGATTTTGGCCGATCCGGCGCATCATGAGCAGCGTCGCCTGTCCAATACCAGTCCAAATCATGTTCACTTCGAGCAAGAACCGGTACCGCTAACGGTGGCACAATTAGTCGGCACACCGGATCTGGATGCTAGCCAGATGCCGAAAGTGTACCCGAAATCCCCTGTGCCTAGCGAAAAAGAATTCATTGAAGAAACGGTAACGCGTAGCCCGGCTTTTCATCCACAAAAGCCGGTATCGCCCAAAGAGGAGCTGACGGAAACTGTCGAGGTGCACCATAATAACGGATACCAAAGGCCAGTTATATCGTACACCGAAGTAAGTTGCAACGTTGTATTGCATTTTTGTTAATTGCTCTGTCCAAGTTTGCGCTTTATTATGTCTCCATAAATTTTTTAATTTTCGAAAAGACCAAACAATTTTAAATTGTAGCTGGTACAAAAATAAAATAGAGCCTGTCTGACACAAATTTTCACTAAAGTACTGGAGAAATTTTGTGTTTGTGTTAAGTGGCCTATGTACAGGTCGGTAAGCCTTGTTTTTCTGCTCCAGCGCTTACGAAAGGACAGCTTGAGCGAAGACTCCGGATCGCGATCATTGTCATCCGCCGCCGAGAATCACAGTGACAAAGAGAACGGACTTCGTAGTCGCAACGGGGATAATATTTCCTACGACGATTCAAAGACGCCCTCCCCAACGCCTGCTGTGATTGCGCCGCTGCCGGTCAAACCTGTATCGAACGGGACCGCTAAACCGGTCACCACGGAACCGACGAAGACAACCCCAAAATCTGGACAGACTTTTGGTGAGCCGTCGCTGTACCAGTCGGCACAAGAGCTCCGTGCCGCATTATCACGCCGACCCAAGAAGGATATTCGGTCGCAGCCGATGGATTTGAAGAAGAAGCACGATATCATCAACAATTTGTAGAGCGTTTTACGTTTTACCGGGGTATCCTGCTGACAATGCAGTGCCTTTTGTTTCTTTTTTGATTTGTATTGCAACAGTATAGTTACTGCTTTTTACGGTACAAAATTTTATGCTTTTGTGCGATATCGTGACCTTGTGAAAGTTCAGTTCTTGTTAGCAACTATTTTTATTTTGATTGTGTTTATGGATATTCGACAATTATACAGTTTACTTTTTTGTGTTTGTTTAGCTTTAATTAATTTACCGTTTATGTTTTCGAACCTTTGAAAACTTTGATAGTTTTATTTGAAGTGCCATTGGCTTCCAAACGTAAACATACTTTTAGACTTTACTTGTGAACGCATGGAACGGTAACGGTCAGACTTCACAACCGCTGAGTTTTCTTATTATTACGCAACAGAAAATACAGCAGCTGCTTTTGGCGTCAGATTTGCATATCGGCTTGGTGAGGAGTTAGCCTTGTGGTGGCGCAATAGGAATTTCATTTTTGCAGTTACAAATGATCGTTGATCGTTACAAAGGATGACTATGTAGATTGTAGATTGGGAAGCAATAACCAATGAAATTTGTCCGCAACAATCAAATTGCACTTCGAGTGAGTAACCAGCGTTGTAACAAAACTTATACTTTTCGGCGAAATGTCCAAATAAGCGTAAAGAAAAGTGGTGACTGAACCGCAGATTCCATCTGATTTCAGGGACTGATATGTCCAGATTAGGATAACTACAGAGTTACACTCAGCAGCACTTACATGATGTGGCACATGCACTTATAAAGACACCACAACAACGTTTACTGCCGGAACCAAACGTTGCTCGCCTTTGCGTTTACAGCATCAAGGTACCAGCTGTGCTCCTATGCGATTGTTCATCCCTTTATCATAATAATTTTTATACGTTGTCCGCACACAGACATACGTAGTATCAGGATTGAGGGCTGTTCTTGACTTCTGTCAAAAAAATGCTGTACCGTTCGGGTTTCGGGGTCTTGGCAGTGGCCGTTGTGCTGCTTCTGCAAACTCAGGTAAGAATAATATGACCTTCCATTCAGAGTAACCTTAGAAGCAACTTTAGTAAAAATGGCACACCACATTTTTGATTTCTCTTCCTGGGTGAGATCGGAATGTCTGCTTTCATTTGTTGGCGATTGTGATGCGGTATGCCAGACAGTACTGTGCAGAAGGTCAATGCTAACATGAATAAAAGCAGCGGAAATGTGATTCGATTTCTGATTGTTGCTATTTTGTACCAATCCCGTGCCAATTGTATAGGACGCAGTTTAGGCGCGACAGTCAACTTGCTAACAGCAAAGAAGATTGGCAAGAAGATGTTCGCTCCACCTAATTTTTCAAGGATTAAGTTTGGGTATCATTTGCGCATCTTTTTTGATGTTTTGCAGAGTGGTGAGGCCAATTGGTTTACCGACCTATTCACATCGTCTAAGGCAAGAGAAGCTCATGAGACCGTGTATAATGAAAATCCAAGCACGGCGAATACCCCTCAAAAACACAAATCCTCCTGGACTCACGAGCTGATCGCAGCGGCGGCCGGTTGGCAAGCCATGCGGGCGTATGAGAACCATCAAGCCAAAAAGACCGGCGAACCGGTCAATCACTCTGTTGTCAAAGGTGTTCTGGCCGGTCTGGCAGCGGCCGCCGTGGACCGGTTAATCGAAACAAAGGGATTAGACTGGCTGGATGCGCAGCGCGCCAAATCCCGAGCGACACAGCAAGCGGAAAGCCTGGTCGGCGAGAAGTACGGTATGCGGTTATTCGGTAGCGGTTCGGGATCCGGTTCAGGGGGCGGCGATCGGGTCAACACGCCGAACTGGCAGAACGGAGTACGCGATGCCGATCCGGAAGCGTTGGGCATCGGCAGAAATCCCCGACCTGACCGCTTGGACAGCAATCGAAATCGCGAGGAGACGTACGGCGAAGACCGGTATAACAACCGCAATGAAGGAAACGGGAACTACAGAAATAGCGATCGCGATTATCGACGCCGTGATGACGATGAGGATCGCGGCGGGAGTGTTGGTTATTCCGTACGCGATACGACATATTCGCCTGACGGTGAATACCGGTGATTTCATTTAGATCGGAGAGGGAAATATTTATGCTGAATTTCCTCTTTTGTTGCGTGTTATGTTATATTTATTTATGCCTCGCTTTGTAAGAAATTTGTTGAATGCATTCAGCATTAAAATGTATACGAGTATACAAGCACAGCAGTAATACTCTGTAAGACGCTATCTGCAGCTGTGAATTGTTCAAGCAAAACAAACATAAAATTAGTAGTCTTTGCCGACCCCGGCTATTGACAATGAGTGGAAAATTACACTGATATGAAATAAAAAAATTTTTAAAAAACATTGAACACTAAAAACTATGCACTAAAAATTAAAAAAAATGGAAGTCGCAGTAGGTTTGCGGTTCCAGAATTTGACACTTAACAAGAATCAGCAAACAGTGTGTTTAAATCGCCAGCACTGGGTTCCAGTCGAGAAGCGCTTGTTAGCGCAATATGCATCCATTTTTTCTAGCCTACCATTGTATGTTGGTGTGTAGAAAGGTTACTTCGTTGAAACAAAATACTTATGTTAAAACATTGGACTCACTATGCTTTGTTTACATTTACAACCTCTTTCGCGTGTTCCCGTGATAAAGAACGCCGTCTAAAAGAAGCTTCGTATATATTTTTACACGAATGCTGAAAGTCAAAATTTTTGGCTTTTCGTTAAAGTATGAACGCCTAAGATACAGAATATCATCGCCAAGGCAAACCGGCACGGAAAACTTTCACTTAAATCATTGGTTTAAAGGTTTAAATTGTTGTCAGCAGACAGCAGTGTCTGCTCGTCTTGTTATAAATAATTTACCAGGCAATTATAGAAACGGAGAAGTACAGTATATATTATACGTAATGTATTTGCACAGTATGGTTAGAAACTTTGAGGATACTGTTAGTAAATTCATGAATCAGTCAGTGATATTCGTAATCCGACTAACCTGTGCAAACTCGCAAAACAAATCCCATGCTTTTATGACATAAGAAATCGTTACTACCGAGTAAAACTACATTTGCTTCTCATAAACCTCCATTATTTTCGTCGAAAATCTGGACATATACTCGTATAACGAAAAGATTTTTATCAGATTCAAGGTACCGATTTCGAGATTTTTATCGTTCACGCCGAATTCCCCAGTACACGATGGCGCAGCAAAATACTGTAAACACAATACAGGTCTATTTATAAGCGTTAACTAGCTTTGGTTTTTTCCACCACCGCAATGATTGTCTAATTTATCCTTCGCGCATAGTTGCCTAAAAATTACGCTTTGGTTTTTTGCCGCCGACCGCAGGACTGCGTTGTTTGTTAACTGTTCGACACGAAAATGCATCGCGGTTCATTAATTGGAATACTACTCATAACTATCTTAATACTGGGCGGAAGTCAGGTAATTTATTGATAACCGCGAAAAAATTGGAATAGAATGTGGTTTATTTGTGGTGCACTGGTGCCTCTACTTATTTGTGGCTGCTACTGCTTACACAAACTTTTGCAAAATTAAATGTGTTTATGATTTTTGCTTAGACGGGAGAAGCTAACTGGTTTACAAACCTGTTCTCATCGTCCAAAGCCCAGGAAGCCCATGAAACGGTGTTCAATGAAAACAATCCCCAGCAGCACAAAAATTCTTGGACGCACGAATTAATCGCAGCGGCCGCGGGATGGGAAGCCATGCGAGCATATGAACGCCATCAAGCAAAACAGACCGGTCAACCGGTCAATCATTCCTTGATTAAAAGTGCTCTGGCGGGATTTGCCGCGGCGGCAATAGACCGGCTGATCGAAACCAAAGGACTCGACTGGGTGGATGCCCAACGCGCAAAGACCGGTGCAGCGCAGCAAGCCGAGCGTCTCGCCAACGAGAAATACGGTCTGAATTCAATGCCGGCGAGTGGGGCAAGCGGAAGTAATCCCGAAACGAGCGATACGACGCCAAGTGGTGAATACCGATGAACTTTATGGAATTTTTTTATCAGACGACTGAAAAGGTCACTTTGTGCCTGAGCGATGCCAAGATATTGTTAAACTGTTGCAACGCCGTATGCATTGAATTTGTACAGACTATGCAAGTGTCTTGTGTGATCGTGGTGAAACAAGAGTTTTATATCCATAGTAAATAAAACTCAATGAAAAATAACTTAGCTATCATTACCATAAAGAATGGGGAAATGCTGGTTATATTACAAAGCCAAGTAATCGTTATCTCTCCTTCCAATTTTCCAAATAACAGCGCTGTTGACACAAACAAACTTAAATTAGTTTTCAAATGACAGAATCGAACAGGCCGTACAGGTAGCCATTTCAAGTGTTTAAATGTATTTAGTTAAAATCCGATAATGCATTCCTTACCTGCTGAATATTAACAGGTTTTGCAAAAATAAAGCTACTCCCGGCCAGGCAGAAAGGTCTACAAATAACCAAACAAATGTTAAGCGCTTTATCTACTCTAGTTTCCCTTTTTGTTTTAGAACGTATGAGTGCGGTACGGCACACCACCGAGTACCGAGCTACAAAGCATTGTAGCATACCGTACATCTTATAATCAGTCCTGGTGGATAAAGCGGATTATGCTAACTACAACTGTCTACAAGTACCCATTGTAATCAGTGCGAACGGCCCGGAACGGGGCAACTTACGTCCTTTAAATTTAACGTAGTCCTGGAACATAATCCAGACCGCTGCAATTACACACGAGAAACCAATCATGAAACCAGTAAAAATTATAAATCTGGAGGTTGCTGGTGAATTAAACAATCCTCCGTCGTAGTCATCACTAATGGGTGTCGCTACAATCCTGCAACATCACAGAGTACATTCGTCGTTTTAATATAAAATTTCCTTGTTGTGTAGACATCTCGAATGAATAAACTCCATGCAGTATAACACTGTCTTACATGATAAATGCAACAGTGGCTACTACGCCAATTGCATGGTAAGGATGCGGAAAATCTCCTTGCGACGAATAGACCACTGCGACATCAAATATCAACCACCATCCGATAGCGAACTGCAATTAAATATCAAGAATCTTTAGGTGCCATTATTGCCCACTAGAATCTTAACCGCCGGTGAAAGTTGGTGGCTTTCAGCGTAAATTCTGGGACGCATTTTTCAGACGCGTTTGCATCTCCCTATTATTTTTATTACAACGGCGATAAACAAAACCTGTGGGGATTGCATTTATGCAGGCGAGAGTCACACGCGTACCCAATCGTACGTAAGTTACTACTCTACCGTAGGAATTTTAGAAACCAAACGTACCATGCAACCCGAACAATATACGACAACGCGGCTCCTTAAACTGATATCTTCAGTTTCTCTTTCAAAAACATTCCTGAGATTCCGAATAACCGAAGACATTTTAACTGTTGCACAGTCTTGTTAATGTACTCTTTAAACGAAAAGCATCGTTTTGCATTACTCTGCTTCGGATCAGATGTTCACATAAGCATCAAAATCCCCGGTCTCGCAGTAAGTACCAAAAAAGTTGTGGTTTAACTTTAAGCGTTAGATTGCCGCAAGGATTTCGCCCAAGGGTCTGCTAATTTATATCAGTTTACGGTTTTGGCTATGGGGAAACAGTACTTCATCAACGCGCTATATTTTGAAACTTTTACACTACTCACGAGATGTATTTTATATATTGCCTAATATGAGAGCAGGCCCAATCTGTGAAGCTGAATTATTACAGTTTAATTTTATTTAACGCTGTTGCGAAACACAAGTTTGAAGACAGGAACCCAGTTTTTCAAGTTTTATGCATGGCTTGGATACGCTAAACTTCCTTTCGTCGTTAAGTTCATTCATGAGTTCAGCTGGTTCTGTATCGAGCTGGGTGTAGGTAATTGTTAGTCTTTTGCATAAATTTTAACGCAGTCACACGTATTTACAATCGTTTTAATATAATTATCTATATTTAAATCGTCCTTACAATGAGGACTATTTACTAAATGTTTGTTCGGTCAAACCAACAGCTACATCATCCGGCACTTGTGACCTTTTTCGCGTTCAGTACAATCGCCTGGTGGCGAACATGTCAGGCTACTAAGATATGTATCCGCACAGCTCCTCTGCGTTTTTACCTTAACACTATAGGGTAGCGTTACATTTTGGATTGCGTATTAATTTTACATGGTTAGAACAAATTTAATTTACTGTATTTTAAAAGCAGGTAGTTTTTACGTAGTATCTATTATCAAAATTATACCAATCAAGAAACTTGCCGCAGCAGAGTTACACATGTATCATCTGGATTGCAATGTTTTTACTCTGCCGACTATTGCGTATTAAAGAACAATTTGCTACTGCCCGAAGCTGCATCAATGCCTACTGTAACAGAATACTGCGCTGGCTGTTGCCAAATAAAAAAATCATATTCTGATTAGTTTGTTTTCAAGGGATCTGTTACATTTTCTTTTTTCTCTACCTCACAAAAGCGTTAATAACCAAAATCAAATTATTCAAGTGCATAGTGCAACGGAATGGACGGCTGGTTGAAGCGGTCGACAGGAACGTATACAGGCTCAGCATCTTCATCGAAATAGGAAGCTTGATGGTCGAGACCGCCTACAATGTGAGAAAAACAACACTATTAGAAATCAATGGTCCACTTTCATTTTTTTTATGTAATATCGTTATTGAATCTCTTACGGGGAATGCCGATACTGGTGTACGGAGCGATGTACTTTCTCAGTCCATACTTTTTCAAACTTCTCTTGCGTAGAAGCCAACGCGGTATCGTTTCGATTTCTTCTTCTGTCCCATGGTAATGGCGCGGCGCCGGCTTGGAATAGGCGACCCTTTTTCCGACTACCACTGGTACCTCCTCATCTTGGCCTGCTGAAGTACGCAGAAATCGATTTATCACCCTTTTCCGATTGTGATTTCGGAACTTTGCTGATTTTTCTGGATGACCTACGTACAAACATTCACGAATTCGGTCGATGCGTTTGGGTAATCCTAAAAGTGAACCCGGATTTCGACGTTTTCAGAAAAACACTTTATTATGAGGAAAAGTATTTATTAATCAAATTCCGCCACTACTAACACAGTATCCGCCTGCGCTAACGATTTATTTGCAAAAATGCAGTAGAAATATTTCAGCTGCTTATCGACTCGAAATTATTGCTAACTAACTCAGCAGCAATATATCGATTTTACTAACCGCATTATGTAAGTGCATCACTCGGATGGCCTTTACTCGAAACAGAAGCACACACCTGGCACGCTTTCAACATTCACCCTATGCATTTACGTGTTCATGCTCCGTTCTGAGTATTCGGTGAGGCCATATTGAGGATAGATCACGCCAACCGAAAAACGTTTCTCTCTCATAAAAACTATAATTCAATAAAGCTAAAAAGCACCTGACTAGAAAATGAAACTTTTGGAACTTGTCGACTTTGTTACATAACAGAGACAGCTAGAGCCAGCGTGCATTACGGATTTACGGTGAAAACTGTACATCTAGCCAATATTAATCACCCACGCGATACCTCTGCATGCTAATTAGTGTTTCATCGATTTATTAGCTGGAAAACACGCATAAACTTGTGGTGCAGTACCTGCTGCGGAATCGTAGCCGTTAATGGAGCTTCTATCGTTGGCATGCGAATGGCTTGAATGGGTCAACTGCTCGCCGCTGGCGGGCATTTGTCCGCTTTGCCCAACCGTATCCGGTCCTTGGCTGTGAAATTCATCCCCGTGCCATTTGGCGAAGGCGGCTGCTAATTGGGGATTTGGCCAGCCGCCGGGAGCGGATTTGTAGTAATTGAATAACGGTAACCGCATGCCCATATCGGGCCCTGGGGCGGACTCCACATGCACATGTACCGAGGCATCATCACCGGCTTCGATTAGGCGAACTAATATTGCGATATTCAGAAGCACTGCAAAACCATTCTCCTCGCAATCTGATGATTGTCTCAGCTTTTAAATCCAGCTGACAGTAACAGAAGAAGAAATTGATTAAACTGTTCAATACCGCACCACTCCAATCGGATTTCCTTTCTGTGTTTATATACAGTAATTCCTCAGTACATATTTCAGTGTACTGCATAATTATAAGCATTTGATTTAAGTTACAAGGAAAGCATATGCTATATGAAGACCGCTTGAATTAATTCTATCTATTACACTCCTTTGGTTTCTTTTGCTCACAAGAAATGGAGACTACCTATATAAAGTACAGATGCAACAACAGCCATTTCATCCATTACTGCTGTAGCATTTCTGTACATAGAGATATTTATAATAAGGTATAAGGAAAATTGAATAAGTAATTGAAAAATTTTATGCCTTCAAATTCTAGTAATTCCGCATAAAATAAGCTTGACCGACCAGTTTGCATAAAATATGAAGTTTCAGCTAAAGATGTTATTAAAGTGGCTATATGTATGATCTTTTAAATCTGTCGACGGAACAGAAACAGGGAGCTGAGGGTTTGTGAATGAAATAATGCATAACTTAAATGGAACTTTCGCCATGTATAACATTTCCGGAAAAATTGACTTTTAAATGGCCAGATTAGCAGCACAGCCATTGTACTGTGGCTGGGCTTGGTCAGCCTTAGTGGTGTACCAGGAAATCAAAAAAGTGTAACTGCCATGGAAGGAAAACGTTTTCTCATGGGACACTTGTACTGCGTGCACGAGGGACAGTTAAGACCTCAATTGAAGGTTAGTAGTGACTACCCGTAGTTTGCGTGTCTATCAACCTATCAGCGTAAAATCCAGAACAGAAAACAGAAAAAGCTTTGTACACCAGCATATAAAATTTGAACTACCGTATATGGCTTATAAACGTAGGTAATTATAACATCATGATACGGTACATCACCATACATTTAACTTTCACTTTAAATTTTTATAAAATTCAAGGCACATACATATATAGCTAAATATTTCTGTACATGTAAGTATTTCACAAATTTGATTTTCTCATTTCAGAATATTTTCAAAAACGCCATCACGTCAAATATGTTCCAGAAAAAAGTGCTGAAGTAATAGCTAGGGTAGAAGTTATAACTTGCTACGGGTAGGTAATTAAAACTTATACAGTGATCGACCGCGATAAACGATTAAAATTTTTTATAGTCATATATATAAATTATTTTAAGTTTCAGTCCTGTGAAAATAACGATACTTTTATATAGTATGTTTTGTTCGCACCCGGTCGCATGTCCGCATTGTTTTAAGGAAATTCATCTTGTTTTCGATGATTCATAAATTGTTCTTTTTTGGTGAAACGTGGTAGCTACGAAAATGCCGCAGGGGTTTCGTATTAACTACTGTATTAAAACCATAAATTAAGTAAACAACAGACACAAACACGATCCGCGCTCACGCCGTATCATAAGAATTATGGCTACGACACCTGGTCACTGCGTATGTTCGAGGAAAAACGCCGCTGCGATGTTTTTAATGTTTACGATGAATCACTGTTTCGTTCGAGATCTTTCCGTCCAGACGGTTGTTGGTTTTTCAGCTCACAATCGTATATCGATATCCGAAGATGTCTCGCTGGTTGACCTTTACAGGTACCATCTTAACAGGTACCCTTTTCAGGCTGGATAGCATACTCTGTACACGTTTACTTCAAGTATAGTTGCTTTAATATTATAGCACAGCAATCTGGTACGATATCACTTAAACGCATAAAAATGAGAAGTGAACAGCACGCCCCAGAATAAATTATACAGTATATAAAGTGTAGTAGGGCTGATACAAATCGTGATGTACAGTTAATCTGTACTCGTACATAGACAAATTATGATGACAACAGTAAAATACTATACATACGCCAAAGCTTCTGTAAATGAACAGGAAACCTCGGCGTTAGGGGCGTTAGGAACGATATTGAGTAATCAGAAGCCATCCAATTTTAAAATGAAAATTTTATGTTATTTTTAGGAATGGCTAATAATTTGTAACTTTTTGTCTTTATTAGGGTGCAGGTGAACTGTGGTTAACTGTGGTATGCAGATGCCGGCAGCTGTAGATGCCGCACGAGTCTGGTTTCCACAAGCTTCCACCTCCTTGTGATCACACTACAAAAATTACATGTTTCAGAAAACAAATCAAAAAGAAACTTGTGCAGTAAGTGATAATCATTTCGCACTCCATGCTACGTGAACAGCAGATCCGATTTTTTTATGTCCAAAATGACGATATTTCGGTTGTCAGCGTATGAAATATGAACATATGTTTATGATTGCTGGTGTGATTGGTGTCGAAATGGATTTCTTGCGTGTATTGACTGTGATCGGTGCGTGATAACCGATAAACAACCACCGAACACTTTTTTCTTTTGCGTAAAAACCATATTGTAAAAATGAATCACTTTATTTAGAGTGGCGACATTCAAGTGCGATCAATCGAATAATACGATGCTCTAGAATTCACCGGCAATATTGTCGAAAACCGTGCATCCGTACTCGTACTCATGCGACAACGATGGTTGGCATTGGTTTATACCTGTTTACCGTACGTCTGTACCGAGAAATTAGCAGCTAATCTTATAAATTCCGATCTACCGACTGTAATCTTGGCTTCCGTACAATATGGTTTTATTTGTGCTGTACTTATACAATACATACATAAGGTACTTTAAGCGGTACATTGCGCAGCAAAACTCCGTCGCATATTGTGGTGCACGATTGACGGACAATAATGATTTTTCGTCTTTGTTTCCTCATTCTGCAGGTACAACGAAAACGTATACTACCTTCCCGCTGGCGATAGGAATCTACTGTTTCTAGCCTTCTGGTTGGCTATTTATAAACCATTTTACCAAAAGTCTGGTTTTTATTTTTCGTGATTTGCAGTGTGTTTGAAGACAGCAACGAAATAGATGATATTTCTGTGCACGGCCCAGCGTGGACAGTGCGTGACACGGGATATGGTTTTATGAAATTTTGATTCAAGCTCGAGTGTCCGCTATCACGAACCATGTCTGGCCGACTGATAAGTAATTCTACGGGTGATTTCAATGCTTCGGCATTGGTGAACATAACCAATGTTACCGAGATACCGAAAACAACCCTCCCCGCCTTCGTGGACACTGGCTATCCGTCGACGGGATTCATCACATGGGGAGCCGCTCTGGTCTTCCTCATGACTCCGGGCTTGGCATTGTTTTACTCGGGTCTCTCGCGATACAACAATGCCCTTTCCCTGATGATGCTGTGCATGCTGGCAGCGGCGGTAAGGGATGCGTGCTGGACATGTTCACGTTGTCGTGAGATCTTTTCGGAGATGAACCGGCCTGAAATAAATTTTTATTGTAATGCTAGCTCCCGTCTGTCGTAATCATCCCCTCTTTGATGCGCTTCGGGTAGTATATTAGCCTATAACGAACTTACACGAGGCATTTACGGCTAATCACCCCACCTAATATTTTTAAATTTGGGTTTTTTGTTATAGTTTTACGATTAGTTTCAGCAGTACCGACACATCTGTAGTAAGCTACCACACGCATTTGTCAGATTTGATCCTGCGCATGTTTCGATTACATGTCTACGGCTCAGTTGTTCATTTAGTTCGAATTTAATTTTATCTTTTTCTGTTTTTAGATAGTCACTATCCAATTCTTCCTCTTCGGCTTCAGCCTCGCTTTCTCCGAAACCGGTGGTCCGTTTATTGGTGATTTTAATGCCGGGGCTCTGACCACCCTCGGGGCGCACGCTTTTCCTAATACGGCGCCGGCCATTCCATCCATTGCCTTCATGGTGTACCAGATGCAGTTCGCCACCATCACCGCCGCCCTCATCTTTGGCTCGGTGCCGGAACGAACCCGTTTCCTACCGGCTATGATTTTTGTTTTCATTTGGACGACGTTGGTATATGATTTTGTCGCTTATTGGACGTGGGCGGATCACGGATGGATCAGGAATCTGGGCTGTATCTCCAACATCACGAGCGATGCGGGGCCGTGCTTCGTGGGTGCCTATGATTTTGCCGGTGGCGGTCCAGTTCATATTGCATCAGGATTTGCCGGGTTGGCCTACTGCTTGATTCTCGGCAAGCGGAAGCGTATTCACGTGGAGCATCATAGCCTGGTAAGTGTCTGGATGCAACCGGAAATTAAGCATTACATTGTATGCTACGGTATATTGTTCCACTATTTTCGATATATACCATGGGGCAATTTTCATATACGTCAAGAATACTCGTACCTATTCTATAATACCTACCATGATATCTTTAGAATCTCACCTCTGACCATAATGTATCAATCGTACTATGTAAATTCGGCTAAAACGGTTACCAAAAACTGAGGAAGGATATAATTATTTTAAGTCCGTTTTTCCCGAGGTTGATTTATCGCAGTAATGGTATGCCCGCTTATTTTTCGAAAAGAAATGGCGAAGATGGTTTTTCAAGACAATTAATCATAACCGAAGTGCGACATCCTCTAAATTGAGCTCTCAGCCGGAAGGAAGATTTCACGATTAACATTTAATACTTAGAATTATTTGTTGTTGTTTTCCTTTATTTTACCGGAAAGGGCAGTCGGACAACAGTGTTGTATGAAAAGAGCTGCGACAATGAACGCCATAAAATGTGAGGTTTCAATCAAGTGCTTGTATTATTTCAAGGACTATTAATCTTACAGTTTGTCAAAATAGTTAACTTTGTCGCCTCTTAATACTCAGTCTGACGTATGTTTTTCTAATTTTGTGTGCATCAGGAAAATACTTCAGGTTTACGGCACGGGTTGTTATAAGTCATGCATGTAGTGTCACAGCGATAAAAACTAGGTGCTTGTTTGGTTTTGCCAGTTCCTTCTTTTGTTGCAGAAGCAATGATAATGCTGATTGTTAATACGGAAAACAAGTATCAGCGTAATTTTAGTGAGTACGATATGGTATTTTTTTCCAGGTGAATGTCATGTTTGGTACTGGCCTACTTTGGTGTGGATGGTTTGCATTCAACGGTAAGTCGAGCGTACTGTTTCACAGCAATTAAGCTTGACCCTTTATGAATATTTGCTTTTTATCAATAATGATCACTGATATGCAACAATATTAATTAGGTGGATCTGCCGGTGCATCGACAACAAGAGCGGCAATGGCGTCAACAGTTACAACAATTGCAGCAGCGATGGGTGGGTTAAGGTGAGAAAAAGGAAGTATATTAATTTGAAGTTAACGCTTCACTTTTATATTTGTATATAGAAAAACTGCATTTGACAACTGCATGAATTTACGTTAACCGAATTAGGAAAAAGAGGCAGCTCTAGGATAACGTATGCCATGAAGTTGGCTAAAGAAAATCTTGCCATAAAGGTCATAAGCTGGATTTGTTTAATAACATTGCAGCTGGATCTGGCTGGATTACCTCTGGACACGCAAATTATCTGCACTAAGTTTCTGTTCGGGAGTGGTCGCCGGCTTGGTCGCCATTACTCCGGCTGCCGGATTTGTGGCTCCCTGGGCAGCTATTATTATTGGTTTCCTGACGTCGTTATGCTGTAACTTTTGGTGCCGCGTAAAAAAACGCATGGGTTTCGATGATTCTTTTGATGCGTGGAGTGTACACGGGAGCGGTGGATTTCTGGGTAACATTTTGGCTGGAATATTCGCCCAGAAATGGATCGGCATGCTAGACGGTACCAAAATCGATGGCGGATGGATGGAGCAAAATTGGATTCAAGTTGGTTATCAGATCGCTTCGTCTACGGCCATCGTAAGTCAATACAGCCCAGTTTGTAATGTCGTACGTACACCTACAGTTTGCGCATCTGTATGAAACTGATTGTGAAATGCTAAGTTTAAAAAATTTGTAATCGCTTCGATTAATTTCAAGACTTCGGTTGCGCACCGTTTTTGTAGTTATAAAGTATGAATATTTGGTGACCTTTCGTGCCGTGCCTATCTAATCGGGAATAATTTTTTTTGGCAAATCGTAATATTGTTATGTTGAAACTGTTGTTACGGAATAGATTCGGATTGCTTATTACAATCATGTCACAATTTTAGGCTGTTTGGTCATTTGTGGTAACCTACATCATCCTGTTCATTATTAACAAAATTCCTGGATTGCATCTGAGACAGAGCGAGGAAGAGGAAGAGCTTGGTGGGGACTTTGTGGAAATGGGAGAGGTAAGCTAAGTAAACTATGGATGATATGTATCAATCCCAGCTAAGAAAACGTATGTTATATTGTTGCTGAGAATATTCAAATCGTTTATTTTCTTCATACTACAACAACAACGTCAATTGCGGATATGGTGCTCGGAATAAGTAATCCGGTAAATCGACTTTGTTAAAAAGCATAGGTATTAAACGTTTTGTGTAGACATCGACATGTGACAAGTGCATGCAGTACAGAGTAGTACTCGATTCTGTCATTTACCATGGTTAGATATACTGGGTGGTATAAATTGTATACAGTATGTAGTAATGTATTTGACAAACGAACTGCCCAAAGGCTGAGACTAATTAAGTACAATGCGAAAACTAACAAATAAGAAAGGCACCGGAAAACAGCATTCCTTTCCTTTTTAAAAAATGTGTACCTCACATTTAAAAAACTGACTGGTACGTGATTTGACCGGTTTTGGCACAAAAACGGTTCATTTCACGAAAAGTGCATAATAATTATTACTTCATGCCTTGATGCTTCCAGAGTACATAGACATACGTGTCACACTCGCAGTTTATCGTTTCGAATGGTGGATGCTTTTGTTTAATTAGTCATATACTGCTGCCAGAATTTATTGGTAAAATCACAAAAAAAAGTACGTTAACTATCGTAACAAATAAGAAAGTTGCCTTCAGTCCATGCGGTCAGCTGGTTTAAGAAGGTTTAACAAAGAAGGGCAATAAGAATCACATGAGAAAGTGCGTGTTAATTCAGCCATCGTTAATATAGGTGGGCTATATGCTGGTAATTACGGAGGATGATCAGCATTACGCCCCGGCAATGGAGGAAAATGTTATCGGCGTACTGGCTGATGGGCGTCGTGTGAGCAGCGGTAACACGCTATCTGACCGCAACCGCTCATCCATAAAATCACGGGATTCTCGAAAAGATCGGCTGGAATATGAATATGACAACGACGCCGATGCCAGGAGAGACAAACCAGCTGCCATCAGCTTTAAGCTTACGGATATGCACCACGGCAGACATCCGGCGGCTAACAATGTGGTACCCGCCAGTTTTCAAAAAAAGGAATAATCTTGACAGATCTGCGTCATGTTGTAAGATATTTTGTAAAATCTCCGTGCTCTGTTCATCAACGACTGAATGGAAATTATAACATTACATACTGTCGTCTGTCATGTAGGATAACAAATAATCAAATTCGCCGATAGAGCATACGAAAACGTTTGAAATTTTATTTTATTTGTCTTACATTATGGATGTGCTGCATGCGGACTTTTTACGAACTTGTACGGCGTATTCGTTGTCCCTCAGAATGTTTTTCCTGTTTTAAGCAATATTATACGAAATTGTAAAAATTATTTGACTCAAATAGGTTTCGGTATTCTTCCATGTTAATTATTTTCCACAGTCGATTGACGGAAACGTGGTTACTTCCATTTGGCGGAACAAAAAACAATGAGTAACACACCGGAAGCTTATTTCTGGGCGGGTGCAAGTGTCAAACTGTGCGAAAACAATCTTTCAGTTAGCGCTGCACTCATTAAATACAGACACCATAAACCGAGATCCGGAACTGACGAATGTTTTTCTCCAACAACACCGCACTAATAGTCTAAAAGTGTGAAATAAGTGCGTCACTTAACTGTGCTGTAATTAAGACAAACAACGTCATAGTAAAAAGTGAATGCCGTAAGTCCTGCTGCATAAACGTTATCTTACTTGTTAAACAAATTTCAGCACAAGCAAGAACCGTTCGTGCGAAACATTCATTGTCACATAGGTAAATACGTAAAACTTTTAAATCTAAACTTAATGTAAAAGTTTTTCTTTACCGGTGAGATAACAAATATAACAGCCACAACAGCTATCGCACGGAAACGTCCAGTAACAATGTCCTAACACAAAACTTACCAGTTTCATTCAACCGTTACTCTGCAAACAAAGTTAAGACTAATTTTTTTCGCAAATCAGGAATCCAAAGCAAGTTCCACGTGTGTCTCGCGAATATTCATTAATTAAGTTGAGCTATCAACCGCAAAGCCACGGAAGATTCAAAAAATTTTATTGTCATCCGGCGGGAAATATAAGTTTACCCGCCCACCCACAAAAGTTTCTTACTCCTGAAGCACACATATAACACAAAATATTCGATGACCACTGCCTCCATAAACATATCCTCATGGTTCCATCACTTCGAATTTAAGCCTCCACTCACATATAGATATTATTGTATTCTGCACAGCCCAAAACTGCCGTATTTTATAATACGCAATCCCCACGAAAATCACAACCACTCAAGTTTTATAAGGCCTGAGTACAGGCACAGTTTTGCAACAAAACTATCTTAACCCGGTAGAGACAGGGTTTTCTTCCCGCAGCTTCTTTGCGGTCCTTTCTTCTTCCCGCATGCGTCTCATTCTTTCAACTCGCTCTTCTGCTTTTAGTCTATTTTCCGCTCTTTTATTCTCCTTCTACAAAAACCAAAAGCATAAGGGCTGCATTCACTGCCGCAAAGGGAACATCACCAAATTTAGGCGTCTTGATTTCCATTCCTAATCATAATAAAACGAAAAAACCCCAGTAATCTGAGAAATATATTAATTTACAAAATACTTAAGACTTTATAAAAAACCGACTGGTCAGCGCTCTGAAAAAATTTTTCGAGTAAAGCATCAAAGTACATGCAAACCACTTATCGAACAAAAAGATCAGACACAAGCCACACAACTGAGAAGAAAATTGTACAGCGTCAGATCAAAAATTCGGTATTTGAAAAAGCAAGCACAGATACTCGAGTTTTAGCACGCTAAAATACAAATTGGTTTCTCATAATAAGGGGTATAAACAAGGAACAGCTTAACCTAAAAAAACAATTCCAGAAGACATCCGTTTTTGAACTGCTACACGCACCTCTCGCCTTAAACATTTCGTCATGGCGAAGTCCAGATCATTGCAATATCCCCAAAACTTTCCAAATGGATGCTGCGCCATAAAACAAACAGCGTTTTTAAACTGGTAAAAGATCCCTGTTTCTAGTGAAAATACTCCTTATCGGCTTGGTTTTTGTGAGATATCTAATTAAGCATCTGACACAATTAAACCGATACTAAAACAGAAAAGTGAATTACTTTGACGGCAAAGGGGTCACTTTAGGAAACTCTTTTAGCCGCAAAATAATTCGCCCATAACACCAATCCCATACTTGTTTAAAAATGAATTATGTTTGTGCAAGTAACAAAAACGTGGTATCCGCTACTGTCACAACCAGAGCAACGTGCTTAAACATCGATACTTACAACGCCAAGATAAAGCTATTATTTATCAGAATAATTTAGGCCGGTTTATTATTGTATCATATGCAAGCACAGGATTGTAATGAGTAAAAATATTTCTTACTTCTATGTGGCATTTCTGCAGTTTCGCAATTATTTCATTGCATTCTTGCGTATGAAGATGAGACGCGAGATCCGAATGCATTATAAAAAAGAGTCCAATATATATTCACCGTATTGTGGTGATATCAAGCCGGCAACACTCCGCAACAGCTTCGCAAAACATGTAATATTCTGGAAATACAATAATGTGCCAAAAATAAGCTTTTTTAGGGCCAAACAAAACCAAAACAAAAAGAGGAGTACTGAACAGCGGGGTGCTCAGCAAAAACCAAATTAAAAACTAAAGAGTTTAACAACAGAAGTACCGTGATAATCGATAATGTACCATGAGGAAGCATAATCGCTGTAACGACAGTAACGTTGCAAACGTGTAACTAGCATGTTTTTGCCGTCTCTCAAATGCAACAGGACTCGTAAACGCTATTAATTATTTAAAAATCGAAAAATATTCGTTCCTTACTAGCTCACCACTTTGGTTTGTCAAAAAATCCAGAAGACCCTCATCCTGAGTATATGGGATCAGGAGAAAGCCGATTCAAAGAATACTGAAGAATCTCAAATCACATCAGTATCAGACCAATGCTGAAAGCACACTGGCACTGGCATGGCTTTATTTAGGTGTTCTTCAAGGCGTCTGCAATTTACGGCAAAAGTTCAAATTCTGGTGCCTAAATATCCCAATTATCAAAAATGAACCGAGTTAGTTATGATCGAGAATCCACATCCAGTCATCCATTAACTAGTACTCGTACATAGCATATGATAACTACTTCACTTACCTGCAAAGGACTCAACAGCGATATTTCAAAAATGCAAACAAGGCGAAGTCTATCTTTCATGCTCGTGCGCACAAAAAAATCATAAATTTCAAAATTTACGTAAGTATGACAGTGATAACTTCTAACTTGTAAGTAATCCAAATAAATTTTTAAAGCTGAAAACCATCTGCATTTCGCATTTTTGCTTCCCAGCTTTCGCTCCTGACTGTGAGTTTGAGTTTTCCTAGTGACAGACGCCTGCGGGGCGCGATTTCTTTGCGTTATTCGCCTTTAAAAGTGTTACAAACATCTGATCAACTACAGTACGGTTACTACGGTGGCTTTATTTATTGTATTATTGATAAAATCATAAATGAATTTCAATTAAGTATCAGTTTACTGTGTTTACTACTTCGGTTTTTGCAGTTATTGGATACTGTACTTAGGAAGAAGCCAAACCTCATTTTTTCTCTAGGTTCTCTCAAGCTTTAAATCCATGATCAACTTCAAAGCAGGTAATGATCGAGCGGCAAATATGATGGCATCGTTTCTGTGATCGAAGAGGATTCGTCAGCCTCTGATTCTGGAACCTAGAGACTTGAATGTGGTTGTTGATGAGGATTGAGAATTTGCGAATGTGATAACTAACCGGTGACTTGGTTAGATCTCATCTTAAGATTTTCGTAAGCGAAATGGCCCTTCCACGGGTTTCCTCGTGTTATTGGCGCAGCATGATCTTACGGCACAGTACGAAGCTTCCACGTTCATTGCGAAATCATCAGACCGTGCGAAGTATAACAGTGTGGGAACCTGATAAGCAGAGTGGCTACCGCACGGTTAGACAGGCCACGCAGACGTGGAGAGATGTGTACAACATGGAAAACTTGAAATCTACCATCGAAGCTTACAAGAGACAGTTTCGCATGTGGAAAGAAGAATGGGTAGCCTGGTTCTACCGTGACATTGAGGTGCTGGAGGACGGTGATGTGAAGATGATCTACGATTTTCGCGATCCCGACCCGGACAAGGTAAACGGGTGGACTGTGACAGCAGATGCGGATTTCCTGCACGGCAGAAGCTGGGGGAAAATGGATATAACCCAGGATTACACGTGTTTATTCACGGGAAACCTTAATCACACACCCATAGCCGACGGATGGTCGGACTTCGCGGGCTACGTGAATCTGCGCTCACCCTACAAATACGTAAGCTTCAACTTATTTGTAATTTACAATATTTCTGAAAGTGCTTTCATGCATATAGCTATCACAAAGGTATTTGGAATCTGCATCATGCTGCTAAAAAGAAAAGTATAGAACTAAAAGTTTGTATAGAACAATTTTCTTATGTCCCTACTCGTACACAGGCTACATTTTATCATCTCGCTTCAGTTGTAACGTTGTTGATATTTTTACATTTATAATCTATTGCTCTAGCTTGGTTTTCTTATTCGTACCATCACACGTAGCGAGTATTGTACATCGAGTTCAGTGACTTGTTGCTTAATACCTAATTTTGATATCAGTTTTGGAAGCTTGATTTTTTGCGTCTCCTGCACCGATGAAATAACTGAGTTTATTATTTATATCATTACATCAACGTGTATGCAGTATGTAATGGTTGGTTGAATCATTGGTTGGTTGCTTTGTTGCAGAAATCCTTTTATCGAGAAGACGCCTTTAACTGGACAGAATTTACTCATATCGTTCTGCGCTACCGGGGAGATGGAAGGACTTATTTGTTAAACATTAACACCAGAGGATGTTTTGACGTCTCATGGAATGATTTGTACAGCTATCCCTTGTATACCAGAGGAGGACCATACTGGCAGACCGAACGTGTAAGTAGTGTGTTGTTATTGTAGACTCCGGTTGTTGTCGGGAATGTTCATTTTCAAAAAAATCTGATCCCATTGTTTTAGTAAATATTATTATTATACTTGCACGTATTTGTGCTTCCGTGTTATTAGATGTTAAATAACTTACACGGGCCACGGCTACTCTTATTTTACTGCGAGGCTAACTGAAGGCTGCCTTTTTTCAGATACCTTTTTCCAAGTTTTTTTTCGCTCACAAAGGCAAAATTCAAGACAAACAAGCTCCCATTGATTTAACGAACGTCCATGGTATAAACATCACAGCCGGAGACGGGATTGATGGACCCTTTAAACTGGAAATAGACTATATTGCTATAGAAATAGACGAAAGTCATACGGAGGAGCATGCGTATGAACTTTATGAAGGAAGAAGGTTTGAAACCTAACCCTGGTTTGAAACCTAGCCCTGTAAAAAGAGCCTTCCTCGTTTTTGCTTTGTAGCGATATAAATTTGTAAAATTCGGGATCCGAAGTAGAAAGTATACTGTTTACAGTTTACACCGGTTTATACTTTCGGTGCAGTAATTCAGATAGGTTATTTCACAGATAAAATTTTAAAGAAGCACGATCTAACAGAAAACAACCGTAAAAATAAATATTTCCACAATAATTCTGATGATTCGGGAAAACGCCTTGTACCAAATGGGAGGCCACAGGGAAGAGACACCGGACGGCAGGTGTTCAACAAATTTTGATAGATCCGCAAAATCAATTTCGAAAACGTTGTATCATGTAATTATTTCCAAGATCCACTTGATATCCAAACTGTCTATAGAATCCGACCAATTTATCCTTGCATTCCAGGGAGACTTTGTAACATCCCAGCGTCTTAGATAGCAAGGTTGCAGTATCCATTAATCTGTGGAAGGTTAAGCTTTCTATTAAACTGCGATTAGTTAGACGATAGACGCGACCAGGACAGAATGTACATCGTGTCCTGACGTGAATTAAGACGAATTACATGTAATCAATAAAACCTCGCACTCTCTTAAGAATAACGAGAAAAAAACTTTGAGGAGATACGAAAGCATAATATCTGTTCGGTAGCTAACGCTCAAAAGATGCACAATGCACTTAATTGTATGCCTTAAATAAGTTATTATAATGTGGAAGCACATAATAATAAACTCATATTTATCTCAAAAGATTCAAACATCACATCGAAAAGTACGATTACATATAACAAGTACAAAATAGTTTTCTCGTGTTCTCGTATGAAGATACTTTTCAGCAAGTTTTAATATTCTTTCTATACGAATGTATGCTCACAGTTTCCCCAAGTCCTGGCCACGCCGATCCTCAAGGACTACAACATCCTCAATTCGACCTCTCTAAAAGACGTTCAACCTTTCTATTAAAATTGTACGTTATATGAGCAGATTTAACGAAAACGCATTTTTTCTGTAGATATAATTAGATTAAACACCCATCATTCGCGCGTAAGTTATTTTCATTGTAAAAAAGCGATTCTACCATTCTTGATTTTTTTTTATACCAGTTATTTACATTGCGCTTAAGAACTAACGTACCAAAGCAGCCGAGTGGATGAACTTCTGCTCAACAACAAGCGTCGCCGCACCGACAATTTTGTGATGAACCTCGTCTTCCAAAACGATTGTATAATATGTATTCGGACAATTTCTCATCCCATCGAACCGATCTGCAAAATAGCTAGTTTACTGCAAAATGCCACCCAGTCAAACACACTAAATTATAATACATTTAAAAAACCCAACTCACCTAGAAAACACAAATCTAATTCTTCAATTAAGTATACTCGTAATCACAATACTTGTAGAAATACTGCAATAACGTTTTTACATCCTTATTTAAAATTTTTAACAAAATTTTCACGTGTGACAACACTTTTAGTGCTTGTGAAACTAATCATTACAACATAAATAATTATTAATGATGACCACACAGATTCAAAGTCAAAATGAATCGGTACGGTATAACCGTATCAAAAGATACTTCTGACTGTACAGTACTTCTGTAATACAGGATTCATACTTTTCTGTTTTCCTTGACACAGAAAAAGGTTTTTCTGTTTTACGAGGAAAACATTTCGAAAAAAGTTTTTCTGTAACGACTTTGCACACATTTTTTCTGTTTACAAAATGTGCGCTTGTGTGGTTTTTTCCAGTTCTTGCTCATACTTCCGAAATCTGTTTCCAATTCTTCCTCCGTTTTTAAGCACGAAATACTTAAGTAGGCTAAAAACATGATCTGAAATAATAGCACTTTCGGCTGAGTGCTCTGCAAAGTGAATATGAAAAATTGTAATTGTAAATATTTAAGCAGCTAACTATTATTAATTAATGCACCTATTATCACACAAAGATTGGCAAGTCCATGCAGCGCTTTCTGTAAACATTTTCTGTATGTACAATTGTACGCGTATAACTACATTATTACGGTATGACGCTAGCGTTACCGGACTTGTATACTGTAATTAGCTTGTGAAACTATAACGATGCTGTTATTAAATTTGTGAAAGTTTTCTGATGTATTACAGTACTGACCTAATGATTACAACATTATGTGCCGCTGAAGTGTTATTATTGTAATGTACATCACTGCCCACATTGATCGTCATTGGTCGAAGGCAAAACATTTCTGTTTTTGCAAATGATTTTGATTTTCCGAAACATTTGCCAAAACAGATGAAACATTTTCAAAACAGATGACTTTTTCGAAAATGTGTAGCATATTCATACTTTCTGTGTAGATGCACACAGAAAATCTTTTTTCCATATCCTCATACTTTTTCATCTGTTTCAAGTTTTTCGACTGTTTTGGGGGAAACAGATAAGTATGAATCCAGCATAAAAGGAGATGAAAGTTTTGTACCTTTGTACATGCGCTCCGTAACTTCGCCAACATGGGCAAGCTGGCCTAACAAACCGACGTATCCTGCAAAAAATTAAAAGCACACAAAATTGTAACTGCTAGCTGCATGCGCGCATAATCTAATTTGCGCGCATTAGAATCGTATATTCTAATTTGCGCAAGCTTGATAGCTTAATCACAATTAAAGTTAATTATAATTATCGTATGTTAATTATGTTTCAAAAAACATCGCTTCAAGTATGGCTGGACGGTTAATAGTATAAAGCAGAACCAGCCACGTTCGATGAACTCCCATTTAGTAGTGTTCTAATCTAACAACTGCAAGCAGAATTACTGCAGACGAATGCTACTGCCTAATAAGAAAAAAATTACGTTCGCGTTTCACACCTCGTTGGAAATCTCCTCTCCTTAAAGCACGCATTCGTAGGCCTTTTCCAGGCGTCTTGGGACACAGATCCATCCCGCGATAATCACTTGCAGGGTTGCTGAAATCCAAGTCGAACAATATCTTGGAATCAAATAACTCCACATCGTTGTCGACTGAATCTGCACAGCAACCGGATGATCCATTCGCTAAATGGTTCTTTGTTGTCGCTGGAGACTTCTACAGTTGCGAAAAAAGATCATAAAATTCATGAAGAACGTCATGCAGATATGAGACACTAGCAGGCCATCAACACATAACCAAAAATATTATATCATACATCAGCTTCCGTCGATGTGGACAAGCCCGTTTCAGCGGCAGGTGCTCGCGCTGGTGTCATTCTGATTGGTGCAAAAAACTGAATAAAAATTTATGGACTCAACTCACTCCAGGCGTCCCAGCGAAATCTCGATCCTCACAAGCTAATAGATATAAACAACAAACCAATTGCAAGCGAAGTCCATGCACGTTAAAAATGCAACCTGATTTCCAAGAGAAAATTAGAAAAGATCGACGTGCAATTTTATGAACAAAAAGTCTAGCCACGTACGCGAAGACGGATTATGGCAATATGCTGTTTGATGGAGCAGTGACAGTCAGCAACAAAATGCAGAATTAAAAATTCGATGAGCGTGTGTGAAGTTCAATGGACATTTACTAACTGTAGTTTGCGTATGTTAGTTACTGTAGCAGTGTAGCTCACTGCGGGAAATGTGGCCCTGCTGTAAGCTTCAGCTCGGCACAGTCTCTTTTCCGACCACAGCCATGTGAATTAAGTACTAAAATAATTTAGTATTAAGTTTGTATCTTACTAACTGTGAATGTTATTGCATATCTATATTAAATTTTATATTTCTCGTTTTTGTATACCGGAAGTTCGGAAAGGCATGCACGCAACCAACACTATTAACTGTAAATAATACCTGCCGAAATTGTAATCAATTACTTCAACGTGTATGCTTTTAATGAAATTGTCACATTTCATGACACAACAAAACAAAGTGCTCACGAGTCACGACCATTAAAAAAGCCATATTTAAACCGAAAAACAATTAAAGTCTACCATCATTCAGTCACCTTATCAAAATAAAAACGCCCAACGCACACTGACAAAATTAATATCCTATGATTTCACCAGCAACTGAGGCTCTGACAGTGGCCACCACTAATAGGAAAAATAAAACCTTGAACCGGAAGTAACTGGAATGCACTGAACTTTAACCATTCAGTAGCAAGAGCAAATTGGCAACAGCCAACTAGCAAGCCAAAAGGAAGTTGAAATGACTAGATGGAGAATCGATCCAGGAGTGTTACATCATTTTTAATTAACGGATCACGAGGCCGACGCACGTCCATCGTGTTCCAGCTCAATGTGAGTCAAAATTCCCGACAGCTGTTTACAAATGCTTTCGGTAGCACCACCAATAACACGTCTCGCCATCATGTTGAAGGATCCCCCTAATCAAGACAGCGAATCCGCTCATAAATTAGGTATGCGGAATAACAGTCGCACTAAATAAGCAGGAACCTGTGTATACCGGTTGGATCGCAACAAAATCCTCCCGCTTCCCTAATAATAACGTATCCCGCCGCCATATCCCAACAATGAATTCCGTACTCGTAGCACACATCGCCGGAGCCTCTGGCGATCATGCACATATTGAGAGCCGCGGATCCCATAGCACGTATACTGCAAGAATGAAGGTGAGTACAGCGTGCTCAATAGTGCACTGTTCCTCATAGTACGCTTTGTTCCTGCCGTCCGCTTGCATGTTTCATGTGGTTTGTACCGGAAGTTGCTTACCCATGCGCATTGGTGCCTAATACCGCTTCCAGATTTTTGTAAAATGCATCCATCCTTGATGGGTCCCTACCGGATCCGACTTCCGTAACAACCAAAGATCCAGCCATTTCTGGAAAAAACAATCATATGTGACAAGTTGGAACTTAGCTCCAGACAAGTCGGCAATAACGAAGTGCACAAAATCTAGGTAGGCTTCAGACGCACAACGACTTGTAACAGAATCATCAACATTAACACAGGTCACATGGTCATTAATTATTGTTCATACACCTGCAAAAGATACTGTGCCGGTGCGGATATGATGCTGAGAATGCTTCTGATGTCAGCTACTTGCAGGGTCATAATTAAACATTCTAAATTATTACCTGTAGCTTGGGAAACTTTGATGGCATTTCCGTTGCAGAATGCGCCTCCGCCTTTTATGGCAGTGTACATTTCATCAGCCATTACGTGGTAGATAATACCCGCAACCAGCTACCAACATGAGCAAAGGGAGAAGATCAGATATCGTACTCCAACCGTGGGCAGCCAAAAATACCATTTCACAAGATTAATTCTTAATAGAGTATTCGAAGTAATCAGTATTTCTCGAAGTATGTAATACCCCATTCTTCATGTTACTAATTTATTATGCTCAAAGTACCGGCCATACACACTATTATCTTTTCGCAAGCGTTTACCTCCTTCTGTACGGCTAATCCAACGGATACCGATACATACGGAAAAGAGTGCACAAAATTGGTGGTTCCGTCAATTGGATCTGAAAGATACGAGTATCCATCAGGCAACCTGCTACTATGCAGTCATAATGGCAAAATAATAGTACAGTAATAACAGTAATAATAGTAATTAGTATAATACGGGGCAAAATTACAGAATAACACATTTCAGCTATTAAAATCCTGACTAAGAGAAAAGGGTGGATACTGTACATATTATAAGGGTGGATACTGTACATATTATATAGATAGTGTAATTTATGTTAAATATAAATAAATATAATGTTAGTAAACTGCAAGCGCACTACCGGAAAATATTATAAAACTATAAAAGTGTTTTATAATAATTTCCGAAAATATTATAAAACTATGTAAAACTATGTTTGAAAATAATGTATATGAAAATGTACCGTAACCAGTGCATTTTTTGCTTACCAATGATCCAGGTGGGAGCATCTGTCAGCTCAGCTTTTTGACCGGCGGCGTCAGACTCTTCGCCTATAAATCTGAATGTACGAAGAACTGAGTTACAAAAAATTTTCGTTTCTTTTCAAATGGATGTTCATACTTGTGATCTGGATACCGCCCTTTTAGGGAGTCAATGATAAACGCCTCCACTGCCTTATCCGTTTCCGTAACGAGATCAACAACAGACGATTTCAGCGTGATGTTCTTCTCGGCTTTCATTGCAGTGCGGATCGTCTGTGACGTAAAACAATTGTCTTCTCGTCCAGACCGAACACAAACAAAATCACATGGCACATGCGCCATGCGTGACTGAATCATAAATTGCATGCAGTACAGTAAAATTACATTTTCCACAAACTGACATATTTACGTACCTCGCCTGCCTCCTTTGCAACAAACTCGGCAAACAGAGCCCAAGATTGTATTTCGGCCATATCACCAGTAACGACCATGGTGAAATCGGTACAGTAATTACAGGCTATTTATAGCGATTTCAGATTTCAAAGCCAATTCCAAACTGAGCGCACGCAATAATACAGCAGTTGCAAATCCAAAATTCAAAAAAAGCTTGTTGGGATAGGATCCCTTTTTGCCTTTATGCCGATTCTGGAATCTGGCAAGGCAAGGCAACCCACAAGTGGCACTGTACCAAGAAATCATGGCCTGCCCAAGGCTTGGAGCTTTATCATACAGAGTGTCGTCGCTGGAGGATGCCGTTTTTGACATCAAAGTTGACACCAACCGCTCGGATAGCTGCTCCCAGCTGTTTGATGATATTGGTTGTTGGTGTTTGTTTAGTTTGAAAATTTTTCTAGACTTTTACGTTTTCCAGCGCTTTTTTCTGTATGTTATTTTAATTTATTTATTTTGCTTAAAGTCAGTGTTTGGGTTCTGTCGTAATGGTTTTAAAGATTACCGTCATTAGTGCGCTTTTTAAAATGGTATGAGTGATGCGTACGGCGGTACGAGTGATAGGGAATAATTGTTTAATTTTATCGCTTACGACATCTATTCTGTAGGAGATGGACTTCAGCGAACCGATCAGTGCCGCGGAATGGATTAACCGCCAGCTTAGCAGACCAGGAGCGAAAGAGAATTTTGAGGTGCGTCAAACAAATTATCAAATTTATACTGTCATTCAAACCCATCTGGTAGGGGTACACCAGCGAGTTGGTTAGCAATCTGCAGCTGCATCTGTACAAAACACAACAAGCCCTGGACGACATGGCCTCACAGATGCCACGTCTCAGCTCCGCCATTGCTCGCCAACTTCCGCCGACCCACTCCGCGCTGTCCTACATTGTGGCGGACATTCAGCATTTGGAAGCCAATCTCCAGGCCCATGCTGCCGCCACCTCGGACGTGGCTGAACGTATTCGTGCCACGGAAATGGTCAAACAGCGCATGGAGCTGACATACCGTGCACTGGAAAATCAGGATAACTGGGAAGCACTGATTGCCAACGTGCACGACGTCATTGCCAATGGGGATTTGGATGCGATTGTAGCACGGCTGGTCGCACTGCAGAAATGCTTTATCTCACTGAGCGGCGCGGCTAACTACGACAATCGACGCGAGCAGCTGCAGGATGTGAAGAATCGCATTGAGAGCGTACTGATTCCGCGCTTGATCAGTGTGTTGTCATCCATGGAGCCGTGGAGGGTGGGCAGTGGGACCAATGTTGTGCACGGATCGGAATCATTGGCACTGAAAATCATCTCCGTATTCACTACAATGGAACGGAAGGATGCATTGAAAAGAGTGTTAAATGAATGCCGTCTGAAGCAGATGGTTAAACACTGGGACGATACTGCGACGACGGCTTTACAGGTTTGCGCATTGCAATGAAATACAGCTGGTTACGTTAATAACACTTCTTGTAAGTTAAAAAATTTTCGTTCGTTTCAGGTTTATATTATGTAAATTTTTTTGCCATTCAAATTACGTTTTTATCATTTATCTGGATATCGGCCACGTAAAATATGGTGTTTGACAGTTTGATAATTTTTCTTTGTTTTAAGTATCTGAAGTGTTTTAAGGTGGGCCAATTGAAGCATCGAAAGATTTGTAGTACAACTAGTCGTTTCATGCGCGTAATATCCGATTCGGCTACCAAATAATTTTACCACTGACTTTTATTTTAGGAGCAATCAGACGAAGCAGATACGGCCAGTTTTGACGAATGTTTCGCCGGCTTTTGCGATGATCTGCTATCTTCTTGGCATAATCAGTACCGTTTGTTTGCCGCAACATTTTCTGACCCTACCGCTGCGTTATTAGACCATTACCGGATGGTTTTCACGGAAACCAGACCGAAAATGGAGAGACAGTTAGAGAATGCATGGAACAAAGCCAGATCGTCTAATGCCATGGAAGACTTTCTTTCCATGTCTCTTAATATTCGACATTCTCAGGACGTGTTCTGCAAAAGCTTGGAAAAGGATCTTCCTGATCATCTCCATACTGAACTTTGTGAAAAACTCTGGGAAGATGTTAGGCACATTTTATCATTCTGTTTGAAACACTATGCCGAAGCGGAGAAGCACCTGTTGATGACGGAAATTGATCGTGCTCACTTGGATGTTAAAGAAAAAGGGAAGTCCACACATGCTTTGAGCAGTGCTGGGAATCGAATCGGAAACACTATCTATACTGCCGTGGTCCGGTGTTTTCAGCTCACAAATGGGCACTTATTCCAGGAAATTGAGGATACGGTCTTATCAGCTGTTAAAATACACTGCACAAAAGTCAGTCTGTATGCAAAGAAACTGGAAAATACTGCCACTTCCGAATATAATGTAGACTCTGCTGATGGAAATTATGAGCTGCTCAACGATTTTGTTAAAGTGCTCCAGCATTTCGGTGGGTAAACAAATTTCCATAGTGGTTTTCCTAACATAATGAAACGTTTCTCGTTTGTAATAAATCACTACGTGTATACAACGTGGGAAACATGCGTATGTGACAAATTAGTTTCGTCGTTTTGCAAAGATATTGCGTACATTAATGGCTTTTTAGGTGACTTGTTAGTGCAGCTGCATAATATTACGGAATCTTTGCCACATAATGCGGCATCACAGAGCCACGCTGCCACTGAGGATACTGGTCATCATCCTTTTGCCAAAGTTGTTTTGATGATAAAAGAGTCCGCTAATGCCGTTTTTCAAGAATTTTATTCGGTTTTGCTCCAGCCTGTGGATAAACTTCTAGAAAATATCCCAACTCTGCCGTCTTGGACAACAGGTTCGGCGAAAGGCGGAATCGACATACCGAGTTTTGGGTTGGATCCACAGGAGCATGTTACTCGTATCGGCAACTATTTACTGACTTTGCCACAGGCCCTGGATCCTTTACTATCCAGCGAAAGCGCCAGTATGAAGGCCTTGAAAAGTATCATAAGTTTCCCCGGTTCTCCTTCGGTGGATGATTCTCTTAGTTTAGCGGAAGTGGCCATTCAAGGAGCCATGTACTTAGCAATGGAAAAAATTGTGGCCGTCCTCCTCAAAATTCGTCATTTAACCAGTTTCGGGCTCAAACAGCTTGTGTGTGACCTTAGTAAGTGGATTCTCCAAAATTACTGTATTCTTTTTTTAAGCAGTTTCGTTTTTATCGGTTCGTTTTTGCAGAATACATCCAGAACATAGCGGAAGATTTTGCTACTTCTCCTAGCACCAATTTTGAAACACTGAGAACTTTATTAACTATTCCCGTGGAGGAATTCGAGGAAGCATCGCCGAAATTTCCTGGTAGCATGGTGGCTTTTGCATCCAGAGCGCGAAACATCGTATGATTAGTAATTGTTAACCAATTTTTTACTGAGCACTCAGAACTAAATTTTTCGGCGCCTGGAATTACCGAATCGCTTACTGTAGATTAATAAAACTTTGGCGTTCATGGAAAGTCGAAACAACTGTTACTCCGACTCGTAGGACGTAAATAACAGTAAAACTTTAGAAAAGATTTAGGTAATTATTCTTCAGTCATTGCTTCGCGTTCGTCAGCAAAAGGGCGACATTGGAACCTCGTTGACAGACGTTTTCGGTCCTTCTCCAGCCTAAAACACGAATCGAAGTTACCGTATCAAAAACACACCTGCATTCAAATCACGTCTGACCTTAGTCACGATGATGTACTGTACCGAGTCCGACACTGGATTTAAAATATCGCCATACTGAAACAAACAAACAACAACACTAACTACAGCCCTGCTACGCCAAGTTGGGACAGTTGCATAGAATAAATTAGAAAATATTTGTATTCATCGTTGTACTTTTATTCTTTAACATTACTAGTGTAATTTTCCGAAGGACGTAGCGCTGCATACGTCCACGGGTATATATATATATGTATGTATATATATACCTGTAGGTATGGATCCATGTCGAATCCTATTGTAACTTGTAAGTTTGTAACACAGGATAGGGAAAACTGAGCTTGTAACTGAGGACAGACAGAACGTTTGGTCACTGTTAGAGAGAAATTTACTGTAAACTCAAGAGACAGAAATGCTGTAACTCAGGATGGGCAGAGATGCAGAGGCAGAGGTGGAGCATGTATGTGAACAGTGAAAGAACGCACTGAATGTCATCGTCAGTTGATCCAAAGTTTCAAGCACTAGTTTTTCGTTTACCTTTCCATAAAACTTCCTAACCAACATCTCAGAAGATAGAAAAATTTGACGCTTTTGATCTCTGATAAGTGTTTTTATTGGGGAACCAAGAAAGTTATGCTTGTTTTGGTTTCTCGTAGATATAGCATAGGGTGCAAGCAACGCCTCCAACGGACGGACCTATGCTAAGTCTACGAGCAAACAAATGCTCTTGGTTCTCCATAAACCTACTTTCAAAATATCAAAAATTCTAAAATTTTATTCTCTATTCTGAAACATTAACTGGGAAGGTTCGTTAAAGTGACAACGAAAACTGATGCTGCAAGTTTTGGAGATAGTGGCATCGCAAACAGTCTAGAGTTACCGATTTTAGTCTATGACACTAAAAGAATTTTTAAACAAATTTTAAATGGGAAAGTGTCCAATAAGATCGATGGGTCGAACCATATTTCCCAACTATCTGTAGTCTGCTCTAGTTTTAATTTTGCTATAATTCGAAACAAGCTTCTAGCATGAAAACCTCAAATGCAAAAGATGTTGGACAAACATGGGAATCATGTGAACATATGATAAGTTTTAATTTGGTGCCGGATGGTTCATGGAAATTTTTGAGAAAAACTGTCCCAACTTGGCGTAGCAGGGCTGTAACTTGCAGCGCAATAAATTTTCAGTATAAAACCCGAATTAAACGATTTCATGGGGTGACGACAAATATGATACAGAAGTATTTTAGGTTTTAGCTGCTCTAGAGCAGACTCTGGGTGACAAAATTACAAACATTTCCACAAACGAGATTCAAATATTGCGATAATTGATCAACACTTCGACGGAAACTTTGTAACATACCTCAACGTTTTCCGGCGATTTCAACAAAAAATCGGTTAATCCACGCAAAAAACTGGAATTCGCGCTTGGAAACTGCAGTCTTAATAACTCCACTAAGGATTGCAAATTCTCCGACAGAGTAAAGAGAAAAGGATTTGGACCAGCGTCGAAACTGTAGGCTGCCTAATATTACATACCGACAAGTACTTAAACAAATTATAACGATTCTGCAAAATATTTTACCAGTATTCTCCCGCTTTTGCGGTTGTATGCATGGATTAAATTGATAACTGCTTTGGATGTATCGTCCAGGTACATTATGGGTGGATACGTATCCAGGCAGATTGCATGGAATTGATTACTGTCCCGCATGGTCAATTCAGCAAACTTTTCGAAATTCCTATCTGTAATGGCAGCGGTCATGGCTTCGCAACGAGCATTTGCAATAAAATCGGCTCGGTATCTTAGCAGATCACTCGTATCTACAGATTCCTTCATTCCCGACGTCGAAGAGACATCTTTCTTCTTATCGTTTACCTAATGATGGGAAAAAATTTGAAACTTGTGAATTAAAACCTGTTGCTTCCCAACAATTTTTTCCTAAGTTATTTGACCAGTTTCTGATCTAAATGTTAAGTATTAAAATCTTTGTACAGCAAAATTTCTCAAGGTACAATAGTTTACCACAAGAATAAGGACCCGAAGTTCAGGCCAGTGCGACGCTGGTCGTATTTGTTGTGCAACCGAATCCGATCCATCGCCGGCGTGTCCGGTGTGCCATCGGACAAATCCCCCATAAACACTTCGACAAGCACTTCCGCTTCCTTGCCTAAAATGCAAATTCATACACGGCAATCCCGTGACCCCGTAAAAGCAGGTAACAATACCGGTCTTGTACATGTTCTAGACAACCTGACGGTAATGCGACACAAAAAGCGACGAACGGTAGTGTAATACTAGTTCAACATGGTTTCTATATTTCACGCAATATCCGAATTTTTTACATGTTAAGCTGTTGGACTATTTGTAGAAACGGTTACAAGCAGTCCAGTAGTGCGAAGCCGATAAAATGCGAAGAAACAATATTTGCTACCGAAAATCATAATGCACCATAATATACATTATCCAGTAAACTAATAACTAACCACTAACATCAGATGAATTTTAATACTCGTACAGTACTCGTACTTCTATCAGATGAACAATACTCGTACTAAATCTCTGCTTCAAAAGTCTTCACTGAAAACTATTGCTTCCGTGACAAAGTTGACATCCGTTACATCGGCACATACATTATGAGTATTATTCTATTGTTGTGTTATACCTACACTGCTGTTAGTTTACTTAAATACTTTCGTGTAAAGAAAAAAATTAAGGAAGCATTGTACCAACCTGACTATTCCTGAAATGTCTCCTTGGATGTCATACACTGCTTTTAAAGCACTTGCTAAAACGGAAGAAGTCAACGCACAATACTGTAGGCTCATGGTTATATAAAAGGAGAATACTCTGCATACTTTACTTATAACGGTAACAGCCCAGTGATGCGATAAAAACAAAATTCAGAAGTGAAACTTTTATTCACTTTCCACCGTAAGAAAAATCCAAAGGCTTAGCGATAAATATAAGACACCGCATATCCAGCTGGCAGTGGTGTTCTTTAATTTGAACTCTAACCTAAGCACGATATCCCGGCAGCCGAGGAGGCCAATCCCGCCGCTGTTGGGAAGTTGTTATCGCTAACGATCCGAAGTCCCAGCGTCGTGTCATTCTCGCGAATACTACCTTGCCGCAGTGCTTCGCTCTTACCTAGTAAAAGATAATATTAACACACCGACAAAAAAAATTCACACAGGAAGGAAACTGTGGGATGGCCGAAGCAACATTAGATAACTCATCACTGCAAAGTTCGCAGCTTAAATGCTTGATGTTACTGCTCAATAATCGCATTCGCTAGTAGACACATTACCGCCAGTGGCAGTCATACGTACGCAAACGGCAGCTAAGGTAAAGGAGTGTCACTAGTCACTGTACTAAAGATAAGTCTTCATTTTAAAAATGAATTTTTAAACCAAGAGTGACAAATCCACTGCAAAATTTATAAACACCTACACAGCGCAATGACTTTCATAAATCTTTTAGATGGAGTTTCCTCTTTCCCGTTCAGTGAGAACTGCACTCCATCTGACGTAGGATCCAGTGACACGATGGTTCGCGCTCGAAGGTGTTCTGTGTCCAGCGTAACACTGATGGAGTCGTTGAGTGGAATAACCAAATCTTCGTTTTTCTTCCCCCCTGTGATGCTTTTTGGTTAGTACCGGCTTGTGAAATTAGCCTAATATGGGCCGAAAAAATCAAAACTTACAGTATTTTATTACCGCAATATTGACTGGAGCTTCGCATACAACTGTGCGACAGCTTTGAATACCGTCTTGAGTTCCCATTTGGCTCTTTCAAAGGGTTCCTGCGGGTGGGTAAATGAAATGGAGATCACATAAACGAAACCACAACATTAAAACTCAGAAATGTCGTTTCGGCGCAATCCAGACTCTTGAAATGAACAGCTGTAGAGCGAACATCTGATTACAAACCTTCGAACCCAAGAAATTTGATTACAATCAATTAGTGCAAACAAAACTGTTTTAAAACTGCAGTGGTATTAATGCACCACCAAAATTCAGCTGCCGCAAAAATCCAAATTTAACACTACGGTTTGGATACGAGTACAAGTACAGATGGCAATATTAGTAATAAATATGGCACTATAAGCGTAAGTAACATGGGACTGATGGGACACATTTCCTTTTTGTAAAAATTTCGACCAGTACCTCATCTTTTTATATTTATCTTCATATCTTGTTTTATGTTATCTTCATATCTCTGTATATACTTACTGCAATATATACGCAGAACTGCTGTAAATGTTTAGCTAACCTAGCTAGGTACAGCAGTAACAGCACCAAAAACGACCATAAGCATTACTGAAAACGGTGGAGTATAACTCCCAGAGCGATTAAAGATTCTAGAATTATGTTCCAAATGTGTCTACGAGTTGCAGATCTGCATTATAATATCCCAGATTATTTGGTTTAACAGGGAAACCCGGAAGTAATCATCTTACCCGTGAGCGCCTGCACACAGTTTTGCCCATCGCCGCATTCACAATTGTTAGATTCTGCTAAAATTGTCTGTACGGGCGCAACGTGCAAGTGACTACAAAGTACTTACAATATTACTTACTTACACGTAAACATTCACTAGATTTTATTCTACAGCGATTTTTCAACAAATCGCTAACAATGGTAAACCATTTTTATTTTTTAATGCAGGCGTGGCAATGCCATTGAAGCATTATAATTTTACCACGTGCTGGGTATTGATGTGTCGAATAACCGACACTACACAAAGAACATTTTGTCATATGATGACAGACACACAAATTGCTCATTTTAAAGGGAAAAATTCACACAAAGCAAAAACACATGACTTATAAAGCATAATAAGGCTATTCCACCACCGGGACCATGAAATACTATCTGAATTATAAAATACTTTAATCTCTTTTTACTTTCTTGGCTGGGCGTAGCTTTTGTTGAAGTCATTCAGCACGGCGGCCGTAATATGTTTAATGTGCGCCGGAGTGCAGCATTCTTCTAACCAGGTAAAAGCAGTGCCGGATAGCTCCGCGAAACTGGAAGTGACCACCCGCGCATCATAAGTTTGGAACAGGTTATCCATAATTCGCTGAAACTATCAAAAACGGAATTAAGTCTCACTAATATTGACAAAAGAAGAACGAGGACAATGAATATCCAGTCTTCACTCTGTAGTACACTAACCACTTGAAATTTCACTTCGTCAGGGATCGACTGGCCACCCTGATCGGCTTGGCCACGCATATTCACGGCCATTTTCTCGTATTCCCTACCATTACACACGAAATATAATGACCTCATTGTTAGCGTCCTACAACATTTATCCCGGTTGTTTGCGCTTACGCTTTCATGATCTGCAATCCTAAAAACTCGTTCTTCAGCTTTTCCAGTTCTTCAGCCTGTTGCTTCTTTCGCGTTTCCAGGTAATTCACATATTCTATGGCTATACACCAATACAGTCAACATAAGTAAAATTCCGATACCACGAGTAGGTACGAAATATTTCAGAAATCAAACACATGATCTACATACTGCTACCGGCAGTTGCAAAGGTATGATTGGTATCAAACTTTAAGCTTTGAGTACTGTAATCAGAGTCGCAGACACAAGAAAAAGCATCTCGTGAATTTTAGTTACAAACTTACGATAATCTGTGCTGTCCACCTTACGGGTAGATTTCTAAAATCACTACGAGTACTTCAAGTACTACATTCCAAATCACTTTTAAAGTTCTGCTCAGGATTTTAAACTAAAAGTTTCACTCATTGGATCATTTTCTGGAACATCAATGGACTCACATTTTTGTAGAATCCTCGCTTTACTATCTTTTTGATTTCCTAATTTATCCACATCATGTGGCAGTTCCTTTTCCAGTTCGTTGTAACCTTTCTGTAATTAATCAACACGAGTAGGGAAAAGACACAAAGTGCTGCTTTAGGTAAATGCTCAATGTCCCCTTCGAAATGCGGATAAACTGCAACGTGGCATAATGCAAAACAGTAAAATGCAATATTTAAGTTTTGAAAACCATAATGCCACAATTTTTTTTTTCTTTCATGTCTGTGAGTATCATCACATATTCACCTTGATAGCATCCCGGCGCTTCTGCTCAGCTTGCGTGTGCGCCTCCCTTCGCTTTTCCCGAAAACCAGAGCCCGATGCACGCCCACTCCGTCCTCCACGCTCCCCTGCGCTGGTGTCCTCATCGTCCGGATCATCCGAATCCGCATCGGATGTGGGTTCACTAATGTTCTGCAAGGAATGACTGCTGCTCCTGCGCGACTGGTGTCCTCATCCGGCGGATCCGAATCCGCATCGGACGTGGGTTCACTAATGTTCTGCAAGGAATGACTGCTGCTCCTGCGCGACTGTGATCCGGCGGCTGTTGTCGACGGATTGGGATTGCTTTTCTGTGTCAGCAGCTGATGCGTGAGTGAGCTCTGATTAGCCAATGCTGATACTGGAACAGTGCCAGTGGGTGTCAGCGGAGTTAAAATTCCTTGGAAAAATGTGGTGTCTTCATCGTTTCGGGCACCTCCAGCGCTGATGCCTGGCTCGGTGTGAGGGGGTCTAATCGGTCCCCTCGAATTGTCCTATAATTGTGGTAAATAATTGTTAACGCTCAAGTTGTCGAAAAATATTACTTATATGCCAGATGATTATTCTGACACCGCTTATCTTAGACCGAGTAACTTTATAGTCGTTTAATTAAATATCAAATCAATCCATCAATGCTCCAATTACAACGACTACTATTTTTTTTAACGAAAGCACTGTTACCTGCAGTCGCGGCTGCTGCGTCAGGTAAGGATCAACGAAGTTGCCGATTATAGGCCGGGATTGTCCTGGATTGGAAATCTGCGGAACCAAGCTGTTCGGCATGCCATGTACCGCAGTATTCTGGCTAGGATTCAGGCGACTGTTAACTTCATCCAAGCGAACCACGTTCTTGCTGGTGTTTCGTCGATTGTTCGTACCCGATTGGCGCTGCATCGTGGTGCCGAGGGCAGTGGAAAAGAAGATTCAACAACAGCGTTTGTGTTTCCGAACCACTTCTCGTTATACGATATTAAAATTCCGTTGAGCCATTCTCAGGTGTGTGACCTGTACAATGTATATCAATCTTATGCGTGGGCACTGGCTACGAATCGCATTTAGAGTTGCTCGGAAGAATTAATCACGCTCGTTACCGCTCGTATGGTAAATCTGGAGTCTGCACGATGATCGCACATCGTATAATGCGATTAGCAGAAGCAAAGTAGAATACTTAGAACGGCAAGTGCTAAAATTAACAAAAGAATACCTAATATAACACCATACAATAACGCTCCTGCTGCTATGTACGAAAATGACCTTGTAAGGTGTGGTAAACTGTAAACAATTACAAGAACAACAGAGCTCGCACTGCAGCAAGTGGCTGCAAGTCGCAAGAAAAACAAAATTAATTATCAGCAATCCAGGGATAACCTAGCTAAACGTAAACAGCTGTGATCGTATACGCACTTCAATACGCCCGCGGCGGTCGGGGTGCGATATTTAACGTTCTAATGGCTGCCGCCTGCGGTAGTACTGCTCCAGATCTGTATCGGTTTGTTTACGAAGTTAGTCGAAGTACAAATGCTGTATGTACAATAATAAATTAATAATAAATTTTAGGAATCACACGAGCATCCAAGTCCGCCGCTGTAAGCGCGCGTGAAGAGATGCCTCGACGTTTCAGTTTATTCGACGTTCGCTTGTGAAATCTGACATGGATTCAAAAGCCAATTCGGAAGTGTTGTCTGTATTCCAAGCGGAGTATTGCCGGCCTAGTGGTATTGCAGTAGAGGATTTCTTAAAGCATCTCCAAATACCTCCACTGAATACGGTCCTTCGTGCCGACCGAATTCCTTGCGACAGGTGCGTAGATTTTACATCAGAATTTTGAAATATATATGATAGTTATACATCCATTGGACTTTGCTGTTGCAATAGACAGGCAGAAACTATTCGAGATGGGCTGTTCCATGAAAATCGGGACCGTATGCTGGCTGACTGTTTGTCGGTGACACGCATTCGAGAACTCGGCGACGTATGGGTTATCAAAAGTAGGCTGCTGCTTTCTCTTTCTTCCTTAACTCCTTAAAATACTCTAGTTATTTTTCGACAGATGTTTGTAATATGCCCGGTCAGCCCGGAAGCCCTTGTGGCTGTTTGCTAGCGAATTCTGATGTTAATCGCAACCAGACCGATGTGCCACCGGAAGTGGTGGTGGATGCTGCGGCCGGTGAATCGTGTTTACGGGGAGCGCATATTTATGCGCAGGGGATCATGGGATGCCCAGCGGAACTCAGAAAGGGTGCTCGAGTCCGCATAGTAAGTGCATGTGGCAGCTCTTTGCAGTTGACGATTTTGTATTGGCGGCCGGAAATGCCGGATAGATGTCAGAGTATGGAATGGTGATCGTTTCAGTAATATTTGACATTTGTAAGTATTTTTTAGGTAGTGTTATCAGCGTTGATCCATATTTGTTATACTTCGTATGTAGGGTGCTAACTCTTGCTGAATAAAGGCTTTGCTTTATTTATCGGTTCTATAATTTAAATTTTTTAATGAATGCTTCTGGCACAGTTTTTTCTGACGTTAATTAAACTGGATTTCATTATTGCGCAGCGTTCTTTTCGAGCAAATTCATTCCCGAGCGGTATCGGCATATATGTGAATCGCCCCCTTTATCCTTTGCTCAGCCTTAACGAATTCCTTCGCGCCAACAGACGCTTCTCCGCTCAGAACTTGCCGTCCTGTGTGGCTGTCCAAGTATTAAACCCTCAGCCAGAAGAAGTTGTTCTGGATTGTTGTGCTGCGCCAGGCGGTAAAACGCTGCACATTGCCAATCTGATGCACTATCGTGGTCGTCTGGTGGCCACGGATAAATCACGGCAAAGAGCGGAAGAACTAAAGAAACTTTGCTGTGATCTGGACGGTTTTGTAGAAGTATATCCGGCTGATGCAACCAGTATGCTTGCCGACTCATTCCGAAATGACGCAACCGCATCTGGACCGCCGCCGTACCCTGCTGAAATGTTCGATCGAATACTAGTGGACGCGCCGTGCAGTGGCAGCGGGTTACGCCCGCGATTATCTCTCAAATCCTTGCATTTGAAACAAATCTGCTCGTGTCCGAGAAATCAGAAAGCCATATTAAAGGGCACGATTCCGTTGTTGAAGCGCGGTGGTACTCTTGTTTATTCGACATGTTCTGTATTACAAAGAGAGAACGAGGATGTTGTCAGTTGGACGTTGGAGGAATTTCCTAACCTTAAACTCACCGGCCAGACTCCACATCTGGGGAAATGTGGTTTTTTGGTAGATGGACTTAGTATTGAACAGAGTCGGCTGCTTCAGAGATTTTCTGTTGTACCAGAAGAGAATGGTTTGGATACGATCGGGTTTTTTATAGCCAAGTTTACTAAATTATGATGGTAGATGTTTTAGCTCTGGATGCCAAACGTCAAAACACCGTCTTTCGGTCGTTTCTTCGCTTCGCAGTTTGGACTATAAATCGGTACCATGATTTGGTCGACTCTGAGCGGCTACTTCAGATATTTTTTATTGTATCAGAAGAAACTAGTTTGGATCGATCAAATTTTCATAGCCAAGGCTAATAAACTGGCAATATCTACAGGACAAAGGTAGAAAGTTAGAAACGCTGATTAGCTGCAGAAATAATTCTTTGGACAAACTTCATTGTCCGGTTTTCAAATCTTTAACCTATACCATTGCGAATCAAAAAAGAGATGAAAGCTATGAATAGATCAAATATGAACAAAAACAGAGCATGAATTCTGTGCACTTGACCAATTTAGTGAAATAAATCCTGAATCTGTATCAGGGTGAGTTAAAAACGAGATAAAAACTAGAATCAACTGTAACCAAGTAAAGAGCATGACTCCTGTCCAGTCTTCGCTATAATAAAACGAAAATTCCAAACGATTGATCACAAAACCGGTAAAATCCAGGAAATTAGGAGAACATTGGTCCCAACATCGCTCTCCGTTTAGCAAGAAACCATTCCATACCGACTGCTTTGATTAAAATACGCGGTCGCCAAAGGCACCAGCCGGATTGCGAATGTGATGTGCCTGGCTGGGTGCGCGGTTTCCGGCAGCCTGTTGCAGCTGTTGGCGAGAAGCGGCAGTGAACTCAAAATTCGACTGCGTTAGCAATTTCATTTTCGGACCCAGTGACTGCGGCATGGGATCCGTCCAGAAGTAATCGTGATTCAATGCAGTATCTGTGTCCACTCTCTTCGAAGGATCCAACGTGAAAATTCTATCAATCAAATCCAGTGCCAAGGAATCTTTAATGTGCCGACTCAGGCGACCTTTGATGTCGCGGCGAATGTCTTTTGGCAGCTCTAAGTTTTTAAACAGCTCCAAACCCTGTGCATCGGGATACACTTCCGGTGTTACAGAACCGCATAAATGAATTATCAACTGTAGCTGGTGTTGCTCATCTTTGCCTACACAAAGATCACTATGTTAAAAAAATACTACCTAAACCGCGAGGTGAATTATAAGCGCAAAATACATTTCTATACATTGACAAGTAATGTAAAAAGGTACAATACATTTTAACCGATCTCATACAAGCTTTCACCACAAGATATCAAAGAAATAAAATTCAATTAATCGTAAATTTTTGTAAGTATAATTTCGAAGGGTTTGCAAAGTCAACAACTGGTTCACTCAACAGACCAAGCAAACTACGAAATTTTGTAAAACCAACACAAGGCTATACATCTAAAACGCATAACTTGACAACAACAAAGTTTTTCTACCAAGACCATCTAACACAAGAATGCCGAACCACTATCACCGTACCTTGTAAAATTGGGCTTCGTGTCCATAATTCACACATGATACAGCCCGCTCCCCAAACATCAATCGCCGAACCGTAATTACGGTCGCCAAGAAGCAGTTCTGGCGGCCGGTACCACAAGGTAACCACCCTGTTAGTAAATCGATTCGGCTGATCTTTCGTGCCCATCTGACTGAACGTTCTGGCTAAACCGAAGTCGGCTATTTTGAGGATCTGAAATCAGGTCCAGTTCAATTACGTTCAAGAACAGCACCAGACGGTCCCTAAAAAATGAGTGCTCAACGTACTCCGTCTTTATTTATGAGGATGTTTGATGTTTTCATATCACGATGGAGGGCTTTGTTGATGTGGATAAAATACAGGCCATTGAGCAATTGCTGCATGATTTTCTTCGTCTCTCCTTCCTTGAACTGCACCCTCGGATTACTGAGCAGTCCAGCCAAGTCGTGCTCACAAAATTCGAAAACCAGGAAAAATGTGCTTCTGTAGCGATTGAAATCGGAAGCTGAAACATCCAACGTATAAGGTAACACAAAATCAGCAATTCGCGGAGATAGATACGGTGATAAAACACACAATTTCCACGATAGTTATTCCATCAACCTTTTTGAAACACCAGAAATGAATAATTACCTTTCGTACTGCAGATGTCCAATAACTCCACCACGTTTTCATTTTTGAAGCACTGAAGTATTTTGATCTCCCGCAATGCCGTAATCGGAAACTGCACCGATCAAAAACTAGATACTAGTACTTCTATCGGTGCCGTGTTCCTCGGCAAGTTGACAGGAGAGAAGTTAAAACACTTACTCCCTCTTTCTCATTCTCCATGAGAATCTTCTTGAGAGCTACAACACGCTGGGTGCGGTTGCATTTGGCCTTAAAAACTTCTCTATAAAAATATCACTTCAATAAGTTCAACAGCAAAAATTTCGTCAACAAGTCACAACAGTTACAACACGGCAACAAACTCTAACAAATTTACGAATCGCAAAATCACATACCCGAACGTGCCCTGGCCAATTTTAGCCTGTCGCTCATAGGCTGTCATATCCGTCATCCAGGGATATTTTATATCACTAAGGCTTTTATATCGCTCGTGATTACTGGATGCAGCTGTGCCTGGGTTTCTTGGTTGTGCAGGTGGCTGCGACGAGCTGGCAGAGGCCCCCGCGTTGCTCGATGGATCTCTCACATTCTGCGATGGGATCGAGTGTGCGGGACGCGGTTGTGGAGGACGCTGACTGCCACCTTCACAACAAACAATATATGCAATTCTCAATCAACAATCGCAACCAGAGCATCCATAGGTTTCTATGCGTACTTTCACGGGAGCGATCTCGATTCCGCTGACCATCGTGGTTCCTATCGCGCTCGGAAGACGGCGGAGGACTCGGACTTTTACGTTTCCGAGATGAATTATTAATGTCCATAGCAGGATCAAATCAGAACAAACAGCAGCTATTTTAGGTACAAGACAATTCCGAGGCACCAGCTGGTTGGAACGCTGATGCAGTGCTTCCCTAGGAAACTGTCCACAAGCCAACATGCAAACCAGAGAACGAAATTGCAGTTTGCCAACTCTGCTAAGAAGATTCAATAAAAAGGGGGATCTAAGGATCACTATCAATTTCAGATCTCTCTACGTAAGAGTACTTTGTCAAAAAATGAACTCTACGTAGAAGTGCGGTAGGAACGAATCTGAAAAAGATTTAACAAATTTTTAGGTAGAGTGGGTGCTTATCAAATATGACGTCATACTTTATTATGGTGACCACCGGCAAGCTCGGCGAGGTGGATGTTACATTGATATCTACTTAAGTTAAAAAATGGCATCTATTCAAATTTCAGACTGTTATTAGACTTCAGTCACTTTACATTGTTACAATCAGTAACCTGTTACATTTGATGATTTGAATGAAATTTGCTGTTATCATCTTATGTCTAATTTTTTCTTTCTCCTGCTTTTTCTTTAACTTTCATTAAATTTTTGGATTCTTGTAGCTGTGATCTTCTGTTATCACTTTTACCTTCTCCTGTTGGACGGTAAGGACTCTGACTGTATTCAGTACAGTATTCACAAAGCAAAGTTTTGTAGTACGCGTAAAATCTTTCGCGTTATCTCACACTCACAGACTGTTTGTGCTGATTTGCAGGTTCCCAGTCAACGATAGGATCTTGCTGGTGAAATCATGGCATCTGGCTCGAAGGCCTCTCCCATTGTTATCGATGGAGCTCCCAGCAGCAATCCCGTTACTCATCCCCTCATGGCCAGTCTCAATACTGCTGCGGCTCAGTTCGCCAACATTCCCGGAGCTGCTAATCAGCAGAAATATTCGCTTTTGTTAGCCACGATCGACGAGATCGGGAAACAAATCCGACCAGCTCATACCCTGAACAAGAACGCGATGGAGCAAATGAAACGACACATCGCCTTTGCCAAGCTCCTTATTCGAGAGTTAATGGCGCAGGTGGACATGAATCTCAGCACTATGGCAGCGCGGGAAAGAAAGGAGTCTGGATTTATGCCTTCAGGGAGCACCAATGTGATGGTGAGGAAGAAACCACCCACGACTACCGTTGTGTCTCAAGGAGTCATTAGAAACAATAATTAGTTGTGGGGCGCTGTGGCGTTACGGAACTGTGGTGAGCCGCTGGCGACCAAAATTCTGTAATGACTGACGGCGGCGTGGTACATCAGAAGCACTCAGCACTATTGGGAACGGAGAGTCGCCAGTCTTCGTTTTTATCTCAATGGATATGTTTGTTAGTTGTTTTTTAACTGGTAATTTGTTGCAGCTTCTATAACAGCCATTAACAGGACTGGAGAGACGTTATAAAGTAGCTTCCAGAGATCGCACTGGAAAGTTGTTTTTGTTTCTCTTCCTGCTTTTTCTATGCTTATTGGAGTTTAAAAACTAATCGGCACTCTGCAGTGCTACTGTACGTCCGTCGAAATAAGGTCATACGGATAAATTTTCCTCATTTTATCTGTTGCGACGTGTCTACTTTGGTCTCTTTGTAACGTTAAGTATTAAGTCTGCTGTAATATTAATCTACCGGTGCTTACCGCGCCAGGTCTGTTCCAAAAAGTAAAGCACCGTCTGTTGAATCCTGTTCTGCGCTGATTTGTACGAATAACAAATATAGAGATCTATACGAGTATAACTTCACAATTTAAGACAAAATCCTGGTACAGTTGTAATCACACTTGTCGGTGTCCGAGACCACAATGACTTACAACAGTCACCTAAATTTACCAGTTCCTGCTGACAAATTAGCAGGAACTTTCATTCTGTTACTACTTGTATAGAAAGCTGCTGCGGGTATTCATAATTTATAATGTTTTAAAAGAAAGTCAGGGAAGGTTCAGGCGACAAGCGAAGTTGAACAGCGTGATTCAACATAGTCTGACAGCGAGTTCGGCAAAGATGCCGACAATCCTCCTGGGTTGAGCAGGTCGGACGGGAGAGTTATTTTCCTAGTTCTAATTTTTTGATTATTCGAGCTTCGGTGTAAACGGCATTGCTTGTATCCGTTTAAAATAATAAAAGTGTAACCTGACATACGCCTAGCTTATAGAAAATACTTGAGATAAGCCGTGAGAAGTAATGTACATTAATGTCGCATATTATTGACTACTGTAACTGTAAAACAGCATTGTTGTGCATGTTAATTGTTAGCCAACGTCCGAGCTGTCGTTTGTTCAGCACGCTCAAGTACTAAGCGTTTACCGTTCTATGCTTAATTTTTTTGTAAAAGCTGGCAAAACATCATTAATTACGAGTCCAGTTACATAACTTGCCAAGAAAAGTTAGATTTCAGGAAAGGACATAATTATACCCCGGCGGTGCAGGTCGACGAGTACTAGTGCAATGAATTGTGCAGGTTAGTGTTAATCAGGTTTATAGTTTATTCTTTTAAATAGTTATTATACGGAATGTTCTTGCTGAGTAAATTCTGAGTGGACACTGGAACGAAAAGTTTGTTTCTGAAGGCAGTTTTTAATTAATGTTATTGTGGTAATAGTACATTCACATTGCGTCATCGTTCCTGTTCTTGAGGCATGCATGGGAATCGGGATGCGGTACCCGCCACGTATAATTATTATAGTAGTCAATGTAGCCCGTGCGAACGTCAGCTAGCTTCCGCGCGGCCGGTTAGTATCACTGACCGGATAAAATGATTCAATTCTGCAGTATCATTTGTATGATATACGATTTTATAACACATTGCAGCCTGCATATCGTTTTCTTGGGTTTATTTGTTACAAACATATGAAATACACATACGTGGGATCTAGAGTTTATATAATATTACGGTTTACAAGCAGGAAGTAAGTAGCTTCTAATTAGTGCCAACGTGATCGGCAAACGTCAGCAACAAAGCTGAGATTATTAATCGTAAATTAACTCAATACGTATTATCCACAAAGTCGTTAAGGTGCGAAGAGAGCGCTATTTTTACGCACTGTCGAATCCGTTAATCTTCAGATCTGCCGGCATCGGTGGTCACGGCCTCACGGGAATCGCGGTCATCAATGGGAAGAACTATGACTCGATTTTTCGTTTACACAAACATTGCATGATGTTTCGACAACGCTTACGAGACAAAAGTATATAGAATCCATAAAGAAAAGGGTTCATTATCGTGCTAAAACTTAATGACCACATCAGCAACGCATCCGTTTGTTGGAAGAGATGTGGGTCAGCTTCATTTTGGTCAAGATCTTGGTGAAGATTCATAAATGCATGACAAATCATCACCGCCTGGAAAGACATGTTAAAACATGGACTTCAGAAACTTCAACACTCAGTTCCCAGTTTAGGCTTTCTTTGAATATGTAAACTGTACTAATATACACTTAACAAAATACATTAAAATTTATTGCTTATTTGGTATTGCACAAGTCTACAACTAACAACGAGTACAAAATTTGTACTCGTACAAAGGAAAATATTCGAAGAACGTCTATGATTGTACTGTACAATCATAGACATTTTTCGAACATTCATTTTCTTTTACCGGATTGGTGCACGTGTGTCCGTGCTTGCAGCACTCGTACATTACGTACCGAAATGCCGGCATCATCGGCGGCATGTAATTTTCGATTTGCGATAAAAATTATGGCTGATACTGATACTGCAATTTATAATTGCATCCCCCAGATTTAATGTTGTAAGAAAGTAGAGCGTATAATTTGTGCTAAACCGGATGAAAATAGCTATTCGACTTATGTTTTTGCACTTACATAAGGTGTGTTGCACAGGACGAATGCCATCAGAATTAAAAGTGACAATTTAAACGTTCGTAGTCGGGCTTGTTTCCTGATGGACGTGTTGGTGTGGCATAACTGCATGCCAGTATTAATGCGCACACGCAACGGCTTAATTGCAGGGCAGTTAACCTTAGACGATGATTCAGAATAAGGGGAAAACTCTGAATCTCGCTCGAACGCGGAGGACATTGGCGAGGTAAACGATCGTGTGTTGCCGGTTTTCTCGATCACGTGTACATATTCCGGCTTGGGAGCGTGAAATGCGCCGCTACTTGCACAATCATTTGTACCGCAATTTGCCTGACTTCCGGTTTGACACTTATGAAACGAATGTAGCGCCAGGAGTAACACGACATTAACTGAAACGATAACGACCAGCGGGATCGCGTACAACGACAGGATCCCAAATAGGACGTAGGCTTTTTCCCCTGCTGGCGACGAGAAGGAGTTGATTGATACGCATTGCGTGAACTCCCGTATTTCATGATGGGACTCAACATGGAAAACGATTACCTGGCAATGACAAAGCATTTCTTAGTACTTTTAAAATGCAGTTGCAATGCTACAACGGACACTAGAGATATAAAATATTCAATGATTAAATTCATGGCTTTCGTTTATAGTCCTGTGGGCATCATCCTGGCACGCGCAATGGCGATCTCATGATGATAGGACACGGATTTAGTTGACGTAGCGCAACAATACTCGTATTAATGTTAAGAAAAGGAATGCCGCTGAGATAATCCGTTGATTACCCTGCGCAGACGCCAGTTGCAAGATTTAACTAGCATTAAACGAAAACAACTAAGACTTCTTAAAAAAAAGTTAGACATTTTTAAAATTTAATCTTAACTGCAAATGAAATTATTGAATTCTTTTGATAAAAAATGGTTTGGTGTAAAATATGTGTAAGCTGAAAAACTACTTTTAACTCATATTTAAAACTTTTAACAATAAGTATGGAAAGCACGCAAAGGACAGACAAGTTGCAGACATGTCAATTTTTGGATAAACTAAAATTTGAAATCTGCGTATTTGAAAAGAAACAGATTGCCTGTTTTTGAAATTTATGCAGCAAAACCGTAAGTGAATTATTACCACACTGCAGTTATAATTTTAAAATCAGTAAAAGGCGACCGTATGCGCAATTAAGTAGAGCCGCATATATAGCATATTTTTCAAATTGGCAATTTGAAAACGAAAACAACGAAATTTGAAAACGAAAACAACGAAATTGCATATACTCCTCCACCACATCAACAGAGTTACGAAACAATAGCGAATAGTGTCACCCGCTTGCACTTGTGTTATTTTAAACACTATGCTACTGTTACTTATAAAATGCTACTGAAATTATAATTCTACTATTGCGCACATAAATAAAGCGTTGTACCTGAGGAAAGCTAAACAGCACAGCTGCAATCCAAGCTCCGATGACCAGCATTTTTGTGCGCTTGGCTTGATCGCGAATCCTTAGCGGCCAAAGCACTACGTAACACCGGTCCACTGACATGGTTACCACAATAAAAGCTTCCAAATAAAGGCCCAGCGTGTCCATAAATTTCAGCATCCGGCATGTCACATCGCCGGCAATCCACACAACCGTCAATCGCCATCCCAGTTCCAGGCCCAACGTAAAAATGCAGATGATCAAATCAGCGATGGCCAAATTTACTAAAAAAGGTCGCAATCGTGACCTTGGATTCGTATTCACAAATAATGACCATAAAAAGGTAAAGTTGGCAGTCAGTCCAACCATGAGGACGGTTATGGTTAAAATTGTCCCTTTGTAGTTGCTGTTTATAAAGATTTCTTCGTAAAGCTCGTCGAACAATGGCTCACCGTCCGTTAAGGACGAATTCTTGCTGACCGTTTCTGCGGCCATTTTTACGGATTTACTTCTAAATATCTTGCGCGCGGTAGAATCCAAACCTTCAGGAAAAATTTTACCGAAAGGTCACACACTGTTTGTAAACGAAATGCGAGCGTTCGCGCGATGAGTATATATTACGGCATATAAAGGCGATCTACGCGTCTTCCGCGTTCGGAAAACAGCAACGCAATTTTGACCGTGACTTTCTAACACCGGCGTTATTATACTGCAACTCCAGCTGAAGACGCTGTACTTCTGAATGGTTCCGGAATCCACTACAGGCAAAATGTCTGTGCAGCGAAATATATGTAACAAGGTCCTATACGTACTTGCTTCGATCCGACACAAACAACCAATCTGCTCTGCGGGCACAGGAAGAACAGTCCAGTAATAATTATCACTTTGTGATGCATTGTATCCTTTAATCAACAACAATACTTAAAGTAATATGAACCTGGACTGGTGAAGACAGTTTTCCTGTTCATGCCGGCATGCTCTTTCCATTGCCTAGATCCGTGCTCATATGCGCAGGATCGTAATGGGAGTGAATTCCCGTCGGACGGGCAAAATCCATTCAGCGGTTTGCTCTAATCTGTCGTTGCGAGACATGTACAGCAGTTTTTCATCAGCTTGCGGTACGTGTTTAAACAGCCTGCACCCGTATACATGTATCCCGCTGAAAAGCTCGGACTGTCTTTAATCGGCTTTAAATGCTACCTACTCGACCTTGCACTGCACATGTCATGAGTCGGGCTAATTATACTGTAATTGCTTTGCTGAAACGAAAAACATCAGGTGAAAAACACCATTCACCACACACGCGCTTGACCCTTGTTGGCCAAGCAGGTCCAGCGAAGCCGATTACAATTCGGGACAGATTCTGGGGTGCCATAACGCCCTTGGTTAATTAAAGGCGGATGCGCTATATAGGCGCAACGCACTAAATACCTATTATTTAAGGACTTAGTGTAAATCCATAATGCGTTCTATGAAGTATTGCAGTATTTTATTTATTATGCGCATTCATTATAATTATGACAATCTTTATAACAAAATGTCGAAAGTTTACGATTACGCTGGTATAGTACCTTGAGCCTTGGGTATTACTGAACGCGCAAGTACAGTAGCATTTACGATTAATTCTACCACAATATCCTACCACGTGTAATTTAACTGGAAAACAATTATGGGTCCGCTGCCTACGTATATGTATATAAGTACCTGCACTGCTATAGGCAGCGGATCCATATTCCATACTCGTGCCATCGATATCATTGATTATGCTGTACAATAAATATCCATCTAAATATGCCCGAAATAAGGTAAAATTACAGAAGATATTACGTAATGTTAATTCGTTTTGAGATAAATAATAACAATATAGCAATTTATTATGTTGTTGGCCCCGGTTTTTAATATGCTAAGACAAAAGCCCCTGCATGAACAGAAGCAGTATTGTAGTTTACCCATGGATGTTGAACGATCGAGAATGGTTTTAAAAGCCGTTTATTTGTTTTAAAATTAGCTGTTATAAGCGGAGGGCAACTTCCCCTCAATCAATTTTTTTGAAACAAATATACTACTAGTACGCAGTCGACATAACTTCGAAAATACTTCTATAGATGTTTTATACCAATGCATGTTCAATGCGTAGTGCGTACTGTAGTATCTACAATACTTACTTTGAATGCTTTCATAAGCTCAATTTTGCAGACTGTGATAGTGCACTTCACTATACAGTGAAACTCCTCTTAACATTCACCTTCCTATAACATTCACCCCTTTACTACATGCATGAGGCTGGGAACCAAACCGTCCGGTAGACTATAACACAGGGGCAGTTCTCTGTATAACATTCACCCCTTTACAGCTATAACATACACCTTTTATGGAACCGGTAACAGTTTTACCGGCTTATTCAACCCCTGCGTAACATACGGTTGGCTGGGCTTATTCAGTGTCTCTAAAAGAAAGTTGGTTTTTAATCTGTTTAGTACCGGTTTTGGCGCAAAACCAACATTTACACCGAATAATGTCCATATTCTGACCATTTCAGTGTCTCTAAAAGAAAGTTCCGGCTTCTGTTTTTAATCTGTTTAGTACCGGATCATCCAACTCCAGGCATCCAAAAGGGCAGCAAAACCAACATTTACACCGAATAATGTCCATATTCTGATATTTTGTTAATGTTTTGGTTAAGTAACACCCTCCGGGGGCTGTGCCCCTGAGCCCCTGAGGGCAGTGCCCCTGGGGGCAGAGCTTCTGTATAACATACACCCCTCTGTAACATTCAGAAAGCCTGGAACGGAGGGTGTATGTTGTAGAGAAGTTTCACTGTAATTGTAAAGCGGCACTGATAAGCTATAACGAAAAGTTACAAAATACACGCAAGCATTTCGCACCGATAACCAATTTTGTTCATAAAATACGACTTTGTAGCTTCAGAATTAAAAAAAAATGGCTTAAAGGTCACACAGAAACTGTCACAGGCTGCATACTAATACTTCTTCTGTAAAACTTGCTATTCTTTCTGTAAAACTTCTATAAAACGCCGTTCGAATTCGAAATGCTTGCTTAAAAATGCCATAGAAGCACTTTTTAAAATTCCATCTCTTGGGTTAGGCTGTAAAATCACATAAAATGAGTTCTCCGATAACTGAAAGTTTTGAAGTACGTAAATGTTAATGTAAAGTGACGGAAACAACAGGAGGAGCAGTGTTTTATAAGCTTGAAGCGCATATTCACAAGTTTCCTTATGAAAATGGTTGACCATATGACGTAAGTCAAGCCAAACCAGGAATGTAAAGGTCAGAACTCATAAGTTTCAAATGGTACGCAGGTACCTGATACAAAAACTTCATGCATGCGTAGATCCAGTGGAAGTTTCGCTTTCGTTTCCTATCACTTTTCTTCTTTGCTTTATGGTACTTACGTATTCTCTATACTATAGGGCTGATTTGTGTACGTTGGCGTGAGGAGTTAGAATCATTTGTCCGCACAACATCCGGTTGCTGGGCTTTACACTCGTACTCTGGATACGATGAACAGAAACGAGCGAAACGTTTCAATGCACGAAAGCCAGGTTATTTTCGAACTTTCTTGAAGCTTTAATGCTATAGTAGGCCCAAAACTATTGTTTACTCGTAGACTGTTGTACGAATTCGAACAAAAGCCAGATTTGATCATGACATTTTTGAAGTTCATTTTTAAACTCAAAGCAACGATCCTGATTACTTTAGATTGTCTTGATCCTTATGACTGTGACGTTACTTGTTACAGATATGTTCGAGATCATCGGATAAGTAAGTAACAACCTGATATCTGCCTTTGCACCAAAATTATGTTAAACTTTTTCCCGTTTCGAGAAGTTCGAGAAGCTGACATATTGCAGCAACCGGAAGTTGCGCGCACAAAGGACTTTTAATGCCAAAATATTCAAATCAGCTGGCTCGGGCTGTTAAAACGGGATAAAGTGATTCAAAAAAGTGTTTACAAGAGTGTGAAATTTTGAACGGATGTGCAGGAACACTTATGTGCAGAGACGTGCAGAAATGTGAACGAACAGAAGCGCTTGCTTAGAATAAACTGCAAGGCAGCTCAAAAATGTCTATTTAAAAAAAAACTTATAACATGGCGGTACTATACTACATACATATTAACATTTTGAATTTGAGTAAGTATAGCATTGCCCTTGCTTATAACTATGTACTACTGTACAAATAATAAAAATTAATGTACTGTACTACCTACATGGCTACATCTCCACTCGGTAGTTTCGAGTGAAATCGCTAGCTACCGCGTAGACTCAGTAGAGAAAGATGCAGATTTATCATTTATCAACATAAATAATTGGTTAAGTAGTTTTAACTTCTGGTTTTTTAGTAAATTATTACTTCGCTGTCTTTGCCTATGCAGTTATCTTCAGCGCTCAGCGACAGAAATTATAATTTAATTCCGAGAATGGCAGTTGCAGTATAACTCGTTCAGGTGCTGATTTGATCAACTTTCTGGGCTTTGTTGCAATGATTCCAGATGGTGATCAGAAAACGGGAGTATCCGAGATCCTTGCTTCCAGGGAACATTTGAACATCTGCATGGTATCGGATTTCTTTTACCCTAATGTTGGTGGCATAGAAAGCCACATCTACCAGTTATCATATTGCTTGCAGAAGCGAGGACACCGTGTGATTATCGTCACGCACATGTGAGAAAGCTGCATTAATAACTTGTTTTAACATGATGTGGAGGCACACTAGTATGCTTAAGTAACTATTTATTAATTGCGCTGTTTTTAGGTATGGCTCGCGGGTGGGCGTCCGCTTCATTAGCGGAGGCATCAAAGTGTACTATCTCCCGATTCCTCCCTTCCACGACCAGATCATCTTTCCCACGATGATCGTGGCTCTTCCAGCTCTTCGCTACATCTTCCTTGAAAATGATATTCACGTAGTGCATGGGCATTCTGCCTTCTCACCGTTGGCGCACGAAGCACTGTTCCATGCCAAACTCTTGGGCATTCACACGGTGTTCACGGATCATTCGCTGTTCGGGTTTGCGGACGCCAGTTCCATCGTGACCAATCAGCTGCTGTGTATGACGCTGGCGACGTGCGATCACGTTATTTGTGTGTCGCACATGTCCAAAGAAAACACGGTGCTGCGGGCGCGATTTCCGGATCCCTGGTCGGTGTCGGTTATTCCCAATGCGGTGGACGCCAGTAAGTTCCTCCCGAAGAGTCACGAGAAATATACTGCCACCGCTGATAAAACGGAGGCGAATGTGATTAATGTTGTGACCATGAGTCGGTTGGTGTACCGACGCGGAATTGATTTGCTCGTCGATTTGATTCCGAATGTATGTGCCAAATTTCCCACGGTCAGATTTGTGATCGGTGGGGCTGGACCAAAGCGAATTTTCCTGGAGGAAATGCGAGAGAGAGAACGTCTGCAGGTAATGCAACACGTATGCCGAATTCCTGTTCATGTGTTAGTACTTATAATCGCAGGTATTTAAAATGAAGAGTAGTGACTTATGTGAAGTGTTGATGGTTATGGTGTTTTGAGTATTTTGAGAAATTACATAGAATTTTTCACATTATGCGATATCTTTGGGTGTGTTTACTGTACTTGTATGTGTGCCGGTGTGTGGCTAATTTTAAATGACATTTTTTGGATTTTTTAGGATCGCGTACTGCTGCTGGGACGTATTGATCTCGATGAAGTTCCTAAATTCCTTGCCAAAGGCTCAATTTATATTAACACATCCCTTACTGAAGCTTTTTGTATTTCCATTATTGAGGCAGCTTGTGTGGGTCTTCTCGTGGTATCGACAAAAGTCGGTGGTATTCCCGAAGTGCTTCCGCCTGATATGATACGGCTGGCTGAGCCGAATGCGCGCGCCTTGGAAGAGTGTTTAATAATGGCTATCAGTGATCTTCTAAATAAACCGGGCAGTTTTCTTAGTTCTCAGGAGTGCCATGAACGGATCAGGAAGATGTATTGCTGGGATAACGTGGCTGAGCGCACGGAAACAGTGTATGAGCGGGCGCTAAACAAGCCGATTCCAACAATAAAAGATCTGATAACTGTTAAATACAATCACTGTGGATGTTTAAGCAGAGTCTTGATGACTGCGTTGGTATTGTTAAGTTTTGTTGTTAACATCTTTTGTAATTTTTTCTATTCAGTAAAAAAGCAACCTGTTCTTGGGTCAAAATACACACATTTGACAAAGAAAAACGGAGTACGATTAAAACAAGAATAAACAACCGGCTAGCTTCTTTAATTTTTATAATAACGTGTATTTCGTTCACGAAAACACACAACGAGACGTCATAACTGGTGTCGCCTACTGATATCCCTCAGAACACATACACCTTATTTCAACTCGCGCCTTGGCAGTCAAACGGTTAGATAAAAATAATCGTAACTCACATTACAGTTCTATACAAATTCATCCAATCGGGGAAGATGCGACAAGTTTCCAACCGCCGCCATACTGAATGTTCCTTTCTGGACCAGACTCTGGGCATACTGTAAAAAACTTTCATGTACCGAGTAGTTTATTCATCTAAGCAGTAGCAGTGTTTAACAAAAGGGACACTCCGTACCTTAGCCAAATCATCAGGTCGAATCTGGTCAACGATTGCTACGGCGTCGTTTACACTCATAATATTTCCCGTAGATAATGCTTGTATGGCCATATCGTGAAATTGCTCACATCGGCTTTCGTGATGCATCAAAAGTTTCGCGACAAGTTTGTTCCTAAAAAGCACAGATCTCTTCTGTAATTCCCGCCAGAATGAACATCAGTCTAGTTTGATTCAGGGGTTTACGAGACGCACTTTGCTTCTTGCAAACGCTGCAGATCGACACCCTTTCCTTCTCGTAAAACATGCAATCCAGCCTGCACCACCTTGGCGATATCCTTCCCATGAGCTACCGCCGTAAACCCGAACAATCCCGAATCAGAATGACAAATGTTCAATCCAGTAATAGCATATTCTTCTCTAGTAGCTCCTGCGGCTGCTTTGGCGAGTGGTGACACTTTCTGGCCATTACTCCATTTCACGCTTGGTTCCGATCCCAGAAACTGAAATTACAAACACAATATTTTACGATAATGTATATTGTTTACTCAATCCACAAAGCGCATTTAAATGAATGCACTGTATCATCCGTCATCATTCAATCTCTCAGTGCATTACTTGCTGCAAAAGGGATAACGCCAATGCCTCTTTAGGATTGTTTATTCCGGCTCCTTCCACGGCTACGGCGGCATACGCCAAATGGTCCAGTGTTTGGTGGAAACACTGTCCACCGCCGTACTTGGCAGGGATATCCCGATGCTGCGCATTTGTGCCATGTTCTTTCGGCAGTTGCTGCAAAGTGTGCATTTCCGGTGCACACTCTTCGAACTCGGTCATAGGCTTCTTCATGTAACCATAATCGATTTTGAAATTATCCGCAGCATAATTTAAAATATCCTCATGTCGCGCGCCGTACACAGCGATGGCCATGCGGCTAGGCTTAAATGCACTCTGCACATATTCCCGCAGCTGCAAATGAAAAAACCAGTACGTACTTAACGTTACGTATCTCGTGTACGAGCCTGCAGAGTAATCAAAGATGCGCTCGCTCGCCGAAACCAATCAGTAGCGTTAGCCTTTGTCACAAAAAATTAAACTGCTCACACGTTTACACCAAAGAGAAAATACCATTTTCGCATCGTAGTGATGAGCAGCCCATCTGGGAGCGAAAAGGGAATTAGCTAATCCATCGCGGTATGCCGCAGCGTGCAGATGTTCCATGAGCTCTGCAACAACGATAAACGTTGATCAGAAATCAGGCTGGATAAAACGGTAAAAAACTAACGGATATCAGGGCGATGTTCGTAGATATCCAGATCTAGATCCAAGCGCGCAGCAGCATCTTTCACTTCCCATCGCTTGAACTCTTGCTTGGCGACGACATAGCCAAGAAATTTAATGGTTTCCGGCAAATGATTTCGGTGGACATTCATTGTGTATATAATATGGTCGCGGGTGGTTGTGGCGCTGAAGCATTATCAAAAAAATTTATATAATTATTATTTACGGTTTCTTTTGTGTATAAATCTTCGCAGTATCTTCCAAACGTAGTCACCTTAAGCTAGCCCCGAGCTGCTCCATATTGCGAGACAGTCCAAATGCAGAGCATTCTCTAGTGCCCTAAAAAATCCTGATTAGTATTACTGCAGAAAGGATTATAAATTAAAATAAGATGAACTGTAAAACCCACCAGTGGAGCAGCATTGCGGAGTGCATGGGACAAGCCAGGCACCTCAGGTGGTTCATGACGAGCGCCAGCTTTAACCGCTACAACCACTCTTGTAACCGGGATGTTGGAGTCTTCTGATATGACTGTCAAGTCATTGGGCAGTCGGGTTACCTGCAGAATAATGAAGCTACGGAGAAGCCCGTAGGCGAACAAGATGTCTGCGTTAACATACCCGAACATCGCGAGACTGATCTCCGTGAACAACCTGACGACCAATTGGCTCCCGTGGTCGAGCAACGGATTGTGCAGCTTTTGCAGCATCTGTCAATTTGGCAAATCCACGTTTTGCAATAAACATTTTTATTCGAGCAGGAAAAGCTGCAAAAAACGTCATAAATATGGGCGAACTACATATGCGCTATTGCTTGAACTAAACTTACGATTCAGCCAGGAAAGTGATTCGCCTCTGGTGCTGCCAACTGGGTTGTGCTGGCACGCGTCGTGTTACTAGTATTGAATTGGTTATCGGAGACTTATTGCTTGCACCTTGAATCAACATTAAAAATTAAAAGCATGAATTACAGTCCATAACAACGTGAAAGCAGCAAAAAAATTTGGAAACACCCAAAAGTTTATTAACATCCAACCCTTTTAAGTTGTTTTGTTTTTGGATCTCCCCGTCTCCCTCCCAACGATTACATACCTTACTTCTGCCTTTTTCATATGATTTGGCGCATTAAAGAAGTTCTCTGTTCAGCCGTTTTGCAAAAAAATTGTCGCCGCACGCTACGGTAGCGAATCTAGCGATGTTGCTGTTACATATTTTGAACTTTGTTGTTTTGAATTGTGTTATTAAACAGTTTTAACTTAACAGAGATAATTACCTGGAAGTACGAAAAACGTTTTCCATAATTTACAGAAAAAGGCACTAACAGTGACTAGCTCTTGTCTGTCGTTTAATGCACACCGTCAGACTGCAGATTGTGTTGTGCGCGTCCTGCGAGCGGGATCACAGGGGCCCATGGCGAGCTGACTTTGTTTTTGGAAAAGTGGCTGATACTTCGTCTGGCAGTACGATCGACGACTTTACCCTTCAGTCTTCGGATATGTTCATTTGATTGCTTGATGTGCACACACAGTTTCTGTCCACCATGAACAGCCTGAGAAAGTTTTTTTGGACTGGTCCCAACCTGGGACGACATTGTGTGATTTGCTCAGACATCGGATCAGTTTTGGAGCAGCGGCTATCAGTCACCGGAAGTATGAAGTCGCAACATCAGCTTGGATCTGTTGGAGTGCCAGGTTTTGCGCAGTTCCATACCTCGGTAGCAGCATCGAAATATAAAGCGCCAACGGAAGCGCTGGAGGGACCAAAGAAATGGCCTGCATATAATAACGTAGTGCTGCCGCCTCAGTTGCCCAATGAGCCTCGTCGACCGGCGCAAGTCTTCCACATGCGAACGCAAATCCGTCATAGCGAGCATAAGCTGTGGTATGCTGCCATGATGATCCGAGGAATGAGCATCGATGAAGCGCTGCGTCAGTTAACCTTGAATCCCAGGAAAAGTAAGTGTAAAATTGATCAGTTACTGTAATCAATATTCAAAACATCAGTACATAGTCTGACGAGTCTTGTGTCACTCTTGTCACAATTTACGATTGCTGTTTAGTTATTAGCAACTTATTTAAACGACATTCTCATAAGTCATAAATATTGAAATACTTGATAATCGCCGGGGACTGCCATGAAATAAATTTATTTTACCCTCTGCAGGTTGCCAAATTGTTAAAGAAGTGCTCGAAGAAGCGCAGGAAATTGCCATTCGCGACCATAACTTTGAATTCAAAAGCAAAATGTGGGTGGCTGAGTCCTTTACGGGAAAAGGTACATGTGTGAAAGGCATACGTCGAATGGGCAAGGGCCGGATTGGACATATCAAATACAACTTCAACCATTATTTCGTCAAGCTCGAAGAAGGGGATCCGCCGGCAGTATTTAAAGATCATCCTTGTGACACTTTCGAACTTAAAGGAGCCATGCAGAATTACATCGAGAAGCAGCGGAAACGCTTTGTATGGAATTCTTTGTAAAATGTGTAAAATCTTGGATTTCCATGTTAATTCATTTGTAGTCTGTGTAAACAGGCTTTTTGTACGGTTCAAAAAGGAATTAAAGTACGGTTTTGAAAAGGAATTACACATACAGTAACATACATCTTTGCCATTACTACAGTATGATAACTATAAAACGTTTTTACAAGTATACACCTGTCACCTGCCACAACAAAAGCGCATATTTATTATACTTTAATCCGACATAGATGACACTTCCCACTTGCATAACCATATCGGAAACAAAAGTTCTCAAACCATCCTAAAGCAGAATGTTATGACTTCTATTAGGTTCGGTGGGCTTGGGCCTTCCTCATCGATGTCAAAGTTCGTCCCATCTCATCCCGCTTTCTTTTAGCGCGAAGGTGAGTACCAAGCTACGAGGAAAAGAAGGCAAATTAACCCAGAACTAATGTAAAAAAACTGTGTTATTCTTACTCGTCGCTTAAGGAATTTCAAGGCTCGTTTGTCGCGACCCACTCGCAGCAGTTCAATGCATCTTCTCTCGTACGGCGCCAACCCTGTCACCTCCCGGACGATGTCGCGAACAAACTTCACATGTTTGTTCAATTTCTAAACAAAATAAACCAAGTGAGTCGTCCAGTCGTACAAAAAAATTAATATCAGAAAATTTCTTTCGTAAGACATGATTAACAATCAAGTACACTGTACAGTCATTAACAAGCACTGTTATCTTTTCTTACCCGCATACGAGATGGTCGCTCTTTTGCGACATTTTTGGTAACTTTATGTCCACGGACGCTCTTCAGGCCGACAGCCACGTCGGACTGGGGATGTGGCATTTTTTATTGTTGGAGAAAAACACAGATTCACTGAATTATACGACGAAAAGTTTTGGAAAACCCAAAAATTTACCACGAACCCACAAATCTGCCGATTGACATGCGAGCTGTCAGCGTGAATCGGTGGACGAACGCACAGTAACGAAAAGTAGCGTAGCACAGTAGCGTAATGAACTTGCGCAGGATGAAACCGAAACCGTGTCTAAGCCGACCAACGTGTTGCTTTTTATTCGAAAGGATCGTGGTGTGATCGGTTCGGGACCGCCCAAAGTGAAACCCGAGCTTTGCACGTTTCAGTTCTGCGTTATCCTACGTGCGTATTACTACCAGCACTAACTTACGTATCGTCGGATGTTGACAGATGATCGTTATGATTACGATCCTGTAAAAGTGGCGGTATTTTCAGTTTTGTTCCGTATATTTGAATTTACCTAATACCTCAAGGAGTTCGTTCGTACTTTGTTCGGGTATTTTGCTGTACCTTCTTTTGATTGACCTCGCTCAGCAGATCTGACGACATGGCCACTGCACCAACGAAGCCCAACCCGTCTACTTTGCTGCCTTTGGAACTTATTGACAAGTGCATCGGCTCAAGAATCCATGCCATACTGCGTTCTAACAAAGAGATTGTTGGCACCCTGTTGGGATTTGACGACTATGTCAACATGGTACTGGAAGATGTCAAAGAATATGAGAATACTTCTGACGGTCGAAGGGTGACTAAGTTGGAAAGGATTCTGCTGAATGGAAGTAACATTGTCATGCTCGTTCCTGGCGGTGAAGGCCCAGAAGGTAGTGTCCCTGCCACTGGATAGCCGGTCATTGCGTATGGATCTCCCTCTTTTACGAAACATAATTTCTCTCACTGGATTAGGCATGCTGCAGAAAATGCGCTTACTTCTTTGATAATGCGATTGAAACTTGAGTTGATGTGGGCCTTTAATGGTCGATCTAGTGAATCGGGATGGTTTTTTCGTAGTATTTGCAGACTGTTTAGTCTTTGGTTTGTTTATTGTTTTTACGAGTATGTTATATTTGTTGATACAGACTTTCTGATTTTCGAAATGCAGCGCACGAAAAATACAAAATGATGGTGTCACTGGCTCTTCTGTTGCAAAAAGATTCTTGTGTATTAAATTTCGTTGGATGAGCTGTCGCGACATTAACGGTAAGTAATCTGTAATCTGCCTAAACATACGCATAGACTTCAGATGTTAAGTTGCTCTTTAAATAACATACAATCATACATTCTTACTAACGATAAATTACTGTACATTGTAGCAAGAACTTACTATAGGTACAGCTTAGGACAAAATGGTCGCATACCCAACATCTCCACATTCAGTACGAATGCAGCGCAGTGCACTGTACGACTGAGTTCAAAATATCCATTTCGTACAAGTGCACTGCACCGCTTGCGTACAGAATGCTGGGTATGGGGCTATGCGACCATTTAGTCCTACATTGTAGATGTTAAGTTGCTCTATAGCAGTGATGTCCCGTTTACAATTTTTCATGTCCCGACCGCACTTTCCCGATCAAAAACTTTTCCGCACCCGCTCCCGCACCCGAGCGCTCGGACAGTCCCGCACCACGCTCCGACTCCCGATTTTCAATAAAATAATTTTTTAACAATGTTATTGTTACAGCCTTTTTTGTTAAAATGTTTCAAGTATGCCATACGTTTGGAAAATTACTATTTTTTCAACCTGCATCGTAAATCTTACTTTTAAGAAATTTCACCCTTAGCTTGAAACCTTAGTGTCGCCGTACAATTTATTATCACCGTCAACTATTCAACTTTCTCTTACCACTGACATTTAAATCACCATCTAACCGCCGTTTATTAATACTACAAAACAGTAATCTCTTGAAATGCTGATCCGAAGTTTTTAATCTCCTGTTACTGAGCAAAATTCCCGCAACACTAAACATCCGTTCGACGTCAGCGGTCGTTGCTGGAGCGCATAAAGCTTGTTTGGCAAGAATTTTCAAACGTGGCCTTGCTTTAGAGCTTTGCTTTTCAAACGTGGCCTTTTCAACCCAGCCTTGCTTTAGAGCAATAAAAGAACAATCTTCAGATCCATTGAAATCTTGGGAGTTAAAATTAACTAACTCTAAACTCCCGATAACACGTTTGATCTCCACTTTACAGTCTACAGTCTCTGGCCAAAAAGTTAAAAACAGGTGGCAGTAAAATTGAATTTTCGTTAATTCCAATGCCAAGGCACGAGACAAAGCGCGATACTGGAAGTGTGAAAGTTACGGTACTGAAAGTGTATTGCAGTCTGCAGGCCGCCAGCCAGCGGCAATGGGATTACAACAGCTACTGGAATGCGGAGCAGTGGAAGTTACTGCTACATGCTACGGTGGCTTGCTTACACGATAATTTTATAATTTCTAATTTGCAAATAATTTAATTTTTCATCATTCAAATAAATCCCGAGTTTTTCCGAGCAGCGGGCGGGCGTACTTATCAAGCTTTAATCCCGACCGCACCCGATCCGAGCAGAAAGTCTCCCGCACCGCTTTCCGAGCAAAAGCGGGTGCGGGGTGCGGGAAATTCCCGTGATTTACCGAGCCCGTGAAAAAAACGGGACATCACTGCTCTATAGTAAGTACTTGATTGTAATTAACAATTTAATATGTAATAACAAGCATGCATATGGACTCCTGATAGACGTAGTGAATTTTGACTTTTGTACTCAGATACAGATAGCTCTCCCGTATATCCAAGTGGTCAGCTGCTCGCCACATTTAACTAAATTCCCATTTTTATACTGAGCTATTACATACAAATATTTTGATTCATATTTATTATTACAAATTAGTATGGTAACTGTTAATGATCCTTTGCTGTACACTCCGCCACTTCACTACCGTGACAAATGGCGATTCCCGCAGTTAGGCAATACATACAAATAAAATTCTTCAAGTTTAAAAAACAATCTTCCATTGCCAACTTCGCAACATTCAGAATGCTAATTATCCGACTTGTTTTTGACATTGTCGTACCGTTTCCCAGGATCGTACGGTTCCCATCGGCTAGCCGGAAATATGTGTTTATTTCTCTCGTACCAGCTCCTCAGTACAACCTTCCCCGCATGAGATTCGTTTTTCTCTACCGTCGCATCATGCAGTAACCGGACATCGTCATGGACGTCAAATTCGAACAAGGGCCCACTCTTTCCTTTAGCTCTGGTTACAATCAGGTCGTAAAAGGAATGATGCTGCGGAATAATCATATCTTCCTTTACATACATCAGCTGATCCACGGTCGCTATCCGTAATTCATTAAATTCCCTCCTGAGCATATCGAGGCATTTCTGCAAAAACTGCTGAATAGTATTGCCCTTTCGGACAGTTACGGATCTTCGATGACCGGCACCATCCCAGTAGCTGAAAACAACTTCCATTGGTTCATGTTTAAGGATTTCTTGTTTGGCAACCCATTCTATACGGAGCTGCTCTCGGAGCCGCTTCTCTTCGTCTTCCTTATCGCGATCCGGTAGAAAGCTCGTGTCCACAGAGGGATCCATCCCTATCCGTCGCTTTTTTGTTTCGATAAATACTAAAACAACACACGCGCAAAAATAAATCATCTATCGTGTAAGTTAAAGTTATAAATTAACTGAATACAGAACAGAAAAGAAGCCAACAAAAAGATGTACAAATAGTACGACTTATACTGCCATTAATTAACTCGTATAATTAAACCGCTATCGTTTTCGTGTTAAATCTGACTCCAACGACAACATGCAGATGCGGAAGCAAAGATTAGAAAGGAAAGAAAACCGGAAAAAATAAACGCAGCACATATGCCCTACTCGAGTATGCATCTAATGCAGTACACGAGTACAGTACCATTATACGTAATTTATACACTGAAAGTACTTTAAGTATTTTTAAAGTATACATTTTCATATGCACTACTAGTACCGACTACATAATTACATTTTCATATGCTCTACAGGAATACTTACATGTAGGCTCCTCTTCCTCATCCTCATCTTCGGCAAGGGTAAAAGACAACTTAGAAGTATCCCGTTGAGCCCTTTTCAAATCCTCCAGCCTGCGTTCTTCAGCCTGTTGTGCTTCTTTCTCAGCCCTTTGCTTTTGTGCGAGTTCCCGCTCTCGTTGGGCTACTACGTCCGTTTGTTTGGCCTTCATTTCATCCAGAGTAACAAGGCCAATAGTACTGCTTTTAAGCTGCTGTTCCACGGCATCATAATGCGCTGAGAATTTATTATCAATATTGGCAATCTTCGTTTCCTCTGCCAGTTTACGCTTCCTCAGCTCCACTTCTTCCTTCTCCTTCTCGCGTTTCTTGATCAGCTGCATGGCTCTCCCAGCCTCAACAATACCCCCGCGATATTCCGTCATTGTGAAGAATGGAACCACGACCAACAGTTATTGTTTTCGTCAGGCTTCAGGAAAAAAGGCACAAAAAATAAGTCTGCCGGGAGAAAAAGTGAAGCAAAACTACGATGTCAAACTGGCTGCTAACTGCTAAATTCCGTAGCAGTCTGAATCTTCATTCTTCCAACACTTTTTGCACTCTGCAGTTTTGCTCGCTGCCGCAACATCAACAACCTTACGGCATAAGACTTCCTGTGTCCGCCTGCTTGTATGAAAATTCCCAGTTCGCACGAAAACATACGCTGATAATTCATAAAATATTCACAAAATCCAGTAAGAAACCTCAATGTAAGGTTTTTAAAGACTCACTGCTGTTTAGAATTCTAAATTCTACAAATGAAATAATAAAAACAAAATTATTATAAACGGATTTTAACGGACTAATATTAATTATAATAAGCTGCGCAGCGTTTCCGGTCGCGCCGATTCGCAAAACTGCACTCTTCGCACTGGCATTCAGCACCGAAGCCGTTAAACAATAACACAAGCCCGATCGGAAACTGACCGATTTTCGGTTTTGCCGACGTATTAACGATAAGAATTTTTGCCTTGCAAATTGTGCCAAAAATTTCATCATGCAGATGAGTGACGTTCATCTGCCAACTGAGAAACTAATAAAAAATTGTGACTTTTAACTTTTCAAAAACTTTTCAATTAGATTGTTGTAGTTGGACCACTGGGATCAACTCACCAACCAAGCCATTTCTGCAGTCAGAGGATTTATTCGGCTATTTTAATTGATCCAAGTGCGCAGACTTCCCACGCGCCAGGAACTGACAGTGATAAATTTGTCGAAGAGCCTTGAGACATTTCACCGGACCTTTCCCGTACATCACAAGGTTTTACTTCACAACAATTTATCTGAATTCAACGACAATGCCGGACGCTGTAGAAGTGGCATCTCCAGCGCAGAACGGCGCTCATAAGAAAGAGCACGGGAAGAAGGAGAAGAAAACCGAAAAGACCGACAACGAAAATGTCGGTGCAGATGGAAAACGTGGCACCAAAGATGTGGGCCGCTTTGTGGACTTGCCCGGGGCGGAAGTAGGCAAAGTCATTGTCCGTTTTCCTCCCGAAGCCAGCGGCTTCCTCCATGTCGGTCATGCCAAGGCCGCACTGCTGAATCAGTACTACCGCGATGCCTTTCAGGGCACCTTGATTATGCGCTTCGATGATACGAATCCGGAGAAGGAGAAAGAGGATTTCGAGAAAATCGTTTTGGAAGATTTGCAAATGCTGGAAGTGAAGTACGATAAACTGACGTATACATCGGATAGTTTCGATAAGTTGTTAGTTTACTGTGAGCAAATGATCAAAGACGGGAATGCTTACGTGGACGATACTGAGCCGGAAAAGATGAAACAGGAGCGCGAAGAAAGAAAGGAATCGAAGTGCCGCAATAACAGTAAGGGCATCAATCAGACAGTCACTGTCCGGAAAATGTAACGAAATTTTGAAGTTTTAATAGTAGAATGCATCTCTACGAAAAAAGATGTTTTGTTTGGTAGATCGACCACTCAAAAATCAAAATACGAAAATAATAGTATTTCTCGAACGAGACAGTCCAGTACTGACTCTGGGTGATCAGACGCGTTTTGTTTTGTTTGTGCTATTCGGTGATAAATTTTTTCAAGGTATCATAATTTTCTTGTTCAGGATTTACTGGGTAGGTAATTAATAATTCGTAACGCAGGTATTCGTGGTTTATAATAATTATTGTATTCTTTTTGACATTTGGACCGTTTCTTTTTGTACACTGAGCTGTACAGAGTCAGAGTTCTGACTGGTGAACTGTTCTACGATCTGTTATACAATCGAAAATTAATATAGCCAAAATCTGATATTCCAGTCTATAATAGATGATGTAAGACTTGGTTCCAGGTGTGGAGAAGAATCTGCAGCTGTGGAACGAAATGAAACAAGGTTCCGAAATTGGCCAGAAATGTTGTGTTCGAGCAAAGATGGATATGAATTCGGACAACGGTTGTATGCGTGATGCCACGATATATCGCTGCAAACCACAGCATCATCCACGTACCGGGAATAAGTATAAGTAAGGCAGTTCTTGCAGATTGTCGAAGTCACTGGCCGAAGGTCGTTATTGTTTTCCGGTTACGTGTGTTTGTAGATGTTATCCCACCTACGATTTTGCTTGTCCCATCGTCGACAGCATTGAGGGTGTGACACATGCACTTCGCACTACCGAATATCTCGATCGCGATGAGCAGTATTTTTGGATACTGGATAAGCTTAATCTGCGGAAGCCCCATATTTATTCCTACAGTCGATTGAATTTAATGTACACGGTGTTGTCCAAGAGGAAGTTACGTTGGTTTGTTGAAAGTGGATTAGTAGATGGATGGTAAGGAAAACAGCTTGGTTGTCTTGAATGATTATCGATTTTAACAGTTGTTTTTTTAAAAAAACTTACTTTTTAGGGATGATCCACGCTTTCCGACAGTTCGCGGAATTTTGCGCCACGGCATGACGGTTGAAGGGTTAAAAAATTTCATTGCTGCTCAGGTACTGCAAAAATTAATTTTAAATTATAGTTCTTGAATGTTGTGGTGACACTGCTGTAAACATATTCGAACAAATTAAGCGTTTTACTTTTTTCGTTTGCACGTGGTGTTGCTGGTCATAGTAAAAATTTGCGTTACAAGGAGCATAACAGTCATGTCTTTTCTTTAAATTTTTGTTTGCTTCAGATAATAAGTATATGTTGTTTTACAGCATTTTTATTTGTACAAAACAAAAGGAAAATTTTTTTTCTAATTGCTATGCAATTTGTAGATCGTTTTGATATCTTAAATTTACGTTCGAATTCACAGGGTTCGTCGCGCAGTGTTGTAATGATGGACTGGGATAAATTGTGGGCCTTTAACAAGAAAGTTATTGATCCCATCGCTCCGCGTTATGTCTCCGTTTTGAAAGACGATCATGTCATAGTGACCGTAAACGGAGCAAAGGAAGAAACTGCCCAGATCGCCAAGCATCCAAAGAACGCTGAAGTAGGGCAGAAAACAGTCTACTATTCGAACAGGATCCTTATCGACCGAGCAGATGCCGAAACCATCAAAGAAGGCGAAATCGTCACTTTTGTTAATTGGGGAAATTTGAAAATCTCCAAAATTACTCGCAATGCGTCAGGTATGATCGAAAGCGTGGAAGCTGATTTGGATTTGGACAACAAAGATTACAAGAAAACTACGAAGCTGACGTGGCTACCACAAAATGACAAACTCGTTCCCACCATTTGTATGCAGTACGATTACCTAATCAGTAAGGGTAATCTGGGGAAAGATGAAGATTTTCAGAAGTTTATAAATACGGATAACAAGAAAGAAATTGTCATGTTGGGTGATCCTGAACTCCAAACTATCAAGAAAGGTGATATTATTCAGCTGCAACGACGCGGATTTTACGTTTGTGACAGTCCTGCAGCTGGTAATAAGCCGGTTGTGCTGATTTTTGTTCCCGATGGAAAGGAAACCGCTGCTACTGGGGCCGAAGCGAATGGTGTGCCAGGTAGTTACAGTCTTTATCTCCATTTTTCTTTTAGCAGCTGTTATTTTTAACTTTATAGTTAATATAGGCGAAGGGATTAATTTACTGTAACCCAAAATAGATCTATTTTGGCATGATTTTTTCAGAGACTCAGTCGAGAGAAAAACCAAAGAGCAAACAGCCTAAGCAAGAGAAAAAAACAGCTGAAAGCGATGGTAAGGATAGCGGAAAAGCCGGGGAGAAGAAGAAGGGCAAGGATAAGGAAGCAAAAGATGACGGGGATGTAGCGAAAGGAGATTCGGGTCAGAAGAAAGAAAAAAAGGAAAAGGGCGGCGCGGGAAAGGAAGGGAAACCTTCCGGTGATAAAAAGAAAGACGATAAAGGTGCTCCTGGTGATAAAGGTAAAGGTGCCGGCGATGGCGGTGACAAAGATAAAGGTGGAGAGGGAAAGAAGACCCGACTTGGTTTAGAAGTGAAGAAAGAAGAGGACTTGGGGCAGTGGTACTCTCAAGTGATTACTAAAGCCGAAATGATTGAATATTACGACATTAGTGGGTGCTATATTTTGCGTCCATGGTCGTACTCCATTTGGGAACAGATTCAGAAGTGGTTCGATACGGAAATCAAGAAACTGGGGGTGGAAAATTGTTACTTTCCCATGTTTGTCTCGCAGAACGCTTTGGAAAAGGAAAAAAGCCACATTGCTGACTTTTCCCCCGAGGTCGCTTGGGTTACCCGATCGGGGGATACGGATCTTTCGGAACCGATTGCTATTCGACCAACGAGCGAAACCGTCATGTATCCGACGTTTGCCAAATGGGTTCAGTCGTACCGGGACTTGCCTATTAAAATCAACCAGTGGTGCAACGTTGTGGTGAGTAGGTTTTTTGAAACGTTGTCTGGGTTCCGTATAAGTGGTTAATAATTTTTGGATTTCGTATATTATGTTCGTGGTTCTGATTTAATTTGTATGGCTTCAGCGTTGGGAATTCAAGCATGCACAGCCATTTTTACGCACACGAGAATTTTTGTGGCAAGAAGGTCACACGGCGTTCACGAATCCAGAAGAAGCCATGCAAGAAGTGTATAAAATCCTGGATTTGTACGCTAATGTCTACGAGGATTTGCTGGCGGTTCCAGTTATTAAAGGTCGGAAAACTGAGAAAGAAAAATTTCCTGGTGGAGATGTGACCACGACAATTGAGGCTTACATCGATGCAAATGGTCGAGCTATTCAGGTTTGAAATTTTTTATTTCGCGATAAAATAACCAATCACCGTATTTTCTACGTTAACTGAGCCGCGCTTGGGCTCGATTTTGAGAATCGAAAAATCCGTGATATACGCCTCTGCTTGTAACTTAAGCCATCCAACTGTTTAATTGGGCAATGTGATATTTATTAATCCATCATTAAATGTTAAACATTAATTCAACATTATATATTCATTTAACAATAAGTAATGCTGTTCGGCTGAGGGAATTGAATATCGTCTTTGTGAAATTAATTCACTCTTTTAGATGGTCATTCTTATGGGATTGTTTGTTATAACAGGCAGCTACATCCCATCATCTAGGACAAAACTTTTCCAAAATGTTCGAAATAGTTTTTGAAGACCCGGAAACTGGGAATCAGAAGTTCGCTTATCAGAATTCATGGGGCTTGACCACGCGTTCGATCGGTGTTATGGCGATGGTGCACGGGGACAACATGGGACTGGTTTTACCTCCTCGAGTCGCTGCCATCCAGGTTAGTTATGTCTTGGTTTTTTTCGCGTTTGTGTAGCGAGAATTGACTTCCGTTTAAGCTTACGGAAATTAATAATTTTGTTTGCTACTAACTTTACGTGGTGCACTTTTATAGGTTATTGTTGTGCCCTGTGGTATTTCCGTGAATTTGAAAGAAGAAGAGAAAAAGGCATTAATGGATAAATGTACGGCGTACAAGGAAAGACTGGTGGCCAGCGGTATCCGTGCAAGCACGGATTTACGCGATAACTACTCAGCTGGATGGAAGTTCAACCACTGGGAACTGAAAGGAGTTCCAGTGCGGATGGAAGTGGGTCCGAAAGATATGGCTAAGGGCCATTTTATTGCCGTGCGGCGTGATAACGGAGAAAAGGTTACCATTATCGAAGCGGATGCTGAGACGGCCCTGAAGACTTTGCTGGATAATATTCATAACAATTTATTTGAACGGCAAGTAATTCTGATTACTGGTCTTGCGGCCAGTTCTGTTGCTACTAGGGTTTGTCGCATTTAATGTGTTGCTATTAGAGTTTGTCGCATTTGACTTATTTTCGTACTGTTAGTCCGAAGTTTATATTGGTTACTGGACTAAAGCTGCATTTTGTTTTTTATAGAGCGAGGAAGGTAAGAGACGAACGGTTGGGTATTGTGGAGAACTGGAAAGAATTCTGTGACAAGTTAGACCAGAAAATGATTTTGATGGCGCCATTCTGCGGTGAACCCGAATGCGAAGACGTTATCAAAAAGGATAGCGCCCGGTAAGTTGAATTAACTTGGAATTCATTGTGTCGGCTAATCTAACCTGCATCGATAGAATTTTAGAATTCCTAATATTAACTCAGTAGTTGAAGCAGACAGATAAATTAAGGTCTTGAACTCGAAATATTTTCGTTTAGGGATCACGTTGTGGAAGCCGGTGCTCCCGCCATGGGGGCTAAGAGCCTGTGTATTCCCTTCAAACAGCCCAAGGATATCAAGGCTGACGATAAAGTTCCTTGTATTTTGCCCCAATGTAAACGTTTCGCCAAGTACTACACCCTGTTCGGACGAAGCTATTAATACTAAAACTGCATATGCTGTCAATCTTTGTACTGTGCTTTTTACTCTCTTGTGCGTTTTTATGAGCTGCGTAACTTATAATTATTCTAATGGTGCAACATGATCGATCTGAGAATAGTCATTACAATGTATGTATCGGCTTTATCGCGCACTTTTGCTTCCTTTCGTTGATAGCTTTGTTGATAGATAAAGTTATGTTATTTGTTCGCTATAAAGTTAGCCGTTCACGAATGGTAAATTCGTTTCTGTATTTTTTTTCACTTTGACAGCTTAGGTTGACTGTGCTTGAGTACATACTTGAAAAAATTTCGAATAATTAATGCACTTTCCAGTTCTTTTAACTGATAAACCGATCATTTGTAAATTTTAACCGTTTTCATCAAGCATTGTAGGATGCGCCGTCCTTGGATTTGGTGGTGGTGTATCATAAATTCATAATTATGGCATTTGATTATGTTTTGATATATCATACGTGCGCATTGTCCGCTACTTGTACCAAAGTTTCATCTGATATGCATATCAAGCACAAGCATAATTCGTCGGTGCTTCGCTGCTGCGAATTTTTGTTCGATATCTGGCTTCGCGAGTTGTGTTTGTTGAGGTTTTGTTTAAACACCCTATCAAACAGGGATTCTAGCCCACCACGTATTTGCGAACTCATTTGTCAGCAGAAAGCGAAAGGACTGTATTTGTGCAGCTCCCAAAACTGGTACCACCATTCAGTCGTAGACAGTGCATGCAGCATGACCAACGTTACGTCATCCTATCTAATTTCGTAATTTGTTTAAAGAGAAATGGCTCTGTGGATATTTGGCTTGGCGGCTACCGTGGTGGTTGTATGGATAGCGAAATTCATTTACCAAGACCGCCGGGAGCGCTCACGGTTGCCTCCCGGTCCGCCAGGGAAACCGATAATCGGCAACATGTTTCAGATGATGGGGGAAAATCGACAAAATAATTTAATGAACGCCGGAAAAAAGTTTGGGGGAATTTTTACACTTCAAATTGGCGTCCAGTAAGTTCGACTGGCGAGCGCTAGGTAATACCGTACCGTATTACTTAACGCTCCCTTGGACGTTCATTATTAACTTTGTTGTTTTAACTTTGTTCGTACTCGCACAACCACATAAGGTTAAATGTCACTCTTTCTTGAAATGTAACTCTTACTTAACTTGAATGTAATGTAAATGTAAGAAATGTAACTTGAATGTAACTCTTTCTGGAAATTAGGAAAAACAGGTGATTAAGTACATTACGTAATTACATAATGATTATTAATTTCCATTTACACTACTACTTACAACACTACTACCAGCCTACCACCGCCAAATCATTGTAGTATTAATGGGCTGTGCTACTACTGTATAGTGTATACTATGATATCCTAGGGTACCCTATTCTTTCCTTCACTTACTAGTACAGTACTATGTACGAGGGGATGTCAGTAGCTCACCAAATAACCCATGTACTGTACTTGCTGCCTTCAGCCAGCTGGACTTTAACGTTGTGGCTATACGTGTGCTTATGTGCCGCGCCAGATTTAGCCATATGAATTACCGTAACGTCATACTTCAGCCGGGTAACGGCAGCAAGTACAGGGATTATCTAGTTGCGCTACTGATTTGAGTGATATCCCCTCTTATACTTACCATACTTTACGGTGCTGAATTTTAAGTTTATACGTCTGTTGCCCCTGTACTTACTCTTACAAATTTGTGAGGACTAGAATAAAGCCTAGCTTAATTTCTTATAAACTATTTTTTACCCCTTTTCTCCCCTTTCTTTGTTCAATAATGGCCCGATTAGGACCGAATGAATGAATATTTTTTGGATTTTACTTTTCTCACTATGTTGTCAACTTATCACGCCATGCTAGAACGCTGTCTCTGTAGTTTGTACCACTGAAGGAGGCGGTCACAACGATTCCATCCCGCCATTGCTTAACGCATAAATAAAAACTGAACTTAGGATTAAACGGCGATTGACTTATTCAGCATGGCCCGCACATTTGGCTACCATATCTGGCACTGCCGTCTGGACAGCAGGCACTTGAACACAGAAAATCTCGGGGGGGCCATCTGTTGTCATACGTTAGGCGAAGTCCTTCGAGCTAGCTATTATGGCAAACAAAACATATTAATTTTTGAACATTTTTTTATCAGAGCAGCCTTATTTGGTAAAACAGAACAAAATAAAAATTATCAAATGCTCGATCTGGAATCGTTTTACCACTATTTTAATTTTCGCAGTGCCGACTTGGAAGCGAAAGCTAGGATTTTGACCAGCGGTGATCATCTTTGCAGTTAATTGTAGTGTAGTGGCTACAAGTTGAGCCTACAACACCGTGCTGCAGTAGATGACTGAAACAGCTAGTGAGATGAGGGTGTATTATCTGTTACCACATAAAACCAGGGGCGTCAAAGGGGGGGGGGTGTCAACCGGCAAATTTTCGGAGTTTGACTCCCCCTGTTTTTCGAAACCGGTTGCCCCCCGTCAATTTTTTAGAGGTTCTGGAAGCCAGTTGCCCCCTGTCAAGTTTTTTGATTTTTCATATTGAGTTTGCCCCCCTGTCAAAATTTGACACCCCCATTTTGCCAGACCTGTGACGCCCCTGCATAAAACCACTTTGGATTCCCTCCCTCGAATCACGACTTCCTCGCTCTAGCGTTGTAGTGCGCCGAAGCATTGCGAATCAGTTCAGAGTTTCTGGGGTTGCCTTTGGCAGCCTTTGTAAGTTCATTGCGCGATGGGTAAGTAGTAAATACTACGAAATGGTACGTACTGCACTAACTGCTATGTACTTATACGTATACTAACTTACTAAGTATACTTATACTACTATTGACGAGCTGGAGTGAGTGGAAAATTTTTTTTTATTGTTTTGAGCTGGTCACATTTCTGGTTTTAATTTTGTGTATTTATTTGGGTTTTAAACCTAAATAATCCACGAAAAGAAATGATCACACAATGACAATAATAAAAAATACTCATCAACAAAAAGATACCAGGGAAAGCCACCTCTGGAGGTGGCTTCGCGTACCGTATCATTTTTCTTTGTATTTTAGGGTGTGCGTAAAAACCGTGCGCAAAATTTTTGGTTGATAGGAGACGCGGGGTTGGTACGGGTTCTGAGATACGGTTCGCGGGATACCGTATCTGAGAGTTGTGAAAACGGGACGCATTCGGATACGCAGCATATCCCCGTCCCGAATCTTTGCATTGATAACCAAGTACGCGAAGCGAGAACCGACATACCGTATCATTCTGGGGCGCTGGTGTCCTGTACCGTAGGCTCGTAGCTAGCTTCGCTACAGATTCGGGACGAGGCCTTATTAGTAAGTATACTTTGTTACTGTATACCCGCAACGTCATACAGTACAGTAAGTACTAGTACTGTACTTAATCGTACGTACTCCAGCCAGCTGACCAAGAATGCAGAAGCATGTATGTAATAATATGACTGTATGCATAATACTTACTAGCGGTGGTTGCGAACCACATTATTGCCCGAGCGCGAGCGCCATTACCATTGGGAATGGTATTGGGCTTGTCGAATTGGAAAAGCGTGGCCTACGCTCTTCGTGGCGTCAGACAAATTTTATACTCTTGACGAAGGCTTAATTGCAGCACCTCGTGCTTCGTGCTCGGCGCAAACTAAAGGTTTAACATAACTTATTGTCGCGACCATCTGCCCTATGTGCCCTTAATGCTGGAGCAGGACAAACCGTGGTGGCCGTTGGCTACCCGGCTTCCACAGTTTGTGCAGTCGTGTTCTTCTACAACGGGTACTTCGACAAAATTAATGCCTTATCTGGGCTCTCTTCTAATTAAAACAGTTACTTACAAAACCGCAAGTACTAATGCAACCGCGCACGAAGGCGGTTACCCATACTGTCAGTACTGCGGGAAGTGTGCGCAACCAACCTTGTGCGCGGTTACATTAGTACTTGCAGTTTCGTAGCCGTTTTAACTACAGGGGTGCGCAGAATCCGATATGGGCCTGTACTCCAAAGGGAGCCCAGATAAGGCATTTCGCCGCATTGTCGAAATAGTCCAAAGTAGTAACTCACTTACAAAAGCGTAGTGCAATTGCATATATAGCAGACAGTGAGATTTCTCTCAAACGTAGCTGATTAACTTGAAACCATCTGTATACAAAAATGCTGTGCAACTCCATTTCGCAGAGCTGGAATGGGGTAATAGAGACATTACGTACATCATACATGGCTTTCTATACTGAAAGCAACAGTGTGCCATGGCTATCTGTATCTATAGATATTTTGTGACCACATAATATGGGGAGTGCGTTGGCAGCTTGTATGCTACACAAATAAGGATCCATCTAGATAAGTGACGTCACGGCCGAACCCAAAACGCAGTGATTCGCTGCCGCGCACATTAGATGTAACTATGTTTGTATGAGGGCGGTGCCAAAATGCATACATGTAAGGGCCTTACGTGTATGTGTGATAATCCCGCCCCGTGCTCATTTTTGGACCTAGCATATATCGCGCGTTCTTATAAATGAAATAACACCTATCCGCTTACCAACTCCATGGGCAAAATTTCCGAATTTTATGAGTTGCCCAGTTTTACAGCTGGTAAACGCTAACCCACTAATACTGTACAAGTATTTCTACTTGTATACTTCTAGTATCTATAGTTACTGTACTGTTTAAAACTACAATGTCATATTCTATAATTCGGCCTGCACCAACAAGTTTATTTTTTACAATTTACATTAAAACGAAACACATGGAAAGATTTCTAACTCAAAAATACGCTGCACTACTTAATCCTCCACTGCTTCCCATCAAAACAGCGGCGAACATTATTAACCGATTCCATATAATAATTATGTATTACAATTTAAAAAAATACAGGCACCAGAAACTGCCATCGAAACTGATCGAATGTCGATATAATTATAGTCCCGATTGCAATACGTGGAAAATGGTGTTCTCGGCTAAAGGCAGTAAAGCAAAATTTATCAAAAAACAAACAAGTTTCCTACTGCAAGATGCAATGGTGCTGCAAATTGAACTTAGTATCAGTTAGTTACCACTTACCAGCAAGATTTAGTATCATGTATACTGTGTTGCCATATAATGCAGACAGTCTGATAAGACAATGCACTTGCATAGTGCGCTGTCTGGGATTAAGTATTGAAAGATGCCTCATGCTTGCCTAGCGCAGGTGAAAGAGTTTGATCGTAGTCAAGCTGAACTGACACAGCTAGACTACGGAACATCTCTCTAACAAGCAATTCAACGTGGTAATGCTGCTTCAGTAATCGGTACCGTAGAGAATGTTGTTTCGTTTAAGCGTAATTAGATGTTGATATTGTTATCACGCTATTGAAATAATTGTGTACATTTTGTGTACAATAGTGATAATTAGTGAACGACGTAAAGTGCGTACTTGTTTAACTGTACAAAATCCGGTCACGAAATTGAATCAAAACAAACTTGTCTTTTATTTTTCAAAACAAAATAAAAACAAAAATTCATAATAAAATTACTATTTTTCATAGAATTCTAGCAAATCTCACAGGAAAGAAGTACGTCGGTTTCGCGGTTCGCGCGAAACCCCACTTTTTCTTACAATTAATTTTTCTTTGATATTACATAGCATCGGATTTCGCTAGTTTAAAATACAGTAATATGGTCACGGTTAACAGTTAAAATGGTTTACTGTTTCTAATATAAATTTCCGCACTAACAATTGTCTTTGGCTTCGCGCGAAAGTTCACGTCACTAACTCTTGGTAGACAAACAAACGTGCACAGCTTTTGATCCGGTATGCTACGCTTTCTATAACTCGTTCTATAAAAATACTCTAACTAGTACTCTTTCTATAAAAAAGCGAAATTTGTTTAATTTAATAAAGCTTGTCGCATGCGTTCCCCCTCCCCCAGGGCGCCCCGGGAGGGAGTAATGGATTTTAGTTATGTTTAATACCATTACTTATAGGAGTACTCGACAGTCGGTAGATTATCCATGATTATAGAGTGGAAATTATCACTTATAAAACTGCAGGTTCTATGATTACAGATACAGTGTTGTGATAACGTCATATCGATTGTTTCGGGAAGCCGTGATCGACAAAGCCTGGGAGTTTGCTGGACGACCGCCGGAAGTACGATTTGGCGATCTGCAACCCGGCAAGTCTCAAACGATATTGACACGATAAATACTTCCCTAGTGCATTTAATTAATCTATCAAGTGGAGAATCTGTTGTATAAACGATATAATAGCCACATGCTGTACAATATTAATTTCGACTTTCGAATGTATTTACCAGGCATTATCGCCGGTGGTGTGGATACTGACGATCGAGAAGTGCGGCGCTTCACGCTGCTGACCTTGCGCAGTTTCGGTTTCGGTAAGGCTGACATGGAGAACATCATCCTCCAGGAAGCCGACACCCTGATTGACCATTTCCGGAACACCAACGGCGCGCCCTTTAACCCGCGCCTACCAATCACCAACGCCGCAGCTAATGTAATCTCTGCCATTTTACTGGGAAAATCGTTCCAGTATGGTGATCCGGAATTCCGTGTGGTTAGCGAAGCGATGACCGAAGGAATCAAATTGGTCCTGGTGGCTGCACGGCGCTCTTCTTTTCCCATATTAAATTATCTACCGCTCGGCAAAGTCAAGAAATTTATTGAGAGCTTCCGCTCCAGTGTCAACTTTCTGAAAAAGGTTGTCCGCGAACACGAAGACACACGGGTACCGGATGTACACCGGGATTTCATTGACGCATGGCTGGACCACGCTCAGAAACCCGGTAGCCCATCGGGGCAGGCATTCACGGCGGAAAAGCTGGAGTCGTCTTTGCTGGATCTTTTTGGCGGCGGATTCGAGACAACAGCAACGACATTGCAATGGTACTTTGAGTAATGATTAATGAATAATGCTAATTAATCGAATCAAAGAGAAATGTGGAAGATTTTCAAATTGTGTTAGGACCATAGCCATGCTTCTGCATCATCCAGAGGTACAAGATAAAATCCATGAGACTTTGGATCGTTCTACCAGCCGTGGCGCACAAATAACTCTGCAAGATCGCGAAGCATTGGCTTATGTCGAAGCAGTCATATGGGAAACGCTACGAATGTACACCGTCATCCCGTTTGCTGTGCCGCATATGAGCACAGAAGACGCCGCTATCGGACGCTACACGATACCAAAAGGTCAGTTCTTTTTCGGTTACGGGATCTTTTTCCGGTGTTATTAGTAACCATAATTAATTAAAACCTGCTTGAAAAACATGGAGCGCTAAATTGTTATTCTTTTACTCTTGCTATCATTACCAAAGTATCACTTCGCAGTAATTGTAGAAGTATAGTTTAAATCCAAATTTATATCTCCGTCATATACAGACTGTAGAGTAGTTACCAATTAAATTTTAATTGTTCACTATCTGTTTGACATTTGACTAATGTCAGGAACACGTATTTTTGGTTTAGACACTCGTGTTGTATTGCATTTGCACTCCATTCACCACGACCCGGATTTGTGGGAAGAGCCAGAAACATTCAAACCCGAACGGTTTGTAGTTAATGGGAAACTGCATGCTCCGGATTACTTTATACCCTTTTCGGCTGGACGACGATCCTGCATTGGTGAGCAGTTGGCACGCAAGGAAGTATTTCTGGTGTTTGCCAATTTGATGCAGAATTTCATCTTCTCTGTACCTAAAGGCCAGGGTTTACCGTCGCTTAAGATGAACGACGCCGTAGTGATGTATCCTGATCCCTTCGATGTTGTGGTAACGCCTCGTTAATGACAACGACGTTTTACAATAGTGTTAATTACAATTACAATAGGGTAATTTATGTTATTTTTGTAATCTTAATATGATAACGATTTTATAATTATGCCACAATCGGAAAAAACTTGTCGACGATCAGAACTGATTGCATTGCAGTGACTGGATATGCAGAAAGTGTTTCGTGAATGTAGCTACTGATGTGAGCATAGTTCTGTACCGAAATAAAAGCTTACTCGTAGGAAGTGCAGAAAACGTACGCATCTAATATTTCACATGCGTAAAGCAATAGCGAAACAATTAAATAAACACTTGAATAAAACACTGCTTCTTTAGGACAACCATTAAATAGAACTACACCTTGCAAAACAGTGCTGCAGTTTAGAAGCGAACATATGCAACAAATAGTAAGAAAATTTTTCCTTAATGCAGCATGCTACATACAACCATTTGACGTTTTTGTCACCTATTTTATTGTGCAGGTTTTTATCCAAATTGTAAGCAAGCGCTGTAAATTTCGTCGCACAATGCGGCACGTCGGTGATTGTTCTTCATATTTTATGTGCATATGAATCGACTACCGGCCGTCGTATGCATGCCGAACAGGAAATACAAAAATGCACGATGGAAGGCGTGATTCACGATGCTACGTTGCATTTCGCCGATTAAAATTCCGGTTTTCCGCAGAATTACATCTTATAAGAAAGAGGATTAAGGAAGTGTTTACTGTGAAGCAAAAACGCTGTATACTCGTACACAAATTCAGAAATGTACCGCGTACACAGAGCCAAGTTAACAACCTTTATATAGATTTCCTCTAGGCATAAGATCATAAACAGATGTTTTACGCAGATGCGGCATCCTTGTTGTCGCCAACGTGATAAAGATTTCATTCGATCAATTGCGCATTTTCTGTGCAAAATCTAGCGAAAATTTGTTTTCACAACTATAGAAATCTGCCCGACAATGCTTTATTCCGTCTCTTTATTAGCGCTTTTGGGAGCAGGTACGTAGCGCTATATTCAAACCGATGACGAACATAAAGACATTTAAAATAACAAATGGATTTACGCGACGACTATATTTGTCGGGTACAAAAATTGCAATAGCTTTATCGGCTTTAAGACCTGCACACTTCAGATTTGAGCATTTCTTGCAGTCGCAAACTTGGGATATGCTGCGCCCAATCCAAAGCCTGCCGCAGGTTAGTTTTGTAACATAACTGAAGAAAAATCTGGATCGAGAAATATCTTGTTCTTAGTATTCAAGGAATTATGTTCAAGGACATGGCATTGTTTGTGAAATGTTGCACTAGTGCTATCCGCAATATATCAGTGTGTCATAACAACAATATTATTGTGGAAGGTCTGCAGCAGCGGATGCATCTTGAGATAACAGATTTAGTATCTGCTGTACATTTTAAATTTCTTAAGAGTGCTTTCTGGTGGCAAGTTGCAGCTATATATTATCCGTCACCTCGACCGTTATACTATACACCTGTAGTAAAGGTGTTAGAATGAAGTTCGTGCATTGTGTACTACAGGCGGCAAGACCGTAAAAATGATATTTTGGCAAGCCATCTGCAATCAGGAAATTGCTTACGAAGCCAGTTCAACGGAGGAGGATTGTTTGGCAAAATGCAAAGCGGACCACGCTTGTTTGTTCGCCTCGTATAATTCCAAAGAAGTCCAATGCGGTTTAGTGCCCGCCAATTTCGACTGTATCTTCCAGAGACGGTCGGAGGAAAATATGCTGCTGGGTGTAGAGAAGAAGAAATTCACACCGAGAATGGGCAACATTGATACAAAAGCCCTGACCAACAATAAAGGTGACATTATCCTGGATGGCGCCCTGGGCGTATCGACAGACGACTGCACAGGGTTGTGCAACATTCAGCCCAAGTGCAAAGTAGCCCAGGTTTCTGCCGGCGGACATGGACCACAGGCGTGTACGCTGAAAGGAATCTCTGGGCCGACAAAACGTCTGGGAATGACTGATATGTCCGTGGCATACGTGGCATCGTAATTTTTATAATATGGTTGACCTTTGTGACATACATGTGCATATGAGATGTTGTTATTCCAAAGTTTATTTATTGTTGCAGATTTTGTTTATTCTTTCAAGGACCCATTTGTGTAAGCAAATTTATATACATAATTAAAATGAAGCAGGTGTTAAATCGACGCACAGAAAAAGGATACGGTTTACATGAAATTTGCTATATGTACGTATTGTGATACACAAGTTAAGTAATTATACCGTTTCAATCGCTGGCGCTTAAGTTACAATTTTGTATTTTGCCCTATTTGGTCTTAGTCTGAGTTTTGGTCGATCTGTTATCGGAGTCCGCAGAATCCTCCAGACTGCGATAGGATGGTCCAGTTCCATAATAGGATGATCCATGCTGCCGGCGTTCGTAAGGTTTACTGTACGAGGTGTCATAACTACTGTAGCTTTCCTTTGGATATTTGTCCGGAGTGCGCGCATACTCGTCTGGATGGTATCCACTGTATTCGTATGAACTCGACGAGTAACTGGCGTAGGGCTTCTTTTTTGCATCGTAGTACTGATAGTACGGTGGACTCTGATACACTTCATACGGTGGCGAATAATAGTCATAAGACGGTTTCTTGTACTCATACGCCGGCGGAGCATAGTTGTAATCATAAGTGGGTTTTTGGTATTTCTCATCGTAATATTGAGGGCGATAATCCGGTTTCTTGTAATCGTACGCCGGCTGGTAAGAATCGTATGATGTGTAGGATGGTGATGAATAAGTTATGGGAAGGGGATAATAAGCAGATTTTTTGGGCGAATCATAGGTGGATGGATAATCATACGCAGGCGGCGCGTAGGCATAATCATCCGCATAACTCGGCTGATAAGCCGGGTAGCCATAATAATCACTGTACGAGGAAGGATATTTATAGGGATCGCCGTACCCATTTCCGGAATAATATGATCCGTAATATGCCGGTGGTGAACTGTACATGGGCGGGCCATTCCCGTAATAAAAAAGTCCAGGACTGCCGTACGTTTGATAATTGCCGTATTTCCCGTCAGCCACAGTACCTTGTAACACCCATGCAATCAAGAATGCTGTTATTGCAGGAAAATTCATTCTACTCATACTCGACCTTTTAGCCCTTTATCAAACTGCAGAAAATTATTAAATTCAATAAATCTACAAATGCGTGACCAGTTTACTGCACAGCCAGAAAATAATAAATAAACGGCCCCAATCGGTAACTTTCGCTTTTACTTCCAATAAATGTTTTCTGGTGGCTGATTATTTATACAACTTCTTATGCTTCCATTTCTGAAAGATGTCAGAAAAAACGCCTCGATGAACGAGGTAGCCGTTTTACGACTGTTAAAGTGTAGCCATATGTAACATTGTTCATACGATACTCCTTGCCGTGAATTATCAGAAATGCACATGGCTTAATTAATACCTGCTATGGAATGTACACATTAGTTCAGGATTAACCCACATAAATCTACTCCAAAAGCATAATTTACTATTAATCAGCAATTTGCAATAGTTTTGATTGTTTTATAATTGCAGAGTTTAATCTTTGCAAATTTACCATCTGGTAAAATCTCGAAGAAAAATAACCAACAATGGAATTTCTAGCTCAAAGCCTCATATGCCAATATATTGTGCTACCATGAAAATCGCTGTGATTGCAGATTCTCGTACGCACAATCATGAACGAACGCAGTTCATTACGGTACTATTAATATTCGTATATATATTTATGAACAAATTTTATGTTTAGCAATACTCGATTTTTGAGCATTTATGATTATTCTCCCGAACAGCTTGCTTGCACTGTACATAATACTACTCGTACACAGTCTGCATCGAATTACTTTGTATGTTAAAAAGGAAATATGTCTGAAACCAGCAACATGCACTGAAGGTCAAACGTAACGGTATAATTTTATACCTCATAGTTAAACTTATTCTAAGCTAAATTAATTTTTATTTCACGTACTAATATATTATCACTTATAACTAGTATTTATATAGTGCATAATTTACATAATTATCTATCTCAGGTACATTCACCGATTATGCTCGCCACTAACTTGTAAGTTTCCATTAAATTGTGTAACACATACATATGATAACATATCTATATTCAGTACTTGTATATATACGGATACTGTATATCGATATTATACATTTATTTTAGCCCGATGATCGAGTGTTCTGCCAAAGTTGGCGACTGCAGCGCGTATCAATTTTTTTTACTTATTTAACTATTTATATTTGACAAATAACGTTACGCCTTCGCAGATTTACACTAGTGAAAGTGAATGAATTTTAAAAACTGGAAAAACACCCAAAATCGTTGTTTATTTAATTTTATTTATTTGTACAATTTCGAATCTAAAGAATACTAACGCAACTAAACTAGCGTTTCACAAAAAATAAAAGTTTTTTTTAAAACATACTAGAACTATAATATCACAGTATCACTGTATAAAACTGTTGTATTTATGCACGAGCTAAAAATCATAATGGTAGGTCCATGTGAACCGTGAAACTCGAGCGTGTGCGGAACGATGTTTATCCGTTGGTCGGGTGTGCAAAAATGCAGACTTCATGCGTAGAATTATAAGTAAATAAATATAAGTATATATACCTAGTTGATCTATGGTAATACTCCTTTAAAAATCTTCGTAAATGCTACAAAATTCTCCGCGGTGTCGTACATTGTTCATTGTTGCTTTTCAAACCAGTTGATTTCTTCTAACTCAGCGTTTAGCTCATCCCGCTGTCTTTAGCCGCAGCTACGCATCCTATCACAAAAGTTTCGGAGTGATTTCTTATACATATACATTTCATTATTAAATTACATAATTAATGTTTTGGTGGCAAAGATGTTGCAGCAGCCATCACTGAACATGTTAATAACTGCTGTTCTGCTTTCGACCTGCATCATGGAACTTAAAGGCCAACTTACAGGTAAAATAACTGAACGCAGCTAAAGGTCAGACTCGCATTATTATGGTCCTAGGATCTTTAATATCCCGCTCTGTAACAACTGACAATTTTTCTTTTGATTATATATAGGCAGTACCGTTGAAGTGCACGGATGGCAGTCATCATGTTCCTCACGAGAAACCAACACACAACGCCCTTTACCATCACCAATGGAATGCGCACAAGCTTGTTCCCGAACAATTTCGTGTCACTTTGTTAACTTTGACACAACCAGCAAAGTCTGTACACTGGTCAGCAAGGATGCTCAGTGCTCGTACCTACCCGTATCCACTTCCGTTCTAGCCGCTACAACCACCAAGCATCTGACAATCAAGCCATCTACAGACATCTATGTTGGACGGCAAATTGCTTGGCTGGTTGTGGACGACAAAGAGACATGCAAAAAATTGTGCCAAATTGTGGCGAAATGCAATGCATCTGTGTTTCGCAGAGATGGAGCATGCTCACTGAAAACCATTCCACAGTCAGCTGAATTTGGACTGGATAAAACTGCCACTGCTTTTGTGGATTTAGCTTCACTTCGTCCATAGATTACGCGGCCCAGCGCTTGTTAAATCGATAATCCCAACTTTCAATCATGAAAAATAAACAAACTTTAAAAATCAGGATGTAATGATAATTTCCTGCAACTGATAACAGTTTCGTCCTTTGCTTTCCTTTGGAGACCAATAATTTTCAATGTCCACTGTGATGATTCGCGGTCAACCTTCACTGTCACAATAACATCGATCTTTGACAGTATCACTTACGTACATGATGCGAGTCATTTCATCCGTGCTTCGAATTTTTGTAGTTTGCACAACTAATACTGAACACAATTACACAAAATTCTAGATCATTATGCAAGGTGCATATCAATGAACAGGTAGCAACAGATCATTTTTAAAACTACAAACAAGTATATCACACAAAGCATTAAATCCATCTAAAGAAATTACATCGAGCATTAGGATCACCAGGCACACCCGGCGGCTTTGAGCACAGATAAAACTGCTTACCCTTGTTGGGACCTTTTTTATTCACTTTCTTCATGATGCAAGCCTGACCACAGTGACAAGTCGGAGGCGGTCGTGGACCTTTGAGCAATTTTTGCCATTGAATCCTAGCCGCATCACTATCACTATCTGTCGTATCCGATACGACACTGGCACCGGATGACTGTGAACTACATGTATCAAGGCAAACAACGTCCGGCGACGCAGGCGATTCTGCTTTAACAGATGCTTCAACGGGGTTTGTGGCGACTACAGCGTTAATCACATCGGTCCTCTTTCCGAAAAAATTCGTCAAAGACATCTGTCCTTTACTCTTCGTGACATTTAACGAGGCAGATTTCACGAGTTTGTTCGTGGTGATAACAGTTTCCGTCAATTTCAGCTTCTTTACAGACGGCTCGGCTTCCTGCGTAACTGTCTGGCTTCGAAAAAAAGCATGAAGAGTTTGCTGTTTCCCTTGAAATTCTGGCATGTATTTCGTACACAATGATGGACACTTTTCCGCGGCGATACATTCCACACCCAGGGTAGCGCGTACAGGGCAGTGATCAGATCCTTGAATTTCCGCTCGTATTTCACAAGCAACAAATGCAGTCTTTATCAGATCATTATCAGCGATAATATAATCCAACCGGCAACCATAGTTGTTATGCCGAGCCCCAGTGGAAGTTGACCAACAGGTGTACGCGCATTTCGTTGTTGGCTGAAAATACCGGAAGGCATCGGTGAATTTTGCGCTGGAAACCGGTGGCTGACTGAGTGTGTCACTTTTATCATTTTCGCAAGTCAGGGGAACGCCATCTTCGGACGATGGGGCAGAAGCTGGAAGAACGATTGAGTGGTCCAAAAGAAAATCGTTCATCCAAAGGCGGTAGGGATTTTCGGTCCAAGAATCGCACGTGTCTATTGGTCGATGCGAAGTGTTGAGATCCCCAACAATAATCACATGCCTAAGCAATAAAAAAAAAGTAAATCACCGTTTAACTAAACACAACTAATTTAAATCATGCAGACAAAACCGAAATTGCCCTGGTGAATACAAACCAGCTCCGAAATAATTAGGTGTTGACTGTCTAAAGACTAAACAACAAAATTTTTAGTTCTACCGAGTACTACGTATACTTGCAAATACTGATTAAATGAAAAATACTGATTAAATGTGAAAAGCCCAGTTACAACATCAAAATGTACGATAAATTTTCATAAAACATTTTCATTTACCTACCTTATCAAACTTAAGGCAGCACAATGGCAGAAAGAAAATACTTACTTTCCTGCTGTCAGCAAAGCTTCAGCGCGCTTTTGCAGACACGCAAAAAAATTTGCCTTATAGGCTTTCCTGTCATCACGTTCCTTGTCGATATGCGGACAATAAACATTAATAACACACACAGTCTGCAACCGTCCCTCCTTGTCCCGGAACTGATGTTCTGTGATGACAGTGCGGCCCTCCCCGTCCAGATCCTTCAGTTCTCCGTCAGGGAAGTCCGTCAAATTTCCATAACAGCCCACCGTATCCGCCGCAGGCTGCCGTCCGTTGGCTGTGGCAAGATACCCCGAAAGGCCCTCTTCCGCGGCAACGGGTCGCACACGATCCCGACAGTAGTTGACAACACCGGAATATCCGGCTCGTTTCCGCGAGTAGGAGAAGTACGCGTTGTAGCCGTCCACCAGCGCCGTACTGGCTGTTTGCATTTCCCGAGTGATCTTCGTCTCTTGCAGGCAGATAATGTCGGCGTCGAGACTATCCAGTAGGGCCTTCAGACTTCCGGATGTGGCCCGAATACCGTTGATGTTCCAGGTGACGATTTTCATTCTTAGCAGTATGCCGACGCTTGCGACTTTGCAGCAATACAAGGTCGTAAGGATCCGGATGGATGTCGAGCAGAGTGCAGTCACAATTTATGGACAGCGGGACGACTGGTATTTACAGCCATCTAGTAGCTAACCGTTCTGATTTCTTAGTTCCCCAGACATATGGGCTGCATTGGATGGTACGGGTTCGCACTTCGCAGCGAAAGAAGGCCGGAAGAATTAGGAATTCCCATTCGAAAAAAATGGACTTCGAAAGCGGAAAGTTAAAATATTTCGCTGTTTGAATCGGTTTGAAGAACAGCTTTGTTTAAAAAACATAAGCAATCCACTGCTAGATTTCAGCGGATATCCGGCGGCTTGGCGCCACACTTCTGGGCGCTTTACTAGCTAGTCTCTGTGGAATACGCAACCGCCAAGGCAGGCACACATTTTTGGCTACCTTTCAGGTTTTGGCTTTGATAATAACGTATCCAAAAAAGTCTGTGGCATACCATAATATAGGTTGAGTGATTTTGTTTATTAAACGCTGAAGAATTACTGGTAATTTTTTCCATCGTCGCTCTCGAGTACAATTTGGGACGCGAATTCTGCAGTCGGTTTCCGGTTCTGTCTTCGGTGGATGATTCAGGCACAATGTGCCTTTGCAGCGGAATCAAGCTCTCCACCACTTACGTTGTTGTACAGCGACTCCTGATGCCTTACGCAGCTGCTCCGCGATATGCTGCTTCCTGGACAAGACGCTATCACACCGTTCCTAGCCCGAAATCATCTCGATCCATACCGCAGTACATTCGGATATCTCCATGGGGACCTCGTCCCGGCGAAATGTCGGCAGTCGAGGTGGATAACAGCGATGAGGTGTATGGCATAAAATTACCACGTGCTAAGAAAGGCAGTATGGATCCCGATGGATTTAGGCACGTTGGGGAGGTACTGCGCAAGTATAATATGAACGCCAAAGAAATCCAGGGTAATCCTGTATTATTCTCCATGCCTGCCAGAGAAATTGAGCTAAGGTGAAGAATTTGGTGCGGTGCTCGTAGCAGTTGCGGCTTTTTGATCAGTTTAATTTTTTGTTGCCCGTTTAGGAGTAAAAACATTTACACTGACTGTAGGTTGGAAAGTTTTAAAGAGTGCGGATGGGAAACATTCTCAGCGGATATGATTGTTTTTGCGAACAGCCTTTTTACCAAACGTACGGCGCGCGATCTTATTGGATCGGAAAGTGAGAGTGTAACGCGCAGTGTTCTGCGGTGTTTACTGGATGAACTGCAAGTAGACGAATCTCGACAACAGCAGCTGCTCAGCAGTATATCTGCATCAGCCACCGCTTCATTGGTAAACCGACCAGTTTACATTTAGAGCTCTCAGAATTGATCATGCTACAGAAAAATCATGTATTCGTGGTTTTTAATTTAATAAATTACCATATTATTAAAAACTGGGGATCTGAAGTACCTGTACAACTGGTTGTTTTCCATCAGCTAAGTATTTTAAAATGATTTTTGTGCGAAAGTTTTGCTTAATTATGTTTAGCGAATACTATATTGTAACTTTGTAAGCCACAGTCTTGATGTCAAAATAACCGGTTGACTGTTTTGGTGCGCCCGTGCGGGTGTGATAGTCTGTTTTTCTTAGGGTTTTTGGAATTTCTTCAGTTTTTTAGATTTCTGAAGTCTTCTCCAGTTTCTTACGTTTTTTAGGTTATTTAGGGTTTCCTTGTCTAGCTTTTGTAAGTACAGTGCATTCTGCGGGCGATTGTCCTGGTTTAAAGAATAATTCTTTTTCAGTAATTTTTCATTTGCTTATATAATGATGGCTGAGGAATAACGCTGAAGTAATTTTGCAGACGCTGCATGATTGTCGATGTTTGGCGCTGCGCCAGTACCTTCGTTCGCTGTACACGGAGGATGAGATCTCACGGACTCTGGCCATCGCCATGAAAGCGGTCGGTGCCATCCGCACGGTCAAGGGTATTAAGCAGGTGTTGCGCTATCTGCAAGAGGATTTCAAACTGCCTATCGAGCGCATTTTTAAATACGAGGTGCTCCTCACCAGAGACGAAATACACTTAGAAGAGCATCTACGCAATCCCAAGTTCATGGAGTTCGATTTGCGGGTGATTGCCAGCAATTATCCGCGCGTTATTTGCGTCCCTGCGCAACATCTAAGACAATTCGAGTCCGTCCTGACCGAACACGGTTTTACTCCGTTCCAGCTGACACGTGCGTATTTCCTCACCTCCCTAAACCCTGCAACCGTGGCGAAACGTTTGACCGCGTTGAAAGCCGATCCGGATTTGTGGAAGTTTAAGGAGCATCCTAGTTTTCTGGAATTGGTGGTGCGTTATGTAGACGTGATGCGGCGTTTAAGCTTTCTCCGCATTATGAAGGTTAAGGATTTCGGACTGGATTTGTTGATATGTCATCGGAAGAAGTTCCATATCACGACCAGTCATAACATCACCCACGCATCGACACCCCGTGTGAACCCTAATTACCTGTTTCACGTAGCGGAATACCTGGGAACATCCTTATGCGAAGTCCGAAAACGGATGCGTGCGCAGATCAAAAGCATACCGCTTTATGCTGGCAACGAGAGGGACGTTCTGGGCGTATTGCAGTGTTTGACTGATTGTGAAATCACAAAGCAGCAGATACTGGAGGCGTTGAGTATTGTCTTGTACCCTGCTGAGGTCGTTAAACGACACCTGGAGGCAGTGCTTAATGAACCGGGAATGAATGAACGACGGCAGCAAAAAAACTTTCTGCATTATGCGATTTTTACCATGGAAAAGGAAAGTAATTTTGGGGGGCCGGCGGCATGGTCTCCAGTTGGCGGTGCGAGTGTTTCAGAAGAAGGGGATGAGTGGGAGATTTCGCCTGCGGCATCGGTCGCAGTAATTACTCCAGCTGTTCGTAGTGCGATGTCAGAACGTCTGTCTCAACATTTCCCCGCATCGGAAGATGATGAAAAAGATGCAGTAATCGTGGAAAATAACAAGGACGTTGGCAAAGAGCAGGATACAGATAAAGAGTGGTTTCATGATTGATGCTCTTTCTTTTTGAAAGCTCATCGCACATCCGTTATAAAACGCTGTTCAGATTCGATTCTTTTTTGTTTCTGGATTACAGTACGCCTGCCGGTCCAAGTGGTTCAAATTTCAAAATATCTAAATGTTTATGTGAAATGTTCGAATGTAAACGTTCAAGATGCTCATTCGGGCAATCAAAGTTTTTTATGGTTTCATGTACAGCGCTAACTGCTTAAGCAAACAGAATATATAACTTTTGTGATTGATGGACCACGAAGCACAGTCACACTGCGGTATTAAGATAGAAAGATAAAAATCCTAGCGGAGAAGAGCACTACATACCGACAGAAAAGGCGCCAAAAACTTGAAAACATTAAAAACAATATAACTGTAATTACACACAAGAGGGCTCTTGGCGGCCGGTAAGCACAACTCTTTTGAGATATTAAGATGTCACCATCTTAGGTTTCCACAGGAATACGAGATCACTGGTAATGAAGGACAGATGCATCAAAATCCCAGAAGCTAAAAGCAATAATTATACGATAAATTTTACAGCTAAAAACTTTGGCGAAGAAACAGCCGGGTGCCAAAATTGCAATCTCGGCTTGAGCAGAGAAGGTTAATGGCAGAAATATGTGCCGAGGTTACTGTAATTATGCTGAACGTCCTCAAATATAGCGTTGATAAATTTTGATTCTTCTCAAAGATTGATACATTTGCCAGGAATGCCATGACCTAATCCTGAAATACCATCTATCTGAGAGGAAATCCACACATAATATGTTCCCTTCTCGTTTGCCGGTATTTCGATATGTATCTCCGGTGTATAATACGGTGTATAGGTTGGCTCTCCCATTTTCTGTATTTTTACGGAATATTGAACACTTTTATTGCCAAGATATTTAAGATTCCACGGAACATCCCAATCGATGTGAAATACGCCGCTCTGATTGAGGAACGAGCAATTAATATTCCGCACCGCACTGGGGACCAAATCTTCAGCATTTTCCGTAGCATTGACCGTACTGTTTATGCGTCTTTCGCGTTCCATCAAGGCGCCGGCTGCTACTGTGGTAAATGACGCCACATCGACGATAGTATCTTGGTAAATCCTGTACAAAAAGACGGGATCCATGCAGCAGCGATGGGGACCAACGGGAACTGTCTCGTTAATGCTTATCTGTTCTTCTACGGACAAATGGATAATCCCCCCGTACTCCGGCTTATAATTGGGATGGACGACAGTGTTAGCGGAATCTTTGTTTTCCCAGGCCCGATAGATCAAATTCACTCCGCTAATCCCGGCTAATGTTTTGTACGGAGTATAGCTGTCGGCCGGCACAGCGTAGGGGAATAATTCAACCACCACAGCGTTTTCCGGTAGGAACATACTTAGTACCAGCTGTGCTCCGTGCACCGACACAAGCATAGTGGCGTTCTCCAGTAAATGCACAATTTCCGCCAGAGAGTGTGTTTCAAAGTTGATACTGACGACACGCAACTTAAACTCAGCGGAAATTGCGTGGATTAGGTCGGCTTCGTTGATGATGCGCCGGTTGGTTTTGCGGCTAAAGAATACAGCATAAGGATACTTCTGGCGTACACGGACAGCGAAGCGCGGCATATCGATGTCATATTTCTGAATTTCCAAACCAGACCGAACAAATTCAACAAAAGACCGGATGTTTTGCCCAGAAAGGGGGATGTTGGAAACTGGTCCTTGAGGACGATCAAATCCATATTGATACCTAGGTAAAAAACACTTTCAGCAACCTGTTCCAGAGAATCAGCACCGAAAGGTGATAATGAGATAAAAATATAAAACACTGTCAGAAAACCGAACTGAGCAAGGGCGAATAAAAATGCTACAAAAACTCAGTGTATTGTACAACAAACAGCCGCAGTTGTAATTAAAGTAGCCAGTTATAAGCGGCCATGATGTACACTACCTCCGGCTCCAACCATCTCATAAAAACGATCAGTAATACATAAAACAACTGTGTCAAACTACCAGCAGGCATACTTTGGGCTATAATTTTTGAACTGTAATTGGCGACTCTTACATGACACCAACAATATATGAGTGCATGTGTTAAAATAATCGGGATGATGCGATTGTTCAGAAGTACTCTAAGTCTCTAACTGGTATGTTTAGTGTTTGTTTGTTTGTTTATTTCAGCTTGATGTCTACTACGATCAAGACCGTTATCCTGCACAAGCCAGAAGGTAGTAGGCAATCTCAAAAGAAACTGCTGTCGCAGCAACCGCTCATAAAAAAGAAACAAGGAAGTTAAGGTGGAAAAATTAAACTTCAATAATTTAATAATTTTCCGCCCCTCTGTCGCCTTTCCTTTCCAGTACACATTTGTGAATTTGCTCATTAAATAACCATACTTACACACAGATCACCTGCTACTAAATATTGTGAGCACTCCACAAGTTTGTACAACTACGATCTAACTACGGTTATCTACTACTAGCAAGCAAATTCATCCATGTGCGCTGGATGATGTCCTCAACTTATTACAAAAAGACAATTTACACAGGGTACATACACGCGATGAACCAAAGCAAACAAGATCATGTTCATCTGAACGGATGAAAATTCAATGTCAATCAGATATAATTTGAAATGCAAAACCTAGCGGATTTAAAAAACGATCACATCGATCGGCGAGAATTGATACTGGTGACTGGTGAGACTGGGATACAGTCACTATAACATTACTGTACTAGTATACGTATAGTAGAGTGCAAATTCTGCAAATAAATGATATAATCCAGGCTATCCAGCGGATCGGGAAAGAAAATATATATCTTTTTCTACCTATCATTGCACGTTGTTTTTCGAAGAAAAATTATGCCGTAAAACAAAATTAATAACCTTTTTTAAAAACGTTGATGCGTACTTCGTACTTTGGGTCATACCGGCAAGGTGAAACCGGCATAAATTTTTTTACAGCTTTTCGTGTACCTCTGTACGTTTCGTTTTTATTTAATAGCGTAGGCATTTAGATAATAAGTATTCAACACGGGAACAAAATTTAAAGGATAGGCGTGGAGGTTATTATCCCAAAAATTCATTTTTGCGCGATATGCCTAATCCATACTCTACAGTCAACAGAAAACAGCTGAATCTGAAATATCGCTATTTGGTGGACCTATGCCCTGAGCAGCGGGCGCTTAATGATTTTTCAACGCAAAGGAAAAATCAATTGCCATCACAAGGCATTTAGCTTACCATCGCGTATTAGCCGGAGCACCGACGGCAGCCGTACCAAAGCAAATTAAATCAGCCTCTGAATCCTGCAGGCCCTCGGCTTTCACTGTCGATTTCAATAAGGGATGATGGGAATTTGGAAATGTCCGCGAACGGAACAACCGGTACAGATCCAAGTGCTCGCTTTGACCGTAATCATCCACAAAAAACACCCGATAATCCCGAGCACCGGCATGCTCTAGATCATTGAGGGTAAAAAACAACGGCAGTAAATCATCATGCACCACATGCATGAGATTATCCGGTTTGAAGCGCTTAAACAGCACCACTTTATCCGGCAGTATGGTCGACGACAAATTGCCCTTACGCACGGCTTTCTCCGGGATGTCCACGTAATTAAAGTACAGCTTAGCATTACCGTGCTGTTCCACGCCGCCCGTTAAATCGGCCAGCGCTTCCTGGCGATTACGCGGCAATCCCTGTCGCACGGATTGCGCGCCGTGCACAAACACAAACACATCCTCTTTGTGATGGTAGCACAAATTCTTAAAATAACAGCGCCGTGTCAGGACATCCTTTCCCGAGCACCACACCGACGAAACCGGGACTTTGGTGTTGCTGGCCACTTCATGCTCGGCGGAGAACATGAGGATGAGCGTGATCACCGCCAGCAGATGGACGATGAGAAAGACGATGAGCAGCTTAGCCAACATGGTGTAGGAGTACTCTTCCTTCTGCGCCATGGGAGCGGATGTGAGTGGAGACTATATTAATGCACTTAACGCGGGCCAGACGGCAAAGCTGCAGGGAACCTCAATCACGGAATACAGGAGCAAGGGAGAGCGCGGGCACAGAGAGCAGCGCCTGAGTTCAGCTGTCACTTGTGTGTTTGCTCAGTCAGCAGATATAACCACGGACCAACCAACCAGTTGCTCTTCACAGTAGGCTTGGTTTCATAATGATGATGCCCATTTACGGCTGAAGACACCGATTGTTATGGGAAAATGGTGAACTTAACATTTCCTGGATGAAATCAAATGAAGACGCATTGTACATGGGATTTGATGGGGATAAAGCCAGGAACGTCAGCGGCACTTAAGGCAGGAAGTGTAAAATTTCTCTTGTATTCATCGGCTCGGACGCTGTAACCGCAGAATAAAAGATCAATCGATAAAACTACCATAATTACTGTCGCCGCGGAAAGCAAAGCAGAAACACTTCTCCGGGATTTTCAACTTGCATCTGGGGATGTAATCATGTACGTGACAAACTGCAAGTACGGTAGCACTGACAAAGCCACTCCTGCACACTGCTTATTGCCTTTAATACTGGCATGCAGGCTTGCAGCCAGCGAGTACATAGCAATCGCTGAGTCCCAACAGAAAATATGAAGATTTGCTTTTTGCATCATTTGAACAAGATTTGTGAAGGTTTGTGCAGCCGTACATATCTATATACAGTATTTATTTATTAAGTTTAATATTGTGTAAGTACTTACAGAGTGCTGTATTAATTATTGCGGCTAAATAAAAAGGTAAAATTGCACAATACTTTTTCAATAACTGCTGTACCTCTTTCTTATTAGAATAATAAAATTACAGTTACAAAATCAACTACTGTAATTATAAAAACTTCTGCAGTCCATTGTGAAGCCTCTTGAAACTATCATAAAAACTTCCATTTTCATATAAAAACTCATGAAATTCATAACCATAATTTGAATTTTAAACTGAAACATTTACCGGCTTCTGAGGTTGCTTTACTGTGCAATCTGCATCGCTTGCAGTCGGCAAGGTGCTTCAGCGCATACGTACGTGCTATACCGCAATAATTTCCGTGTTCTTTCCACTCTGTTTAAGTATGAAAACTGTATATGGCTGCGTGCACGGGTGACCTTTTTGAGTCCGCACGGGTGCTGGCTGCGTGCACAGACTTTTAAATACATATATTGAATATCTTTTAATTTTAGTTTCTAATTACATATAATTCGTAACCTTTCTCTCACTTTATTCCATAATGATTGATTTTTCAGCGCTTCTGAGGCCTATTTTGTGGTATTCGGCGATTGAGACACAGTCAGAGAAATTTCTTCTTCTGGTCAGGCATTTGTCAGATCTCCCTGTGACAAGAGTGAAAGGTGCATGCTCATAGCTTCGTACGCGGCCTTCGGATGATCTCGCATCGTTTCCGGTTCGGATGTTGCCGTTCCCGGGTCAAGCCCGTAAACCCATGCGTTGGCCGTTGTAATTAGCAAAGAGCTACATACCGTATCAACGCTCTTTTGTTTCGGACAGTATACCCTGGCCACATCCACCTCGCTTGTCTCTCATATAATTTTATTGAATGACCATTAGGCGCTCAGGGTCCGTTTCCGTCGCAATATTCCAAGTTTCCAACCCAAAAATCGGCTTCAAAACAAGTTTAAACCATTTTAACTTTAATACCAGATTCTGAATAGTGAATACCTTGTGCGCGGATTATTTAACTTATTTTGTACAAACTTCTGTACTTACCATTAGAGCGCTTGAGCGATCTCACTTTTTGAGCATACACTTCATATACTTTGTAAATTATCTCACATGTACATTCTGCTATATAATCATTTACAGGTGAATAAATCCCGAGCAGTTAATTTGCACATTACGAATAGTTAATGTACTAGTTCGCTGCAATTTAAGGAATGAGAAGCGATAATAATGAGTTTTATGAAAACGAAAGTCAGCAAATCTAACACAAAATGTAATCAGAAAATGTTTCTGCAAGGTAGCACGAGAAGCCACAAAATTTAATTTAATTATAAGTCATATATTTCGGTGTAGAACTAAACTTGGCATATGCCTTAATGACTTTATTAACAGCATCCAAGAAATCCTTCTCCGTGGCCAGTTTACGCCGCGCTCGAATAGCGTACATCCCGGCTTCCGTGCACACACTGCGGATATCCGCCCCTGTTGAGTTGGGACACAATCGGGCCAACAGCTCCCAACGGATATCCCTCTCGACGCTCATAGATCGTGCGTGAATCTTAAAAATGTGCGCGCGACCTTCCATGTCAGGCAGGCCAAACTCCACTTTACGATCCAATCGACCTGGGCGGACTAGAGCAGGATCAAGGGTGTCGGGACGGTTGGTGGCCATCAGGACTTTAATGTTACCGCGCGGATCGAAGCCATCTAATTGATTGATGAGTTCCAGCATTGTGCGCTGAACCTATAACAACCAAAAATTTGGATTCAGCAGAACAAACGACAAAAAAATGGCTATAATAATTTGCAACTCCCAATCTGAAAAACGAAAGTATCAGGGTTGCGATTCGAAGCTGTTCGACAGCGGAAAATTAAATTTAGTATAAGTCAGTAATAAAAACTCTGTAAAAAAACAGTAATAAAAACTCTGTAAAAAAACAGGGTATTTATTACTCGTCACGAAAATTACATGGTTAAACACTAAATGGTTAATTTGATACTCACATAAAGCAACCAAAACCGAAAGTTCTTCCAATGCGGTTAGCAGTTACTGTACTCAATGAATCAAGCGAAAAAATAAAAAAATCAACCAACCGCAAATAAATCAAGTATAGTACGAAGAAAAAAATCTATCTGCAATCATTTACTGCTCAGACATTTGTATTGTACATTCAGTGTCGTTTTGTACACAGTACCTCGTTATCAGTGCCATCACCGTCACTTCCACGCGTGCCACCAATAGCATCGACTTCATCAAAGAAAATCAAGCATGCTTTCTTCGTTCTGGCCATTTCGAAGAGTTCGCGGACCATTCTGGCTCCTTCACCGACATACTTTTGTACCAATTCCGAACCGATCACGCGAATGAAACAAGCGTCGGTTCGGTTAGCGACCGCCCGCGCACAGAGGGTCTTGCCCGTTCCGGGTGGGCCGTACAACAGCACTCCTTTGGGTGGGTCAATGCCAAGATTCACGAAACGCTCGGGATGAAGAAGTGGTGTTTCTAAGACTTCTCGCAGTTTCTCAATTTGTTCCTTACAACCACCCACGTCAGCGTAGGTAACATCGGGCTTCTCTTCCACCTGCATCATGGTCACTGTGGGATCGATCTTGGGAGGAAGAGGAATGTGGATCTGATATTTATTGCGATCAACACCAACACGCATTCCTTCTTCGATATCAGTGGGTGCCACCTGAATCGAAATAACAAAACCATGAGCCCATTTTTACAATTTCACAACAGAAAAACTGATAAGTACTGGAACAATTTATCCACGCCGTAATTTTTAAAAAGATAGTCCAGAATAATGCATCTGATGCATAGGTGATATCATGTAGTGCCTTCTACCTACTTTCAAATGTGCCACCGTACTAAGAACGTTAAGCGGAGAATAAAAAAATGCAAATGTCTAACCGTACGAACTGCTTCATTTTTCAGGGTTTGTTTTCAAAATACGCACCTGGTCACCCAGATCCACAACAAATTTGGCAAACTGCTTCACATTTATAATATAGTGGTTTTCATCGTTTTCTCGCTGAATAATCTTTGTACATCGGGCCACTTGCAGCGGCTGTTCTGTCTGCAGAATCTGCTTATCCGCAGCGAGATCCCAGAGCGCAGGAGCAGCGAGACCAGTGTCAGACTCCTTGATCCCCGTCAGGTCGTTCACAGATTTCGTCAGTTTCGTGATATCATCCTCCGTCTGCTTGATGGCATCGTAATAGTAGCCAGTTCCGTATTTTTTAAACAACGCTATGTCGGCCTCGGTGAGGGATTCTATGGGTTTTTCCTCCTTGGACGCGTCGTCCTTGCGCACAGAGCGCATGTCATCACCAAGATAGTCAGGCATTTTATATCGCGCGCGATCAGGAAATCCTTTGGCCTCCTGAAGAACAAACAGTGAGCCTTCTAAAAAAATAGTTTCCTTAAAATTACGGAATCGTGCACTACTTATATTTCTGATGCTACTGCTAGGTTGTTTTTGTTTAATTTAAGTATGTATGATGTATATTATCTATCTCACCACAAATCCTGCCGCTGATGTGGAGTTTTTCCAGCTCTCTGCAAACAGACAGGCTTTTCTGATTCAGAGGTAACCCGTTTGTCCGAAAGCTCCGCTTCCAGATTTAATAGGAAATCCAAATAAAATCTGAAATTTTTTTACTGTTTACAACTTTACACTACTATATGATATGCAGTTTACTTGTGCTTCTGCGTGTCTCACGGTGCTGTGTGCTTAAATTTTTCATGAAACGCACAGTCACCATGCACCAAGCGATAAAAGTACAGGGAAAACACCTGCAAGTACTAAATGATCCTAAATATGGCTTATACCATAGTGATAACGTACCTTTCTGTTAAATTGTTTATGTACTTACAGAAACACGTTTTCTGTACAGCATAATAACGCGTTGGAAAGTCTATTTTCTCCCTGTAATATCACTGTAGGTGGCGCGTCCTTTTCCTGTGATTTTCGTTTTCGGCCTTTTGGAGTCGTCAGACAGACTGGAGAACTCAGACACGAACCATCGAGAACTGTTCGAAAGTTGTGAAATTTTGCTTGATTTCTAGTGGTTGATTTCAGTTTTTACGCTTTTGATCGTCTGACTATCCCAACATGGGGCATAAAAACATCTACTTCCAACATCCCCGAAAGTTCGGTCCCGGATCTCGAAGCTGGTATGTCATATGTGTTGAAGAACCCATGAGTTGTTGTTGAATGTGGAGATCTTCATTGGCTAAACATGGTTGGTTGGTTGTAGTCGAGTTTGCGGTAATGGACACGGATTAATAAGGAAATACGGTCTGAACACCTGCCGTCAGTGTTTCAGAGAAAATGCTAAACAGATTGGATTTAAAAAGGTACGCTATGTGTCTCTGTTGAAAGTTATCTGGTTTTCGCCGCTTTCTCTATTTCGTTACACATGGGGCTGTTTACAGTTTACCGTTGCGCAGGCTCTTAGTCTTAACTTTAAAGGGTTCATAACGATGACCTGTGGTTCATCGCATTGAAAATACTTTTATCGTTTGAAGTTCAAAATGTACAAAGGTCCTTCTTTGTTGCAGCTTGATTGAGGTTTCCGAATAACCATGCTTCCTGAAAAATCAAGAGCGCTGATCGTTTCGAACTGTTGGTGTTGAGTAATATGCGCGCCTTTGAGTTTTACATCCGCTTTACCAGTTCTTGTTACTACTTGGCCTCTTTCGATTTGATGGAAGTCCTAAAACTTTAATAAAAATGCAGCCAGTGACTGGGTTTTTGGCACTTGTGCATTTACTTAATTGTAATTTGTCAGTAAGTTCAAAATTTAGTAAGTATTCTAAATTTTTGTTCAGTTCTTAACACGCTCGGGTTAGAATTGAAGGTTTTTTTGTAAGTTGGATCGTTTATTTGTGTGAGTATGTCTGTTTGCTGTTAACGAAATACCATTTTTTGACAAATTGCACCGCACTCATGAGTATGACACCAGCATTTCCAACTGAAACACTAGAAACAGCTAAATTCGTAAAAAAATATGAAAAGCCCACTGCGTGCCCATAACCTAAGCGTTATCCCAACAAGGACGAAAAAGAATACCGAATTCTGAATAGAGAAATATTACGCGCAAAACCATAGTCAACCATGTTGCACATTAACACAAAACGCAACCGCTACAGATAAAAAGACTTACAAAACGATAAAAATCTTTACGGATCTCATAAAATTTTAAACGTCTTCGACATCATGTCGAAGAAATCCGAATATGTACTATTAGCCTCATGGCAAAGCTGGTGGTATCCCTTCCGCTGGATTCGTTGCCGAAAAAGTCACGGGGAAATTAATGCGGATTCCCAATCCATCCGGCGTTTTCATGTACGGCGAAGGTATTTTTGGGGATAAGCTACTTGTCCTTCGAAGTTTCTTTGGTGGAGAGGGACTAAGTGTGCCATTGTCGGGTTTCTTTAATTTGGCGGGGCTATCCAAATTAGGAATACTGAATGCATCCTATAAACAACGCAGCAAAGTATATTATTTTTACCTTACAATCTGTTGCATTAATAAGCTTAAGCCTAGTTTGCATATTACAGTATGCATATTATCACTTTTAATCCAGTTAATTTATTAAGCTTAAAGCGTAACAAATTAACTGGACTAAAAGTGACTAAACACTAACAGCTCCAAAAGCAATGTCGGGTATAATGGCTACTCACAAGGATTACCTCTAAATCGAAGTTCATTCCTTCATTTTGCGACATTTAAATTTGCACGTATAATCATATGACTGCAAAAAATTCTAAATTCGATATATACTGCAACTACAGTATATGAATTTAATTCACTAGATATTAATGGACATAATTATACAAATACAGAAATATTCAACAAACCTTCTGTCCCGAGACTCCAAATGTAAACGTAAGAACTTTTCCTCCAGGGTTAGCCGGTGTAAAATACTCAGTCTCTCGTTTTAGCGGGGATACGTAGACATTTGTAGCAGGATGTATCTGCCGGCGGGCAGTATTTGAACTAATTTTCGGTACCGGACTAAGAGCGATACCGGGAGTTCCCTAAAATCACAGTACGCAAACAATTAGAATAATGGTTTTTCAGTTTGGAAGTTCGAAACAAAAATGGGGTTTATTTACCATTTTCTTGCGGGGTGAGAATTTAGCAATAAATCCTTGCGTGGAGCGCACGAAAACTTTATTGTAGAACTTGATGATGTCACCCCGATTGCTTCCTTCTTCGGGATCGGAAGCAGTCGAGCTACTAGAATGCTGACTGCGAGTCCGAAAATCAGGCTTCTTTTCTTCATCGGGATCGATAAGTACATTCCGATATACCTAGAAAACAAATCATTTTCTGCTGAAATACTTGTCAACTGCAGAATCTAAGCGTTCATATTACTTATATGGTATTATAATTTTGATAACTGTTACAGTATCTGGTTATTTTGCATTATTTTACTTGTCAGTCAGGATGCAATAATTTAAAACTGCGCCCTTAATTCTTACCCGGCTTTCGGCCTGCGGTTGCGCTCGATAAGCATTCATAATCTGGTGAAACGAGCGGTCCAAGGCATTCGCCGATTCAAGCTAAAAGATCATATCAACCCGAATTAAACAATTCCTCGATATAGCTTGAATAAAAATTTGAAAAAACGAACCTTTGCAACAACGTACGCACAGCACATGAGAATTTGATCCAGGTGTCGATCGCGCAATAAAGTGATGTGTTCCGTCAAACAAAACTCAAACAATGTGAACATCCTCTGAAACATGTGGTGATCTTTTTCCACAAGAGAATCAAATCCCAGCTTATCGCAGAGGTCTCGCAAACGCGCCCCGGCTAAAATGTATATCTAGAACATCAAACAGTAATATAAAAACGGCATCGGTACAGCGTGTGGTGCAATTCAGCTTAGTTCCGACAACCAAACAGAAACCAGGTAGCATTTTTCCAAGTTATAAAATAAAATATTTTTGCTGCAAACTCCGCTCATTTTTTAAATTTTTAACCACCGCATTTATTGCCTAAACCGAATGATACTGCTCTCGTCAACACAGGATGCTACGATAACAGCCACCTTACTTTTCGAAAAAAGAGGTTTATCGAACTGATTTTTGGTTTTGATGCTGTGGTAGGGCTGCCGGGAGAAACGAAAATCTGTGGCTCCGTTCCGTTGGCAGAACATATGGCAATCGGTGCTTGCCCAGGACCGGGTGAGGCCAACAGCTTAATTTCTTTTTTTCGACCAATTCCACCAGGAGAAAAGAAGGGCTCTGAAAAATAATTTTTTATTCCATCTGGGCAATTAGGCAGCTGCCAGAACAGAACAAATCATCGAGTTGTTCACGAACTATGCGTGTCATGCACGGCACCCTAACGTCTCGGTTATGGAAAACATGACAGAATGAAAGCCGATTATCGTACAGTCAAGAAATCATCAGCGGTCACACCAACCGCAAACACTGACCTGAAACAGGACTAGTGGGTGTTTCCTCCAGTGCGTGTGGCCAGCACACATCTTGCGCAGGGAGTACTTTTTCGGACTGAATTTCCGCCCATAATGGTGAATTCGATGCCCACACATACTGCTCTAGAATGCTTTCCTCAACGGATCCGAAATGCTTCACGAGAGTACGGGGGAGGGCCTCCAAGCGAACAACCAACTCAATGATTTTAACAAAGTCAAATGGAGCTAACTCCAAAACATCCAAAGGCCACGGAAACATCCTGCAATGTACGTGTATTTCGAACATTACGTGCAATTAATTTTGTAAAATATCTGATTAAAAATGAAAAACAGTACTGATCTATGACGACTTACTTAGAACAATTGTGCGCATAAAGGACAATTTCCGTCGCAAAAACGAAAACACCCTTTTGCAAGATCTCATTTTCGGCAAGTTTCTGAAACGAGGAACAGTTGTAATGTAGGCCCGAGTAGCCACTTCAGTCCACATGCTGTTTAAAAGTCACCCTTAGTTTATCCGGATTCGATACCGGCCGGCTTCTCTCAAAGATGAAAACATCCTCCAAAATTTTGAAGTGCCAAACTTGCGCTAAGTTGAACCGATTCCTGGCCAAGTTTTCGGAAACGCCAGTTTCATCCTCTTGTTCGTTATAAGATGATACGAGCTTCTCGCGGTACAGGTCCGCTTGTTTAACAAGATCGTTCGAGATGTCGTTGTCACAGAATTGTCTAGATAAGCCACATACAGCGAATAAAACTACCGTAATAAGATACAAACAGGGCGTCAGCGGTCAACATATAGAAACCTACAACAACTACCGTAGAGTATTTTTCTGAACATACTATGGTTGTTGTAGATACCTAAATGTTGGTAACAAATTTGATATGTTCAACGACCGAACGCTTTTTTCTCACTTACACATAATATCTGCTAACACATATCTGATTCTGCGCTTTACGTATCTGTTATCAAGTGTAAAATATAATCGAAATACCAGCAAATTTTCTAATGTTTTTGTTAGTTATTTTATTTTCTGCTACTTAATCTTATTCTTCTTATTACATTTTTATTTCTTATATTTTCTTACGACAAAATGTTGACGAGATTTGTGCTCGGAGCGGGCAAACAGCCTGTACACAGACTGTTGAGTTTGTTCACGAGATCGACAGCGGAGGTCAGAGCCGGTGTCTTTTTGGACTCTTCAGCTTCGCGTCGTTCCAGAGCACTGCACGACGACGCCGGCGTCAAAGGCGCCGATGACGAGATGACCGACTACGGCAAGCTAACATAACTTATCGGTAACGGAACCGAAATCACAGGCGGTACTTACAGGCAGCGGCATCACCGGTGGTGGCGTCTTAAAGTCCGTACTGTCTAGTTTCCTCTTATGATCAGACTGCAGATCGCGGCGATGTTTTAAAATGTCAGTAACATCCGTAATATTCGACGGATCACCACCGGCTTCAGGATTGGCAACATCCCTCGATACCAACAAGACGCGCTCATCCACAGCACTGCCCACTCGGATCGAATAGTCGTATGAAGAGCTTATGCTATTCCTAAACATAACAAGAACGCCATCATGCCGCAGTGACAGAAATCCATTAATTTTGAAATAGATTCGTGTCTGCGACTCCTACAAGTTTTTATCGTAATTTTCCGGAACCAGCAATCCTGTGAATTCCACTGGATCACAGAATACTGCTTTTTCCTTGACCATTGCCTCCATTGCCGGAACGAAACCGTTCACGTAGAATCCCAGACAATCCTTACATACTCCATCGTAATGACTGCACAAGTACGGTAGTAAAGAGAATTTGCGCTCGTTCCCGTCATTTTCTTCAGCTTCTTTAGGCAAAGCTACGAAGATATCGCTATTTCGAACAGCTTTCCCAGTTTCTTTTTAACTGACTTCCTACCTTCGGAGTTTAAATTGAGAAGTTCCGGTCTTTTAAGGCTCACGACATTGGTGCGAATACAATCAATCACACAGAGAAACAGATGATAAGTGGCCAAAAGATCATCCCGCGCAGCAGGAACCAAACCTGTCAACAAAAAATCAATCCAAAAATTAAACGTGCAGCTAACAATCAAGTGTAATATCCACTTGATCCATGGTTTTTTGATGGTTTTTGTTATATCCATGGTTTTTGACGTGAATATAATTAATATTAGATGAAAGTGTGGCGTAATATTTATGAAGTGGATATGACACTTCATAAATATTACGCCACACTTTCATCTAATATTAATTATATTCACGTCAAAAACCATATTATAAGAGAAAACAGACAAACAATAAGAAAATAAACGAGTAACTTTGAAAAAAAGCCCGGAAACTCCAACTCAAAATTGTACGCTCAAAATTGTGTTACTTACGACGAATATAAACGAAAAAATCCCAAGTGAAAACATAGACGTCAATCGGCTGAACTATTTTCGGACCCGCGACAACTTTCCTAAAGTGGCAACAATGATAACGATTAATCATTGCGGAAAAGCGGCATTTTCGGAAAGAAAAAACAGACTAACTGCTTGCGTCGCAGAGTAATTAGTTTTTCCGCCACGGGTGTTTTAATCGGTTCGGGATCGAGGGGATCGCGAAAAATATCCAAGAAGATTTGATCATAGCGCTCGTAAACCGTCCGGGAGATTTGGAAATATCGTTCCGATTGCGAAATGACGTCGCGCACAACGGGATTCAGCGCAGCCATCTCCGTCCATTTGCGCACTCTCGCGTAGAAATTCGTAACGCTAAAACCAAAGAAACAACATTCCACGTACTATTCCGCAGCGCCAGATAATCAGAAATCCAATCCTCACTTCATGTTGGTCGCTTTTAAAAGCTTAATGAGGACCACTTTGTGTTCAAAATTCGGAGCTTTGCTGGAGATGGCGAAAGCGTAGGCTCCGGGTATTAACCAATCCATCGCATCACCCTGTTAAATCATTCGAGGATTTGCACACATGCGCAAACAATAACAAAAAATGAAACCTCACAGTAAGTACTATACACAGCCTTTTCCACACTTTCCTGCAAGCGCTGTGCCGAGTGCTTTCAGCTTTCATCTTCGAAATGAAAAATTTTACTGGAAAAATATTCATATTAATGGCGTTACCTCCAGAGGAGCGTTCTCTTGCTGAAGTTGTTTAAGCTTCGCGAAAACCTGCTGTCCAATCCGTTGGTCAACACTGGCTTCCTTCAAAATTGCCAAAAATCTCGTTTTAGGCTCGTTCAACGAGTCTGGTGTCTTCTCACGCCCGCGTGGAGCCATTGTGTTACAAAAAAGTCGATAAAATAGCGGAGACAGCAAACAGTATGTGTCAACAATTAAAACGATAAAAATTGCAAATTAATAAGTTATTCTCACAAAACGAAAATGTCAAAAGAAAGTCAAAATGCAAAGATATTGAGTTACACTGTTACAGTATTAATAAATTAAGTACCGAATGACTGAATCATAAACAAAACGCAAAAATCTTTGGTTCGGAAATCCTGGAGCTGCTTTCCGCTGGCGCTTACTTCTTCGTGAAAGCTGACAAATCAGAACTTACGAGTACCGCCCATTTCAAGTAGCAGAATGTGTGTTTTGGCGGGTTCACACTCGTAGACGGTCACCCTGTGTAGGTTGCCCATTAGCCCAAGTACTTGGTAAAATCTTTTTACTTCAAGTATTTAATAAATACTAGTGGTGGTTGTTAACCACATTCTTGCACCGAGCGCGAGCGCTGTTCTCCGGTAAATGTTCACATTCATGTGGCAGTGCAGCATATGTGTTATTCGAACTCATAACCCACAATTCATTCGAAAAATCTAACTGAAAGCATCTTTATTGAAACTAACAATCACATTTTGTGGCATCCCGCCTCAGAGCAAGCATGCTTTTGATCAGGTGGAACAATAAAAAAACACGGCTTAGGTTTATCGACAACATTCAGCGCTGCGTATTCTTCCAATGGGCTTCGGATTTTACCATATTACACAACCCAATCACATTTTTGACATCACGTTTCAGTTCAAAATTAATTTTTTTTATCGGCCACAACCTTCTTTTTCTCCAGTTCACTGATCTTTGCCTTAATCGCGTTGAGATACAGAAGCATTCGTTGCAGTTCAAATTCAGTTGTGGTTGAAGTGTACAGTTCCGCACGGCTTGAAGTAAGGCTCCGGCCAACGGACGTTCTAGCATACGGGAGCAGATCCTCAAACTTGTCAAGATAGCAGGTTCCTTTCTCACGCAAACGCTTTTCTTCTTTCTCTTGAAGTGTCAACAAAAATTGAGGCTCTCGGTATTGTACAAATTCACAAGACAACGGATCCATTCTTTAGACCATTCTTTCGTCCGTTATACGTCGTCGACGGCAGCTCTTGGTGATTCCGTCAAAAGAGAAAGAGCAGAGAAACTTCCCCGGGTTAACTTGATAATGGCGACGCAATATAACAAAAGGCTGCGCAGCGATGCGATGAAAAGTGAAACTGCAAAGAGAATTCGATATAAAAGCTGACATCATTTCGATATAAAAGCATAAGCCTGAATATTTTATTATTTGTTTTTTTAAAAATTATTCCACACTTTGCTTCAAACAACATTGCAAATATTACTGCTAACTTGTAAATGAATCTTACCCACAGCATCGCTAGGTAGTAAACAGGATCCGATACGAAAAATTCACGCGGAAGACAAACACGCACAAGCCAAACACGTACGAGCCCACAAATCTGCAAGAAGACAAAAAACTATTTACCATCTTTCAGTTGCGCATAATGCAGAACTGTTGTAAAATACGACACTATCGACAGTACGGTAGACGCGAACCACGGTAAATTCCCAGAACTCACATACAACGGAGCGTCACGAAAGGCCAATACAACAGGTGTCGAGGTTGAAGTAGTCAATGCCTAAACTTAGAAAGGCATTTTAGTCGGGGGTTCTTCTCACCTGTCAAGAAAGTAGAACCTTATCCCAACCGGCCGACATAGTCAGAAGATCCGGACGAGTGGCAAACGGCGAACCCAGTTCTGATGGCAGTCGAGGATGTTGCAAGATGTGGCTGGCATACTCCACAGTATGATGGGCGAGATCTGCAGACAATCTGGGGATTGTCAGGATGCAGAGTAGCATATTTCGTAAGTCATTTGCAACAGATTTCGCTGGAGATAAAAGTAAATGGTTTTATTGAAATTCTCACCAACAAAATTTCGCAATGCAGATTACAAAATCAAAATTTAAAACCATGAAAATTTAAATTCAGAATTAATAACGAGTCTAACAACACCAAGAATTATTGCGCGCTTCCAGTACCATTAAAAAGCGATGTAAACCACATCCATTCAACAGCACGTTTGCTCTGCAATACCACTTCCAACGGACATGAGAACTTGTGGAATTGGAAAAGCGTGACCCACGCTCTTCGTGGGACAGACAAAATTTTTCCCCTTGACGAAGGCTTAATTGCAGCACCTCGCGCTTCGCGCTCGGTGCAAATAAATATGATATGGATCAGTCCTGCCGGTGATTGGTGACCTGTACTTACTCCGTACTTTTGGAAATACTTTCATTTTTGTTTTCATTTTCCCAGTGTACTTAAGCAAGCTTTTGTGGTATTGTTTGTTTGTTTATTGTGGTATTGTTTGGTATAGTACTGTGAGTTCATTTTTGGGTACGACAATCAGGTATTGTACTCGATATTCCTTCACTGTCTGCAAAAAACAGAAGGTCGTCATAACGGAATTATTCCCATGGCACAGCCGCAAAGGCAACATTTAAAAACGATTTGCGTATACTTCAGTATAAGCACAGTAATCACACATCGAAAATGTTCAACTATGCACACAAAAGCTATTCACGATCAAAATTCTCGAACAGATTCAACAAATTCAAGGGCTCATGGTCAGCAAATTATCTTCCCGTCACTCTGCTAATGCTTGTTGCACAAATGAGCAATACACTGGAGAATCTGATCGTTCTCTGTCTGAAGATCCTTTAAAACTAGCTGCAAAACAAAATCAAGCTTTATAAGCATACCACTGCCACAGATATAAATGTTCATCTGAAAACAACGTAAATATTCGAATTCGGTTACCTTTTCAAACAAAGTACGTGGTTTCCTCATGGGCACACCATGTTCAGATAAAAACGTCGAAAATTCCGCTTTGACTTTGGGTAGTCGTTTAGGAACACCGATATATCGCTGTAACTGGCTACGCACATCACCTTCCACATCTATGGGCGCGGCAACAGGTACAAGGTTACACGATACAGGCGGATCCGCTCTTTTCTCTGATAATAAAACTATGGTAAAACATCACATACAAATTTTAGATTTCAGTTATATAAAGAAATATAACATTTTGCATTTATGCAATTCCTGCCGTAGAATAGCTATACAATTATTAAGTACAAAGGCAGCTCACAATACGCTATTGTGTGAAAGAGGATTTCAAAATAAGCAAATCCTAATAAGTAATAATCATGAATTCATGCGCTTCAAGGTTCTGACACATTGTACCCGCTGGACGCCGTATGGATTCAGGGTGTAATTTTACCGAATTTTGCGGGGAGCTCTTCCGGTGGCTCGGAATCAGATTCTGAATCCAGATACGTGGACAAACTAGCCAAACCGTTGAGGCTAGACGGTGCTTCTTGGTCTTTCACCTCCGAGTCATCTACAAAAAAAGCATCGACAAAGCAAAAAACAAATATAAAAACAAATCTACCAGGAAGTGTTTTTATGGATGCGAAATTCTTGTGAGGAAGCATACCAATCTCTCCATCACTAAGTTCTCCTACATCCGAGGAAGCATGTGCAATTAAAGCAGGGGCACGAGAGGCACTCTGTGCGCACTTCATGACACGCGGATATCTCCTACATTGAATACAGCCATCCAAAACTGAATATTAGGAGAAGTTAGGAGTAAAACGGAAAATATTCAGATAAAATTACAACTCGCTACCGTGCTCGCTCTTCGCGCCATCTTTTCAAATCCTCGGGCGTTTCTTCTGGTTTGTTTTTATTGACCAAGGCAGACAGGTGCACCTAAAAACATATCTGTTCAAACATAAAAATTCGACATCAGTGAAATCGTAGCGAAGTTAAACTATCGAGTAAAATAACTACTCATGACTCGTACTTACTTTCGTAAGTACGTACTTATCAAAGCGCTTCTAGCAAATTAGTAAAATGCTCTCTATCCCCACAGAATTTCGCAAAATGTGCAAAAGGTAAAGTAAGAACACCAAATTTCGAATTACTAAAAGATTTACTTACGATTTCAAAATGAACTTCCACGGATTCAAACACTCCAACAAAATCGCACTTTGGACACTGAAATATAAAATTTCAGAAAAAATGTTGCCGGAAGAAGACCAGATCACAGCTCACAAATTCCACTAACCTTCAGATGTTTACCCATATGCTCGTCAAATTGGGCCCTACTCCGGAAATCCTTCTCACACACATCACAAAATATTGCGCTGCCTGCAGACCGAAACGGCTGCGGACCTCGAAAACGATTTCCGGAATTAGAATGGTATGACAAAAATCTCTGCTGACCACCCTAAGAAGTTTAGATACACATTAATATTGCTCTGGAATCAAACCCCAAATTTTAGAGTAATTTCCTGCACTACCAGGGTAAATGTACTCGGTACATGCTACAAGTACTAAGGAAATATTATTTCAGTCCAATTTATACAACTAAAGCCACTAACCCTTCCCCGCATTGGAGAAGGCGCGAATCCTCCTCGAAGCGGCATCATGCCTCGTGGCCGGTGACTGAAAAAATTCGGCTGAAAGGGAACGGGATACGGCTGATGACTGACATGGAAGGAACTGGGAGCCCTCATCTGTGCGCTGTGGTGAGGAGGAGCAACAGATGAAGGACCAAACTTTCCCATAACTGTTCTTGCAGGCCTTCCTCCTCTGCAAAATAGATGACTGACGATTCACGATTATATAGTTTACAAGTTCAAGCACAGCAATAACCTGCGAGAAAAAAAACATAAAAATTACTGGGCTTTTCGTAACAGATGTTAGACACTTTCGAGAGTCGAGACTTTTCCAGGACAAATTTACAATGCATTGATTCCAGAATCAGACGAGAAATACAAGTTCATTACCTTTAATTTCCACCTAATACGGATTATACGGGTATATATAAGCTCGATAAACAATGTAGTAATGATGCAGTATTTATTACCGAAATCTATTTTTTCAAGCAAATCTGTAACACAGCCAACAGTTCCATAAATCAATAAGCTGATAGCCTGTAAGGAACTCCGCCGCTGCAACAAACCTGTACGAAGAATGGAGACTGTGATGCACACGAGGTGTAACTTCATTGCCCAGATTGCCAACAATTCCAGGAGTAGAAGGATCTCGGAATGGATTCCACAGACTGCGATCCATGACCATCACACGATCTTTAATTCTTAATCAGTTTGGGACGCTACAAAACTTTTGCAGCAAAAGTAGCAAAACCCACGGAAGCTTTGGATTTTGGAAGTCTTCAACAAAACTGTGACAGGAGAATGCGCTAAGGAAGTCGCGTACTGTTTTTAGTCGCGTAAGGAAGTCGCGTACAGGAAGTCGTCGCCTTAGTCTCCAAAGTAAACGGAAAAATCAAAAACTCTGTCGTTTTTTTACGGCTAGATAGGGGAACATTAAACGTTTTAAGCACTACAAAAATACATAAATATCATATGTATTTGTCTGCAGGACCTATTGTTCTGTACTAGACTGGTGAAATTATTTTAAGCGCGATTGCGAAATCGCCGGATATTACAGTAAGTCGCCGGATATTACAGTAAGTACATTACAGTAAAATCCAGCTGACTATTCACACAGTAGCTGCCACCTCGCGCTGTTTATGGGGGGCCCGCGTTAAAGAAAATTTTTACCGTTTTCAAATTTTTACTGATTGCACTGCCATCATTACAATATTTAAAATTTCGAACGGTACGACGAAGGAGAACGAAGTGAACTTCTAATGCAGTTTCTGTTGATCCTTTCATGCTAGATCGCTTCCGCGTTTTTCCAGCTTGCGAATAAATGGCTGCGCGTTGCGCTTTCGCGGCCGTTGGTCTGTTGAGAGCTCCCGCAGTAAGGATCACAGCGATCTCCTCGTTGGGTTCGAGTGGGACTCCACGAATCTGGAACGTGAAAGACGATAATACTCGGCATTTCACAACCAGTAGTAATCCTTTCCAAGCAGGAACTCCGACCAGTGTGCTGGATGACGAAGAAGAGCCAAGCAAGCCTAAATCTCAGCCGAGTTTCAACACTAAAGCGCACTTTGGCGGTGCCTCTGGACCCCAGGACGTATCACACTTGGAACGACTGGAAAGAACGGTCAACCTGGTAACTCTGATGGGCCGTGTTGGAGGAGACCCGCAGATGCGAGGAACTGAGGAGAATCCGGTTCTGCTGTTTTCGGTGGCGACCCATGAGAATTTCCGCGATACAACGGGTGCTATCATGCAGAAAACGATGTGGCATCGTATCGCTATTTTCAGGCCAGGATTGCGGGAAACTGTGTTTCGTATCTGTAAGAAAGGCCATCGCGTCTACGTCACTGGAGTTCTGAACTATGGAAACGTCAAGGATCCCGAAACGGGCAATATGCGGACTATCGCTACCGTCGTTGCTGATAATCTCATCATTTTAAGTGATCCGGCCGGCCCAGTTTCGCCTTAACGACTCTTGCATACATTAGTACATTACCATTCTGATGTGCCGGAAAATTTTTTACTTGTTAATAATCTTATGGTTTTATCCAGACATTGCAGGAGGGAGTGTTTGGTTTCCGTTTGTGCGCAAACGGCAAATCTCATTTCTTAACAGTTACTAATTCCCCGTAATTGAATCTTATGTACTATAATCATTCGGCGGTTTGCATTAGATTATTTTCGGAAGATATCCTGGGTTGTCCTCTGCTATTTTTTCACGATTGCACATGCTTACAGGAAGCGGCTCATCTTTGTTGTATGTCTGGGAATTTATCCATATAAAATAAAAAAAACAACTGTTGCTTCGACTTTCTGACTGGCGGGATGAACCGTAAAATTGAGCTTAAGCAGTTAAGCTTGTCATAGAAAAAAGATTTCATTCTTGTTACTGTGTTTATTCACGCCAGCAATACATCAAAAGACGATGCTCTAGAGTAGCCTGAACTCTGAAGTTGCGAGGACAAAACAAACATTATAAGATTGAGGGAGATCATCGTCAATTTGAGTGCTCGTTATAAAACTGCCAGCAACACGAACAGGTGTCGGAAAATCCGGAGGACGACCCACAAAACTCAAAAACCGCGCACCGATAAACACCAAGCACATGAAATTCGGCATGTAAGAAGGATTAAAAACATAAGAATGTTGGCAAAAACATTCATCTCTGACACAGACGAAAGAAAAATCGAACTAAAATAAAACGTACATCCAAATCAAAAAGCGCACGGCGGCAACTCGGCTAAGGATTAATACAAAATAATTAACAGAAAGAGTCTAATCAGAAATAAACATAGCTCACGTGACTAAAAAGGAGAACCCAAAATTTCGACAACGGGACCTGTGTTCAAGGGCTTCTGTTCAGTGAATGTCAGCAATCTCCCACCAAGTGCTGCTAATGCCGTTCCCGGCATTGATGTCCTTTGTCATCCTCAGCAACAGCCGCCAGACTGCGTAGGTCCAGCTCCTCGAGCGCCAGCTGCTCCACCTATTCCCAATTAAAAAGGTGTTACAAATGCACAACAAAATACATTAATGTTTCGTGCCATGTACCTCCAACACCGGATGTAGCATGTTCAGGTCCCAGTTTTATTCCATTGGCCTAGGTGTCAACCGCGAACAGTGAAAATTTCGTATCGTATGCAATACTGTGGATTACTGCAGCATTCTAAATTATTTTTGACACATCTGTAAACTAAAATGTTGTACCTCGTTCTGAATATCGAAAACTCCTTCCTGAATTTTGTCATAAATTTCTTTGGCGGTATTGATAAACGCCTAAAACAATAGCATAACACAATAAGTACGAACAACAGTTCACCAAGACGCTACCATAAAACCTAATAAAATGCAGCAAAAAAAACTTTTCAACCATTCCAAATTACAAAGTGCACTACAGATAAGGGAACCCATTCAAGAAGGGATCAATTAAGGCATTTGAAAAATTAATCATATCTTTATCGAAAAATGTCGAGCGCACTGATTACAGTTATGTGTTGTGTCCTTATAAAAATTAATATAAATGCGCTTAATATCCGTCACATCTTTCATTTGCAAAAAATTTACAAAACGAAAACGTTTTTAAACCTTCCATTAATTAGCACAAACTGTAATAATAAGTACCTCTTCCACATTCTGGGCAGTTTTAGCTGATGCCTCCATAAATATCATGCCATGTTCTCGTGCGAACGCCTCACCCTCCTCACGTTTAACTTCCCGCCTCGACTCCAAATCGCATTTGTTACCGATCAGCATAATGACCATATTTGAACTGGAATGTTGGCGAGCATCCTCCAGCCAATTCGTCAAATGATCAAACGTATCACGTCTAAAATTATTTCCATATAAAAGGTGGTCTCACACCTACTCTCTTGTCCGTCTAGGTCATTAAATTACTTATCCATATTCGCATATCTGAATCCGATAGTATAAACAGACTTGAAAGGAACAAAAGGTCAAAAGGTATATCAATACAAATTAATAAGTAATTTCCAACTATCCCATATCAATCACATTTTTTTACATCGAGAATAAAAGTCGAGTTTTATTCGTGCGGATCAAAATATAGAGTAAATACTCGTACAATTATGCTGTCAATTGATTACGCGGTCACATCGATTCGCTCAATTTACGACTTCGCCTTTTAAAAATAAATATATAACCTCAAACACCCAAACAGCCACCAAAAATTTAATAACGCCTATTGGTTATGCGGATTGCTAACTGAACATGCGTCGGTTGACTAATAATACGACAATGCATGACAAACAAAACAAACATGTGCACCCGGAAACCATTAGTGTTTTGCACAGGAAAACATGCAGCCTTCGTATGCGCCCGTTCTCGACAAAGTCTATCACGAGTAAAGCACGAGTAGTAATGTAATGACAGTAATGTAGTTACAATTTTGCAAACGACATTCTGCCTGTGTAGTGTGTACTAAGGAATTCTGAACTGTCTGGAATATATACTAGAATTAGTAGCTATTGATTTTCAGGATTCTCACACCATTCGCATCATTATTATTACGAGGTGATTACTTCGTATTATCACGATTACCATATTATGCAAAACTACAATACCTGGTAATGTCGTAGACGAGAAGAGCGCCAGCAGCGCCGCGATAATATGATCGCGTTATGGAACGAAAAGATTCTTGTCCAGCAGTATCCCAGATCTGCAATTTAATCTGCTTCCCGGCAATAGTTATCATGCGAGCGCCAAACTCCACTCCTACAGATTGGATCAGTTTACGTTCAGATCACTTCATTACACGCGGTGCAAAACAAAAGAAGCTCCAGATTTAGTATACACTTTTTTCAAGCAAAGCAGTTCCATCCTAAGCAGAGATATTACGTAACAAATTTTACCAATTGTGAGATCATGAACGGGCTGGAAACGCTTGTCCGTAAACTGAAGTAGAAGGCATGATTTTCCGACACCTGTATAAGGATGAATAAGACATCATTAACAAACTGCTCCACAATCCAAGAGCAAAATGTTATACAGCACTACCTTATGTATATTTAATAACAAAAAGTAAGACAGAAATAATCTAAGTACTTAATAAATGCAATGCATTACATAAAAATATTAATGACAATAATTTCATAAACATGGGGTGTCAGAAAAGGTGTGTCGGCCGGTTCGCAACCCGTAAAGCTGCAGGGGAAATAGGACATAACCAAAATAAATTAACCGGGAAAGCTAGCTTGAAATGAGAAAATAATTTTTCACATGATGCTTAAAGATTTATCGCAACTCATCTCATGCAAATCATCAAATCATAACAGTATACAGTATGATTTGATGTAATATAATTGACTGTAATATAATTAACTGAGAAACAGTAAATTACTGTAAATACTTCAGTCATCACCATGATATTAAATTTGCTCAGATCACAATACTGTTGCGAATTTTGAACTGGAACTATGAACAAAATTAATAAAAGTAACTGTTAAATTGTAAATGATTTAACATAAGAAACAAAAAGATGCGTTATCATCACTACATAATCAATAAATTAATGCACAGGTAATTTAAGTCGTTTTTGACCTGTACTGAGTCTGCTTTAAAACAGCACATTACTTTTATTGACAGGTTCAGTATAAAATCGACTCCGATTTTCATGTTAGCATTGCGAAAATACGTCTTCCTGACTCTTCCCATAACAAACCATCAAATTCAACCCCACTGAACATTAGCAGCTGTTCAGACAAATGTCACCCTTATCTGCAGTTTCATGGGTGACTAAGTGCTGATCTAAGATCGTAAATGACGGGATACATTCCTGGTCTTCCCAGTTTACACTGTAGGATCAATGAGTGTAAGATATACAACAAAATAAATGAAAAAGCATTGAAAAGTCTGGATTTTTGCTGGAGACTGCAGATTATGTACTTAGATAGTAGCGAATCTAACAGTAATAAGTCATAGAATACAACGATATGCAAATGCTAACAGGTCGCGCTTTGGAAGTGCCATAAGGATACCAAAACAAACGAAACGGAACTTTTGTAATTCTTACCCGTATCTCCAATAATAATATATTTGAATAAATATGCGTAAGACATGATTGAAACAGTAGATTATAATCCACTCCAAATTTACATCCACAACTCCATAAGCAACAAATTCTCAGATAAATGGGAGGAATTTCCTTATAATGCTGGTTCGTGCTTCGCTCTCAAAGCCCAATTACTGCACCACATGGGTCTGTATGCGCACTACGAAACATATGACAACACAACAGACGTACACGGGAACAAAATATTTAACGCACTGTCAAATAGTAAATTGTCGCTACGCAATACATGAGAAACCTGTTTGATCGAAACTGTGTTTATAGCAAATGAACCCGGAAAATCGATACTCGTATAAATAACATACATAGAACGTACGTACTTTACTTTGCACTTTAATACAGCCGCACATACACTGGCTATAATAAAAAATATTTACTTACCATTAATAATATTTATGGTTTTTCTGACTGCTACAACAAAACATTGAATCTAGAAAAAGGCCAGTCGGAAAATTCAGCGGTCAGCTAAAATTATTTTTGAGTTTCTCAGACGCGTATATCGTTTATATTAAATACGAAGTCCGGTTATTTCTCAACAACCAAAATCAAAATCTGATGATTCCGTCCACAAAAATTAATAATTCAGGCATTTCGCTGAAGCAAACAGCCGGACTTTGTTCACTTAAATTTGTTAACCAATTGCCAAATCGGATAAATCCAAATCCAACAACAGGCAAATCGAAAACTATGCACACTGTACCAAATTTAATCCAGAAAACAGTAAACGACCGCGAATTCTCACAAAATCAACCATCACCGGGGACATTCAATAAAAGACTGTAAAATTAAAACTACGCAAATCCATATGATGACCGTGGTCCGTGAGTAACCAAAGCAATGACCATTCTGGCATGGAAATCTCAAAAACGGTAAATTTATCACAATTCAGCAAAGCTATCGTCTTCCAAAACCATCATAACACGCCGCAGTATAATTATCATCAGGCACACCATAATAAACAAAACAATTTGTCTCAGTCCTTGCACAATACGTTCCAGTCGTTGTGGATCAGTGACACCGAATGCTCCAGCAGCAGAAGGTTGCTCTCCTGTCTCCGGCTCGCGTTCCGTCGTAGCTAAACGCTCCCGCAAGACTCTCCTACGCTCCTGCAGAATTTTTGCCTGTCTTTCTCGCATTTCAGTTAGATCGCTCTGCACGGCGCGTGGTGGGGACGATGGCGTCGTTGCTTCTAGAAACGATGCCGACGACTGTGCAACAACTGGCTCGGAAGTTGACTGTGCCAGAGGGGACCGTGGTGGAAACACATAGGCTTCAGAAGGCGGGTCACTACTGTTAAAAGTTGTGGACTTCACCAGCTCCGTTGCGAAATGTGCACGTTTCCCACTGCCTTGACCGGGTCGGCTCTGCAAAGAGCTGGCCCGGGGACGGGCTAATGGCGCAAAGGAGGGGTCATCCACAATGTCTCCAGAAGCTTTCACTGGCTCACTAGTAATGGATGGCGTCAATGATTCAGCAGAAGCTGAAAAAAAGGAAATTAATTAAGTAAAAAAACTGATGCTTTCTTAACTGTAAGCTATATGACATTATACACAGCTCGGCGCCAGTTCTATGCGAAATAATCCTGAACTACCATTTTCTGAGTTACACTGTACAAACAAAGTGGGGTTTCAAAACCTATTTTCGTATATTTTTTTATTTCTTTGAATATTTCATTTCTCTTGACTTTCTCTTGACAAAAGTTTTTGTACCAGAGGTGTCCGCTCGCGGTGCCAAAACAGAAAACGGATTAAATCCATCCACAGTATCAGTGGGTGTGGGCGTCGGAGTGGATGTGTTACCGCTTGTGGAGCAGGACACCAACAAGTCACAATTGGCTGTCTGACACTCAGGACATTTCCAGTTCCGTGAAGCTATTGCCAACTGTCGCCGATGAGAGTCGGGCAAATCCAGCGAACCAATAGCCCCGTTTCCCGGCGTGGGCATGAAGCCTGTGTAAGCACAGAAATTCCAATTAAACTAGGTAACACCAAAATGACACAGCAATCGGTGCTAAAAGCATTTTTTGCGCGGATACGAATCCTAAAGCCAAAATTCTTCAAATTTTAATATTTATATTACAATTATTGTTTTAAATTTATGGGAGCAGTTATAGGAGGCGTCCCTTTTAGGACACTGCAACGCAACCTAATTTTTGTCGAAAATTACAATTAACAAATAAAGCAGTATAAAAAACGGATAGCATCTGACTGAGTAATTCAAGCCGCATTACCAATCAAAGCTTTCAAAGCGGTTCTAATAGACCAAGAAGGCTGCCATGTTTCGGGGTGATATCCAGAAATGCTTAAACAAATTTTGGTGTTGGTCTCGAAGCGTCCGTTAGGCGTCAAGATGATAATGTTGGGAGGCTTCATCGGGTAATCAGGTGGCAAAATAATTCGGCCTATGCACAAAGCCACAATGTTTCAAATTCTCAAATTTTCGCTTTACGCAAAATCGTTTTTATGATCTATTCACGGTCACCATTACCGTAACAATCAAGTTCGCAACGACAACAGATGTCTGTGTACTCCAGTATTCATTATACAGGACGGCAGGACTTACAAATATCGACGTCAACTCATTACTTACCATGGTACAGCCCATTTTCAAACGATGTGTCGGATGGCCCACGTATGGTAAAGTGCCATTCAAAGAGATTGTCCTTGAGAGGTTCAGCGTTGAAATCTTCATCGGGATTTTGACGCAGTTCCTGAGCTTCCCGAAATAAGCGCTTTACTGCTGGATTCCGAGCATTGTACAAACTTTCCATGGTTGCTGTGCACGGACCGTGGCGAAGGAAAGAAACGTGGCTTGAAGCAGCTGCTAATCATACGAATCCCCGAAAAGCAAAGAAACCCAGTAGTTGCATGTGGCAAATGCAAAAGGATAATGAGCGAGCTAATCACAAATGAAAGCCCAGTTAGCAGCCAGGAAATCGCAGCTGTAGATTCTCAATTAGTTAGATTTAGCTGATGGTGAGATGGTCCCCAGAAGGTATTACAATCGTGAATCGCGTGCTGGATCTCAAGAAACATTGATATTCCCCTTCCACTAGCGCAGAATCAGCGGAGTTGTCCAGCAACTATAGGACACAGAATAGATGCGAATAGAATAGATCGTAGAACTTACTAAACAGTCTACAGTAATGTGAGGGCATAGGGATCTCCAACTATGCATCTATCCTTCACGTTAACTCAGCAAACCAGCTGCAGTGCTTCAAGGATTCCCTGCCAACGATGTGTATTGTGCATGAGATCACCACTGCAGTAAGTATACGACAGGTTCCAAAGATAGCGTTTGCATATCTGACTTATCGCTTTCGACTGTCTTATTATCCTCCAGTAAATGCAAGTTATCATTATTCACATAGAAGTAGAAGTATAGAACGAAACTATTATTTTACATTACAGAAATAGACAATGCCGTACAGGCGGTACAGCCTACAGGAAATTACCGTGAGTTAGGAAAGATATTACACTGCCGACAGTGCCGAGTCACAAGAACGATATGGTGAAACCGCGAAAGACAAAAATATTTCTAGGATTACAAAACCTTCCAGAAAAACCTGTTTCTTGCTGGTCTTCTATATTCCTAAAGCACACGTGTACGCAATAAGCATGCTGCAGGCCACATCACACGCTGTACTCACAACACTATGAAGTATAAAGATACCAGACTGCGCTCTGCTTTACCACAACATAATTACCTATATACAGTACTTAATAAATTATTATCTTTAATACCGCGATTAAAGATTATTATTATCAGTAGTCCAACGGTACGTATTAATTAACATTGTCAAACTAATTTTAATAAGCCTTGCTATAATTATAGTAGCATTGGGTGGTCAGAAAAGTTTCTACACTTCGGCTTAGAAAAGCAGTAAATCACTGCGGTATAAGCTTGATCGTTTTGATCATAAAATGAAATTATTAATTTCATTTTATGATCAAAATTATAGTGTTGCAATCCGGCAAATTTCAACACGCGAACACCATGGACACCACGTTCTGCAATTTTTTTTTAAGTATGATCGGATCCGTTTTTTTTACAGAAAGTTGTTTCTTAATAAGTTAATATATATTGCCTTCAATTACAGTTTGGAGAAAAATTATTAACATTACAAACATTACAAACTTGAAATTACTACCGTATACGTAGTAGATATTACTGCAATCGAGAAATCTTTAAATCAATAGCTTGGTCACGACTTATGTTAAGGGTGACCATCGGCCGAACGTAGGAATCGCTGTCAAATGCTTTCTCAGCAACGATCAAGCAAGCAAGCAATCAAACGTATTTTAAAGCATTTTTCTCAACTTCGACAACTACGATATAGGCGTAAACTGAGCCTATTCCGTTGCAATTCCGAGACTACCTTTCGGGAACAGCGTTACTTACTAATCCGCACACGCTGATGTCATTGGCTGAAACCAGCTCAGAATCTCCCGACAGGTCGCCGACGATACACCCGCAACGCCGCAAGCATAAATGAGTTGCATTTATGTAGCATACCAGACCTGGAAGATGCGTTTAATTGAGTTAATTTGGTTTAATTTGAGCTGATTACCGGGCACATGTCTATTCGCTTATATATAGCTACGTAGCTCTTGATGTTCACTTGGGACATCGTTCTGTTCTTATTCCTGTACGATTCTTGCGCAGAGAGTACATTTAAAGTGCTTATCTGTATTAATCTGACGGCAAAATTATACATTACGCACGTAATACAGATGAAAGTTTACGTAATTCTTATTACTGGGAAGTGGGAACTAGGAAGTGGCAACGATGCTCTAAAAAAGACATTTCTTTCGGAATACTTAAGAAGTTTTAACATGGGAAAGTGGAATCGATCCAAAAATAATGGAAAGCGATCATTTTGTGTCACATACCGACGGTTTGTTGTGCCGGTTGATTACCCTTATGTACAGCTATAAACGTTCTGGATATTACAGTTGGTCAACTTGAGGAGTAAGTCTGCAAAGGACTACGTTAATACATAAATTACGTCATCATGCAGGTGACAATGTTGCTGTAGCGGCACTAATTTATCGAGACTTTTTAGTTTTAATAGAAGTATAATGCTGATTATACTCCTGGAGCCTCGTGGTTGCCTTTTTTATTCAACCATGTAGAAACTGTGGATGTTTCACTTCACCTCCTGAGCTCGTGTCAAAATTAGTCGTCATATTCTATTCGGTTGCGCTTAACGCTCATTAATACCTCTCAAAAATTAGAGGACTATCTGACGCAGGCAAGTGGAGAGTGTTCTACATCCCGTAAAGCTTTGATTATCCAGGAAAGTTGTCTTATGGAATCTGCTTGGGATTGCATACAAGGCCGCTCTCGTTGGGATTTGTGCAAAGCAAGTCAAAATCAATTCTCAACCGAACATTCATTCATACGGGAGTCCTGCCAGCTATGCCTACTGCATTACACTGCACCGTGAGCGAGTCTAAGAATAAAGAGCACCTTAATTGCCGTAGTAATCGCTTGGACTTTTTAGCGCTACTAGACCTATCAATCTTGTATCCCTACCTTCATGACAAGGGGAAATGCTTTGTGACAGTTTGAGTTCTGCAGTCCGTTTTCCCGGTTTTTCGACTTTAGAGAGGTAATTACTCACGCGTATACGTGCGCAGAGAAACGCGATGCCATGATACCGCTAACATGTTATTTCCTTTTAAACAGAGGCTTTGCGTTTTTCTTACAGGTTGCAATTTTCTCTCGTGCCGGCTGTTTCACCTTGGGTATATCCGTTCTGTTTTATATTAATATTTAATTGATCAATCCCAAAATTTCGGCACCATTAGTCATGACAAGTCAGTACAGTGATCACGCAACACTTTTTCCTCTAACGTAAAGCGAAAGGTCAATTTGTGGATGCGGCATTTTAATCGTCCCGGCGGTTCATTTATAAGCAACACGAGCGCACGGTGCGGCATACCTATATAAACGGTACTCTGGAGTAGCTTCAGATGATCACACACCGTCACATTTTGTTGACGAGAACGTAGTGATTAACTAAAAGAAGACAAGTACTGATTCCCTACTTCACCGCTCATCTCCACTATTAGTTATCTGATTTATGACATCCAGCGATATAATCAGGAATGCGGCAATATGGTACTCAGTAGCAACAATAAGATTGAGAATGGTGATGCCATTCCTGCTGATGCTAATCCTACACCGGTGGTTAATCATAATGGCACGATTTCCGGTTCTGTGGCGGATATACTGAAAGAACGGTCTTCTCTGCATAATGCGGATCATGGCAGTGCTCGCGATCATGAACGACGCGCTTCCGTTACGACATTTGCTTCCAGTGCCGGTGATACTAAACGCTACGACGGCGTCTCGATAACCACCGGTCGGAGTGGTCGGAGTTCATTATCACGCCGCTCCAGAATCCTCGTGGGCTACTGTGTGGATGATCCGCGGACTGTCAAAGGGCGACGGATCCAGATGACCAAGATGGTGTGCCTGGCAGGGATTCCCATTTTAATTCTGATTATTCAGTCAGGAATATCCGTGTCGCAAGCCTTAACGGAGCAGCGCGTATCCAATGCTTTTATCGCGCAACTGGAGTTTGCCATTCAGACCGGATACGCCGTACATGCCTTAGGCCTGGAACGGGGGACGACAACATTCTTTGTCGCAATGCAAGAGAAATCATTGTTCGAACCAGTGATGAAAAGGTATTGCATTCAGCATTGTACTGATGACAGGCAAAAACTAACAGGAAACTGATGGATATTAATTATGTCGCTTGAACTCTTCTTGGATAAATTACTTCGCATACGAGCAATGAGAACTAGACACACCTTCGCAGCATGACTTAATGAAAGTCAACCGATCCCTTATTTGCGTGTCGCTGCATAACGCTTGTGTTTTTTGAGTGTAACAAATTTCTCAACGTACTTCTGCCCTGTAACTTATGCTCCGAACTTATGCTCCGAACTTATGCTCCGAAACTTATGCTCCGAAACTGATATCGATGCATATGAAAGTAGTAATTCCAGCATACAAAACGCTTAATCGATATATGTACTACATAATTATAGTATGAGTCTCTGGTCTCTTGGTTAAAAAATATGCTTGTGGATCGTTCAGTTAATCTTAAAAATCTTTTATAATAAAACCTGGTTTTGTTTTTCTAACTTTTTCATGTATATATACCAAAAACGTAACGGAAAGTAACTGCCCTAGTACGAGCGAAGTTCACCAAAACTAATTTAAATTTAATTTAAAGTTCACCCAAACAGTTAAATAAGTGCACCGGATGTGATCGGACGTCTGGTTTGAAATCAGGGTTTTGCCTTTTAAGATCACACAACTACTGTTTATAATTCCCGTGCGAGCTCAGAGCTGATTGGTTTTGTTTTCAGAACTGCAACAATATTACTAAATCAAACCACTTTACGCAGTATGCCATTGTGACTGCTTTACGGAGTGCAAATTTATGTTCTAGAATCTGTTATGGCTGATCAAGAAAGCAGTTAATGCGAAACTGGAACATATTGCTGCCTAATTGTTTTGTGCTGTCGCTTGTGTAATTTTTTGGTGCTCTGAATAAGCAGTAAAAATGCGTATTACGATATTTATTCTTCTTCTGACTAACCGTCACAGAGATCCGCGAAATATAAAAAGGAGTATTTATAATTATTGTAGCTCAAAGTAAATGGTAGTCCACTTATACATGTGTGGCATCGTTCTAGGCGACTTATGGTAGACGCGGCCTTAAAAAATATGACCCACTGGCCAGCCGTCAAGGATGGTACGTTTGAGTTCGAAAATAAACAGGAGCTAACTCTAAGAGTGCTGGTTAACCGCGTCTTTGTCAATACGAGCACGCCGGAAGAACAGCTAACTTTCTTCACGGATACTATCATTGCGCCATTGTTAAGATGGGTTGGAGATGCTGTTATCAAATCGGAGTCCCAAGAACAACGCTGGCAGGATTTGGTAGCATATTACACATTTATCATTGCCAAGGAGGGATTCGCAGCTGAACGCTCATCAGGAACTGTATTTTACGCCCGCGGTAAGAAACGTGAGCAGCATAAAGTGAACTGACGTCATTGGGTTAATTATTTATAACCTATACGAATACTTCTGTATGTACTTACAACATATGTATACAATATAGGAAACAACCCGTGCGCACTATCCCTTGTTTGGATTTTTTTTATAGTTTGCGACGCAGGATAAGAAGAATACAAAACTGCAGTCGAAGTTTTCCATAAATGATTATTAACATAATTCATTATTAACATGTAACGCGCTATTCACATTATCTGTTCCACATAGTCAAGCCAACTTGTAAACCAGGCATCTGGTTCTGTATCGAAAATTTGAAACGTTTGGACTTGCCTACCTATATAGTAATCGTACAAAGTATTCTGTACTGCAGTATTCATTGAGCGTAATCAATTATGGAAAAACATATTTACTTTAATGGAAAAATTTATTTACTTTAATTTTTCTGTTCATCTTATACAAATAAAAGGCAAAATATACGTATGCAGTTAAATTTCGGTGTCTACTGTCTACTTAATATGAAATGTTTTACAGGAAATATGACGAAGAAGCAATATAAGTGGTACCTGGACAAACGATCTCAGGGCAACGCCTTTTTAAACAAAAGCATGCAGTTTAACCCAACGATTCAACAGATACTAGTGGACAAATGGTACACGTCCGATCTGGAAAAAAACGTTACACTGGAGCGTGTACGAATCGATGAAAATAATTATGTTCCTGATCTTGAACGTGGAAATTTCTATTACGACCAGATGAGCAAATTCCAGAGTGTTCTTTTTGACATAGAAAACACTCTGACAAAAAATATTACAAATACTTTAAATGATGCTGTGAGTGATTCAGCACGGACAGTGGCGGCACAGCTCTTCGTGGTGATTTTAGCGTGTTGTTTATTCCCGAGCATTATCTTCTTCCTCACGCATATTACTGGCCAAATACAGACCTTTGCGGCTGTGCTCCAAACGAAAAACGAAGAAATTATGAAAGAGAAAAAGCGAACGGATGCTGTACTGAACCATTTATTACCTCGGCAAGTTGCGGAGAAAATCAAAAGTGGTCAACCAGTATATCCGGAGAGTTACGATCAAGTAACGGTTTTCTTCAGCGATATTGTTCAGTTTACCGACTTTAGCGCTAGCTCCACTCCACTTCAAGTTGTTGATACTCTGAACAAATTATATACAATTATGGATAAACGGATTGAGGCGTATGACGTGTACAAAGTCGAAACAATTGGTAAGTGGTGACTGTATGTATTGTATTACAGCCCATAACGTACGGCTTTTAAATTACTTACTAACTTTCCAATATCATTCATAGAAGGGTAGCATTATGGTTTTACTGATGTACCGCTTACGCTACCGAATCTGAAAAGGCTAATTATAAATAATAAGCATGGGCTAATAGCCTAATAATAATATTTTCGTATTAGGCGTCGCGTCTGATGGTGGATACGGAGTGCTTAATACGAGAATCGTGCAAAAACTTTCAGTTCATAAAACAGTAAAAAGATGTTTTATTGGTTTGTTGTTTCTGTGCAAAACTCAGTGCAGCCATTCTTCCTAAAACATGTACAGCTACAGTCGCCACAGGATGCGAAAAGCTTTTTTATACGGAAGTGCGGTTACGTACACCGGAACTACGGTAAAATACTTGAAAGTGGTAATTTCCCCATTCGTCACAGATCCGCGTGCTGGTAAACTGTCGATCAAGTGCAATTTGAGATAATGACCAAAAGGGGAATCAACACCAGGCTAATGCACATTGGTTAATACTTTAAGCCCATAATCATTAAACAGTGGCCTGCGGAAGTAATTCAGCTGTATAGTTTTTGTGACCTATCTGATAGCTTCCAACGAATTTGGCTTAACCTTTTAGCATTTCAAAAGTTTCTCACAAGCAATCGTTTGGCACACGCACACTTTTTTTTGTTCTACTAACGGTTTTTATCTAAAAATAGCGTTATCATCCCTCGGAAAACTATTACTAGTAATTTAACTAGATACATATTTCATGTTTTCTAATCCAGTTACACGTTTTAACGAGGTTACCCACTGTTTAATGAACCTGATCACTTTACGATTGCTTTGTTTGTCCATAGTACGTATACGCAGGCTTTTTATGTATTCTCCATCTACCGAAATATACTACATTAAGTGAAAAAATGAAAAATCAAACATTAAATGCTAATCGCGGTTCACCGAGCCTGATTCTGCGAGTACAATTCTCATGCGTATCGGGCTTGCCGGTATCATAACACAGTATTACCCCATTTGTGAGATCGTTATAACAGAAGTGCTTTTAGGTGACGCTTATTTATGCGTATCGGGCTTACCGGAGCGCAATGGGAACAAACATTCGTATGAAATTGCCTGTATGAGTCTCGATCTTCTGAAAGATGTTTCGGGAATCCGAATGCCTCACAAGCCGGATTATGAATTACGATTACGTATCGGGCTGAATACTGGACCGTGTGTTGCAGGTAAGTCGCGGAGTGTCTCTTTTCTCTGCATGCACTCGTAATCCTGCGAGAGCTATAAATGGTGCCGAGATTGTGGCATTTTTGGGGAAATGGTCATACGGTAGATTTAACAGTTTACTGTGCAGTTTGCCGAGTCACTCCGCATTAAATTAATCCTTGTCCGCCTTAGGTATTACCGGGATAAAAATGCCTCGCTACTGCATGTAAGTTTAGGCGTGTTACAATATGACCGGAAACGGATTAACATGTAAAAACGTACAATTTCCCGATAATTAAAAGTTATAATTAAAGCCGAAACTCGGTCACGAGGCTTTACTGAATTCACGTGAGGCATAATCGTAATTCGTGAATGCGTTAACCTTTACGCTAAAGGCCGAGTTTTCGATCCTTAATTATGTACACCAGCCGCCGAAAACTGAGTGGTAGTTTGCTTTTGAATTTCAGATTCGGTGATACCGTGAATACAGCCAGCCGAATGGAATCGAATGGAGAGCCGTTAAAAATTCATCTAAGCACAGCCACCTATGATGCATTAACATTTTTTAACATCTTTGAAATGGAACGGCGTGGAGAAATGAATGTAAGGTGCACTGGCATTAACACAGTAAACTAGAAGAAAATGGAGAAAATCAAAATTTGTTCAAGGCCGTTGTAATGGGCTGCAGATCAAAGGAAAAGGCTTGATGGTAACCTACTGGCTGATGTCTAAAAAGGCAACCAAGAGAAACCTATTCGGTCCGGAGGTCAAAGCCTAGATGGAAGTTTAATTGATTGCTGTCGCGGCAAGGTCGCCTGGAGCAATCCACGTAGTTTCCGGTCTGCCGCACGGACATGCTGGGCTGAGATCCTTTGCGACGCGCCGGTACTGAGTGTGCCTGTAAATTTCGCTAAGATTCGGCGAGGTTGTTTCACCGATCATATTGTACAGTGATGTCTAATTTTGCGACACACATTGTTCCATGCTGGCGTGCCATGTGACATCGTTCGCAGGGCGCCGGCGTTCGTTCCACTCCCTGTGCCTTACAGCTGTGTTAAATAGCTACAACACTAAAAGGATCCGCAGCGGGAAACCTTTGAGAACCGGAAACAGTTTTATGAAATGCCTGTACTAAGTGATTATCATCCACGTTACCAGTTCTTTCGTTCATTTCGCAGATTTTTCGGCAAAGATTTAATTTGCTTCTAATATTTTCGGTGCCTAATTGTACTCTGCAGTACCGAACAAAATGTTATGCAAAAGAGTGTGTGAGGTCTTATCACACTTTGCGATGCTTGTGCGCTATGGTAGGCGATGTGCAAAAATTTGTTACTTAGCGCACAAATTTCTGTGAATACTACATGTATTCAGATTACACCGGTTGGTATAAGAATTGAAAATCTCCAACCAACGGATGCGATGCAGGATGCTTAAATATTATTGCTATAAGTCGATGATTAATAAAATAATTTGATGCCTTCAAAAGTCTCTAAGGTTATCCATGCAGTGCGCTTTTACTTATTTTTGGTGACTAAAAATACGATTTGAATCAGGTGACTATTAAAATTGCGCATGCTACTGCGATAAATGTATATGTAGTCAATTACCTGTGATATTAAATGAATGTCTATACCGAATAAAGTTCGCTCCACAAAAATTCTCGGTTTCTTCCTGACTGTGAATGTACGAGTATATTATTGTCGCAACAGCCTATCTGCAGCTATAGTGGCTACGTCTGTCCGAGTGCGGTGGCGATATATCTGCAGTCCTTACCACCTTTACCGTGATTATGCGGTTACTGGGATGAAAAGTTGGCTCGACCGGCAACAATACGACCGAGGAGGTTCTTAACTGACTTGACACTATTACTCAGGTGGCTCCAGCTGGGATACTGGTTCATTCCAAGCGGTCAAACGAACAGCATAACTCACGTCTCACGGCATATTTAGTGACAAGGGTGTTCAAGAAACGTAGCAGGGATAGCTCGAAGCGCTGGAACTGCGGTCAGTTTGTATAAGTACTTTTGCTGCTATTCATCGAAATGTTATAATATTAAGGCCGCGCTGCCATTTGTATTGCTCGCAACATTTTGGAAGACTGTATGCGTAACAGGTTATATACACAGGATACAATATCGTTAAAGGATAAGTAATGGTTTTATGTTTTTTATTCTCAGCTGCGACAGCTCTCAAGCCTCTCATGAAACGAACAATATTAACCGCGATTAGCTTAATTACTTTAAGCTAATCACGGTTCAAATCAATTATAATATTATGATTACCTGTTTCTTCAAATGATCTAACGGAGTTACGGAACCTACTTATGGTTAACTGCGCAAGAATCAACATCAATCAATCGTATTCAATTGTTCGTCAGTTTAGAACCTAAAGGTATCTGTAAATAAGTAATGTGCACCGGTACCTGGATCAGTTTAAAGACGCTTCGACCTGTAATAGGCGTTTTCAAGTTAAAACCCCATCAATTTGAATGGTAAACAGTTCCTAAACATAGTTTACCTGTGAATTTAGTTCAGTTTAAGGCGAATGGAGTTAAATTTTAATTTTCAGTTTTTTAAATAAAAAAAAACATGAGGGCCAAAACATTTTAAGAAGTGTGCGTATATATCAACATCCAACGGGTATTCAAAGATATTCTGCTGACTGCTTTCACTTACAACTTTGTAGCATGGTTTGTTTATATTGTTCTCTTAGTTTTGCTACAATCAGGATTGCTCCAGTACAACGAGACACACTATAACAACCAGAACTGGTCCTATACAAGGAGACAGACGAAGAAAAACAACCCAGAAAAGCCTTAATTTAGTTTGTCCATTATAATCGCAAGGTTAAATGCAACTTGTCAATATAATAAAATAAACATTCCAAGTTTAGCAAGAAAGAAATTATTTGGCGAGTGCGGCATATATAATTGTACTACCAAGCGGCACCGACTTTCGTACACTTGCATGCACGATGGAGAAATTAACAATACGTATAAATAGTTTTACTGTAATTGTTACACAAATACAGTATGCAACATGTAGAACAGCACAGTACAGTAATTACGTACTTATCAACGGTCGATGATACAGAAAAATAATATAATACTTTGTAGTAGTAGTTACACTGCTAAACAGTGTTTACTGTTCCGTTGTGAATAATATAGCTGAGCGTACACACCCCACTAACCAATAACAGTCACAGGCTCTCAAATAAAAATCGAAAAGACGGGCCATTCAGCAACAACCAACGGTAGTTACATAATACAAATGAAATTAAAGGAGTTTCGTTAAGAACGCCAGAATCAGGTAATTCGGATATTGCATTCAAGTCCAGTAACAGATCTTGTGACTGGTTTGCCCGAATCGTTTGAGTACCTCCGAACCCGCATTCTGTTGAGCGTAACCTTTATTTACCTAAATTGTTACGTCCTTATTCAAACAATCTTAAAAGAAGGTACCACAGTATAAGAGAGTACGAAAGAATTTTCAATACTCTTTTTGAAAATCATAAATGTAAACAGTGCCCGTGAATTACCAAAAAAAGTTGAATTAATCAATTTTTCCACAATATTTCTGTACGACATATGTATAACAAAAAACACACGTGATAGCCGAGGTGCGAAATGCCAACGAAGTAAGGGCGCAGTATCCAATAGAAAATCCCACAAACAGCACAAAATCCATTTATATTCATACAGTGTCGTAATGAAACATGAACTGCGACCCAAACTTAAATAACAAAACTTAATATGGTTACTGGAAAAATAGTTTATAAATTTCATCATTCTAAATCGTCTATACCATAATCGCACGTCGCCTTAATATAGCGGAAGTTGCAATTTTTACAAGATCTTCAGGTGTTCATAATAGCCACCTATGAATATAAAATCTGGTCTCGCTTTAGCTAAGTACATTGACACCAACGAAAACATCAACAATTATACATAATAAGACATACCGGCTTTTTATTTTTAAGCACCATGAATTAAAAGAGTGTTCTTCGAAGACGACAAAGAATTAAGCGGCTTATTCTTGAGATGCATAAAATGTTAAAAGTGCCGGATTGCCCTCCAGAAGTATTTCCGTTCACATAAAGTTCTAATTAACAATAAGATCTTCGGGTTATGTGTCATATGCAACTGCTTGCAATTGCAAATTGCAATCTGGCACGCCATGGCCAGATCTAGAGTGCAAGTGATCTCATGTAACCTGCGCTTGCATCGCTAATTGTGTACTAAGACAAACTGAAAACATGCAAAATCGGATTACGACAGCGACAAACTGCATGGTCAAGATCGACTGCAAATTGAAATTCAGCAGAATTAAGCCATGCTCCCAACGTACGCACAGAGCGACACGAGAAAGGTCATGCCTGGGAGTGCACAAATGCTTACGGTTCTACAAGAATCGAATCAATAACCGCAGAGCCACGCCTGTTAATTTCTGCAGTGGATCGTTTGGCCTTGTAAACATACCAAAAACCTATAGAAACCGTTGATCCCTTCCATCGGCCATAATATGATAATTTTTCCAAACAGAGGTATGACAAAAAACTTTTATCGGAAATTTTGCGCCTATGATGTTTTGATAGGCAGATCGCCGGGACGGGTCAGGCAAAGTGGCTTTACAAAATACTTTATCAGGTCTAAATAGGATTGCAAATTGCTGTCAGCAGGCGGAATGTTGACATTTCGTAAGTTTGAGAGAGGTTTATGGCTAACTCCAAACCGCCAAAGTACAGCCAATTTGGTCTTCATCGATTAGGCGAGCCAACAGCAAGTTAGCTGGGCATTCCGGCCTTCGATTTTTGCGGAGGCACGCTTTTAACGTAAGCATTGTTCACCTGTCGCGCGTGCTACCCGGGGAGCAACATAATGAAACCAATGCAACGGGAAGGAGGCATTAAATATGTATTAGGCTTATGGGACGGGACGCGGGTTTTTATCTGCTCCAGCAAAAGCAACTTTCATGTTTTTTAAGCAGCTCGCGAAGCGAAACGTAATAAGGTGTCAATTTTCAGTGCTAGGCTGATCGAGCCACTACATACCACCTGGAAGTGGCTAATAGTACATCGAATTGTATAAGCGACAAGATATTGTTCAGTGGTAGATATATATTGTATATGGCTACGGAAAAACTTGGTAACGGCACGGATTTCCCGCATCCTCCACCGCGATTTCCTTCTAAACCCCGTTTACCAAATAACCATATGGACAACGGTAATCGAGCGTCTTCGGTGGCGACACTGAGCTCAGTGACCTCCAAAAAATTTGATGCCCTTTCTACGACAACCGGACATAGTTCTATCTCACGATTAAAACTCGCACTGGGACGTTGTTCCGATGATCCGCGAACAGTCAAAGGACGTCGTTCGCAGCTAGCTAAAATCCTGTTGTTGGCCGGTATTCCCATTGTTATTCTGTTAATACAAACCGGTTTCGCTGTGAAATCGGCGCTGACCGAACAACAAGCGGCTAGTGCATTTCGTAAGGAGGTGGAATTTGCGATTCAAGCGGGCGCAGTTGTGCATGCACTGGGACTGGAAAGAGGCACAACGACGTTTTACTGCGGGATGATGATTGACCGATTACTCGCTCCAGTGTTGGTCAGGTAAATCGCGCAAAACATATGGTTCTCGCAAGTCGCAACAGATATTTAAAGTGTGTTTTTAATATAACATCTGCCACCTTGTTTTTTGAAAAACGTTACGCTATGACCATATATAGTTAAGCGGGTAATATGTTTTCGTGGAAATCGGTTTAGACATACTCTGTAGCTGCTAATATTTAGTTTCGCCTAAGTTTCTGGTTACCGATTTTACTTGCAGGAGATGCACAAGCATATAGACAAAGCATTGAATCAAGTATGCTAAATCGTCCACAAAAATTACCACTCAAACAGACAATATGCTGCTGTGATACGTGATTTCGCCGAACACTAAATGAGTGGAGTAGTTTTGATAATTACCGAAACGTCCAGATTAAGCAATCACAAACGTTTTATAGGTGGTACGACTGGTATTAAAATTGTTTAGGGTCCAAATAAAATCATTATTGCATTGAAACCTGTACTACAATATCTGCACAATATCTGAGTGCGCTTTTTAAAATATCATATCTCCTTATTAACAAAATTCTTCTCGATGCTTCATTATTTTTTTTTGCAACAGACGTAGTAAGTAGAAGTATGGAAGCATTGATGAGTTGGTGTAGTTTAGTCGAAAACGTTTCTAGTAACATAACATTGTTCCTGCTTCGCGCTGCATCATGTAATACCACTTCAAAAAGAATGTTAAATACACAAATGTTAAATGTTAAGAATGTTAAATACACCTGCTCAAGTGAACGCGAATTGCAGCATCCGGAAAAAATAGCGGATTTACTACTGTAAATCGATGCTCAACGCGGGCAGCTTCTCTCGAGCTTAGACAATAGATGGATTAGCGCAAGACGTATTGAAATTACAAAACGTACGTACCACCTGTATTGTACTCGTATACAGATTCAGCGCCAGTGGATCAAGTTGCTAAAACCAGGTGCAACTTTTTCAGGAGGAAAATGGTCGACGATGCGCTTAATAAAATGACCTTGTGGCCAACAACCGGACGACCGGACGATTTTTATGCGACAAAACAGGATATGATCTTACAGATCGTGCTGAATCGGATATTCGTTAATTCGTCCACTCCGGATGCCCAGCTCACCTTCTTCACCGACATGGTAGCGGGGCTTCTAAATTGGATCGGATCGGCTGTTGTCCAGTCGCAATCGCAGGACCAACCATGGCAGGAATTAGTTGGTAAATTGCTAAATTGTAATACGTAATACTTATTGTACTTAATACTTATTGTAATTGTAATTGGTAAATTGTAATACGGCAGCATACTAGCACTTTTATATATACGTATAACAGTAGGTATGTACGTATAGCGGTATAATATAATATTAGGTACAAGCTTGCGCTGAATTTCAACCAGAACTATATAAATTGTTAATACGGTACAATACCGGCCGGTACATGCTCGTGTGTATACAACTTAGGATAAAAATTTACTGCAAGTATGCAAATATTAATGCATTATAATGCATCAGTACAGATCTGTACGTAATGAAAACCTCTATTCTCTGAAAAAAGGCTCACATGTGTGTTTTTGTGTGCCGACATCTTATTGTTGAGCTTGTACCTTTAGGTTATCACTTATTCATATCGGCAAAGGAAGGCTTCGCTGCAGAAAGGTCATCTGGAACTATTTACTATTCCAAAGGTTGGCTTGGTGTATAAAATGACGTAAAGACCTTTATACTGCATTTCTACTCATTTATTAACTGGAAACTAGGATGCGTGGACAATAGCATATTAAGAAAATATCTGTTTGTCCAGATAATTTTTTAAAAATATTTATGCAGGCGAAAGCGAATTTTGTTATGTGTATTGATTATCGCTATATAATTAACACTGGGGCAGTAAACGGTACCCGCGGAATTATGGATGTCAACAAAAACATCAAAAGAAACGCTCGCTTACAGCAGTTCATTTATAGTTTTAATAACAGTACTTGAAGTATGTGTTTTGAATGTTTTGAACTAATTTTCTGAAAAATTTACATGTCAAGTCTACTGTTTGATATAAACACAAGTTTATGCAATGGTGCTTCCAGGAAACATGACGACGGACGAATATATTTGGCACCTGGACAAACGATCACAGGGTCAAGTTCTGCTGAATAAAAGCCTACAGTATGATGCCTATATTTCTAAAATGCTTGAACAACGCTGGTATTCTTCGGGATTAAGAAGGAATATAACGGCACAACGGCAGCTGATTAACGAAAACAATGGCTATGTTGACATTGACCTCGGACTGTTCTACTATGCACAAATGACCAATTTCCAGAACATATTATACGATATTGAGACAAATCTGACAGCCAGTATTACCAATAATTTGAGTACAGCAGTGAATGACTCCAATATTTCCCTGTGGATTCAGATATTTGTCGTCATCGTTGCTGCCATCTTGTTTCCCAGTGTGATCATACTATTAAACCATATTACCTCGCAGATACACGGTTTTGCACAAATACTGCAAACAAAAAACGAGGAAGTTATGCGGGAAAAGAAGCGTACCGAAACTGTGTTGAATCAGCTCATGCCGCGACAAATTGCCGAGAAGATAAAAATGGGACAGCCTATATATCCGGTAAATAAGTGCAAGTTACATTCACCTGCATCGATGCACGCACATAAAACTTAAGCATGTTACCGTTAATGCCATTCTGGATCTGCATCCAGCACTTACAATTGTTTAGCAAGCATGTATACGAGGAGCATTCATTTCTATTTGACCAGCTAATTTTAACCGGACGAGTAATGTAGTACGTAAATACAAAGCGATGTTTCGTTGCAGGAATCATTTGATCAAGTCACAATATTCTTTAGTGATATTGTATCGTTTACGGATTTAAGTGCCGCTTCGACGCCGTTGCAAGTCGTGGATACCTTAAATAAGTTGTACACAATTATGGACAACAGAATCGAAGCGTACGATGTATATAAAGTCGAAACAATAGGTGGGTGTTATGGGATTCCAGGCCCAATGTAAGGTCAATCTGCATATTCTGATTATATATTGATCATGCTAGGTGACGCTTATTTATGCGTATCCGGACTTCCGGAGAGAAATGGAAACAAACATTCCTTTGAGATAGCATCCATGGCTTTAGAGCTAATACCGGATGTAAGGGATCTGAAACTGAGATATCGTTAATATACCTACCAGAACAACTTAAGCAACAATTACATAACCTCTCAGTCAGCGTGATGCCGGTATAGAAATGCCAAATACAGTTACACGAAAAAATATGATTTCAGGTGAGCGGAATCGTGCTTCCTCATAAGCCAGAGTATCGGCTCAGAATAAGAATTGGTATTCACACTGGACCATGCGTTGCCGGTTAGTGTGCCTAAAACTGCGGTCATGCAAAACATTATCCTGTAGGAAAATTTATAACAACCCAAAAGCTGTTTCGGGTATTGGCTCATGTTTGATTTTTATTTTCGTGAAAGTTATTCTTACCTTCGATAGCCTGACTGCGTTACGGTAGCTCATAGCCATACTTTGCATCCCATCAAGCACATGTACAATAGACTGCAGTATCTGTACCATTATCGCTACAGACTACAGTCAAAACGTATTTTACGCATCTTGTGCTTTTTAGGGGTCATCGGTAACAAAATGCCCAGATACTGCGTGTAAGTTGCGGATGAGTGGATGACCAAACTTTTGATTAATACTTGTTTATAATAACTGTGATGGCAAAATAACAGCTAATGGTAGATAACTACTGATAGCAAAATAACAAGAAGCTATTTATGCGTTCACTCATGCCAATCTGATCAGGTTCGGAGATACAGTAAATACTGCAAGCCGCATGGAGTCCAATGGAGAAGGGCTGAGAATTCACTGCAGCCAGTCATCGTACGACGCTATAACATTTTTCGGTGTATTTGAACTGGAGAAACGCGGTGAAATTCCGGTTAGTGCTTTTTCTCAATCTCAAACTTGGAGAATGTCATACATGCATGCGTATCATATATCTATACATGTATGTGCCACGTTTATTACTGGTGCGTAATTCTGGATGATTTCAGATAAAAGGCAAAGGCTTGATGACCACATACTGGCTGGTAAATAAACAGAACAATTATGTGGCCAATGTTAAATTTTTAACGTTTAATTTCAATGGCATTTTGAGTACTTAATCAAATACCGGAAGAAGAATATAGAACTGATTTCTGAGGATGTATTGTGGACAGCAGTAGAGGGCATCAAATTATCTGTCATGTCTTACGACGGTTGTTGTCATGCTTAGGTCGGCCGGAAAGAAACAAAAAGGAAACTTTTCGGACCGGAGGTCCAAGACAAACCTTCGAACGTTTAATGTAAAAGAGTAGACTGCTTGCCACTGTTCGTGGTTCTGTAAACGGTACTTATTTTATGATAACTTAAATTATTTACCAATGTAAATTCGATATTGCAGCTAATGAGCGCTTCTGCACTTGTATAATCGTCATAAAATCTTCTGCTGAAACCGGTTCCATGTTTAAGAGATTCCTTCTCAAATGCTGTGATACTGTTAAATTCTTCATTTATTAACGCCTTGCCGGGTTTGGCTCTTCGAGGATGTCTTCTATATAAGTCTTCAAACAAACTTCTGTGATAATAAATGAAAATAAACGAAAACGCTTACCGTGGTGTTTCTCATCTGTTACTAGTTACTACTAACTCTGCATACGAAAATTTCAGCATTATTCAGATAATGCCATGCAACAATTTTTTTGGAAAAAAACATCTTCACATGCCGAACTCACAGAATAAAAACAATCGTCTCTCAAAAACTTCAAACAAACCAAGCTATATATGTACAATCTACATTATCGGTGACAATTAAAACACAGAAACAGTATCTCGTTCAAACGGCAGATTATCGGCGAATGGCTCTGTACTGTACATGCATGCTATACACTGGCCAGCTAAAGAACACATTGTTAACCAATAACAAGCTCAAACAAATTCCTAAGAAAGCAATATCCGAAAATGTGCAAAATATACATACAACCGACGCAAACAAACGGATCAACCGATCAACTTCGGAAAGGAATGGATTAGCCGCCCTTCTGCTCCCTATCACAGAGCGGTCCCGACCTTCAAAGCTCAGCTGTACAATTTACACCATCCAATGCCGTATCAGCACTCTTCTCCATGGCATCAGTCTCCGGGGTGCTCCGGACAAGAGCGGTTTACTCTGAACCACGAATCGATGCACCTGAAAAATATTTGAGTCAGCTACTGTCATTTTCTCGCAAACATTACATGACTTCGAAAGACTGCATATGCTTCTGCAGACTAGGATGTTTTACATAACATGTAGCACATCTCTGCGCTTATAATCTACTTCTTATCTCTATTTCTTCATGAAAAGGAAAAAAATAATGCAACCAAGAAAAGCAATAAAATTAATTTCACCGTTTATGGTAAATGCAAAGGCATGGCAAACGCGCAATCGATTGTCCACACTCCATCTCGTCGAAACAGATAACACATTCGCCTTTAGGTTCCGTAAGGACATCCTCTACATAATTAAAAACGTTTCAAATTTAGTGTGTCAAAATGGCGAGCGCTAACCAAAGCCTGCATTGCTCATCGTAGTTTGGTGTTTTTCACAGAACAATTTACCGCGCTTACCGTTGTATTCCAGTCTTGGTTTAGTCAAACATTCCACCAAATGAAGCTCCACATTGTCAGAAGCAATCTGCTTGCCACAAACAGGGCATTTAATACCTGTATTAATAAACAACAATAGAGAATTTTAACATGTTTATTTGCGCAGGAACTTGCAAGCCTCAGCAAATTTTCCTTCAAGAATAACAAATTGTACGTGCGACCGGAAACCTCCCCTTAAATTCTGAATTTCTGATTCTTCGAAATAAAAATGTAATGACCTATGAACTTTGTTTAACTCAAAATATTCATACTTTAATAATTACCTCTATCAGGAATTTTTATTTAAATTCTAATCGAAGCATGTTCTCCTGTGATACCGTCAGGAGGCTTTGTTGCACATCAGACAGGAATCAGGTGCAGGAAGCAGACAGACTTGTTTGTTTAAAAATATGTCATGCCTTTCGCGGCTCCGCGACTAGTTGCGGACGACTAAACATGACCACCATAAAAAACTACAAGTACCTAACATGAGAAATGTAATCGTCATCGATTACTTAATTGCTATCTTATGGTTACACTTACAGTTTGCAAGCTCACGTAAGGCAACTTCAAACAACCGCCAAAATAAAACCTTTCACTTCAGCACACTGCACAGTAATATTTAGGGGACGATATCAAAACTTACTTCTATGATTGTAAAATACAAATGCCTCGTTAGCGAATCCTGATTTGTCGCAGATTTCCATTACTATCTCAAAGATTAGAAAATAAATTAAGAGACAACATCATAACTAACTGAACCAATAGTTCAATCACACGGTACACTTTCCTAGGCTACAAACTAACGATTAATTATTTAATGATTCTAGCACTCGCCTCGGGCACTAACTTGATTGTGAAAGAAAATCCCACAGTTACAACACGCTGAATGATAGGGTGATGAACTGTCACTGCGAATTCTGAAAAATACATGTACTTCTTACGCATACTAAAGCTGCTCCGCTCACACTTTAAACTTGAAGAATATTCAATAGTAATCAACACTGTAAGCAGACCATCCCAGAAAAAAGACTATCCCAGAAATTATCAAAATGTTTTACACGAAATCAGTTAACGGGTGGGAAAGGGTTATTTTACAGAAAAATTAATGCACATTAAAATATTACCTGCTAGCTGGAATAAGCGCAGAGGAAGAGATCCGGGAATCCTGAAAAAGGCGAAATTATCCTCAGCTTCCGGGGAGCTATCAGCGTCGGAGTCTGACATGGAGACGCCTGTATAGCGACTGTTCAGAAGAGCTCCACTCAGTTCCGTAGGTGATACTGCGCTCATACTGCGCGCTCGTCGGGCGGCACTACTCGAGCTCTCATGTCGCGAGGTGGAACTGCGACTCCCAGATAGGGGATGGTTACGGGATGAGGAACTAGTGGGAAATAGTTCGGCACTGGCCCCTGTGTTCTGGTGGGATCCCGATGATGACGGGCCATGAGGAAAGGTATCAGAGCGGGGCCGCGATGCAGGCTGGGATTGGGCTTGTGGCGTACTGGCTCGTCCTCCCATCTTCACGCAATCACGACAAGGAGGATCTCTTATCCGGTTAGCACAGTTTATGCTTTACAGGAAAATTGTCAACTTTACCGTAAAACGCCGAATTCGACGGATGTTATGTGACTTATATCATCAGGTGGAGGACAAAGTCGACTTTGTCTTCACACTTCAACAATCAACACTCGACAGTTTACAAATAATTATACGCTTTGCCAGTCCATACATCACGCTCACAGCTGTTACTCGATAGTCGATAGCAACGAAATGAACGAACACTACTAACTAATAAGTATCAAGCAATTAACCAAGCGAAATACTACTGTTCAATATACGATAAAGCCACTACTATTACAGCTTCTCATTCTAATTATCTAATACGTATAAAATGTTTCTTATAAGTTTAATAAGGTCTACCTAGCACTTAGCAGTACCGATTCGACTGATTGTGAACTCGAGATGGAAAAAACTGAGGTAACTCACATCCGTAAAATGAACGCAAAAATACTGTGCAATCAGCATGCACAAACTTAAGCCGTGACTTCCGCAAGTGACGTTTGGTTTTGAAAAGATCAATAGCCCGTACAATATGCTACGAGTCAGGGAGCCTAATGTAGGAAACAGTTTAACTCGTATAAAAAGATTCGTACTCGTAAAAAAGTGCTTTTCGTTAATTTTTCGATTCAAACTTCGGTGATTTTTGTAGGATTTTCGATGTTTTCCCTCACATTGTCAGTACCGACACTAAAGTAAGTACAGTATAACTATAGCCCAGGCAGACGATTGTCATTGGTCACTGTGCCTCTTGTAATGCAAAAAAGCAAATTATGAGAACCGTACTTGGACGCTGTAATACAATGGGAAAATCAATTTTGAATTTACTTGCGTTGTCTACAAAGATGGCGAACACCCAAGCAAGCCAAGAATAGTGCACATTTGTGATACGTAAAAAAGATGAAAAATGTTCGAACTTATACCCCAGCACGTCTCGAAGGCTTAGAGGTAGGTGTTAGTAAAAAGTGGATAAAAACGAGCAATCGATTCGGTTAGTTACTCATACAGCACTCATAATCCTTCATTTATCCTTGCTAAGGGAGCGGCTAACACGTTCCACCTTGTCCTCTTTATCGTGTTTGTGGTGCTTATGCTTCTTGTGTTTCTTCTTGTGATGGTGTTCTTTTTCCTTCTCCGTATCCTTAGAACCTTTTGCCTCAGCATCACTGTCATTGGCAGATGGGCCATCTTCACGTTTGGGCCTAGCAAAGAGCGCCGTGTTGCAGAGGGGAGTGCAATTAATCACAGTGCATACAGTAAGTAGGAGACTTTACGTTCATATCGATGTACAGCAAATCCAAAACAAATAAAGGTAAACGTAAAATGGCGGATAATTACCCATATATACAGCGAGGAAATACCTACTTCGTTGATTTGCCGCCATCGATCTCCTCATATTTACTCCGCCGCTGTCTTTCCTTTTCTCGCTCAATCAAAGCAGCCAAATCATCTGTTTCACCTGCGGCCTCGTTTCTGCCAAATCGCGACGCATTTACAACGCTCACTTTTTTTGGCTGTGGAGAAGCCGAACGTTTTTCCAAGTTGACTTCCAACTTTTCCCGCCTGGTCTTTGCATCCGGAGATGACGATTTCTTTATGCGCACTGGCGACGCCGATTTTTTCCTGTTTCCTTCATTTCTTTTTGATCTACCGGGAGACACTGCTCTAGAAGACTCCGTTCTCTTTTTCCTATCACGATCGGGAGAAGGGGAGCGCTTCCGTTTGGGAGATGGAGACCGCTTGCGGCGCACGGCAGGAGAAGCTGATCGCTTCCGCCGCGGAGAGGGCGAACGCCGGCGGCGCGGAGGCGATGGAGAGCGTTTCCGACGGGCCGGGCTAGGGGGTCGACGGCCACCACGCATTGGTGAACGACGAGGTGACGGAGACCGTTTGCCCACACGCTCAGGGGATCTAAGCATTGATAAAAGCAAAACAAATAAAAAAAACCGTCAAAGTGGTATTGTGAAGTATGTGGTAAACAACAGGAGCGCCGGTAACTCACTGTTCTCTTGTTCAACAGACCTTCTGCGGTTGTCTTTCTCTACGGGTACCTGAGAACCCGCAGACCGATCGGCATGCTCCCTAATTAAAACCGTGAGTCACATAAAAGACAAAACAAGACCGGATTTTGGCAGGTTCATAACGATCATTTGATCGTGAAATGAGAAGAATGCGCAAACAGACGGTGAAAAGGACTTACCTGGGTCCACCATCTCGACGGTCAGCTGGTCGATTAAACCGTTGCATCTCTTGCTGGCGACGTTCAGTTAATTTTTGGTCAATTAATTTCTGAATCGGAACTGGAATGCGGGGAAACAGGGTGCCGTACCTGCAAAAGCAAAGAGGAAAAAGTAAAACAGTAATGTCGACTGAGTCAAATCGTAGTCTCACCAATCCAGACGAGTAAGGAAATGGCGCACCATTTGACCAATCGTCATATAGTCACCGCCGCCTGCTTTGGGATCCACTTCCTGTTAACATACAACAGCAATGTTAAAAATAAGCGAGTATTAGGTGCCACTGTGGCAAATATTACGTCCTCCTAAATACCGTAATTATCGAATTATAAGCTCCCCCCGAAATAGAAGCTCCCCCCATAATTAGAGCCCACCCTTAAGGTCATTTGAAAATTATAAGCTCCCCCCGAAATATAAGCCCATGGGCTTAATATTAAATGCTATAGAGCCCATGTTAGCGAACGCCAAAAAAGTTAGTTTGAAAAATTGAAGCCCCCTCCGAAATACAAGCCCATGCCCGTAATTGGAGCCCACCCCGTGAGGCGTTTGAATTATTTGTAACCCTGGGGCTCTAATTCGATAATTACGGTATAGCCCAAATGACAAAATGCACGCAGTGTACGATTTTACTAAGTACAGTATGTGTTATATAAGCAAACCAAAAGAAAAACAAAAAAGAAAAACGGTTAAGCCGACCATTTGCATTTCAGGAAAATACTGGGTGGACTGTCGTGTTCGGAAATAAAATGAAAAAACTTACATCTTTATCGTCCAAATATGGCTCATACCATTCCCACAAATCCGCTGGAGGCTGACAGTAGCGAATGTACATGAAACCCACGCCACGCAGAAATGGCGAATCCTGGTGATTAATAAGGGAATTCAACTGTTTGCGAGTAAGACGAGTAGTGAACAATTTGTACACTAGACAGAATGCTGACGACACAATTCCACCAGCTCCAACCCCTCGCACCTAGCAAACAAAAATAAAATGAAGATATCATGCGACTATAGTATTCGAATTGTTATCAGAAATACTCACTCCTCCACACATTCCAATTTGCCCAGAAGTGCGTCGACTGCCTTTTTCCCACGGCTCCAAGTGATTCACCTACATCAAGGAGATCATTCCCGATTCTACAATTTTTCAAGTTCACAATCACATTCCGGAACAAACTTACGCTGTTATAGATTTCGTCCACGATCTGCAAAATTAATTTACACATTCAGTGGTTCGCATGCGAAGAATTCCAGTAAACTTAGCAGCACAATACCAGAGAAAACGCCTGGCATTTTCTGGGACGATATGTTTTTACAAAATACGAATACAAAAATTATGCACAGTCAAATCTACAAATAAATAAAGACTTCTACAACACGTAATACGCAAAATATTACCTCGTGATAAGTCCGAAGTTCACCGAGCGTAACTTTATAATACGGTGATTGCTGGATGTTAGTCAGGATCATATTGTTCAGGTTCATGGTTTTTTCGTTCCCCCTAAAATTAAACTGCTATGACGTAACAACCAACAAATAATTACAGTACAAAAACGCTACAAAGCAAGCTCCCCGAAGCGCACTGCTGTCAGAACATAATTAGTCAACATTTGTTAGTAAGAAAACTATAATTGTTAGTGTTAGCGCAGACCCGACTGTCAAAACTCAAACTAGCACACTCTTAATCGCAAATTACAGTACTGATAAATCAAAATGTTTCACAACGTCACGGCGTAGGGTAGCATACCATATAGGAAGAATATTCCCTTTTTTTCGCGGGCCTCCACCTTGCAAACCGCCTTCTAATCCTTCCAATCCGCCTGACTGATCTTCTTCTTCCGCCATGCTGGTCAAATTGAACAAGTTGAATCAGGAGGTTTACAGTTTACACGATTATTTCGTCCTGGGCTGCCAATTTACAAGTACGACTGCCGTTGTACCTTTTCGCACTTCGCAACAAAACGCAGACGATTCAGATAATTTTCACCAGTGATGGGATATACCTAAGTGAGGCTGTGACAGCAACAACTATTCTACAATTTAAAACTTAAGTCCATACTCTACAATTATAACAGAAATGAGAAATCCCAAAAAAAGCGAAATATTTAATCATGAATAGGACGATAGGTCCTAAAAATAAGTAGGAATTTTTTAAGTGGACTTAGTGCTAGTGGAGCTTCAGGCTGCCTTCAACACACGTCGATTTGCGTACGAAAGCGCCATCAGCTTCACGTTAACGAAACCGACATCGGATCTTCTATCCCTGTACTATGGTGGACTGATTAGCGGAAAGAAACAGGGCTGCGCTTTACGTGAAAGATGCGCACCACGGTCAAAGGATGCGTATGCGTAAATCTGTCGTTACGTCTGCGTGCTGTCGTGCATTTCTTCGACAAGAGTGGACTTGTTAAAAAAATCGTCAAAATTTGTACATTGTAACATTGTTTTTCGTTTTTTCAGTTTTGTGGATTTTGATTTCTGACAAACGAACTAACCATGATTTTCGGTTCCTTTTTCTACTGCAATAACATAAAGTTACGGTTGGCTCGAAATTAAAGCTTGTGTCATAATCTTCGACGTAAAGGTGGTGCTTAGAGAATGGAGCAGCGGCTGTGATTTCCACTTTCCAGTGTTTTGGATTTTCTTGGGTAGTAAGTACAGTAAGTAAGTAACAGATATTTATTCTTTGCACACTTTGCAGTTTGCAGTCTGAATTTTAAATTTCTGGTTGAAATTAAGGTCGATAAACAGATCTTTTAGCATAATTCAGCAGACTATTCTGGTCCTTGTGCACATTAGAAAACAGTTTAAGTTACTGTAAAGAAAGGGGAGAATGCGAGAGCAACACACAGACTTCCTGCTTTATTTCTGGTGTTGCTTTTGTTATAATTAACTATAATGTCATAATTAACTAAAAAAAATCTGCTGGGTTCTAGTTCTGCCATTTAACGTAAAAGGTTCTGAGTGTTTTCGTAAGTGCATTTCACCGTTTCATTAGGCGAAAACATGTGTTCAGCGTTTATAGCGAAGAAGTCTGACAGTATTATTCCATGCATTTATAATTTATTTTGAAAATGTCATAGATTCTGGCTGCTGCAAATGAATCCACAAGGCTTCGGCTATGGTCAGCAGTACATACCGCCCGGACATTATGGTCATTCTTCCCAGCAATATGCCGCGCAGCCATCCGCCGGATTCTCTCCTAATTACGCCATCCAAACCCCGTCACCTGCTGCGTACAGCAATACGTATGCTTCCTCCTCGACGCAGAATGTTCTGGTTGCTCCGGGAGTGCCATCAAACAGCGCGCCAGTGCAACAAATAGTGCCTCTTCCTTCGAGCATTTTTGTTAATACCGCCCCTCTTTGTCCTCGTAAGTACTTAACATTGCGCGAAATCGCCGCAAAAAAATCAAGATACGTTCTCGCTGGGAAAAAATTCATAGCCGTTATTCGGTTATTGAATTTAGATTCGTATTCCTACTATTTCATTAATATTTCTGTATTTATTCGACATTATTTAGCATGTTGAACAGTTCAAAACCATAGAAGTTTATACTGCCAGTGCAAGCTAAATTTTACAATTCTTTCTGGCGTTCACAGAATTATCAGACGTTTTTCCATTTCCGACCGGAACTAAATACTCTTCATACCTCGAGGATCTTTCCATTCAGAGACAGTCAGAAGAAATTCAGAATACTCCATCCCCGAAGCTGGTAAATAATTTGGCTAATCATCTGGGCACGGTTTCGGTTCATCCAGTGTAAGTTACGAATATATCGACATTTACTAGTCATCTTAAGTTTAATTTTTGCTTTCGCAGGAGTTTCAAAAAACCGGAAGGAACTACTGCCGCTCACCATGCATTAACAGAATCAGCGCCTGTTGTATCTCCTTTGGAGGCTTACATCCAGCATTCTAACCCGGCCCTTGAGCTGCGTAGATCCAAGCGTATAAAACTAAAACAACCGATACCAGCGGCTCCAAGCACATCAGTTGCTCCTCTTGTTTCGAGCCCGAAGCAATCTGAACAGTATGGGAGCAGTTCTTATCCTCTGCAACAGCCAGGCGATACAGGTACATACGTGTAGAGTAATGGCCCCTGCGTTAAAAGTGCGTGCTCTTTTCCATTAACCACTAGGAGTAAGCTCATATTTTGTTCAAAATTGGTTGTGCTGGATCACTGATTGGTTAATAATTCCAGAAAATGCAAACTACGATATAGTCGTTCTGCAGCTTGTAGTAATGCATCCCATCGGCACGTATTCCGGAATTTGTTGGTGGTAACGGTATCAAGAAAAGCGTTTGTTTTCCTTTAGGAACTGGCAGTTCGTCACCCCCTTCTGGAGAGACGTCTGGTGTGAAAGCTAAACCCGCGCAAACCATACCGAAACTAACCATTAAACTAGCGGCTGCGCAACCAGTCGCGACTGTCCCAGTGCAAGAAGCCGCAGCGGTCCCTCCTGCTTCTGCTGAAGTACGGAGAGAAGAGCCTAAAAAGGGAATTAAGATGGTCTTTCGTATCAAGAACGCACCAGCGCCTGAAGAGAACGCTCCTGTAAAACCGGCAACTCCGAAAATACAGGACGAAAACCAACGACAAGTGTCGGACGAACGGGAGCGACCTGCACAGTCGGCAAGTCCGGAATACCCGGAGCCTGCACTGCATTCGAATAGAAGTTTTCCGAATGAAACTAAGGTACAATATGTGGATACTATGCTTATTTAACTAATTCTTAGAAGCAGGAGTTATAAACCTGAATATGTGATGCAAAATATGTGATTTAATGTTTTTAATACTTTACATCAACTAAATCTTTTTCACCTTTCTACTTTCTGAGTTTTTTACTTAAAAGATTAGTACTCGTGATGATTTTTGTTGTGCACTTTTTATTTGGTTAGATTCTCCAAGAAAAAGTTGAACATAGCTCCTCTGCCTCGTCGGCTGCTCCTGGTGCCGTGGATGAATTTGACCCGTCTAAGCTGACGTTGAAGATATCTAAAGTGTCCGTGGAAACGGCCAACAAAGTGTTCAATTTGGCGTTTTCGAGTAGTGCTTCTAAAGCACGCGGAAAGATGCCTGTTTCTTCCAGGAAATCAGCTGCATTGCCACAAATTACCCGTACCAAAGAGGCTCGTAAATTGCTACCTTATTCCCCTGAAGCATCACAGGAACATCCGACGCTGCAAAGTTTCTTAATGACGATGGACCGCGTAATGCAATCCATGAGTCAGGTGGATTTGCGTGGACTGGCGATGAACGACCCAGCGGCACAGTTAACAGATGCTGACATTCCGTCGGATGCCGTCCTTTCGCAAAACTTAGCTTACACACTGGCAGCCGAGACAGCGAAATTGAAAGCCCATGATCAGGCTCGTTTTGTCCCGATACAGAATCTCAGAAATTTGCTTGTCGCCATTATGCCGACAGTACTTCATGCGACTGTGATACCGACTGATCTGATAAATTATTCTCAGGTAGATGTACGGTTCGTTTAGGTTACGGTGATAATGTAACCGCTTTCGACTTTTTTGGCCATTTCATTTCGTATGATACTCAAACGCTCGAATTTTGTAAGTGTAGGGTTGACGTTGTTTTAGATAGTGTATGGTTTTTTATTGTTTCAGGATGGGGAGGATGCGGATGCTTCCGTGTATCGTGATATAGTAGCTCACAGGATAATTCGCGGCGCCGAAGCAGTAGTTTCCGCTTTGAACATCATCACTTCGCCGCATTTGCCCCGTGAAATTTGCAACAGCGAGGTTGTGGATGCCTGCATTCGTTTCGCCAAGCATCATGCAGTCCATACTGTCTATCCCGCTTTTGATCCTCTGTACCGTTATGAAGCGCAGTCAAAAGACGGCTTCGTGGCGAAAGTCAAACAGAAGCGTGCTCGATCCGGTCAGACCAAAGACGAGACGATATTGCGTTTGTACTCCCGTTTCGAAGATATTGTAATTCTCCTGGCGGATGCTGTTATGCTGCGAGCAGTGGAAGAAACGCCATTATTTCAACTTGCTTCCTTGGGAATATCCGCTTTTTTCGTGGAGAATATTCGCGATTTGCAACTAAAGTCGTTAAGACTGGTCGCTCATATTTTCTGTCGGTACGAAAAACTTCGCGAATCAATCTGCGATGATATTTTGTCTTCTTTGGCAAAACTACCTAGCTCGAAACGGAATCTTCGGAATTATGTTGTTTCCAGTACCGAAAGCATCCAAATGATATCCGCACTGATTCTACATCTTGTGCAAAGTATTGCCCGGTTGCCTTCTAAACGCCAGCTGGTTCAAAGAAGTGACGGTCAAGGACGGATTGAAGACTACGAAGCCACGGTTTTGGTCAGCTATGATGAGTCCGTGCGGTGCGCCAAACAAATTTTATCCACCTTCTTCATGAAATGTGCGGCAAAAGGCGACGAGGACTACCGTCCCCTATTGGAAAATTTCATCAATGATTTGTTGACAATTGTTAATAAACCCGAATGGCCGGCTGCGGAGACCATGTTAAGCGTGATGGGGTTTATTTTGATGCAAAAATTCAACGACAAGACCCTGGATGCCAACTTTCGTTACGCGTCTATCGATTACTTAGGGATGATCACGGCCAGGATGAGAAGGGATGCTTTGAGTGTCAAAGAAAATCCTGATCAGCTGCAAGAACTGGTGACAAAGGTACTAAAGAATTTTGTAATGTACAGTACATATATTGATGAAAAATATTTGTAAATGGCATTTTATTTTGTTCGATTTTAAAACGAATTTATTTTCGGACTCCCTGTTCCCGCTTCCGTATAGATTAAGCAGTGTTATCTATTTGGCTTATGGTATTGCAAGCTTGAAAATTGGAATATTGGCTGACACTCGCTGAGTCGCGGGTGTATTGTCAATATTGAACCGATACTGAATTGAGCTTGTTTTTAGCTGTACCGAGCCTTTTCCATATCGGGTCACGGACTGATCGAACTTGGTGACACTATGCCTAATGAAGAACAGCTCTTTCAGCAAGGCATTCTGCATTATATCTGGCATTCGGCACCTTCTCCGAACTTTGCAGCCAATTACTACCTGGCTCAGTGGTACCATGATGCGACTCACGGCACAACCACACCCCTGTGCAAAACAGATGATGACGACACCGACAGTGATAACAGGACAATGGATGATCGGGCCCGTACTAAATCGACCGTGTTGGATTTCATGAAAGTGGCTGTGGAACATGGCCATCGACATATCGCGGCTGGCAAGGAAGTTGTTGATACGGCATCAGCGAATCTGATAGCGCGGCATTTTGCCATTAATCGCCCGTTCGCCAAAAATTTTGAGACTTATTTTAAGAGGCTGATTGCCATGGCTAATGACAACTCCATGCAGATTCGCATTCGAGCAATCAAAGCTGTTAGCAGTGTAATGGACTCTGATGGCAGTTTAATGACGCGTGACAACGTGAAAAGCCTGGTAGAAAGCCGCATGTGGGATAATTCAGCCAGTATACGGGATTCCGTGGTGGAAATGATCGGGACATACGCGAAAAATAACCCGGAACAGATCCAACAGTATTCCGACGTAATACTTATTGCACGATATAATATCGGCTGATTTCTTTTATACTTTGTCGTACTTCATGGGAAACTTTAACCTGGTTTTTTTGTGTATAGGTGCTGTTGAAACGGTTGCAAGACACTGCTCCGAGTGTGCGGAAAAGAAGTATCAAAGTTCTGCATGACTTTGTCGTCCAGTGTCCGGAACATGAACTCTGTGTACCGTTGTTGGCCAACATTATAAAGCGTATTAATGACAATGAAGAGACTGTTAAAAAGTTAGTTTACGATGTCTTCCAAGCGCTTTGGCTGGAATCGTCGCACAAGGACGATATCAAAGTGACTCATCGTGTCAGTCAGATCATTGCCGTGGTACAGATACTGGATCGGGAAAAGTTGTCTGCAACGCATTGGTTTGAGAAAATGGTAAAGGAGCTGCTCAAGCGGGGTGATGATCAGACGCGCAAGTCAGCCAAAAAGGCCTGCAAGGCAGTTGTTGACAGGATCGTCCGGAATGTTCTTGATCTTAATGTGGATATGGACCAAAAAGAAAGTCAGTGGGTTGCTGCTTCCTTTCTCACCTTGAGCATTTTTGCCAAATGTGATCCGGATTTTATTGCCGATCACATTCAGTCGTTGCCTTTATTCTTGAACCAAACTCTCAAGTCACAATCGGACCAGAAAGTCGTGTGCTTTACTGCTAATATGCTTGCCCAGATCGTCCCACTCATGAAAAATCCACCCGATTTTTTCTTGGCCCAAATTGAAGAAAGTTGTGCCGCTTTGTTTGTGAAGACTGGTATAAGTATCCCGGTAAGATTATTCTGCTACTGTTTTTATGATCGATTTTATTAGCTACCGCAGCGTACTACAGATAGCAACGAATTTAATTAAAAACAGATTTCAATAGTTGATTCACAGTCGGCACTCGGCGTATAGCGTAAAATTGTTCAGTTTTTAACGTCAGCTGAGAGTGACCAAATCAGTTTATCGCATAAATTTTGTCATGTTTCTTTAACGGTTTGTTTATCCTTAATACAATGAATGATAATATAAATCGCATCGGACATTTACTGTGGAGATTAATTTTACTGTATTACTCTTTTTTACCGGATACCGTACCTGTTTTCGTTGTGTGTTTTATTACGTATTCTGCAGGTTTGATTGTGTGTTATTGTTTTTTTAGATTATGCAAGCTGCAATGGAATGCCTTGCCGCGGTCGTCAATAATGAAACGCACAATTATGAGATTGTGAGAGGGCTTTACGAGAAGTTTTGGCAGATTCTGCAAACAAAAAAAGCCGAAACCAAAGACTACAATATTGTGGCGCCTCAGCTGCAGCGTGCCATGTGTGTCGTGTCACTTGCCGTTGAGCATTTCGACATCGACCATGAAAGTTTTGGTTTTGTTCAAATGCGAACTGACCGCGTCATCGAAACTTTCTTATCCCTGTTGCGCCATCCTTTGACTCCCATTCAGGATCGTGCCTTGCAGTCTCTCGGTTTTATTTTCATCCGCAAACCGGAAGCCATGTTGCAGAAGAAATATTCGGACATTTATAATGGATTGTTAGCATCCAGTAATCACCGGATAGAAACCAAGAAGATGGTCTTAACCAACCTGATCAAGTACTTGGAATACGAAGAATCCCAAGTGTTGATGATGGAAGGGAGTGGAACGGCTCAAGAGCACTATGCGGCACTTGATTTGAAGGGAAACCAGACGAGTGTTGTAGAATTGCCACGGAAAATTGTCTTTCATTACTTAAAAGCGACACTCGAATGTGGATTACATCCAGATGGAGGCATACGAAAGGATGTCTTAGATCTGATTGGCATTGTCGTGCGGTTAAGAATGAGCCATCCTCAGCAGGTACAATAGCACGTTTTACGGTAAAATGTTAGTAGCGGAATTTGACCTTTACTTCTAGATTCAAAGAGTTTTTGCGGGTAGTAAACAGTGACGGTTTACGTTCATTCTGGTGGTTGAAAAAGTGTATTAATATTTTGAATTAAAAGTTTGTATGCGTTCTTCTCACAACCCGGGTTAAAATCGATCGCATTATTGCGTTTGGATTTATGGTGTTGTGAAAGAGTACATTTGAAGTCCTTTTGGTTTTCGTTGCGCAGTTGTGTGTGTACTCTGGAATTTCTGGGGACTTACACTGATATGACTCAATTTTTCTTTCAGGTTATTCCCTTTTTGATTGCAATATCCACCGATCCCGAGGAGACGATGGCCGAAAAAGCAAATAACTTGCTGGATGAAATTAGCAAGCGGTACCATGCTAGCAATATCTTACCGGTAATGGCAAACATTTCTCCTGTATGCGTGCATTTTAAAAATGTGAGCGGCCTTCATTTAACCAGTGTTGTTTTTTTACAGACCAAGGCACTGAGTGGCATAAAAGAGTCATTCTCGTTTCAAAAAAGTCTACAACCGAATGTTGTGGTTCGTGGATATCGCACTGTGCTGCAAAGCGGACCTGCCAGCTTGGTTGGGAATATTTACGCTGCATTGCGAAGTGATCGCGCACAGCGGCGAATTCTCATCAATTCCATGTTAGAGACGTTCAAATTTAAAGTTAGTATTGCTGCATATCTCCTGCGCTAAAGTATAACCGGTTTTACATAAAAGAGTTTATAGGATTCTCCGTTGGATTTATTGTTGTATTTCGCGGATAATTTGGCCTATTTTAATTACACGAATCTGGACGAGCCACATTACATAATTCATCAGCTTGAACCAATTCTGGCAATGGTCAGTCCGGATGCATTGCACAGATTCCGAAAAGCTTTTAAGCTTAATCATCAGAAAAGCGCCGAGGAAATGGAGGTAAAGTATCTTCTAGAATTATAACCATTTCTGGGCGGTCTTTACTAGAGTGTGTTCATAAACCACGGCACTGAATGGGATAAATAGTTTTTCGTATTCTGGTAGTCTGCTGTGGCCAGAAATGCGGGAATATGTACTAAAAGGTTTTTAATTCGAAGCGCGCTTTTTTGGTTTAGTATTTGGAAGTGGTTAATTTGGTTTGTTTGAGCTGTTTTTTAACGTTCATTATGCATAACAGTCTTGTATAATGTGTCCTATTACTTAAAGTAAATAGGACACTGCTGTATGTGGATATGTTAGAAGGATTTTGTTTTGCAGTCTGATGAGTTGCTGGATGACGATGATTTAGAAACCGTGGATAATATGCGCCGTTGTATACCGGAAGATCTATCTGAATTGCATCAGTGCTACCGAAACTGTCAACCGTCATTACTGCTGATTGCTCTGAAAAGATTCGTGGCCAGTTTGTACTGTATTACACCAGCTAAAGCTAAGGAGTACCTGCCTAGTGAGCCAAAACAAGTTTGGGAAAAGCCAGTCACTTCGCGAAGAGCTAACTGCAAATACGAACCAACTGCGGTTTGTGAATTTGTTTCCCGTGAAATGAGAGGCGAGCTATCTGATTTCCTGACACCACAGTTACTGATAAAAAAGTTCCTTGAGGTAAGAACTAAGAAGTTGCTTAGTGTTCTTTGTTTTTTGTTTGACATTACAATTTCCCTCATTTTCTACTGAATTAACAGTGCAAAAAAATTTCTGGTGTCGGTTATCGCAAATGTGATTTACTATCTTGACTTCGTGAATTAGGAACGTAGCACTTCAGGTTGGTATGTAATCGGTTAGTCGTGTATTCGTATTATTATAAATATCATTTTGCATAAGTATGTATGACCTTTGTTGGTCTCCTGTTTTTCCAGTTTAAAACTGTTGTTAATCTTATTGACGATCGCGAAACTGCCGGTGATGATGTACCTAAACCTGGCGCTTCTGATTCCGTTGCACCGGACGGTGACGATATGGATGATCTGGACGATGATGAGCATAATGTGGTGGATAATGTAAATGAAGCGCCCGTTGGGTCTCCCGCACCTACCGCTTCCAATTCCGTTGCGCCAGATCCAGTCAGTGAGTCTTCCACTCCCCAGAAGAAACGCAAAGCGGACGCCTCTTTCAAAAAACCTCGTCCACCCAAAAGACGTTTGGAGCCGGGTACTCCTAAACGGACACGTGGTCGGCCTAAGCGGGAAAAGGTTGCACAGTCAACCAGTGATTCAGAAGAAGAGGACGAAAGCTACAGACCGTAAAGTATATTTATTTTATCGTGTTTGTTCTGGTACAGATTAGTTGGACGGGATCTCTACGCGGAAATGTCGGTGACAGCTGTTTATAGTCGATTTTGGGTGTGTTGTACAGTATTTCCTCTTGTGTTGAAAGAATTTGGCGCACCAGTTACAGTATTGTGGCAGCAAATTTTGCAGCATTTTTGGCCTTGTTTATTTGTTTTAGAACCGGAATTTTGACCAGCAGTGTTACGCTGGGTCTCGGTCGTTGTGCGTCTAAGAAAATTGAGATTCTCTTGTTGTTGATTTGTTATGTCTTAAATATTCCTTCGTTTTATTTGTATAAATTATGTGTTAATTTATGAATTGTTCGTCCTAAAGTTACTGTAAATAATTATGATGAAAGGATTCCGCGCGAGTGACCTTTGGGTTCGGAATTATCTTGCGCTCCACAAGCCACACAACTCACCCTTTGGAAAACGCTAACCAGTAACCACACATGAAAATACGAAATATTATAATTCATGAACGGTCTTGCGCCTTTTCCGCCGGAAGGCATCCGCGTCATGGAGGGTTAAACAGTATCCTATGTGGAAGTCTTGTGTCCGCAGGTGTCCCGGCGAAACTGGAGCCGCGCGGTACTTCTCATGCAACAGAACGTCGCCCGGACGGCTGCACGACCTTTGCTTGGAAACGCGGACTGTGTCTCGCATGGGGCGTAACTTGTGTAGATACGGTCGCACCGGCCGTCGCATGTTAAAGCCACTTCCGCTACCACGGGAGCGGCCGCTGTGCAAGCAGAGGAAAAGAAATCCAGATTGTGCTCCTATTTGGTCGGCCGCTACCTTTTCGTTCCGATCGCTTTCGAGACGATGGGCACGTGGGGTCCGTCAGCGATCGCATTCGTTAAAGAACTGGGAAGAAGACTGCAACAACACACCGGAGAACTACGTTCGCATGAATTTCTACGACAGAAACTCAACGGGGAAATGCGTCGTCAGTGCTAGGCTCGATGGAAGGGTTGGACAAACTAAACGAAATTTTTATGTTGTAGTTTGTGTGTCCTTTGAAGTCCTTTCTAATAATTTGCGTATTGCATTTTGATTTGACCAATAAAGTTCATGAACTGCAGACACCGAAAGTCCCGATTAAAGACAAGTACAAAGCAGATTTGTAAAATTTCGACAGCATTGTCAAAAAAGCAGAAAATTAATGGAAAAGTGTTAGCTATTTAAATACTGTAATAAGTACTAATAACTGCGAATTAAAAGGCACTGATTGATTTTGGCGGCTATGGAATGGATGATGCAGCCGCCGTGTAATCCTGGCCGCTGCACAGGAATTTGGAGCGCCCTCTGACGTTGTCTGAACGCGTGCGCTTGCAGATGGCGCATTTGCATTTCGAAGCAAGGATAAGGCGTCATAACCGGGAATGGAAGTTATGCGTCATCATTTTGCCATGCATAGGGCCTGTAACAAAGCACTAAACAGAATCATTTGATAATGTTCCCTGTACTACTGCGCTCTATATGCTTGACGGTGCCCGATTCATCACCACAAAATCGCATGTTGTGCAAGTGCAGTCTTTCTGATACTTGCTGCTGGACGCGAAGTATCTTTGTTTTCCCATAATTGTTTTTGTTTTTTTCTTCTGAAAAGGCCCTATCCATCTCGCCGGTTGCATTCTGGACATACCTTAATCGTGGAACAATTTGATCGGGATCAAAGGTACGTCCACGCAAGGTCAGTGTAGAGAACTAACACAAATCCGTGTAAATTTCTAGTTAGAGCTACTTTCGTTACCGAAGCTTCGCTGTACGAGTGTCAAATGAGCTTTGTGCAAGAATTTGCAGAAATCCCAAATCTCTGTTGATCGATAGATTGAATGCAGTAGTTCTAGAATAGTAGAATGTGTGGCTCCCTCACAGTGTTACTGTTCCTGTGGGCAGTCACGAGGGAAATATTCTAGAATCTAGAGATTATTTTATGTCGTTACTCATGCTCTTGCTTACGCTTTCCCTCAAGGTCCCTCTTTTGTATAGTTTCCACGAAACGAAAACGAAGTATAACAGGCATGTAGTTAGACTGTGTTTGAAGACTGAGTATTAGAACATGTTCGGGAATACGCGTCAGAGGAGTACAGTTGGAGTCGCAGCAGTCAGAACGAGGAGAGCTTCGATGATGTTTAGGCAGTTTAGCTGCTAAACTTTAGCAGGCAACTTCAGTACTTACAGTCCTACCAGAACTGTAGGACTCGTATTCCGTTGATTTTTAACTTTTAAGTAAAGTTTCACGGCGCCTGTCGTGACTGAGGAACTTCGAGTAATTTAATGAAAACACGCTGTAGGTACTTATACGATGGTAAAAATTTGCCGATGGTACTTATACGATGGTAAAAATTTGTAAGATTGTGCAACCTATCTGCCAGTAGAAACTGAGTTACAGTATATACGATCTTATTCTTATAATAATTTTTCTTATCGGACTGTGCCTCTTTCGTTTACTGTTGATTTTAATATGTACCGTAGATGACAACTTTTGGCCATGTTTACCGGTTTTGCTTATATGGTTACTATTACTGTACTTTTGTAATAACATTGTAATAATAAATTCCTTGCTACTGTAATAAATTCATAAATTGATCCAGAATATCTATTTATTCTGTTATTATTAAATATTATGTCGCATTTATTAACTGCTTTTTAGTGGTATTGGGTCTTGCTGCTGGGTAGTGTTCACAGTTACACTACAAAAACCAAATTAAAATTAAACTAATTAAGCTCTAAATTAGCAGTAAATAATTTTAGCGCGGTACTACTTCCATACCACGGCTATTCCCCTCTGTGGTCTGTTAGAAAAATAGGAGCATACCAGTAACAAAATTTCTCGTTTTTAAGACAGTGAAATGCAGTGGAGGTTTGATGAACCAGCTACTTTTTAAATTCCGGTTATTTTACCGTGACGACGATGTGTGGAATAGTTAATAATAAGTAATAAATAAAGGACACTATGTTTGATTATAAAGATATTGCTTTAGAGTTAGACACTCTAAACGGTTCTCGTTATGAAACCCTGTACTAAAACTACTGCATGAGGACTGATGAGGTAGAAACTAGAAAGTAGAAACGTATGGGTGCAACTTGCAAGTCGCGACCAAAGTTCTCTGCCTGCGTCGTCATTATTATTATTTACGTTTGCTGTTTGATTTTCTGGTAGATTATCGGGGACATGTAACAATCCACATGTTGACAAGAACTTGCTTAGTATTCGCACACAGCCGCATTGGACTTATCAATGTACAAGACTTTCCGCAAACCGCGATCACCAGCTGTCTATGAGCTAGCCCCTGCGCATTCCTCCCAAGTACCACCCGCCAGCAGCGCCCCGCATGATTCTCATCATTCTCATCGGCACGATGAGAGTGATCACGTTTCCGTGTTAGCCATGTCACGAGGTGTTCTCCATGCCAGCAACCACCACACCGGGGACCAATTGCCCTTTCATTCCGCCTCCTCCTCCAGCAGCCGAAGCAGCCACGCCCAGGGAAACGTACAGAGTCTTCATCAGCAAGCCAGTGTAAACCATAGCAGCTCGAATTCGCACATTGCCCATAGCAACGCTAATTCCGCCACGGCTGCATTGCGTTGGAAACGCAAGCGCGATGATCTTTTGTTGGAGAATGGAGTTGATGTTGAAAATGTTGCCTCCTCTTCATCATCCTCGGGCGCCAACGCTAATTCGGGTTCGCTCTGGCGTACTGGCCACAATCAGCATCATCACCGCGACCATGTTGCCCACAATGGAAATCCTGAGGTGTCTGTAATTGAACCAGTCTCTCCTGCCTTTCCCATACCGCGTAAGAAGATGGCACTGACCGCCGCCATGCATCAGAATGTCAACAATCATGCTGCCGCTACCACCACCGTGGCCACAACCACTACAGCCACGAACAACAACACATCCAACGTGGCATCGCAGAGCGGTAACAGCAGTGATGGCGAGTATCATTTGGTTAAGCATGAGGTGCTGTGTTCCTTGTCGTCGCGCTATGAGGTCCTGGAGTTTCTCGGACGAGGTACCTTTGGGCAGGTGGTGAAGTGCTGGAAGCATGGGACCAATGATATTGTGGCGGTTAAGATTCTGAAGAACCATCCGTCGTATGCCCGGCAAGGCCAGATTGAGGTGTCGATTCTGTCGCGTTTGAGCCGTGAGAATCCGGAGGACCACAACTTTGTGCAGGTGTTCGAGTGCTTCCAACATAAAAATCATACATGTTTGGTGTTTGAGATGCTGGAAGTGAACTTGTACGACTATCTCAAGCAGCAGAAATTTGCCCCGCTACCACTGAAGGTCATTCGGCCTATTCTGTATCAAGTGCTGGTGGCTCTGCTGAAGTTAAAGAATCTCGGATTGATTCATGCGGATCTGAAACCGGAAAATATAATGCTACAGGATCCCGTGCGACAACCCTACCGTATTAAGGTATGGAGAATGGTATTAAATTTGGGGGAAAATGTGAAAGTATTTTTGTTTCGCATTATTCCGACTAATCGATTTGCGGTGTTGTACAGCAAAACAGTAGTTATTGTGCATACGATATTCCTTATCCGGTGGGGTGGCTTTTACGCATGATAGTTTCGTTTGAAGGCAATTTCCATGCATCGATTAGTGAATTTTCCGATACATTCTTACAGGATTCGATTATTATTTCCAGTTGAATATGCCTGCCCTTTGAACTGCAGCAGATGTGTTGATAATGTTCTCAGTAAAGCATTCAGTTGTTCGTAGAAGCGTACCTGATTCAGCTGAAAAGTTTATTACATAGAACTTCCGTTATTTTTCAGGTGATAGATTTCGGATCGGCCAGCTACGCCAGCAAAGTGATTACGTCGACATACCTTCAGTCACGCTACTATCGTGCTCCGGAAATTGTGCTGGGCTTGCCGTTTTGCGAGGCAATTGATATGTGGTCATTGGGATGCGTGGTGGCCGAGTTGTTTCTGGGTTGGCCGTTGTATCCTGGAGCTAGTGAATATGATCAGATCCGCTACATTTCGCAGACACAGGGCTTGCCGCCTGAACATATGCTAACCAATGCCACTAAAACAACTAAGTTTTTCTATCGGGATACGCGTGGAATCTATCCATTCTGGCGTCTGAAAACACCCGAAGAGTATGAACTAGAGACACGACAGAAGACCAAGGAGGCCAGAAAATACATTTTTAACTGCCTCGATGATATTATTGAAGGTAAAATAAAGCGCTTTTTTTATTCGTTTATAATGTGCTGTCATAATTTTTGTAGTACTAGTATATAAAGAAGTTTAAATGACGTGTAGTTGAATTATGTAGCTGAAAATTTGGCCATTGTTTTCGTTCGCTTGTATGACATTACGTGCAGTTACGAGACATATGTTTTGTCGTTTTGTATAGTTCATCCAAACACGCATCTGGCGGGGCAGGATCTTTTAGCGGAAAAGGGAGATTGTGCAGAATTTGTGGATATTTTGAAGAAAATGTTGACAATGGATCAAGAACGACGAATCACACCAGCGGAAGCACTACATCATCCGTTTCTGATGCTTAACCATCTGGCAAACTACGCGACATCTACGTATGCAAAGCAGTCGGTACAATTGATGAGCGTATGCCAAAGACAGCGCTCACGACAGCCACAGACATCACCCACCACGGAAACATCAAGAGCCCCTGTTTTCGGCACAGCTGTGCCGGGATTCGATCAGGGAGTGCCACGTCTTGCAGGTTCGTGAAAGTGTATAAGCATTCCATATGCAAGCTTATTCAGTGTCAGGAAATTGTTGAGATTATGCCTAAAAATTCTATATTGGATGGCTGAATACGGAATAGATAAGTACATGCAAATGCAAAGCGTTATTGAATCGTAAAGGTGTATTGTAAGTATTATTGGGGAGCTAGGCATCTTTTTTTGTAACCATTGTGATTTAATTCTGCTCGATGGTGCGCGATGTATGCTAATTAGTGTTACTTCCAATATCACCAGGGTATTTTGCGGGTGGTGATTTTCGTGATACATTGGACTCCATCCAGAACTCGTTTATGCGATCGGCGGCTGCGGTTAACAATCCGGTACAGAGTGCGGCGACTCGACATGCTCATGCTAACACCAATATTGGCACAATCGGTGGCTCATTTACTGATCCGGCCATTTACTCCGCTGGTCCATTATACATACCGTCTGCATTCTTTCCGCAAGGCTATCCTGGAATTAATGTCCGGTCTTTCGTTGCCCCAACGGAGAGTTTGTTCCCGTTCATTAAAGTACCGGATGCAACGACCGCCGCAGCCGCCGCCGCCTATCGGCAAGGGACGGCGGCCGGTGTTACGGGTTTAGCGGCAACCGCGCTTCCTTTCCTATCCCAGGTAATACTAAAAAATGAATGTGTAGTTGTGGGTTTCAAGTTTTCCACTAAAGCCAGTGGATATTTCTGCGAATTTTGCGCTTGCAGTAATTTTTTACTACAATGTGCAATGTTGTTATTTTAAAGGTCTCTGGGAATCCGCAGTTCGCGAACCAATGTACAGCGTTGCCGGTTATGAATCCTGGTGTATTTATTACTAATCCGGCCGTGCCGACGTGCTGGCCCGTAATAAAAATGCCGGATGCAACTTCCATCCCGGATGCTTATTCCCATAGCATCGCTTCACTTGGTCTTCCTGCGGCGTTCTATGATCTGCGGACATTCAAAGCCGACCTGCCGACGCAACCTGAACATCCCAGCGTAATTTCGCATACGTCAAATTTAACCAGCTCATTGTATCCGGATGCTTGGTATCAGGGGCCATCGTTGGCAGGTACGAGTACACTAACATAAAGAAATCGAATTGAAACTGTATTATGCATCGTAGTTTGCTGTCCTTCAGTATTTTTTATTATTAATAATTTCATATACTGTTAGGAAGATTTTGATGGAGTTTATGACTCGCCTTGCGATCGAATTTACTCTTGGTTTTCATTATGTGGCGCTTGTTATTCAGGTGGAAACAACACGTCATCAAATCGATTTCCCGGCTTTGATGCGTACACCGTGGACGTGAAGCCCAGCCTGACGAGTAGTGATCGGTCCGCTATGGAGTCACCAACTTCAACGACATTCCCGTCGTACCGTCCAGAGCCCACTTCATTCCATCAGCGCGCTAATTGCTCCAATCTATTTGGGGGAACGCCAGTGGAGGCCTTGAATTTGTCGGCGGCTGCCGCGGCGGCAACATCGTCATCATCGTCCAGCAACGATCGCAGTTCGGATCTGCGCCGATCACATCGTAATGTACCATATGGGGATATCTATACAGCACGCAACGCCGCCACTGCGCAGGATGCGGAGCGCTATTTCACGGGTGGCAGTGCCGTCTTTGAAGCGCCCACCTCCACAAACAACCGCAACACTCTGAACCATTCCAGTGTGGCCCACCGTTTAAACCATCCATCCAGTTTCTTCCAAAACAGTGGCAGCCAGCGCTTGGCTCCCACAAGCAACTTCGACTATTGGTCCAATGTGTGAGTTCGAGTGTTGTGGATTAATTTGGGGGTGTCTTTTATCATTTCCTCATTTTTTTGACTGTGTTTAAGCCTTTGACGTGTGGCAAGGTTTTTTTGCTTATAACAGTGTGGATGCTAACGCTAGATTTTACTTACTACTTTTGGCTGCGCTGAAGCATTTTTATTTAGCGTTGTTGTGACACCCCCTTGCGTACCGTACCGGAGCTTCTGGATACTGTCCGGATTACGCTTTTCGGTCATCCGCTAAACGTAACTTTTTTGCTTTTAAATTTTCATTTATTGATTATTTTTGGCGATTGGAAAGCGGCTGTGAGAGAGATGCATGGTGAAGGAGACCAAGTGGACCAGAATTGTTGTGGTAGCGTCCGCGATGGGTGGTTGGATGGCGACGGATGGTTATTTGATGCGGAGGATCATGCGTGGCTTTTATTAGTGGATGCAGATGCAGCCAGGCGTTTGCTCCACTATTGTCACTTTGAATCGGGTCAGATTCGTGATGCTGTGCTCCTGTGGATGGATACTCCGCGGCATATATGCGTTTCTGTCCGCTTCTGTGCCAGCCGTGGTTATTGGGATACAGTGGTTGAGTGTGTGTCTCTTTAGCTTCTCCTGAATTGTGTATCTGGCACTTACTTGGCACGGCTCTGACTTTTTATTTAATCGACGGATTAATTGTCCGTTCGGATTCTGACTTGGGAATGAGGACGAATGCCAGTGAATTTTGTTGTGGTTTTGAATGCTGAAATTTGCATTATGTAAGTACGAACGCCTCAAGTTTGTTGATGGAAATAAACATTTGCTTACATTGTTGATGAACTGACAAACTGATTCGAGAAAGATGAAAACTGAAATCAAACTTCGCTGATCAACATGCAGGAACAAGATTCGATATGGCAGCGTTAAATGGTACTACTCAACCCAGAGTGAAATACTTTTTCCAGAGCGAAATACTTTTTTTATAATACCCAGAGTGAAATACCTTATAAAATGTGGGCTTTTTTACGAGCTTATGGTTAATGTTTTGTGACTTATGGTTATACGTGCAGTCCTCTAATACAAGTTACTGCATATACTGTTACCAGACGCAAAATAGTTTCTTTTGCGATCACTTTATTTGTATCATTATTACTCTAACATAATACTGCTCTGCATACATCGCGCGTCGGCGTGTGCTACTCTCGTAAATTTCCGTATCGGTATGGAAATAATCTTTCCGTCGCTTGCCTGGTACATACAGTACATCATCGTGCGCATATTCTGTAGGTCACAGTCACATATGCGTGGCAAGAGGAGAAATACATACAAAATACCAAGCATCTCAACAGACAAAAAAACATCTTTTGACAATTTTGAAATTTTGATTATATTGTTATTTCGAAAACTTTTTTACTGTTTCTCAAATCAAATGCTTTAATGGGAGCATGATTCTCCACCGGCTGACTGGTACAGTTGGGCGTCAGCAGCGGCGTTTCCGGCAGCTTCGCACTGGGATTGGAAGGAGAATTGGCGGGCGACGTCTGATTGGATGGAAGATAGCTATGGGGGACGGCATTGTGCGAATTGACCATGATTTTGGTGATGGTGACCAGTGGCGTGGTGGGCGTCGTCACGGCGTTGACCGCGGGCGGCAGTAGCCGGTCTTCTACCGAATGCTCATTGTTGGTGTCGGTGTCGCCGGTGGCCTCGGCGGATGCCGTGACCAGATCGTCCGTCCCGTTGGACGGTGAACTGGGCATGGCCGGTGTGATGGTGCCGGGATTCATTGTCGTCGCAAAGCTGACCAGGGAGGAGGGATCGGCGGCCATGGCGGCCTCCGTCATGGCGCAGAGCTTCTTGGTTAAATGAGGGTTGCCAAGGCGCATATTCTTTGATTTGAGCAATTCTAATTGAAGATACAGGCGCTTGAACTCGTCCTGCAACAAATTATGCTGACAGTAAACCACCCTGCACTTGTCGCACCCCCCGAGGTCTGACAAAGGTCACCGCTTAGCAACTGGCGTCAAGAAATATACCTGTATTTCTTGTGGCGTTAAGTGACCAGGCAGTTGACCTTTGTAAGAGTCCGTATTGAGCGTGGTGGCCTGGGAAACACTGGAGGAAGTTAATGGCAAGGTACTACGCTGGGTTTTTTTGGTAATAAATTTCCCACTACTCCGTGTTTGTTCGATATTTACACCGGTCGGCTGCTCGGGACCTTTCCCGAGACCTTTGTACACCATGTACGCCTGCAAAGAATTCAGTTGTTTTTAAGCGGCATGCAGGCATGTTTTTATTTTTATATAACTGCATACTTTGCTGCCAAACAGTAATACCAACACGACGGTCGTCGTGAGCTGCGAATGAGCAAAAAAGATGATGTATAAGAGATCAGGATCGGCGTTCTTCTGAAGAAATAACCTACAGACACACCAGAAAACGTTTTCTATTAGCACTCTGTTTATGCGTTCCAGCTGTCACTGACGATACTGAAGATTGATGGTCGTGCTAATCACTAATTACAAAAATATTCATCCTGAATAGAAACGTGAAGGATTACTGGAAAAGGTCAGCAGCTGCCGGCAATTACGCCTGGTCTATTTTCAATACATCGGAAAAAATATTCGCGGCCAAACAGTCGTGTGATTGATCATCGTTATATTATTGCATATATATATAATATACTCACATGGATATATTAAGAAATAATGAGAGGAGAAATTCATTGTAAATGGCCCAGCTGATGAATTTGCTTTCATTAAACTCCGATGGAGCTTTGCGAACGACAAAGCACAGTTTGATGCCCCAGAGTAGCAGAAGTAATTCGCCTGTAACGAGATGGCAGTACAGCGGCGGTGCAAACGGTTTTTGCATCATAATAGTGTTGATTAGGGTGAAAACGCAGGAAAAATGAACGGGTTAGGAATTGTACCTCCCGCTTGGCAGTAATCCCAGTAATCCGTCGTACATAAATAGGCTTTGAGATTGTTCTCCGTCTTAACGGTCCTAACGATCGGCGGCGACAGAACCGTGCGGATGGTTAAAAATGCCCCGAATGCAGCTACGATCGCGCAGAGCCGCTTTACGAGGTTGTTATCCGTAATTTTCACTCTTTGAGCGGACCGGACGCGAAAGACCACGGAGATTCTGTCGGCAAGAAGAAACCACAACATCCGTTATTTAATGCGAATTGCTTCTGTGTGGCGCCGGTCTGACTTGCCATCTTCAGTCGGCGGCACAGTGACTATACGGTTATAGTAACCAGCTAAATAAGTGCTTAAGAATGACGTATGAGAAGCAAGAAGCTTAAATTATTTTTTTAATGCGCAGCATTGATTTACGGATCACGTGCACAACTGTCTGAATGCTTAAAATTTGTGTACAGTTGAAAATACTTGCGCAGCATTAATTTAAGAATCGTAAAAATGTTATACGTAGAAGGATGACAGCTCGTTGTATTTGCTTGACCGTAGTACAGTGTATATTCTATAAATCTGATAATCGAATTATCTGCATACAGATATTACAGAGCGTACCTCCATGTTTTGAGCAAGAGAGCACCATACGAAACGGAAAATCCAATGCCTCTGAGCCAAGTGCGAGTGTTACACAGGACAAGAGTCGGGACGGGAAATAGTACTACAATCTAGAACACATCAAATATGATTAGGTTGGATACGATTGTTCGGTATGGATTTTTTAATATATATGTGGCAGATCGGGAAAATATACGGTATAGCGCATGTGCGAGTGATATATTGCAGGAGTACATACTGGTCCATATAATAAGAGCGCGCCCAGTAATACTAGTCGCAGCAGGACGGGACTGGCGGCTTTGATCACTTTAACTTCGGCATAGCGGAAAGTGAAGTAAAAAAGCACCGGAAGACATGCCATGACAATAATCACGGCCACAAGAATGGCCGTCCGCAGTGTCCAGTTTAAGCTGGCAATACAGGGCGTGGCATCTTTACAACCCTCCGTGCAGCCTTCCGGGCACGGTAAGCAGAGGAAACCGTCTTCGTATGAATTATTCAATCCCTACAAAAAGAGTTTTTTAGCTGCTGTTTATACGAAATCGTAATACATGTACTTTTGTAAAATTATAAACGTTTAATTAAATTCTGCGCCGGTAGGTAGATTACGTACATATTGGAGCGCTCTGCACCGAATTTTCTGTACCGACCACAGAAGCCTACCTCCTTGTATCGAGAAAATTAACAGAATCATATGTTGCGGCTGAATATGAAGCAATTACATTTAAAAGCACCTATGGTAATTGCCTTATTGATTCTGCGTGACAGGCCTTTGCTGTCCAAAGGAAAGAAGACCAGTAGAAAAATGAATATATTGTTTGGTAAAAATTAATAGCATTTATTATCGTTCATTAATCAGGGTGCGTAGCAAAGGCCTGAGCTTTCAACACGTATATGAAACTCTCTGATTGCCAATATATCGATCCAGCTGATTACGCGTGGGAAAGCAAAGCATTGTTGCCGGTAGGAATGATTTGTCGAAACGCAAGGCTTTTCGATTATAACGGTGTGTATTAATGACTGGGACAACGGAAGGGCGTCGAGGAATACAAAAAGGAGAGTTTGACATACCTGCTGGTATTTCTCATATTCCTGCTCGATAATGGTGCCATTAAAATAGTTGCGCCCATCGATATAGGCCGACCTGTCAGGAAAGTAGAATCCCTGAACACATTGACATTTGTACGATCCACGGCTGAAGCCTAAGCCGGAAATGGGTTCGCACTACGAAAAAGCACATATTAGTCAACAGAACATCCATATACAGTATACGCATACTGCACGCGCCGTTGACGAGGCTAAATGCCTGATAAATGCTGAAAAATATTTGTTTGTCAGTTAATGTACCACCGCATCCGTCGTAGATTTACCGGAAATTTTAGAAAGAGCATAGACATTAAAGATCAGGTCATTAAGGTGCCCGACCCGGCCTGTACCTGTGTGGTCGTTTTGCACTTTGCCGAACCGGCAAACACATTGGGCTCGGTTACGCCGGCTTTTGTTGGACATTGGTCAATATCGACTCGCCGGAGATCAATGTCGATGCCACTTGTTCCCCTAAAAATGAATATGTTCATAATATCAATGACTGAGCAGCTGAAAATTATATGCAATTTGGAATTGTCATTCGCACAATTATGTAATTGCAAGTAAAACTCTGTAAAAGTAAAACTTCAAACTGGAACTACGTGAGAAATCAGTTACTCATATTTATAGGCAATAGATCGCAAGACGACTCAAATAAAGCAACTGCAGTACTGGCCGCGGACAGTAGCGGTATCGTGTTTTCTGCATTTATAAGCAGTCGTTAGCCAGGTGGACATAATTTGACTGATCATTATCGTTTCTTTATTCTGGAATATTAAATGGGCGATAAAATTCCTTTTGCTTCTGAATGTATTAATTGCCATGTTCTAATCTCTGCTCATACGGAGCATTCCAATTTAACAGTGTGAAAGGTCACCGTTTCATGCTTCAGCAATCGCTACATCCGGGCTTTACTACCGGTTGAAGAGCGGATTTCGATTATACCGCATCGCTGCCACAAGTGGGTTACGCAAGAATCAGTGCAATTGCTTAAATTTCTCCAGTCAGAACGTAGCATATCCCATCTTTAGTGGCCTTAATATTTCATATAACCAGCATGAAGATTATGTTTAAGATCCTTTCCTAATCCAGTGTTTACAGTGATAATTCGGTTAAGTTGTAAGGTTCTGACATTTGAGTCGGCCTTGTTAACTTGCTGATCCTAGCGCCTCGAGGTGACATTATGCATTTCATGACGATCGATGGGATTTTACTTCTCATACATTTGTTGACTCAACTTTTGACTTGGAAGGTGTCTCCACAAGAGTCTACACAGTAACCCACTTATGACAATAAGAAATCGGCTACCGTATAAATAATCAGATTAACTTCATTCGAAATCAATGAAATTCAACCTGCTAAAGTAATAACTCTCGCACTTTCAAGGTATATTTTTTCGTTGTGTTCTTCCGTTTTGTTAGAACTAGAACTCGATTTAACAGTTGGTTTTAATTATCAAATTAATAATTTGAAAAGTTTTTTTTCCGTAACTAAGTAATGTTATCATTGTAATTTTTTTAACATAAAATTCACACACAAAATTTTGCATTTTTTCTTAAATAGATTTTAGGCATTTTATTGTTGTATTTGTATTGCACAGTCGGTACTGATAGTTGCACGTTGTACACATAGACCGAACTAAACGTGGTTTTTCCCTTTATGGTTTGTACGTATCAGATCTGTTACGTAAAAAAACTAGTCTCCTCCGAAGAATCCTTAATTTTTATTCACGATGAGCAATAAGCATGTGTTTTGATGTGGAAAACATTTATACTTACATAAAATGGTACTGTTGTGTAGTCCAGTTAAATCCAAAGAAAGGCACAGTGTAGGTCATCATCCATATATTCCCTCCGCCGCAATCATAGTACGGCTTACTCCAGTGACCATCTTCGTACGTAACCAACACAATTTCCTCGGTTAAATTGTGCTTGAAAAAGTAGTTTTCACCTGCAAACCATAAATTATCATAACCCTATTATTAAAAATTTTATCATGTAGTTTTGGAAGTACAAGGTGTAGATGCTGCAGTATAACCGTAGTTATTTATATTAATGTAACATGCATCACTGCAAGATATTGCGCTACTAATGTATTTGAAATTAAATTATTTGTGCCGCATTCTTGCATTTATCGATAACTTTGAACATTTAATAAACACTGCAAAATATTTTCCAGGGTGAGAAGCAGAAAAAAATATGGAAATCGATAAATCGATGTGCACATGGTCTTGCAGAATAGCTTATGAATAAAATATTATTCTGAACCATACAAGTTTGAATCATGTCGATAGTGATCAAATTTTAACGTTTAGAGACGCCAATGGGCCTTTCTGGCTAACAAGTGCAAAGGCAGCGTGCGGTTGTAGTAATAACTATAATATTGTTTGTTGCCCAGCTTTATATTAAATGTCAAATCGGAAGGAGTTGGCGTCGCGCTGCAACACAATCCACAGAAAACCGGAGCAAACGGCATATACTTCCGGAACAAAGTGAGGAGAGCGCTAGGACTGTTTCACAAGATAGGAGGAATAAAGTGGAGCGATTGTGATGAGTTTGTTAAAACTAATGAGCCTCCTGATTACTCAAGGATAGGAGTTTGTTAATGTAGAAAGCCCCGAATGAGCTCATTTATTGTATGTCTGGATGTATATGCTGTTGCGGCAACACAGTGCATGTGTGGTGTGTGTATGTGTGTCGATTTCCCACTGTCAGCGATTTCCTTTCCGGCTGCTGCTGCGGGTGCGGAACGGACAACGGGAACGAAATCGATATTTATATGTATCTGTTGCTCTCGGATTGTGATGCAAATTACAGATGTGGATGCGGCTAACCATAGATTTCACAAAGCGTTCCGCTAGATAAAGAAACTTTCCACCCAAACTAACCGATATCAATTTGATCAATAATCACTAGCATGGAACCAATACAATTGTCTTTGTGCCACTTCTATATACTTGTGGCGGAGCCGGAGCAATTTGATAAGCAAGACATGCAGGGTGACCAAGTTAGAATGAATTGTCATTAATAATTTACCGCGTAATAATATAACCAACTCAACGTTAGTTCAGTTGAGCATTTGATCAAATCGGTGATCAACGGCGTAGATTGTACCGATACTTCGCTGTGGTTGCAGCTGCGGCACAGCCCAATTAGAATCGGTGCAAGTCTTGTGCAAAATCGTTAGACTGATTTTACATAAAAATTTAATGCAAAACAATAGATTCAGAACATTTTGTATAACGTGCAAGTGTGTCATGAGTGCAGCTATTGATAAATCATCTATAATTATGAAAATCGATTACTTGGTTTTGCAACAGCTGTAGGTTACGAATTTGCAATTGCCCGGAAGTACAGAAAAAATAAGTTGCAAATGCAGTAAAGATATACGTATAGATAATATAAAACTGAATATTTTTTTATTATCATTACCGCAGATGCAACGTGATCTGTCATACCGTAAACTTTACTAGTTGTACTGTACAATACATTTATACGACTGCATAATGCGTACTGCGTAGAGTGTGCTTCTGCAGTATACATAATTCGTAAAACTGCTGCGGACTACAGTACGTACGTAATTATCCTGATTAAACAAGATTTCGTATGTCCGATACCCACCATCAAATTAAATTAATTTATTATTGAAATGCACTGATTTGAAAGCTTTCTCAGTAAAATTTGAATTTGGTGTAAGAACGTACTGTAGCGGTTTGCCATTACTGTATGCCCTATATTTTAAAATTTGCTATCTACTTATAAACAAATAAGAGTAACGTTTGACAGCTGTTTTCGCGTTTCAGTTAATTTTAATGGCCTCTTGCGAAAAAATAATCTAGGTTATTTAAAAGTGTAATGATGTAACGTGACCAAAAGTTCGGAACAGAGAATAGATAACGCATCGGGTCAACGCAATTTCAGTTTCAGTTGTAAAATGATCTTTGCCGCTGTTTCTTTTTAATTTATGACCATGGACACATGAAGTAATATGCATAATATGTAGCATGAAATGATGGCAGACAGAGTAAAATATACCGTAAACTCACGCAAGCACATTAGGAGAACACACTCATTTACTGTAGCAGCGGGCAGTTTCGGAAAGCCACGCTTACGAAGGTACATGAAGAATGGTGCGTCTTTTGAATGGCTTTCATATAATATGCTTGTCGATCACGCATTTATTTCCTTCCCCAAAGGACTACAGCTGTGTCTATGGATTGTGGCTGTATTTCCGGCACCAACGGTGGTCCAGAGCATGGTTACGGCACATAAACGCAGCAGGGACATTCGCGTAGTGCTAGCACTTCACAGCGCCATAAAACAGTTTTCTGCTGACATTGCAGTGGCCAAATGGGTTTACATCGTAATTGAACGTTTAAAACCATTGTCCAGTCACAAATTCCACCCCTATTGTTTTGTGTTTATGACCTTTGCATGCAAATATATTTCTGAAATTTAAGTGTATTTGTTTAACACCCACCGAGTTACTTGAATCACAGAAATATAATAAAAGAACTTGTAGAATTAGGGACGTTCGTTATATGTTTCCGCAGGAAATCTACTCGATATTCGGAAGTTAGCTGTTGTGCGCCCAAAGTCCGCGATCATTTCATGACGGAATTCTGCGCGTCACTCACTAAGAATGAACATCCTGATAAAACTGATTACGACAAAGTATTATTGATTGCCAGCCAAAGAACATTAAGGGGTATTTTATAATTCATTAACAGGCGATGTGTCATTCTAGCGAGATATATTCACGATTCTAAATTTTATTGGGAAATTTTCAATAACTCCGCGTGTGCCCGGCTGGCCGGCGTTGTTATTTAAACAATAAAATACAGAAGCTCGTTGAGCGGATGTCAAAGCTGCATATGCGCGCAGTGAATTAAACGAAATTGATGAAGTCTCCGATAGCCGCCTGGATTCGGTCAAATGCACTTTTCCAAAACATTACACTGCAATAGATTGTGTGCACACAGTGAACGACACTGCAATAAATAATATAATTTCATATCTGCCACGCAAAATGCGCATAATGTACGGGCGTACTACATCCGTACATGTATTGTACGTATAATATTTTCAGTTTTTCAATTCACTTAATAGTAGCAAGGTACTAGCAACAGTGGCTGTTTTTTTGTACCGCCCAACATCTTTACACGGGCATTTGACTTCATAAGTTAAATTTTTAGTGCATCTTGTTAGCAACTTACTTAGCAGTAATAAACTGCGCATGTGCGCATATTACGGACTAATACGGGCGTCTGGAATGAGAAATCAGGTCGTGTACAGATGTTTTTGCGCATGGTCAGAACTGGAAGAGAAGAACTTTGGTGTCTTATTTAATTTTTCAGTCGGATCTGCTGCAATGACATTCTCCGGAACTTATTTTCACTGATGTAAGGCTATAAGCCGCCCATGACATAACGAAATTCTACAGTACAATAAAAAAAGAAACTAGGTTATTTTTTTATGGGGACACTGTTTTGTTACAATAGTATAATTTGTCTAAAGTACAAATCTGCTGTACTTTGGTTAAACATGCAATACTCATACATCTCGCATTAACTCGTATTTATTTCGTGGTGTAATTCATGATAAAAGTGCCGCAACAAGGCTAGCGCCGGACGGGATATCGAACTTACGCATGACTTGGCGTGAATATTATGTATACAGGAAAAAAATCCATGGAGCGAACGTGCCTGATTTCAGTGGGGTTTGCGGATAACAATCACAATTGTAATTAGCTCCAAACGTCACCGTAAAGCAGCGGTAATCCGCAGATCTGAGGTTTTTAGGAAGCTTGCCTGCAGGTGTCAGAAATTCTGAAATACTGCGAACTCATTGTCTGATTTCATTTGTTAAATTGCACTGTACTCTCGTGATTAAACAGCGGTTAGGGGACGTCGAAGAAGCTACCTGAAGAGACGGTATTAATAGTGGGCATGCATTAATGTGCATGCTTTTCCCAGTGGCATTCTGGGTAACCAAACGACGGGATGCCGATAGCTGCGTCCACGTGAATGACTTATATGCATATGCAATGCTGATCATCCTAGGAGGAATTAAATTTCCCAGAAGGAAATCACATTCCCTGCGTGTGAAACTGTAATTGAACAATGACCGCATATCGACGACTCGAATTCGAAAAATATATGCAGTAAACAATTTAGAAAGTTTTAGCCGAACAGTCATTTATGTTAATCCCTTTTTGCTGCTTTTATACCAGACTGTTTTGCGATGAACGTCCATACACCCTTTCATAATACTGTAATTTAGTTTAATGAGATGAGACGTAAAATCCTAATATTTACACCGGAAAGCTTTGTAAACAATAAATTACCATATTAATAATTAAGGCACATGTCGGAACTCTAGCTATCAGGAAAGAAGAAGCTGCAGTAAACTAATTACAGTGTAAAAAATAATCCAGTACTGTATCGCGCATTCGTGCAAATATATTATTAATAATTACTTTGTATACTTCTATATTTGAGCCGTAATCTTGTTATTCCAAGATGTTATCGCGTAGTAATATATACGATATTACTGCAATCAACACAAATTTTTGTGGCGCTTGAACTGGAAGGCGCTTTCTGCAATACATGTCAAGTGTGACAAAGCGCTTTAAGTGGCATGTAGAACCCAACTAGCGGATTTGTTCGAAAACTTCCGCAGCATTTTCTGTTGCAGAACTAAAATTATCATAATAAGCGGCATATAAAATTCATCGAAATCAGTACCATTTCTAGAGTCAGTGGTCAGCTTGTTCAAATTTCACGAACACCTAATAATATTGTGTTGTGGATATACATTACCAGAACCGGCAGAACGCATACAAAATATATACGTCGGAGTTTTATTTAGAAGTTCGAAATGACAATTTTTCCCTGACAAGTCGTGTAATCCGTGCAGAATGAAATTATGTGATCATGTTCAGTCCGTGCCCGAGCCAAGGGTTCTTTCGTTGCCTGTTACGAGGCCCGAGGGAGAGGAAAGCGCGCTAATCAGAGCATCTTCAGCGACGCTCACCAGCAGACCTTAATCATAGATCTCTTTCCCTCTGTTTTTCCACATTGATGCGCCTGGTGCTCAACTAACGCCCACAAATTTCATTTCGGCTAGTGATTTTTTTGACGCGGCTTTTCTTTCATTCCGTAATGCACATTTCCAGCACATATATAACATTATGTTGGGGTTCTGTTTTGCAAATTTCATTAACGATGACTTGTAATCTTGCTGTTTGTATCCGTGGGTTAAGCGCTTTTCGTGTACTTAGATTTACTAAGTACGGTGTGTAACATACAGAGAAAGGTGCGCTTTTATGCACAAAGTTTAAAATAGCCATCCAGTAAATAAACCACTTGCTAGTGAACATACTCGTACTATGCCAAAATCCGTAGTAATAGTAAGTTTTTTTTTGTGCTGTGCCCTATGCAATATCCAAAATTCGATTAACTTTTGTGGAGAAAATTGCGATGGACCTGAAAATATTTGATATACACAAACTGTTTCGTTCGTGCCGGTGCATGATCGACTTTCCATTGAAGTATACCTAACTGAGTGCATCCCCGCCAAGTTGGGTTCATTTTAAAGTGTGAACCGAAGTGTTGTATTTACTCCAGAAAATTTTGCAAATTTCTGTGCAAGTCGAAAACGTTTTTTCGTTGCAACTGCACGCTAATAACTTATCAAGCGGAAGGTATGCGCACAAGAGCGTGTGCACTTAAATAACAGTGCGGTCGATAAGTGACAGTATGGTCAAGCCATCGATTTTCAACTTTTATGATATTATATACGCGGTAATAACCTGATTATTTCTTCCATTTTTCAAAACTTTAGCTTACTACATCTGATCTCGATCAATACAATAATATTATAATCAGCTTGGCTCCCAGTCGTTGTTCTCCTAAAGATCCCGTTCGATTGGCGTACATCCAGAATAATCACCGTAGCAGTGCTGAGTACGCCATTAATGCCCTTTTTAAGAACTGATTACATGAACAAATATCACCTACAAAGTAATTACAGAGTAGGTAGGTACTGAATAGTGTCGCTTTGATTTTTGTGATGCACTCTGAGTAAAAAAAACTGGAGCCATCATTTTTGAAACACCAAAAACGTCCTAAACAGTACTCCATATTTAAAATATTTATATGATATTTTATCTGCAAGAACCCTCTCGGGAATGCAGACTTTGAGCAATAAAGTGATCAGAAATGACAAGCGTGAATTTTTGCTTCTAATGCCATAGCAATGCGATAGCAATGCATTCAACCCATTTTGATTTTGTGACAATCACGTTTTCGTCAGCAAATTAAATGGATCAACCTGCATTTTTTATTTATTAAAACTGAACTCAATTTATTTCTGGAGAAAACGCTTTATTAACTAGCTTCTTTCATAATTATTCATACGACGAAATAAGGATACGTGCGAGGTACAGTAGGATGATGTAACCTTTAAACTCTTATAATATAGGCTGTTTGGGAAACAGCTTAAGCTGATGGATGAAAGAGATGCCTGCGTATGTTTTCAGGAATGATGCAGAAATGTTTAGAACTCATCTGATTGAGAAAACTTATTTTTACTGCTGAGAGATGAGCCTGGCAATGCGAGGAGATCTTAGCCGGCAAATTATTTACCAACAGGCACACTTGGGAAGTGCCATGCGTCAAGTTGTAACGGTCATGAACTGGCTCTTCCGCAACATGCTCCCTCGTCACACTTTAACACACAAGTGAGTACACTAATTACTAGTTAAGTATCTTTGCGGCGAAAAATGGTTCCAATAATATTTTTTGGAGATTGTCTGTCGCAAGCACTAGCAAACCTTAAAATAATATTCGCTTACGCAACGCAGTATTATGTACACGTTTTTGAGCTGCAGAGGATAATTAAAGGTCAACCGTCCAACCATGGTACACAGAATAATTCACTCGATCATTAATGCAAGGAGACGGTTTCGCAAAACTAAAAAATAATGCATTTTTAATAATTGCATAAGTTGCTAAAACTAAATGAACAGTTTTGATAAAAGAAAACATGGTTGTATAAAATCGATCAGTTCTGTATAGGTCAAAAACATTGACCGATTGAGAACCTAGTAGTCCACAAAAAGACTGAAAATAGAGCCTTCTACCAAAGTGCATTTCATTGTTCAAGTGTCTGTTTGGCAAGATCGTATTACACATGCATCGGATCACAATATAGCACCATGTGCTGCCTAAACTCAAGCAAAAACAGCATATCCACTAAATTCAACGATAAACAAACCTTATCTAATGCCGCATGCCGCAGCAAGTCTCTTAATTTGCACCCCAAAACGCCGCTTACTTAGCATACTCAGTTTAAATCTGCGATTCGTATTTTTAAATAACCAAAACTTTTCATATTTATAATTTAAAAAATTATTCAGCTTATCACTGAGTAGCAGATTGTTTTTCCCTCACCAAAAAGTATTAAAAGTAATAAATGGACAGCTGCAATCCAGCGTGGTGGATTGCAAAGTAGTTTAGTAGGTCTAGCAGAGAGAAGCAATGGAAATCAGCTTCCCGAAGGATTAAAGTCGGTGAAACGATGGAATCCGATACATTCCGGATATTCTTTTTCATGACGTTATCGTCGCAGAAGCGGTAGTGATATTTTATGTTGCTCTTGCCGCCACACAAGTATACATATACTGAACAGATCTTAGTAAAAGCCATATTGCCGACAAGTGTTGCGTATGAGACCCACAAAGCATTGGGTGATGGGTCGCGGCTAGAAACGGAAACGTCATGCCCTTCCGGTACGGCGGTGGTCTGTTATGATTTACTTGGCTAATGCAAAAATAATTGCGTCAAACAGTTTCTAAACATTAGTTAGCTTTTTCCAAGCCGTATTATCCAAGAAATTCTTCTCTTTTAGCGAAAAAAGTTATTGTCAACAAACACTGCCAGTTTCAAAAACAGTCACTGCGGAATATTGATGCTTATTAAACGTGTAACTTAATATTATAATTTCTCTCTCCAGTTAACTCGTAATATGTAATTTAATATTCATTCATTGACTGTAAAGATGACCGGAATGCAAGTATTAATATTTTTCTCCACAGGAAGAAAGTCGCCTGTTAGCCTCTAATAATTACAGAAAGCGGTAGTTCTACGAGTCAATCATGTTCCACTTCATGCTTTATGGATTGCGTGCAAATGCTTATTTGAGTCTACTTCAGAAGTTCATTCATTTTTCGATAACAGGACTGCTACATGCTACAATGTAGTGTGAGTTTATGTCACACGGATTTCGCTTTTTGGATAGACGTATCCTGGCCAGCAGTACTCTCGGCATTCATGGCCAAGTACTTATACAACCCTCTTCCGTAGTAATAATAGAAAAACAATTTTTTATCCTGTCACTAGATGACACAGTGATCGTTCATAATCGGCGTAACATGCTGCGACAGATGAGTCGCAAGTTATTACGTTTTTTGTTTTCCCTGTAGTATCTCTAATGTGATTCTCATCATAATTTTATGAGCAATGAAAAAAGTCGAACAAATCGATTGTCTTAAACGATAATCGGAAAATTCTTGCAGTTTAACTGGAAATTTTATGCTTTTCTACAGTACTTGTTTTGCTGAACACCGTTTAAATAATTAATTGCATAAATGCTTTCGCGCAGTTACATATTTTGCTGGTATCGTAAATGCAGTTATACGCAGCTGGCAGCGGACCACATTTAAGACCGAGTTATTTTCAGTGTGATGTAGACTAACTACCGATTAGCTTCGAATTCTTTAATCAAGCCTGAAAGTTTTTTCAAGATTTTCCAAAGCCGGAACTTAATAATACTGTTAGTCTTCATCGATACGGAAATCCGCTCGCTTGACTATTCAATATGCAAATGGTCGTACAGTCGATTACCGGCATAATTCTGCATTTATTTAAAACTCCAGATTAGTCGTACTCTAGATATATGCACTCACTTAGCTATTAGGTTTACAAAGAAGATTTATTTACTATCGCATTGCATTAATTAAAGTGTTTTTGATATAGGCCATTTCTGATAGTTTTGGATTTACTTACAAATATACTTGTGAATAAAAGCATAATTATGTAGAACTTAAACTGACCTCTTCTAGTGTTGTTATTGCTGATCATGCTTCGCCGTATTGCTTCAATTCCCTTCTCCTTTGGTTTTTCAAACCATTCATTTTTGTCCGAGGCTTCATAGACGTATGATTGCGCCAAATCCTTCGTAACAATTTCTAAGCTATTTGGCATCCGCAGTGCGAAAGGGCAAAAAATATCATAACCGGGATAGCGGTACCAATCATAACAGTTGCCAGCTGAGTAAATGTTTTCATTTAATTCTACCATTGTACGGACCGCTGCGTACAAAAGATATTCCGTTTGGTTTCGTAGCAGCGGATCCGTAGTGTAGAATATATCCGGGGAATACTTCCACAATCGTGTGAGCAAATTAGCCCGATTGAGAGCAATCTGGGCTTCACCGCTAAATTTTTTCACACCATATTGATCAACCACACCGGTAAGATTAAGTTCCGTACCCGGTGAACAGTTCTTCCTTTGAGACTCAATCAAACGCAATACAGTGGACACTTTATCAAGACCGCTCTGATTTAAATACAGTAGATTAATGTGTTTATCTTTTATCTCGGCGCTTGTCAATTCCGCCGTAGCCGATGTCGTCGTGGAATAATATGTAGGAACATTAACAATATTACGCTCATCACTTTGGCCATGCACAGCTATAGAAAACAAGAAAATAATCATAAGGATCACTTCCATAATATTACACTGGCATCCACGGATGACAGAGACCGGGGCCGGACGGATGATTAGCCTATATCATTATATTTTGCAGGAAAAAGAGCAAGAAAAACGATAGATACAGATATTGGGATAATATAATGATCAGCTTAGGATAGCAGGTAATCAGTGTAAATACTCTCGATCGGCGTGTCGACCAAGCCGGTAATCAACGATATGCTCCGCTCTCCAGCTATCCCTGCTTGCCATGGCGGATACGCGCTGGAACTGCGGATAGGATGGCGCCGATGGGAATATGTACACGCTGTGCTCGTTCGCGGCGCACAAGCACCCTTCGACAAGTGTAACACAGAATGGCAATTAACTGGAGACGGAAATAAGAAGCCATTGTAAACGATGGACATACAAACACAGGATACAATGTAATGTACACGTAGATCCTGACTGGCCGTAATCGGCATCGGACAAATTAGCCGCCAAATGTAGTTAGCGGCTTAATCGGTGCGTTACACATGTAGACACCTTCGGCTCGCGGATGGACAGATAACCGTGACGCCACAATTGATTAAAACTCGATATTATTTGTGTAATTAACCGCCATCGGAATTCAGCCAATGAATGACCATATTGCGGTTGGCATCAGCACACTGCGACGAAAAATGTAGCAAACCACAGCAGAAACGGGCTAAACTGTGTGAGCGCGCGCGCTGACATAAGGAAAGTAAGCGCACGACCGTAATGCGTTGTTCTGGCAATCGGAAGTTCCAGTATGGGGACTAATGTACCGCGGATGACATTTGCATTGAGCCAGGGAGGTGTGTACGTAGTCGCACTGCAGTGTGTACGTACAATCCAGGGATCGGCGTGCGGCCGGGCGCCACAAGCAACAGTCGACGCCTACATTTACGAAAATGCCAAATCAAAAGCCTACAGGTCTTTACAGTGGTCAGATTGTAAATTAGATATGATTAGCCACGGATGAATTGCAATGATATGGGTAGGTATGATCGCGAGGGATACATGCTGGCAACATATGCGGCAGGGATTGCCGCTAACGTTGTTTCCATTACGCACCTCCATAATTTGAACCACTTATGTAATTCACGTGCTGCGCGCGTAATTCATGATCACATTCTTGACAAAAGACCGCAAATTAAAACGCGAAGAAAACACGCTGGGAAAAAAATCGGGATAAACACTGGGCAATAGTGGGAAATTCGGTGAAGTAACACCATCCTGCTAACGTTTTGTTATTTCTGCTCTGCGCAGCGGAACCACACACAAAACAGCTATGCACTTGCAGGCATCTTGACCGAATACGGAGACGCGTATGCCTTCCAGCAGACGGTAGAGTTTTGACAGTTGACAAATCCAATATCGGAAATTCATGGAGCGAGAGACATATTCACGGCATAATCAGTCAACACCTTGTTCACTTGTTTACACCGCAATTATTAGTGCGGCATGGAAGTCTTCCGTTGTCATTTATTTGCGCTTTCTCAAAAAGTCAATGTTAACAGAACATCCGGTAAGAAAAGTTATCTGATGCTCCTGTGAGCGAATAGGATGCTTTCCCAGCCTATTCGCCAACAGCGTAATCCTTTCCCATGTATACTTCTACGCTGAAGACGAAGGTCAAATATACGGACAGCCGACAGCGGTTACAGAACACGCAGGAACAGATCTAGCTATGCAGTATAATTTTATCGGCTTACAGCAGCTACTCTAGCTAGAGTACGTATAAAAGTACTCGTAAAAAGTATCAAGATAATATTGTATACGTATTTTGAGTCTTTTTTGACAGAGGTACAGTAAAAGACATAGCAAATGATAGCAGTAACCATTAAATTTGATGTGTTCGGTAAGGTGGTACCATTCACCGATTCGCTAATGGCTGTTTAACAATATTCATAAATTATCACATTAATTTTTTTAGCAGTAGCCAAGCGGTAATTGAAAGCATGCAGCACTATTGCGTCGGCAATCAAACGGGTGTCTACTTAACCGTGTGTGGCAACAGCAAAAAGCAGTATTTTGGCGCGAGAGAAGTAAGTACTCGCAAGTCGCAACTATACAAAGACAGCAACTTGTACAAATTTGATTTACCGCACGAATTAACAATAATATTACTTCTATTACTAACGGTTTCTTCGTGATCAGATTTAAGGTGAATTTCCACTCACATTACACCATTTTAATTTATACAGAAATCGATAGAGAATTCATTTCTCTATCTACTGATGTGAATCAAGCTTTTATGAAAAATGTATTCGTAGTGGTGTTTTTTTTTTCTCGCAAGAGGGGTGCAAACGAGTAGAAACTCAGCTTAACAGTGATGCCGACTGCGGTATATCAAATGTACTTACATGTAGTTCCGACCTGTAGTACGTACATGTAGTGGTCGTCGGTTGTACATGTATACACGACTAATATCTCTGCATCCGCTTTTCCGGCATGGACGTCCGTTCATGCCGGAAAATCGGATCGCAGTCAGTATGATCATGAGGCTGTCCCAAAACCAAGGAAACGGAATCGACTGTGCCCTTTCCCCTCTACAACCTTTTGCGCACGATCATGAGGTGGTCAATGGAATTGACCCATAGCAAAACTCCTTTTCTGGAAAAACCTTGAGAGAGTGGGCAATAACATCATTCGAAGCTAAACGTGTACAAAAACTCAAATACCACCCTGGCCGGCAGCCGAGCGAGTAAACCTGAAGGATTCGCTAACTATGACTACGAGTACGGAAGCTAAGGCCCACGAGCGGCATATGCATAAAAAAGAGGAGCCAGAGGCGCGAGACGAAAGAGCTGTCTTTTTTCCGCCCGTAACAGCAATTAGGTTACTAATTTTTCAAAATAGTGGTGTCCAAAGACTCTGGTGGTATGCACTCTGTCTTTGGTGGTGTTAGGAGACTCCGGTGGTTTTTGTAAAAGAAGTGGTGGTTTTTGTAAAAGAAGTGGTGTGGCTTAAGTGGTGTTTGGAGCCTGCTCAGCCTGGTGGTGGTGAAAGGTGGTGTGCGGAGCCTTCGGTGGTTAAACATGGTGTGCGTAGCCTTCCACATAATTTAATTGCATGTTATTGTCAGTTTCTTTATACTCGCATACTTGTACAATTACAACAGGTGATTTCTTACGCTTAAACAATATCTGCCTTGTGTTGTTGTTATTAAACGGTTTACAAGAAATTCCATGATGATCCATATGCATGCAACCGGCAACGGCATATGTATGCAACGGCAGTCAATTGTTTCCGGATCAACTTGAGGAACAAAATTTGGATGACGCAATGGTCTGGCTATAGCCTATAACTGCGAACCGTACATTCATACCGGAGGTCCAGAACAAAACAGGTGGTACCGCAGATAGGTTCTGGAACATTCAGTGTCCGTGTGCGACAATGCACATGCGCAATGGCACGGACGCACAGTAACAAGCGGATGTGGTGTGAATTTCGGGTCCTGCACATATCGCTCGAGCGTCGGCCTGCAAATTTTTTGATACAGATTACTACATACGAGTACTGTAATATTAACTGTTGATATTAATGAGCTGAACAATAATATTTACATAATTACATTTTTAGTAATTACTCGCAGCATTTTAAGACTCTGGAAGGTTATACAGACCCTAATTCTGTTTTTTTTGTTGGTTCTACTATAATCTTATAGTTGTTAGATGTGAGAACATTTCGTTCTTGGTTGCACTTGCTGCCAAAAGTTTTGTACCTGTGGTCGTGCCTGCAGCTTGCAACTTTAAGTTGCCATGCCAAGAACGAACCAGGTGTACCACAGCAGCCCAACCAACGCTGCCGCGAAAACCCGTTTGGACAGACTCCTTGCTTTGGATGATGAATTACAAGATGAACTGAATAAGCCCTTCCTGGAGGGAAAATGTGTGAGTACCACGAAGTTCAAAAGCGGTGAGTTTCAAGTATGAGTTACCTTTATCCGCGAGCTAGCAGTGTACAAAGAACTTACGTTTTTAGAACTGGTGATCCGATGTAGCGTTCTGGATTTACTGAAGCTGTAATAAAGATTGGTAGCCCCCCAAGAAAAAATTGTAGAATCCTGTTACATGGGATGGTTTAGCTTTTAGCATGATAAAACGATGAAATGCTGTTTTCAGGTGAACCTATTCTCAGTATGTCACATGGATTGTGGTATGATGCATGCGTAAGTATTGGACCTATTGCTCTTTTTAACTCTCTTTATTTTTTACTTTTGGACAAATGGTAGCCTCGTAGAAAATTTAACCCTAGATGAGTTACCAATAATAACGTTGAATAATATTTGAATGCGTGGTAACGCCCTGGGTTGAACTGGTTTGTTGGTGTGCTATCCTGGATATCTGTAGTATTCAGGTACAGTATGTAGTTCTGCTTGGTGTTATCTCTTGTCCTGTAACATGGAAACGTAGAATGCAGTAATTGAGGATGCCAGGTGAAGTGTTAGGCATAGAAAGGCCTGTAGCTGCAGTGATACGATTTTCTTTGCTTTGTTAAATGTTATCGTACTTTGTACGCTAAAATTTTACCTAACATGTCTCTGATCCGGGAAAGCTGAAGTAGTACTGCTGCAACAAAAAATTGGACACAATTATTATGTTCTTCAGATCGTCAGGTACACCGGCGAGCGCAGTATTCCATCGTCCATGGAACCCGCCCGAGGTCATGTAGCGGATGAGAATCTTCGCAAGGTTCCTTTATGCGAAATACAGTTCAAAGGATGGCCATGCAAGTAAGTCTTCAAAAACCATACCGAAAAGTATGAAACGCGAAAAGTCTGAAATGATAGTTCAGAAAGATTATCAGTGAATAAATTTATCAGTGTTTGGTATTCTGGACAGGTACAACGAAATTCTTCCCGAATCGGAATTGGTGAGCCGTGATCTCAGCCGTGATTGTTTCGAGGATATCTTCGGCATTCTGTTGGCTCATGAATGGAACGAATACCGCCGGTATGTTTATTATTTGTAGCGTGTTTTTCACCCATTTAATTGGCCGACATTGGCCGTCTGATACTGTAGTTGTAGTCATGGATGAAAAAATAAAAGTACAATTGACATTTACTAATATGTTCCAATAGAGAATTCATCAAATGCATTGATGCAATATGCTTGCTAAAATAATTTAAAAAAGGATTATCAGATTGACTGGTACAGGTGGTCAAGTTGTGTGCACTGTGCACATTTTCAAGTACAAATAAATTAAATGACTAATTTGCGATTGTGAATTTAGTCGCTCTTATTATTTGTACATCTTACGGTGATACGACTCTTATTATTTGTACATCTTACAGCGAACAGTTGGGTCTCACCATGACTCAGATGGGCAAAGGAGCCTTCTTCTTAACGGAAAACGATTTGGCGATGGTTGAAGATTTATGGCAGCACAGAGCTCGCACTGCTGTTCGATTTGCGCAGTACGCGGGCCGAATGGCTCCCAAACCAAAGACTCGGGGATAAGCAGAAAGCGGTTCTGTTGCTTAAGTTTCTGTGGTCCAAAATCCGGATTTGTGCACCATTCCACAAAAAATGAAGGACAAAAATTTTTATTTCGCTTAGTGGATTTCTGGAGCAGGCACCGAAAATCTTTCTTATTTTTGAGTTTCTTCGGTTTATTCCCTGTAAGATCTGAACGTTTTCTATGTACAGATGTAATTTATATTTTATCACCGTGCTGCATGAAATATTCTGGTTGTTCAGTTCTTTTACGGGTGACCCAATCCGGACTAAGGAGCGATTTCTGTTCATGGTTTTAACTACCGTTAGGTTAGACACAAGCCATTCAGTGCTGATACCAAGCTGATACTGAAGTACAACTGCACTTGAATGGTCCACCTGTTAAAGTCGAGTACTTACATACAAATAAATTATTACAAAAGGTATAGTTTCCAATTTGAAGGACCACGTAGTTTTTCTGGCAACTTTTCAACCACGGCATCTTCAATGAATTTCGTAGTAAACATTAAACAACTGAAAATTCCTTAAGTACTGGACTCTCAGACCCAAATGTGACACGGAAGGACCTTGACTATCATTCGGATTTATAATCCATTATCTTGTAATGAATCTGCATTACATTGTATTGTTAAACCTCTTTTAGGGTATTACACCCTTTTTCAGGATGATATTCCCGTAAAGGGCCGCTTCGCTCGTTACCACGACTGCAAAGGCACCTTTTGCTTTTTCGTAAAATTTGAAACGTTCGAGTTTAGTCACTTCCAGCTGCCGCCCGGGCTCGGCTTCGTTGATAATTCTTTCAAATTCTTTCCAAATCGGCGTCGGAAGGTTGCGCGCCTTGTCTTGCGGTTCCAGATCCATTACGTATGCTGGTTTGTCATACGTGTCTAACGGGAACAACTGCATGATAGACTTGAGCAGCTCCGGAATGTTTTGACCATCAGCACGAATCTCCTTTGCGCCATTCCTGCAAGTGGAAGACGAAGGAAAGTTGGCATCAGCAAGAACTGTAATGTAACATGATTAACATCCAATGTACAAGAATACCAGCAACGAATAATCAATTCACCAGATAAGGGAGAAGTGAGGGATTGATCACGTTTTTTACGATTAGTTACGTACACTGTAATACAAAGTATAAACTTTTACTCACCTATCTCGTCCCCATGCCCCATTTGTCCAAGAACGCACAGTAGTTCCGGAGAAATGTTTCTAGGAATCCCCTTTAAGATGACCATATTGAAAACTTCTAGGAAGAGATGTAAACGATGAGTGAGATCCGTTCTGAATGTTTGTGAATCAAGCCAAGATCGAGGCAAAAATAATACTGTGATGACAGCGGTTTCATCCCGCCGCTGTTATGTGGCGGAAAGTTGCGCGACCTGTAAGCATTTTTCAAGCTCGCACCCGCAGGTGATCCCCCTAAGCGACCGAAAGGTGGTTTAGGTTTACTGTACACTGTATATGCACGGTTTAAACCGGAAGTCACCGGAAGTACTGCACCAACTGAATATGAGACAGGCTGCCTGTACGAGTGGCAGCAAACTAAAGTCGATTCTGAAGTCGGCAGTGGGCACTACACAGTCATGTTTGTGGGTCTCGTTTTGTAGCACGCTGTAAACCCGCACTCAGTGCGTAAAAGCTAAAAAGCAAAAATTTTCTTTTTTTACCACTTTCAAGGTTTGCATGTTAGTTTGCAAAATTATCATTTTTGACACCGTTATTTCTATTTAGCAAAGAAAGCTTATTATTTGAGACGACTGTGTGGCAAGTAACGCCGCAAGTTTGCTGCATCGCTGAACCCCGTTTACGGTCACAGATTTGGGTAAATGCTTACTAGAAATATAGAATTCATTGTTTATAAATTTTGAACCTTTGGTTCTGATGGTATTTATGAATAATTGACCAGTTTACTCTCCTTTGGAATTTGGTATCACTGTCAGGATCGCCAATGGTAGCGTTGTTGAAGGTTAGGGCCCGTTAGGCCTAAGGGATCCGCAAAACGGTGATAGATCGGACAGGTGCATCAGTAAGGTACGGGAACTGGCAAAGGGACTTTTCGCCCTCGTCCCGATGACCAGCTGGATCTGGATGAACCTATTTTTGTGGAGACACGGCTAACCAACAAAGCAACTAGCAACTGTCAACGTTATTATCAGTGAACAGCATGGAACCGCTTCTTCCTTCCGATTCTGTTTCCATATCTATTGTTCGCAGCGCCTGGAACGGCCGAGATTATGGAAATAATCTTTGCTTCCGTCGATTTTGGTTTGTTAAAGATAGCTGCGGAATCGTGTGCGCAGTTTTTACATGGTTACTTTTGGCATACGCTGAATTTACCGTGAACACTGTTATTATTTCTTCGGCTATCGCTCGTGATGCTATTGGATACGCTGTCTTCAATGGGATTTTATTTAACGGGCTGCTTCTGTGCGCCTTTTTAGCGCATCTGAGGACTGTAATGACGGAACCGGTAAGCAGTAATGCAGTAATTTAAATGACAAAATATATAAGTATATCGTTTGAAGGTGCTTTGCGTGCAACGAGCTTTTGATTTGCGTTTCGTTGAATGATTTACAGGATCGCTGGATTTATGTGGGATTTTGTTACTGGTTGCTCATTATGGTTCTGCAGACTGCAGTCACATATATATAGTAAAAAAGATTGCTGTCTGTTAATTTTCGCAGATTTTAATTCGCATGGAGGTAGATCATCTACCAGTAGGAAATGGATTAGATAGCGTGACGGCGTCATTCTCCAATTAATTTTTTCTTTGAGTATCCGTGATACTCAGTCTGATACTGCAGGAGTCAGTCAAGACATACTTTTGGCAAGATATACCTTTGCTTTTGGGAAATAATTTTGAAATTTGAAAGCCAGTTATCGGGTTTCAGTGGCCGAATGTGGCTAATTCGTATCGTTAATTGCAGGGTATTGTGCCTCGTAATACCGCCTCAGACGAGCAAATAAAAGCTTTGGATTTGGGACCTGGGACAGTTTTGATCCGTTGTCCGAAATGTGTCAGTATTAAACCCTCTCGCGCTCATCACTGCAGGTAATCAACTAGCGGTTTCTTCTACTCTAGAAATTAAGAGTTTAACATTATGCTTTCAAAATATGATAGATGGTTCATGCGAATCTGACTGCTTACGGATGAGAGTTTACAGCTTATAACTAATCGAGTCGTTTAACATTGCAGCATATGCAGGCGGTGTGTGAGAAAAATGGACCATCACTGCCCATGGGTAATACTTAGGTGTTCTATTGCATTTTCGGAATTTTCTGAGTGTTTTTTGTTGTAACGGTTTTGTTTGGAATTCCTTTATGTTTTCCAAATCGTTTTAGGAAAGATTGTTATTGAAATTCTGATGCGATTTGTAGGTGAATAACTGCGTGGGAGAAAACAACCAGAAGTTCTTCGTTTTGTTTACGGTAAGTAGTTGTATGAGCTGGTGAAGCTGCTTCTGTTATGCTTATAGAAATTACATGAAGTATCAGAATATGTGTTTATCAGTAATATTTTCGGCTGGCCATACTGAAGTAATTTTTTTATTTTATGGTTATTTTGGGAGCGGTTCTCAGCAATGAAATTATGAAATATGCCGGAGCATTAATTTACCAAACATTCATTAGGAAACCCTTGTAAACTTTAACTTTCGGGTGCATATTTCGAATTTCTTTGTGGGCGGCGACTGTTGTTGAGTATTGGCCTTCTCATGGGTAAACGTGAGGCGTTCCATTATTCTATATGGCTCATTAAGAAAGCGTATTTCCGGAACGTAGTTAGCGCGTGAGATCTGAATTTAACGAGAAATTCTCAGCTTATTACAAACAGCGCAATGTACATGTGGCGTTTTTTGCGCTAGTGTGATATATTGTGACTTCTAAAATGGGAATAGAACGGGTGTTGTTATAGAACTCGAGTTGATCTGACGATACTATATTAAGCTTTACTGTTTACAGATGTATATTGCGCTTGTGTCATTGCATGCCATCATTCTGGTCGTTAATCAGGTAAATGGAGTTCGCAGTTTCCCTTATTAGCATTATTATTAGTATTCATTTATGAGTACCGAGTGCGTGCTTACGTTTTGATTGCAGCTTATTTATTTTCTAGTTCATCCTTTGTGTGGATAAGGAATTTGTTGGTGAGTTTGTTGATGAATTATTGGTCCACGAAAGCTAAAGTTGTATGAAAAGCACAATGGATAACGTGGATAACGTTTGGAATTTGTGCTTGACAGGATGCAGCGCAATGAACCCTCCGGCATCTATTATTCTTTTAATATTTTTGCTGTTCGAAGGACTCCTTTTCTTCCTTTTTACGGTTATCATGTTCAGCACTCAGGTGTGCTCAATATGGAACGATGAAACGGTAGGTGAAAAATCAACGATACTCCAGCATGAAGACACTGATTAGCTTTCGTATTGCGGATACGGTGAACCTTTCAAAGTCTTGCGGCATTCTTGGGAGAATTTTTTAAAATGGTTTCTTTTCGGTGGTGATGTGCATTTGTGGTTTGTAGGGTATTGAACAGCTGCAAAATGACCGTGAGCGGTCTTGGGCGAGACGGCAAAGGTGTCAGGGTCTGCGCAGTGTTTTCGGTGACCGATTCTCCATGTGGTGGTTGTCGCCGCTGTCCCCGCCTCGTATAGGTCACGAGAAACCCTATCAGTATTCCGTGTAAGTGACCCCTTGGCTTCCTGCTCTCTTATTCCAACACTGTTGTTTGGCCTACCTCTGTAGCTTGGCGACTATGGATGATTTGTCTGGTATCCCGTGAAATATTGAGCAAGCTCTGCAATTTATTTCGCATGGGATGTTTTGAACTTTTTGGTATCGATTAGCAGCTGATTTCTTCCATTTCGAATTGCACACTCTTGAAATTATGGATTTTTTTAGACGCGTTACAGTTCGGCTGGGTTTAAGTAGATCTCGGAATTTTGTGGAGATTCGTTTTAGTGAAGGTATTTTTGTGGGGTTTTGTACTATATTTCTTATGGGTCGTGATATATGATGCCGGTGGGAAAGTACGTCTTTGGGTGCCATAAATGTGTGAATAAATCACTAAAAATGAATTATCTTTTTACCAGAATGCGCGTATTCGTATTCAAAACCCAAATAAATTGCTGTTGAATCGTTATTTTTTATTCAAATTCTCTTCGTTCCGACCTCAGCAGTTACTAGGCATAGTTGGTATTAACAAATAAAAGTAATAAAAGTAATAAAAGTACAAAAAACAAACAAATAAAAGTAATAAAAGTACAAAAAACACCAGCAGAGCGGAGCATCAGAATATACAGCGTTTGTGGCATCCTTTATGCACATCCTAAATATCCCATATAATTTCCTTGACTAGTGGCTCGTTAGTACACACGGACCCGCCCATATGCCACCAAAAATCGAAGTCCTTGTAACTTTTGGATCGGGCATCACTGTGCAGCAACCTGTACGTGCAGAAAAGTTGTCTGCATTAAATTTTCAGGCTTGGCCCAACGGGCCGAACCAAAGTTCACGCGTAAATTAAAAGATAAGATGTTGTTACGTACGCACAAATTCGACAGAAAGTGTACGTGAGGATAATTTCGCCGGTATGTTTCCATTTGAAGTATTCATTGTATGCATTTTCATTATTATCCAGGTAATGCAGATAATTTGCTAGCTCCTGTGGGCTGGTAAAATTATCAACATGAATAAACGATCTATATGGAGCAACGGCTTCGTAGTCACTTATAGGGGCTCCCATCACAACAGGAATCACATTCGACCTGTAATTACGAAAGCCATCGAATCTTCCTGTAATTCCACCACAATTTGCGACACATATAACTGCGGACAAATAAAACCACCGGCTGTAATCGCAGCGCTATCAGACGAATCTACCCAAAAGCTCTATACAGAATATAATCGACGCAATGCTGGTACAAAATTGACCGTAATTATTATTTCCTGTAATCAAAAAAGCAGGTTCCTTTAATTATATTCTTGTAGTTACTATAGTTTACCTACTTCAAGGCCGTCCATAATTTTTCCGTAATGTACCAGCGGCAGTTATTGTTCTGCAATTGGAGGTCGGTTGAGTATATATGATAGTAATTACTAATTACCGTATTTGGGTTCATCAGACGGTGATTAGGAGTGGACGATGCATTCAAGGACAACAGGTTAAGATATTTTACTTTGCATATGCTCACATCCGTATAATATTACCTCCCAAAAGGTATTTGTCAGGCTTTAGGGTTTTCTGGACTTAGTAATTCTAAAAGACCTTGAAATTTTTCTTATTTATGAATTTTCTCTCGGACCCCATTCTGTTCCAATAATTAACGCAACCAGTGTGCGGATAAGAGCGCCAAAAGTACGTATGACGCCGCAGTACGCTTAACATGGCGTATGACCTTAAGTACCAAGGGAAAAGGTAAAGGGCTCGATTTTCGAAAAGAATTCCGCGCGCGTTTTGAAAATAATCTTAACAACGAAAAGACTCCGTGGTATTTAAGCGTGGGAAATAATTTAAGGAAAAGAATGTTGCCAGTCGAAATTAAATTGGTATTCTCAAACTAATAATATTTTTGTCCACTGGCTGCAGTGCAACACATTCCGGTTGGAATAACTGCGCAGTTTTTTAGCCTTTGCGCTTAAAGGCGGACATTGTCCACAAAGAAATTTTCTTAACGAATTAACTTGTTACATGGTTTGTTATTTTTATGTTAATTGTTATTATTATTGTTAATTATTGTTATACATTTGACCTCTGTATTCTGGCCGTCCTAAAAACCTGGAGTAAAAGCCGGGATAGCCAAATAATCATTTCCGTCCAATTTAACAGGGAAGTACCAGAGCGCGGATACGCCAGCTACCTTATATATTTGTAATTTATAAATACAGTGGACTTCAAAATGGTGTTTAGGACTTTAGGCATAGCCACCCCGGCTGTGAGCGTTACTACATTTATGAAGTCGATGATATCGAGCGCGTCACGAATAGAAGTATCAAAAAACCAGACTATACCTGTACGATTGGAAGCAGGTTAGTACGTTTGGAATTTCGGATTTACATACCTCAAATGCTAAATAAAACTTGTAACTTTTGGCAAGCAGTAAGTCGCATGTGCCTGACTTCTGGCACTGTCGGTCATCGAGGGTACCGCAGCGCCCGTATATGTCAACGTGGATATATTTTCCAAGTTCTCTAGCATAATCCATCCTTTTGTTGCCCGTTTCACAGTTGGACACGAACCAAGCCACCTTTCCAGGGCCGGATTTCGTTAACGCGTAGTTATGTTCTTGTGTCTTCTGACGCACGCTCGTGTTATAGAGAGCAAATTTGCCATAAGGAGTAACGAGATCACTGTCCAATCGGTACCTGTAAAGTACACTAACGTAAGTACAATACATACTGCATTTCGTCTTTACAAATCTTTTTATTTTTGTAATACGTAGCAGAGTGGCAGTCGTACACAACTATGAACTATACAGCACATCCATAAACATTAAACATAAACAATAATAATAATTATAAATTTTTTTCATTAATTAAGGCGAACTCGGGGGATACAATTACAGGTACCGCATTAATGCGATAACAGCAGCGTAAATCTAGAAACATGCTATAATCCAATAATATACCGGATATACCTATTGTATGTACACATCTGTATCAACACATGTTGAAGACGTATTAATTATTACTTACAAGTATCGGTCGCGCTAGCGCGCGACCAGTTGTGTTCGAGGTATGGAAAAATGAAAGAAATACAAAATACACTTCGTACAGCAATAAAAAAGGTTTTGAGAAACATTTCAATTTTCAAATATAAAACCCCAGCGAGGCCAGCTACGAAAATATTTTAAACATGTGGAAATGCGGACAGTTTTTACAAGCTTTCCAGTTAAATTCGACCAGTTTTATAAAAACTGAAAGCCTCCGTAATTTCTCTTTTTGTTTGCCTTTTTCACGGTTCTTTTTCCCGTTTTTAATGTAACTTTATATTGCCGATTCTAACGAACTTAAAACCTGTATTTTTGGTACGACAGATAATATTTAAACGGTGATAAAATGGATGGAGTGAGATCATTTACACGATGCCCATAAAAACCGTCCAGTCGATAGTTCAGAATTAATGGAAACTTGTGGGAAACAATTAACGGTTGCCCAAGGTGACCTCGCAGGCTGCATGTAAGATTGTAAGATTTTCAGCCATTCAGTCAAGCTCTTCAGTAATTATTAAAATAAAATAAATATATTGTATTATATTAGATTTCGAGCTTAGTGAATACCCAAAGCTACCGCCAGTATTACAGAGCAACGTAGTTTAGTGAATGCCTTAGCTACCACCAGAATTACAGAGCCGCTACGTGAGTGAATAGGTAAACGGGCTGCGGGCCGGCTTTTAGATATTTAGAAATTACATATAAATTAGACAATTTAAACCGTGCGATATTAAGATACTCAGATTTCTAGATATTTTTAAAATTTTGAAACTCTGGAGGCTCAGAAAATTAGAGGTAACGGCCCCGCTGCGCGGGGCCGAGTCGAAATATTTAGAAATTCTGGAAATGTAAAAGCTCTGGAGCCGACTTTGGATAAATTTACAGTTATTTTGAGGTATTCAAACGCATTTAAAAACATCTTAAAGTTTCAAGAATTTAAAAAAGCAAATTTAAAAGTTTGATGTAATTGACAATTCTAAATAACTATTGTTTAGGTTGCTAAGTTGCAAAACCTGTATTTGCTCATTCGAGACGTTTCCAGAATTTACTGGAAATTTCTATGAACTTTAAACGCTAAGTACTGAAATCTTAAAACGGTTTTTGAAAACGTTCCGGAAACCAAAATTTTTTTCCAAGCAGCAGGTAGGAAGCTTTGGGAGATGCTGGATTAACTGGATGTTGCGCGCACAAACGGTTTTCAGGCTAGTTTATACAAATCGTCTGGCTACAGAATGTCATAAAGCGAAACAAAAAGGTGTTTGGGATTGCGCGAAAGTGAAAGTTTTCGTGTATGTACACGAATTTGGTACCATGTACCGGGCCACTTTCCTTGAGCCGATATTTCGGCGCAGAATTAATGAAACTTGTAGGAAACAATAAACAGTTGCTCAAAATAACCTCGCAGACTGCATCTTTAGTTACTAATTGCAAGATTTTCAGCCATTCAGCCAGCTGTTCAGTATTTAATAAAATAAATTAAATAATAAATACATATTAAATTATTAGATTTAGAGGTTAGTGAATAGTAATACCTGAGCTGCCATCAGTATTACAAAGTAACGTAGGTTAGTAAATGCCCAAGCTACCACCAGTACCGCAGAGCCGCTACGTTATTGAATTCAGTAAATGGGCCGCGGGCCGGCTCTTAGATATTTAGGAATTAGATACTCGTATAAATTAGACACTTTAGACAGTGAGATATTGAGGTACTCAGATTTCTAGATAATTTTAAAATTTAGAAACTCTGGAGGCTAAAAATATTTAGAGTAACAGCTATTTAGAAATTCTGGAAATGTAAAAGCTTTAAAGCCGACTTTGGAAGAATTTATAGTTATGTTGAGGTAATCAAACGGATTTAAGAACGTGTTAAAGGTTTCAAGAATTATAAAAAATAAAATTATGTTTGATGTATTTGGCAATTTTAAATAACTATTGTTTAGGTTGCTAAGTTGCGAACTCTCTAGAAGCTAACAGCATTTAAGTACTACAACTTACGTAGTACCACATTTTTAAGTACTAACAACCCTAAAGTACTACAACTTTTAAAAATTTTCTTTAGACCTTCTTCAAAACTTAAGATTTTTTTGAAGATAAAGGTAGGAACGTTTGTGCGATGTTCTGTTTTATAAAATTAACAACTTATTGAAAAAATCAGTGTTGATTTAGGAGATAATTTCCAAAACTAGCAACCGTTAAGTACTGACAACCCTTAAGTACTACAACTTTTAAAAATTTTCTTTAAACCTTCTCCAAAACTTAAGATTTTTTTAAAGATAAAGGTAGGAACGCTTGTGCGATGCTATATTTTATAAAATTATCAACTTACTGAAAAAATCAATCTTGATTTAGGAGATAATTTCCAAAAAATAAGGACGTAAGGATATATGAATCTATTGATATTATTTACTTACTTAATGATACTAATTAACAAATTCTAATGGAAGCCATACACAATTCTTAACAGGGTCATATTTACGTTGCCGTCCAGTTTATAAGTTGTTGAGCGTGGGAGAAGCTTCTCGTATGGTAAGGTGATTCTAGCAAGGATAGGATCCACACTTGATTTTGCGGACGATCGTAGATCTAAATATTGTTCTCCAGTTTAAAATTAATATGAGTTTTCAAGCACAGCTTTGCACGCTATATTTAAATTGACTTACTTCAGTATACCAATCAGGTATGCCATCAACAAAAAGGATCGCATCCGCAATATGAGCTTTTCTCTCGTTACTGGTGAAAGTACAATGTGTCACCGGACAGATGCCGCGACCATGCTCGTAATCATGGTCCAGAATTTTTCCCGGCCGTCGTTGTCGGGGATCTTTTTTATTGTACGTAGATTTCACAATAACTACGAGTTTCGCGGTTAAACGACCCTTTGAATCGGGATAAAACAACAGCTGACGTTCAATGCGATCGCTAACCAGGGTATCATCTGGCCATAGTCGACTATCTAAAGCAAATTCTGAAACTGGAATCGAGCGAGCGGAAACATTGGAAAAATACCATCGTCTAATGCGGGATAAAGTTGATCTGATGGGAGCAGTTTCGTGAAAATCTTCGCTATAACCGGGAGACAAAATCCGCTCTTCGTCCAAAACAGCGAGAAGAAACAACGACGAGAACAAATAACCGGCAACAACATAACACAGGATCAAAATAACTTCTCGGCGGCGAAATTTTGGCTTTTGCAAACGTAATTTACGGATGCCACGCAAGGCGTGCATAAGTGTTTATATTACGAAAACTACGAGGTATAGTACCAAGACACAAAATTATGATAAATGTTTAAGGATAAGCATTCCGACCTAACCAGGTGATTAATGTTTCATTCGGTAGGCGTACTGCTTGACATCATATTCACATGGATTCTTAACGAAAATTTTAGTACTTATAAGTATTACTTAAATTACACGAAAAACTTTCCTCGTTTATGACTGCTTACCGCTAGACACTGAACAGAAACCACAGTAAATAATTTGTTATGAATTTATTAGCATTAAGTTCTGTAGACTCTTGAGATTTTGTAGACTATTAGAATAAATCAGAAGCCAGACAGTAGTAAGTTTCAACGGTTCAATGCGTAAGCAATCGTTGCGAAACCCTACGGCACTTCCTTTACCTGCCGGTTTCTGAACAAAAAATCTACAAAGAACATTCGCCTCTGTTGTTTGTACTTATGGTTAGCAACTCATATCATTATGTTTTGAATGGCAGTTCAGCCTGCCACGAACGATCAACCGAAATAAAACTTCAAACAACTTGTAAAAGCGAAATTTATAATTTCTCCAGCATCTCAATCATTATAAAGAATACGCATTTTCTACAGCCGAAAATAAAAAATCGAATAGAAAATCACTGGTCAAGCAGCACTGGATACGCTGAAGTAGTAATTACAATACAATAACCCAAAACAATTCCAGATTTGTCAGCCAAAATTAACCGTTCGGTATCCACCGTTATATATTACGTATCTTTCTTCATCGATATATTGTCATGGACATGGATATCCCAATAATGCTTTCACTGCTGATTACTCATTCTTGTTTTCCATATGCCACTCCTGAGCGAAAGATATCTAACGGTGACGGCTTTTTGGTCTGCATAACAGATTTTGCAATCCCGTTACCGACCGACGGCACCTTCTCAAAACTGTTTCCGTTAACTGCTGTTGCAGTGCCGTTCTTGGGGTAATCGTCTCTTAACGTAATCAAGGACATTTTATCCGGGATATCCCAATCCTCAGTTGAGCTTTTGGAAGAGGAATTTCTGAAACGGTTGACCGGCTCCTTGTTATCTGACTTGTCTTCCTCCAGGAATTTGACTGCAGCTTCAAATGTGGTTAACGCGTACTGCAGGCTAGCTTCGGGAATTGTAAAGCAAAATTTGGTTATGTAAGCAAGAACTGTGCGTAAACATCCACATTTCTTCGACGCCATAACATATAGGATCAAATTCAGAATATCGTCCGCTGTCAAGGCCACAGATTTTACTTTGGTTTTGCCCATTCGCAGCTGCTCCCTGTGGAAAAGCATCACATCTTCCTGCAATCAGAAACAGAAAAAATCGGAAGGAATTCGCTAGTAAAACAAGAATAATTTTTAAAAATTCAACGTACAAAAATAGATTCAAAACAAAAACAACACAATACGAAAAAATCAACGCACATTACAATACAAATCAACATACAATACAAACATTCAACGTTGATTCAACGTAGATACAAAATATAAAACATGACAGGCACTTACCCGTAAGCCCTGAAGAGCCCGTCCAAAAAACACTAGCTGCTGCAGCGGGGAGGTCTGACTGGGCATTTTCCCAAGAAACTCTTCCGCGTTCTGAAACTTAGCGTTTGTGACATCTAGTCCATCAACTGAAGTCGGCTTCTTCACGGTACTGAGATTCTTTTTCAGCAACCCATCTGCTTCCATATAAACTTTATCCCGTAAAAAATCGAATATTTTATGGAAAAGGATATTGTGTCCGTAAACTTCCAGCGCGGCGGCAGCGTCTTTTCGATTAATATTACTGGATACCCGCAATATTTCCGAATCCAGCGTCTTGTTGACCAGCAAGCGCAGTTTATTGGCCAAATCGTCAACGTAGCCTTCCAGCATCAAATAAGTACAGTAATACTGCTCAATGGACTTTTTATAGTTCCCAATTATCCGTTCCGCCTCATGTGGCGGTAGGGAACTGCGAAGGAATTCCTCACAGCTGGCCGCTGAAAGGGTTATCACATTATATTCCATGGTGGGAACAGATCTGTCGAAAGTGTCCATATCACCGCCTAACGGTCGATCGATGAGCAGCAGCGTAAATGAGCGACCGTTCTCGTCGTAGCACCGTTCCTGCAAAAACGTTTACCATCAAAACTAAACTAATGTAATCAAGAAGAACATGGCATTGCAGACATTACGGTCTATAACTGCTTAAGGCGTCACATTCTGCAGTGCTGCAGGCCAATATCATACCGTACGACGGTACGTTATGCTCATCGTTGTTTTCCATAGAACAGGCAACACAGAAATCGAAAATCACACAGAAAATTCGATTTATAAAAGCCGATATGCAGTAAAAATACTGGTACATAGTAACAGATTACTTATTCTAGAAGTACTGTAAAGGTTCACACTATTTCAGGTGGCAAAAAGCGTATGCAGGAAATGCATGTTAACTTTCACAAGTTTTTCAAGAATTTCATCAACACTAAAATGTTTCAAAAGATGGACACTGGACAGAGTCTAAACTCTAAACAACTAGCACAGTACAAATGTACAATGCATATCTATATAATTATTACGTACATTATGAATAAAATACAATCACAAGTGCACACTTGATTATCATTATATTCCGTCCCATAATTATATTTTATTAAAATACTTTAAATAACAGCACTGTTACAGCATTAACACCAGAATTTCTCTCTAAATTAGTACCCATTTCTAATATCCACAACGACCTGCTACGTAGTATACTGTATTATTATTTACTATGAATACTTGAAGTATCTATACGAATTATTATCCAAAGTAAGCTACAGGTATTACATAGCCATCAGGTTGCTCATAAAATATCGCAATCTTGCTTACTTCCTACAATGAAGTTACAAACCATAAAAAGTTGTTTATTCGTCCTCGTTGTTTTCTGAGCAGTGAATCACATTCCTACCTCAGATAAGATTTTTGCCGAGAAATTCCTGGCAAATCCAGAATATCCCGCAATAGTTCCCGCCTTCGGATTGATGACCACTGAATAGCCCTTTTGTACACAATCGTGCAGACCGTCAACATGCACCTGCAGCGGGGAAGGCATGAGAATATGCAGTCCGAGCTCCGATTTTTTTGTCAGCAATGCGTTGGTTTTCTTGTGTAGTGGTAATGAGGACAGGCGAGGAACACAGATAATACATTTCCGATCACACGCTTTGCTGTACAGATCTTTGTATTCCTTCGTCAGGGCAATGTAGAATGGATTTTGGGTAAAGTTCTCATCCCCCATCGTTCTCATGTAGTAAAATCACGATAATCCGATCAAAATCAAAATGATAAGAGATCGTAAACTCTGCATGGACGGATGTCCCAGGCTTGCTTCCGTCCGAAGAGTTTTCCGCACTTTCCTCTATCCAGTATATCTATCTACATCTAAACGGGACCTTATGATCATTAATGATACAGCACGCTGATTATTGTATCGTATCTTATTCAACGAAAATGTCAGTTAAACAAGTTACAGTATCCAAAAGAGGATCCACTCGAAGAAGACTTGATGGGAGATACTCAGATACTGCGCACAAACCAAAGATGGGAAGATTAAAAAATTTTTACAGAATTATGCGCTTAGACTCCTAGTTATGCAATCCCCAGCCTACGAATTGGTTCAGACCTCCTTATCTGGTTGTAAGATAATCGTATTAGTATTCACAATAATTGAATATCTGTCACAGAACTGAGCACATCAAAAATTTTCTTTTTCATTTTATGGGCAACCACATTTTCTTCAGTGAAAAATCGAATACATCGTCATTCGCCACCGTCCTCGTGCGTGCAGTCATTTGACGCGATGCAAATTGCTGAATGACTCACCCACCAAAGTCATATCTTCGCCTCGCTCCTGCGTTCCACTTTTCGTATGAGAACAGCTGTTTTCATCATTAATGCTGAACTTTCTTTTCGAAAATTAGTTTACTACTTTACTCTTTAGTCTTTACTGCGTTATTTTTATCTACAGAAAGCACATAAACGTTGAACTTGCTGATTGAATGTCAATTATGTCATAATCCATTAAATTGTCTCGTACTAGCTGATTGTTAGGAAGACGGGATCTGATCTGATTGTAAGATAGACCAGCTGCCCGGTATCTTCGTGCGTTCGTGCAAACATGAGCGACTGGAAGGCTCTCCAAGAAGATAGGGATGCGGATCAGGACCGCACTGATGACGCTTATATCAATGAGAACGAGAAGCAGTTTCTTTTTGAAGGCATCAGAGTAAGTTGAGTTCTGAATCTTTTACGTTGTGCGTTCTGTGGAGTGCACACGATTTCACGAAGTAAGTAAAGTTTGCTTTTTCCGTAACTGTAGGACTTCGATTTCCGGCTGGATGGAAGGGGTCCACTGGATTATCGAAATATCCACATCGAAGTGGGCTCTGTGAACAATGCAAACGGTTCGGCCAGGATTAAGCTTGTGAGAACTGGAGATAGGACGTTTATGTTCGTTGCAGCCATTCTGTATACGTTGTTTTTGTCATGCCAGCAAAAAAACAACAAGCCACTGAGCAGCAACGGCAATTCCGCTTACAAGTTCTGTCTGGCACGATACAAGTGGTCCCAAAAGTTTTTAAAGTGTTTCTTGAACTTTCTTCTGTTTTTAACAGATACCGATAGTCTGATAGTGCCATTCTTTGTATACCGAATATGTGCTATCATTGATGTGTGGTGAATTTCGTGCTAATTATTCTCCAAAACAGTCAGATTAGCTTGTTTAATACCATATTACCGCTATATCATTTTGTTATAGTTTTCTTATAAGCTTTATGCTTTTCTTTTAAGCTTTATGCTTATAAAAGACAGTGTTATTACTCTCTATCCCATTTTTTAAATTATTTTTTTGTTTTTCGTCTATTCTCAATTTTTTTTGCACTGACGGAGCTCCTGTTTTTTTTCACCTTTTTTTGCATAAAAGGCTACCTACCGGAATATTTTTTTGTTTTAGGGAGATACGAATGTTGTCGCGGCAGTAAAAATCGCACTTGGTGAACCTGAAAAGGATACGCCAGATGAAGGCATCGTGGAAATCTCGGTTGAAAGGTGCGCGTTTTGTATGCTCTTATTTTTTTCAATTAGCCAACATAAATACCTTCGCTATACTGATTGTGTGCGGACTTTTCACAAGCTTTCCCATGTGTAGTCAAGTACGAATGCCTGATTTTTGCTCGGCATTCTTCTTCAGTAATATTATTTTCTAACTTGTTATCTTTGTGCATTTCATTTTCTTTTTTATCGGTTTTGTACCTTTGAGGTAAATGTCTGTTCTCGAAAGTATGCAACGGATGAGAAAATTTACGTGAACCCATATGCCTATTCTGATTTCGTCATAGCTCTGTCCCTTCCTTTGGGAATGCAGAAGAGGATGAGGATACCGAAATATTCAGCACCCAAGAACTACAGCAAATTCTGGAATGCATATACTACGAATCTGGCGGTATTGACCGGAAGAAACTTGGTGTGCTAAAAGGATCGAAATGCTGGACGCTGTTTTTCGATATTATTGTAGGTGTCAGTTTGTACCTCTGTATTAATTTAAAGATATGTGTAAATTCTGATTTAGTATCATTGTTGAATTTCTTGTTGATTGGATTTTTTGCAGATTTTCGAGCAAGGTTCCTCAGTATTAGAAGCAGCAGCTTTAGCCATTAAAGCATCGTTAGCCGACGCAAGATTTCCTACTGTTCGCATTGTCGAAGATGAACTGGATCAGTTCGAGATCGAATACAGTGATAACCCGTACGATTGTTGGCAGATGGATGTTGCTTGCGTTCCAACAATAGCTACCCTTTCTAAGGTGTGCCGTTTTGTGTAAAGTCCTTACATACAGTAGAATACGTATGAGTATGAATGCTTGTTGGAAAACTCGTTGTTAGCCAAATCGGCACTGTAATAAAGTAGGAGCTTTGATCAGTTCATGTGTTGTGTAGATTGGACCGGTTTTTGTCGTGGATGTCACTAGGGAAGAACGCGTGGCGGCCGAAGCATTATTCGTTGTAGCCGCTAACGCAAGCGGTACAGTGTTTTACCAGTCTGTTGACTGCACAGGACCGGAACTTGGAATCAGGCCAGAGGTTTTACAAGAAGCTGTCGAGGTAAAACGATGCTTGTATACTCTGGGCATAACTAAGTTGTATTACAAAATGGCAAAACCTTATTTTTTCGATGTTTCTGTTGCCTTTTTCTATAATTTTGTTTTTGTTTACAGATCTCGATGAAAGTATGCCAGGAAATGAATCGTGAACTTGATAAAGCGTTGAAGTGTTCTCTTTGATGATTGGTAACGTAATCTTATTGAAAATTAATTTTTTGTGGGTGACTGTTAAATTCGTCGGCGCTTCTGTACAAATAGATGTACTTAAGTTTACATTGGGTTAAAGTGAGCTTTATTGCTAATAAATCGTATTATTCGATGATAAAGCACTTCGAACTTGGTTAAATTCTTAAGTTACATTGAACCAAATGCTATTCAGAATCAGAACCGCTCAGATCGCTGATGCTGCTGGAACTGCTTAAATCCGTATGGTCACCGTTTAATTTGAAAGAAGCAATAACTTCATGTGTCCGTATCCGTTGGGTAACGCGATAGTTTTGCAATACCCGCCCTTTATCCGGCCGACGCTCGCTGTGACTTCGACGAACGGAAATGACACTGTCCCGACTTCCTTTTCGTGAGTCACGAGACTCCCGACTATGCTTCCGCCCCTTTCGCGTACTCAAGCTTCGAAAAGCCTGCATCTGTAAAAAGATCCGGTAGATTTTACCTCTTTGGCCTAGATGCATAGCTTCAAATTTGAACTGTTAATACGAGTACCTGTTCGGTAGAAACCTCGATTGGGTGTTTCAGGACAATCCATTGCACGCATTCATTGTATGGCGGTGTGGTCAGTGATCCGTGATATGTATAATATTTCGAGGTATCTGTTCAGATATGTTCAGGTGGTGTTACAGCTTACGACGTTTGATAAGATTACCATTAGAGTACCTTCTGGCAAGAGCTGGGTTACATCGAGATGCTTTAAGGGCACACTATGTCCGGCGTAGTGAATATCATGAATGGCGTCTACCAGTCGGTGTAATTCGGGATTTGGCATGCCGATCTGAAAATATAAAAACGAATATCAGTTTGGTAACTGCATAGTTTTTGGCTTTTTGCTTAATTCTTTTTAATGGCATTCAATGATTCAACATATTAAAATATGCAGTTCATGGGTGCTCGAATACCCACTGAAGTGAAATCATCAACAATCAGACCAGTTAACTGAACTTATCAAAGGGATTACCTCAAGAAATACACCGACTACAGCCAGACCATCGTGGTAAGATAGTGCAGATTGGAAAGATCCATATCGACGATTCCAATGGACGAAATGAATTTCACCGGCGTAAGCAAAATTATCTACAAGGTGCTCCGAACCGGATCGATTATCGGGGCCCCAGTGAGCATGAAACTGCTCCAAATAATAAAAATCATGCAAAGGACCGCCTTTTAAGACTGCAATAAAAGAAAATAAATTGTAGAAATATTGGTTCTTTTCTGTAACAACACTGCATTGATAAAAAGCTATAGTGTAACGTATAGTCAAAAAAGTCAAGTTCCTTACAGAAACGACGATCCACCATCGTAACCTTCCAAGTAGACCCGGCATTTTCGTATACAGATGCCATTTTCAGACTGGTCGGGTAATTAAAATCCAGTTTGCGATGCTCGAGCTCTGGTTCGAAGATGGCTGAACCCGTACTGATGTTAATGGGTGATTGTTGAAACGGTTGACAATCGATCGCGAAGGATGCGGACACTAAAGTCGGATTGTGAGGCTGAATGACACGGAAATTGTGGCGCAGGTGGTTCGTATCGGGATCACGAGACAAAGCCCTTTCGTTCTCCTTGTAACGCAGCAAAGTGCGCATAGCACGTAGCTACATCAAAAAATGATGTGTCACCAAATCTACATGGCTGATTTATGTTATTTAACTAAACCAAACTATTTAATATAAAAATTCAACAGCACGCCTAACTCAGCCTGTGCGCTACCTGGCTGGAAGAAATTTCGATAGGATTTTTCATAACAATCCATACTACGCATTCGCTAAATGGCGGTGTGGTTAGTGAACCGGCATATGTCCAGTATTGTGTTGAATCTGTATTGGAGCACATAAAAAATAGTGTGCTTAGTCAAAACAGCATTATGATTTAATACGGAGCATTGATACCCTCTGGAAGCAGTCGATACAAGTCCAATTCCAGTGCGGCAATCGATACCTTCTTGTCGGCGTAATGTATATTCTCCATCAAGTTGACAAGCTTTTCCAGTTCGGGATGGGCTTTTCCAACCTAGGAGCCGAAAAATTATCATATTACAACATTCAGTAGTCAACCATAATTTCGTGTAGTCAAATATAGACGATCGACACACGGCAACAGTTCGAACATTTATCGAAATTATGCACCTACAAAATATTTCAGCTATGGCTATTAAATACATACATACACTTTTTAACGTATATGTTCTGAAGTTTTCGATCCAAAAAAAAGCTGTCAACGGCTTACTTTTAAGAAAACTCCAATAACCGACAGTCCTTCGCCATCTTCGAGTGCATCTTCGAATTTTTTATGTTTGGAGCGATTCCAGTGCACGAAATGTATTTCCGATGGGAAATATCGTCCATCGACAACATGTTCGGATCCGAATAAACTGGTTGACGCCCAGTGCGCGTGGATTTGTTCCAAGTGGTAGCGTGCATTCAAAGGCCCGCCGTGAATAACTAAAAAGCAAGTAAACCTACGAGTTAATCCCAGGGTTAGAAGGTCACGGTTGTCCTCGGAAATAGCCAGTGGGCAGATCACTACCGAATCGTTTGCTATTGACATCAATCCTCCATGTGGAGCCGGTATTTATGAATGTGGCCCCTTCCTTCAGCCAACGCGGATAACTGATAATCAGCGGATTGTCAATAAGTTTTGCATCAAGTTTGGCTTCCTTTGTCCGGATATCGATCGGCGATTGTCGCTCTTCCGAAACGGTTTCGTGTTCTTCCTTCTTCAAGTTGAGCACTAATGGCGCTATATAATGCAATACTCATATAAATAATTAGAAAATTAAAGTACAAACATCATATCTACAAATGGCTGCAAGTTTCAAACTACTCTAAAGATGTCTGGCAGAGAATACTGTGGGAAATTCTGGCCAACAATTGATAAGTAAATAAATTTATCGTTCTAATAACCAGTCCGATATTGTTGCTCACCTTCCGAAGGGCGTCTAGACGTGGGTATGTCAATTTCCTTCCACTCATTCAGCCGCAGCACGGTCACATGAGGATACCGATTCATTTTTTACGAAAGACGTCGCACAAATTTACCGAAAACACTCAATACCACATGCAAAAAATCGCCGAAATTGTATTAGCAAAAATGGAAAACTTTTTGCGTGGAGAGTGGAAAGCTTGTTCGCGTCTGATTTGCTGCTGCTTCATATTCTCTAACAACCCCACCATAACGGATTCATCTTTTTAAAAAAAACACGGAATTCGAAAATGTGCCGGTAAAGTAGCAGAAAAATCCTTTACCACACTGCCTAAAATATCAAACCCGTTCTGGACGTTGTCGCACTATTTATTCTGCTGTGCAACAACTATCAAAAGGAAATTTTTGTGCTTAGCTGGAAAAATCAAGTAAACAGTGGAAAAACAACTATGAACGCGACTCTCAAGTAGGGTCAATTCAAAAGAATGCAATGTGATTTCATACGTTTCATATCAACAACTACTGTCAATTGTTTAGCTGGCGATAATAGCCCCCACATAAACGGTGTACCAAACTGGATTATTTCTAATAAACCAACTATTATCCAACGATATAAAAATTCTCCAGAAAGCGCCTTATTTCAGCATTTTTTTCTATTGATAGAACCGCGCAGTCAGCACACGACACTGAATGGATCTTTCTTTTGGCAGCGTAAGTAAAGATATTAATGAAAACGACACGGAAAAAATTGCGGTTTACATGGAAATCCACACTGTGATAAAACAATAACCCTGAAAATATACTGCGGAATAATCCCTACAATATTGTAGCAATGAAGAAGGTGCGCAGTTTGCAAAACATAGTGCGCCATGCCTTTTTGATACTCTAGGATCCAAAAAACACATACGCGCGTCACGAGACCGCACAAAATAAACACTTCATTAAGGTCTTACGATTCACATATTTTATTCTGTTGAATACACTATAGAGAAAAGCGTGTGCATTATTCGTTTGAATACATCTGGACACAGCTCGATAGCGATTAACAGAAAAGAATACTGTATAATTAAAATCTAGATTGTGCTGCGTAACAGCAGTTTGCTACGTCATAATGTTTTGTTGCACTACCATGTGCCAACAAGAACCGAACAGGAGAAAATTCTACTGTAGCGAATAACTTTGGGCTTCCTTTGATAAACAACATTTTCGTCATCGCTGGCATCCACTAACCTCCACGCAGTGGGCTTCCTTTGGTGTGCGAATTCCATTTTCCGGGTTGACTGCCGGATATCTCCTAAGCATTACCTTTTAGAACGATGTCGATGCATCGTTTTGGGTTAATCGAAAAACCCCAGGAAACAGCTGCAAAAATTACAAGTACACACTTGTTGCACGTTTTATGAGATACCATCCACACCTTAGCCGACACTATATGCACAAGCGTAAAACGGCAACTGATTAACCTGTCGAAATCTTTTGCGCGACTGTGAGATGTATTCCGCTAAAGCGTCAGAATTCACGTTTTCAAAGTTCACAGTGGCCAGGAAATCCAGTAGCTGTTCGATCGCTTGCAGTTTCCTGAAAAAATTTATCGGAGCCGATAGAAGCAAATCATTTGAGTATCCACGTAACACTATTGCAAAACAATCGTTATTCAAACTCGCATCGCTTTTCACTCTTTTTTTACATACTAACCCATATGAAAAAATAGTGAAATAACAGTTACAATGTTAACGATGCCGTCGATACGGAAAAAAATTAGTGTCAAAACGAAAAAAAAAACGGATGTGCAAAGAAATGATCCAATGATATAACTGAATATTCAACATAACAGAGCTACATGTATTTATGTATTTTTTTACCATCGACACCGCGTAAAGAATAAAAATAGGTACGGCGCAACAGCCGTACTGTACAGGCGCCACAGATACGTGGTGAAGTATTCAGAAACGGCCTACAGATGTAACTCAAAGAGAGCTTACTTAGTCGACGGGCTATCGTTCGATTTTTCAGTCATAAGGTGATTTCGAACGGTGGTCGCATATCCTTTATAGAAGCCTATCTGAAACGGACAATGATAACATCACTTTGTAGCACTATAGCGCACCACCGTGCCGACGCACCTCGTTCCCGATTTCCCAACCCTTATTCCACCCAAAAGTGTACCCCTCCACGTAACCAGTAGTGCGACCCAAATCTGTTCCTTCTCGCGCGCCTTCGTTATACGAGCTGTCAAAGAGAAAATCTGTTATGCCTTACCCTCAACAGCGCAAAACATGCGGGTGAAATGTACAGTAATCCAAGGATCGTACAGTTCTATGAAAGTGAGCACCTGCCTGTACACAGCTAAAGCACAACAACATACAGATACTTTAATTAGTTCCATACCTTTCTTCTTGCCGTAAAATACCGTCGATTACATCGTTTACATCCATTGCAAGCAGGCCTTGACTTCGACGTTTTCAATCTCAAAGCTACCAAGTACCAACCAAGTATTCGAGCTTACGCTTAATATTTAGCTCATCAGCAACATTCAAATTCAAAGCAGTTTACAATATATATTACTGTAATCGTCCGTACATATCGTATAAAAATATTTAAAATACTATAAAATTTATATAGAGCCAGAAATTCCGTCCGTCTCTGTCGATGAGTGCTTTTTTACTGCGAAAAATTCGCAAACATTTTGTAACTGTTCCCCTTCGGTTGGTTTCGCGATTTTCGCAGATCTTAATGCGGCCTACATGTGGGAGGGAGAAGCTGCAGCCGGCAAATTGTACTTACCAGTTACCGCTATCCTTCATTTCCGATGCCGGTTTTCTGATGCGAAATTTTACAATCTAGGCTTACTAACAATTCTGTTTTTGACTTTTGAGAACATAATAATATTTAAATAAAGCCCAGTGAGCTTTATTTAAATACTCAGTACTGGCAGTAGATAATAATTTACTAACTTTACTAACTATTATAATTTACTAACTAATTTACTAACTAATTTAATTTGTAGTACTTTAATGATTTTGAAGTTATAAACATAACAAAACATAATGACATCTATAAACATAATGATACTCGTACTTACCTACGTACTACATACTCGTAAATGCCTGAAATTCGCTAGCTATTGTAAATTTAACCGTATTATATTATTCTAGTTACATTATATCTATATGTGGGTGTCTTTAAGTACAAGGAGAACTATAGAAGTACAGAGGATTAGAGCCCTGCGCGAGCGTCAAATGTTTGGCTCACGCTCGCTCGTGTCATTTTAACTATTGTAAATTTTTTCTCAGCTCGCTCGTGCTGAATCGTCTGCTCGCTCGCTCGGCTCGTGTCCAGATTTCTTATTGCTCGGATCGCTCGGCTCGTAGACAATTTCAAATTTTTCTGCTCAGACGGCTCGCGAGCAAAAGTTATATGCGGTTTAATTGTAAAAACGTACTTTGGTATTTTTATGGCAGCACCGCTGCATGAATTTAAACCAGTTTATTTCGCGCGAAGCCAACGCGCATTTTTACAGGAAAATCGCCAGAAATTATGCAAAAAATAGTTCGGGACAGCTTATTTCGCGCGAAGCGCGAAGCCAACGCCCATTTTTGGAAGAAAATCGCTAGAAATTCTATAAAAAATAGTACGGGACAGAAAGCAGTGCTCAGCTCGCTGTGACCTCTGACTGCCGCTCGCTCGGCTCGCTCGCCCATCGATAAACGACCGCTCGGCTCGACTCGGCTCGCGCCAGTAGCGGTAAAAGCTCGCTCATTCGGCTCGCGAGCCGCGAGCGCTCACGAGCCGAGCCGAGGCTCGGCGCTCGCGCAGGGCTCTACAGAGGATTGTGTACAACATGAAGTAGAATTCTGATGAATTATTCATTGGACACTTTATGCGATGGATGTATGAGGACAAAAGAGGCAATTAATATTTCAGCCAGATCAGCGCTTTTGCTTTCAACGCCACATGAATCAGATGTGTCATGAATGAATATCATCATGAATATGTCATCATGAATAAAAACCAGAAGTAATTAACATATTTTTTTAGACGCATGGTTTTATTTTGACAATCAAAGAATTCTGAACAATAATTACCTCTTTGCACATATCACACTAGTCAGGTGTAAAGATAACTCAAAGCAAACAACAAACAATCAATTTCATACCATAGAGTAATTCAATATGCTATAGAAGTCATAAGGGTTAAAATTGCATCTGCTGATCAATTTGATCAAGAATTGCTCGGCATTGCGCGTCATAGTTAAAAATATGTGTTCAATGCTGGCTTGTAGGATGACCGCACTTTCACAATGCTATTTTGTACTGGACGGAAATTGTGGACGACCCGGCCACAAGACGCATGTTTATCTGGTGCATTCTGGCCTTCTTGAAATTCTACCAAGGTCCGCATAGCTTCCAGCTGGAAAAACAAAAACCATATAGTAGGATGTAAAACAAAAACGATAGACTGGTCAGTCTTTACGCAGTACACAAATGCTGCTATAGTCAAGGGAACAAAGACCTTAACTTTACAAATGCAGACAAATATATGTTCGGGTATTTGATCTGATTTGACTTGTGAGCTGACCATTATTTGCACCAACCTGCTCACTGGACACTTCGATATGATTTTTCAACACTATCCAGATCACACAGTCGTCGTACGGTGTTGTGGTCAACGATCCATCGTAAGTCCAATATTGCGACGTATCTGCATGAAGTAAATCAAGAACGCTTTTACACATTTTAGAGAACTATTGGACTATATTTCATCAAGTATCACGAAAAAAGTCGCCGGAAAACAGTCTAACGCAAGATTATGGTAGTCTATTAATGGTAGATGAACTTTTGAACACTTAAGACCTCCTTTAAGTATTTAAAGCGTCGTCATTTTAATTAATGGCACGCGGTCTAACTACTCGGTAAACATGTTATAATAATATAATAGCCTTTCGTCCTTTCCTTTTATCGAAAAGTGTTTATTACTTAGTTAGAATTATTGTGTTTGAGCCTCTTTGTTTTCGTAGAAGGCTAAAAGTTGTTCTTATTTTTATCATCTTTTGCAGTTATCTGTACCTTCGGGCATGAGCTTTTTAACGTTTATATTCTTGTCATCTAGAGAAATCTCTTGTCCTGAATAATGGATGTCTTGCATAGCGTCCGCCAGCTTCTGTATTTCGGGGTGAGGCTTGCCAACCTGAAAATGAGCCAACACTTTTGTACACATTTATCAATATGCGGGAGTATAATCTACTTAATATACGCATCGGGTTATTGTAAAAGCTTTTTGTCAAAAACGATATGCTCGAATGGAATACTTTTAAAAAGTTCGACACTGGTTTACGGAATAATCCAATATTTATGTCCTAAACCACTTTATTTAGAATTTAATGATAGTTGATGTTTTGCCAAGACGAGTTTACGACAGAAGCCATCGGCCAGAAAACAAGAATGGTACATTAACGCCTTATTCAGCAGTTTAATGTTTCAAAATTTACGTCCTGAGAAAACATAAAAGCTCCTCGCTAAATTTATTGCAAGTGCTCCGTGATCAAATGGCATCAAAACCGTTTTGAAAGACTAGTTTTATCTTTTCCTTCGGAGCATACAGCGTAACCGAATTGCACCTATAAGGTGTCCTTTTAATAGCGCTAACTTATTGTATCCTTCAAAATCGCACTGGGGTTGGTGGAATATCGTAAGAAATGCGTATAGTCAGCTTTAAATTCATTTTGCAGGAGCACGGTTATCTTTTCATCTTAAACTAGATATTAACAAATGTACTATAATTCGATATCTTTGGCATTGCCGGTATGCCATCATGGGTCACTTACAAAACTAAATTATTTGTTCCCAAACCTTAATAAAAATTTGCAAAATGCAGCATAGACATTTTTTTTATCAAGAATTACAATTTTTGACGAGAAAATAATACTGCATCCGTTCGAGTACCTTCAAAAACACTCCAATCACCGCCAGACCATCTGGTCGGGACGCCGCAGTATCAATGGTTTGACATTTGCCCGTATTCCAGTGTACGAAATGCAATTCGGCAGCATACTGGTATCCGTTGACCGTATGTTCTGATCCGACAATATTATTCGGGCCCCAATGAGCGTGCACTTGGTCCAATTGGTACACAGATTGCAATGGTCCACCGCTGATCCCTGGAGTACAAATGCCCATAGAAAATACATTTTAAAATAAAACGCAGTAATTGTTTTTAATTACTAATCTTACTTCTTTAAAGATCTAAATTTTAAGATCTAGTCAGATGGATAATTAAGCACTTAACATATGGTAAATGAAGGAGAACCGGTATTTGAGGTCAACTTACGGAAACGCGGGTCTCCTATTCTAAGTTTCCATGTACTGCCGGTGTTACGGAACATGCAGAATTTCTCCACTCGCAATGGGTACTCAATCGTTAAAGGTCGGGATTCGAGTCGCTGATCGAAAACGGTATCGCTCAAGCGGATGTCAATTGGAGATTGCCGAATAACTTGCGGAAGGTGAGTGCCAATGGCCTCTACAACTGTTGGGTCTGCAAAAATTCGGCTGCACGTCTGAAAGTATGTATCTGTACTAGTACATTATATAATATAGATTTGTATAACAAGGTCTGCAATTCTTACAATTTTGTACTGCCTGCTTTAAACCATCCAGAAAGGAATCACAACTTTTTATTGGCATTGGTTGCTTCGGTAAGTATTACTTCTTAATTATAATAAAATATTCTAGCAGTACTGTCGGGTTATACCCCTAAGAACGTAAAACAGAAAATGGTTGAAAAAACTTTTTATTGTTAAATACGTATAAAAATTTAATAAGAAGAAAGCTAACTACGAGCACTGAATAACTTTACCGTATACTGTGGGGAACCAGTGGAGAAATAGTACTGTACAAGTGCTTTGGCGTATGAATTACTGTACCTGGTCCACAAGAATTGAATTGCTTTATGTGTACACAAACAAAGAAAGTTACGCAAAATACTATCACAGGCTAGGAATAGGAATGGCTATATGTAGCATCATAAAAAATGTTACTAATATGTTACTAATCCTGGGTAATTATTGTGAACTTACAATGTTACGTCTTGCAGCTACTGCAATTTGCACTTAGTAGGGTAATTCTGTATCAAATACTAGTACCGCCTTTGGCATTCCAGCCACATATAAGCCGGTAAATTAAAAGATGTACACATTGTACAGTATATGTATGCAAATATATATAATATATATACTGCATTATATGCGATTACTTTAATATTTCATTATATCATGGCCTTCACCTAGTGGACACTCAAATTTGCCTTGCTGATTACATCCGTTTCGGAATATTATCAGCCAAACTGAACCAAAGTCTTTTGTGTTTTTAATTTTAGGATCAAAACAGGCATGTGGCCGTCAGAATGTTTGGAATATTCAGTAAATTATTCACCTGTATAGGACCGTCTGGATCTCACGGATGTGAAACTGGTTTTGCCTAATTACTCGGATAGTGGTGTATAATGTGCTCACGTATACGGCACGGTACCGGCTCCCAAAGAATACATTGTTGGCTTTGTAGTTACGCATATTAAATTACTAATAATTATTTTGTAATTTACAGCTGTAAGTCATCACATACGTGCGAGTATACGTACAATAAGTAATAATCGTATTCGCATGACTTAATTATGAAAGCTTGTATAGGTAGCTTACTAACTTTTACAACGGCTTAGGTCCACTTAAGCACCAATGCAACATTCTACTTGCAATATTTATTTAATTTTTCAGTGCATTTTAAAGAGCACGTTTTTTAGTCGAACTTACAGGAAAATGGGATAAAAATCAGAAAAATGTTAAAACTGGTCAGTCGCAAATAAATCACCTTTTACCAATTTAGGCTAATTAAATTGGAATAAAATTAAATCGGTAGAGTACTCACTTTCGTATAAATTGTCCAACCCGATCTTCATTGCGTCGACCACCCGGTTGAATGACTTTTTTCGCGAAACACCCGCCGTATTCATTTCAACCTTGAGATATTCGACGGGATCATAATTATGACCAGGAAGGAGCTCTAACGACCGTCGACGCTGGCGTTTGTCCGTTTGGGCGGCCATACTGTGGGTGTAGCAAAACTAATTATTGCAAATATGTAGCAAACACTGAATCAGGCAGCGGAGTAAACTTTGGCGCTATGCGCTACTTGTTGAAGACCTTATGAGTGTTTATTGCTATTCGCGACCCGCAACAAGGTTAGCGTTTTTTGATTAATACTGGTGTAGATATGTCTTTCCGACTAACTGATATAAGACACACAGCCGGGGACTTTATAGGTGCCGGACATGAAGTGTGCAACATGAAGTGTACAACCAGAACGGCAAAAGTCACATGACTGAAGTGTATAAATCGGCGTATAGCGGTTGGTGAGACTAGCTTAAGGGCATCATTTGAAGCTTGTAACAGCTGCCTTCGCCTTCTGTTGTTGTTGTTGCGATACTGTTTTAAGTGGTAATTTTTACTTAGAAAATGAGCCGGATATATATGCGAATTCGAAAGTGTACCAATTTCATTGCCCAAATATTTTATGCATGAAGCATGCAAATGCATGTGTTCACTAATTAGCACAAAACGCAAGAGGTTGATTAGTGCTGCATGACTCCAACCGCCTCAGAAAGGTCAAGCACTCAGTCTACGGATCTAGCTGCACTTCAAAACGTTGCAAAAGTGTACACTATACGTGCGTTCAGAAGTAAAGGACTTAATATTTTATAAAAATATATTTTCGCTACTAGCGCTTATTGGCATATTTACTTCGTTATAACTTGCAACCTGTTCCTTGAAGGAGTAAATAAACGCACTTCACTATACATACTACAATATATCTATATTCCATATTATATTTACACGTTGATTCCAATCTGTACATGGTAAGAGTATGGCTAATACGCGAATAAGAAGCTTAAAAAATCTGATAATCGCAGTATTTTGATTCATTATATTTTACGACCAACTTAAATCGATGGTAAAGAAAAAATAAAACGCGGCTTTTACAGTCTGTTATACGTTGTCCAGTAATTTTGTTGCGAGGACCGTAGATTGTTGCAAGCACCGACGCTAGCGGTATGTCGGGGCGTTCCAGGATTACTTACCACATGTCATGTGTGGAATTAAAATGTAAAAAACAGAAATACAAATAATAATTGTGCTGATATGTAGCAAGTATTAGATGGGAATATCTATAATCTATCGTATACTGCATATGAAGTATAGATACTTGCATAATAAAGTGTGTATCCGTAGGTGTATATGCGCCTTGCTAGTTAATGCTACTACTGCGCTCTAATAATGCCTTCAATCGCAAATTACAAGCGGAATTCTCAAACCTTGAAATAAAGATAATGATAGATCTACATACTGCAACTTATTGCTAAATGTTTAGTGATACTATTAGCCGTCGCATGCATAAAATACTCCGGAAACGTTAACGCATTAGCTGTTATGATTTTCTTTTAATTTATAACAAACGATATTTTAGTATTTTAATATTCCTGTGGACCTTCAGAGTTCTGTAAACTAACGCACTTAAAGGGAATGTCCAAAGACGTGTTTAAAACCGATACCCTGGAATCCAGATCTTCAAAAGTCCAGGCAGCGTGCCATGGCCAGATACCGTTTCTTGTGCTAGCACACATTTGAAAACAAGCGGCGATGTTACAGATTGATGGTTCGGAATATGTAAGGAGGTAATCCCACATAATCAGACACTCAAGAATTATGAATCAGATTAATGTGAATTCTCCAAACAACAATGTCCTTGTCCCTTAGAATTTGCTGGGATACTGTTTCGCCATAGTAAAAAAATATTGTCGTCAATGAAGTAGAAAGGTTCAACCCGAAGCATAATATTCAACATTAAAACAAAAAAGGGCAGTTTTATAAAATTATATGGGCATTGTAGCATTCTTCTTATTTCTTTATTGAAAAATGAAAACAGAAATCATCCAGCCGAACATTAACCTTGATCAATAAAAAATCCGGAAAAGGATTGCAGAATACTAAAGATGCAGTTTGTGAGGAGCGGTCGAAATCAACGTGTATGGAAAAACTCCGGTTTGCGCAGTATAAGGCTTACTTTTGCTGCATTTACGTCAAACTTCCTGAAGCTGTATACAAAAGGATGCGTTAAGTGCTCGAAATCATTGTGTTTGGAATTTCCAGTGTGTGGAAGTTGATATCAATAAACAACAGGATTTTACATGTATTCTAAACAATAGGTAGAATACGCTTAAACATCAGTGCAGAAATTCATGCACGGTAGAGGAATGCAGCACAAAAATTTTTACAAACTGTATTATTAGCCAGTATAACCACGAGCAGTTTGTGTGTCCAATTAACGTCATAAATTAAGTAAATTCAAAGGTCGATCGAACACTTTATATACGTATGATATTTATTATTGTTAACCATGTTCTGTTGCCACTTTATCAGTAATCTAAAAATCTGATCCTGTGCGATATAAAAAAAATTCACCCACGGGATTAATAATATAAAGCTGCGTAAATTAGATTTTATTGTTTTCACAACGAAACTGATGATATCATGATAGTGCATTAAAAGCATCTTTTTCCGGTCATGCCCATAACAGAGTTCCATATTTTTTATACAACAAACAGCAGAATAGCCAGATCAGTCGTTAAACAGCGCAAACAAACATAAAACACATTGTTTTTGCAAATTGGTTTATCGAGATCGACAAGAAGTAAACTACAAAACTATACAGAACACGATTGGTGCGGACAATGAAATTTTCGTTGTAAACAATAAATTACACTATGTCCGAATCCATATGGTAACATACAGTCAGAAAGTATTTTTCTATCAACAAAAAGCAGTTCGTGCATAATACATTACATAAACACCAACAAACCATCTACATAAATAATTTTGCTTATGCGCAAAGTGTTTAAAATGCATTGGTTCTTGCATAGTTTCCAATACTAGTAAAATAAAGTCACAAGTAGACCAATAGACTCCATGCCCGGTGTAAATTATGTGCTGCACTACAGTTCAATAAGGATTAAAAATCAAACAAGAATGAGAATCCGAAATAGCGCCAGCTGGAACAAATCTTGCAGGGATGTAGCAGCTATACGCCAAGAATTAAGCCTTTTCCTTTTCTTTTTCTTGAGATCCGGATGCAGCGCTGCTTTCTTTTGTATTAAATGGCGGGCTTGTCGGCGCCGAACTTGTTCCCGAGGTTTCCTGTTATCAAATTAACTTTACTACAATTACACAATTTGGTGCATCTTGTCGGTAACAAAAAACAATAAACTACTAATATGTAATAAAATGTGGCATGGAATAACGTCGTGTAAATTTGTGTTGGTGAAAATGCCATGCTACTGGAACTGATACAAAACATTCTATGGGCTTTTTTAAGAGAATAATTACAAGCTTCGAATGCCAATGGGTTAGTAAGTTTGCTCTGTTACTATTGAAAAAAAGAATAATTTACAATTTGATACTATGCGCTATCAGCGTTCAAATTAAGCAGCTATAGAACAGACAGTTTTATTAGAAGGTGCAAAGTCAAAAGAACTGTATGCACCATTTGGGGGCAGATACTGTATCACTGTACTACTGGATATTGCCTCTACATTTGGAAGCAGTTTACCTTGATTCTCGGAACTTGCGATGGACACAACAGCAACTTCCCAATATTTTTTCTTTCATGCATTTTCTTAATTGCATCCCCAACATCTTCCATGGCAAATCTAAGTGAGAAAAAAATACTAGCCTTATGGACTGATAAAATTACTGTGCTCTAAATGACCATCTACTTATATAGAGTAAAAAGAACTAGTACTAAACCGGCATACATATTTGGCAGATGTAGGAGGATAAACATGTTTTGCATCTTGATGTACGTACATCGTATACGTCAAAGTTCTACGTAGGTTCACATTTTACATAGAATGATCATTGAGCATAAGCACGTGACTTACGTTGAATCGATAACCGGCTTGATCTTCTTCTCGCCATACAATTTAAAGAGCTGATCCATAACGTCGCGCACTTCCTTAGCGCCGTTTTGCCGGAACATAAATTGTCGCAGATTAAGTCCACCAATTAACTTGTTTTCATCACAAAGTTTGACTGGACTGATTTTGTCCAGCTGCCACCACTGCAACTAAAATTTTGTAAATTTGCTGCGGCCGTTTGAAGTATTTTTTCATTACGCAGACCAGCCTGCAAAATAATTTGTCTAACTTTTATGACCCTTGTTTAATTTACAAAATCCGGACATTATTCGAGTGTGTTAGATAAGTAGCACTCTAACCAACCGATTTTGCTATGCTGAAGAAGCTTCGGTTCTCTCCGGCCACAATGTTGGACGACCCATAAAGAATATACTTTCCCAAAGGTCGCAGTAACGCGACTCCTCGATTGGTTTCGTCACCAGCCAAACAATCCAACACCAAGTGAATGCCTTCTGGGTAAGATCTAGAGGACGCAATAAATATTCGGCATGGATCATCACTGCGCAATATATCAAAAATATTAATTATGCAACACTTGCTTTTTAATTTCTTGCACATAATCTTCTGTGTGGTCGAACAAATGGTCAAATCCGTGTTTGATATGCTCGTGCTTGTGCTGAGATGCGGTCCCAAACAATTTTATATCTTTGACAGTCTTCGCTAATTGACTGATCGCCAAACCCTAAAAGTAGTAATGTCGACAACCTTGCCATGTCAAGGAATGCAAAAATTGTACATACGCTTCCCACTATACTGTACGCTACACATTTATTTCACTTTGTAGATATTTTTATAATCATGGGCCCATGGCCAATAATAATCATGCCATAACTCATATTAAATTTAAATTTGGGTGTCTGTTATGATAAACACGAGTTCACCTCAATTAACCATGATTAAATACATTTATTCATACATTTTCATTTACTTATTGTGCAATTGCTTTTATTCTTTTTGGGAGTTTTTACTGCCATAAAATATGCTGATCGTTAAAGGTGAATTGTATTTGAATTTAAATTTGAGCTTACCACTGAGCCGCCAGCAGAGTGTACTAAAGCCGCTTGTCCAGGACGTATTCCACCCAAGGAAAACAGCAGCATATAGGCCGTCACGTAGGACAGCATGGAAGCGCCTTCCTCATAACTCATTACCTTCGGCATTTTGTAGATATAATCTGTCGATACACATACCACTTCCGCCCAGGCATTATAATCCGTAAAAGCAATTACGCGATCCCCTGGCTAGAAATTGGATAACACATCATCGAAACATTGCTTTGACTGACAGGAAATACAGTATTTATATAAATGTTTCACTAGTTATTCACTCGAGAAAGCGATAGGAACAAAAAAAGCACGCGAGGGATAAAAGAAAGTAGCCGGCAACTAGCTGTTGAACAACTGCAAAAGTAATGTATCCAGATCACTTCTGTTTTAAAAAAGATATCATCGGTTAGAATCAGTAGAGCAGCCTTTGAAGAAGAAAATCAGAAAAGCTCTAAGTAGAAATTGTATGTAAGCTATGCAGTTGTCTTATTGTGCTTTCTACTCAAGAAACATACCACAACTGTAACACTTAAGGTTTTAGACACCTACTGCACGCGCATATTATTATTGCTATTTCACAAATAAACACAGTACCTCAGTTTAGCAGCGGGTATGTTACTAGTAATTATCTATATAACATTTCTCGTTTATTGTTGTAGTCGTAGCTTAATTATGCGTCACTAAATTCGAATGCACTAAAGCTGCATTTGCTTTCGTTTTAAATGGGTACGACTTTGCGGAGATGTTTCTTTTGGAAACCCTTGTGGCCTGTTGCTTTTCCTAACAATATTTTGTATCAAATTCTTTCGGCCTTTGCAAAAGTAAACAAATGCTGAACGCCATCCTACGTCATCAATCAATGCAAAATCACCATATGGGTTCCCAATCTCTCGATTCAAAACTAAGCCCGTATTAACCTCGAGGATCAGGACACCCCAGCAATAAATTATTGCGATTTCGTGAAATGCTCGTAGATTATTCCAGTAGTGCATGCTAACATAACTGTAAATATCAATCACCTTAAAATCAGCGGCACTGCCCGCACCGGTAGTCACAAACGCTTCGACATCGCCAGCCAGCTCGAAACCCATTACAGCTGGTAATCGCGGTGCATTGTCCAGAAGGCCTTGCCGTGCCATTAAATCCAAAAAATTTATGCCTCTACAACAGACACACAGATTCGCCTTTCACACCATTCTATTGATGCCGGATATAAACGATTTTGGGACATTCGGACGCCACCATATGGATGGATAAGCCAAAAACCGTACCCATTGATTCCCAGTTGCATTCAGCTCAAAAACGCAGTGTCTTCATGGGTGACTGCATAGTAAACGCTTTGAGCATTACTTACGTGGCCTTCACTCGTATCAGCACATGACCTTTCTCCAAACTGGGTTCCGCTTTGTTTTCCACTTTAACCGAACGCAGTCCACCGAAGGAATTCAGAATTACCGCTTTGATTTCCTGCTTGATGGATAGTTTATCGGCGCTGTCCACGGACGGTCCGTTTTCCATGCTCTTCTTCGCATCGGTAGCGGCCATTATGCAGTATATGGAGAAGAAATAAAAAATCGCCCTAATAAGGTGAAAGCTACACCCGAACCGCTGCAGATAATTGAATGCTGAGCAGTGCGCACTTTCTCGGCCAACTGCCTGGTAGCACGAAAGCGGTTTTAATTTCTTTTCATTCCACTGCCATGTATTCAACAGTATGTTTATGATCTCTTTTAGCAAGTTGGCGATCGATAAATCAACGAAATGTCTATCATGGACCACATCGGGGAACGGGAAAGCACTTTACTGCACAGATGCAGACGCGGATGGAAAGGATCAACAGGACTTCCTCTCGCGGCATATAAGACCACCCCTTCGTATCAGGCCGCTTACATAAGTGGTCTTAGCGCAGTCCCAACGTCGGCTTCTGGAGGAAACGGCGGATGCAGCACAGAAGCGTGCCGTAACTGTAAAAAGTGGCTAGTGTTACGGCCGATATCCTCAGTTCAAATTTCACATTGGCTGACTTCGTGCCACGAAAAATAGAATGCATCATTGTGCTACGGGATCCTTTAGCCAGACAAATTAAGGGAAAAATTTCTTTGCCAGATTAAGTCGATCCACCGAGCCAGTGACACTAACCATAGCCAGTGTTCGTGCTCCACCTACACAACATTAGCAGAAGGATTTCAACGTCTTGTGTTTGCTTTTGGGCTACCATTGGGAATAATCATGACTGTTGATTACATGTCCTTTTTTCGGTGCTTTTACCTAATCTTCTTGCTAAAATACCATAGTCTATTGATTATTGTACATCTGTTTGCTTACTTATTCGTATGCCACCGCAAAAGTGCAGCGTTATTAATACGAGTACCAAAATACCATGAATCTCCGCATCAGCAAAATGAAAACCATCAAAACGAAATAGTAATAAATGTTACAGTTAAACTGATCTATCTTGGAAAAATTGGTAGGAATTTTTAAAATTTCGTAATATGTGCAGTAATTTTTGTGGCTTCCGACATGCCAGATTACGGGGCTGTTGCACCAGCTGTGGCTGCTGGATACCTTGTGCATGGCTATATATGCCGGTTTCTGTCCATGGTTGGTGCGGTTATGCATTAACCAGCGCAAGCACTTTGCAGTTGTTAGCTCCAGTCCGCCTGAATACATTCACAAATTTAAGATGGGATCAGATGCACACACCTGTTACTGGAAAGTGGGAACAGCACAAAGCTCAACTGAATTTTCTTATATTATGTTTAGGCTATAACTCTTTCTACGTCACTGGGAAGGCTTTTAAAAGAATCAATTAAAGAAAGTCCGGTGTCATAACTCATTGCTGAGCTGAGGAAGAAATAGTAATACCTAAGAAAATAAAAGAACGTGGCTCCAAATATTGTACCACTACAGTCTACCTAATTGTTGTACTGTATTTTCACAAGTTTAAGGAACACGAAAATGCCCTAGGTCTGCTCGCAGCCACCCGGGGCCTGCAGCTACGTTCAATGCTGCTCACTGAGCTCTGAAATAAAAAATTGCAATTTTACTTAATCATTTTTGAATTTACTGTTGCTCACTACGGGGCCCCATTTTCTTGTTTCATTTTTGGATATCCAGTCAATAACACTATAACAGGACAAAAAACTGATTGCAAACTGATTCCTGGAGAACCGGAGTAATCCATTGGCACGGCCTCTGTTCAACCGCTTGGACGTGAAGTGACGGCCTAGCTTCAGTTAGAATGGCTGTACAAGTGCGGAATTTTGCTCTTCTCATTGCCACGTACATAATCAGACAGTCTTACCTCGTCAAAATTACGAATCCGGGCAAGGAAAAGAACTAAACTAAATGACACAACCACAACCTAACCGCGTCTGCAGAAATGCAGAGAAACGAAGTTGCCCCCCAGGGGCACCCCCGTGCCAGGGGCATGCTCTGGCACACATGCCACTGAATCCAGACTCACATTTCTGGGCCAATAAATAAAGCGGTTTTGCACCAAAACAAAATAATCAATAGATATTTAGAAAAAAGTAGTAAGTAATGTGATTCTGTGAGTTGTAAAATGGGGTCCCCGGTCCCGTAATGAGCAGCAGTAAATTCAAAAATGATTTAAATTGCAAATTTTTAATTTCAGACCGCAGTGAGCAGCATTGAACGTAGCTGCAGGCCCCGGGTGGCTGCGAGCAGACCTAGGGCATTTTCGTGTTCCTTAAACTTGTGAAAATACAGTATAGATAGCCCGAAAGTTTGACCCACCTCCGCTGCGCCAACTGGGAGCATGCAAGCCATATGTTGGGAGTTGGGAGCATGAATGCAAGCAGTTCAAACAGTAGGCTCGTGCCCTTAAGGTCATGTTTTAGGTACATATGGCCGGATGCGTACGAAGCACTCCGAACTGACAAAGCGCACTCGTATTTTGACAATGCTGAAACTATCATCACCACAAAATTTACCACGTATACAAGATTAGCTTATCGGGTCATACGGAAAGCCCGTTGATAATGATCTTAGACTTAGTATATCTACATTGTTGACCTGTGACCTTTAGCGTCATACAGGGATTGGCAAGCTGCAATAGCTTAACTGATAGACTGTTTATAGATATAACTAAACTATTGCACTGATTCAATGTGTTATTTACGAGCGAGATTTCGAAGAGTTTGAAATTATTAGTCTGCCTCATTGATATGTGCCGATAAAGTACAGGTAAGCCAGAAACCGGCGCTAGTAGAGCTCTGAGCCGTAATCTGAAACTTTAAACAGGGTTGTAAAGAGAACTGTGCAAACACCGGTGCATGGAGGTTCCTCCTGCCTCCTTCAGTGGTCTTACTATCTAATCTGTTCTTGACAGATTCTGCATTTGTTTTATGCTGCCAAAATAACCGCTGTCTGGCTTCGACCCTCGCCCGCTGCGATCTGCAGTGCTACGGAAATTCGTACCGTTAAACGACGAAAACTGGAAAACCGATATTTCGTGAATATTAAATGTGAAAATGTGATGCAGCCGGTTAAAACAATTAATGACGCTTCTGCAGTCACTGCTGTAAGTTCACGAATCGCTGCAATTTTAAATCCATAGATGTTTCTTGAATTTTTCGTTTGTCAGATTCTCGTGCACTCCGGCCGATGTAAATATCTACCTGATGTCATAATCAATCTACGGTGATTGATTTCCCGCAAATTATTGACATGGACCACAATGAATATTCCAGTCGGCATTGAGCTTCCAGAATGGGAAGGAAAAAGAGTTCTTGTGCGCAGCATTTTAACTTGAGCCGGGAACTTTCGTCCAAGTGTGAGAAAGCCACTTGCAAATTTTGCGGATGGTCTAGTGCCAAGAATACTGTGCGAATGAAGGCCCATTTAGCAAAAGGATGCCGAGACTGTCCCGAAGACGTGCGCACTGCTTTTCTGGAAGAGCTCGAGGAAACCGAGGAGAGTGAGACGGATTCCCGAGTGGACTACTCGGAAGTGGACCCTAATGAGACCTTCGAGACGTCGCGTACGTCCGATCGTCCTCGTCGCGTTGCCGGAAGCAAATCGCCAAAGAGAAAGAAAAAACGTACGATATCCTCTCGCACCGCTCTGGCAGATGAACACCGTGAAATTGACCAAGCCTTGGCTGATTATCTGTTTTCCACAAATCTCCCCCTTTCCACCATAGAAAACCCATTCTTTATAGCGTTTTGTAAGAAGATGCGACCGTCGTATTCTCTGCCGAATCGTTCTCGTGTTGTTAGCCAGTCGTTTGTAGGTGGCGCCACCTCTGCCCACTCACAGCACGTGATGACTGCGGCTTCTACGACCGCCAGTGTACCGCTGCAATTGGCCACTTTTCATCCCGGAAACGAAGGAATGTCGTTTCTGTCTGCGCCGACCGTTCAAGCGGTTCCTCAGCCAAGTTCCGTGCTTGATCAGTCGCAACAGATTCCGGGCGGTGTTCAAGTGTTCCGGATAATCCCGACAAGCAGTACCAGTTTGCTGTCTCTTTAGCCGAATTACTCTGTTGTTCATAAATATTTTTGTTGTTGATGTGGACTTCTGATAAACTTGTTGCAGCTCCTGGGTGTCGCATTGTGGTCGGTGCCATATGATAAACAAACGTGAACGGATGTTAAGTGCCGTGGGAACGTAGCGGGCTAGTGCAGCGGACTTTGAAAGCTCATTTGTGATCGTAATCGAAAACGTTGGCAAATTCTACTAGCTAGATCTGATAGAAAATCATTCATAAAATTTAGCTCACGCAAGGTCAAGATGGGCGTCGCGGTACATTTATGTAAACACCAAACAAAGCGAATTTCATGCATAACTCACCATAGTCTACATTGCAGTTAATTACGTTTTTAGTTTAATAGCTAGAAGGAAATTGGCTGTTTATAATTAATACATAGTCGTATTATGTGGGCGGCGTCTTTAATCATAACTGTACTGACAGTAGTTGAGCTGATTGTGAAATATTTGCTGCTTTAATATTCATTTTCATTCTGCAAGAAATGAACAATACGTATACTGAATTCTAACGCTTAGGTACCTCTGTGCCATTTTGTTTCCAACTGTGTATCTTTGGCGGACACAGCATGGCATTGACGACCTTTACAGTTTGCATAACATCTGACCCGGTGTGGCCTCGGAAAGGAAAAAGAAATATTCTGGGTTAATTATTGCAGATGTAGGTCCTAATTTAGTTTACGCAGACCCTACGTATACCGCGCCCGTCAAAGTTTTTCATTACTTAACAAAATGATGTGTAAGAGACTCGATCTATTCGCACTTTAACAAGCAAAAATATTTTTAGTTTGCAAACTTAGTTGGCAAACTGGCAAATCCTAACTCATCACATACATCACTGCAAGGCATACTGTTTACGGCTGCGTAATCGGCATGCCTTCTCAAATTGCAGCGAGCAAATGTACTGGTGAAAATAATATGCAAAATCTATTTATGACTAATATTTGTATCGGCGCGCAAGATGCGCAACGCCAAATAATTGTGAATTGCCGGATCCTCCTCAATTCGTTTGCTGTGTGGCGTCTACGATTTGTGAACACAGCTCTAAGTTTAGCACAGTCAAGGCTCATAGTCACAGACTCACAGCTGTATATACAAATTGCGTGGCGGGATTTCCGCACCAGTCACCAAATGTTTTTTTCCGCTATAAACATCAATTAGAGAGTCAGTTGGATACAGCTGTTGGTTTGTTACTTATATCGTGCATGAACGGTGGATACATGGAAATACTTGCAAAGATTCATGGACATTTTTCTCACTGGAACGATCACTGTAATACACTAAGCGCCTTTGCAGTTATTATGACCTGCATGCAATCCTGACCTCTCATAGAACAGGAGGAATACAATTAAGTGCATCTTAATTATTTGGCTGTTATACTTAATTTGCAGACCTCGTTTTGTAAAGTTTACAGTTTGCTGACTGCACACCATGGCAAAACCATCAAAACCGTAAGTTGCGTAATGTTAAATATTAAAATATAGTTTTATCGGCTACCCGAATTCTGTTAATTTAATTTGTGGATGCATGCTTCGCTCCAGAATTGCTCCATTAACTGCAACTGAGCATTTTGCAAAGTTCTATTATAATAATTTTTCGTTTATATCTTTTTATGCCTTTAATACAGCTTTTTCGATTTTTATATTTGGGATACATACTGACACCTACAAGTTTTGTCTATAACTAGCGAACCGTTTTAATTTAGCGGCCCAACTATTACCGAAAAGCCAATTATCCGACAAGACCAAGAATGCACTGTCTTGCGCTTCGAATGCCGAATGGTATCTGATAATGGTGTCCCTGAGATTACCTGGTTCCAAAACGATTCCCGTGTAAAGCCTGGCGGACGATTTATAATAGCACAAAAAGATGAAGGAAACAACACCTACTTTTGCACATTGGATGTCAAAGATCCCGGTAGAAATGATGCGGGAAAGTACCAAATTCGGGCTCGAAATAGTGACGGAGAAAGCACGGCCACGGTCTTTTCATATTTCGGATAGCTATCACATGCGCGATTATCGCAAGCTGAATACTCTGCTACGTTACGACATATTAATTAGATTATGACAGGTTAATGTCATAAATTCCAGATTTCTTGCATTGTTATAGATACAAGTAGAGTAGAACAGTGTTCAGACTGACCATGTTAACTTCAAAATTAATATCACATGTTTTGGAACTACTGTCAAATATTCGTATAAATGTGTTATTGATAAACTGATGCATACTTTTAGAACAATAATCACCGTTCATGGTTTCAAAATAAAACCACTCACAATTATGCTGGTGGATTCGGCCCCCCTATTGTTGGTATAACGCTTTTTGTATGCAGGAAGCGGTGTCTAAAACTGCAGCACTCGTAATGTGGTTCCGACACGTACGAGTACATTAAATTAATTTCGAAATAAAATGAATAACAGAAAACTATAAATGCTTATGGACAGTTACAGTCACGAAATTACCACTTCTGCCGCCAACATCATGTGCTGTAGGATTCACTGTAAATAATTTTTACACGTACCTATTACTAATTTTACACGTACCTAGATTACAATATGCATTCACTGCATTGTACATACATAGTAGCCCCTCCAAAATATTGTTATATAGCATAGCCTACGTATGATATTTACTTAAATCTTTACTGCTGTTTCGTAAATTCGCTAATTTCTGATGGTTATAATCTTGAAACAAGGACTTCAGAAATCCGAATTGTGAGGAAAATATGTTACAGATGTGAATTTTAAAAAAAAAATTGTTCAGCGCATATCTTTTTCGTCCTCGTTTTCGCTTGTAAACAACGCAAACCTCAATAATTGTGGTCGTGGATCTAAACAAATTTATAAAAATCAAGCAACAAATATGCAAGAATGCATTTATTCTTTGAATGCTTCAATAATACTGTAAGCTACATCGAACTAAAGCTATCAAACGCACAAAAATATCTCCGCACATATAATACATAGCTGAGATTTTTGTTCTGAACGGTCTTTTGCGAACTAATGGGCTCGCGATATCGCGCATTTTGTGCACTAGGATTCGGCATTTTATATATAGATATATTGTGAACCCGTACCTGTATTCAAAATACAGCATAACGTCGACGATAATTTTTAAGCATTTTGTGCTGCCAATTTTAATCTCGGTACAAATATTGTAGTGCGCTCATGCAAACTCGTACCTTTGTTACTCAACTACAAAGTAAAAGGATGGGCGCATCAGAACACTTTTTGGGATTTTTGTTGTTTTATGCTGCAAGTTTGTCAAGAGCAAAGGCTTTATTTCAGCAGCAAACAGTGCCTGACTTCGCTCCAGGGACACCAGCTGCTGACGTGAGGTGTGTACAGAGTATACTGTAGTTCTATTTAGTCAACGTATCCTGTTAGCCTACGAAGTTAAACACAATGTAGACATGCTATTTCCTTTTAAATATCAAATTTAACTGCTGCCGATATAATTTCAATTTTTTATTACACAAAAGTACTAAAACCGCTTCGTGTGCAATACATTGTATAGTATGCATGCACTACTGAACACATTTTTAGAAAACCTTAAGTTTTCTTTCCGCTGTGGCGTGTGTAGAGTACATAAGAAGTGCGGAATACAAAAATTATCTGTGCCTCTTTCCGCTCAGAATTTTTCAGGTATTTAATTTGGTAAAGGAAATTATACATGAAACTCATTTACTATACTTATACCGTAATTACAAATTAAAGTTTTGCATTACGAGTACTTATATAATTATGTTGCGTATTTGTAACTGCAGTATATCGTCCACTTTACAGTTTACAGTGGATCCCCCAGACAAGCAATGATGTGCAAAACGCGTTACTGGAGCGGGCAATTTTTCCCGCTCCTGCTCGATTGGTTACTTTATCAGGCTGGAATATTCATGGAGCAGATGCTTCGTGTGAGAAATATGCAATGCTTAATGAAACACAATGTTGGCAGAAGTGTGAACAGAGCGCAAAATGCGAACTGGTTACCTTCGGTGTTGCCAAAAAGACGGGATTTTGTTGTCTGCATCAACTCACAGAACGCACTACAGCTCTTCGACCACAACAGGCCCGCCACTGGAAGTTAATTTACGAAGAACAACCAGTGCTCCATCGAGTGGAAGGACAGGTTTTCTGGGGCGAAAAGATTCGTCGGTTTGATGTGGACCAGGAAGAAGTCTGCAGTCTGGCCTGCACGTATCATCCCGAGTGTAACGTGGCGGCATACAAGAAAACGCGGGGCGTCTGCTTTCTCATGCACAACATGGATGTGCCGCGCAATGTGTTCGACCCGGAATTTGTTACGTTTTTCACCGAACTGCAACTGAAACTGTCTTAGTTCTTTCGCTTCAATATCAATATTTGGCCGTAATGGAATACGGCACACCCACGTGATACGATTATTATTTATCATAATTTACATAATTATATCAGTCGCATTTGGTTACATAACCACGTATATCTTAGGCTGTACAAACCTTTTACCAGATCTGAAACTCCGAAATTTATTCAAGCACCTCGATCTTGCCGGTTTCAACGACACTTTTAACGAAAACCTTTAATTTAATATTAAATTAATATAATTCCATTTTAATGTCGAATAAGTTTAGATTTATTTTTCCGCCTTCGGTCGGACATGCAGTGTCTTGAAATAAATAGTCTACAAAGCGCAGCATTTAGGCTGCAGTAAATACTTGTGCATGAAAAGCGCAAATTAAAATCGATATCAATCACAATTCGCGCACTGTAACGATATTCCTGATGGCAAAATGAGACAGCAGCGTTGTCAGTCAGTAGCTGGCTATATGGTCATCAAGGAGCTGACCTCCGATCACATCCCGAAACGGCGAGTCCAGTTTGGCACATTTGGATGCCAGCGTGACTAATTCATTCACTCCATCAATTCTACTTATGAAGCACGACGGAAAGCTGCTTGTTGTGCGCGCACTGAAATCCCTGGAGCAAAGCCATTCTCAGCAACTTAACTTCCGTTGATGACAGAATTTTGCCATAAAAACACTCGAGCAAGTGAATTTACAAAAGGTTGAGAACCAAGTTTATGTTCCGTGATCAATTAAATGAAAGAAAAGCTGCATATTTTTGATTAAGAAGAAAACCAAAATAAGCAGAGAAAGAAACTGAAAATGTATATAAAAGGCTATTGCTTACATACAGTATTACAATCGTAGTAGTACAATCTGGAATACATATGCATATTATTGTGCATAGTATGCGCAGAGTGTCTTTAGGTGCGCATTTCGATAATTAAGTAACAAAATTACCCACAGGCAATGACCAACTGACCAGTGGGTATTTGTTTTCACGCTGTTACAGATTAAGGTATTTAGGAATGCTCTTTTCATGCGCAAATTAAGGTGATTTGGCTTGTAAATTAGAAAATATCAGCGTTTTAACGCTTTCACGCGGATGGTGCTACCGGCTTTGTGTTATTGGTTTTTTTGATCGGATAGCAGTGTATCGCTATAAAATTTAATGGTACTTGTAGACCAAACATGTGTCAATTGCCCCAGTAAGTTTTTCCCATTGATTTCACTATATACGGGCTATAATTGGAAATAAACACTTAGGTACGCAACAACTGGATCAATGTAGATCAAATGCCAACACGCGGCAGGATGGCTACTTTTAATAGCTTATTGGAACGGGCACATTAGTTAACTTCCTGGTGTTCCCGTGCACTGTAATAATTCTCTTTGCCACTCTGATCACGCCTTCCAAGCACGAGCGGAACCATTCCGTCATTGATGACCAGAATCCTTACGAATAATGAGAATAATACCGCCCTGTTCGGGCGCTTAGTACGGATATGCGTATACAAATTCACATACATACAAATGCGTTGGAAGATACAGGCACAAGTGTGTCAGGAAGTACAACCGTACGAGTGCTTACGGTTAGTTTCGTTCAGAATATACGTACACGCTTGAAGAAGGAGACAAACGCTTCCCCGCAGACTTCCTGTGGCACTGAATTTAAGGGCTAATGTTGCCGTATTTCGCACACAAAACAGCCCGCGGATGTAAGGAATTTTATATGTATTTGCTGTAACGATTAATATTTAGGATGGAATCTGCAGTGTTTCGGACGCATTGGCCAGTAAGTACAGATACAACTGATGTGATTTCGATAACTTCGTCACTACAGAAGCCGGCTTAATTGATCGTCTTTTATTCGAAGGCCTGATTTATTATTCCAGTCCAGCGACAACATGTCCGGTATTAGGCTTAAATCAAACAGGCTATAGGAATCCAATCTAGGACAAACCGCAGTTCGTGACCATATTATTGATGTCGCCAGTGATATCATGGATCTGTTTTCCAATACTTATCGTTTACTGCAGCTGATTGTAATCTCGGCATCCCGACATTTACCTGCGTCGACCCTCATGATTTTGATCCTTCTGCGAAGTACTACCAGCGAAATCGCTAGATCTTGTAAGTGCACCGTTTACACAAATACCGTATCAATACGAATTCCCCGACCGAGCGGCGCTAAAATGTTCGCTCTGTTTAGATTTCTTATACTGTTCGTAGTAACTCTTGCAGATTAACCCACAGACTTAGTCTGCGTTCTGCTTATGGTTAAGACTACTCTAGATAAATGAATGAATGAATTTGAATTAAATAAGTTGTTGATATCAATTACACATTGCTAGAAAAGCAGTAACCCTAAATACTTCCGGTACATAAACATTCTTACACTTTTATCCAGTCACTTGCGGGATTGTCATATCTCGGGACATATTCTTAATTTAAATAAATTTTGTTTTCACATGCAGCGCCATGTATTTTAAATACGTTTTAAACAATCAAAGCGAACTTGTATACAGTATAACCGATTACATATAACAAAGGCGTGATATGAAGAAATTTACCACTTTTGTCAAGCAATCGATGCCGACAGTACATTAAGCAGTGCAGCCTACGCCATCAGCTTGTTTTGTGGAGATTGTTCCCGCTGCATGATGCTTCATTGCTTCGTGATATCAACAAGAAGTAGCTGCAAACAAACGCTAAAACATTTTTATACAACACCTTTTTGTTATTTATTTGATAAAACGCTTTTGTTCTGTTTGATATGTATGAAGGATAAAAGCAATATCAAAGTAATATGTAAAAATAGTATCTATAAGCTGGAAATAAAAAATATACAAGCTCATCAGAATATAATGCAAATTATGCAATGATATGAACGGAAACGTAATCTAAGCCATTTTAGCATAAAAGCACTGTAACTGTATTCATGAAGTAGGAGTAGGGAAGGAAAAGCCGTTGAAACGGTCTGGTTATTTATCTGATCTGGCTTATTAACAGATTCAACATCCCCTTGTCCCAATTACGCACTCTGGAAGAAGGCAATTCAAATTGATGGTGCTATACTGAAAAGCAGTGGCGAATTTCATGGAGATTGTCGGTACGGTCTCACTTTAATTCTTCAGGAAGCATGTGCAGTAGAGATGTTTTCATTATCGAATGAAACAGGATCACATTTCAAGTTCCTTATCCCGAACATCAGAGATTTCTCCTGAGATTCGAATCACTTAACATCCGTGAGTGCCATGATCGGTTGGTTATTTATGATGCCGACGATCTTGTGGATGCCGCCCGCGTTAGTGTTGAATGCCAATTCAAAAGTTTTCCTATTAATTTGCTTAATGATCTGCATTTATGACGCCTTCCTTTCCAGCTGGATGAACTGTCTTGTCGGAGCCAAGTGGATGGTAACCGGTATTTGTATACAACGAATTCGGGAGGATTCGTAACGATCCGGTACTATACTTACAACAAGGGAACAGCGGCCAGCAATTTCCAGCTGATTTTGACAGCAGTTGGAAAGGCAACAAAACCTGGTACGGGTAAAGACAAAACACATAACAACAGTACAAATGCGCAAAAATAAAACAAATTTGCGGTGTATGGTATACGCATGTAGATATAGAAATAGTCCACTTAAGTATACATACGAATATACACAATGTTATCGAGTTAAATGCGAAATAACTACGTAGATGCGCAAGTCGGCATCAGCTAATCGTAAAAATAGGTATTACGTACCGTACTGTCTTGTAGTTTTCAGTCACGAACGTCACATGGGCAATATGTGTATTCAGTTTTAATTTTACACAGTTACGTACCAATCATTTTAATGAATCTGGTTATTTACAGCCGTTTGCAGTTTCCGCTGCGCAAACAATCACTGCATTTCAGCTGGTAAGTTTTTAGCTGTACAAATTACGTTTCGGTATAATGTAATGCATTAACTACCGAGCCGCTCCCTCGGTCGCATGTCAACATATTTGTGGAACTTTGACCAAATCCACAAGACATTTGTTCGCATTGATGTAATAAATCAATAGGGAAAACAGGAAAAAAGCTTTCTGTATTCCATAGGTATTGTTCCATTGCGTGTCGGCAATGTTTACCTTTACTTGTCTAACTAGATCTGCGCTGTGACTCCTTCGATCATTGTGGAGACAATTCCGACGAGCTTAACTGCCGCAATAACCATCCGGGCGATGCCGCATACAGCCATGAAACGCGGGAGGGACTCGGGTTGAGCATTACCGTAACGATCATCATATCCCTAAGTGTCCTTTTTGTTTGTGGAGTTTGCGTGTGCTCCGTCCTATTATTTTTCTGCAAACGCAACTATCAGGTACCACAAGTGGCTGATGCTCCATCACGGAGTGCAGCTGTTGGGAATGCCAGCGCCACAGAGGCATTAAGTTCCAGTGATGGGGCTAGCACGAGTTCCGCTTCTCGAACCAACCACACAACGGCTTATGCGCCCATCCTGACGGATCAGATAACAATGGAGAATCAGCATAATCATCATCAGGAATATCGAATTTTCCACGGGAAAAGCAGTACGTTTGTACAAACCAGCTGTGGCTGTGGCTGTGTCAGACATGACCTTTCTAGATCAAAGGATTTCGGAAGAACTCTTTCAACTTTTATGCAAGCTCTAACACATATTGCTTCTACAGTGCCGTTATAAATGCAATTTTCCATTCTTATTTTCGTATTATCAACTCGATAATACGAAATGTTAGGCAATTAAGCAAGGGTGTGTAAAATTTGTTAAAGACATAAAATAGTTTAAATGAATCTATATAGCCTTCTATCTAGGGCCTTCTCCATTGGGACCTTTTGGACCTAAGCACAATGTGCAGTTTCCTCCGGCTTATACCTATTCGCCTGGCACACCGCGGATCACTGTCTCTCATCCCAGTCCGGGTTCTAGAAGTTCCAGGATCCAGTATGCGCCTTCGCAAAGCGGAGAGACTGACCCCACAAAAAGACTGTTCGTTTTCTAAACATTACACGCACTGACAGTTGTACGCATCCCCGTTTTTTTAAACTAATACAGTAATGACCAAGCTGTAGTAGACTGTACAGTTTCGCGATGAATAGCGTTGTCAGCATTCATAACAGCTGACGGTGAACACTGACGGTGAACATGTTCAAGTTGTTGTCTACAACATTTTCACGTCGTTGAATACGCGCATAATTAGCATAATTACTGTGGCCCAAGAGTTTGAAATTTCTGTCATACCTTTGATTTATTAAGCCGCGCCAGTGTCGAACGGCAAAATGTTTTCCGCAAAAATAACTATTACCGAAAAATAAGAGCAAACACGAAGCTAAGAAGAAAAAAACTGGCAATAATGTTAATCACAGATTAAATGTTTCCAATCGGCAAAAAAATTACCAAACGACGTTCTTCTGAACAGGATTCATCTTTGACCCAAGCCGGCATTTAAAAGCTTTGGCAAACTCCGGCATGTTAGACATAGGACCATTTATTCGAAATTTAAAAGGACTATGAGGATCTGTTAACAAGTGCAGGTGTTCCGATTCCGGTCTTTTATTTGAGCACCATACCTTTAAATTAAAATTACGAACCATGAATACGATTTAGCAATCGTACCTATCGTTAACGTTTTCCACACAGTTAAATAAATAAATGGATAAAAGTGCGGCTATCAAAAAAGTTTATTATTCATGAATTGTGAACATCGCGATCTGGCTCGGACTTGTGCACAATGCTTTTGGCGAATGTTTTCTACTACTTTTTTGTACTATACCATGCTTTTGTTTTACTTACTAGCTAATTAAATTTTTAATTTACCTGAGCAGCGGATAAGAAAAATAATTGATCTATAGGCATATGCTCCAGTCCAGGTAAAGATGGTTCGGGGACGGGTGACCTTTGTCGATATCGTTTGTATCCCTTTTCAAAAAGCAGTAAATAGCGTTGGTTCAGAAAAAAGGTTGTTGTCCTTTTACGGTGGGAATTTCAATCGTACTCGAAAAGCGGCTTTCAGTCCACCATTATCGGCAATATTTTCTCCCAAAGTCAGTTCGCCGTTTATTTTTCCACCCGGCAAAGAGTAGCTGTTATACTGATCGACAATGCTTTGCTTCCGTTTATTGTACGTTTCCATAGTCTGCCCAGACCACCAAGGACGCATCATTCCTTGGTCGTCAAAAGAAGATCCTGATTTAATTAAAGAAACCATTACAGCTACGTTCAATAATTAATATGAGGACCGGTATAAGCATGTTATGATTTCGAATTATAAATAGAACGAGCAACATACCTTGATCATCGAACCCATGTGTAATTTCGTGGCCAACAAAGAATCCCGCAGCTCCATAGTTTAGATATTGCGGACTTTCCGCATCAAAGATTGGAGCCTGGAGCGTAGCAGCCAAAACAACTACAGACACAAAGAAATTTGAAATATACTTCTTACCGTTATTATACTGTCCCGATGCGTATGACCACCGTCACTATGACGTATTGTACATACGCCTTCGTACTAGAATACGGTGAGACACAGGGGAAAGGGGAAATTTTCGAAAATTTTTTATTAGTCAAAATTTTAGTTGCGCACAAAATACTAAATTAGTATAATTGTCATTGATTGACTATGAGTACACTCTGTTCAATTTCTTATACTCGTATCGAAGCTTCTGTTTGGCATGGTGGTTATACTTTGCAAATATCCCATTATCACCTATGGAATTCTTTCCCAGGGCATTATAAGCATTGATGTTGGTAATGTCATAAGCGTCGGCCAGTGGATCGAATCTCACATTCCGTTTGAAGAGTTTCTTCAAATGTTTATAGGCTTCGCTTTTACTGATCATCAGCACCGTATCGAAATACGTATGACCAATTCGGACCTGCATTAACAAAAGCACACATCTTTCATAACTTAAAGTTACAACAATTCCAGTTTCGGTTATATTGCGATTACCATTTCATAATCCTCGTCCACAGCAGATATGTTATTTTTGAATTCGTCAGGGAAACCGGCCAATTCCTGCATAGCTGTTAGCTTGGAAATACCTAAAGCATACGTATCAATGTCCATCCAGGTTGCAGCCACCAGTAGTTCACGAAAGCCTTCCTTCAAGTCGGCCATCAAAGTCGAAGCCTAAATATGTACACACAATAAAATATACTTGCAGTGACGTATATTTTACACTTGTAAATTTATTTACCGCATTAAGACGTGATGGAATTGGAAACTAACAATGTAAAACTATCAAGGAATTAGGTAAGCTGCATATAACTTTCTAGAGCTTCATATAAAAACGAAATATTCCGTTCATAATATTTTTCACTTCATTTAATTAGCGTAGGTCTTTACTACCTTTTGTTTAAGCAACGGCTGTACCATATCCCGCACATAAAGTGCACCTAAAACATTGGGCATAACGTTTGAGATCTCATTGGCGCATCGCTCAGAAGAAGGCTTATCCCGGGGCTGTTTGGTTCCCTTGATCCTGGAGTTGTGTTGGGAAAGGGCATCACGGAGATCCTTATTCAGGTAATCAATGGATTCTGTTATTATTCGCCAACCAATGTAATTAGCAAGATACCGTTTTCCTGCAATCCCATTCTCTAGCTCCATAAGTTTTTCGTCCAGTTTATCGTACCAACCGGGACTGCGTAAAACAATATCCATAGTGGGTGTAATTCGATCTCCCAGTTGGAGAACGTCATAGAGATCTTGCACATAATCAAACAATTGTTGTGCAAAACGGGATCGATAAAAAACGTCTCTTTGCACAGTAGTGAAACTTGTTTTAATTTTCAGTATTGTCAGATTCCGTTTCTCAACCGCGGTTAAACCTGACTAAAAACAATTGCATATCTGAAAGTATAGTAGATTAAAAGCTGTATCGTGCAAAAGTATAATTACCATTGACAGATATTTGCTAAACTCCATAATGTCATCGATATCCTTTTCGACGTCGTCGACCAGTCGAGTATCACCGGTATCGTTCATTAACGATGATACTACTGCCCGGATATACGTTTTGTAGCTTTCGCTATAGGAATCGCCGGTTTCGCTGACCAATATATCTCTAGACGCATGTGTGTTGGCTTCACCAAGGAATAAAACGTTTTCTTCAGGATGTTCTAGGTCCGCAGCAACATATACAGAAAACAACGGTTCATTCCCGTGTGCCCGAATAGCCTTTAGCACATGGAAGAGGTCGAAACCCGCGGGATCCCAGGCAGGGTCCAGTATTGGCCAACCATCCATGGTTGACTTTAGATAATCGAGAATTGGTTTGGACCGTATGGCTTCGATATTTTCTGTAAAAGCACATCGTGCAACAATCAACTCCCTGTACACTGAAACAATACAGTATGCAGCTGTACTTAGTATTTGTACCATGCCAGCAAAATATCCATATGACATTGTTTTGGGGCTGAAGCAACTAAGAATATCTGCTCCTTTTCGTTAAATAAGGAAAGAATTTACTTGTGCTTACTTTTGTCTTTGCACTGCTTGTAAAACTGTTTAGCTTTGATTTCCGAAGCGAATGGATCAGTTGAATTTAATTCCAGAAGTTCTGAAAGCAGTATAAAATTAATAGGTGTTGTAATTACTCATTTATACAGAGTTACAATTAACATAAGACCGTAAAACAAGCGTGAGATGGGGATATATTCAAATGAGATCCCCGCGCGAATGCTAAATTATTTGCTTAGCAAAATCTTATGTTAGAAAGGTCAGTAAACTCAAGTTTCATTCTAATTATAATTTCATTTCATTCTAATTTCATTTTCTAAATTTCATTAGCAGCACTTTATACATTTAAGAATGCATCCATTATGCTTATTGTGCATTTGCTATCTATAAAAATTTATAACTGTACATAATATAATTTTGTCCTAAAAATGACATTTCGACCAAAATTAAATGTAATACATATACTGCATGTCCAATAAACATAGAATTATACCCACCTTTCCGTTTAAGAACCATTTGTTCCCCTAAATCTTCGAATATACTGTTTTCTGTTCGATTATCCGACAGTGGATGGGATTTGATCCAGTTGTTACATGCGTAGTCATAAAAGTCGTCGCAAGGATCCAGGTTTGTATCCATAGATGTAAGGATATTTGTAGCAGCCTTTACATCCAGCAAAAATACATTCTTGTAGTTAGAGTCAGTTAATATAAGAGCGACATTAAAATTTTTATAAAATTGGCAAAGCCTATATATTTTCCTATCGATTATACGCGCTGATATCAACTAGTGGTGTAAGTGACAACGACGTCAAAAATATACAATCATCCAAGGTCATACCGCTGCGTGCTATCGGTTATTACGCATTACTTTTTCCCGTTATTTTCATGGTGGATTACCTGCCTTTTGCAAGATTCACTCTCGCATATAGCTTGCTTCACTGTTGGACAACCTGGAATTTGACGTTAATTAGAAGAAAGTTGTAGCGATGAACATGGCTTATCTATGTATCAATTTTATCGCCAATTTTTTACATCTGCACTTGCAGTAAAAACTGAAATGATTACCTAGGATTCCGGTTATGAGAGCGAGCAAATATATTGAAATCCATGTCCGCCTGGCACGACCTTTGTTAGCGCTGAAGTAAAACATTTTGAATACTTTTGTGCAAAATATGTTTATATATAAATTGTTTAAGCTGTTGTCGGCCAATTTTTCTATATGCCAAAAAAGGTCGTTCACCAACAAACAGAAATACAAATCTAAGCTTTCAACTTTCAGTAGAATTTTTATCTTTTTGGCACGAATTTTATCAAGTGCGCCAGCTGCAAGTGAGTTGTGAGCGACAATTTCTTCCAAATTAAAAAATCAGCATTATGGATTTCTTTGACTGCAAAGTAAGCACTTCATCAGCAAACATGCACGAAGAAATCCACTGCAGCGATCCCGAGCCAAACCTGTAACTGCATAGCCCAAGCTGGAAAAGTGTAGGTATTCCTAGCTATAGTGCTACCGTATTACTTACACAGTTACACTCGTACATTTCTACAATATGTTGAATTTGCTAAACTGTTTTCCAATGATTTTTCAATCTGATATTATTAAATATTAAAATCTATGGAGAAAAAATTTCTAATATGTATACAAAGTTAAATAGACGTTGTGCCGGAGCGTTATAACTGCGATGCTCATGCTCTTAAGAAAATGTTATCCTTTGTTGCAGTTTGTGCAAACAAGGGATGTTCTTAACATTTAAAAGCAGCTAACTTATAGTGAGCACATTAAAGCCGTAGTAGGAGACTAGGATTAATTAATATCAAAGTAGATACAAGATACGTACGAGTAAAACGTAAATAGGTTAATCATATCCGGACCCCGTCGTAATTCGACGCATGTAATTACGTGACCATGCACAGCACCTAGAGTACCATGCCAGACTACCACTATATGGAGTTGGAGGTAACTTATGGTTACATAAAATCCAGATAATGACATACCTATATACAATGCTCGGTTTCCGGAATTTCAGAACGCTTAGAATTTTGTTGTGCGTCCGGGATCCCACCGACGTTCTGGCGGCTGCTTGGCATCAATCCACAGTTTTAGAGGGCATGGAAACTCGATGCCGGCACATGGTGGAAATTGCAGGTCACATTTTTTTCGATACGGTGGGTAAGATCGGTGCCAAGGTCCTGATTGACCGCCAGACAAATTCTACAGAGCACGGACGTAGTCCGTCATAAATTCCTCACAAAATTGGTAGTATGCGCATCGCGACGGCTAAATAATATTCATTAATGTTCAAAAAGATTGTCGAATCATTACCTGTACATTCAATACCAGTACTATAACATAAAGTATTGTTTTATTTGTTACCACAAATCAATCTGCCCTCATCTGGTATACTTACAATTCCACGTATTTTGCAGTCACACGTTTGATTATCACTTGGCCGAAAGATATTAAATTTAATTAATTCCACACAAAGTATAACGTGCTACTTACATTTAGAACTACGTACTCGTACGGCAGTATAAGGACATGCGACGGAAACTAATCCAGATCTAGACATGTCTTCACACCACACGAAACAATCCCTTTCGGGTTTCAATAAGATGCCCAAATAAAGTGTATTTGATGCTTGAAAGAGAATACAAAATGGTCTACCCTTTTTGTAAAAATTTCTTGCTTTGAACTTCCAGTCCCTGCGATAATAAAACTTTATAATAATACAGTACTCGTTTTTCGTAGGTCCGGAGAAAATCAATGCATGACTGACGAAAACTGCGCACATTTACACCAACCTTCTGATGTCAACTATCAAGTCAGATTTTTTGCACCAAGTCACCAAGATATAAGTAGATTTCCACGATTAAATATACAGTATGTGTATATATATCAAATAACTGTTATGAATCTTATGATAATAACTACATCAGTCTACATGTGAATGATACTTCTGTTACAGTAATTTGAGGCTTAATTAAGGGTTGTGGTTAAAGTATACGTACAAATTTCGCGCTCTACATTGTATACATGCTTTTTTGTGCATCGTTATTGTCCCACAATAATGCGGACTGGCTGTAGTTTTGATTGAGCTGTAATAGGTTTACGTAAGGACACTGATTCGTTTTTTTGGTTTATTGTTATAAACTTATTATTAGTCTTACTCTTATCATTCATTACAAGGAGTGCATTCACTGCATTGCTTTATGTTTTCGTCTGCGGCCATAGCCGCAGAGACGGCAGTTAACCGCACTTCATAATGCAGTACCGATATGGTATGAAGTGTAGGCACCGGTCTTGGGCTCGGCCGATGACGAAAAATGTTGAATCAATAAAGAGGCTGCTCACTGGCTGCCGATTGGATTCTTAAACAAGAGTCTGAGCACAAAGAACCGCCCTGCGCATGCTTCATACCGTTGTTTCAACATCGGCCAAACCAGTTCCCTTCATCGACAAACGTTTCTGCCATGAACGCTCTACGACGTTCAAGATACATAAAACGAGAACATTTAGATCTCGCTCTGCTCCATGGTGAAAACGTAATAATTTCATTCTGTAGGTTAATTTTTAGTCCGTCAGTGGGAAACTAACCACATTTTATGGGTAATAAGCAGCAATAACTCAGCCCGTATACGGATTGGTAGCGTTATTTTTTTTATATCCTACTGCCTCGGCAAAATGGCCACGGGAGGATTACTCTTATTGCTGTTATCAATCATTGGGTTATCGTTGGCCTATGTTGAGTCGCTAGCTGGCAGTGCAGCCAGCAACGTGGAAATCCTTGATGATCGCTTGAAGAAGAAGTTCGAGCCTCAAGTGGCCGTGAAATGTGGCTATCTCAATCAGTATATGATGGAAAATGGACACTGGGCGGCCAACAAAGTGTGCTGCATAGGTGCCTTTCTGTTGAGGACAGCTTGAATCCGTCGTCATAACTGGTTACCATAATGGCCGAAAAAGTCAGACATGCTGTGGGCTGATGGGCCGTCGCGTAGATACATTGGCTCCTTCTGGTTGTTGTTTTGACAGAGTCTGAAGAATTAATCACATTTCACGATAATTGCTCAAGTTTTTTATGAGATCCTTCATGCTTGTTTGTATTTATAGATTTCTTATTATTAGATGCACTCATGGTTTGAGAATAATTTGAATTAGTGACGGCTTTCAAGTTTGAATAGTGCAGGTATAGTTTCCTTCTATCTCGTAGTTTGAAGTATTCTAAGTCACGTTCTGCATTTTGTGAAACATGGTGGCACTGACTGGTGTCTCATGCCTCTGAATAGAATAGTCATTTTGCCAAATATGATTCGTATCCGTGAAGTAATATTATGACTGAGAGGCCTCTGTAATTTGCGGTTTCTCACATAAGCAACGTGTTACCGAAGCTGCCATTGCCGGCATCGCCCGGAGCATGGACTGTAGTGGAAACTGATGAGAGAATGCACTTCACAGTTTGCAGAGCTATGCAGCGGTGTAAAATCGACGGTGAATCTCGCTCGTAAATCTTTCGAGTTTTCGAGAAGTTATACTTCAAATGAAGCTTTACAAAAGGGTGGTGATGATTTCAGCTTTTTCAAGAACTTGACAAGATTAGGTTTAGAACTAATTTGTGCCTGGACCTAATGTGTCGAGAACATTGGTGAATAGGTATTTGTACATAAAATTTTATGAAAATCAAAAGCTTAAACACGGCAGAATTTTACAAGAAAATTTTGTTCCTTTACTTGCAGAGGCTACATTTCAAGCATTATTCATTTCCTGTGATAAGTGTTTTTATTGGTAATTGAAGAGCGCGGAACGATACCAGTGTGCAGTGTACACGGATTTCGGGTTAAAGGTGATACTCGATTGGGTACCTCCTTGATAGCATTATTTGTCCACCCCGATAAGTACATTACGTTCTTGTTTCTATATCGCTAAATTACTATACGTACATGTACTTCACACGGGCTCTTTTCCGACAACGCAAAACTGCATCTACGTAATTTTACAACTACAGGTGTGAAAACATACAGTAACTACGTAATGAGAGACCGCAAGCACCAGGAACACCATTGTGTGATAAATACTTACTCTGTAGTTGGGATTTGGGAATACTGATTATTTAAATAACTGCAGTTTTTGACTCTTGAATCTTGATTGTGCAGCCATTAGTTAGGCATAACAATAACTTGTTTTCAGTATCTCTAAAAACATGGCGGAATTTCTCAATATTGTCATCGCAGTTTGAAGTCACTTTGAACGACTAAAGATGGCATCTTTTTATAATTGACTGAATATGACATTGTAGTTGAAGTACATTTTAAGTAGTGCAGATTTCGTTAATTTTAGACTGGGTCAGTGCCTATGTGATTGGAACAGCCGAGAAATTATTATGTGCCATAGTTCGTTATTAAATGTCTCAAATTGTGATGGGCATTTACATGCAGCAGTTAATAACTTCCGGGCGTTTATACCAATTGGTGACTGGTAATACCGTTTGGGAGCTTGCTGTGAGAACTGGTCGCTCGCTGATCGTCGTCTCGAGGATCCGTACTGTATTCTCTGTAGTATTTGTCGCACGCCGTTTCATTCAGAGCTGTGTATCGGGTTTCAGAATCGATTAACATGCGGAAATAGAGGAATATGCCTTTAGTTCTTGTATCACGAGAAGAAGAAATTTACTGAATTTTACTCACACTGCTGTGTTACTAACTTACTATACTAACTACAAAGCAGCGAAAGCAGTTATTGCTACTATCACTACTAGAGTAGTGATGCGGACAGCTTCGCTCTCCTGACACGTGCCTTACATACAAGTATTGTACACCGACCGATGAACCGAAAATACCTTGATTGTTAATAGATAAAAATATGCGAAACAGAATACAAGAATTTGATGTTGATTAATTAGCTGTGATGTTTTCTTTTTTCTTCAGGAAAACGAGTAGGGTTTTTATTGCTCTCGTGAAGATGAAATATTGCTTCAGTAGCTGATGGACAGTGACTGTCTGGCTGTTGTGCGAACAACACTTACGTACCGTTACTACCGTAGATTTACGTGGACAGAAAAAAGTGAATTGCCGACGTAGGCATAAATCTGGGTTCGTGATGACAGTTCGCTTTGACTGTCATGAACTGAAGCTGCTACTTATAGCTGGAAAGTGTGGGCTGGGATTAGCAACGATCTCAAGTACTTACCTCTGCCAGGTGATGAGTTTGTTATAGCATTAGGTACGGTTTTAGAGATTCGGATGCGTAAGTCTGTTTGGAATACGAGCTGCAAGATGCGGACCAGTATGTAATATACATATTTGAGTTGGATGCCTTGACGGAAAGGCTTGAGCGGGCACGTAAACATTTTCTATCGCTAGAGCAACAATGGAAAGGTTTATGCAACTTTTCGCTACTCACAGGCAGGATCTTTAAGTTTTTTTTACTACTCACAAAACTTTCATAGTCTTACGTATATTTTGACTTTTCTTTAATTCCGCTACAGAAATTATATCCCTTCCATATTCCTTCACTATCTACATAATTTCTTAAACCAAGTACTGCAAGCAAAGTCGAGCGGCTTTGCTTGATTTAGTTGCTGACAAATTTAGGGTTGCTTGTATTGATTTGCGACAAATAAATGTCGAACTCCCTGCAATCCACTGTGCTTATAAAAATAATTATCAACAATGTTTCTGTTTTAGTACCTTTGGTACTCGTATGTGGAAAGTTTTGGTTCGTGGTAATTATGATAAGGTTACACTTTAAGGGCATGTTGCGCGTTGAATGCTTTCCGCTAAAGCCACTTCTTCAGAGTTTTTGGTTGCAAAATGGCAGGAAAAAATTTGGTAGTATCTTAACTGCAAATCGTCGCAACGTCGGTCATCTCGTCAGCAGCTGCAAAAATAATTTGATACTGGTTGGTATATAAGTAACCGTATATCGTTCTACTCTGTCTATTCTGTTTGTTGCCGCAAAGATTCGATAAATGTTGTATTGGGGATATGAAAAGCGCTTACTAGTGTGCTGGCACCAGCGTATTAGTCCGTTCATTTAGAAAATGTAGTCAACTGTGAATATTGTTTTGGTTGGCTGCCGTATGAAATCCGTTTCCTTAATCGCCTCAATCATAATCACTTCACGCAGCTAGAACTAAGCGCAACATTAGAAACGTTAAAACGTTGTGGTTGGTGAGGATAAAGCGATGATGCTGCCGATGTGCATTTTATAGTGTATACTCTCATTTGTAGTTAAAGTGGATTAGTTCTATTTCCGCATGTTTTTAACCTCGTAGAAATATTTTTTGTTTATAGATGTGCACTTGTGTGTAACATGTAGATGATGTTGCTGATGAATGTGGCTTGGTGTGGAAGTACAGTATTTCTTTATTTTCGAATGCTTCCTGTTAGTTTTAACAAATCGCAGTTTGTTGTTATTGTTTGCTGTTAGCAGAAATTAGAAACGTGTACTTTGATTTGAAACGTTAATTTTTGTTTTGTCTCTAGGAGTAGTATAGTTGGTGAATGCTAATTGCTGCGGCAATGTAATTTCGATTTTTATTCAGTTATAAAATAATGGATCGTGGTTCGTTACAATACACGTATGTGGTAAAAGTTGGTAATAATCAAATTGAATTCATTAAATTTGTGTTCTTTGCGGGCTTACGGCACTGGATGCGGTTTTGAGCTGTGGCGCCGGTTTCTATGAAATGCGATATGTCTCATAACGCTTATTTTGTGACACGCTCCCGTTAAGCCGCGATCCTCCGGTTATATAATACCCCGGCACAACTGTCATCCGCAATTTTTTATGGCCCGCGCTAAAAATATTGACTGTTTGGGTTAAACATGAATATCTGTCTCTCTGTTCACAGGACCGCATCGATAAAATGATGAAAGAGTGGACCGACGTTTCCCAGCGTTACAAAGAACTGAAGAAAAGCGATCCACAAGGCGCTAAAAAACTCAAGAGCGACTTAATGAGTCGCGTTCGTAAAACCATGTCGGCACTGGAGGAAGAGTATAAGGAGCAGAAACGCCAGCTAACTGAATTACACCGCCAGCGTATTGATGTCCAGCTGAATGAGCGTAAACGCCAATCGATGGATGAATATTTGGATGCTATACAGGAACGCCGGCCGAAAGCTAGTAAACTGTATAATGCCCTGGAGAAATATATTCGGGCGGAGGAGAAAGATCGTGAGCACACGGTAAAACGTTACCGTCATCTGCTGGACAGCGACCCAGTTAAGGCAGAGGCGACATTGCCAAGTATTTTGGCCCATCTGTCCGATTTGGATCAGCGGATTAATGAAAGCATGAAGATGCTGAACCGGGTGCCGGAAACTATTGCCAGAGATGTGGAGCGACGGGCGCGAACATTCTGGGCATCGCATCGGCGAGAAATGTTCGGGGAAGGGACCAACGAAGAAATTTTGAAAAAGAATAAGCAGAAATTTATCGCTGAAGATAACAGGGATAAAATCTCAGTGCAGCGGGATCTTGAGGAGAAATTTGATCAACTCGAAAGTATCGATAGCGACGAAGATGACCTTGTTCAGGTATGATTTGTAAAACGAAATTAGGGTTCTTTTAATTTTGAAGATTTCCGACGTCTTGAGTTATTAAATAGGTAGTCTTGCATCTCCGTTATAATTTATTTTTAAATTTTTTTTCTGCTGTTAATAGTTATTCATTATTTTTTGGCTTAACATATCGGAAGTATTGATGCATATTGTGCAGTTTGCAAGTTTTTTTAAACTGGTTCTAAATAAAACCCAGCATGTATGCCAGACTGCCAGTATTAAAACTATGCCTACTGCCCATGTTAAACTGCGGCATGATTGCACAGATTTATCGGATATTTTGTTTCTTTCATAGATCTTGTTATTACTAGATTTAACAAGTTGAAACTACGAGTATATTCGGTACATTATTAATTTTTCATCGGATAACTGAATGTTTCCCAACGGGCATGGCAGGGGAATTAGATTACAGCTAATCACTTAACATTCTAACCATTCTGTTTACAGTCTGAGCCCGAGAGTGAAAAGGAGGTCACCACGGCTGCAACGACACCTGTTCCCACCATCGACGACGATGGCCTGGATTTCCTGCCTCGCAACCGTCCCACCCCTATCCCGCACGTGGCGATCCTGTCGACTGTGACCAGCACCGCTGATCCGGATGATGAGGATGACGTTGTAGAGGACGAGAGTGCCATCGATAACGAAGAGGCGGAACTGGAGAAAGATGATAATGATTTGGAACGCGAGAGTGTGCCATTGAGGAAATTCCAAGATGTTAGCAGTGTCGCCAATGCTAAACTCCACCGGGAGGAACAGGCTCCCCATGCCAGTGTCCAGCGGATTGCCGTGTCCGATACGGAAAGCAATGCCAGCCGGATACTGTATATTGGGTTGGGATTGGTGGGAGTTGCATTTTTTGCCGGGTTGTTATTGTTGATTGTGGTACTAAGAAGGAAGAACCCCAGAAAGGAGGGCTTTGCCCCCGTGGACACCTACGCCACGCCTGAAGAACGGCATGTGGCAACGATGCAGGCGCATGGATACACTAATCCCTTCTTTAATCATAATCATGCCAATCAATATTCCAAGGCATGAAGCGGGTCAGTGATGGACATGTGTTGGTCAGTGCCAAATTACAGCGTCTGTCTCTCTTTTGCTCGCTTTCGTCTGTCGTCAGACTCTGATTTGTCCTTGTAATCGATCAACTCAAACACCAAACATTTCACATCCTTTTCCTCAGTCTTCAGACCTGTTTTCCTGCAAACTCATCATGTTGGACAAGAGGATTCGTAAGCGCCCTGTATGTATTTCCGCATGATTCGAATTGCCACCGACAATAACTTTGCCTTTCTCATCAAGAAACATTTTGTAATTAATAGAATTCTCCATTTTATTGTCGTTCAGTAATCTTTTCTTTGGCGAAAAGCAACAACCCGGATCCACTTATTCGTGCAAAAATTATTTTTAATTTTTTTAGTTTGTTCTGTAGTACGAACTACGTTGGCCTGCGCTTTCGCAGCGTTCATCGTGTTAGTTTTCTAACATCCGATTTACGTTGTCCTCTAACCATGACACAGTGCAGATGGCCAACGCGAGTTTTGTTTGAATTTTTATGTTTTATTCCGTTTGTTCCTTTCACTCGGCAGCTATGGTTTGGTTTGCGTTTTTTATGATTATGATATGATTTCGCTAGTATTTTATTAGCATGTTTTAGTTTGTGGTGCATGTAATTCTCGATGTTTCTGTGCTAGGTCGCATCTGTTAGCACATTCCGTAAAATATTTGAAGAAAAAAGAATTACATGGCACGATGCACGAGGCTTACTGATGGCAGCTGGTTATACTGGTTAATCTCATGATGTGACTGTTAACGATTTCTGTAAAACAACCATTCTGTTTAATAAAAGTGGAAATTTCTTCGTGGCTGCATTAGTTTGTATTGTAGGCTTGCAGTGCTGAACCAATTAACTTCTCCAATCACCAGTATAGTTCAGCACAAGTGTAGGAACCTTAGAAACTGTAACTCGAGAAGTACGAGAAACTCCTCCGGAACGTGTCCCAAGCGAAAACCGTAATACGTAGGCGCGGGAATTGGATTGATTATGAATAAATCCGGAAAAAACTTTGAAACATGTTTTTTGTTCCTGTGCAGTGGGTGCAGTCGCAGGACAATACGAATACACGTAGACAACTAGACATTATGTGCAGCGCTTACGTAAAAGTAGAAGCCAATAGATTTCGTGAAACTTTAATTATAACAGAAGCAGCTATGGGAAATTCTTATGTATATACTCCAAACTTACAATGCTGTCGATCGCCGGCTATAAAAACATGTTGTTCAGACATAGCGCTACGCCTACATTTAGCAATAAGAAGCGTACATACAAACACAACGTAGGGAAAATATTACCGTATACAGTTTCCTGTTCCACAACAATAAAAAAGCGGCGCAGTGATGAAAAGCTAATTATGACTAAGTAATGCTTATTATACAATAAAATCTTTTACGTAAAAGCTTCGAAGCGTAGCCTGCGCTCTGCTTACAACAGGAACAAAGGATATAATTAGGTAACTCAAAGCTATGACATTACACCGCAGTCACATTAATAATCGCGAGCCGCCATAAAGCAAAAAATTTCCACGGTTCAAATGGCTCAGCATGGGTAGCGGGGCAAAAACAAACTCTCCGCAATCGGCATCTGTTTTAAGTTCTGAAAATTTGAAAAGAAACTGACGCGGCATCGTTAGGGAGGCGCGCATGGTAATACTCGTATATATTGGTAAGCAGCACTAATTTGCGTTTTAATGTCCTAAGATGCAATATTACGCATTTACGCCATACCTCTGTACGCGTTTCTAGTTGTGTCTATTACGCACCGTTGTGCTTTTTTATTTAAAAAAAGTCATTAATTTTTATTCAAACTTTGTTATTTTGCTGACAATTGCTTGAAACGGTACAAACGTCTATTAAAAAGTAAAGGTCACGAATGACATATGTCACTTTAATTAACGGATTTAGCCACTGATTTTAACTAATGCGTTTTTAATAGGTTTTATAATAATGTATGTATTTGTGTACATACTGTACATAGGTAAAGAAGTTAGCAAACTCCTATATATTAGGAAGGTCAGCTGTTAGACATTTCGGTAGGGTATCGAAGAACCGCTGTGCGCAAACTTCTGATCGAGTCAATAAAGCTCTGCGGCGGTTTCGGCTGACATCGTGGAAAACTGGGATCCCAGATGGTCTGGTTGAGGTCTTTTAAGCCGAAACAAAAGGGGCGTAGCACATCTTCCACTTTTTTCTCAATATAACTAATGTCAGATGACTTTAAGTTGGCTGGCTTGGTTCGAGTATTCACCCAAAAGTATGGTTCATTGCACATCCCATTCTTATTTTTTTCCGGTGGTGAATTACAACGGTAAGATATTTCCACGGTTTTAAAGTCGGTGAAGAGTGTAGTGTATAATGTCGGAACTATAAAAGGTAAAAATGAGTGAAGAATTTGAAGATACACTGAAAAGTAAAGCAAATTGTGCAACGCGTACGAGTACAGTATATGAATAGAGGTCACAATGGTGATTCATATTTTTTCAGAAACATTGGTAAAACCGCTATAGCATTATAGTTGTCAGGTTGCGAGTTACCTCAGTCCTTGAAATATACCAAAAAAATGTTAACAAGTCAGATATAAAAAGTTACACATGTTTGTTCTTCGCGTGATGCGATTCATGTTAGGCATTTAAGTATACTTTATCCAGATATGTCCGATCCGCTCAGGATTTACAAGTTGGATAAAATATAGAAATTAAAAAATGGTTTCAATGTCCAGAAGTTGCAGCACATAATAAACTGTCATGGAAATATACTTACCCCCACTTGTTGTCTGTGGGAACCAGGAAGATCCGTTTCTTTGTCCATCAACGGTATAGGTGGACTGCGTAAATAATCCAACGCAAAGCGGATCCGGATATAACTGAACCTGCAGGCTGATCGTCCACGAAACGGCAATCCCCCATTTTTGTGAGCCATAAACGGGAACCAGTCCCACTGGTATGTATTCGTTAATGCAGTTGAAAGAAGGCGTACCGGGAGTATGGAACTTGTACTCGTACCATCGCCCGAGACTCTGCACGGAACAGATTGAATATCGTTATACTGCATCAGTAAATGTAATCATAAATACCATGTGGACGCTTGCCAGATATATGTTGCATTAGAGGAATAGTACGTTTAGAAACTTATTCGTTATCAACAGCAGCTCTAATAATTTGTGTTTTCGTTTTCTTCGAAGCCAGTAGTATGGGATTTAACTAGCGGGTGTATGCGAGAGATTTTCATGTCAACGGAAGCTCAAAGAAACAAGAAAGAGCCATCTACTAGCTTCGGCAGCAAATTCCAAACGACGGACATAGTCCGGTTCGAAAAGCTGATACTTTTCTACGCCTCAGTGATTAAAAGTTTGGCTTTATTCGGGACGGCTTAAAGCAAACCTTTCTATTTTATGGGCACAACAATTCCAGGCTGAGTGGAGAGGCTAGTCCTGTTCCTTTCTTGAGTGCGACTCGTACCTTGCGTTTGACTAATCACTAATTATTCAAAGAAAACTCCAGAGCTGTGTTATGTACTTTGAGCTTAACCCAATTTAAGGAAGACGCAGATTTGGTTGTTTTTATTTTTTAATGTTTTACAATGAAATAAGGTCTCCGCACTCGCATTCTTTGTTTACTTACTTTGGTGGATATCATTATCTTCTACCAAACCGAAAACAAACTCGCCCACTTACTTTTGCAACGTCTGGTATCATCATTCCTTTCACGTTCACCGGCATACCGCAGTTCTGAGCGCTGGCCGCCTCGGACAACCGACATTCCAGCAACAACTTTAGTAAACCAAGTTTACAAAGTATTAAAGATGTCCAGGTTTTCATGTTTCAGAGCAGAAATTCCGGTATGTTTATGTAAGAAACACTGTACATTGCAGTTGCAAACTAAGACCCAAATTTTCCCCTTATCGAGCTTATATGCAACTGCGCACTGTGGTACCATTTATCCGGTACCGCTGTTTAATTTTGAATTGCAATCTTAACATATAAATTATATTGTACTCGTACAATATATAGATATTCTTCGTACTGACCGCATTGGGTACGTACTTACTTCTAAAGTGTTGGTCCCATACGCGAAAAAATTTGTTTTCGCTGTTATGCAAGATTAATTAATTTGCTGCCGGTCAAGTTTGCATCAAAGAGCAAGCGGTACGCTGAATTTCTCTAATACTAGTACAAAGGATTTTGGGCAAGACTATAACGGCATTGAAAAGCTGAAACGCAGTGCTCTACTACATTAGCAGCAATGCAATATTTCCGGTTTCAACCACAAAATGCTACCATTGAAGCAGCTCATTTTATCAAAGGTCTTTAAGGACAGCAACCTGTTTTGTAGATGACATACAAATTTACTTTTTGAAAGCCCTTGCCCATTGCACATTAATTATGTTTGCAGGTGACGCGTACGTGCTTAATTTCCCGCAGCAGACTAATATGATACATCTGTTGATTTACATGTTCGGAGACATTTATACGAATTTTTATTTCAGTTTTGTTAAAAATTAACACGTTAATTCCCTCGTATTATCTCACTGTATACAGTGCTATGTACTCATGCTTATATAAATATATAGCTATTTTCTAAATATGTAGCCGCGCAATTTTCGCTTCGGTTGGGTGAAATAATTACGGTAGGCTGCACAGCTTGTACTGTCACGGCGTACTTCCACAAAATACCAGCCAAAAATGCAGAAAGCGTCTCCAGGTGGACATTGGCTACGAAGCAACCAGAATCTTACATAAAAAAAATTATTACAATTCTGACAACCAACAAATCAGCATATAATATTATTGAAGAACTTACGCCAAAATTCCAGATGCTTTCATTTCAAAACACTACCCTACTCAATAACTGCCGAATCGTTTTTACAATATGTGTTTTACAATATGTGGTGCACGCTTTGTGCGTGATGGGCACAATACGGAATCACGGAAAACTAGAGAAAATATTTTTACTGTAACCTTTTTTTAAGTGCTGTTGTTTATGTTATTTAATGCTGTTATGACTCTCAAATGCTTATAAGAAAGGGGTTCCGATTCTTGGCCTTTCGAAGCACCGTGCTTTGTCTGATTTACTGCTGAATCTTGCTGATTTTTTCCAGAGTAATTATGCTCCGCAAGGTGTAATTCCATACATCATATTTTTACCGTATATATTTTCAAAAGAACTGTAAAAGTGAAACGTAATAACGACCGAAGCGTAGCGAAGGTCCTCTATGTTCAGCGCTCATGAAAAATGTGGTGTCTGTCGGTCACCGCCATCTAATGCACATATGCGCAACCTTTACACTGGCAAATGCCCATATGCGCGCTGGCCGTATATGCTCAGGGTACGTGCGAACTGTGGTGTCTGTCGGTCACCGCCATCTACTAATTAAATGTGTTTATAAACACATACGCGGCATTATTACTATTAAAATGCATACACCTGTCACACGGTCACCCACCGCCATTTAATGCATATCTGTACGGTCACCAGACTCACCACAAATGTACTATGAAACGCATACATGCACGGTCACCCTACTATCAAAACCAGTAGTGTTAGCTGGTCGTATATACTCGGGGCGCGTGCAAAATGTGGTGTCCGCTGGTCCATCCCTATTTATAAGGTGTCCAGAGGCGCGGTAGCCGCACAAAAATACTGGGCTGCCTACTGCCGTTTCAGAGAATGTTACATTTATCTCGTTGATAATTCAAGGTAACCATTTTGTATTCTTATCTTTGCACCGTACGTAAACTTCTGTGTGTCCATCGGTTACCGGCTCCCATTTGCGGGTAAAAGGCGCAGTGTCCATTTGTACTAAAGGCTTGTGGCTACCGTAAGGTCTTTTTTCGGTAACCGATACAACGGTACTCTTTTACCGTTGCACTATTTGTTGCAAAAATCAATAATTTCTGAATACTGTACCCGCTCCATCAGACTAGAACACAAAGCCTGGAAGTTCGGACCCGGAAATTGTCATAGCTGCTTGGTGTGACCAGCGAACTGCCGGCATGGCCAAGCTGGGCCATGATCTGACCGTCGGTACGGCAGTTTCGTGCATGGAAGGCTACAGTAGTTTAATAAGAAACTTAAAACCGCTTTTAACAGTCAGCTCATGTGGAAAATGCTTGCATTTCACTGAAAGTTACCACATCTTCCTCGAATGCATGATCAGCAAAACAAACAAGACTTAACTAATTGATTTTTCAAAATTTGAAATTGTGATTAAATATTGTCCGGAAACACGTCTATAGCCCGGGAAACCATGCATCCGCGGGCCCAGAAGGACGTTCACCGCAACCGAGACCGTAAATATATGTCCCTCCAAGTGGTTTTGGTCTCACAAATGATTTTATTATGACCGGCAAAGTGTCCGATTTAAATTTTGCCATATTCGAAAACAGGAGAATATTGATCTGCCTGGGCGGCCCAACCGTTCACTTGATTGTTTAAAATTCCGAACTTTTATTAGTGTGAACCCGCGCAGGCGTATTATTATGTGCAATGGCAGATGCCGATTAAAAAGGTATTACTTGTACCATTTTCGATCTGTACATTAGTGCAGAGTGGCAGCGTCAGCCTGACTGTCTGTTTGCACTAATGTAGCATCAATGGTTACACTTTACAGACACTGCTTTGTCTATTTACTGCGGAATTTACAAATTTTTAGTAATAAGTAGATAAAAATATTTATAAGTTTATTACGCTTTTCATACAGTGCCTGCCAGAAGCAGTGCACTTTAATAACTAGCTGCACTGAGTGCACTCTACTTATGAAACTGCCAAAATAAAATGCTTCCCTTTTTACAATCAGCTTGCAGCGGCACAGTCGACCGAACAAGATAAGATGACAAAGTATCACCCAGGAATATGTGTATGAGTTTTATTTGGTGGGCTTCGAAACCGTTGGACAGTGCGGACCTGGTCTAAGAGAAATACGTGGCAAGAAACCGGCGATGCCCGAGCTACGGAATATCTACACCAGCATAGAAGTCCAGCGGGGGAACGCGGCCTCCGTTCAGGGAACAGCTCTACCGGGAGAAAATTTAGTTAGGTTGTTTTTGCCGTGCTCTCAAACCGCCGACGACCGATGTATCCTAATTTAGTGCACCGTGAAGGTGCTTATTGTTTTCCCTATAATGCGTTGTTAACGTTGTTGTGAATAAAAGAGTTTAATGCATATGTCCGTTGTTGTATTCTGATAACGTTCAATAACACACGCGTGACAGATCTTACGCCGCAGATCTTTTGCAAAACGCTTCGTAGAACGTGTTTTGCAGGGAAAACAATATACCTTAGGAATGCAAATCTGAAAATGTTATTCAATTTCGCGTAGTTTATGATTTCTGACTGCAGTTAGCTCTAGACCAAGGCCGCTATCAATTACAGCCGTTGATTGCCCATAGTATTAAAGTTTTGGTGACCACTCCGTACACAACCTTTCACTACCCTTTACTCCGTACACGACCTTTTTGCGCAACCTTTCATTCGGTACACTATCTTTTCGACCACTACCTTTGACTCCGTACACAACCATTCGGCACTACCTTTATTTGGTTGCACTACCTCTCATTTTTAAAATTTTTTCATAGCAGAGTTATTTCTGGAACTGCCGTTTTTTTGTTAACAGTTGTTATTGTTGCATAATTCAAAGCATCATCGATCGGCAGTTATAAAATCGAATTCCAAATGAGTAAATAATTTTGGTCACTTCTATGCGCCAAAAATTTTCCTGGCGCATAGCATTTTCGAATAATTTTAGGCGCCCGTGTGCCGGTTTTTCTTCGCATCGATTTCTGCGTTTCTGAACTAATATAATTCTGAGTTTTTCTGAAGTATTTTAAGTATATATAAAAGTACAGTAGTGCACCGAGTGAAAGGTAGCGTGCATTGGTAGTGTACCGAATGAATGGTAGTGTCAGAGGTAGCCTACCGAAAGAAAGGTACGCACGGAATGGAGGGCAGTGCAAAAGGTTGTGTACGGAGTAAAAGGTTGTGTACGGAGTGGTCACCTAAAGTTTACCTGACTTTAATTAATTTGTGCTAACTTATCTGTTAGAACGGTTTCCACCGCCAAATCAGTATACTTATTGCTACTATGAATATGTGCTTTGCATAATCCCGGTTCGATTTCGTAAAAAGGCATTCATGGATTAGATGTGCCGAGCACCGTCAAAATACGGAGCCAGGACGGATGTGTTTTAATTGTAACAATTTCGTTGTAATTTTACGTAGTCTACGTACTCCAGACGTACCAATTAACGTCAAACATTGCGCGATAACTCTACTTAAACATACTGTCGCCGTCACGTCTCGGGTCTGCACAACACACGTAAAAAAAGTGCTACCTGGCGAACCGGGAATTACTCACATTTACATATTCAGACGAAATTATATGACACTTGATCCAATAAGTTTTGCTAAAACTGGGGTGCGCATATCATAAATTTAATTCAATCAGGCCTTTTGCAATGACTGATACCTGCATTGCGTTTGATATACAGGTCTGTATAAAGCAAACAAAAACCATTGAAAGCAAAATATTCGTAAGCTGCAATACGTACTTAAATCTATACATAATTCCACGTATACGAGTACAAAATCAAACAAAACCTTCAAAAAGAACAAACGACCTGCTGTTTGAAGGTTGAAAGCACATAGTGGGGAAGAGACAGATGTAGGGACGCCAACTGCCAGACTTTGCGCGATATAGCAAACATACTCACGGCTGGGGAAAGCGTCGATGCAGTTAATTAAAGCTCTGTACGTTGGCTACTGAAGCTGCTCCCAAACCGGAAAGTATTCTTCAATATTTATTATTGCGTATATATTCCGTGTAAGTAGCTTATTGACCGCGTAAAAATTATGTGTTGCGCAAAATTTCTCAGTATCGAATATCGCGTGCATTTGCCCAGTACAACTTGTGGACTGCAACGCACACCGATTTGGTGGGAAGTGGAGCACATACACACTACACAGTTCCGGTTGCTGATATTCCGCCAGAACGGTACCCGGTCGTTATCGAGGAAGCGACGCGTACACCGAGCGGCACAAGAAAGGGACAGAGTATGGATTTTTGGTTTTGCTGTTACCTCACTTTAACGAACAGGTGAGTCAATGAACTGGTGCGGTTCCAACACGAGCGGCAGGTCGTATATATGCAGCAACGGTGCACTTGTGAGTTGTGGGGATCAGTGGCAGACCATGCCTGTTCCATCCAAGCACAAAAACGGGATGCTACCAATGCTAACTCGTTTAGACTAACCGGGGATCAGTGAACACAAAAAGACTCTTTCCATACATATATATATGTATATGTATATCTGCTGCATGGCCATAAAAGTGCCTACTGATTCATGAATGGCTCCAGTCGATCATGTATAAGCCAAAGGGTACTGCAGAGTATCCACACTGTACCATGTGTTAAAATGTACAGGCACAACAGAGTCCAATGTTTCTTCAGCCGGGAATTCTGGTTTAACATGCAAATTCTATCTGCTACTGACACTTGCAGCGTCATTGATCCTGGCGTCGTGTATACATGTTATATATATTGACTAGTATGGACCATTGGGTCGGATTTTTTCCAGCTTGCCAGACGCAATAAACAGGACAATTTTTCCCTTATATACACTGAACCCACTCAGACATCGGATGCGCAGTCCGTCGTTGTTGTATATGGTGATGCTGCTTTGGATGCTATGTGCCGCCGGAATCATTATGACAGGTCGATGTTTGGCGCGCGTCACTGATAATAATTTGTCATGATTTAGGGATGCTAATATATAAATGGTGGAATAAAGCGGAAATATTCTTACACCATCAGCAGCAACCATGCCTGGTAGTAAACGAGGATTAGTGGCGCCGCAAAATACTATACTCGATAGTATTGTCAATTTAGTTCGCCGCAACAACTGGCAAGGTGGGTGGTAAATTGTAGCGTGCGGGAGTTTACTGTGTTTGCTCTTATGACACTTTACTAGGCAAAGTTTTTATTTCCTTAGAAAATAATACACTGCAATAGTACACTGTCATATTAACATATAATTTGGTAGTAAAATATATATCAATCCAAATTTAGTACATAGCACCGTTTACTTATCGGAAGCAAAAGATTATATGCCCTTTAAAAACTAAATATTTTTTTTGTATTTCATTATTTGTCTGAAAAGTCCATGTTTTTCAGGCTGGTAGGGCTACGTCGCTTGGGTAGCTAATTTAATTTTTTCAATATATGAATGATTTATGTGTGCATTATGCCGTAGTAAGAAACGTTGAGATCAAATTTTAATGCAACATTTTATCGGCACTGATTTGGAAACATCCTGACTGCGAGTTATGCTGTACAATAGGCTTATAACCCTTTTCCTCAAGGATTAGGTAAAGTGGTATCAGGAGCTCGTTAAGCTTGCTGGATAAGTGGTACTAATATGCCCATATACACTATATATTATACAATATAGTTGAATATACAGCATATATATTATATCAGACGTTTCCAGATATTGTCCAAAAAAGTTTATTCTCGCGCAGAAAAATTGGTATAAAAATGTGTGAATTGTATTGATTTCTAGGCTGTTAGCAACTAACAAAACCACTACAGGTCTGCCTCAGGTCACTTTTTTGTAATACAAAGAGCCGAAAATATTTTTTCTTTGATCAATCCTAATCAGACATCAGCAGTAATGTAAAAAAAAGCTAAATTTATTTGTAAAATCTATATGGCATCGTTACCATACAAATTTTTATTTTATACAATAATTACTATTGGCTGTCCGCGTATAATTTACGCGCTTTTTTAAAATCAATAGTTTAATTAATATTTAACGCTCCTGTAAATTATTGAACGCTCCCGTTACTCCCGTAAGTTTTTAGATATCGCCCCTGCATTAGATTTTATCCATTTTTTAACTTTTCAATACACCTAAATGTGCCAGCTGTAATGTTCAATCAGTCTTGCAAATTTCACTAAAGAGACGTACGTCATTAGAAGTGTGCAGCCCTGGTAATGAAGAAAAGCTCCATATGCCGGAAGGGTAGGAAGAGGTTATCAGCTGCATTTTGGGGGTGGCAGATCGCTGATCGAAAAAACTAACATGCCCCTTGGGATATTAGTAGCCATCCATTTTCAACCCACACTCTAACATCTATTCTGAGATCAGTTTCCTAGTGCAAACATATTCTGTGGGCAAAATACGGGGTAAATTGCTATTTCGTTAGCTACAACATTACTGAAGAAAAGCCTAGCAAAACCAGAAAAAAGAATATTTAACCAAATTAATTAGTAAGGTATGTATACAAAAAACGTTTGACCCTGAAAACAACCCTAGTATATTTAATAAATTATCACTGCAGTATAAGCCCACCAGTTACTACAGTCATATGCATATTGTGTTCCTATCGATCTTATGTTGTATGTTGATTCCCGTACTTATGCAAGTTTAAACAGACAGCTTCCACAAACGTAAAACGTAAAAACTCAACAACTTCGTAGTTTCTAATTCTTTACTGAGATTTTTAACCTGACTGTTTTGCAGATGCGTGTTTCGTGCTGGCCAATTCCCAAATATTTGAATTTCCAATCATTTACTGCAGTGATACATTTTGTAAGATGACCGGATTCAATCGATCGGATGTGATGCAAAAAAGTTGTGTCTGTTCGTTTATGTATGGGGAGCTAACTGATGGTACCTGGTAAGGGAAAGTACAATTTTTTTGACAACTAGGTAAAGGTAGCAGTGAGTTATATAACACCGGCAGATTTGGATTGCGACATGGTAAATCTGGGTCGTACGGCTGAAAACTAGCGTTTTAACAAGATATCGGTTAGAAAATAATCCGTAATCCTGCTGTAAAATCGGGATTACCAGTCAAAGAATTAACTTTTATACGGTTTCTTGACTTCCGATTGCCAACAACCAGATTCAAATTCGGAGAATGCAGTTTATTTACCCTGCATGCACTTTCGGCAGCCAGATTACCACAATCAAATATCAGCCATTGTAGGTCGTTACTGCTAATTGGTAATGTTAGCTCAGCTAATGGGGAAAAACTGGGAAAAGCTTATATAATTGATCTGTTGCCTGCATAGAAATTTTGTTATGTGAAAAATTGCGCTCTTCTATCGGAAGCTAAAGTTGCTGAAGCGTTGTCTTTACGGTTCAGTTTGCGCCGGAATCTTGATCTCGTTATCCGTATACGATACATGGCTGAGCGGCATATAAGCAAAAGAGCCCCTTTACGGATCGAATAAATTGACTTAGCGGTTCACCGCATATATTTCCTTTGCTGTTCATTCATATACATCATTTTGTCACATTTTGTTGCAGTATCGACCGGATAAAGCAGGCCCTGGAGAAGCAGCATCATGATCAGCTGGAGATTTTGCTATATAAAAAGAACAGTATGAGTGATTGCAACTTCTTCATTTACAAAGTAAATTGCATGTTATACATGTCAGGCGCGACATTGTGCTATCTTGTTCGGTACAGAAAGCCCGATGTGGGTCCTTATGCAAGTGGCACCCATAAGAAACGAAAAGGACGTCACTGCACTTTATTTAATGATTTTCAAAGATATAACCGCTCTTAAACAGCCAATTGAAGAGGAGGAGAATAAAGGTATTATGGACTGACTAGCTTGGAACAATTACGAACTCAAGATGCTATCTGAAAATGTATTTCAGTGTTGACATGTTTCGAATTCGGAAAAAATAATCGAAAGTTAGAATAAACTAAACGTACAAGCGGAGTTAATTTTTATGTGCTGAGTTATACAAGCTGCCAGTATTGCAAGTCACTTCTGCATGATATGCAAACGATTTGCATGTAATACAGTCCGGCTAAGGAAAATAACCTCTTGTTAACAGGGTTAAGCAAATTCGCCCGAATTGCTCGTTCCGTGACGAAAAACAGGACAACATTCAGTGGATTAACGAATACAGCGTCGAACAACGTGGAGAATGGCAAACCATTCCCGACGGTAACTTAACCTGCTCCGCTTTTCTCGCCTTTCCGCTGGCCAATTAAACTGGGGTGATGACTTTTTTCAGGGCGCCGTTAATGTGGTAGCCCTACCACAATACCGTCAGGAAGCGCCCAAGACGCCGCCGCATATCATATTACACTATACTACCTTCAAAACCAGCTGGGACTGGATGATCTTGTTACTGACCTTTTATACTTCCGTCATGGTGCCTTACAATGTGGCGTTTGAATGGAAAACCAGTGAAAGTATCACAACACTCGCCACGGATTCCATTGTTGACATAGTATTTTTTATTGATATCCTGCTAAATTTTCATACGACTTTTGTTGGACCAACGGGAGCCGTGGTGTCCGATCCGAAAATAATTAGGCGGTAAGCGGTCCCTGGACCGAAGTTTTTTAAAGGCGCAACTCCGTGGTCATATCTTTTAACTTTGTTTAGAATTAAGGTTTGTTGACTTTTATTGTTCGTATATGCTCTGCTACTGCTTGCATTTATCTTACATTATTTATACATTAAATATTTTAATTACGCATTTCTGCTTGTTTATACCAGTTACCGTATACTCTATAGTACCCATGGTGCTGCCGTTCACATAACAGATTTTCTTAGAAATTCATGTGTTTGTTAAACAGCTGCCCCAGATGTGCTAAAGTTTGGAGTTGCGAAAGCAATGAAACCAGTACTGGCAGAACTCGATTTTTATTTCGTAATATGCATTAAAATAGCGATAAGCTTTAACGGCACTTTTTGTTATATGAATACTATAATACAATCAGGCATTTATTTTACATCTATTTACTAGTTGTTTTTATGATGCAGGACGTACCTGAGATCGTGGTTTCTAATCGATCTTCTAGCATGCATGCCGTATGACATATTCAATTCCTTTGATAAGGATGAGAGCCAAGAGGTACGTTCTTGAGCGAGGTCGCTGCGCTTACCACCATATTATGCAATTTAATTATGTATGTTTATTAATGGGATACATGTCGTTGCCTTGCCTTTCATTCAAGAATCTGTACTGGAGGCATAATTACGTCAGTGTCCCTACTCGCTCCGCTTCCCCAAATGGCGGCATGAATTGTTTAAAAAAATATTAATCGCAGCGTAAGCTGGTTTAGGTTAATGATTAATTTAATTAAGAGCCATTTTGCATATCACTGTGTCTAGATTGTGCAGGCTTTGTTCGTGTGATTGCAGAGTATGGGAAGTGTTTTTTCGGCGTTCAAAGTGCTCAGGCTGTTGCGTCTGGGCCGTGTAGCTCGCAAGTTGGACCATTTTATGGAATATGGCGCAGCTGTTTTATTACTTTTGGTAACCCAATAGTGTGTACCATCATTTCCGTACTGTATTGCTCTTAAATAAATTTTAATCGTTATTGATATCACTGGGAAATTTGCTTAACGCATTCTTTTTTTTTGCCTTGACGCACCCTTGATAGATGTCTTCGTACATGCTGATAGCGCACTGGCTAGCCTGCATTTGGTATTCTATCGGAAAATCGGAGGCACTTAGCGGGATCGAATACGGTTGGCTTTTTCGGCTGGGTAGAGAATTACATAATCCATTCAAATACTCACCCCCGAGTAACCGCACCGACAATCGGACGGATAGTGTTTTTGGAGAGCCTACAGCGTTGATACTGTTGAATAGCACGCGAGATGACCCCAGTACAGCCTATGGATCACTGTCAGGTGGTCCCGATCATAAAGCCTGCTACGTCAGTGCCTTGTACTTTACTACATCGTCCATAACTTCCGTCGGCTTCGGAAATATTGCCGCTAACACGGTACATCTTTCTGCAGCCTCTTCAAAAAATTATTAAGCAACCTTTCATAAATTATCAGACAATAAGTTATTTACTAAAACACCGCCAGTCAAATTTGAATTTAAGTTATTCGAATTTGTCTACGCAGCGCACGCTGAAAATTATGAAGGCTCTTTCCGCTTCTGTTAGCTCATATTGGTTGCTAGATTTTAAATTATATGATAATATCACTGGAATAGTGTTTTGTTTAATCAGACAGTGCCTAAATACTCTTTTATTTACTAAAGTACTAAATGAAATCCTAGAATTGTGAACTGAGCAATTTGAGTGTGAGAAATTTCTTCGAATGCATGGCAGCCAAGGTGCGTGCCGATGCCTCGGCTTAATTGAAGTGACCTTTATGCACGCTTCACTTGCAATTGGTAGACAGCCATTATTATTCTTTCTTGTTTTAGACGAATGAAAAGTTGTTTTCCATCGTGGTGATGGTAATCGGCTGTAAGTACAGACCTTCCTTGTGACATAAAGCTATATAGAAAATCGCTTAATTGTAGCCCCTGGGAATATATGCAGATAATTTTAGTTAATCTGCTCCGTTGATCATATTTAGCATTGATTTACGCAACAATTTTCGGCCATGTGACGACAATTATTGGCCAAATGACGGCTTCCACGGCTCGTTATCATGACATGCTGCACAACGTTCGCGATTTCATGCGACTCCATGAGGTACCAAAAGCCCTGAGCGAACGCGTACTGGATTATGTAGTGTCCACGTGGAGCATCACTAAAGGAATTGACACGAGCAAGGTGGGTTGCAAGGAAGTTATCGACTTAAGTGATTTCCGGCAGAAATGGCGGACTTGTTGTACGCTTTTAATATCAATTAGATATTCGACACATTGTAAACGCTTTTGCAAAAGTTTTCATTCCAATGGTACTGTACTGTTTACAGTAGAATACGCATACGTTTTTATACTTGCCCGTTGACTGAGTTTATTTTATTTCATTTATAAATTTCCAAGTTGAAAGAGAATGAGTTTGTTTCTCATTTCCTGTGAATTTTGACGTTTTGCTGCAAAGTATGTACAAGGTACAGTGTACCAAGAAAGCTTACAAAGTACAGTGTACCACGAAAGCTTTCACATGATTATTACATGCACTTATACAAAGTACAAATAAAATAAATAAATAAAACTAAATAAATAATATTAATAATATTAATAATTTAAAATACAATAATTTGCCCGATACGTTAAAATATTGAACTGTTCTGTCATAATACACAGTATATTTGGGCGCAGTGCTTCCGTTCAGAAAAAAGGGTGAGTCGGTTTTTTGTGTTTCCTTACATCCATTTTTTGTTGTGTTAAGTCTAATGCTAGTCTAAGTCAAATAACATTTCTAATTGTTAAATTTCCCTGTATCCATGTTTGGTCGTTTCTGCAGGTTGCATTCCGATAACCGCAGACTGCTCTATTAAAAATTAAACGGATCTTGATCTTGCAGATTTACAAAATTATTTAATCAACATAATTCTTTCTGTACAGGCCGCGGTGATGTGTTTGGTGACCAAATATGGCTGCGTGAGCACACTGTTGGACAGAGTTGTGCCAATGTCCGAGCCCTTACTTACTGTGATTTTCATTCTATAAAACGAGAACGTTTGTTGGAAGTTCTGGATTTTTATCACGCCTTCGCTCATTCTTTTGCAAGAAATATGGTTTTAACGTATAATCTTCGCAACAGAGTAAGTGAACACAGCCGAAAGAACCACCGCAAGGAAACAGTAAATTCCGATGCATCTTTTGTATTTTACAGCCTTAAGTGACAATATCTACACGGGTTTATATCTCGAATCTAGAAACGCCAAGAAAATTTATTTTACAAATTAATGAAAAACTATACGGTGTTAACGATGTATTGCGATTCATAATAAAAGACAAACACTGTTTGTTTGTCGTTTGCTTGCTTGTCTGTTAGTGAGTATTAAACACTGTTTTCCTGTTTACAGCTTGTTTTTCGCAAGCTGTCCGATATTCATCGCGAAAAGGAATTAGCCGAACGCGATCGCATCGAAGCACAACGCGCCGAAGCAGCAAAGAACAATCCAGTCCGTAAACTATTTAACCGCTTGCGAAAAGGCTCGGAGCACTCCGGTGGGACGTCCAGCGGCTCCCTCATTCCAACCCCCGGTGATATGGAAACAACCCCAGCCACACCCTCCCACCGCAACAGCATCCCCAAACCGGACACCATCGGGCAGGTATCGGAAGCCAGCCCGGTAAAGGTCACGCGCATCTCTGAAAACTCCGAGCAGCACGCACTCAGCGGCTGGAAACGCCTGACCGCCGCCGCGAAGGAGGCCCAAGGTGGCGCAACGGAAGTGTCGGCATGGAAGAAACTCATAGCGGCCGGCAAAGCGGCCAAAGAGGCCGAAAAGCTGACAGCCGCCGGCGGGGGCACGCCTACTACGCCCGCCCCGCCCCTTACGCCCACGAAACAGTCTACTGTGTCCTTTGCAAAATCACCACGCTTGGTGATTGACAGTTCGGCGGTGGCGGGTGAAGCCTATGTCAACTGGACACCCGACCGTATGCAGCAGGTCACAATGGAATTGGGCGGGATGCTGTCCACGGCACTGAAACAGCTCACCGCCATACAGGCCCAACTAAATGAACTACAGGCAAAAAAAGCCGGTGATTCGAAAAGTAATACAGATGACGGCAAAACATAGTCTTAAGAGATAATTATGCGGGTACAGATGTCCGCACGCGCACAGCCTTCCATTATGTCTCGAGACTAGGCTCGTGATTTCTGGGGATTCCACTTGTGTATTCACAGTTTACGCCGAGCTCGAGTTCTCTAACTTGTACACTTCCTTGATTTTTTATTGCTTTTTTAGGGAATTTAACGTGACGGTTCATGTAAATTATACGTAATGGAAGAAAGGTGCCTTCAGATTACTAATTACAACTCCATGGTGTTGCTTTAGGTTGCTTTTGACCGAAGTAATATGGTTTTGTCACTTTTATAGGAAACAGTCAGGTATCGTTCTTGAGTAATAACATCATCACGATCATTCTAAAGTTCAGAAAACGAAGTCGCGTGGCAGTATGATTCGAAAATTAACACGGTAAAACGGCACGTTGTCGGCTTGCCGGCGCTTTGCTCTAATAAGTATACCGTAAGTTGGCAGTTGAAACTGAAACAAATGTTGTTCTACTCATCAACAGCAGAACAAATGACAGGTAGTTGACACTACCGGTAAGTAGTCGTTGTGTTCTTTGTGGAATCCAGTTTCTGATCGGGGTCTATGGACAGCGGAAGTCGCTCCCAATTGTAAATGTTACAAAACCGGAATTTGGACATCTATCCTTGAATAAATATTCAGGTGCTATAGCGATAGAGCCAACTGTAATGGATGATGCATGTGTGCCAGTACTGAGCATAATAATGTCAGTTCAAAGTGGATTAAGCTTTCTCCAATGTGATTCTGCATTCTGTGACGACCGTAATTCATAACTGGAGCATTAATAACTCATAAATTGATTAGCATATTTTACTCGAGAGCGCAAATCTTGCAGGAAACTATTTCACATAATGACGATGTGTGTAATGCGTGCCATTAACTTGCATACGGTATGTGCGCCCATTATGAAAGATTTTGCATTTGTCAAAATCCTTTAATGCATCACTTTCTCTGATGAATGAACGAATACGGTAAGTAAACATTGCTTCACATATGCGAATTGCACTACCCAGCACATACATAATAATTTATTAGCTAGGTTAATAGTATCCTTGATACCCCTTAAAGCACATTCTCATCTAATATCTTGCGATATATGTGATAATAAGCAGCGGGCTGCCATTTTCAAAGAGGGTTAGGTTAACCAGGATGCTTTGCAGTTTTTTGAAAACTTCTTGTGCAACTTAAAGGCAGTTGCCGCTGCACACTTTTATATCAGCAATCAACCTGCATTTGTCTAATAATGCATATATTTAACTGGGTTTAAAATTTACTGTTTACTGTTTAGTGGTGTGGATTCAACACACATGCTGTTTGTGTACAATCTAAGGCGGCCATTTTTACATAAAGTGACCTACACCATTTATTTTTTCTGTAGTTGCGAAATCGGAAATGATTTATAATGCGAGTATGAAAGTACTGTGCGAGTACAATATGATAGCCAGACAGAAGCTTACGAAATATGCATTAGTACTTTAGGTATACAGGGCACAAACTGTTCGCAGCATCTTCATGCTTATACCTTGCTTACGGTTGGATTACACATTGATAAAGTGCGCGATAGCCCGCAATGCGGGTAACAATTGCAGGCAGTGAAAGGCGCTTATTCAATAATATTTCTTGTAAGTATTCATAAGCTTTACGGGGTGCACAACCTGGGCGTTCAAATGGGAAGCGCTGGATCAGCTTGATTAAGGTTGATTTATTCGAATTGTGCTGCCAGTAGTCAGCAGTCATCGTAGCGTAACATATATAGTATCTATTCGAGGTCTGCAAGCGGAAGCCGAAGCGGGAGACTAATTTCCGGCTTGTTAGCAGATCCGACCGGTCGCCAATCAGTGTCTTGTAATTAGCATTGTCTGCCCGTGTTCCTGCTGCTCCTTCATGTAACTCCGGATGCCGACATATATGCCCACTTGGAGCGATATACTGTATGAGGTGTTTATGCTTATCAAACCTGTAGGGCGCGTAGAAGATACAGCAACGTTTGATCGGCCTTTCACCTTTACAACGTTTTGTTTGGGCTACTCTTTAAGCGCTTGGACGCGATATTTTTTGCGCTAAAGAAGAACTTTGACTCTTCCGTTACATAAGATTTTATAAGTGGTACCAGCTGCTATGTGAAAAAAATTCTTTCAAACCAAGCAACTTTTTAAATGTATGTTAGATAGCGCCAAAAACGTACGTACCGGTATCTGCATATACAGACATTATGTCTGTGCGCTCTGGATTAAATAGCTCGTTTACTTTTTGCTAATGTTCCATTCAAAGCAAGTGTAAAACTGAAAATAAAAATCAAAATAGGCAAGGTAAAATATAAGTGATCTGCTTTAGAAAACCTGCTTAGACGTGTAGGAACATATGTTTTACCCTAGCAGAATTACTGGCGCTTATACCCTAATTAATACCCTCAAATTCTTCATTTGATTGGTATCATTGAGCGAAGCTCGCTGTATACATATTGAGAGATTAAAGTTAATACTTGTACTGCTGCATTGACTACACAATATCGATATTTATTATGCTCTGTTGACCTTTTCTTGCCACGGCACATTCCCTGTGCAGACACAATATTTATGTTATGCAATATACTGCAAGAGAACAATCACGGTCGTTTCAGACATAAACTACTGTTGACAGTTGCAAATTTATACGCAAAATGAAAATTTATAGAAACACTTTATCCAAGATCCGGTCAGTTTTTTATACGTCGATGCGGTGCAAAAAGTGCGCTTCCGTTTGCTTGAAATATTTATGTAGTCGCATCCATAGGTCCCTAGAAGTACCCAGAAGTATAATGAATTTAATGCAAGTATAATGAATTTCGTGTAAGTAATTCGACGCCTGTCTGTGAGTACGCACAGGATGGTGTCTGCGCCATATTGACTGAACATCCTAAACCAAATAGGAACTTGGTAATAGCGAGCCAGTTTGTAGCGTGTTAACATTATCCCGTGTGCTCTCTGCCAGGTCGAGCGATACCAGCAGGGCGTGTTTTTTGTATTCCATTGGGAATTGAAATTATTCCAGTCAACATCGTCCTACAAGCTTGATCTTATTGATAGATTTTATAGACTCTCGTCAGTATAAGCACATAAGGAAGCGAATGGTATATTATCCGCCGGATCGCCACAGATTATCGGCGCCTTTGCGCAAGAGTCATGTTATTCTGCTGTCAGCACATGCGTATTTACATGCAACCAATGATTGCGCAAATTATTCTCCAGTAAAGCGTTTATATTTTTTTTAAATAAATGGTTGTCAAGAATGTCCTTTTTGAATATTCCAGATAAATGTAATTTACATATCTACTGCAGTACGGTACTAGTGTTCAACACTTGCCGATTTACCTTTCCAAGTCAAAAGTTTTCAACAGAAGGTCTTGCGCACTACAGTAACTGCAAGTTTATTCTGAGCAGTTTTTAATATCCGTTGTGGACTTGATTGATACCGTCTCCCATACAGCGTCAACTTTCATAAACACGGAGTGCTTCTTGGTTTGTTTCTTAACTCCACCGTCAGTATGCTAGGCGGTAGTCATTGAGTTTCCACGTAAACAGGCCGGGTTGCGTAAATCTCCCTAATTTAACGATGCGAGTTAGTCGTGACGATCCCAAATGCTGCCGGCGGGTAAGATCCTGGTCCGGAGGAAGAGTGTACAATAGACCGTTTGCTTCGAATTAACTCTTAACAATATAGGCAAATCACAAAACGGCATCGTCAGCACTTAAAACTTTCCTAGTTAAAAGTTGGCTCTCGTCGGCGCACTGTGACGGCAGCGTTACTTCCGCAACGTCGCACAAAAAAGAAGATTATTTGTCGCTTTGTGAGCTCTCAATAATTCCAGTTATTTTGCTGGAAGCATTCGTCGCGGACGTCTATTGCCGGTGTTAATAATCCCGTGGACGAAAAGACACTGTAAAAATCCATAAAAATTGCCTGTACCACCGCGATGTTAAATTAAGATAACGGCATGTAGATACAAGTAATTTAGTTTGATGGAACATGGTACAACCGTGCGCTATACGGCCGGCTGAAGCGGGCGCGCGAAGAGCGCAATACAGCTGGGAGAAAAATCCCGGCAATTGTTTGTGAGAGATGTTATCGCCAACCGGAAACGCACTGACAGCCACTATTTCTCTTGGCTTTGATAGAGCTGTTGCGTGTGTGTATAGGGAAGTGCGGTACAGTATGGGATAGCGCACTTTTTACCTGACAGTGATGGATAGACGCGCGCTGTGATGAAGTTGTGCAGTTCAACATCCAAGATTCATCCGAGCATTACCGCCGTCACCCGGGGTCCTTTTTTGCTGGTCTGTAAGAGGGCCAGTGCGCGCGGAAAAATACAAGAACATTAAGGTCGGGCCTCTCATGCCGGGGCAGGCGGCTGGAAAACTTTCTGCCACATTGCACAATTATATATGCACACATACAAACGCCAAACGATGTCCGCGGGAGAATTGTGGCAAGTTTGGCTAATTGATAAACACCCGCGTACAGGGGTACACTGCCCGCATCACAACCTGGGGCAAATTCGCCCATGCAAAAGTTAAACAACACTGATTGGACATGGAGGTACGATGGAATAAAATGGGCAGACGGAGAAGGCCTTAGATTAGTTGGGAGGTGTCAGAACATGCAGTAAAATATCAGGTTAAGCCCCGCTCGTTAACCGGCAGATTCCCCGCGCGCTCGCTCGCTTCAACTAGAAAAGGAAGTTCAATTCCATGCGCGCGCTCACCCGCAAATCACTGTCCTCGACAATCAGTCCCGAGCCGTGCTCTCTATGTGCTTAGAAAACTACTCGTTCCTCATTAACTGCTCCTTACAGTTATTACACTCGTCACGGTTATATCCTGGGAAAATTGCTACTGTTACAGTCGCAGTGTGTGCGCCCAACTCGACTCCCCCTTTTTCACTTAAATAAACCTTAGCGGACATTTTGATCTTGCGCGCGTGTGTCTACGTGTGTATGTGTAATAATTCAATTATCGTAAATGGATTTGTGCTGTATATTTTGGGGGTAATCTGTGATAAATATGTTTTGTCATTAGAATGATATATCGTCAGCCGGCCGCATACCAGTCCGAGACAAGAGGATTAGCCGCATAATTGCCCGGGATCATCCTGTGAATTCCCTGGGATCGTACAGACTGCGCGCACCCCGCTGGTATTATGCTCATTAATGACCGGCATACGGAGCATATAGCGTCTTATGTATTTTGCCGCTAACTTGTTTGCTGGCTGCGTATCCCACAGGAGCTGACCTACGATTTGCTGCACTTCTCCTTTGCTCTCGCTGGATTTGCCGGTATTGTATTCCCGTGCAACAGCACGCTGCCAATTGTATGTGAGTTAGGCCCGATCACGTTGTTTTTTTAGTCAAAACTCTTATCGAAAAGTAGTACTGTATTAATGGTCAGAAGAGTACCTCAACCTTCATACTTCCACGATTTTGTCAGTACATTTTAACAACATTGACTAGTGATTTTGTCAGTGCAATGGGGGCTTTCGAGGCTGGCCAAGTACTGTTGATGTGCGGGTTCGATCATTCGATTACTATTACAGATTTCAAGGTTGTAACGTTGTAGCGACAGCGTCTCGGTTAGAGAACTTAATGCGCCCGCATTTCGGCTTTAAGCGGCCTGTATATTATTCCGATTAGCACTAATGCGCATTAACGTCGCTGGCGGTGTAAAGTACCAGTCGCTCGAGAAATCTTTTGGTCTCATCCACCCGGCTTCTTCTTACAGGATGATTGTAGTTTAAAGTAGTATTCAAGTGGACAACAACTATCGCATTCTGACTTGACTAATCTTCGTCTATCGGGAAAGCGGTCGGATAACTGATGGGAGAAACGAATAAGTTGTGACCAGGCTGCAACACTAAGATTTTCATCGTAAGGAAAACTTTTAAAGAATCGTGCCCTTGCAGCGCACACATGCACAATACACACACTGACTTGACGGATTGTTATTGCACTTTGTAGTTCGGTGATGATGATGATACTTTATATGTGATATACTTTGACTGGAGATTTGTCAAATAGGGAGTGGATTGTGCTGTGCTGCTGCTGTTGTTGGTGTGTGTGGGGCCAGTGATCTGACAGGCCAAAGAACATTTATTGGATAACATGCCGGGAAAACTGGAATGCTGATGCCCATCCATTTCCATCCATTGCTGGCGGGCTATTCAAGTGGTTAAGTGGCGTACGTACCGGAAAGAAGTAACTGTACCGGGCCGGGACGTCTGCGTGTTGTGTGAGCCAGTGAGCAGAGCGGGTATACACAGTGTTGACTGTGTTAAGGGTTAATATATACAGTACCGCGACAAGGAAACACAAGAGAGCCCTATCGCCAATATGAACTATAAGCCGACAGCCGCCGAGGAAAATCATTTGTTAGGCACCGAGCTACTGCTGGCCAAATTTCTCCATTCGCGTCTGTGGGAAAGCTGGAATGGCACAAGTAGTCCTGCCGAGTTGTGGGATTCCGAAGAGATGATGATGCTGATCAATCAGACCATCCTCGGTCCCGGTTTGGCCGGCTATGGTGATACAGGAACAGCTTCCGGTAGTGCTGTTACAGATGGTCTATTAATTTATGACACCAACACCGCCAATGGGACTAACGGCTCCACGGGGCCATTACCGTTTTATGGGGATTTTTTCTGGTCATTACACGGAGCCTACGTTCGCATTCACGGCTACCTGGCGCTGATTATCAGTGTCTTTGGCATTCTCTCCAATCTCATCAATATCGCCGTATTGACGCGCCGGTCCATGATTACTCCCACCAACGCCATTTTGACAGCACTGGCCATTGTGGATGTATTGGTGATGATGACCTATGTGCCGTTTGCCATACACCAGTACATATTGAAATTATCATTACCCATCGCCGAATGGAGGAGTTATTCATGGATGGCGTTTACCTTCTTTAATATACACTTTACTATCGTGTGCCATACGATATCCGTATGGCTAACAATTACACTGGCGGTGTTCCGGTACTTTGCTGTTACCTTCCCTAATAAGGTGGCAACTTATTGCTCAATGGAACGGGCTCTGATGGCGATAGCGGCTGCCTGGATATGCACCGCCATAATGTGCACGCCTTCATATCTGAGGTAATTTTGATTTTTAAAGAGGGATTTAAGTCGGCTGCGTCTGCGACATATATATGCTGATTATCGATAGATAATGTGATTATTACTTTTATATTGACGCGTATATACATAAACACTGAAGTTATAACGGCTGTCAAGCATTTACACTCGCATGTTCTCAATAATCAATTGCGGCTGTCTAATACAATTTGATTAAAGGCTCCATATATGTATTCTTAGCACGCTATTATATGTACCGAGTCGGGAAACGAAAACATCAACATGATTTCTGCAGCTGCATAAATACAGTATATGCTGGCCTTTCAAAAGGTTTCTTCTTCCTTTTAGTGTACAAGTTGGGGTCGTTGAGGTATGTTGCACTTTATAATCCTTTATTTTTATCAGCCTGATTTCTGTTCCTGTCTACATATATGATCCTTGATTTTTTCATTCACAATTTTTTAGGATACTGAGCTATTAGAGCACATGTACCAGACCGGTTATAATGTAACGATGTACCGCATTGACGAATCGGATCTTTCATTAAAAAATGGCCACATTCCGAGGATTATCTCATTTTACGCATTTTCCGTTCTGGCCAAACTAGTACCATGTTTCGTCCTGACCTACCTCAGGTAAAAGATCATTGCAGTAGGCTTTTAGCACAATGATGAAGGCTTTAAAAATTTTCACACGTTACAAAGTACTGCTGTTGTGCAATAACTTTTGTTCATATTATAACGTATTGATTACCAGTATACATCATTATTTTTCTTATTATAAAAATCGTATGAGACATTCAGCAGGTGTGAAAATATACAATGAGTAATGGCGCATTGTTTTCAAAACTAAAGAGCTATAAACATGACGGGAAGTGTGCACAAAGATGTATAAGCCTGATTAATTTATGCCCATTGTAAAGACATACACTGGTATCACTTAGATGTACGTACGTCAAATGTGGGAAGCTGAATTATGCCTGTATAAGTGTGCATAAAACACTGTCTAGGAAGTTTTTCGACAAGTACATGTATTACCATAATATTATTAGCATTCGCTTGGTCCAAGCATTGATCCAAGCCGAACAACGTCGCTTTCAACTGAAAAACCCCAACGGAGTACAGCAGCCCCGGCGTCCCACGATCCCCTCGGCTCCGTCATCGGCCAATGGACCAAATTGCGTGGCCAACCCCACGGAGACGACACGTTTTTTAGCCCCGCCCCCAGCGAAACCTGTTGTCCAGCATGGTCCTCAGGGAGGCGGCCGGCCAGCTGGCCGAGATCGTACAACGCGAATGTTATTAGCAATATTGGTGTTCTTCCTAATAACCGAATTTCCTTCGGGATTAGTGGCGCTGCTTAGCTGTTTTTCCGTGGACTTTTTCGGCAACGTCTACGTACCACTTGGCGATCTAATGGATATTCTGGCATTGATAAATAGTTCCGTCAATTTTATCCTGTACTGTTCCATGAGCCGGCAGTTCCGCAAGACATTCTGTCATATGTTTGTGCCTAAGGTCATTACACAGCGCTGGAAGAAATGGAAGGCACAGCGCGGCGGTGTTAACCGGTTGGAAAGTACGGGTTATACAATGACAGAGAGAACTTTTACATACTTTCCCGTGACCAAATCGGATGAACGAAGGGGATCCTTTGCCACGGTTATCGAATCCGATATGGGACGGTTATAAAAATTTTGTACATTCTTCAGCGTGGACCAATCCTGCTAACAAATGCGGTAAGCACCATTCGGAATGCTGTAGGAAATTTTTAAACTCATTTTATTGAAACAAATTCTCTCGTCTTAGCATTCATTTATTATAAACAGTGAATTAATTTTTGATATTCTTGTTCCTTGTTTAAATTTTACTTGTACTTCGCCCCTTTCTTCATGAAAGCTATCAATATTTTTATCTGACAGCTTCAAAGAAAATGGACGCACTGAAAAATTGCGAAAGTCACTATTTACTCCCATCGAGCAATTGTTCATCCGCCAACACTTACAAAGCAATACAGCCGCGGTTCTGGATAAAGTTACTTTCATGGCGCCAGTCTATAGCTTCTAGTGTCGCTTCCGCTTTTTTGTCAAATTTCAAATTGTTCAATGCCTTGCAGGCATTACACGCTACTTGTTGGTTTAATATTGTGATCAAAATTGTATATGAAATCTCCCGTGTGACCTCTTCAAGTCTCACTCGGGTGTTTTGTTGCAAATGTTAGGAGACGATATATATATATAACGACGAATTAGCTGTGTATAAATTATGAGTGTTAATATTGCTCGCGATCAAAAGAATGCATTATCCATGTTCTGGGATGTGGCCGGCATATGCTGTGGTTCACATCTTTGTGAGCAGACAGACGGAGATTAAATAAACTCTACATCCACAAAAAATTTGTATCAGCTACGTAATACTATCTGTGGTCCAGAGACAGCACGCCCGACAGAAATGCAAATGCACTTGTAAATTGATTCGGCTGCAAAGATATCTGTGGCCGGATGAAGCCGCTGCTGCTGTTTAATGTGTTGATTTAACATAAGATTTTATGAAGCACAACACTCAGAAGTTTAGGTGTAACAAATTTACATTTATAAATGCGATACGCCTAGGCAATTTCCAGTATGCACTTTGGCTGTTGACACAAAATAATGGACATATTTGCCGATTTAGTGAAAACCGATCCGCTCTCTAGCTCCTGAAGTTACAGCTGATGATCAGGTTTTGACTCGTATGACAGTATAAAAGCTATGTTTGCTTTTCTTTAAGTCTCTTCTGTATAAACTTACACAACTTCTAAGGAGCTAAATTTTTTTTAAAAATAACAAAGCACAAAAATGATTATACGTAAATTAAAGTTTGCGTACAGAATGCATTTCTTGCTAAGTATTGTACAATCCAACTGCTTCTCTGTTTGAACAGTATTACAGTATACTATTTACAGAAGTTAGAAGATTTTAAAACTTCACTAAATGAACTGCATTTACATTTGTACGCGCTCGCTTGCAGATTGCTTACTACTGTAATTTGTGAATGACCTTCCAATTCATTTCACAGTGTATTTTTGTAATGGTGACAGGGCGGAAGCACGCAATCCAGTTATTAGTTTTTTCTTAAATTTAGTACGCCATTGAGCAATGGTCGATCTAATAGTAGTATTTCTTGACAACAAAATTTCTTTAATAAATCTTTTTTTTAAAAAAAAACATGCACACAAGGACGCCAGTAAATTTGCGGATACTAATTACGCATAAAAAGCTGCTTAAAAAATGAAGCCTATCACTCCGTCCGATCAGGACATCCTCCGAGGGTTATAGAGTTAGACTGATGATTAGCACGAGAATGGTTAAATCCATTTCCATATCAGTAAAAAGCGTACATCGGAAAGAGACTGATTTGGGGAGGGAAACTTTAGCCTAATTCGGCTTACTATGGCGTAATCCCATACGCTACTGGGCACAAGAGTCCCGACCAACAACAACCGACACGGGACACGGCGTATTTATGCATGTTTTCATAGCACGGGAGCATGCATATATACACACACACACCCTTACACACTGCACAACACTCGTGACATCATGGTGTCCTGACTGGATTCTCGAGTTAGGGAAGATCGATGTTCAACCAAATGAAAATGAATTAATCCATCGAAACCCATGCATTAATTCGTTTATTCGATTGTATGGCAGTGGTAAGGGTTCATGCCTTTTTAAAGATGTTGCCGACCCCGTGTAGCACCGTACATTGCGTGCCACGCATAACACATTTTTACATCACACACCGTGCCGAACATCCTCCTCAAATGGTGTTTGTATAATAAATGGTATATATTGCGTATACGGTCAGAGTGAACTGTGGAAACATTTATTTAAAGATTTATTGCTATCCAATTATCTGAATTTTACAGGCGTTAACGCTCGTAATAAAGTTGTTAGAGCAAATCTGATTATGCCGCACAATTGAATGCTGATGGGTTTTCTAGCACACTGCTCGAAATTACTTACAAGAATGCCACACATCTATATAATGATAAACACCGTAAAACACGTACCATTTTAGTAATCATGTAACAATATTCGTAAGAAGAGGAAAACATGGGAAATGTCTGCTTTGATGCATCAACCAAAAACGTGTAATTTTAATTTTTGAGTAATGGCCGGTTATTACAGGCAGTTAGGAATAGCATACCAGTTACAATTTATTCCATAAATAAATGCATATACATCTCATTCATGGTTCATATTATCGCTAGAAGTAGCTCAAATGCCTACAGCGAGCATTTATTTACACCATGCATATAATTGCCGCAAAATTCAATGTAACCGTAATGCAAATGCGAAGCTGATTGTTGTTATTTTTATTCGAGAGGCCATTCTTTGCGAAGTGATGCCGCACTGTCATTTTCCAGGCTGTTAGATTTTAATGGGTCGCACAAACATAGGTCAGAAATGCGATGACATCAGAACTACGTATGCAAATACCCCAATAATTCATGGGTTAGCATAAACAAAACAGGCGAACAAACAGTAGGTTAGCATAAGTATAATAACTAAAATATGAAGGCTCCGGTATATTTACTCACTAAAAACGAAAAATGTTTGTGTTTTCTTTGCGACGAGAAATTTCGATGTGAACAGCGGAATTTATGAAAACCTAGTTAAAAACACTTGCGTAAGCCGTAAAGTAGTTAATAATTTCAGTATACTTGCACAGTTTTAAATTAATCCTTTAATATTACATGTGGCTCGGCACGCCCCTCTAAAATTTAGAGTAAAAACTTAGAATCTCACCATAAACAATATGTAATAATCTACAGTATAGATAAACTTTTTCAACGTACTTCACATACATCAGTACTACTACAGCGCACCACTGCAACAGTCATACAAAAAGTTTATTAAAGTTTAATATGAAGTTTATTAAAGCTTGTGAAAAATGAAGTTTATGAAGCTTTAATATGAAGTTTATTAAAGCTTGTGAAAAAATCTCGCAGTTCATTAATTATTTTGTCAACCCTTGTGAAGGTATTGTTGACAAATTATTACATGTGATTTTAGAACTATGCCGGACGAAGCTCGTGTAATAAACGGATAAGATTTGCGACTTGATAAGTCCTTTAAAGGGCTGTGTATGAGTCTCTTGAGAACTGGATGGCTCGTTGAGAGCGAATTGCTTCGGCACTCATACTACAACAGCTTCATGACTATTCTCGTGCTTTATTTAACTGGCAGTTCTCTACAGGGAAATACATCTGTAAAGACAATTAGCTTTTCTCCAGATTTGTTGTATGCATTTTTTATAACTCTGATGGCCGTGTTCTATGACGCTGCTGGGTTGTCGTAAAATGACACCATACAAATCTGGATTCATGGTGCACATTGACAGGAGATATATATTATACACGTAAATTTGACAGCTCAGCTAGCGCTGCAATGTTAACCGAAGAATAACGAGTTATTCAAAGTCATTGTATCAACAGGTATTCCAATAATACGGCAGGAAAAGTTACATTACTTACATATATATATATATTTTAAACATGCTCTACATATGCAATTGTAGGCGTAGCTACGATTACAACAAAAGCGTAAATAATTACAAATATCGAGTGCGCTGACTTGTGCAAGTATTGCTATCAGAGAGGTTATTAAGCGATCGAGAAAAACATCCTCGCTGTGAAAGACGGACGCAGTTGACCACAGTCCCACATAAGGGCAAACATATATATATGTATGCATTGTGCATCGTAGCACCTTGCAGGCTTGCACAGGCACTTACAAAGTGACAAACCGAAACTAATCCAACTACTGTTGCACCGTAAAAATCAAACACAATCAAACGTACTTTCTTACAAGCATTTCCTTGCAACTGCTGACCTATCACTTGCCGACAAGTTATCATTCTGCAGCAGCCTATTCGATCACTGCATGCGGCGCGTAAAACTCCCTGTACGACGCTGGAACTGCACCTTTAATAATGCTCCGATAATATACCGGTAAAAGTAGCCTCTCTCAGATTTTATATATATGATCATAAGCCTGAGCAGAAAATTCAGAACACAACAAAATGGGCAATAGCATTAAAAATGTTATACAGTACATAATTATAGGGATAATTCTATGGTTTCCAGGTACAAGGCGCCAGACGGTAGCATATACGTCAAGAATTAAGTGAGTGAACATTAAGTGAGTAACCCGTAAGGCTGCCTTCAGATTCGATGCTTCGTTACTCGGCCACATCGTCATCTTATTTCTAAATCTGCCATTCATAAACAAAAATTTAAAAAAGGCTGGAGTTTCCACTTGTTAATAATTTATTCCACTGCGGGTAGAAATTCGAGCGAAGTCAGGTCGCCAGGACTGTGTAGCAGCCAGTAGGTCAGTTTTCTCCCAGCACCCTAGGAAAAGTGGTTTCAATCAGTCTATAAGTATTGCACTGCACGGATTTGACTGAAAAACGATAACACGCAAGGAATCGTTTGGAATCAAAGCAAACCTTCAGTTCAGTTTCGCCCCTTAAAACGAATTTGAGACCAGATTTACGACCACTCAATTCCGTATAATTTTTTGTCTCTGAACTAAGATGTATTCTCGATGGCAATCCATGGGATGCCAGGCGAGACGCCAAATTTACCGTATCTCCAAACCTGTAACGACGTAATACCTCATTATTCGGAACTCGATTGTATGACCTTTTACCAGTTTGTTAATTTATGTGCACCTGAAAGAAGAGCCAAGACCAAATATACTGTACATAGTCTACCGCAACGAGAAACCGAAGACTTATTGTAGCATCGAAACTTGTTTATAGCATGTTTTCAGCATTTTGCGCACCAGATTCTCATATTGCAGTGGTAGTTCTGTTGGAGTAGAAGTATGACAAGTGTTCAATGGTACACTCTGATGCCGCCTTAACTTTGTAATACACGTATGTTTTGGAATTACGCGTAATAAAGCTGTACAACTTACAAACAGTATCGAGGGCATTTGCTTCCAACGACGCCAGCCGCGCATGCTCCTGTAACCAATTGCAATTTGATTAGTAATCTATGTCTATGTTTAAAATAAAGTACGAAAAACTGGACGATTTGCTAAATTCTGCATTACCGGAATGAATTCCGATCTTCATGTGGATGTCTTGCCCATTCGATACCCGTGAGTAAAAAGTACGCATTAACAAAACGGCATAAGAACAAATTTCTGTGGCATGCTGATTTCCATTTGGCTCCGGCAAGCCGCTGGCTACCTGAACACAAAAATTGTGATTTCAGATATCAAAACAAAAGTTACGATGTGGTCCCTTGAACAGAATCCAGCATTTAAATAATTTTCATGCACTGACCATCGGTCAGTTGTACAAACCATATAGCTATCGCTAATTGTTTCGACCTTGTATGCATCAAAACCGCTCAGACAGCTATCGAACGTGGAAAAGACGGTGTTTAGCAGTTGGACGACGAAAAATGGAGTCTGGACTGCAAGTAGCTCCACAAATCCTACTAAAGAGCTGAAACATATTGTCACTCCATAATATATCTGTGGTTGGACTTGGTGTCCTGCGATCAACTGGTTGACAATGGATCTGCATAAAAACATATACCGTAAACGTACGTATTTCATTGAATTGGTTGATTATTGCCAGCAATTTGATGGAACTTTCCTATAGTTAGCCAAAGTTTTATTCGAACATTACACAGTTTTAAAACCTTTATTGGAACTCCAAAGTAACTTTAAAATTTTTGGTTTTTATGTTTGTTGGTAAAATCAATACAATGTTTTTATAAATTGCCAGTGTTATCATATACGAAAGTTTTAAAAGTTAACTGCTCGATTGTAAAATGCTTGACAGCTCAAATGCTATACAGAAATCAATTTTTTCAACGATTTTTTCTATTTATAAAAATATATATTTTAAGCTTGTCTCCAGTTAATCTTCAAAAATTATTTTGTGCCAGTTGATTTCATCAGCTCTTTAACACACACCTGGGCAGCATTTGCAATAATAATTGGTGGCATAACTCCTTTTCTTTCTGAAGCGCCACTGTTCGTTCATGTACAATGGTTTCCAGTTTATTAGCATAAATTTCCATTCTCCTTAGCAGATAATCCATTATTAAATCATTCTTGGAATTGGTTATACTCTGGAATTCTTTCTGCACGGCATTAATTTGTGGCCGCTCATGTGGCGGTGACCTTTTGCACAAGTTAGCCAAACCTTTCACTGCATTTTCATTTATGTGTATATTATCCTCTGCATGAGCATCTTCCAAGAGATACTCCATAAAACAACCCACTGAATATATATCAGCGGAAGGATCTGCATATTTCCCTAGCATCCAGAGATGATATGGATATAACTTTACGTATTCAGCGAGCTCGGGAGCGATGAAGCCGGCGTCTGGGTCCGAAATACTGGTAACACTTTCTTTTTGTACCAGTTCTGGATAAATGACGATTTTGTGTAGTTCAAAATCAGTTAATTTTAACGTAAATACTGGCGTCATTAAACAGCAGGATAAAGAAATATGACCATGGTGATGGAACAAGGAAGAAGAATGTATAACTTTCAGTCCCTGCAAGACAAAAAGATTAAGTAATTTGTACTCATACGCGAGTCAGCATAATTAAGCAGCGTTACTGCTTCCAGAAACAATGTAAAAGTATGCATACGGAAGCCCAATATACGATTTCGCTTTAATACCTTTAATAAGTCACTGATAAATGATGTTCGAAAAGTCCAATCCAGATGAACGGTTTTTAAAATTTGCGCGACGTTTCCTTTGGGGAAATATTCGTGTACTATGGTAAGTTCGCTTTGATTGAGGCTGATTCCCAACATACGCACCAGGTTGTCGTACGCGAGCGTTTTCATCTATGAGTAAAATAAAGGTCACTACAACGTGGAATGAAAAGTAAATTACTGTCTACTGATAACTACCCGGACTCAAAAAGAGTAATTGTGGATATCTGCCGCAAAGCAATTTTACAAACAGTTCACGATTATTATATAATTTATATTGCACATTACAACCGTTTGGAAATGTCAAATTTCACCTTTTTCAGTGCGATCGCTTCAGCCGTAGAGGGGTACATTTTAGATGATATTTTAATTTTCTTCACATGCACTGGCAGATCCTTGTACCATAATATGGCATGGGAACGCGGTTTTTGAGATACGGCTATCCTAGTGGCACCATCCTGGTAACGAAAGAACACGTGATGGACATTCCACAAACTAGGCGGTTGAATCAACACTGTATGTTTAATATAAACATAAAATTTGAAATAGATGTCGTTATTGCAACAGTAACATTTACCCTAAATACGTTTTTCGGATATCGTCTCCAGGGATGTATTGTTTTTAATCATTACTTACATTCAGTTCCGTTTCATCACTGGATGTACGAAGTTCAACGGGATGAATTTTCCACCACTCGTCGTCACCGGCGGCGTTATATCTTCGAATCTGCCTAAACACAACCGCGACACAAAAAATTATTACTGCAAAATCGGCGACTATCACGCAACGGAAAGGAGCGAAAGAGAGCATTGCATCCGTAGGCATTTATGCATACTCCGATACTCGTACCACAAAAGCACCGCCAGGATCACGACGACAGGCACAATTGTGGACGGGATGGCGATCGTTTGGGATCCTTCGCCTACATAAGTAATAATAAAAGCGTTTACAAATTATTAAACGTTAATAATTAATAAGTTAATCAAGTGCTCACAAATAAAAGTATTTAGCGTAATAGTTGTTGGAATAATGCGATAAATACATTTAATAGAACCCGATTTTATTGCACTTTTTTCCACGCGTATTCAATAACATTCCTGAAGCCTTTACAATATACTCTGTGAATCGTCAACAAAAATGATCATTGTTTGAGGAATTTACAGTTGGATGTTAGGATTCAAGTGCCTGTCTTACGTCGACAGCTGAAATCGTTGTTGGATTTTGCGGCGTAGCCGCAGGGTGGTTCGTTTAAAGGAGGATTGTTGTCACTTGTTCCCCAGTCTATGGTTTTTATAAAGCTCAGTGCACTGGATGCTCCAGCCAGGTCCGAATCGTAAAAGATCGCTGGCTGCAAGGGTGTTATAGGCACAATGTTAATTGACTTGATGTGCACATTTTTCATTTACATGAAACAACAAACGATTACGATCGCAAGCGGCACTATTAGTAATTATAAGTAATTTAATCTAGTGTTATATGAACTGTGCCTAAATAATTGTTGTACTTCAAAATCATTCAGCTCCGCAACATAATCTTTGATGCAGATATCCGTAAGTCTGGTTCCGGTTTCATCAATATGAATGTTTTGGCCAGAGAAGGTGAACGTTCGATTAAGGAATCGGCTGCGTAGTGCGGCTCCATCCGAAGGATCCTCTCCGTTCAGAATAGTTTCATACAAAACCTTAACGTAGAGCAAAGCGTTCAACCCCATTTTTACGTGGCGATACCAGATGTAAATTACAAACTTGGTTTGGTCTCATTAGATTGCGAACTTGATTTAGCCACAAATCTCATCTTATTTATGCATACCTGACCATAAGCTTTGGTCCCAAAGTAGCCAGCCATGGCGATAGCACTGGGCTAAAAATATAATCTTCAGGTTTTGTCATGTTTAGTTTACTTTTCTCTGCAGTTTTAGGCTGTTAAATAAAATTACCTGATCATCTTCCGCTTCTGCTTCGTACAAGGCATTGTACTTCCTAATACCATGAAGTTTAATTTTGCGTTGGAGACTTTGTAAGGCGCTTTGTTGGTTTCTTCTTGTACAACTTGTTGATATTTGGAAAAGGCTTCTGTATGCTACAGCCTCCTGTGGTGATAAAGATACTTCATATAGAAGTACGGTAGTTGGAAATCTTCTAATACAGAGCTTTAAGCTTTCCAGCAAACTAAAAATCTGCCAAAGGTCATTAAATTTGCACCTCATTGGAAATGTTATTTCTTTCTTCGCGAGCTTTGAGAATCCCATAGCGTGGCTTATTGTCAAATGGAATCGTGGTCACATACACCTGTAATATAAGTGCAGCATACATTCTGTCATTTTTGGGTAACAGACTAAGTTTTCGCTAAGAAGTGGCAAACTTTTAACTGTAAATGGTAGTAACATAGAATAGTAATTTTTGACCTTCCATGTAATCGTCAAAGTTGGCTTGACTAATTGCGGAACTACTGCATTTCAATATAACAAGAAAGCCTTGGATTTCGGTAGCAAAATATGGGCTAAGTTCGTATATTGTGACACCACAGCTAGACCCGTTATTAGCTTTCATTTGGCAGAATTTAAACAACCGTATGGACTACGCAGTACGCACTTACGTATTCATTGGTCATGTTTAAGTGGTGCGCGGCGATCTAACAATCCCAAAGACATAGTCAAGTTAATATTAAGTTGCGCTGCATTCCAGTCCATGCAAAAAAAAACGATTTGATTGATGTACCATAAATGTGCGGATAACACTGGCGTGAAACCCGAGTACAACAACTAAAATAAAAATGGTACAATTAAAACCGACTTCTGCACCACATTAAATTCGAAGTTTTTGTAATGTTAATTCTCATGGACAACGTGGCGTTCGTTGATTACTGACTTACCTCGCGTTTGCAGTTTAATTTGCGCTAGTGTATCAGTGAAGCTGTAATTCTTTGAGGTATCGAAACTGTAATAGTACATTTTCATGTTCGGATATAATAAAGCGGCTTGACGCATATATTCGCCAACTTGGGAGTAAAAGACATTCTTGACGAAGGAATCGTATATCACAACAATATTGGTCCACGAGAATAACTGGAATAGATCCATGTGTGCTTGATAAAGTGCAGTAATATTCACAGGCGCAAATGATACGAGTGTTGGAAAAAACTGGACTTGTTTTTGGGTTGTATATGATACCGCTCTGTAAGGTCGTAAGATAACATCATTTTTAAAAAAGATTACAGAAATGCTTCAGTAAATTTCGACAGATTAAAAACAACTTACACCGGAAGTACTGGCACGTTCCATTCTGTAATGTTACAAATCCTTTCTGAATTTCTCACAGTTTTCGTTATTGCATGTATACTTAATGCATACATACACATTACTCTTACCTCGACCAAGTCGTCCAATTTCGATACCTTCTTCGCAACCTGAGAGCAACAAGTAAATGGAGTGCCTTATGTGCTTAAATAAGCGTTTGAAAGCAACATTTGTATCTGTAATCAGTGTAGCCTATTCACGCAAGTAATTCGGTAATCGGTACAAATAATAATGTAATTGCAGTAAACACACACCGTTTGGAAAAATGGCTAACGCTTCGGCGGATCCGTTTTTATTAAAGATATATTTAGCAACGAGATCCACGTTTGCAATAAGGTCATCACAAATCATCAAACTGCTGCTGGTGACAACTTCTGATCGAATGTCGAACCCATACTGTACGCTGAGCTCTTCTGCTGCTACTTCAAATCCAGGAGCACAATACGATAAGCCAGACAAAAAATTGCGATTCTGTGCCAAAAAGCTAACGATGCTCACGTTTAAGCAGCTACAATCCTGGAGTAAAACTGCTGCTATAACTGCCACAAAGGTTATGCAGCTACACATTGTGCAGGTACATTTACGGAGATAGTTGCACTGATGAATCTGATAGTTTTGCTACGTCCGCTGTAAAACAGGCCGCACATGCGTCGACAATGGGGTAACTCTTGCAAAGCATAGGATTGTGGTTTAACTGTTTACGGCCAACACTGAAATTTGATGCGCTGACTGTGGACAAACAGGGCAAAAAAGTGTTATGAGGAAGTTTTGATCTACATAAAAAGGATTGATGAAATTACTTCCGGGATTTCTTTTATTGTGCATCCTTAGCGTATGGCCCACGCAAAACGTTAATCCAAGCGTTACTGTACCTTCGTTGCCTTGAAGAATTGATGTTTTGCGGAGGCTTTTCGTTAAGACAGCAGGGAGCAAAATAATGAACCAGAGGTATAATAGGCTTTCCTAAACCCGCCATCTAGGTAATTGTGTAAAAGCCAAGGTATCATTTCATCCCAGTTAACAATGGTTCGGTGGGGATTATGTTACATGCTTTATAAGTTATTGTAAATTTATCTGTAGTACTAATACAATGACTTTTATGCTATATAAATATTGTGAAAGCGCCATTAAACGGTCTATCATAATCAAGTAAAATTTAAAATACATAGATGCTCCTAAATTCTGTTTGGTAGCGAATTTTATTGTGCAACAAAAGATGATTGTGAGCAATTACAAAAAGTCTATATTCTGCTCGTACTCTGCCGTAAACTGTTTTAAATCAAGGTTCAAATTTGCACGTACTGTGGATTAGAAATTTTTACAATTTCTCTTGATAAAATTAATGAAATTGTGCACCGATATTCTAAATAGGTAGACATAATTTATTCGTTCCTTGTTTATTTTCCTTAATGCATTTTTCTTTGTTTATATTGCTTGATGATCTAAAAAATCGAAAGGTCAAAATAGCTTAGCTTTCTGACCGAGTGATTGTCAAGCGGTTGTCGACACTGCACCTGTGTAGCTCGTAGCGCAATTTTTTGAAGTGAAGTTTCCTGCTAATATGTACAACACATTTGCTCTTTCTCGTTTAGGCGTGCGAAAAAACGAATGACCAATTTGACGCTGGGTTATCTCGCATCGCCCCAAAATCAAAAATTTATCAAGGAGGACGCAGAGTAAAAATTGTACGATCAGTGGAAGTAACTGTGCATATACTGTACCTTTATAGCATTTATTGCACAATCGAAAACGCAAGATGGGGATGGACCGCGAAGCACGAGCCGAAGTAGAAAACCCTTGTTGAGCCTCTCGATGTATGGCATTCTAAATGAGAGACACTCAAAATCTACGGTACTTCAGTTGGTTTAAGTTGCCAGTTAGCACAAAATACCTTGACGCCGGAATACTTTTCTTTCCGATGTTATCATGCTGTTTCTACGCCCAAGCAAGCACAAACCTCTGCACAAAAAAGGGCACTGAAGAAGTCAGCTTTTATTCATGTTCAGCCTGACTCGAGTATCATCGATTGACGATTCGTTAATCATATCCAATATTACAGTGGCATTTTCAAAAATGTTCAGCCATAAAACTCAAAATGCATTACAAGATAAAAGATAAGACAATGGAAGAAAAATCTGGCACGAAAATTTGACACATTTGTGCAAATACCACTACATTATATCTCGTAGTTATCAATTCAGATGCGTGAAAATCTTTTAATGTAAGGAATTAGCCGTTGCAGAATTGTCCAAATTGCCGGCAGCGTTGTATATTCCGTTCGTGTGTTCATCGTCACTAGGATAAATCGTGGGAACTGTATACAGTTTAACCGTCTTCCTCCCTGTACCGCCATTTCCGTGGAGTGACATGGCCGTTGCAAATTCTCTATCATCTTCTGTAACCAATAATATTTTAACTAAATTAACCATCAACCACAAATGTATAAAGCAAACAAAATTCTACCATGCACATATAGAAAAATGAATCGGAAAACTACAGGAAACTGATTTAACGCTTCAATCCAATCAGACTGACTACGGATACCAGTTTATCTTCTGTGCTGTATAGTGTATATCTATATATCGAGCAGAAGAGCAGGACTCTATTGCGCCACACCGTATTTCGATTAAAATAACTGTTATAACGTAGCATATAAGCAGGTCAGTTATGCTATAATGCAAACTTCAGCGATATTTGTGACAAAGCCAGAAGTCGATTACATATTTCTGTGACAAAGCCAGAAGTCGTAAACATGTTAAGCCGAAACAGATGACCTTTGATTTACTAAGCCTAGAACAGAAAGTATTTCTAAATAACGATAACGTTTCCCGTTTATATCGCGGAGCGAACCTGAGTTGAGCTCCCGTACAAGTGACGTCATCGCGTTCGTTACTGAATCGGCGGCATGGAGGAGATCCTGCTGCCAGTTCTGACTGCCGCCGTAGCTTCGATCGGCTAGTGGTGTGGGACTGGGCCGATTCCCCATCCTGGGTAAGGTGGAATACTTCCGGTTGGATAAACTGTGCGTCAATGGACGCGGACTCCCAACGGGAGTGGAGCGGGAAGACTGAGACATCTTGAGCCGCTTCATCCATATTTCTAGTTGCTGCAAATTAAGCATGCCAATTAGATATACGGGTTCAATGTACCAACTCCAAACGCAACATACCGCAATAAAAGCACATGCAGATTATTATCTAAGGTGTAACATGCAGCGCTTTAAAAAGAAAACGAACCGAAATCTCAAAAGTTTCAAAAAAAGTATAAATCATAAACCAAGCACACCGTGGATTTTACATTTATTTTCCTTGCACATCTAATGTTATTAACATATATAATATGTAAGGATAATTATTAGGATTGTTACAGTCCATGCCCCATGGATCCTTGTATAAGTTGTAGTGTGTTAAATCTGCATAATCAACTATGAAACGCCGCATACTAACTGTAGGGAAAATAACTCAACACACCACTGTCATCATCCCTTTTTTCCCATTTCAAATGGTGAATACGCTCCTGAATTTCACGACAACTTCATCCCAAATGACTCGCTTAAGCAGAGAAAAACATCCCAGTTTAATTCTCCCAAGATTACCAGCTGTCTTTTCTCATTGCCCGTGTATCCATGACTGAAATCAGCAGGGATTTCCTACCATCTGTAAACGCTCCTACGGACCCCATATAGCTCATGTCGCGTATTGCAACAACATAATCCGTTTTCCGCATAGGACCTTACAATGAACAGATCAGCCCAGTCGGCATTCGATCGATAACAAAACAAACTTGGTAATTTTCTATCGAACTTCCGGTAAGCAAATCCCTGCGCCTGACTGCACCCAAAAGAACATACGGCAGCAAATTTTAGGAAAAACTATTATGTTGCAAGTCAGCTCAACGGAAGTTGAACCAATTGTCATCTGCACAGTAAACAGTCCATAATTGGCCCTAATCACCGCATGGTCCACGCTAACAGCTCTGTTAACGATGCTTATACAGTACGATAGATCAACATAACGGCTCTTTAATTCCAGAATGAACTCACATCCATCAACTGCTTCCGGCTGTCCTGTAATGTGTTCATGTGCTGCTCCAGTTCGTATTTTCTTATACGTAGGGCTTTTAATTCGCTCAGTAAATTCGCGCTGGATAACGATGTGGTGGAGTGTAGGAGCTGGGAGTTAGTGATCTGATCCCGTCGCATTTTGGCAATCTCCCGCATTATTTCTCTGCAGGTAAAAGGAAAATTACCATACAGCATAATCGAAAATCCATTTTCAATTACTTAGAAGTATCAGTATGCACATCCAAGCTAATACGTGCAGAGTTTGTAACCATAATATTTCCATTAACAATTTCTATGGACTGAACAATTTCTAGGGTATTGAACAGTCCAAAAAACAGACCCGAGTGGCAAAACAATTTGTAAAAATCTAAAAATGTGTTCGAATCGGTAAAAGGCTAAAAAATATTGCTCAGAGACCAGTAATGAATGCTTCCAAGCAAAGTGCTGATTTTATCAAGTACTTTTTAACAACGCGGAATGAACGGAATAAACGCGTTTTTTCAGATGGTGAAGCATAGAAAATAAATGGCAGCTTACCCCGCGAAAATTTAATTGACGAATACTGCACGCACCTGTTTTTGGCTTCCAAATCGGCAATTATCTGCTCCTTGCTTTCCGCATTATGCATATGCGGCTGCAACATTACCTCCGGCTGCATCTGCATGACAACAGGCTGATTTTGTGGAAGAACATGATGCTGTATGATATGCGCGGTTGGCTCAACGTGATGATGATCAATAAGCGGAATCTGCTGGTGGAGTCGAGCTGCAGCAGTGGGCATGAGCGATTTACCAGATTGTTGATTTTGTAACATGGCCGCATAGCGTGCTATGAGGATGTGCTCGTCGTCTTGCGACACGGATGTGTCAAATCCAGATGGTCGTCTAAATGGAAAAAGTCATAGCGATCAATATCTAGCAAAAAACATGGTTAAAAAATGACTGAGAAAACCACCAACAAAACCCTAACCTGTGCTGACGGTTCAGCGTCCCGTATCCGCTATGTCCAGTGAAGTCCGACGGACTTCGTCCGGTGGGAAAATTGCCATTATACATGGGTAGACTGCTGGTCGACCTTTTGGCAACCGGGAAAAAACATGGGATAAATCAACACAAATAAATCCAACAAATCCCGCTCTTACTGGGGATGAATGGGCTTGGCTGGTTCCGGTGAGGCCGTTGCACTGTATGACTGGCGATTGTGATTGTTGGGAGTCTGACGGCTGCTCTTACTGCGACGGAATGAGCGTCTGAGGGAATCGCCGAACTGCTTGGCAGGTGATTTCTAATCGATAATCAACGAACAGCAGACGTGTTAGTTATATGTGTGTGCAGCCAGTATCTGGGAAGGCCAGTAGTACTATCTGTCGCAGTGCTCTTGTGCGCTCTGACAAGCAGCCTAACCGACCTTATTCCTCTACGCTACTGCTTGATTCCCCCGGCGGAACTGAGTGTAATGGATGGGAGAATAGACGGATACCACACAGTACGAAATGGGATTGGTTAATGTTGACGGCGTACGATACGCGGAGTATGTATTTGCGTGTGCCACAAATACGATGACAGACACAGAGATGTCATAAAGATCATTACACTTTCGACGTAGATATTTTCTAATTGGAACATGACCATGAAGCGTCAAAAAAAAGACATCGAAAGTTTTAGAATCATCGAATCTAGACATACAATATAAACAACATTGTGAAAATTTCTACTGTGCGGAACGTATCATTAAACGTAGCCACCTTATGTATACTCACATCAGATTGTTAAACTGAATAAGTTCAGCAAAAAAAAATTTTAAGGAAAAAAACAACTGCAGTTTCGAAAGAAAAACTGAAATCGAGGAGCGTCAATTAACATTAATTTAAAGAAAAATCTTTCAACAAAAGTTAATTGCAAATATCAAATATATCAAAGCATATCATTAAAAGCAAACACACTTGAAAGCATTGAAGAGAAGGTGATCAAATTTGCAAAATAGACCGCGATAAATAGTCCACATTTCCCAACTACTTTCTAAATTCAGTTCATACATAATTCTTATTTCATACGCTATAGTACAATCACTACAATGTCAAGAAACACGCAACACGGAGTCACAGCCACAGAAGAATGATAAACAAGTCTAAAATACGTACACGCAACTGCAAGCGTAGAAATTGCGCACTTACATATGTACTGGATGTTTCTTTCATTTCGTGCTCCAAAGTATGTCGGCCATTTACCCGACCTTTCCAAAAACACTCCTGGCATGTCTGATAATTTGGACACTGCTGACATTTATAGCGAAAGCCATTGAAACCATTGCGGTGGCATGAGTTACAGTGGACGTTATGGTGAACTAGAAGAAGAAATGTCGGTATTTAGCAACATGTTTTCAAAATAAAGTAATACCGGTTGCGTTGCGTATGATTTACATGGCAGAGAACTAAAAGCAGCAATGCCGGTCGTTTGGACTGTCAATACACGGGGACATAAGACTCCTTAACGGCGTAAAATTATTACAAAAGAAATATTCACAATACTTCAAGATCGTGAAAGTATGGCTGCACTGTTTTAGGAGGGTGCAAACAGGTTCTTATTTTATCTCATAATATTGTGCGAGCAAACTAAAACTGATATCCAGTGTCAGGACAGTTCGGTAACAATATTTTTTTCCACTGGTTCCTTATTAGTTACCGACTATCGAGGGATTTAAATGAAAAACTACTATAATTGAATTCCAATAAATACGAAGTTAGAAGAAAAAATTTTGACCTTTCAATTTTCAAAATACGTACGCATGGTACAACGGGAATTATAACAACGCCATAAAATTACGTCTCGAAAGTTTCCCAATACAGCTGAATGCTGACCACTGCGCATTCTGCTATCGTACTTTCCTTGCAAATTCATACCTTTTAAAGCAATACATATTCACCATTTCTGCATGAAACGGAACGATAAACACATCTAAACCATAAAGGGTATTTGTAGTTCATAAAAGCTACACGAATTATTTGGTTTTGGCTAGCTAGGTTCAGCCATGTACAAACTCGAAAATACGTACTTAGACCTCAATGGTCTAAGCTCTAAACATAAAGAGAAAACGGGGAACCTTTTTAAACTAGCTAAAAAGATGCAATCATACCCTATCTAAAAAGATGGAAAGCCGCGGAACAATTAAACGCTACTGAAGTATACCGAAAAGACAGACTAACTGCTTTTCAACTATTTTTCTGCTCGTTAGCATGTTAAGAGGATTCGAGTAAACTAAAACGCAACGACTTTTTCAAATGGCTCCATCCAGTGTACGATATGAAATGTCACATTATTCATAGGCGCTCTTACTTACTTTCTTGTGCGTCATTAATATTGTGCATCAATGTCAGCCAGACAACCGGCGGCGGACCGGGTTCCACGCCGACTAAGCACTCCAGAAATGCATCCAGACTAAGCTGCTGAGCATTGCCGAAACAATCGGCATAAGTGGTTTGCGAGTAGGAGAAGGACGGGCCTTCGCCACAGGCACGTGGCAGCTGGAGAAGATCCAGCAGGAATGCATCCAAAAGGTTAGCATGAGCAATACCATCCGTCGTGGATATCAAACCAAAAATGTCTGCAATAAAGAATATTTTTCCAGAGTGCTTTTATAAATTCGCATAAAGAGTGCAGCTTGCATAATGTTAAGTTGTTAACAATGAAAAGATTACCATTAACTAGCAAACATACAAACAGACTGTATACGATAATTAGTTTCCCGTTGGCCACGGGATACGGTGATGCCGAACAGCGAATTCTTATGCGTACTCTGACAACATCGTTTCACGACGGGAAATGGTTTCGAAAGCGCACCATGATATCAAATTAGCAATAACGAGATCTCATAAACCATACTTCAAAGCCTATTTTACGATCCATATTCAACTAATTGTAAGCGCTTTCACGCCCATCGCACCAAATATTATACTGCAACAAAATGTGATAAAACCCGTGAACAAAACATTCCCTGCATGCTTACAGAAGAAACGATGTACCGTGCTTCAATCACAGCATGTCAGCATGGTATTTTAGACCGGAAACCACCTGCCACTGTCAAGCAACCTAGCTAACGGCCGTAATATTACGGCAATAAAATCATAATAACGCGTTACAAGCAACAAACAATAAAACGGTAACCTAAATACTAACAGGTATACGTTGTGCAGTAATGCAGTCAAAATTTCCGTCCAATCAAAAACAGTTTTCCCCGGTTATGTTTTCAAACAAATTACTACGAACACACAAATGCAATGGTCTGTCAACAGATCAATAATTCAGAAACCGCATATACTGATAATTATCAACGGCAAATTAATAAAAGGCATGTGATTACGGTAATTAAAAAAACAGATATCGAAGCAGAGCAGCAACCTGCATCAGGCTAAAAATAACTGTAATGCGACAACTGTAATGCATGTGCAATGCAATTCTATTAAAACGGTAAAACCTACGAATACGTGTCGTATACGAAAACCAGAAGTGCAAATTACTTCCGCCGGAAGCAAATTCACCATACATACAATTCGCAATTAGAATACGATCAAAGTCGAAAAAGTATTAAAATAAAACAAATTAAGTATAAAAAAATCGCAATTAATTAACGACTTACACGTGAGCTTGTCCACAAGGCTTCCCCGACAAAGCAATATCAAGGCGATTTTGAAGGCAAAAATCCGGACCATGCCGCCACCCGCGGTGTCGTAGGCCGTTAAGAGCCAGTACACTAGCCATTCCGTGGAGGTATTGACGTCCACGGACGCCGTGGACGGCAGACGCTGATTGAGCTGCCGGTACATCCGTGCGCACACTTCGCGCAGCCGTCCGACGCCCAGTTCCGCATGGAGATCATTGGAATCCAGTCCGGACTGCAGACACATCTCCATCACATTGACCACATCCAGCTGATGCACTGTACAGTGGAAAGTGGTTACAAAACAAAGCGACACACACACAATCAAAATCCGCCAACAAATCAGCCACACTCTGACAGGCACTTAACACTTTTTACACGCCTCACTACAACACTTGACCAGCAAGCACACTGGCAGAAATCGACCTACATGACGCTTTCGTCTGGATGTGGTGCAGTTTGCAGGCCATGCGGTACGCGGCGAAACGGATGGAATTGAAATCTTGAGCATCTAAACATTTTACAAAAAAAATTGGAAATGTTTTTCCAGAAATACAAACATTTTTTGACGCACTGAAATCGTCCAGTATCGGTTTGGGATTAGGCAGAGCGCCGCCGTCCGACTGCATGTGCACATTGTGCAGGGCATTCATCCCGGCTCGGTCATCCATCGTTGGCGGTGTACAACTACACAACGATCACATCCACAACCAAGTGGTCCCATCCTGCGTGGCCAAGAGCTTTCCAGATGTACAGGATATTATCCCGCGACATGACAGGCATATTGAGCAACGCCAGAATGCAGGCATAAATGATAAGTATACAAATATTTACCCTGTCTTCCAATGCCGATCACGCGTGAAGCACACTTTCTTTGCTACTGCTTCAGCTCTAATGCTGTGCAATATTCCATATACGGGGCAGTACAACCAAAAACAGATTTCCTTAATTATGACATATTAAAAATCGGTATCGAGCGATGTAATGTTTGTACAGTGTACACTCTAGGCACAAACAAGTGTTCAGGCGTAGTGCAACATTGCCGATAACAGTCAGCTGCAACTGCATTACTGCATGCTGCCCATGCGGAGTAAGTGTATTGTCAATCGGAATAATGCGCCGTAGAAATGAATAGAGAGGAACGGCGAATTAGACCTGCGGCAGAATGGTGGCAGATGAACATAGGGCTCAGTGTACTATCAGTGTACTAAGCGCGGACTACTCGAGTAAACGGTTGACCGTCTGCCGCGCGCGGTTTACCCGAACTGCGAGCATGTGAATCGACCAAGTGAACGATCCGTCTTAAGTAATTAATCTTGTCAGCCACGGCTTCGATCAAACTAGCGGTCCGCTGGGAATGTTAGGCGGGCGATCAGAACCGAACATCAAATTCCGATCATCAGAGCGGATCAATATACGCTCTCCTTTTGAGATGCGCCCGCGCGCAGTAGGTTAGCGAGCGCAGTGAATACTCCCTCGTATAAAACTATGGGGCGCAAAATACAAAATATTTCTTCATCCCGGCCCGTTCTTTTTTCACACTGCCAGCTTAATCGTGAAAAGTCTTCACTGGATGACTATACAGCTAAACCCACATATACGATTCCAGTTCCACCCACTAAACCCGACAAACACATCCTCCCGGGACTCACTTATCCAATAAACGAGTAAGAAAGACCGGCAGTGTTATGAAAAAATACGATTAAAGCCTCACACAAGCAGGCTCGGTGTGTTTTCACTGTTTTGTTACAGCCAGCCTGCATCCATTTGACTACGAAATTGATTCCAAATGTAAATTAGCTCGATTTCCGCTTTGAGAAGGCCCTCCAAAGGGAGAGTGGGCTCTCCCCGGCCGGTCAAAGTGTGTCGATGCCAGAGTGTACTCCTACTGCAGCTTAATACCCGGCACAAACTGTTCGATACTCTTCGGACGCCGCGGTTTCGATTTTTCAATTGCTCGGGCGCAAAGAGAACTTTTTCCCAACAGGATGATTACTCACAGATCAACTGTGCAAATGGAGCACAAAGATCAACCTCAATTATAAAAATTCATTTGCTCAAGATCAAAAGAACGATGTGCGCAGCGCAAATGCTCCAACGCAGCCACCACAATTACATTTTCGAGTGAACATGCAATTAAACTTGAACGCGCTCGCGCGCGCCCGCCGAATCGATCAGGCCGCCCCTGCCATTCCCACGGTTAATGTGACTATTACGCATTGTAGTGATTGTACTATTGTTACTTTATGCACGCTAAAATCGATTTGTCGCATTTGTACGGCGCTTATTTTGCAATAACCACCTTATTTAAACAATTTAGATGAAAAACCTATCACATAATTTCAGGTTATGAGTTTAATAACAATGAAATCTGATAACTGGAAGTTTTTTATGGGCGCTTTAAAACAGTCAAATGTTTATTTAAATAAAAACCGAAAGTGGATGAACAGGAAACAGTATTCATCAATACCCACAAACTTTAAAACATTCAACACAATACTAATAAAAATTTGAATTTTCAACAAATACTGAAACTTTTTCACAAGATCCATTTATTTCATCCCACCTCATAAAAAACTGGCACAATCCCAAATATTTAAGATTTCGTCCGGGCCGACTTCGGTCGTGTCGTACTGGTTGTGGCACCGGATCCGCTGCCAGCTGCTTCTTCCTCAGCTTTCACCGCATCCGGCTCAGGAGATTTCGAGCCCGAACCTAGAAACAAGATTAATATTTAAAAACCAATTCATCCAACGTCCTGCAGTCCATAGCCTGCGCCCAAATATAGCCAACTTGCGCGCATGTAAATAATTCTAAACGCGCAATGTCAGTACAATATTATAGTACTAGCTAGTACGGTACAGAATCATCATCAGAATAATTTCAAGAATTGTACTAATTAAGCGCCTAGATGCGGATGGACGTTTCTCGCACTTGTACTTACAAACCTGAACTGGAAACTTCAGTGATATAATTAGTATCTTATAATTAGGTCCCCAATACTGCCGGTTAACGCCCCTGGCCCTATCCTCCTATTACGTACATATTCATGATTCATCTCACTGCTTTCAGTTGATGCGTTCATATACGTAGGTAGTTTTACATCACTACTTTGATGATTTCCATCAGTCAGAATTTCCGCATTCATCTTCTTCGAAGACCGTCTCACCGGATCCCTCTGACCCATCCAGCGGAAGCTTTAATCGCTCTGAAAAAACGGAAAATTTATTTTAAGAAGAAGTATGTATAGCATGTACATCGCTTTAAAACTGACAAAAACGTTATGTTCTACGGTACAGAAAACAATTACGTTTTTCCCGCCATAATGTATATCAACAGTACAGGCTTGAGTACGTACATACAACCTGTAAGTACTTATCGTTATCCTTACCTCGGCATCCTATGCTAGCTACGGTAAACTGTAAGTGTAAGTATTCAATTTCGTGATGAATATTTTTGTTTTACATTCAATTTATATGCATTTTACACCAATTAGACAGGTAAAAGCTACAAAGAAAAAAAAAGTTACAAAGAAAGCGCTCAATGCGACTGAAAAAGAAAATCTTCATACCTAAAGCGGCCCGGTGTTTTGCTGCAAAAGCTGGCGCGGATAACAAAATATCTTTAGAAATTTCCACAGGCACTTTGCGCTTTCTGGCGGAAGGTTTCTTTTCCTTCGTCGCAGCACCAGTACTGCTTTTCTCTTCTTTCTGCTCCGTTACCGTATCCACCACAATGGCAGGAACCGCAACGGCAGCTAACAACTGCAAATTGTCGGCAAACTGCACCTTCGCAGATGGTGGTTGCAGCGGCGCAGTGGGCAAAACCGGCTGATTCGAGGTGGGTTCTACGGCCACATCTTTCTCATGATCAATTTCAGAAACTTTTTTCGATCTACCGCGCTTTCGAGGAGTTTCCGCGTCTGCCGGCGCTGAGGCAGTGGGCTGAGGTTCCGGAAGTTTTTCCAATGGGACATCCGCAGGTTTTGTCACAGGTTCCACAGTGGGTTGTGCAACGAGTTCCTTAGACTTCTTTTCTTGCTCCAGTTTTAACTGCTTCGACTTGTTACTCGGGCGGCCTCTTTTAGCTGGGGTTACTGGAGCAGGACTCTTTTCCACTTCAGACGCCTGGTTCGAGGGTAGCGCCGATGAATCAGCAATTTTTGGAATCGTTTTCGCGGCTGCTCATACAAAAAGCGTTCACATAAATCCCCAATAAATGTAAATGTGTTTTCGGCGTTAAAAACCATTATGAATAATACACGGTACTTCCTGACCCCTACCTGCTACGTTTTTCTGGACTTCCTTTTCTTTTTCCTCGACTCCCTTGTCAGTTTTCTGCAGCTGAACTATGCTTTGCGGCTCGGGTGGTACTACGGAAGGTGCTGCAGGAACACTTTCCGCCACCGGCTTCACTTCCTTTTTCCCGTGACGACTAGGATCAGAAGATTTGTCCACGGCAACAACCTTGCGCTTTTGAACGCTTTCTCCGACCGGTTTTGGTTCAGATACCGGCTCCGCTGTCACAACGGTAACAGTCTCCGCACCTTTTCCTTTCTCTGCAATTTCCTTTACCGTTTTTTCCGGTTCGACAACAACCTTAACTGGCTTTGAGACACCCGGCGAAGCCGCCTTGTCCAGTTTAATAACCTTCGGTTCACGCTCCTGTTTCGAATCACTCTCACTCTTTGTCCGCTCTTCATCAGTTTTTGAGGCAGACCTTTTCTGCGAAACGCGTGGTTTAGGCTCCGGTCGTGAACCAGCATCCTCGCGTACTTCGCTACCGCTCTTTGTGGAACTTTGATCTGTACTGATAGTCTGCTGGGGACTGGGGCTGGTCTCACCCAAGGCAGCGTCCAACGCTTGTCGCCATTTATTCCATTCCGGTCCTTTCAGTTTATTTCTATTCCTGACTTGCATGGAAGGATTAAAAACATACTGCTTGAAACCAATTTCCGAGGTATCGACAATTTTGATAACAGCTTTAAGTGGTATCCATTCGTCATACCTGCAAGAAACCGATATATATTTCCTGGAAAGAGCGTAGAAAAGGCAGTAATGCTATTAAATAGCAAAGCGAGTCACGTTCAAACGAAACAAGTTACAAAACCCTTGTGCGCCTGCATGCGACAACATCCAGCTTCAACAAACCGCTTAAATGACAGAAACTCTCTAAATGGATTCCATTCAAAAGAAACGCCAAACACTGCACCACAGCGAATATGAATATCGTTCTTAAAATTTGTTTCTAATTACAGAAACGTTCAAACTGAATTAATTCAAAGGCTCACTGAAATGAGGGGCTTAAATTAAGCCGCTCACCGTTTATTCCAATGAGCATAATGCACGTAATAGGCAATATCGCCGACATTATCCAAAATCCTTGCGTTGTACGCCAACACCTTCTTGGTTTTCTTATTGTGGTATAAAACTTCAACCACCGCTCCCGATCGCAGCTTTGACAAATCAAGTCTGCCAAAACACTTCAAATCACACAAAGCAAGAGCAATCATGCCGGAAATGCAAAACAAATCGCGGATTACATACGTTTCCGGGCCCGGGGGTGCCACTTTACTTTTCGCGGTCGTCGTTTGTGGCGTATCTGCCGTAGCAGGTTTAACATCATCAGGTTTTTCATTTTTAACAACCGGCTGGGAAGTAGACGGCATTTTGGGTTCATCCCGAATGGGTTCCGTTGACTTTTCCTTGGAAGGCGCCTTTTCGGTTTTTGTACTACCCGGAGGACGTCCTCTTGGTCTGCCAGGAGGTGGACGCTTCACCGGTTGTGGTGCAGGTTGTGGGCTACTAGGTAACGCTGGTTCGGCTGGCTTTGGACGAACGGGTTCTGTGGGATGCACTTCTTGACTCGTATACTGGTGTCTTTTTCTCCCTAGCCGTATATCACTGATACTGGATGCCAAAGTGCGAAAGAAGGTCTCGAATCCTCCATGGAAATGCCTATAAATAGTTATAAGAAAAGCGTTAACACAATAAAAAAAGCATTCTTCAAACAATTTCTTCTGTCCCCGAAAAACACTGCGACTAAAATGGCAGGGTCAAACTGATTATGGTACCAGCTTTCGTCCAGGCAACTTAAGCGTGGTATCGAAATTTACCAATCAGTGAGCCGGAGCATTATCTTTTCGTATAGGTTTTGGTCGGGGTTGTATTTCGAGGGGAAAAAACGTTATAAGTAGTGCGAAAGAGCTTCTAAATAGGGGTCACTAGTTAACAAAATAAGATAACAGTTTTTCAACGTAACTCACGTTTGGTAAATGTTTTTTAACGAGTCCGCTCCGTCTCTGGAGATACTCAACGCTCCGCAGATCTCTGGCCATTTGCTCTCTTGAGTACAGCGATTAAAGCCACCAACGTGGTGCACCTCGCGATACAATTTGTACATATCCACAGTTTTGCCGAGAACGGTCGGCTCCCCGTCGTACGGATGTCCGCTTTCGTCGCGATATTTAATGAACTGTATCATAAAACGGTTGGCTTCCGATTCGTCATCGGGGTCATCCCTCCCTCCAGAGTCCTCTCCATCGTCACCTTCGTCTGTGCCTTCATGTTGGTCAAACGGCACAAACAGCGTGGGCTGCCAAGTGGGAGGAAGGCTCTGATCCCGAAAATACAATAAAGCGTAATCCGGGTTAAATGTCTGGATCCGATCTTCCTCTGGTTCGCTATATAAGCTTTCCGAAAATGGTTTAACCTGACTTTTTAGCACCTAAATACAAAAAGCAATTTTGAGAAACACCAAATAATACCAGATTTTTAAAGCGACACCGTAATCATGCACCAACTAACCTTGACAAAATTCCCACTGCTAAAAAGACGAACAAGCAGTTCCTTCGATGTATCAAGTCTTCCACCCTTCTTGCGACATTCTGGATGGACTACCAATCCCGGGAGCCATTTAAACTTTTTCCGTCCGTTTTGTGGAACACAAACAATAGACTTCAGCGGATAGTCCGCATCTAGGCCCGGTTCCTGCTTGGGAACAGCCTCTGTTTTGCGCGGCTCAACAGCGCTGCTGCTGCCAGGAATGTTTGGGGTGACCTTCTTAGGAGGAGAAACAGCCTCTCGGCTTTCTTCTCTTCCTCTTTTCTCTCTCTGGCTTCGAGCAGTCGATGCATCCTTCTCATCACGCTCACCTTCCTTGTTCTTGGCGCTTACTGCGGACTTTACCGTAGCCTCCTTAACCTGTGCGGTCGCCTTTTCTGCTGGTTCCACCTTGGCTTCTACAACTGGAACGCGCTTCCGAGGTGGAGAACGCGATGGCGACGAGTGTGGCTCTTCTTTAATGGTTGGCTTCGATTGTCGCCGTTCAGTGCGCACTTCGGGAACAACTGGCGGTGGATTGGTAACTTGTGCTGAGGAAGATGGTTTATCAGATGCAACCGGCTTCCGAGGCGGTCGGCCTTTCTTAGGTGAGTCTTCTGGCGAGTCTAACGGAAATCATTGAAGTTTAAAAGCAACTAAAGAGAAAATTTAAAACCAAGGAAAATGTATATAAAGAAACAAGGCGCATCGGTACACCGGCAAAAGATACGACAGACTATTGCCAAAATTCTTGCTAGATGTAAATTTCAATATATTATGAAAACCAGAATTGCACCGTTCACTAAACATAATCGTAGAAATGTATTATGAAATTCAATATTCGATCCAGGAAACCTAGCAATTATGTTATCTCTAACCTTTTTCAGTCTGCAATGATTCAGGTTCGCCTTCCTGTTTTTCTCGTTTCGGTCGTCCAACAGGTCTCGAGCCCACCACCGTCGTCCTACGAGATCGTGTGGATCGACGAACGGATTCGCTTTCCGATTCGTCGGAGGCCTCGCTGCCCGAAGGACTGTTCCGCCGTTTCGACCTGGCACTGCTGGCCACGGAGCCTTCTTTAGCAGTCTGTGCAGCAGAAGCTTTTTCTGGCTGCGTTAATGGCATATTATCCAAGGATGTGCTTTCGTCAAAATGCTTCCCACTCTTCGGATGCAACGACGTTCTTCTCAGATTCTTCTTATCTCCGTCGTTAAATTCGACTTCGTACTGGCTGTAGTCTAATACCTAAAACACATGGCGCAATAACAATAATAAAATGATACAATAAGCAGGCTGGAACAGATATCTTAAGAATCACATATGAAAAAGCTGAAAATAAATTTATCACTTGAAATTAAGTACCATGCTCTAAATAAATGCGCTCACCTGAAGAACGTTAACGACAACAGATTCGTTAGACGATGGCGGTTTCACTGTGGCAGTGTTTTGTATTCTGACATCTTTGAGTTCTGAGCGGACATCGGAATGCTTCACAGTGTACGTTTCACCAGATGCAGAATCCCGCACTTTCACGCGAACATCCAAGTGACTTACAGCTCGAATTTTGGCCTCACAGAAAGCACCGTTAAATTTTGCGCTAACTTCTTGGCCGACTTCAAGAACTGCAGGTTCGTCATTGCGAACCGGTGCCATCTAAAACTTCAAAAACGTATTTCTATAGGAGAGCAGCAATCCTGTCGTCTGCGGCTTCTTCCAGGATGACGAATTCAAAACAAAATGAAACGGAAATACCGAATACGCAGTTCACAACAGTCAATCCCGCAGCTGGCTGGTTTATTTTTCACTTATTCATGTAGCGGCCTGCCGATACGGTTAAGCCATGACACAGTGCTTTCTAATTTTTATAAAATCAAATTTTTCGAAGTTTTTTGAGTTTTTAGTTTTTTCATTTTTTTGCTTTAATTTCTTATAATATTTAAGTTTTTCATTGATCAAATAAATGTGTCCATGTTACCAGAGGTTTTGATGCTTAACTTTAATTGTGATGCATTCTTTTGCTGACGCTCTGGTTTCCGCTGCATTTCGCAAATACGACGAAATTCTTTCCAAGCATTGTTCGGCACGACTGGCCGCGAACGAGTGGACGAATTTCGCTGCCCTGGTGGCTACAATTCGCCATGAAGGTCCTCCTTCCGCAGTGTCAAACGACGGGAAACGTGATCTTCCAACAGACCGGGGTAAAGACTAAAGACTCGTCGCAGCAGATGTCGTGTGATACCCCGCCTTCATAGTCGCAGTAAAACTGTAGCTAGATTCTAAAAGGGCAATACCAGTCGCTGGAATCGGTTGCATGATGCGCCGTGGATATTGGAAGCCTGTAATTTAAATTGTTTTTAAGTTGGAACTGTCATTTGTTGCAGCCCTTTGTCCTTCGACTCACGACCGTGAGGAGATAAGAATCCTTAGTGTGGCAACAGGCACAAAATGTATTGGAGAAGACGCAATGTCCCCTCGTGGGGATGTTATTAATGATAGCCATGCGGAAATATTGGCTCGGCGGGCCTTTCTGAGGTTAGCCGTAAGATTACGAAAATACATGCGATAAGTTATGGATACAATTTTTAAAGGGTTTTGGTGGTTCATTCTATGGTTGGTGAGAGTGGTAGAACGTTTGAAAATTTTTCGTATCGATTCTATGATTCTAGTGCTTGTTGCATGCTAAAGTTGATTGGTGAAATAGTTATTAAGAATTATATTAACATGGCTTACTTCAGAACAGCTAATGGCGTGGTCATCGTGTTAGTATATCCAATCATGGTCCGTGACATTCGTGATTCTTTCTGGAGCGATTTTTTACAGATTCGTGTACGACGAACTTTCCGATGCCATCAGTCAGAAGAGCAACTTGATAGAGTATTGTTCGACCAATAGCGTTCCATTCCAAGTGAAGCCAGAAGTGGCGTTCCACCTTGTTTCCAGCCATACTCCATGTAAGTGTTGAAAATGTACGTGCATTTTAATGGAAATAATTAAATTGCGATCGCCGGTATACAAGACGATAGGTGTTCCATAAGCCACAAACACTGCAAAAATATTTATTGTTTAAATTTGGGCAACTATGTGATCAAAATGGGTTTTCAGGTGGAGATGCATCGATTCTTCCCTTCCATGAGGGTGAACCTTCTGGAAAACGCAAACGAAAGACACCGGACGACACCGAAAAGTTAATGCCAGATAAACACCAGAAAACAGCCGAAACGGGTGATGCAGATATTCACAGAACCGGTGCGAAATGTGTTCCTCAAAGTGCAGTATGCGATCCTTGTTTGCCGGGAGTGGATTATCACGTTCGAGGTTTACTTCGCAGAAAGCCTGGTCGAGGTACACCGACGTTGTCATTGTCCTGCTCGGACAAGATAATGAAGTGGAATGCACTGGGCCTTCAAGGTGCTTTGCTCAGTTGCTTCATCCAGCCTCTTCATTTGTCATCGATCATTTTCGCTAAGTATGCTGGACTGGGATGCATTGTGATTTCTTTGTACGGAAAACGTTTATGCTATTAGGTGCCCGTTTGAACAAAACTGTGTCGAAGAAAGTCTGGTGGGAAGAGCAGAAAACATACCTACAAGGAAGCAGGATCTTCGCATAATTCAATCAAAAATCATATTTCCTGAAGGAAAATATGCTGCTGATGTGAAGAGTCTGCCACAATTTAAACCAGCACCTAAAAGTACATTTTTGTACTTTTGTTTTTAATACAGAGAAGCATTACGGAAATATGGATAGGACTGGATTGCAAATAATACAGTTTTCGACTTATTGTAACTGCTTATAATTATGATATTAATTTTTGTCTATCAGGATTGACCGGAAGTGCTTAATCGGTTGTTCGATTTAGGCTTTGTTTGGTGGGAGTCTCACGGCACAGGCAGTGCTTGTTTTGAGGTACTTGTCGACGGCCGCAAACAAGGAGCAACGAAATCTTCAGCGTTCGCAGCTCGGTAAATTTTGTACGAGTAGCTTGCAATACGAGTTTTCGTGGTTCGGCTGCTGAATTTCAGAATTTTTGTTTTGTGTGTTTCAGATCTGCGTTGTGCAAACTGGAGTTGTTGCGATGTTTTCACAAGCTATACGCGAAAGTACCAAAGAGACTCCCCTCTCTGCCGAGCAGTAACTCTAATACGCATAAGATTTGGAGATATGACGAAACAAAAGACCTCAACACAAATTACCAAAGTGCAAGAAGTCTGTTTTTTGGACAGTTTCCCGAATGGATTAAGAAACCTGACCATCTCCAGCGATTTTGTTTAGAATGAGTTGTTACATGGTTCTACTACTGTGTACCGTGAAGTGGGAACGTTGGTTGTGCACTGAAATTCCAATCGCTTCAAAGTGCAAAACCGATGTCTGCTCAAGTTAAAAGCATAGAATTTTATAATGAATAATATTGAATGATATAAATTTAATTCGAATAATTTATATCCGGGCACCAAAATAACCATACAATTCAGGAACTGCAAACATGAGAATCACAAACCTCAAGCCAAATCAAATAGGAAAATCACAAAGAAACTTTTCCCCAACACTGACTGTATTCGAATTATTAAAGGCTTCTAATACTTTCGAACCGTTTATCAAAATCAGGATTCGCAATCCGCTAAGCTTCTCAAAACCGCACAATCATATACTTCGAAAAATTGGAATGTATGAAACGAACGGATGATTTGAAGGAGGGATGCCTCGGCAAACATAATCCTCTGTACAAAGCCGTATGGAATTACCATAAACAAAATGCACAGCGCATGCATTTCCAAAGATCGTTGAGCACAGCTGCGTAAATGTTGCAAGTATCCGTCTGGACTCGTAAAGGACTACGAAGGTGCTATTTCCCATGAATGTCGCCATTCCGCTCACCCACATGGAAACCGTTCCCAGTTCCGTTTAAAAATACAGCCTTATCGCCACTGCCCACGACATCACTAAGTCTCTTGCGATGCCCATATTGAACACCATCATCCACGTGATTATCGGCCTCTCCCGAATCCTCGGTATCACTTCGAACGTCTTCAGTCTAAAAATTGCGCAAAACTTGAGGCGAAATATTACATAACAAACAGTGGGGAGTTAAGCAGGACACTGAGAACACATAAGTAAAAGAAGCTTCTGCTGGAATATATTAGTTACCGTACCTTTCCCGTATTCAGCGCCCGGTATATTACTCTCATAATGGTGAATGTCCAGAACACGTGAAGCACTTGTAGGCTGCATAGCAAGCAATTATACAAATGAAATGCCGGAAAACATCGTTCACCCATGGGACACGGTAGTGTGAACCGCAAGACGCTGCAACATCATTTAAAACCTCATTCTGCAAGTGAAAACCCCAGAGACAATCGTAGGTCAAAACGTCTTTACTTACCGGTATGGATAGGCAAACAGTCTTGTAAGTACCCAAACCAGTGCAAAAAGCACGAACAAAACCGATGATAGTTTAGCTTTTCGGGCATATTTGGCCAATTTGGCACCCTGAAAGCACGAAGTGCTTAGCAGAGTAACAAGTAACAACACAACCTTTAATTTTTTAGGTAAGCAGTCTGCCAGAATAGGCCACGTCCCTTTTCCTATCATTTTGGTACAAATTTAAAGAGTATCTGACCGGAAATTTCGTGTGCTAAATTTTAGTTAAAACAATTTATATGTACCGTGACTGGATCAAAGAGCTTAATTGTATGAATTTGAAAACGTCACAACTACCTTATCCTTGTGTAAATATACAAACGTTTGAAGAAAAAGCGAAGCTAATACGGTAGGTAACATGAGATACTTAATTTAACCGCACGACAGATACAACACAACCAACGTGCGCGGTATCGAGCCAAATCAATAATCATTATTTACGGTAAAAGGACGAGGCGTAATGATAGAGCACCTTGCAAATATTAAATATCGACCACTTCACAAAGCTGAATAATAATAAAGGACGCCACTGTGACAGGAAACTACGGAATATTTGAAAACGTACACTATCATCGTTTCAATCGCCAATTATAAGACTATCTGCAGCATTATTCTGAAGCACGACAGGAAGCCAACAAATCCATAAAATACCTGCCCGAAAACCCCAGCAAAGAAAACATAGAGAAGAACGATTAAATTGTTAGCCACGCTGTGCAGACACTTCATAATATAATTATGGTACCAGCAGCACCGATGTTATCAGGATGCCATACAACAGAACTTCCATATCGATTTTAGGTGTTATCGTACCCCGTTAGTAACAAATTTTGCCCCATACACTAAACACAACAAGTGACATAAAACGTTTTAATTTCAGCAGTAGTTCTGAACCGATCGTGCTTTATTTCAAATGATGCTGACCACAAACCGATTTATGAAAATGATTAATTTCTGCTTACTTCAAGCCAAAAATCCACTGCATCATGGATTACCAGCACCATCGTGCCGACCCTGATTGTATTGTCCGTCCAGGAGAAACACATCAAGGAAATCGTAATAATATGATGGAAGAACATTTCCCAAAAGTCCTAGAAGTACGGGTTTCATTCATTTCATAATTACCATTGCTATCAATGCCTTCAAACCTTTCGTTTGACATCGAAAAACTGTGAGATCAACAATGACCAATAAAATCCCAGTTCCACCATATAATACCACCAGATATCGGAATTGACTTCCTAAAACACAAAAGACCACCTTCAAACCTGAAGGAGAATCCACATTCAGGATTTTCACGTTACCTGAAAAGGATATCCCATCCAAAAATAGCTGCTATCCCAGAACCAAGGCTTCTGTATACAAATTTGAATGTGGTCAGCAATTATGCCACATAAACGGTTAACGTACTATCTGCTAAAGTGCAAAACGTGCCGCTGCATTCTTTAGAATATTTTACAGGTAATTTAATGTCATAGCAAACTAATTCAAAATTATATCAAAGTCCGAAATATAGATCTCCAAAATTAATCCTGTGAGAAAAGGGGATACGAAGAGTATTATTTTCTGAACATTTTTAAAGATAACTTTATGAACATTTACAAGCGAGCTACTTTATTACATTCAAATAAATACTCGTATGACATCATATGCACAACTGAAAAAGTTTTACCCCAAAGATCCCAGAATTAATAAAATAAAAATCATGCTCATGTACACTGGTAAACGAGTAATATCATTTCATAATTTACAGCACTCACATCCCAAAGTGCCCAAATGCCGTAAGTGAATATTCCCAAATAAAAACTAAAACGCCATCTACAAAAGAAAGAAATCCAAATTACGATTTTTGATTCAAAAAAGGCTCCAAGCCGGTCAGTAGTTTACCCAGTCTCTTTGAATTTGTCAAGCTGAGTGACTTGAACCTTGCTTTCGTTCTCGCGTCGGCGAAACCAGCGCTCGACTTGCCGCTCCGTCATATCACATCTTTTAGCCAACCCCTAGAACGGCAAGAAAAAACACAACCCTTCTTAATGCGCTTTCTCTTTTGGGCATTTATGACGCACTAACTATAAGCAATCTATACGCTTCACTGAGATTTTGTCATTCACCACGCCAAAGCACAAAATTAACATGTACAAAACACATAAAAGTACCTCATAAAAAGGTTATTAAGTGTTCAGTATTTATACCAGAAAAGGATTTCAATGTAAACACCATAAAACGGCTAATATTGGTAAAATGGAAAATGGAAAAAGTAGTAATTCTTTACAGGAAAAAGCATTCATACAGCGAAAAAAAGCAATGTTTTCAACAGTGAAACACAAAGCTGTTGGTTACAAAAAATTAACTACACAACCCAACAGCTAACAGTGCTTAAACATGTTATCGGTGCACTGAACCACGTGAAATTTAACATTTCTGCCAGTCAGACAAACAAAATATTATTGCGTGACTTGCAGCACTTGCGACCGGAGGCACAGTCAACTGACTGTCCAGAGTCTCCAGACGTGCTGAACCATGCTGCTTTTGTAAATGAAATCCAACATCAAAGCCATAGCTTTTTGCGTCAAGCTTCCTAAATCATGCTTGATACTTTAATTCCTGACCCTCGTGCGAAAATTCTACGGCATGTATATTCACTGATCAAAGGAAACGTTTTGCAAATGTGCCTAATGTATGTGATGTGTTGTATTACTAGTAACAATACTTCTTCTTCTCTGTACTTCTTCTCTGCTCGGTACAGACGGGTAAGACGACAACTCACACTCATACTTCTCTGCTCGGTACAGACGGGTAAGACGACAACTCACAAGCATATCAACAAATGCCGGGAAACGGGACCATTTAATTTCTCCACAATACCAATGCATTTCTTCGCTGAGAAGCCTTAATACCCAACTTACCATGATGTCATGATGTAGTAGATTTTTTGATTCGTTAAAAGCTGCTTCCAGAGCTGCATGCTTGGGCATTGGTTTCCGGCGCCGACCCGGAATGCGCAACCAGTTTCCCACAGGCTCAAAGATGATTCTAAAACAAACAAACGCGCTGCAGGTGCCAGAGCACATAGTTATCTTTTCAGGATACCGATAAGGTTCATACTGATAAAGCAAGTTCTGTCATAATAACAAATAGTCATGATATCAGCTAATCGGTGATTTGCAACTATTGGCGTACACTGAACTTGTTAAATTATGGATTGCAAGGACTAATGAAGTTAACCGACACACGATAGACACCAGAAGTTAAAATACCGCCGATTTAACCAAACGCCCTGAAATGGGCGTTAAACTCAATGCAACATTACTTATTCTCACGGCGCTTTGCACACTACATAGCCATAGTCATCACCCTAATATTATTTTAAACAACATTACAAAATTTTAGGTGAGGATATATATTTATGAAAGTAAAGATGTTACAATAAAAGTGTTAACTTTCTCCGAACCAAGAAACCATTACAAAAATTATAGATAGTGGGTGTGTAAATTACGCCAAGGTGGCTTTGAAAGTGCAGACAATTCTAAGTAATGCGGAGAAATCGCCAGACGTTCATACGTAAAAACATGTCCGACAAAAAAAGCGGCACTCATATGGAAAGTGATATATATATTTCGTTATTCCACAATGATGCCGAGGAGGATTAGAGCACTTACTTCTCCACTAAGAGCCTGACAAAAAAGATGACAAGAGCCAATGGTATGGGATAAAACAAGGCATAAAATTCCGGATACTGTTTATCCGGCATCGTTTTCATATCGATCCATGTGACGTTAGGCGGCAGCCAGAACGTCTCATTCCACACAAAACCCGAAAATCGCTTCCAAAATTCCATCTTTTCTGCTATTATTATATTCTGCCGCTCTGGCCGATGCGCTGTTTGTTCACCGCAACCAGCTGAATGGTAATAGTGTCAAAATTATCGATGCAGAGACATTAATAAAGGCATACGCAGCCAACAAAATGTTGGGCTGCGACGGGAATACACAACAGTGGAATGTGTGTAATATGCTCTTCAGGTGCGGCGCACACTAAATTAAGGAGTGCGGATGGAGAAAAATCGATGCCTGGCTCATTTTGTCACAGAACAGGATAAATGCGGACTCCCGGGAGAAGCTGATCTCTACAAAGGATGCCACATGCAAATAAGCTTCACTGTACCGTATTAAACCAGCGCAGATTACAGCGGGAAAAGATCTGTGCGCACTGGCATCTGTGATGTCGTTTTCGGTGTCTTGTCAGGTTTACAGCAATTCGTTCACAGCCTCCATACACTGGTAAATCAAGTGAAAAATTAGATTTACACACACTGCATGCGGGATTATTCCATTCCAGAACAGAACGATTGCGCCCTAATGGCGAGACTATAATCGACGGTAGATGCTTTCGAATCGTATGACACTACTACACACTGACTACAGCAAAACTACAAGATCCGCGTGATAATCCACGGCGACGCGTCTACACTTGGAACGGCATCGTTAATGCGTGTAAACAAAATTACCGGACAATTTCCCCCAAATCTTTCGCAGCAGCGCCTATACGCCAGCATGCGCAATAAAAAAAACCTAGCCGCTAAAACTTGAATTTCTGCGCAGCGCTGAAGCAGGATGCCTCGAGGGACTTTTGACGCTTCTTCACGCTCACTTACGCATCTGCCCTCTTGTTGTCATTAGTCACTCAACACCCGAGACAGCCACACCATAAACCTTACAAACTTTCGTACGCCTACACGTACATTCGAAAAAGGGATAAACCAGGACAACAACAAGGGGACGTGGCCATAATAACTGCACTACAGCCCTATATACCGATTATGCATGTGACAGTATGTCACTTTAAAGACACGAGTACTCGTACCAAATCCTGAAGGTAGACAACGCAAAATATGGAGATGTGTCGAGAAGAAACCTTACCGAAATGGCCTGCTTTCCCAGTGTGGCGGACGAATAACTAATGACAACATGAGAAACTTTTCAAAAAACTTCACATCTGCTGATGGGCACAAGAATGATCGTAAACAAACTCCGTAGCGACCGCAAAGTGGAAACCAACACATGGATTGCCGTACTGTACAAAGTGCATATGTAGTATGTACATGCATTGCGATGAGATGGCAAATGGCAATAATAATAAACAGTCGGCAAACGGCGGCACAGAGTGAGTCGAATGGTTCGGTTTGGAGATGCGGATCGATGTTCTGGCAGATGCACACGTCAATCATGTGAAAAAAACGTAGTGGATATCATGCGGCACATTAATTCATCTTAGACCGACTGCGGTGCAAATTATTAAACACAAAGCAATTTGAAACCGGTGGTAAACTGTAACCTCTTTAATTGTTTATTTTCGGGTAATAACGACAAATTAATTTGTTGCAACTGTCTGAATTCATGCTTAAGTTTTTAAAATAATTATACTTCCTGCAGCAATTGTTAGCAAGTACTGCACTAGAGCACGTTAACTGCAAAATCTACAAAATCACAAAAAAAGGTTGTAAATACCGCAGGATAGTTCCAACAGGCTCGCGCACATTTATTTCAATGGAACAATGGAATAACCCTTCAAATTGTCAGGCCCAGGACTCGGCCAGGAGTTCAAAATGGGCGTGTTTGCTCATCAGAACTGATTGTGTGTACATGACCGGTAACCGATGAAAATATAATGACCATATCTACTCTGTATTCGAAAGTTAAATTATTACTTATTAACCTTGCGATCTTTACAGACCTTATTATACGTGTGTTTGCTTCTTCGCTGATGCCGTTCGCATTGATTGATATGAATTCTTTTTATTTGGTAAATAACCATATTTTGAATGATGTAACAGAATTACATGAAATACCAGAATCGTGACGAAAACTTGAAGGCTTAAACCTATAATGTACGTAATATAGTATATTGTAAATATCTTTATTATGTACAAGTATTTGTACGTGAATCGGACATGATTTATAAAAAAAATATTAATTATAATTTCTGCTGTGCAGATAGAATTCTACGTGAAGTTAAAGTAAGTATCTTGAACACCATATCGCGACCTGGGCAGCACAACACAACAGGCCGTGCTATATTCGCATTTCTACACAGTACGTATTGTGCTTGGTTAATGCTTGAGCCTTGCTCACTTGAAAGGTCAGCTATCCTGCGGAAACCCTTTGCGAAATGAGTAAATGTATCCCGAAACAGTATTCTTCTCCAAACACAGTAGACCACTCAAATACGTAGACACTAGTACGAAATTCATCAGCAATTGTTATGTACAGCTAGCGATAAAGTACTTGTCGCTGCACATTAACAAAATCATCATTACACATCAACAATATTACTTGTCGGCAAACAAAATGTTTGCGCAGTGAAAGATGGATTATTCTAGCAGATCTTTAATCAAGAAGCCCTTCCTCTTCGCGCTGCCTTCCCCTACGCCTGTTTGTTTATGTGCATCCAGTTTTCCGCACACTACGGATTCGACTACCTTCTCGCCTTCCCCAACACCGCTTGACTTCATTTTTTTCTGCGCTTTTCGCAAAATTCTGTTAATGGAGCTGACACTAGGCAGGGAATCTTTGGGACAAATGCCATCGTAATACAACTTCTCACGAATCTCCCATGCAAAAAGCGTTTGATGTTTTCGCTTGTAGTCGACGATTTTGGACACAATGTACGGGGTGGTCACTCTCGGCTTCGATCCACCAATACAACCTGGTAGGATTGTACCAGTTTCAAGATACCTATTAAAGACACCATTTAAAGTCATTCCAACATTATCTGTTGAGGAAAATCGGTTCTTGAGGTAATTAAAACCATTACGCAACACCCAAGATAGGTGCATAATGCCGAAATTTAACATTTCCAACTTAACGACCTTTCAAAATTCTCAATACGTACTCGTACAACAACGCCGAATGTTTCCACCATTTACAATAGAACTCACAAGTACAAGCACTATCTATTTACCGATCCTTCATAGTGCTTAAATTTAGGGCAAAAAGTGCAAACTTTCAATATATAAATGTTTAACATAATTACTGAATTGCGCAATCGGCACACAAAATACTCCAAGGCTATAACTCATAATCAAGCACTTTAAATTAGCAATTTCATTGGTTGACACAGCCATTAAACCTAATGAAATTTTAAAAAATTAGTAAGGCTGACATTGAGAAATAGGGACTACAGGTATCACACGAGTGAAATGGTATCAAAATCAGCTGTATAAATTTTAATAAACCTTACTTGGTCAAAATTTTGCTGACGCAGCCGTGGGATACCAGTAACTGTCTCGAGATGTCGCAAGGGCGCAGTCCACAAACCGACAAGAACAGAATCTGCTGTCGTATTTCCACCGGTAGCGGTTTTCCGTTCAGATACAATCCGCCTAACTGATTCATGGACGTTTCCGGATTCTTCCGGCTTTCCATGATTCACTAGATCTGACGAAAATTTCTAACGCACCAAATGAATAAAATGCGCCCACACAGTTTCAATCCGGACATGGCGTTTATACGCAATCCAGTGCGTTGCTGCTTGGACTCGATTACACGAACACATTAACCTGTTTATTTTAATCAGGCGCTCAACAAATCCAAATGGAGGAATAAACATACTCTATCGAGTCGCCAGCCGGGCATACAAGATGGGATACCGCAGGTGAAGCTGACAGGTTGACTCTTCACAGATGACTGAATGGCTGACCATATCCTTATTGACCACGGTCTCATGTTACCGCCAATGCAGTTCTAATGGCATCTTTTGAATGATGTAATCCTGATTGCAGGTAAAATGTCAAAAACGGCAAGCAAAAATGTCATCAAATAGATTAATGCATACGAATACTACTGTAAGCAAGGAAATCTCACTGTATTATTTAATACCAATGACGGAGCTTCTGTGAAAAAAAGCGTATCAGCAACATGGCAGAAAACAAAAAAATCAACTTCGGTTGTACATAAAATCTGTAACAAAAAAATTTCTGAGGAATACCAACAGTTACAATTTAAACTGTACAGACAATTCAAATACAAATTCCAATCGGAAATAAGCAGAACATCTTTCAAATAGCCAAACCAGCATCAGTGTGGCACCAAAAATCAACAGGGAACATGGAACGGTAAAGTCGAGCAAGATACGTATACAGACTGGATTTGAATCCCAGATCGGTGGTGACAGCTTTCTGTAAAACAATCCGAAGCGTAAATAAATAACACAGTTTCTTGAACATAATTTTGTTAAAGCCTAGTGGTTTCAATTTTATTACCAGTACTCTTTTTAAAAATGCGATTTTAGCATAGTGTTCTTTTTGAAAGAAAAGCGAGTGATCCACCATTACAATAGACCTGCTTACGCATTCATCCGTTAAGATCTCAGCTGTTTTGCCTTTAACGTCCAGATGAATTGTCCTGGCACTGTCATTTGGCGTGAGACATTCCGCACCGTAAACATCCGTTAGTAAACGCTTGACCCCGTCATAGAAACGCAGCCGTTCTTGTTGATCATCCCAGCTAGGAGGGGCTAAAATAAGGACCAAAGTTTGAATATATAACTGGACCCATAACTTAATTTAAAATTCCGGATATTGTGCGTCTAAAACAAACTTACGTAACGGATCGCATGGGCTCTCCTCCTGCAAGTGCACAAGCATGCCCAAGAGAGCATCCGCTAACATGTCAGCAACCGTGCTGGCATCCCACTGAATATAAAAAAAATTATATATTTCAAAGTTTGACTGGAAATTAGCACCGATCCGAGTATAAAAAACTCTCCCAAACGAGAATCATATCCGTGCGCAATATACGTTTAACTTTGACCGTATTCGTGGAAAAGCATTCGTGATCAGAATTAGAAGTGGAAATAATGAGGTACAGTACTGTACCTCTACAACTAACGTCCTCTCTTGCTTCTTAATCCTTAAGCAGTTAAAGAAAGCCACTTCCGTTTGAGATATCACGCTGACATCAGAACAGATTTCCTGCATCAAGTTTATCACATTGCCCAATCCCCCTTCATAGTGTATGCACACTCGGTGTGTCATTTCAGTGCGAGGAAGATCAGTAACATCTAGAATAAATTAAATATACCTAGGCACTACAGTGACTAAATTAAAGCATGAATTATTAAAGCAAATCGCAAGCAAAGTGTAATATACGATAATTACCGAGCGAAGCAGATATTAACTTGTACAGATACAGTACTAACTTGGTATGTCTTTGGCATCCGCCAACGTATAAGTGAAGGACTTCTTCAACAGTATACCGGAAAATTCATCACCATCACGCGGACGCTTTTCAGCTAGTGCTCCCACAACCTGGAAAGCGCTCATAATGTTATCTGGTTTACATAAAGAACATAGCCATCAGTACCTTCACAGTTTTCTCTCCTTTAAAATTCAACTGAACACTGCGCGTATTAGCTGGAGTATGCAGCTGAAACTTATAGTCCGTGTTCTCGAAGTCTCGTGTCAATCCCATTTTCAAACGGTTCATTTCAGCTTGCTCACCGTGAACAAGAATCTACGAGCATAACACATCATGAAAACCGAATTTGACGTACTCAAAAAACGCAACAAACAAATCTTAACAAACAAATCTTAACAAACGTAAGACTGTGAGGTTGGCGAAACTGACGATTTACTTAGCCAACTTACAATATGAGGAGGCTTCAATGCTTCCACAAATGCCTTGGTTTGCTGAAAGTCGGTATGTGCCGAAAACGATACATAGTTCACTGACATGCGCATCGGAATCGTCTGTCCGGCCAATGTTTTGATTTCTTTTGGCTCGCTCAAAATTTGCTGAAAACAGCAAAACCAAAAGTAAAATAAAAAAATAAAAAATTCGTTACGCTCCATCGTTATATTTACGCTTTATAGCTTATATTCCATTTTTTAAACAATTTACGAGATGTTCTTACTTTGCCTAAAGTGCCCTCGACAACGTAGCCAGCAATAATACAACCATTTTTGGAATCACCGCACCACAATTCGAACAGTTCTCTCGACAGTCCACTTTGCATCATACCGGGACTTGCAATCACCACACAAGGTTCCTTGTCATCAAAATCTTCGCGACCCTACAAACAAAAATCATGGTACACAGTAACAACCACTAACCTCATCTTCATTGCCATACCCTGACAGGCTGGATGAATTTAAAATTAAATGGATTGTGCACAGAAAGCTTCTTCTTGATACGGTCGTTCATTGCACCCGTATATGTTTGGTAAACAGTCATACACTTCTTCGCCAAAGCGGACGCATAATATATAGGGTAATCCTGCATTTCTGGATGTAAATCCCAGTATTCATCTGGTTAAAATGCAAAACGAATCATTGTACTCCAACAGCCAGCTGCTTCCAGAATTTAATAATCGTGCATGTAAATCAGATATTTACAGAAGTGCCGCAAACGTTTGTACGTACCGAGAATGAGCTGGATTTCCTGGGCTCGTCCAAGTGCGAAAGAAGGTATAAGACATTTCCCGCCACGCATAAGGATGGTCCGCACTTGACTAAGAAATCTATGTTCTCGAGTTTCTCTATCCTCGTGCACATGGATTCCGTACGTAGATTCCTGAATATTTTCTTAGTTTGATTAAGGAAAATAGTCAAAGTATGAGAAATAAACTATGTAAGCTAAATTGTTAAATTTCCATATTTCCCGATTTTAGCAACTGCCAACGAGTATAGAACTCGAAAAAGCCCCTACTTACCATAATACACACATCAGCCCTCATCGTGGGAATTTCCGCCGCGCAAAGATGCCGATCTTCCTCTTGTGAAAAGTCTCCGGTATACAGCACCTATATAGGTAAAACATTGGTCAATATTATCCTCTGCTTTTCGCATTCGTAATACCGAAAGATCCTCTTACCCTGACGCCGGCAATTTCAATCATAAACATAGCAGCGCCCAGAACATGACCAGCAGTGTAACACCAAAATCGAATTCCGTTAATTTCTTTTTCCTGTAATTAATTAAATCCAATAATAGCCGAAGCTAACTTATATTTCTGCACAACTATTGATTTTACCTCATGAAAATCCACGGTTTCGATTTTGTCCATACTTTTATCGAGATCGGCCTCCGTGAAGAGCTGTTCTTGTCCCTGACTGACTCGCAGTCCATCGGTTAAAGTCAGTCGATAGATAGCTTTTGTGGCATGCGTCATGAACGTTCGTCCTTTGAATTTCGTTTTCATAAGAAAATAAGGCAGCGCTCCGCAGTGATCCAAGTGAAAACTGGAAAAAATTCAATCTTACGATACGCCACCAGGCATGCACAGCGGCACTGGACACAATAGCGAATATGCATTGGGCGAAGCTGCAAACCCGAAAATTAGTCACAATTCTGCACGTACTGAGTAATAAGGAGCAGCTCGATATCTTCCACATTGATATGATCCAAATAAGGCAGCGAAGCATGTCCATGAAAAGCTGGATGTATTCCCATGTCCAGTAATATTCGCTTGCCTTTGAATTCCAATAAGATACACGAACGACCAACTTCTTGTCCAGCGCCTCTGAACAAAATTGAAAAAACAATGAACATGGTTTTAAAAACGTCGATGCGGAGAAGAGAAGCTCAATAATCGTACTACGCCGGCGTTTTCCTTACATTTATAATTTATTTATCTGATAAACTATTGATAAAATACAAATCATAAAAGATAAATGTCGAAAATGAAGCACAAAATATTCGTTCATTAAATTATATTTAAATGCACCGTCAACATACGATTTTCCCCATGCTTACAATGGTCGGACGGTTAGAATATCTTCTTCATCGACCGGTCGAGACTGCGGCGTGCGTTTCCCCCGTCCCCGTGTGGGTCCGACAGGAGCGAGATTCTGTATGGGACCGCCTCGTTGATAGGGACGTGTCGGTGGGAATCTCGCACCAGCTCCTCCATTCGGATGCTGCCCCGCACCCTCATGACCCATTCCGCCGTCAAAACCAGGACCACGTGGTGGCATCCGCATGCCCATATTAATTCCGCCGAATGGACGGCGTGGGCCGCGCTGAAACTGCTGGAATCCCCCTGAAGGATGCGGGGACCTGACAGTCCCACCTGCGGTCCATACCCTGGACCGGGTCCGCGCGCTGATCCGGGCGGCGGACGGTACGGGGGACGCGCGCCCGTGGGAATACTGATATTGCTGGAGGGAAACGATGCGAGATTGCTCTGGACGCGTGGTCGAAATGGACCACGCTGGCGAAACGGATCGCCTGGATTCTGCGACATCACGGTACAGTTAAGTAACAATTTACTACAGCAATGCTATAACAATGAAAAATGAGGGCTCTTGGATAAACAGTTTCTATTTTTCAAAACAGCATGTATAATCCAAGGATGACTATCGTTATTAGCTTACACTTAAAAATTCTGCTTTTACGAGAATTTTAAATAAAAACAGAACAGTCCCAACAATCCAAGCTTTTTGGTTTCTTAGGTTTGGCTTTCTCTGGAGTGCGAGGCCGCTGTCGCCGTGGGCGGCTGACATATTTTTGGGTAATGGTCAAGCAGGCCAAAGCAACCAAAGATCATCGCGATTCGCGCCTGACATTTCCGGAAAGAGGTGGTGGATAGTGGATACTTCTCTTCATTTCTCCTTTCAGTACCGTCTTGAATTTACGGCATCGAATTCAATTTTTAACGCATGGGGACATTAATTATTAAGATATCCACACTCCTCTTTCGAAAACGGGGGAGTTTGAACACTGACAATGAGGTCTGTCAAAAGATTTTAACCTGCATGGTGCAGCTACGTGCAAAATACGTTCAATTCGCTTTTCATTTTCCATTTCTGGAATTCGCAGTACTCGTACTCCTGTGATTCTTAAAAAGTTTACAGAATAAACTTTTAATGCAGGGTTTTCCTTGCAAAATGTAGGTACATACGGGTACTTAGTAGCTAGTAGGTACTTAACTGAGGCCTTGAAGGTGTAAGGTGTGATATCTAATCGTACGATAATCAGCCAGGTTACAATAAGAGTATGTACTTACCTGCATTAGTCAAATTTTATAGACACAGACTTTGATCTGGTTAACTGCAGTTTATTTTTATTGCAGATTTATTCAGTTCATATGTTATTGTCAGATGACTGTTTATCGAAAACACGATAGCTATTAATTCTGAGGTTCGTTAAATTTCTGTTATAATAATTATGTCGTACAATTCACCATGATAGACAGGATTGAATAATTATAAGACTATTACTGCGGCTACAGATTTCGACAATATTAGCACGAAGTATATAACAAGCAATTATTTTAAAATTAATGTGATATCCATGATGGTGCATTCTAATAACTTTGAGTTCTACATCGTCCAGTGCAGGTCTCGTGCGCGTGCGGTCTGTGACCTTATGCTGGAGTACCGAGTAGTGGTTAAGACTTTACGAGTATAGTAATATCGTCGTTCCGCTCTGACGGTAAAGAATGAATCGGGTACTTAGTAGCTGGTAAGGGTTCTGATAAATAATGATTTATATATTGCAGCTAGAGTGCGACATTGCTAAAACACTAGTACAATTATAGTTCTAAAATAATACTTTTGTTGGTAACAATTAGTTTTTTGCGACTTACGCGCATCGACCCCTCGCGATGACACAGTCATACTAATTTTAGATAAATTACATAAATTATTCTCATTATGTCAACGGATGGCCATTTTAAGAGATCGATTTTTTATTGCTGACGGCTTCATGGCAATGCTCCCATTTTCCATCTGTACGAGTATTGGAGGCTATATATGATGCATGGACCATTTGCTGTTTTAGTTGTAGAAACTTTTATACAACTGGAAGGTTTAAAAAGCAGTACTATATATATGTGAAATGTGATACCTATGAAACAGGTCGATATCGATTCTCTCGTCTTTCGTTTCCGGTTGTCCCAAGCATGTCGCAAAATAGATAGATACACGGAAACTTCCTAGCCTATTAATTGTTTGACTTTGCAAGCTTCATTTTTTCCATCGAAGTTAAGTGTCATCTGGATCTGACAAACCGCTACTGAGTAGCTCCGCAGTATATCTATATTTATTGCACTGTACCGTTTTTACTGCGCACACTATGTGCTGTACCATATACTGTAGCTCTTATACGCAGACTTCTGCGCAACTGAACGATACAGTAATAACGTATAATTGTTGTAATGTCATAATCATTGTAAAACACATAAACCACATGTACAAACAATGCGGCTAAAAAGGAACTTATTGTTAAACTTTGATCTGTTCGGGTGTCCTCGTGTGTTGAGGCGTCCAAAATATACAAGTGTGCGCAATTTATATATAACGGTAAAATATACTTTGTTGCTTTATTGCAAAGACTAAAAATTAACAGTTTATCTAACAAAGTTTACCTTAATTATAAGTCAAAGTACAATTCTGCAGTGCAAGCAGTTCGTAGTATCGTACATTTACAAAGCGATTATACACGATGCATCATGTCACATGTCGCGGTATGTCCGTGCTGGGTACATGGAAAGCCGATATCGATAACGATAGTTCGATGATAAAACAGCGTCACAACTTGCGAGACTCAGTCTCACCGACTCTCACGTGGTCCGCTAACGGCTACCGCTTTTAGCATCTTATTTAATGCGCTGAAAGCAAATTTGTACATTAGACATTCACTTCTTTATGTGTTTTAGTGTTGTAGTTACTGTCTACCGGGCTTAGTGAAAACTCTATCTATTGCATTTTTTAAAATTCATACTGTATAATGGCGAGCAGTTTCGATACGGACGAAATCAAAGAATTTCATTTTCACACTTATTTCCTCCATACCAACAAGGACAGCACAAGCGAAGCGGAAGTCTTCCACAGCAAAGTGAGAGCAGCCATTGAATCGGGTGTATTCGTTGCACGATGCGGCACGATTAATTATGGACCACGCGGACCACATATGATCGGCAATTTCTATTGCTGGGTACCGGTAGAATCCTTCCAGAAGGCGTATAATTTTTACTTATTAAATCGTGGCAACTTGATTGTACTGGTACATCCACTGACAAAACTGGAAGTCAAGGATCACACAGAACGCGCGGTATGGATGGGAAGTACGCCGCTGCCGTTGGATATGGTCTGGTTAAAAGCTGAACTGATGGAAACGCCATTCGAATATCCGGAGCTGCAGCTAGGATACTCTAGCGTGCCGAAACAATAATTTTTGTGCTGGAAATTTTTTTATGTTGTAGCCACTTTTGTGAAATCATTGATTTTATGTTTCCCAGTGTTGCAGATAATTTTTCGTTTGATATTTTCGTCTGTGTTCTTAGTTAGGAAAAGTACAAAGTATGTTAAACAGATTTAACTGTCCTACACTACCGATATCGGCATTTCTTTGTAACATAAGGCGAAGTAAATTTCTGTAAGCTGCAATTAAGTGTAGCGATCGTGAGTTGCAATAAAATAAATGCTTTTAGTTGACAATTTCCTTCCTACGCGAAACCGACGAAATATGTATTTTGAACAAACTATCAACGTACGATCACTACAACGCAACTGTTAGATTCAAGCTTGCAGTGCATTAAGTAACAGATTGCATGCATATCGGACAAGTTTTAAAATTGCCTCCCATGACTGTATACAGCAACCCACTTACCTTGACCAGTGGTCATTTAAAAATTGCACGTGATATCGCCGCATTCCACATTCTTCCCGTGTATTCCGTGGCGCCCTATAGCTATGTGCGTACGTATTTACGTATTTACTGCACACCGCACTTAGCTGGCTGGCCGAAGACAATTTCAAAGACTCCAGCTTTTTTGCTTATTATTGTTAGCCAAGGCTGCGCGAACAAGTTGTATGCAGTGACCTTTACACCTCCGATTAGAGAGGAAAGTGGCAATGACCCAAATTTTACACTGCAGCATGCATTACCTACATCCAGGCAACGCCTACTGGGTTAATCATTCCGGCGTGCGTCGAATGTCCAGCACTGCAGTTAGTAAGCAGTCTTTGTTCCAGGAATTTTCCGTCGCGAGCCGATCCAGACTTGAAACGTATATGACGCAAAATAATTGTAGATCTTATGATTGAAGCTAGCACTTCTATTTACCGATTCGTATCTCTCACTAGAGCCGGGTCTCGTGTTTTTATCTAATCAAGATAGTACGCACAATACTTACTTTAGTACCATTCAACTGTCACTCTTATGCGACTTATTTTAAGTTATGCTATTAATTAACCACGAAACAATCGCAGTCATCATATATAAACAGCGTGTGAATTGCAAAATGTATTCAGTTCCAATCCACCGCTTTACACGACAAAAGTGCCCTTCTATAAGCAGTATTTTTGTCGCGCATTTACGCTTGTTCACTTATTCTTAATTCCCTTACCCTAATCCACCGTATCCACAATGATGCTGGCAGTAATTGCAGTTGTTTCTTTGTTCGGCTGCATAACGGCGCATGATCACGGGTTTTCTTTCAAATCTGTGCCTGGTACGTAAAACTATCCTTATAACAAACAGCTAAAATAATTACTGTAACGGAATCCAGTTCAAGTACATTAGTATGTTATTTTTCATTTGCATTCTTAATACAAACAATAACGGCAGTAATACAATATATACGTGTATATTGTATTACTGCCGTTATTGTTTGTATTAAGAATGCAAATGAAAATAACATACTAACATATTACTGTATACAGTAACAACTTCCCTGATGAAGCGCATTTTAAAAAGTAAATTGATTGCACTTGTAGTCGCCAGTGCTGATGAGTTTGGGCTGGATGATTTGGTCCAAGAGTACCACTTCCACACCTACTTCGTCCAGACGAATGCTGACAGCCGTCGCGAAGCCGAAGCCTTCCATGCCCGCGTCAGTGCCAGCATCCGGTCCGGTCAACTGGCCGCCCGTGCCGGCACCCTGGCCTACGGTCCACGCGGACCCCACATGATTGGCAATTTCTACGCCTGGGTGCCTAGAGAATCCTTCCAGAAAGCCTATAATTTCTACGCTCTGAATCGTGGAAATTTGACGGTGCTGATCCATCCTCTCACCAAGATGGAATTGCTAGACCACACTACCCGTGCAGTATGGATGGGCGTTCCCTTGCCTCTCGATATGGCCTGGATTCGGGAAGAGTTAACTGAAGTGCCGCTGGAATTCCCCGAACTGCAGTTGGGTTATTCGGCACCAAAGAACCAGCTTAAGCGTCTGTAAAATTTTTTAGATTGTACCAATGTGGTTTTTGTAATACATGATCATGATACCGTGCAGCTGATACTTGGGAAAAATCTTGAAATACGTGCAGCTTTTTTCCAGAAACGTGTATCATATTCATATGCAAATTAAAATATTATTTGTAAACGGTCTGGGTTTCTTAATCTGGCAAGTCTTGCTCGCGGTTTACTCGTGGTGATTGCTGTAAATTTTAACTAATGCATAAATATCATGCAGAGCATGTTCGGTAAGAGCGCATTTTTCAACGAGGATCCGGAGATAACTAAGTGCTTATTTTGTTGGTTATCTGCCTTTTATTGATGGTTTGGCAGTACTCTGCACAATCAACAGAGCGATTACGATGGAGGTGCAATTAATTTCCAATTTCCTTCCTAATAATTAATTATCAATAACCTTTAATTTGAGAATAGTACCTTATAAGGCGTTTTGTTGAACAATACCAACAGTATCATAGCATCAACAGTAACAAATTTCCATTCTAAGAACACTTAGACAACAGTCAAAACATTGCACGGACAAAACCCCCAGGGACTGGAACAAACTCCACGAAACGGCAACGGGAGGAATTTCGCAATATATGTTCGAAACAATATAAGAGTGATGAATAAATGCAGACAACCTGAGCATAATGAATGCTTAATACTTGTACATCACAGTTATCACAGACATATTTTCAATTTTCAATTGGCAATAAAAATCAGCTGAAAGACTATCTCGGCAAAATTCGCTAAGTGCAAGGAGATTCGCAAGTATTTACACCAGTGCCTGTCGTAAAACGGTGGCCTTTTCCACAAAATCGTTCACTTCGGCGTAGGTTGGCTGATCATCATAATATCGTGCAGGGTCATCGGCGTGTATTCTTGACCAGTCCACCGTCTGGGCGCTCAGCGCTTTGCAGTTTTCACAGTCACTGCATACATCGTCATCCAACTGGTTGCTCAGTTTCATTGCTTTCCTTTCTTCCATCGAGTCCAGACTCAGAATATCAACCGGTTGCGTCGAACATGAGGAGGTGGGTTCTTCCGAAATGGCTGAAGCTGGTGATATCAACGTATTTCGATGCCGGGTGCAGCTTGACAAGTTAGCATCGTTAACGTACGCGTGATGACTGTAGCGCACGGCTGCATCCCCTGTTGCATAATACGATGTGGGTCTCTCCGGAAGGACACAGTAAAAATGTGGACTGGATCGCTGCATGGCATGATACATGCACAGATCGCTTTTGTACATGCTGCCGTCGTGTTGGCTGTGGTACAAACCAGGTGGTCGCAGAGTACGCGACTGGTACGATCCTGAGGCGTAGCCGGCTTCCAAGAGGCCGACTGGCGACAGGAACGGCGGACGAGAATCGAGGTTAGTCGATCTTTTGGATTTTGATAGCGGTAGTTTATTACTCCGGTAGCGGAAGTGGTAAAATGCCACCAGTCCGAGAACGACAGCGGCGATCGGCAACAACACTGCCATAACTATCACTGTTGTGGCAGTGGACTCACGCTGTTCACTCGTCACGCATTGGAACTGACCGTCGAATAAGCTAACACAGATCTCGTTTGAAGCGCAGGACGCAAACTGGCAGCTATCCGTGGCGGCTAAACATTGGTTTTCGGATATGCCAACAGAATTATGGAGATCCTTGGACATAACTGGTATTTGATTCAGCGAGAGGTTACGAATGCAACCCACAAAATGTCGGGATCCTAGCCGATTTTGGTCAATCGAGATTGTGTTTGGGATTTTTCCGACATGCAGAGAAGCATCCAAGAAATTTTGTTTCCGCACTACACCAACTACAACTGTAGAACAAGTGTCGTCACCCGGCGAGCAGGTAGCGCAGGACAGTTCGTCGCATTCCGTGACCGTTAAACTTCCGATCTGCAAATTTGAAAATTCCGATAAAAAAGTGTATCACTGATTCACTATGCACTTTCACATTATTAGTGCAATGCGTTATTAATGCATTTACTTCGTAATGCCGAATTAACTTACCAAGTCTTCCTTGACGGCAACAATTTTATACCATCGGCCATCGCTAACAAATCGATGAACAGTCATTCTAGTGGTGTCTCGGGCGGTCGACCCGAACGCAAAATGCACTCTTCCGTTTTTAACATCTAATGCGATGAAATGCGACGGTTTCCCGGTGGCCGTTTGTCGTTGTGCAAAAAATAGTACTCCATCTCGATTCACCGTAGACACAATGACACTGATCTCATTCATGGTTGTCTTTAGCGAAGCCGATATTTCGGCAGACGATTCGGGTCCAAATCCAAAAATACCGTTCTGTGGGCGTACGCACGGTTGACCCGAGCTGACACAATCATCGACCTCCTCACACTGCCGCCCCGCGTACCCGAGGGGACAATCACAACGGAAGGAACCAAAAGTATTCACACAACGTCCGCCATTCAGGCAGCTCGGCGTGACACCCCACAAATTGCATTCATCCAGATCGAACTGGCACTGCGAGCCAAAGAACCCCGGTGGGCATTCGCATTTGCCGGTTTTGTCACAGGAGCCGCCGTTCTGGCAGAAATCCGCGGCACACTGCAGTTCACATTTGGGCCCACTGTAAGGATGTCTGCAGGCACAGTGGTGGGAATATTCGAAATGCAGTGATGAAATTATCAGGTTGGAGCTGCTGATAATGCTGTTCTGGTGAGGTATCACTTGAATTATATCACGGCACGCTGTCGTCGCACTGCACACTGACTTGTCCGCTTCGCAAGGTTTGTAATCCACGCTGCCAATTGTGATACCCGCCTGTTTCTGGATCTCGGTAAGGTTTGTCGTCAACATATTGATAAGGGGCGTTTTATCCAGAAATTCTGAGGATTTCGTAGTATGAACGATTAACTGCAGAACACAACTGCCATCGAGATCGGTTAAGCCAAAAATTACTCCTTGTCCAATGTTTCCCAAGGTTGAATACAAAGACTGCATTAGCCGAAGGTAATGATTCTCCAAAAAACTGGACAAGTAATGCCGGTTAACCGAAGGGCGATGCTGTGATCCAGGAAAGATGACTTGACAGCCTCGTATTTCACGATAACTTCGTACTGTACCGGTGGATGTTTCCCGTCATAGGCGCTGATGTCCAGGCGGTAGATGTTGCCGATTTGTAAACGGTTAGCTCTAAGATCGCAGCCATCGACGATTTCAAAAAAGCCTTCTTCACCCACAATTTTACATTGATATTCGCCTAGAATAACACAGAATATCTTAGAATACAGTGACAATTCTAGTTGATTTTTATAATCGACGAATCGCAATTTGGAAGTTCAACATAAAACGGCGATAATTAGGTGCGTATATTACAAAGACCACAAGACATCATCCATTAGCAAACGGAATAACAGGCACCTAACTAGCATACTGTGTAACAGTATCCTTTAATTTTTCCCGGAAACACATGGAATAAAAAGTTACTTTGTGTTCTGTTTTACCTTTTCGTTTACTAAGGTTATAAATTTAGGAAATAGTCGTTTTACCTGTGGAGTCGGCATCAAGGGGTCTCACATTGCCAAGTTTACGATACGTTGCCGAATTGCTCTGCTCCACATCGGAATAGACGACGATGGTCAACGGCCGTTCCATGCTAGGGCTATCGTTGACGTCGTCAACTAAGATTTTCACCGGTATGAACGATGTTCGCGGTGGGCTGCCTCCATCGCTGACAGAAATATTCAACACGACCTCCGCATCCTTTTCTCGATCAAATGACTGCAGAGTCGTTAAAACACCATTTGTAGGATTCAGTTTAAAATAGCTGCTCCACCGGGATGCAACCATCCGGTATGAGAAGATATGCGGACCCAAGTCATCGTCCCGAGCAGCCAGCTTTAGGATAGTTGCTCCCGGGTGGGAGTTTTCGCGGATATGGCCCACTGGGACGGGATCGAAGTATGGCGCGTTATCTGCGGAAAACGACATTATTTTACACTGTTCATATGCAAACAGGAAGAAGGCGGCTGCTTACCGTTGACATCGTCAACTGTCACGTTTACCAACGCCGTGGCACTCCATTGAAATTCGTCGGAAACTCTAGCCAGAATTCGCAGCGAGTACTGACTATTGGCCTCTCGATCCAGCGGCCGCGCAACGGTAATTTTTCCGCTGCGGCCATCCACGGCAAAACGTCCGTGCTCGTCGCCGGCCACTAACATATACTGCAGACGCCGGTCACCTTCGATTCGACCTTGCACTTTGATAACGGTCGACCCGATTTGTGCGTCCTCTCTCACCCGCACCATGTATTCGCGCTGCATGAAGTACGGCATGTTGTTCCCGTCCACCACATGGACAAACACATCGCACACCACGCCAACAGCCGGTGGGAATGCCGAGTTGGACAGCAGAACGTGCATAATCACTTCATTGGACACAAAGCCACCCAAATCACCGACGAGAATCAGTTCACCCGTTTTATTGTCGATCTCAAAACTGTTAGACTGTCCGACCAATGCGTATCCCAGCATTCCTGCAACGCCTTTATCATTATCGGCACCCATGACCCGGCCGATCCGACTGCCCACCGGCGCTTTGGCGGAAACGGTAAACCGGGAGACACCGGCTAAACACTGCGGCGCATATTCGTTTCTCTCTGCTATATTGATGAGAAAGTTGACTTCGGAGTACAGTGAAGGGTCTGTAGGATCGGTGGCTCGAATGACCAAGGTATGGTTTGCATGGGCTTCGTAATCCAGTGCCTGAATGTTGGTGATCGTTCCTTTAAGGGAATCGATGACAAAATATGAACTATCTGGTTCAATGGTGTAATAAATGTGCTGATTTGCATCGTCTGGATCTGCAGCGATAACCTGGCCGATATGTTGGTTGGTTTGCTCGGTCTCCAGAATAATAACGGAATACGATGTTTTTGCAAACTGAGGCGGATTATCATTTTCGTTAACAACAGATACCAACATCGACGTTGTCGCGGAAGGTGTGTTGACCCCGTAATCCGATGCAGTAATGATTAACATGTACTGTTGTTTCTCTTCGAAGTCCAGCTGCTTTCGCAAATATACCGAACCAGTTGTCGTTTCGATCTGGAAGACATTTGCGGCGTCGTCCAGCAAATATCGCACTTGATCTTTGTGCGGAGGAGAATCTTTAATGTCGACTGGCAGCGTAAACAACAGACTTCCGATGGGTGTGCTTTCCGAAACACTGATTTCGTAATGTTCGGCAGGAAAGCGTGGTATAAAGGCGTTTTGGTTGGCTGGCAAGATGCGTAAGGTCAAGACGGCGCTGTTGCTGGAGTGGGCATCGGTATAGAAAGCATCGACAGTCAGGTTGTAATCGCCAGGTAGACAGAAACTTTTCGTTTTTGCATGCACGGTCCCAGTTGTAGTGTTGACACCAAAACAATCTTTCGAAATTTCCTGTAAAGACAGTAAACGATTACTGAATAAGCATTCGACCCAACCAATGTTGTGTGTAAGCGAAATTCAGAGAGCCTAACTTATTGAATATTTCTTCCACTTAACACTTACTTTGGAATGGGAAATGGAAAACCTCGGTCCATTTTCACTGGAGTTCCCTGTTTTGAGATCTATTTGAGCTAGCGCATTGCTGGAATTGCCGGCTACTTCAACAAGGTAGTTGGATCTGGTGAACTGCGGCATCGATACGAGATCTCCTGAAAGAACAGTAACCAGCACTTCTACTTCTCCTTTCTTGCCTCCAGGATTATTTCGTGCAGCTCTGATAATCAGTCGATGACTTTTCGGCGCAAACTGCAGCGAATGCTTGACGCTGATTTGGCCGCTCACACGATCAACAGCGAAGAAAACACTTGGGTACTTCAGGGAATACGTAACTGCAGCTGTTTCGAGGTTCTTTTTAACAACCGACACCATGCCAATTGCTCCGACGTCAGTGCTTCTATTCGCGTAGAAAATGTATTGGACTTCCTCAAACGCCGGCTGGTCATTGCTGTCCGGTAGCACTGTCACCATAACTAAAGACTTCGACTGCCAGGCTCCATCCCGCACCACGATTTCCAGCGGAATCTCCGTCCCGGCATCCCGGTCGTTGTCGCGATTAAGTGTGATGATTCCCGTAGTTTCTTCGATGACAAACATGCCGTCAGAACTGTTAGTCAAACTGTACAGCGCTACGGCATTTTCTCCCAGATCGGCATCCGTCGAAGTGACCTTCAATACGAAAGCGCCGCGAGTGGCGGCTTCCGTTATGTTTGCTGTGAACTGCCGGCTAAATTTTGGAGGATTGTCGTTTTTATCCAGGACAGTTATTTGAACTTTTGTTGTCGCTGTAAAAAGCCCATCCGTGATACCAACGGAAACGGTTATCAACGGCACTTTTTCTCTATCCACTGGTGCAATGCATCGCAAAATGCCGGAATGAGCATCAATGGAGAATCGATTTGTTGCGTTAATCAAATAAAACTTGATGTTATCGCCATCTGAATCCGTGGCGTTTAACCTGATTACGTCAACTGGAGCTGATTCTTCTTCCAAGACGGCGGTTATATCAGTGCCAATAAATCGTGGTGGGTTGTCATTCGTGTTGTCCAGAGTAATCTGGATTCTTACTGCACTTACAAATGGCTTACTGTCGTGCATTGATGTCGCCGCTATCCATAGATCATAAACCGAAGCTGTTTCGTAATCCAGACGTCCAACTCTCCGCAGGACACCATTGTCCTCGTTTATCGAAAATACTCCCAAAGTATTCCCGCTAATAATTTGGTATTTTACCGAAGCCCGTCCAACTGCTTTGGCTGTTATCTGTGTTATTCGGTCGATGTTGCTGTTCTCTGCACATCTAAATTGGTAGGATCCAGGTAGGAACACAGGAAAGAGGTCAGACTTGGCTGTAATTAGCTCGATTAGGGTGGTATTGGTGTGACCGGCAGGATCGATGGCCTGAATCTCCAGTATGGTTCCCGAAGGAACACGGGAGCGGGCAGAGAGAATCCCGGTAGATTCAGCTAAGACAACCAACTCCGATGAGCCCGTCAGTGTATAACGCAACCCCGCGGAACCGTACTCGTCCTCGTCGTAGGCGTTCACCGCACACAGGAAATTTCCTGGAGCAAAAAAAATTTAAATTATTAGTCAATTCTAGACAAACTTTTCACAGCGAGTGTAATGAAACTAATCACAAAGCGATTTATTGCAAAACTTGCCTTTACATTCTGTGCAGCGTGTGCTCCCTCAGCTACTGATCATAATATTGTACGAGTACGACATTATTTTCAGTAATAACACTGCACTGGTATTAACGCTTTCGTTAACAAAAACAGTCGAGCCGCGATAGCCTCTTTCGCTTTTTGAGAAAGATCTTACCTTCGTTATGGTCTTCAGGCATATAGCAAAAACGGCGGCTTTCGGTGAATGTTGGCACGTTATCGTCATCGTCCAGGACATGAACTGTAACATTGGTGTCCACGGAATGTTGACCATCGCTTACCGTGGCAAGTAACGTGTACACCGAGCGGATTTCCCGATCTAGTTGCTCCGAGGCTGTTATTTCGCCGGTTGTTTGGTTGATCGAAAACCAAAAGTTTGGCGATACAGAAAAACTATTAAGCAGAGAACGGAGCATTAAATAAACATGTTTCATTAATAGTTGTGAAAATGTGGTGATGCAATTATACCTTAATTTGTTGTTCTGATCACGATCGAAGGCTTGTAGAAATCCCACGGAAGCTCCTTTGTGATTGTTTTCTTTTATATAAAAATCTGTTTTGCCTGAAATAGCTGGAGGATTATCGTTAACATCGATAACCGTTATTGTGGCAAAAGTTGTAGCCGTCGTAGGAGTATCTGCAAATTTGTTCGCGCATTTAATTAGGTTTTCAACATTTTATGGCAGCATGTAAAATAATACGGTGTGTATCGTGCTATGTGTAGTCTCCCATAAAAATGGTGACCCTGCATGCGCTTTGTCACATTTACCAGTTAGACGCATATTTGCAATTGCAAACACAGACCACACCATGTTGCAGCAAAATTTCGTTAGCGTGATTAGATTAGCCGGAATAATCTGCTTACACTATCCCATAATTAATATGCAAAAATGGAAATTTATACCACCTGCGCGTCTGCGACGGGCGCGCTGCCCAGTCTAATTATCTGCCTGTGACACCTTTCATATTTGCACTTCCCATCATGATAGCGCTGTAGCCAGCATAATGAGAGCATAAAAAGGTTATGAAATACCCGTATATCTGCGTGTCCGATCGCTTGTTAGACGGTCTGCTGGACAGCGACCACTCGGCTGGATGCAGCAGTCACTATTTGCACAAGTACTCCCAATTATCCGCCGATCAATATGTAGAGCAATTGTGGTAAGGTGCTTTGGATAATAATTTCTACAGCTACCCGCAGGCTATTCTTCCACGAAAATCTATACACTTTTCCGTACACCTAAGTATTCAACCATCACGCCGCCATGTCCAGTGTTTCGACCACTCTGATCTCATTTGCCCGGATTAGCCTATCATCTATTTCACACCCTTGACCCTTTCGTTTCTGGCATTCTTTTTTGCCTGTAGCACTAGGGTAGACGTTCAATTCTCCTGCAGCAGGCCCTTGAAGCTGCCTGGATGACCGGTCTTTTGTCAGGGAAATGAGCCACCAAATGCATTTTGGTATTTGACAAGGATTAGTGGAATAAATGGAATATAATGTACATATTTCGAAACTTGTTAACAAGTTCGTTAAATTGGAAAGCCTTGGAGTAACCATCTGATGGACAAACAGCTTTACCTCCATTATTCTCCGCTACAACTTCGATCGCCAACCGGTGGACATCTTGCTCTTCGCGATCTAATGGCTGCTTAAGCGAGATCACTCCAGTTTCCTCATCAATATGGAACAAGGATAGGTCACCGGTTCGTATACGGTAGGTCAGGGTGTAGTCGTTTGAAGACGACCTGCTGGAGTTTCTAACTTCAAGCTGTATCAAGGGAAACTCTGGATACTGGAAGAAATTCTGAAATTTCAAGAGCACAATGCTTTCACTATCGGCGAAAAGGGAAGGAAAAAAGCTGCATACAAAATCACAGAATAAAAAACTTTTTCTTAACTTTAGACTCGCCGTACCTCAAGTATCTCGACATTCCACATGCTTCTTAAAAATGCCAAAGGCCGGATGACTCCTGGCGTCGGCAAAACTTCTATGTTTACGGTTGCAGAATCGTTTCGTTTAACAATACCGCCGTCCTCTACGGTAACAGTCAGCATGTATCGCGAAATACTTCGGGCATCAACGTTTTCCATTAGGAATATCTGCCCCGTAGCACAATCAATTTCGAACATTTCCTCATCGTTTCCTCCGACTATCCAATATCGCAAGTCTCCATTCCGGCCGGGATCTTCGTCCGCAGCGGATAGCGACACCACTAGGCTTCCAGCGGTAGCATTATCCCACAGTGAAATCAGGTAAACATTGTGGGCAAACCGTGGAGGATGGTCATTTTCGGCTGAAATCACTAAAGAAATTGTTGTGGTACTTGTCAGGGAAGGTGTGCCTTTGTCCGAAGCAACCACCACCAGGGAAAACTGTTTCTCATCACTGTTGATGTCGAAGAGCTTTTCTTCTAACCGGATTGCCCCGGTAATCGGATCAATAGAAAACTGTGAGGTTTCTGTTTCCTCTGCTAGCATGTATTCGACGTCGCCACCGGCTCCGGTATCGGCATCTACCGCAGTGACCTTGGTGACTTCACTGCCGACCAGGGTGTTCTGGCTAATGACGAGCTTGTCTGGGTATACAGGCGAAAATTTTGGTGCTTCGTCATTGACGTCTTCGACAGTAATATTCACGTAATAAACGGAGCGATACACGCCGGACATGCCTATCAGTGTGATTTCGTGCGAAGAGTCGGTCTCTCGGTCCAGCTGAGAACGAATGCAAAGATGGCCTTGGCTACTAACTTCGAACAACTCTGGCTCACTTGCATGGATCTCCCAATTTAAAATATGGTCGTCTAACGATGAAGACAAACAATTATAAATTATTACAACGCATGAAGCTTTTCTGTGTTTATTAAATTATTTCAAGAAACACAAAACAAGACTTACTTTGCAACTGTGGTGCGCCCACAGTGCGGAACAAATCCAAGAAGCAACTGCCGATAGAAATACTTTCCAAAATTTTCGAATCGGCATAAAAGTAGGCTTTATGATTATACTGCGCGCGGATCAATTTGATGAAAACTTTCGCGGAAGCGAAATAAGCAAAATGTGCCGGGTCAGCAGCCTGTATCTGGAGAACTATCGTCTTCTCCTACAAACCCATAAGGAACACTGTAAGTATCGTTATTATACTGGCCGAGAATTTGTGTAATTATACCTGATTTTCGATACTATTGAGATATTTCGCTTTGGTTATTGAAATGGCACCAGTACGCCGTTCCACATGAAACCAGTTGTTAGTCCAGTCCGATGCCTGATGGAAAACGTAGTTGTCGGCGTTACCGGTAACGGACACTGCACCGATCTGCTCGCCATCTTCCAGACCATCCGTAATGACAGTGAACACATACTGATCCTGTGTGAAACTGGGTAGGGTTTTTGTTGGGTATGCTATGTTGACATCTATGCAGCATGTGACTTCCGTTTGGTGTACAGAATCATCAGCGACAATTGGGAAACACAATCTGCCCGTACTGTTGTGAACAGCGGATTTCGAAAACACTTCACCGGTTTCTTGGTTAACGCGGAAGTACTGACTAGCTGACGGAGATCGAATAGCGAAAGTCACCACATCGTCGCGATCCAGATCAGTTGCAGCCACTTGTCCGAGCTTCGATCCCAAGCCCATGCCTTCTTCCAGACGAAAACGATAAAATGGCGATGAGAAGACTGGAGTGCGATTGTTCACAGAGAGGACTCGAATGCGAATCTACAATACGGAATGCTGACATTGTGACTGAACGTATGTATAACTTATAAGTACTTAATGCAAACGGACTGATTTACTAGGTATGCATCGAATACGAGTTATAAGAAAAGTTAACTAAGGCATGAAAAGCCGCAAATAAGGCCGCAGCTTTCGAAATTTTGTGTAGCGTAAATCCAACTTGTTGTAATCATGTTCAGCCGTCGGAAGCATATGTTAAATAACAAATATGCCGTAATTTACAAAAGTAATGGCGGTCATAAATAACATAATGTGTGTACATACATGATACAGAGGAGCCTAAAATAGAAGTACTGAGACCCGAAGAAGGTTATGCTGCAAATTGTCGGAGACGTGTGGGAAAAACTCGAAAAGGCATTTAAACAAGTAAAAAATGCACGTAAGGTTCATTTCCTACGTATCTCAGCATGCAGTATCTTTCAAAACACATTTTTTTCGAGTGCGACGAGCAAGAATCATTGCATTTAATGCTACTAGTGCAGTCTGTAACAGGACTTACTTACTACGGCAAAATAGCTATCATTCTGTTAATAATGATCCACAAATTAATGGCTAATCGCATCTCCCGTGACCTTATATTATCGTATTCAGCAGCCCACAGGATGTGTCGTGATGTGCCCGACAAGCAAACCACAAATTTTCAAATCAATCGTTGCACATTTGCCACCGTGTTAGAGGAAGCTTGAATCGGGAATTCAGGGATGTGATCACGAAAAGTAACAGGTCAGCCACACACTGATTTGATTATCCTGTTCCCACGAAACGGATGCCAGCTGGACTATGATTTATTGACCGCACTCCATAGATAAATAACGGCGATCACGCTATATTCTCTTCCCAATTTTGTGAAACTAATAATAAGTTTTGTGAATCTCTGTTTTGTGCGGTGATGGACAATTTTGTTATTTTACAACCGGGAGGCAAATTTCATCCTATAACGTTTAACACTGATTATGCCGCACGGCAGTTGTTGCAGTGCTTTCACAGTTTCTTAACCGAAATTAACGCTTGAATATCATTTTTGGGCTTAGCGTTATTCAGTTGTTTACCTGATTTTCTAGAACTGTGGATAAATACGTACAGGGACAAGAAACAAAGGAGCACAATCATTACACGTTTCGAAAGTTGTAAGCCGCGACATGATCGCCAATACGCGTGAGAAACAGCAACGTAACTTGAAAATTCGGGAGCATTGTCGTAGTAAACACTTCAGAATTGGTATTTCTTTACCTGTGATTTATGCATATTAGTGAACACGACGCAAAGTATTGAAGTGCCTCTCAAACCGTGTAGGCGTATGAAACAAGTCGAACAATGGACGCGAGACTGTTTACGCATGCATTCGTATCGGACACTGCATGCGAGTTTTGCTGACCAGTACAGCTTCTGCAACAGACATAAGAAGAGTTCCAAAAATTGCTGTGGACATGGCATATGCATTACACCCAGCCAAAATTAGACTTAATTGCAGTGGCTCTCAGCAGGATACACCCAAGGGATACATTACTCGCTCAGTCACCGTATTTTTTCCCAACAGTTAAACAGGCGCCTATGAACTGCATTTGTCATATTGCGCAGGCAACTTGGTGAATTTATTGTGTTTTTGGAGACTACTTAATTGCTATGCACGCATTTGATATCCCAAAACCGATGAGAAATCAAGCAGCAGGTACTCTTTGCAGAGGGTTAATTGAGATAACACATTCGGCGGCCACTTAGGCCAGTAATATCACTAATGAGAAAAAGAAATCAGGCCAGCATAAACATGTTGCCTACTAAACGCGCAGCGCAATTTTGATCTTCGGAAACACGAGCTAGTGTATACGAGCTAGTGTATGGTCAAGCATTTTGGCGGAGATACTGCAAAAATACCCACCAGCTGCCAGTGATTATGTATTAAGTCTGATTTAGCTACTATAACTTGTTATAATATTTCCGACTGGGTCAGCCAAGCATGAACTGTATTGTTCTGCACAACGGCAACTCTAAAAACAGGCATGGGTGATCAAATAGGGGATGTAATTGACTGAGCTTCATGTCCTGACAATCCGGACAATTTTCTTAAGTAATCCCTTTTAATCTGACAAATAGGACAAATAATGCATTCGGTCTTTGCGCTTTGCAAGTGGCTTCAAGGATTCAACAGACGGGAAAATCATTAGTCGAATGCGCTGCTGATTTGGGCTGCATATACGAGTACTTGTGCGCATTAGATTGCTGTTTTATTTTATTCGATCAAGCTTTATGTATAATATATGAGTACATATTAAAATTCAAGACAGCTGTACATTTAATTCCGAAAAATATAGTTGTCTGGGGTCTGTATTCACGCATTGAACTTGTACTCGCACATATATACAGATATGCTAATTAATACCAGTAAATGATTATACATAAATAGCTGGATTCGTAACAAAAAAGCTCCCTCCTGCTGCACCCATACCTCCAACCCCTTTTCTCGTTTCGGGATTAGGTAGTTTACCATCAATTCAAACAGCGTTCGCCACATACTTGGGAGTATCAATACAAGCGTTTCGTACCAGCAGGAAGTCCACTTAAAACCGCAGAACACGCAGCCTGCTTATAATTAACCGAACTTTTGAGCGGTATTCATTGGGCGCTACGGGTGGTTTCCCAAAAGCAGATGTTGAAACAAGCAACAGTGTGCAAGCCGGAGTAAGCTCGCTTACGTTGAACTACTTGCAATGACCTTTTGTTCGCGTCAATGAATTCCCATAGGTAAATCTGCCGATCTTTTGCTAAGCCCAAACCATAGGTAGAACCGCTTTATAAGATTTTCCCGAGCCTTTATTAAACCTCAGTGTATCAGCTACACCTGACCTGCTCCTTGGACAATAACATGTTCGATAGAGTGTTTACTAGTGCTGCACACTGCAGTTGACGCGTAGATCAATTCATAATGGAATTATACACAAATGTGCCAAAGGATACAAGCCTTCGAGAGACTACTGCAGCCTGCAAAGAGTGACAATGTATAACTGAGTATCCTGACAAAATGAAACAATTTGTAAAGGAACGGCGGGCTTTTGTTTAGCCTAAACTCTGCCTCGTTCCCATGCCTTGCTGCGCCCAGGATTAACGGTTCATTCCAAATCAAAACCAATTCAGGCAGTTTTAAAATGTATCGGATGCAAACATAAAGCGGTGTTATTCACAACACGTTCACTCAATATTTATTTGGTAAAAGTTATTTACGTTGCCGAACATAAACCAAAACTTTGAGAACCGCAATCGATTCACCTGTGGGTATGTTTAAAGTTTAAAACATCCCGTAATTCGAAGACGCGCAGATGGACGAGTTAAAATTTTAAACGGGGCGGCAGTTCAAAATAAATGTAAATTGTTAGGGCATTTGAATATTTTGTGCGTTGCTATAAGTTTATCAATACCTCGAAGTGCGAAGTATGTCAAAAATCTGAGCACCCGAAGGAAATCGTCCAGATTCCCGACATTATTCGAGAAAACCAGCTTATGCCATTGAACAGCACAGGCAGGTGGTATCAGAAGATAAAGAGCGACGCGTATTGGTATCCTCTGAACAAGACTTTCAATTTCGATAAAAGGAAATTACACACATAATTGCGGGTTTAAGCCCGACAGATCATCCAGCCATATCTGTACTTCGATCGGTGAACATCACCTCGCGGCTGACCACTGAGCACTGCGCAATGAGCAAGGTGGACGCGTACAAGCGTACATATTTCGCTACTTTTACAGCCCAATATTATTTGTGTCGCAGTGGATGTATCGGCTGCGATCTTCCAGCAGATCTGTCTAATGGTTTTGAGTAGATTAATCAATTTTACTTTGAGACATCAAAGGTACTGGTGCCATTCCAGTTATGACAAGCGCTATCCACAACTTAAAAGAATGTAGATTGGCTCGGCAGATAGTCACTAACTGGTCATTCCGGTCTCGGCAGGACATTTTAAATAACCGTTAACTCAGACTCTCAAGCTAATCCCACCTGCCTAGACTGACATGCGGCTCTAAAAAGCTCGATTCGCCGGCCTGCCGGCCGCGGTCTTATTATGATCGACTCTTTCACACAAATTCTCCAAAATAGCCACTACACTGTAACCGCTAAGCCAATAAACACCGCATGCTCAAATCCTTGAAAATAAAGAATAATATGCGGTAGCGAAACACTTAATGGCTCCCAGTGAAGATAGGACAAGCAGCTGCACCATTAAAGTTAGCTTACGGTCAAATCTACTGCGCTAGTCAATAAAAATTCTGTCAGATGGCCGCAGACCACTAAAAATTGGTTACACCTTGAAAAGTTTATTTGACCCATTTTTACAATATGCCAGATCGTGTTATTAAAAGTTTAAAAGCTTTCAGATGTGGTACTGCGCCAAAACACATCATTGAGTGCATCAAATACTCTTGAGTAATAACGAATTCAAATTGGGGGTCTTACCTGATTTGTGATGCCCTCGTAACTTCTGTCTTTTTTTATTCCCGTAAATACATTCACAATGTATCCCGTTGTGCCTTGATCCGCATCCAACTGACCACTCAATACAATCTTTCCGGTCAAGCGATCCATAGTAAAAACACACGGAACCGCCTCTCCGGCGAAATTGGAAACGGCCGTTATAAAATACTCCACCGGGCCAAGGTGTGATGAATGGCTCTTTGCAGCCAGTTTCCCGATAACAAATCCTTGTGTCTCATTTTCGTACACCGTCCATTCAACTCGCTCCAACAGCGCTAGTGATTGTGCGGAGCGTTGCGAAGACACAACAATCAGATCCACCGTCATCACACTCTGGCGAGCCAGTGATCCCTCGCCGCTCTGGTCACGTGCTGCGATGGTGAGGGCGTACGAGGGAGCCAACTGGTCCAGTTCCCCTCGGAGATACACGTGGCCTTCGTAGCGGTCCAAATGGAAGCGCTCCATGTCCGCTGTGCGGGTGAGGTCATAGGTCACGTGACCATTGCGTTCGGCATCGGGATCGGTAGCTGTAACGGTCAGCAGGCGATATCCCGAACTGGCATATTCGGGAACGATGACCGAGCGTGGGATCGTGAAGACCGGGGCATGATCGTTAATGTCTTCGATGGTTATTACCAGCACTTTCTCACTGGTGTGCCGGTTAGACTCGGGTACGGCCAAATCCATTGCCTGTACACCGAATAACACAATTAATAATGTCGTGGTTGTACCATTCGTTTTGAAATATTCTCACACTTATAAATCGTTCTACATAAATTTACAAATATAACGTTCTGTAATTAATAATTATGTGAGCAGCTTCATTAGTCAGACCTGAAGCACGAGGCGGTAGCTGTTATATCGTTCCCGATCCAATACGATTGTATTGATGATTTTTCCGCTGACTTCGTCAATCACAAAATGTCCATTGACCGGCTCGGCATAAAGGATGGAGTATCGAATTTCGCCATTTAAACCGCTGTCGTCGTCATGTGCAACCGCTGTAGCTACTACAGAAGCGTTGGGAATGTTTTCCGGAATTTTTACCGCGCTTTTCATAAAAGCCGAAAATTTCGGCGCATTATCGTTTCGATCTTCCACCTGGATTTCAACTGTGGCGCTTGTGCACAGACCGGAAGTGTTTTTGCATGCCGATACTGTCAGGTTGTGAAATTTCGTTTTTTCGTAATCCATGGGATAATTGAGATAAATCTGACCAAAGCGATTAATGCGGAATGTTTTATCAGCATTTCCATTGGTGATCTGATACGCTATCTCCGAAGCCAGTGTATCTATATCATAGGCCTGGATTTGGACCAGCAACGCGCCAGCCGGAAGGGATTCCGGAAGGGAAATTTTGGTGTAATCAGCGGCGAGGAATCGCGGCGGTTGATTATCCTCATCAATAACATCCAGTCTGAATCGAGCTGACGATGTGTGAAGCACATCGTGTCCATCGGATGCGTACAGTCGGCAATCGTAGCGCGATCGACTGTGGTAATTAAGCGGACGATAGAGTGAAATGACGCCTGTCAACGGGTCCAATGTAAACACTTGCTGTTCTTCGGGACATTTAATACTGTATGTCACTTGACGATTGGCGGCGGATGCATCCCCATCAAGGGCTCTTATCTGGATGATGCGCTGACCAACTGGTAAACTCTCGCGGACACTTTGCTGGTAAACTTCCTGTGTAAATATGGGCTGGTTATCGTTCTGGTCGCGGATGTGGACGTGGACACTAACGGAGCTGGTATGCTGGGCGGCAGATGGCGATCGATCGTTAGCTAGGACAATTATCGGGAAAGAGCCGGATGTGTTGGAAGCTGTCGTGGGCATGCGTTCGCGGTCAAACATTACCAGACTTCGGATGTGCCCAGAATCAGGGTCAACAGCAAAATAATTCTGTTCGGCGGCTCCTTGCATCCTGTCATTAAAAGTTAATAATTACTGTTGGCACGAAACACATTCTCTAGCTTTCATGTTTTCGAAATAATATTTTTACAAAATTCACTGATTGGTTGTTTTAACAGATAACCAAAAGTTTAATTTATTATTTTTGTTTGAATATTTGTTATGCATAAAAATTAATAATAGCTAATTAATCCAAAGGGTAACGATCTGGAGACATGTGCATCACGCGCAGTTCTTTAAGCACTGCCAAAAGATATTATACGGTAGTTATTCATTAGCGATGTACCTGTACACGATTTGGCCATTCAGCCCGTTATCGGCGTCTCGGGCCTGCACCGTCCCGACCACTGACCCGACCGGCATATTTTCATCCAATTCGAACCAATAAGTATGATTATTAAATTGCGGCGCATGGTTATTGACATCAGTAATTGTGAGTGTCAGCGTAACGGAGGTGGAACTGTTTACAGTGTAAGCCTCAATTTGCAGTTGGTAATAGGGCAGCGTCTCCTTATCTAACGTGCCATTGACCAGCAGCTGTCCGTCGGGGAAAATGGCAAAATGCCCGGCATCATTCCCCTTCGCGACGCGATACTGCACCCACGGACACGGCCACTGTAGCTCAAAGGTCATAATTCGAGTGTTGAGTGGTGTGTTTTCCGGAAGTGACATGTGGCGATGGGATTGTGCAAATCCCATTGCCGGACATACATCGTAGTGCACACGGAATCGCAACTGTTGCATAGTGTGCCGGGTGTCCTTTCCGGTTGGGTCGGCATCGGAAATTTGAACCGTTATATTGATCCAGTTAAGTGGCACATCCAGAGGATGCGATAGATAAACAGATCCGCTGGTCTGATTGACGGCCAGTGCCGGTCTGTGGCCGGCCGGCGCATCGGTGGTGTAATTGAGAAGAGAGTAGCGTAAACGCTCGGCACCGTCGTTATCGGCATCGTAAGCGTCTATCGTAACAATTGCTTGTCCCAGCGGGTATGATAGGGGCAGTGGAATGTCGTCCTGACAATCGTAGTCACAATGCTGGCCTTTAAGATTGCTAATCACCGGCGCATTATCGTTCTCGTCCTCCACCGTGAGACTGATGACGGTTTCCGTGTAATGCGGCGGACATACGGCCGATAAGATCATACGGTAAAAGCCTCTTTCTTCACGGTCAAGTGGCTTTGTGGCAATTAAAAATCCCGTAGATGCATCAAAGGCGAATATTCCCTGTTTAAAAAGCCATAAAAATATTGAGCAAGCCGCAAAACCGGCACCAGAAATTTTGTCGGCACTCAGTATTGCGATGAGAACGACACTATATCACTTTTATTAATAGAATTATGATTCTGTTTGCTTTACGGATACGCATCATCTAGCAAGCACGAGAATTTAGATATCAAAATATTGTATGCATTGTTGTACTGTAGAATACACAAGTAATGTACGCTATACAATTAAGGCAGACTCGCTCCGATGTCTTATATTTTTATTCAAGCAGTTAAAAGCAGAATTCACTTTAACAAAACTAATTATTTTACGAAAGGCAGATTTCCCCGGCACGTGCACAATCTAAAATAACGAAACTTACTTCGGTAAGATTCCCGTCCAAGAAGTACCGCACATGTCGGCTGAATTCGATTAGACGTATTCGACCAACAGTAATTGGTGCTGCCAAATTTTCTTTGATGGAAAAATTATACGCTGAGGTTTCGAAAGAAAAGACTTTCTCCGGAAGTACGGGAAAAATTAGGACACTGGCACGGTCGGCCGCAGTTGCGCCACGGGAATCAGTGGCGGTAATTTGTACAGTAACGAGGTCAGATTTGGATGTAAAAGGAATGTGGTGATTAGTTGTGATGAGACCGGTTAATTGATCCACAATAATCCCATCATGTGAAGAATGGACAATTGCATAGTGGATCACGTCTCCCTCATCAACATCATTAGCTGTCACTGTGGTCAGTTTATGGCCGGCGGCCAAGCCGTGTCCATCATTTGCCGGCACTGGCACGACATAGTGGATTGGAGAAAAAACCGGCGCTTTATTCTGCCGGCCGGTTATGCGTACACTGACAACACAGGTGGACGATTGTGCCGGGAAGCCGTGATCGTTAGCGATGACCTGCCAGAACGCACAAATTGCCAAGCGGTGCATAACAGATTAATTATTCAGAGACGGCAGTCTTTTGACTACTTATTAGCACTGTTATTAGTAGGCTCAATGCTGGAGCCGCATATTGCATAAACATGCATAGAAAACGGTGCATTGCAATTGGCATATAAACATTTCAGCCAAAGGTTTTTGTAAGACTACAGTTGTTTTAGGTTACAATTACTAGTAATTTAGTTTCTGATTTCAGAAAACAAATCATAATAAAAACTTGTAGTGCATCGTTTACGACTTTGTGTATATTCTGATACTATCTGTGTGACTGCATAAACCTTAATTATTATTTATGATCATGCCGTATGGCTAGATTTCATCTTTCTGTTGACTGCAAAATGAAACCCGCAAATCTGCCGAACTGGTGCAGTAATTAATTGTGCGTTGTACTTACCGTAAATCGATGATGTTCCCGTTCCGCCAGCTTTCCACGGTCCAGCTGGTGTCGAGTGGTCATTTGACCACTTTGTTCATCTAAAGCAAACAGTTTCCGGCTACTTTGATCAGCCGGCTGCGTCTTCATTCGGTATGATATATGTGCATTTTCGCCACTATCCCGATCGGTTGCTCGGAATGCAAAAACCGCATTCCCTGTGTACAAACTGGACTCGGTGACCAGCAATTCTCTGGGGCACTCTGTGAACCGCGGGGCATTGTCATTAGCGTCTTGGATGCTAATATGGACTGTCGTGTAGTTAATGCGTGGATTGGGCGCCGAATCCCGGGCGGAAATGTTTAGCTGCAGGGATGATGTCATTTCCCGATCAGGTCGTCCAATGGTCCTAATTAGGCCACTTTCCCGATTAATGGAGAACCAGTTGAACGTATCACCGCTAACGATGGAGTAAACGACTTGTCCGTTAATGCCGGTCCCATCGGCATCGGTTGCCCAAACCTATGTCCCAATCCATAGACACACTAAATCTTTTCAATCAAAACAGCAACATATATATATGGATATTGTATTTATACTTTAAAAACTGACTAATTTTATTTTCATTAATCAGTGGGATGCAGTCATTTTAACTATACTGAATAGTCATGTTTTCTAAATGTGCCACAAAAATTTAGATTTAAAGTGATTCTCTGCAATTATGACCAGTTTTTGTACGATACGCGTAGTAAAAGCTAAATTCAGCGCTCCAAATATTTGGCTTGGACTGAAGTCACTTCGTATTTATCTCAAGTTGTGGTCAATATACTCATATTAAAGCGCTGGGGCACGCAAAGTGATTTTGAGAAATATACACATACCGCCTGAACGAAACTTCCCACTGGAACATTCTCATTGATAGTGGCCGAATACTGGGCAGATTGGAATTGCGGTGCATAGTCATTAAGATCATTGACAAGTACCATTAGGCATTTGGTGCTGTTAAGTGATGATGGATGGCCACTGTCCACGGCAGTGATGCAGAGATTGTACTTGGACATACGGGCGCGGTCAAGTTTCCCGTTGACTCGCAGGTAGGCCAACTGTTGCACTGGTGCGGAAGACGATTTCCAATATGCCTCCAGATTGTGCTTATTGTTCATGGGGGACATATCGATACGGAACTGATTGGCCGCATCACCACCACTGATAAATAATCGCTCGAGTTGCCCGTTAATGCCATCATCCTGGTCCCGGATACTCACCACCGCTACCGTCGTGCCGTTCGCTGTCAAACATTATTATGCAAATTCAGATTATTAAAAACGACCGGCAGAATTATTATGGCAACTGCAGCTGATTTCCTCGTAAATTCCTACTGATACCGTATCTAACGGAAGTTGATTTACTAACTCGACGCATAAAATTTTAAAATTAATTTAAAGGATTTATTAGGCAACAGCCATTCAAATCAATAAAACCGCAAATGCCAACAACCTACGCAAAATTAAAAATTTAATTAAATTTACAAATTAATTAACTAATGGTTTCACGGAGAATAAAAGCCAAACACTTTCAAGTTAATAAGTTTTGAACTTACCGGCATCTTCGGCCACTGCTGCATATTCGGCTGACGATGGATAGTAGCGAAATGTAATTTCCGGTGCATTGTCGTTCTCATCTATAAGGGTAATGTAGACGTAGGCCCTTCCCGTCAGAAACGGTTGTCCGGCATCCCGTGCCTCCACCATCAGGACACATGTCCGTGTGCACTCCGAATTCTGGCATTTATTCCGCGGACAGCGTGTTTTACTTCCGGTAGTCCGCACTATACCATGCGGATCGATACTAAATTGTGACGCATTCGTCAGAGTGTACAGAATTCGGGAATTGGCGCTTTCCGGTTGATCGTTGTCCGTGGCGTGCACTTTCAGCACCGGTGAATTCGCCGGTGCATTCTCACTGACCGCCACCACATATTCAGAGGGATCAAAAACCGGCGCATTGTCGTTAATATCCCCGATCGTCACATTCAACAGGAAATAGCCGGTGAGCGGGGGAAAGCCATTGTCCGTGGCGCTAATATTTAAAATGTAAAATTCCCTGGTTTCGCGGTCCAGTACTGCGATGTTTTCAATATGGAGAAACTGTTGGGTTTTAATTAAGCGAAATTTCTTTTCTTCGTTGCCCGCAACGATATCATACTGGGCAATGGTCCCGTATAGGGGTCGGTCCGCATCGACTGCCGGTTCCAACAACACCCGTTGCCCGAGCTGATCGGTCTCGGGGAATGTAATACTGGCGACGCGATGGGGGAATATCGGTGCATTATCGTTGATATCCATGACATGCAGGACGACCGTTATGGGGAAACCGGTCCGATCTTGATTGACAATCACCAATTCAAAGCTATCTTTGACCAGAATGTCGCGATCGATTTTTTTCATTAGCGACAACTCTCCGTTTGTATGGAGCGCGAAGAGATCGTGATAGTTGGTCAGATGATAACGCTCATTAGAACGCAACGGAATGCGTCCGATTAATGTTCCGGCCGGAAGTTCCTCGGGAACGTTGAAGTGGAGGGCGGTGGAGGATGCCGGGAACGATGGGTGAAAAAGATACATAAAAAATAATAGGAATAACGGCCACAGACGACCGCTTAACGGCATTGTGATGGTTTTGCTCATTATACGGCCGGCGTGAGAAAGTCGGACAGATGATGAAAAGGATAACGGAATAAAAGATATTGCTTCATGGACGGTCCGAATATATTGTAACAGCGTCGTGTCAGAAACGTTTGGGCAAACACTCGCTGTTTGATCTGCGTGAAATCAGGACAAAGAAGAAGGATACTAATAAAACGTTGCAACCTGCAGAAACACATGTGTCAAAGAATTCCTAGCCTTATTGTATCGTTTGTAACACATTAAAGTAGTCGGCTGCGTGCTACTTGCTATAACCAGAACTTTATACACTGAAAAGTGAACTAGAATTAAAATGAACCGTTTTTATCACATATTTCTCTACGATTTATGCTTTATACCAACAATACCATTAACTGTTTGCGCAATTATTGCCTATTTCGGTAAGTAACAGAAGATTAATTAAAGTGAGCAATTATTTGAATATTGTCATATTTTCGTACGTATTCAAAGGATATTCGTGACCTTTAAACGAAACTTTTAAAACAACGGTAGTTTATTAAAGATGATAGCGGATTTAGCAAAACTCATGAACTTTTTGTTTCGAAAAACAGACGATTATAGAATTTATAGAAATGACAGAAAAGTAACTTTCAGATGAAATTAAACTCAGCACGAGTGGCATTAATTCTGAATTACAGAGTATTTACTGACAATTATATAAAGCGTAAGCAGTGTTGTGACTTACCTCTGTGCTTATCCACCAACATGCAAAACGATATTCCACAATTTTGCAAAAAGTCGATGCGCCGGTTCAGGCAAATTATTGGGATAATGTCTTGCTGGCACTGATCAGCGCTTTCTAATTAGCACCAGCAGTTGTGCGATATTACCGACAACTGGAAACACGATATGCAAAATGTGCAATATGCAAGATTTGCAAAGAGCATGATTAGCTTTACTTATGGCGACCAACTGTGGCTTCTGAGACACAAAAGTATATCGTAGGAATGAAGTGGCTCAGCAAAGCTGATTGAATTTCGAAGTCCAAATCCACTAAGAAGATCAAGTTCAGCTTTGTACGTAGTGAACTGACCAGTCCGGCAGAAATATGCAGTTTGGAACACAGTGCAAGCCTGCAGAGGCGGGCGAACGGGGGAGGCGGGATCGGGAAGATGATCGCTGACTGGCAAGACGCTATTGGCGTGTATCAAAAATAGAGAAGCCAGAGCAAGGAGAAACGCCTATCTGATTTTTACTTTCTACTTTTATCATTATAATTATTTGTTATTCGCCGGCTTCCTTTATTAAAATCTTTTCAAGGCAATAATAATACTTTGTTATCAGATTACAGTTACTGTAAACTAGATTAAATGCAGAATACCTGCTGAGAACATTTAGGTATGACCGCCTATGGATGCGAATTACTAAGTAGTAATGTAGTAGATACGTACAATGAAAATCATAGCCGCTATACCCATGTACAATGTATTTCCTTATCGATTGTAATTACGGTTTCTAAAGTATTCTGTTTTAATTAAGGAAATGTTGTTTTTGACAAGAACAAAACGTCAAATGCGCAATACACACAAAAGAATTGAATTAATAGCGTTCATTGCTGCGCATGCCATATGCGTAATTAAAATACTGCCGTCCTATTGTTCCCATAGCTGGTTGTGCTCCAACGTTGGAGTACATACTGTTGCTGTTCACGACATTAGTATTGCTGTTTCCTATTCCACTGCATAGCGCGTTATTTGATCCCATCGAATACGAACACTGTCCGTTTACACATGTATAACTTCCGGTACACAGTGGACCACTGACACTGGTCATTCCATTGATATTGTTCGAATTACTGGCCGAATTGTACACCAACACCGAACTTCCGGTATTGTATCCATACTGATATGGACCCAGTCCATTATACGGAGAGGTGTTGATATAGGGTTGCGACGGTGTGGTGGTGGGATTCCAAAAGTTGGGGCAGGTGGACCGAATGCTCACTGGCGCACTGGCTGTTCCATAGGCATTCTGTGCCGTCACCACGATTACGAAATTACTGTAGTTCATGTCGTACAGCGGCGAGATGTATCCCGACTGAGAATCGACGTTAACGTACGGACTGTCTGTGTAGTATACCAATCCCCGTGTTCCGGTTGTCGGACTCGCAGCGGAGACCTTTCCAAAGGGTGCCGTAAAAGTGCAGTTTGGTGTTTGGAAATAATAAACCGGAGGATTGAAGACCGGAGCGGTTCCGCCACGTTTAAGTCGGGAGCTGACATCTTCCCCGTTAATCTGTAAATAAATAAGGACTAAAGTATTAGTTGCTGAACGCAGTGTGAGAAAAAGCAAACTTTATGACGAAAAATGAAAAGATATGGTAATAAAATTCTGAAACAAAAAATTATAAAATTACGGTAAATTCCACAGCTTACCGAAGCACTTTGGAGATGACCTACGAATACAGCTGATTGTATGGCAATTACGAAAAATCTTGAATGTAAAGGCGTACGCATTGTAGCAATAGGTGTGTTGGAATTTTTTTTTTCGAGTTATTAGTATGACCAGAAACACAGCAATACTTCCGTAATGCAAATGTCAAGCTTTGACAAATTAAACTAATCGCTTTAACAGTCTACCCGATTTGTAGAATTTCAATAGTTAATATGTGTGTCGTTTCACATTTGCACCATTAAACAAGTACGGCACTGTAACACTTTGTTGATCACTGTATCAATTAAGACAACAGATGTTTAGACAACTTAGAAAATCAACATGTGCCCAAGCAACTTGTTACTGTAACTTGCTCAATTTGTTTACGGGCTACAATCGTATTAATTTTTTGTGGCAAAGCAACAATAATAATAATTACTAGATTATGACTTGTGTATTAGATGCATTTTTACGATAATATGTATTGTAAGTATGGTAGAAATGTAGTGGCAAAATGTCGAAAATAATCCGGTATACCCTGCGTAAATAAAGCTATATAAGTACCAGCCGAGAAGCTACGAGTAGAATTTTTGGGCACTTACAATACTTATGGAGCGCATTGTCCGGACAAATTAATTCCCGGTTTTTCAAACAAATAAATAATGGAAGTGCTTTTATAATACATGTTGAATGTAATTGTCAAAAATTTAAACAGTTGCTCTTGTGTTCTCTTCTAGTTTTCAACCGTACCTTAAAGCTGGCTTTTTATGCAGAGATCAATTGTATTAAGTTTCGGAAGATTCTAACTAACTATGTTAAATACATAATTGATCAGGTTATGGTACACATACAGTCTGATACAGAGACAAAGAGTGAGGAAAATTTAAATATTTTTGCGTACATTTACATATTTACAAAATTTGTCATTTATCGTTTTTTGCCACCAATGCCATTGTTATAATACAGATAGTTATTTCCTCTCCAGGTCGACGTTCCGCAGGGGCCAGCCGTGTTACTGTTGAGATTATAGCATTGACCGGAATAGCACAGGTAATTATTGTTGGATGGCGATGTATAGGCCAACGTCGGATCACAGCAGCTTCCTCCGTAACAAATCTGTCGGGTTGGTGCATTGTAACACAAACTGTTGAAACACCCGGAGGTTCCCGAATTCCGTGTACGGATAGAGTTCGATCGGCATGTGCCGGCATAACAAACACTGCCCCAGCCTGATACTCCATTTAACCCATTGAAACACTGGCCGTTATAACAGTAGAGTCCGTTGACTGCGTTGAGACTGTTGTCGAATGATGTGTAAGAAACAATCGAGGGACCGGCTGCAACAGCAGCGGGGGCCGCGGCGGGCGCTGCTGCCGGAGCCGCGCAACTGGAAGTGATCGTTACCGGCGCACTGACGGAACCTTGGGCATTTCGCGCAAAGACATTAACCGTGATGGTCGTGCTGATAGCGGCGCCCCACACTGACACTTGTCCACTTACGGGATCCACCTGAAAAAAGGTCAATTACATTTTCTCGTTTTCTCATTTCACTACTACATGCGTAGCCTTCTTGTTTTCAGATATATTCATCAGAAATATTTATGAGAAACATTTACTTTGTTTAAAAATCATTTGACACAGTTATTTGAAACGTTTGCGGTCACGTTTGTGGAAACATTTATTTTGTTTTCAGAATAATTTATCCAGCAAAATTGACGGATATATGGTTACATTTAGCATGTACAGAATTTGCACACAGTCTGAACGCTGAATTTTTATCTTTATAGAGCAAAAGTTTGCTACTACTCGTATAAGGATAAATATTTGACGTTTATGAAGTAATAAATTACTAGCAAGATTGCTACACTGGTACTCCCAAAGCGTTAGCAATTTAAATGGATCAATTCACACCTTAATCGAGTACGGATTATCCGTGTAATACGTTATTCCAGAACTACCATCAGGACTGGTTGCCGAAACCTGACCAATTGGGCCCGTGGAACCACAACTGCTCTGTGCGAATGTATAGCTAGGCGAGCTAAAAACGGGAGATGCTCCAGCACGCTTGTACCGATCCAAAGTTTCTTCAATCTGCAAAGCAGAAACGTTTATTTATACGAGCTTATGCTGACTTAAGTGTGCCTAAGTGGATGACCTACGTCCTACAGTAGCTGCTGCGTTGCTAATGGTTAGTAAAAAAAACCTTTATATTGCATGATAAACTGAATTTAACTTACGACGATCCCGTTTTCTTGCTCCACAGCCAGCACACGAAACGCAAAATAAAAGGGCACACAAAATTTCGCTAATAAAAACATTGTTACTGTCTGTAAATTTACACATAACCACCACAAGAATCACAGATGTAATCAAGAATTATCACAAAACGGTCATACAATAGCTTGAACGCCGGAAGTCTCTTGTGTGCAGACTGGAACAAAATAACAACATTAAATTATAATATTTCTGATCGGAATATTTGTAATAAAGCATTTAGGTGGGTTAGATTAAGTCATTTGACTATCCCATGGCAGTCTATCCGAGAAATATGATTTACCGAGCAAGATGTTAGTGAAGTCAAGATCGAAGGAATTCAATAAGCAAACTCGGTGCAAGTTTTGCGTGAACCATTATATATACATATATATGTCGTATGCCCCCTTCCCTTCCCTGGCTTCCCACATGTGTTTTGCCGGCAGTCTTTCAATGTTCCACTGCATCATATGATCAGAACAATACCGTGCTTTCTAGTTTGCACGAAAAACCAGTATTCGTAGCATTCCCTTGTTACGATTTTGTTTTCGAGTTTATGTTTAGTGCTCGGATCAGTCTGATACAGGTTTAGAATAAAATAAGGTTCTTTTTTCTTACAGTGCGTTTTCGAAGTCAAAGGAGCATAAAAGGACTTTACCTCATAAAAATATATGACTACATCTTAGATTAGCTAATGGTAAGCGGAAGCTTTTACGGTAACTAGTAAGTCTGACTATGCAAAAACTTAAGTCTTGTTTCACTTTTATCCTTGCGTATTTAGGTGTACGATCTATAGCACAATCATTTGCATGCAGTACTTCGTACGAAATTTGTCGACACCGTTAATTATATGTTACGGAGATGATTTTCCAGCAAGCTCGATTCGAAATGTGACCTTTACTTGTTTTAAGCATACGATATACAAATATTTTGTGTTTTTTGCGCTAAACTTGATCTTTATAATGCGTAGTTCTTAAAATCGCTGTACATGATGTTCAACTTTTAAATCTACAGTAATTTTGATTATTTAGCCTAATTGTAAGTCTGGACCCGTATGTATCTGCGATTGTGTATGATCCGGTTTCTTTTTAATCTGCACTATGGTTCACCATTATGATAAGCTGCATATTTGAAGTTCTGCCGAATTGATGTGCACTAACTCTATGCAGATATATTTTTTCTGAATAAAATAAAACGCTGATATGCATACAACATTTCCGCGATGATACAATAATTTATAGTAATGTTGCCGGTGAAGACATCGCCGTTATTACAAAGAGTTTATTCTACTGACTTGAAAATTTTTTGCGCAACAGGCTAATTAGATATATAATTTTATAAAGACCCAGTTTCAATTCGCTTATATAGAGCACAAATGGCGGTACAAGCTACAAAGAATACAAGGTACGACATTTGCACCTTCGCTGCCAGAGAATTTCATCCAAGGTATGAATTGTAATAATTAGGTCGGTTGATCGTATAACAACCTCCGAATACACAATAAACATTCCCGTTAGTGGACGCAGAGCACGGATATGAATTAGGAGTGCTCAGAAGGAAGCACTGCCCGTTGTAGCACATATAATTATTGGTTGTTGTATTATAAGCCGACATTGGGTCGCAACAAATGCCATTGTAGCAAATCTGTTTTGTCGGCGCATTGTAGCACACACTGTTGAAACAGCCTATTCCATTCCTGTTGGACGAAACGGAATTGCTGTAGCAGTTTCCATTGTAGCAGACTGTTCCAAACCCGGTAACAGAATTCAAGCTATTGAAACATTGTCCATTAGAACAATACAAACCGCCGCCGCTACCACTGTAGATTTGGCGCCTTTCGCGAGTTATGATGTCGTCCATTTCGACTGGATGACTCTAAATATAGATATAATACACTCCCTGTTTATTACATTGCCCCGTACATTTATAAGGCAGTTAACTCCACAAGGTGTGCAAAGGATAATTACAGCACATAATTAAATTAAAAACTCTTTTAATACAGTAGTGTCATCAGGCAAGTACGGAACATACCATGTGTACATGCTGCTGTAATTAATTCGGGAAACTGATGGCGCGGGTTAGAAAAAGTAAAATAATAATATTCATCAAAAAATACATGCCGCTGCATACATAGTACATACCTGGATCAACCCTAAGAACAAAAAGGTCAACGCCGAAAGCATACTCCAAAACATCTTTAAATAAGCAAAGTAAACCAGAGTAAATGCAATGCAGCAAACAAAAAATAATCAAGTTTTCCACAGTTCAAAACCGTAAAGGTGTAAAGTAAATTTAAATGCCGGATTGAGAATTCCACGGATTTAGATTACGAGTTTCAATTAACTAACGTAAGGAGGAGAACCAGATTGATATGAAGTACACTTCATTAATATAATCCTAGCAGTTTTCGCAAAGCTGTAAATAATTACAGAATGTGTAACACGGATCGCCTAAATCCCTGACCGTTCTACGTAGTGTCATAGTAGCGAAGATTTGGCATTTATCTCGCTTATTTTGGGTGATCTTGACCATGAAGATCATGATGTAGATGCCAAACGTGAGCTATCTATTTGTGTACGCAAGGTAACGTTAACGAAGAGATATCGTATCTTTCGGAAAAGTGCGCGTTCGAATTCAATACAGTTCTCAAGGTACCTGCCAAAATTTTTTATATATCCAAAGTTGCATGGGATTTATTGAGCATATCTTAAACCTGGTATCTCTCCAAAGAAAACATCACTCCCTGAGAGCCGTTAGCAAGTAATCAACAGGTCATCAAAATCCGTATGCGGCACTGTTGTGTTGTGCAATATGCTTAATGTTTTGACTACGTTATGCAAGGTGCTTCTCTTGGACATATTTCATAACTATTACTACGACCAACATATTTTATGTAAACCTTGAAATTTCGGGAGAACATTCACGAGCTGATGCGTAGCTGTATAGACAACACTCAGCACAAAAATCCACTAGAAAATTCTTGTACAAGTAAATCGCACTGTTATTTGTTTCTTTGGCTTATAATATTGTAAATTATTGTGCTGTTTTCGATTCGCCACCAGTATAGATATGAGTACTACTTATGTTTAAGCGGTACTGAATACCTTGGGCAACGCAAGAAACCATAGTATTAACAAGAAACCATAGTATTTGTTACAAAATTTCTCGAAAATTGACTTGAAAGTGCATTACAGAAATTAACTGAACCCTGAACTTGATTGCGGAATGACAATGATGACCCACGACTACCGATATTTTTCTACTGCAGTAACACTTTTATACATCTGTAAAACTATTATTCTCGTACGAACTGTAAAATGTGCAAGAATATTCACATTCTGCACGCTCTCCAATAAACTGTTGTAAACAGTTGAAGTAGCGGACATACGCGTATGCACTAATTGTAAGCCGAATAACTTAAAATGGAAGTGCAGTATTTGCACATAGAAAATAATTTAGTGACATTTTTTTATATTTCGTGTTGCAAGGAATGGGCAATGGTTAATACAAAATGCCGCGCACTACAAATCCATGCTATAAATAATCAATAAAAAAATAGTAACACTCAACAGTTGAGCGTAACTGTGATCGGTACTGCAGTTTGAATACCGGAACTACTGGTGCCAACCACCGTGGCACTGTACGTTCCAGCTGTTAATGTCGAAGCCAATGTAACATTTCCCGCACTGCTAATTGCAAAATTATTCCCTCCATAGTTAATAGAATACGAGGTAACATTGACTCCTGTAACGGTTCCCACAGTCGTTCCAGATGAGCACGATGTCGATGTGAAAGTATACGCACTGGACGAAAAGGTCGGCACGGTTCCCGTGATACTTGTTGTCGTAGTCTGATTGTAACATAGTCCGAAAATGGTAATTGCACATGTCGTGGTGCTGCTACTAGTGCCACTGCCGCAACTAACCGTAGCTGTTACCGTGGCCGTTGATAGATATCCGTAATAATTACTATATGAGGTCACGTAGAACGTGTACGTTCCGGCAGACAGGGTGCTGGCTATAGTAATCGCACCGGAATTGGAAATGGCAAACTGACCGGAACTGGTGGAATACCGGCCGTTATCGGAGGACGACACCGTGCCCACACTACTTCCGGTGGTGCACCCGGATGTGGAGAAAGAATAGGAATTCTGGGTAAAAGCGGTTCCGTAGTTATTGTAATTCTGGTCTACACGAGCGTAGCATTGTCCGTTATAGCAGTAGTATCCGTCGCCACAGTAATCACAGTAGTAATATGGATTCCCGAAGACCACTAGCCCGGAGCCACCGAACAGACTGCTGCCGAAGCCCAGGGCAGAGTTGACCGCTGTGTTGCTAGTAGCCACTGCTGTGGCAGCTGCTGCTCCAACAACGTTTAAGGTCACCATGCTCGTACAGGTCTACAATGGTAATGCATTCACCATTATTATTACTATTATTACGGCAAAAGAGCAGACAACCCCAAAGGGACTTCAAGTCTGGTCGAACTAGGATAAGAAGGATTTATGAATTATGAAATCGGATAAGAAGATAAGGCTTCTGTACATATACAATAGTTAGATCGACTTGTTGCTTATGAATAATTATATTAAGATCAAGCATTAATTTCCGTCGAATATGTTTGACATGCACTAAATCTCCATTGGCCATGATCAAATTTTGTTTTTGCAACAACAAAAATCATTCATTAATTTTGTCCTTCTGGGAAACGTTGGTATGAGCAAAACATATCTAGATAATTTGCTCCCTGTAATTTGAAATTTGACTCTTCATTTTTTAACTCAACTCAGTAGGAAGAAAAATGCTATTCGCGGTAGTCTCTGGATTATTACCAATACTCATACTGCGCTCGTGTACGCATGAAACGAGTATGTATTGTTTATTAGGAACTTACCGCTCCAGTAGCGTCGGTGGACTGCACATTAAACTGGAAGGATGTTCTTCCGTTTAAATTAAATGACTGAATAATGCTGCTGGTAGTGATAACGCCGGTATAAGGATTGATATTCAAATACTGATTAACACTGGCATCTGGAATGGTATACCAAACGGTTTGACCACTCGAACTTGTCGTTGTCACTGTTCCAATCTACATTAACAACCACGATGATAACACAATGATAACACGAAGACAATTTAAAATAGATATGCATAATTCTGGCAAAGAAGCAAAATCATCGCAATAATTCTGTCTAAAATAAAAAAAGGTCTGTATAGCATAATTATGTTCTCAGTATAATATACAAATAGTCTATGTGCTGATTAAAAAAATAATAAATTCATAATGGATAAAAATACAGAACAAGTAAAATATAATTTTGCACTTTTAAAAACTTACCGCGCATGAAAATTAAAAAAAAATTAAAAAAAAAACGCTTTAAAAAACTAAAGAAGTATCATTATTTTAGATTCGTACCGTTGTACCCGGCGTTACGGCAGCACTTATCGAGTTTGTGTAAGGTCCACCACAGGTCAGCTGGGAAAAAGCGCCCGTAATGAATATTAACGACAACAGTAATACAATCCATGCCGGCAATCCAGCTATTATCACCTTTGAACGCATCATGCAAATTTCCTCTCCTTGTTGTACTACTACGATCAGATTTTTATGGCGTGAAAAACTGTATTGCTTCACAAATGCTTTGTGCGTGTCTAGCATACAGCGTACTAATTTCTTTCGATTTAGATGTTAGTGATTTCTGAGCTTGGAATCTTCTGTTTTGATGAGTATGCTGTTGCATTAGTCCAAGTTATTCCATTTTTTATTATTTTTGGTGTTATAACTTGGAATCTTTAAAGTAACGGTATGCAGGATGCATAAGTCAACAAAAAGTAAGTTCAATCAGCACAAAACGCTGCACTCGTAAAAGTGCAGCTTCGCGATGCTGAGAAACAAATCTCCGGTATCGGCAAACTCACAAAAACAGCCCACAGTCTGAAATGATGCCCACGCAGCCGCAGAAGACGATCTGCTTGCTGTACGGTAACCTCTCGTAGAAGCCACTCTATTAAGTTCTTAACATTGCAAGAAAAGTGCGCGGAATCGGCAGGATGAAATACTTAAAAAACGGTTTAATTGTGTTTCACTTACTCCCGGCTTCATCATGCACAAAAATTATGTACGATGAATATTTTAATAAATGCTTTAAATATTTTGCCTACGTTATCTTTTTTTTAAATTTCTTTATCGCTTTGTCATTGAAGGGTTTTCGACTTTTCGGCCAATAACCGTCAAAATTTGACTCAGTGTAGCTTTGGGTGCGGACTGGACAAACATGGATTCCTTTATTTTTAAAATAATAACACTTCGGAGATCTTTTTGTATTTTTCGCTTTATTATATACATAATTATGTTCATGCGCGAGTTTCGGTCACTCAAAATTTATATCTTTGTCCTTAGTAGGCGGTCGATTCACGTAGCTCTACTGAGTCTACTCTAGCATGAAGGTGGATTTACTCTTTACTGCCATCTTGGGCGGTAGAAATTGTCAGTTAATGAAACTGGGACTGCCAACTAAAACTTCCAAAAATTATTACATATGTTATGATATATTGATATGTACCCACATTTTCAATTTTTTCTTTTGAGTCAAGACAAAAAAAGTCCTACAAGTTAAAAACTAAATGTAATTGGGGCGTGAATGGTGTGAGACACTGTAATGAGGTGGAACCTGTGATGTGAACACGCGGACGGATGGTAGCGTGCTACGCTGCAGAGTAATAAGTAAGTCCTGTACTTGGAAACGGCTGTCCATAGGATGGTAGGCTTGATTCTTTATGGTGGTGCTGTGGTAACGGTGCATCTTACTCTCCATTCTCCATACAAAGTGCCTCATTCTTATCTGGAGCATAAGCATATTATCAAACAATATGCCCAAAGCAGCTCAGTCTACATCTCATCCAACATTCCGACGTGCTGGTGGATTTAAAGTGAAGGACAGACGACGTCGACGACAGCTAACGCTACTTCCACCAGTGTTGACAACTTCTCGCCGTTTGTCGACCAGCCCCAACCAGGCCGCCGATAAGGCCGATAAATCCCGTCTTTCGCAAGAGGAGCCACGGAAGAAGATCACTAACTGTGCGAGAGCGCCAGGCGTTGTGCGCCGACGCAGACGGCGTCGAGGACGGCCACCGCGTCCTCCGCAGCCCGATGAATCGCGGGCGAAGAAGAGCGAATCGGACAGCGAGGACGATATCCCCTCGTCCTTCTCCGATGTTATTAAACTCATAACGCAGAAGGTCCTGGAAACTCAGGTACGTACTGTGATGATAAGTTTGCTGCCTTTGGGTGTTATAACAAATTCTGTTCTTATTCCCCTTCTACCAAATGTGGTGCACATTGGGATAAGATTTACCAAGTATGTACTTTCTATAGTGTATCTATAGATATATCTGTACAATATAGAAAGTTCCTGGATGTACATAAATCGTGTACTGCTGCGGTAATTATTGAATGCAGCGCACATCTTGATCTTCTTCTAACTCTGCTCTGCGTTACTTTTTAAATGTCCGTTTTTTAAAGCGAATTATTCATACATACTGATTTATTTTTATCTTTTTATAGGACTAATAGTTGTTGTTTCTCCAGGTTATTTACTTATTTATAATTTTCTCTTGCGCAGCTGCCTTGTAACTGGAAATAAACTTTCTGGTATTATGTGCTCTCTTTCGGTTAAAATTGGGTGCAATAATAACAACGGCACTTCATACCAAGGTTTTGGTCTTTTTTTATCACGTTGGATTTATTAAGGGTTTTTTTTATAGAAAAACATCAAAGACATGGAAGACTCCTTCGACAATTATAGAAGCACCAACGAGGAGCCGACGATTCTGCTGATGAAGTTTTACGCTTCGGTCCCTAAACTCCATGAAAAAGTCGCTGCAGGAGCGGCATTTGACGAGTAGGGTTGTCTTATAACAAATTACCCCGTGCTTGCTGCGGAGTAAAGCGCGGTTAATGACGCTTCTTAAAACAAGAAACCTTTCTTGGATTACATAATTTTCTTGTACCTGCTATCTGCTGAGTTACTTTATAGACGCGTTGAATTTCTTCCTTTAGCTCTATATTTTTGTGGATTTTTTTTTCCTAATTAAAAACTTGTATGGAAAAGTGATTAATAAGACTATTTTAATCGACTGTTTTTGTCGGCTATTCTTTATTTTGAAAATTGCGATATTAAATTCATAACCGTTTTGACTGAAATTTAACTCATCTATATACGTCCTCGTTTTTAGTGATCTGCTTGAAGGTGTTTTTGAAGAGTTATTTCCTGCCAACGGAATAGTTGCTGAAAAAGGGAAGTCATCGCGTTTCCTGGATTTATTGACCCGGGATTCTAAAACGAGTCCAGTGACTAAGAACAAAGCATCTGGAGCTGCTGCTAGGAAAAAACGAAAGCCTCCACCTACGGACGATGCTAAACCCGTCAAGAAACGAAGAAGACGCAGAAAAGCTTCAGACTGAAAAACAGCCGGTAGTTGTTGCACGGGATGTGGTTGCATCTCTTTTTCCCATTTTCCAAATAGGGTTTTTTGTATTCTCAAATTAAGCCCGTTAAAGTTCGATTTATAGCGTTTTTGGATCGGCTTTTAGTTATGTATGCTTCAACAGTTTTCATATCTTATTGTAACTAGCGTTGAGTACAAAAATTTGCCTGTGTGTAGTTTCTCATAGTCCTGCATGTAACAGTATTTTTACCGGAATCACCTGTGTGTCCAGCCTTTCTATGAAGATCTCACTTTTAAGTCCGTTATACTTTAAAAAGATCCTTTCATTTTCTCGCCTCTTTTGGAAATAAATGTGGTTGTCAAATTGTGTTATAAAAAATACAGCTCTTTTCCATCTGTTGTTTTCTCAAGCCGCTAGCAAGCCTTGCCGCTAGCATCGGTTCTCGTGACTTATATTACATACTCGCCTTCTGAAAAAGAATTTTTGCCATAGCCCATAATGTCAAACAGTATTTTCTTAGTGCTTTTAAGTTGGAAAAAGTTTAAAAATTTGACAGTGGACTTGTTTTTTAAGGTGATTTACCATCGAATTGTTGTATCTGACTGTGAGGTGTGCGAATATTTAGAAAATTCAGTTCATTGCGGAGCATATGATAATGACCAGTTGTAATTTTTGTCCTCATAAAGGTTTTCCTTCTCTCAAAATCACCGCATTTCTCATTATACAGAGCACTAGAAGTACTGAATTTTCGGAATAGCGTTTTTGATCATTTTTTCTTTACATTTACCTGTTGAAAAACCGTTGTGGTATCAAAAAAGTCAATAGTCCTCTTGAGCGATGTTGCATCTGTGCACAAGTCAATCAGGCATCAGCCCAGTCAACGCAGCCTTCTGATCGACAACACAGGTTTTATGTACGCTCACATGCACTCGATACTTCGATTTTTCCTCTACTGATCCCGGCGCTAATGGAGCCACAAATTTTTCATGCACTCGCACAAGTCAGAAAGTGCTCCAAGATAAATTATCCTTCTGCCACACAGCTCGTGAATATATCCGTTATTTGGTGGGAAAATTATAGTTGATTATTTTCTTATTTACGATGTCAGCTATGACCACGCGGTCTGCGTCAAACCCGTCGTTAACGTCGAATAGCCGAGCGTAGTGGAGAAACATTAATGCATATCGAGAGCTATATTACTCTTACCATCTGAAACGCGAAGTGTTGGTTCACATGATTGTTATTCTTGGGATGAACGTTTTACCATAGTGTTCCCGGGAATACGGGATGATTCTTCGTATAATGTGGTTTTTGGATCAGTGTTTTTGCATCTGTTTGCTTATGCTCAGTACCGACGAATATCCATTTATTACCTGTATTTATCTGCCACTAGAATTATCGCAAGTTTGGATAGGATGTTGCATTACCCTCTACCAATTGCACGAACAAGTGCGCAAATAGTAAAAATTGACTGTCAATTTCCATGATAATTTTTCTCCACGTCAAAGTTTTCTGTTGTTGCATAACTGAACTAAAAGGTCAAGAACTGATTCAATACGCCCGAATAGGTCAAACACACATGAATACATGATCCGTATTTACACGACAAGTTAAGTGGCTATCGTTACAGCAGTTTCACTGAAAACAGAAACTGTTCACGAAATTTTTATCGTATGATGAAATTCTTCCCACTTCTTGGAAAAGGGACGTGCAGAAGCTAAACATGCGATAACAATCGCAATAAAGCAATTTTCTTTTTGCACGTGTTCACGGACCACATGAACCATGCATTGGTATATTTTTTTATTTGAAAAACAAACACAAATTAGGTTTGCTGGTAATGCAATCGCACATTTGTCGGAGTGTTAATTTTGTATACACAAGCTTTTTCGCTTAAAAATTAAATTGTTGCGCCAAGCTTCTACAAATTGAATAATTAGAGTGCGAGTAGTTAGGAGAACTGCTCGCGGATTCCCATGAATCGATCTAAATCGTGATCAACTGCTCCAGATCATTTCAGACATCATTAATGTTGCGAGGTGTGTAGTAGGCTGTACAAAATTTTCTTGATAAAAGTTTATTTAGTACGTACTACAACATCCCATGATTTTTGGTTTTCCATGTTTTGCTTTTACTATTTTTAAAAATTTATGTAGTATCTGTCGTGTGTGCCCACAACAACTGTAAGGTCAACAAGTGATGGATGATTCGGCACGGACTCATCCCATAAGCAAATTTGATAAGGAAATCCCGTGTGTGATCACCGATCACTCCCTAAATTTAGCCAACAAATTTCCATAGGGCTTCCGGCCAATCCGGTAATCTGTTTAGTTATAGGACCGAGGAAGTTTATTTTTTACTTACGCCAAACTGAACATGTGCACTGCAAAGTGCACTCCGTGCGAAAATCTGCAAGGGGATTGTATGTTGCCTCTCAGCTGACTGCCTCCTTCGATTTGATCCTAATTTCTTCTAGGTTTTCTTGGATGGGCCCGCAAGGCGATGAGTGCCAGTGACCGCCACAATAACTACCAATATCCTGCTCACTTTTTTGCCATGTAGACATTATTGACTTTAATCGCACTGGAAATGCTGCTAGACTACAACGTCGGTTGTATTACTTCGTTCTGTGTCACCATCCACTTTAATACATTTCAAACTACTGTGTCGGCTCATTACTGCAGCGCCTGCAGAACAGAGATGCGATGCAGAAAAAATAAGCGCAAGTAACAGTAAGCACAGTTTTTTTTTTTAAATCACCGTTAAGTTTTAAAATTGCAATTTTATTTAAATTTGTATTTTGGAAAACCTCCAAAAATGGGTATACTTTATCCGGATTGTGAAATATACGGACTTAAAGCTAAATTAGTACCGATAACGTAGCTTGTGTGCAGTTATTTTCCAAACATTTCAAAAACTTTCAATGAGCAAAGCTACCATAATCATATACGAGTATAATATCACTGTTCAAACCATCAAACGGGACGACTGATGGTTAGGTTAACGTATTGTACGGTTGAATACGCAACGTGGCGGGTACACTACCATTTATTTTTTGAAAGTAACTGCGAGTCCAGAAATCAGCTTTAATTTTCTCTTACTATATTTCGGGCGCTGCTTTGCTCCTATTTATTACCTGTGAGCAACTAAAATACAATGTACTAATGCAAAGTACAATTAACATCATTTACTTACCGATATTAAAAAATCAATTCGGTCTTTACGTACGTATGTGTGAAATATGGAAAAACTACTATATGAAATAAAGTGGAACTACACTACGTGTGGAACAATAATAACGTAACGACACTGTTGGTAAGCTATAAAGATAAATACTGCATTATAACGATGTTACTGGTTGTAGACAATTTACTACCTTTAATATGCAAAAACATTTTTCTAGGTGTCGTATTGTGATGTGCGTAATACGGAACGACTCCCGGTAAACAAACCAATACACCGTTTGTGTAAAATGTGTGTATCCATATCCACTGGGCTAGTACTGTACATATATACCGACTGTGAACTGCCGCCGCATTATTCCCATTCTCACCCCATCAAGGATGTGGCACCATAGCCGGTATAAAGCAGAAGTCGGAACTGTCACAGTCAACTTACTCGAGTTGATCGTAACTCACTTTTTTAAGTGCTGACTGGCATTGTTGCCTATCAGAGATTGCAGTCACTCCTGCGTTTATTAGTGGCTAGTTGCAATTTATTTTCTTTTCACTACATCATCCAGCGCAACCTCATTCGGCGCGTCTGGCATTCCCTTTTTCCGTCGCATTCGAGGGTGCCGCGCGCGTACATCGTCTGGCAGTGGTCCTTGTCGTACATTACAACAGGAAGTCGGCCGCGGTACAAGCGTGTTCAGCTATTCTTATGGCCACCAACCGCGACGTATCCAACTGTGGGATTTCGCGGGCCATTTTTTATTCTGTTAACGCCGTTTGATTTGCCGTGAAAATTGATTGATATCGTTTCTTTGTGTTGAGCGGTTTGACGCGGCAACCGGGAAAGACGCAAAAAACTTTACCTATTCCAGGACGCGCGTATGTTGCGTGCATTTATCAGAACGTTCTTGTTACCGGAACGTTCTTGTCGCATGCGTTTGTTGCCGAACCGAGACAAAGTTCAGTTGTACAACTGCAAGGATTTTATTCATCTGTTCTCAAGAACCAGTTTTTTTGGGAATGTAAGGAAATCCTAAAGATACCAGGTATGCAAATGCAGTTCATGACTATCATGGTTGTGCATAATATAATATTTGTTTTCTCTTCGACATTCGAATTATTTGAAGTTTAAATTTCATAACTTTGGTGGCTTCGTCATCAGAAACGTTACAATTAGTGAAGTGTGCCATTCGAGCCATTCACTAGCTAAAATCTCTATAGCGTTAGGCAGTCTATGCGGGATTTTTGTAATTGTGGATATAATTACAATCTTCACCACGAAACGGTAGCTGCAGCAGACGCATACTGTAGATGCAGTTAAAAATTACTGTAGCTTCGTATCAGAGATATTGCGTTGAGGTGCAAAAGTAATTTGAAAATTAAGATATTGATAAATTTCGACTTAGGTGTATCAAAATTTGTATATTCATACAATGCAACACAAAAATAATTACAGTATCTGTATGGGCTGCAAATAAATTTCTGCTGTGTCTTTTTTTCTTGAAACCGTGCATATACATATAACTCCATCAATGTTAATGAGCGGTTCATACGATTGTTTATTATCGTGTAAATTATTAATGCCCCGCTACTTTTCAGTAAGCTGCCATGTAGTCATCGTATCATTTGTAAGTACTGTAATGGTAGTAAGTTGCGCTGCCACGCACTTTAATACACATCTCCGGGAGTGTGTATCCTGTAGTTACTTGGTCATCCTGTTTTCCGATGGGTCGATACAGAGTTGTAAACCGATGCCTTATAAAAACTTGCAAAGCAAATAAGTAGAAAAATTCGTTCCATTGTCAGGCTGTGTGAAAGTGCTGTACAGAAAAGCCAAGTTCGTGTCGGCATGTAAATTGTTTTTTGGCTTTATATGTGTGCTTGATACGATTACATTCTCCGGCAAACATTTTTCAGTATTAATATCAACGCGTATAAAAATGTTAATTAGCACTTACAACGTCGTCAATATAAAGGGCAAAAATGTCACATCCGGTGTATTCCGAAGCACAACTCAGTTGGACAGAGCCGTCAAACTCAGGATGGATCCAACAGTACGGGATCATGGATTTAATCTAATAAATGGATATATACTATACATCCAACATTTTATCATAGACTTAACTGCACTTTTCGGTTTTAACTGTATGTTCGAGGGGTTTTTTTTTATGCATTTATTTATTGAATATACAACTGAGTTATCCACTAAAGCCGAGAAAAAAGCTGTGGGCTATCGAAAACCAGCACGTATTCGTTAATGTGTGCTGGTTTTTCGTTATTCGCTAATATATTCGTTAACTTTTTGCCAAAGAAGCGTAAAATAGCCTTTAAAGCCGACTGGCGGTGTCCATATGCAGTTTGAGTACAAGAAAAAATAGATAGCGTACTACTGTGCCTGATTACGCGCGTCGTCGAACAGGAATCTGGGAATTTACGCCCACGTGAGTTCCTGCGCTATCGATTTCTAAAGTTTCGCTGAACTACCCTTAATATTTTTAAAATTAACAGTAATATGCGGTTGACGAGAGTAATTAACCTAGCCGCAGGCAACACTTGAGAAAGATTGACAGCAACTTTAATAGGATTGGTGGGAATCGCTTCCAACGTTTGGACAACTTGTAATACAGTATCTTACACCATACTGTAAGTTATCCTGCAGTAATACGTATCAAGTCACTTGTAACATTCCAACACTGAGCGAAAGATTAAGTAAATGGTAAATGTTTTCAGATTAATAAAATGAGCTATTATAAAAGTTCCGAACTTCTTATGTCATTATATCATTTGTACGCTGCCACAGATGGAGTATTTTCCACACTATTAAGGCATACACAGTACAATGACTATTGTCTACTGTTACTTACGTTCAATGACATGCTCGTAAAGGAGACAACGAAAAACGAAATTAAAGGTTATCTTCAACGTGGTCACGTCTCAGTAGTATACTGTGATTTATTAACAAGATCCAATTAATAAATTTTATTCGAGTTAATTTTGGTTCGTCAAGCAGCTGATGATCATGAGATTCATGACTACAGTATCCGTGTCACGCAGTTAATTATACGCTTTTATTTTCAGCAAAAACAGCTTCAAAGATGGTATCCCTTTCTCGATTCACGGAGATGCGCGACAGAGCCCATTCGGAGGTGCAAAAATAAAAAATGACTAACATAAATTAATGTATCATGTAACAGATTGATGTGTATATTTCAGATATTTACTTTCATTGTTCCGAAAACTATTTTAAGCGATTATGTCCAGGACGTCCAAAGTAAAGTAAGACATAAAACGTTACTGATTTCCAATGCTTGCAAGTTACGTAAAAGCAAAAGCGTTGATGGCATACGTGCTATTTTCTGTTAATACAAAGATGTTAATATCTGTTAATATCTTGTCTGATTTGTGTAAAGTGTTCATGTGCTGAATATCCGCCGATATCCGTTACAGGATTTTTCGTATGGATACCAGCGATGGTTCTTGTCATTTACCAAAACCGATCATCACCTGTCAGCATCCCTACATCTGCGCATCAGTCCCAGTCCCAATGCTGTGACCTGCATACTGGATTACACTATCGTATTACTCAACCGTGAACATTTTAGCAGAAACGAAATTTATAATGCCAAAGATGCCGTCTTTACGGCAGCATGTGCGGTACAATCCAGTCCGAATTTTGTGGGCATACCGGATTTACTTTCGAGACAATTCACCGATGATCAAGGAGAATTTATCATTGATCTCATTTTGAGAAATCCCAGAAGTTTCTATGAAGATGCAATACAGGTACTGCTTTAATATCCGGTGGAGAGGCCAGAAGGCTAACCCAACAACCGAGACGAATACGAAAGCAATTTTAGTGTTTCATTGATACTTTTGGTTGAAAATTGTATCAGTTCAAAATGACAGACAGAATTATAAAATATTTGCGAAATACTGATCATAAAGATACCTCTGTACTGCAAATGTGCTATATATAATCAATGTACATTATACTTATATGCGCTATAATTAAAATAATAATAATTATAGTTATGAAAGCCGCGAAGTGAATACACATGATACTTCAGTGGAATAATTTATTTCTTGTTCTCTTGTCTATCTGTATCCGTTATAAACTGAATGAGTCAAGTTGGTGCAAACTCTGGCATGTCAATCCAGAGCATACAGTGGAACGTTAATTGTTATTTCAATAGTTTAGCTACGAGTAGCTAAAATAACATAAATGCAACGACCAGCAACACATTACATCATTGTTCTGTTCTCAAGGTCTTTTATTCTGTTATATTCCAGACTCTGGATTATTAAAATTTTATTGGCAATAATTCATACTCTAGCAGAAGATACTGATTGGGCACGTTGTTGACACTATAAACTGGGCAATTCATTTCATTCATTCGCTTGTTTGAAGGTATCACCTCGAGTAAAAGGTCGTCCTCTAGAACGGCTGGAAAGTGCTTATTTTGCCTTTGGAAATTTGGAATGGAATTTAGTCTTGTTGCCGAATCCTTCTGGTACGATACTGAAGCTGAACCGAATGACACATTTCGAGCATAGCTGCCAGACAAGATTTCGAGTATCCGTTGGACCCGAACACGGGAATCATTTTTTATCCGGTATTCTGGATAGTCGCTCCGATCTCAGTGGGACAGGAGAATCAATTATGGCGAAACTAGCGCTAGAGGTAAGCGCACATTTTGGATAATTAATGAGATCGCCGCGGTTCATTTAGTATTAAAAAAAAATTGTGATGCTGATTTAATTGTGTAACGTGATGGCCATGTACGAGTATGTACTCTACTTTGTTGGCATCGTGATCCACATTTGTTTTATCCAAAAGCAGAAAACAGCAACGTAGTTACGTGCAGTTTTTGTTGGGCATTACAATGCTCAGGTAAGCAAGGATTTTGTAATTATAAAGCTTTGCAGAATTATGTTGAAAACAACGTCGTAAAGGTCAAAGTGGAAATGTTCTCGGCGAATTTGCTCAGCGAAATTATCATACCAACACTGCATCAGTCCGTCCATTTCTACGATCGCGATAAGCAAGGATGGCATGTACAGACGTATGCCTGCGAAAGGGGTGAAACTGAGCTGTTGAAACTGAAGATGTTCTACAGTGATGTAAAAAACGTCCCCCGTGAGATGGCTCGTTACGTATCATGGCGAGTGCAGGTGCACCCCACCAACAGTCCGTCGGCATCCAAACCGGAAACACTGGGGCCTTTTGTTAAATATTATCAGCAGCGCGATGTTGATTTTAGCTTCGAAATATCAACAAAAGCATCACTTTCACAGGTATGAAATAGCTGTAAAATTGCCTTCTCGATGATGGTCAAACAGCGTAAATCAACATTACTGCATGTTCCAGCATTTTAAGCCTTCTGTTATACCGACATGCATAGGATAAATACACAATGTTCATCCGATACGCCTGCTCAATAACCGCTTCCAAATAAAAATCAGCAGTAGCGAATTAGCGGTACCTTTGAACAAATAAATTAAGTGCATGTTTAATTTAAACATTTAGTTCACAACTAAAAGGTAAATTTCACACATCGTTAATTGTCGATGCTATCAAAAAATGCGGCACTTAAAATAAATGTATTTGTTTTCGCTATATTATAGAAATATTATTAAAGATAATTTAGGTACGCATGTTTTTTCGTATGCTATTACTATTTTAAACTATTTTCCTAACGGGGTTAGGATTCATAAAAATAACATATTCCGCAAGCTGCGTCACGGGGTTGCAGGTGTGAAGTAAAACTACTACCCGTACTCTAGATCATTAACGTTACTTCACACATAATTGCCATTTGCTACTACTGTTTACCGTTAATGATACTCAACCAATGCCAGTCTACAGTATTGCAAAGGATAAGCTTTACGCGCATGATATTCATTGTGAAGTGTGGAACAATAACTTTGGTTACATTGATATTACAAAATAACTTATCACGTAAAATACGCAAATCCATAAGTAATGAGTTGCAACCTACTTACAGCTTACAGTGCATATCGCTACTGATTATTAATACGCGAAAAGAAATAAAAACGGTTTTACAGGAACTAGCGGCTGTGCGGGCGAGACGACCAAGTCAAGTTGAAAACGGAAGCAGTGCACAGAGCGAGAGCACCCTAAATTCCTACACCGTAATTGTGGAATGGCTGCAACTGCATTTACTAACGCCGGCCAATTTTCATCATTATGATGATTTCCATCGGATGCAGTATCACCAGATGCGGCTGGAGCTGGCCACAGTGCAGAAGGAGTGTTACAGCCTGGAGCGGACATTACTGCAGTACCAGCACGGAGTCAAGCCGCAGTATCATCCGGCGGATCAAGATACGAGATCGGGAATAGAATTAGTGAACGGCGTCTAAAATATGCAATTTTTTACAATTTCTACTTATTGTCAAACGTTTGTATTCGGGGCGTGTTATGAGCGAGACCAGGCTTTTGTAAAGCACTCCTTGCGGAAAACATGTTTCCATAAGTAACCGAAAAAGATGGGGTTCTATATGCACGTTTAAATATCTTTATATAACTGTTCCGTACTTTTCCATGTTGTAAGCAAAATTAACGTGCAATTAATTCTTGAGCAATCCTGTAGCACTTGACAATAAGCGTGGCCATGTATGGTGCATTTGTGAAATGTAAAACGGAATTAAATCAAAAAATCTTTTTTTAGATAAAGCGAATCACCGATACAACTTCTCAATACAACTGATACAACACCGATACAACTGAAACTATGGGTGCATGGTGAAAAGAAGCCAAGTCTAAAATGGCTGTTCTAGGTAAACTGCTTTTTGAAAGGACACAAGAGAAACGATCCCCTCAGTTTCTGAAACAGCGGATCAGTAACAGTATTGCATTCATGCGTGGAAACGCGGCGTGTGTGCAGGAAACTTTCTGCATAGGTCGGAAGCTTGACAAAGTGTACTATGTGTTAAAGTGATTTTATAGTACGGAATCTATTTCTTAACCTGATGTTCTTAACGCAACCCAATAAAATATTGTTAACTCCGACAGAAAAAAAACTTCTCAATGGAAATGGATCTTTCAAAAAGCTAACTGAAAGAGAGCACGAATGTTCTGACTTGACTTGTTATTCACGGTTCACCCATGGCCAAATGTACAGCGTATCACAACAATTGTAATGATATACAATGCATTGCACCACAGTAACAAGACACAGAACTAATTACTATTTGCTAAATAATTTACAAATTTGGCCATCTGTCAAAATTCCCGAGAAGACTTTCAATATAAATATTGAAAAAGGTAACTTATAAACTTTACTTTTACACAATTCCAAACAAACAAAGCACAGTACAACCAACTTATGGCCGAAGCCGAACGGTGTGCATATCATCCAGTTCACTTTACCGGTACAACAGTCTGTAGACTTAAACCGTGCATATCTTTGATTTCCTTTTCAAGCACCTGCAATGGCCCAATAGGTGATACACCTCGTAAAATACGTACTGTTGCAAAACGCTTTAGTGTCTAAAGAATATAACATAACTAAGTATACCAAAACTTACAATGAAAAACTAAAGACACATCTGTACAGATTACACGTCCAGATTACTGATGGTGAGTGTGTGAGTGAGACAAACGTCATTACGGTATGCACACAAAAATGAATACTTACGTATAATGCTCTTAGTTTCCAACCCAATTATTCGAAAGCATACTAATGCGAAAATCGAAAATAAAACATTAACACTCTATAATTTACATACATTTCTGCCGCCAGGATATTTACAAATTACTAGCCGAACTCTGAACCATAAGCTTGTAGGCTAATTACAAAACTTACCTTATTAACCATCCTCTGCTGATCGACAAGCTTCTTGCCTCGAAACTCCTCTGCTTCGATATAAATTTGATACATTGTCCCACATCCGCCTGGAAAAGTGATGCTGTTGTAGCCAGGCACATCTAAGATTCCTACTTATATGGCTACAATCACTTACAAAACTTAAAAACAAAATACAAAATCGACAAATATTTGAATACGTACATCTCTTCTATGCTTCTGCATGACATTGAACGCAAAATAGTGTAGTATAAACTCTTAAGACAAACAAAACTGTAAATTTTAGCACTGTAAGTCGTGTTTGTGATAGCGCGTGTTATCATTTTACCTTGCTGTAACGTTGTTAATTTTTTTCAAACTTACCAGAAACGTCTCGAACATCAATTTCAGTAGCTTCTGGGAAATTACTCTGCAACAAGCTGGTTATATGCCTCTCTCCTTCGGACATGGCATCTTCTGTCGAAGAAAGACTTCGCGTTGAACTGAATATCGACGAGCGCAGAGACTGCAGAACATGTGCAGTCTTGTCAGACCTGTCAAAATGCAAGTTCCTGTGGTAAGTTCCAGACAATCCAGATCCGGCAAGTCGGAAACCATACACGGGCGGCTTCCGCATGTAAACGAATTTGGTCACACAACTGCGAAACATTTTATCGAGCTGTCTCATAAAATTTACTTCGACATGTGATTTGGAGTTGGACAAGGCACAAAATCATGGAAAGATTGGACGTATGTAACTATGTATTATGCAGTTTATGAAACTTCTCACTGCTTTTAAAATTAGTTTATCCCTTCTTGGCAGTCTTGAATCCTTGACTCTTCTCGTCTTCCGGTACCACTAGAAGCATTAAGGTAACTACCGTTCTTGTATGGAATGTGTATTCTTCGCTAGGAAAAGGCGCCCCGCCCTATACGGCAGTGAATAATTGTGCAAACGGTTTACCGCAGTGACGTCAACAGTCTTATCACCGAGCTTTGCGTAATAACACTCACTATCAAACGATTTATCATTTACGCGAGTTTCGTGCCGGATTAGTTAATAATCTCCAGTTTCATAAAGCCGTGCTGCAGATCTCATCATTTTGTCAGCCGAACATTTATTTTGCGAGCTAAAAATTATTTTCAGCGGTATCAATCTGCACGAAGTTGCGAGAGTTTGTCAGAATGGCGGTAAGAGAGCAGACTCGGTCACTTTGCTGTCTTCGCGTTGTTGTGTTTAAAAATAACAAAATTTCAAGTTTCTGTGTTTTTACGAATTTACAGCCGGAACCCAAAAAGCAAGCAGCAAAGGGCCAAAAGCAGATTCACAAGGAAAACCAGGACACGCTTTTATTCTACAGCGTTGTTGCCGTTGTTGCAAATGTAAGTCCCCTCGCGGGCCTCACCTGACTCTGTAGCGGAAGCTCTTCCTGATTTCCATAGCTTATCTCGGAGCGGTGAACTTTAATTACCTTATTACATTTAATTAATTTAAATCAATATTTTGTAGCTTATCTTTGGTCGCCAAAATATTCCTCATTTTTGGTTGCATCATGAAAAGAATGAGCCGAGCGCGTTTCTCCGCGGATGGATCATTAATTGAGGCGGGAACCGATTTGAACATGCAGAGCGGAATGGCGGAGTACGTGACTGGACGCCTTTATTGAGCCTCTGTGTAATATTATTTGATTTATTGTGAATTTGTTTCTGTTGCAGGCACTTGAAAGATGTTATTATCTTAATGGCCATTGTTCAGATTTTAGGATTGTTGTGGAATTACGTATGGTTAGCGTTATTGCTGGTAAGTCCACTACTGAGTAGCCATTTATCTGTAGTCGTATTTTTTTTACCGTTTTAATCTACATGTTTTTTTGCGGCATTGTTGCACTTTTGCTGCATGAAAACGGTGTGGAATGCACTTTTTACGGTACTTTTCTTCGTTGATCATTACTCTAGTCTTGCTCGTAAATTGGAGAGCAAAGCGATGGGACCGAATTAGGTGACTGTGCTGAAATGACTGTATGTATTGTAACGGATTAATAATGTTGTGAAATCGGGGTATTTCCTATACTGGTACGATAAGTACTAGTATTACGAACGCTTAATTTTGGCAGTGCGAATAAGCACGTGCAGCCGGCTGGCAGTAAGATCTTTCCAATGAATATTGCGGAAGAAATTTTTTGGTCGCCATTCTCTTTTAGTCTTTTTGTGGAAATTTTGAATACTGCGTACGGTGCGTGGTTGAGCAGTGCAGTTAAATACAAAATGCATCTGTTTTATAGCTGACTACATGCGTCTATGTAGATTGTATGGTGTATGCAAAAATGTTAGTGCAGTTTAACTTTGTTACTTCTTTCAATTTGAATGAATGAAAAGCATTTAAACCGTACATTATGGTACGTGCATTTGTACAATTGTACTACGAGTACTTCTACTGTTCTACAGATACTTCTCTCACTTTTGCAAACGGCATGTCGGATACGATTTAAAAGATTACGAGTAACACTAACAAGTTAACAACTCGGTAGATTTTTGAAATTTTATCTGTAGTAAGTAACCGCCGGTATGGAGCTGGGTTCACCCGCTTAGACAAGTTGCTACCAAACGGCTAACCATAAAATTTTCTCGGTAGTTTACCCATAGCTTATGGCATACCAATACTCTCCCTAAATTCTGTGCCGAAGGACTGTACAGTCATTACTCTGCCTGTTTTAAGTTTACGGTTTACCGACGTCCGACGTATTTCTTGAATCAGTAGTTGAATGTTCTGCATTTTGTGAGTTTATGATTTATCCAGAGTTTGTTTTTCCCAAACATCGTTCCGTATGCTTGACTTTTCTATCTGATTTCTGTTTCGCCGAATTGATTTAATCTTCGCGCGAAAATGAGTAACCTAGACGATTTTTTTGCCAAAAAAGATAAGAAGAAACCTGCAAAGAAGGCCGAGAGCGCCCTGAAAACGACGGAACTCTTCAAGGTCCTTGACAGCGCTGCTCAAAATGTCCAGTGGGATGATCAGGATTCCGACGGCGGAAAGAGCCGAAGAGACATAGGCACGGTACTGGGAGACGTTCTGAATCCCGAGGAAGCCTCCAAATGGGCCGATCCCATCGAAGAAGAACGCCACTATGATCTGTCCAATCTGAAGATTGAATCCCTTCAGTCGCCCGATGAGTACGACACAAACAACACTGCTGCCAATGCCGACCCGTCAAAAACCACGAAAACATGGGACATTCCAAAGAAAAAGGACGTGAGTGCCAAACAGGAGGAAAAGATTATTGGCAAGAGCCCTGTGAGTGACAGTCCAGTAAATAAGGAAAAGCCAACTGCTTCGGAAGCACCCAAGGAGGTTGCGGCTAGCAGTGATGCTGCGATCAAAGGGGAAAACAAAGAAACCGACGAAAAGAAATCTACTGTTGAGAGCGTGGAAAAGCCAGGCCCACAGCAAGGGGTAAGACCAGCGAGCTTACATTAATACATATACGCTGGTAAGACTAAGGAAGTTAGAAGTTGAATTATTTATAATTTGTATGTAAACACTCAATAAAATAGACAAGATAGACAATCCGCTACAACAAGAAAATTTCTTCTAATTTAATTGTTAAACTAATTGTAATGTATGTTAAACTTAAGTGTTAGACGTTTTATGGTTTATGGTTTTAAGTGTTAAACGTTTTATGGTTAGTTTCGGTACACCAACTACGATATAAAATTCAGTTTTCAAAATCATAATCGCGTATTTGGAGTTCTAATCGTTAACCATCTACCTGTATTTGCGTTGAACCAGTGGCTTGCCACTTCATATTGTGATTACACGGAATTTATACTGCCTTTTTGGCTCTCTAGATGCATTTGCACAGAATATTGTTTAGTTTGCCTTCCAGCCATTTCCATATTATGGGTTATTGCGTATTGGTAATCGCTTTTTTTAAAATGCTCCATAGATTCTGCAGTGTGCGAAAGTGCGCAGCAGAGAAATTTTACTGTATATTGTACTGGCATAATCGTACAGTATAAATGCATGATATAGTATATAATAGCTCAATACCGCTGTCGTGTAAATACGCAGACTACATTACTTGATTAACATTTATTATACATTTTGACTTTTGTTAGGCATACATCGCTCCTGGTATGCGCAATCGCCTCCCCGAAACAGCGCCAGTGAATCCTGCGCCGACTCCCAAAGATATTGCGAAAAGCTCATCTGATGGTGGTGGTAGTGCCTACGTTCCACCTCATATGAGGGACAAACCGAAAGAGCTGGAAAAGACCGTCCTCATGTCCTCTTCATCAGGCGCACCGCAGCCGATCAAAGCGCCCGAACTGGACAATGAACAACAGTTTCCGAGCTTGGGTGGTCCTGCTCCGAAGCGGAAATGAAGAAGAGTCATGCAATGCAGTGTGTCGCTGTCATTTGTAGACGTCTTACACAGTTGCAATGTGATCGAATGTGTTTTCGGTTGTTTGAATTCGGTTCAGTAGTATCAGAGTGGTCCCATCGCAGAGTGCTCTCGCTTTAGTTCATCTTTCATAAGTCGAAATCCTCATTACTGTTTCGCAGATACCCGCCCGACTATTCCAGCTGCTTTGGAAGAATGTGTTAGCGCCATACTTTTTCGCCCCCGCACCACCGGAAATGGATGAGAAAAAACAGAAGAAAATGGAACGCAAAATGCGACGCTGATGATTTGAAAATTTGTTTTCTATTCCTGTCCTGTTGGTGACTGAAATTTTATTTTTGTTTCTGATTGCTAATTTATTGAAGATCGGCATGAAGATTAAGAAAAAGCTTTTGCATTTCTTGGGCTACTAGAATGTACAACACGAACTGCAGTACGAGTAATGCGATTCGGAGTTGCGAATAATACGTATATCCCGGAGTCAGGACGGATAATGATTCGCGTTTTGCAAGTATCTCACATTCCGGGCTAAAGTAATAAATAGTCTCACTCAATCTTCAGCTCCCTGCACGGGCTGGCAACCCCGTGGAGAGGGGGAGTGTTTAAAGCAGCGAATCAGAAGACGTCCCCCAATTCAAGTTAGAAACGAAGATTGGGTGTAATTTCCAGTGTTTTGCGCTTTGCGCGCCCGGAGTTACGGGAATGAATAGTACGGGAATGAATTAAATAGTACGGGAATGAATTAAACAATGGGTTTTTTATTTATGTACGTAATACTGCACAAATGCGCATGGTAGCGTTTTACATGCTTAAAAGGCAGAAGTCGAAAGAATACATTATCGTCCATAACTTTAACGACTTGCGGAAAGCGCTAATCACTGTTTGCAATAAACGATGTTTGGCGGTGACCCCCGGCAGTCCAGACTCCACTCCAGGCAACAGGACCGCGCTACCACCGAAGGGTGTTGTGACCCGGCAGTGTTACCGTAACCGGCGTAACGTTACCAAGGTAAAATGAAAGGTACCGTATTTGCAATTATGGCACACAGAATGATATCTTTTGACATAGGGAAAGCATTCTCAGTTATCTTTCGCTATGCTTATGGTGCAGAATTTGTTGGACACTTATAATCACCGATAATTGGAAGTTTGTGAGGGTTGTTGCTTGCAACCCAGACGTGATGCTTGTTGCGGCGGCGGTAAACGTAGAGCTCCTGCCACTGCTCCAGCTGGTGTTGTGGATGGCATAATTTGGAAAGGATATTTTCGCTTCATAGGTAAAATATATAAGTGACTCAAGTGAGTAATTGAATTTGTGTAAATAAAGTTAAGTCAAATGCCTAAAATATGGTGGTACATCGTAGTCTGTCACCGAGAGTCATGCCGACGCCCGACGGTCCGATAGCGGGGTTTGATTGGCTGGCATGAGGTAGAGAGTGCCATTTACAGTTTATATGCCAGTGCCGGTGCGTACCGGCGATCGAATGCAACGGTTACAGATTTCGAAAAGGTATTTTGCATACCTATTTCTCTTTCGTCAATTTCGTATACGTGCACGAAGTTGAAATAAAGTGTTTTATGATCATGCAGATTTCAATGGAGATGAATATGATCACACTCCGTGGTTCACGACCAACAAACGGACACCGTCGCAAACAGGCACTGATATTTTTTTAAGCTGATCAGATCTCAACAATTCGCTATGCATCATACCGAGGTGACGAGCGATGCGTGAATTGCCCAAGTAATCAGCAGATTATCCTACTCTGTCGCATCCGGTGTCCACGTTGTACGTGTGTATGTGATCCCGAGTTGAACAGAACCCAGAGGGGATCCTGGCGTGGAGAAATTCACTAACCATTTTGGATGGGAACTGAAACCGGCACATTTTTGCATAATACGACGCTACTGCAGTAAATTATGGATCCCACATGGACAGCCATGATTATATTTTACTGGTAAGTACTTGTACTGTACTTTCTCCAGTATGCTGACCTAAAAACACGTTCAACGTTGGTAGGGTATGTTGAATAAGTGAATAATAGTTTGAGATTTACAACTTTTGTTAATTTTAAGCTGATCATTGAAGCAACTTGAACTTCGATACCTCGCTAGTTATTAAATCGAGTATGCGGTGATTTCATATTATATAGTGTCATAGTTGAACGCTCGCTGAACGCTTGATTCATTTATTTCGTTGTTAACTTTCGTTTTAATTTTTTTTAATTAAAGATTGTTTGTACTTTATATGTAATTGCATAGTTTGCAGACTGTTTTCGTCAAAAGGTTTTGCTCATTTTGTTTGGAATTTTTTCGCGAAATGTATCTACGTACATTTACTACATTACATGTAATGTAGTGGCGTTGAAGGCTTTTGGCGTTGAAGTCCGGTATTGTGGCGTTTTTAGTACCAAGGCTGAAAGACAAAACAAGATATACACTGAGCAGCGTATGTAAATTCTGCAAACCAGTTTATATCGAGGAAGTATGTTTTTCGGATTGACAGATTACCATTCACTACGAGCACGAGCTGGTCTCCGGTTTCGCCGGCAAGTTTGTGGTCGGTCAGCAGCCGCAGCACAGCAGAGTGTGTTAGTAGTTCACTAGTCCGTCCATCTGTTGGCTGAGCAAATAGGATGATGGTTTTGTCCCAGATTACATTGGCCTTAAATCCCATTCGCGGGAGTTGGTCTCCCAATAATTCAGGGATACTGGCGTGTTTGGCTGGCTCAGGTTGTTCCACTGTGTCTGCGGTCAGTGTTGTTAAACACTTTCGCTAGTTTTCACTCTGTAGAATCGCGGTCTACACCTGTGCTCACAGCATCATAGTGTATGTGTATTTACACAAGTTCTTTTATGTATGAGTGGGCACCGCCGAAGAAGCCGCAAGTCGATCGCAGGATAACAAATGATAACTAGGTCATCGATGCGTAATCCCGTGAAATTTCGGTTTTCAGCTACATACGTCTGCAGCGCGCGTAGGGTAGTACTTTCTGTTTGGAGGCATCAATACATTGCCGCAAAAGTAATCCATATTATCAAACGAAACCAGGTGGAAGAGTCAATGTTCGATGCATTACGAATTTACGCATGACCTGATGGTATTGAACTCTTTGTGACCTTTCAGTGCTGTATAGCTAGGTGTGTAATATGGAGGCTAGGTATCTAAAGATATGTTTGGAAACGTTCTCTTTCGTGCTAGCGAACCTGCGCTGAAATTGCATAACAATGCGAAAAACAGTTGACCGTTTGCTGCGTGCTCACCTCTGAACAGTCGGAGTGCCAATTTAAATTTGCGACTGACCAATGTCTGCCGGTAGCGTGTGCTCTCGCCATATATGATTGAGCATGCCGATCGCTGATTCAAAACCTGTTACATATGTCCCACTTTCGCTTTTGAATAGCCGGTATATAGATATATATTTTTACGCATGCTGATGCAGCGCGATACCTGCCATCTAGTTAATGATGGATTACGTTACGCTTCGTACTTGTTACTTGACGACATAGCGTAAAATAAAAATCTGAATATTAATACTAATGTCGTAACTTAACGACGACAGATGGATTTCTCCGATACATACTTCATGCGTAAAGGTTATCGATACTTTCCCCTCTTCATCTTTCCGATAAGAACTTGCCGGTATCGTTTTTGACAGCTGTTTCGAAATTCAAAATTGCTGTGCAAAGCGTTCAAGTGTTGAATGGATAATGTGTAACCGAGTGCAAAGAAATTGTTCGGATTATGAATGCACAATTATCGTCTTACCCGAAATTGCTATCAAATTGGAACTGCAATGCAGTAATTGTTGTGAACTGGTCTCGCACCTTTCTATAATAAGTTTTTGCCGTTTATTTTATCTGTATGGATTTCAAAAGTTGTGCGGGACCAATTGCGCTGTAAGTTTATTAATTTGATGATTATTAGGTTCGCAATTAAAGGTGTTAAAGATGAGGTTAGCAATGGAATTATGTACTAGTAGGAGTACTACTTTCATGTACCTTTTTTTTAATAGTTTCGATTTCGCATATGTGCGGTCTGCAATATATTGACGACGAATATTTCGTGTGAAATATTACGAGTCGTAAGTTGCTGTGACTAGAGCTCACTTTTTTTCGTGCGCCCATGATTAATTTTTTGGTTGTGTGACTCTCACGGGTTTGTCAGAGCTTGTAGAACTACAGATACATTACAGACTCCCATGACATTGATATTGTTTATGGATGCAAGTAACGTATAATATTAATACTCTGTGTGAATGGTGCAGGATACGTACCTGCATGGTATACCCATATCGGCGTAGCCAAATCGCAGAATGGCAGGTGTATTGTAGTCGGCGCAACATATAGTAGACACGAGGTCAGATTGGTATTTGTATTATAATTCAATTAAAGGGCGGTCAAGCATTACTTTTGCGTGATTCAGATTACGGCAGCTGCCGGTTCCGGTATGCAATGTCGTGAAAATATTTTATAGCGCACAAATTTGTTGGAATAGAGTATGGCAGTGTGATCGGATAGATCGTTGTCTGCTTGGATGCAGTTGCCAGTAGAGATTGATTGATTTAAGTGTACACTGCAGGATGGGATGCGTCGTATAGAACGGCATTGTGCTCTTTTCTAATTAAGTTACATTAACCTTTGTTACCTCGCCGTTGGAATCAGTGCCCTGCTTGGCTATTTTGTGGCGATGTTCGATATATTTGTGTTTATTGTGGTTTTCAGTCTGCTGTTCTCCGTGGCCTTACTCCTATGCGTTTGTCTGTGTATCATGTGCAAACGGAAGAAACGACGAACGCAGGATGTCGGCCGGATACTTCAAGGAGTTGCGGCAATGGAAAGCCGGCTGCAGTTAACCAGGAATCGGTCAGATTCCAATGCGTGCCCGGGCGGTGAATGCGCGTTAGCCAGCGATCCTGAGAGCGGAAGCAGCCGTAATACAGAAGTTACTGGAGATGCAGCAAGATTAGTAAGTTAAATTAACTACAGAATCGTTTCGCAGTAATAATCTATATTCTGTGGCCTCTACATCGTGCAGTAATTATTTTTTGATCATCGTGCTCCTTGAGCACTTCTTATTTTTTGGTTTGCTGTACTTGAGACTTGAGTTAAATTTTATAACGTTTTAATGGAGGTATAATAAACGCAGCGTACTCGTGTATATTGTGATTGAACAAGGAGCTTTTTTTTATAAATTTAAAATAATGTAAATTTTAAAACTACAGAATGCCCAGTACCTCCACGGATCATGTGCCGGCAATACTTTATTTGATTTTGAATCTTGTCTAAACAAGGCTGCAGAAATTCCATAATTTCGTGCATATTTGTCACCTAACTTGCAGGAATGCGTGAGTAAGCATTTGGTCAGTTGTATATCTGTACCGTCTACTGCACGGTGACTGTATTTGCAACGGATGTGGCTGTTATCCAGATCTGTGTGTGTTCCGTTAAATTACTTACTTAACAACGCTTTCCGGTTACCTGACGCTGACTGTACCTCTAGAGTAGGGAAGTGTTTACTGTCGTCAGTAGAGGTACCGAGTTTTCGATCGAGCTGCTATCAGATAACTGAAGAATCGAAATCAAAACAATGGCAGCCATCTGGCCGGAAAGTGAGTGCGCTCGCTTTTTGCGGGCACTCCATGACCGAAGCCTACGTAGAGTAGCAAGATTAAACTGCAAATATAATCTGTTGTAGGTCAGCAATACACAGGTCCAGGTCTTTACGCAGTTTTATTTTTTTTTTCCTACAGGCAGCTTCAACCTTCAAAATAGATATTTAAGGGAAGTGTGTTATAGGAAGAATATTAAATCGGCACAACGAGAATTTCGACAAAATCGTTTATGAGTATGAATGGTTGAGCCAAGACAGTCAAACGTTCTTTAGCGAAGCCGAGATTAAAACATAATTAATTTGCACTTGATTTTATTTTTGCTCGCTGTTCTTACAGTTACAGTAAACTCCCTGCAAAATCGGTGTATTTTCTATATAAATAAGCATCCCCCGCAGCTGTCGGACTGACACTGTAATTAATGCAAATTCTTGTGCAAAGAGCTAAGGCTTGTTTTGCAGGTCTGATTACTCTGATACCATGCATCTTATGTTTTTCAGAGTGCGGGAGCAGCGGGACAAACAAATGCAGCTTTTGTGCCGGATGCTAGCGGTCTACCGCCGGAGTACGAAGAGGCACTGAAAAGCAAATATCTGAAGGTGTATCAGCCAATTTATCCGTCTCTCTCTACCACCAATGAACAATCATCATCGGCTGGCAGCGCTTCCTCCAGCGCCGGGCGTCGTGAAGATAGCGATATCCGGTCAGTGTCCGGAGAAAGTCCACCGCCGCCATATGACACGTGTGTGTCTCGCAATAACATTGATGCGTTAGGATATTTTTCCTAAGATGATTCTTTCCATTTTTATATACCAAAGTTGTCCTTGGACGATCTGTCGTAGAAATTGTGAACTCTTGTTGTGATCACCCGGCAGTTGCGCTATGCTGAATATTAGCACTGCCCGGCTCGTTTTGTAGCCGCTTGCAACTGCTGTTGTTGTTGTTTGTCATAAAAAACTGTTTCGCTGTAGGCATGATTTTATTTTTTCTCTGATTAGTGCAGTAAAGGATTGCAGTGTACAACCAAATTTTCTCGAAAACCAACGTAAGGGCGCTGTAAAAGGAATACTTGTAATGTTGTAGTTAAATTGACATATGCGCATGTTGGTTTGTTCTAACGATAAATAGTACACAGAACTTCTATACGAGTATAAATAAAATGCTTCGCCTGCGGCCTGTGGGTCGACAATACATTATTTTGAGATTTGCACAAAATATGCTCGTTTGTGCAACTGCACGGAAATTAAAAACACCTTCCTATGTGCTGTATTCATTTCCGATTTTAATTGGCATTTTTTTAACTGGTGAGCACTCCGTACTCAACCTTAAGCTACCTTTTACTCCGTACACAATCTTTTGCACTACCTTTCGTTCCATGCACAACCTTTTTGCTCTACCTTTCATTCGGTACATTATCTTTTTGAGCACTACCTCTGATTCCATACACAACCATTCGGCACTACCTTTATCTGCGTGCACTCTTAATTTTTAATTTTTTCACAGCAAAGTTAAATCTGGAAAAATTGGAATGCCGGTTTTTCGTTAACAGCTGGTATTGCTGTATAATTCAAAGCATCATCGGCAGTTATAAAATCGAATTCCCGAGAGTAATTCTAGGCGCCCGTGTGCCTGTTTTTCTTGTCAGGGTTTGGGCAGTGCCGGTTTTGAACGAATTTTATACCCAATTTCGTAGGTGAGTCTAAAATTCTGTGTATGTAGTTGCCGCGGGGTCTTTTCCATAAAGGGCAATCTCTGCCGCGGATGCATGGAGACAGGAATCGATTTCTGCTTTTCTCAAGTAATACAATTTATATATGAAAGTATGGTAGTGTGCCGAATGAATGGTAGTGTCAAACAGTCAAAGGTAGTCTACCGAAATAAAGGTAGTGCCCAAAAATGTTGTGCATGGAACGAAAGGTAGCGAAAGGTTGTGTACGGAGTGGTCACCTTTTTAATTTTGAATTAATTAACTTTAATGAAATAAATTAATGAATAAAATTAATTTTGAACCATGAGCAAGGAAAAATACGAGATATTTTCCCTGGACCCTGGCGATCCTTCGCTGCTGCGGATTGATCGAGATGTCGAGTACCGCCACTGCCGCGGGTTGCGACAGGGACAGGCTACAGCGCTATTTGCTTTGTGATGTGAGCAGAGTGTGTATATCTATATGAAGCACTTAATATTGCGAGTTTATTCTCTTTAATATTGCAGTATTGCCGTAGTCAAGCTGGACAGACAGAGCTACTTTTATTTATATTATTTATACTCTCTCTGTGCTCTATCGCTCTGTCTGTTCAGCTTGACTACGGTATTGCTTTAAAAAGTTTTAGTAGCATTCTGGACGCGCTTTGCGGCTTGATTCCTTGCAGCCTTGAATTTTTTGGAATTCTATCTTCCTTTGGATTTATAATTGTTTCTGTTGCTGGTTTCTGTATCAAAATTATTCTTTCGTTCAGTAGTCTTTCGTAAATCAGTAAGCCGTATCGTCTTCTCTTGTAACTATTGTTTTGGACAGTTTGGCCGTGATTGGGCTGCCGTGTCTGACATTTTAATTTTTAACCAGGTGCTGAAGTACCAGTGGCAGTTACAATACCTGTTACTGCTCGCAAATATAAATATTTTTGAGGTAAAATTTTCGAAAACTGGTGCTAGAAATTAGACATGACTTCGAAACGCGGTCGTGCAGCTTTGGAGTCCTCTTCGGAAGAGTCTGACTCGTCGTCCGAATCCGAAACATCATGCAACGGAGAGTTGTCATCCTCTTCCAGTTCAGCTAACAATGGCTCGAATTCAGCATCATCTACCCCGTGCTCTAACAGGTCGTCTAATTCGGGTAGCCCTTCATCTCCCAAGCACCCACAGGCTTCGTCTTCGAAAACTGGAACTGCGAATATTGCAGTGCGTCTGCGTGATGTTATACTGGGTAGGGACTTTGCGAATTCCCGAATAGTATTAATATTAAATTTTTGGGAGTTATTTGGATTTTGATAATGTCTGTATAAACACTTTTTTATTTATTAGGCGAAATGGCTTATGGAATGTTTCGCGATGGTGAAATGAGCGAATGGCGGAAATGCCAAATAGTCAGTGGCTCCAATCCGCGCTGCATCGGACGCTCAGCTTCTTACTTGGTGCAATTTTCTGGCCCGTCAAAGTGAGTACTGATTCAAAAAAGTCTTGCACTGCTGTATTTTTTTTAGCTTTTAGATGGCTGTTTGTTGTAGGTAGGTTTGCGATTAACTTACTAATCTTTTTCGGAGTTCACTACGCTTTTCACTGTTCGCTCTGTTGTTGTTCACGCAGTGTTTCACCGTGGTTTTTTATTATTTTCTTATCCTGATTTTTGTCGTTTCTCATCCCCTCATCTTATGTTTGCAGTCTCCATTCTTTTAATGGTGGCAGTGATAATGTTGTTCGATTTTCGGGAAATTAATAATGAAATTCTTCTGACTTGGCTTAGTAGGAGCTCACTCTTTTATAATTTAATTGTATGTATTACTAACGTAAGTATTGAGCACAGTAATTATTAACAGTTCATATCTTACAATGTTTAGACTCATTGCATAATTATTATTTATTACGTCTTAACTCTTGGGCTTTTGATGTTATCATGTGAATTTCAACTTATATGATTACATTTTCAGGCTGCGTAGATGGATTTCGAATACACTGCTGTTACCTTACACAAAAGCAACTCAAGATCGTGTGGAAAAGTACAATGCGTTGCAACGGTGAGTAAAGCCTTAACACGTGTAAATTTAACATGGACTATGTAAGTAGGACGTTTTTATTGCAGAACAAAAAGACTTGGTGCTGTTGGTGGGATTGTTGATGATGAAGAGAGCAATTCTGAATGGACTTCGAGCTCCGGTGAGTCGGACGAGGAGGTATTACCGGCTCGTCAGCCTGCCGTATCCAAGACGAATGCTCGCAAGAACGTAGACGGGAAGCTGCCTCCGATTCGAATTCCGAAGCCGGTGGAAGCCAGGGCTACCAGGCAGAAAGGCGCTCAAAATGCAGATACGGTACACTCTGATACGAACAAGCCCCAGAAGTCTGCACGCTCTTCTGTGACTGCGAATAAGCGCCAAAAAGAAAATGTCCCTGTTAAAAATTCAGGTGAATTGGTTTGTAGTTTTTTCCAGTTTCTCACTTCCTTCGGTAAATGCACTCACAGACGTTAGCTTTAAGCGTGTTTTCATTGTGAAACCGCACCGGGACGTTTCCAGTCATTTGGTTTGTGGTTTTCTAGTTTGCAAGGATTCGCAAGCCAAAGAGCGGCGGTTTTTGTTTGTGCCGGTACCGGATGGCAGCTCACCGGGGGTTGATCAAATTTTGGTGAAAGACTTCAGTGCTCGCGATGTGCAGCTGTCTGTCATGCATGAAAATGCCGTCAAGACTATTGTTTTTGTCGCTGGGCTACGTATGACGATTTTTACATTCATGGTGTTACTGGCTGTAATTACAAGGTTTCCGTTATTGCTACAGGAAAGATTAGTGTTCCCACATATGGTCTGGACAACGACGGTAATGTTACTCTCCGAACTTGCCGCGTATCCTTTCCGTATGCTGCAGCGCAAGTGTCGGAGGGCGTGTCGGGCACCTACTTAATTGTCAGTGTCTGCAAGAAGCCTTCCATTCTCCCGGCTGCAGAGTACCATCCAAAATGCTTTCGCGCGTTCCTGAACGACAAGATGTTGCATGTGGTATGACTTTTATAAAATGCTTCGGTGATTTAGTTTGCTATATTGAGTTGGATGTTCCAGATGATTCCAGACGGCAAATCGCCGTATCCCCACGTTCCATTAGAAGTCCCTCTCTCCGCACTAAAAACGGAAAACACGTTGATAATTTCATGGACAGAAAGCAATGTGGAAGATGTTGCAATGGTACTGCTGTGTTTGCGATCGTAATAACCTTGGTTTGATAAATTTATTTTGTTATTCTAGGATTACTGCCTGCATGTTTATCTGGCAAAGCGGAAAGCTGTTTCTACCATAGTAGCCAAGATAAAAACGAATGTGTTATCAGTAGCCCATAGCCTAGCTCAAGGTCAGTGGTTATTTTCCAGTGTTGAACATTCTGTCGTAACTGTTACAGCGAGCCGTGTGTGTGGAAACCAGGTACCTGTATATTTTTCTTATTAGAAAGTATTCGTGGAAGCTCGCGGGAAGAAGAAGATTCAGACGAAGACGTTACTTCGGGAATACGCACTTTGAAACTTAGCTGTCCGATATCTAAGCAGAGGATTGTAGTGCCTGTTCGTGGTTTGGGTTGTCGGCATTTGGAATGTTTCGATGCTGCCAGCTATCTGTCCTTAAATGTTGGACCAAAGGCCAGATTTTTGTGTCCTTTATGTGCTAAAATCGTACTCCCGCGTGATCTTGTGGTTGATGAGTAAGTTACACATTTCTTTAGCCAACCCATTTTGCATCCTTTCAGTTCTGTACTTTAAAACCTTCTAGAATTCTAAACACCTCCTTTGACAATTACTTTTGTGCTGGTGAGACTAGTATTGTACTCTGCAAATTGCAAGACCGTGTTTCCAGATTTTTTGATGCAATTCTTTCGTTCACTGAGAAAGAGCGCGTTGAGTTGGTTGGGGATCGGAAGGGAATAACAATCCGCGAGCAGATTCTGAAGTCAACTATCGTGGACCTCACAAAAGGTTATATCAGCTTGTTATGGCGGCCTTTTTTTTAATTTTTTGATTTGGCAGTTAGTTTTGCATATTTCCCAAAGTATATGCTGTTCATGTCTTTGTTATTGGACAGATGCAACCGGTTTCATAACAATCGATGAGCGCATGGATGGAACGGTAATTGTTATTGACTAACGGAATTCGGGAAGCTTCACCCCGTCGCCTGTTCTTACAAATTTAAGGCGGAATAAATGGCCATAACCTTATGCTTGCTTTTGCAATCTCGAATGCCTATGATCTGTTGTGGTGGATCTTCTACTTTCAGAAAATATAACAGCGTAAAGCAAAGTGCAGATAGTCGTGTATAGTTTTACCGTTTTCGCTTTTATCTTTACAGTTTGATATTCTAATATACATCTGCAGTATATGCGCAGAAGGTTTTGTCTTCCGCGAAATCGTGCAGCAGTTTTTTTATAATATTTAACCGACGTTCGGCATAGTAATTAATTTTATTCGGTTTAGCTTGGATTTAGTGGAGTTTAAACCGAATTTTGACAGTGCATGCTTTCGGTTTTTATATGAATCGTGGCGAACGAGTTGTACTCGTATATACGAAGGTCGGAAGGTTAAATAAAAGTGAGCGAATACAGCTTAAAGTTAAGTTACTGTACTTGATGCCGAAACTTGACTTTATGGACCATTTTAGTTCTTTTTAATGTTACATATTTGTGGTCTGGAAGCTATTTAACCGTTCGCTACTGAACGAACTGAATGAGGGATTCTTAAGTACTTGTCAAGTAATACATATCGTAATTTATCAACTTGCGAGTCAATTGTGAATTTGTGACCCTTTCCGCTTTAGAAGCCCACCCTGAAATACAGGTTACATTAATGATTAAAGGGTCGTTTTTACAATACAATAATAAAACTCCCTTCAAACTTTTTTTTGCGGTGACTACATCGAGAATACTTAAGAAAAAATCCGAACGCTGAATCACTACTCTAGTCGATAAAAATTTAATACATAACGGCATTTCGAAATTGTAATTTGGCGCAACCTGCTTAATATAATAAGCAGGTCCATGCTCGCGGTCGCGGACACTGACATCGAAAACAGCTGATTTTGAAGCAGCCGCTCGCTACGCCTTACCGGCATGGTAAGGTAGACCTCCCCTTAATCAACGCTCGTGACGCAAAATCATTTGTTGTCAACGAACGCTTGGCCTTTGGGTTTTCACATTTTCTTTGCATTCCATGTTTTCATCTTTTGCACTTCACTAACCAGGCTGTTTCTCGCCATCAGATAGGCTCAATTTATTTTTAGATATTCTGTTTTTTTGTTGGATGATTTGTCAACGGCGGTCTGGGTATTACTTCCGAGCGTCATGAAGCTGAGAAGCGGTACGTGTACTGGTTTCCCCACGGACATCACGAGTTCTCGCACTACGCGTAAGCGATCCGTGGAGCGCGATGATGATGAGTCGCGCGCAAAGAAACCTCGTCGAGCTGATTCTCCGGCTACTCTTAGCGGACCTTCGTTACCAGTCAGCCATCGCGAACTCTCTGTTCCCGAACCACGGCCATCGGAGCGCACGCAGATGGAGATATTTGTCAAAACGGTGCGAGTGGGTAATCGCGCACTGACTTCGCCATATTTCGACGCTCTCCATAATGCTGTCCACCGTACGTATGTAAATCCCTTGTAGGAATTGTATGTTTTATGTTTGCAGAGCTTACCGAAAAACTTGACTTTCTCCTGTTTGTGTATAGAGAATGGTATCAAAGTTAAACTGAAGGCAGATGTCCTTAAGGATGACTGGATCCTCGTCATTGAGAAGACGAAAGAGTTGAACTACGATTTGGAAATCCGTGAATGTTTCCTTGACAGGTTCCTCTATGATGGGTCAAAGTTTTTTCTGGAACTGACAGTGCATTTTGCCAGGAATCTCACCGATCGCATTATGGAAACTGCCCTTCCCGATTGCGGAGTGATAATCATTGATTTCAAAAATGCTGCATTTCGTAGACATTTTCACGAATTTTTTCTGGGGAAAGTTAAGAGCCGTGTGATTAAAGCGGAAGTCATCAGACCGGAGCGAGCGAACGACTACATACGGAGATCTCAAAAGCCTGACCACACTGCCCAGCCGCCGTCTGCAGCTACACATAGCGCAGCCGTGCAAAAGAAGGACATGGTGAAATTGACTAATCATGTGGAAGTTCGAAAGGGTCCCATTAGCGCGAGCGTACCGAAAGTGGTGCCAGTCCCTCAGAAAACCGCTCCAGTTCCGGGGAATTCGCAGGCGGATTGGGGCAAATTTATTCCACGCCCCCTGGCACAGCAGTCTAAGACATTGCAAGCGCCGGTTGATGCGTTGACGCAGCAGCCACGACCATCCGCGACGGTGCCGCCTTCTCAAAACAGCGTTCCGCCCCCGTCGACATCGCACATTAGCGCCAATGGGGTTAGCTCTGTTTCACGTCCTCCGCAGCAGACAAATCCAGCGCGGCCACCTGTTGCTCCGCCGACGCAGCCGCCGCGACCTTCTGCTCATCCCCCAGAAGTTCCGCTGTCTGCGCGCCCACCACCTCCCGCGCCAAGGCCACCGACGGGTGCCCCGGCGCCTCCTCCACCCCCGCCGCGTATTCCACCGCCAGCTAACCCACCACCGCCGCGATGTCCACCACCACCTCGTTATCATGGGGACTTCATTCCTCCCATGTTAGGCGCCCGTACCGCCAATGGCATCCACGAGCCAAGACCGCCGATGCACTGTGCAATGTGGTTTGGACCACCAGCGCATCATCCGCCACCGATGTACTATGGGGATGGTTATACTCCAATGACGTCCCGCTCGGAAGCGCACTGGTGGGAAGGTTTTGCGCCGCCGGTTCCCCATGCGCATCGGTGGAATAGTTATCCGGAACCAAACTGGTGGGATGGCTTTTCACACTACCCACCGATGCATGCGACACCATGGGAAGATGTTCGACAGCGGTTTGGCGCTCCGCTTCCACATCATAATTTTCCTGAAACTGGTTTCCAAAAGGATTTGCAACAATCAAATCGAAGGCTGCCAGCGTCCAGCCAGATCCCTGAACCTAGATCTGATCGTCAACCACTTCGTCCAGATGCGGCTGGCGGCTTGAATTCTGCAGCGACAAAGGCAAGTGGTCTAGCAAATCCGGTATCAGTTCCAGTTATTGCGGAATCTCGAAAGCAGCCGTCGACAGTAACGAGTAATTCTGAGCGGGAACACCACAGTCGGGTTGAAACTAAGAAGCCCACAGAGAAACTGGCGACAAATGCTCCAGTTGCACGGAACTGTGCTGTTACAAAATGTCCTGCTGTGGCTAAGCAAGGAAGTGATCGTTCCGTGACAGGTGAAAACGATGCGTACTAATTTGCCAAACTGCCACTTAATTGTTTCTAAGCATACACTTAATTTTTTTGCAGATATCGAGGTGGTGCAGGGGCGAAAGCAGCGCCGCTTTTTGTTAGTTCCTGTCAAAGATTCCACCTTGCATAGTCCCACCAAGAAATCGTTATGGAGTTCTTGGATCCGAAATCCTCGTGATATCATCCCGTCCCTTATGCACGAGAAACCGGTTTGTACTCTTTTCTTTGCTCCCGAACTTCGTAAGTGGCATTTCTTCCGCTTTTCAAATTTCACAAGCTGTCGTTCAGTATTGTCTCTTGTGTTAGGATCCACTAGCATTCCCACTTTTGGACTGGAGGGTAACACTACTCATCGGAAGAGCCATTTTTTATTGCGAGTTTCGCACCAGGAATTGGTCCGAAACAAGGACGCATATATGATAATTAGCATTTGCAACAATCAGTCTATGGTGCCTGCTCCAGAATTCCACCCCAAAGGTCTGCAAGTTTCCGTGAATGACCAACCAGCGCGAAAAGTACTAAACCCATTTGCTGTTCTTAATTTATAAGGCGGCACAAGCGTGGAGCAGGGTGTCAGTTTTGTGAACTTGCAGATTATTAATAAGGTCAAAGAACAGCCTCCCTATCCGCAAATTCCCCTGGAAATGCCCATTGCTGAACTGCGCCATGAAAATAGCCTGGTTATCTCTTGGAGCGAATCGTTACCTAATTGTGTTGCAGTAAGTTTATTTACCACCGTAACACCAAATTAGATTTTAATTTTTTAAGAATATTTATTTAAGACAGGTTGTCCTCTAGCACGCTTCTGTGGTTATGATTCAGATGCTGGTCGTTGTAGGATTACTGCGTCCATGTTTATTTGGCCAGAAGGAGACCTCTCCCGGCCATCGTCCGTCATGTCCAAACTAATGTTTTATCGGTAGCGAAAAGTCTGGCACAAGGTATGCGCAGTTCTTGAAAATGTGACAACTGTTTTGTTAATTAGTTTATGCGGCGTAGAAAGTGCCCGCGGAAATGCAGATCAGGATATCATGGCTGGAACGCGCACAATGAATTTGTTCTGTCCTATTTCCAAAAAGCGTATTGTTGTTCCGGTGCGCGGTGTGGAGTGTCGCCATATGCAGTGTTTCGATGCGGAAAGCTTTCTGTTCATGAATATTGGACCGAAAGCAAAATTTTGCTGCCCTCTGTGTCCCAAGACTGTTGTTCCTCAGGATCTGGTAGTTGACCAGTAAGTGTACAAAAATAACTGTTAACAGTAATCACAGCAGCTTTGTAGAGGGTTCCATGCTAGGTTTGTTCTGGAAGTTTTGTCCTTCACCGGAAATGATCGAGTTGAAATCGTTCAGGATAGTGAGAGTTTTACGATTCGAGAATGTGATGCAGCGAAGAAGACTGTTGTGGATCTTACGAAGAGTAAGAATATTTTAACTTGAAATAATGGCTTTCTATTACAGTATACTTTATCCGTATAAGTACTGTAGGTATGCCCATACTTATAATTTAATGTAAACAGTGCGGTGTTCGTTTCTCATGCAGGGATTCTGTGAGTTAATGGCAGTCGCGCTAAAGTTTAAAACAAATTATTTAGGACCTTTTTATGAAAATTTGTTGATGATTCGTTTGGTAAGGATCACTATCAAGATATTATAAACAGTAGTTTGGCATTATCGAGAACAACTCTACTTTTGCAGATTTAGCCGGTATGTCAGCCACTGGCGAGAAATCTGACCAAAGCGTCATAATCATCGAATGATGTTAGTAATTTCTGAATCTCCCAAGAATGTGTCACATTTTGTTGTTAATTTTCTCGTCCCAGACGTTCTTGTCACAAAAGAATTACCGTGCACTAACTTTGCCAAGTAAATACCATAGTTATAATAAATGAGTTATTTTTATACAGTACAATGGTTGAACGTTATGTTGCTGGTTTTGTGTCCGAATCTACGAGTACGGATGTTGTATAGACCAGAGGTTTTCAATTGGTTTTGATTTTTTCATTTTCAAGCCCTCATCATAGCATTCTGGTTTTTGGCTTCATTTTGACTTATGTTTCTGGAAAACATGTTTCTCCAACGTGTTATTAGTCGTGACTGCATTTAATTGTTTGTGTGCAGTTGTTTTACGTGAATTTTGTGGAAAGTTTATCCGTGGCCTTTGTGGACAGCAGTATTTCATAATTTACTTTATTAAAGTTAGCGGCGGATAGTACGAGTATTTTTTGTATCATACGTTCGCGATGCAGTGGATTAATGGAGACTTCACGATTAGTTGCACTTGCTGCTAAATGGATGGTGATTTTTACACCCGCACTGTTTTGAACAAACATCCACCAAGTACTTGTTCCTGATTTTAATACATTTCACCCAGACATACCAGTTGCAGAGATAGAATACAAAATTAAAAATAATTTGACAATGTGTAATCAATTCATGCACAGAACACAAAACTTGATTAAAACTTTATGACATGGCACAAAGTCGCAATGCTGCAGTACCCGCAAAAAATCCAAATATAAAGATCAGGCGTGCCGCCCGGCATATACAATATATTGTACATGTGTATGCATAGGAGAAACACTACATACAGTCAGGACAAGATAAGAGGATCATTTTGCAGTTTTTTGAAAACCGTCGCCTGGATTTAATTCAGAGAAACAATACTTTACTTAGTGGCGATCCCAAAAGTTTCGCAACAACTAATTTTGCTGCTTTTATTCTTGAAGCATTGCAGATAAACAACGAGTTACATATTATATATTCCGATGCAGTGTGCGTTTTCGGATAGAAAATTAATAAATTCGAAAGGTCAGTGCTATCATGTTTTTCCAAGTTTGTTGCAGTGCAATAAAAACAGTGCGGCAAAATCAGCCAGAGCGGTACAACCGACACAAAGAAAACTTCAAATCTTAAGCGTTATCAGCCTATGTGTACGAATAATGCATGAACATTGGCTAATAAATTAAAAAACCTCGCATAGATTTTCAGCAAGTTTTAAATGTAAGGTTTAATATACTGCATGTGAATAGCCCATGCTGAATGCTCTTTGAAAAATCAACATTAGCAAAAATTAACGTGACTGGAGTAAATGTACGGGTAGGGTGGCAATTCACAACCACATTGGCCTAAAGCTATCGACATCGTAATTGCCCGGGAATTCGGCCACAACGGGAGCACTGCGCTTTCCCAGGTACCAAGCTGCATCAGGCGGAAGCAGTTCTTCGTCCTTCTTCCCTTCTACTAACAGCGCTCCCTGCAGTTGTTTCTGCTTGTACGCCGACAGCTTTTTTATTAACGCCTGGACTTCCGGTTTGCAGCCTTTGCAAGTCAACTGCGACATTTGCAACTTTCCTGCAATTAAAACAGCAAATTTAAACGTCAGTGTAATAGAACTCTCTACACAACGTCACAATATTAGCGATATCCGTTATGCTGTGCAAATAAAGTATGTATAAAGTATAACTAATTTAACTAATCTACAGGTTACTTCTACCGAAATACGACTTATTTTTCATGAATGTACAGAAGAGTGAATAGTCATTTCAAACATATTATAGTCGTATCAGATTGCTATCTGTAAACAACCTAATACTATGGTAATATGCATGAATACAACTGTGTTTCAGTAAAATTGTTCAAAGTAACCTCGAGGCCGTCACTATGCAAAAAAATATCCGGTGTTTGAAATTTTCTGTTAATACACAACACTATGGCGAAGTCATTTTTATATTTTGTAGTAACTATGTATTTCCATGGTAGACTATGATATCTGCAGACGGCGTTACTTACGTCCAATTACCGGACCACCGGCAGCGGGTTCCGCAAAAACAATGTACAAGCACAACAAACTGGATAAGGTCAAGGAAAATATCACAAACCGAGAACCCATTTTAGAACAAAATAAGCAAGAACGCGATGGTAAAAACAATCACCGGAATCCAACACAGTATTGCGCAACGGAGCAAAGTATGGAAACCTAGAAATAAATGTTCGTTTCACGCGCCAGCTGCTGTTTGGTGCACCATCGCCATCGAATATTTCGAATGCAGTGTGCCAAAAGCGTTAAATACCGCAAAGTCTCAAAAAGATTATTCCTTAATCTTTAATTTTTGGTACGTTGTAATAATAAACCACAGATTACGTTCTCGTCCACCCACTTTCGTGCGTAAATGGCGACATTCAAACGAAAAAGCCGGATAAACTTTTTAATTAAGGTGAATTTTTTCTCCTCGGATGTTCCACTCTCGCGATCCACCCACATTTGTTAAAATAAAATCTGGTAAAATACTGTTTTACAGCTGACCGACATCCTTGTCCGTATACAGTAATATATTAAAATCAAACATTAAAACCGAAACAAACTGAGCTTTAAGTTGTGGTCTCCAAGAAGCCTGAGATTTCTCTGCAAACAGGAACAGTTCGTAGCCTTCTCATTCAATCTCCACGATAACATCTTGCTCCCCGACTGTTTCACCAGGCTTAAAATTGATTTTCTTTACCTACAAGTAAGCCATATTATGAAAGATGGAAAACTGATTCTATCAGGCCCTTTTATTAATATCTCGCATCATTCAGTGTGGCCCACATTAAAATCAAAATACGGGAAGCGACTAATATTCGTTACCCGTATGAAATTATGGACATTATATCAATTAAAAATGACAGGACCAAACCTTTCCGGTTACAGCGGCTGTCAAACTATTCTGCATTTTCATAGCCTCGATTACGCAAACTTCCATTCCCTCCGATACCATGCTGCCAATTTGGACCGCAATTGATTTAACTAAACCGGGCATAGGAGCTAATCTGCAATGCCAAACGGAAGCATAACAGTGTACCACACTAATTGTACGACAAGTAAATAAGTATATCAACAACAACCCATCCAGTTATTCAATTCAATAAGCAAAAAATTAAGGAACTTAACATTTAACGAACAACTGTATAAACTTTTTAAACCAAACGCTTTTAGCTAAAACTTCGGTAGAAAAGACCGGGAAACACTCCTTACACTTGACGGCTGGTATCGGCTACTTTCAAAGCCGGCATTAAATGCAGAAACTTGAACACATCCTCGCGGAATACGTGTAGAGGAAAAACCGATCCCATATACTGCAAATCAATCTTCCCGACCGGGGATTTATTTACCAGTTGGAGGATATGTTTTTGGCCGTTCACGTCCACAGTTACAACATTGTCAGCCAGATTGATGGTGTCGCTGACAGTAAATTTCTGACCACCAATCTGGACTTGGAAGACTCCAGCTTTTGGTTCATAATTTACAACAACCGCCTCTTCGAATCCGGAACCCTTCACCTATATTTAACGGAAAGAACTCATATCATCATCAATTTCCGCCCTAAGGTATTTGGAGAATGACAACAGCAAAAGAATGTCAAAAATTTCAAGTCGGTACACATACGTGCAAATTATGAGTAGATTCATCGTAACTGTGCTCCGATCCTTGCACCGAATTCAAAAATCTTCTATCTCGCAGTCTGTCTTTGAGAAATATGCATCCAGCCACGGCACCTAATAGGTTCTTTTCTTCACAAGTTAGTTTTTTCCCTTGAAATCCTTCTGGATAAACCGTTGGCAGGTATGCAGTATTTACATCACCTTTCACAAATCTAAAATGGAAACAACAGCATCTGCTCTATTAAGTGTGCGCAATGGGAAAATATCACTAGTTGTCGAAATCTAATAAAATAATGCTTAACATCGGAAACGCCTTAACACTGTGCTTTTTTATAAAGCAGTCTACTTTTATTAAAACTATTTCATCGGCAGCTTGGTATTTTATCGAAGTTTGAGGCCATAATAATTACAGAAAAGCTAAATTACAATCAGAGGTAGATGAAATCTTATTACCAATACCTTTCTTCCGTAACGATGTCTCGCAACAAGGGGATATTGTGCGTCACCCCACGAATGACATATTTATCTAATGAATCCGCCAGCAAATTCAGGGCATGCTGCCGATCCCGGCCCACCGTAATCAGCTTGCAAATCATCGGATCATAATACAGACTAATCTCCGAGCCCTCGCTAATTCCCGTGTCGCAACGCACATAACCGTCAGAAGGCACCGCACCTACCGCCTCATTCTGCGGCTCTTTATACACTTTCAATCGGCCCACGGATGGCAGACCAAAAGCTTTAAAGGGATCTTCGGCGTACACTCGCGCCTCAAAGGACCAGCCAGTGATCCCGATATCACTCTGCTTAAATCGCAATGGATAGCCTTTGGCACTGCGCAGCATATGGTAGACAATGTCCACTCCCGTGATGGACTCGGTAATGGGGTGCTCCACTTGAAGGCGGGTATTCATTTCCAGAAAGTAAAAATTCTTGTGCTTATCCACAAGAAATTCGATGGTTCCCGCTGAGTCATAGCCCACTGCTTTGGCCAAGGACACCGCTTGCTCCCCCATGCGACGACGGAGGTCAGGGTCTACAAAAGGGCTTGGGGCTTCTTCAATTACTTTCTGGTTGCGTCGCTGAATGGAGCACTCGCGTTCGTTGAGATAAACTGCACTGCCATGCTTGTCGCCGATCAACTGAAAACGATTTGCATAATTCGCATTAGAACTTGTACTTTTCCATAAATACAGAACAAATGCAGGTTGATAGTTGCTACTCACTACCGTAACTTGCTACATAAGCCACAAATACGATATGTAATGGCATAATTAAAAGTTCTATAACAACAGCCAATTATCTTAACAAGCCAATAATAAAATTCCTTTCCTATTATCCCCCCTCTTTTCCCATAATACTCAAATAAAATTCAAAAAATACATTCCGCTTCACTTTGAACTCATATGGCTGCGGTCTTGCAGATATGTGATGACCGAAAGCGCTCTAGAGTGTGCGTTATAAAATACGCATCGAAATTAATTATACTTCCATAAAAAGAGTACTCCGTACCTCTCCCAGTGAAAACACTGCAAAGTAACGAGAGACTTCACAATTAACAAAAAAGTTACAGCAGAAGACTTCCCACAAGTATAAACTGAGAACAGAGTATAATATAAATAATCTAATGGCTGACAGCTATTGCATCCATTATACTGCGGTGTTTTTAATCGATCAGGTACAGTTTGTAATGTTTTAAAACAAACGGTTTAGCTAAAACTTCGGTAGAAAAGACCGGGAAACACTCGTTACACTTGACGGCTGGTATCGGCTACTTTCAAAGCCGATACCAGCCGAACGCATACTATTAAATAAAAATTTAAACAACTAAGGGTTTTTCTTCCTGACAGAAAAGTACAAGCAAATAAAAAATTCAGGCTTTATAAATCAGCTCAAGCGACAATTCTACATTCAGAAGAATTATTTTGTAGTTGTTTAACAGGCTCAGCCGGATAAATCCAAGATATTTTGGGAAAGTACAGGCTGTAACAGTGAAAGCAAACCTGAATCTCGATGTGTCGCGGCTCCTCAATGTACTTTTCGATCAACATCCGGTCATCACCGAAACTGGATTTGGCTTCCTGTTGCGAGAGACGGTAACCGTCTCGTGTTTCAGCATCGTTGCGGGCAATGCGCATGCCTTTCCCTCCACCACCCGCTGACGCTTTGATCATCACCGGATAGCCGATGTCTCGAGCCAACTGCACGCAGTGATCAGCATCCTGGAACAATCCATTTTTAAAAAAACCCACAAGGCTATGCTGTTCCAAACGGACAGTTCTGAGTATCCGAAATTCCGTACTTTAACTTCCCCTTTGTAACCCGGAATAGTGCTGACTTTGGCCTTCACGGCCAGTTCTTTGCTGTGAATTTTATCTCCCAAAGCGTTAATTGCATAACTGTTGGGACCAACAAATGCAATTTTTTCCTTCTCGAGGTGAGCAGCAAATTCTAAATAAAATCAAAAGTACTTCCACAGTTAAGTTCGTAAGTAGGTGGTACTGACGTTGCAGTAACAGAACATCGTAAACTTAAAACGTAACTGTAGTTACCATTATCGAGACAAAAACGCAAAAGTAAATAAAACAAAAGAAAACCTTTCATCAGACATGTTTAACAGGCGCTTTCTACCAAGCCACAAGAAGCGGTAAAAATTATCTGATACGCAAAAAACAAAAATGTTAAAATTCCTCTGCCCAGGGAAGCCTACCGGTGTTTTCCGAAAGGAAACCGTAGCCCGGATGCACAGCTTGCGCACCAGTGTCTCTGCACGCCTGGATGATCCGCTCCCATCTTAGATAGCTGTCGGCCGTCTGCGCTGTTCCTATGCAGATCGCTTCGTCGGCCATCTGCACGTGCATCGATAAGGAATCGATATCGCTGTGCACCGCCACGGTCTTGATGCCCAGCGCCTGCGTATATCCACAAAAAAAGTGAAGAACCCCACGACACGAGAAAAACTTCTTCGCTTCTCACTTTGCATGTCTTAATGATCCGGCATGCAATTTCCCCGCGATTTGCAATGAGAACCTTGTCGAACAGTGGCTCTTTTGTGTCATAGCGATCGTTGAAGTACAGTGAAAATGCACGTAGGGGAATATGGAGCACGGTGGAAGACCTGTTCGGTGGAAGGAGGGATCGGGCAGAAGAACTGCGCACAAATCGTGCCACATTTCGCAGTTGCAGGGGATACATCTACAGAAACACCACAGTCAAAGGTACTGCATTTCGGTAATCGTTGCAGACTTTCAATTTAAGTCTACATTCGAGGCAGTCAAAAGGGAAAAAATCACAAGTAATAGTTATACGAGCTCATCTTACAAATGCAATCAGCCAAAACTGAGGGATTGTCAAATATTGCTACTTGTACCTTGCTCTCCTACTTTCGCGAACTATAAAACTCCTGCAGGGGAAGAAAAGGCTGTGATAGACACTGCCCGGAAAAACGGGTGTACCAGAAGTCACTTACAAGTTACCATTTATTTTAACTTTTAAGCTAACTCACATACAATATTTTTCCTTGTGGCACCGATCAGCTGTTCGGATTTACAGTACAGTACATACAGCACTTTATGCGTGCTCAATTGCTAATTCATTACAGTACTACCATACGTGCAAACTCGCTTCGCTCGCTTGATTGGCTAAGCGCTTAGTACTTACAGTGGCACTACCCTGTTTTCAGAGACGCCGTTTCGCTGAATGGTGGTATTTTTTGGGATGATGAGTAATAATTAATAACTAGTATAAAGGTCGTAACCGCCCTTAGTGCAAGCGAGCAAGCGTGTAAATTTTTCTTGTTGTAAAAAACTCGGTTGGGTAAGACTGCGTCACTGGAACAGGAGTAGTTGAGTTTACTCTTTTTTTGTAGCTGTTGCATATGCTGTGTAAGGCTTATCACCAGAGCTGCTCAGATATCAGTTTTTGCCACCGCTACGATGCCGATATGATATCATTACTTTTATGCCGTTTGCGGAATTATGCCAATACAAAATGTTATTTTTGAATGTTTTTCATTTTTGATTCCGTTAAAAAAAGTATAATATTCTTTGAGCTTCGTACTGATGCATGCGTTCCAAGAAACTAAATTCCGAATTTCGTAAGATGAAATGGTTTCTGGTTGGCTGAAAATTGCGTGTAAAAAGATAAAAGATGTATTTTTATAACGCGTAAATTTCTTCTAATTAACTTTTCACGTAAAAATTAATTCTAAAAATTAAAAATTTAAATTTTTTGGGCACTACGCAGGAGGGGGGGGGGAGGTTGAGACGCTTGAGCTAACCAAGCCAAAGGCATTTCAGATTTGTGTGTTGGCCGAAATATTTTTTGCGGCTACGCTCGCCATTTTAGAGGCGATTGTGAGTCGACAGTCGGCGTGATTGACTGGCATGAGTTTACCGCTATCCACCAGTCTGTCTAGGTTTCTCCGTGCTCCCGCACGCGACATCTTATTCCGTAATATGGATGATAATGCTGATCTAAATGATAATAACGACCCAGCGGGTCACACAGAAGCACTGCAAGACGATCAGATGTGCCCACGCAAGCCAATGCGACGCGGGCACTACTAATATAAATACCCTATCGCCCATAGCCGTCCATTTCGCACCAGATTCTTTATTTTAGGATACTGGTCGTTGCTCTAAATTTGTAAAAACCTTTATGCAAATCGCCAACAGAGCCGATTTATTGGCTACGTTCAAGTTTTACGCTTATATTGGACCGAAGGACTTAGAGCCTGTTCAACAAGCGCAACCCAGGCCGTTACCCGTCAAGTACAATCGTTTGCACAGGTTGAATTTCCAAACCTACCGCTTGCAGAGAAAAAAAACAAAACATAACCTGCTAATTGAAGAGATTTCCTAACGCAACCGCAATTAAGAGCGAACTATGCAAAATGGTTTGGCAGTTCAATTCACTAAACAGACGGCTGTACTAAACATGGTCCACGTCACTACACTTCTGGCGGCCTTGATTCGCCATTCACGCTGCACCGCAGTCGATGACTAACCGTAAATCAGTGATTCTCTGCAAAATACTCTAACAGTTCGTGACGGTCTATAAAACCAATTTTTGGTGGTAAATTATAAGCTTAGAAATATTACTTTTCGTGCTGGTGGTCCACGGAAAAGCAGAAAACATGTTCCGCTTCAGATTTTTAAATTTTCGCTAGATTGGCAGTTGGCTAGAACTCGATGGCATTGCTTACCTGGAAAGCTGCCGCATCGTTTCGTTTATTGGCAGAAAAGCCCTTTTTAGCGCAAATATCTGACTATGCAGTCACTATTCCGCAACTTCTCGCCTTCTGTTTCTCAACTGAGTTAACGATTCTCCGCCGGTAGTCAACAACCCAAAAAAGACTCCTTGTTTTAATTTTTTCAGTTGGTTGCTAGAAGCATAGAAGTTTTAGCCATTTAAATCCTAGTATTTTCAAATTCACGGAAAGATTGTTTTGCTGCAGATGAATTAACACACTGGCTTATACAAATCGCGTATGCCGATTTAATCACACAGAATCCGAGAAGCGCCCGCACACATTTCTGTTTTAGAGTTCAATGTTTTCGCAAACCGTGGTTTGGCTTAATTTATTGCCCAAACGATTTATCGGTTCAACACCTTATTCGATGTCTGTTGGCAGCGGCAACGTAACAATAACGCAGTAGCGGTTACTAAATGGATTACTTTCTTGGGTAAAGGATATATGTTTTTCTATGGTTTTGTTTTATTCGGTTGAATTTATTCTAAAGCAAAACAGCGGTCGAGTAACTCATACTTACCATGGTTTTGAACACCAAGTGCCCGTTTCCCGCATATGACTGTGGCTGGTAATCCGCGGTCGTTTTTTTCTCATCGTACTAACTCAACTTGAACTGACGCGAAAAAGTTTTAGTGCTTTGGTATTGATTTGACTAAGCTTACCAGAATCTTCGGTTTACAATAAAGTTCATGGATCGCGTGATTAGCTTCAAAAAATTTCTACAACAATTTCCTCGAAAGTCTTTTAAAATTTAAGAATTTTGTTAAAAGTCGTTTCAAAATCAGGAAATTTCACCACTTTACTTACTACGTTGAACCTTGTCCAATATACGCAATGCTCGCGATGGCAAGGCCACGAGATTAAATTTCTGTGAACAGTGGTGTATGTAATTGTAAAGACCTTTGAGGTAGATCTCCTTTCTTTTTCTCCGCAAAAAACATGAACGTTAAACGCTGAGGTTTATTGTTTTTGTTCTTTTGTTTTCAGATTTATATAAACCTTCAGAAATGAGCCTGTTGTAAATTTGAAATAGGGAGTTGCAGCCCAGGGCGAGAAACTTTGTTCCAGCAGTCAAATAATTTCTTTTTCATTTGAAAAACTGGTATCTGCAATTTCATGCAGAATTTGTTAAGATTTTGTAATATTTATTGAAAAAGGTTTGAAGTGAAAAAAGTAAATGTTTCGTTCTACTTGATGCTTCAATTGCTCACCCGCTTTGCTTAGCCCTCGGTTTTCCTCGCAACGATACTTCGCTACCGAATATGATAACGTTAACGGAAAGTTTATCCGTGAAAGTTATCTTTTTAATAAAAAGAACAACGGAATGTTCTTGTTTTACTTGCTGGTCCGCTCGCTTCGGGGCGCTTGTCTCGGCGCAGATTTGCGTCGCCTTCGATTTCGTATTCGGTTTTAGCAGAAATGATAGCACGCTGCCGTATCAACACAATAACGAAAAGTTCAAGCGGAACTGTAAGAAGAATCTTTTGAGAATAATAGGACAATAGAATCCCCTCGTCTTGCTTGCTGCTCGCATGTTGCACTGCGCTTGCTTAATGCTGACGTTATTAAAGAAATGTTTTGCTATGGCAACGTTTTAAAACATATTTCCAACAACTGCACAAAAGGCTCAGAATCCTTCGAATTTTGTTTATAAATTTACAAATTCTTGAATATGCGCTTTTTAAGCGTACCCCTTCAAATAAAGTTATAACTCACAGCCTTCGTGATCGCGAATTTCCGTAGTTAATCCGTGATTAATAGGATAACCCGTGTTAGTAATTCTAAATCCAATTCAGATAAGCTTTTTTTAAGATTTTTACATCCTTTTTTTGAAGCAATAATCATTTGGTTGTTCGCGGTGCAGCCTTGCGTCGCCCTAATCTTTCTTATCGAAAAGGTCAAGTATTAAAGTAACAGCAACCCATTGGGACAACTGGCGATGCTAAAAGTAAGCATTAACGGTTACGGTGACCCGAAACGATGAAAAAAATATGCACGGTAATCTATTACGGTAACGGTAACAGTAACAGTATCCCGCCATAGTAATCCGTTAAATAACAGTTTGTGGTAACGGTAACCCGTTACGCTAAGTTTTATTATTACAGAAATTCAGTAATAACCATCCGTTGCATAAAAAGTAATCTGTTATGGTAACAGTACTCCCCTGCTAAAGTAACGTATTGCGGGTACGGTAATTTTATTGATAGTATTTAGAAATGGTTGCAGGAACTTTCACGATAAAAGTAACCTGTTACGGGATTTGCAAACATAAAAATTCCACCACCAACACCGGGTAAAATGATCGGACAAGGTTCATAAATCGGGCTACTTATACAATTGCACGGCGGAATCCTGAAAAGTGAATAAATATTTCCCAAAACGTCGGTTCCCAACACGCCAACCAAACAATGCCGCAAAAAAATCATTCCCGGGTACAAATTTTACCACCCGTATATCGCTGGGTTCGTCAATACTGACCCAGTCACATTTACCGTTGCGGTTCCCGAAAACTGTTCCTAGCCTAAAAAAATTCGGACCGGGTCCAAATTTCTGGACCCCCCGTATATCACTACGGCCGGTTCGTCAATAATGACCCGGTATAATTTACGTTACGGTTCCCCAAAACTGCTCCACCCGGGGCCGCTAAAAAAATCCGGAGCGGGTCCAAATTTCCGGACCCCCCGTTTATTACTACGGCGGGTTCGTCAATAATGACCGGGTTATAATTTACGTTACGGTTCCCCAAAACTGCACCACCCGGGGGCGCAAAAAAAATCCGGACCGGGTCCAAATTTCCGGACCTCCCGTATATTACTACGGCGGGTTCGTCAATAATGACCCGGTTATAATTTACGTTACGGTTCCCCAAAACTGCTCCACCCGGGTCCGCTAAAAAAATCCGGACCGGGTCCAAATTTCCGGACCTTCCGTATATTACTACGGCGGGTTCGTCAATAATGACCCGGTTATAATTTACGTTACGGTTCCCCAAAACTGCTCCACCCGGGTCCGCTAAAAAAATCCGGACCGGGTCCAAATTTCCGGACCTTCCGTATATTACTACGGCGGGTTCGTCAATAATGACCCGGTTATAGTTTACGTTACGGTTCCCCAAAATGCCACCACCCGACCCGGTCTACGCGTTTGCACCTGGGTCCAAATTTACGGTGGAACACACATTTCCCCATTGGGTCCGTCAATTATAACCCGGTTAGGTTCACGATTTTAAACTACCTTCTCAATTGCTTCAGCGGGGGGCGCAGCCCCCCGCACCCCCTGCT